CCCCCCCCCCCCCCCTTCTCGCAGGTGGACCTGGAGAAATCTTGGCTGCGAATCTTGGACCAACAGCGCCTTGCTCCTCATTGCGCATACGTCTCGTGTCTGAACAACTGGCTACGACCCTCAGTATCTTCCTCAGTCTCTACAATATAGCTGTTCATTCCCCTCTCTTGCCTTGTCGACGCTCTCCCGCCGCATGCAAGAATAGTCTGCGCCGAGATCTTTGTAAATTTCCAGCATCATGGCCGAACCACCTATTGGTATCATGTTCCCCCCAAAAGCCGCAACCGGGAGTAATCTGCTGACACGGACACAATAGTCCTCGATGGGGGTACTGGTTTCCTCAAAGTTGGCTATGCCGCTCAAGTGCGCCCTCTTTTGACCTCTTCTGACAATAAACTCCTCAAGATTAACCCATGGTGCCGCTAGAACTTCCCTGAATATCAGTTCCCCTCCATCGTGGGTAGGCCCATCCTTCGTGCGGAAGAGCGGGCAGGCGACATTGTGGTCAAGGATATTATGTGTGGAGATGAAGCTGCCGCTGCAAGATCAATGTTACAGATTAGTTATCCTGTATGCGATCACAAAGTGCCCTCCGGTGGATTTTGGTCTCCTTGCTGACGATCGTATTGCTAGATGGAAAATGGCATCATCAAGAAGTGGGACGACATGATGCATCTCTGGGATTTTACCTTCAATGAAAAACTTCGAATCGACACAACAGGCCGGAAGATCCTCCTTACCGAGCCACCCATGAATCCTCTTAAAAACCGCGAGCAGATGTGTCAAGTCATGTTCGAGAACTACAACTTCGGTGGGGTGTACGTGGCCATTCAGGCGGTGCTGGCGTTGTACGCCCAAGGTCTGTCTTCAGGCGTTGTCGTTGACTCTGGTGACGGTGTCACCCACATCGTGCCGGTCTACGAATCTACAGTCCTCAACCACCTCACACGCCGTCTTGACGTGGCTGGTCGAGATGTAACACGCAACTTGATTGCACTCCTCCTCCGACGAGGCTACGCTCTAAACCGAACCGCCGACTTTGAAACCGTCCGCCAAATCAAAGAGAAACTCTGCTATGTTTCCTACGATCTCGCCCTGGACCAGCGCCTGTCTGAGGACACTACCGTCCTGGTGGAATCCTACACTTTACCCGACGGCCGTGTGATCCGAGTGGGCAGTGAACGCTTCGAAGCTCCTGAATGTCTCTTCCAACCACACTTGGTGGACGTCGAGCAACCCGGCATCGCGGAGTTTCTCTTCAACACGATTCAAGCCGCCGACGTCGACGTGCGCTCATCGTTGTACAAGGCCATTGTCCTCTCTGGCGGCAGCAGCATGTACCCTGGCCTGCCATCGCGCCTAGAAAAGGAGCTCAAACAACTCTGGTTGATGCGCGTGCTGGGCGGGAATCCGGAACGGCTAAACAAATTCAAAGTGAGGATAGAAGATCCCCCTCGGCGACGACACATGGTTTTCCTCGGTGGTGCCGTTTTGGCAAACATCATGGCTGACAAGGAGAACATGTGGATCTCCAAGCAGGAGTGGATGGAACAAGGTCCCAGGATTTTGGACAAGTTGGGGCCCAGATAGTCTAGGAGTTGGTTTGGGGGAAGAGAGGCGGGGTGGGAGAATAAAAGGGCGGTCCAACATAGGAAAGAAGAGATGTAAGTGTGAGGTGTCATGATCTCGCGGCTCAGTGAAAGTGCTGTGTGCGGATTGTTCGGAGGATGGGCTCGTGAGGATTGGCCCTGACATGCCTTTTCAGGCCGACGGGCCTCCTCATACGATGACCAGAGAGCGGCTTGACATTTTCCACTACCACACTCCATACCGTGCCGTTGGAAGCACGAGGTGAGTGCGAGCGAGCCAGGACGATCGAGGAACGATGCTGATGGATCTACGTGCGAGCCGGGTTTCAAGAACTCCGTTGGAGAGAAAAAGTCCGTTCCAATAAAACAAGAAGAGAAGTCGAAGCCCCCTTCTAAAACTAAATACAGCGCCCAAATTTCGACCTACTACAACTCAGTAAGTTTGGAGTCTTGTGTATGTGAACTGGATTCGGGAATCCTCATTTGGGTTAGATATACCACATCCTACGTTGACATCTTCATGTACAAATCTTCCAGGAGCATAAGCTTAGAACTTCGAAGACCGCACAGCCAACGACTTCTCATCAACTGTACTTCGCAAGTTGTTATGTCCGTACAGACATAGTGGAGATTTCGCTCCCAAAGTACAGCAATGTGGATCTTCGTCCTACTTTCCCATCAGTCACGAGTAATGGTTTAAATGGGATGGGGAGGCGGTTGGAAAGGTTCCATATATGGGCCCGGGTCAGCAGGGGCATTCCACGTCTCAGGGATGATTGACGGTCCAGCTGATGTATAAGCCGTGCTATTTCCCTCATCACCCTGGAAATCCAATAGGCCGTTCTCATAAACCCCCGTGACATCCCACTCGGCCAAGGCTAGGTCCATGTGTAGGGCATGGCCGTTGGTGATGGAACCGAAGTCCATGTCGAAATCCGAGGCCGTCCATGAATAGGCTGGGTCGTCGAGGAGTTCTGAAGTCGTTACTGCTGGTGGTGGTCCCTCAGGTCCCATCACTGGCTGACCCTCGTGTACGAGAGAAGAGGGTTTGGGATCAGACGGTGGCGGAGAAGACGCCTCTGGCCCGCCTGCATTTTCATATTCGAATGCCTGAGCCGTAATCCGTCCAGAATGTTCTGGTGGTTGCGGCAAAGGATCCAAGCGACCGGTCACCCCTATTGGGGCTGGTTGGATACCAGGGGTGGACATGCCGCCGGCGTGACTCTTGGTGATCATCTGTCCGATCAAAAGGCATGCCGAGTCGGCAATAGGCCAAATGTCCCTCAACCGCAAAAGTGCTCGGATACAGTGGTGGAACTGCTCGCCCGGGAGGGCGCCAAATCCTTGGCCCTTGGATTTAATCTCGACCAAGAATACGGCGATCGCAAGAAGCATGAAACTCACAGAGAGAGGAGGGAGGAAGCGCACCAGGTCACGGTCGTGGAGGTGTTGAATCATCTCGGACATCTTGTCAGCAGCCTCCTTGACCTTGCTGGTCGACCTTTGTTCCGAGAGTGACCGGGTTTTTGACAAGGTCTGGGGTCGGTTGAGAGATTCCGAGGCCATCAAAAAGAGCATTTTCAGCACAGAACGGTGTAAGAAGAGAACGTCCTCAACCGTGTCATGTGTGCCGCCATTGTTGTTGTCCATGATTAACCAGCAGCTGACGGGTAAATTCCTATACCACGTATCGAGATCATCTTGCAGGGCGGCAACCTCGTTGCCATTGTCATCAGATTTCTTGGGGGCGTACAGCATCGTCACTTCAGCAGTTGATCCACCAAAACCGCGCAGGTGGTAAAAATGCCTGATAATATGGCCGATAGACACCAGGAGTTTCACTTTGGCCAAACACAGATCGGCCAACATTCTCCTGGTGGCGATGTCCGTCAGAAAAGGGCAATCCCGAAGCGGCTGGACGGAAGAGACATTAATAGATCGAGTTTCGAAATCGTCTAACGTGAGCAATGGGAGGTTGATGTCTTCGTCTTTGATACGCAACGGTCTTCGCATACTGACAGCCATTATTCGATCTCGCATGACACAAGCCCACCAAATCCGTCTCCACAGGCGGCTAGTTCGGGGGTCTTTTCTGGCATAGGTCGCGGGTTGATTCATGCCGATGCTCGTAGCCAGTGAGACACAGACCCCGAGCCAATGCCAGGGGTCTTTTTGATCGTTTTCAGACACGTACCAGTAGTTGATAATGAGAAGTGATTGAATTACGGAGACCCGATCGGCTTCCCAGTCAAAGTCGTAAAGGAGCTAGTAGAAACCAGTTAACGTCGCGTACGCGTCTCTCCCCATGGCGGGCTCTCTCACTTTAATCTTTTGATAAAAATCGCCTCTGGCGGCTCTTCGAGTTTCGTAGCCTGCTTCTTGAAGGAAATGCCAATCGACAAACGCAGTCCCGGCAAACATGATCGCTTGCAGGAGGATGAGACTGATCTTCGAGGAGTTTGGCTTGCCATCAAGAGAGTCGAAAAGGTCTTCAAGGTCAACAACCGGTAAGTACGGAGACACGTAGAGCGCAAAGCATCGAAAAAGCTGATCGCGGAGCTCAACGTCGGGGATGGTGAGAGCTCCCCGACGGGCGAGGAAATCAAAGTCATCTGGACTTATTTGCGACGGAGGAGGACGCACGCAAGGTAAAACTTTAACGGAGAGTGTTCTGGCCGGGGGGGTGTGGAAGTGGGAGTTTGTCATTGACGGCGCTGTTGCATGGTCTTGGAATTTGGGTGGGTTAGCATACAACCGCGCAAATTTGGCGATATCAAAGCAGCCATGGATCCCACTAACCAGATACGCCTTTAGTCGATTCAGTCGTGTTCGTAGCGATTGATGGCGGATTGTTGGTACCATCATAAGGGCCCGATGGAGGTTTGGGTTGGGCCTGAGTCAAAGGAGGGAGAGAAACGAGGCAGTTCAATTGACGCTTCTGAAGGCGATATTTCCTGCTCCGTCTGGATTCGACAATGACGCATTCTATGCCATCCGAGCTGCAGTTATGACAGGGGACTCCGGACTTGACGAGGTCGCATTTGACTTTTCGCGTGCGGCAGTGATGGCAGGCTTGAGAGGCTCTTTTCTTGGTCACTCGGTTCGAGGTCCGGGGAGTCGAGGGGTTTCCATTTTGCAGCGGCATTGAGAGGGCCGGGGTCGAATTTCTGACATAGGAAATGGGAATTGTAATCAACAGGCGGTCGAGATGTTTGTCGAGGTCGGAGGTCGGAGACCGGAGGACGAGAGAGCAGAAGCCGAGGATGTTTGAATTCAACTTGGCGGACGGGAAGCGGCGAGGGCTGGGGGGTTTACCACCAACAATTAGCACTAGAGAGCACTTATGGATAGAGTCATACAAGTAGCTTTGGTGATGGTAGTGAAAATATCGGATGGCTGGAAGAATAAGGAGCCTTGACGCAAGGCCATGTCGGACCTCGTACATGATATGCCAGAATATGGGCGAATCCTCGAGCTCTTAGGGGATGTCCAGCGAATATTCCGGGGTATCGTGTCGTACCCCACTTCACTGCCACACTTCTTATGGCGTAGTCTATCAACCTGCCTCTACTTCTCAACCGGCCAATTACAGACCATACACCATGTAGGCACTCCTTCGTCTCCTTCAGTCCTGTCTCGCGGGTACGATATAATGGTATGGACGACTCTGAACCCAAAGTACGCATACACGTCCCTCGCCCGAGGATTCCCTGCCACTAGCCAGAGAGGGAGTCCCTCCGCTTTGGCCCTCTTCACATAAGGCTCGATCACCGCTCTGACCGCTCCCTTGTCCTTCCGTTCCGGGTCGCGCGCCATGAGCGACAGGGACCAGTAGAGCTGCCCCTCGCCCAGACAAGCCAGCCTTGCGTCCTGAACATCTCGGACGAACTCTGTAAAGACCGGTCTTTCCAGGGCCATCGCCTGCAGCTTGCTGTCGGTAAGGAGCGGTGGGATGGCTGACGGAGGCTCCCAACACGCCACCGCTGCAAATTCCGCTGCCTCCACGACAAGGGCACCCCCGGCAACTTTGGTATCTACACGGTCTTTGGCAGCGGTGTAGAGGAGATCCGATGTGACGGCGGTCGACTGGCCGGTCTTTTCTTGTTGGAAGACAATGTTCAATGGGTCGGCCACACTAGCTCGCGACACGATGTCGGCAAGACGATGACAGTATTCGGACGATTGGGATGTTGTGACTCGAGGTAGTGAGGGCGTTGAAGAGGACGATGATGCGCCATTGCCGGTCGCCAGAGAGGTGACTGAGATGTTGGCGCCAGTAGTTGCTGAAGCTGCCATGATCGACACAGACGACGTTGAAGAGAACCGAGTGGGTGTTGTGGTGGTGAAGTCCAGCGGGTTGAAGCTGGTGTTTTACACAGCGTCAATGCGACTGACATACCGACAACAGGGTCACCGATGAGTCATCTCCTGCATGTTTCGAATTAACTACGTTGACTTGCCGTTTGGGATTCGAAGAAGACGGCCATATATTTACGTTGCATGGCTGAGTAGATAGGGAGATCTACTAGAATTTCACCAATTGACTCACCAATTGAAACGACTAAAACTTAGAACGTGTAAATTAGGATCACCTCTCCAAGCCTTGAACTTTCATCCGTGCCAAGACTTGAATATACGAGACGAAAGGGAAAAAAAACCCCCCTGACAGCATCTAACGTGAATATGCAGGGTCAAGGCTGCGCCAGAGCCTTGCCGCCGCTAGGACCCTTTTTGTCGGTACTCCACCCAAAATGTCAGAGGGTGCCATCAATTAAGAAAGCTTATACATACTAAACACTGCGTTGAGGAAGTTTCGTAGTGGACCTTCCGACCAAAGTTCCGACATAGCATGCTCCCGTTTGACAACAAATATGCCTGATGAGACTTCTGGAGATTTCTATCCAATACGATGCCTCACCCACAACCTGGCCAGCAGGACGGCCACAATCTCTCAGCTCTCTCAGTAGCTGCGTTGCACCAGCCAGGACCGGATCATCCACCATCTTTTGGTTAGCTGTAACAACGACGATCATGACAATTGCTCCGTTATATGATGGTAACTGAGTCCTGCTTTATCGCATCTTGTCTTCGTGCAGTCCGAATAGACTGTTCTCGCATTGACCAGTTCTGTCCTCAAAGTGGTACCCTGGCGGATATGTCTCGTCGCCATAACTTACACCAAGCTGAATTGAGGGGTTGCTCCAGTGGCATTGGCGAGAGCTTGAGGCTGCTACTTGAAGAAAGTAGCTGTCAGTAGTATCGCGAAGACGCTCATGGTTGATATGTGTCTTGGAAGGACTTGTGGTGATTGGGGGTACATTCATACATGAGATCGAGCCCCCTGGTTATCAAACAGCCATTTTGTTGTGATATGGAATCGTCAAGGGTTCTGGCGTTTGGACTGGCGTGGGGTCATCGCAGTTAACTCTAGCCATGGTATGGAAGCCGTCGCCTGCCATAATACGGAGATAGGAACAGTGACCCATAGCTGGACAGTGACCCGGATGTTTGCAGAAAGAGAACGACTCGCCCCGATCAAGCCAGAGGTGCTGTGGCCGAGTAGTAAGTTGTCGTTCTACATCGATTCACCTCCTTCCCGTAGGTAGCCTTTCGTATTGTATGAAGTCAGGGCGGGTTCGAACTGACTTGTGGCCGTGAACAAAAAGTTCCTCCCGGGCTTTCCCTATTGCAATGGGTTTTGTCATCATTATGGAAGGAACCGGAGGATTTGGTCGAACCCAATCATGAATGAGAGACAAACACAACAATCCAGAGGCCCGAGGAATGGGATGGGCGGTCTCTAGAAAGCTATGATGCAGAAGAGCAATGAGAGGTCGAGATACGTTCGTTGGCTTAATTAGAATCTTCAGAGATACATCCAACCAGGGAGAATCGTGAGTATGGAACCCTGCTGCAATCAGAAAAGCTGTGTCCTGGCTCAACACGGGGAAATAAATCCTCAAAGCAAAATGCCTTTGGTCCGAACCGGATGTGTAGCCCGCACATAATCATGCACATCGTTGTCTTTTGTGGAAGTGTCCATGATCTTCTGTACCGCAGCAACTCCGTCGACATAAGATATCTTGCAATGTGTCTTGTGCGTGAAGATATCGTCGTAGTATAAACGTATTGCACACGACTCAGACCTATTCGAGGTGATCTGATCAGCGCGTGTTCTGGTGCAGGGAGAGGGATTGGTACAGACTTACTCACCTTGATAGGAGTGCTGTTCATTTCCCTACCGTCTACACGGTCGGTATCAATCAGCGACTGCGGCGCCTCGATCAATTATTCAAGTATCTCCAGACCGTTCGGGAATGTAAGGCGGGCTATTGGCAGGGCGACAATAGGTGTGTGTTCTATCAATGGCAACGGTGTTCGACTGGACCGTAGAGGCCCAGAAGTCTGTATCGGCCGTGTACATGCCACGCGGCATCGCAGTTTCTCCGTGTCGATATGCAGGGTTCTGATTTTCCATCCGTGGTAGAGACCGGTCTGACCAGTTGGTCTGAATGAACAACGTGCATCCTCTTAGCGTTTGTCCCGTTTTCCAGGGATCATCCGTGCCAGTCTTTTGCAGCTCAGGGGCCCAGACATTGGGTGCCGACGAAAAATTTCCAGAGCAGTCGGGAGGGTTGCTTTTGGGTTTGAAAATTCTTTTGGTTCGGTTCCTCAGGCGTCTTTGAGGATAGGAAGGAAAACGAAGTGGCCGCATTCGTTGTTTGGAACAAGATATCAAATCCCTGTGTTGTGGAACGCCTTCGACCCAAGGATGAAAGCCGCTCACGGTCTGCTGACTCAGAAGTTCGGATATTTCTATGCTTCTCTGGTCCGTCATGTCAGTCACATCAGCACGAAATTCCTTTTCAAGGATCTGAAGATACTTAGGCATTGAAAGACACCACTTTGCATAGCTGACCGTACCAGGTCAGAGCCGGCAATGACCTCTGCTTTTGTGCAACCCGAACATTTCGAACAATTTGCCAGGAGCATCGTTCTGTACAAGGTCCCTAAACGGCTTCAACGTCCCCTCTCTCTCGCAGGCTAACACGACAGATTCAGCATTCCACTTGGTCCAAATCCCATCCGGCAAAGTTCAGGATGTCAGGATGAAGAAGCGACGTCACGAAGGCTTTTGTTGGCAGTATGATCCCATCACGAGCCGTCACGAACAACATGCCAATGATACCATTTGGTGGGTAATCCGAAAAGCCTTCAGCCCATGATGCTGCTGTGTCTATTTAGAGGAAACGAACCAAGAGGAAGGGTTCAATGTGCAAGATCTCCCATATTTTCGCCGTCTATGTATTAAAACCCGAGACCGAAACGGAGACGGGAGAACTCTCTATTCTCTGGCAGACAAGCGATGAGCAGATGGTGAATGGTGAATAGCCTAAACACCAAAGGGGGGGCAGTAAAATAGGCCTGAAAGTTTATTCCCAACGGTCTCTGCGAGTTTGCTTGCCGAACCAGCGGTATTAATTGCATGCCGAAATATGTTGAGTCACCTTGTCAGTATGCAGGCCTCGGGCAGACACACTTTCACAGATCCCTTGCAGTGATCAATAAGATGGGCACATGCATAACGATGGAAATTTCCAGGCCTTCCTGGATCAAGGGGAGGAACCACCCGTCCCCATAAACATTCCACTCAGTCCGATGCGCGCATATTTGTCCGGTATGAGCTTAGTGAGTTCTAACAATCAACGTCTCATAGATTTTTCATCCTGCAGCAAGGATTTGTCAAGACTCTGACCTGTGTGATCTCCAATGTTGGATTATGGGGTAATGGGAGGTAAATCATAGAGCATTGAATGGACTCGCTAAGAGCTGGCAAGCCCAATGATCCTTGGAACGGAGTTGTTGTCCAATCTTGAAATCTGGTGGTCTGTCGTTGTATTCCTCTAAATTCCGCTATTTCATGGCGTTCTGTCCGGGTTAAACGAAGAGTCGGGAAGCGCACAGTCTCGAGCGGTAAAGAATTTAGTGGAATAGAGTGCAAAGGGAGCACCGTCACCGACTGGTGCGAGTATTTAGATAGTACGTTGTTCTAATAGAGATCGACTTGTTCTTTTTGGCAGTACCAGGATAGTATTGCCTCTGTGCCAGACTGGAGCAACAGTATTGTCTCGAAAGCTGATACTTGGCGCCCCCTTTCGTAAGACAGAACTGTTTCATACATGTAACGATTTATTCATACCAAACGCTGGACAATCGTCGGTGTACAAAACAGGGTATCAGGAAGTCAGGGGCCATGTAAGCCGGGGACGATCGATCCATGCCTTCTCGACACGTCAGATCATGTTTCGCACCGCAGGACCAGATATGCAAACTCCTGTAAACCCAGGGATTTGCCTGGATAACAGCTAGATAGTATCTGAAGGGGTATCATCACCTACATGAACAGCGAGTGATCGGGCAGTAGCCTCAATCCTGCAGGGCTGATTCAAGCCGTCTAGGGAGGACGGACGAACTCGAATCAAGCCATGTCAACAGAATGACGCCCTCGCTGGTAGGCCAAATGGATACAGTTGGGAGGGAGAAAAATTTCTCCCCTGCAGTGTGAGGGGCGGTGCGAACGACTCGGAGTAAGACAACATCGGGGGACGACCAAACGTCTTTACTCGGAGAAAATCTGTCGGTTGTGAATGGAGATGATAGATCACGGGAGGTCTTGTTTGCAAAGGCCATTATGCCGGCCTCTAGATCATCTCGTCGCCGGATAGATTACTGAATAGGACGATTAGCGACTCGTCTTAGCCGTACAAGTCGATTCATAGTTGGTGATACGAGGTCACGGAGGGCTAGTAGTCTGACATTCCCAACGAAGCGAGAGACAAGTTCTCATGCTGTGACAGGTCATGATGATCGGCTTTGTTTCTGGATATCGCTAGAAGGGTCCTCATTCTGCGCTGCTTGGTAGGGTGTGGTAGGTAAGCTTTTCCTGTCTTGAATCCGTCATCAGCGCAACGGTATCCCGGGAGGAGGAGTTCGTCGAAAGAATAGTATCAGTTCCAGGAGTGGATCATGTGTGGCTGGCAGGGTTTCTCGGCATTTTAGGAATAGATTTGGTGCTATTCGAGTCTTTTTTGTGACAAAAGATGGCTCCTAAGTGTGACTTTAGAGACCCGAGAACCCCTGATGCGAAAAGGATATGAAACAGGGTCTTTTTCGACATATTGGAGAAAAGGGCCCTGTGTGCATGATTTACCACACATACAGAGTACGCTGCTGGGCCGTGAATAGCAATCGGCAGGGCGAAGACGCACCCTCCGTCCTGGAGAAAATTCAACGGTTGAATGGCCTATTCGAGATGTTAGGCATTTCGCTTCACGCACATCTCATCTCGGTTGCAACGCCACAGAAAGAGACTTGACAAGTTGAGGCGAGCAGGCAAGTGGAAGAGGGCGATCCTCGATCACACTTGACCTGAATAGTGGAGAGGCATCGACGCCAGGGTCAGGCGGAAAAGCGACGGGAGAGACAGCTTGATGGGAGCCTCTGAGTGGAGTTGCGCATTGTGGGAACTTTTGCATTGGTGCCGTTTGGTTGTGGCCGATTTCTTAGCAGCGATCCGAGGGTAAAATACCCGCTCATGTGCTGACAGTGCCACCTGGATCTTCGTATTGTCCGCTTCGTATGGCGCTGAGCGTTGTCCCTCCTTCCCACATCTTTACATGGTAGTCAACAAGAATAGGCAGACGGGCGGAGCGCGGGAGGCGGAATAGTAATGAAAGACTAGTGAACCATGTTTGCTTTTTGACGATTTTAGGCTTTTTGGCTTGTGGTTCAAACAGACGGGTTCGGTTGGAGGCTTCTGGCTGCTGGCTGCGAGGGACGATGGGAGACAAGGGTGAGGGTGATCAGCCGTTGTGAATCTGCCCCTGGTGACTGCCTCGGTGTCTCATTGCCTTTTTGGCCCTCTCGTTCTTTGGCTGTAGCCGCGTCTGGAAGTATCCCATCGATGAGTCTAGCCCCTCTCGAATAGCCCCTCTTAAGCTTAGATGATGAAGTCTGATGCTGAACTAGTGGACACAGGAGTGCTTGTAGATTGAAGCACTCCAGGCGTCGCGAATGAAGACGAATACGCACGGCTCGGAGGCGTTCAACGGTTCCGTCATTGGTTGCACTGCCTCTGTGTCAAATCGATGCGCCATCATATTGCCTTGGATAGCCTTTTGGATGTTCTAGGATGGGAAAAATATTGGATGGATTTGGGTTGTAGCCGAGGAAGATGGACTGGAACGGGGGGAGGGGGCGCCCTTGCGCCCTACAACTACGCCTGCGCCTGGGTATTTATCGACAACGGAGATTCTCGAGCAAAATACCCACGGCCCTACGCAGTTTGCTCCCTAGTATATACAATATTCATATGCCCATCAACCATTCTCCGTCGTGGTGTCAGATCATCAAGGGTATCCAAAACCACTGGCATCCACACCTCATCTCAGCAAAAACCAACCTCAGTGGCACGGAGGGATCTTTCCGAGTAGATGACAGCGGACTACTCCGGAGATCTTCCGGTAGCACACTCGCGGCGTGTATCGAGCAACTCCTGGACTTGGGCGGAGAGCAAATAGCGTCTCGTTCTCGCATCCGCAAAGACAAATTTCTGTACTTGTGCACAGTTTTGTCGGAATAACGGCATCGACCAATAATTAGATCATATTTCATGTGTTTTTCTCCGTGTCCATCCTCTCTTGTATCCCCATCCGGATCCGTTGACCGTCTTGTGTGATAATCTTTGAATCAACCTCCTCAAACTTCCGCATGGTGCATGGGTTAAGGAGCTGTTTGGCAAAGCAGAAACGGGTTAAGCGGCACAAGGAAAGTGCTGATCACGGCTGGCGATATACAGACGGCGCTGCTGATCACGACGAATCCTGTCGTGCTCCAGTGTTTCCAGGCTGAGAGGCCTGGCCAACGGCCGTTTGAGCGATGGGGACGATTAAGCCTAGAGAGGTCGCTTGCATATTTGTGTCTTAGTACGTCAAACCAGAATTCTTGCCGCCGTTCAATTTGTGATAGACCTGTATTGTTGTTGGTATTGAAGGCTCATCGAGTGGCCTGATATTGAGGGCTGATGCTTAGTTGCTGACCCCCCATTTTTTGGCCGCCGCCGCCTCCGACACAACCACTCGCAGTCCTGAGACACAATCGATGCAGTGCGTGCGGTAGACCGGGGATTCCTTCTGGGCAAGCCTGGTGGAGCTACACTAGCAACCACAATCTCGATCTGTCATCTAGCAGAGGTCGCTTTGCAGCTTTTTTTGCCCTCTCGCCAACGGTGAGCCCGCCAACCCCAGCTTGCATCGTCCAACACGTGAGCAGCCGCCGGGAATTCCAGGAGCCCCCGGCTGGTCGTGAAGAACGCCAGACAGGAAGAACGGTTATCGTCGTGCTGGCAGGGCCGAGAACAGCCAAATCTCGAGAGCTCCAGGGTTGGTTTGCTTCAGGGACAATGAAGACAGAAAAGGGTTTGAGATCACGGAGGCATCAGGACTTTGACGATGCCATATTCTGTGCGAAGGGAGCAAAGATGATAGAGCTATCCGGTCAAAGGTTGAGAGAGGCTGGAACAGGCTTTTCCATTGATCACTGGTTAATGCCTTTTTTCTTCCTGGTCCACGGTAGTCGCAGGCTATCGCGATCCATGATTGCCGATGGGACGAGTACACAACCCTTGCTCAGTGCCTGTTTTTTTCCGCTATTTCCACGCCATCAGAAGACTGGACGACTTGTATCCGTACAAGCATGCCCTCAACCTCCCTCGACTCCGGGCCTCTTTTCCACGAAATACCCTTGTCCTCTGTTCCTCCTCTTTTTGATACTAAGTAATAACAATATCATAAAACATATTTTCAGGGAGCCAAAATGCTCCACATGCCTCTAATAAGGCGGCCGTTCGGGGTATCAGAAACAATCCCACATGTCACAAGCGACATCTTCGCCCATGATCCCAAGGACGCCTCTAAAAAGGCATCAAGACTATGCAAAGAGACGCCGATCCCCTCCCAAAGCTTTTTGGTCATTTCCGTTCAAAAGGCTTCCTCTGTACAGTCACATCAGCAAAAGACATCGCTTTCGTAGCTCTTGATAATGCACGATTCAAAACCAGACAATTAGACCTCCAACACCCAATGACAAATTCTCATCAGAAAAGAAACACCGTGTCTTCAACCATGTAATCGTAATCATCATCTCTTCAGAGAGATGGCGTATATATACCAACAAGTAGAGTTCGTTATCTGCATGGGTCTTTTCCCGCGCACGTAAACAAGCATTCAGTTTCCAGCATGGTTATCGTCATGGCCGCGTTGGGTCCAGATGTTTTGGTCGAAGGTTTGAGCCCGTCAAAGCTGCTGCTTTGTTGACGCCCATTTTCCGTGTCAGTTTCGCATAGTGTAGTCCACATGCATTGCACAATGTACGTGCGCCATCGGGACCTCTGCGCCATTCAGGCGTTTCGGCACGATTGCAACTATGGCATCGGCCTGGAGGTGCGGCCTTCTGTAACGACTCATTAGCTGCTACGTTTGTCCCTGGGGAAACGGGTGTGTACGCACTCCGCGTCGCGGCTTTTTTCCATCCCCTGGTCCATATCCAACCCCTCTGTACTCATCTGAGATTCCGTGATAGTCGTCCTCCATCTGAGTCGTTCGTGCCAGTCGAGCACGGTGCTCAGAAATCGCCGTCTGTTGAGCGACTACAACTTCTCGCAAGTGAGTCAGATTTTCAAAGATGCGGTGGGATTGTCGGAGGATATCGTCGACTTCATGAATCCCAGGGAGGGACTCGTGGAAATAGCCAGAACGACTGCCCTGATGATATCGCTGGGCCCAAATACGGGCAAAATCGAGCGTACGGGCCGAGGCTTCACTGATCTGTGCCGGGTTAGAATAGAGGTTGATCTTTAGAATCTCTAGAAAGGAGAATACAGACTTCGTTCAAGCCCATCTCGGTATCGAAAACGTCTAAATGCCTCTTTACCGTGTCACTATAGTGAATGTCACTATCTGGTCTCGGATGAGGCCCTCGCGTGTCTTCCGGTTTCTGTCCTGCGGAGAACTGAAATGGTTCATGCGCCGGAGGGTAGTTGGAAGGTGCGGGATTCGCGATTTGCGGAAATGGAAACGGCGGTCGCGGCTGTTCATAGGCTTGGGGAGACCTCGCGGGGGGATGTTCGTTGTGGTTGTTAAATGAAGTATTCGTGAGCGAAGAAGACCGGAAAGATGATGGTGGATGGGATCGGGGCGAAGTGGGATAACTAAAATGCTGCGACGCTGGCTGACGTGGATCAGGGGCGGTCCCAGCAGACATAGATGACCTCGTCGTCTGTGTGTCCACCGGTCCAGAGGCACTCTTATGAGTACCGGCAAACACATCTCGTAGAACGGGAGGCCCGGACGATGGCTGCGAAAACGGATTGACCGGGCGTCTCGGGCCTTCTGTGAAGGATTGGCCCACCGCTGTCGAAGGAGTGGCAAGAGATTGGTGTTGTGACGAAGAGGATAACGGGGCGGGAAACGATATCGAATTGTCCGCCAGGGCCTCATGAATGGATGGTAGAGACTTGCGAAGACCGGGGGAATCCTTATCATCCCGGGTGGAGCGTCTCGTGGTGGACTCGGGTGGAGAGATGTAGCCGGACAATCCAGAAGCAGAACCTGCTGTCGAAGACGCACACGAATATGGTGGAGGTGGTCCGGAATACATTGTCGTGGTCGGACTGGCCAAGGGCGCAGTAGAAATGCTCAGACCGTTCATCATGGAAAACCTGGAGTGATCGTTCTTTTCGGAATTGATCCTATCCAGATCGAAATGACTGATCGAGGGCAATATGTCCCTGGGTTCCATGTCAGTGCCTCTATTTTGACTCCGGCGTGGCAAGCCCGCTCAAGGATATGGACATCCAAACCAACCTCGTCCTGCTGCCATCGTCCATGGTCGCCATGATGGCAATCAAAACGCAATTCCCCTCTCAGCAGCAATTATTTGTATGATCCCAAGGCGGCCCAGTCAACCATGTGGGCGGATCAATTGCGGGGGAGAAATTCCTATTGTCAATGTATGTATCCGAGGCGGTTTCAAGATCGCCCGTCGCAACGTAACGCAGAATCCTGGCGGCGTCGTGGTTGAACCAATAAATTCGAAGATGGACTATGCGAGAGAGGGTCTTCAAGACGGGGCTCCGATATTTGCGTCTGTTCTACACACGGAAGAAGGAACGGGCGCTGGAGGATTTTCTCGATCGATGAAATCGTGGACTGGCCAGGCCGCGGACTCTCCCGGCACACACACTTCCTCGTGTCTTGAGATATGGTGATGTCGGATGGTCGATCGAGAGGGCAGCCGAACTGCACAGATGCGCAAGAGGAAAGGAGGGGGTGTCAGTGGCAGAAGGAAGAAGGCGGAAGATCAACAGAGATGAGCGTGTATATGTCGGTGGAAGTGGTGCCAGTGGGATTGGATGGCCTCGGGTCGAGAGGATGGTGACGGTGATGAGGGAATGGAAGATGAGCAAGTCTTAGAGAGCGAGATGGGCGGAGAACAGATCGAGAGATCGCACTTAACCCAAAACTCGACCCTTGAATGGTGGACACTTGGTATGCAGAGGCAAAGTGGGCAAGTTAGAGGACCGACGGAGCCAAAATGTCTGACGCGGGTAATGCCACTGCCACTAGACTGCTGCCAGAAAAACTTGGGAAGAGAGGAAGTGGGTTCAAGCCCGGGACAGGGTCAGGGCCTCCCGGCCCTGGGTGATGGATGGTGGTCGTGAGGGATGTCCAAGGCAAGTGCGCCTTCTGTTCAAGGATGGAAGGAGTGGCCCTTTTGGACGCAGATGGTGTTTTGGGCACTGGCTGCGACTCGATTCGATTTTGGTGGACGGAACAGGCGGGCGTTGACGATGGGTGGATTTGGAGGCTCCCCAGTGGTGGTGGACAGGGGACAGGGTGGCTGGCAACTGCAGTAGACGGTGATCATGGATGATACGCACCGTCAATACCAGATGCTAAGGGAGATAGTCGGAGGAGGATCACGGATTCCTGGACTATTTTATTGATGTAATGACGATGTGCCGCAGTAGCATTGGGAGACCCTAGGCGGGATGTGCTTAGCGTTCAAGGCTAATGGGGCCAGGAGCCGGGGGTATAACAGCGCTGCGCTGTGGTGACTGGTAACCGTCAGAGCTTGTATGGCAAAGAACGCGGTACCGGTACAGAAGATCCTTCAGGACTCCGTAGATCTGCTGTGGTTCTGCAAATGCCCCCATACAATGTCATTATCAAACACATATTCCAGCAACCCAAAGGTGCGGCCTGATCTTATTACTTCTACCGAGGGCAGGGATACCAAACTACGAATTCCCCCCTCTTCCTCCCTCCCAAAAAAGCCAGTTCTCAATTTTCTCTCTAGCACTGCGCATATCGCCCTACCTCACGTACTGTGGGTACTATGTTGTGCTTGTTTTCTATCTTATATCCTGGATCCTGGATCGAGCACCACCAGCATCGTCCCCTAGCTAACTCTCTCCAGTCTCCATTCCGTGTTCCCAAGACCTCGCCTCGCTCGATTCTCCTCTTCTGACTCGAGACAAAGACCAGCCCACAGGGAAACAACTCCACCGCCCACTTCCGAAGCGCTTCATCCGCCACCATAAAACCTTTTTTTCCCTGGCCTCAAGCCCTAATTAAACCCTTTCTTTAGTCTATCTGACAATCTGAGCTCTACCGCCCAGTGCCCGGTGCCTGGCTTGGGCTTTTCTTCACGCTTTCCTGCCTGCCGTGGGCGGCGTACCAACATCAGGTATTTACCCATAACCTTTTCAGCATTACGATGGTACATGCTCTCCATAATTACCGCATACCTGTCCTGGAATCCTGGGTCACTCCACACCCGTCAAGAACTCGAGACCGTTGTTTCTCTTCCGAAACGTCCCTGGGATCAGATCGTCCAGATCCCTTCGCCCTTCCTCCCTGCGTACATTCTCCTGTACTTCACGCTTGCACGGCTCAACGCCCATCCGTTGGGGAACTTAAGCTCTTCGTCACCCTGTGGATCACTGCACCTCCCCCTCCTCAAAGTCTGAGCCTCCCCCTCCCCAATCACCAGGGCTGCAGGAGGACTGCTTGCCACGTCTGGCACTGGGACTATCACAGAGACTCCAAGACCTCTTGCAATGACACTTTTGCATGACAGATAGACTAAGGCACAGTAGGCAATCCCCCTCCGAAACGACCAACCGTGAACGAGCACCAATGCGCCCACAACTGCACGTGGAGCTCGAAGTTTATCATCCAACCGAACTCCCTTTCAAAGCCCGTCTTCTCCTCAGATCGGCGCTTCGACGTTATCGGCGCCGCTTGATCTCCAGACCCTCGAGCCCATTCAATATTTCGTCCTTGAATCGATAGGTCACCATAGGGTTGGCGCCCATTTTGACTCGCCGCCATCTTAGAATCTTCTGTCATACCGCGCCGTCTTCTTCCTCTCCCCTCTACCGTTCCTGTCTGACCTTCGCTTCATCTCCGACGTACAGTTGCATTCCATCAGATCCCGCCATCTAAACTCGGTTATCTAATCCTTTTGGGAGTTGTCGCCGAAATCTCGCTTACAGCGGGGCCTGCATTTCAGCCTATTTTTCTTGGGTCGTCCATGCAGGGTATGTGCCAAAGCCGGGGAAACGCAGAATCCCAAACTCTTCATTACTCATTCTACCAAGTAAATTCTGTGACGACGTGTTCATAGAACAACAAGGGTGAGTGCCGAGGGCACTGAGGTTGGTGCACCTGGTCCCAACGTCGGTGTCAGCACAATTTGGCTTCTTCAAAAATAAAAGTGATGCATTGATCGACAATATATTGCGTGGAATTTTGATGATAGTTGGTCAAATGCTGTGAAAACATGCCGACAAACCTGCATTCGCGGTCGTGAAGTCTGGAGTGTTCTCTTTCACGGGTTGTCTCACAATTTCTGGCTACAGGCTCGTCGCGCCTCTGTCTGACATGTCTTTGCTGTCATCCGACAAGAACTTCTCCCCTACAGGACCGCCACGAGCTGGAAGCTTGCATATTGACGGGTGTCAGGAATCTCGTCTTCCGGATGACTGGGTCGAGGGTCCGATGCTGCTCTCCTGGGTGTTGTGAAACCTAGGAAGGCGAGACTCGGAGAGGATATTCCCGGGTATTTCTCCTCGAGGATTGCTTCTGCACATCCACGAGATGATGTTGAATAATTGGGAAGCCCACGCAGCCTAACCTGAAAATCAAAGATCGACTGATCAACTCTAAGCAATTTTGGAGCTTGAATTTTGAATAGCAGTAACAACACGCTCTATCTCGTCCGGACGGAAGGGCTCTTGTGGTAACCGGTGCTAATTCATTCGCCCCACCAGGAGAATCCTGTGAACTGTCGAGAAGAGTTGACAGCCAAATCAGATTGCATGTCGCCGAGATGACACCTTGTAGCAGACACTCGGCCTGGGTCTAAAGGCAATTGGGACACGATGCAGCACACTGGCCATGAGCGGCGAAGGAACTCCGCAATCACGATGCCATTGCCATGTGCCATCAATCACTTAGGCCATAGTATACGTAAAGGTAATTTCTGTCCACCCGAGGCCTGAGATCGGACGGTAGCCATGCAACGTGGGCTTGACGCCACCACAATAAAAGTCGTGTTTCTTTGTTCCTCTTCTACACCGGAGGCTGGAAGATAGAGTCGGTTGTCCACAAAGGTAAAGAGCTGTAAATGGCCCCCCGAGTCCAGGCTTCGACGCGCGCTCGTCAAACTTTGACCCAAAGAAACATGCAACGGCAAAGTTACTTTTGGCCAGGACGGGAGTGGATATCGTTTGCATTTTGGAACGGAGGACGCCACAAACACGTGGCGAGCAGATTCCAACCCGACTAGGCCACAGTCGGTTTGTTTCGATCAGCCCCACCGGAGTTCTCTGCTTCCTTCTCTGGATTAGGCTCGGGGGCCTTGGGGGCTTGGGCGAAAGCAGACGGGGCTCTTGGGTGTAAGTTCTCCTCAACCCGAAGGACCCCCCTTGGACTCTGAATCTGGGTCTTGGATCCCCCGATCACCGATCAACGATCTCATACATTTCTAGCGGCAGCCACCGTCAAAACATGCCCCTACAAACAGGATCCCGTACTTGTCCCATAGGGACCGGCTTCTGTCGCGCACCCGACGTCACACAAGCAAACTGTATTGACGGAACCAGAGTGAGATTCGAATCACTGAGTGCGCTCTGCCTTTGGCAGGGCCGGTCTCGTTCATCTCTCTACACTATTAGATGGCTGAAACTGTGAAGTGCACCCCTTTCAGAGGAGGGCCCCGCCGCGGCGTCAGCCATGCAGCTATTTTCAACGGTCATGCATGAGCTTGCATATTAGTCATCACATTTTCGCAGTTGGCTTCGACAGAGTCGAAGCGAGCAGTTTGATCACCGGTACTGTGCTTTACTCTTTCGACTGCGACCATTAACTCTGGTTGTGTAAAGCAAGTTCAACCCCCTGAAAGCCCCCCAAGCTGACTTTGACCTCGACACAACCAAGGCTGTAGCCATCGCGACCGTTAACTAATCATGGTGATTGTTCGTCCATATACATACGCGTACAGGTAGGATCATGGCCTCGACTGTCTACACCCGTTGCACATTCTGGTGAAGATGTCTACGAGTAAACCTGGGGCTGGCGTTGGCAATTCGTGTCGGAACCTCTATCCGATTGTCTGGAAGCCGCATCTAGTTCTTAAAATGCTGTCAGCTTGTCAGACGAAAATCCTTCCCGATTTGTGCAATCATTTGCTTTTAGCACGAAAACCGGCCAATTCTGTAATGCTCGGAAGAGGAGGTTGGGATGTCTGCAAGTGCATCTGCGGGATGGCACAATATGTAGAAACATACCCAAGTTCTGGCTGCAGATGTCAAAATCGAGATCGCGGTCTTCGAAGTGGTCAATTGGAATGGAAGTTCACTCTTCATTCCCTTGCCTAATTTAGTTCTGCAGTGTTACACCACGCTAGTAAGTGAGAGATAAATCGGCCGTAGGTTGACAAACAATTGTCATTCTCACCCAGGAGAAGGAATTTGCTAACCGGACGACGATTCCATAATGCAACAGGAGGTGATTAGGGCAATACCAGCTTATTTCTCTTGCGAGGCGATCCCGGGAGCGCCAAATTGGAGTTCTCATCCGGGGCGCCTTTTTCTCCCACAGGAACAAGAGGCAACCCATTGAGATTTGTGGGAGTGCCAATGGAGAATGCGGCCCGATGGAGAATCTTAACTCATCCCATTTCCGGCGCGGTGGCTGAATGAAGGAAGGTCTTTGTACTCCAACCATTTTCAAACAGCTCAATTCCATCTAATAACGGGGTTGCCTTCTCCATATGACAGCGGGAACTAGCCGGTTGTTCCAACTCGTTCGCAACGAGCATGACTTCATGCTTCTGCCCTTCGGCCGTCGTCAACGACATTGTTGACAATCACTCAAGTCCCGTCCTACGGATGGGGTCTGCAGGCATTTTCCGGTAAGACAGGCATGGTTGGCTTTTGGGTTTGGCTGATCTTGCCCCATCTGAATTCTGAATGGACATGTTTTTGCTAACAGCATGTCGCACGACGTGTGGTTCATTTGGTAAACGGAGTGGGACTGAGGGGCAGCTAATCGTTCTCTCTTTTTCTTTTTCCCAACACTGGAAATGCTTCAAAATGGATTTGCGTCCGATGTGCTGCTACCAGAGGCAGATGGTAAGGTCGTACCAATCATGTCAGATGGGTATCTTCAAGAGTGGGTCATTTGAGGAATGGCGATTAAAAGGGCGTCTTGAAAGATCTCTGGGGGTTCGTGGGCATGCCACACAGCAAGGGGTTTCCGTTTGACAGCGATAAGACTGTATCTTGTAACCCACGAAAAATGTCCGCCATTTGCTCCTTAGAGATAGTGTTGGATCTCTGCAGTCTCGAGTCGGGGACAACAACCCAGAAGATCGCATGAGGCAATAGAATGCTCTTCGGATGGAATGAGGGTTGAGCTCCTATGTATAGAGAACAAGCCAACCCAATCTTATCCGTGACTTTGAACCACCTTGACTGGAGGGTGGCTCCCTGACGAATTGTGTTTTTATTCAAATGCAGCTATTTGTTTCCAAGACAAATTCTCAGAGTCTGTCGCATGATGGTCAGTTGGAAAATGGAGCATCATGTCCATTCTATAGTGTGAGATTATTTCTCCTCCTCGGCTAGAGCCTTACCCAGACCAATTTCATTTCAGGGGAGTTGGCGACTCCCTCGACACTTTTTTGCTGTTGAATCCCACCAAACCAGATGTATGAGCCCCAACGCCTCGCTCAAGATACGAATCAGAGGGGCTTTTGGTTACACTTTGACGTTTCGTAGCATTACTTCTTTGGCGGTTCCGGCCTGTGGCCTGTCTTCAGCTCTTCCCAAAACAATTTGAAAAAATGTTTTATTCCTCGCTTCGCTTCTTCCTCGTCTGTATATCATCAGATCAGTGTTTGTTGATCAGCTTCCCTGTTGCTCTGCACAGTCGGAGTGGAAGGATGATCCTGACGTTGGTCGGAAGGTAACATACGGTTTAGGTGGGTTCCGCCAAAGGAATCGGGCGGTTTGCCATGTTGCATCTGATGAACTGTCTTGTGCACACGTTGTACGCTTCGATGGAACGATGGACTGCGCAAGAGCTGGAGTTTGTCAGAGGTCAACTACGGACGAGTGCTGGCTCTGGGCGAGGAGAGGGATACCAGATCCACCAGACGTTTCTGAGGATTGTCAGCAATGAAGATTTGAGAATGATGGCGGTCGAGAAAGCAAACCTCCACCAACACCCACCACCAAGTCATTATGGAAGATGCCTGTCAAACTCGAAGGCCTTAGGCAGCCTCACTTCGGTAGACGTCCCTCAGTTGGTTTGATGCTCCGCAATGATGAAGCGGACCAGTCACGGTGGGAGACCCTATGCAGATTGAAAAGGAAGTGGCTAAAAGGATCGTAACGACGTTTGTTGGCAATTTGGCGCTGTTTCCGGATAACGTCATTTGAAATGATGTTACCGAGCGGGGGTCGCGGGGACTGAGGTTAAAAGAGGATTAATTCTGGTAAATTACAGTCTCTGTTACGGTCAGGCTTCATCAGGCATCCCCTGCAACATGAGGTTAGTCAAACCCGTTTTCGGCTCGTCAAAGCCATTCAGCCTCACGGGTATTCTTTGGGTTTCTCCCTTGATTGGAACAGGTCTTGTCGCTTAGCATCCTAGCAACATTCTGTCACGCAAAGCTGCTGCTCACATTTCCCAAGTCATCGCGCCTTAGCACGGTCCCTCGACATTAACCGCCGGGCGCTTCCTGAAACCGAGGGACGTGATAACCTCGAACCTCACTGGTCATCTCTGCCAACGATCAGATCTCGACCTTGGGTTGATCCAGCATCAAGCTTCCTACCCAGCACAGTTTGTCGTTCCGCGGTTTTGTTCTCGGCTCTGCAAGAGCGATCCTCTCAACAAGCGAGAACGCTCTCCCTTGCGGAACAGATTTCGCGAGACCCTCGTCTCTCAGCTCCGACACTTTGGCACTCTGTCTGTCTTCTAGAACTTCCAGCCTCGTCACTCTTTCCATATACCGACCCCAAGTCACGACGAACGTCCCGAGGCTTTTCACCGACAGAGCCGGCGCCGCTCCTCAAGATCCGTCATCTGGGGAATCTTCTACGTCAAACCCCCCTAAGCGGCCCTCCATTCTTCAACGACTCCACATCCACACATCGGGAAGGAGGTCCAAGACAAACGCCCACTTTCCCGCCCGGCCGACCAGCTCCTCATCTCTCCCACCCCTTTCAACCAACGTGAGTCGAGCTGGCTCATTCCATTCCGATGCCGCAACTATCGCCGAGATAAGCCAGATAATGCCGCAATCTTTGACCATCAGCACCCCCCCATCAAGTTCGGTTAAGAGGCAACGATCTCAGGAGTTTCCCATCAATGTTTCCAGACCAGCCTCCTCTGGGCAGGGGCCGTCGAATGGGTCAACGGTCGAGCATGATCCCTCAGCACGACAGATCACTGTCAAGATCCCGTCCTACTTGAGTAAAACTCGGACGCGTAAGTAATCGTTCAAGACAGTCTATTCCAGACGGAGAATGAAACCACCAAATTGCGGATTGACTGATAGCGATGTAGAGATCTCAACGGCCTTCCAAGATCTGGAGTGGAAGCAGCGATATCGCCTTCAACATGCCTTTCAAAATCCAGACTCATCGCCTTTCCGGGTTGATCGTTCACAGACTGTCATCAGCCGTAATCGCTACGGAAATGTCCAACCTTGGGAAACCTCAAGAGTCAAACTGAAGAAACCCATCGGGGGGTCAGACTATGTCAATGCCTCACCCATTAAACTCAAGAGTCGATTCTTAGGTGCCAAACCGAATAATAGCGCTTCGACACCCGCCTCAACGGACCAGCCTTCGCGATCTGAACCTCCAGGGATTGAGAGCAAGTACATTGCCACTCAAGGGCCCAAAGAAGGACAATTTTCTCATTTCTGGCACATGGTCATGCAGGAAACAACAGGGGATGTAGGTGTGATCATCATGCTGACACAATTGTACGAGGGAAACAAGGAGAAATGTGCCCAATACTATCCAGCCGACATGGAAAACCCCACCATTGGTCTCCTTGCGCACGAGGATGGAAATGAAGACGAATATACTGAGGCTGCGGACGACGGTGACCCTTTCCTGGACTCCCCTACCATGAGCGCCGATGCTGATAGTGAAGGAATAGATTCTGAATCCGAAAAGCCTGGGCCCCAGACCAATCAATCAGATGAATCGCGAGAGCAATGTGGAACGGTCTCCCTCCTCTCCTGGCATTATGACGCGAAGATTGCTTGTGAAGTTCGAAAACTGAAGCTGACAATCGACGATGAATCCAAGGAGATATATCACTATTTCTTCAATGGCTGGCCCGATTTTGGAAAGCCAGAAGCCGAAGACAGAGCAGCTCTTCTGGAACTCACAAAAGTCTCCAAAAGTGTGGCAGGAGACTCTCCTCGAATTGTTCATTGCTCTGCCGGCGTCGGCCGAACAGGGACATGGATTGCGTTGGATTTCCTTCTGCAGGAACTCGAAGCAGGAAGGCTTCTCGAACCATCATCACCACCGAACACCTCAACATCGACAGAATCTAATGGGACTTGGGGCAAAAGCGGTCCTCCCAAAGCGAGCACGCCTGATCCGAAAGAGGAAGATGACGTTATTTGGGATACCGTCAATACCCTACGCGAGCAACGGATGATGATGGTCATGAACGAGCTACAGTACAGTTTCTTGTACGAAGTGCTTAAGGATGCCTTTGTCGAGAAATATGCGGCAAAGGAGACGGGTCCGATGGTTTTTGAGGTTCAGGAACCGAGTCCGAAGGTAGCAAGGAGAAAATCTCCCTTCGGCGGCATATATCGAGGGACCCGCGTGGGGAATGTCAAAGGAGACGAGGATACCGTGTCAGAAGTTGAAATGGATTCGGAGGCAGAGACGGAGATTATGGAGAAGGGTAGTATGGATGTTGATACCAAGGACGAACAAAAACAGGAGGTGATGGATGAGGATCCATATGCGGCTGTGGCGCCCGAGACGATTCGCGAAGGACAAGGGAAGGAGGAGCAGAGTGAGGTACGTGACCACGAGGCGAAATGAAGTTATGAATTGCCTTCAACGGCGAGATGAGGCATGACGGCATTCCAGGGTGAATGGCGGCATGGAAGGAACGGAGATGAGGAGATTGACTGCCGATGCTTGTCTGCATTGGTATTTGTTGGATAAGGCTCTCAGATAGCGGCATGCGGTCGAGCTTGCATGTTTATGGCGCACTGGCATTAAGTATGGTGTTTTGCTTGGGAACAATGCAGTGGGAAAGGTTTTTTGCGTATAGTTCAATCGTCAAGTTACGGCTGTGTTCCTAAAAGATGAGTGTGCACTGTGATGCAAGTACTTGTTTATTTATTGCAAAAAGAAACTTGGTCGACATAGACAATTTCCCAGCACGTTTGGTCTCAGCCTTATTGAATCGGCAAGTCAAGTAGTGTCGCGCCTTGCTCAAATCCAAGTGAACGATATTGACGTTCGTCTGATTGCTTGTATCTTTCTTTGTCGACTTTGCTCCGTGTCAGTTATTCTAAAGCGTACATTTCACCTCGTTACTATTTTCATGGAGTATCGAGACTTCATCGATCTAGTTGACTCTGTTGCTCTTCAGCTTCAATGGTGACGAGTATAACACGTTGACTCCCTTAGCATCATAGAGGCGGCCAATCCTCAGAGCCAATGCGTCTTCAGACCTCTCGATCTTTATCCACCTTGGGCACAAACGACCAATGGCATCAACAAGAATGGGCTAAAGAATTTTCACACCGGCGTGCGCAGCGATAAGCCCGGTGACGGTGGGAAATGAGCTGCCTCCAGCCTGCACGGTTCGTTTATTCGTGAGATTCACTGGAAAGAATGGAGTTGACGTGAGTGGGGATGCAGTGACCGACCGAGTGCCGTATGCTGGATGGATTTCGGGCAGAATTTCGACACGACTGATATTCCCTGCACAAATTCGCATAGTAAGACACGTCCAAAGCAGGTGCAGAATCGGAAAGATGAATATGTCTTTTACGCTCACGAAGGAATGGGGCTAAACCCCAAACCCCCCCAAAGCGCCGAGTAAAGGACGATCCCAGTCACAAGATGTGAGATGGTCCAGAACATGATCTGCAAAACCACGCGGACATCGTTGTAGATGAGGACTATCCGGCTCTTACCGTAACGGTGCGTGGGCTCTGCCAGAAGGGGGACGATAAGCTTCCGTTGCGGACGCGGCTGAGGTTCTCGACGACCTAGCCTGGACAACTCATATCGGCTTGGAGGCCATAACCAAGGGTCGGGCACGGGAGAAGGTATGCGCCCTACCTCCTGCCGTAATCATGGCGCCGAGAAAGAAAAGAATTGGCTAATAAGCCAGACGGCGCGGAGACGCAGTGTCTGCTGGACCTCCTTGAAGGCCTGTTTGTTCCTCGACCGAGTATCATTGATCTCCCTCACTACGCCGTGGTTGTGCCATCCTCGACCACTATATTTGCCTCTCCAGCAGACATTTCCCTTCTTCTCGCCCCCAGCACATCTCTCCCGAACGCTCCAAGGACAAACGCCAAGTTAATACACCCAAGCGCCGCTTCGACAGCATACGTGTGATACCACATCCCATAAGAGGCAACAAACCTGGCGACGAATGGTCCTGTAAGACAACTGAGGCTGTACATGGCGTGGATGAAGCCAAGCCAACAGTGAGCCCCTGGGACGGTCGCAACATATGTGTTGGAATACGAGTCCTGATATGCCTGGCCCAGTGCAGTGATAAAGAATGTCACAGTGAACGGACCGAACGGGGCGTCTCGGAACCGCAGCAACTGGGATACAAGCTGTAGGCCGGCTCCAAGCACAAGGGTTGCGCCTATAGAGAGAGACGGAGTGTCGTGGCCAGGCGCCTCTTGGTGAGGGTTGAGAGGAATCAGCCTGCGAAAGTGGCCAAATAACTATATCACATAGAATCAGCGACAAGTGTTCTTTACAACAAGATATGGGAAGTTACATGACTATCACCAAACCAGTGCCGATGTTGTTGTCTGTTCAATACATAAGGGAGTAGCGGTCCAGTAGTGCCAGCGTAGAAGGAGATGCCCGCATAGATAAGCTTGATTTTCTTGCGTTGGCGGATGGGAGCCATCTTCCACGGTGTCATTCCGAGTTGACTCTATGTGTCGTGATTGGAGATCCATAGCCACTCCTTTTCATTGTCATAAAAGGTTCCCCCCGCGTCTGTATTGTGGGGATGGAGCAGAGAGCTGTTATATGGGGAATAAGTTGTTCGGTTAATCGTCGATGAGAGTGTGGATGCTTGAAGTATCTAAGGTTGGGACATACATCGCAGCCGAAGAATAGTCGATGATCTGGGACGGGGGAAGAGGAGCGGATGTTAGATCGTCCATACTATGTCTCCGACATTTTGAATTGCAGTGACTACGATGATGCTGTAAAGAGCACTTGATACAAAACATTTCTTTGCGCAGTCGAAGGGCACACAATTTCAAATGACGTCATTTCGGCGGGTTTTACACGTGATGTGGAATCATGTGCCAGAGAATGGCGCGCTAAGCCATTTTCGATCCGCATGTTTCAGCTCGCGATTTCGCGCATTTCCCGCTTCACCATGTTGCCTCACAATTCTGATCGACTGAACTTGAAAGACCGGCCCGCCAAGGATCATGATGAATGCGGCGTCCTCTCGTCTCACTCTCCTGCTGTCTCTGGGCCAGGATTGCCTCCAAAGCTTGTCTCTGACATGTCCACATCGTCCTGAACAAATTGAGCTCGCTTCAAGGCACCCAGCCTTCCACGAATTAGGCACGCCGGCCCCAAGAAAATACCATAATATTTGATTTCTCTCGGCTCCCAATCCGGCTTCGGGTAGCAGCAACACGCTCTGGCAATTAGTCAAGATCAATTTCTGCTCGAGAAAGGCGAGTAGGCCTTTGGCCGTTTGCCTCTCTAATACTCTCCAATCGCGCCTCCATGTCATGCTCTGCTGGCTTTTGGTTGGTATATACATCTCTAGACATAATCGATGCAAACCGAATCTGGTTTCATTGCTTCATCTTGACGGGGAAGTAAGGCTTATTCCAGATATCGTGTTTGGGCTCCTGGATAGCCTGGACCGGAAAACGCGCAAAGTCTTGGAGTCGACCCCCTGGGCGTCGCACGTGAAACCAATCCTCCGACAGCCTCTGCCTCACCTTCGAAACACTCATTCGGGAGGTCCAGCATCCGCCCAATTTTCGAATTAATTATAAGAAACTTCCAAGACCCGACTCAAGCCAGTTAAGTCTCGGTCTGTTTCCCAGTCTTGAGTACTCACTCGTTCCTTTCCTTTTCCATTCTTCATTCCCTTACCGCTGGTCGGCCCATTCGAATTCTTTGCCAGCCGAAGTCTTTCGTTTCCCCAAACCCGCATACCAGCAAATACATTCCTTTTTAGAAAAGAAGATCGGACGAAGAAGACAAGATGCTTGTCAAATCTACTGCTGCCGCTCTGCTCATTGCCGTGGGCTCGGTCTCGGCGGCTGCCGTGACTAACATTGGATACGGCACCGAGACCGTTGTCATGGAGGACCCCGACTTCGGTCTCTGCATTCCAACTATGAAATATGAGGGTGGACTCGGTGGACGAGCAAATAGCGAGTTCTCTTTCTTACCCACCGATCCATTGTGTGCTCGCGGTCAACCGGAGGCTTTGAACCCAAGTGAGCAGACCGTTCGCCTCTTGTTAGGACACACTAATGATTTCACAGATATCATCACCAACCGCATTTGTGACCAACTCTCGACTGTCTGCAGTGCAAACGAGGCAGCTAAAACCTTGTGCCGAGATGCACAGGCTAAGATCCGTGCCTTGGGAACCCGTAACAAATCCACTGCCGATACCTGGAACACTCTACTCGGTTTTGGTGGTGCCTTGACTAACCCTGATGGTGGAGCGACTGAGCCAGGCGCCGCAGTCACGGATTTGAAGAAGAGAGGCTCGAAGAGGGCCATCGCTCTCATTCCATGCTCCACCTCGGAGTGGATCGATACCTGCACGGGTTGGCCTGCTCCAGAACCAGTTGTGAAGAAGAGATCTCTCGAATCGGCTCCTGGAAAGCCCAAGAAGCGAACTGTCAGGCGTGCCGTTCAACCGCCCATGAAGAGATCTGAGAAATCCAAGAGACAGAGGCAATTCGTTCCTTGCTCCACACAGGAATGGATCGATGAGTGCACCGGGTGGCCTTGAAGCTCCAGACGTCCGATTTGAGGAAGCTTTTCTAATTCAGAATTCACCGGTGCCTGTACGATATTAGCGTTTTTCTCGACAAGAATGGACGTCGTTCGGGTGGAAAATTGACGAAAGGGACTAGAGAGGCTGAGAGGGAATGGGAAAGAGCTCGGAATTGGGGCGTCTTTGTATCTAGAATTCCAATTGCATTGCTGCGAATGCTAGTCTAAATGGGTCCATTTTGGCAAGTCTAAGCGATTCTTCTCGAGCTGCCCAAGGCCCTCTCCTTGTCCGCGCCGTCTAACAGGATTTCCGCCCCGGTCGTATCTACGGAGTAGGCAACTCCCGGTGCCGTGGTCGTATCAACGTGTGACTGTGACAGAAAGAGCCTTTGCTCAAGCATTTTGATACTTGCGTAGGGTGTCCGCCATTAATTGTCTTTCTGATGCTGGCCAATGGGGGCTCGTCCTGGCAGCCACAACCCTTCAACTCCGCCGCCTGCTTGAACTGCTTGTCAGGACTTCAAAGTTCAGATAGGGTAGCAAACAGCTCCTACCTGACGCTCGAACCTTATCATGGTGCTAGTTATTTTGGGATGGAACCCTTCCATTCGGCAAATATCAAGACGACGCTCAAGAGATATGGCCGAAATGAGTCACGGCAAATGCGAACCACATCTGGAGGCAACCTCCGTGCTTGTCTCCAGGATCTAGGCAAACGGGCTGCCCAATCCATAAATGGGCAAGAATCTTTCGTTCTAATGTGGTTGGTTTTCTCTTCCCCTTCCTCTCTCTCCGTCCTCTTCCCACCTCTCCTGATTACAGAGTACTGGTAATACGAGGGAAAACATTTGCTCTCCTCTCTTCCCTAATATGTCTGCTGATTTGTCATGCACAACTCTGGCCAGCGACAAGGCTGAGATGAGAGTCAAAGACCCAGATGATCGTCCTTATAAACGTCTTGTGCAGTCAATGCGGAAAAGTCATCCTAATCTCTCGAATCTGGATGAACTCCTTACACGTCCTTCTGAGAATGGCCTTGCCGCAGCGATCCAATTCCGTGATGACCAAGTGTCAGTCGAACGATTTACCAGATCAACTGATTTGGACGAATTCCTGAAGCGGCACGCCAAGGGTGATCGCAGGCTGTTCCTTCTCCAGGGGCTGCCGTCCAACTACATCGAAGTTTTAGGGCCTTCGTTCAACATAGACCCCAACTTCTTTGCAAGGCAGATTCAAAGTGGCATCCTTCACACAAGCAAAGGTGTACGAGACATCCCGCTGCTTCCCTCGCATCCAACTTCCAAGGAATCCTTTTGTATCAGGTACCATGAGCTCCGCGAGTTTGAAGACCCTATTCGTGATTGGGAACTCCGAGTCCTGGACCAGGCTCGCAGAATCAGTGTAACAAAGTGGAACGGGGAGTTTGACGGCGTCGGCATCGTTCGTAAGAATGCGAGCGTTTGGTTCAGATCGAAAGGCGAAAATGCATGGGATGGTACGTTCTTCTATCCTAATCAATTCCCAATCGCGCTTCGTGACTTTGGTGGGACAATCAACATTGACAGTGCCTGCGCAGCAATCATTCTGGTGGACCCTCCAGTAGGGGACCAGTTCTATGTGGGTGTCGAAAATAGTAATCTGCCTTCTACTCTCCGGAACAGGCTTTACCGAGGAGGCTATGTCGACTTTTCTCCTCCTGTTCACGGTGATATTAGTTCCTATAATGCCGCTAATGCAGGTCCGACCAGAGCGAGTGCCCTCGAAGATCTCATTTATTACTACACCAAATCACAGCTCGCACAGAGCACTGATTACAGCTCGCCGAATGCGGTGACGGGTGTCTTGAAACAATATGTGGCGTCACATTGGATGATCCTGCTACAATACAGCCTTGATCTTTTGCTCAAATACGAGAACACATATCATCGAGCGTGTTTTTTTGCAAGTCTATCTTCATCATTGATTCAAACGGCCTTACGAGATGTCCAGCACCTGAATGATCGTGTCGCCGGTTGGTGTGAACAAGTGGATCGTTCACTCAAGCAATTCAAAGCGAGTGATACGCTAGGCAGCTTTCCTGGACAAAAGAGGAATGAGACAAGTGAAGACGACTTCATCCATATCTTGCACCAACTTCGTGAGCTGAGGCAAAGAGTACAAACTGTGATTACTTCCATGGCCGGACTCATCAGTATCATCGAGACAATGAGAATGAAGGAACTCTCTCTCCTTGCCATGGTTTTTATCCCGCTGGGCTTGACGTCGGGAGTCTTCAGCATGGAAGGCAACTATGCTCCGGGTGGATCAGCATTCTGGGTATTCTGGGTGGTTGGGATATCTCTTGTGCTCGTTGTTTTTGGTGTTGCTTTCGGATTGAATCCTGGACTGTCACTCATAAGATCACTGAAGTTCAGGAAACAGACGTTCAAGCCAGCAGCGAAGCAGAAAACTTCCAAGGGATCCTACCCAGAAACGGTCTGATCTGGATTTTATGAGCAATAACCGGTCAGAGGTTAAAGACTTTTTGACGGACAAAGAATGTTTTATCCTTGCGGTTCCTGTTAGTAGAGAGGTCCCCAAATGTCGTTCCTGTTTTCGTGTCAGGCAGGTTCCCTTTTGGGAAATGGCGCAGAACGTTCAAGGCTTCTTCAAGATAGAGAGCCCTCTTCACGGAGAGGCAATGGAAACTCCGCGTAATCTCCCAGAAGTTGAGGAAAGTCAATGTCAATTGTGATCTTCTGTCTACAACGTACAGAAGACCACAAAGAAAGAAATCCGCCAACTCAGGTAGTTGAAGGTCATCTGCTCCAAAATGGTGTTCATACCCATTGGGGCCTTTTCATGTGTGTCCTCCATGGCAGCGACGAATCCATAACTGCCATATAATCTTCTTCCCACGCCAAAGTCAATGCGCTGTCCGTGGAGATCTGTCAATTTCCCTCCTAATTCCTCAAAATCAACACACTGCTCCGGCATGGTCCCAAACTGGTTTGCTTGGAGATTCGTATCATCACGTTGCACTTTCCCGTCGCAATGGAAACGTACCGCATTTGTAGAGAGGCAACTTCCATCCCGGGCCAAGGAGATCCCAAGGATGTTGCAACGAGTGGATGGTAATTCATGTGCCTGGTATGGCCGTCACGGAAATCGATGAGCCAGGAGAATACTCGATAATTCGGTCTCCGGCTCCTCAATCCGACGATAGAGTAAGAGGGAACTTCTTGAATGTGGTCTGACAAATGTTTCATGGCCACGGACTGCAAAGAGCATGCATGACTCTTGAACCTTCCGCATCTGCTTCAGTGTCACCAACACCACCTTCTATGATGCCTAGATTCAGGTTCGGGCATCCCGTAACGCCCACCACTGCTGTCCTTCGTCCAGGAGAGCCAGACACACGACATATGGCCGTTCGTTTAGGAACTGTTTGGTCCCATCAATTGGGTCAAGTACCCAGACCTTTCCCTCTTTGCGCTGGGCACCACTTCCACAACTCACAGCATCAAGTATGGCTTCTTTCGAAGTCAACCTCCAAAGTAATTCGTCATGGTCTGTATCTTCTAAACCAGCTTCTTCTACCAAGTCCCATACGCGACCACACAATTGCTCATCTTTCCCCAATACTTTAGCCAACTCCTCCCCGACGAATCGATCTTTAGGGAAATGGTGCTGAACAGCACTAACGAGAAGTGCTTGAGCACCGAAACCTTTTGGACATCTGCCGGGACTCCTTTCGTCAGTGCAACGGCGCGCTGGACGGTCAACTGGGCTATTTCGAGCTCTTTATCGTAGATTCCTGCTAATCTGGAGGTAGTCAACTTGCTGCGGGAGTTACAATAGGGCAAAAAAAGACGCTGCTTTGCACCGCAAGGCTGGAAGCTCCATTTCGACCACTTTTGATTATGGAGAAGATGGTTTTGCCAGCAAGGAATGCGTCTCGCCCGAAGAACACGACCACTTTCTCCTTTCAGCTTCAGAAGTCTTGTCCGGTCCAGGGAGGGGTCCACGAAATCACCGACGAGCTTTTGAGTGGAGATTCCTCCAGATTTGTATGGAGATTTATAAATAGAAATTCGCTTCATAGAATGTGAGACGACTGACTCGAAAAAAGGGTCTCTGGGAAAGTGAGAGGATCTCGCATCAAACTTTAACCTTGCATAGGCGCACGTCTATCCATGAGATGGTTTCTCGCTGGCGGGGGATCTACAGCGGATACATAATTAAAATAGATGAGCTGGTGGACTAGTAGTTTATGAAATTGCCATGTGGCCGGCGATGATGGCATGGCTTTTTAGGCTTGTAGCGGTGGCTGCTCCCCCAACACACCACCCGGCCTGTCCCCCTTCCCCTCCCCTCGAGTACCGCCCTTGCCCCCTGTGCGTCGCTCTGCGCTATCCGTCGTTGGGTCTCGTCTCCTTTTTGCCTGTATCAACAATACGACGCTAAACGTGCTTTAATATCTGCTAGATGCACATCTAGCGTATTTGCGGCCTAGTGCCCACCCACTTTGCTGAGGTCACGGGATATATTGCCAAGAGGCTAAAGCCGTTACATCATAAAGGTGAAATTTCTCATTGTTCGGGTCTGTATGATACGGGTTTGGACAGACTCGCGAAGATCAGATCACCGTGCCCATCCATCTTATCCTCTGTCCTCGCGCTCTCTCATACCATGGAAACCGCCGACAGCCAACATGACGAGCCGGATCAGTTGAATCTCGACCCGCCTCAAGTTCGCAAGAAGAAGGGCCTGAAACGCTCCCCTCGCGCCTGTGACGAGTGTCGAGTGAGGAAAATCAAATGCACTGGACTCCGGCCTTGTGAGCCCTGTAAAGATTTCGATCGAAGTAAGTCGGCTGCCGCGTTGGCTTTCTGGAAACCAAAAAGCCTTCCCAGTTGTCAAGAGCAAGTACTGATGGACACGACACTGTCAGGATGCACCTACTCGCTCAATCCTCGAAGAAGCACGGATCCTCGCCAAAGGTCGCGATTTCTCCAGCACCAGCTTGCTCAGATCCGCACCAGACTGAACGAGGTCAAACAGCGAAATCGGTCTCTCACCGACGGTGAATTGCAATCGCTTGTTGACGCCTTGGAAGAGGACCTCTCTGCCCCCCACGGTCCAGAAATTGCCGACGACATAGCCGAGAATGCAACCCTGGACAGCATGATGAGCAGCTATGGACGTGATGCCTCAGACAACCCTTGGAACACGAGATTCTATGGTGCTCCTTCAGGTCTCGCATTCCTACATAGGACTCAAGAGTTTTTCAATTCACAGAGCCCCGACGGAAGTCCAGGATCAAAGTCGCCTCAGTCTGCCATCTCACAGCTCTTCGATGCGCCATTCCCCAGGAACTATTTGGGAGATGAGCCTGCTCCCGTGGAGTCTCTTCTGCCACCCAAGGACACTGCGTTATCACTGGTAACAACCGTGTTCACCACTAGTTACCTCGTCTTTCAGATTTTCAATGAAATGGCCTTTTACCAAATGGTGGACCGAATCTATGACAAACATGTCACGCAGTTCGAGGAAACTGATCATGCTTTTATGCCATTATTCCACATCGTTCTGGGAATCGGCTACCTTTTTAGCCAGAATGAGCACCGAAACCAGGGTTGTCGCCAAGCAAACACTGAAGCGTAAGGACGCCCGCGATCGATATTGGGGCTGCCTAACTCATATCTTCTCTCAACAGAATGAAGCATTATCTCATGGCGAGGAGGCTAGTTGACATCTCAGACTGTCGAGACCTCCCCTCTTTACAGCTTTTACTCAGTTTTGTCATCTTCCTGATATCCAACGCCCGGCTTGCATCAGCTCATGCTTTCATAGCTTTGGCGTGCTCCTCATCTTTACGGCTCGGCTTACATTATAGATCAACACATCATGCAACCATTTCTCAGCAAGATCGCGCGACAAGACGAAAAGTTTTCTGGGCTGTCATTAAACTTGATATGTATCTCAGTGCCGTTCTGGGGCTGCCCGCTTTCATTGATCTCCGGGAGGTTGACCCTGCCGTGGATTTGACCTTGGAGAAAGCTCTTCGTGAAGCTTCGGATGGGCTTCAAGCCCGTCATGATATATCCTTGGCTATATCTGCGAAACATCTGGAAGTTATGAGACTGATAACAAAGGCGATCAAGACTCTCTACCCAATGCCTGCCGCCAATGACGAAAACCCCAAGACGGGAGGCAATATTTCGATTCGCATATCAAAATTGACACAGATCGAAGAGGAATTCAAGGTTTGGAGAGACGCCTCATCGGAGATACTCAACAAAGCCGACGATGGATCGTTTGAGTTCGCCAGGTATGCGATATCTATTAGAGAACCTGCGATGATGTTGCTGAAAAGATGAACCGCAGACTCAAATACGAGCTCGAAATGTCTTATTATTTCGGTCAAATTGTTTTATATCGTCCATTCCTTCACTATTTGGCCAACATGTCTGAGGGGGGTTCTGTGACCCAACAACAATCACAAAGGGCATTAATATGCACCAAAATCGCATCCATTGTTATAACCCGATCAGAAGCCATGCATGCGCAGGGAATGCTCTGTTCGGCCTCCTGGACATCGATTTACACTTTGTTTCTGTCTGTGGTCTGTCTTACCTTTCTGATCGCGACACAAAGCGGGACAAACAGGCCTATTGAGGCCTACCGGAGGGCTGAAAGTGGGATTCGTTTGCTAGCTGCGACCGCTTGCCCAGGTATGGGATCTGTACAGTGTCTCGGAGTCTTGAAAGTAAGACCGATCTTGATCTGTTCCGAGTGTACTACCAAGGGAGGGGGTACGTTGCGCTGACACTATTTCTACGGTAGCAACTTGTCAGACGTCTCTCCCACACCGTTGACTTTAATATTGATCGTATCGAGGCTGAAACGGCTCGTGCTTGTTTTCAACATCCTCCTCCAAATCCCACGTTCTCCGATCCCATGCAGGGTTCCTGGGCCGTTGACACACCCACAGGAGTTGAAAGAGAAGTCAGCTCACAGAACTCGGCGAGGTCGTGGGAACTGCAAGAACCATGGCAGATCACTGGCTCGCAATTGCACTTTCATGGAATGATTCCAATCAACGACGCCGACTTTGAAGGAGCCTTTAACGACCCCAGTGGCACACCCTTGAGTTCGCATCCTTATTCATTTGGAGATTCGTTCTTTGAGATTTCAGCTCAGCCTCCTCTCCAGGTGAGTTTATTAAACTTGTTGGTATTGCAAGCGATTGAAAACTATGACGAAGGAAAATTGCCCATCGCAACATGAAGATCAAGAAGGCTAACCTGTTGGAATCTTGTCCTACATCAGACCACGAATGATGACACCGTCAATGTTCCGATGCTTCAACAATTTTCTTGGCCAAATGATGGGATTACGAGTAACCAGACGGATACGTCTGTCGACATGGCCAATGATGATGATGGATTGGGTTGAATTCTTGGTATTTTCTTTTCTATTGCCCTGGAGGCGCTTTAGTACTGGGTTTGTACTGGACGTATGAACAGTCCTCAAACAAGGTGGGTCACCGCGAATTCTTCGGCCACCAACAACGAAATAGGAAAGGACAGGGGATTAACAGCGGATGATCCCAGTCAATCATTTCTTTCTATATAAAGTGGCCAATTGGCCCGGCCGCGTACATTGTTCTCCGTTTCAGGACACCTGCCTCTCTTTTTTGGAGTATGGCTTCAATCCGTTGGTGTACGACGTTGGAAGTATTCTTGCTTCGTTGGCAGATGCATCAGACTGATCACCAAGAATCGGCCGAGCCATTCAATATTTAACATTGGAGACGCTTCAGCGTGTTATCCGCATTGGCCATATTCTCAATGACCCTAGCTCATCCATTCATCCATAATTGGAAGTAGTTAAGATGCTCTAAGGTTGGTCACTGCTTAGCTGCTGCTCACTGCGAGCAAGTGCAGAGGGTAATCTCAAGCTTCGACAAACTAACCAACGTGCTGGTATTCAGATCTTCCGATGGACTCCTGTTACCCTATCCGTCGCCTTTCACCGCCCGGTCCCATAGCGTCGTACCGCCAATGTGTTACAGATACACAGCATCCGTCTTCTGCTGGCTCAGGTCTCGCCTTCCTTCTTCGACCCAGGAGCCACCACACTTCGCTGTAAATGAGGGTTCGCCTCCGCCACCCTCTGGCCGAGATGGGATATATATTCTCCGAGGAGTTGGTTCTGCTTCTCGAGCTCTTCGTGGTTCAATTTGACCTTGTTCATCTTTTCAGTGAGAGCAGTAAGAGAGGACTGGAATCGGTCGGCTTGTCTGGTAGTCGCGCGGTGTCAATATCCGACCTTCGACTTGAAAGAGGAAGGGTTGAGAATGTCTAGAGAGCAAAGAAAATGAACCGTACGGCTTTTAGTACGTACCAATCAACGTAGCGCACGCACCTTTTCAATGTCTTCCTGATATTCGTCTCTAAGACTTCTAATTCTCGGTTGTTCCTCCTGGGACTCATGGCTCGGGCATCATCTGGCGGATACTGTGGCCTCTGGCCAACAGGTGCCGTGGCTGATCTGCTCAAGTTTCTGCGAGGGGATGAATTGCGTCCATCTTTCGGTGGCCGGCGTATCATTCTGAAAGGAACGTCCTCTGGAAAGGACGGGCTGAACCCTCGGAAAGTATTATCATATAGAAGCGGCAAGATCGCTAAGAATACCATACACCGGGCTCACTGGCCAGGAAATCGAAATTAAATCGCTAAGTCATTTCCTGTGGCCGAAAAGGGCACAAACAAACCCGGCTTCGTCAGTATGTGGCTAGCGAACAAAAATGACTAGTAACGACGATAAAAAAAAAGCAGATGTCTCAAAGATTAACACAAGACCCCAGAAATTAGTCTTGCGGATCCTTGGCTGGATAGCACTCGATATCCGGGACTTTGCCGCCAGAGAAGAAGCGAATTGGAGCTACGGCAAGTCGAAGATTGGGTGCCCTCGTTGTCTGAGGAGAAGAGGGTGGACTGGTAAATCCGCCAGTCGAGAGACGCATAGTATACTATGAGCGGGTAAAAGGACAACGCAACAAACCTATCAGTCATATCAACTGATGAACAGTGTTTGATCTGCGGTCGGTTGGAAAACAGCGCGTCTCCATGGGAGAGTGAGAAGGAATTCGGTAAGCATAGTCAGTATTAGCTTCAAGCTAGTCAGCCGAACAAAAGTCGACCACGTTGAAGGCCGGGGTGGGACGCTTCACCTCGCCATTCTGCCATCGGCATAGCAAAAGAGGTCAAAGGCGCGCTTTCTGGCTAAGTGGCGCATTCCAAGAGCCGGGGACCCATGAATCTGTGGTATCTTTGAGCCTTGACTCTTGAACAGTTGGGATTGAAGACTGGAAATTAAAACGAAGCCCGTGCCTCCCCACAAGGAGGTAAGCCACGAGGTAACTTCAATACGACAGGGGGTTCAGACTCATTTTTTCCCTTTGTTTCTCCAGGTTTGCAGCCCCCAAAGCCTTGGGCGTGGAGACCATGACAAAGGTGGCGCTGGATAACCGAGCACAAATCTTTACTCAACAAATACGTCCTGTTCCGAAAAGGGATTTTCCTTCCGTCTATCCGTTGGTCTTGCTGGATGTCAGTGCCAGGGGGGTCAAAGGTTCTAGCGTATTACACTACTAGCTACAGAGAAAGTTTTCCTTGGCCAAAACCTTCACATCCACCACATGGCTACGGGTTTGGCTACGGGAAACTCACCGTCGGGGTTATCCACAGTCTTGTCTTGGAGCAAGTACCTAGGCATGGTGGAAGGGCGCCGTACAGTATAATTTGGGTGGAGAAAGTATTGCATCGCTTGTCTTTAGAAACCTCGACCGGCACATTGCGCTAACTAGACTAAGAACTGTCATTGTCAAGAGCCGCTGTGCTTTGATTACGATATTATGGGTGTAGTCAAAAGTATGATATGCTCGTCCTGCATGGAGCCACATTTGCGAACAAAAGCTGGAGGAAGAAAGAAAGCATTCCCAATCGATGATTCTTCGTCCCTTTAGGCCAACTCTGCGAAAGCGCCCCGGTAGCATGCAGTAGATTAGCACTAACCAGAAGGGTGACCTACCTCCAAAAAAAGGGACTCATTTCCTTGACGTGTGCGATCTGATATGCCACGAAGTCAAAGACCTTTGTGTGACGAAGGTACACACCTCGGGGCCAAACATGATTGGTGTCCCAGAACCCAACCAACAAACATATTTCAGTGCCTTTGGACACGACGATCCGTAGCATAGCTGGGGCGACCTCCATCCTCGTCAACCACTAGGTGAACCTCCCGACAAGGGTTGAGTTCGGCCATTGCAAAAGATCCAAATGGAAAACACCTACTGACTCACTCACTTCCTCAATTCACTTGTACAATCCCACGCATTCATCCCCGTGAGAGCCGATCTATACCACGATATCTATTCTTTCCTTGTTCTTTTCATCTCGTGATATCAGGATTCAGAAATCAGAAAGAACGAGACGATAACGGAGTAATGACAGCCAAGGGCGACGCCTCCTTGAGGCTTAAACAAGACAGAGACACTAGCCACACGGATGACGACCAATATACCTCAGGCCCCTTAAAATCAATCCTCCTCAGCACACAATCTGGCTGCATAGGGCGACCAGGCTGCCATCAGGTTCAGCCACTGTGAAACTCCTGTCTTGAGAGGATCGCCAGCAAATGGAGGACAAGTCTCTATATCCTCAGCTCATGTCTCGACAGCTCGAGCTCCAGTTCCGGCTCGCATACAACAAAGTCCAGGACATCTTCAACTGGGTGCGGAGCAGGACATCCTCTGGTATCGTCGCTGTCTCTCCGCGCCGGCCAGCCTTGTCACCTACCGGCCCAAAATCACCCGCTTCGAAGTCTAGCAAAATCAGATCTCCTCCTTCGACTTACCACACTGGCATCCTCCGCATGATGCGCGAGAAAATAACGTGAATTAATCAACGAAGAGCGCCTGTCGTCGAAACTGGCCGCTACACACACAGCCATGAAGCCTGAGATGCCTCGGCTGGATCCGCACGGCAGTCCAAATGGGTTTGTCACACCACTTGCCTTGGAATGAAGCGGCGGAAGTAGTGCTGGTGATTATCCAGGGTGAAGAACGTATATAGTTTGGGTATGACGGAACCGTTGACAACGTTCCCGGATGTTGGTACCGTTGTGAATGGTTTCACTCATGGGGGAATGGATGGGGCCTTCATACTCAGGATCGTCTTCTTCTGCTGCTGTTGTATTATCCCTTTCGTCCTCACTGTACTCTGAACTCGAGTTGCCTTCGTTTGAATCGTCGTAACGTGAATCGTTTGACGATATTGATGGAACGTCAATGTCGGCATCCGCATTTCCATCTTCCTGCTCTCGATCTTCATTGCTGGTTAGTCTTGTCTTTTCCTTTGGTTAGAATTTTGTTGTGATTGGTCGCCATGCGCCCGAGGATCAGCCTGAATATCTAGGAATGAAGCATTTGCCGTGAGACTAGAAGTAGCCGTGGTCGGCTGAATTCACGACATTACCGTGGGAACGCATTGAGAAGCTGCTACACTATTATCCTTCCGATACCAAGGCGGTAAGGTAAACCCATGGTCTTGCGTAGAATAATGAAGCTTGACAGGCGCGAGGCTTGCCGGTAGGTGAAAACCACAATGCCGCCAAATTTCGAGTCGGGTACAAAATATGCAGCGGCGGCCTCTTTTGCCCCGCATATTCCGTGCCTATAGATCATATCAGGTACTGCTGTATTGCCGATAATCCGCACCAGACAAGTCAGCGTCCTCATTGTGGACTGTCGGGTAGTCGTTGACTTTTGCCTATGATATCCATGTCCCCAGAGAGCTTGGCAAAGCCATATCAATGATATCCCTCCATGAGAGAGGCCGAAAACCGAGGTAATTAATTATCGGTGCAAAACAAGATACACTTTCGCGAGAAGAAGATGGCAAGCCGCATACGTATTGGAAATGGCCGAAGACTTGGGACACATGCCAAATATGCAGCTAATGCGAGGTGGCAGGCGGTCGATGTGCTGAAGGGAAATAATACCGCTGATCGCCCAAAGTATCAAGGGAAGTTGAAGTTTGTCTCTATCATAGCGTTGCCGTTGGCCAGAGCTAAGAGACGATCGACCTATCCCAGCCAAACCCAATGCTCCATGTCGGAACCTCCATGTCAAGTGAGATAACTTCTTTGGGCAGTTTTGCTGCCTTGGACGAACGGCGACGGGGGCTGACCGGTAAGGCGAGAGTAGAGCGGGCGAGTATGGCTGGAGTTCCAATCCTCCAAGCGGGATGTTGAAGTTTTGGGAACGGAACCGCCCAATGAGCAAAACTCGGGTTGAGCCTCCAAAGTGCAGACAGAATCTGGAGGATCCAACGGATGAATCGAGAATAACAATATGGTATCCAGGAAATATTTGAGTGGAGTACGGCCAACCCTTTGTCTTCGGAGGCTAACCGCTTATGGAAGGCATGGTTTCAACGAAAGTCACGTGCTCTCTAAAGCGGATCTTGGCCATTTCCTGTACCAGGATTGGTGGTATTATGGGTCTTGGTGAAACGGATAACACGGAGTTATTGTGGAGCTTGACTCTCCAGGGCGCTCCACTACGACGCCACCTACCATGGCATCTGGCTTCCAGCACCTAGCACCCCTGGTTGGCACACTCGGATTTCATCTCCGCTTCCTGGCCTACTAGTAGTAGAGTTAGGCCATGGATCGCTTGCCATGCCATTCTCACGCCACATATGGGAATCTAGTAACATCCTATCTCCGTAACTGGAATCGGTTCACCGAGATTCATTCTCGCTCTATTGCTTTACGGAGCACCTAGAGGGAGATCCCAAAAGCTCAAGCATACTATTTATAGGGAGGCAAAGATGTCCTGTCCCAAAAGGGTTGCTACAGGCGACCGCTCAGACGACATCGAGCATCAGACCACGTGCGTCAACAGTTTCTCAAAGCTACTAGCCACATAAAAGGTAGTATTTCCTAACCGCCAAGTTCATGCCCACATCTGAAGATTGGCCGTGCGATGCGATTGACAATACCTCCATGTGCTTCCTCATCCCGTGAAGAAGATATACCGTTCATAGTCACGGTGCCCATCGTGGCAGCCAGCCAGCCAGCCGAACAAAGCCGTTTCTGTGGGTTGCCACCACAGTTGCTCCTTTGTTCTTTTGTTCTTGGCTTCGTGGTAGAGATCTGGCGTGATATTCGCTGGTTGCCGATCTAGGCGGGCTCATACTAACTGGTAGCTATCTAGTAGCTATCCAGTACTCTCGGCTCGGCATTCTGTATGAATTAGAATCGTATTGGACCCAGGTGCAGCAAAAATTATCGCTCGTGTTGGTCGTTGCCGTCTTCCAGCACCACGAAGAATCGTGAGAGGGTGTTGTTACCCCCTTCCTACCATCGAAAGCATGGTTGAAAGAGAAAAGAAATGGGACTCCAAACTAAGCAAGTGATCGGACGTTGACAGCTATGTAGTTATGGCTGTACGTGACTAAAAGCTCCCAACATGGCGTCGCTTCCCAACGAAGCAAAACTGTCGACCCCAGACACTCTTCAACCACATACCATGCTCCAATCTCTCCCACCACCACATTCCTCCCATTTTACGGTCTAGGACCCCAGGTAGGAACGTTCAAAGCCATACCCATAATAATACCGGAGATGATGCCAGCAGAAGGGACGGTCAAGACCCAACCGATGAAGATCTTGCCAAGTTGCCTCCAGTTGATACTCTTCAGATCGCGGTTCATGATAGCTACGCCGACAATGGCACCAGTAATGCACTGGGTCGTGCTGACAGGGAGAGACAATTGGGTGGCGAGCAAGACGGTGATGGCAGCCGCAAGTTCCATGGAATAGCCTCGGGTAGGGGAATGCTTGGTGACGCGGTTACCCAGGTTGCGCATGATGTGATAACCGAAAGTCCAGAAACCGACACCCAAGCCAATACCACCAACGGCCTTGATCCAAGTGGGCGTGTCGGTCTCGGCCGAGGTGACACCGGTACTCCATGTTTGATATTCGGTGGTGAAGGGGCCGATGGCGTTAGAAATATCGTTGGCACCGTGAGCTACGGACATAAGCATGGCAGTGCAAACCTGGGCGGTGGTCCAAAGATGCTCGACCTTGTTGTCGTAATGAATAGCGCGTTGGTGGACGGCGTCCAAGCCCTTGGACTGATGGGCAATGACATCACGAGTGATACCGTACATGAAAACCAATTTGAGGGTAGTATAGATCCGTTTGGGGTGAGCCCATGGCAGTTCATCGACAACTCGCAAGTCTTTGTTTCGCTTGCGGTCTAGGGGATTGGCGGGGTTGACAGGAGCTTGAGATTCCTGAATTTCATCACCCTCCGTGATCGGGCCTGTCTCGGCACTCTTGTTCGCGAATTTCTCTTGATCAATCGTATCGGCACTGCTAGCGTCGTCGAGTTTCAGTTCGGAGTCATAGTAATTCGGGACGAGTTCGGCATCCTCCTTTCCTGGGAAATAGAGAGTGTAGTTATCCTTCCATAGAAGAGGACCCATGGGGATGTGCCAGATGCGGAGACGATGGTCTTCCTTGACAAGCCTATGTACGGTTAGTACGGGCCTGTGAGAGCGGATACGTCCACTCACTTTCGGTAGTAGTAAGGCAAAAAGAAGACAGCGGAGATGAGGAGGATCCCCGCAAACACTCCGAGGATAATACCCGTCGCTTCTCCCGCGCCCATCTCTTCGAGGGTAGGGATGCCATGCCCACCACTGATGACGATGAACAGGGACAGAATACCAGCCGTCAAGGCATAGTAGATGGGGATCAGACGAATGGCCCATTTGAGAGGATCGCTGCGAGAGTGGACCAAAAGTTGGATGGTTCCGAAGATGACGGCACCGAAGCCAGCGGCGATGCACGGTGCAATACCCCAGGAGGCAGCGATTTGGGAGACGCTTGATTTTTTCCAACCCCAGTTGACCGGAATATTGGCCGCAATACCAACGCCAACGAGGGCCCCAACGATAGACTGAGTGGTGCTGACCGGGAAACCAAGGCGAGTGCAAACCGTCAACCAGGTGGCGGAACCAATTTCAGCAACGACGTTGGCCATGATCAAAACACCAGGAGAGTTCTCGAAGGGTTCGATGGAGAAGACACCACTGCGAATGGTGTCGGTGACACCCTGGCCGAGGGCAATTGCTCCCACAAATTCAGTGATGGTCGATAAACATCCCGCTTGAATCAGGGTCAGGGACCTGGAGCTGACCGAAGTGGCATACGAGTTGGCCACATCCTGTTTTGAGATGAATCGTTAAACATTGTCCACATTCACCGTGTCGGGTCGAAAAGCCGCGAAGACACGTACGTTTGCTCCGATACCCCAGACGGAGAGCAGGAAGAAGATCACACCAATGGCAAAAAGCCAGTCGAGATCATGCATCTTCGCCATGGCTGCGGTTGCTGTAAAGTCAAATCCCTAATAGCGGTCAAAAAGAACGAAAGAAGAATTGACAAACGAGAACAGGTAGAGAATGGATTCACGAAACACGATTTCGGCTTCTAATGTACTTGAAGTCCTGCTAGGACCCAACATCTTAAAAGAGCCGACACGGGCTCTTGATAGGAAAGATTAAATCTCCATCATGTGTCTTCCTTTTTTCTTTTTTTTGGCTGGATCCATGGCCCAGGAGAGGCGAGAGGGAGGTAGATATAGGCCAGTAACGATGAGATCCGGGACCACGTGGAATTCAGCAGCGTTCTGTGTCGATTGAGGTACATCATCCGGACCAGGAGAGAGCCGACGACGGTGGACTCGCAGTAGGTGGGCGGGAGAGAATGTCACGCTGCTAGATGGCTTGGCTGTGAAAGGGCGGGGCCAAAAGGCATGCTGTAAACGGTCGAGAGCAGATCGTGCAGGCAGATTGCGAAGGTGGTTTGGCGGCAACGATGGGCCATAGGCGTTTGAATCCATGTCAACGGTGCGAACAGGTTTGGTGTAGGCGGCACCCGAGGCTGGTCTGGGCGTATCTCATCCTGGCCAGGGAAGCACTGCGCCAAGCCCCTGCCAAGACAACAAGCACGTCTTGCCAAGGCTAGCGGAAATCTTGATACCGGCAGAGCATGCCGCCTTCGATATCCAGCAGGAGACCGTTAGGCGACGGTGCTACCTGTGTTTCGGGGTGCCGCAACTAGGAAAGTCAATTCGATGCGTTGAAACCCCCGTTCTCTGCCCTGAAACGAAAAATATCCTGCACAACATGGCCCAAGAGACAAATCTCAGAAAGAAGCCTTGTGCACGATGCTTGCGTGTTCTTGTGTCCTCTTGTTTCCGTTCTTCCGACTTGGCGGTTGCGCCCTCGCCTCCTCCCCGCCAAGCCCCCTGCGGCTAATCCAACAACAACCGGGCATGCTACCTACTCGGTGGCTATCTAGGCAGATGGTTAAGTTACTTGTGTACCCCTACAAATAGCGAGGGTGAGACCATCAGACAACTAGCAGCGGACACCGTCAGGCCGTCAAGCCCTTTTCAACCCCTTCTTAGGTCATTATGCAGTTCAATCTCCCCCCCTTGCTGGCAGGCCTCAACTTGACTGGCTTATCTGGCCTGTTCAACTTTGCGGACCTTTCGCTACCACCACCGCGCGAAGTTCTACCCGGCAGCCAATCGCTAACTGCAACGACATGGCAGACTCAGCTCGCCCTTCCCGGCGTCGACTTCGCGGACCACTGGGTCTACCTGACTGGAAACACCAGTTGTTGGAACCAAACTCGCTGCAATGAGTTCGATCAGGCCATCGTCAAAGAATATGAGATACGCCAATTACGCTCGCCGGCAGCCTCGTCCTTGCTATCCTTTGTGGATTGTGACGCAGAGCCAATCCTGTGCCATTCTTGGCTACTCCTTCCACCGGCGTTGATGCATATCTCCGCTGCCTCCGCGCCTGAGGACACGGTGATGCATCCGATCCCACTTCCCCTTACAAACACCTCTCGCTATTCGGACAAGCAACTCATCTCTGCCGACCAACAAATTGCATTTCTCATGAGTGATCAAGTCCCTCTGCAGGAATTTCGAGTCTGGGATGGATACATGAATCCGTTTATCGGTACCGTGGGGAAACGCGGCGGTGGCTTTTACTGGGGATACTTGAAGCATCGTTTCGGCTGGCTGCCATTACCGCAGCATGCTTTTACCATCTTCATCCTGCTCATCGTGCGACTTCTCATTCGGAGGTTTCAGCCTACTAATCCCCCTCCCAATGCGTTAGACATGGTAGTACAACCAGGCGCGATGAATTAAAGGAGCTAGATTTACCAAGGATGTCGGTGGATGCGGTCTGCCACGATCGATGGGTCCAAGAGTGCATATGGAGATTTAGAACTTAGACTTGACCTTCCCTTCTGGACTGTCACGTTCGTATTTCTTGAACACCATGTGTAAGACGGGAATGAATTGATATGTCCATCAAACATTTCTAAGTCGACGAACCGTTCATTCATGCATCTTAAATCGTTGTTGGAGGGTTGCACATGCTTGATGTTCTGACTTTAGTATCACCGACATGCGAAAAGAAAATAGCATATAGGTGAGTCCAATGTGGAAACTCTCCGTATGGGAACAACATACGGAGAGTTCTTAATTGATCCACAAGATTCACCCAGGACTTCCTAGCTCGTTACAGGTGTCTTGACTTTTACGTACTCCTATCAGGGTAGGCACTCTGTCTTGTGACAGTGCTGGCCTTGTTGAGTCAACGGGTGGGTATTGATCACGGTAGGGATGTAGACGGCGCTGATGACGAAGTCGGTTGGGAGATGGCCCATTGTTGTGTTTGTGTTCGGAGTGGACGGTAGATATTGATCTGAGGTGAGAGGGATTTTGCTGCTTCGGTCTTTTGTTCTTTTGAATTGGTCTGTCGCGGAAATATTTCTGCTGCTTGCAAATCGAGTCTTGGATGATGCTTGGCCTTATATGCTTCGACATCCAAGTCCCGTCTTTGTGCTCCATTTCTCTTGCGGCATCTTTTGCTTTCGGAGCTCTGGTACCCTTCCAGTCAAAGAGACCATGCCCAAATTGTCGCATCGACTTCAATACCAAATACCTCTCTCAAGTCTCAAACGAGGAAACCATACTCACTATAGAAAGAGATTTTATCCGTTGAGCCGACATTGTAAACATCGCAGCATCGTTAAAGGTGCCAGAGAAAATACATCTTTAGCCCTTGCCGATTTGAGGAGTGATTTTCGACAAGCATTTAGAATGCAAGAAGGCTGAAGGTGGTTCAGAGGGCGTGCACGACAAAGGACGGTCAAACACGGCATTTTAGGTTCGCTCGTCTCTACGGCGGATGGGTTACTGCTTTCGGTTCAAAGACGTTGCTTGGTCAAGTAGCTCTCAATCCGCCGGGCCGCGGCTGTCAACGCTTGAGCCTTGCCAATGCAACGTATATCAAACTGGGATGGCATGTATCTTTTCTCGATGTCCTCCGTCAACCGTCCGTGGTGTTCGAATGTGGACTAGTGAGGTTGGCAGCGCATGCACTCAGATCGTTACAACTCTGCGATCTAAGCTCCCCTTTATCGTTCGAGGCGAATTTTATCTTTGAAATCAAGTCCTGGGGTTGCTGTCGATGTAACCAAAGACGTGAGAGAGGTGTAGCGATACCTTGGGTGGACTAGGATGAGGATGAGGATAAGGGTGATGATGAGATGGAGATCGAACGTCCTGGGCTTCCCCCAGGGATTGGCTTTGCAGAAAACCACACATGTGATAGTGCCATCCCAGTAGAGAGGGCGCCTGTGCAGGTAAGGGACTTTGCCATTGGGCCATCTCAACCCTGATGCCGGGCACACCCCAGGGGAGCATAATTACCCATCGAGATGACCCGAGCTGCAAGTCAGGACATTAAGCCAGCATGGTAGCCTTGCCTCTCATCCATGTTGAAAAAGGGATCTAGGCCCCATTGAAAACTACTCACAAGATGGAATGGATCACCTTTCCCACCACGCGTGATATATTCAGACGTGCATAAGTCATGTTACCATCATCTAGTTTGACCGTTGTTTGGATCCCCCACCTTTTTGAGCGATTGGACGTGCTGTCCTTCATTGTTGTCACATCATGTCATAAGTCGTCACTGGACGTATGCTGAACCGACACCATTCCCGGATTGTGTAGCTCCGTATATCGGGCCCAGTCCTTCGTCTGGGGTGATGCTTCCTTCAATTCGGCGCCGGGCCTCCTGCCTCTCCTCGACTGTGATGCTGCTCTCATCCTTTTTCATGTCTGGCTTGTGTGGCTCCACGTTCGGTGAATGACCGATCGACATACCCACCCGGACCTGGTTGATTTCGTTAGCAACATATTGTAAGAAAATTTTTATTTTGTACTCGTGCTTACCAATGTTTCGAGGGCTCCGTTGCTATTATCAATTAGGTCCCCGTCGTACACCATCCGTCCGGGTTCGAAAAACAATAGGACCGTACTGCCGCCGAATTTGAAATATCCAAGTTCCTCAGCTCGTTTGACTCGTTCTCCTGGCTTTCGAGTGATGACTGTTGAACCGACCATCATGGCACCAATGCAAATGAACATGACCCTCCCGTGGGCCACCGAGTCAATGGGCACTAATACTCGGACGTTGTCGCCGTAGACATCCAGGGCTGATCTGATGGCCATCGGATTAACGGTGTAGTATTCTCCCTCGATGGCTTTGGGAGTTCCCAGAGTTCCATCAACCGGAACGTGGAAGCGATGATAGTCTTGCGGAGCGAGTCGGAAGATGCCCATACTGCCCCCTTTGTAGCGTTTGGCCTCCAGTGGATATGCATCGCCAAACAATTTCTCCAAGCTGTAGTCTCTTCCTTTGACCCATATTCTGGTCGCATCCTCGATCGTGTTAAAAACCACCGAGCGGCAGTCCGCCGGAGAAACGATGATTTCGGGTCGGTCAGGGGCACTGCAGGGTCTCGCGTTGGGCTTCAAGGCTCGATAGAAGAACTCATTGAAGTTCTTAAATTGCTCCGTTGGGAGAAGCACTTCGGACATGTCGAGACGATGGAAGGCAATGAATCCTTCGATCTGAGCCACAGAAGCCGGATCGTCGAATTTCCTGCCCTGTTTGATCGAAAGAGATCGGAGCATCTTTTTGATTCGTTTTTTTTCCATCTCCCGAGCTCCCAGCGCCTTGTAGAGCAACCGAATCCCAATTCGAACATAGACAGACATGCGCTCCTCATTGATCTGACCCGTGATACGGTCCTGAACCAGGATATTCGCACTATTAGCCCCCAGCCTGTATCCTCCGTAGCTGATCTTGGTAATGACTTTGGAGTACCACTTGCGTTGGGCCTGACTCTGAGTGACAAAGCCACCCATGACTAGGTTGTTGACCTGTCTCCAGTCAGAGCTGGCGCAAGTGGCAATGTGCGTAATTATGTCGGCTTCGGTACGCTTGTTCAACTTGGGCTGATGACAGATAGGACATTCGCGAATTTCAATCACATGTTCTTCACCATCTCCCTCGTCGGACAGATCGTTTCCAAGAAGTTTCCCCTCCTCGCCAGGAGTGCCGTGCTGCTCTTGTTCAATTGTTGGGGGATCAAGGCTCTTTTCAGGGTTGAGCGCCTGAGGATCAGACGGCTCGGTCTGGCCAGATACACCCAAGCCGCCCTTCAGTTTGTTTGCCAGAGATTTCTTCTCGCTGACTTTCTGCAACTGTTCTTCGAGACTGATGACGGCTTGGTCGAAAGTTAGATCCACCTCACCTACATCTTCGTTTTCGGAGGCAAATTTCGCAAAAAACCGGTCAATAGTCGACTCCTTCAGCGTTGACCCCAATGTGTCGAGCATGGTAGTAAATTCAATCTTGCTGATGCGCTTACTGTCATCGGCGTCATACTGTTTCAACATTGCTCTCCAGAATTGCTGCCTCAGCGCTTTGTACGGAAGGTAACGGCCTCGGATGTGCAGTTCTGGACTGTGTTTATCTTCCCAGCGTTCTTTATTCTTGAGTTCTAATGGTATACTATATGAGTTCATGGTGGGATCTTCCGCTGGTTGGACTGGAGTGTTGTCGGCGGCTCCGGGCACTTTGAGATTGTTTCCGTTGTTTTCCATGGGCGCGCTCGTAGGAGCCGGGGGACGGGCCGATTCATTGGCACCCATGCTTGACAACGAGAGCTGGGAATCGTCTCGCTTAACGCCGGAGCGTCCTAGTTTTGAGAGACTGCTGGCGGACGAGGTGCGAGATAGCGGAATACGAAATCTCGATTTCCCCTCTTTCTGCGCCATGGCCGGAGAGTATTCCGGAGGTTCAGGTAGGTCGTAGAGACCGGTTTGGGGGTCCTCCTCGGGTCCAGATTGAATCATTTTCTGGATGGGGAAGGAGGTCGAAGCCACGAAGTCATTTCCGGATAATTTGTCGCGATCAATCACGGTGAAAGTGAGAGAGTATCCTGTTTCATGGCGCATGATCTGGAAGACCATCTTATCGTTGTAAACTGGGTTCAGGTTGTGTCGAACAACCCTTGTCCTCAGAACCTTTCGACCCAGGGCCGTCACGACGAATGGATCCATGTCAAAAGAAGTCCGAGTCATGTTTCGTTCAGGAGGTAGATCGGTGATCTTGACGATTTCCATAAAAATGATGCCATTAACGTCATTATCAGCGCCCAAGAAGTTATAGGCCCTGGCGGCAATGGATTTGCGGCGAAGCCGGGCAAGTCTCTTCTTTTTCTCCTTCTTCTCTGCCGCGGCGGATTTTTGTGGGGACTCGTTCTCCGTAACGGATTCGAGGTCGTCATCGAAATCATCGACGTCCTCATCCGCAACAGCGTCATCCACGTTTGTAGAAACACGCGAGAGATCATCGTCCTCTTCTTCCGCTCCAATATACGCTTGAAATTTCTTCCGTATTTCTTCGGGGCTAGCGGATGGATTCGCGGAGTCGACAATGGTAAATTGCATCAATACTTCTCCAGAAACCGCACTCCCTTTCTTGCCAGCTCTTGCCCCGGACTTCAGTTTGTACCATTTCGGTTCCGACTGTACTTGACCATTGGGAAATATGTCTTCGATTGCGATGTCAAATTCGCCCATGTAATCCTTGCCGAAGCGATCCTTGTCCCAGCACATACATTCGAGTAGCGGTACTCCAGTCAAGGGTATGTCAAAGCATATCTTCCATTCGGGGTTGAGGTTCTTGCTAATCGATGGAGTTGATTGTTTGGAGTTTCCAAGGGTGACGACAAGGTACTGATGATTGTTAGAAGAGATTGAGCAAAGAAAACTCATAGAGGACATACTGGATCAGAGGTGCCGGACTTGTCTTTCGCAGCTAGGTTTCGTGCCTATGGGCAAATGTTAACAGTTGGATGTCACTCCCGACAGCCACGGAATGTGGTACCTTTATGACATAGACCTTGAGAATGAGAGGTTTTTGGTCAGTCAGTGCAGGTGTGCTGTTACCGCTTCCAAGTCTGGGTGGGCTGGGCCTTCTTCCAGCATCACTATTGGAGGCTGCGTTTTGGTCTTTATTTCTGTTTCCCCGGTGGCTGATGCCTCGAGGAAGAGATATGTGTACCATGTCTAGCTTGTAAAGAGAGAATAAGATAACTCGACGACAAGGGAGGGGACTCTGTTGAGGTGGAGGTTCTCAATTACTGATGTTGTCCGTAAGGCGGTGATTCCTGAAGTACCAGAGGAGGAGGGGGGGGAGCAGGCTGAAAGTTGGACCGAATTTGCGGAATTGGGGCGGATATGAGGGCAACGAACCAACGAACGAATGATTTCGAGAGGGTGTCAAGGTCGACGTGAAGAAGAGACAGGATGTTGGAAGGTGAAACAGATCGCAGGAGGAACCCGGAGAGAAAGTTGTGAAGTGATCAGTCCTCAGTGGTGGGAGCGGTTGATTTATGATGCCATAGCACAATCAAACGACCCCTTCGTTCACGGGGAGAGGATCTTTTTGTGCCATGGAACTTCTCCAAGTATTATTAGCTCTGGGTGTATTCGTAGCACGAATGACTTGGCGGGATCTTCTGTAGGACTGACGACTTGCGGACCAGAACTTTTATGCTCGGAAGTCAACTTTGCTCTCCAAACGGTCAAGTCGAGGTTCATTCGCAGGCTCACAACTGGGAAGTCGGGGGGGCTTCGTATGACACTTCGTATCCAAACGGTGATGGTCTTGAGTGGTCAGCCTCGCCTATTGCCGTCCGTCCAGACCGTCGAAAACCTAGGACCGGTTTATTGTGCAGGTTCAGGCACCAGAATCCTCCCTGTCGTGGTGGCCCCTCGATCAGCACCAGACCTTCCATTGGCGAGAACCGGCCCCTCTTTAGCGACTAGGGCCCCAACCGAGTTAGAATTCCGGGTATCTGTCTATTCACTCGTGTTCAAGTCCCAAGGGATGTCAATATCATCGTTGCAGGTTGACTGCGGGAAGGATCTTGAACGACTTCTGCATCGGGACCCCACGGAAACTTGGAAAGTCTTGGGGCCGGGGCTAGGTCATCAATTTCTATTTGTATATATTTGTATATAGTTGGTCGCTCCAGGCGGTGATCCGTGCAACAGCGTTTGCATGTGCTGAGATGTTATCCTCTTCCAGGTGGTACCTGCTACAGATATGGAGTGGACGGGTTTTTGTCCCTCGTTCAGTACGTAGTTCATGGGCTGAGACACCTAGTGCCTCGGAACAGGACCTCCCCAACTGGAACGCATAAAGTCGTTGCAACTTCACGGTTTGGAAGTGCTCATCTGTCAGAGTCGGCCTCCACTCGGGGTCCAAGAAGCGACGTTGATACCTGTCAATGACTTGATAGCTGTGCTGAAGAAAAGAGACTCTTGAATTACCTAAAATTCCCTCTTAACAGGCTCTGAGAGTGATTTGCCTAAAGCGGCGACCAAAATGCTTGGCGCTGAGCTGGGCGATGTAAACACTGAATGAGGCCGCGATGCGAGCCCGAGCACGACTTGGCTGGCAATTGTGGTGCAATCCCTCTACGATTCTTCCCTCAGCCCACGCCATTGTGCTCGACCATACCGTCCAAGCTTACCACTCGTCACCGAATGGCATTATTAGAATGAAATCCTACTCGTATAAAGCAGGACTATGCGTATGCGACCAGCCGCCCAAGTGATTGCGAAACACCCACGTCTTATCCACCACGAAAGTCCAGATGACTATCCTCGTCGCGCGCCAGCCGCTACACCCTTTGCCAATGTCTTCAACCCAGAGGCCTAATCGAAGAATTAGCGCGCGACTTCAGGAAAACGAAGACGCGCCTGCCCTCTCCACTCGGACGCAAGTCAACGGGCATGTCGATGCATCGGGACGTAGCTTGGAGGCAGAGCATGCTCAAACATCGAAAGGCTTCAACGAAAAGAAGAGGAAAATGGGTAGGTGGCAAGAACAACATTCAAAAAGGAATGCGAAATCAGGAATCCCTGGCTGACTCTGGCGGCTGTAGACTACGATGAGGAAGACGACGGCTTCCTTTTTAAACGCGTCAAAAAGAAGAAACCGAAAGTGAATTCAACAGAGGACGAGGACAAAGCCAAACAGTCCCTCAATCACTCGAAACCACCTCAAAAGTCGCTGACGCACAGCACAAATGCTTCGAGTGAAGATGGCGGTCCGATGGCACAAACCAAGAAAAGGAGGAATAGACGGTCATTTTCAACACCCAATCCCAAGGAGGATGCGCCAGTGCGTCGTTCAAAGCGCCTTTCTGGTGAGCATGAGCAACAGGATCGAAGTCCCATCAGAAAGATGCCTCACAAGCAAGAACCGAAGCCACAGGAACGACATCGGGAAGAACAAGCCAGGGATTTACCTAAAATGACCAGACGAGAGTCACCTGGAAAGGGCCCAAAGGACCATGGGAAGGAGACTGTTCCGATACAGGAGGGGGACCGGTCGGCAACGAAAATTGTTCTTCCATTTGCGGATACGCCGGTGATCAAGCGAAATAAGGCCATGCGCGAAGGGAAAGATGGCAAAGGCGAAAGAAGAAGTAGTTTGGGTCTCCGAGGGCGGAGAGCTAGCTCTCTGATCGAAAGTGGGAATTCTAATGGTTTGGGAATATCTCCAGACTAATGAATATTTGCTAATGCCGAGCCAGCTCTTCCGCACCACGAAGTCGATATTCCAGATTTCTACAAGCATATCGAAAGTGACGGCCTGCCGGAGCCGCGAAGGATGAGGCAATTACTTACATGGTGTGCAACACGCATGTTCGATGAAAAGCCAATGGGGACCGATTTCGAGGATTCAAGCGCACGATCAGCCGGTGGGTACACCTTGGATTTGTATAACTGGGACCGTTCTAACTCATTTCAAGCTCGGGTCATTGAGGAAGAATTGCTGAAAGATTTGGCCAACAAGTCAGAGCTCTCTGACTGGTTCAGCCAGGAAGATTTTCCTGTACCCAAGAACCCCCTTCCAGAACGACCAAATCCCAAGAACGTTCAAAACATCGAGAAAATTGCTGAACTGGAAGAACAAATTAGACAGTGGGTTTGATCTCCGAAGTTTCCTTCCACATTTAGCTGATCAGCAGTAGACTTCGGGCAGAAAAGGAGGCTTTGGAATCTTTACTGCAACCACCTAATCTCCCTAGTTTACACGAGCTCGGCGTCTCGAACATGTCGATGGAAACTCTCCAGGACAGATCCCTTCTCTGTCATGAAGATATTTTAGCCCTCGATTCAACCGCTGCAAGCACGACTTCTTCCGACCAAGTATCAAAGCGCCTGAATGATATTTACCAATCCTTGGGTCCTACAATCGATACTTTTGCGGATGGTGTCCACGCAATCGGACAATACCGTAGCGTGGCAGATAGTGTGGCAGGAAAGGTACTCGCCATATGTGCTGATAAGCTTTCACAACGAGAGAAACAAGGAAGAAAACGGGCACTGCCAGTAGGACAAGGTAGCCCGCCAAAAGATCTGGGCGGAGTATTACGCAGTTTAAGCAGGGCAGACAGATGACTATGATTCAGATCCGCTTTGGATATTTATATGAATGAATGCATGCTTGATGAATACTTGATTGGATCGCGCTTTTCAAAAAAGTAGGCGACGTGCGCAAGCTATGTGCTTGTCCAGGGGCAGAGATGCTTTGCGAGAAAGGGATGGACCGGGGAGGAGCGATAAGAGCTTTCACGAGGCTGCAGGAGAGGAATTAATAACCTCCAAGCCCAATCAATGAATGCAGTCCCGATACAACGGCCTCACCAGCCGCACAGTTACGTCATTGACCTGTCCAATCTGTTTGGCTGCTTGAACTTTTCGCATCGCCAACGGATCGTAGAGATTCTTGAGACGAGCGGGGGCAAAAGCCTTTTGATTTCTCGAATTGCAGGACCTCCTATCCCTTGCAAAAAACTGCTGTCCACTCGTCTTCGTTTCGACATGGTCACTTTGTGAGACAGTCGCACATGACACGAGTTGGTTGGGAAGTACGTGTGTGGCTGTGATGTTCTTGTCCTGGGCACCTACCTGGCATTTTGTCCTATAAGAACGACTGGAACGTTTATCTTCTGGCCTCAGCGTCTGGGCGACAAGTTTCTCCAGGATCGAAATAAGTGACACATTGTCCATCGTCTAGACCTCGAACCGCATAGATATCACTACTGGCGCAGTCAAAGGTCCATAAATATTTTTCTTGCTCCTCAAGCTTCGAATCACCGACTTCCACACGTCCTCAAAAGCCACAGAGTTCATACCTCAATCTACCCACACATAACCAAGCTTCTCTCTCTCACACACACAACATGCCTTTCCTTTACACCAAGAACTGGGGCGGTCGCCACGTCGGTGGAGGCATCACTGTCGACCGACATGGCGTGAGGAGGAACCCGTTCAGAATCTCCTTTGGACGATTTAGCTGCTTCCGATGAACGAGCCTGTGCTGGAACCAAGAAACAATCAATCGCACACATCAAAAAGAAAAATAGAAAAGTAGAGAAAAGAAAGGCTAGGGTCGAGTTTGTGGTCGGACAAGAGCACACCGCCTGCAAGCAACGGCAACGAATGGATCATTGGCAATGCACACCTAAAAATCGAGGATGAAGCCGAGCGTTGGAACTTGACTGAATGAAAAGAGAAGCATTGGGCAATTGGGGCTTTGGGGCTTTGGGTATGGTGCTCCTAGTTTTGGCCACACAATTTTTGATGAATCGCTCTTCAAGAGTGGGATGATTATTCTTTCCAACCTGCATGCATAGCGCCTATTTCCGTCTGTAATAAGAATGAAGACCTGACAACATTGATCGCGCTTAAATTAATAAACTGTCCAGCTTGAAAATTTGCTTCATTGTGCTAAAAGCTGTAATAGTCGTACATTCTTGGACATCTCAATTCATACCAAATCGATTCCCCTGGCTTTCCATCGTCAAATTGACAGCCAAATCAATCGACCGCAACCTTCTTCGGAGGTTCGTCACTTCCTGCTGAACTGGTTGAAGGTGTCACCTTGGTAATCGGGCCACTGGTCGTCGCATCGTCATCGTCATCCCAGGCATCATCAGGAGCATTCTCGTCCCAATTGTCTAATTCTTCCTCGACTGTCCGAGGCGCAACACCAGTCTCTTGATCATCGGCGTTCGGTCGTCCAGGTTCCCTATTGGCTCCTTCACCGAGCTCAAGGTCTTCGCCTTCTAAGCCATCGCCGGTGAGAGACGAATATTTGGCCCTTCTTCGTCTCTCGGCCGCCCGTCGGTGATACGTGCTGGCGAGCCCCAGAGCTGCAAGGCTTCCTAGAACATTTGCAAGAACATCCCAAGGATCGAACTCGCGGTCGTTCGGAAGCAAACCCTGTGCGACTTCGCTTCCGACTGCGAGGAAGAGCGTGCACACAATCAGGGTGAGGTGAATCACCCGTCGCCGGCTAGTGTCGAGGATGAAGTAGAATGTGGCAGTCAAAGCGAAAAAGCATATAAAATGCAGAGCTTTGTCGGATTGAGATGGGATGTATGGCTGTGCGGCTGCCGGTGTGGAAGGGAGTGAGGAATGAGGAAGCAGGCCAAGTGAGGAGGAGAAAATGAGGAGGATCAGGAAGGAGACTGTTTAACACAGGTGTTAGCAGTTCATCGAGCGTACACCATTGCGGGAGACATGCTTGCGAACGGGAAACGAATTCGCATGTTGAAAGGGAACTCTTCGGGTTATGGTGTGCAGATACTTATGGTAGCTGTCGAAGGTGCAGGTGTAGACTCGGCTGGCCGAAAGCCAGCTCTAAGAGAAAGCAAGCATGTTCTGGTTCGACAGAGCCGGACAATGTAAGTGGTGGCAATTGAGTGTCTCCTGCTTAATACACCGAGACAGAGTGCACTTAGAGTCGCTATGGTAGAGCAAAAAGCCTGGCTCGGCAAGCGCGATACCCTCGATGCAAGACGCCCGACCTTCTTTCAACCTCAAGCCTTCCATCTGCGCGAAATCACACGTCAGAAACCTCGAACTTGTCCATCACGCAGCACCGTGCATTCATCTTTTTTCGTCTCAAATCCATCGGATTCGGATTCTGCGACCTCACTTCCCTATCCACACACGTTTTGAGACGTGCCCAGCTGCCTACATCGCCGCCGCCAGGCGCCTTCCAAACTGGAGCATCTGCACCCCTCGCTCGCCGGAGTTGGGGGTTGGCAAGGCCATGTCCTTAACATGGCCGCCCCCAAACAGTCAGAAACCACCCGACGATGAACCTCTCCTCCACCCTCTGCACCGAGATACTCTAAATGGCCTGCTCAGAGCGCCTTCTCGTCCCCATACCCCTAATTCCTTCAAGATGCGCAGTCTCGGGAACGGTTCCCAGTCCGGCCAAGCCGCCGAACCAGAGCCCAGTTTTGAAGAAGATCCACAAGTTGTTCGGTTTCGTGCATTGTTCCATGAGACGGAGAGCAAACTTGCAACGTTGTTCAATGACGTGGGCCAGATCATAATTCCCGAAAGGCGCGCAAATAACGATGCGACTCACGCAGAGTCCAAGCCCGATGTCGCCCAGTCGGGCCCGGCCCCTGCCCCCATATCAAAGAAGCGCAAGTTGGACGATGACGACTATGATGATTATGACGATGACGAGGAGGAGGAGCAGGATCAAGATCTGGATGCTGCAAGAGCGTCCCCCCTCAAAGACAAGCCCAGCAAAGTCCATATCGTTACTGATGCCACCTCGTTGCCGCTGCCCAGGGCTGTTCCCCCCTCCAGCGTCCCATCCGATCCGGCAAAAGCTCCTCTAAAGACTAGCACATCAAAACAAAAGGAAGACGTCGAAGATGCCCGCAAGAAGTTGGAAGAGGCCAAGCGCAAGGAAACTGAGACGGTCAAATCCCTGTCCCGAACAATGTTTTTCACCCTGGAAAATGATAGAGACGCCATGTTGGATCAGCAACGTCTGGATGAGGCTGAGCGTCGGGCGGAAGCCGAAGCGGAAGGTCATGCCAATCGACAGAATGCGTCGATGCAGCAGGGAAGTCTGAGCAAGGCAAACCTCGGCGCATCCAGCCTGACCCTGAAAAATCTGATTGCGTTGTTGGACGAGCATCGCTCGATGGTCCATGCCACGGAATCAGAGCTCCGTGCATTGATGAGCGAAGTGCGTAAGAACCGAAGCAAATGGGCAAGCGAGGACAAAATCGGCCAAGAAGAACTGTATGAGTCGGCCGAGAAAGTCCTAACCGAGTTGAAGGCCCATACGGAGCACTCGACTCCTTTCCTCAACCCTGTCAAGAAGAAAGATGCACCTGATTATTATCTCGTCATCAAGCAGCCGATGGATCTCGGAACTATGACAAAGAAACTCAAGCAGTTTGCATACAAGTCGAAAAAGGAGTTTGTCGACGATCTAAATCAAATCTGGAAAAACTGCCTGAAATTCAACAGCAGCCCCGACCACCTATTCCGAAAACATGCACTCTTCATGCAGAAGGAGACCGACAAACTAGTCCCGTTGATCCCCGACATTGTGATTCGAGATCGCGCTGAGGTTGAGGCAGAAGAGAGAAGGCAGCAGATTGCCAATGGTGAACTGGAGGATGGCGCAGAAGAAAGTGATGATGAGCCAATCATGTCGTCTCGTGGTCGCAAGGCGCCTAAGAAGAGCTCAAAAGGCGTCGCATCAACCTCGCGGAAAGCGCCGCCAGAAACCACTCCCATCCCGGAAACGAAGCCGCCGGTCCTGCAATCACTCAATTCGGTACAGAACGGCATCCGAGCTGAATCCGAGGTGGATGGAAGTCAAGGTCATTCCACTCCTCCACCGGGAATCTTGACTCCGGTTGGAGCCTATGGTCCGGGGAGTGTGGTCGGAGCAGGCAGTGAAGCCATGGACATGGATCTGCCCGCATTGCCTTCGCAAGTGCCCATGCCTGAGTATGAAGACGAAGAATATAAACTCTGGAAACAGAAGACAAAGAAAGATCGTGCTATGCTTGCCGCCGCCCGACACAAACTCTTTCGGGGGGACAAACTGAGCCCTGACGAAACTGCCTTGTTGCGAAGTAAAGCAGGCATGCGCCGCTGGCAACGTATCCAACAAGAAGCTGCCGGCAAAGATATTTCCGAACTCGGTGGAGATGCCTCTGAACATGACAAACGAGTCGAAATCCACGGCCAAACACTTGCGGAGGGAATGGAAGTAGAAGAAGAGAGCATGCTTCCTGATTACTATGATTCGCTCGCCGCCATCCCCGACCTTGAGCCGCGACTCAGATGGGAGCAAGATTCCGAAGGTCAAGTCATCGAACGTGGAGAGGAGTTTCTACGATTGTACCCCCCGAAACAATTTATCGCACCTGAGAGCAAGTTTACCAAGAAGATGGAAGCCAATATGCGACAAATGCAAGAAACACGAAAGGTGGTGTCGAAGATCGGCGTGGTCAAGCAGATGCAGCTACAATCTCAAACTTACCAGAACCAGTTTCAGAAGTACGAGCCAGAACCCTTTGTTGAAGCGGATATTCCCAATCATGTCATGTCAGACTCTGGTCCTCTAATAGCACCGTGGGTTTGCAAAGCGGCTTTTCAACGGGCCATTGGGAAAATCTTCTTTCACGCGGGATTCGAAGAATTCCAACCGTCGGCACTAGATACCATGACCGACCTGGCAGCAGATTTCTTCCGGCGACTCTGCACAACACTGGTCAACTACCGTGAAGATTACAAGGTCCCAGTAACGACAGCTGTCCCAGCTGCCCAAGGACTAAAATCCGAGACAAGTTCGATGTACAGACCTTTCATCACCGGCGAAGAAGCCATTCTGCACACCCTACATAGCGGGGGCTTATCTTTGAATGATCTTGATGTCTATGCCCGGGAGGATGTGGATCGAATGGCCACACGTCTTACTACTATGCATGATCGCATGAAAGCTCATCTTGCCGACCTCCTCCGACCTGCTCTGACGGAAGATACGGCTCACGGTCAAGGTTCCTTTGCCGATGGCGGTGAACAGTATGTCGGTGGCGACTTCGCAGGCGACCTTGACGAAGATTTCTTCGGCTTCCGAGAACTCGGCCTTGACAAAGAATTTGGTATGGCAAGCCTCACGGTACCATTCCATATCCTCCAAAACCGCCTTGGTTTGAACAATCAACAAGTGAACCCGGCAGATGCGGCCGAGAAGATGTTTAAGGAACCACCCCGTTGGCCCAAGATCAATGTCGAAAGTGTTGAAGACCAAATCGGCCTGGTTAAGGACTGGTTTAAGAAGCGTCTGCATGACAATGGTGATCGACCCTTGACGGAGGATCTGGATCTTCCACCTAAGCAACGACCCGGATATGGTCGAGCAAGAATTCCCGCTAGCGGAAAGATTGGCGAAGGAACAGTCAAGAACAACACGAGCCCTACGAAGAAAGCACCTGTAAAGAACGCACCTGCCCCGAAAGCTAACGGAGGTACAACGCCTGGAGATAAAGGCAAGAAAAAATCGGTCGTCGTCAATGGTGTGGGTGATGACACGCCGGTTGCCAATGGAGTCAACACATCAACACCAGGGCTTGGAGGAGACGGTAGCCCAGAGAAGAAGAATTCTGTCGTGAAAGCCAAGGTGACTGCATCGGACCTCAAAGCTTCAGATAAGGACAATGCTGCACCAGCCGCGGACGGTGTCGATGGCACGCCCGAGGTCAACGGGGTGGTGAAAGTTAATGGTGTTGTCGGATATGGCGATGCCAGTATGATGAGTCCGGAGAGCCTATGATTTAGAGACAGGACAGAGGGAACGATTATGAGATGATTGACAGCGCGTCAATATGAACATGACCTGGGGTGATGGGGAAATGCATTCTGGATTCTGGAGGGTTAGGATAGAAGGGACCAAGACTTGGGCGGCTTGCATATTACATCGATGGCTTCCTATTTGGTTGATGATGACGGTTCTGTGATTGATACCCAATTCGGGTAGGGGAAATATCAGAGAGTTGTGTGGACATAAAAATGCGTTTATTGATTATCCCTGGTGTCGTCCAGAACGAAATTTGGCGAATTTGAGTCCGCCGTGCTAACCACACAAATTGGCAAGGGAGGTTTCTGTTGCTTCTGCTCGATTTAAAGATGACGCGTATTGTGTTTTTACGTTCATGTTGGATTGGATTGCATCCTCATTGTCGTCTTCGTATCAAAGCCTCTTTCAGTTTCAATTTCAAGTGTCAAGGATCATCATCACAGATCACTCACATGTCTGTCTTTCTCTCTGCGTCTGTGCTTTGAAAATATATTCTTCTGGTTCTTAAGTGTCCATTTTCCATCTTTAATTACCCTACCTACCCACGCACGCACGCACGCACGCACGCTGTGATATCCACTTCTAAAAAGTCAACCATAACGATGATACCTGACTTGATACCGGAGAGCAGAGTACCACGTCCTGTCCTATCTTCTTTCTCCCATGCTCGAGTTGCGTTGAAAACAATGGTGGGTGGATGGGCAAACCAGATTAATTCACACAATCTGTACTTCTTCTCTCTGCCTTGCTCACTTTTAGATGGCGTTGGATTTTCACGAAAAATAGCTCCGTACAGTCGCCTGCCCATCTGGCGATAGAGATTGGAGGACCTGATCAGCGTTGATGCCAGTTTGCGTGACCATATTTTTGGCGCTCTCGGCGACCTTCTTTGCTGTTTGACCTTGGATCATCTCAGCCTCGAGTGCCAATGCAATATGATGGAATACTTGTTGTGCTTTGGCAAACACCGCGGGATTTTGCCTGGGAATGAGGTCAGTCTTGTATCTGCTACCACCAGTATGAAATTAACTTACTGGTCAATGAGTTGGGCAACGAAGGAGTAAGCATATGGAGCTGCTTCCTCGTCATTGACAACAGGCAGAGTATCGATCCACTGCTCAACCACTTGCTGCGGATTGGGAACTTTGGAAGAATTGAAATGGAGAATCTTCGCAATTGCGGCGCAGGCATTTTCCGTGGCGAAGACATCGTCATCACCTCTGGCATTGGGCACCTGCGTGATCTGGAACAGAGTTTCGAGACTGGCGGCCACAAAGTCTGCCCATTGCTCACCACCTTTTTGAGCAGCGATACCGACTCCATAAGCGGCAGCTTGGCGATTTGCGGCGGTTTCGTCTCTCATACCGTTGATCAGTGGTTGAATAATATGATCGCTGTATTGCCAGGATTGTGGACCACAAAACTCGAGAACGTCGTCCATAATGCAGATTGCCCATTGACGTTGAGTGGGGTCACTATTAGTGATGAAGGCGTCATAGAATGGCATCAACCTCTGCCACGGACCCAGGAAATTAACACCCATGTGTTTGAAGATGGTGTGGAAAGCCTTGTTCATGTCGGACAACAATGTCTGGTCATCCTCAATGGCGTATTGCACCGATAACGAGTCATCATCTTCATCCACACCCTGCAGGGCGGATTCGGCTTTTTCTTCGGCCCGCTCTTGAACGCGCTTCTGAAATTCTTCCAGGGTTGATTTGACTGACTGGATGAATGCTTCCATATGCTCCTGTGTCAAGCAGTTCTTGCCAACTACCTCGACACTTTCGTAAAAGCACTGGAACATTTCGGCCAATGTATCAATTGCTGGTTCAGCGCTGAGGATCTCAATCTCTTTTTCACAACACTTGGCCCACAATTCCATTAGTTGTTGTGATTGATCTCCGAAACGCTTTTTGTATGAATTTAGCAATTGAGGAATCAATTTCGCAGAGGCCACCCGAACAGGATCATGGAAGAAGAATGCCAACCCAGGTAGAGCGATTCGTTCGGCAATGTCGGCCACGTAAGGCTCAAAATCGGCCTCCAAAATTTGCGCATAGATTGTGATCAGTTCGATGGCAGTGTTTTTGTCCTCGAGCGTTTGTGTCTTAATTCCGATGACTTTGCCTTTCAAAGGGACCAATTCCCAGCCATCATCTTGATCTAGCGCATCTTCTTCACTGTCGATCAGTTGGATATCGGCCTTCGCAGATGCCAACTCGAGCAACGGTGGCATGACGCCCGGCAGATACGGAACGAAATCAGAGCCCAGCACTCGACACATTCTTCCCCAGCAATGAAGAAGGTACTGTGACTGTGGATCGTCATCGTCTGAGATATTTTGCTGGATATTACCCAGGGTTTGCACGAGGTTGATGCCGTCCTGGCCCATCTTTTCTTTTCCAACCGCAAGGGCAATGAGAGTGGCACATTCCATTGCTTTGGCCCGGAGTAATCTGTACTCTTTCGATTGTTCGGATTGCAGAACACGGAAAAGAAGAGGCATCAAAGTATCATAATATCGAATGAAGGCTGTCTCGGCGGAATCGGCAATCGTGGCAATCGTGGACAATGCTTGTTCTTGAACGTAACGTTTCGGTGACTGCAGGAGCTGCAAAAGATGGCCGAGCAATTGATCCAGGTAGGGCTCTAAAATGGACTTCTCCGCCTCTTCGCAAAAGTTGACCAGTGCTGCCGCTGCATGGGCTTGAACACGAGGCTCGGGAGCCTCCAGGACAGGTATGATGTTGGTCAGGACCACTTGATGATACTTTTCTTGCATCGGTCCAGCAAAGTCGGTGCTCATTTGTCCGAGAGCGTTGCACCCTGCAAACCTGACACGAGGATGAGGGTCTCTCAACGAGGGTACGACAAGTTCGAGAACTTTGTCAAGTTCGCCAATCATCAGATCTCGGCATCCTTCAGAGATGGCTGAAATAGCCATCAAGGCCGCATGGCGATCCCTCCACGAGGCCGAGTGCATCATTCGGGGCAACCAGGTAAAGGTTGCAGGCAGCATCGCCTGTCCACCCAGCTTGTTCGCCAGTCGATCCATGCACTGCTCGCCTGCGACGTGATTCATGTCGCTTTCTTCCATGTCAAGGTCTTCATTGGCATTCCATTCTGCAGCATCATCGTCATCGATTCCGATATCAGTCATCAAGCTGAGACATTGAGTAACCATGTCATTGGTGTAGTTTGGATCCTTTTTGCACATGGCGGGAGCCCATTCCGCGAATGTAGCCATCAGTTCCAGAGCATTCTGTCGTGTCTGGTCACCCAGATCCTTCTCTTGGATAACGGAAATACTGAACTTGACCAGGCTCCCAAACAGGCCTTTGAACATTTTGGGGGCAGCTTCGGCGAGTTCAATGAGGGACACAAACGCCTTGGACAGGTTGTCGGTATCTCCAGCCTCTTTCAACGGTGGGAGGATGTTGAGAATCTCGGGGATCAAGGCGTAGTATTTCGGCTGTGTCTTTTTGGTGATGGAATGGAAGAACGAGGCGAATGCTTCGATCGCGGACAGTCGAACCTGGAAAATATCAACGACCGATACTCAAAGTATATTGTACACCGGCTCTTACTTCGACGCTGCTATCCTTGAAGCCCTTCCCAAATACCTCTTGGACTGCACTTTCGTGTTGTTTTTCAATAATGCCCGGGGTTGTGGAAAATATTCTGAAAGCACATTCACGCATGCCCGCATCATTGGACTGGCTTGCTTGGAACAAAGCCGCCAGCAGTTCCATCCATAGCTCACCTGTCCCCAGAAAGTCAATAAAATTCCACTGGGACCGTACAAGATATCGACATACCTGCGTCGACATATTGTCGTGCAATTTCAGCGATGGCATCTCCGATTTTGTTTCGAACGTGGTTGACCTGCTCTCTGGCAAGGCCCTCTAACAATTTGGAGCGTATGGCACCTTTGGCCTCCGTGCTGAGTGTCAGAAAAAGTTCTTTGGTTTCGCCCGTGGCAGGACTTTTCCGCGATTTGGAGGCCTGTTTGCGAAATAATACTGCCGCGAAGGACCGTGTCTACCGAGTCTCAGAATTTCTTTTCGCACCAGATCTTGAATAAGACGTACCGATGGGTCTTGAGCAGCCTGTATTTGTTCCACCAAGCCCATCAACAGCATATCCGGACGGTTTGGAGTCCAATCATTATTCAACTGGTCTTCGGCCTGCGTGCGCAGCGTGTTGTCGGGAGAGGAGAGAGCTTGGAGGAGCCGAGTCAAGGCTCCCTGCACCTCGGCAGGGAGAACAGACATCTTGACGGATTTATTCTGTTACATGCAACTAGAGGATTGTCAAGATGCGGGATCGGTCGATGCGGATTGTGGACTCAAATCTGTGCGCGAAAACAGACGGAAACAGGGACTGAAGGTGACCAGAGCGTGAGGGCCGGTGGGAGGCCGAGAGAAATAAAGAAGGGCGATCCGCTGTAGAGGGGCAGATGAGAAATGCAGTGAGTCGAGGGAGATGGAGGGTACAATTCTCAGATCAGGAACCCGAAGCATAATAAATTTTAGTGAGCGAGAAAACACAGACGCAGCGAGGAACTCCACCGCCCACTCACTTCGTACTACGGCAACCATCTAATACTACTCCTAGTAAAAAGTCAGCAACTGTATGATGCTTTTCTCTTTGTATTGGCCCGAGTCCCACTCTCGACTGCGCTTTGTTCATCTCACGTGATATCGACCGCACCTCATTCGACCACGAATCCCAAACTGTTGCAGCTCTCAATGCCCCCTTGCACTGACGGGTTTCATCTTGGTATCTCTTGCGTTCTTTTACTTGATCACATAACGCACAGCTTCTTCTTCGCGACCCATTATGACTCACTTTACACGGAGATGCGGTGAGCCAAGGTGAGCCTGACTGTCTACTTGAGGCAAGATAGGAAGGCCAGAAAATTAATGAGATATCGATATACAATAGGTGGACCTCTGGGCCCCCGGCCGGAGCCATGCATCTTTCCGTCTTGGCCAGATTGCCTCCCATCTCAGCATCTCACAATTCAACGGCGAAACGCATGCCAATGTAAATCCGACGATGAACACTGGCCACAACCCCGCGCATAGCCTTTCAGCTCTCGGTTGATCTCCATGTGAATTTGGCCATGTGGCCTACAGATAAAGATTGCGCAGAACATCGCTGAGATATGCAACGAGCATCGCGTGGGATGCCCTTATAATCCCGAACTGATGTCAACTTTGGGATTTCAAGACGGACTGGGAATAAGGACCTAACATTCGAGACGTCCCTCCTAAACCTCAACCATAAAGTCAAGAACACACCTCACCTTCTGTTTGATACCATTTCGAATCTTCAGAATAGGAAAGCATTCACCAACACAGCACAATGAAAGTTGTTAATCTGCGTCAAAGCTGTCAAACTCAAAATCAAACCGACTTTCCTTCAGCCCTGGCGAACCTTGCCTAGGTGGCACTATCCTCAAGCAACCTGAGAAAGAGGAGTAGAAATGTTGACCGGCAATATCTCATCCCGCCGCGAAACCCGTTCTGACACTTCAAGCGAGTCTGCCAGAGACTTGAGCGAGCTCGAACGTGGAGGGTGCGACATATCCTTTGGTACTGTCTGAATGGGACCGAGTTGTGGCATCGACACTCTTTCGCGTCCATCGGCTTTGTCTGCTACGGTGAAGTTGGTTGGTTCATTTGTGGCACACCGGGCGGTAAGAGCGGTTGGACTTTGGGGTCTTGTTGATACGTCAATTCTGGTCTTCACCTGGGCCTGATTTTCGGGTGGAATAGGAGAGGATGGTAGGGCGATCTCGTCGGGTTCCAATGATAGATGTTCTATCTTAGCTGCCGATGCCGCGACGGCTTGCTCTTGCATGCTCTTGTCTTCCAGGCTTTCTTGTTGCTGCTGCGCCAGTTTCCCTCCGTTTTCGATGCCCAGGCCAAAATCCAGTTCCTTGGACGTGCCGATTGTGGCCGGCAAAGTATTCATGGTCGAGGATTCTGGTATATTTAGAATCGCCGTCGTTGAGCTGATTTCGGTTTCTGACTCGACTCCCTTTCTCCCTTCGATTTCGAGGCTCTTAATCCCCGACCCCGTATCGAAGGCAGAGTGTGAATGCGATGTCGACCCCAAGACAAGCGAATCTACTTCTTCATGGTATTCAAAACGATTGTGGGACCATGAGCCCGTCGGGTTGGAAGCTAGACTCGTCAACTGACGAGGTAATTGAGAGTAGCCTCGACGTCTGCCACGACGGAGAAAGCGCGCCCAAGCTTTGAGGTTAGATTTTCGGGGCGGAATCTGCGAAATTGGGTTGGATTCCGTGTTTGTGGAAAGGTTATGATCGTCGTTGCCAAAACTAACTTGAATCAAACCCTGTCTGGATTCAACAGTCTCGACCACTGGCGGTGAGCATTTTCGAGTTCGAATCGCACGGAATGGGTTCCTGGACTTTGGCCCAGCGGACGTCGAGGACGTTGTTAATCCGGGCGGAGATTCAGCATCGATCGATTTATCCTGATCCCTCGAGGATGAGCTGGGCCGAAGTGAACTCGAGATCAGTCTCAAACTCTTGAATTTCGAGAGTACATGGATACTGTTCTTGCCACCAACCAGTGTCGGTTCTGTATTGGGACTCGACCCACATCGTTCGAAGCTATTATAGTTGCCGCGAGTCAGAGTCCTTCCGCGGAAGTATGGTGAAGAGGAAGGATCTTTGTGACTAGGCCCGTTGTCGAATTCATCGTCAGCGTCACCCACATCGGAGATGACGGTGTCTTGGAACGTTAGACCATATCTCTTATTCCGACGTCCTGGGGACGTAGGTCGACCTTTGGCCACTATGTGGGCACTTGGAGACGTCGCTACCGAAGACGAGCCCGAGCTGGCCCCCTGGTGAGATGCCGGGAACAATGGAGAAGAGACGTCTTCTGCCGATACGTTGTTGCTGTCGACCTCGGCCTTGACCTCAGTCTGACTTTCCAGGATTCCGCTGTGGTCACTTTGTGAGTCGTTGTCGTACACGAAAGCATCCGAAGTCGCCGGACTGTTGGGTTGTTCCGACGGCTGACTCTGAATTTCCACCTTGACTTCGCTGTCCCAGATGAGGCCTTCCCCATTCTCAGAAGCATGTGTAGGACCAGACAGTGCAGTAGCAGTCTTTTCGAGAGCGAGCGGTTCTGCATCGAGTTCGGCCAATAGGCAGTCTTCACAGATTTGATTCAGAAACGACTTCTGAACGGTACGATGCTGGGGACAATCCCGGGGTTCGGCCGGTCTTGCACGTCTTCTGAACTGTTTGTAGGCCATTTCGGCATCAACTCCTCTCTCTTCAAGCCATTCGTCTAAGGAATGTTGAATATTGGGAGCAAAACAGGGCGAGTGATCTCGTTGGTACGAAAGGCAGAGAATACTGTGGTTGTAGTGGCAACCACATTCGCGGTAAGTCCAAACCTCAGTAACACACATCCTGAAGTGAACAGTGGAATCTAGAGAACTAGAGAGAGAGAGAGAAGAGGCAGAACTCGATTCCGGCAAGGGATTATGACATTCTTCCAGAGGTTGCTTAAGATTGAGCTATCAAACGCCTCGACCGCGGGGAGGTTGCAGCGCACGTCAAACCGTTGTTGATGGTTTCCCGCCAGTCCTCTCGCAATCTGCAGGGAATCAATGAAAAAAGAACAAAACGTTGCCGTCAAGCAAATTTTCGTCTGTGTGGCGTTTAGATTGGAATTGTTCAAGCTCGAATGGTGCTGGCTGAATGTCCATGGAGTCATTGTGCGGCTGCCTGCATCCAGATTAGATTCTCACCTGGCACGCGTCCCCGACTGAATGTTCTCAATTTCGCAACTGTGAAGCGAACCGTTCTTTCTGGCGGCCATCCGCGCTCATCAAATGTTGAGTGTGGACTCGATTTCCCGGTGGCGAGTCCTTCAAGCTCCCTCACCTGTCATAATTCAATTACCCTCGGCGATCTTTTCGAAGTCAATCCAACATTCGTGCTCGACCATCCTGGGCATGGTTTCATCATAGAAGACCTCGTACCTACTTGTGATACCTGGCGACATGTCTGGATGTTTTGCCGATGTTCTGTACTTCCGATACACGGCAGCCATTAAGGTGAGCATTTCTGCATTGGCCAAATGCATCCCGATACACATTCTTGCACCACTTGAAAAGGCCCAGAAATATCGATTTCTGATATCCGATTCTGGGATTACGGCACCGGAAGGCGTCAGCCATCTTTCTGGTCTAAAGGTCAAAGGAGCCGGGAAGACAGTCTCGTCCCGATGGAGGGCAAAAGGGGACATGCCAACGATCGTGCCGGCGGGTATTTCATAGCCATCGACGACAGTGTCGACGGGTGAGGATCGAGGCTCAAATGTAGGCAGAGGTGAGTACAGTCGTAGAGATTCTCGCACCACAGCGTTTAAGTAAGGCAGTTGGGTCAAATCCTTCGGGATCGGGAGACCTTGACTGTCGACGGCGACCAGCGAGACCTCTTCTCTGAGCTTCTCCTGATATTCCGTGTGTTGGGGCAGTGAGAGAGCCCAGATCATGAACATCAAAGAATCTGCAGTGGTGTCAATTCCGGCCAAAAAATGGTCTGCACATTCAGAAGCGATATCCATGTCGGTCATATTGGTCTCCTTCTGTATTTTAAACAAGCGTCCAATTACTGTCGTCTTGGCAGCCTTCGCCTGAACTTCAGCTGGGGCATTCTTGAAACTGTAGAAAGCTGTGAGTGCGTGCTGACGGATACCAGAATAAGTGAAAGGTTTCCTCATTGGCATCAAGCCCAGAGATGTCAGGACTCTTTCCAGGAGCCCGGTGCGCGTAGTGATCCATTTGGTATAAGCAGGAAAGTGGACGGTAAACCATGCCAGTCGCCGCCGGGCAGGATTCAAGATGTCTTGAATCAACTCTCGGGATTGCTTGGATCCCGACACCGCTGTTGTTGCTCCATGATCCGGTCCATAAACAAATTCAGAGATTGTATCAACGGAGAAGTAGTGCAAGCTGCCAAATATCTCACTTGCATGTTCCGGATCCCGTTCGAGAAGAGACAGAAAACCGGCCACTTTCTTTTGCACCATGGCTGAGAAATCGGCTCCAAGCACGGTCTGGTTGGCATAAATGTGACTGACTAACTTCTTTCGATCGCGATGCAGCTTTCCAGAGCCAAAAGTAAAAAGATTTGGGCGGCCGTAGACATCGAACATTCGGTAAAAGGCAGTTCTTTCAAAACCACTTCCTGCTCCATAGATGGTCCGCATGGCGGAGAGGGTGTTGAAAGAAACTTCATTCGGTCCAATTCGAACGACAGGACCGTATTTTCGATGTAAATTGAGGACGGTATGAATTGACCGAGCTTGCCATGCATCGATGGCAAGTCTGAACTGTGTCGCAGCATAAAGCCAGGGTCCAGGAATCCTTCTGAGCTTTGCAGAATTCGGAAACGAGCAAGAAACAGCATATGAAATTATAGCCAACACAACCCAGAAGCCGATGGGTGACCCCAGAACGCCCAAACCGGCGCCCAATACTTCAATATCCATTTGGAAGGACTTTTCTTTGGCCTTTTCTTCATTGGCTAACATGGCTGCGAGCTGTCTTTTCAGACTTAATCTTGTCTTACTATTGCGCTTTCGAGATGGAAGAATCAACTTCGAAACCGCCACTGTTTAGAAAGCAAAACCATCGGACATTGGAGCATTCTGGGGAACCGCCCCGGCGGTCATGTCCGTGTCATATTTCGATTCTGCACCGAGGACCAACAGAATAAACCCTCATTGGCAATGGCCCTCATATGCCTGGAAGGCCGGGGCATAATCCCGAGTATGGAGTTGCGCGCTCAAGTTGTTCAAAATAACGATGCCGAGAACGTTGTCGCATAACTCCATTCTTGTCATCATTTAGAATTTCAAAACAGAGCTGTGTGGATGAGGCTTTTGAGACAAGAGGCCCGGAGGTGGGTGCCAATATACCTCTCTCCTTCGCAGGGAACTGGCGCCTTTGTACAGTATACTCCAGACTCGGCGGTTCGGGCGGGCTCTTCGAGGCTGGGAATATCTCTGAGTTTCCCGTACCCCTGGGACAAAAATGAGAGCGATAGATACGGGTGGGTCATCTGTGGACACAAGCTTGTCGCCGCTTGAGAGTTGGCCCGGCATAATCACCAACCTATCACATCTGCCCATATTTCTTCACCCAGTGTAAGAGTCTCCCATCTGCCCTGTTTACCCTGCCATACCGACCAGAGCGTCGGAAATGAGCTACCACTAGAGCTGTTTCTTCCACACGTGGGCGTGAGAGTGTGAGATTCAGATAACACATTCTGGGCCTCGCTCCGAAAGTGGCAGGTGCCTGGTCGTCTGGAATAATGCCGCAACAGGCCATATCTCAGACAAAAAGGCCTGTCCGATCAGCGATCAATCGGACAGAGTTACTCGGGAGACAGGATATCCCGGATACGAGAGGTATATCAGGCGATGGCAAATGAAGGACGATTCGCACGTCAGCCAGGGTCTGAAGAGGGTGTTTCTGGAAGGCTAGGGCGTTCGCTGGGGTGGGATTCCGTCGATCGGATAGCTCTTTCGAAGGCAAAACTGAGTTGTCTTGGTGTTTAGTCAAGTGCTTCAATCGGTGCTTATCGCAGCCTTCGGGGCCTTAACAACACCTTGTCAGGATACTAAGTCCCGCCTCGACTGGGAGATAATCCAATGGGAGCAGAATTGGATAGGATAACCCTGCGGGCGACGCCCACAGGTGGCCAGAGGGATGGGAGGCGGGAGTGGACCAAACTGCGATGAGATACTGGATACGGCGAAGCCAAGTCGAGCCAAAGCGTGCCTGGTGCAACGGGCCACAGCCACTGCCATCTGCACCCACTCAGAGGGGCCTCCGCTCTGTTATCAAACACCTCTCACTGACACCTGCTCGACTCAACTCCATTCACCTCGTTTGCATCTCACCCATGTCACGCTACAAGGCCACACTGCTACCACGTTACCGCCCTACTCTATCGCGATCTGGTAGCCCCCAGCTGTCCACCTCTTCCCCGTCGGCTCCTCCACTCTTGCATGGACCCTATTCATCAAGTTATAAAGAGTCATTAGACCCTCGTCCGACACCTTCCTCCCATCCTCTGTCCTGGCTTCCTTCCTCCGGTGACATCGATCTTCATATCGGGAGGCCACCTTTAAGCGGACAATCTCGTCAGAGATACATCCATCAACATGGCCACCAATGATGCCTATGACCCTGAAAAGGGTATTGAACCCGTCAAGATTCGAACGTCCGTTGACGAGAATGGCCGCAAGTATTCCTTGACCGGTCGAAAGTCCTCCGTGGTCGAATCCATCATTGCCGCAGATCTCCTCGACGAACGATATGCCATTACTCACCGTGGCCTCAAGAGCAGACATGCTCAGATGATTGCGCTCGGTGGCACCATTGGTACAGGGTATGTCTGTGATTTCATGATCTTTTGGCCCAGAATGGCAAATGAGCTGGATTTGTCTGAGGCCTTTTTTTTTTTTTTTCGTGTGTTTCATTCGTTCGCATTCGGCCCATTTTCCATCCCAACCAAAGAGGACAAACCAGCTGACCGAATTCGGAACAGTCTCTTTGTCGGATCGGGTCAAACTCTCTCGTTGGGCGGCCCGGCATTCATCCTTGTCGCGTACATTATCATGACTTTTCTCGTCTATTGTATCGTGACCGCCATCACCGAAGTCGCCGCCTACCTCCCTGTACACGGTGGCACCATGTCCTACTACGGCTATCGTTATGTCTCACGTTCCATGGGCTTCGCACTTGGCTATCTTTACTGGTATGCCTTAGGCATCTTAGTGCCCTACGAAGTCACCGCAGCCGGTCTAGTCATTAACTACTGGCCAAACGATGTCAACATTGCCGTCTGGATGACCATCATGCTCGTTGTTATCATCGGTCTGAACTTCCTGCCTGTCAGATTCTACGGCGAAACCGAATTCTGGTTCGCGGGTACCAAAGTCATCCTCATGATCGGCCTTCTGATGCTGAGTTTCATCCTTTTCTGGGGTGGCGGACCTACCCGCGACCGACTTGGCTTCAGATACTGGAACGACCCCGGAGCTGCGCATCCGTATATCGTTGGCGGCGACACAGGTCGATTCGTTTCCTTCTGGGAAACACTTATTCTCTCCGTCTTCCCATTCACCTTTGCCCCCGAACTCCTGGTTGTCACTGGCGGAGAGATGGAGTCGCCACGTCGTAACCTCCCCATCGCCTCGAAACGCTATTTCTACCGTCTCGTCATCTTCTACGTCCTCGGTGTCTTGGCCATTGGCGTTACTTGCCCGAGCGATGACCCGCGTCTGACCAACGGTGGCGCTGGCGCCGGCTCCTCTCCATTCGTCGTCGCGATCGCCAACGCTCAGATCGATACGCTGCCCTCGATCGTCAATGCGGTGATCCTCATTTCAGCCTGGTCATCCGGTAATTCCTTCCTCTACATCTCATCTCGCGCACTCTACAGTCTGGCGGTGCAAGGCTCAGCGCCCCGGGTCTTCAAGACCTGTAATCGGTGGGGTGTTCCTTACCTGGCGGTAGGCGTTAGTTCACTCTTTTGCGGATTGGCGTACCTCAACGTGGCATCTAGCGGCTCGGAGGTCTTCAACTGGTTTGTTAATTTGACAAACACGTGGGGAATGACTTCATGGGTGTGCTGCATGGTCGTCTATTTACGATTCCGAAAGGCCTGCAAGGCGCAAGGAGTTCAGTCCCCCTACCACAACTGGCTGCAACCGTACGGCGCGTACATCGCCATGGTCATGTTTACGCTTTTGTGCTTGATCAATGGCTTCACCGTGTTCTTCCCATCCGAGTGGTCCGCATCGTCATTCCTGACCGCTTACATCGGCATCCCTATCTTCTTCGTCATGTACTTCGGCCACCGTATTGTCTTCTGGCGCGACAAGTGGGCCTGGGACCCTCATGAGATTGACATGAAGACTGGTCTACAAGAAGTTATTGATGCGGAGCGCCCCTTAAAGAAACGCAAGGGTTTGGCCAGAATCTGTCTGATTATTGAATAATTAATAGGAAGAGGTGATGCACACTTGTTTATCTAGCTGATTTCTACTGAACATACCACTTCGCTTGTCCCTCCTAGCGCAAGAGACGTATAAAATAGATATATCACCAGACCCTGTAGGGTCTTGAACCGAGTCTCCATCTGGTTTCAGTCTCCTTCCATGTTTCCAGCCTACGAGCTCACACCTTATCGAGATGAATGAAGTTCATATAGACTCGGACGATTCAATATTCATGACTAAAAGAAATTGGCACCCAGCCGAATCGCATTGAACCGAATTTGTCTCGCTTCGTGAGTTTCCCCACTTTCGAACTTCAACTCGCCCTCTCTTCGCAATGTAGGCAGTGATTCCCTACCCGAAGTCCTCTTTCGTTTCAATTTTTCCTTTCTTCTTTCTTTCCCTTACCCTCGAGGTCGGAATAGCCCGTGCTGCTATGGATTACGTAGTAGAACACCCACTCCCGTAAGTAATCAATCACACCAATGGCGCTGGGTCGGAATAAACTAGTCCATCGGCAAATCCTTAAACCCCATGTACAGCTCATAATGAATGTCCATTCTCAATTCGTTCAATTTCCCATATTCATGTCCAATCTGGGGGGAATATAGGCAATGCATCGTTGCTAGATATGTGAATTATTCTGAACAGTCAACACCTCATAACACCAAAAAACTTCTGAGTCCAACATTCTCTCCTGAGACAGCTCCATCTGTTTCGTTCGCCTGTGCAAACCCAAAATTGATGGGCTTCTTCTTTCGAGCGCCTCTCCTGCAAAATTCCAAAATGCTCCTCGCTGTTCGAATAGTCCAACCGTTTAAATCATTACCTGCATCAATCTGACCAAGCTCGATGAAGAGGCAATCACTAACCTCTAGCCATTGCCATGGCAGGAACATCGCCTAAATCGACTCCAAAACTGGCTCTCAAGAAAACACGCTTCCTTGATCCATCCACTTTTCCACTCACAGACCTCGTTCTTGCCGATCCTCTGAACCCGTTATCTCGTTCATATCCGAAGCCCATACCACTCGAATATCGTCCGAATTCAGGGGGTGGCTGAGATCCCTCTAGATCAGGTGGATGTAACTCCTCGGCAAGTGAGGATGCCAAGCTGCAAACACTAGGTGCTTTCGACTGTGAACTAGGGCCATAATCGCGTGAGGCGGATCCGGACAGTCTCGGGGATGGTAGAGGTCGACGTTGAATTGGCTCACGTGACCGACTGCTCCGGCCGCGTGATGGCTGATAGTCCTGAATAGCGGAGCGTCGTCGGGACTGTCGCATGTAGGCAGATGTCTGTTCGTTCGAATGATGATACGAATCTACATAGGATGAGTAGGGCTGTCGTTGAGGCCGCGTGTTACCGGTATATCCACAATAATGCTCTTCATGCGGAGAGGAATACTCTTCAGGTGAGAGACGTTGTGTCCATCCTTGTTGTGACGGGTTCCGTGGAGGAATGACGGGGTAGAGCGGCTCATCTTCAACTTTATGATGTTTTTCATAGTTTTGAGAATCCCAAGACTGGGTTTTCAGTGCTTCACCGGCAGGCTGCTTTCGAGCTTTCCACGCTGCAGCCTGTGCAGCCCACGAATCTGGGGTTATATCCATAGGTCGAGGAGAATGAGATGGCGGTGGAGGAGCAATTGCCATATCCGAATAATCTTCTTCATAGTCGACATAGGAAGGCCGTGGAGAATGTGGCGGGGGAGGAGGAGCTGGTCCACTGCCCATCGAGAACTGTCTCTGCTGCTGCGACGATGTTCGCCACGCCTTCTGTAACATCTCAGGGGTGATTGGAGGAGCATCACTGGCCAAACTTGCTGGACTCAGGTATTTGCCAGGAATACCCCCCCTATCGTTGAATGATGGTCTTCTCTCGGCCAACATACGATCACGTTCTTGGATAGATCGACTCCGTAATCGGGCAAGCTCGGCTGCAGCTTTGTCATCCATCATGGATCGTCGCCGAGGTGCGACAGTAGAAATATTGTAGGGATATGGACTTGTCAACCGTTCAGAGACAATGTTCCCATGCACCAAATCGTAAGGGCTACCGCCTAGCGTTGAGGCCACAGTGCCAAAATCATTGATGATGGCTCTTGCCTCAGCCTGACTGATACCGGAATTGCGCCGCGAGCTTATATTGTCTTCCTTGGAGCGACCAATCCATGACCTGGGTCGACCGCAAGAACGAGATCTCCTTCCGTGCATTTCTTGCTCGGGGTTAGGTGAAGGAAATCGGATCTCAGTCGAAGGCAGATTCATGTTCGATATGCTGGCTTGATTCCTCATGTGATTGAGTGGAACATATGTTTGTTCAAGCTCGGGAACTTCCTGGGTACGAATTTGAAGGTTCTCTCGTGCTTCGGCAGGGATTTGGGGAACAGAATCGCCATCAAATGATTGTACTCGGGTTACGGCAATCTTCCCTGGGGGCTGACTTAATGGACGCTTTTTCTGCAGCTTCTTTCGAATCTTTGCGGGCTTGACGGGAGCAACTTCCGATGTAGTCACAGCCGGGGCAGAGTTCAATGAGATGGCGGCAGGTCGTGAATTGGCAAATGTTGGTAGATGAGGCTCCATCTTACGCGGCTTCAGAATGGACGGTCCACGGTCTAGGAGAGACGCCCTCCGCTCCAGCTGTGCAGGTCGGACATTCGATGCTGGAGCAGGTATGTTTGGCAAAGACTCCGTCTCAATAGGATACACTGCTTTCGACATTTGAAGCGACCGGAGTGAGTTGATTGAGCTATAACCACTGTCTGACTTCTCCAGTGCGCGAGGAAGTTGGAGCCGGGTTGGCGACGGTTGAGCTTGGAACTCGAGCGCTGATTTGAACGCTTCGTCGGCCGGTACGCGTGGCTCGACCGGCGAGTACCAACTCATCACGCTTTCACGAGACGCGTCATCATCCGTCCGCACTCTCTGCCTGTGGATGACCGAACCACTAGGAGAAAGCGATCCTTCGAGCGGACTCATTGGAGAATAACTCCTGGCCTCCACGGGCAACGGCAAATTCTGCAGCGACCCCTCAGACTTACTCCTTCGTAGAGATCCGGATGAGAATGGACTCGTAGGAAGCTCAGCCATATATGCCTTGGCCATCAAAGATGTCTGGTCTTCGTCTTGATCGGGCACTGTCTCTACCGTTACGGACACGACACTCTGAAGAGGGTGCACTCTGGAAGCTCCGTCATCGTTGCTTTCCCAACTGAAGTTCCGGCGGTTACTCTTCTCATCAGGAGTATTTCCCCTGGACGAACCCCTTATGGTCGTGATCTGTTCTGCAGACTCCTCATCGGCGTCACCATAATCGCTCGAGACGTCTCGGAGTTGTTTTGGCACGGGCAAAAGGGGTCTCGAAACCTTGGAGATCTCACTGAAGGTCGGTGAAGCTCGTCCATTGACGATTTGTAGAGAGCCATGCCTTAGACCCGCCAAATGCGAATAATTCAAGGACGCCGGTGTACCGACACGACCAGCTATCATGGGAGGCGGAGGCTGCCAGTCATAGTCGTCTGAGGGAACAATATTCCTGTCTTTTTTATCCTCAATCACACTCTCTTCCTCTTTGATGTCTTCTTTCGGCGGGGTTGCAGATGGCTTTCTTGTGGCAGTGCCAGGCGTGAAAGAAGCTCGACGAGTAGGAGGAATGGAGGGTGAATCGACAATTTGATCTAGAGACGAATCCGGAGTCGACGAGGCCGCTGCATCACCTTTCAATGGGCCAGCTCTTTCCTTACTTCCCGAGCGAGCCAGACCTGACGATCCCTGCGCAGACAACCGCCGCAACAAAAGAGATGCTCGCTTTTTCGGTTTGGGAGGTGAGGGAGGAGGCTCTTGTGGCTGAGAGGCTTCGTCCGATGTACTTTTCTTATCAATCTGGTTGACCATATAGGCGACGCTCCATGTCGAGTCGTTCTTCATGGATTGGAGCCTATCCGAGTCGAACACCTGATTTCGAATCTGGCGTCGAAGGGCGGGATTGTCAGGGTGAGAGGACAAGGGACCTGTCGTCACCAACTCGGCCGTGCTGGTATTCTTGCTTCGAGATACGGGCTCTTGAAGACTGGTTGTGGATATACTTGTGGATATCTTGCTGGTAAGTGGTTTGGACAGTCGGTTTCTTCGACGAGTTTCCCGCTCATCCTGAACAGCCCGGGCTTGGTGCTGAGTCTGAGGCTCGACGGGAATGCTTGATTTGCGTCGACCGAACCACATATTGTGAGACACCGAGTACAGAGCAGGCTTGATATAGGACGCAAAGAGAAGTGGTTGCCTTGGGGACGAGGACCTTTCTGACCTGGCTCGCAGTTGGCCGGGTTAAGGTGTTGTAGCCATAGTTTCGTGGCCTCCAAAGCCTCGAGGATGCTATGACGTTGGAGGTGCAAGCAAAGGTAGAGTGGTGGACGGCTGGGGAGTGGAGAGGTCGTGCAAGTGTTGAGCAGGAGGTATCACCGCCGGTCCGGAGGAAGATCCAAGCACTGGTCAATTCGCGATGACAGGTTCAGATGAGGTCAGAGTCGTGACAGAGGCTCCGGTGGAATTGAATGAAACGAATCCAAATGGAGTTTCAGATTTAGAACGAACGGCTGCAGTGTTTAGGTCAATGACAACAAAAATGAACGACTGGCAGGCTGATGGAGCCGTGAGAGGAGAGGAAGTGAGGAGAGGAGCAATTGAACAAACGACAGTGAGAGAGTAGGACGCGGAGCGGCCAGTGGAGTGAGAGGTCGATTCTTCAGGTTCAAGATGCAAAAGAGTGCATGCGGCTGCATATGGCCCCCGCGGCCAGTGGAAATTAATCCTCCCATTGGCTCCAGGGTGCCAGATAAACATCGTGTAGCCTCCCCCGGCCTGGGGAGCAACCAGGGAGCAGCCAGGGAGCAACCAACTTAAACCAAGGACAACCCTCGAGCCAACCACGGCCCAACGTAAAAAAAAAACCAGGTTTCTGCAAATTGGCCAGCACCCCAAATGCCGAATAAGTCACGTCGCCCATTTTGGCTCTTTCGAGCCAAGCGAGAAAGTAAAACTGGTGTTGCTCCCATCTTCATGCCACAACTTTTTGCTTGAGGAGGTACCAAAGGGGGAGCTTCACAAGGCCAACCACAGACTGCGGTGCAATATGATTGTCATACTGATCGATCAAGATTATTTTGTTACAAAGGCACGTGCGTTGGTCTCCCCGCCCCTTTCACATACACCACAAACTCGTGTTCCACCATTCACCAGCCTCGTTGATCACCAGACTCGGCATCAATAACGACGATTGATCAAATATTGTAACGAATATTGTAACGAGTATTGGAACTCTAAACTAACTAATCACGGGCGCCACCGCTATTACTCGGACAGCCGTTCTCAAAGTGATCCACAATGTTTCAACAATAATATCCTATGCACCAGGGTCGCATCTTGTCTGTCCAAAGATATCCTCTCCAGTTGTTTTCATATCAGAATATTCTTCTTTCTCGACACAATGAGGGCATTCACAAGCTCCCTTCCACAATGTCCATCAGATGCCAGCACATTTGACCCGGATCCTATTAAACCTTCACGCTGTATCGGTTGCGCCATTTCGTATCGTTCTCGAAACAGTCGCGCCCGCCACCCATTTCCAAAAACAACACTCGGACCCAGCCCTTTTACTTCATTCACATCCTTGCTGAAAATATGCAAGGTCATCTGGTATAGATTTATCACTGTGACATGGGATAACAACTCTATGACGACAACATTCAGGACATTGTCGTCAAGATTTACCCATATTTTGCGCCCAATGGGTCTTCCTCATGGCACATTGGGTACGCGGGCGTTGGTCTTCTCCACTGCGCCAGAGAGGTTCAAGCTCTCCGCACTATCCATGGACTTGGCAAGAGCTTTACGTCCTTGACCTCGTCGAGCGAGAACTACGCGACTTATTCTCAGCCAGACGCAATCTAGTTGAAGAATTCCCAAACTTCGTCTGGCTGGCTGAAGAAGCTCCCTGGGTGCGTCACAGTTTCCGAGAGATTGACTGGAAATCTCAAACTCACTTTCTTGATCCCTCTCTCTTCAATCCCAAGGACCAGACACCTTACGTCACCTCCAGGTTGGTGTTTTGAATTCATTCTATGACTCATCGCACTGGAATGGGGTCGATGGCCGCCCTTTGATTTTGCTTCAGACTCCAGCTGACCTCCATTCCACGAGAAACAACGACCGTCGATGATGGCCCCAACCCGGCCCAGGGTCCCGCCGTCTGGCATTCCGGAAGGCTTCGATCAGCAAATAGAGGACTTTGATCGGTCAGGATCGTGATAGACACCCCCGATGTAAATAATGATAATGTACCTGACACCGAAATAGAAAGAGCTGAGCAACCGGCTTTTGCAAGGTCGAAGCTGGCGTTTGGAGCTCCTATTAATGGCCTAGGAAAGGAAGTGGTAACGCGAGGGGTAAGGGTGCCAGCAAAACCAAAGGTAAGGCTAAGGGCACCGGCCTTCCAGACCAACCACCAGCCAAAGTATAGAACGCTATTCAGCCCAACCGGAACAATGCCCAGTAAATGTTTGAGTCCTGAGTGCTTTCTTGCATGTTGGAACCGAAGCAGTAAAGGTACGGTACGAATTAAGCGTTTCGGGTAGTGACCAAGGAGATGTCACGACGCTGGCGTCGGCGATGAGTGAAGGCGGTCTCCAAGAGCATGGATACAGGCTGGTGCTACGGCGAACCATTGATCTCCAAACCACACGCCTTCGAATTATCATCAATCTCTATTACTCACTTTATTTCGTCGTACACCACTTGATGGCAGAGCATTCACACGAGAACGAAATAGTGCCGAGTATTGCAGAGCCTTCGAGCCTAGTACGCTCAGAACAATGCGTTATTTGTCTTGATCTCATCTCCGAGAAGGCAGTCGCCTTACCTTGTCAGCATGAACAATTTGATTTTCCCTGCCTAGGTACATGGCTCCAACGACAGCAGGTCTGCCCGTTATGTAAAGCCGAAGTCAAGGCTATCAAATTCAATTTCGATGAGCTAGCAAAAGGAGGAAGCAAGATCTTCCATCTGCCTGCGCTTGAATTCCCGTCTTCAGGACGACGTGGCAACGGTACTGTTGGGGGTCGTGACCGACAGCGAAGACTGAGGCACGGACGACAATATTCAAGAGAAGGGCGAAATTTACCGGCGGGAAATGCACATACTGAAGAACGAAAAGAATCGTCCCTCGACTTTCGCAGGCATGTCTACCGCAACCAGCTCTATTCCCTCCACGTCGGGACCAATCGAATCTCGCGCTACCGCAATCTTGCACCAGCATCTTTCATTCAGGACGAACGTCTAACATCCAGGGCCCGAATGTGGATCAGACGAGAGCTCCAAGTCTTTGACTTCCTGAATTCAAATTCGTTACCATCTTCGAAGGGGAGATCTACCGACCGACGAGCGAACAATGCTGACTTCCTCTTGGAGTATATTATCGCCATTCTCAAGTCCATCGATCTGAAAGGCAGTACGGGTCAGGCTGAGGAGTTGTTGAAGGATTTCCTTGGAAGAGACAATGCGAGATTATTTTTGCACGAACTGGAAGCCTGGTTAAGGAGCCCCTATGAATACCTGAGAGATTGGGATCGTGCTGTGCAATATGCGATAACAGAACCAAACGAAACTAGGACGAGTCGATTTCAAGGCGGCACCGAATCCTACCGCCATCCGAGACCGTCTTCGTCTTCGAATGATACGATATCTGTGCCCCGTTGGTTTTCGGACAGATTTGTACTTGAAGATGACCCTATTCGAACTGGACCGATCTGAGAGTTCATTCCCGTCACATCATCCTCACTGTTTTTGGAGTGTGCTGAAATTTTCGAGCATATCCCACAGAGAATATCCTTCGCTGGTACGAGTCTGACGGGAACAACATACGATCATCAAACCTATACCTTGACCTTCAAGATTGCCTTTCCAAAATTGTCCCCTCGAAGCAGGCCCACAAACGCCTCAGCAGCATGCTCCATACCGACTGTCTCATGGATCTTGGCCTTGAAGCTGCCATCGTTAATCCATTTGCCGACAATCTCCTGATGGGCTTTGGCGTATTTGGGCCCCATGTTGGCGTCTCCGACCATAAATCCCGTCATGGTCAAGCGCTTCACAACGGTCTGAAAAGTGTTTCGGATAGGATACCGCTCTTCCGGTGGCAAATTATATTGGGAGATTTGACCACATTCGACGATTCTATGCAACCCACTCGTTAGTGTGATGGAGAGAAAAAGGCCAATAGACTGTCCAGACGCATTTGGTAGGATAAAGGGACAATTGGAATGGCCAAAAATGCGAAAGAACAGGTTGCGCACCAGGCCAAATAGACCTACCTTCCAAACAGGTTCAATGTCTCCAAGGCCCCATCAAGCTGTTCGCCGCCGACGTTGTCATAAAAGATATCAATGCCTTTGCCGTTGGTCAACCTGTTGATGGCATCCTTGGTGGATTTTTCCTTCTTGTAATTCCAGCCGCCGTCGAAACCGAGGTCTTTGATGATGAACTCGAGCTTGTCATCACTACCAACACTGCCCAGGACCGTCAGGCCTTCATGTTTTGCGAGCTGTCCAACCAACTGTCCCACGGCCCCGGCTGCGCTGGAGACCAGAATCGTCTCGCCTTTCTTGGGCTTCCCAATCTCATACAGCGACGAATATGCCGTGAGACCTGGCATGCCCAGGGCACCCAAGTAGTGGCGGATATCAGCTATGCCGGTCGTGATGTCGATTTTGCGTGGCTGTCTGCCCGGATTCTCTTTCTGGCTGAAGACATTATACTGCTGCACGGGGACGTGAAGGAAGACAATGTCGCCTTCGACGAAGCCTTCGAGATTCGACTTGAGGACCTTGGACAGCGCACCAGCAACGATGGGGGTGTTTAGGGGGATTGCCGGCAGGTAGGATTTCACGTTCAGGTCGCGCAGCTGCCCGCGGAGGTACGGGTCGAAGGAGACATACAATGTTTCCAGGATTAGGCTATCCTCTGGGATATGTTGGCATTGGTCGAACCCGACGTCCTTGACGGTGATATGCTCGCCTGGCACGACAGTGCCGGCGGGAATTTTGGTGAAGATCAATGAGAGGTTTTTGGTGGACATTCCGAGTATGTCAATCGATTGATTGGGGCAGTGATGTCGAGCAATGTCGATGTCAAGTCGAGCCGAGTTAACAACTTATCAGGGGCAGCTCTGTCTTTTTTTTTTTTTTTTCCCCTTATCTCGAATAGAATCACGGGAGATGAAGAGCTGTGATATATACCTTTGGGTTGGGCACGGTGTATTTATAGTAGAAATTCTAGCGAACACAGTGCCAGCAATAGCCCTGACACTTGAGTACTTGTTTTGAGCAGTGGGGACTGTCAATTCCGTGAGGAATAACCCTCCGGTTTGGATGTCTCGCCTCACATGAGTGCTCGTACTATGATACAAGAAGAGATGATTGCGATTTGTAAGCCTAAACTCAATAACGGCCCGGTGGGTTCGAACGAAGGAGATAGAAGATTTATCCAGCAAGGATCAGAGATCTCTACATGATTCGCCGAGTAAAGGGACCGAATCGGCACATTGCGGCCCTCTCCTAGTGCGTCATGCGATCGAGGCATAGCCGAGGTCGTAGTCTATCTATGGGATAATGTACGTAGAATACGTAGTATAGGAACAACGGGATCTCGGTGGTTTTCTCGCGCATTGGATACCGACATCGATGCTCGAGATCTATGTGCGACTTGTCGAATGAAAAGATACAAGATACAAGACAAGTCAGGCTCAGGGTCCGGGACGGGAACACCATCATCATGATGACTGATTCATTCCGACATCATGAAGAAAAGGCGAGATCGGGCATTCTCCGACCCTCTTCCTCCATTCCAATCTCTCATTTCTTCTCGGATAAGAATACCCGACTGCCTGCGCAATACCTATGAAGCAAGGAAGGACGCAAGAGAGGGGAAAAAAGGATCGCGAAAGGGCTAATAGATTTTCCCCTTTCCCCTCAGACCAAGAACAGGTTTTGATTTGCGGGCCGATTGATGAACTGACCACCAATTCGGGCAGGATTACAGTATTATAGTGTCATGGTGTCACAGTATAGTGGGCATGTAATAAGGAGCATCGAATAGAGGAGATCAGAACACCTGGAGGAGACAAGCACAAAAGGAAGACCGTCTTGGCAATTCTTTTCGAATGTCGATGATGCACTGTACAATACAAAGCCTTCTCTACCAGGGAACCCGCTTCCGGGAACTTTCTTATCTTGTTCCTCCCGCCAACTGCATCTCACCACTCCCAGTCTCCATCTATGCCGCATTTCGGCTCATATCGTTTCTTATTCTGTTGTAGTCGAGCAGACCTTCAATCGAACCGACGGCGGACACGGCAACATCTTGATCCCACAATTTCTTCTGGGCAAACCTCATCACGTCCTTTTCGGTGATACCGCCAATCACTCTCTCGATTTCGGCAGGATCCATTCTTCGTCCAGTAGTCACGATTTGACGACCAATATCCTCGGCCACAGCGGTGGTGCCATCCAGAGAAAGGAGGATCGACGCTTTCAATTGAGCCTTGGCTCGTTCGGTTTCAGCCTCGCTGACGCTGAATGATAGCCTGGACCATTCGCGGAGAGTGAAGTGAACGAGGTCATCAATCCGTGTCTTGTTTTCGGTCACAAGGTAGATACCCCAAAGACTGAAAAATCCGTTAGCTTTCGAACTTGAGGTCGGCTGTTTCAACATACCCGGTATCGCTATAGCTCGTAGAGAAGCTCATGAAGCTGTTGGCTAAATCATTGGCATTGACGAAAGTGCTGAGCTTGCTTCCCAGATAGGGGGCATTGCCCATAGCCTTATCCCAATTGCCCACAATAGCTTGAGTGACAAGGGCAGTGAAATAATCATCATCCTTCCAGCTTACGCCCTCAACAGCAATGGCAATGTGTGCTGTTGGGATTGTGTCGTCTCGTATTCTGACCTCGGAACCGACAAAGTTTGGCTTGCGTTTTTGCTCGGCAGCAATCTGAGCAGCATAGGATGATGGCGGTGTAGACTTGAGTCCGCCGAAATGCTTCTCGGCAAGTTTAACTAATTCCTCGTGAGGGATGCCACCAGCACCAACAAGGACCATTCGATCAGCGGTGTAGTTAGTATTGATATATTCTACCAGATCTTGACGAGAAATGGTTTCGATGTTCTCCCTTGGTCCAAGAATGGTTCGTCCGAGAGGTTGATTCATATATGCTGTGGCGTGTAAATGGTCGAAAACCACTTCTTCCATTTGCTTGTCAACTTCCTCTTGTTCCCTGAGAATCACATCTCGTTCTCTTTCGACTGCCGCGGGATCGAGTTTGGAGTTCTGGAGAATGTCGGAAAGAATATCGACAGCCTTGGGCACATCGGCATTGAATGATTTAGCGTAGTACACGGTATTTTCTCGCTTCATGACATGTTAGCTGTGGGGAGGGTGTGAGAGTTTGTGGGAAGTTCCTCCTACCGAAGTATATGCGTTGAGATGGCCACCCATATTCTCAATCTCGAGCTCTAATTGATGCTGAGTGCGGTTGCCAGTACCCTGTATCTTTCAGCATTTTCCAATAACAGCCGTCTCTTCCATTTTCCTACCTTGAAGGCCAGATGCTCAAGGAAATGGGCTGTTCCGTTGGTCTTGTCTGTTTCCGCCCTGCTCCCGGCATCGATCCAAACACCAACCGTTGAGGTCTGCGCCCATGGGGAATGTTCTGTTGCAATCTGAAAAGCAGTCAGCGTGACAGAGCTTTTCATATAGATTTTCAGAGTAGTACCGTCAGGCCATTGGAAAGAGTGGTGCTTTCGGTTCGGGAGGGTGCGACGGGGTTGGCGTAACGTCTGAGAGGAGGTCGAATGGTCTTGAGAGCTTGTCGGCTTCGAAGAGAACGCTGAAGATTCAGCGCCAACCGCTGGGAAGCCATTTGGACAAGAGGACAACGGCAGGAGGGCGGCGGCAGCTGTGATCGTTGAAGATTGAGCTTCGATGCAGGTACTTTTTTGGGAGCTCCGAAATCGAGAATCGAGATGCTCAAGAGTAGAATAACGCGCTAGTCCTGCTTGGGAAATTCCATTTGCGCCGCCGCTGATTGGTCAAATCGCCACGTAACAAGAACTTACTACCATAATTTTTCCAACACGGTTGATTGGCCTCAACTATAGTGGTCTGCCCATTTATTACATGTCATCCAGTAAAATTCCACATCGCCTCGCCGGCCCCTAGGGTCGTTCCCTCAAAATCGAAAAATGGCATACCCAGTCCTAAAGCAGGATCCCCAAAATCAAACGCAGTCGGGTCCAGTGAAGCATAGTCAGGAACCTCAGGCTGTCCATTTGGGATGCGTCCGGGAGTCTCACTGACCACTGGCTGACTTGGTGATGTCAAAGATTGACTTGATCGTTCTCCATTGACCGGTCGGTTCTTCCGGCGTACCGGTCCACCTAGACTTTCTGCCATCTTCTCCAGACCCTCAGCCATTCTGTGTATCAAATGGTCCTTCCCTACGTCCGTCGCTTTGAAGTGTTGAGCCAATGCATCAATGAGTCTCTGGAGCCGTACAATATCCACAAACAATTGCTCACGGTGCTTCGTGGCAATTTTGAGGAGGAACATACATGCAAACGCTATCATTCCGTGGATATGATGGGGAACATAGGCGATGGCGATTTGTGCATCTTTGTCCTCTAAGAGAAGATTGATGATCGCTGTTGCAGCAGCAACTGCAGCCGATGCGTTCTCCAAAAAGTGTTCGGGGATGACGGCGCCTGACTCAGGCAGTCCTCGAAGTACATATGATTGTAAGTAGAGTTTCGCCCAATGGTAATGCATCACGGCGCCCTTATTTGGCCAGTTGCCAATAAATTGGCTCGGATCTGGGTTGATATCAGTAGAAGTTAAATTTGCTGGTAGATCAGCGCGCCTTACTGTGTCGGGAGAATCTCGCGATCCAGTCATCCAAGTCTCGTTCAAAACCCGCAATTTTGGTCAGAGCTGAAGCTGGCAACACCGAGCTTGTATCTTCGGGGCCAAGAGTTTCTCGAATCTGATTCATCAAATACATCAGACAGATTTGTCCTGCAATTCGACGGTCCGCATCTGTGGATAATGAGCATGCGAGGTAGGCTTCCCATCCAGTAATGTAACTTTCATTGTCACGCATGATCGATGATCGACCATAAAGAATCGACAGGTGATGGTCGCAGATGTAGAGGAGATACAAGACTCGGATGCCGTCTATGGCCTCTTGTAATTTAGTCGGATCTGCCTTCTCTGGCGATCTGACCGACTCTGCGATTTCATGGTAGTAATGTCGAAGATGAAACTCACTTGCTCGACGGATGGCATATCCGGAGAGTGTCCAAGAGATATCACTTAACCAATATGATCCCAGGACCAATGCTCTGAGGTATTCCATGTCAATTTTCCTTTCAAACATGGCATTGGCCACCAGCCTTCGATACTCCTTACTGCAAATGGAGTAAAGGTGACCCAGTTTGGTATCATGAAGAGCAGCCACAGTAAGAACACAGGCAGTCAATGTGGGTGAGCGGCGTCGAAAAGACTCTAGGTCTTTGTAATCGGGACATATATGCCAGATATACGGATCGAGCTTGCTGAGATAGTAATTGGCCAAATGTTCGGCATCTTCTTGTTTCATAATACCTCTGGCTATAAAGTCAGTATCACGAAGTTGTTTGCATATTCGTGATTGATCCTCAGTGATGTTCTCAGTCGCTCTCAAGGACCTCATGCCCGTGATTTGATACAACGACTCAATGGGGACGTGTGACAGATTGTCGGCGACGGGTGTGACCTTTGGTGAATTATCAATCGATTGGTCTTCATCGTCTTGATCATTTCCTTGTTCCTCCTGATCGAAGAATATCGCAGGGTCTTGTGTAGACGTAAGCATTTGGGGGAGAGAGGGTAGCTGCAGTGTTCGAACTATCTCCTCTACAGTGGAATACAGAGCAGTGACATCCTTGGTTACAGCTGCTTTCCATTTGGAGTCCTCTGACATCAGGGTCTGTAGGCTCTTGTTCAAACGACATGATAGCCCTCGCTCTTTGCATCTTTGACATGGCGGATCCCCGACCATTATGCATTTTATCTGTGGAGCAACTTAGTTTTGGAAGCGCCGAGGACTTCGAGACCCATACTTTTTGTTTGCGACAAGCCGCGCATGCCTTCACTTTTCTTGATATTCCAGGTAATTTATTGGACTCGGGAGGGGCTCCATTAGTAGAATTGGCTCGCTGTGGTCGGGCCGGGCCTTTGGCAATAAGAGGGGGCTCATCGACGGAATTGCGATTCTTTTTGGGGGAAGTGGATTGGGCGGGTGAAATGTATGAATGTGGTGAGGTGGAAGAACCTGCTCGTTGCAACGCCGGCGCTGGTCGTGGGGATGGGAGGTTTGCCTCTTGCCAACTCCGTTTGGACATTTTCAGTGGGATGCGTTCGAACGTGAGGATAGACCGGGAAAAGGGGATGATTAGGTGCGTAATGGGAGGCCGTTGAGTCTCGTAGGTAGAAAATATATGGGCAGCATTTCGTAGCGGTTGTTTTGTAAGCGCAAGCAGAGAATGAGAACTTTCGAATCAGAGGCCCATGCCGATGGGCGGAGGTGATTCCCTCGACGTTTGCTTCAGACAACGGCTACCAGCCCCCACACTTCTCCTCGAAACCTCCCATTTACCCCCACGATTTCGGAGCCAGAGCCTCTCGGCCATCCCTCCCGTGGCAACTTCAAATGTTGTCACCCCAGAAAGCCATCGCTAGCAATGATTCATGAACTGGCGTTTAAGGAAGATTGTGTTTCTAGTTGGAGGAAAAGACCGGGCACATCTCTGAGTTCAACCGATGAGACGATAGGTCTATTCTGCAAGGGGGGGTTCGACGCAGCTTAGTTCTCATTCTTCTATCCTCGGGGCCTCATTGTCTTATAATCCGCATCTATTGAGAGGAAGTGAGCCTCGCCGAAAGAATGTCCTTTCTAAATCTTCACAAAGGGATCATCAAAGTACCACACTGGATCTCCGTCCGGATCGACCTCAGTCTGGGTGAATCCATTGCCCATGAACGCGAATCTGTTTTCTGAACAGTAGGTAATGTTGTAATCCTCCCACCGAACATTCTTCATCATCTCAAAGAAATGCAATCGACTGCCAGGATAGATGGCTGTGACTGGCCCATGGGTTTTGCCATTTTTGAACCATGACCGGCAAGCTGATGACCAAACCAGTCTCTTCATTAATTCATGTGTGTGGTTGTACAGGTCGTGGATGGCCTCCTTCTTCGGTTCAATGGCTTTGATTCGTTCGGTCTGAATCTTTTGGATCACCTGAAACACATAACGGGTATACCACTCCAAGATGGGCAGAATACTAGAATGCGAAGCCGGTCCATTCGGTCCTATCAACAAAAAGAGGTTGGGAAAGTTCTCCGCCGTGATGCCTAGATATCCTATAGGGAAGTCACCGAATTGTTCATGAATCTCAGCGTTGTTCCGGCCAAAGACTTTGAAGTGCGGGGTGAAAGAGGTATCGAAGCCGGTTGCGCAGACGACAACGTCAACTTGGTGCTCTTCTCCGGATTCGTCCACAATTCCTCTTTCCGTGAGTCGTACAGCCGATTGTGGGATGACCTGAACATTCTCGGCTCTTAGAGATTGGAGATACCCAGAACCAGGTGTCATTCGTCGACATCCAAGGGCAAAAGGAGGTATCATGTGTTTGGTGAGGGTCTCGTCATGGCCAAGTTGTTCGGCCATGATTTCTGTCACAAGATCTCGAGAAGCTTTCTGATCTTTGGCTTTTAAGTGCATCTGAAGATGGTGAGGAAAGCGCCAAGGTCAGTATACAAGCACCAGACAACTTACCAGGGTAAATCGCTTGTTTAGCTCGCCCTCGATATCACGGCAATATTGTGCGTGTTTCTCGGGACTTTTACTCCATTCCTCTTTCTGCTCTTCCGAGTCTATGGCAGTCAGGAGAGGGCCCGAGGTTCACGAGGTTTATCATACAGGTGAAGTTGGTTCCTCCGGGGCCCGCATATTTTGCTCCAAAACCAGTCGTTATCCAGACTGGAGACCTCAGGAAAGCACATAGCTTTTTCACGGCTGCTCATGAGATTAGCCGTAGAATAAGAATTGTTTGCATCGACGGCCTGGCGGACGTCCACTCACTCGGTTGTATTGATGGAATAATCTGCACTGCTGAAGAACCCCCGCCAATAACGGCTACAGTTTTCCCCGTCAGATCATAGTTGCCATCCCATTTTGCAGAATGCATCAGTTTCCCCTTGAATAGGTCTAAACCTGGAATGTTGGGCCATTTCCACGTACTGCGAAAACGGGATCGTCAGCGACTTCCGGGCCTGGAGTAGGATTTTCGGTATCTGACTCACTTCAATACTCCGGAGCCATTAATGAGAATGTTGCAAGTATCCTCAAAAGATGAGCCATCGGGTCGAACGATGCGTAGCCTCCACAACCCGACTTCTTCGTCCCAAGTTGCAGATTCCACTGTTGTCTTGAACTGGACATATTTCTCGAGGTCATATCGAACGGCAACGTCTTTGAGATACTGCCAAATCTCTTCCGATCCAGAATAATATCGCGACCAGCTCGGGTTCTTGGCCCAGGTGAATTGACTGTACCAACAAACCATCATTATGTCATCCATATATGAATTCTCTCGATGAGATGTCTTTGAGAATAACTTACTATGAATGCGAAGGTATATCGCAAGTACATCCAGGATACCGATTTTCCAGCCAGGTCCCGCCAACATCATCATTCTTCTCGTATATTTGCAGTTCCACGTCTTTCAATGCTCGTTCCGCTTTGTACGCAAATTGGATACCTGTGGCACCGGCGCCCACACAGATCACTCGAATCCTGCGACTTGCATAGAGCAGTTGCTCCGTAACCCGGTAGCCATCAAAGTCTCTTCCATTGTACCAATTGTTTTCATGAGGAGCGTCCGATGGAACAGAAACGTCTTCGTCTGGAGCGGCAGATATGAGAACTACCTTGGCATTCGACATTTTGAAGAGAGATGAGGCCGGCCTAGAGAGCGAGCCACGATGAAGCTCTGAAATAATCCAGAAACACAAATACGAGATCTCTAATCCATGAGAATCTTGAATCGAATAATCCAAAGCCTTGAATTGAAGGGAAAACCGGGGATCGCCCGAGAACTGCTGACAGAAATATGGCAATATACGCGAACCCCGCATGCGTACAGAGAACTCCGATTGATAAACTCAACCTTGTCCGAGGCTCACGAGGCTCGTATTTTGGAGTTGGCTGTGCGATGTGTTTCCTTACCACGAGAGAATCCGGGATGTTTTTCAGATTCATGAGACCGATTGTACAAGGCCATAATGGTGGTTAGGATCAATCTGCGGCGATCGCCCGGAAGCAAAAAGATTTCGTTTTTCTGGTCCATTGGTCTCCCGATGGGAAAAGGCTCCTGGTAGCCTGTAGGACTAAATAGTTCGACTCTTCCCGAGCCCATTTCCACAATGAGTATTGGGATCAGGAGACCCTGAAACACATTTCAGAGAAGATGAGTATGCGCTTTTCGGTTCTGGTGGTGGTTGTCTGAAATACGGAGTCGGTGATTGGCTCCGAGAAAGAGCTTGGCATTTCGGCAACTTCGAAGCATCGCAAGTTCATGATTAACATTGGGATTCCTTTGATCAACAGCTCACACGACAAATACTCACTTCCAATCTACTGTTTGAAGATGGCAGCAGCCTCGAGAACAGCCATGCTTCGGCAGACACAGCTTCTTTCTTCTAACAGACTCTTCTCACCCTCCACCCAACTGCCTCGTCTCCTCCGACCTTCTCCGTCCATACCATCACGGCAACCGCTGGCACCAAAATGGCCAGCAGGCTCCCGATTTGCACCATTCTCGACGACCTCGCAGAGAATGATTCTTCCGCCAGGCCCCCAGGTCATTGAAGGAGGAGTTAACCAGCCTGCACCCTTCCCGAAGAACGACCCTCTCCATGGAAGCTATCACTGGACGTTCGAACGAGTCTTGTCCGTCGGACTGGTGCCATTGACAATCACACCATTTGCTACTGGGTCTTTGAGCCCTGCTCTAGATGCTGCTCTAATCTTTACTCTTATAGTACACTCTCATTTGGGTTTCCAGTAGGTTGAGCTCGAGAGATATCAAAACCGTGAAGCTGATGGAATTCAGATCAGTCATCATTGATTATATCCCCATCAAGAGATATCCCACAGCGCGAAAGCTCTTCATGTGGGCCCTGAACCTGGGCACTATTGCTGTTGCGGTCGGCTTTTATGAATTTGAGACAAATGATGTGGGGGTCACCGAGGCCATGAAGAGATTATGGAAGGCGTGAGAAGCATTGAGGCATCGGCTAGGCAAGATTTTTGTGAACTCTAGTTCGATGAATGGATAGAGTGCTTGCCTAAGCCAATTACCGGAAGAAAAGGTCTGCAGACCTACCAATATGTATATGACGCATTGGGAAACAGGTTCGACATTTGATACCAGAAGCATAGCCTGCCTTTGAATATTTTTTTTCTTTTACTTCCTCCCTCCCCCACCCGGCGGAGCCTCTAATCCGACATGTATGATTTCTTGCCCACACACACCCATCAAACGCCGCTAATGCTGAATAACCAGAAGGTCGCAGGTTTCGGGCCCGATCACTCATCCTCCAGCAGATCTTCGTCGCCCATAGTGTCCTCATCGTCGGATTTAGCCACGGCCCTCTCGATGAGTTTCAGTGTGGTCCTCAGAGGTAGCCCTACCACATTGTCGAAGCTGCCTTCTATCTTTTCGACCAAAATTGCTCCAGTGCCTTGAATGCCATAGCCGCCCGCTTTATCTGCACCCTCCCTGGTCCGGACATACGCCAGCAGTAACTCGTCTGTGATTTCTGGATCGAATTTGACGGTAGTTTCCTCAGTTGCAGTCTCCAGTGCATATCCAGGATCTCTCGCGCTTTCAAGGGGCATTATGACTGCCACTGCCGTGTATACCTTGTGCAAGCTGGTGTCTCGCAATGTCTTGAGCATGGTGATATGGTGCACCTCGCTCCTAGGCTTCTCCAAAATCTCGCCCAGACTGCTCACAACGATGGTGTCTGCGGCGATTATCAACGCCGGTTCACCCTTCTCTTCATTGTTCACTTCTTGCTTATAGACGTCCAGCGCCTTTTGCGTGGCAGTCGCGAGAACATATTCAAAAGGAGAGTGCAATTTGGGCAGATTCTCTTCGAAATTGGATGGAAGTATTTCAATGTTCGTAAGGCCTATTTGCGCAAGTAGTTGTTTTCGTCTGGGCGACTGTGAAGCAAGAATGACTCTTTTCCCACGCAAATAGGTCAATGCGGGCAATTCGAGAGGCGGAGGCGGTCGAAGTCGGCGGGGTGGTACTCCTAGCTGAGGTTCTTTAGGAAGCACAGACAGAGCCTCATATGAGGGTGGAGCATCTTTTGGTATCTCAGTCTGTTGATGGCCTGCCATTGTACTTTGGAATTCAGGAGTATAACAGTCTGATTGCGGCGCGGAGAGATGTGTTGCGTGTCTGTCTGTCGGAGAAGTGGGCGGTGGCAGAAAAAAAAAAGTTCGGGCGGCGTGGAGGGTGAAAGCAAAAGGTCCACAACCCTGCACATTGAAGACTTGAGTCATAGCATTTTCAACGTCCTTCTCGAGCTCTTAAGGAGTCGGAGCTGATTTTTGCTTAACGGTCGACTATAGCGAATCAATCATGGCGACCACGCTGCATTTACGATCAGAATGCAAGCCTCTGGAGCATAGATCTGCCCGTATGTCTGAGCGCTGCCAGTCACCAGAGCTTTTCCTAATATTGACTCAGAGCAGTAACTCCTACGACTACCAAGGCTCTTCTAGACGCAGGATACAAAGTAAATGTTGAGAAAAGTCCAGAAAGAATATTTGACGATTCCGAGTTCGAAGCTGCAGGAGCTACCCTGGTTCCTGAAGGGTCGTGGGTAGATGCTCCGGCGGATCACATTATTATCGGCCTCAAGGAGCTCCCTGAGGATAGCTGTATGTTGTTACCAACAATGTTAATTGAAAAAATTGATTTCCTAATGAGAACAGTCGCCCTCAAGCATACCCACGTCCAATTTGCGCACTGCTACAAGGGGCAAGGAGGCTGGCAAGATGTCCTCTCTCGTTTTCCTCAAGGCGGTGGTACCCTCCTCGATCTAGAGTTCCTTACCGACGATACTGGCCGCCGCGTTGCAGCTTTTGGATATCATGCGGGCTATGCCGGTGCTGCTTTGGCTATCGAGGCTTGGGCGCACCAACTCAAGAACCCATCGGCTAAAAGCATGCCTGCGGTTTCAAGCTATGCCAATCAGGATCTCTTGCTGGACGACGTTCGGTCCCAGATGGCAGAAGGTGAAAAGATCGCAGGTCACACACCCCGAGTACTGGTCATTGGCGCCCTGGGCCGTTGTGGTAGAGGTGCAGTCGACCTGTGCAAGCAGGCAGGTATCCCAGACGAGCAAATCCTCAAATGGGATATGGCGGAGACAGCCAAAGGCGGACCGTTCGGTGAGATCGTCGAGTCCGACATCTTTGTGAACTGCATTTATCTCTCTGACCCGATTCCTCCCTTCATCAACAAAGAATCGCTCTCCTCGGAGAAGCGTAGGCTCTCGGTTGTATGCGATGTCTCATGCGACACGACGAACCCGCATAACCCTATTCCCATATACACAGAAAACAGCACATTCTCCAACCCGACTCTACCGGTGCCAGGCTATGACAATCCACCTCTGTGCGTGATCTCGATAGATCATCTGCCTAGTTTGCTCCCCCGAGAGGCCAGCGAGGCGTTTAGTCATGCTCTCTTGCCCAGTCTCCTATCGCTGAAGGACCGCAAGACGACGAGAGTATGGCAGCAAGCCGAGGAGCTCTTTAACAGCAAAGTCGCGACTCTACCGGAGGCCTTGAGAGGCGCGTGGCAGAGGGTAACTGGGTCGGCATGAAAATAAAGGAAAGATATTGATGCCGAAAAGTGTTCTGAATGGATTTGATACGATAGGTATAAAAATTAATCCATCTTGTCGGTCTCTCGCCGTGCTATGAAGTGTCATTTATTCGTACACGCAGATGAGCATCTGGCTCTCGAATTTTGTCCCTGTGTCTCCTTCGCTATGCTCTAGGGATATTTTTCTCTAGCATTCCCGTTCTCTACTTCCTTGCCAGAGGATTAGTCATCCTCGATCCTTATGTGATCAGTCGTGCATTATATCCATTTTGCCAACATCTCCAATTTTTCACGTCGAACCTGTGGACGTTTGCGCCTCTTGTGATTCTCCCGTTCCATCATCAAAATACTCAGTGATTTCCCATTCCACCGTCGTTGAACCATCTGCACTGACTCCTACACCCTTTCTGATATTATGAGTCCGGCTGAGACGGCTGCCATCGAGCATTTCCTCGAACCAGGACAGTGTTCCAGTTATTCCACGGCGTCCCGTTCTCGCCAGAGCCTGCTGTCCCGCTGGAGCTTGGACTGATCCTTGTTCGGTAGACAGCACATCTTGTGGCTCAGCATCTTCGGGGAGCAAGTCCAAGTCTTGGAGAGCACGGATATCTTCACTCAAGAGGCTTCCCAATGTAATATTCATGTACTCTGCCTCGGAGGGAGGTTGCTCGGTCCAGAATGAAAGATGTGTTCCGCAGTAACCGCAAAATATGCGCCGACAGTGCGGAATGTGTCTCGGGGTGAAGATGCGTCGGATGGAAGAGTGCGTCTCATCAGGAAAGAATGCTCTGGTAGATGACGAGTACCAGGCCAGAGGAACTCGCAGCCATGCTGTTAACGGAGTGGCTTGACTTCGTCCTGAGAGCGAAGTTAGTCTTCACGAGGTAAACACGCCACGCAAAGGTGAGAAGACGTACTGCTTTCGCTGCTATCGTCAAAGTAAACTTGCGCCCGCTCTGTAGCATCTTGCGGGACGATGATGGAATAGTGATTGCGTCCGCAATTGCAAGCACCGTGGAGGGGTCTTAGTCTGCTCATCATGTAATGTGTCTGTGAAGGCTACTTCGTAGAAGTCAAGGCCTTTTCTAGAGCACCGCGAATATCAAAGTATAGAGTAAGTTCTCTGATATTGGTAGGGGAATATTAGATCCGGTGTAGTCCTGATGGGAGACTTTGTCAGTGGGTGGGGACAAAGTTTCTAGAAGGCCGGGGTTAAGGGCCTGCGCGTCTCGGTTAAATCCGCATGCAGCAAACGCTAATTGGAAAGCTAGCGACATTCAGGTTTCTATCGCATACCAGCCTTTCTTCAACAAAGCACCACTTCCCTTCTTTGTAGATATTGGCCGGAACATACGCTCGTTCATAACATTACCAGCTGCAGAGCCACCGAACCCCTTCAATTGTACTAGGTTTGATCAGCCCCAGAGATTCGATGAAATACGTCTCGCTTCAAGCCACGTTGAGATCTTCTTGCGGCTGTTCTGTAAGAAAAAGTTCAGCCTTGTCTACTTTCTCAGATTTACCGCGCAGTCCCCCAACATTTTAATCGAACTACTAGTCAACATGTCGAAAGAGGAAGAAGCATCCGAATCAAATCCCTCAACAAGGGAGTCATCAGAAGCCTCGGAAGCTCAACCGACTACCGGACCATCCAAATCATCCAAAAAGCCCACAAAGGTCGCCAAACCCCGTCTTACACTATTTCAAAAGAATTTCAACCACAAGGATGCCGAGAACAAGCGACGGAGCGCAATCCGGGAACGCTTCTCGGAGCTGTCGCACATGGTCCCTGGAGCGTTGGGCCATGAGAGAAGTGAGCAAGTGATGTTAGGCAAGACAGCAGGGTTTCTGAAGGAGATGCTGATGGAGCAACGCCGACTTGAGGCTATGGCCGATGACCGGGGCATCCAGCTGGATGAGGCGGGGAGGTTGCGGGACGATGATTTTGGCGGCCCACTATGGCGGCCAAAGAACATGGACCAGTACGAAGCTAGTAAGAAAAAGAAATGTGCTCCTGCTGGTCCAAACGCAAATCAAGGAGGAAAAGGCAATGAATGATGAGGTTTGCAAGTTCATTTGATGGCTGGAAGAAGACAAACGATGTGATAATGAAGCCCATTGCATATTTTCTCCGTCAAATTGTCTATGAAAATGGAATGAACACGGGTTGAAAGCGAAAAGCAGAAAAATGTTTACTCGTTGAACAGCGAGGTGAGCACAGGAATGGTCATATCTATGAGAATGATCCAAGAGGAGACGGGACCTGTCTGCTGCACTGCACCTCTCTTTCCTTGACCGGAAGATTTCGAGCAGTGATCCTGCTCACCTTTTACTACCCACAGCAACACAACCATCAAGTTGTATTCACCTACTCTGTTGTTGCCTAGCCCAACCATTTGCCGCACCCTCAACACGACTGCCTCCTGAGCTGATGCGCTCTCGGCCCCGTTTGAGCAATGTCCTTTCGGAGATGGGATCTGAGATTCAAGAAGACTGACAATCAACCCGATCAACACTGCGCGAAGCCTCCTGGTCTTCGTGTACGACGAGCACCCTCACACCAGTGTCCCATTTCTCAATCTTCTCCTCCCTCTGTGTCAGCCAGGCGTGACGCTCCCGTCCTTGGTTCAAGGGTCATTTATCGCACACCTTCATCAACCGAGGTTGAGCATCCTTCATCTTTTGGCGCAGATCGTGGAACTAGAGAGAATACTCAAATGGGCAGTGCTTCAAGACATCTGTTATTCAAGAAGTCGCCAGAGGAGGGAAGTGCACCGCCAAAGGCTGGAATGGCTATCCCATCATCGCTTGAGAGTTCGTCACCTCAAAAGCTCATAGTGAGTAGCCTATTACCGACGCTTTCAATTCTGTTAACTCCAATTCCAGGAACAGCGGCTCTCCTCTTCGACTCATGTTCGCCTCCCTGTCCCTTCGCAAGGAACTAATCCTCCGCCTCGTCCAAGCCCGTCTGACAAACCACTCCCGAGTCTACCAATAGCCACAGTCAAGTTCAAGTCTCCGGTCCGTAAGTCCCTCACCGATTGCACAGCACTTCCGCTGCGACGGTCTATATCACCCGTTGGCGGTGGAGCGCCGCCACAAGAAGATTGGCCAACAATGCAGCCGTCAAACCTCGATACCGCAACTACGTCCAAACCAGGCCAGTCCGCAGTTAAGCCAAGTTTGGGTGAGAGTTTTATTGAGGGAATGCATGGAATGAATTTGGAAGATATGAAAGACGAGAATGCTCAACCCGATGCAAGAGTCCGCTTCGAAAGCCCAGGAGGTGATTCGAATATCGACGGGGGATTCCACTTACACCCTAGGAGTGATGCAAACCCATTCGACATGACTGCTAGTGACTCGAATCGTCCTCTTTCATCAAGTCAGCTTCCGAAGCCTAGAGACTCCGTGCTTGAGTCGCTCTCACGTCATATCAACAGCCCTTCTGTTCGACAGACTAAAACTTCCGCTTTGCGACTCCGACGTTCGATTGGAAAGAGAACATGGGGATCTAGTGAGAAGAGTCATGACAGACATGGTAGTCTTCTTTCCATTCGCGAGAGAGCTCAGTCTCCTTCGATCCCGAGAGCCAAGCAAGCATCTGCTGGAGGACCAATCCGTTCGGCATCGCGTGGCCGTCACGGAGTCACCGGTCGAGGTACACCATACACTATCCCACGCCGACCAAATTCCAGGCCAAGCAAGACAACCCGAGAAAAAGAAGGAGAGCCTAGCTTGGGACCAAAGGTTCTTCTGACGTCAGAGAGCACTTCCGAGTCGATCGAAAACAATGATACTGCCTCAGATCTACATTCAACCTTTGCGAGACAGACTCGTCACAAGAGCTCCACCCTTGTGCCAATTCGTACCAATGGTCAATCAGCCGACGTTGACTATCAAGAGGGGTCTCCAGGGAATTGCATTGCATCGACATTCAATGAAGACATGAGTTTCAAACCAAAAGAGCTTGAGAATCCAAGCGATTTCGACGAAACGTACCTTCATCACCAAATTGATCAACCTCAGGAAACCAACGCAACGGATGGTCTACCTCAAACTGAAACCGGGATACTTAGCGGGAGAGAAGCCTTATCTAACCCTGCCCTTCGTGATGATGATTCGATGGTTGACAGTGACGTTTCTGAACATACCGTTCACGGCTACGACTCTTTTGGTGGCTTTCGAGTTAAACGCGTCCGCAACGCGCCGAAGGGAGGACCAACTCTCCGCATCACAGATTCAGCAAGTCGAATACTTCTGGGGGATGGAAACGAAGACGGTGGTTCAGGGATGAGAAAAACCAATCCCGACACCGCACACAAGACAAGTGCACTGGATATTCGCAAGCCGGCGGCTAGCAATGACCAAGGTCGGCGCCCCAGCGGATTCTTGACACGGCCCCTGTCATTTGCTAGAAGCATCACGGATCGATCTCTGACTCGGGTCAAGAATCCGGAAGACGATGAAACCGGGAATCTGATCCAGAGCAGTGGCTCTGCAGAAACAGTCCATCGTGCCGAATTTCCCGGAAGTGATGTCGATTCCGACGAGAAGTCATCTTGTCAGGGACAGAATGATGTGGGCATTGCAGAAGCAGTCTCCCAAGAGTCATCTGAGTTCGTACATATGTCAAATTCGACTCATCGTGACTGGCCCTGCAAAGACTTTGCGGGTTTAAGACTCGGGTCAGAACCGACTCCTCCCATTTCAAAGGATACCACTCCTTCAGGCCTACAAGATGCAGAGCCGGTTAACCGACCACCAAGCGGAACGTCAAACAATTCAAGACATTCTACAGTTGCCCTTCGTGCAGCACCAAGCCGGGAGATTTCACCGTTCTTGTTTCGGGACCTCGAACACGAACAGTACAAGCAAGGGAAACAGCTCAATGATGTCGTCCAAAATCCCGAGGACCCAAGACTAGTTACAATGACACAATCAAAGTCAGTCTTCCCACCTCGAACATCGTCACGAAAGCTGAGGCCGCCGCCAATCACCGTGTCTCCTCCTGATCAAATCCCATATGCCGACAGCTTGTCAAGACAAGCTATTAAGGCGTACAGCGTACATCCGGACATGATCCAAAAGCCCGGAAACGTAGCAGCGTTTTCTCGGAGCATCTCCCCCAATACCAGTTCTTCCCAGGCGCCGAAATACTCCAACAAACTTTCGTACAGTCCATCATCATCCGGGAAGAAAGTCATCTCTAATCTTCGCGGCCTTTTTCATAAGCATTCGACAGAATCAACGCCGAACGCAAGCAGAATTCCGTCTAAGAAAGACGTGCCTGGCAAGCTGAATCTTCCGGGTTCTGTGCGACGCAAGCCCATGCCAGGCAACAAGATCACCAATCCACCGCTATTGAACGCTCAGGGAAATGTGGGCACCGATACCAATCGAGCACTAATTAATGCAAACGAGGAACCGTGCACCGTCATTCGCAATCCCTTCATCAGTCCAATGACTCCATTTACTGCAACTGTCAGCCCGTCTCCAAACCCCACTTCACAAGGGACCGCCAAATCCACATCTTCGCCCGTCCCATCTCGACCTTCCACTCCATCCGGCACCCCCACCCTTTCGACCGCGACCAGTTTAACGCACGTCATCCTCGATCTCGCGCGTGCCGAGCCCAACATACAACACAAAACTAATTTAATCGACCTGTCAAAATCTATGGTCGAAGTGGTCATCACAGCGAGGGATGCAGAGAAAGCAGCGGAGAAAGCCAAAATGGAGGCAGCACGAGCAGAAGTATGTTGGCTGAAGGTCCAGAAGGAGGTTGGAGTTGTCGAGGGAGTTGTTAGAGATATTCTAGGCTCGGCTGCAGGGGGTGAGAAGAGGCAGGATTGAGACAAACTGAAGCAATGTCAGTGACTGCTGGTTGTTGGGCCAAGCGGACAAGATGCGACATGGAAGGAAGCGGCTTCGTCAATCGATGGATCAACTACCGGTTTCAATCGATATTGGGAGATTCATGTCCTTCCCCTGAGACTGGAGACGTTCGAAAGCGAATCCTTTTGGCAGAGGCGAACTGCTCAGCAGATCTACCCTTTTTTTGGCTCTTGTCCCAGAGTGTGGTCTGTTGGTGTTAGGAAACTGAAATGAGAATTTGGGAAACGGACATCATGTGGTTTTGAGTTCCGGAACTAAGTGTCAGTGTATAATACGGTCCAAGCAGAGGCTGCAAAGGTCAACATCATGTCGCCAAAGAGTGCGCAAGTGGCTTAAATGAGAACCTGTAAATGTCAATAGCTTCCTTTCATTAGCCAACTCGGGCAAAGCGAAAGCTCTTCTCCCGAAAGCGTAAAAAGAGTGCTGTGATTTCGCCAAGCTCCAACACCTTTGGTATTTTCAAGATACTAGTAGATAAGTCGTCCGCATGTTCGATATCCGGTGAGGGCCCCTCTGGTGGTTGGTTCTCATCATTCTCATGTTCTTGGTTCCCTTTTGGAGACGCTCAACTATGGTCGGTGCGAGCTCGCTTTGGGGAGGGAGTCTTAGGGTGTTCATCATTAGAAGCAACGCATTTTGGTAACCTAACTGGAAATGCTGGATTGGAGGGACCGAAGCACTAGGTTTTGGGACTAGAAGGTTCTCCGGTGTTGTGTTCAGGCGATTGTGTCTTTGCAGCATTTGCTGCGCCTGGAGGGGAAGTCCCTTTATGAATTTTCTTGGTGGCAACCTTCCGCTGGCGCTTGGGGGGCAGTTCATCAACATCTTCCTCTGAATCTATGTCTTCTTCCGACGTTTCAATGTGATATTCATCGTCTTCACCATGAGATGGGATTTTCTTTGCAGACCTTGATTCTTTTGGAGTCGCGTCCTTCTTCTTGAATGTGTTCTTTTGTGGTCGTGTCTGCGATGGTTTATCTTCATCTTCACCTTCATCTTCTTCCTGCTGATAGTCATCGTCTCTCCCTTGTTGGTGTCCTCTTCTTTTTGGGAAACTTCCTAGCTGGCGGCTTTGTTTGTTTTCTCGCCAGTGTAAGTCGAGCTTGTAACGACGAGCTGACTCTAGGTAAAGGGATGCCTGCGTCTTCGTTTGTTTCTTCGTCGTCTTCCATTTGGATCCTTACCCTCTTGTTTTTTTACAGGTTGCTTTCTTTTGAGTGATGAAGATTTGCTTGGAGATCGACGAGCTTTGGGTGCTGGTGGTTCTTCATCCCCATGTTCATCAATTGAAGGCAACTGTGGATTTGCTGGAGGGCCTTGCTGTTGGGTTTGTCTTCTATAAGAAGATGGCCTGGCTCCCCGTCGTGGGACTGGAGCGGGACGAGCCATATAATTCTAGAATCACGAATCAAGTTGATTTCCTAGACCTCTAGTTAAAAAGGAGAAGGAAGAGTGGAAGCAAAAGAAAAGGGGAGAGAGAGATTGCCGTTGGGGAGTTTATGCATGCAGAACATAGGAATTGCTTGAGCATGGGGGGAATCAAACAAACCCAGGTGCGGCCGAATGGCCGTTTTCATCTGAATGAATGGGCTGAAGACTGCTAATTGTCGTTGATCATTATCACTATGGATTTTCCTCTTTCAGCTCATGCACGAGCAAAGGCTCGCGGGAATATCCTAGCCGAGGTGGGTACACAAACTCTTCTTAGACAAAGACTTGTCTTCACATTTGAGATGAAAAAAAGGCATTCCTAGAGCTTGGACTCTGTTTTGTCACCCCTGGTCACAATTAGCGGTTGCCTTGTCCGAAATGTTGGCTTCTATTCTGGACGTGCCCTCACAGATGTGCGATGCATTCAATTTCAACCTGTTCTGTGTTAGTGTATGTACTGCTCTGCAGAGAATCCGATTGAAGCATACATCAGTCTTGAATGGCAATTCCTTGACACAAACGCAGGTTCTTGCTGGCTTCGGATCTGGAATAGTCTTGAGGACTTGTTTCAAGTGAGTGTGTGGTATGTGGCTGGGTAAAGCGATTACGCACAGGCCTCGTTCATGGCGGCGTAGTCTTCCATGTTCGTCAGGTAAATGTTCATCTTCGCTTTCAGTCAGATATGTTGGAGGATCTACAAGGAGTAAGACATTTCCTACTTTGACGATATTTTGAAGACTGCTGCCGGCTTCTTCCAATACAACTTTGATGTTTTCCAATGCTTGTTTCTGCAACAGATCAGTTGCAAGAGCCGGATATGGGGATGTGGTCGTTTCACACACCGTTCTATCTGCCACGGTCCCCTCAACTATCTGCATGGTAGAGGGAACAATGCCAATATTGCCGCTCACATAGACAGTGCCGTTGTGTACGATTGCCTGAGAGAACAAAGGAGATTTGAGCCCCTTTTCGGAGGTGATCTGCTGTTTGGGTGTCATTATAAGAGGGCAGGTGTTTATCCAAGGAGGCAAGTATATGATAATGCGGAAATTGAAGTAATGGGCACCGTGAACACTGAGAGAATGAAGGTGAGTTTATTAATTGAAGTCGTCTCACGCCCTGTAACAAATCGGACAAGGCCGCCCATGCGCTTTGCCTGCGGGTGGACATCTTCGACGATGTCACGTGGCTGATATTGCATCTCGCATCTCATCCAAAAACCTCCATCAAATCTTCCAATACATCAAATATCTGATTACGGATTATTCCATCTCTGTCATCGCCGTCATCGTTCGAAAGAACCTTCACCACCACCCACACTTACATCCATTCGTCCCTATCTCGTTCCAGCTCGTCAAGAAACTCTTCTGTTCTCCTTCGACCAGCCCTTCAATTCTCTTCCGCGCGGTCTCTTGGTCTCATCCCTTCGCTCTTCAAGTCGTTTCGATCCTCCGTTAGTCTTACCCACTTACATTCTTTCCTAATTGCCGTCAATATGTCTATGAAACCGACCGTTCATATCGTTGATTGCGCAATTCAATTCGGATATATTTTCCTGTGTTGTTGGGCTCTCATATCTTCGGTCTGTTGTGACTCCACGAGAATTGGGTCAAGAGCATTCCAGGGAACTGGTGGTGGCCATGGCTAACCTCCGTTCCGTCCTTCTTCTGGAACTAGGATTGGTGGTTGTCCATAGGTCCGATCATCCCAGGCTAGATAATATCGCCAGAATGGTTCACCTGGTCTGAGTTCCCGGAAACCTGCATGACGGCCCGGAAAGCCGTCGTCCGGTAGGATTATAACTCCTGCTCGACTCACCAATTCTGGAAACCGCTTTGAGGAGTCTGCCTTCCACAATCCACATGGATTGGTACTTCTTCATTGTCCCTGCCGCTACTGCGATCGTTGCTTGTCGGGAGTGTATTGTTCCGATGAACTTTTTGTCTTCTGCCTCACTCTTTTGAGAATGCCACGCAACACCTTATTGGCATGATCTATTTTTTTGCAAAAGTCATATCCCGGTTTGGAACGGTTGACGATGAAGCAGCAAGAAATATCAATCCAAGGCCAGAACCTTTCCAAGCATCAAACAATCTCGTGTACGCAAGATTGTGGTATCGATCTCTCCAGCGGAGTTCGATTGGGTATTTTTGCATTCTGTAAGGGAGTTGTAGATTTTAGCATAGATATTTTGGATGACCTCTCTCGAACAGGCTTCATGCAGCAGGCTTGAAATGGAGGAGAGATGAAGGAGTGGATTCCGAGGTCACCATTATTTGGTGAGAGTTTGATCTAGATGCGTAGGACCTGCGTGCACACATCTTTCTTCTTCGAAATCTTCTTGAGCTGCATGATGTTGTAAGCCCTCACCAGGATCCCATATTTCTATCAGCTACTGCTTCTTTCGGCAGGCTGTCGAAGGGTCTCCGGGGAGGTGTAATGGGATGTTGGACAATGGCCAGAACCTCGTCATTGGAAAAGGGGTTATCTTCCCTATTCAGGATATCGGGGTAGGTATTACGAACCCATCTTTGTGGAAATTCACACATCTAACCATGTGTGGTGACAATGCGAGTCGCTGGCCCAGTGAAGGCGAATACTCACGTGGACTGTATCACTCCAAGGTCGAATCTGATGTTGATATAAGCATGGGCCAAATCAGCCTCAATCATCCGATACTGGGGCGAAAGTGGATCGTTTCCTTAGAGCGAGGCCGTATTTCATAAGCAAGACCGGTACAGGAAGCATGGTTGCTGCGATAGCTCCAAGTATGGACATTGCGGGTCCGACTCCAAGCTGATGAGACATTGGTCGTGCTGCGAGAGGCAAACCGGCGGCCATGATACTGCGGAGGAAAGTATTGGCTGCTGTGGCGCTGGCGGCATAAAGACCGTAAACGTCAACAAGGTAATTGATACCTATTATCAAGGTCAGTCCGAAAGACACGAAAACAGCAGAGGGTCCGCGTACATTGCTGAAATATCGTATTGAAGCCCGCACCAATGAATACCGCGGCAAGTGATGGAAGTACCCAGGAGTCTTTTGGATCACTAGTCCATCCAAACCAAAATAAGCCTGCTACCATGAGAACAGCACCGATGGCGAGAGGAGGCAGCCTTGCTTCAGGAACAGGTCTTCCATTTGCAGCGCGACATTTTCGAATATATCGTGGCTGGTTTCCAAGATTGATGACAAGAGCACATAACACTCCAACAAATAATCCAAGGAATGGAACGGAGGCTACGACCGGAGAGTAGCCTCTTTGTTCTTCAAATACAATGGGAAAGACTTCCAGCGTGAGATAAAGTATTGCATAGACAAAAGATGCGTAGAATGCTATGCAAGTGACCATGGGCTCGGTGAACAACATCATCAAAGGTCGCGAAAGTTGCTTGGTGATGATTGATTTGAGATCGAGTTTGAGTCTTTCGTGAGGATGGTAGAGCCTTTGATTCCCGGTTTCCTTCCGCAGTCTTTGGGCCTTCCACTTCAGCAGCACGGGAGGATACATCTCTGGCATGCAGAAATATGTTAGTCCCACCACTGCAAAACTGGTGATTGCTGTCATGTACTCTGTCCATCGCCATCCAAGATGAGGGTTGGTGAGAATGGCTGCTCCTGTCGTTGGTCCAATAGTCGGGCCTCCGACGACACAGACGGCGTATAATGTAACAGCGGTTCCTCGAGCTTCTCGTGACCAGATATTTCCTAGAGCAGCATTCACATTACTGACGGCAGCAGAGCCAAAGAGACCACCGAAAAAACGATTGATGAAGATCGACTGGGCGTTTTGACTAGTTGCTGTTCCAATGGAGAAAAGTCCTAGACATGTCATGGGCGGCAGCATTGATACGCGCCGGCCCCATATCTCTGAAATAGGAGCCCATAATAGAGGACCAAATGCAAACCCAATACTGCATAATCAGTCAGGTATACCTTCCTTGAAGATCGCTCTGTCAACAGGGGGGCACTTTGATCTCTTACATGTAAAGAGAAACATTGAGGACCACCACATTCTGGCTAACACCGACGTATTCTGCTATCGTTCCATTTGCCGGGGAGATAATGCTCGAGGCCAGACTGGCGGCAAACGCCAACAAGCTCAGTTGAAAGGTGATCCATGATTTGAAATGTGTAGACCAGTTCTGAGGATTTTCCGGGTCATTTTTGCCCTCCCATTCTACTATGATTTCGTCCTCGTCGTCTCTGTCTTGAATTTTCACTGCCAATCCCTCTTCCTGCCGTCGGGGCAGGCCGGGTTCCGTTTCTTGCGTCTCCCGGCGAAACTTTGAGGGAATGAGGAACATATCGACGTGGACCCCTCCCGCAAACGCTAGAGGTCGAAGGCATGGTGAAACGTGGGGATGTAACGTTTATATGAAGAGCTCGTACAGAGTCAGGCAAGTAGTATGATCGTACAGACTGTGTACCCCTTGCAGCATAGCCTGTCGGAGAGTAGCCGATTGAAATCAAAGTCATGGTGTCATAGTGCCGGTTTAACCGTAGCTCTCTGTAGTTAGAATTTGGTACGCAAGCGAATAAAACGGTCGACTGTCTACTTCCGCCGTCAAGCAGCGATATCGGAGGGGACAAACGTCGAGACTGGTTCAGAGTGTTTGTATTTGTGATGCAATTGTTGGCTCCTGACGACATCAGTGAGACCGTAGCAATTCGAAGGGGGAAAAGAATATGTGTTTCAGTGGAAAAGAAAACCCAAAGTTCTTTCATGCCTAAGATGTGGTTGCAAGTCGTCTCACCAATGCTCGATTTGGAGTCACTCATCCTGACCACCCACCTTCTGATCCAATAGGTCGGCAGTTGGCAATTCCCATTTCTCAGAACAAAATGATGCCCTGATCATCAACAAGCAACCGCGGAAGGCGGCTGATCCGGTTTAGGGCTGATGGGTCTATCACCCGCAGACATCGACCTGCATTGGTTGGTTCTTTCATTCTTCGGGCAAAACCGCCTGCCCATCGTGTATTTCCCCAGAGGTCCAGAGCGTCATGTGGACATAACTGACCGTACATCATCAAGATGAGGACAACTCAATCCATAAATGCACAAGATAGGTGAAATAGAGGGAGTTTAACCCGAACATTTGTGAATCCATGACACAGAGACATCACAAGGCTTCCACGTTCTTTTCGCGAGCAGTCCTCGACAAATACGTATTCGGCGTTCAAGACCCCCACTCTCATATTGCAACATTGGATAAGCAAGATCTTTCTCACTATCTTTCCTACTCTCTTTTCACTGCACAGCCTCGCGTTCATTTCAGCCCTATCATGTTTCCCTCTTCCTCAATATTCAAGGTATGTTATGTTTATTTTCACAATCGGCCGTGTCTCAATGGGTAAGCCATCTCTCCGACCTAGAAAGTATCGCTTGATAGAGTGTGTGAGTGTAAGCATATGAATGCGCGAACGGATTTGGGTGAATGCGATCAATGTCCTTGACGATATGCGTAATGAATCCCTACCATTTGTGGAGCGCTTCTTAGTTGGCCACCCAAGACGGCGCTTGACTTCTGATTACATGAGGTAGAGCACGAAGAATATAGTCACAATGAGAGACAAGAAGAGAAGAAAGAGCGAGAAGGTTGGAAGGTATTTTATAGAATATGTAGAATATATGGAACACGAAGGTCTACGTTATGTTCCAAGTATGTCCAACGTCTGATTCCAAGTTCTGCCATAGGGCATGCTCTTCCTTCTGATCTGAACATTTCTATCCGACCGTCTCGACTTCAACACTCATAACCTCAGGCTCCTTCAACCGATAATTCGTCGCCGTGTTCCAATCCCTCCACTCCCCGGCATTGACAGGCTCATACAATTTGACCTCCCCCTCTGTCAAAGTGATCGGATCAATCATGGTCTCTGGATCCGGATGGACGAAGAACGGAATACTATACCTCGCGGGCAACACATCGCCTTGGAACTTATCGGGCGGCGGGCTGACGACACGGTGTCGAGTCGACTTGACGCGCCCATTGGTATAGCGTTGCAGGAGGTCGGCGATGTTAATGAGCACTGTCCCTGCGATCGGAGGGGCGGTCACGAATTTGTTCTCGTGGCTCGGATCGACTTCCAACCCGCCGATCGAGTCTTGGAAGAGCAGTGTACAGAGACCGAAATCTGTGTGTGGCATGATACGTGCGTGGCCCTGTTTCTCGATCACGCTGCGGTCGAGTGGTGGGTAGTGGATGAGCCGCAGCTGTGGGTCGGCGTGTTGGGTGATGCCCTCGAAGAAGTCGTCGCCCAGCTGCATGACCATGGCAAGACACTTGAGCACGTTCATCGCCAGATTCAGACATTGCCCGTAGAAGCTGTCCAGGGTTGACTTGAAGCCTGGGAGTTCGGATTCATCGGGGCACAGTTTGTTACTGAAGCGTCGATGCTCGTAGCATTCCTTGTGGTCGTTGATGCCTTCAGCGCCGTCGGCCGTGTAGCCTTGGTTCACGTGTGCTTCGGTAAGTTTATAGTTGAGTTTCGTGGTGAGAGGAAGTTCAAAAAAGGTTTTCGCCTGTGCCAAAGATGGGTGATGTGAGCATAACGCAAATGATACCCTTTCTCTTTTCGAATGTTGGCCAAATAAGCGGGGAAAAAAATTAAAGGGGCTTAATAGATGGGGCTAAGGCTCTGAGAAAAAGGGGGTGCTCGGGTCGGGGCAGCCTTCGGGGTAGACTTACTAATGCAAAGATCTCATCGACTCTTGACTGCGGAATACCATGGTCCTTTAGATAAATGAATCCAACCGTTGAGAACGCATCGTAGACTTGTCTCGCCACCTCCTTTTGCTCTGCTGGGTTGCCGGTGAGAAATTTCTCAAACGATACCACGGGGATCGAGATTGCCATGATGGTGTGTGGTGACTGATGGCGAGAATTGCCGTTGGAAAACCTTGATCGGGCCCTACAGGATGTGATTCTTGATGTACGAGGCAGTAGTAATTGCCAGGTGTGGAATTATCACCGTGATGCTCTTCCCCCCAGCCCAAAGATAAGAGTTCCGAGGGAGGGTTGGACTCGATCAGGGAGATACGCGCAGCAAGAATGGTATCGTGAGCCCAAACACCCATAGACCAAAGCCCAGAAATCGAGAGTAGATATGTGAATTCAGTCGAGAAACCCAGGAGACATTATCTAGATCCTCCCTGTGTCTCCTTAAGCCGGTTGGTCCCAAAAAAGACCCTTCCATCAACCCTCCCCAATTCATGGCCAAGCCCCTCGTACGCGGGGTTGTGAGGGAAGGTGGGGGGAATTGAAGGGAGAAAAGTTGCGCGAAGACGTGTCCGTTATTGGGCAATCAAATGGCTGATGACAGGGGGTGAAAAATGGGGGGAAGACTATCAAACGGAACTGAGAAAGTGATCGGACTTGTCCGGTTCAACGAGCAGCACAACCATAACCACAACCACAACAGCATGGATTGAGGACAACGGGGTCTTCCTCGTATAATATCGAGTCAAATATAAGAGCAAATAGGATGCAGGAAACAAGAAAGAAGGATCATTTGAGCTTTATGCTCCAGCTTGGAGAAGAGATACTGTCTCCAACATCAGGTCCTCAATCTTCCAAAGGCAATGGGAAATATGGACCTGCAAAGATCACTATGCATCGATTGCATGTCGATCAACGATATGGTAGTCCACCGTGGGACAGTCCCAAGGTGCGCACTCAAATGAAAAGGTCAAATGGAAGCAAGGTGCCTACGCAGATAATCCATTTCATATGAGTGTTAGTTGTGTGGGTGTGAACTATGCGAAAGAATATGCTGCGGCTGTTTGTGTTCCATCTGGACACGGCAGCTACCGGGGACTAGCAACAGCTCGGATGTGATTGGCCCCCAGAAATTCCTATCTAGGCGTGCGGGGAAGTGACCGTCACCATGTCTGCTTCATTGGCCTTCTGGATGGCTTCCAGGCTGCTCCAGGCTGTTGCCCCTTTCCTTACAGATGAGTGTTCTACAACTTGCCGGTCAACGGCCGCCTTCATCTACTTACTCTCCTTTGTCCTCTTCCATCTCCCCCTTCGTCTACAAAGCCAGGCTTCGATTTAGTTGAACGCCGTCGGCATTCTATCTCCATAGCCATCGCAGCACATCACTACTCCTCAATATCATGGCTGCCGCTCAAGTCTGCCCTGTTGTGGGCACGACCAATACTGTCCTCCCGCCCAAACACCCCGACTTTGACATGAACCAGCCTGGTCTCGTCTGCCCCGTCACCAAGGCGACCACCGATCATCATCACCACCTTTCCAAGCATCCCGGAATCTTTGGCTCTTCTGTCGACGACCTCGCCAACGCTGAGTCGTGTCCTGCCCTCTCCAAGATCGTCAGCCGCCCCGAGCAGCAGGCCATGGATGAGGCAATTTGCCCTGTGGTCGGCACCGTCTCCAGCGTCCTCCCTCCCAATCATCCCTCTACCGATGATGCGAAGGACGGGGATGTTTGCCCCGTGACCAATGCCACTCTGGGCCATCATAAGGGCAAGGTACATCAACACCCCAATGTCGCCAATGCGGCCAAGGGCGCAGTTTGCCCCGTCGTCGGTGCAGCTGGAAAGGCATGATTGGAAGACTGAACAACGGATGCTGTGTAATTTTAGGACTTGACAGACTGGCGATTATGGCATAGTCATTCATCCAACGGTGGGCTTGACGTCTGGAGGCTAGTTTCGTGTTGAGTTCTCAGGCGTTTTGGATATATCTTAACTAAATCTAAGCCTGTCGATGACGGATCCATGTATTAGCAAATTCATCATTCATTTTCCTGGCCCATAGGAGGATGGAGGAGGATGGCCGAAGGGTGGGGGGGGTCGCTTGCAGAGACGCGTTTGGCCAAATGCGGGCCAGCTTTCACGACGGACCGTATGCTCTCGTTTCTTGATCATGAGCTTTGAATAGTCATTCTACGATTCTCTTTGGAAGTGCCCATCTTCTCCTGTGAATGCATTCACTGTAGCAGAGGATACTACCGAAGCATCGGTCTCGGTGTCCGGCGAAACTATTTTCCGCCATCTGCTCCAACGGTTGATGATATAAGAAAATCGTCAGTCGGGTTGTCGAGCCCCCAACTTTGAGGGCCGCAGATCATGTGGCGTCGTCAGCCACTTCCCACGAGGGCAACGCTTTGTGCTGGTTTCCTGTTGATCTGCATGGGAAGCTTCAAGCTAAGGACGCACGAGTGTAGAAATCCAATCCGCTACCTGCCTTTATAAGGATCTTTTCTCTCCACTTTCAAGGTTCAAGGGCAACATTCCTCCACTTACAACGCTCTGCCAATGCGGAGATCAGAGTCTGTTCAAGAGGATGAACAGTCCACTCGTCGTATCGCGATTTGATAAGGACAGTCACCGAAGCAGATGTCCGATGTTACCCTTCATGGATATGGTCTCGTGCCGATAAGAAAGGCAAGAAAGGCCCAGGCTATTGCGGTATTGCCGTCAGTTAGATATGCGCAACAAGCCAGGTGCTATGCTCGTCCTTTTACCCTTACGGAATGAGGATATATTGGGGTGAATTCCCGGCTTTCCCTCACGTCTCTTTCCATTACGGTGATATCGGCCCACCATCATGGCAAACACACCACACCCTCGGATACACCTGTCTCGATTTGTCCCCAAATCTCAGACGGCACTGCTGGTAGCACTCATCGGGATTTCAGTGGTCGACTCTGTGTTACTGGGCTATGACAGTTCGTTGATGGGAAGTCTCAATGTGATGCCGACGTATACCAGCTACTTCACCCTGACTACCGCCACAAAGTCGCTGAATACTGCCATTTCCTACGTCGGAGGTTCCTGTTCAGCCTTGGTTGCTGGTTTCGTGGTCGACTGGATAGGTCGCTGGAAAAGCATCTTCCTCTCTGCGATTCTCACGCTTATTGGGGCGATCATTCAAGCCGCCGCTCAAAACATTGGCATGTTCATTGCCGGCCGCTTCATTGTCGGTAAGTGGTCAGGATCAAAGAGGCCGGGGAACAAGGCGACCTAATAATGTATTTTCAGGCTTTGGTATGGGGTTTGCCCAAACAGCTTGCCCGACCTTTGTAGCAGAGACCACCCCTCCAAAGTTCAGAGCTGTCACCTTAGGTCTCTACTACGCGTGCTGGGGTGTTGGAACTCTTCTTGCCTCGGGAGTTTGCTACTCGGTAGGTCCATGACAGTAATCACCGTGGATCTTCTAATGTTGGTGCCAGACCCAACATTACTCGACGACTTGGGCCTGGAGGACCCCGAGTCTCGTTCAAATAGTTCCCAGCATCCTCTGCGTGTTCGTGCTGATATTTCTGCCCGAATCTCCTCGGTGGCTCATCAACCACGATCGCCATGATGAGGCCCTGGAGATCCTCGCCGCGGCCAATGCCCACGGAGACAAGGATGCACCAATCGTCCTTCTGCAGTACCGGGAAATTAGCGACACGATTGCATGGGAAAAGAGCCAGCATCTTTCTTTCCGCCAATCATTCACCACCAAGGGAAATCGAAAGCGTCTGCTCATCACGGCCACCTTCTCAGTCATCGTCATGCTTCCGGGGACTAACATCATCACGTTCTATTTCGGAGATATGTTGACGCAAGCGGGCATCGATGACCCCACCACCCAGCTCGAAATAAATATCATCCTCACCTCCTGGACATTGGTTGTGTCCCTCCTCGGAGCCTGGTTCGCAGATTCACTGGGTAGAAAGACCCTTTGCGCCATCAGTCTGGTTGGACAAATCGTCACGTTCTACATTCTCGCCGGTCTTACTGCGTTATACGGCGAGTCCACATACAAGTCAGGCATCTATGCGACAATCGCCATGATCTTTCTATACAATGCCGCTTATGCCTATGGCATCACGCCGCTTACAGTTCTGTACCCTCCCGAAGTTTTATCGTTTTCGATCCGAGGTAGGTGGTCATGGAATGTGGGAAACAATGTCCATCTCGGAAGTGTATTGAACCGGAGCTAACTGGTTTTGTTTCCCCTTGGGACAATAGGTACCGGAATGGGATTGTATACCCTCACGACAAAGCTGTCTGGCTTGCTCGTTACGATGGCGTTCCCTTTCTCCCTCGACGCGATTGGGTGGAAAACCTACATCATCAATGCCAGCGCAGATATTCTCATGTTGGTCGGCGTACTCTATTACTGGGTTGAGACTAGGGGTCTCACGCTCGAGGAGGTTGATAGGTTGTTTGATGGCGAGAAACACTCTGATGTCCCTGATCTGAAAGTGGTTACAAGCGGGGAGGTCGAGATTGGCAGTGAGTTGCTGAAGAAACAGGTCAGCAATGTGACCAATGAGGAAGTGGTGGCGATGAAGAAGGACACGGAATAAAACATGGAGTATATGATCTATCGATACGGATGCTAAAGGTGCGACATACGCAGAGAGAACTGGGTTCATGTCTCGAGTCAGCTGCCACTCTACACGCAGTGACGTCCTCCTTCCGTACGTCCTCGACTCATTTAGTCTTCCTCACCATGTCGATGGCTTTGACCGCCAATGCAGTGGTCAACCCTCTATTCCCAATCTTTAAACTCGTCTTGCCTGTTTGGCAGAGCCAGCCCACCTCCCACCCGCCATCTTCTTCTTGGCTGATTTCTAGCTTTCTCAAGTCGACGTCATTCTTGATTCCCATGTCATGACACGCGATCACCCGCATCGCCAACTCCAAGGCATCTCCAGTGGTTCCAATCCGTTCTTGCAGCCTCTCCCGCAGCAAAGACGCCGTGCTGCGGTAGATATCGCTATGGGGATTCGCGGTGAGCAATCGACTGAAGAGGTACAAGAAGACATCACCAGTGGGGTAGTAATATGTCCCGTCGAGGTACGCCCGGTAGAAGAGAACATCCGATACCCAATTTTTGGTCGGCTGAAGAGCCGGTGAATCCCCTCGCGAATATTTGTAGAAGAAACGAAGAGCATTCACACACACGGCTGGGTCGACCCGAGGACGTTTGTTGTCGAAATAAGTCTGTCCGGAATTAGCGGGGGTCGAAAATCATAGAACAGGGCCAAGTCTTACCATAATGATGCCGTCTTCGGTAGTGTACCCGAGGACTTCATCGAGGATCGAGTTCGCTTTTTCCACATCATTGGGTAGTAGAATCATCGCCAGGGATGTTGTGTCAATGTCGTCCGGGTGCTTTTCCACCGTGTCGATTTGTTTCTCTGCATCAAAAGTTCAATTCATTTTCTCATGCACAGAAGAAACGGGCAGTCGAGATTTCGATGACCACCTACCAATATAGTAATTCCATGTTCGTTCGTAGAATGTCATCGTGACGAGATTTCTGCAGTTTGAACAGGTGAGCAATGGTTCTCCTCTGTGATCGAGTGAACAGCCGAGTCAAGAGGGAACCTACAGATCATCCACAGCCTCGTATAAAAAGAGCTGGGCAAAGTTATCTCTCACTTCCCTCCCCTGGGGGGTTACGCTCCACATCTCTTTAGCATTCTTGTGCAGGTACTCCCATCCCCGTTCAATCGGATCGTGAAATAGAATTTTGAAGAACTGTTTAAGGCCATCGGCTCCTCTAAATCTCCAACTCTGGATGCCTAGAGATCGTGCTGCCAGAACATTTTCCGCATTGTCGTCGACCAAAACCACGTCCGCGGGTTTAAGCCCAATGCTTTGAAGAACATGTCGGAAAAATCGAAGCTCGGGTTTGCACATGCCTGTTTGGCTAGAGGTGAAGAAGCCGTCGAAGAGAGTCCATTCAAAACGGGGGTTTTCTTGCAAGCATTTCCACTCGGCCGATGGAATATTGGACATGAGATAAATCCTGAGCGAATCGTGGTAGGTTGTCTTCAGTTCTCTGATCATGTCAAATACTGCGTCATTCGGAACCAGAGATTCTCGTGCCTTATCGAAGGCTTCCGCAATATCTGATGCCGAAACTCCGTACTGGGCGGCGAGACGGCCGTAGCATTCGTCTTGTGAGAGAAGGCCGAGGTCGTACTCGTACCAAAAACGTGTTTTGCGGAATCGATGCAACATGGCCGGAGCAATGGCCAACGATTGGAGTGCGGTCCAATTGGCGAGAACCCCCCCAATATCGACAATGATGGCCGGAATTTTCGAGATTCGTTTGGGCTGTTTGTTGGTCTCCGTCGCGGCCTGGACTTCTCCGTTCACTTCCTGCTTGTCAAATGATGTAGTAATTCCGTTGGTCTCTGGGGCCTTTTCCACCGGTGATTCTCTGGTGGAGTCGATACTGGTTTGTAATTCTTTGCCTTCAGAAATGAGGTCATTGTTTTGGACCGGTAATGCTGACAGACAAGTATCATGGTCGTCCTGTTTCGAGTTGGGTGTGTGAACGCCATTGGTTTCGGGTTGAATATTTTCTGTTGCATCTTGCACTGGCCCAGCCTGGCACTGCGGAGAAGATACAGGTTTGCCGTCCTCCCCAGTACCCTCTGTACTTTCAGGCGCTCCCACTACATCATTCAGGTCCAACTTCGAGTCCACTCTAGCCAAGGGCCGGGGTTCGGAACAGTCGCAATGTGTATCAGCCATGTAGAATAGTTTCTATAAGGACAGACACAGAGGTGAGGAATATCTGCTCATGAAAAAAAAAAAAAAAAAAAAAAAGTCAAAGTATCAGAACGGGCCAGAGCCGGCTGCATACCACGGACCAATGACACAAGAGTATGTTCCCATTCACCAAACGGCTTTGGGAATGTGACAGTGTCACCAATAGAACTTTCTCCGAAGCTACTGGCCGGGAAGGCCGATCACCTCGTGATCATCCTGATATGCCCCCGGCGAAGTGGCATGCCATGCATGAAGCTAACCAGGTGTTGGTACAGGAGTATCGTACGAAAGGATCCCAATACGTGCAGGCACATGGTACCAGAGGTCTTTTCCTGCCCTGCGGTGGGTATGAAGGATCAACAGTCTTCTATGCCACGTCAGAATTGAGATGTGCTGGCACAAGGTCAAGATTCCCTGCACGGCAGTGGGGAGTGTCGAGGCAATTGCATCTTTCACGGACAAGCGTTAACTTTGCATCCGGGGAAGTAGCTGATGCATGAAAAGTCAAGGATAATCGCGACAGACTGATGGAAACATTCCAATACTCACTTCGGAATAAACTAAACGAGTGACAATACCAAGCAAAGAATGCACGGGTCAAGTCAGCATATGAATGATGGCACAGGGGACAACACAAACGCCAGTTGCATATGCATGCTTTGCAGATCGTTTCCAGGAGTGTGGAGAACCAGCTCGTCGGGTGGGCTGCTTATTCGCCAGGCCCGGGCCGTAGGGAAAACGACCCCGATGTGTTTTGACACGAACATGTCAGGAATGAGTTGGTGATGGCCGGGCTCCATGCAGGAAAAGGACTGAAAGACCTTGGCTGGATTCGACTGCAGTAGTAGCGACATCTTCATGTAGCACCCTTGACAAATGTTTCCGTGACTTGTTCTAGCCACTCGACGATTGGAGGAGATCTGTGCTCGGCTCTTTATATATCTGCAACATCTGGACTTTTGCGAGACGTTATCATCACAGTCCACGTGAAGTTTTGCAGGCGGTGAAGAAATGAGTATCGATGGTCACAGACGCGAATATCAGATGGGCGAAGCCGTTGAGTATTACTGGTTCATTTGTCTAAAATGTTGTCGTCGTTGTATGTCCGGTTGGTGGAGAAATCGAAGGCTTTGGTGGGGAGGTTGTCCTGCAAGCTGCGCTGTCAGCGGGATCATCCATCTCTCAAGGACCTCGGGTCGGCAATTTTGACAAGCATGCACATCTTGCAAATGGTATATTGCTTAGGTTGATTGAAAAGTGCGAAGCAGAGACGAAACAATGTATGGTGCCGTGGTGATGGTCGAGTATAATGGGAGCGTCCCAAGCAGCGTGAGAGAGTTCCACGAACTTGGGTGGGAATCCGTGGGCGGAAAAAGGTCGCTTTTAGTGTGACTACTGATTGGCTCAAAATGCCAGAGATAAAGAAAAATTCTCTTCGCTGATTGGCTCCTTGTCAATAATTGCCAATTACCATTTCGGGGCAAAAGATGCCAGGGATCATTAAAAGCAATGACTAACAATATCTTGCTGGCCACTGACGGTCACCAAGAACCCAGGCTCCGAATGTCACTTCAACTTTTGTCCACCAGAAGCCAATAATGCCAATCAAACCCCCAACCGATTGCAAATGTGAATCACGTCTTCGCAATTCTCGCTACTCCCTCCGGCACGTCGGTGAGCCTTAAACCCTCAGAGCTCTCCATTGGTATTCTGCCTCCTCGAATATTGACTTGCATGGCCTGTGCCAATAATTTTGGTTCGGCTAGGCCACTGTCCCTATCCGATCTCCACTGTACAAACTCTTCCATCTGAGTCCCTCGTTTGACATGTTTGTTTTCTCGGCCTTGAGTTTCAACTGTGGTGAATGGAACAGCCTTGCTCCCGGTCACGTTGTGTCCAACCGGAATGTCCCGACTCTGGGGGGGATAGTCATGTCCCGTATATAATTTGAAGTGGGCAGGAAGAGAAAGCAGTTTTTGCATCGAGCGAAACAACTCTGTCGCTGATCCCCCGGGGAAATCACAGCGAGCAGATCCCACGTCCGGATTGAAGATCGAGTCTCCCGTGAACACGTTAGACCCGACAATGTAGCCGATGTGATCTGGAGTATGACCAGGGAGATGGATGACGCGGGCTTCAATGGAGCCGATCAAGAACGTCTCATCATCTGAGAAAGTGTGATCAAATGCATCGATTATTTCGGATGGAGGGATGTTGTAGATCTTGGACATCGTTGCTTGAACTTGTCGAATTCGTTGACCAATGCAGACCGGAGGGGGCGTTTTCGTTGGCTGTCGTTGTGCAAGAACATTCTGCAAATATCGAGAAGCAGTGAGGTGATCAGCATGAGCATGAGTTTCGAGAATCCGAGACACCGTATAGTGCTGGTCTGCCACCAATTCCAGGATCTGATCCGCGGAATGTGTGGTAATTCTACCATTCCCTTTGTCGTAGTCGAGCACCGAATCGATTATGACGGCATCCTTGGTTGCTTCATCGGCCACGACATACTGCCATGTGCCGGTAACGGGTTCAAATATCGTATACACCCTCGGCTCCATAGTCTGGGGATAAGGAAGTTGGTTGTGTTGTGTTTGGATGGCCCGAGGTATGTCTGGTGTCCTTCAAGGGAGACCAGTCCATAACATATATACAAACTAGCTACCCACCCTCTTCCCCCTTTTTTTCGGCAGCTGAGGATTCTGGCCTCCCGTAATCATTTGCGGGGACCAGTGTGCAAACATCCCCGAAAGGACGAGGCTGACTTCGGCCTGTGGATCCCCGACTCGAAGCAGTGGCTGAATATGGGATGACAGTCGTCTCGGTCTTCTTAGATCCAATAAATGAGTGACGCGTCGTATTTTTGATTTCTCGCACAGCAAGCAGGTTCCCGGCAACATCGTATTCTTTTCAAGCTGAGCATGGATGTAGAAGCACGGGGACCCGCTTAACCTGATAAAACATCTCGTCCCTAGGATGATGACCATCATTTGCTGAAGAGAGCTTTGGCGGCCGAGGCGATGAGGAGGTGCTGAAGTTCATAAGCTGAACGTCTTCCTCCCTCATACATTCGTTTTTGGTCCCGGGTTAGGCGGCTGGTTACATGTATGGAATGGGGCAATGGACATCTATTGCTAGGCACAGGTCTTGAGAACGAGTCCGCTAATGGCCGTAACGCCCAATCAGATAAGCATTCATCCGCCCGCACCTTTTGTTCCTCCCCCTTCAGTGGTATGTAACATTCTCAATGTCTGATTCCAACCCATCTTCATTTGACCTCTCTTCCAATTCCTTTACACTCGACCAGCCATAATGTCTGCGACCGATGTAACCCTCAAGGCAAAATATCCGGCAAAAGCCCACTGTCGGCGGGTATCCAAATACCTGACTGATGCCGGCTTCTCCGACGATGGAGTCATCTATCTCGAAGCGCAGAAGACCCGCATGGTTGAAGACGACGACCAGGCCATGCATTTCCGACAACGACGATACTTCTTCTACTTGTCTGGCTGCAAGCTTCCCGACGCCTATCTGACTTACAACATCTCGCAAGACATTCTGACCCTCTTCATTCCTCCGATCGATCCCGACAGCGTCATTTGGGCCGGGTTACCGGAGTCGAAAGAGGAGGCATTGAAGAAATATGATGTCGATCAGGTCCTGTATACCAATGAAGTCAACGCCTCACTGGCAGCTTACTGTCCCTCCAAATCCAGTACCGTCTATGCCATTCCGGAACAGGTGTCGGAACACATCACGTTCCTTCCCTTCGCGACGGCGGAATTTTCATGCCTAAAGACCGCCATCGACGAATGCCGCGTAGTGAAAGACAGCTACGAAGTCGCCCTGATACGAAAAGCCAACGAGATCTCCACGATGGCACACATCGAAGCTGCCAAAGCTGCCCGCACCGCCACGAACGAGCAAGAACTCTACGGCGCCTTCGTCGGCACGTGCATTTGTAACGGAGCACACGAGCAAGCATACCACTCCATCTGCGCCAGTGGCACGAGCTGCTCGACGCTCCACTATGTCCGCAACGACCAGCCACTGGGCGATCGTCTGAACGTGCTCCTTGACGCCGGGGCCGAGTACGAGTGTTATTGCGCTGACATTACCCGCACATTTCCCATTTCAGGGACATTCACACCGGAGTCACAGACCATCTATTCCATCGTCGACGAGATGCAGTCGTCCTGTTTCAAGATGCTCCATGGCAACGTGCGCTGGGAAGACGTCCACGAGAATGCACACTGGGTGGCGATCCGAGGGCTGAAGAAGGCCGGCATCTTGGTTGGCGACGAGCAGGAGATCTTCAACAACCGTGTCAGCGTCGCGTTCTTCCCACATGGCCTAGGCCATTACCTCGGTATGGACACGCACGACACGGGCGGCCACGCCAATTACGACGACCCGGACGCAATGTTCAAGTACCTGCGTGTCCGTGGTAAAGTTCCCGCGGGCGCCGTCATCACCGTCGAACCGGGTATTTATTTCTGCAAGTTTATCATCGACCCGGTCCTCGAGGATCCTGAGCTGAGTAAGTACATCGATAAGGCCGTCTTGGATCGGTTCTGGGCCGTGGGCGGCGTGCGCATCGAAGACGATGTGCACATTACAGAAGACGGTTATGAGAATTTGACGGATACGCCCAAGATATGAATGGGGCGATGATGAATGGATTGAACGAAAGTATTCCGACGACATGGAGCTTATGGGGGATCGGAGTGGGTCGATTCAGTGAGACTTCTTGTACCAGTAAGAAAACACTCGGAAGCCTTTCCGAAATGGATAGGGGGGTTGTGGTGATTAAAGGCTAATGAGAGGTATATGTTCAATTGACAGCTAATGAGAAGCGTAAAGAGGCGCTGTGTCCCCGGGTTTCGGAACTTCATTTTGGTATCTTAATTGTCCATGGTATGACAACTTGTGACCGGAACCTTCTGACCTACAATACCCACTTTCAATCTTTCCAGGTAATGACCTTAGTCCTCACCCACTCGTCCAGACCCTGTACGCCATTGAAGCGTCCGAACCCACTCTTCTTAACTCCGCCATGCGGCAAAGCGGATTCGTCGTGGATAGTCATGGAATTGATATGAACCGCGCCTGACTCGATCTGCTTGGCGATCTTGAGGCCTCGGCGGAGGTCTTCGGTGAAGACAGCGCTGGATAGACCATAGTCGGTGTCGTTGGCAATAGCAATGGCCTCCTCGTCCGAGTTGACGACGTACAGAGACACCGTCGGGCCGAATGATTCGGTGTGGTAGATATCCATGCCAGGCCTGACGTTCTCGATGATGACCGGTCGCATTTTGGTTGTCGAAGCTTCGGTGTGATTGGGGTCGCCGTAGAGTGTGGTCGCACCCTTCGAGAGGGCATCCGCGAGAAGCTTCTTGTTCTTTTCGACGGGCGCAGCAGTCACGAGCTGGGGTACACCCATACCCTGCTCGCTGAAAACTTGGTCCATGGTGCCCTGCAGAGCTGATCGGAATTCATCCGCGATTTTAGCATTGACGAGAATTCGTTCGGTAGCCATGCAGATCTGACCAGCATGCAGGAAGGAGCCCAGCGCGCATTGGAGAGCTGCGGTTTGGACATTAGCATCCTCGCAGACGATTGACGGTGCTTTACCGCCCAGTTCCATGACGGTGGGTTTGAGAGCCTTGCCGGCCAGGGAGGCAATGATCGAGCCGACAGCGGTTGAGCCCGTAAAATTGATTTTCTTGATTGCTGGATGGTTGATGAGAGCACTGGTGACCTTGGCAGCATCGGCGGGTCGGTGGTATATGGTGTTTAAGCAGCCAGCGGGGAGACCAGCATTGTGGAGGATTGAAGCAATACCCCAATAGGTTGCTGGGGCCGCTTCTGGGCCTTTGAGGATGACAGTATTGCCCCTGGTTCATAGTCAGCGAGTGAAATGGAGACAAAATCAGGCTGAGAACGTACATAGCTAGTGGCTGTAGACAAGCACGCAAACCCAGGACGTTGGGAGCATTCCACGGAGCGATGCCCAAGACGACTCCATATGGTTCCTTGATGAGCATGGCGCTGCTGCCCTCTTCCTGGACGACGGGCATTGTAGAAGTGGTAGCAACTTGGACCAAGCCTGCAACACTTAGGCAGGCTTCATAGGCAAGGTTGTGTTCAAAGGCAAACATGGACTCGGATGCGCCAGTTTCGCTGTGGCTGTAGTGTTTGAGTTCATCTCTTCTTCGTTTGAATTCATCTGCGGCTTTGAGAAAGATCTCCCTTCGCCTTGAGGGCTTGGTTTGGGACCAGGATTGGAAGGCCTTCTCGGCCGCAGCCACCGCTTTTAGAGCATCTTCTTCACTGGCTGAAGAACATTGATAGAGTGTTTTGTGATCAAGCGGGGAGACAACATCGAAGGTGGAAGATAGCTTGACTTCCTTTCCGTCTAACCATAAGGGAATTGTAGAGGAAGTATTAAATGCTGGGGAGGAGCTAGTGCCGTTGGTAACGTTGGAAGTCATGGTAGAAGAACGTATGTGGTAGCGACGAAAGGCGGTGAGGGTCAGGAGGATCTCGTTGTTTATAAACTCTCGTGGTTGTCGGAAGAGGGCAGCGGGGAGATGAAGAATTGTAGGTATCTCATCGGCAGGTGGAACGGGCAATGGGGGTGGATCGGAAAGTGCGTCTGCTAGACTGTTACCTGCATCTCAATCAACCTCATGGAAATTGCAACGGGAGTGCAGGCGCGGGGCAGAATATGGGCGAGGGTGCGGGCGCAGATGTAGGAACAGGATTGTTCCCCCGCCATCCATCCCCCACTTGCCCTACTCTCATCACTCAATCCGATGAGGCAAGCCCATGCGCCTGCCTGGAGAATACTCATTCATACTATCTCGAGTGATCAATCTGAGGCTGACCATTCCGGGGTGGTATCTCGCGGATCCCCATGAGGATTGGCAAAGACTCACAAGCATCTTGACAGACCTGATCACAGCCGGGAGCCCGTCAAACTCGAGATCCAGGCCAGGCCGGGATGACTTTGCAGGATGACTTCGGCCCACGGGCCTTGGGATCATATGGCGTATTTCGGTCTTCGGTCTTGAAGGGGCAAGCTAGGAGTGTCGGATCCCATTTCATTAGCAGGTTTTCAGTCTCGATCATCGTCAAGCTCGTCGTTCGAATTATCCAAGAGCAGAGAAGAAAAAGTCAAAAGAAAAGCAGTCAGAAGTGGAAACCAAAGCAAAGGAAGAGATGTAATCGAGATCACCGCAGGCACGTGCAGTCGCCTCGATTGAGCCGCGCATGCCATGCTGCTTCTTGATTATCGCTTCTCGAGTCTCGATGGTATTGGTCATCTGCTGCCAACTCTTATCCCCCGTTTTGTTCTTACGAAGAACGCGGCGAAGAAACTTCGACTTGAACGCCGACTTGAACGCTCTTCAGTGTGAAAGTTGACCATTCGATGTGTTGGAATCAATCCGCGCTTACAAAATCTTTTTTTCTAACACCCAATCTCCTATCCTATACGCGTCGCCCTTGAAATATCTTAACAGTTCTGCGCTGCATCTCAACGTTGGAGGAGAATTGTGAAAATTTTGGGCCCATCGCCTGGTCATCTTCGCTCGTGGTCAGTTAGCCAAAATTTCGCGAAGATTTACCTACAGCAAACGTAGCCATCAGACCACATCCGCATAATCGTGGAATCGCATAATCACGTTCGGTCATGACCACTTATTCTAGTGTGATCCTCATTTCGGATTGCGCGGATACCGTCTGCAAAAGATCCCAATGCGTGCTTGATTGTCTCGTAGGAAAGTCAGTCATAGGACTAGTATCTCGCCGTCGCACGGTGGTATTCGCAAAGTTTTGTCGAGGTAACTCTTCAGGATTCGACGTGTCGAGCCCGTCTTTATCAGGTGGCTCGGGGATTTCTTATCATCGCCGTTCGCCGAAGAGCGGCCATCAGGAGTTAGGTTGGAGTGAGAGCAAGATTCTGGATCGTGGTGGTCGTCCGCTGGGATTTCTATTGTGCTTTAGAAATGCATCTCATCAGGTGAGTGCCAACAATCAAGACCTGGTAGGGACCTGACAAGCCGGGCGAGGCCTTGCCCGCTCCCCACCATCATGCCACTTGGTAACCAAAAAAAAAAAAGGTCGACAAAACCTGTCTCCATGATGGTATACGGCCGAGGAGCATGACGACTGCGGTGAATCGTTACCTTGCTTGGTACCTGCGCCCCCCCCCCCCCCAAAAAAATCAGAGAGCTCCGTACACGCGAAACGTCGGACTGCCACCCTTGTCCCCCGCATCCAACTGCGCCTTGGAGGGGGCATCCATCTCACCCCCTGCGCTCTCTCCTCTCCCTTTGGTCCATTCTGCTTCCTCTGGTCCTTTAGACTTCGTCTCTTTTCATCTTGTTCCGGTCCTCCTCGAATCGCATCCCATCTTTTCAAAATAGGTATTCGTGCTTTGACCCGTGCCGCAGGTCAAGACTCCGTCAAATCTTCCATCTGACCATGATCTCGGTATTGGCCTGTAACGCGTCAAGTGCTCGAGAACCCCCTGTACCTCCTCGTCCCTTTGGTCTAATTCTGCTGCAGCTCCGGCAACCATCAATGTTGACCATTCGCCCTGATCTTTGAGGAAACCCGTTCGTCCATGCTCTCAATCCCACCCTTGACTGGGTCCCCCGGGTCAAGGTTTCAATCTGGCTTGTCGAAGCTCTCCTTATACCCGTCATGAGATGACAATGGAGGAACTGTCCTGATTGGCTGATCGGCTGCCAAACGCAGTGGTCCGCAAAGATGCAGATCGTCAGCTCCTCCATGACGTGTGGACACCAGCTGTAGGCTCCATTGAGGGGTTTCCGCTCATCCTGAGGTTGGTTTTCTCTCATTTTTTTTCCCCCCCTCTTACAGCATGGGCCAATGGATCATGAGAGGGGTCAAAGACTTTCCTGACGGTCTACATAAACACCTGTTCCCTACCTGAGACCAGAGACATCTTTAAAAAACCCTTCGTTCTCATCAGTGGCAATAATCTTTCTCTAGAAACTTTCCTGCGAATCCTCCTTGGATCCTATCGACATGTCTTCTTACAAGATCCCTACTGAGCAATGGGCTCAAGTCATCGACAAGGCCGGCGGCCCCCTTCAATATAAGAAAATTCCAGTTGCGAAGCCCGGCCCAGAGGAGGTGCTCGTCAACATCAAATACTCTGGCGTCTGCCATACCGACCTCCACGCTGCCAATGGCGACTGGCCCATCCCAACCAAACTGCCTTTGGTGGGTGGTCACGAAGGTGCTGGCATTGTCGTGGCCCGTGGTGAACTCGTTACCGATGATATCTGCAAGATTGGTGAGGCCGTTGGTGTGAAATGGCTGAACGACTCTTGCTTGTCCTGCACATTTTGCATGCAAGCCGATGAACCTCTCTGCCTGACCCCCAAACTCTCCGGCTACACCGTCGACGGTTCCTTCCAGCAATACTGCATTGCTTCTGCAAGACACGTTGCTCACATCCCCGAAGGTATTCCTCTCGACGAAATCTCTCCAGTTCTTTGCGCAGGTATCACTGTCTACAAGGGTTTGAAAGAATCAGGGGCCAGACCAGGCCAGACCGTTGCCATTGTTGGCGCTGGTGGCGGGTTGGGCTCTCTGGCACAACAGTATGCCAAAGCGATGGGATTGCACACTATTGCAATTGACACTGGAGATGATAAGAAAGTTCTTTGCCAGAAGATGGGCTCAGAAGTAAGTTACAGAGTCCGCGTGGCCATTTGTATACTGACCGATATGGAGATCTTCATCGACTTCGCTAAATCCAGCGATATTATTAAGGATGTCAAGGCTGCCACCAAGGATGGTCTCGGCCCACACGCGGTTATCCTCGTCGCTGTGAGCGAAAAGCCTTTCCAACAGGCGGCTGAATACGTTCGCCCCCGAGGAACCGTCATTGTGATTGGTCTTCCAGCCAAGGCCTACATTCGTGCCCCGGTTTTCGAGTCCGTGCTGAAGATGATCAGAATCCAGGCCTCTTATGTCGGTAACCGACAAGACAGTGAAGAGGCATTGGACTTCTTCGCTCGTGGATTGATCAAGGTGCCATTCAAGACGGTGGACTTGAAAGATCTTCCCAAGGTTTACGAGATGATGCACGCCGGCCAAGTCGCAGGACGATATGTGCTGAAGATGCCAGACCCAGAATGAATAATACCAGGAGAGGTTGTGGTTGCCGGGGAGTTCTCCAGGTAGACGAAAACTATGAGTGGGTTACGATATGAGGATTCCCAACATTGAGTGAACCTCGGATGTCTGTATTAGATAAACGGTGGATAACCCTGCAAATGATCATTAGCTTCTAGGATCTGATCTGACTTGGCATCTCGGGCTTGTGAACAACCCGGAGTGAGTAGGGCAGAGAAGAGATCGTTAGTGGCTGTTCTGCTGCGGAATCCCGTAAAGGTGCTAGCTTGTAGTCTATCCCTACGCACGATCGTTTGCCGACGGGGGAATGGAGGGTCATCTTGGGACCGGAGTTCACACAGAGACAACGTTGTTCATAATCATGCTGCTCGACGGTTGGTGAGAAGCCTTGAGAGGTCGTTCGACGTTGAGATCCATCGGCTTCCATGAGAGTATTTGGAATTCCTAAAGAACGTCTTTTACTTTTCAGACGAGTAGGTACCAGTGATTCTCGGAACAATGGTTTTTCCGGGCTCTGCCAGCCTTCCATCTTAGGACTAGTCCGGCTTTGTCACTCTTCACGCCATTTCCCACTTGGTCCATGTATCAGAGAGCGTTGGATCAAGCCCTCATTACATGAGTCACACAAGCTCCTGGGTGGGAAAGTTCCGAAAGAAAGTGATCTCCTTACTTCAAACCACCAAGAAATCATCTTCGCGGGTTTCTATTGGATCATTTTGGGCCTTGCCGTCGTGTTATCTGTTCTCCATTCCTCGCAATCTACAGAAGAGGCTGGAGAATGACCACCCCCAGAAGGACCTCTCTGGGTGCCTATTCGAAGTCTTGCCATTCGGTGTCGACTTGTAGCCATGGGCCTTGAGGACTCGAAGTCCAATGCCGTGAGGGTGGCCACGATCCTGGGATCTTCACCGTCGGTAGACGTCGACGATCCATCAAAAAGAGCTGCACTGCTCCTTCAGCAAACTCCACTCCACCGTTCCAGACGAGGATTGGGACAGCCATGAGGAAATTCGGCTCTATGTCCTTAGCGTCGGAGCACTCTCTGCTACATTGGCAAGTGAAGATTATACGTGGATTGTGACCGAGATCGCCTTTTGGTCCATCGCTGGTCTGAGGTATTGGGACTTGAATTTTGGCACTTTCCTTACACTGCCCGAGAAGTTCTTCTACCTGGAGTCGGCTTAGAAAAATAGCCTGAGACGAGGCAGATGCAGGAGAGGACTACTGAAGGGTTTACGAAGGAAAGAGATAGGAGGCACAATAGTATGATGCAAGGCATAGACGTCTTTTCGTCTGCTAGAAACGTTTTTCATCCAACTCTTGCTCCTCTTCTCCTTCCTCTGTCACCTATCTCCTAGTACATTAGCGGGAAACCAGGAAACAGCCGGCAGCGGAGGAAGATCACACGTAGAGAAAAGGGGGTTGCCGAAGTGAAAACGACAGGCAGCTTGCTCACGTCCATGGACATCATTGCCACGTCTTTTTTTTTTTTTTTTTTTTGTGTGTGTTTTTCCCTCCCAGGAAGGAGGGTTTTCATTTTTCTTTCCTCCTTCGCTCATTTCTGCTCTCCTCTTCCACATCTCATCTTGGCATCATACCCTCATACCCTTCGATATCTGACTCCTCGTTTGGCGTTGGCTTGGTTCATTGGTGCTTTTCCATCTCCTCTCATCTCTCAATTCTCCAGAACCACATTTGTCCTCTCCGATCGCTCCATTCAACATTCACGTTCAGCTCTCTCTTCGCAACTCGTCACTGTTGGCGACGTAGGCCCGAGCCCATTTTCCGTCTGGCCCACTTCAAATTTGGATGATGATTGGGACACGTTAAAACAGGCCATATTGTCTCGGTATGCATGGATCGGGACTCTGGCCGACGTTGTCATGATTGTCGACTTTGTTGGTTACCTTGTGTGGAAGAAAGGAAATCATCACAACTTACGCTCATCGCATCGCACACCACCGATTAGGGGTAACTTCCTCATCTATCTCCGTCTCTTGTCTATCACCACTACTCTCCTCCTCTCCTCACCCCCACTATGTCCCTTGATAGCAGCAGTACCTCGTTTGTCTGCCTCACGGCGTTGGCGGGCGCGGTATTCGCGTTCGTCCGCACTGGATTCCTCCTCAGATTCGTGAGAGTCGCACTCGGACGAGCTGGAACTCCAGGCTCCGCAACGCTTGCCGCCGCAGTCGAGTTTGACGCGCTGGCCCGACCGTGTCACACCATAGCGCTCACAGCGGCAGCTATGGTCGCTGACGCTGGACATGCTTGATGGTGACGAGCGCGAGAAGGCTGTACCGCTTGACGAGCTGTCATCTGACAACTCGGATGGCGAGGCCGACGAAGGATCACTGATGCGGTAGCCGGCGAAGCGTTCTTCGAGATCGTCGACTGGAGAAGTCTCGTAGTCGGCTTCGCGCAACTGGCGGGACGCGTACGGCTTGCTGGGCTTGGGATGCTGGATCTTGCCGGGGCTCAGGGCTCGACCTTGTGGGATTTCGCGGCTATGACGGCTGCCAGGGAGGCTAGACGTGGTGACGGTGGGGCGTTGCGCTTTGCCGCCATCCTTGTCACCTCCCGGAACGTCGATGATGTTGAGCTTGCGACCAGTGGTCTTCTCGGTGACGAATTCCTTGGCCGGGTCGTGAGAGACATGGTAGCCATCGACGATGTAGTAGTACCAGTAGCGAGAGCCGAGCTTGAGGCCGTTCGAGCCTTGGAAACGGAACGTTCCCTTCCAGGATCCGGGCTTAGCTGAGCTGTCTTTGACCAAGGACAATGGGAGTTGTGACTTGTAGTTGTCCCATGAGCCAAGGAGATGGACAGTCCGGACGTTGGGAGACGTGCGGAGGGTGAATGAGAGCTGGACTGCTGGGGATGACATAATCGGGGGGGGGTTTTTTTTTTTTTGGTGGTTTTTGCTTTTTGTGGTTGCTTTGATTGAATTAGCTATGTATCTAATATCAAGTTAGCATGAGGGCAATGTCGAAGGGGGGATGAAGAGGTGACGTACAGACTGATAGGAAATGCTCTGTCGTCGAGACTTTTTGATTCGTATCAATGCGTAAAGACGATCGTGGATTCGTTAAGGCGCTGAAGAGCCGTCGGGGCGTTCGTAGTAAATGTCGCTCAATTAAAAATGCTTACAATGCTCGATATGGATCGTAAAAAGATAAGAATTGAAGAATGCAAGTTGACTTGATATATGGTCGGTCGATTAATCGTTGCAGATCAGATCAAGTGGCACCACGCAAGCACGTCCACAGGTGAGTTGTGTCTCCGCGAAGTCTTTTGGAGTGAATGATTGCCGTACAGACAGAGAGGCAGTTGATCTAATACGGGCAGAGCTTCCTCAACAGATACGTCAAGGGGTGGTGGGCAGTATCTAGGAAGGTTTGCGAAAGGTGCGTTGTGGATTAGAAGTCGTTGCTGAGAAGAGTGGCCGGCAATCTTGACAACAAACCGACGTGGGACGTTGAGGATGGTTGTAGTACAGGTGGTGCTTGATGCTGAGTACGAAGAAGAGTAGGTAGTGTTGAGCCGTGATGACAAGAAGATGTTCGACGGTGGTCAAGGTGACTTTGACTTGTCTGGTTGATTGATTGAGGTCGAGGCTGAACACTACTCTCCAGGAGTAATGGTCTTCTTCGATTGGATTGAAGAGATTGAATCGACGTTGGTGGATGGTATCGACAACGACAACAACAACAGCAGAAACTGATTGTGCTTTGAAAATAGAACAAAACGGATTAAGTGTTGCTGAAGGTGGCACAGCAAGTTCAGACGTGCGTTGAGAAAGAGCTATTAGACTTTGATTTTGGTGGAATGAATGATCGTTGACCAGCAACGATGATGGATTCCCTTTCTTTCAAAAGTGAATGATGAAAAGTTTCTTTTGTATTCTTTGCAAAGATCGGTGTTGGTTCTGATATGCAACAAGAAGAGCACAGCTCGTAAATGTCGCGAGTCAAACGTTGAGGGTGTATTGATTGATATGTATTAAAACTTCTTGAAGATTGGTTTCAATCAAGCCGATAGTGTACCGGACACCACCTTTGCAACTGTTATGCTGAGTTGGGAACCAAAAAAGAATTTTTCAAGAATAGCTCTTTCAACCGCGACGACTAGAATTAAGAAGGCTTGCTTGCATGAAGAAAGGAAAAGGGAATCAAGATGCAAAGGCGGGTTGGGGATGGCAATATTTAGATACGGCGACAACAGACGGACCCATTGACCGGTGTGGCCGCAGATGGGCCCTTGGAACCGAGCAACTCAGCGGCCTACCTGCACCCGGATTGAAGGGCAGTGAGAAAACCCCATCTGCGTCGTGATGGGTGTTGGTACAGTCGATGCAGCGGAACGGGGGAGGATCGTGACGAGAGAAGCCAACTCAGTGGTGGGAGCAATGAGCTGGGCGGCTAGAGAGCGGGAGAGAGAAGAGATTAAGCTGGATTGAGAATGACAGAATGGGACGCCATCGACAACTGGGCGCTTAAGCCAGCGATGATTGGTGTGATGAAGATGGCCTAGAAACGGGAATCCTGGTCGAGGCAGTCCAATCATCAGGACCATCGAGAAGATCTAAGAATAGACACAGAAGAGAGTTCTCAGAGACGGAGAGGACATCACGATGAATCTGCACTCAAGCGCTTCCAAACGTGATCAAAACCACTCCATGCAGTAGTCAGTCAAACTGCTTTTCTCGGTGCATACACTATTGAAATCGACGGGGCAAAACAACAAGGCAGATGCTGGACACACGACACGAAATAGGTGAATGTCAAACATGCCAATGACAAGCCCGTGAGGATAAACATCGAGATGCCAGTAGATACACTCTTTTTTCTACACAACATCCATCCAGAGTCCACCAGGCCATTTGCCATTTGCGCCCAGTGCCCACGGACACACCTTCATGTCCATAACCGCTGCCAACCCATGCAGACAGCAACCTATACAGGCACTTGACCGATTCAATCTGTTCCGTGTCGCAGCAAGGTTCCAAAAACAGAAATCATTTCTCAAATCTTGAACCGCCTTGCCACGTGCCATTCATCGACCGTCTAGAACCATTCCTTTGCCAACCATCGGTTGAAGAACTCCAAGCTGGCTTCTGGTTGATCAAGAGGCACCATATGACCACCGGCGTGGATCTTCATGAAAGTAAAGTTGCCATGTGTCTTGACCTCTCCAATCTTCCGCCTGTTCTTGCTGCCATCCAGGTGAAGATCCTTCATCTCGGCCGCGGCGAATCCCTCGTGATCTGGATATTCAAGCGCTTCGGTCCACGCTTTGTTGCCCAGCCAGTTGCAGATGAAGTCGGCATCCCCTGCATAGATCAAGACCGGCATCTTCTCGATCAGCCCGGGCACCAATCGATGGAATGGTTGCATCCAGTCCCCTTGGAACAAAAAGTTACGGTTGATGTCAAAGTTGCACGAGTCATAGCTGTCCACTTCTGCACCCAGGGCTTCGATCACGGACTTGTCGTTCAACCACTTGCTGATGTATCCAAGCTCGGGATAGCACAGGTTGCTGCTGTCCTTGCACTTGCTGCGCACATCGTAAACGTTCTGCCCGGTTCGCTGGTAAGGGGCGAGCATGGCGTTGTTGCAGTAGATACTGGCGGGGACACACGACCACACGCTCTCACTATCGTAGCAGCTCTGGATCAGAGACAGGCAGCGGGGGAGTGCATTGTCCATGGCCTGGCAGGATTGTGGGTCGAGAACGGCAGGCCACCCACCCTCACCACAGGCCATTGGTCGGTAGTACCCGTACTGGGTCAATCCATCCGTAAGTCCGTTGCCGATCAAGACCGACTTGAGGTTGATATTGGTTTTCTTGTGTGACATGATTTCAGATGCAAACACGGGAATGTAGTGTCCTGCATACGACTCTCCCGCAATGTGGAAATCTTGGCTCGCATACTCCGGGAATTGCTCGAAAAAGAGGGTGAGAAGAGCATAGACATCCTTGCCGGCCGCCACGGTGTTGGAAACGCTGGAGCTCGAGTAGGAATATCCGACATTGACGGGCTGATCCAAAAAGATGACACTGGCATTGTCATTCCAAGAGTATGGGTTGTACACCAACTCGAGCTTCTCGTTGATGCGAGAGGGGCCAAGTTCGAGGAAGAGTCCGGTCAAAGACGAGCAGCCGGGGCCACCGTTGAGCCACAAAACAACGGGGTCATTCTTGGGGTCATTTCTGGACTCGAAGAACCAGTAAAACAAGTGTTTGTCGTTTTCATTGTCATCCAGGTATCCCGAGTATTGCTTGACGTGGGGATCGACACCGAGAGAGCTAGGGTCGACTGACTGGACTCGAAGGTCATATGTATCCAGCTTGCCATCAAGACGACGCTCTTGTTCGCCGTCGGCATTTTGAATCCACACTTTCTGAATATCGGCGCCACGAACAATGTGATCCCACTCATGGTCCGGTCGGCGAGTATGTTTCTTGGGTGTGGAAAAGAAGCTGGCGCGGCTCATGTCTTCGGGATAGAGAGCAGCCACCTCGTCCCAGATCGCTGCGGCTTCGACGGTGAGCCCTTTAAGGGCATCTTTGAGATGATGGAGCTGGTTGTCCAGGACATTCTTGGCTTCGGAAGGGAAGGACTTGGGCAATTGAAGAGGCTGTTGTTGTGGAGCAATGGCAGCTGAAGCTACCCCAGCGAGGAGAGCGGTAGAGAAGGCTTTCATGATGAGAGTTGGGGTTCCTGCTACAAGGTGCTCGATAGGGGGGGGTCGTCTGCTCAACCAGCTAACGCGGTAGCGATATCGATAAAGGTCGCCCTGACAGAGAGAGACGCTTGCACAATCTGGTAGAGCGTCAAGCCGGCCAGAGAAACCAAACAGATGAAACAATGGGACAACAAGAGACAGGAATGGAGTACGGAGGATTGAGGAGGATAGGTTTTAACCGCAAGACTGGTCAGGAACGAAGGTGCCTAGATGATGTGGATGGTCTGGTCTTTCCCCTTGTTGCTGGACGACCATCAACTTGCTCAGTGGCTGTCGGGGGGCCGGCAGTTTCAGACTTCGCTTCTTGGGCCTCTGACATCATGTGACACTTAGTCAGGCAGCCCCCGACGCTGATAAGGAATTGAAGTCTGTCACGTGAGAGAAAGATCAAACCTAGCCTTAATGTGGATTAGCTCTTTTTTCACCTGCCAAGCCCACACATTGAGCCCATGGAACTTTCAAAAGATCTTGCGGTCGAGATTGTGACTTCACAATTGCCAGCAAAACCCGTCAAAGAGAGACCTGCCCATCATGTGTAAGCACCCCCCCAAAACAGTGGACGGTCAAGAAGAGAATTCTCTGCGAAGACTACAATTCGTTTGCAATTGCGATGAACCGGAGAACAACCCATGGCTAACTTTTTGTCGCACAGCTCTCGTCAGTGGGGAGAAGTCGAACTGTACGAAAAACGCGGATTCCTTTTTGAACGATCTGGTATTAACATTCCATACAGTCCAGTTCATCCTTCGTCTTCTCAACACCAACGTCGATGGCAAGCAGAAAATCATGTACGCCTTGACCCGAATCAAGGGTGTCGGTCGTCGCTATTCCAACTTGGTCTGCAAGAAAGCCGATGTGGACTTGAACAAGCGGTATGATGGGCTCGAGACGACAGGCCGAAAGAGCCATGGTGACTGATGGAAAATTTGGTAGTGCCGGTGAAATTACATCCGAAGAACTCGAACGAATTGTCACCATCATCCAAAACCCGACCCAATACAAAATCCCAGAATGGTTCCTGAACAGACAACGCGACATCGTCGACGGTAAGAACACTCAAGTTTTGGCAAATGGTATGGAAAGCAAATTGCGTGAGGATTTGGAGCGTCTGAAGAAGATCCGCGCTCATCGGGGTCTGCGACACTACTGGGGCTTGCGTGTCCGAGGTCAACACTCCAAGACCACGGGCCGAAGAGGTCGTACCGTCGGCGTCAGCAAGAAGAAGGGCTAAGCGATCTACCCTCGTGTCACGTTTACGGCGGTGGTTGGGAGGATGGTGTTGGGACAAACCCTGAAAGAGTATCGCAATATTTTGCCGTCAACGGGGGACAACAACAATCGGCATGGCTGGGGTTTTGCAGCTGGTGCAATGATATCACAGATATCATAAATACTCGTGGAAGTCGACAATTTGTAGACTTCTGGGGAAATGCGTGGCCTAAGTTCAGTGCTTGACTTTTTGGTCTCTTTTCGTTTGTCCCCTCCGTGAGTGGTTTTTCTCCTTCTGTTTTGCATACGCCGGTTCATGTATTGTCGTGGAAGCGCCAATGACCGAACGGTGATACCAGACACAAGACACATGTGACATATGGTTGCCGCGGTCTCTGCACCCGCTTGATTCACCTAGGACAGCCTTACCCTCGACCGGTCCAGTCCAACCATTGTAACCCTGTTTGACTGAGTTTCCGGGAGGCCTCCGAATACACTGAGAAGCTGGCCGTCAACTGTTCAGTTGTGTTGCAATAGGGTTCGAAGGGGAAGGAATATGAATCCCTCCCTCCATTCTCCTCCTCCTCCCTTCTCTCTGTTTATCCTCTCCAATACAGGACCAACTCAAAATCAGCGCCCAACCTCCTGTCTACAACAACCAGTCGCCAATTGGGTCCCTTCGCCTTCCTTCATACAAATCCTTCTCAAGAAAGCAAACATGACCTCCCTCGCCCTTCTCGTCATGTTCATCATCATCCTATTCTCCTCCATCGTCTCAGCATTCTCTGGTTAGCTTCGAACTGAGCAACGTAGTCGTGTTTTCACCATTCCAGGCGGACCCGAAGTCACCCCAAAGCACTTTTGTCTCTTGTGAGTCTTCAAAGATGGCAGTCGACTTCCGCGATCAAGATACTCCAGAGGTTAAACCTACGCACTGTTACGTGGAATGGGCCGTCCGGATCGAGCACACCAACTTGGGCAAAGGGTACCTGTGAGAACACCACCTTCGGGGTCATCGTCACGTCATGGCACAGAATTCAGAACCTCTCATTGGAATTGATACACACCCACATTGACAGCAGGTACGTTTTGATGTCGCGCACCCCTCCCCAGGCAACCAAACAAGTTATAAACAGTATAGTATACCCAAAAGCAAATCCCTAACCGGAAAATCAACCTCACAGCGTCGGCCAAGCTCCCTACAACGTCCTGACAAGATTCTCCGATTTCTGCCTTACGTCCCCGGACACGGAATACTATAAGTGCGACCTATCCCAAGCCGAGTGCGACAGCTGTGACGGGAAAGTTATTGTCGCGAATATCACGTCGACTCTTGCTTGAGGGAAGTTCACTCTGCATTGGTGATCATCCATATCCAGGATGAGTGGGTTGGCGGTTGACACAAAAAGGAGATTGAAGGATAGGAGTCGAGGCTACTGATCTGAGGATATTTATGGTCGACGAAACAGTAGCCAGAAAATTACCCTCGCAGAAAGGCTAATGAGGCTCATGCCCAACTAATGAACAAGGCGGGTGGGGAGGAAAAGGAGTAGAGAATAATTGATGTCATGATCTGTTCGTTCGACCCGTGGGGGAAACAGCTCTGCTGAAGGGGTGAGGACGAACGAAAACGTTGAGTTTATTCGAATGGAATCCAGTGCAGTTAGAAAGATAGAGATGAAATTATCAGGCAGCGATGGTATCATATCAAATTCAAGCAAGGCCTGTGAGTTGTGATTGTGCAGAGACACGACCCATACCCTTCGGTAGAGACGTTATTGATGATTTTGCCTTTGCTGAGCCAAAGGCGTTCTACTCATAGCTCAAACCTGTTCTTCCTTCGCCCACTACTGCTCATGAGTCTCTTCTTTGTCGCAGAGCGTGTCGATCTTGACCTTCGAATGTGATCAAGTCAAGCCTCCTTCTCGGCTCGGCCCATCTCGATGTCGGTCTTGGGCCAAAAGTGGCTGAGGTCGCCTACGGGAAGGGTGATAGCCATGCGCATCTCAGCCGCCATCATCACGAACGTCATGTACCAGCCAAGACAGCCTACCACGAATAGAAGGGCGCCACCAGCCTACAGAGCAAAGTCAGTATGTTAGAGATGGCACTGAGGCGCACGTGGTAGAATTGAAAGATCGGAGTAGCGGACCTTTTGCAAATCTCCTGCGGCGTCGAAGTCGCCCGTGCTAACCTTCCAATACGCGCCGCTGAGGACCCAGGCACCGAGGGTGACAAACAGGAATATCAGCGCAAAGATCAGGTTGGTCTTGAGCGTGAAGATGAAGAAGGTGAAGAGCGCAAATCCCCAGACGATCAGATAAAGGGCAATGACGGCGTTGTATTCCTTGGACCCAGCACCGACGACAGCGTTGGTGCCGGTGGGAGAGTAGGGCGCTGCCAGTCCAAGCGTTGGCAATTGTAACATGCCAAAGCTGAGCCAGAACACAGCAAACAGGCCGCACACCATCATTGGGAAGAAGTTGCCCATGATCCATTCAAAGATTGTCGTCAGTGTCAGGAGAAGAGGCCCGACGAAGAAGAAAATCCCGCTGTGTGCATCGTTAGCTGGAGTTGGGGCGGATTCGAAGATCGCCAGGCTGAAAGCCCTTACACGACAGGCGAAAGACCCTCTGCTCCACCCCAGCCCATCATAACCATTGAGAAGGTCATGGTTGAAATGACGAAGCTGTTCACATCAGCTTTTTGAGAATATCGATCGGGGATGACCAGGTTTACCCAACGAAGCCGAGAGGAGTCGGATTGGCGAAGCGCTTGAGGTTGTCACCGGCATGGGGAACCTTCGGAGTGAGGTAAAGCTGTCAAGGAGCGTGCAGTTAGCCCGGGAACCTCTCAAATGTGCTGTAGCAGAAGCCGCATACCTTCTCGAAGAGTTCCGGACTGATTGAGACCGCGCCGGCAGACATGGCGTGTGTCAATGGAGGCTTCTCTTCGATGATATCCCGGTTAGGGGGAGTAGATTGTTCTGCAGACGACATGTTGATTGTGAATTTTCAAGCTGGCACCCAAAGGAGGATCGATAGAGAGAGCCGGAGAGACAATGCCACGGGAGTTCGGTGAGGCCAGACAGCTCCTCTTTATTTCACCTCTCAAGACGTCTGAGTCGGTTGGCGACGAGAACGCCATGAACGTGGGGCCTTGGACAAAATAGAATCATTCTCTTGTTCACCGTGTCCATGTCGTCCATGTCGCTCCACAAAAGGGGCCAGTCAACTGCCGAGAACATTATGCACAAGTATGCATTTGGTCACAGAATTTAATTCCATTTTTGGGGGGGAGGGGGGCATGGCTGGCCTTGCCAGGATTGAGAGGAGACAAGACTAGTCGAACACGTCTGCACACCTCCCAAGCCAACCAGTAGATTTGGCATAGCTCCTTGCTCTGGCATTGGATTCGATCTTCAAGGACGATGGCTTGAGGAGAGGGTTCAACCCCGCAATAAAAGAGGCAGCCTTCTGGCCAGTGAGAGGACTCATTAGGCTGAGGTCGAGGTAAATATCTGGTGATCCGAGGGTTCCTTTAGGATCATGTGGATGTGGAGCTGGTGGAGAGAGGTATGAGAGGGTGCTGGACTCGGGGACAAGGCATGGAATGTGATGTAAACATAATCAAAGGTTTGCCCTGTTAGGGAATGGTCGAGTCCGCTTCCCCCGCAAATTCGAGGAGAAGCGCCGATGGATGATGCTTGCTGCTGCCCGGGAAGTGTTCCCCAGACGTGGCCTGTCACGGCATGGGGCTGCCTGCCGTTGGACCCAAACGACCAGCCGTCCCCGAAGCAAAGAGTTTGGAAAGCGCGCCTGACGCAGCGATTGGTCATTGGAAAAGTACATAACCAAAATAGCAAGGTTGCAGAAAGAAAATTATGGTGTATGGTTGCGAGAGAAACAAAAGAGGGAACTAGTTGAGGAGGCGAAGAGTTGCCGAGGTGTAAGAGATGCCCCATAATTTCTCCGTACTCCGCCAAATATGCCACCTACAAAAGCCAGCAACTATACTCGAGACCATGTGGCGCCACCAGCCACGGCCCTATACGATGGAAGTTCTCATAGGACCTGTTGAGATGCAAAACGCCGCCATCAGCCTTGACACTCGATCGTTTCCAGCCATCTTCCGAAGAGCCTTCGTTTGGCAGGATACGTGGGCATGGAGAACTTCGAATTTCACAAGGGAACAAAGCACATACCATGCATTTCGCGGCTGAGCAGTGAGCGCCGTGCCTAGCTGTAAAGGAAGTGGATTCCAAGGCCCAACCTAACTTATAAGGCCTATTGACTCTAAGACCAAACTAATATGGGGTATGGCATCAATTGCATGTTGTGAACCCCCCTTTGGCGGCTTGAACCGATATCGTACATTTTCATATATTCGTGTCCTGGTATCCGTGATGACATAATGAATAATTCTCTCCCTTTTTCAAGTACCCACAAACAAGACTGGACCACTCTGAGGACTCAAAACACACATTGATACAAGGTCAGTGATTAATGGTGGTAACATCGTCCTCCGACTTGGATCTGGTGTGGCGGGAGGAGATGATCCAGGTGATTGGGTGGCATCTGAGCTGGAACCAAGACTTGGAAGTCTTTCTCCTGCTAACGGTATGCTGAGGAATTCAGAACCCCTTCCAACGAACACTGGTCCCGCTTCGGCATCGGAGCCTTCAAGTGGGATAGAGAGATCAATCCTAGTTTCATTTTGCACAGTACTGGGTGAAACAATTTCGGCTGGACTGTTTCGTGCAACATACACATCGGCTAGCTTTTCCGCGGCCGCTTGCAGTCGAGTCCGGACTTTAGAGCCCCGAAGGTAAGTTGTGGTCTTGACTTCAATCTCATTCGGACCGTCAGCATCTGTAACTGCTTGCCAATCGTCCAGTTTGATGTCGTGAATACCAGTGTCGGCGCTGAATCGATGAAAGAAGAGCTGATCAGGGAACCTGTCTGATATATAGTACAAGTCTTTCGCCCGTTGTTCCCACTCAGTCGCCATCTTCACGAGATCAGAGAGGAGACCAAGAGCCTCGACCAGGCCGTTGGGCAAGAGATGAGTCCACCATGGTCGTTGCGGCAATCCCGCCTCATCAAAGCCTTCGGGCAATGTACCCGTTCCGATGTTGATCATAACTAGCTGTTGCTCCACTGAGAGAGTATGGTTCTTTTGGAAATGAAGTTGGGCCTCCCACGAGGGATTGTTGGTTTCGCCATATCCCCCGTCGGCAAAACATCGGCCTTGAATTATCATGGGCTCAAAATATGACGGTGCTGCTGAAGTCGCCCTTGCGGCTTCTCGAAGCTCGAGATCACAATCTTACATGTGCTGTCGGTCCGGTCCTCGACATTCATGCGTGCAAAGGAAAACAGGCAGTGGTTTCGGTTTCTCGTGACAAAGGACCGCCCTACCTACCCCTGCACGCTAATTTTCTGAGTGCTACAACGTAGTTTCAAGTCGTGCGGCTGGCCTCTGGATGATAACAACTTTTCAACGGCTCGTTGGAGTCTCTTGCCGGAGAACTTGGACCAGTCATCCCCGAAGATTCTTTTTAACAGTGGACGCTCCTTTGAGAAGATTTCTCCCGAAAGAACTTTATACTGTTCAATACATTCTTCCAATGACATGTCCAGCTTGACCAACATTAATACAATCAGTCTGTCCTTGTTAGCTCAAGCCTTCTTGTTGAGGGAGGCCTACTTACCCGCCTGTCGACGTTCCCACAGCAATGTCAAAGACCTCCTGAGGATTCAGGGTAGACTGGTCGTCTGGTATGACCTGCCTTTCGACAAGTTCTCGGGTCACAAGGGTGAGTAATAGCCGCAGGATCAACAACGATGAGAGACCCCGGACGCCGCCACCATCTGCGCGGATAGTTAGCGCCACCCTCTGGAATAGAGGATCGATAGTTCTCGTACCTAGTGACACCATGGCCATAGGTCGCAAAGGTCGCTGAGTTAGGCTTACAGCAGCCTGAGGCACCGTATTCATCGTCTTTTGGTCTATTCGTATACAGTCAAGTCGGATTGAGGCAAGTGATATTTGACTGACGGCGAATTGCGCGTGCAGAACGAGATCGGACGCAGATTTAAAATGAAGGTAATGCTTGTTGCTGAGCCCTCAACTGTGTCAACGAAAGATTGGGGTCATGCACCCCGATCACTCCTGATGACATGGCTGCGGCCACGGAACGCCCAATTGGAGAGACAAAGGTCCCCAGAAAGCTTGACTCACTGGAGGAAAATCGAAGTCATAATCTGGAGCACACTCATTGAGACATGGATGTCCTTGAGGAGAAGTGACCAAGTTCGAATGAATCGATGGGATTGCAGTGACATCGAACCGGGGGGATTTAGCGCCAAGAAGCAATCAGGCTGCATATGGATGGGGCCAAAAGAGGAAGAAGAGGCGATGCACATGTCACAAATAACAGGCGGGGTAGAGGGCTGATTCATTTGACCCTCTCACAAGGTGTCGCGTGGCGAGGCTATGCGTTGAGAGGTTTTACAAGGACGTAATGAGAAGCCAGTTTGCGTCAGGAGTGCTGAGAGCTCCGCCTACCATATGGATGAACAAACGCCAGGCTCCAGCCCGAGGTATTTGAAGGAGAGAAAGTCATGAGGTCCATAGGAGTCCTTCAAAATAAGATCCCACCCAGTGGGTATGGTTCCAGTGAGACAGGCATCTGCAGAAAATGGATCGACAGAATCCAAGATCGTTGAAAAAATACTCACTTTAGGTGCGTAAAAATTTTGTACATTCAACAAAATTCTCAGTATCTTTCCTGGACTGACTCTAGTAGATGGTGGTGGCCTTCAAGCGCTGGTCACTTTGAGCAGTATCAACGCTGTTTGCAGAGCAGTGGCAAAGCAAAATGGGGCCGCCCGGCCACCAGCACCTCGTGAATTATTCGACATGATTGGGGGTGTGGGCATTGGCGGGTGAGTTCGATTCAAGCTCAAGATGCCTCGCTCTGACCTTAGACCTAGGTGGATTGCGCTTCTGCTTGGGCGATATCAACTCGATATAGCCGCCTGTATGGCTATGTACATGGAGATCGCGAGGAAGGTGGATGTTGAAACGAACAACCCCAACGCGCAAAGGATGAGCCGATCTTTCAGACTTGATCAGGATCGACTTACCACAGTTGTTGAAGAGACTCTTGAGCGATACGACTTGAATCCAGTGTTGATGCGTCAAGGAGAAGGGGCGAAGAGACAAAGGAACGGTACGAGCCGCTGCCAATATGCGTGAGTCGACTCTGTGGCATAAACAGATTTGCGGCCGGCGTCGTACAGCGACAAAACAAACAACAGGAGAAATACCAGCTGTTCAGGTCATATAACATTGAAGAGTACAGCAGAAACACCAGCCTTCCCGGTCCAAATCCTGAGAACTACCGCATGCCAGAAGTATTTGCCGCAACGGGAGCGGTGAAATTTTTCTTAAGACCGTATCAGATTAAGAATACGATCTTCTTTGACGAGATCTTTCCCCAATCGCATCCTATCACATCCATTGCACTGGAGGAAGCATTCGGCCTCTACGGCCAGAATGTGGACATCTCTGTCCTTCTGAACATTGGGCCAGGGATTCCTTCTCAGAGGGACTGCGAAGAACTCGACCTCATGTGTGTTGGGCCCATGATACGACTCACTAGGAAGTTTTCATGGCCCAAAGGGAGACACTTTTCCATCAAACAGAGGTTGTTAGGCCAGTCCGAAAGTCAAGATGAGGAGACATCGAAGCTCACGAGTCCTAGTGAGATTGCCCTCAAGCTAAACGAACAAAGACGGCTGGATATTTGTGCACGACTAAGGGAACTGTATGGTGATTCAGGATCGGAGAGGTATCATCATCTCGGACCAGATTATTCGATGGAAGGGGCTTCGCTGAACGACGTTCACGCCATCAATCTCCTGGGCATAGATCGAATGAGTGGTGTCAGGAGAGCATCGCTGAGCTAGAGGGCGTGGTGAGACAGTGCTGGGTCGATGCAACAGCATAAGCATGGGAGGATCAAAGTCGCATGCTTCTGAAATGTGTGTGCATGTTCAGAGTCCAGGAAATGTCAGTTAATCACTCAAACCTTCCTCCAAACAAATAGGTGTTCAGTCCACGTACCCGGTCTCTCTCTCTTTCACACACAACATGCCATTGGACCATCTTCGACCGGGAGTGCTAATTTAGTTCGAAGAGGGAGTGCTCGACTGGACGAACTGAGGGCGCAATCAGCGTCAGGCGCAGGGGAGCTGCAAGATTGACAGCCACAGACAAAAGGCCGCCAATACTTGCTGGATCGGAAAGGGGGAAGGAGGACAACCAAGCAACGACAAGCTCGCTAGAGCCCGAGGGGCCCGTGGGTGACAGTGTTGGATGCGAGCTGATCCTGGGATTTGGACTGGGTTTGGTGGCATCCGTGGGTAGTCGAGGAGGTTGCAATCTTGCAGCTTGAGCAGATCCAGCCGCGGCGATTATGGAGAGCCCTTGCCTGCGGCCCGTCCTTCCCCCCCCACCAACTGTCACCATAGAATTCCCCTGCCAGCTCATGTTGTTCTACTCTCATCATCCAAAATGTCACCACATACTCATTCGCCATCCGGACGTTCCTCATGCGAGCTTCGTCATGCACCTGAGGGGCCGGACCATCTGAGTAAGGTGCTTTGCACAACTTCTGCGACCCAATCATCATGTTCTCTACCTCCTTGTAGCTGTCCTGGTCTCCTGCAGAACCAAAAAACTGAAATTCCCTGCCTATCTGTTTGCTCCCTGACCGCCCGTCCCTCTTCTTATACTCTCAGTTTTCTGCTGAAACCTTGCCAGCTTCTTTTCTTTCGATTTCCTCCGTCTCACTCGACTCCTCTCTCACCGTTTTTCCTACTCCCAATTGCGCACTCCGCCGTCTCCTAAAGATTGCTCGAGCAACATGGTGCACTTAGCTGGCGTCAAGCACGACCCTCATCGAGGCGCAGGTTTCGATGCTCCTCAACGCCGGGCATCAGTTGTCCCTGGCCTTGAGCACATCTCCCTCGAACCTCCTGGAGAGGATGACTTCTCTACTTCCGTCTACGGCTCCCGCTTCGCTGCTCAAGATCTTCCCAGCCATGAAATGCCAGAAAGAGAAATGCCAAAAGAAATTGCCTATCGCATGATCAAGGACGAACTGAGTCTCGACGGCAACCCAATGCTAAAGTAGGTTGATCGTTGAGAGACTGTGAATTGGCTCTAACAATGCCGTCAATAGCCTGGCCAGCTTTGTCACCACCTTTATGGTAGCCCCTTATTCATCTTGAAGGAGACGTGCATAGTTATGCTGACTCTTGTGGCTAGGAAGACGAAGCTGAAAAGCTGATGACGGATGCATTTTCCAAGAACTTCATTGACTACGAGGAATATCCACAGTCGGCCGAGATCCAGAATCGCTGCGTCAATATGATCGCGCGCCTCTACAACGCTCCTGACGCTGAAAATGGAACAAACGCAATGGGCACCTCGACAATTGGCTCCAGCGAGGCAATCATGCTTGCCGTCCTGGCGATGAAGAAGAGATGGGCAAACAAGCGCAAGGCCGAAGGAAAAGACTTTTCGAAGCCCAACATTGTCATGAACAGTGCAGTGCAGGTTTGTTGGGAAAAGGCTGCTCGCTACTTTGATGTCGAGGAGAAATACGTCTACTGTACTGAAGATCGCTATGTCATCGACCCTGAGGAAGCTGTCAATCTGGTGGATGAGAACACCATTGGCATTTGTGCCATCTTGGGTCTGACATACACCGGTGAGTATGAAGACGTTCAAATGATCAATGACCTACTTGTCGCAAACGACATCGACTGCCCCATTCATGTTGATGCCGCTTCGGGTGGATTCGTGGCCCCCTTCGTCAATCCTAATCTGGTCTGGGATTTCCGCCTCGAGAAGGTGGCTAGCATCAACGTCTCAGGTCACAAGTATGGGTTGGTGTACCCAGGTGTCGGCTGGGTCATCTGGAGATCACCCGAGTACTTGCCCAAAGAACTCGTCTTTAACATCAACTACCTCGGAGCTGACCAAGCATCTTTCACCCTGAACTTCAGCAAAGGGGCAAGTCATGTGATCGGCCAATACTACCAAATGATTCGTTTGGGTAAACGTGGCTATCGAAGCATCATGCTCAACCTCACCCGTACATCCGACTATCTGGCTGCTCAGCTCCGAGCCCTGGGCTTTATTCTCATGTCTCCTGGTGGAGGGCGATCATTACCCGTGGTTGCATTTCGCCTGGACCCAGATGACGATCAAATGTTCGATGAATTTGCCATTGCACATCAGCTTCGTGAACGTGGCTGGGTGGTTCCTGCCTACACCATGGCCCCGCATAGTGAGAGGCTCAAATTGATGCGTGTTGTTGTCCGTGAAGACTTCAGCAAACAACGCTGTGACAGTCTGGTGTCCGACATCAAAATGGCGTTGCAAGTGCTGGGAGAGATGGACCGCAAGACCATGGAACGATACCAAGAGTAAGTCTTCCGGAAAATAATTTATCCCTTTGAGCATAATGCTAAATGCATTGGGCAGGCACGTGAAGAAACATACTCATACCGGCAAAGTTGGTCGGAATGTTGAGCATTACAAGGACGAGAACCACTCTCTCCAAGGCAAACACGGAAAATCTCACGCCATCTGCTAGATTGTTGCCTCGACCTCCCCACCCTAGATGGTGTGAGACCAATCCAAGCTAGATCGATGCTTGCAAAGACTAGCTAGGAGTGATGGAGCTCGGCGAACGGCTAGATACCTCAGCTGGTAAAACAGAAAACATTGTCATGAAATGATGATTCCCCCAACCAGAGAATGGAGAAATAAACTTTAACCAAGGCAAACTCTTTCGGTCACTCTCTCATTCTGACCGTCAGGGTTCCCCATATTCCGTCTGTTTCTCAATCAAATGAATATATGCTTCCAGGGACTCTCCGAGGTGTCTCTCCCTATTTTCAATGATCTTTTTAGCAGTACACACTTCCTCGGGATGAGGTGATGGGCTTTGTAGAAGCTGATCGACCCCCAACTCGAAACAAAGCTCCTGAGGCCCAGACGATGTTCACGTTGAAGAATCTTCCTTTGTCAGGCAATCCCTTCCGTTCATACTTCCGACGTGTATGGACAGAAAATTGACCTGATGAGCGGACAGAGCGAATCCTACCATTCCGATAACTTGTCCCTCCCATCCCATCTCAATTATTTCGGTCGGATATCGAAGGGTTCAGGCATGGCGAAAGATGCCGCATGGCCATCCACCAGTCATTCACGCCCACGTATTCGGTGGATTCGAATCCCCCAGCAAAAGCAATTCTCCAGACAAATCTTCCTGGGCGAGGTGGACGTTTTGTGCTCCAGAGATATACGCACGACATTTGACAGGCGAACGTTCACGAGTACTAACTCTTTCCTGGCAATATGAGTAATTATTGATGACCTCGAAGCCTACCTTGCCTGGACGTTTTTGTTAGCATCTACTTGTATAGATGACATCGGCACCTTTAAAATTGATATCGTACTTACATGAACGCAAAGCCGTCATCCGACTAGGTTGTGGAACTGTTTTGCCCTGGAAAAAGCTGTAGGCCCATGGAGGAGGAGCGATGGCGATGGCATCTAGGTCAAAGTCGTCCCAGCTTGGAAAGATAACGGGCAGATTCTGCCGACTCGAGAGCCCCTCGATCATTCTCTCCGGTAGGAGAAAGTCAGATACGTATTCATGGGTGTGCTTTTGTTGGCCAGGGCCGGTTCATTCAGCAGAGTGTACGATAAGAGGTATGCGTCTCGGTCGGCGGTGAGTTTGACCAAGCGAGGGAGTTCTTCTGCAGAGATTTGGTAGAAGCGCTGACAGGTCTTTGCGAAGTTGCGGGGAATTGACCGGTCACCACGGGTTTGCCCATTATCTGCTCGAGAGTCTCGTCGGGGAGTCCGAGGATATGTCCCACAGAGAAGAACAATTATCCTATCACGTGAAGATTCTATCATCGCGGCGATGTTGACGGACAATGGTGACTGTCTTCCATTGATGGCTTAAGTTTACCACACCAAGGCATATGCAGGTTATTAGAATAGGGGCTCACAGCCTTGTCTGAGAACAGCTCGGTATGATCCAGAAAATCCACGCCACTGAAGGATAAGACTCAGGGTCAAGTCTCCTCTTTGTCTAAGAACTTTGATTAAATGCTGCTAACTTGGTGAATGAGTCAATGAAGTTTCATAGCGTTCCTGCATAGAGGCTGAGTCCGCATCAAATAACAGTGTCATCACGGTAGTGCTGGCCTTTCCGGTGGGTGTACTTTGGAAGGAGTTTTCTTGCGGCCTTATTCTTGTTCTATCGGTCTCGATCTCTCAGAAATTTGTCGGCCAAAGCTCTCTGTGGTTGATATATCTCTTTATATAACCCGACGTCACAGCAGCCATATTGAGAGAATGAATGTGTTGTTAGGCGGTGGATTAACGACAAAGGAACGTCGATGCGCTTTGGGTAAATCATATTTCGCAGGCGCACATTCGAGGCTGGAGCAAGGTCAAAACTGACCTGAGGCTTGGATTTTTGGATTGGCAAATTCAACAACACTATCAACACTGTTGTCCAGGAATCTGGCCAAAGGATATCTCATGGCAATCTTGCTGGTACTTGGATATTCTAGATGAATAATCTAGGAAGTGATGTCGCACTTATCGAATTTCAGCAGAGCATCATGATATGCTCCCTCATACGTCGAGTTATGTATTTACAGACTACACCTCTAGTTGTGCATGTAAGCCTCATCTTCTATTTTGGTTCGGCACTGTTTGGCCTCGAAATCAATACGCAATTCTTCATCAATCCATTTTCATCCTCTCTCAATAATCTCAGTGCCTTGTCTGGTCAAACATCAGCACTTTCCCATAGGAAGCCCACCTCCCATTCCAATGCTTGAAAGCCTGGTAGGAAATTGTAATTCGAGCATGGCATCAATTTCAGCCAGTGTTTGATCATCATCCCAGGGGGAATAAACCACGAGATGGTTTGTTCCAATGCCTGCAAGCGCTGCAAAGACAACCCCAGTCTTCCCTCCCGGGTTTCTGGCATCAGGATATGAATGTATGGTGTGCAGATACCAAAAGTTATTGTCCAAACACCATTGAAGAACCATCCGAATCCTTGGTTTTTGGCTCTCAGTTGGAGTGTTGACGCTTTCGCCGCGTTCACGTAACCGGTTGCTCATACACCGACGTCCAGCAGTGGTCGTAAGTGGTTATCATACTCGCAACGGAATGGGGGGTAATAAGGATGGATATTGTCAGAATCAATATCCGCCTTCCAAATTTGCCCAGTCCGAAAGGTCACCATGGCACTAGCCCCTATTCCACAGCAGATGCCGGCAATGAGGAAATCAATACCGATGCTGGCATCCACGTCAAGTGGCCTCTTCGGTGTGAGATTGCTGTTATTCCCAATTGAATCGATTCGGAAAGAAGTTCGAAACTGACTTGAACCTCAGCATCTGTCGTTGACTCAGTCTTAGCCAAACGCGACCGGACCGAAACTACACCAGTGAGTGGTCCAAGGAGTTTGAAATCGAAAGAAGGTCTGAACTGGTCCTCGAAGTCGGACAGGAAGGATCTCAGACAGACAAGTTGGGGTTGATGAAACCAACCAGCAGTCGAGGAGCCGCCCATAACACCAATTGGAGTTGTGGCACTCTACCCGAATAACCATGAAGATGAGACAATATATTGTTCCTCATAGAGCTCACCAGACACTTCTCTGCAAGATTCTCAGTATACACTTCAGCAGAATACAAGAGTACAGTAGAGCACTTACTGAAAGACAGGCATTGAAACAACAGTCCCAACAATGACCAAGTCAAATCCTCATAGAAGGATTCCGGAGTTCAGACCACACATACATGCAGCGGTTATCTTTGGCCATATTGAAAGCTCTTGAATGGAGGATGACTCGCTGGGCCCTGCAGCGGGAATCTCTCTGTTTGTCTCTTTCCCTGTGAGCTCAACGTGTTTCGTCTCATCTTTGACTTCACCCACGGCCTGAGGGTAGCATTGCGCCAATACAGATGCCTCTCAAGGGACTAGCGAGAGAATATTTCAACGAGAAAGAGGGCAGATATGGGAGAGAGCTGCGACCATATTGTAAAGGTGATGAACGGTTTCGCACTTGAGTGCCTGTCATGCAGGGAGGATGTCGTCGTCAAAGTCGTTGAGCAACCACACACAAAGCTCTAATTGTTTCCTTTCCTTATGCTCTGCTTTTCTTCGTGTGCATGTGTCCTCTTAAAAAATACCAAGAAAAGTTCAATGCACTCGCCAACTTTCTACCCGCCCATGTTTGCTTGCCCCTTACATAATCCATGCACGTATCGTCCTCTTTGCGTCCCTTGTTCTCTGAGTGGTCAATTTGAAACGGCCGAGGCCATGGTAGCCAATGACATTGCGCTACCGCAATATGAATGCCTGGAGATGACTTCGAGCAGGCAAGACTTGCGGAGGACCGAGTACCAAGGCATAATTAGGAGGCGCTTACTGTACTGTAAGTGGATCCTCCATGGCAGTGGTACGCCTGGCTAGAAGGCGTTGAATGTGGTAGCAAGCTTTGCCACTGAGTGGGGCGATGGAGCTACCACCACTGCGAAAGCGCTGCCGACTACCGGGGAGAAATACCATCGTAAATATCCATTTTTGCCCAAAGTCGCACTCTGCATCTCTCCCATCTCCTGCCACGGCCAACTAGTAGCTGCATAGCGCAACCCATACCTCGCCATGAGGCCGAAAGCGTGCACGACATGTCGCCAGTGGAAAGCTCGCTGTGATGCCTCGACCAGTCACCCAGACCCTTGTACTAGATGTCGAACCCTTCGTCGGACTTGTACTTTTGACCGCAACTTCAAGCGGATCACCAAGGCGAAACGCATTCTGGAGCTGGAAGAAGAGATCAATCATCTCCGAGGCACTGCCGCCCAGCCTCTTCAAAGCCAACCCCAGCCATCTTCTACAACAATATCTGCCAGTCCGCATACATCTCCTGCTGACAAAACCTGCCCGCCTCCGGCAACAATTGTCGCAACATCCACACCGCCAGCAGACGGACTTTGTCTCTCGGCCAAGTCGATTGGCAATGTCCATTTCAGCGCAGCTCAGGTGACGGAGCTTTTCCGAATCTTCTCAATCCGCTGCCATCCTCACCTCCCCATGAATATGTGTCTTTCGCCGGACCCAGTGTTTGACAGATGTCCCCTGTTGTTCTGGGCCATTTGTGCGGCCGCTGCTTCAGATCATCCCATACTTCTGCTTCAGCCAGAGATCTCCAGCCTCGTCGCCACTATCATCGCCACTCCCCCTCGGTCCGTTGAGATTGTTCAGGGCCTTCTAATTCTTTGTATGTGGCCGTTTCCTTACTCCAACACCACGGAAGATCCTTCTCTTATCTACAGCGGCATGGCGACTCAGGCGGCCCTTCAGATGGGTCTACATCGACCCAATTTTGGAAACGAGTTCAGTTCAAAAAAGGACCCATCAGTGGAGCGGGAAGAGGTCAAGAGGTCAACTTGGTTAGCCTGTTACATTGTGGCCCAACTGCAGTCATTTCGCCTGGGCATTCCCCTCTCGATCCCCGTGGATTTTTCTTTTCGGGCAGCCCTCAGTGGCAGCCATATTTCTCCGCTCCTGGCCAACCTGTATCGAATCTCTCAATTCACTACACAGTTTAATAGTGTCATCGGTGCAAGTGCATCAACGCCGTCAGGTTTGTTGGAACCCTCGACTCGAATTGACATGATCAAACTCTTCCTTGTCGAATTTGACCGGCTTAAAGAAGAAATCGCTGGCGAGACATCCCAGATGCTCGATCTGAGTCTTCTTGCCTCTAAATTGCAGCTGTTGTCGTTCGCATTACATGATGATACTCCGAGATCAGAAGATATTGTCCCCCTTTACTACCAGGCCGAGAACGAGGCCATGCGTCTCATCCAGACGGCATCAGAATGCAACCTCTCAATTGTACCCGCACACATTTTGCGACATTTGTTTTTTGCCACCGTGATGCTGATAAAAATTTCTTGGTCTCCATATATCAGCCAACGCGAACTTGTCCAGGACAAAATCAACCATGCCATTCAATCGCTGTCTACTGCCGTCAAAGTCCAAGACGATCATACTCAGAGAGGATGTCACTTATTGCGTAGCACAATGATATTGAGAGATTGCAAGAGAACGCCATCGATACGGTCAAGAATGGCTTCGTCATTGTTGTTTGACAATATGCGGGTGCGGAAAGAATATGTGGACGAAGCTTCGGCTGCCGTTGTCCCCCCCAACTTTTTGGATTTGGATGGAATCGACTGGCAGGATCTCGGTGCAATCTTCGTGTAACAATAGTGTGAGTCTGAAATACCACCAGCTTGAACAAGCGATACGAGTAGTAATTTATCAGAGGCCTTGGCTTCCTTCACACGGCCTTGTCACTCCGCCACCACCATAAAACGTCTCTGAGTCCTTCTCCCCCTATTCAATCCACCTTCTAACCAATTTACTCAACTGCTTGTACCAACGCTTACGCTGCCCCGTCCTACGCTATACATATCTCCCTCTTGACTCGGAAAAATATGCCGTCTTTTTCACTTCACCGGCACGGGCCCACAAAATGCCAAAACCAGCTACAGACAGTGGAGTGCCCTCTTGTCATCGTCAACATCGGCTGAATGGGAACTACCCGTGACCTTTCGCTCCCGACGTCCTTGGGTAAGCGGGCGCTTTTCGATAGAGGGATGTGCACTCTAGTTACCAGCATGTGCTATTGATGTCACTCTGCATCTAGTCGAATAAGACGAAGGACAAGGGGTCTGGCGAAATTTGGTGGGAATGGATAGGACTGAGCAAGCAAGTAAGTGGTATAGTGTTTGCAGCAGGAAATTATTAGCTTCGCCTTCGCTAATTGGGAGGCACCCTGGAGGATCTCACGGTGAGCAAGGGGAGGAGGAGAGATATACAGAACAGATTCAGCTTGGGCAATTTATCGTTAAAGGGCAAGGCACAAGATAAGTCAAGAAATTGACAAGCTTCCCTTTGTTTGGTTTCGTTGAATTTGACAAACTGGGACGGTATTTTGTTCCATTCCGTCCATTTCTTTCCATGATTCACTTACGGGTAATGCAGTCAGCAATCAAGATGCGTATTCCATGCATGTAATGTCCTTCCGGCAAACCCTTTCTCGTTCCCTTTATCCTTTTTACCAGGTTGTTTCTGGGACCGTAATGCCAATTCAATTCAATAATATAATGCTTTCGAAATGCACATGTAAAAGTCAACACCAGAGTATTCTACAATGAATTGTCAGAAAAGCATAACACATACACACATAAACCGTTAGACGGGTTGTACCGTCATAAAAGCGTCAAAATCATTTTTTCATCAGCCTTCAAGCACGAGGGAAGGTTTGGCCTCTAAATCCAACCATACTCCCATCGTTGACTGGGATGGACTGCCGAGTTCTCCTTTTGAAGATCCTCAATCATGCTCTGTAACACCAATTCAGTGCGGCTGGGGATATATGATCGGACCATCTGTGTGTTTCTGAGGTAATAGCTGTCAATGTCGAGCTCAGAGTGGTCTTCATCGTTGAATGAGCCTTCTGTCTCCGTCACATAAGACAGGATTTGTGTCCGGTTGGACAAAGACCGTGAGGGGGGAATTCGCTCAGTCTCTGTGCCATGCTGGCCGAATGCTGGTATAGGAGTGGCTTCTCGGATGATCGGATGCTGAGGAGACGTAGGTTGTTCGAGAACAGGAGATAAACGATTGCTGACTGGACGTCGGTAGGGGTGTTTCTGCATCCTCACTGGATCTGGCCGAGAGACTGTGCACTGGGGAGTTGCAGGGTCCTTCTGCAGGGTCTGGTTTGGGCAGGTAGAGTCCAAAATTCCAACTTGAGACACCCCAACGAGGACTTCATTTTTCAAATTATCTTTCCTGGAGGTGTACAACGCGTAATTCCGTTCCGGAATGTGTGGCTTCTCTTGAACACATGTTTGAGTATTATCCAGTCCCAGCTCATGTCCAAAATCCCGTGACCTCGAGGAATCTCGAGATGGCCATGTAGATTTCCGGCCGGACCACGTCTCCCACATCATTCGGCCAAGAGAGGGCAGACACGCCGTGATGATACCGATGTTCATAATGACCTGGATGCAGATCTGGAGCGAGACTGAATCCCATGTTGGATCATGGGAAACGAGGACAGATCGCAAGTGTGAAACTTGTGGGATCGTGACCAGAGGGAGGGCTATTCGAGTGCCGAAAAGAATGCAGACAAAGATCTTTTTGTCGAGAGACGTTTTGAGCTTGCACATCATAATGACCGGTAGGATGAGAGTAACTACGTCAATGACGAGGCTGATAGTGATGAGTATGATCAGGAAGGTTTGCTGTTGCCGGTAAATCAGAATCCATTCTGGAGACGGTCATGGTCGTGGTCATGGAGACTTACCCGGTCAACACATTTCCCTGGACTGGCCAGCCATGGTGTTGGAAGAGAGCACTGAAAAGCAAGCACTGAAAGGGCCAGAGTCGAATAGACCGTAATAAGTCCCAGAAGAAAGTTGCACCCGATGCGGACGGGCAATTGTGGTTCGACGTTTTTAATGAGCAGGACGACAATGATCTGGGTTAGGGAAAGGACGGATTGGAAGAGGAGGTTGCTGATATAGGTTAACTGTACGAATTAGCTAGGATTCTTGGTGATGATATCGATGGTGGACATGCTCACCTTCTGATATTGTGATACCTCAGCAGCGCCCAGAGAAGAAACATGTCTTCCCAACAAACCATTGGATAGTAGGAATCTCACACATGCGCTTTGGGCAATTGCAATGACCTGCGTAGCCTTGGGTCAATTGACCACCCCGTAAAAATAGGTAATGATCGGCCTACCAGTGCTAAAGGCAAAAGCATATCAGTGGATTCAATCGCTCGACTAATGCGGTGCCTTGCAATACCTCTCGCAAGTACCACGAGGAAAGAGACAATGGCCAACACGACCGTGAGGATCTCCAAAGTGGCTCCATTATAATCAGACATTCGTCCACCACCACCGTTCACTAGCACCTCACTCGTCATTGTTTGTAAATAAATAGTCGTACATCAGGTCATATGGGAAGGAGATTGAACCTGAGGATCCGAGAGGAAGTGATCTCGAACAGGCCACTGGGTGCCATATATGAGGGCCTCTGCCATCGAGGCATTTGGGAGAAGAGCAAGTCCCATCAACCACTCATGTCACGGTACGTAAATTGAGAAGCTCAGACTGGCAATCAGAGGGAAAGATAGAGCAGCATCAGCCAGAAGCTGGTCTGAAAGATATTTGTGGAACAAAGACAAGTGTCTGATCAATCCTCAACATGTCAAAGCACCCGAATTCGGCAATGGCCGTAGGGGTTGAAAGGACGCGAGTGGCACGATCTGGAGCTGAGGGGAAATCTGGATAAAACATCCTGCGAATCAGGAGAGATAGATTTTCAAATCAGGTAACCGACAGACGGGGACAGAATGAGTCTTGAAAGCTTCAACAAGGGAATTGTTCGTGTTCTCTATCGTGATCAACAATCGTTCATCTCAAGGATAGGTGTCTCGGAGATCTCGTCGTCGTCTTCTTCGCACATGGTGATCAAACGCGAATCTCTATGAGATGGAATTTTTCCGTCAGTCATAATAGTCAAGAACCCGCAGACCCTTTTCACCAAGATTTCGACAACAGACTCGTGTCGCGTAGATTGAGGGATTCTGGCCCAAGGTTAAGCTCCGAGTATCAACAGTCTAGTCGCAGCAAAAGATGCAACATCGAGAGAAATAGCAGCATCATAGAACGCGTGCTTGGTTCTTTCACGTCGGTTCTAGATGAGAGAGCTCAACACTCAACGCGTGAGATGTAAGATATGACATATTTGACAGCCGCCACTTGTGTAAAAAGATGATCGAGCTGTTTGTGTTTTCAAGGACCTTTTGTCAGGCTATGCAACGTCTTGGCATCCAGGGGGACATTTTGACAGAGAAAGCTCTCGCACATTGGCCATGTAAAGTGTATTGCCGGGAAATTGCACCTCCGGTTTAGGCGGCCCTACCCTTTCGGGCATGGTCGTAGGCTGGGCGCGCCGCCGCTTTTGACGTCTATAAGAACCTCGTCTCCCATCCCATCCCTCTCTTTCCCCCCCCTTCCCCGGGGGCCTTCAAAATCTGCCTCGCCTCTTCGAGTGCGCCTCGATCACCTTCTCAAATCCCGATCCTCACGGCCGGCACTTCGACTCCTCAAGTTCCCAATTTCTCCGTGGCACATTTGACTTTGCACCGGCTGCAACGTGCAGGCTCAGCTGACCCCGTCCATCATCTACGCCTCGACTAGGGTCCTAAGGGTGTTGGCGTCGACAAGCCCCCCTATACCGCCTTGCGAAGATGAATCTGGGTGATGGGCCCCTCAGGCGTTTGTTCCAGACTTGCAAAAGCCCAGGGAGATCGTCGTCACTGATAATAGCAAAATCGAACATCCTCAGACGTCGTGGTTGACGCTCAACTTTCCTTCCATGGTGCGCCGTCGGTGCCCGGACTCTACATCTCGATCTGGAGTGTTCGTACGGAACGAGAAAGTGGTTCTTGACAAAAAATCGTGATCGATTCGTTTAATTGACGTCGGTTTTGAGGGGTGCAAAAGACTTGCTCGAAGGACAGGTCGACTTGACGGCCTACGAGGAGTAGTTTGGCTGTCAAGGACGTTCTGTAAACTTGAGATCGAATAACTTTTCGAGGGTTTCATGGATGAATTTCGGCTGCGGTCCAGCCAGCCTCGATGTTGATCAAAGTAAGACTCTCGTCTCTCGCCTTTTCGTAGTACGAGAGAAATCTAGACTTCTTAACGCTTGATGCGTCGTCGAATCTAGCTAGATTAGCAATCTATTCTCTGTATCGACTTTTCAAGGGAGAAAAGCATGATAAATCAAGAGGCCGAAGAACATGACTGGAATGGGGTATTAGATGGAACGGAACAACTTTATTTTGCCAGCATTCCCACATAAATTCGTACGTTGTGTGACTCTTGTGGCCATCGATTAAGAGAAGACGATAATCGCTTGTTGCGGTCTGTGGAAGAAAGATCTGCTTTAACCGGGCTAATCCGATATTATTTGAGGTCCAGCTATTGCCGGAAGTTGTATAAGAAGTCTGGGGTGCTCTCGTTCGTGAAGACTTTGACCTTTGAATATAACGAGACATTGAAGAAGACGGCTAGTTGCTGAAATGGTCTCGATAATGGAGACCTATTCGCGATTTTGAGGGCTCTTCTTGGATGCGTATGCTCTGGACTATGTAATTTCAACAGTATAACCGCACTTCTTCATATCCTGCTGTAGCCATGCCATCGGTGTCATATACGTAACGTCTGATGTCGCTGTCAAACCCACGCCGCTAGTCAATATTCCAGCAACTCTGCCATTGACATCGAAAATGGCTGATCCCGAGTCTCCTTTATTTGAGAAAGGTGCGAAAGCTCGCCTGTCGACGCCACCAACTACACACCATTCCATCGTTGTTTCGCCACTGGCATGTACAATCGATTTCACCTCATTGCAGCATCCCCATGTTACGCCAGTGCTTCTGCCTCTCTTGCCTACTATTAGGCACTGGTCTCCGTTCTTGTCAAGCATTTTCGGGTTCTTCAGCTCACTGATCGGTACTGTGTGCTGAAGACGCAGTTTTCCGTTGAGTGGCATCCTGAACTTGTGTGGACTCGCTGGGTCAGGATGAAGCACTGTTACCAGGTTTTGACGGCTCATCCCAAGCCCGATCAAAATATCAACGGCGTTCGTTATGGGTTCTGAAAACTTTGCTTGATCAAGCTCTATCAGTGCCCAGTCGCGACGGGGTCCAAACGCATCCGCTGTGTCAATAGGATCAGCAGTCTCCACTGGAGGGCCAAATACCACATGGCCTAATCTGCGATTAGCCTTGCTTTGCCATTTAGGTAGTATATTTTCCAAAAATTCCCGAGTGTCTTTATCCACAATAGACGCTTCATGCACTTCGTTTTCCCACCCCTGCTCTTCTTCGGGCTCACATTGCTTCAACCTCTCCTCAGCATATTGCAGCCGATCAGCTTGCGCATCCAGCTGGATCTTGGCATCTTTCTCCATTTTGTCAATAGTGATATTTCCGGGTAATAGCATATACGTGCGCGGCTGGCCGGTAGCAGGCTTAAACCGATATGCATCCTTCTTGTTATCGTAAGGATGGACGACGTGTCTGCAAGTAACGGTCCATATGCTCTGAATTTGTGGATTAGAATCGCCGGGTTTGAGGTATAGGCCGAGAGTGCCTTCAACGTTGGACCCCTCAGGACCAATTGCTTGGCCAGGAGAGGCAGTTAGTGGAAGTTGGTATTCAGCCGTCGCATTGGTATCAGACACCGGCGGTAGATATAGGACTGGTGGTGTTGTCTGTACCAGTTCCCAGACTTGTGATTCCCTGATCTCACATTCAATATCGGGGAGTTCGTGACTTTTCAGAATGGCGATGCAGGCATTCACAATGGTCAATCCATCACGCCAAGTTAGGCTTCCGCCGGTAACGCCAATCCAGAGTACCACAGGGCACACGCCATCATTGTCCGGTCCCCGGTAGCCAATTCGCAAAATATCGATAGAAGTCCAGTCGGCAGGCGATAGAACATCGATAATTTGTTTCTGAAGCTGTGGATTCCACTTGTCGATGATGGAATGCTTGCCGACGTGTTTGAGAAATTTGACCCGAGGGTGAGTTTCCCCATGCTCTTTGTGACGCCACTGCAGTCCACTAGATCGAGCCACCAAGCGGGGGCCGGAAGGCAAGCCATAGTAGTATAATCTAGCTTCTTCATCACTCGGCTCGTACGGCGAATCTTCAAGGACCATTGATGATGGCGGTGAATCGTGGCGGGAAGACTCATCTGAGTCTGCAAACGCTTTCATAGGTGAGGACGCTTCTGGGTCGAAAGAGTCTCTTTGCAAGGGAGGCAGGCGCCTCGGGATCGGGGGACCCTTCTTGGTCGAAAAAGTCTCTTTGCAAGGGAGGCGCCTTAGAATCGGAAGACCCTTCTGCGAACGTCTTTTGGCCCTTTTTATCCATCTCAAAAGAAAGGAGATCAAGTTTTCTTTTTCAAGGAACAAAAATGCTTATTCTCGGAGGGTCAAACAGAAAGTCTTTTGGTGCGGCTGAGTCGAGTATGACTAAGGGGTGGGTAGGCAGCAGCGTGGGAAGGAACCAGGGTTATGGCGCTACCTGCGGCGCCACCTTAGCTCGTAGTAACGCGGAGCATTAGGACCAGCAGCTCAAGATTCAAAAATTATTTTTGCTACCTTCCCACTGCACCTTAGTATTCCTTAAGTAAGTCTTCCGTATACGTTGTTGGTATATTACTCGCATTAAGAAGGGTCTCTGTTAAGATATAGACAAGCACCGTAAGGGGAGTATTCGTAAAAGAGAGCATACACCTTTTTTGCGAGCAGCCGTAAAGAGCCAAAGGGGATTAAATAATCGTGTATGTCTCAAGAGCCTCTAGTATGCGCCTAAAGTCGTCGAATGGTTATACGGACTCTATAAGGCAGATGGTTCACATACACGCAAAATAAAAAGTAGTAAGAAAATAAACAAGCCCCCTCCTATAGTCCATCTCTAACGAACTCATAGATGGGGCGCCGCAGCCAGTGAAAGCTTCAGCCACACAAGTTCAACTGCAGAAGAGTTTGAATCAGTGACCTCCCAACGATGAACAAGACGACATCATCAACAATCACTGGCTGGAGCATTACGTTTACCCATTTAGGGCACCTAGAAAGCTAGGCCGGACAACCCTCTTACCTTACCTAATGATCGAACACTAGTAAGGCCCCTCAATTCTATCGGTTCGACGGCAAGCCGAGTGTATTACCACTCGGTTACGTCCTTGATAGGTCAACCACGATTTGGTGTCAATTTTGAAGCAGTTTTGGGCATTATAAAATATGAACTTGATTTTTTTTATTTTTTAATTTTGGAATCGCCTGGTTAGGGCTTGGCGTTGTGTGGCAACGCCAAGAGCGGCGTGCTGGCCAATCACTTAAGCCTATGGCTTGGCAGTGTCACGTGGGCAACTGGGCGCTCCCTTTGCCGCATCGTCATCGGATCCAATCCGTGGACCATGCGGCCGGGGGACCCTACTCGATAGATGTCCATGGATTGGATCCGATGAAATCCCGTGGGCAACCTACCCTCAACGGAGTAAACATTTTCCGGGTCACCCCCCATCGGATCCAGTCTGAACCAAGTGGCCCCGGGGGGTGTCACGGAACCACGTGGCAAGGATAGGGTAGCGATCTTGGTATCGAGGGAAGAAACCCTCCCAAAGCGGCGGCACTGGCCGCCAAAGTCGGCGGGAAATTTCCCTGCAATCTGCGTTGAACTGTAATTTACTCACCTGTCACCATGCTTACTCGAGCGATAAATCGTCGCGTTCGCTCCCCAATCTGCCGATCCCAAGTGATGGATTCTGTCGCCGAGAGCCTCTGGTCGAATTCCAAACCTTTTTTTCCTCGGACCAATGGTTCGAGCGCCGGAAGTCCGTGGACGAGAACGAACTGTTCACGCAAAGATCGTTTTCGCTCATCTAGTACGGGCGCAAATATAATTTGACGAATGGGAAGATACGAGTAGAAGCTCAATCAGGCCCACGCCGTTTGTTGATCGTGTCAGCAGGGATGTCGCCTTTGAAAGTTTTTCACCGAGTCGCACCATTGGACGGAAATTCGAAAGAAGCATGAATGGAAACTGCTGAAGATCATCAGCTGCGTTCTGAATTCGTGGAAAGTACGCTGAGGTCTCCTTTCTGTCCTGGCCGCCTTTCACTGGGGGATCAAATTGTAGGTATTAAAGGAACACCATATTGTCACACGGCTGGGATTTTCAACCAGGCCAGTTCGCTCTGGCGAGAGTCAGCTTATAGTAACGAGTGGTTTGATCTATTGAAAGATCAACGATATTGGCCTCGATTCGTCCCAATGCTAGCCGCGGAACGAGTTACATTTGGATGACCATTGTTCAGTGAAAAGGGAAGGGCGGGAAAAGGAAAGGAGAGAAATCTCGCTTGGTGAAGGGGATGATGACCGTTCCCAAGGTCAGTGTTGGGCCGAGAGAAGATTGATTGATTGAATCTATCTGAGCGAGGCGCAAGCTAGAAAAAGGCCACGGAGGCTGCGGTGCACGTGACTAGGCTAGTCCCAATGTGGACTGCCAACAGTCAGCACTCCTATCCCCTCCAGCGCGATCGGGCTGACATACTGATTAACAATAAGCGCTGCCTGGCTGACAAGGATCGGGAAAGACAATCCACGGCTTCTTCGGATGCTAAACAGCAGTGTTGGCAGTCCACATTGGGACTAGCCTAGTCACGTGCACTGCAGCCTTCGTGGCCTTTTTCTAGCTTGCGCCTCGCTCAGATAGATTCAATCAATCAATCTTCTCTCGGCCCAACAAGCAGGATCTCCAGTGTGTAGCAATAGAAAGAAGATATTCGCGTATGCCATCTCCTGTGAACCTTGGGATTTTGTACATTATGCTCAACACGGTCAAGGGTATGTTGGCTGTCACGTGGAACGCTAGGCCTAGTTGGGACTAGCCCACTAGAGCACTCGTTTATAACGACGACTACTTCAGTCAACCTTTGCCATTGCGGTATTCCCTTGCTCCTTTCCTTCCCCCTCTCGTCCCCGATATGACATTGGCGAAGATCATGCCGATGAAAGATGCCAGCCGAAGGGAGCGTCGTCCAATACGACTGGCCTGCCAGCAGGACAGCGAGGACTATCAGGTTGATTGAGGGTGAGCATCTCTCAAAGAGGTCCTAATCACTCGACCATGTCAAAATCATTCATCTTCGGACATCAACATCATCGAGGGTCTTCCTCTCTTGTTCTTAAACAGCATTATCCAACATAATCGAACTGACCCGCATCATCAACGACGATCTGCCCTCAAGACCAAGAGGAAAAATTGGATCAACAAGTCTGGCTTGCAGTCCACCTCACCTCGCATCTCACAATAGATCTCTTCGTGCTTCGTCATCATGTCTCGCGTTCGCCGAATACACGAAGGTATCGGGAATGTCTCGGGAGAGCGACAACCCACAGCGACTCGCGTACCACAGCGACATCACTAAACATCAATCAGGCCTAGTTGTGCGAGCGTTGTCCGCATGATGGAAAGGTACCTGAAAACCCTCCATTTTCCCTAGGGATTTGAAGTATCTTTCCATCCACCTGGCCTCCCTCATATAGTTGGCGCTTTTTGATGTTCTTTCCACGACGTCGTTGAACCCCTTTGATGGAGTCCTTTGCATTTGCCTTTCCACGCCTTTTTGCACTCGATTTTAGTGGTGTGGCATGTCAGACCCTCTCTGTCGCCTGTGTAGCCCGTCTGTCGCCTCCGTCGTCTGTCGCCTCCGTAGTCTTCCTGCCGCCTCGTGACCTCGCTGCCGACCCCCTTCAGGGCTGTCCTGACGTCCTGTGAGTTTCCTGTTAGTCTTGAATGAATCCATGCTCTTTTGCCTAGTTGTATCTCGCAGTGTGAGTGCGCATTCTCTTGACTCTACCTCCTGCCAGGTACCTTTCCATCGTTCGGACAATGCTCGCACAACTAGGCCCGATTGGTGTTTAGCATTGTCGCTGTGGTACGCGAGTCGCTGTGGGTTGTCGCTCTCCCGAGACATTCCCAAGTTATCGATTGGCCAAGCATTTTTCATAGCGAATATTGAAGTTCTCAATAAGCCGGCCGAGGTTATCCGGTAACAAAGGCTTGGTCAGGTACGCAAGTAATAAGGAGAGGGGAAAAAAAAAAAAAAAGGAGTATGAAGATCCTGAAGAATCGATAGTCTGATCGCAAGCTACGAGGACCAGTGTTCTCAGTTATTCAAGTCAGCCAAGCGACTAGATTATTCGACTAACTTATTCTTAGTCTAGTCTAGCAAGTTAACTAGCTTATCGATAAGTTATTCGGCTGCTGGCCGAGAGGCAATGTGATCCACGGATTGGGTCCGATGGCGGTGGTCCACAGACTGGATCCGATCCATGGACCATCTCGATATCGAGAATATCGACTTCCATCGAGTAGGGCACCCCCCTCCCCGAGGGGCCATGTGGTCCACGGATTGGATCCGATGGGGGTGGCCTTCGTCCTCACGTGACAGTGCCAAGCCACAACCACGTAAATCCCAAATTAAAAAAATGGAATTGAAGTTTATATTTTATTCCACCAAATTTACCTCCAAAATGACACCAAATCGTGGTTAACCTATCAAGGACGATAACCGAATGCTCGGCTTTTGGTCGAACCGATAGAATTGAGGAGCATTTCTTTTTTTGAGCTGCTAGTCTCTCGGTTAACTTATTCGAATAACCTAGTTAACAGGACCAGTGTCAGGGGAAGGACAAAAGCCCGCGCAATGCGTTCTCTGTGCACATACCAGACTAACAGTGCAGTCCGTTGTAGGACTTCGGGAACGTGCGGTTCCGCTCTCCTTTGGATAAAGTGAACGAAGAGCCTCTGTGGCATAAAGCATCTAGCCTCTTGGTGCCACGGGTCCAGATGCTTCGGTTGAAAGCGGGTGCCAGAGATAGTTCCGAAGTTTAACTGGTCTGTAAGTAGAAGTGCTCTAGATGGTGGAGAGGCCGGAAATAACACTAAGGTGGACAAATAGAAGATATAAAAAGCAGCAAGGTATTTTGGACCTGCATATGGTTAGATTACCTGATATGTACGGATGCCGGTCTCCACACCTGGGAGCGGGATGAAGAAGGGGGTATACGCATGCACAGCCACAACGGCATGTAGGATTACCTGTCGATCAGGCCACATTTGAGCAGGCTTATCGACTTCTCCACTAGGTTGAAAAGTAGATTACAATGGAACGTATGCATCGGATGAGAGAATCAACGCCACAGCCAATAATAATGGATTCTTCTTCAGGTCGAGGCTGTGGGCAGTGTGGGATGGAAAATTGCCACCTCCTCAGGATGGCTGACAATGTTGAGAATGCAAACATAGGGTACTCCTCCGGTAAGTGAATCCTCGTAAGTTTGGCAGACTAGGGGTACATCTCTATAACACCAAATCTAGTGTTTTACCAGAGAAGATTTTTCTTTGCCAACACTAGCAACGTCAACAGTCTCGCTGAAGGATGATAGCGTCCCCAAGGTCCTGGCGCATGCTGTCCTTCTTTGCGGCATCTATCGTCCTGTCCATTGCCACTCTCATCTCGGCCAGCCACTTCTTGTCTTCTTCCAGCTTTCGGGGGTGCTAACTAGCGTCAAAGGGCAAAAGAGATGCTGACATACTTCGAGGTTAGTCCTCACTCCTGGGTTTCAATGGCTTGCAGTCTCAGGGACAGCTGCAGCAACTTGGCTTGACAGGAGAGACTCAACGGAAGAGAAGTGGATCCAGGGATCTTCCGAAATATTGTCGGCTAGATTTGCTTGGTGAAGCTTTTCTCGCAGAGCTTTTGTAATCGTCGTGTTGAGTTTGTACAATTCTGGTAGACCTTGGACGGTTTGAACCTTGCGCGCGAGACGGGCCTTCACGTTTGCGATGTGTTGTTGAATCTTAGCGAGAGGTGGAAGAGTATAGGGTTCTAAGCGAGCAGACAAGGCTGAGGACTGACGACTGTAATTCCAGGGATTGTTGGGGTTGGATCTGAAGATTGAGTCGCTCTTGAACGTGCATGAGCTTCCAGATCCGTCAATTGAGCCATGGTAGTGTCTTCAAGAGGGTGATTGGTCTCGTCGAGAATTTGTTTCGCCCGGCGCTTGCCTCACCAGCTGGATTGGTATTATCATTCGAATTCCCTGTCATAGTACTTGAAGATTGACCAGAAGATCTCGTAGGCAACTGGGTGTCGTATTTAGTTCACATGACTAGATCACTCAGGATCTCATAGGTAGCTTGGGTCTTGACGAGTTCGTCGCGTGAGCTCCCTTTGCCTAGGTGGGTGCGTAACTCCAGTTGCTTTAGGCAGCGGGAACGTTGCCTCTCGAGGAAGACCGAGCATGGAATAAGGATCTGACATCTTTGATGGATTGGACAACAGTTAACGGGCGTCAAGTCAGAGGGATTGAGGCTATTGAATCGACGATAGAAGCAGTAGGGTTGCCGTGTTTCAATTGACACCTGGACAAGGGAGAGATTCACTACTGCGACGAATCCGGGGGAGAAACAGCTCGTTCAATGTGCGCAACGAAGACAGTCATTTCTCGAGACTGTGAGAAGAGCACAAAGGAGAGGATTATTGCCGCATTGTGGGCATGGCGCCGTGAACTGCTAGCACAGTAATAGACATGTCAGGATACGACACACCGTCCCCAAATCCATCCACGTGGGCTCATGTGATTGTGGCGTCTCGCTCCACGGCTTAGCATTTGGACAAGTCAAGGCTGATTTCTATTCTAGATAACCGCATTCATCAACTCTAACCTTCTGGAAACAATCTTGTCAACCTTGTCTCAGACCCTGCCCGACCTCCTCGTCACATTCTCCCATCTTACGATAGCCCGTACCTGATTGGCTTGGCTTTTTTTGGCAAACCATTCCATCTTCAATTTGATGGCGTCATCGATGCTTTAGAATGCTGCAGCCAAGTCCAACCAGTCTCGGTTGCTCGTGGCGGATGCCGCTGAATTTTATCCTCCTCCAGCCGCCCCATTGCATCAGGCCTTCCGACCAACCGTTTCGATGAAGATCCCAAAGAAAAATAAAAAAATTCCAGCGCTTGAGGGTGACGTGGCCCTGACTATATCCTGTGCGAGCTATTCTTGACTCACAATCTGGGCATTTGCATTGGTTTACTTGACCATGCTAGGTCCTAGCCCCATGCATGTTCCAAGTCTATATCAAAGTGAACAAAGATCGTCAGCTGAGATCTATCTTCGGACTGTGCTTCGTGCTTTGTGCCTCGCTTCACCTTGCGATGTTGCTGTTATTATCGCGGGCACTGCCACGGCCGCCACTCTTTGATCCTTCGATATACCCTTCCCCCCACCTTGTCAATCCTTCCACTCGGCTCTGGAACATTTAGCCGTTGGTTCCGGATCCTGTTTGAAATCTTCTGATTGGTGCAGGCCTTTCCCCTTGCCATACCAGGCGAAACGGGTCCTGCAAGGCCCAAAACCACTAGTTCCGCCTCGTCCCAACCTCACCCCATTACCAGGCCATCTTCTAACCTGCCCATCTTTGCCTTTTGGTGTTCAATCACCAGCTTGCACTGCTTGTTCACAGCGCAAATGATTTCATTCTGCATCGCTCCTGGTCAGAGATAGCGCATCTCTTTGCAAATCGCGTCTTGGCTCAACACGCGGACAATTTATCCGCGCAGACACCAAAAAATATAGTAAATTGGTCTTCAATGAAATTAGTCGATACATCGGTATTGGTGGCGACTCCTGGAAACGGGGTCATCGGGTATCATCCTGCCAAAGAAAAGAAATAGTCCGACAATGTGGGTATCTCGAAAGGTCATGTATCTCGTGAAGAATATGGTCGGACTCCGCTCCGGGACCCGTATATCATCCCGTCATTCAATCGTCCTGTGCTGTACTGAAAAGAGAAAAATTGTTGCTGTAGATGTTGATCGAGAAAACAAAAACTGTCATCCACAAAAGATCTCTGCCTCCTTGTCGCTCAACTTGCAAAATCGCCAAAATTGGTGTCAACAATCCAGGGTCTCGATCCTGACACGGCTTCGCGCCATTAGGGGTATCAAGTAATATAATATGCCAAAACCTGTCTCTGAAAGATCGCCTCCATGCAGTCGTCGTGTTCGTAATGGAATTCAAAAACCCAAGGAAAATTCGGGGGGTATCTCATGCAATTTTCTGGGGTGCCACTTGGTGCACACCGTTCAGTAATCCAGCCACATCTCCAAAGGATCCGATATCAAGGTGTCGGTAGGGGCGATTTCCCCGTCGACCATCACTTCCGTGACAGCGGGCGCGACAAATTCGTGTTTGACCGGTTGATCGGACTGAAGTGGTGCAAACTCGACAATCATGTCTTGCCCTTCTGGCAGTTCTCGAACCACATCTTCATCCACAATGATATGGAGTCCTTGGGAGTTGATGTGCGTCACTTGGGTTACTCGGTGCGGGTCAATCTGGAATTTATGTGATATGCCGTTGATCAGATCTTTAACGGTTCGCTGCATCAAGTATATGGCGCGGTAGTACTCCTTAATCGCGTCCTTTTGACGAACATAAAAGCATGCCACTGTAAACAGGTTAGCTTGGTTTTTCTTGTCACATCCGGGAGAATTACGTACCCGGTCGAATTGGTCTTTCGGCTGGAGGCTGATAGCTGCCATCCACATCAACCGCCAAGAGGTCAGATTTGATGACCGATGCAGCCTCCGTCTTGGGGATCTTAACTGGTCGAGACAATGATCCAGACACGTCTCCCACTGGCTCATTGTTGTATTCGCTTTCACCTTCTTCCTGTATGGCTGAGTGTTGTATTTCCGAATATTTTCTCTTTGGTGTCGTTTGTGATGCCGAACTGGAGCTTGGAGAGAGCGCGTTGGAGGTCGGGGAGTCGGAAGCACTCTGTCTTGACTCCCACGTAGTTGCTCGTCCTACCTCCTTCATATCGGCGCTGCTACCAGGTAGTTTAACCGGGTGCAGGTCCGGATCGTCCTCCGGGTCGCCACGCAAGAAAAGGATACTGACAGGTCGCGTCGAGGAAAACATATCTTGCATGCTCACCAGCTTCATTTGAAGGTCCTCCTCTGCCGAAAACCTGGTCCCCTCTGTTTCGGAGTCGACGGACCAAGTCCGTTTGTGCTTCATTCCTTTTCCAGGTCGGGCGGCTGACGCTTTGGCGATTGATCCACTTCTCCTCCTCTTTCCCGAACTTCCTAAACCGGTCTCGGCTTGAGCAATTTGTTGTTTGAGCTTGTCGATCGTTTTCTTGACATGTGCAACATCGTTGGATAGCTTTCGCTCCGCACCATGATCCCGAAAGAGTTTGACTTTGGAGAAACAGACCTCGGGTTCGTTGCTGGCGGACGTCTGCGTGGTCACTAATTCCGTTTTCGCGCATAATCGAACCGGGATCCCTTTGACGCCCTTGGAGTGACTGAAGTCGGTGGAGAGAAAGTTGAACCGCACCGAAATCGAACAATCCGGCCCTCCGTTCACTGGGTTGGGAAACCAGGTGACGGCGAATCCGTCAAAGGAGGCCTTCTCCAGCTGGGTTTGGGACTTCCGTAAGTCATCATCGCCTCCTTGATTGGGGTCGACATATTCCACAGCCAGGAGTCTGCCTCCTCGTTGATGGGCCTCGTTTGAACCACGCCCTTCTTTCCACAGCTGCCAGCACGCTCCAGGTTTAGCTCGCTGTTGCTCGTCTTCGAAGGAAACGCGAACGTAAGTGCGGTATTTCAGAGGGGTGTTCTGCGGGATGGAAAGCGTCGTATCCCATATGGACATCGTGTAAGCCTGACCCTTGTTGAGATACGTGATTGGTATTTCATCCGCGTGCCGAACCATCGCGGTGGGAGCATTCAGAGTCGTGTGGAATCGAAATCTGCTGATTGTGTGTCAGTGAATGCCGATTGTAGATGTGACGATACTGACTTCTCCTCCATTGGTAGACCGTTGACGCCCATGCTCCCCGACAGAGACTGTTGAATAGGCCGAGTCATGGTGGATTGCTCCACGCCTGGTTCCGCCTGTGTCGGGGTCGTTTTGTGGGGAGTCTCGTCCATCGCCACATACCCGGAGTCCTGATGCTGCAGGAACTGTTGAGGCGCAAATGTCGGCGGGGGCTGCGTCGGCACATGGACTTGAGGTTGCTGATCGTGAAAAGGATCCTGAAAGAGATGGGGCTGGTGAAGAAGATGCGGATTAAAATGTTGCAGGTTTATTAACGGGTCCTGGGCATGCAAGTCGTGGACCGAATGCGGTAGTGACAACGGCGTATTCATTCCCATTCCGGGAGTGTGAAGGTCGCCAGCTTGAGGATGATAGAGTGTCCCAATGCTTCCAGGCGTGGGTGTATAATAGCCCGGAGGTTGATTTGCGAAAGCGGAGAAGGCGAATGAGTTGGGATCCATCAGTGAAGGTGTAAATCGCCAGGCGTCAGAAAAAGGTTTCGGGGTGGCCTCCGGATCTTTGACATCTGGTTGACCCTCAAAGGCTCTGGTGAAATAGTCAGCGTTGTGAGGATGGCCTTCGGAAGAGAGGAGTGTAGGAGACATTGTTGCCGGTCGACGACATTCGAGGCCACCTGAGAGAGCGGAGAGATGGACTGAAGTAAAACGATGGCTTGCATACCGTTGAGTGGTAGATGGTTCATCCATGATGGTCTCGCTAAGAGTGGACAATCGACGCACAGACCCTCCTTGCTCTTGGACAGCTGAGGGAGAAGAACTAGGGCCGACCTCGGGAAAGGACTCCTTGAAGGCCGTGTACAACTCCTCATCGGGTTTCTGTGTATTGCGCCTATGGGCAAACATGATGGTCAGTATGCAGGCATCGCCCGCGGAAGTGAAACAAATATCGATCAAGGTGCAAAGACGAACCGATTGCGAAACATTTGCGGCGGAGGCGGCGTCTCAGGCTGCAGGTTCCGGGAAAGAATGGGGTCAAATCAACCACATGTGGCCGTTGTCTGCTCGGACAAAAGTGATGGTAGTCAGCCGTCGCGCATTTGTGAATGGTTGCGATGGCCAAAAGACGACCTGCTTCAAGGGGGCCAATGTGGATGAAGTTCTCGAGGTGCTGCGCCTTCCTACGTACGCGTGTCGAGGAAAAGTAGTATTGCTGTTCAATAGTCGTGGTCGGGCTATGGTTCCAGATACCCGAGTTGGTGGCACGGCGATAAGGTGGAATGATCGCACGTTTTTGAAGTCGGAGCGAGAAGCAAGAGAAACAGGAAAAATTTAAAAACATTTAAAAAAAAAAAAATTATCAGACACGAGGGATCGACGTTGGTTTGAAGAGAAGAGTGAGGAATGAGGTATGAGGTTGCTAGGTAGGGCGCGTTCTGGATGCAAAATAGAGTTGAAGTGGTGGTCTGTCATAGTGCGACCGGATAGTGATGGGCGCATCAGCCATTTGGCAGTTCTGTATGATGATTTAGCCCGTGATTGGGGGGACATGGATCAAGGATGCTCGAGGAGAAGTGGATGCTGAATCGAGAAGAGGATGAGATGAGTTTGTGGCTCGAGAGGCAGGTCGCGATCCGGGAGTTGAGGGCCTACCACAAGTACCGCCGCAACAGCTACGGGAGAAAAGTCGAACTGCTGAGCACTGGGCAGGCACTTGGACAAGGCCCCAGTTTTAGCCTGGAGCCTAATTGTCCAAGCCGTAAGGAAAGCAGCTCCGGTGAAACTGACCGGGGGAGAGTGCCTAAAGCACCCAAGGACCCCCTCCACCGTAAGTTGAGCGACTGCGCCACGCCTAACCACCGCGACGGCAGAGACGGATATTCTTGCCAAGTGCCGCTTCGTGCCTCAGGCTGCACTTCCTTTCCCGCCTACGGCTTGCACACTCCCACTCGAGGACTCTGGACCGATTTGATTCGATTGATTGCAAGACTTCAAGTGGCAACCCCTTCCGTCCTCAGTTTGTCAGGCGATGTGGCTGTTGCGTGGGCTGAACCATCTATCGACCTCATTTTACTGGAAGATGCAGCAAATTCTGAAGCAAGCCAGGATGGTGCCCTCGATGCGTGTTCGACCAGGCTGATCCCTGCCGAGCCGTGGGAAATGAGGCAATGTGCCTGAAAGGGACCACGCTGGGACGTGACTGTTTCTCTGCAGGTGGTTGATCGACCAGATCGACCGCGCACCGCCACGCATCTGGGAGGGTTGGAAGGTTCGTAGCTTGACAAAATGAGAGGCTCGCTGCATCATCCTGATGTGGCTTCTCAGTGGCTAGAGGCATCGCAAACCTTCTACCGGTGGCAATTCCTGGCAATTGTACTGTGGCAAATTACTTCAAAAAAACTAGGGTTTTGCTGGTAACAATTGCCGGCTCAGCTGTGGCTTGACTCCCCCTCGATCAAGCCTACGCTTTCTGGCATCCATCTGGCACCCACTTTCTCAGCCACAAGTTTGTCACCCATTCTTCCTGATATCAGATTCTCTCATTTCCCCATCTCTCCCAGGACCGAATTGCGTGTTGACGGATGAAACAGTTGGCAACCCATCTGCCAGCGGCCAACGAGAGCAACTTGTCCGATTTAGAGACCGGGTTCCGATCGACGCCATTCTGTAGAAAAAGATTCGTCCTCACCCAACAGCTCGTCGCTCCGCGCGGACTCTCGCTCCAATTAGTATCTACAATACCAGTACATCCGGGTGGCGGACGACATATATCTTTGACCTTTTTACTGATCGTCCACACGTGTTGTCGAGCATTATGGTCCCCCCGGTCGGCGTCGATCAATCATCCCTCTTACGTTCCGTACAACCGCCTTCACCAATGGTCACCAGCTGCCTTTTCACACCAACTGACTCACGGAGTAGCATCGTCCACTGTGAACTCTCCGAGTGATCCTCCCTGTACACGTACGCAGCGAGAAACACCGCTCTCGGCCTTTGGTCCCCGGACTGCCTGCATTTGACCGCTCCTCCGGTGCTCACCGTATTGACCATTGGCCTTCTAATCGCCTCGTCCAACCAAAGTCCTGAACTCTGACCACTCGGCTAACTACTGGCAGTCATCGATGACTTCACCTACTTCGCAAAGCAACTTCCCAGGCTATTCTCCCGTCCCTTTCCAAGACAATCCCAAGTCATCGCCCGGCAAGTCGACCAATGACAACTCGTTGCTGTTCCTCCAACCACACCGCACAAACTCATCATAGTGCTGCGTGGTGCAACTCCCGAAATTACATCACGGCCTTTTCATTCAAACCAACCGTTGTGGTTGCAGCCTTTGCAATATGAAACAAAACGGGGGGTGCACGAAAAGAGGGCGAATATTCTGGTCAACTGACCCCCTTCATTTTTATTCGTATCTTTCGTCATTTGTCTCTGGGCGGAGACTCCACCAATCATGACGGACTGGCATCTTTAATGAGCAGCATCGAACCCTCCCGTATACGCCCCGATGAGTCCCACACTTTGATTCACTGATGCCCCATATTTCTTGTGAACATCCAAAATCTGTCCAGTCCTAGGGCTGAGGTTGTAAGCGATCGTCTCAATCGACAGGTCGTGAAATCATCTCTTCGGACCATTGTCCATAATCGAGAAATTTGATCTCTCGTGACTGACCATATCGGTCGGACAAGAAAGATGATGAATACCCGGCAATCTCGATTCGAGACATTTGGAACACGGATGGAACAAATTTGAGCGGAGCAAGCGGCGCCTTGGGGGCCGTGGGCATGGGTGGGAAGCATGCCAGTGGGCTCCCGTAGACAAAGATGGGGCTGTGGCAGAATTGGCATTCATGCCGATGACACGGATGGTATTCTTCAGGAATTTACCCTCTCTATGCTACTGGATAGATTATAATCCTCGTAACGACAACGGAGATTCTCCTCTGAACTGGAAATTGCACCCTGCGACTGGAAACATGCCCCAATGCCTCTAAAGACTAGGGGTGGCTCGCTCTAGTAAATGAAGCTTTGAACCACAAATTTGGTCGGCCTCGCCAGCGATAACCCTCGTGCTTATCCTTGGATCACACTCTTCTCATGGCGGTCATTCTTTCTTCGGAGAAGCACCTCGTCAGTGTACATCAAAGTGTGTTCCCTTACGGCACAAAGCTTTGAAAAGAAACGCAATCAACCCGCTGCACTACTCCACTGTCCACAATGTGTGCGCCACATATCTCGAAGATCTTTTCCATCCCTGGAAGATCAAACAGCAAGTGACTCCAATACGGTGGCTTGAACATCAGTTGAAGTCACGGCCTGAAGTCACATCGTCAACGAAAGAAAACAACTTTTTACCGTGTCGTCCCGCCTTTAGGGAGAAGTTCAGACCGTCGGCTTGGTCAGACAACGCCGCTAATTTTGGGAAGCTCACTTCATTGCAAGAAATGTAGACTCTCAGTCGACTGTCTGGGCCTCTTGGAATAATCTTTCACATTTTTCCGTGCTTAAATGATGGAATTGGATATCCGAGCCCCCCTCCTCATGGCTCTTGTTTCATTCATTGCAACCATGGACGACAGACACGTCGGTAAGCCATACAGATATCTCTCTCTTCCTAATGTTGATAATTGAACCACCTTCCACTCTAGCCACGCATGATATCTCGTCGGAACCAACAATGGTATATTCTTCAGAATGAAACTACGATGCGGCTACCACTGGAGCTCCGAGTACTCTGAGCCGCTGAGCAAGCCCATCCATCGCAAGAGAACCAGTCATCGAGGATTCAATACTTCGAGCTACGTTGCATCTCGGTTGTCGTTGCATGTGATTTGGCTTGTTGTCTCTGGAGTTGATTGATCAACTAACTCAAAGAGCCAATCGAACAAGGTATTTCGGTCCTCTCTTTTATATTGATCGAGGTTTGGGAGAGGAAACACCACCAAGATGGGATGCAAAACAGGTCCATGCAGAACATAACAAATTCAACATTCGCCGTCTTGGGATATTGCATGGCATAATGACAATAAGTTGAGGTCTCCGGGAAGTCGAGAAATGCTTTGGGGTGCTCAAAGATAGCCAGACATCAGACAGATCGGATTGAACAGCTGGAGTAGTTTTCGTCTGATGGTCTTCAAGGTGGAAGCCATTCCGTGCTAGAGGAGTTGAGTTGATGTCCAAGACCAGCTCTTCGCAGGACTCGTTGGCCTTGTCAACTTTTATATATCAAGATTGGTGGTTTCTGGGTTATACATCTGCATCCTTCAACACGGCAGGCGGACAAGGAAATCCCGGAAAAGAACATTGGGAAAAGAAAGCCATACCTGGATCAAAATATGAATTCGGATCACTACTACCTCTCCCTTCCCTCGGGCCAGGATTCCGAACTCGTTCATTTAATTAGGTTTTCCCACTGACCCCGTGCCGGAAGGCTGGACAACCCACCCTATATTCCTGTCTTGCGTATGCTCCCTGTGTCCCAAAAATATACACATTTGCGTGCCTGCTTCCATGTTGACCTGATTCTGTTAAGATATCTTCACTTGCCTAATCGTTGACAGGCCCATGTCATACATTCCCCATTAACCGTCGAGTTGTGGCTTCTTCTCACCAGCATTCCTTTTGGCCGTCATCGTATGCGTGATGAGTATTCACCTTCCAGTGGCTTCGGTACAAGAGTTGAACAAAAATTATTCCGTTTGTGATGCTGAACCTGGCCAGTATCAACTGATCCCAACTGAAGTTATTGCCGCCCTTCGTAGAACTGTGGAGTTTTTCTTTTTACCTTATCTTGTATTTTTTTAATTACCTTATTCATGAAAATCGCCCCCCCCCCCCGGTAGGTATGTGGATTTCATCGTCGATGCATTTCGCCTCCAATTATCATTACCGCGCGATGATGATTTGAAAACCGTCTATCCATGCTCCGCAGGAACCCGAGATCCCGGCAAGACTATAACCCCGAGGAGCCATCAAAGTATGTCTGTGGTATCGTTAGAGGAATGAATAATCAATGGAAGTGTGGACAACTCACCCCGACCCTCCAGTGGCATTGCCAAAGACACCCGATCTTCGGCCAGTGCTTGTCAAAATCTCGATACCATCAATCCAGAGACCAGCTCGCACATAAAATCCAAGAATTGTTTCCCCTCGGCGAGTATCTATAACTGGTCAGCGTCGGGACTCACTCAAAACACTATATACAACTTACCGAGGAAAAACTCATCACCGCCAGGTTTGCCTCCTCGTTTGCCGAACAGCTGACTCTGGCCATCTTCGTAGCAAAATTCGATTCCATCAAGGGCATATCCGTGATACACCTTGACGGAAGTCAAGAGTTTTGTCTGAAGGTGGGTACTCTCCAATATCAATTCTTCTGGTTTGGATCCCTCCAATTGTGAATAACCCAATTTCTTGCTCTTGAAGCCAAGTCGGGACTCGAAAGTCTTACCCAACCCCACCACATTGTTGTAGGCATTCATGGTCAAGCCTTCGTCACGCTTTGGTGCCGGTCTGACGTGGGGGAGATTGACGATATTTTTCTTTGATAACAGATCGTCCACATCCTCAATCTTTTGACTTCTTGAGCTGCCACAGAAGATGTTGAGGCTTAGTTTAGCCTTTTTCTTGTCCTCAGGGAGACGCCCTCGAAGGTCACTCTCCACCAATGTGACTTGTCGGGGAAGACTATTGTGACGTTGGTCGGTGTTGATAAATTCGATCCATTGTCGGCACAAGTCATCACCTTCCGTCCCCAGTTCAACAAACGAAATTCCAGTTGGTGCCGAACATATAATCCGTCCGTTGCCCACTGGAAAATATTGGATGCTATCATCTTGGGACGGGAAAGGTTCGTCACTTGGAAGCCTGAAGCACGGATGATGCCGGAAACGGAGGACATCTAACCGATGCCAATCGCATTCGTCGTCCTGACGACAAACTTTGAGTCCTTGAGATTTCGTCCTGGTCGAATACGGCTCCCGGACTAGGAATGTTCGATTGAGCCGGACGTAGTCTCTGAGCATGACTCCGCTTTCCTGGTGAGGACAACCAAAAAGATGGCCGACTTCATGAAGATGTGCACCGATTCCGATATTAGCAGCTTCCCAGCTGCTTCCAGATTCATTGCAATCGTTTGCAACGTACTTGGTGTCCGTTTGCGTGCAGTCCATAAAAGCCGGTACCACCTCTTCGATACAAGACGGGTAACTCTGAAGGGCATGAGAGCCAAAAATTGCAAGGCCCAGGTCATCTCCAGTACCACCGAGAGCGGCATGTCCCGTAATGGTTCCGACTTCTGGATCCCAGTGGGCATCGAGCAGGAGACAGGCCACATACTGCTTCTGGCCAGGTTTGATGTTGAAATGTTTCTTGACAGCGTCGGCCGCCATGGAATAGAGTTCGCCCTTCTTCGCTGCTGGACGGTGCTGTTGTGCATACTGCAGATCCCGTAATTCTGCGGTAGTCTTGTCCGACCGTACGACGTGGACTCTGGTCTCATTCTTCATCTGCCCTGTTTCCCAATCACGGATCGAAAGAGAGCCAGTCTGCCATTCTTCATCAAATCTGAAGCATCTTCTCCCAAATTTGTGCCTATACATCTGCTCGGCTGTGAATGCTTGCCATAGGTGAGCCGCCATTCGAAATTTTCGGATTGCCATGTCAAGATCGTTGCCCTCGTTGTGTATTCTCTGGGGAACTGCATCATATGTGCACGGCGAATCCTTGCCGGCAAGGATGACCAACTGCAAAGGCGGAGCATTGCTCAAAGGAAGGTAGTTCAGCATGATGTAGGATGTATGCAGTGTCGGGGCCAATCCGTTGCTGACAGAGCTCAGTTTCGGTGACGTGAAATCGAAGCGCACTTTGTTCCATCCAGGGGAAAGATACACGAGAGCTTTGAAGTAGGAGTCGGATACAGGCCAATTGGTGGGCGGAAAAGCTTGTCCGTCTTTGTCGTGATGAACCGTCAAGTTGCCATCCATCGGTTTCTGATTCGGATCACCAATTTCTCCATTTACCAACAACACTTTGTGATATACCTAGGCACTGAACGTGAGCCAGCTTTTCACAATACTTTTGTCTAGTGTTTACGCACCACTGAGTTGTCCAAGATCGAGGTGAGCTTTGGCGCAAACGCGGAAGTGGGTGGAGGAACTCGCGTTGTGCCATTCGAGCCGGACGGAGACAGAGTCTGGATCTTTTGTCAATTTCCGCAACAGTAAAAAGTATTCTTGTGTCCTCATCGCTTACGATCATGCTGTTCCGGTTTGAATTTGGCATCATAATGTTCGGCCGCTGAGGCACTGGCGGAGGGGTATCGCCATTGGATTTTACGGTTGCCAGCACATTGGAGGCGGAGCCGTTGGCATGATATGTCGACGGCGGTGTTGTGTTTCCTAGAGCAGAATTGAGGGTAGAAGAAGATTTGGCAGTTGGTACTGTGCCATTGGATTCAGTCGAGGAACCAGACGTTCGGAAGCTGGCCTTTGATCGCCTGCGCAGGTCTTTGAAGAAAGGCATGGCGGATGAAGGATTGAGATCCTAAAGTTTATGATCTGGTCATTCAGGATGAGATGCTGCGGGGACCGAGCTTGACGATGCGACGAAGATGTCGCGAGTGGATGGGGATGTAACGACCGAAAGCACATGCATGTGCAATGGAGCCTTTTTCCGTAGGGCAGTTTGCGGATAAGGGTCGTCACCACAGGATATTAGAAAATGATTCCCTGCGGAGGGTAAACGAGTGACAGTGAGGTGAAACGGAAAAGAATAAGGGGGATTGAGGAGCGCAGGTTTTGCCAAAGGTTGTCGATGATAACAAAAAGGTTGCTATGGTGGATGATGCTGAACTGTGCCGGCAACTAGGTTGGGTTAGTGTTTGCTACAGCACAGAGTCAGATGCCCGGCCAGTGGTGAGAGGCAAAGTTGACGCTTCAGACTTCAAGTCCGTAGTACTCCGTCACTACTGGGATAAAAAGGCAGCCTTCCAGCTATTCTCCTGACGGCAGACTGCGCTGAGGACTCTGCCTCTACTGCTTTGGCCAGACACACGCCGCTGCAAGCAGGTACGATTCGTCAGTGCTCGGAAACATTCCCCCCGGGGGGAAGGGGTTGGTGAAGCTGGATTTGCAAGCGGCCGGCAAGCACGCAATCAATCAGCTTGTGGGTTAAGTTTGCAATGATAACAAAAGGTGGAGAAGGTAAATAGGCATGTTGAGCAGCACCACTAGTTAAAGCACATGCCGGGGACGTCCTGGGTGTTGAGACTCCCCAGCAGTTTTGCAGTCTGGTGCCCGGAGAAATCGCAACCTCCGGCCATGCATTTCATGACACATGTTGGAAGGGAGTGACTCCGTCAGTGGCGTTGCGGTTGGCGCTCACTGGATCCCCCCATCATCTGCCATCATCCCAGCATCTCAGATTCAAGCCCCACTAGGCCCTGTTGGTCACTGATTATCGGTGTGTTTCTCATTTTCTCCCGTCCGTAACCCAAAAAAAAGAGCAATCCACAATGCTGATACAGGACAGAGAAAACTTAGAATTCGGCAAATATCCACCGAGATGGCTTGACCTTCGACCTTCAACCCTCTCCTTCTGCTGCAAAGGTAAATGTACAATCGATGATGCAAGATGATGGAAATGGGAGAACAGGAACAAAACTTTTAGGGAGCGTTATCAATGTGCAATTTCTCAAAAGTACCACGCGACTCAGTTGCAAGGGGGCCACCGACCGTATCCTGGGCCCATGATAATTTTTGAATATCGTTGGAATTCATAGGCAAAACTGGTCTTCTCTATAAGAGAGGATAGGTATCATCATGTCTTATGTTCCATCAATGCACTCCTCGCCATGTTTTCACTCTCTCCAGCACCAAGAATTGCAGACGACAGATGGATAGTTTCTGAGTATCCCTATCTGTCCAAAGCATCTTTCGCTAAGCCCGTCACCACTGTATCTTCACGTTTGTGATAGGCAATTCAACTTAGAGTTGCAGGCCAGGGCATGGAGAACGATGTCGAAGAAAGGGAGGTAGGAATATCAATTCTTTTAGCACAGCCAACAGAAGATAATTTTTTTTTAAAAAAAATAAAAATTTTTTCCTTCTCCGTGTTTCTCATTGTGCGAAAAGACTCAGAAGAGGCATCGTTACCGAAATAGTGCTTCTCGTGCATCAGGATCCCACGACAGGGTTTCTGGCCTGCTATCAAAGGATCTGACAACGGAGGACGGTTAGTAATCGCATAGTGCATTCTGTACCTGGTCTTGCTGCTACGCCTCTTCTGGTAGGTAGTCTTTCCCCAGACCCAGACCATCGAACCCAGCAAAAAGTCATCATGTTGGGTGCCACTGACGACGAGCAAGAAAATAAAGGAGGAAATCATCTTATCGTTTGACAGCTTCGAAATGAGTGACAGCACATCACTATACCTGCCATGGAATTTTGTAAAACGTCGATGTGCAGGGTTTCGGACCAAGAGGAGACGGGCACAAAAAGGAGAGGCGATATCCGAAGAAACAATTGGCAAAATGCGGCCCAGTATCTGGTTCCTCCAGGCGCCAGATTGGGTGACAAGAGTGATCAGAAAACGGGAGACGCATGGCTCAGTCGCGGGTGTTATTGGGTGACAGGGTAACGTGGGTTTGAAATGGATTCAGCTGCAGACACGCCTATGGCTGCAGCAAGTTGAAGAGATGCAGGCCACCAATGCAGCGGCCAATCTCACAACCAGTCAGTAAGTTCCAAAGTAGGTTGAGGGCAGACGACCAATGGCTTTGGACACCAGCTCCAGCCACGGCAAAACGTTAGCCAAAGTAGAAGGCCTTGAGGTGGGAAAGGTAACTCACCCTTCTCCAGTGCCAATACCAATTAATGCCACTGTTCAGCTGGGGCGCGTCGAGCAGAGGAAAAAGTTACCCATATTCTTTTTTGCTACAGAAATTCTTGCTCTGCCGACCACTTTCCCTCTGCTAAACCTTCTCGGTCGTTCTTCTGCCATTCCCTTTGTTCCCCCTCCTCTCTAACGTCCTTTACCATGATTCCACTCTTCTGACCAGGAGAGCCCGTTAGTACCACAAAACCGCGGTTGCCCACCGTTGCCCTGGTCGCCGGCCCCACGAGTCACGACTTTGGATCCGGCAAGTTGACAAGCTCTACTGTTCCTAGCCCGCGCTTTGACATCCCCGGCCAACACCACATATTTCGACTCTTTCAAGTTCCTTCTCCCCAAAACTCCCTCCAGGACCAGTCCCTCATGTTGGTCTCACACGGTATTTGCAACAACATGGCCTCTCAGCAGCATCCCTATGCTGCAGCTCAAGTGGCCGAGAAGGTGATGCGGAGAGTGGAAATTGCAAAGGTAACCCACCCACCAAGTTTCACTCGACTCTTTTTTTTCTTTTTCTTTTTTCCCCCTTGAGTCCTCAAGGATCCTAACGGAAAGTTTTTCACAGGTTGCTCGAAATCTTCAAGACTGTTTAGCCTTTGCAAGCTTCAAAGCTCAGAATGGCTGGCAGGATCGAACCCTTTCCACCATTGAGCCCGAGTTCACAGAAAAGCTGAAGAGAAAGAGACCATTCATAGAGGATGACATTCCCTCCGACGCTTCTTCCGGCACTGACGACGAGTTCATTCCCACTTCCTCCATTGCAAGTAACCGTTTTTCGAAGCCTGCGAGCACAACGTTCAAGGTTCCCGAGCCTCCCTTCGTGGCAAGAAAACGAGTGAGATCTTCATCCACCACTGGCCTCGAGAGACAGTCTAGCAGCTGCACGACCTGGAAGCAAGACCATCGGCTGGCACAATCATCACCGCTACTAGGACGGTCACAATCCTCTCAAAAGAACAGTCTGCTTCATACCGATCCTGCTGGCGTGCCTAATTCCCATGACGATTCTCCTATGTTTGATGTTCATTCTGACGACGAAGACCATGACCTGCCAATGCCTTCCTTTGCCAACGAGCCATCGAGCAGTATCTTATCCTCCTCACCACCGCGGACACCTCCACCAACAAAACATCTGCTCAATGTTAACGCAAAACAAGCAGGAGCTGATCTCCTCCTTTACCTTGCCAACTCACCATCCCGTTCTCCGGCAATTCACGTCCACCGAGCCTCTACTTCCTCCAAAGATCCACCTTCTACCCCTCCTCAACATTCACGCCTCCCATCTTCTGTGATGACCACTCCGGGTACACATTTAGGATTATTCAATGGTGCTCTACAGACTCCAGCTCAAAATTTCAATCTGGCGGATTTCTGCAATGTCACCCCCTCCCCTGCGCAGCCTCAATGGGGAAGTCGAACACCGAACATAGCAAAAACTCCGAGTCGATTTGCCCGAAGAAGTCTGAATTTTGATTCGGTCCAGCCATCAACAGCCAGTCCGACGTTATCACGCAAAACACCGACTAGTCAAGGTCTAGCTCTTCAACTTGGTGATGAACTTATCCCGCGAACATGAATGGCTCTAGGCCCGTCATAAACTCTTCTTTTGCCGTTGAGCCATTGCACCACCTCCCGATCCAAACTACCTCGTTACGAAAAGCCCTAAAACAAGGTCGCACGATAGCAGCGCTACGAACCACTTGACTTGTCACGATTAGCATACAAGAATCTTTTTTTTTTTTTTTTTTTTCCCTCCCTCTCTTTTCCTCGCTATGATGCATGCAATGATGAGAGGGGGAATACACTGTTTGAGCTAACACAGTGGGACCTCGGGATATGCAAATTTGGGTTGATTGCTCTTGCCAAAGAGAGGCAAAAAGAATCATTCAATTTTGACTGTTTTGCATGGAACGGGATTCCAGCGAAGGAATAAGGGAGGAATCTCTGGGAATACGTTCAATTGTGTCTGTTTGAGTCTACGCATCGCACCGCATTGCATGTGTTCTGTGTCCTGTAACCTATTTCTCCCCGATGTGGTCAAGAGACCACATTCACAATCCACCCCGACTAATTCCGTCGCCATCAGTAGGTAGCTGAAGTAGGTAGTCGAAATCCAACAATTACGTAGTACAAATGACCTATTCAGCTGAACATTGTGTTGTATACAGCAAACTTGTTTGAAGTGCACTGCATAGATAGCATCATGCTGCATTACATTTTCATTTTCCACCAGTCACCCGATGCTCAATGGCTCTCGGTGTATTGTCTCGTCTCGTACCAACTCAATTCAGCATCATCGCGTGCTCCGGTTTCAGTCCTAAGTCTTGACTCGGCCCGCTCGTGTGCCGCTACATACTCGGTAGTCGCCCCTCGCAAGTCGCCCGATATGATACTGTGACTGAGATCGAGGCCGGGTCCTAACTCCGCGTCGAGCCATCCAATTTCTCCACAGCCACCTATTTGACAGTAATAGTCAATTGTATTTGACAGCTTTTGACTCCTTTGAGACAAAAACTGCCGGTACCGGTGTGCTTCGGCAAGCGGCTTTGCGCCACGCCACGGTCCACAGTCCACGGTTCGAAAGGAAACCAACCGGTCATGCTTTGTTTTTCAGGCCAGGCGGGAAGTGTGGATGCGGATGTGGATGGACGCGTTTGGGCCTTAGACGCCAAACGGTGATATGCACGCGTTTGCGTAGATTCTGACTTCTATCTAAAGGTATCGGGGATGCCTTGCGTGCTTCAAAACGGTCAGAAGGCGCGTGGTCTTACGTCAATAATCTGCACGCACTTACAGGTTCAACTAGCATTTTCGATGAACCTCATCTACGAACAGAACACTAGCAAAGCTGAAGGATGGTCATGTTGATGATGGTCGCGTCAGAAGTCCCGCGTAACTCCACGCTAATTCCTCACTAGGAGGAAAGCTAGGACGAGGATTTACTAGCCTCACCTGGGCTCCATGCACGCATTTTACATGGGGTTTCAAGTTGGTACAAGACATCAACGTCAGCGTTCATTCGTAATCGCCATCCTTCATCTCCACAGACAGGTCAAGACAAGCAAGTTCACTTCGTATCCGCATTTACTTCCCGATCTGTCTTTCTTATCTAGCAAATTCTTCATTTGGTATGATATTGGACAATTAGTTTGTGGAAATCCTCGATCATTCAGCTGAGCAATACGCTATACTCGGGACCGGAGTGCGACGTGGCTTGAGAGAGCCTGGTGGCTCATTGATGATAAGATATATTCCATGATACAGAAGCAATTTCAGACGCTTCTGGAGTTCGCAGATATGTTTCCTAAACATCCGGGGGAACATGCGATGGTCAGCACACATGATCAGGCGAATGAGCACGAGGCGGGTAAAGTACCTGCGCATTTCCACCTTCGATTGAATACCTCTAGTGCTCTTAATCAAGGCAACTCTTTCTTCTTCAAGAAGACATTGTCTCTGAGATCCTTGAAGCGAAAGTCATGGTCAACTCACAATTGCTTTGCGTGCCTGCACGACTATCTCCGATATGAATTTGCTCGCTCTTCTAGCACGCTCAGATGGATGGGTTCGAGTCGATGGCTCGCAGAGGGCTAAAAGTGTGCTGTAACGCATCATCTCCATCTTTTTCGAAGTTCTGATCCGGGTGTTGTGTTGCTTCCCTGCAGGGTATGCCCATGTGCTAGTGTACAGACACCCCCCGTCTTTTCAGCCTCGGATTCGGCTGCTGTTGATCATAGTCTTCGCCGGCAGCTCCCCATCCCACCGTCCTACCTGGACGAGGATATCTGCATTTTCTCCACCTAGATCTCAACGGGTTCAGCACCATTAAAGCCTTTGTTGACGTGTTTGTTTCGATAGAGTCTCGTCTGGACGTGATCTGGCGTAATGAAGGTGTCATGGACATTCCTCCAGGGGGTACCACTGCCCAAGTGTTCAAAAGTCATCCTGGAATCAACGCATTGAGGCATTTCCTCTTCCAACATTATCTGATTCCGTTATGTCTTAGGACAGCGTCTAGCCCGGAAACAAAGCCACTTGCCCCGCCTGTCATCTTCGTCACCTCCTCGGGATACAGAGGCTCCACGAAGCCAGACAGAGTCCACTGGGATGATATAAACATGAATGCCTCAAGGGGATAAAAGGTGGATTGTTCAAATATGGCCAGGGTAAAGCCATGGATGTCATCTTTGCCCATGAGATGACCCGTAGGGATGCCTCACAAAGACCTGGTCTCCTTTTTCTCTCTACCCTGCATCAGTGACAACCAACTTGTAACGCTGTCGGCTAAGCTTCTTCAGAGCAATCACGTCGCTGTTGCTGTATGAGCAGCATTATGGTAGTTTCACTGAGCTTTTTGCCGGCTATACGAACGGCATCCAGGACTCCAAGTTGCCAAAGGGGGAAAGGACGTATATTATATTCAACCATGGGGACGGTGGCGAGATGAAAAATCGCATGGTATTCGAAGGTCTCAAGGAGAAGGAAAACCGGAGGGCGGTTGAGGAACATGTGTGAGGATACTTTGAAAGCCGATTCCTTTTCCCACTGGCTTCTCGTTGCTGGAAAAGGTGACACATTTCTCTCTCTAGGATATGCAAAGCATGCCTTGAGCAAATGGCATATAAGGCTGAAACAACCACCCCGCCTATGCTGCGTTATGAAAATCCCCCTTCCCGTATCACGCAACTGTACTCCCCTTAATTTGCGTTGACATCGTTTAAGTGCGTGACCTATTCTCGGCTCACGAACCCGTGCCCGTCGGTGTTGGCATAAGAAAGCAGAGATCAACAGCACACGGTGCTACGAAGTACGTAAAACCACTGATAACGTGGATAAGTCACTGGGTCCTGGCCTTGTCATGAGCCATGCCGCGGCTGAACACGCTGGTGGAAGCGAGGATGGATCGAAACATTCCAGGGAAAGGAGGGGCTGGGAATTCTCTTAGACGCGTGCGAAGGATTCGTGTGAGATGTTCTTGCTCCTTTTGATAAAATCCGTGCTTGTTCAACGATGCGAGTCCTAAATATATTCACTGGAGCTTGTAGTTTCATCAACGAGAAGAACGATGACTTTCGGGCCCCCGAACAGAAGAATGTTGGACGAAGAGTACAGATTTTTCCTTTCCCACTTTACGCGTCCAATATACTGGCCGTGTCTTAGCGCGTGACGCTATCAGGGAAACTTGTGATTCAAGAAAGCCAAACTTAGCCAGCCCGATGTTCATTATCAATGAAACTTGGTCCTGTATCTTTGCTTGCATTCTAGCCGAGACAACGGCTCCATGTTCAATAGGCGGTAGATGATCGACAACCGGGTCCATCGTCCATATCCTCTGATTCTCGTATGCACACCAAGACACGAGATTCAGGAGCCAGGGATCGTCCGATATCAATGACCTTGCCGTCCGCGGTAGACTCTGTAGCTGGCCTGGCTCAGTCGTCACACAAACCAAAAGATTGGTAAGCACCCGCTCATACCGCTCAAATTGTCCCGCGGCGAAATTTTATGCCCTTTCTGCTTGATATCCAGCTCCTGAATGCCGAACCCTAGCGTCATGGGGCGGCCCCTAACATTAAGACAAACATGCCAAAGCCAGCAAGCTGGCAGCCCTTCGAATCGTCTGTGACGGGCATGTTGCCTTCATGTCCCCTCCAAGCGCGACTAGTCGATGTTATAGACTAGCTCGCTACCATTAAGATCATCACCCAGCTCCCATGCCTTCATATCATTACGATTCCACCATGAGGCACTTTATCACCTGATCGTGAATCTCTCTCGGATTCGGAGCTCTCGCAACAAATTCCCTTGAAGCACGTTTCACCATATTCTGACCCCAATCTGCGCCTGAATTTGATAAGAGGTGGACAGAACCAAGACGGGGATGCTTCAGATAAAATTGACAGACGACTCGGAATCATCGGTTTCAGACATGGGACGGTGGAGTTCTCAGTCCCCTTGTTTTGTAGACCATGGCCAATATCCGTTGTTCCATCGCGCATCGATCTCCCGGGTGAATACCTCCAATGCTCTCGCATTCACTTTCTCACCACCCTTTCTTCCCACTGAACTCCCACCCATTCCTCCCGGAATGATATCTTTCCTGGGTCGCCACAGTTGTTCACACATGTCCCAAGGATGACTGTCCCCCACTCCATGCCGTCTTCCAAGTCCAATACTTCATCTTTTTCTAGTTCGTAGATCAATCCCGGCACTAGCTGCAACTCGAAAACTCTTTGTGCTGCGCAGCTCTCACACTTCGGGATGCCTCTCACGGCACCTGATTTGCCATGTGGAACAACAAATCTCGAAGCCACACTGTCTGTCCCAGAGTACAGGAGTGGTTCACCTTTGAACTCGTACCGCAAGACCTGTTCCGGATTCTGGCCTATTCGGTCTGAAAACTTTTGAAATGTCTTATCCAGTGAAGACTCAAAATTGTCTTTGTCCGCCCTGCTATTTCCACTATCGTCTATATCGTATTGTGTCTGGGACGATTCGGCTGTCGGCGGTTCAGGAGGTGCTGGGTACAAATCTTCAGGATAGGCGTCAAGGTAAAAAGATGCATACGGAGAGGGGAACGCGGAATTCTCCGGCCAAGGTTCTGTGGGCTCTTTCTTCAATTGTTCAGGGCTTTGGTCAGACACTATCTTGAGTTTGTCTGCAAAGGTCTCAGTAGGAGGCTCAGGTCCATCGACGGGTCGCTGTGGAGGTTTCGCTGCCAATGTTGAGCGGGAGGTCAGGGGGGAGAAAGGTTTTACGGAGGACCGTGTGCTCGTGCCGGACATCGAGAAAGGGTTTTCATTGCTTGTCGAGAGCTGTGGTCTGGTACCTCCAAAAAGGGCACTTCCCAAGTCTTGCAGAGGCTTATTTGATTCCTTTTCCTTCGGTGGGATTTCCTTCTTCTCTCGTCCTTCCGCTTTTCTCGTTTCTCGGAAAGCTCTGATGCTGCCAATTTTCTTGGAGCATGCTTTCTTTCTGCAGCACAGGACGTGAAGTCTTCGTTCGTCATGGGGGAAGTACTGTCGGAGATCTGCATTGAGCTGAACTAGGAGGGACATGTAGCCGTTGCACACTTTGCATTTGGCGAAAGTCGCAGGAGGAGGATGGTTCGAGTCTAACCAGGTGGGATGCCCACCGAGGTGACTGATGTCGTCGCCGGTTGATTCCGTGGTCGCATAACCGAGAGTGACGTTGGTGGTGGAATAGTCGTCGCCATCATCGGAGGAATCGCTGTCACAAGAAGGCATCTTTGCAACAGGAGAGGTGTGGGGGGAGCTTCCAGTAGTTTTTAGGAACCCTTCATCGGCGACTGATTCTTGATAATTTTTTTTTTATTTTTAGTGCCGGCCCACATTATTGTTAGAGGAATTAAGGTGTGTGCCGTACGGGTACCATGCCAAAACAAGTTAAATGGGGAGCCTTAATTCCAACCTTAGTCATCTACGGTTCTCCCCAACTTTTCCCCATTCCGGAGTACATATTCCGTACTCTGGTCTCCCGCCATCTCGTCCAGTCGTGAGTCTCTTGTCCCCTTTTCTCACCCTCCCTCATCCTGCCAGTTACCCTGTACCTCGCTGTCACTAACCGCATTTGTGCCCTGACAGTGCCCTTTCCACCATCATACCACCCATTCAACGTCCCCGTCTGTTCCCGGTATGTGTACTCCTCACTTGGCTATGCCAGCCAGATATTCCATATCCTCCCGTTGTCAAGGGAAAGTCCAATCATCCAACACCTCATTTTCCGTGTCCCACAATATTCCCCCGCGCATCCAGGCGGGGAACCATGCCAATCAACGTCTTACCTTACCCGGCATTCGAGCATATAACAAACCCGTTAGACCATCGCATCAGGCTTGCCGGAGAGTTTCCTGACGTCTCCTCTTGATCTTTCAGCATACAATCGCACCCGGCAGCTCCGAACCGAGAGAGCAAGTATTCGACCGCCATGGCTTCCCACAACGCCTCTGCTGTCACCATCGACGAGTATGAACTTCCCAAAGGCGGCAAACGAGTCGCAACGCTGGTATGTGCTGCGTTGATGGCACTTTCAGCTCGACGAAAACTCATCGAACCACGCTCAATCCTTCACGATCGAGTCCTAGCAAGGAGTGCCACAGCCGTCAAATACTCCAAGCCCGTCCAAGATGCCCTCTTTTATTTCTTCTTCGGCCTCCATGGGGCCGAGACCGTTTGGTTCGCTCTGACCAAGTTGAAGAAGCACAACGTTAAGCGTTTCAGCCCGGTGTGGTTCAAGTGGATCGTCACCGTCTTTCTTGGAGGTGTCTTTGCCACCAAGCATTGGGATGAAGTGGTGGAGAAGAAAGAGATCCAAGCCATCAAAGAAATTTAAGCAGAGGCCAACGCCCACCAATCATATTTTAAGAGCAAGCGGAAGGGGTCCCATGTTGGATGTCATTCTTTGGTTTCTGTCGTCGCATTTTGTCTTAACCATTAGCTAGCCGGAGTTATGGCGGAGTCTCTGGGATGTTTTGTTCTGCAGGATTTACCGACAACTCAAATGCCTATGAACTTCTCCCTACCAACAGACGGTCCAAAAAAGAAATGCCGCGGGCGATTAATGTCAGGTGTGAACCATGTGATCAAGCAGAGTCAATCCCTTCCAACGGTCCTAGTCCTTCCTTCGTCCTCCTATGATACTCCACTCTGACCACCAACCCATTTTGAGGTCTCTGCACGCATCACGCCGGGCAAGGTGAGTGGGAAACAAGTGGCTATCGATCACGGCATGTTTTGGAAACAGGGTGACCCGGGGTGCCTCTATCTCTCTGAGCGTTGAACAATATATGTTTGCGTCATGGTCACCGGTAGATAGTAGAAGAGCAACCAAGTCCAACTTAGCAGCATTATGATTGGTGGAGTCCTATGGATGCCGCTGGCTTTATATTGGCCCTCCACCCGTCATTCCACGAACTTTGCATTTTGTTCAGCCCAGATATCGCGTAGGAAACATTTGATTTCTGTCTGACCGACTCGACAATTCCAAATCAGAATCGCAAGAAGATTTACAATAGGGGGTAAGAATTTAATTTGGGTCGTTGGGTCCCAACCAAGCGTTGTGAGTGGTGTTATTGTACCCGTTATTCTCCAGTCTCGGAAAATTCAGACCTAGGAAGTAAATTACGGAGGATCTTCCTATATGTCGCAGTCCTCCATAGGAGAGCCTGGGCGCCGATGATGCGACGGCGCCATATCTGGGCATATCGAATAACCATAACTTACGCAAGGCGTGAAGCACCAAGAAGCTTGGCTTCGACATGTTTCAAGCCCCCATGGCGGGCCTGAGATGTGCAAAGGAGCCCTGGGTGCAATATGTGCGATCTGCTGTTTACTCTATATCATAAACCACCTGCACATTTTCATCCCCCCTGGATATTCATCAGGAGCAAGGCATATCCGACAATGTCCATCGATCCCTCAACGAAAAACCAAAAGTGCTACGACGCGAGGACTTGATCGAAACAACTCCGAACAACAGAACCAGGATGAAGTATTCTTACTCGATAAGCGCCGGAGCAACAGCAGCATTGTTTGGCCTGCTCTCTACCTCCGTGCGAGCGCAGAACGACACGACAGAGATTGACGGACCCGTGATCGACGTGTTATATATTACTGACCAGTCTCTTCTCGGCACGACGCTACAAGACTACCAACTGGCAGGAGAAGTCCTAGAAGCCGTGCGTATACTGATGTTCTCTCATCTTGTGCACTGCCCTCCTTTTTCTTTTCAAATCTGACTCGTGGTCGACTGAACAGAACCCATCCACTACGGTCCTTGCAATCGAGTGCTTAGGGGATGGCATCGACACGGATGTGTGCGGTGCAGACGCGGCGACACTGACATTCGGATCAACAACATGGCTCGCTTCGGACTCGACCGGTAACGTGGAGCTGACGGTGGACTGTTCGATTGCAAGGAACACGGAGAGCGCCGTTTGCGAGGAAGCGATCAAGGCACCGGCCCAAGTGTTCACAGATCCTTACATCAATCCAGCAGAGATTACTTCACTCATCACGGCCAGCGTGGACGATATCAGCTCGACAACCTTCACTGCCACCCTTGGCTCAACGCTGCTTACCTACCTCCCTATCACCATCACCGCGGGAGACGAGCTCTTGGCCAGCGCAAGTGCCCAGGCCACAGCCGAGGGTAATAACGCTGCAGCCAGGTCGAGCGTTATGCTGAACGGGCTTGTAGCCGGTGTTATGGGGGTGATGATATTGTTGTTGTAGATCTGTAGAAGAGCGAAAGAGGTGCACAACTTCAACTCTGAACATTGGGCGAACGGGTGCCCCATCTCATGCAGCTAACCCTAGCGAGGATGGGCTGTCATTTGTCTGTTGGAACAGAGCCAAGCATTTCTCACCTTTCAAGTTTCCAAAATAAGGCCGCGGTATCAACAATGATTTTGGGTTGGTATAGAGGTCTGGTGTGCATAGTCCACAATGGCAGAAGCAAGAGTGTTTGACGCTTCCCTGTATGATGTGTTGATTGACCCTCTTTATGGAGAAGGTTGAGGTTGGCAGTCCGCTGGTGTCCAGATGTATCGTTGTCAATCATATGCATTGGTCATACTATGGAGCGCATATCATCACCTGCTAGAATCTTGATCATCTAGGGTCCTTGTTGATTCTGCAGAAGGCCAACAGGAACGCATCCCATATTTCAGCTGTGGCCCCGGTTATCCTGTAGTTATAGTGCTTTTAGTACAGCTCATTAGACGCCAAGAGCCCGGGGGAAAGAAGTTGAAGCTAAACCTGAGAGATGTCAAGTTGATGGAAAAATGACTTCAATCCTCGTCCGACCATCTTTCACCTCTTTCATGAAGCTTGCGTAAACGCAACGAGATCTGGCCAACCACCAGCCTGATGAAAGCTTGGGAACTAAGTCAATGAGGAGCTTCCCAAAGTGGCGGATTCAGAGAATTCGGGGCAGCGGCGCCCTTGACTTGGCCCCCAAATCGCCCTTTATCTCTTCACCGCCGACTTCAACCTCATCTTCCCTTCCCCTCCATCCTTCTCCCCTCCTCCCCCTCCTCCTTGTTAGATCTGCTTCCATCCTGCTGCTCCTTCAATGCTCCCTAACCAGATCCTCTTGTCCACTGCTATGATTCCCTCAACCTCGTCCTATCCACAATGACAACCCTTGCGCCTCATGAACAGGCTTCGAACTTCCTCAGGCTGCCGCTCGAAGCTAGACTCCATATATATAGCTTCCTGCTCCCCCAGGGCACTTTCACAATTCAGTTTTGCCGACAATCCGAGCAGGATCTTTACAACCCCCGCCCAGGGAAGCGCTTCACCGGCTCCAAGCTTGTGGGACAAGTCTTTGCAATTGAAAACATTGTTCGCAACAACGGTCTCAACCTGCTCCTGGTAAGCAGACGAACCAGAGACGAAGTCCAGCCTATCTTGTCCAAACTGACAGTCCGCTTCCACTGCCCCAAATGCTTCGAAGAGTTGTTGCGCAACTTGTCCAACGGCCTCGGCCCCGGTATCAAATGGATCAGACACATCGAGATCCTCTATGAGACTGGATCGGGATTCTATGGCCCTCCACTCCGTCCCATAACCATCTGTCTAAGCAGATTCATGGCATCAGAGGAAATGCAAGCCATTCAATATACCGCGTGGTTGTACACCGGGCAAACAGCGGTCCTGAGGAAGGAAAATTGGACACAACAACCCCTTGCTCCCGACTGCAAAGCAATAACCCCGCCAGATCCAAGCCAGCCAAATACGGATCCTTCACTTAGAGGACGAATAGACCGCATTCAAAATCGGCTGGCGTATCAGACCGGTCCTACGCATCCCCAACTCCTCGCTCGGGTCGGCGAGCTAGCACACTCCGTGTCTCGCTATACGTTCGATCCTCTCACTCATGGGAAGTGGTTGATCAGTTTTTCGTTCGATTGATTCTAGAGCCATTGATTCCGATGAACGCGCAAAAGACCTACTCTCTCCGCTGAATTGAAATATACCAAGGAGATTGTAAGGATGGATTAAAAACGCATTCCCCTCATGCTCCCAGTGTACCCGTGTATTACGATGACCATGTTCGTCTGCTTCCAAATAATTATTACCATTACAGTCAGTAAGTTTTATGCAAAAGCCCGCCAACCAAATGCCGGCACATCATACTTTTCTCTTCTCCAATCTAACAAAAGGAGAACCTATGAGGTCGAATATAAAAATGTGAACTGCACCAATCCTGGGTTCAGGACAAGTGGTAGCCCGAGACTCACGACACTGCGAAAGGCAACAGTCAAGCGAAACTTTCGCATGATAGGGGGAACTCTCTTGAAAAAGCTGAGGTCTACTGCCTCTTTACTCGTCGCGCCCCAGGTCGTGTCCACGCTGAAAAGATGGCCCAAGATTGCTTGGGAGACGTGCAGTGAGATCTAGGCCCAAAATTATTGTCAGCAACGGAGTCCAACGGAAATTCTCCCACAGTGCTGAGACAAGAGTCTTGTTCTCGACCCAGTACCACATGACTGCAAGCGAGATGTTGCCGAAGAGAATCGCCACTTCAGAAGAGGGATTGCTCTATCTCCCTGACCGGGTCGAGGAAGCCGTCCACTGGCACGCGTGTGTCCGAGTCAATGAAGAGGATACAGTCGCCGAACCCCCACCTTACCGTCAGCTTGGGTGGGACTCTTCATCTTCAGCAATGACTTCGGCTAGCGCATGATCACAAGCCGCAAGCTCTTCCTCTGCAGGCCCAAAATGTCGGGGAGGCAGATTTGTGCATGTGTCTTCGACGCAGGCACTCGCGTTCAACGCATGGTTCATATTGGAGGCTTTCTTGCACTTGCCTGCTCGAATGGGCGGCTTTGCTCCATCGGCAAGGTTTGGGGTTATGTTTCGGTCGAACAGTCCAGCCGATGTTGTGTTTGTCATAATAGTCTCGTCTTTCTTGAGCTCGCTCCGCAGAAGTAATACGCATGTCGCCGTCGTTGACAAAGATGTTGGCGGTGCCTTCTTGCATCTTGTACGTGGAGATGGCAGCGATGATAGATTTGATGGTGGGATGGACCACGGATCACAGCCCTTCCCTTGTACAAGGGACATTGAGTCGTCACACAAGCTGCGTGGAGGTCGTGGACAATCGAGCTGGGACTGGCCAGAGAAGGATTTGGTGTTGGGTGTTTCGTTGGTTGATGGGACCGATGATCTGGGCAACTCAGCCGGCCACGGATTATATGAAGAAAATAGCTAGCCAGCATTGCAGGGCACAGCAAGGACAAAAATAAGGCGGATCCAGGATTTGTCAACTTTAATTTAAACGGCAATTTAACGCTAGCCACTGCCAGTGGCGTTAATAAGGAGGATCAGGGTAAACGTCGTGAGCAGGCGCTGAAATCAGGACGACTCGTCGAACAGGAGCTAGTTGTGTCACATTTTTGAGGTCGTCTTGTTGTGACTCTTCTGCAGAACTGTTATCGAGATTTACCGTACTGCTGGGCATGACACTCGCAGCGCAAGCGGCAGCTTTGTCGTATTCGATTTCTTTCAAATCATACTGATGAGTTGATTCTCGATACTTTGCATCCGGCGTAGGATGTAGTTTGGATCATCTTCCCAGACCACTAGGATTCCGTATTCTTGAATGAACGCCGCGAAATGATGCTTCTAACAGTCTGGCAAGCGGGATATACTGGGCAGGGTCCGCAGGAGGAGTTTGATGGCCCGGGTGTTGATCGTCATTGCACACTATGGGTATTAGTATCAATTGCAGTAACAAGTTTGCTATATCTCCTGGGTAAATAAAGCTGTCTTATCTTGACGTTAAGTTTCTAGGACGTGATCGCGGGTCTTCGGGAGGTAGACCTGTAGTCATCTTGGCTTTCTTGAGCGTAACACCCTCTTCGACGCCATGGGTCGGCCACGTTTTCTCCGGTTACTGTTTGTGAAGCCCGCTACACGTCATATCTGTCTGGAGATCTCGGAATTCCGCTGTAGAGCTGTTTCGAACGTCCCTACTGGTGTACGGGAAGTGTTTCCTGATTGGAGATAGTTTTGTGGCCGTCGATTTATTGTTTGTGGGAGAGCCACTACGAGAGCGTGCCTGGGTAGTTGGGCTTGGTGTTGCTGGACGGTTGGGAGTTGATGAGTAGTCGAAAGTTGGAAGAAGTCATGGCTCGACCGACGGGGAAGCATGGTTGTCAAGGTTGGGGGAACTTGGCCTGGCATCTCTTCTTTCGGGAGCTTGAGGATTGTCTTCAGTGTCTTCTCGGGCACACATGGTAGGAGCCTTGAGCACAGCACGAAAAGAATCGAAACTGGTGTGGATGGTAGATAGACTTTTGGCAAGGAGCGAGGATTGAAATAGAGAGAAGGAAAACGTCATGCATAGGTGAGAGAAGAAAAGTGGAAAGCTTGTCCAACCTCGTATCGGATTTGATCAAAGGAATATGGCGCCTCTAGGAATATTACCACTAAGGCATAGTAGCCAGGTCACCCACCGCTGCTACTTGGAAGTTTACTCGCATCGTGTTAAGGGGTTGATCAGCGAAGGGGATCAACGTACCCAGTATGTCCTTCCAACGAAGAAACCGGACCGATGCAGATCGAGAATTGAAATTCCTTCAGCAGTGGCGCGCAACACCTGGCCAGAAGGAGAGTCGGATAGAAATATCTGGACCGAAAGGTCCCAGCCGAATGGAAACGAATAGCTCGTACCAGAAAACGAATAGTCAAGCTGATCCTTTCAGAGAAGGTAGCGTTCCGTGATAGGGCTGAGAGGTTATTCAAAACTGTAGATACTGCAGGATTTTGCCGGGATTGTCATCGTCCTTATCTGAGATCCTGGCGGGCCGAGTTGTGAATGTTGCGATTCGACAAGGTAACCATGTGGTAAATCATGAAGCATAGGTTATGGTATGCTTGCAAATGATGCTAGAATTGACCGGACCAGGCCATGGTTTTAGCATCCAAGACATCTGGGAAAGAAAAGCTCGCCAGCTCCGAATAGAACTTGTCCCGGAGATATCAGCACCTGGTTTACCGGCCCAACTTCGAGGTTTAGCATCATTTGGGATGGGCCTGAAGCTGCTGCTGAACCAGTCTTTGCTCCTCCAATGTGTTTTCATAATCTCTTATTCTCAGAGAGCCGGCATCCCAGATCAGGATCGCTTGCAGAGAGACGACTTCGTCTCTCCGATGTAAACTATCCTTCCTCTTTCGGGCGTGTACGCCTGAATTTTGAGTATATCCAATCACGTTGATCCAACAGCCATGCCGCAGTGCCGAGGATGCTGTGCTTTCAAGAACAAGACTGACATCGACTGAGACGCGAGGGACTGGGTGAGCGTTCTTTGGATATGCATGCTCAAGAAGTAGTTGACCGTTGAGAACGTCATACTGCAGCACACTGGAAGTCTAAGTCAATAGCATGGCAGCTGTGATCAATGAGAACCCTACCAGCCTACGAATCTCACCTTCGTTGCCGGTGGCAAGGAAGCAAGTTCGTAGAGGAAGACGAGTTTGCTTGGAACAGGCGCGTTGGTAGCACCTTCGCTCATAGCTGTGTTTATGAAGGTGGTGGTGGGCAATTTGATGCCTGGCATCTCAGAAATATGTCGCGGCTGTGCGTCTGGGGGTGAATTGCTTGGCGCACGTGCTCTCGGCAAACCTGCAAGCGATGTCATTCATGCCTTGGACTCTTCCAGATGGCCGGTCTCAGGCTGCTCATCAAAACTCCGCCTCTCTTGTACTTCCCGACTAGTCCTCCCATTTCTCTATCCTAAAAGAACTTCAACTTCAAATTCCTGTTGCCTGGGTCCTTTTCGTCATTCTTTTTCACCCTAGACCCCTACCACATCAAACAAAGCCGGTCCGCCACCGGCTGAACACGCGATAAGAATTGAAGACTTTGGAGAGACCATTACCACTCCGCAGCCATCTTTACGCTGAGACTTGTCTTTCCGCGCATCGACACGCAGTCTACTACTTCCATTCCTGTGCACTTCGTTGCTTAGATCTTCATTCTCAAAGCGAACAATATGTGGGGTTGGTTCGGCGGGGCAGCGGCCCAGGCCAGAAGAGATGCACCCAAAAATGCCATTTTGAAGCTGCGCCAGCAACTGGATATGTTACAAAAACGAGAAAAGCATCTGGAAAGTCAGATGGCAGAACAAGATGCGTTGGCCCGGAAGAATATTTCAACGAATAAAAATGGTAAGCCCGCACAGCAATCCCGTATTACTCGGCGGAATTGTGTTTGACCTAGTACTGATACGAGGGTTTTTCTCAACACACAGCCGCCAAAGCCGCTCTGCGACGCAAGAAACTCCACGAACGCACTCTCGAACAGACTTTAGCCCAGATTGCACAAGTCGAACAGCAGATCTATTCCATCGAAGCCGCCAACATTAACCAGGAGACCCTGAACGCCATGAAGAACGCTGGAGCGGCCATGAAACAAATCCATGGCAATCTGACGATCGACAAAGTTGACCAGACCATGGATGAACTACGTGAACAACACGCTCTTGGAGAAGAAATCGCCAGCGCAATCACGAACGCGCCTATTGGAGAGCCCATTGACGAGGCGGATTTGGAAGAAGAATTGGAAGGCCTGGAGCAGGAAGCGATGGACGAAAGAATGTTGAAGACCGGCCCGACCCCTATCACAGGCGAGGTCAACCGGTTGCCCGCTGTGTCCACTGGTCCAGGTAGGTCAGACTCTATCCCGGCGAACCCTATATCTCAGCAGTCATATTGATCCTTTCTATAGTCAGCAACAAGCCTTCAACAGTGGAAGAAGACGAAGAAGAAGAATTACGCAAGCTGCAGGCCGAGATGGCGGTGTGAGAGCATTGCGACAAAGCCTCAAGTTGAGGATGATTTTCCATCGTTGGTTTCCGGCGATCCCAATCAATGCCTTGGCCACAGGGCGTTCTGTGAGAATTGAAATGAGATCTCAGATTCTGATGTACCCAGGCAGTAGAGGAGGCGTTTTATGGATGAGGTACGCGCTGAATGGGCTCGGCTCTCATGCTTCATGACCAAATTACTATGTTAAGAACGACAATCGCATTTCTTTGGGCCATCCCATCCTGTCTTCATATCCTCTGTGAATGGGAAGGCTGCCAGCAGCAAGCGCGTACTCCTTTCCCTTGTGGCTTGGGAAGAGTATCACGGCATGGTGAGTATTTCTCGTCGTGCCTACTAAGAGTTCATCGGGTTACAATATGACTCCCGTTTCCCTTGTGAAAGAGGAGGCCACCAGCAGCAAATGAAGTACTTGTTTCCGTTGTGCTATTGGAGGATAACGGTCGTGAGCCGCGTCTGTATTTCTTTCATGAACTGGGAGCATGTCTACGCCAAAGTGAGTATTCGTTGCCTTTGTCCACTAGAAGCACACCAACAGCAAAGTAAGCGCACAGCTGCAATATGTTCCAGGTTTCCTTCACTTATATCATTCCATTTCTTCCTTCACTTCACTTCAACGTGCAGCACAGGCATATAGCCGTGCCCTTTTATCGCCAGTCGCACTTCACGTCACCGTGTGCACTCATTTCCCACATGACAGCTCCCAACAAAACAGGACGGTAGAGCGTTCGCGCTTTCATACGGAGGTGCTATAGAACTTAGCACAGCAACTAATCAAATGACAATACCGCAGAGAATGACGAGCTTCGCCGGGAGGCAGCATTCCCCTTTGATCTTTGACTTGCGAGGCTGACCAAATCAGAGGCGCTCTTGTAACTCTCTGCGCTTTGCGACTAACGAGTCCAGATTTCGCCAGTATGAGCAGCATCATTGCCGTCCTCCTTAGAGAAATCGAACTCCACGTCACCAACGACAACGCCCCTCATCTGGGGCAAACAGATATCGGACCCATCGCCCGATTTGTCCAGAACGACTGTCGTTTGCCCTTCATCGTACGCCGAAAATATCTCCTGGAAAGATTTCAAGAATATTTTGCTTGTCAGTATCTACGGTCGCAGAGACCAGAGGCTTGTTGATGAAGGGTTGTTCCCAAAACATTGGACTTACGCACGAGGGAGATTTCATCGTCTTGAGTTCCCGAAGATTGTGTCCTCAATCGATGCTAGACCTGAGACGGCATGTTTTCCTCAAATCATGCTTGGGTTTAGCTGTCCTCTATCCTGTGCGCACGCAGCCTGCTCGGCCGAGCAACTGTGCACTGTTGAGATATGCTATTCAAAATTGTCTTGGACTGCCTCACGAACTTGAACGGAAACATATGCATCAAATTCTTCCCATCGAATTGCGAACTTTCAAAGACATGAGGTCGGGAATGGTCTGATTCAAAGTGGGATCAGCTAAGTTTCGGACACCTCGAAAAATTATAGTCGAGCTATCTGCCATCGCGTTTGTTCGACAATGCAATTGAATATCACCCACGATTGGGCACGTCCGACGATGCTTTAGAAGCCCTGCTGACCGCTCAAAATACATCGCAACTTGGAGTTGTATCGGAACCCACAACAAGAATATCGCTCTCTTTGTTTCATAGAGGTCGTCAACATCGTTTTATGGGTTCGGATATATTCAACCAGCTTATGGTGCTTTGGTCACCTAGAATTCATAATCGTCACAGGCTGCGTTCCCACAAGCCTGACACTAACGTCGGAAAAGATACGCCCAGGAGTCTCCGCCTCTGCCTTTCAAACCAAGTGGAAGTTAGCCAAGAACGGGAAGAGGAGTGTTCTCAAGAATACATTTTCAGGCGCAGATTGGATGACAGGGGCAATGAATGTCTTATTAGCGATTTGGAGTTGGCTTGAGGATGGTAGCCACTCGCGCAGTTGAATGGTAGCCTTGTACCACTAGGTAGAGTTCATTGCTGACGATTAGGACAGCAATCAAGACGTGAACGTCACGCTCTTGCCAGCCAATTCCTTACCCATCTTCGCACGTTTCGCCCCCGTACTAGTATCCAAGGCCTTTGCAAACGGGTTCATTCTCTTCGTTGCTTGCCCATTCGCATTACCCTGCACCGCCGGACTCGGTTGGTTCAGCAGTGACTCTGCACTCGCGTAATCAAATGGCTGAGTCGTCTTCGTGGCAGCCTCAGCCGTGAGTCGCTTGGCTTCCCTACGTGCTTCTCTCTTTGCTTTCTTGTCCGATTTGTGTTTCTCCTGAGCATGGCTCTTCGGTACGTCTTCGGGATCGGATGCTTCAGCGGACAGTATAGTCGCCTCTTTGAACGTTGGGGGAGAACCGTTGACCGGTGTCAACTTCGGCGCCGTTGAGGGCACGACGATAGAATCGTCGACATCCTCCGCCTTTCGTTTCTTGGGGGGCGAGACGTTTTTCAACGTGAAGATTTCGGAGACTTTGGAACGGAGTTGTTCTTGCGCCGTCATGACCACGGCCGCTGGTTGCATCTTGGCTGGTGTTGTGACCTCGTCCACTTCGCTCCCGGTGGCGAGAACTGGGAGCGGTAGGATCGATATCAAAGCGTGAACTGCAGTCGTGGCTTCCGGAGGTGATTGCCGATATTGCGGCGCCACTTCACCCCAAAAAAGGGACGTGGAGCATCGTGCCGCAATCGGAGTGTCATTTTCAACGTAGCCATCATAATTCAGGCTTGGAGAGGCTATACCAATGTCCCCATTGGCAGTGAGTTGCTGCAATGTCGCACCTAAGCCTGAATATGTAGTGGATGGTTGTTCTTTTCTTTCCCTCCGCGACCGGTAAGGATAAGCACCATGTACTTCTTCATAGTGCCGCATAACCTCTTGGAAAGACTTCCCATCACGGCCCTCATGCTTGCCCTTTTTGATGACCTCGATGAGTTCAGGTAGGTTTTTTAGGTTGTCTAGAAGAGTTTTGGGGACTCCTCGGATTGAGACGTGGAAGTTGAAGACCGAGGTCGGCATGTTGGTTGCGATTAAGAATAAGAGACGATTAGGAAGAATATATTGAATCCCTTCGTCCATTTCTCTTGCCTTGCGGTCTCGCCACGCGTGCACAGCTCGAAAGACCCCAAACTGTTCTTTGTTGAAGGTCACGGTTCTCTGCATGAGCAGTCCAAGCCACCCATACGAGCCACGCCCGAATTCTGAATCATAGAATGGATGATCATAGACTTGAAGAGCTTCTTTCTTCGATTGTGTCAGGACATGGTCCGTAAGATTTTCGGTGGGGGTGGATGATTCAATGAGCATGTTTCGGACGTGATCATAGATATGCAGCAGGTAATGTGTATCTGAGCGAGCATAGTCAACTAGTTCCGGCGGTAAAGGTCTTACCCGCCAATCGGCTGTTTGATACTGCTTCTGTGCCTCGAAATTGGCGAAACGGTGGAGGAGATGCTTCAGACCTTTCCCCTGAATCTGCAGGGCACAAGATGCGTGGAATGTGTCGAAAAGGCCAACGACGTATAAGCCGAGATCTCGTTGTAGCCAGATTATGTCCATATTTGAGCCGTGGAGCACTTTCAGGATCTTTGGATCTGCAAAGACCTCGTTGAGAATCTGTAGATTCTCGCGCCAAGGCTTCAAGGTATCGACAATCCAATCTTTTTCACGAGTGCTGATTTGCATGAGACACACCATACCAATATATGAGCGTTGGTCGTTGTGCTCAAGATCAACTGCGATCTCGGTGGCGCCTTTCAATTCTTCCAGCATTTCTTTGACGCCCTCTTCAGTGTCGACGAAAGTCGCTTCACTTCCATCTGCCGGATTAAAGGGAATGGGAGGACGTGTTTGATACACGGAAGCGGGATAGGCATATTCTTCGATCTCACGTTGATAGGGGTGCTTGTATCTGTCGCAATAAATCAGCGAATACAGAGTGGAAATGAGATTGAACGTACCCAGTATCTTCGTCGCCGATGCTCTCTTCTAGGGGAACGACTGCGTGAGGCTTTGTCCGAAGAAGAGGCTTAAAATGGCTGGTCTCGAAATTGTTGACCTTTCTTTCAAAAAGTTGTTGCGGTTTCTTTATGACTTTGGGAGACGACTGCGGAAAGTCACTGACGGGCGTTCCAGGCTTTGGAGTCGGCACCACACCTCGGTCATTGAGACTCTGACGCTGAAACGCCCCCGATACTTCATCCAGCTTGGAATCGGTTTTCTCAAGAAGATTGTCAATCACATCGACTATGCGGGGCCACCTATCCTCTATATCATCTTGACTTTGGAGGGATGGAGCTTTGATGTTCGTATCCTTGGTGGCGGCTTTCAGCAGTTTGTTGGTCAAGCGCAAAAGGTGTGCATTCTGCCGGTCGAGCGCACGAGACAGTTTTTCGCTGGAGGAGCGATGAAAGCTCAAATCTTGGTTAGAGATTTGATTTGCGGTTCTCGTTACGTTGATCAGGGAGGATTGCACCAGCTCTTGGAAAGACTTGAAATCGGCGGTCAAGTCCATGCTGAACCGGTCTTCATTTGACACATCGACAAGCTCACTGCCATCTGCAGGATAGAAGGGTAACAGGGATGTTGACGCGTGGTATGAATGATAGTCTCTCATCTCCAAATCTCCACTGGAGGACGAGTACCCGTGCTTCGGCGAAGTGAGGCACACTTTGCGCAGTCTTGGCATATAACTACGGCGGATCTTCCAACTCGCAGCGACACTTTTCCCGTGGGCAGAATCGATTAGATCGTCCTGCTGAATGCAAAGACGACACATGGTAGGGACATTCAAAAGCACCGGATGCGAGACCTGCCGAAAACGCAAGAAAAAGGTGAGACATTGTCTGGGTTCGAAGCGTGTTTGGAAGCTTCACTAAAATCCCATTCCTTAAGTGCGGCGAAGAGCTGCCTGAATGCCTCGCTTGCATCAAGGCCGGTTGGAAGTGCCCAGGATACTCCAAACGATGGAAATTCGTGGATGAGAATTCCCAGCTGGTCACATTTTATCGAAAAAGAAAGTACATTTTTGAAGATACCGACCCAGCACCGATTGACGACTCGGAAGTATTGGGAAGATATCATCATGTCATTCGTCTGAGGCAGAGATACGCAGGGCATGGCCACCAGTTTAGTTTGGGTATTGGAAGACCTTTGACCTCAACTGTTGATCAGACTTGCTCTGCGCTGTCATTTTTACTGGACAACCCTCAAAGCCGGAGTTGCTTCCCGGTGAGATCTCTCGGAAGTTTCTTTCCCATGATACCTGGTCGCCTTGGATACAACAATCCCCTGGACGACTCAATATCTTGCCTGTGCAGCATATACTTTGATTCACTCAGGCAAAACACAAAAGCTTCAAAGGGTTCGCTTCAGCTCTATGCACGAAGCCTAAGTTCCCTTCGCAAATACGTAGAGCTATCGCCGGCTCGCACTGATTCTGAGACGATATGTGCATCCATAATAATGCAAATATGCGAGGTAAAACCCCAAACCCCTCTTCCTTCCACATAGCTAAACTTATGTATAGCTTATTCTCAACGACGACACAGGACGATGGAATTACCTCTGTATGGGCACCAAGCTTCTTATTCAGAGATGTGATCCTACTCGATTTCTACAGCCATTTGAACGATCCATGCTCGAATCACAACGAGCTTGGTTTGTGAGTTGCATCCGCTAGCCCCTTTTCGATGACAGTTTGAATGTGACAGACAGTATAATTGCTTGCATACCTCGGGACGCAGATTGTGCAAGATATGAATGCTGGGCAAAATTGCTTCCTCACGGATCCGATATGGCGTGAGCTGCTGAAGACCTCGTCACAGCATTCTGTTACTGGAGGACCTCAGAGCTTGTCTCTACGGGGAGATCTCTGTAACTTCCTCGTGGACATCCCGATCCTGGTTACAGAGATATCGAGCATCTCATGCATCACCGAAGACTGTTCCGCCAATTCTGTCCACTTCGTGAAGCGACACGAAACCCTATTCAATCGGACGTTGTCCTTGAGAAACACCATTGAAAACTGGTATTCTGCAAAGGTAGTACCTCAACTTTCAGCACCCGGTTTGTCCTTTGCTACCTCCCAAGCTCCAGATAATAAATGCACCAAGGGTGTCACTCTGGAAGTTGCTGAATACCCAGAACTATTGCTGGCAGTCGTCGACTGTATTTCCAATTGTGTAATGATTCGACTGGACATGTTGCTGACTACTTTGCTCTCAAATTCACCATATGAGCAGAACGCAGCTGAATTTATTTACTCTCCTGCTATCATTGCGAGACGGCAAGAAATCATCTCTCGATCGCTAAAGTTTGTCCAAGGAATCTCGGAAGTGGCGGCTAAGCCTCTGGAATTCGGCCTACAACAGATACGATGCAATGACGGCCAAGGATTTGGTTCATTTAATGAACAAGATCTGAGGGAGGAAACGACGCCTTGAGCTGTATTCAATGAATCGATCGACCTCACAAATCATGGGACAGAGGAAGCAGAAGTCTAGAGTTTTCTAGATCACCGACTCTTCGAGTTGAAGGTAGGGGTTCGACCAGACACCCTACTTTTTCCCGAGCACTCGTTGAGCCATTTCCTCCCCGGCGTGGGCAATGAAATGGCCTTCTAGCTTCTTCCAACTCTTCTGAGCGAATTGCTCGCCTCGGGTCAGCATATCCTTTTCATACCGTTTGATTGTTGCCGGCAGTTGTCTAGCATCACCGCCACATCCCGCGATAGCTTTTGCTAGGTCCAGGGAATCAACCATGGCAAGATTGACGCCGACACCGGCAAAAGGAATCGTCAAGTGAGCAGCTTCTCCTACCAGGGTTACTCCGGGACACGACTCTCACCTCATACCGATGGGCAACATCCACATGAGTCGAGGAACGGGTTGATCGTTGGCGTCACGGATGGCTCGTTTCAAGTCCGATCCACAGTTGGCGAAATATTGGTCAATTCAGCTCTCCCTTGCTTGGTCTGGCGAGCACCAATCAATTCCACATGTCTGAAGCCAGTCATCTGGCTGTCGTACGCCAGCGTCGACTCGAACGCAATTATTCCCATTCTTCTGACTCAATATGGCACGTCCTTCATCGAACATGAAGCAATTGCCTGCTTCCACAAATTCGGAGAGCCATTGATGACGTTGGTCGATGTCCATTGCCCAAAGCTCAAAGGTGACTTATCCACAGACTTCAGCTTCTTTCCCCAGACCACCGTTCCAAGCTTAAAAGAATCAAGGAGCAGGTGTCGCAGCTTTGTTCGGTCGATCTCAGGACGGTCCGCATATTCTTCAGGCCTGCGGTTATTCTCCTGGTTCTCATCGAATATCACAGTGCCATCATATCTGAGTTTCATGACTTCTCCTGGTCGCGTGAGTCGTTTGTATTCATCGATGAGACCCGCTTCTTGGAGAGCAAGCTGTCCTCGGCGATACAAGTCGACTGTGCCTCCTTGGTCTCGGTCATTGGGAGTCTGTTCAAGTTCGAATACCGTGCATGTAATGTCGTGGACCTGAAGGAGCCTTGCCAGATTTCCTCCCCTGGCTAGAGGCAAGGTAATTAGGATTTGTGGAACGAACAATTTCGGCACGCGGTAAGCCTTACCAGTTGATCATTAGATGGAGCGCAACATAGACAGAGAGTTGACGTTCCAATTACGGCATAGTCGTGGCCCTAACACCATTTCAACCTCAGGATCGCCGCCTAGAATAAGGCTTATCAATACACCGAGCATGGTGTAAGACTTGGATCTCCGAACCGAAGAGATAGCCCCCTGATCTGTCGGTGCACTTTTGAGTGTTGGAGACGACAGCCAGACGGTGTCCACTCAATGGATCCTCCCGCGCCGACTGCGGATTGGGTAGAGCGCAACATCAACCACCATCCATTGAGAGCCATGCAGCAATTGCCCAATCACGGTATTCATAAAGAGTACCCGCAAAGAGCCATTCGCGTCATTCTGCCTCAGGTGAAGAAACAATAATGCTCAACGTATCTGATGCGGCACAACCATTCCCATCGTCTCCTGCAAGAAGAAACTCGGTCTTGCCAAAACCACGGTTACGCCCGAGACCGCTACGCATTTATGATGCGGAATTGATGGTTTATGGAATACAAGAAATAGACGCAATTGTGACTGTTATAGTCGAACCTCGAGCATATAACATGCGCAGTTGAACATTAACATCCCTTGCATAATTCATCTGTTTCCTATCACTATTTGGCATTGTCACCAACACAAGACTCAATAGTCAGTGACGTCGCCAAATTGAGTTGCTGAAACCACGGTCTTGAAAATTTTCAGTCTCGGTACCTCAGCCTATTAGATTATCTACTTAGTTGGCACAAAATAATGTCGACAAACACTTTCAACGGCGACATATTTGACAATCATGTCTGAAGGAGGGAAAATACTTACGCCAGGTGGCCTCCCCCTCCGATTCGGAGTGATAGTCTGCAGCCAGCGGACGCCACGCGCAGGCCTCCAAATCAGCAACCTTGTCATGGACACCCTGAGGAAATACCAACAAGCACAACCATCGTCACAAACCTCATACTCGCTCACCATGATCGACCTCGCCGAGCAACGCCTACCACTATTCGACGAACCAGGTATCCCATCTCAAATCCACTCATCTACGGACTACCAGCACGCGCACACGCGGGCGTGGTCAGATCTCATTTCGAGCTTCAACGCGTTCGTTTTTGTCACACCGCAATATAATTGGGGATACCCGGCAAGTGTCAAGAATGCAATCGATTACTTATTCAACGAGTGGAAGGGCAAGCCGGCGATGGTAGTCAGCTACGGTGGACACGGGGGCGGCAAGGCGGCAACGCAACTCAAGCAGGTCCTGCAGGCCGTGGGGATGAAGGTCGTCAGGGAGAATGTCGAGTTGACGTTCCCAGATCGCGGGTTCTTGATTAAAGCCGCTACAGGCCAAGATTTAAGGTTGAATATCACGCGTGAAGAAGAGGCTGAGGACGATAGTGGCGATGTTGGGCTATGGGCAAAGGAGAAAGAGCAGATGGGCAAGTCGTTTCAGAATCTGCTTGACACGTTGAATGAATAAGGGGCGCAGTAAAGGGGGGAAACCTACGATCACGATTATTTCCTGAGCAGTTTGATTGATGGAATGGGATGGAATAGATTGCAGGAACCATTAGAGGAAGCTGGATAGACACTGGTCTGACTTGCGTTTCCATCGTTGTACATTGAGAAAATTCCCAAAGAATCAAAGACAGCTTTCATTCTTTACCTCTTTTTCCTTCTGTGAAGTTGCCATACAGACCACTAAATTTCTCAGCGGTGGTGAGCTCGAACCGGAGAAGTCCCCGTTAGATCGAAAAGGCAGACAGCGGACTGCACGAGCATACCAGACTAGCCGCATTTAAAATCTTCAGGACTCAAGTTTTCCTCAGATCTCCGGTCGCATCGATTCGGCTGACGCGAAATCACTGAATAACAGAATGCATCATCAGAGAAATTATCGTCAGCTGCTTGGACGGAAGCGTTTCTTGGTGACGGAACAGCCAGGGCAATTCTGAAAAGAAGAACTGCCTCTTGATGGTAGGGGTGCCCAATATTCATGATAATCTTTCGGAAAACTTCGTCTAGATATCAGATATATCGTGCAGCCAACCGAAGATTCCCCCCACACTGTCGGTCTCAACCAGTTTTTGCAGGAGTGGCTATACTACCTAATACGCCACTGTGGTTGAACAGGTTGAAGATCTCGAAATTCAGTGTTCTCTTCATGGGACAAAATGTTCGATATCTGCTTTGGTGAGATCTCCAAGCTCTAGTATCGGCCGCACGCAACAGCGTTCTGAAAAGCTGGCTATGGCCGGCTGGAAATGCGGACGCTGGTGTTTTTGTGGGGCGAAATGAATTTCAAGGAGTCAATCAGGCCGCTTTGCTCCGGGAATGTGCCTTTGAATTCATCCAATCCATCTATGAAGAAAGCAATATTGTGTGTGTGTTATGGCTGCCAAACAGCTAGGAGAGCAAGGTGTTGTCTTCCTACTCGCGCCCTCCATCCCTGGATGGCTCTCAAAGTGATCAAGTCGATATCAATAGGCCAGTCAATTCCGTCTCCAATGCCCCGATATCATTCTTGCGTATCCCCTGACTTGGCCAGTTTGATCGTGTGATTCTGCACGTGGCGGCAATGAATTGGTTAAATGCCTGAATCAGTTCTGCATCGTTCCGTGAAATCACGTCCGGAAAGTCGATCAGCAACGACTTCCACATCCACGGTGAGAGTCTGGGTAAGATGGATGGCTCTTGTTCCACGAGGTCGTAAAGAAGCGATTTGATCAACCTTGAAAGGACTTCTGCAGCTCCGTACCTGCGAGTCAGAAGAAACCGTTCGCAACAAGGGAAGGATTCGAACATGACCAAACTTTGAGCGATCTTTTCGTTCGAAGCTCCTGGAGGAGGAAACGCATAAGTGTAGATCTCCCCAAGCTTGGTTTACCGGCCACCTGGTAGACGCCTCTCTTTGCACTGTGGCTTTCAATCCACTCCACCAAATTGGTGAAAGGGAGCTGGCCTTTACTGAGAAACATTGAACATCCAACCAAGACTTTGCATCCGCCGGTGAACACTGTATCGCCTGTCACGATTTCGCGGGATATACAGCTTGCTGATAATGTATTGGTCGATTCGTTCCACTCTACCGGCCTCAAGGACTCGGGAAAAATCTATAACACGGTCAATACGTCATCTTGATGTCCTACCTGTCAGTTCTGCCAATCCTCACCCAATGGAAACTATGGGGTGCGATGTTTTCTGTGAATGCTCAGAGCGTTTGACAAAGACGGAAAACTGGTTCTGTCGTTCATCATTCGATACTCGAACAGCTTCACCAAATACGAGCTTCATTGACTGGATACTCCTTCAGGAGTACGTCTTGATACTGTAGCGTGCCTGATGATTACTGGCGTTGGTAAGATCATGTCATTCCTGGACTAGGAAAAATCCGATCTCACCTCATGACTACAAGTAGATGTAAAACCCATAGTTCCCGCTGCTGTTTCAACCTTCGCTGTATCGTTTCCAGACCGTTCTTGTTTCATATCGCCTTGGAGGTTTGACCGCAGCTTTTCCATACCTTCTACTCAGGCGACACCAGAAGACGAATCAAAACAGTCCGAACCTCCTGCGCAATTTACCCACATTCGAGAGATACTTGCTCGAGAGCTGTTTCGTCCGGTTGACGCCGTCTTCCGCGAGGAGACAAGGTTTAGGGGGGTTTGAAGGCCATCGCTTAGCTGCGCTAGACGATCAGAGATCGCGCTGAGTTCTTGCTGTTCGATAAGGGCATTGCAAGAGCCCTCGTATAGCTCGGTAGCCTTTGAGACTCATTTCGTACAAAAGTCGACAAACTGAAACACGCTTGCAGCTACCCCCCCTGGGCGCTGACAGGATCAAGAACCATTTGAACGAGCGCAAGTGATGGACTGTTTAGTCCTGCATGTGAGAACGAATAGGTTGAACATGTGTGAGGCTACAAGGCTGAACTCGAAACCCGATGTGTTACCGGTGGTATAAGCAGTGAGGTACGACGCTATGAGGCCAGGCCGATCTCGCAGTGCAGTGTCATGGTCTGCAAAGTCGTGCTGGCAGCCATCACGACGCAGTGAAAGCATGGTGATATAGGCTAAAACAACATGTTGTGTGTGGTACCGAGTAGATATCTCGAGTATTGAGATACGGGGGGAGTAGAGGGGCAGCCGGCTCGGCTCGGAGAAATTGTTTCTCCCGGTCTGGGCGTGAAATTGGAGTTTTAGCAAGCCCTTCAGATTCAAGTTCAAATTTAAACTTTCTCCCTCACTCATCATCATCCACAAATACTAGATATGTCGGCTTCGCTTGCTTCTGAATGTAATGAAGTCAAAGAGTATGTGTGGTTCTCTCTTCTTCGCTCAGATAGCTAACCGCTTGCAGGAAATATGATACATGCTTTCTCAAATGGTATTCTGAGAGTAAGATTGCTTGACTCCGTGCTCATCTGCCTGGCACAAACTCAAACGATTCCGCAGAATACATTCGGGGCAATTCGTCCACTGACGAATGCGAACCGTTGTTTAAACAATATAAGACTTGCTTAACGGTATGGGCCTGAAAACGGCCAGCACGAATCGGCTAACCCTGGTGCAGAAGGCCCTCAAGGAGAAAGGCATTGACAAGATGCTGTCAGACGTCCGAGAGGGCACCGTCGAGACTGATGCAGAGTATCTGCGACGATGAAAAAAAAAAAAAAAACCCCCGGTTCGATGGATCCTACTTCAGCAACCTCCATGCAAGTTCGAGGAAGGGGGGAATTCCTTCACCACAAAGGCGAAGATGATTCATACCCAGCCATGAGCATCGAAAATCTTTGACCAAGACTCAATAGGGCAGACCCGAGTCTGCATTACCTTTGTACAACAAGATCGCTCCTCAAAACCCACTTCTCGCCACTCTTAACCTCCTTGCCTTCGTGGAGCAAACAATCATCGCCGTGCTTGTGCAGCAGCGCCATTCCAGTCTCCAGTCCAACCACGATGGGTTCCGGTGTCATCTGACCCTTCTTGAAAGCCTCAGGGTAGAAAGCAGTCTCGCCACCTTCGCAGTTTGTAAGATAGATCAGAAGCGTCCAGGTTGTTTTGGCAGGCAACTTGTCCTCGCCAAATTGTAATTTATTACTTTCATCATAGTGCTTGTCGAAGAATTGGCCCGGTCGATACCGGTACACTCTGATATTTGGGTTTAATCCCAGTACTTGGCCCTCAAAGATCCCTCTGCCTTCAAACGACTCAACCAGGTGCTGAAGCCCGCTTCGCTCCCAGAGCATTTGGGCAAAAAGGGCGTCTTGGACCTGGAAACGATCATTGACTCGGATGGCCTCTCCGCGTTTCGGCTTCCCTGGTGTCGTGGTTAAGGGTAAGGAGGACAGAAAAGATACATAGTTCTTGCATAGGCTCGAGGTGAATAGATTCCGAATCACCAGAATTTGCCCCGCCACCAGCGTCTCGATAGAGAGGTGCTCTGCTGGGACTAGCGGATTCAGAGGTGGCCAGTCTGGTGTTGGAGGGTTCTTTGGTCTATGGCTGTCGCCTATCGACTGGACAAGCTTTTGCTTCCCTCGAGGGGCCATGTTGGAATGGTACCAGGCGGTCGGGCAAATAGGAATTGCGGATTTTCTGCACCTTGCAGGAAATACGTAGCTGGTACCAGTAACAAGTGACTCATGGGGGTAATTAGTGTGCAGAACAAGGGCTCTGATGTTTGCAGCCAGCGGATTCAGCATGTGGCGTTTGTCGGCCCGAGTCATAGAAAGCCCTGTGATTGGTTCCTACTTGACTTCAGCGAGTTTTTCGTCTTGGCTGCGCTCGCCGCCTTTCTCGACTTTCATTCATTTCTGGTACGATCCTCAAGGCTTCGCGCGCCGTCGACCAGTCGCCCTACCGCGTCTTCCTCCTTCGCAGACCTCGCTATGTCGTCGCAGGCAATTGCGACGTCCACAAGAGGTCTGCGGGATTTTCATTCTCCAATCGACGTGCACAACTTTTCAGATTCACCATGGTCCGACCACTCGAATTCTCACAACACTGCCTCGAAACCCGAGGATGAATTAAACCAAAACGGCGAAACGCAATCTCCCACCGCTACCCAGCCATCTTGGAATGAAATGGATGCGCAACAACGGAACAGAGCTGTTGGTAACCTGCTCGCAGCTTTGGTGCCCGTCAGTCCCACCCAGACCACAACAGCAGCTGCACAGACAGACCTCGCACCTGTTGCAAACAAGAGTGATGACACGTTCAAACCAAGAGACAACCATCTCAGTACTACCCCTGCGGAGACAACAGAGTCGACCAACGACAATGTCAACCCAACTTTAAACACCTCACATCCTCCTCTTCCACCACTCAGTAACGACGGACTTATGGATGAACACGGTCCTCCGCCGTTCCCTCCTCCCCTCCCTCTAGATTCACTTGAGCGGCTTCAGACCGAAGTGCCTGCGACAGAATCCTTCACGATGCCCTCCCAGATGGAGTTACAGCCTCCAATTGCATCCCAAGGTCTAGTCCGAGAACGGCGAGAAGTCGAAGCTTTCGCAAAGATTGAGTTCGAGGATGGGAACTATTATATCACCACATATGCATGTGAACTGGGTCGAGATGCTTTTGCGTACAGAGCTGCACTGGTTAAGGCCGAAGAAGAAAGGCTGGCTGGAAAAGGCCGTGCTCAAAGCTCCAGTGGCAGACGGTCCGGTTTGTCTGAGGGTATCTCAAGACCTGGTGACAGCCAAGTGCAAGGAAGCGTGGTTAGTGAGGCCGGAGGCTTTGGTGGTGTCGACGATGGTCCAATTCTAGAAGAGGGTGATCAAGGCGACGCTCATCCGATTCATTCCCATTCATCCGAGAGATCTGCTGGTAGTGTGGTGAAACCCCAAGAAGTGCTGATCAACCCCCCGCTTATTCCATTCGATTACCACAAAATGAGCGAACGGCAGGCACAGCTGGAGCAGGACCTCGATGCGGACCAAGATAACGAGCTACCAGCGCCGGTCACCGCAGACCATATTCCTGATGCCAACAATTGCCCCCTTATACCCATCCATGCGATGCGAAATTTCCAGAAATCAGAACTGGAGAATCATAGGAGTATTTCCCGCCGACACGTCAAGATTCAGTGGGATTTTGACAAGGAATGTTTTATCATGATAGTCTTGGGCCGGAATGGTGCTTTCTTGGATGATCAGTATCTCCAACGAGGTTCAGCAAAGCGTCTTCGTGACGGCTCCAAGATCCAAATCTCGAATGTCTGGATGACTTTTCGACTGCCAAATCGAAAGACCGAATTATCAAGTGACGATTCGGAGCGCGAAGAAGGAGGTCGGAGTCCTCCCCCGCAGCGTAGCACCTCGCCCACTTCCAACGAACCCACCGGGAGTATTTCTCCCTCGCGAAATGGGAAGAACCAAACGAAAGTCGTCTTGACAACGGGTCAGAAAGCATCGCTAGCGGCTTCAGATCCTTTGATTGGACCCGATGGTCAACCCTTGCCTCCAAGAAAGCGTGGACCTGGAAGACCTCCCAAGGACGGAATCATGTCTACCCGAGAGAGGAGGGAGAGGGAGAAAGCTCAAAAGTTGGCGGATGCAAAAGCTGCGAATGGCGGAAAGACGCCACCGCCCTCAATGAAAGGGAAAATGGCTAAGCCGACTCCCAAAGAAGAAGTTATCAAGGCCGATCCAAAACCGGAGAAGAGAAAGTACAAAAAAAGGAAGCGATCTGGAGAGGATGGCGACATTCTGCAATCTATTGAGGGTGGTGAAATCGACCTTCCCAGCGAACCGGAAAAGCCGCCAACAAAGAAAGCAAGACAATCAAAATCGCCTACTCCAGAATATCCTGCTCTGGAAAGTTTGACCGAAGAGCAGCTCGCCAGGCCGTCCGAGCCATATGCTCGTTTGATATACGACATTCTAACGGACATTTATCCCAAAGCTCTCCCGTTGAGGCAAATTTACAGAGCGTTGAAGCTCAAATTTCCATTTTTCGTGTACAGGGTCGACTCTGAAGGCTGGCAAAGTAGTGTCCGGCATAATTTGAACCAAGAGTGGAACAAGTTGTTCGAAAAGGGAGAGAAGGAGGGCAAAGGGTTTGCCTGGAAAGCAATCCCTGGTGCTCTGCAACCACAAGCAGAAAGGAGACGAGCTGCTCAACAAGCAGCAGCAGCTAAACCCAAACCAACTTCCACACCACGTCAACATCCTCCACAAGGGCCTCCTCCTTTGAACTGGCAGAATAGCACTCCTTATGCTCAGCAACATGGTATGCCCCCTAGAGGGCCTCCTCCACCTTTCTTCGTGCAAGGCCCAAATGGTCAAATGCCACCACCACCAAATGGTATACCATGGCCTCTCCCTCCCCCCCCTCCTCCTGCTGGTGGGATGCCAACATCGACCGCACCAAATACAGATGGAAGTGTGCCCGCCATATTACCGCCTGGTCAACATCCCCCGTTCTATCCTCCTCCCCAAGCAGGTCATCCATCATTTACCCCACAACGGTCACCATCACAGTCCGGTCCTGATCAAGCAACGCCTCCAGCACATCAAGGGCCTCCTCGATCTTCTCCGTCAGCGTCTACACCGGTCCCGCCTTCCTCCATTCCCACCAGTTCTTCCGCATCTCGAAATATGCCGTGCACGACAGATGGTCTGATCGCCATCAGAAGATTTGAGAACGCCATGTATCAGCAAGTAGGCGACCCGACGAAAATTGAATATTGGCAAAGAATATTTGCCTCGGTCAAACGTCGATTACTACATGGTGCTCCTCATTCTTTGTTGCCAGAGGGCGAAACGAAAGAGGAGCTTACAATCATGGAGCATGTCCGACGATTTATCGAACGCTTCAAGAACCCTAATTTCGTCGGGTTTTCTCTCGAGCAGCCAAGGGGGACTAGTTCACCAGCTCCGGTCAACATGGCCAATGCCGGCGAAAAACCTAGCTCCTCACAACCAGTGATAGCGCCCGTCCCTGCAGAGACTGGGGCTTCAATAACTGCTGAGGGTGCTCCAAAGAGCGACACCCAGCCGAATGAGAATGAATCGTCAGCAGAGGATAAGGGAAAACCTAAGGAGCAGCCCACGAATTTAGATGAACCAACGGCTTAGTGGGTGAAAGGAATTATTTCTCACACGTTTCTGAACGTCAATTGTTCATCTGCCTGCCGTGTCCTGGCATAAGGATGTTCCTCAAGGAAACACCAGCCGGTCGCTCTACAAGATTGCTCTATCACTCGGCAAATTCCGTTCCTTTCGAACCCTTTATGATAACAAGGCTGAATGAAACCCTCGGCGTTCGCAATTTTTATCTTTCTCAGTCCTGGACATGGTCATCTTTTTACAATGACATATGAATGGAGTACTTCAAAGGTATTGATGTCTCTCTCGACGACCGAGACTTCAAAGAGAATCCAAACAAATGGGACAAGTATGCTGGCGTTGAAGTATGGCTATTCGTGTGGCTCTCACGATGGAATGAGCCGACCAAAAACAAAGGTGACCGACACCATGGGCAATAAAAACGATGAAAATTCTTCACGATTAGTATTTACATCAGAGCGACACCGTGTTGCGATGGACGTGTGACGTGCTGCCTGAAGTGACTGGGTTCAGGTGCTTAGAAAAAGTGGTCATTCCCAGATAATATAGATGAGGCTGAAACTGAAACTGAGTTGCAATAGACTGCCAGGGTTATTGGGACGGCTCTAACCTAACGATGAACTGTAAAATGATGGTTTCCAGTTCTGATCGCTCGATTTCTTTGATTGTCGACTTTTGTCCACAATTCGTTAGCGTGATGATACCCGTCACCAATTCCGCGATTAGAGTTTCCTCCGTTCCCCCCAAAAATTTACTCATGACTACGGATTGTTCGTGCTGGCATGCCATTGCCCGCCAAAGTCCCGCAGACCCTCGATGTCCCCGGTGCTAGTACCATGGTGTTCGAGTTGTGCCCTCCCTCCTCGCCTGTAGCTGGTTGACGATCAGCTTCGCGACATTCATCCCCGCGAGCGCACTGGTTTCCATCGTCGAAATGAATGATTCCATGCCCGAGAGGTACCATAGTCCCTCATGCTGGCTATCAGAAGAGGATGTGGAGGACAGAGCGGTGGTTGTGTGCAGCGTGAAATTCTCAAAAGTCGTAATGGGCGCTTCGTAGGGGTAGCTATGCCAGTGTTTCTCGTATAGCCAGGTTACTTCAGATTTAGGGAGGGATGAGAGTGGATCGTTGTTTGGGCTTGAGTCCGAGTCGGACGGAATGTATGGGAATCCGAGCAATGAGGAGAGGAATTTCCCTGTGAGAGGTGCGGGCGAGAAGATCTTGTACAGGTATTGGGCGTGGGAGTCATCGCTGATTGAGGCTTTGGTACCGTTGGAGTTGGGGGCATGGTGGGAAGTAATTGGGCCAGAAAAGGTACCGTCTGTCTCTGGGTGGAGAACGCGCAGTGTGCTGATTGACCAGAATCCGGCTGGGCCGACGGCGTCTACGCCGCGTCTGGAAGCTAGCTCGTCGCTCAGATCCTCGGTCAGTGTTGTGAGGACGGCAGAAGGTACATCTGCTTGGGATTGTAAGCCGAAGAAGGACGGGGACAGGCGATGAGGTGAGGTGAAGAGGGTCACGTAAAGCGAGACGTAGGGGATTTCGGCAGGCGGCCGAGCCAGTGGTGGTGTGAATGTTATGTTTGCGAATTGATACGGCGCCGCGAGGACGATAGTGTCGTATCCCTCCGTGTCGGTTCGATTGTTGATTTCTGAGTGAGCAGTTTGCAACTGAAAAGTGCCCCGGTCTGCATCCTTGATCACGTCCGTCACAGTGGTGTTCAACAGGAGGCGAGTCGCGGAGCTTTTCACCATCCTGTCGAAAATCTGCCAGTTCCCGCCATCCACGGCCATGGCGCCTTCAATGGCCATGCATACCAAAGTCTCCAGTCCATGGATACCTCCTAGATTGGAGGCATAATTGACTCTTGTGCTAGCCTGGATGAGCTCCCTGGAGAATAATTCACTTATGCCCGCCTCTTGTAAGGTCTGCTTGCCGGGCACAGCAGTATATTCATCTAGCCCCGAGCTGTCGACGGCGGATTGCAAGGACGGGAAGGGAAATAGTGGATCATTGTAGAAGGTCAGAAATTTCCCAATAGCAGCTTTAGTGGCCCTTTGGGTTCTGATAGGACTCCACCCGTATTTCCACAGCAGTTTTGCAATATCCCACCACTCCCGCCAGGAGCTGTTGTTATCGTCTGTAGCGGTCTTGAAGACAAAATCTGTCCCGTCCCATATTCCAAGCTTGTAGTTCGAGTTTGGGCCGGACTCGTAGATTTTGATGGAAGGAGTCAGGTTGAGGTCTCGAGTTGCATTGTAAAGGATGTGGTTGATCTTGACGAAGATACTGGCGCCAATTTCGGTCGGATACCGTGGGTCATCGAGGGCATTCACCGTTGTCGTTCGTCCGCCGATTCGAGAGTTCGAGTCGACGACAGTAATCTCGAAAGGGATGTCCACGGAGGCAGATCGAGAGAATTGGTTCAAGTAATAGGATGCAGCAGAACCCCCAGGCCCAGCACCGATGACGGCTATGCGGTGAGGTTTTGATTGAGAGGCGGGTGCATTGCGGAGGGGAGCTTGAATTGCGTCGGCCGCTGCGATTGAGAGGAATTGACTGAGGAAGACGGTCCACCTGAGAATTATACCATGGAACATGTTGAATCGATTGCCTAGAAGGCAATAGGGGTTATTCAAACTACATCATTGGGTAGATGCTCAGGCCACGGCGTGTGGTACACGACTTGTAAGCGAAGATGTGATAGAACTAACCACTCTTGAAGGAAATGTTTGTCATGTTTGCACCTCAGTTTCAGCCTTGCCCTTTTGACGCTTGGGTGGCATGATTGAGAAAGGGACCGAGTAACTCGTCTTCGGTTGGTTTTCTCCCCTATGTATTGATCTTTGTCTCTTTGTTAACTATATTCTCGTCGTAAGTTCATCTAAATGGAAAGGCACCCACTGAACTGTTGAAAATCTCAGTCTTGGCTTCACGATATGGAAAGGCGTTGGGGCTCTCGAGCTCCAAGCTCCTGGGGACGAAATAGACAACCCAGAGATCCAGGTTTTGACTCCGGTCTGATCAGGATACCAGCTGTCGGGGACCTCGCCAATCCAAACATTCCCACCACCGTCCTCATAACAAGCCTTTGGAGTGCTTCTCCTGGCACAGCTTCGCGAAAGTCTCAAGATTGTGCTGATCGCCTCCATTCCTAAACCCCGGCATAAGAGCCAGCCACTGGTACACACTCTTCCTCACTTCCTTCGGCATCCGGGGTGGTTCCTTGAGGACCTCCTCAAAGGCGTCAACGACCTTCTGCGCCACATTCTCGAGCATGTATTCGCCAGCGGATCCTTCTTGCCCCTCATTCATCGCCTTGGACAGACTCATCTTATACCCCACCATAGCGTTGATCGTCACACCGACCGTCCTCGGCCAACACGAGGTCATCAAGTTCCACGGATCGCCTGATCCACCTTGGTCGCCGGCCCCGCGAAAGTCCGTCCGCAAGATAACGGTGGGAATGTCTGCCATCTTGGCCACCATGTACTCAACGACAGTACCGGCATCGAGCTCTGCGCCGTCGTATGTGAACATGGCCATATCGCATGAGAGCAAGGCGCGAAGATCTTCATCTCTAATGGAATGTGGACTGAGATCTCTTTGTTCTAGATCTTGCGGCAAGATAGCGATGAGTTTCCCGGAAGAGTGTTTTTCGATGGCCTTGGACAAAAGAACGTTGTTGTGGAGCTCCGCGAGCGTAAATAATGGTCCGGCATGGTAGTAGGTGTATGATTTTGGCGGATGGGATATTTCTCGTTGAGATGGATCGATTGAAGTATGCGTGTGGAGAACGGAGGCCGTTCCGGCGGTTTCTGACATATTCACGGATCTGGTTGGATGGTAGATGTGAGATTAGAGACGAGCAGAATCGGCGAGGCGAAGTATAAAGAAATACTGGGGGTACTCCATGAAACTCATGAATTGAACCAATGGGTCATCGGCTTGGCATGGGAGGCGGAGAACAAGTGCAATCCCTCTGCCTTCAGTACTCAAGCTCCCCGTTTCGATATTATCGACGGACTCAACTCGATTACCCCCCGCCAAAACGGCGTCGCGCACCACCAGGGGCAATTCTATTCGAATACAGAAATTGGTGTTCTGGGCAGCAGCTATTGTCCTGTAGCATGCTGGCCAGAAGGGAGAAGAGAAAGAAGAGAGCTGGAGTTCAAAATGGCCTTGAACGCTATGAAGGGATCCTGCATTCATCGACGACCAAAAACTCATGTTTAAGTGGTACTCGGCGTGCCGCTTCCACGGCGCTGTCGGCTTTTTTCCACATTGGGAGTGCTCGAACTGAGACTGTTGGGGGGAATCGTGACCCATGGTGACACCTGTTCCTATTTTAAATCCTCACCGGTCGTCTAGTAGCATTGTCTCTAAATCCGACCATCGCGCCCCTTCCGTTACATCCTGCGCCCTCTCATATACCGGCAGCTCGCCTGTGCCCCTCGTTCTTCCCGTAAACCTCCCTGACTGTATGGTTACCATAAGATCGAACAGCTCCATCTTCGGGGCGTAGCTGCTTGAGAATTTGTGGGTGATCGCGAATCATCCGATCCTGGAAGTCGAGCGCTTCTTGCTCTAGTCCATCGGCCTCATCCAGTAATTCTGCCTGCCTTTTGTCTCTCAGGATGCAGGAAAGGACGTATTTTCCGCGTGCGTGGTGTTCAAGGGACCAAGAGGACTTTGCAGCGGCTGATAGACACTTGCGGAGCATCAATCTGACAGTAAGAACAGAGTTAGCATACTCTCTGTGCTCGAGTGTCATACTCGACTACGGGTGCACTCACTCTGCCTCGTCCAGGTTTCCATATTCCCAATGCATGGCTCCTGTACTATAGTAGCTGTCTATAGTGAAATGATGAGACTCGCCAAAAGCAGTAAGCCGGCTGCTAAGGACTTGGAGACTCGCGTCGATGGCTTCGACGTGGTGGCCCATATTGAAGAGAACATGAGAAGTGTGAAAATGATATAACAAGGTCCAGCCACTCTGGCTGCCTGCTGCTCGTTCACATAGCTCGGCGCCATGACGGGAGTATTCCAGTACCTCTTCATACCGCCCTTGCCAGCACCGTACCCATGTCATATTTTCATAGTATTTACTATGTTCATATGGTAACTCTGTTTCATCAGGATCCCACCTTTGGTATTGTTTCAAAGCGTTCTCCAGTATCAGCTCGGCCTTGTCGAATTCCTCGCGCTCGAGGTAGCCGCATGCTACATCTGTCCAGCCAGTCCACAGCACGATTTCCATATCCTTTGTACGCCTTTCCGGTGGCATGGAGTTGAAAAAGTGCCGTCGTACCAGGAGGGAACGACGGTAGTGTTCCATCATCGAGTCGCGAGCACTGATGCCGATCCATTCGTCGACAACGCCAAGGTCAGCCTCGACGTCGGTGCGAATACGCCCGTCAAGGTCGTAGCCAACAGCGTTTAGAATGTCGTCAACGCTTTGCATAGTCGCACGACAGTTTGTCCAATCTCCTGTCTGGAAAAGGAATGTGCCGATATCTCTCAGAAGAGTTGCAAACTCTATTGTCTGGTTCAGTGGAGGGGGGGGGTTCATGTCCATGTTGGTGCAAACTAAGCACTTGTGGCACCATTGTTTCGTAAAAAGGGTACATGGATGCGCGAAGGGTAGACGGCGCTTCTGGGTCGTATGGAATGATCTGACGGATGAGAGTAAATGCTTGATGAAAGACTTTCGTGCGGTGAGGAGGGTTCTCGAGTAACCTGTGCAAAATGCTCCACTGGAGCGAGCGATGTAGAGAAAGAGTCCTTTCACCACTTGCACTCACTTCACGTTTAATCAAATGACGATGCCGTAGTTCCCTGACCATTTCGATGTACCTGAGGCAATTGAATTAACGATAGCAATATGGCTGTATTCGTTATCAGCTCACCTTTCGCTGTCACCAAGAAAGTCGAGGTCTGCGTTGTTTTGTCGCTTCCGAAAGATGCTCTCTGGCACGCTATCCGGATTGAGGAAGGCCAGAATGTTCAATAATGACGATGCGTCTGTGGAAAGCTCGCTGAGGGCCAAGCTGAACACAGTGGCAAGCGTCTTCTCGTATCCTCCAGCTGTTTCTTTGTTTCCTCGAGTCCAGATGCGAGATGAGCGCGTGAAATTCGCACGATACTCAGCCAATGAGCAAGCCGACGCTCTGATATAGCCACTAACGGTGACTAGAGCTAGAGGCAAGCCACCTACAAGTTCAGATATGGTAGCTGCAGCGGCTTTGTCCTGTTCGGTGGACGATGAGCCTCGAAGATGATTGAAGACCAGATCCGCGCCTTCGTGGCTTGATAAAGACTCGAGTGGCAATTCCACGAAAATCTTCGAAATAGGACTGAAGTCGGATTTTTGCGTAGTAATGAGCACGGATCCTCTGCTTTGTGAATTCTTCGGCCAGTAATGTGCCAAGCTGTGAATACTCTCGACATTGTCGAAGACCAGGAGCCACTTCCGGTCTTAGCATGCAGAAACAGTCGGATTATTTACTACTGAGGCGACTTACCAGTCCGCTCTAGCCAGTTTCTTGCCATCTCTACAGATCTGCCCGCATCTAAGCCACCATCGGCTCCAGGTAGGTCTAATTTCCTGGCTATCGCGGCATACGTGGTGATCAGGCTGTGGTCCGTCTCGGCTCGAACCCAGAATGTGGCGTCAAAATCATTGCTATGCGTAAATGCATATTGCAAAGCAGTTTGTGTCTTACCCACGCCGCCAATCCCATGCAGCAGCACACAAGCAGGATCAGAGCGGTCCACGATAATCTGAGAATTGAAGACCTCGTGTATCTGGTCTAGGACATCCGTGCGCCCGGTGAATGCATAGTTTTGGAAGTCGACAATAGTTGTAATGGGAAATGCGACTCTTTCAGCGGTGCTGTTCCACGAAGTAGAAGGGGTAAGCATAGACGCAGGAGGTGTGAGAACTTGTGGCGACATGGCCAGCCTTCGTGAAAGGTCTAGTTGTTCTGCTCTCTGAGCTTGCCTGTGTGCAAGCTCGACTTCTTGTTCGAATTGCAAGGCAGACTTACTCATGCTCACCTTGATGCGGTCAAGGCTTGAGAGCAGGGACGACGAGCCGAGAAATCGGAAGAAGTTCGCTAGATTTTTCGTTGTATAGGTATCTCTTTGCTGGCAGAGCAGAGAACCGACTTACCGAATGGCTTGCGTCTCAGGTGCTTAACAGCAACAATGCAAAAGTCCATGTAATCCAGACACAGATCTCGCAGCGGATACTGCAATTGGGGTCGACCGGGAAACATGGCCAGATAGTTGTCGAAGAGGGGCAAGCAATTGTTTACCTCTTCTATTATATCTGCTATCATTGCAATGGCGTCTTTGAATCGGCATCCACACTGGGCAGATCAGCACTGCTGGTGCAGTCCAACATCAGCTAATACAACGTCTGGATACCTTAATAATGAGCTGCATGCCGCCCCGCAGAAGACAAGCTACGGACTCTGCTTGTGTAGCAGAGGATAAAGCATTCGTAAAGCTTTGAACATGGAGAAAGCTCGGTTCTAGCCTTGTGATGAAGCGTGTAACACAACGGTAGGTCTCCGAGCTCAGCTCTTAGAACGAGGTGGTGCACGCTGGCTTCTCACAACCATAGCATGCGGAGCGCTGACAGCATGAGACAGATATCAGTTCAGCAGGCGCCTTGAAGCGGGTCCACGAGCATTCGGGCCCAGAAGCGGAGAAACTCCTGAAGGGCCGTGTCCGCGTCGTTAAGTAAGTAGCGTGTTTGAAACGCAGTGAGACCCCAGGGCGCCGCAACATCAACCGAGCACGACACAGAGTGTGGTTTCCACTGGGTGGCTGAAGCGCGCTGAAGTGTTGAACACTGTAGCTGACCCAGCCATACATAGCACCTGGCGCCCGATATCTCACCCGGTCGAGGACTGGCCGCTCTGTCTTGGCGATGGAAGCACTGTTCCTGCTGAGTTTCTGGTAGAGTGCGACCACGTCCTATCGTCAAGACAAAGCAGCATGCAATACCTTCTTCCACCACCCAAGCCAGTCGGATCTGTTGTTCGAAACGGAGTCTCTGAAGAGCAGAGGCAGTACAAGTGGTACTATCTCAACCGCCAGACACCAAATGAAGTCACCTTCATCAAAACCTTCGATTCTGACGACACAGTAGAAGCGAAAGGCAAGTGGGCGTCTTTTACTTGCCTAGTTCTTCAAATGTTCCACCCAAACCTTGATCTATAAAATCTAACTCTTCAATTACAGCGTGTTTACACGCGTCATTCCGGCATATGCATGTTCGAGAAGGAGCACCACCCAGGGAGAGCATCGAGGTTCGAGCGCTAGTGTGGACCTATAGCACCACGGATGAAGGGCAATGAACAATTCCAACTATTATGTTACCCAAGTTTCCGTTGCTGATATATGACATATCACTCTTGAGACCGTACTGGCCAGCACCACATCGAAGCGAGAAGCCGCTCGAGAGATACCAAGCAGAGTAGAAGACGTTACTTTGCATAGAGGAATATCACTACCAGTAAAAGCAAGTCGGAAGTCCATAGTTATGGCCAAGACGCCAAGGACGGCGCCTATAAAACGGCCACGATTGTTCATAGACGACCCCCAGGCTTGGCGCATATGCGTAGTCTGTTCTGTTTCTCAATGTAAAGTCGGTTCTACACACGATGCTAGTGCGTCAAGCGATGGACAACCCACTTGACTAGTGATCTCAGGACGTCTGCTGTGGTAGGACGCCTGTCCCACATAATCTGGGCCATGACTGATGTCCTGCGGCAGTTTCCTAGCTGAGCGGGCATTCTGAGACATTCGAGCTGGGGACATATTCACATCTAGGATTACGCTCCCAGCACGTTCAGCCCCCTGGGACATCCACTCCCAGAAATGATGCCCCAGCTAACCGACCGTAACAGGACGTCGATCCTGCGGTGCTGCCGTTGCCCGGGAGGAGATAACCTAGTCCACGCTGGACGGACCAACAGGTAAACGGAAGTCAAACGAAAAAACTATATAAACCGTTCCAGTATTACAGCAATCCTTCTTTGCCTTATTCTACGAGGGCTGATAATCGAGTTCAAAGAATTGGACTTCATCCGCCAAGGGGTTTCGCACTTTTCGCAGCTTATCCCGGACATGATCGGCAGCAGAAACTGTCGAAATCATCAGTACGGTCACAGGACTAAGGGATAGATTAACGGATCGGCAACAAGCATCTTACAGCCTCTCCTAGTCGTGCTGTCGTCCTCGATTTAGTCCGGTTCGACGACTCTCTGAGTGTTCCAGTCCAATTTTTGCACCTCGTTGCGGATGGTTTCCGACATTGTGCCGTGATTGATGTCATTCAGAAGGCGGAACTTCCGATAAAAGAGTAGCCTTTAGGCGAAATATCCAACCACGTGTGTTCCGGGGTCATTCAAGACTGGATTCTGATTTCTTGAATGTCCTGAAAGACCCAAGAGGAAGATTTTGACCGAGGATAAGTTAGGAGACACAGCCTTAAATCCATGCCATTGACCAGCCCTTCCATGAATAAGACTCACTGCGTCTAACTCCTTGTTCGGTGATCTAGTGGAGTTCGGCCAAACGAAATTGACATGCTCTTCCCCTTTCCCCTCCGTTTCCTGGAGCTCGGAGATACAGCCGAATTCGAGTCTCCTCTTATCGTCCCGCGCACTCTGGACAATTTAACTGCTTATCTCTCTAGAGACGAATCCATTCGAAGTTCCAGCTCTCTGGATGTAATCTCATATTCCCACCAAAGAAGATCAAGATCGAGCGACTTCGACGAAAGGCTTATTGCCGTCGTCAAGTATACTTTGCCGTGGCCGTATCAGCAAGTATGTCGCACCTCCACCTCTCTCTTTCTTCGATGTGTGACAACTACATCTGCAGGAAGGATCTACCAGGGAGCAGTGCGGACTCTCTTTCTCATCCTAAACCCGTCCCAAGTCCAGTCGCTCTGTCGTCATCTCGACTGCGCGCTTTGACTTCTTGCGAGGCAGAATTCGAGCTTGACGACCACTCCCCAGCCAGTCATCATGACCGTGCCTTGTCGTTCCTCACATTTCACGCCGCAAACAGGTCGCCGGGGGGTCCGAGGTCGTGCGTCTTCGCCATCCCACTCTCTCACTCGTCTGCAAACGAGGCGGTGAGGCACTTCTTACCATTGGATCGAAGGTCCTGTTCAGATGCTAACGCGTCCGTCTCGAATCATAGATATTCCGGCTCGTGGATACCAATACCGGTCCAAGTTAACATTGAAGAGTTAGAATCTCTCACGCAAGAGAAGAGTCCGAAGGTCCACGTTCGAGATGTCTGTCCGATGCGAGCGAAATGGTGAATGTTATGTCCATGGTGTCATGGATGGGGGACGTATTTCGCATTCGAGACCGCTAGGGCCCACCATCTACTGAGTTCGAGCTCATATAAGAGAAAGTGCACACATTGGACATCATGGGCATCCGGAAACAGAAGGTTTGAGTATTAGACACGGACCTGGATTCAGAAGCGCCATCCACTTTCATGGGAGGGCAGGCAAGACATTGACAAACAGACAGAAAACCACTTCCGTATTTCTCCAGACTGGCGACAAAGCCAAGCAGCCTTCCGCCACCACTGGTGAAATTTCGTACCGTGTCCAATCTTTTTGCTGTTCGTTGTATGAAGTTTTGAGAAATATTTGTGTGCTGCACCAGGTAGCCTTGACCAACACTACTCCCGCACGGCGTGAATAGCTGCCATGACATCCAATACAGCAAGTTGACTGTGACTGGTAGGCAAGTCCATGGGGCCATCCCACCATGGACCATATTGACCCTGGCCATTGGTATCACGCTCCTGTAAGCTTTGGAACTGCCATTCGATGAACTTAGCAATTTGAGTCTGTAGCTCCAGATCGGCTTCGTCTCGTTGTATGGTTTTATACAGCTTGGCCAGACCGCGTACAAGGACCGCTTTGAAGCCGACCCCATCACTATTTTCCCAAGCTTGTTTTCGCCCATCACCAGTTCCAGGATATGCATCAGGCTCCGTCAGCGTCCCGTTGTCGTCGACCCAACCGGGCCGGGTCATGGCCCGACGCGCCATGTTACATGCAAGATCCAGGTACACGCGGCCATTGGATGATTGAGACTGATCAGTGTTGTTCTGATTCATCACATCGTAGACGGCGATGGAGGCAGCAATGGCCTGACCGGTGTTGTATGTGAAGGTCCAATCAGTCTTTTGGCCTGTATCGAGGTCGATGTGGTCCAAGACTAGATATTGATCGGGAACAAATCGGCATCTGAGTATCCAGGAAAGACTGCCGATGGCAAAGTCGAGGTGTTTCTGTCGGGATGCCGCATCTTCATGTAGACAGGCCAATCGAGCCGACAACTCCGAGAACAGGCCCGCGGTAATGGCATTCAATTGAGTCTCGTTCGGCTTGCTGGTCCACATGACACCGCCTTCCATGTCATTGTCGTCAATGATATATCTCCGAGGAGGGACGACGTAGTCACGGACATGTGTCCAGATGCTCCGTGCCACCCGGAGATGGTTGGGGTCTTGGGCGAGATTATACGTCTCTAACATACACATGGCCCACCACATGGAGTCGTCATTGAACTCGTTGATGTAGTTCTTCTGACCGTCTTCGACCTTTGAGAGAAGGTCGTGTAAGATCTCGACATTGCCGGTCGTGTGGGACCAGGAATCGTGTAAGGCTATCGCCGTGTAGCCATTGGCAGTCTGCCAGTAGGAGATTCCGGCAATTTGGCCATTGTCTTGTTTCGAGGCCAAGAAGATGCCGATGGCCTGTTGGGTTATTGCGAGTGGAGAATCACCTAGAAGAGAGAGATTCATGGTTAGTCTTGTCGGATGAGTCGAGCTAACGGAGAAAACGGTTCCTTGATTCATCTGAGTTGGAGCAGAGTTCAGACTTGGGGGGAGTCATGGTCGATCAAACGGGATGGTTTGACGGACTTATCGACTGTGGGCAAGGGAGTGATATGAACTCGTTGGTCTGAACGGGAGAATGGATTCCACTCGATTGTGAATCGAGGGCGGGTGCCTGAGGGATGACATCAGCGGACCCAATCTCCGCCGGTCGGAGAAGGGGGTGTTCACAAGCTCACGGGGTCGGGTCCCACTGTAACGTATACATTACTGGATCAGGAAATAGTGTTTCTGCGGTATCTCCTGCGCCTTACCTGTTTGAGAGCTTTCATCTGCCAAAACTCTGGTGATAACGGATTTGAATGATGGACCATACACTTCAATAGGCTCATGATGCAAAGACTCACAGAGGTGGAGATGGAGCTTGACAGGTTATATAAGCGTGCGACGAGCATCTTCGCCACCGACCTGTTCATCTCCCTCAGCGCAGCCTTGTCCTACAAACCTCAATACTGAAAACCAAACACCAACCCCAAACTCCACCATGACTTCCTCCATGTCCACGATCCTCATCTTCGGCGGCACCGGCGGCATAGGCGAATCTTTCGCGCGGGCCTTCCACCAAATGGGCAAAAAGGTCATCATCACCGGCCGCCGTGAAGGTCGCCTCGCGGCTATTGCCAAAGAGCTCCCCGGTCTCGAAACGTACACCATGGACAACAGCGACTTGGCTGCCCTCCCAAGCCACGTCGAGAACATCCTATCCAAATACCCCTCCATCGACACCGTCTGGGTCAACTCCGGCATCCAATACCAAGGCAATTTCGCCTCGTTGGATAACTTCACCGACGAAAAAATCGTCACCGAAATGAACACCAACCTGACCGCGCCCATTATCTTGGCCCGACACTTCATCCCACACCTCTTGTCGCTGAAAGACCGCGAGGGCAACTTCATGATCACCTCGTCCGGCATCGCATTTGTGCCCGCGGGCATGTTCCCCGTGTACACTCCCACCAAGGCGGGCGTACATGCTTTCCTCGTCGGACTCCGGCAGACGCTCAAGGATACAAACGTCAACATTATTGAGATTGCGCCGCCGTATGTGCGCACGGATCTTGATGCCGAGAATCGTCTCGATCAGGTCCACACTCCCATGGAGCTAGACGACTATACGAACCAGACGCTTGAAGCGCTTAAGAAGCCGGCCAAGGAGATCAAGGAGGTTGGCGTTGGATTTGCGGCGATGGGGATACAGACTTGGAGAACCGCTTTTGATCCGATCTTGGAAGCTACAGGAGTTGGTTTTTCTTGAATGGGGGAAAGAGGTGTCTCAACAAGGAGGAATCAGAAAGAATGGAAAAGCGCCGAGTCAAGTTCGCGCTGATTATCCAAATCCAATCAACGTCCTCATAATCATTGATCACGCAATGCCATCGATGCGGATGAACGAGGGATTCCGCTTTCTTCACATTACCAGACCGTTGTTCTCTGCGCTTGATCTCGTGAAACTTGAATTCTGCGCTGTTGTGTCTAGGCAATTCGCTGCTGTGGATGTAACTACACTACTCAATCCAACCCAATCAATCCAAACTCCATCGGCATGATAGATATGAACCACCCACACATCCCTTCAAGCGTCATGTGGCTATGTGTAGTTATTAGTAGCGTCGACAACCCATCTCTCTCAACTCAACTCATTCCATCTTCTCTCGACGTATTGTGTCCTCCCTTTTCCTTCATCCTGCTCGGACCCGCGGCGCCTCCAGACCATTGCCGATTCCTCATCGATGGAGACTCACACTCAACTCTCACCATCCATGGAGTCTTTCTTAAGCGGTACATTCGGATCACTCGCCGGCTCTGCATCGGGATCGTGTTTCTGTTGTGGCAGCGGGGGGTTCGACGAGGTGCCACTGGTTCCGGCGTCTGCTTTGCTCGCGGGTCCGTCCGAAGTAAAATTAGAAGGAGATGGTTCATCTTTCTTCCCATCCTTCTCCTTTTCGTTATGTTTCTCTTTTCCCTTTACGGTCCCTTTCGCGTCTCCATCTTCCTCGGCTTTCTCCTCTTCCTTCTTCGGCTCCTCCTTCTGCTCCTCCTTCGACGTCGGTTTCGCCGTCACAGGACTCTCGTCTAGATCCGGCGCCTGCGGTTGCTGCGTCAGAACCGCACTCTTAGGCCCTGGCGGTCCGGGATCGACCCCGACTACCGGTGCGGCCATGACAGGTTGTGGACTCCCCGCAATGGGCAGAGGCATGTTGCCTTGTGCGCCGCCCGCTGGCCTAGATCTCAGAGTCGCGCTGTACCCTTCATTCCCGGCCCCAGCCATGTACATGTCCGGATTATTGACGGTGTTATTTCGCACAGCCCGCTCGTATAGACGAGTCAATCTGGCCACCTCGCTGCGGACGGTGACTTTGTTGTCGTCGGTATCTATTTCGTCGTACCCATGCACGCCCGCGCGAGATGCCTAGCCACATGATTTCGGAGTTCTCGATCTCGTCGACGACTCGTTCCAGGTCGTCACGGTACATGCGTGCACGCATGGGTTGGCCACGCGATTTGAGGTACGCGACAAGGCCGGCGATGATGGTGTTCATGGCCCCGAACACCGTGATGAGGACGTGTGAGGACTCAGAGGCGCCGAGGGCCGTGAGCGCCGCGCCCAAGACCACTTGGGACAGGAGCATGGTGTTGGACAGCGAGGCGGTCATGTAGTACGTCGAGCGCTGGTTGGATAGTTGACGGCTGGCTCGGCCATAGAGGGATTTGGGTGGCGGTGAAGATTGAACACGGCAAACTGCAGCCTCGTGCCGATATTGGTGTGCTCAACGTGCTCAGACCAGAATCCTTTTGCTCTTCCACATGAGAGCTTCTTGCTCCTGCTCGTGCTCTCGACCGCCTTTGCACATCAACGACAATCCTCGTTGATAGCTGTAATGTCGATCAATGCGGTGCAGTCCACATTGATCCTCAAATCAGGCTCTTCGATTCGAGAGAACAAGACAACTGACTCTTTCTTTGTTGACCTTGTTGTCTGGCTAGCCAACACGCTTCCTAGAGAGCGGTCTCTGAAGGTGAGCTCCAGCTCCGCCATGACGCTGAATTTGAGGCCGGTCCCCAAAGCAATGCGCTTGACTAGCTAGTTGGCGCCATCGTGGCTCTTCGCGAAGGTGAATCCAGAAGAGGGCAAGTCATAACAAACCCATCTACCGCTTATCAAAAAGTCAAACTCAGTCGGTAAACGTCGAGCCGAAGAGTGGAGAGAGAACGGAGAATAAAGATCGATGGGGAAGGAAAGTCCAGGTCCAACGTGTGGAGTGTCCGAATTTCTAACTCCATCACGCACAAGAATAAAGGTGTTATATTCAAGTTCTGCAGATTCAATTTTGGCTCGTCTCTTCGTTAAACGAGGTAGTACATCAAAGAATCACCGTTTTCGAAACGAACTCCTCTTATCCATTGATTAATGGACAACATCTGTCAAATCATCCATTCAAAGAACAGAAGCATACCCGGACAAAATAACAAATCATGGTGTCCAACATCAACTTGTGCATAAGTGCTCCGCGTACAAGTCCTCACTCGCTATGCCAAAAAGGAAAAGAAGAAAGGCCCCCCCAAAAGGAAATAACGGCATCAACGCTTTCATCACACGTCTCTCGGAGAAATGGAACGCATCCATGGTCAAAGAGCCGACATTTCTGGACCGGGGAGTTGAGATCACAGGGCTTTGCTCTGGTGATTCGTGCTTGACGGGACGCAAACCTCTTCATCTCGAATCCGTCCAAGATCAATTTTGCTCTTCCTTCACGCCGATCGCTTCTACCATCCAACACCGGGGTTCCAGACCCCAATTGCCGTCGGCGGCCACGCCCCCTGCGCCGTCCTCAAACTATACCCATGGACCGGGCCGGCCGAACTGGAACTGGCATGCGGATTCTGCCCCGGTTGCTGCTGCTTATTCCTGGCCGTCGTAGCCGCTGCTCTCGCAGCACACACCGTCGTTGAATGGACATGATAACAACACTTATCCCACGTGGCAGGGTCCTTCCACGGTTCTGCCTGAAATTGCCATATCTTCTTCATGACGTAGAACACCAGGTCAGGAATTTTGAATAACTCCTCCATGTCGACCCGAGCGGGCTCGTTGCGTTTCAGGTCATGATACCATTTGGGATGCCTCATCATATGATGCACGAGATGTTCGACGTAGAAACGCTTGAGCGGGGATTTAGGCGGACCCGTGAGATGGGTGAGCGCTAGAGCCGAGAAGTTGGGCGCCTTGCACGGCTCGTTTTCGCGCCGACTGAAATTCGCTCGGACATTGTCTATGATGTTATTCTGAAGTTCCTCCATGCCGAACTTGTCGGCCATGCAGTATGCGGCGGACATGTCTGAGACGTCGAACGAGGGTTCGGTTCGAGAAGGGAGGCGACTTCGATAGATCCAGTCGACGACGATGGAGAAAGCCTTCGGGTCGTCTTCCGGCAGGTATAATTCGTTCTTGTACCCTTCGTCGAAGTGGCCTTTCTTTAGACATTTTTCCATGAAGGGGGACCGTTGGCAAACGAGTTCGCGGTGGAGGAAGAATCGTTTACGTTTGACGCCGACGTAGACGGTGACGATCTCGGAGGTGGTGAAACTATAGGGCTATTAGACCTGATGGTCCTGCGAACATGCTTAAACTGGGCGGTGACTCACTTTTCAAAGTCATCGTCGTCGTCTTGGTCTTCCTCTTCCTGTGCCCCTGAGCCTTCACTGTCTGCACTGATCTCCTCCCCGGCCGGGGTCTCTCCTTCGACATCGGCTTCGGATTTCTGCTTCGGCTTCTGTTCCTCGACACTGTCGCCCGATGCCTGGGATTGTGATTGCGGGGTCTGACCCTCGTCCATTATGTCTTTTGCTGCAGATGAACAAGTGGCGTAGAGAGAAAGGAAAATGACCACCCGGTGGTGCGTCAATGGGAGTTGAGTGACATCGGCGTGCGCCGTCTGGGCGGCCTCGTCGGCTCGGCGAATGTCTCGGAGAGAGGTTATCGGGTAATCAGGCCATCTACAGTCCTATCTACTTCCGGTGGGGACAAAAATGTTGAATCAGACATCAAAAAGACAAGGTACTTGTTCTCGAACTAAAATCCGAATACAAAGGGGCATCGCTTCTTCGGATGCCTATGGTAAAGGTATAAGGATGACGTTTCCCCGGCCCTTATAATGATACAAACCAAAACCCGCTGGAGAATTCAAGATCACCCCATAAAATGAATCTAGCGCTTCTTTGTTCCACTACCCTGTCCGTCCGATTCCGCCGCTGGAGCTTCACCGGCAAACGGTTGCAAGACGGCCTCACCCGCTTCCACGCTCTTTCGTACTCTCTCGCGTTCCAGCTCACGTCTCAGCTCTTCATTGACCGCATCTCTCTCCTCCAGTCTTTTCCTCGCACCACTTCGGTCTAGAAGTCTTGCCTCACGCTCGGCCTTGAGTCTCCTCTCCAATTCTCTCAGTCGATGAATCCATTTCTCTTGTCCCTGCCCACTCACGGCGGTCGTGATACTTGCGATATCGGACCCGGATGCCGTGCTTGGAGGGGCGGGAGGCGCTTCTCGTGGCGGTGGGAGGGGAAAGTTTCCGTTCGCTGGGGCATTGAATGGCCCGGCAGGAATCATGAGACCGCGATCACGTTCGCCTTGCGTATAGGCCGAGTTCCGACTGGAGATGGAGTTGGAACGCATCGAGGTTACATCTCCATTCATATTGGCCAGGTGCTCCACGACGCCCGTCGAATGGTGACGCTGGAGCTCCATTGCTCGATTGCGTCTCATGCTAGACGAACGTGCGGGAACACCCACGGCACCGTTCAATGCAGCATCTGGCGCTTGGCCCGGGCCGTCGTTGGACAGGATGCTTGAATAGCCCGACGCTCGACTTTCGTTCCGGTCTCGTCTGTGCTGGAGGCTGTGATGGACTTGTTGCTGTTGGAGGAGCTGAAGTTCTGCTTTGAGCAACCTATTTTCGCCCTTCAGCTTGCTAATTTCAGGCGTCCTGCTGGATTTCGGGGTTCGAGAACCGTGGTCGGAATGCATTCGTGTCTCCATGTCCGACATCTTGAGCTTCATTTTCTCCCAACTCTCCTCGATTCGTTCCAGCTTTCGAGTTCGCACCTCGAGAGTCTGCTCCAGGGCCTGATATTCCTTGTACAGTTCTCGCTCGACCCGTTTGATCTTGTCTTTGAAGGTGGATAATGTGCCTTCCACTTGCTTGGCAGCCAGAAGCAGATTGCGGCTGAATCCGGGCCAGAAGAGCATGTTGCCAATGACTTCCTGAGAAGGCAGATTGCCATTGATCAAGCTGTTGTTGTGGGCCCAGTCCGGGCCGCACATTGCAGAGAGTCTCTTCCAGAGATTGAGCAGGACCTGATTTCGTTCCGTGAGTTGATCTTTGAGTTGGCTCTCCATCTGTCCCATCCGTTTCCGATCAGCCTGTCGCAGGGATTCAAGCTCGGCCACTCTTGCAGATGCCGCGGTGAGCGCCCGAGTGGTCGAGTTATGACCCTTGTTGGTGCGCTCAAAGTCAATCTTGTCCTGTCGTCGACCTGCCTTTTCACGTTCAAGCGCATCGGCCAGCTTCCTGCATTCGTGGCTGGTCGACTCCAGCAGGGCATCACGGTCAGCCAGAAGACTCTCACTCTCGTCCAGTCGCCGTCGGACGGATTCGAGATCGACCGTCGCCTGGTCCAGTTCGCGTCGCATTTTCGTCACCGCACTAATCAGGCTCGATCTCGAGCTGTGGGGATCGCCAATGATATTCCGCAAGCTCTCTTCCAATTCAGACAACCGGTCTTTGTAGGCGGTGGCCTCAATGTCCCGAGAAGAGAGCGCCTTGCGAACTCTTCGAAGTTCGTCTTTGGCCCCCGAAGCTTCGCGATTGAGATCGTTGATGACCCTTTGAACTTCTTGCTTTTCTTGGCTGGCCACGGCGTCTCTTTGTGATCGTTCCTCGTTGATCCGACGCTCCAGATCCCTGCTCTTGTCTCTCTCCGATTCCAGGTTGAGGTGGACCTTCTTGAGCAGTGATTCCAAGTCACCGATTTTGATCTTGTCGGCGTCTTGCTCCTCACGGAGGAAAGCAATCTCGTTATGACTGCTCTCCTGTTGGACTGTCAGGCGTTGCACTTTGCTCTCGGCCTCTGCGAGAGTCTTTTCCAAACTCTCCACTTCTCGATTGGCGTCATCGAGCTCCCCTTTGACCGATTGGTAACGAGAGAGATTGTTTTGTGCATCCTCTTCGAGCCGAACAAGTCCCTCGGCAGCCGATCGCATCTCCGCTTGTAAGGCTTTGACATTTTCAATCTGCCCCTTGAGCTCTTGGTCCAGCCTGGCACATTCCTCCGCTTTGGCGTCAAGCTCGTCACCCAATCCGTCGATTTCTTCTTGAGCCTCATTCTTCAGTTGTTGGAAAGCGTGATCTTGTTCCTCGGCATCTCGAAGAGCGTTGTCGCGTTCTTGAGTTAACAGGTGGAGCTCTTCGTTGAACTGATCTGCATCTGCTTGGGCTTGCGCATCCACGGCATCGAGCTCGGCCAAGGCCTCGTCAAATTGATTCTGAAGATTTTGATTCTCCAATTTGAGTTGTGATACTTCATCGCGAAGTTCGTTGATTCGAGTTTCCAGGGACTCTCGTTCCTGATCGCTCATCCGAGACAATCTCGTCCCATTGCTTGCTCGAGAATGCGACCTCGCTCGAGACGCTGATCGTTCAAGAATGGAGTCTCCAGCCACAGATCGGAGGCCCCCCATCCGTCCGAGCTTTAAATCTTCGATCTCTTGGTACAGACGTTCCTTTTCTTTGTTGCGAGACGTGAGGGTAGATGCCTGCGCACCTATCATCTTTTGGAGTTCAGACACCTCGTGTCTCAGTCTTTCGATCTCCGCCGTCTGAGCATTGGCGGCCTCGACACTGCTGGACCTCGACACAACCGAGCCTCCCATGCGAGCCTTGCGTGAATTTGATTTGCCCGAGGCCAACGCCTCATTTCTGAGCTTGGCCATCTCCTCACGCAGTCTCTTGTTGTCTTCTTCGGATTGTTCACGAGCAATTGTCTCGGCCTCCAGCATATCTTTCCACATGTCCCGCTCTTCCCTCGAGCCGACATCGGATGTGGCGGCTCGAGTGTCACCCAAGGACTTGACCATCTCAGCCAATCTTCGCTTTTCCGATTCCTTGGCAACGTTCTCGGAACGAAGCTTTTCAATCTCGATTTCGTTTATCTCCACCCTCTCCCGAAGGTAGATGACTTCTTCCTCGGCCGTAGGACTCCTCTCCTCGTCAGTTCCGTATCCTTGATCGGCGCTGGGCGAGTCCCGAGCGCCGCTTTCGTCGAGTTTCTTCTGTAAATCTCGAACCTGTTTCCGTAGATTATGATTATCTTTTTCCAATCTGAGTCGATCAGACTTTAGTTGTACATTTTCGGTGATCATTTCCTTGATACCATCCTCCGATCGTTTTTGAAGAGCCTGGTCCAAGAAGTGTATCTTCATTTTCAAGTCAAAATTTTCTTTACCAAGCTTTTCCACCGTACTTCTGTGCTCTTTCAAGGTTAACCCTCGCTTCGGGCCTGGTGTCATACCAATAACTGATGTACTCTTCTCAGGTGAAATGCTTCGTTCTTGTCGATATTGGCGGGCGAAGGTCCCCGGTACTTCCAGGTCTCGAACATTATTGGCAATCACGGTGTCGGTCGGCATGTTAAAATTGAAATGCGACGCACGGGGGGTGGATAATTCGCCCGCTTTATGAGATCGTGGACTTTCTTCCTCCAGAGTACTCAAGTCGGGTGCACTCGGCTGCCGTTGCGTGCGAGGGTCATCGTCACTGATGCCCGATATCCCAGACATCATGCTACCGAGGCTAGCTTGCCGTGAAATTGTCGTTCGAGCTTTGCGCTGTGCACTAGAATCAGGCAATGCACCCCCCGACTGGAGGGCAAAGTCCGCCCCGAGGGTGGTATCACTGGCATCGGTATTGGAACTGGCCATAGAATCGTAGGACAGCCGTGCCTGAGATGATCGTTTGTGGAGATACCGAGGTCGCCTGGATCCTTGTTTCTGGTGGGTATCGGCGCTCTCCTGCTGTCCGTCCGATGAGTTGGGAACCCCAAGAAATCGATTCTCTTGCTCATATTTCCGAGGTGTGGCATCATGGTCATCTTGGGCCGGCTCGGATTTCTTGTCAGACCTGATTTGGTCTTCTCGTTCATTGGCTGTTTCGTAACCCCCCAGCGTTGCCAACGACTGGACTCGTGAGAGAGTTCGTGCGGCAGCCGCCGCGGTCGGGGAAGATGACATTTGTTCGAGGGCGGAGGTATTACGGATTTGAGGTGTATTCTCTTCGGACCCGTCCATATCGTGGAATTCTTGTTGTTCCAGCGCCGGGGTCTTGTACCCACCAGGTGGTGTCCGAGGGGATTGCGCGCTGACCGTGTTGGTCTCAGGCTGGTTTTCGGTATCTTCAGAGGTATACGAGATGTGGATCGGGTGCGGTTTCTTGCGCACGGCGATGTTATCGTTCAGTATCCCAAAAAAGTGTGTATCGTCGGCGCCGGTAGTTGCAGGGTCTTTCTCTGCCAGTGGCGATGACTCGGGCATGAAGCTTGACTCGACATCGAGTAGTTTCTTGTTCATTGCGCTTTCGTCTAGGGTCATGTTGGCAGGGAGTTCAATATTGGTGTTTTCATCAAGTGGCTGCAGGAGGCTGCTCGGATCTTTCGTGCCCGGCGGCAAGGACGAGGTCGGGCGGGAGTTGCTGTGCAAATCACCATCAACGCTGGCCGCAGGTGACATGTCCTCCTCCTCGTCCGGATCGAATCCACCTGGCACCCTCGATGACCGGCGCTGCGTCCGAGGCCGGCCGATGATGGTTAAGGACGACATTGTGGTAGAATCTGGAGGGCCAGCGAGCGCTATTGGGAACGCGGATGGCGATGTTGCAGGCCGATGTGGTTCGAGCCTCCGAGCCGTGATGTTGCGGACATCTGTGTGGAGACAGACAGATTCGGTTTGACACGTAAGGACGACAATGGTGGAGGGAGCGCGTTGTGATGGTTTTCCAGCGCGGACTGCAGCAGGATATTGAATGAGGCTTGCGGATGACGGGCGAGGTCGAAGATCGCACTGAAGAAGGACGTAATGGGATGAGAAACACAATTCACCCGTGGTGAGTTGGTGAGTGCAGGGCATCCCTGAAACCAAATTCGCTCTGGTGACCACTGGTGAGTGACTGGCTGCTCGTACCTTGACCCGATGCGGGCACGCTAACTTTTGGTATCAACAACACCCAGGCAGGGGGGCCGCGCACATCGTGGAGTGGCGTTGTCAGACACGCGAATCTCTCGACGGTGTAGTAACAGCCTCCTCAGTCAGACCGTAGCATTTCTCCTTTTCTTTTAAATCAGTGCTCACAAAACCACTAGTACGACAGTAAGCAGGGAGCCTTCCGCGAACAAGCACTAAGCGAAGTAGCCCGCCTGCTATGGTGTAACGCACTCGACAACAAACTTTATGAAGCACCAGGATATGCTGATATCTATGGGAGTACAGTAGGTGAGAGAGTCAAACAAAGTGGGTACACAAGAAGGGCTTCCGGTACACCAACGGCTCCAAATGTACGCCTTGCTTCAATGTTTACATTCCCGCACATAAATCGTTACTCGTTTGATATCAAGTACAACGTGTACGTGGGGATGATCCTATTGTCCTCCTTAGAAATCCTTCTACCCCAAAAGTCAGAGAGCTTTACGTCATCCCACTGGGAGGATTCAACATCCTGGAGTCGATTTTAGCCCGTTTTGCATCGTCTTCCTCCTTTCTCATCCGGTAGATTCGTTCCTTGGTCGTCTGGGCATTCTGCAGAGTGTCGATGTAAGTCCGGAATTTCACAATTTCCCTGAGAAGGTAACTGCTCTTCTTCTCCCAATTGTTCATGGCTTTGGTCGAATTGGGATGTTTGGTGGAAAAGGCTAGCAGCATTAATCCTCGAAGTTCATTGTGCTTTTGCAACTCCTCTTCCACATTGCTCACATATGTTTGCAATGCCTTGAGCTGGTCGACCTCCATCAACTGAGATGCAAACATCGATTGTTGAGGCGGTGTCCAATCGGCAATGTGTATCCTGTCACCAGGCAGTTTCACTCGAACCCCGCCAACGTGGTCCATCGAGCTCCGCATGGACATCTGCGTACTGGGACGTGGACTGATCGAGGCATTCAGTCCGGGCTGGGATTCTGATGCGATCAATGCTCGGTTGACGACCGCATCGCTCCAGCCGTATTCCATGTTGCTGATACCGCCCATCATGGGTTCCTTTGATAGCCTGGCGCTCCAGAAGTTTGCCGTGGAGACGAACTCCTTGACAATATCAGGAGTGCCGACCGAGAAAAGGTGTACAGCACCTGTCGGCAGGCTCAGAGCCCAGACATATGGCCGTGCTTTGGAATATCCAGGAGGAGGAAGTGAGCTTGCAATGGTGTGTCGAAGCATGAACTTCCATACCTCTTCCGCATTTTCTTGCCAGTTGCCCCCTCCAACCACCGCTCCCGCTTTGGGAGTTCGAGCTTTGTTTCGGAGAGACTTCGCCGTCATGGAGAAGGAGAACAGTCTCATCCATCCCTTTTCAATCACCGCGAAACAGTCATTCCAATTCCTATCTTTGGATCTCTTGTCCACACCTTCAAGGTGACATTTGTGTTTCACATTGCCCTCCTTTGCCCAAGGTGCACCACAGAGCTCGAGGGATTCGTCCTCTAAAAGTGCGCCCGCCTTGAGACCATCTTCAATTGGCAGATCCAGTTGGTCATCACGAATGATAGCTTGGCTCAGAGCATTGGCGAAACCAATAGAGGATTGGTAGTCGGCGTGAGTCGCCTCGGTATTGAATGAGTCGACCGACATGGATGTCGGTGTCTTCCCGAGCGATGCTTTGCTCCACGTGCTGGACATTGACGGACTCCAGGTCGATGACTGCTCATCAATGCTGGTCCTACTAGAACCAAACCCCGGTGCCGAGGGAAGACGAGGTCGAGATCTCGCCTTCGTCATGAATCGAGCCCCGAGAGATTTGCTCTCACCGGCGAATCGACCACGATTGGTATCGGAATGTGCTTTGCTGAGCACGCTGGGAGTCCGACGTAACATGTTGGATCCAATGGATAAGAAATTGCCCGACTGGCTGGATTGGAAGTTGGTATCCATTTGAGCTCCAAACAAAGGCAGCGGTTCTTGGGAAATTGAAGCGTAAAATGCTCTGAGGACAGATTCAATGTGTGATTCCCAGCCTTTCCCTAGTCCCGTGTCGGCCATTGATTCGCCGTTATAGTTGTTCGACTCGGAATTTGGCTGATCGTCATGGCCGGACTTGTCGACCGATCTTTTCGACCCTTTAGAAACGCTACTGAGATCATCTGCCGACAATGTGTTGGTACGAAAACTGGTGGGAGGACCCCGGAGAGTCTTGTCGGCCGCCGTTCCCTGGGCCACACGTCTGATGGTAGGGAGCGTATTTCGCACGAATTGGCTCTTGGTCATTTTCTGTCCAATGTCGGCCAGGTGGAGATCTGTATTCAGGAGCAAAATGGAATAACAAATGGTATGGACCACATCTCCGCGAGTCAGCCAGAAATTCGTCCACGTAAATAGCAATGACCTACCGCTTGATTTGAAAGGGTGTGACGGGTTGCATTCGCACCACCGCTGTGCAAAGGCATCCATGATTCGGTCCATTTGCTGAGTTTCGCCTCTTAGGGCAAGTCGATCGCAAAGACCTCTGAGAGAATCGAGGATGTTCTGATCTGACCAATCGAAGAGCTCCATGTACGCTTTCCTCACACGTTCTCGTTCGACACCTGCTTCTCCCAGCCAAGCTCCCACGTTTGAAGAATCAACCTCGTCATCTGTGTTGTCAAAGATTTGTTGTGCTTTGCGTTGGTCCCCATCTCGGGGACGTGTCTGAGAGTGACTAGGTCGAAGAGCATGGAATGATAACGCTCCGGTCTTCTCATTTTCGGATCCCTCGATGACGAGAGGAGTACTCGGGGCCGACCGGTACTCACTGACATCAGATGCGGAAGCATAGGGCGAACTCTTGGATCCGTTGGGTGCAGCTTCGAGAGTCTTGGTCTGCTTGTTGGGGATGGTGGATTTATTGCCCTGCTCCAACCTCGTGGCGCTAGAGAGCTGATTTGCAGCCGTGGATGAAGATGGCGATATCTTCTCTGATTTCCAAGATCCTTGCCGGGTGGTGGCAGTTCTGGGATCAGCTGATGGACTTGGTAATGTACCGGATGATGTTGCAGCCTCCAGCTTCAAGTCATTTACACTATGACGCATTCGCAACTCAGGTCGTTCGTTATCCGAATGATGGCCACCGTCAAGCGGAGATCGCTTCGCCACCTCTTCCGTACTGCTGCTGTCCGCCAGGAACGAGTCCTGATGAGGGATGCGAAGTGTTGATACTGGTTTGGTGTGGGATCTCAAAGTCCTACTGCTCCCATGAGAGTCGTTTCGATTGTGGCCTGCAGCTTTGGATCGGCTTCCAGGCTCTTTCGGCAGACCGAACGCAGGAGGAGAAAGAGTTGGAGTATAAAATCCTTGCATAGAGGAGGTTCGAACATGGCCGACAGAAGGCACAGGGTTTCCAGCGAGATACGGGTCCATGAAGGCTCTGAGGCTACTGACGGGGCTTGTTCCACCCACCGGTTCAGCTTCCGATTTCAATTCAGAGCTCAGAGTCAATGGAAGAGGTGGGGGAATACTGCTGGAAATGGACTTTTTGCGTCGACGGAAAAATGCAGATGACTTTTTGGTGACCACGGGTTGATTTTCCTTATTCGCAGAAATATCTGTGGATGTCCGCCTGACGGCTTTCTGCGTTTTACCCGGGGGAGTCGTGGGATAGGGTGTCTCGTCCTGAACCGGGGTCGATCGGCCATGTTGTTGTTGTTTCGTCAGGGTATTTGGGGTGTGGGAGTGAGCATCCGCACTGACCGCAGGATTTTTTGAGGATCCAAAGACACGGCGGAAGAAGCCTGGCCGAGGAGCGGTAACGGGTTCATGCGGCGATCCCGTAGCCGGCTTTGGTTCGTGCACGGTGTTATTGAGACTGGGCACACTTTTCATAGAAGGTAATTGCGGAACAGATTCGCTGTTTGCTCTCATCGTGTTGGTTCCCAATGCTGTCATGCGACCTTTTTTGGCATATGCACTCTTGGAGGATTTAGTGCTATTTTTTCGAACGGGCGGAGAAGCCGATGAACTGGCTGGTGTACCATTCTGAGCGTCGGATCCCGCAAAGTTCACCGGAGTAGGGCCACCATCGGCGGCCGTTGACGGTTTTGCGGTGCGTACACTTCGTTGTCTTGAGCCGAAATCAAAACTGCGTGATCGTCTGTTTCCTGCTCCTCCCAGCCGGCCCGAAAGACTGGCAAGATGACCCAGGTCAATGCTCGACGATGCACTGCTGTTGGTGCTTTTGCCGCCACCAGAAGCATTTTTCTTCCTTCTGGCCTGCCCTGATTGAACTGCGCGTTGGGCGTCATAGATTTTTGAACGCACGGAATCTTCATCCTCTCCAAATATGCTGGGTAGTCTCTGCAAATTCTTCTGATGTCTCACGCTATTTCGCATAGGCACTCGGGAGAAGGTCTCTGGAAGTGATGGTATAGGCCTCATGTCGTGCATATCACCCTCTGAAGACACCGAAGAAGAAAAGGTATGTCCTCTTCTCCGTATTCTGGTGCCTGTATCATAGCCGTTGTCGCGTGGTGTATAGTGCCCATCGTCGAAGCCCCCGCTCGAAAATTGATCCAACGACATGACCAAGTTGTCCACCATCGATGCACGGAGAATATGGTTGGAGGAAAAGGACAAGTCGTGGGGGTCTTCGATATCGTCATTGTCATTGATCTCATCGATCGGAGGAGACTCCGCCAAAAATGTGCTCGATCCTGCCATCTGTTTACTTGTTGTTCCCCCATTCATCTGGCGAAAACGTTGTGATTGCAGTGTGGGAGAGGATGGTATGGAGGTGGATTGTCTGTGAGACTCCAACTCCGTCAATGGCTTGGATGAGTGGCTGCGTGAATTCATTGGCTTCGCCGGAGAAGACAGAGGCGGCGCTGCGGTCATGGCTTGGGAAAATTCGACTGAATCTAGCGATGCGTTTCTGGGCTATGGGCGCAGCGGAAGAGTTGCGCGTGGTTGTCTGAGACAACTAGTAACACCCTGGAGCGCAGTTGTATGTCGCACGACGTGAAGTCGGTCGGATCGCGTTCCAGTGCATGTCCCACTTTCGAAGGCTTTGGAAGGGTTGCACACCAGAGGGATATTGCGCACGAGAAATCGAGCGGGAAGGGATTGTAAACAGGACGCCCAGGGTCAGAGATCCGGAGAATTGCTGATTTTGAGGAGTTTTGGGACAGGGAAGCCCACATTGAGTACGGAGTATACAGAGCACAGAGGAATCGCAGAGGCCGGGGGGCAAGACAACGGAGTCAAACAAACCACAGAGTGAAAAAGGGTGGGTACAGAGCATTGGAAGTCGACGCAGGGATTAGGGGGAATGACATGGGGCTAAGAGGTGCTAGACAGGGATCCTTCCATCCCTCCCAGCGAGAGAGAGCCACTCTCCCTCTCCAAGCCCACGTTGTAGAATTTTTCGTAAAAATTAGGAAATACGAGAACGTGGTGCACTCCATAGGGAGCATTCAGTTCTGACGCTGGAGCAGACTCTTTAGAAGCCGTAAGAGAACAGAGACAGCTTAGTCGAACGACAATGTCATAATTTTCCGGATTCTATCTTGTCTTTTCACTCTGGGCTTTGCGGAAACAGTTATCCGAGACACTGCCGACGCTTTGGACGACTCTCATCGAGTCGAGTATCACTGTCCGGGGATGGATCAGGATTCTGTTGTGTTTTGCTCTGCATCGCTAGGCCATGTGCATCTTCGATATATCTGCAGAACTTGATCGCGCTTTCTTCCAATGCCAACTTGGAGGCACATCGACCCCCTTACAAACCTTCCATGCGGATGTTGGGCACGAGGATGACCGAGGGACCTGCATTAGCATTCCCCACTACCGAACGCCACACCAACCCCAAAAGCTCCAAATCGAGTGCCTTGGCTTGGCTAGTGTTGTAAGCTGGGCCACACACGGTCATTCATTCCGTGTGTGAGGTGTCATGTCCCTCGACACGGTAATGCCGTCTGATATCCAAGTCGAAATCGTCGTGATTTTCTCAAATCGACCGAACTGCATCATAATTGAGGTAATGATCCATGTTCCTAATCTCAAATATACTCCGTCTTATAAGGCGATTGGCGCAAAAAAATAAGACCCGCCCGGTCTCTGCCTCTGGCGTGGCAGTACTGCCGTCGTCTTCTGTAAGCGCAGCAAACAGATAGCGACCTCGTCACGGGGACTTCCAAGTCCTATGCGCTATATTCAAGGAGGAATTTCGCAGGATTGTCCTCCAATGGAAGCTGGATAAAGATATTCCATATGCTTGCTCTTAAATGCTCAACTCTTCACGCCCAGAAACAGCCACCTCGTACCCAGAGTCGTGAGATTGATGCCCAGGATAGTGCACACAAGCCATATGATGATCCAGGCCAACATCGGCGAGAGGAGAAGCTGAGTATGATGAAGGAAATGCAATGCGTTGTAGCCGAGGAATGTGATCATGCTCCAGTAGAGCCCGGCTGCCAGGTAGAGGAGATTGGCGAAGAATGTCGCGACGCGGTTTTGGTGATTGATGGCGGGCATGAGAATGTATTGAATAATGTAGAGCAGAACATATGGCGGAAAAAAGGCGCGTATAGAAACATCAAAACAGTAGCCGAACTCCAGAACCTCAACACCTCTTGTTCCCCCCGGTGGACCGAAGAGTCCTTGTTGGCGTCTCCGGCCGGGGAGTCCTGCGATTCCTGGCCCGAGGAGGCGCCCTACCAGGTAGTACGCCAATGTTGACACCAGCAAAGAGCCTGCAAGGAAGTGAATGAGGACAAACATCAAGGCTAGTTTGATGACAGCGGCGACAGATGGGGTGTAGGCGAGTGACCAAGCGAAAGACGTGAGCAGGAGGAAGAAGGACAGCAAGTAGGTAAAGGAAGGGTCGGGTCGATGCCAGGTATTTCGGGTCTCTGGAGTGCTCATTAGCGAGGTGAATTGAACTGGCTTGTTGCACTGACGTTTATGGTAATATATGGATTTGAAGACCTTCTTGGGCGCAATCAAGAGATGTGTCATTTCCCATACAGCCATCTCAAAGTCCATCTGAGGGAATTTGAAGAGCCTGCGAACGCTGTGTCAATATGCCCGGCATCAACAGAAACACATTTAGAATGGCTCACCTTTTGAAGAATCGAGGCATGCGGATGTCAGAACGGCGCCTGTGTGTCGTGGCACCGAAATGACTACCGCCATACTGACGAGGAGTTGTAATACGAGGACTGCTCATCGGGCAGAGTGAGACGACCGCTGGAATCAGATATCCAAATGAATACAACCCGAAGGCGCGGCGCAGGAAAGGAAGAATATGGACAATAAACGGGAGCGCTTGGTTGGCCTAATAGGTAACGAGGTTACTCAGCAGGCAGAAGCCGTCCCAAGCGTAGGTTGGCGGGACTCGCTAACTCCCGTGGGAACACAAAGACACTTCATTCTTTCCGAGGCTGTATTTCACCAAAGCCCAAGATGGATCTCTTCAGGCTCATGGGGACAAAATCGGTTACATGAAATGAGATATCCCTCTGACCCCAAGGAGATGTCAAATGTTGGTACATATATACAGATTGACTTACGGCAAAGGAAGAACAGCGCAATCACCGCCGGACTCCCTCTGGTGTAACAATAGATGGATTTACACTGTTTTCATGATACATTACACATCAATAGTTCACCCGGTCTTCAGTGCCGGTAGGGTAAGCCCTTAGAGGAGATAGGTCGTGGCCTAGGGCATCAATTGATCAACTCCTCAGATGGTAACCTTCTTCAAAGCTCTTCTTCCCTGATCCAATTTTCTCAAGTCACTTCGGTCACCCTCGTAGATTCGATAGTCACCACCTAAACAGGGTTCCAGCAACGATCGCACCACGGAAGAATTCTCTATACCACCTGATGTGCCCTGTGAACTATCCCATTCCCTCATTGCTTTCTTCAGCTTCTCTCGCAGGCTGATGAAAGTCTCCTGGACATCCTTGATCCTGTAAACGGATTGTCCTAGGTCGTTGGATGGATTTGCCGGATCTTGCAACGTCATAAGATGTGGGTGCATCTTTGAGCGAATGATCAGTCGGCGCTGCCCTTCAAATTCATATTCAAGAGTCTCTGTTGTTTCCGCACCTTCTTTGGGATCGGGGAAATGCAATTTGGACTCCTCGGTAACTTCCTTGGGGAAAAATTGGGGTGGTCGTATTGAAATGCCCTGGGAAGAAAAGTCGATTTCCGAGTACATGTCAAGGAAATATAGAAGGTGGCTCCCAGCATCTGTACTCTGGAACTTACCTTCCGAAAATTTGAGGGCGGCCACGATCATGTTCAGAAGTGGATAGGAAGTCAACCCTCCGCTGCTGCCAGTGGTGAGAGCGCGCATGACGAGCATCTGTTTCAAGACTTTGTAGAGGCTCCCGAGTGTGGGATATTCCTTAAGAAAGGCCTTGGTATATTCGGTGCTATCGTATGTTCGAGGTGTACACTGCACCTGAACGGGGAGGCCGGAGGACTTGTGTCGACAGATTAAGATGGGCACCTTTGCGTTCTTAAGGTGGACAATGACCTCGAAAGGGCGATGGCTTAATTTGATTTTCTTGTGGCGGCCACGGAAAGCGCCCTCCAAGAAACCCAGGATCGCGCGGGGAGTTCTGAGTTTGTTCATGGAGGCAGGGGTCAGAGGATTGGAGACATTGACATCCAGATCCGATAAAGCGTCTGCGGTGCCAGTGGCACGGGAACCAATAATATCAACATCAAGATTGCCATCGGCGGATTTGATGAACCGAATGATGTCTTGAAGGGCACTATCGGCAACCCTTTGTTCTTCCTCAGAGGGAGAAACATACGTATAAAAGGCTTGAATCTCCGCAGAAAGTCTGTCAATTGCCGGAATCCAGGTCCCGGGTCGAGCATCACGAAGATGGACTAACCATGGAAGCCGAAATCGTATAGGAAGAGTCTCGCCATTATTGGGCCGCCACACGGTGGCTAGACCTCGACTTCTGCCTTTCACAATCTTCCCAGGCGACGAGGACCAGCGGCGAGAATTTTGAGCAGCACGAGAAGAGAAAAGTTGGGCGCTTTGTGATGACGTGTTTAGGTTTGGCTCCTGTTGATCAGGATAGTGAACGGAATCCGCGAGAGCAACCGCTCGGTTTTGAGGATTGTTTATTGTGGTAGTACGACCTTGCTGGTCGACCTTTCGTATGATGGAGGCACGATTCGCTTCCCGGTGGGCATCAAGGGTATTTCGCAGACTTGTGATATCGATGTTTGGTTCAGAGGAGAACGATGGCGGAGGGTCATGAGGGGAATGTTCAGAATCAGAAGGAGTCAGGCCGGCGGCCAGGAAACGGTGACTGCGGGAAAGAGGCCTCCTTGCCCAAGGAGGTCTCGAGATAATGAGCCGAACTGAGGCATCATAAGTGCGGAAGAGGGCAGGTGTTCGTGTGGACAGATGATCTCGTAGCATACAGCATAAAAGCCAGCCCCGAGAGGGGGACGATGCTGCGGTCTAGGGTAGTTTGGATGGACTGATTGATAAGACAAGGGATTAGTGGACTGCTACTTGGATTGAGAGGTGGGTAGATGTAAAAAAATTCTCTTTCAATTCTCTGGCTTATTGTGGTCAAATAGCGGATGACACTGGCCGCTGCTATACTCCTCCGTGATGCCTGCGCCCTCCAGAATCCATGATCTTAGTCATCGCCCATGGCAGAACGCAGGGCTAATTAAGTACGCTTGTATTTCGATGGTCCGGAAGTCCAGGCCCTTGTCCCTGTATGATCCTCCACCGCCTTCTGTCATAGGTCATATCTGGTGAGCCAGATTCTTTGGCTTGTTGGTAGACAAGATGGTGTCTCACGAAACTCCCAGACTCCCCGCTGCAAATACCCGTACCAATGGCAACACCTCTCTTTAATTCTCTTCCCTCTGTCTTCCGCACCGTTCCTGAATCGCCTTCGCTTGCCCTCGGACAAGCGGTTCCTTCAACAAACAAGGTTCCTGGGATCACAGACGAATAGGAACCTTCCCATTCCTTCCTCAACTCTTTCCAAGGTCCAACCTGGCCCAGCAAATCCAGCACACTGCTATGATCACCCAATCAAGCTGTCCGCCGTCATAGAACTTCCTATCCGCTTCCTATCCGTTTTTTCCATTTTCGATATCCTCACCTCATCCGACTTGCACGAAGGGGGAGAAAAAAAGACGGAAAAAAAAGTAAATAAAAAGCTGCATTCTCTTTGGGGCCTCCGATTTCTTCCCGGATGAGTTTGAGCTTTCTCAACTTGCCTTGGTACCGACCACTATTGGTCACTGAATAGTACTCCATCATTTCGTCATTTCTGCACAACTTATTCAGCTCCCTGAAAGGCCGTTGTTGGTGCCCGACACAGAAAGCGCCATCGTAACCTTCTGACGATTTTTGATTTTTAAAACACCCTTTGTTTGCTGCCTTTTCTTGGGGATTTTTGTAAAAGGTATTATTCTGTTCGTTCCTTTATTGTCATTTATTGTTATCCCTACCCCACGTCGTCGCCATGGCGATTACTGCCCTTTGCTCACCGGAGTTCTAATGCCTGCGAACGCAGAATCTAACCTAACAGCTCTCCAGTTTGGCCCCTCTCTGCGCTTCTCTCTCTTCTTCAATCTCACCGTATCAATCTCATCATGACTGCCGACTCCTTGGGGGGAGGCCCCAGGCCTTCGAGAGAAAACGATCTCCCAAGTTCTGGTGTCAACCCAGTTTCTGGCGCACCGAACGACCAAACTGCAGATTCGTCGCGAGGTCCACCTACCACTTCATACTTCTCGCTCCCACAAAATCCACCTTCCGATGAATCCGCAGCGTCAGGATCTCCGGTCGACGTCGCCAAAGGGGCTAGATCGGGCCAGGAATTACTCCGTCGACTCAGCCTTGTCGATTCCAAGGGCGCAGAATCATTAGATGTCGATCCTCGCACTGCTCATCCCGGCCTGAGGTTGAGCGGCAATGTCATCAGCGCGACCTTCTGCATTCCCTATCAACTCACTCTTGGACCTCAGGACGACTGGGTGCTCTCTACTCGTCACGGCACCTCTGCACTGTTCGATTCATTTGTCCACCTTGCCTCCGACAAAACGCCGTGGAACCATACATTGGTTGCATGGACTGGCGAAATTCATACACAGCCACACGACCGGGCTATGAGCATTTTGCAAGTGGATGGGGCATCTGCAACCACGACAGCACAGGCATCCGTGCCGATTAACAAATCAGCCGCCCCATATCCGGTTAACGGTGCTGTACAACATTCTCACCCACATTCTGAACCCCTTCGCCTATCACGTAGTTCCCGAGCCCAGCTCGAAAAGCTCCTCGCCGAGCACCCCAATGGGAAGACTCTTCCGGTGTGGTTGCCTGATGGTCCCGGGGACGAGCCTGGAGAGCTTGTGTTCAAAGACCAAAGTCGCTGGCGTAAATATGCAGAGCACGAACTATACACCCTTTTCCACTACCGACAGCACGGTCCCGACGACGGACGGGCCGAGAAGACCTCTTGGGCGGATTACGTACATATGAACCAGACCTTTGCCAATCGAATTCTCAACATCTACCAGCCCGGTGATATCGTTTGGATTCATGACTACCATCTAATGTTACTGCCAAGTATGCTTCGCCAACGCATCCCCAACATCTATATTGGCTTCTTCCTCCACATTCCCTTTCCCAGCAGTGAGTACATGCGATGTCTTCCCAGGAGGAAAGACATTTTGACCGGTGCTCTCGGAGCTACCATGATTGGCTTTCAATCATACAGCTTCTCTCGGCATTTCAATTCCTGCTGCAAGCGCATATTGGGCTTCGAATCGAGTTCGGCGGGCGTGGATGCCTACGGCGCACACGTGGCGGTGGATGTCTTCCCCATTGGCATTGATGTGGCGTCCGTTCAGAGAGAAGCGTTTATGGACCCGGTCATCGAGCAGAACATGGAGGCCTTGAAACAAATTTATGCCGGAAAAAAAATCATTGTCGGTCGTGATAGACTCGATACCGTCAGAGGAGTGTCTCAAAAGTTGATGGCATTCGAGATTTTCTTGGACCGATATCCCGAATGGCGCGACAAGGTGGTGCTCATCCAGGTGACTAGTCCTACCAGTGTTATGGAGGACAAAGTCGACAGTGCACACAAGATCGAACACAAGATCTCGAATCTGGTGTCGAGGATCAACGGCGAGTATGGTTCCCTAAGCCACTCTCCGGTCCAGCACTATCCACAATACCTCTCGGGTCAGGAATACTTCGCTCTTCTCCGGGTCGCCGACGTGGGACTCATCACCAGTGTAAGAGATGGCATGAATACCACAAGTCTGGAGTATGTGATTTGCCAAAAGAATCACTACGGGCCCTTAATTCTGTCGGAGTTCTCGGGCACGGCCGCGAGTTTAGGAAACGCCATCCACATCAACCCGTGGGATCTCGGCGGCGTTGCGGATGCCTTGAAGAAGGCACTTGAGATGCCCGAAGCAGAAAAGAAGAGCAACCATGAGAAATTATACAGCTATGTAACCACCCATACGGTGGCGACGTGGTCTAATAACTTCCTCAAACGCCTTCTGACCAACCTCACTTCCTTCACCCAAGGTGATCTCACGCCAGCACTGGATCGCAATCGCATGATTCAACAATACCGTGCTGCGAGGAAACGCCTCTTTATGTTCGATTACGACGGCACACTGACACCGATTGTGAAAGATCCCAATGCCGCCATCCCTGCCGATCGGGTCCTCCGAACGCTGAAAGTTCTTGCCGCCGACCCCCGCAACAACGTTTGGATCATCAGTGGTCGTGACGCCTCCTTTCTTGAAGAATGGATGGGCCATATCACCGAATTGGGCTTGAGCGCGGAGCACGGCTGCTTCCTCCGTCGACCTGGGTCTGAAGCGTGGGAAAATCTTGCTGCTTCTATGGACATGGGCTGGCAGAAGGAAGTCATGGAGGTGTTCAGTTACTACACCGAACGTACGCAAGGATCTTGGATCGAGAGAAAAAAGGTAGCTCTCACCTGGCATTATCGGCAAGCAGATCCGGACTTTGGAGCGTTTCAGGCTCGCGAGTGTCGAAAAGCGTTGGAAGATAATGTCATGAAGAAGTGGGATGTGGAGGTCATGTCCGGAAAAGCAAATCTGGAAGTCCGGCCACAGTTCGTCAACAAAGGGTTTATCGCTACACGATTGATCAATGAATACGGGTATGCCCGTGGTGATCCGCCCGAGTTTATTCTTTGTTTGGGAGATGATCAAACCGACGAAGGTGAGCTATAAATCGACTTCCAAAAACCTCTAGAAACACTCGGCTAACTTTGATATAAGATATGTTCCGAGCGCTTCTCAAGACAAATTTGCCAAAAGAACACGTCTTTGCATGCACGGTGGGAGCGAGCAGCAAACGGACGCTTGCGACCTGGCATCTTCTCGAACCGGGTGATGTGATTGCTAGCATTACTGCCTTGAATAAGCAGGAAAATCTATAGAGGCGAGGCCAAACAGCGGGTGCTATAGAGAGAGAGAGATCCCGGAGAATGATGCCACGGGGGGTGAACCGTTGCTCAGAATGTGCCTAGCCCGCGGCAGGATTTGAGTTTGATTGAGTTATATGAAGATGGACTATTTATGGCCGGGGCACTCGGAGTGAGCAATCAATTGACGGGATATGGACAGACAACAGCTATGAATGCTACTGGTGCTACTGGTACGAATAATGCGAGAGGGGGAAAAGCGAAGACGAAAATGGGGGGATGCCATGCCCAAGCCATGTCTTGCATAACTTTGGGCAAAATGAAGACAAGACCACAAAATAAGATGGTTATAGGGGACACAGAACTGAGCAAGATACAAGAAGATAGAACATGAAGATGACGGATTCGTTCCATTCAAAGTCATGGTCTAAGCACCGACCCCGGCACCCATTGAGAAGGGGCCAAGAAAAGAAGACGGGTGGCATAACAGATGTGGCGAACATTCCATCGAAAAAGTGTTTGTTGTCAGTGTTGGTGGTCTGATTTTTCGGATTGGGCAGCAGCAATAATTTACGCAATATCGCACGTGTTCCGTCTTCTAGTCCAAGCAAAGATGATGATTCTGGCTGTGATTCCGAACATGTGCTCTGTGTGCAGGACGCTGATGGTCCGTGATAGATGAGATTGCTCAGAAGAACCTCGCGGCGAACTAGCGGGCCACAAAACAACGTATTATATGAATCATTGCCGTACGTAGGACGTACATCAAGCTATTAAGCCGAGTTCGAATTTGTTGCAGTGCGCGTTAGCTGGTGTTTTGTACTCTGTGTCCCTTTCGCCTCGGAAGCATTGAACAATTCCTCACTCAATATCGCTAACGGGGGTAAATAGAGTACAAAGTCATTCGAGACATAGCGTGAGCATTCCTTTGTCCCAGACTGACGATAATTTACTAGTCTGGAGAGGAAGGGAGTAGCGAAGAGATTCAATGTTAGCTGAATATGCTAAAAAAGTTGACTCGTATCCGGCGGAGGAATTCTCTCCATCTGTAGTTAAGAGCGTTGTTGCTCATTTGCTGGGCTATCTGGAAACGTACCTGCATCGCTGTTCTCTCCGTCACTCAGTTCATCAGTGGGATCGCTAACATACCCTAGGTAGCCAGACGAAAACCACCACATACAATTGAGGATCTGCTGGGCCATGGTTTGATTTTTGGTCATCGAAAGAGCATTTTCTTTCTTCGGTCTATCGCAGAAATGTCGTTGAAACCGTCCAGAATTATATTTTGATTCGAGGTCATGCATCGACGGCTCTTAAGCAGCGGTCGGGGCTAACCATTCCGTGCAAGGTGATACTTGATCGCCATGTTGGGCCCCGGCGGGCGGCTATCACGGCTTCATGCCTGGTGCGGGGAACAAGTCTTTTCGCTGATCTTGAATGCTAGGGGGAAATCGTTGATATAATCAAACATCCCGCCCTGTCTCGTTGGTCTGGTTGCTAACATTCAGATGGTCTTCACTCGAATTTTCAGACTCGCTCTTTGATTCTTGGTGGTGGCATCCAAATGATTTGTGGCACAGTGGTCTCCGCATATTGTCACAATCATTGGAAAAGAGTTCCTCGAGTAGTGGAGCAGGGGGGTCGACAACCGTAGTATTCCAAGAGGACGACTACAAAGTGAATATGCGCGTGGAGTCATCCGTGTTACCATTGACCATTGCCCAAAATTTTCTGATACACATTGCAAAGTCGAGAAATATGTATCATCGTGAATGTTGACCGATTCCGGCACCTATTTCTATCCGCCGGTTGGAATAATCCCAGAGTTGACCCAGCGGTCTGTTTGCATCGGAAAGCCGCATTTGGTGCCGTCTGTCTATCGTCAAGGTTCACCATGTCCAAGACAGCCGACGTGGAGAAGGCGTCAGGACCTCAACGGAGCTCGGGCGATATCGAGAAGGCTGCGGAAGCGACATCGTCCGTTGAAGAGGAATTGAAACCAACAGTTTCGATCTCGCAGACTGTCACAGGTGCCCTGACCAAGACTCTTTCCAGAGTGCGGACGAAAGACGGGATCGACCCAGGACCACCACCTGATGGAGGCTTGCGAGCCTGGCTAACGGCCTGCATGGCGCATCTTGTCATATTCAACACCTGGGGATTCATCAACAGCTTCGGGCTGTTTCAAACCTTTTATGTGGAGGTGATGAAGATCGGGGGACCTAGTTCTGTTGCATGGATTGGAACCACCCAGGTATTCGTTCTGTTTGGTATGGGCACCTTCACTGGACGAGGTCTGGATGCAGGATTCTTCAAACTTCAATTCATCTCCGGCAGCATCATCTATGTCATTGGCATGTTTTTGCTCAGTCTGTGTGACCAATACTGGCAGATCTTCCTGGCTCAAACCCTGTGTGTTGGTATGGGATATGGCTTGGTCTTCGTCCCGACTCTGGCCTTAGTGAGTACCTATTTCTTGAAGAAACGAAGTACGGGGCTTGCCATTGCCGTCACTGGTTCGGCTACCGGCGGATTGGTGTTTCCTGCCATTGCGGAAAAGATGCTCCCTACTGTGGGCTTCGCGTGGACCGTTCGTACCATGGCATTTCTACAAATGACTCTTGCTATCGTGTCTGCAATATTTTTGAAAGCAAGTTTTATCCGCGTTGACTGTTGAAATATCCGGCGCTGACGGTGGATAACAGCCTCGTTTGCCGCCGCGAAAGTCTGGACCTTTGGTCGAATGGTCTGCGTTCAAGGAGACACCATATACACTTTATGTGATTGGATCTTTCCTGTACTTTTGGAGCGTGTATGTTGGTTTTTTTTTTGTTGGGAGTTTTGGTCGCAATGCTCTCGGCACCAGTCAGGCAACAAGTATCAACTTGCTGATGGTTTTGAACGGAGTGGGGGTTCCTGGTCGAATTCTTCCGGCGTATATCGCTCAGAGATGGATTGGTCCGTTGAATCTGATGATTCCAACCGTGGCTACCGCTGGGGCTATCCTTTATTGTTGGACCGGGGTGGATTCGGCAACGGGACTGTGGATTTGGGCGTCGTTTTACGGTGTTGCTGCTGCTGGTCTGCAAGCCTTATTTCCCGTCGTTCTGACCAGTTTGACCACAGACCCCAAGAAGGCTGGGGTGCGAGCGGGAATGGGCTTTTCCATTGTCGTAAGTTTCCCTCTCTTTCTGGAAGTCAGAGATGGATCTTACTCATTGATCTCGATTCTAGGGCTGTGCTGTTCTTACTGGACCTCCAATTGCCGGAGCTTTAGTACAAAAGGACGGAGGAGGCTTCGTGGGGTTGCAGCTCTTTTCCGCGACAAGTATGGTAGCATCAGCGGCGGTTCTTGTATGTGTAAGATTCGCAGCCGTAGGATGGAAACGAGCGAAGTTGTAGAGTGATGAGACCAGCGGTTGTGCAACAATTGAATTGACATCGAACCACTCATTCAAAGTCCTTTTTGCTAAAATGAGAAGAGTGGCTTTTTCCCTGGGAGGATCAGCCTTGCCACTGCCGGGCACAAAGTGTTGGCTCGACCCTGATTGGTCCAAGAAAGCCAGTAACAACTCACAAGAATTTGTCGCATCTTCCAACCGACCGTTGTATCTTCTCCTCTTCCCCCCCTAGATTTCGACTTGGTTGTCTCCTACGTGACAAGAATCTGACCTCTTCGACCTTGATCATTCACAAGATCTACCCTCGCGCACCGTAAGTCCCTTGCAAATCGACGTCATATCCCTCTTCGTTGGACACAAAGAAAAACATTTGGCGGCAATCAAAGGGGCCCCCCGCTCTTTGCTGCAGTCACATGCCCACAATTTCTTATGCCTTTGGGAAATTCTAACAAGGCCAGCACTGATCGAGAATTTAGTCAGGGTGACATTTGAGACTTCCTTTCTCAGCCTCCGCTGTTAATCAGCCGTCAGGTCCAAGTTTAGGATCCTGAAACCTACGGACTGCCTTCCACCCTTGAGACTCGATAGATACCTCGTATCCGGGGCAGCTCTCACCTCTGCAATCATGGCACCAAGAGGACGAGGAGGGAAATTTTCAAAACCTTCTAGGGGAGGTGAATCATCATGTTTCAATCCAAGCTGCAGCACATGCACTGACTCATATTTCAGGCGGCAAGCACTTCTCCCGCGATCTACAGCCCCTCGACAAAGAAGGGAATCTCATGGGTATGTGGCGAGAACCAGGTGATGAAGACGACGAATCTTCAGAAGAGGAGTCATCCGAGGAAGAATCTTCCGACGGCGGTGAAGGATCCTCCTCTGTACAACAGCCAGCCTCGAGCGAGATGACTCGGGAACAACGAAAGGAGGCCGCACGGCTGAGGAAGCAGGCCGCAATTGCGAAGAAGAGCCAGAAGGCCGCTGCCGTGGGAGACATGCCAAGCAGTTCAGAAGAAGAGGATGACGATGATGATGATGAGATGCCTGCAAATCCCAATCACACACCAAAGGCCAGATCACAGGCAAGAGCGGTGATAGGAGCAAGTGGCGAAGCACCCAAGAAGGGCGACAAGGAAAACCTCAGCAGACGGGAACGCGAAGCCATTGCCGCACAGCAAGCCAAGGAAAGATACCAGAAGCTACACGCCGAGGGCAAGACCGATGAAGCGAGAGCGGATTTGGCACGACTCAAATTGATCCGAGAGCAACGTGAGGCTGCTGCGGCGAGAAAACAGGCGGAGAAAGAAGAGAAAGAAGCGCGTGAGAAAGAACGGAGCGAGCGAGAAGCGAAGATGAGAGAGGCCGCTTTGGCCAGTGGTGGCGCCGGAAAGAAGGTGGGAAAGGGCAAGAAATGAATCTATCTCCTTGATCAGTGACTGGTAACGGATAACCGGACGGCTTCTGAGTACATACGTCGAAACGAACCGAGCAACATGACCATGATACGCAGCATGAAATGCACGGCTGGATGCCTTGTGGCTTGTGGTTGGAAACGCGGCTTGTGAGGAATATCCATTCTGGAGCAGCAACCTGGTCAAATGGGGACTGCCTTGAATTTGCATTGCATACAGCGTATGGGGGCTAGAATGGCATGGCATTGCATGGAATAGGTGGGTGCCTCAAACAATTAACACGGTAGCCTTGGACAGGGGACTGTTTTCCTCCTTTGCAGCCTTCCTCAACGCTCCACACCACAGCTTATTCTTTGTTAGATATCAAATGCCAATCTGGAAAGACTTCTTTCTCGGATATTATTCGTACTTGTTGGTTTACCTTTGAGCTCGTTATCACTTTCTTCCTCGACACCATCGCTTACTTGCCTGCTTGCCCTGTGAGCCTGTTCAAAAACATTCTGTCGATGCATTCAGGCCATAAGCACAATATGAAACTTCAGAAACAAATCCATGACGCTCGTCTCATCAATCTGAACAGCTTGCTCCAGACAGGGCATACCTTAGCCAATAAAACATCCGGATCATCCGCCTCGGAGAGATCTCACCTCAGACATCAGATGAATTTTTCTTGTACCAGTCGGCATACCTGCTGCGAGAACTGTACCGACTTGCCTTGAGTCCATACCCATTTCCACTCTTGATGTCCAGATACGTGTAGGCGTCGATTTTGTAGTAGATCGTCTTCAAGGCATGTCCGGCTTTGCTGTTGTGATCGAGAAGCCCGAGATCCTTTATCGCGCGTAATACCCGATCCACGTCATCTTCAGCGGTAAAGTCGTGCGTGTACACGCAGAGCAATCTATACCCCCCCTCAGTGTTGTTGCTTGATCTTTCTCCTTTGCCGTCTCCCCTTCCGTCCCCACTCTCATCGCTGTCGCCGTCCGACGCTGTTTCGACTTTCGCCGTGACCCCAAGCTTACCTTCCCAGGTGGCTCGCGCTACAATTTCCCACACTCGATCGACCTCTTCAGGAGCGAGAAACAGAAGCCATTTTCCAGACGTCACATTGTGCTTCGTGGCCAGGTCAATGATCTCCTTTTCCAAGTTTAGGCGGTCGTTCGACAGCATGCGTGTGATACTTCCCTTGGCCTTGCCTGGGTTCTGGGCTTCCATCTCCGCCTTGCGCTCACGGAAGCGTTCCAGGAGCCGCGAGCCATGTTGGAAGAAGGTCTGCCTGTCGACATCGTCGGGGTGACGGCGTCGTTGCAAGCCCGGAGGACTCCCGCGGACAATGGGTTGAGGATGGGGGTTGTCAATGTGGATCCAGGGGCCACCGTCCGAGATGGTGGTTGTGGAGGGGGGCAGTCGAGTTAGGAAGTCATCGAGGGATTCTGAGAGTTGTTTGGCCATGGGATTGCCTTCGTAGTAGTTTTGAGCGCTGCTATCACGAGCCGGATCGAGAAAGTCTCCATGTTCGAGCCCTGGATTCCGGACTTCGCCAGCAGCCTGCCGTGGTTGATTCGAGGACTCGGGTTTTACTGACAACGCGTTCTTTTCTGCCCGTTTCTTCGCTGCCTCCTTTGCGACCCTCCGTGCTTTCCTCGATGCGGCTTTCTGAGCTTTTAGGCCCTTCACGGCGACGACTTGGGCATTCCACTCGTGGGTCCTCCAGTACTTTTGCGGATCGTAAGATACGGCTAGCCTGTCATAGGTTGATTTGGCTTCCGAGTTGCCTAAATTAGGGGGGGGATTAATAATTTCATCTGCGAACAGATGTATTTGAACATGGGCACTCTTTGCCGTAATTTGACTTACCGAAGAAATCCGATTCTTCACTGAATAGATCATCGGATATGGGGCCAAGTTCTTCCGTCGTAGTGCTTGATATCTCCGACATGATTGCAACGTACGTCTGCAGAGTAAGTGGCTTACATGGTGTTTAGAACGACGAGAACGATCAGTCAGATAAGTAAGAGATAGAGAAACGCGGCATGATCAAAAACTGGAATGGCGTAGATCACGAGGTGAATGAAGCAAGAAACGACGAAAGGATGGTCGTCCGAGATGGCGAACAGGCTGAAGCGCTAGAAGAAGCCACATGAACAGGGGCCCCTGTTGCTCGGCGGTTAGAGGCAAGGCTGAACTTGCCACCATGTGTACATCGCTCAAACAAAACGTCTTAAATTCAACATCATTCAAATTCTGCGGGTCGTAATGTGCGCACATGAACTGCTAATTGTCCAACAGGTTCGACTTACAGAATGGCTAGGTCTGCTTCAGATCCGTCCCACCGTGCGATGTCCATCAATCAGTACGGCTTGTCCATCTCGAGTGACAATTCCCTGATTTCACGGTTCGGGAATCTCGGGAGATCCCACCGTTGTTCTCATCTCCTTGACCCATCGATATATTTGAAGCACCAGCCGTAATATGCGTCACTCAGCTCTCCGGTGATCAAAGTAGTTTCAGGCCCACAAGCCCGGAAATCCACGGTATGAGTTCCATGTCGCAACAAATAATGCCACGCTAGATTCGCCACACCCCTTTTCTGGCCCAAGTCCAAATTGACAAGTGCTGATGATGGAGGCAGACCTGTCAGTGGCCGTGACATTGAAGCCCGTTACGCCATTAGGACAATTGTCAGGATCGAACGAAGGCCCCTTTGTCCGAGCAGTACATTCATCGGATACATTGGCGCGTATGAAGGAGTCCACGAGCCCGTCAGGTGGGTGTACATACTTAAGGCTTATTTCTAGGGGTATACCAAAGGTATATGGTTCGCAGTTCTCTGAATTCGGGTCATGCGGATCGTCGAGTGTTCGCCGCTGCTGGTGTAGCAGAAGATTGGTGAAGCGCAAGATCTCCCAGAGGGGTGAACACGTGGTGATCTGCTGCGGCAGGCAAAGGCATTGGAGCACACCTGCTCGTGGTCGTTGATGATGGTACGGCGAGTGATGACATCGTCGAAAGACTGATCATGCTCGCCGTTGTCGTCAAGGTGGATGAAGATGCCTTCGAGAAGGAGGGACTTGTCATTATGGAGAATGTGGTCGTCGTAGTTGATGTCAGGCTACTCAATGGAGTGCTGGTGTCTCCATTCATGCTCATTAATGTGTAGAGAAAGCGGTGGGAGGATGGTGTGTTGCTCAAAGAGGAACTCGACTTCCCACATTCCGCAACTTCGGTAACAGTGATCGTTTTCGGGGTGGTTGCAAATGTCTCGGTGTTCGTAAAAGCAGTAACGGTAACAGTCTCAGCGGTAGTCACAGTGACAGTGGAGGTTATGGGCAGCAACGTCCGCTTCGCTGCTTCGAAAATCGAACAACCCATACGTAATTCTGCACGACAAGGCTGGTATTCAGAGCCAAATGGCTGCTGAAAATCCGTCGATAGTTGCATGCCTGCCAGAAGCTCTGTACAAAACCTGTCTGCAAGCGCTGTGTTTGCTAACAATCGAGAATAAAGAAGACGAATACCGCTGGGAATCAATAAGTAAGCATTTCCACACATACGAGGGGCCAAATACCATGCTGCTTGTGCCTGAATGGGGCTCAAGAGGGAGCATAAGATGATTAACAGACCTGTTCGATTCATTTTGTACATTGGATAGTCAAGCCAGAGTGAGCCGGACTGAAGGGGGCGTTGAGCAAGAGAATCGAAAGGTCAAAAGCCTTATATCTTGTAGTTCCTAGCCCTGAGAGTATCTTGGACCTCCGAATGGCCTATGCGTTTCTGTGCCGCTGAGTTTCGCGCTGGAAGTCGGGCCCGAAACGGCTCTTGACCTTGATAAGCGCATAGCTGCCCGCCGTTGCCTGTCCCCCTAAAGGACAGCGCTCAAGGAAATTGCCATCGGTTTTGGACGATGATACCTAGAGGCGTAGGATATCTACATGGACCTTCGAAGCTCAAGGGAGCGCCCTGCTTTGGGTTATCGGCCGAAGAAATTAAGGAGACGCTGACATGAAGCTGGCAAGTTGACAGCCTCCTTTTGTTTGGGCGCGAAATTCCTTTGACACGCGATCAGGCCGAAGTGCATGCCACCGCATCATATCGACAGCTTATGTTCGTAGGTATAATTCTGTCGAGTAGAAGTAAAATTTGTTTGGGAATGTCAACCAGCTGGATAGCACAATGAAAGAATTCGCTCCACCGTAATCGCAGCCTTGTCCAAAAAAATTTTGACTTTGACTGCATACCCTCCAACTGATGAAAGACGGCGAGATTGGAACGTAGGATAGGCCATCCGTTATGGTAGGCCACTATGGCTTCTCTGCAGCACCACACGACTACTGGTGCCTCCCTCTCCCTCTCCCTCCCCCCGAAACAACCCTTCTCGGAACGCGGTAAACGAGTTGGTGCAACTTTTCTAGCATCCGCCTTGAGCAAGTCTTGAATCGTACCTCAATTGATCCCCCTCGGTTCCTCCAACCTTACGCATCATCCCACAATGCCTCCCCCCAAACCTTCTCTCAACGAACTAATGCAGACCGTCAAAGCCAACGTCAAAAAGTATCGTGCAGAACGACCGTCTCTGTTAAAACCTACAACATCAATGCTCAAAATGGATGAACCTGAAATTGAATCCTCCTCCCGTGCTGCGGATCAAGAAGTGGACACTGTTGAGATCTGCCCTGAACACCCAGAGTACATGATCATTGGGACGTATTCGCTGGTGAAAAAGGGCGAACCGTGCGACTACGAAGGCCAAAGCCGCCGGGGAACACTACAAGTCATGACCGTTGCTTCAAATCCCCGGCCCAAATACGCCGGTATGCTGCCTCCGCAGCTCGATAAGGTGGCATTCTCCTGCGCTGTGCTGGACATACATTTCCACCCTACGGACAGATCACTCCTGGGCGTTGCGACAAGTAATGCTGAGATGCATTTCTTTCGTTTTATTATCCACGGCGATGTGCTGGGTCGAAGAACGATAACGAAACTCCTTCTGCTGGGAACTATAACGGTGGCAGAGAATGACGAGCATGGGCTCGTCCCGTTGGTTACGCAATTCACATGGTTTCCTGAGATCCGAACACGTGGAGTATCTGGAATCAGCGACATGGAGGATATCTCATTTGCAGCGACGACCTCATTCGGAGATGTCAAGGTCATCAAGACTTCCATTCCGGCGATCAAGGTCCTCTTTGATGATCGACTGTCTCAACCATCAGATCCGATACCAGTGATTTCCACTGATATCCACAAACATGATCTGGAGGCCTGGACGGTTACCACAATCACCCTCAACTCCTCCGAAAGCAAGAGCAATGCCAACCACTGTATGATCCTCAGTGGAGGCGACGACAGCGCCTTGATCGCATCCGCGGTTGGTCTTCCCAGGATAACATCCCAACCGAATTCTCCATCCATCTCCCCATCTGACATCCCAGACATCATTGTTCAGCCCCTCTGGAAAGACCGCCGCAGCCACACCGCAGGTGTAGTGTCAATCCTCCCACTCCTATTCCCGAACAATAGTGGCCTTGACACGGAGCACGAAACCATCTCCTTTGTAACAGGCAGTTACGACGAGTACCTCCGCGTTTTCGAACTCGACGCGAAGACGCTCCGCGCCCATTTCAAGACCGAGCTAAGACTCAATGGCGGCGTATGGCGGTTGAAAATTTTAGATCAGTACGATACTACAAGCGAGACGTCCGTGACTGCAAGCACGGGCCCTTCTCCAAACACCATATACCAGAGTGGGACAAGGATGGAACGGCACCAAAACACTCTCATCCTAGCATCCCTGATGCATGCCGGTGCCGCGGTCCTTCGCCTGACATACTCGTCTCCTTTCGACAGCTCGCAAGGAACATGGACAATCACACTTGTCAAGACCTTCCGCACCGGTCACGAGAGCATGGTCTATTGCTGTGACGCGAGGCGGGACACCGGGAACGAGGCGCTTTCACAGAAGGAATCCACGCCGACGTACACGGTCGTCAGTACCAGTTTTTACGATATGAAAATCTGTGCATGGACGTTTGCGGATCAATTCAAGGGGCAGATTCCGGCTCCACGTTAGGACAAGGAGGATATGAAGGGGCCTGTCATGAGCCTGGATATTCGTTTCGGTTGCTGAAGGGTGCATGGTCTGCTAGGTGCTGATTCCTGAAACACAGGCTCGCGACATTATGTTAAGAGTATGGCGACTCCCTGGAGGGAATACCAGATCAGGACCACAGCTAGACCGGCGCACCAAATCTCATATTCTGACTTGACTGTCTATGCTTTTGGCATGATTTCGGTTCCCGGTCCCAGGCCACGCTATGAGTGTACAAGAATATTTATCTCCCCTTTCCTGCCACCAACTCCAAAGCATCTCGCTCTTGTGAAGTAGGATTCAGACAATCATCTCCAATTCCCGGGCGTATTCGACCATGTGATTGATGACTTCTTTCTGATCACTCTCTTCTGCCTTCTTCGCGTCTTCCATGCCAGGGAAGTATATTCTCCCGTCCTTCAGGCTCCACCCTTCTTCATTCGCAAAGGCCATCACCGCACCTTCAGAGTCTAGGAAGAGAAGATTCTTGGCCGAAGCAATTGGGAGGGAAGGGTAGGAGCGGGCGGCGCACGAGGCGATCTCTCGGCGGATGGTATCAATCAGAATCTGGTCGCAAGTTAATCATTCGAGAGATCTTGTGTAATTCGCACGGGGGACGTACATCAGAGAACAAGGCGAATTCTTCACCGGGGACGTCTCGACCGCTGGTCTTGCGCCAGACTTGATCATAGCTCCCTTCCATCAGACTCCTTTCCAGCTCGATTGGGTATTTAATGAATTGGTCCTCTTCTACTGACGACGCACCATTCGACCCTTCGGCCACGATCAAGGTTTCGAGGAGTGTGTGAAATCCAGCATAGTCACCCTGACTGAGGAGGAGTAATAGATATAGCCCGGTGATTTTCGATCGGCCACGCGAGGGTGATGGTTGAAGGCCAGGGAAGTCGTAGAAAGGTTGGAGTTGGGAGTAATATCGCACGAAGGATTCGGGATCTCGTGATCGGATAGACAGAAGAGCGCCGGCTTCCAGGATCGATCGAGCGGTTGCCAGTGTGGAAACGGGAATTTGTTCTGAGGGTATTAGGGCATTCTGTTGGAGGAGGGCCAGCTTTGCTTTTTGCAATTGTGATTGCGCATGAGATGAGTCGCCATGGGTGAGTGATTGCTGAAGCGTATGTAGTATGGAATCGAGGGACGAGGAGTGTGAACCTGTCGCCGAAGGCATTTCGGATTTTATTCAGAGGCGCGATGGGCCCTTGTATTTTGTCGAGTGGATGAACAGACGGGCTCGGGTTGCTTGCGCTGGGGGAGAAGGATTGTGCAAGAACAGACGTCTCACTGGCAGTAGAATCGTTCTTGCCAAAGTTGATGCATGGGAGAGCCGCACAAAGCCAACCCGGAGTGCTTGCGAGTTGGAGTCCCAGCCTGCTCCGCCAAGAGCTGGTTGGTGCTCGGGTGGCGACCCACAGCTTACTTAATCACCAGCATGTTGGGACAACTCATCTCCCATCTGGGCGGAGAATCCCAAATCATTGCAGCATTCCTCCGGCGAAGTTCAACCTAGTGGGTCGAGTGGATTATCTAAATGTCAGGTACATTGCCTAGATATTTCGGGTTCCTACGATCATGCTGACGTAGAGTGAGATGAAGTATCGAGGATCCAAATACGGAATGCTTGTCAATGGGCAGGCACAGTTTCGTCCGCCTTGAGCTAGTCAACGATGTATCTGGCCTGCTGAATCAGATGTCTCCCTTAGAAGGCAAATCATCCTTTGCTTACTTGATCTTGGAACCCCAAGGTCAACATGACTCACGGCATAAAGCGACCAAGCAAATAAGTGACTCCCCCAATTGCGGACAAGCGACAATGAACTTCCAGTCGCCGTAGATTGGTGACGTTGGTACGGTCCGATTTAGACCGGACATCGGATCATCTTGCTTTGAAAGCATACCAAAAAGCTGAGGTACAGATGCTAGAACACCGTTTTGGAGTTGTTCAATCATTTCCCTTAATTTATTATGTTGAGCATTGAGAGCCGCAGATATCTGTTTTGAGGTATCAAGTAGAGCCTGAACTGTGTCGTCGATGGCACGTTGGAGGGAGAGAAGGCGACAGATACGCGGCCCTTTCCAGATCTGTACTGCCATGAAATTCTCGTAGACATGGTAAGAGCCTTTGACAGCATCATTTGAGATGTTTGTTTGTAATGTTCGAGGTAGCTTGCATGAACAGGCGAATTTCCGTTTCGATTGTAACCGTTGATATTTTCGCATCTTGAGCAGCGATGAAACTCCATCAATGCGGGCTTGTCGAGTAAAGATACCCTGCTGAGGGTAAGTATTCAGTTCTTCGAAGTGGCTTAGCACTATCACTGTTAAGAGACTGCTATCCCGTTTGATAGTTTTTTGGATCTCGAAGTGCAAAGTTAACAGGTTGTATTGCTGATCCGTCAAGACTTGCAAGTGAGCTCTATGGGTTTCTGAACGCTGGCAAGCCCATCACATCCAACGGCTTTCGTACAGTCTGCAAGGGCTTTGGAAGCTTTACTTTGGTCATTCCATTGGATCGATGCCGCAGAAGGTAACCATCCACTGTGAAGTGCAACGCAAATGCCCCCATTGCAAGATAGTCTATACCAGGAGAAAATGTGCTGTAGGGCAACGGTGATATGATGGCCTGACCAGCCAGATCAGCCTCTCTAGGTCCAATGACCCGAGCGGTCGATGGTTCCTGGGGTCCAGCTCGAGATTCATCATCAACTACAGTGTGCTTTGAAGGTGCGTGTTTTTCTTCCGCCGAGGCAATATCCTGGATTCGCTTACTGACACGACGTTGGACTTTTCTTGCAACATGGGAGGTTTCATCGTGAACTAAGACATTTATCTCGTTGCGGTGTCCCTAACATTAGAAATTCGCGTTCTGGCGATTTTTGCGCCCACCAGCAGCTGAATTATATTTTCAGCAAGTGCCGCCTGCTCTCCAAGAACCTGTCACGATACATCATCTCTTTTATGTAGGACTTTGAAGGAAATGAACTACTGTGCAAATCTTGACTTTGAATGAAATCTCTTGCTCAAGTACTTCTTTCCGTATCCCCGAGTTTCTGGGCAACGACCATGAAAGCCAGCAGGAGATGCTGGAACCCGATATCCCAATCGATGCTCAAACGGTACCCAACCGTATAGGGTCACCTGTAAGAGGAAACACCCAACCAGAATCTTGGAAACTTCGGCACCTCACCCCACAGAGTCAAGGTAGGTTCGAATAGGGTTGTTATGCCCTCAAATAGCGGGAAGAAATGAAACTGGAAACATGAACGGCGCTCGCCGAGACTTTATTCCGCAGTAAGCTTTGTAGCGGCCATGATGTGCAACTGCTTTGGTGCGGAAACGAACTGTCACTTACAAATTCCACATTTCACATTGCAATACTCGCTCGGATGTCTTTCCATGCGTCCTTTGGGTTTGATATGCCTTGACTCGGTGTGGAGACTTCAGGTAGCGACACTCGATTTTGATTGGCTGGTTTGGCCACCCCTCCTTTTCAGTCGGAGCCTTGCGATGCTGCGGGTTCGCACGATCACCTGAGCGAGGAAAGAAGTGAACTAGTGCTTGGAATAGATGTTCGCCCCTTCAAAGTGATCAACCGCAGACCCATCTAGTTGCCGTCTTATATGAAATACAAGCATCACCAGCCCTGAGCAGCTCTGCATCTCTCTATCTCTCGGATCATTCAAATATTTCATATCCACAGGAATCAACCACATTCAATCCACCCGACAGAGACCACGCGCACCAAGCATATCGTCCTCTGCCAAAAGTTCCCCCTTACCACCAATCCGCCGCGACACACATTCCTCTTCTGTTCAATCCTGTCTCATGGCGCCGGCGTCTAACTCGTGTGGTCCTCGTCGAGCTCGTCTGCTGATGCCTCCTCGCTCGAGGACGAAGATCTTGTAGCCACAGGCCTCGTGCTCCGCATCGTTGACTTCTCTCTACATATTAAGGCGCACGTGCACCGGCGTATTAGTTTACGTTACATCCTTATTTTGAAAGGAACGGAGTGTTAACGTCAGATCAGGGGAGTAGGACCAAGATCGAGGAAGAGGGACTCGTCATACAGCATACAACCAGCTTCTTTGAGTACGCTTTATCCGAGTGGGTAAGAAACCACTCGACTTTTACCTCATCGTCTGCCACTATGCTTACACTGGTTAATTCCATCGATCTTACTAATCTCGAGTTATAGGTATACCCTATGCCGTGAGTTCTATTTCGTCCTATAATCAAATGCAATGTCTAGATTTGAATTATCCAAAAAACAAAAGTCATATTCATATAGCTTGCATATTTTGAAGTAGGAAGCCGATACAAGGCCGGTTGCTTGCGCATTTTGGGAGCAGTCAATAAATACACAAAACAAATGAGACTGGCAAATTGCTACTCCAGACAGATTACTATTAAATGAACTTCCCAACAGCATCGACGATTCCATCGGGATCCTCAAACGTGTGCCAATGACCAGTCTCCTTCAACATGACCATTCGGGCTCCCTGCAAAAGTTTCACGAGTTTGTTGACATGGGCCGGAGGGCTGACTTTGTCTTCATCTCCGCCAACGATCAACGCCTCAGACCGAATACGAGGGTAATCAATTTGGAGATCTTTGGCCGAAGCTAACGCCGTACAGGCCTTAGCATACGCCTCGGGATCTTGAGAAAGCAAGCTCATCTGCACAGCGGCATATGCACTTGAACGATTTGTCTTTGTTCGGTCAGACGTGCCAGCGGTCGCCACAACCCTGGCAACATGTCTCATACCCTCTTTGCGAACGGTGGCGGCTCGTTTGACACTTGCTTCCACGCCGGGCTGAGGAAGTGGAGATGGAGGAGGGCCGATCAGGACCAAGCGGTGGGCTAGTTCTGGATGTTGCTGTGCGAACAGCTGTGCCACCAGACACCCCATGGAATGAGCAACGATGGTGACGTCCTTGTTCAGTGGGAGATTCAACGATGGCGTCTTGATCAGAGCATACAAAGTCTTCGGCGAGGCTCGAAATCGTGATCTCGCTGGTCGCTGACGTTGGGGAAAGCCCGTGGCCTTCAAAGTCGTAGAGAAGACAGGTGTAGTCCTTGTCCTGGTTGAGACGGTCCACCAGAGGCGTGTAGAAGTTGATGTTTCCTCCAAGACCGTGGACAAAGACCATCATGCGATTTCCTGTTCCAATCTTCTCAACATTTACTTTCTTTCCGGAAGAAATGGTAGTTAGCCCCAAACCACCCATTGTGATTGAGACGTTTTGAACGGGAATACTGCGTGCTTCCTCTTCGGCGATGCTCACGGTAACTTCCTTTGGATCTCTCGAATCAGTAATTTTGTTACGCAATGTGCCTATTCCCGCCACCGAAATCTCGACGACATCTGACGGTTTCAGGAAGACGGGCGGTTTCCTGCCAATGCCGACCCCGGCGGGAGTTCCGATGGCTATCACGTCTCCAGCACGCAGAGTCTGAGACTCGGACAAGGTCTTGATGAGTTGCGGGACTGAAAAGATCAATCGTTCTGTCGAGGCTTGTTGTCTCTTCTCACCATTGACATGAGTTGTCACGGTCAAAACATCTCCCACGGCTGATGCGGGTACTGCGACTGGACCCATGGGGCAGTATGTGTCGGCAGATTTACCTGTTTCAGGTGTCAGCCACCGTCCTAGAAAATTGGAAAGTTGTAGGCTGGAACCTACCAATGTAAAATTGTTTGTGATCTCGCTGCCTCTCACGGGCCGTGATGTCGTTGATAATGGTATATCCCCAAACGTGATTTTGAGCCTCATCTTCTGAGATTTTGAACCCACCCTTTCCAATGATGACTCCGATCTCACCCTCATAGTCCATTGACGTTGTAAACTCTGGGTCAGCATGACTTCCTTGTCATGTGCTATGATGGAAGACGATCGTTTAGTGAAGAACACGGGTAGCGACGGTCTAGCTTGGTTGTCAGACGAGTCGTATCCACTTGCATGGAACTCGTTTGCGTGTTCCATGTAGTTCTTGCCGACGGCAATGATATCCCTGCCAGATAATGGCGGAAGAATCTCAACACTATAGCCCCATTGAATGGCAGCCTGCCCTGCTTTGATGATTGCTGCTGGGTAGGCGCTGAGAGTGGATGGGTCGTCAGATGATAAGGCCGCGATCAGCGCAGACACTTGGTCTTTTGGAAATCCTATAGGAACAACAGCAGCAGTGGTGCGACTCAAGATACTGTCGGACGCTCGGTTGCCCAGGATTGAAGCAAAATCCTCGATTTGTCATCAGTTTAAGTGAAAACAAAAAATTGGACTGCTAGACTCACCGTCGTGCCAATAGCAGCACCTAGAAATCTGAACGTGCCCACCAGGCCGAGTGCAAGACCAAGGTCGCGCTGTGGTGCGTTGAGTCTAGCAATGATGTAATAAGCCAAGGTGATCTAAGCAAACGGGAGATTGGCAAAGAATTGAAAGACAATTGCCACCGGGTAACCGATCCGGTGTCAATATCCCAAACAGCGCGACAAAGATTGACTGCAGCAAGACCCAGTAAAGAGTTGCCATTGAACACGCTTCATCTTCGCAATGAGACCACCCAGGATCACGCCGCCTCCCGCGCCGGCAAATCCTCCCGGAATGTTTTACAATCCGGCTTCGACAGGGTCAGCAGAGTACATGTAGGCGATTTGCTGTGAGATCAACGCTGTCAGACTGAAATACACCATGCCCACCACAAAAATGAAGGCGAGCAAAAACGTGAACTCTCGATATTTCCGGAGAAGACGCGCAGGGAATTGTGGTCTTTTTGGTCGTCCGCTGAGCACGGGGGCACTGGCCCATGGATAACTGACACCTCCCCAGCCGAGCCCAATCAGAAACACAGTGATGCCGGCAGAATATAAGAAAATGCCAAGACAATCCAGCTCGGAAAGAAGCTGTCTTCTTGAGATTTCAATCAACGGGTGGGAAGGGGGATGGTAGAAAATTCCCGTTCCAACAAGTGCAATCATCCCTGTGGTGATCCCGAGAATGAAGACCCAGCGCCACGAGGCATTGGTTGCCAGGGTGCGAGCGATCAGAGGACCAAATGTTGCAGAGGGTAGTAGGTTCAATTCTGTCCAGGCCAAACCGATCGACCGATACCGATTTGGAACAAGCTCAGAAATTCCAGGGTAGTGGACAAATGTTGCTCCTCCTCTGGTCAACCAATGGGTTTCCTCTGGATCGAATCAGAATGCTTACCGGTACCAAATCCGATGATTACCATTCCAGCAATTCCTTGACCCAAATTCTGAGCTGTGGCGGCAACTAGATGACCCACGATGAGCAGCGTCTGACCAAACATGAGGATATAATGGCGGCCAAATTAGTCACTCAATTGTCCAGCTATCGCAAACGCCACACTTCCCACCAATGACCAGCCCGAGGCCATCCAGTTGGAATTTTCCGTATTGCCTTGCAGTGCAAGCGCCATAGGCACCTAGTTATCTCTCAGTTGAAGCCTCTTTGTAAGCAACGGGTTACGGCATACAATGAGCGGGAAAGCGCAGTACATTGCGAAGCTCAGTGAAGGTTGGAACGTAAACCCCAGGAAAAAGACTGCGGCGTAAGTGGATCTCGTCACCTTTGAGTCCACATCAATGTCTTCCAGGGCCGCCCGATGGGGGTCGCCGTGGTCATCCCGAATGTGAGGGTCAAGCTTGTCTTCAACTGTACCTGCACGGGTTGGTTGCGAATGCTCAACATGATGAATGTCGGCGTCTGAAGCTGCGGCGCTCTTCTCTTGAGAAGCCATAACGAATTTCCTGATAATGTCCAAGGCAATATTGGATTGTCAGGGATAACCCCTCCTGGGTATCAAGGCGATATACATGGTTACTTATGAAGCCAAGCTTTCGGGGGAGGACTCGTGCTGAACATTTCGCTGGGCTTCCTCCGCAACCTCTAACGTAATCGAACCATCCATGGGTTCGGGCCGAAGGTCAGGACCGGAGGTTAGCTTCCGGTGGAGAGGTGCGGGAGAACGTGGCGGAGCGGAGTAGGCGGCTTTGAGTGCGGTGATAACGGAAACAGTACTGGGGCTCTGTTCTTCCCCGAATACCAAAGATCTCCTTGGGGGGAACATTGCTAGAAAAGCTTATTTATTCGGGAATTCTAAGCTCCTTGTCGGGGATCATTCTTGTCTTATTTCTTAGCCAGAGCGGACGTTAAAATTCAAGCTTCATTGGCCATATTCGCGCCGACTTTTTTCTACCTGAAAGATGCACAGGAAGCAGAGCACATTGAAGTGTCGAGTCTTGAAAGCTGTGCTCCGTAAAAATGGGCATGGGTGGATGAAGTGTCTCGCCGTCAGCATGGGAACATCTGATCTTCGGAAACAAGGTAGTGCTGAGAACGTATACCCAGAGATATACCGATAATGCATTGGAGAATCGTAAAAGTTCTTTTTGGAGTGTACAGTGTCATTAGTCTTCCAAAGCTCTTAGATGCTGATGGAAGGCTCAGAGCATCGGCAATGTTATCAGAGGTCAGTTCGAGGCATGAGCCTTCGGTGCTAGCAGAGCTCCACGGTAGTGTACTCACGTCACTCTTGCACCGCGGTACTTGGACTTGCCCAAGACGTGGCGAACCTTCTATGTATACCTTTCAGAGGGTTCTGCGCGAGGCTTCCAGTGCAACTGCGACTTTGCTGATGAGTAGTCCATAATCATATCGACTCATGGGCTCCGTACGGAGGAAGAAGGTTGAAGGAATCTCATAAGAAGACACTTTGGATATGGGATGTTGGACCTCTACTTGCCGAGACATGGCCGGTTTAAACACTAACTGGTCTAACCGAAATAGTGACCCAGCTAACAATTAATAGAAGGTGGATTTGTCTTCTATGAGACAGTTTTACCTTAATGTACATTTTCCCCCTACTTCCTGTATATTGTTCAATATCTCGAATCGAGATCAGAGAAGAGATTGTCCCACTCAGGCATGTCCATATTCGGACCAAACTCCACATAGTCCTTCCAGATCTCATCAAAGTCCGACAAATAATTCTGCGGATTGTCTGGCGGTGGCCATGAATCATCGTATGACTGTCTTTCCTGTCCGGCTGGTGTTGTGCTCAAGCCATTACCACGTTGAGGCATTCCAGTCGAATCCGGAAGGATTCCCTCCTCGGTAGAGTCACCAGGTGGAGGATTATTATGCAATCGAACCTTATGCGTTCGCAGAATATCCATGAGAGATTCCAAGAATTCGTGGGCCATTCGAGACTGGCATTTCACGTCTTCCAATATCTTACAAGCTTCTCTGACTTCTGCTTTTCGCTCTGCATCATCCCCGGCTGTCTTGTTGAAACATAAGTCCATCACCAAGACAATCGTCGCCATAAAAACATGATGCACCACTCCAGTGAGTTTGACGCTGGCAACCAGGATGGATTGGTATTCTTTTTCATGGAGTCTCCACACACGGATGCAGGAACGAGCTGACTTGAGAGAAATTTCTCTCGAATAGGCGTAGTTGGGGTCAACCGAACCCCGAATGAGAAAAGGTTGATGCAATTTGCACCGCCTGGTGTCGGCAATCATCCTCAGCGCATATCGCTGAACCTGAAGAGCAGGATATTGGCACATAATTGGCTCAGCCGCAAGACGGCTCTTTTCATCGGTTTGGAAAAACACGGGCAGCTCCTGGAAGAAAGCTTCGAATTTGTCATCTAGTGCAATGACATCTTGATAGTCGACAAGGGCGAGATCCCGGCCATTTAATGGCATGACATCGACAACATTACGACATATATCAGCCAGCTTGATTCTTTGGATATAGTATGACATCGTAGTCGGTTCCGACAGAGGTAGATTTACGGGAGGTTTGTCGTGCGTCAGGTCGCTATCATTGACATTACAAGGTATGTTCACGCACATATGTCGGGGTTGCAAGAAATACGTGCCTTCTTGAGGACCACCACTGAGAGATAAAAGCCTAGAAAACCCCCCAGAAATTAGTAAAGACCCATAAAATGAGAAGAATGTGTACCAATCAGTAGCGACCACGTGCCACCAAACTCTTCGGCTGATTTCAGTCTCCAAGTGATCGGGTTGACAGCGAGAACCTGGGATTTGGCCAGGCCGAGCATCCAATTTGTGCAATGAGAGGTCACGAGCTGTCGTGATAGCGTTTGCAAACAGGCATCGAGATCTTGTAGAGAACCCTTCAATGTGGTAAAGAAGGAAAGCCAAAATGATGGTGGTTTGGACATCCTCTAACCTCCTGGACGCAGTACGACGGGAGAACTCGAGGACTTCAAGAGCGGCATTGGCCCAGAACAAAGATGCTTGAGAAGCATCGGAAGGTGAAAACTGAAATCGGGTGCCTCCATCAAAGTGAGAGCTGAACATGGATGAACTTGCGAAAATGCTCAACAGGAGTGCGACATGGCTATGGATCACAGGCAGCCCTTTCTCCAGATTTGCGTATATTGAATCCATTATCCGGCGAACCGTAGGGATGTAAACAACGTGTTGTAGGCCATCAAGATACTTGACGTAGTGGTCCATCAGAAGCACGGCTTCTTCTTTCCGCGGAAGGCTATACCATTTTGTGGCAGGGCGGCAATGAGAAAGCTGGTCTGGGACGTTCTGAAAGATGCCATAGTTAATGGAGATTTGGTGCGTTGATGAAATTCCAAATTCAAAACCTTTAGAGCTCAGAGAGATCCAAGAGTCCTCACTGGTACCAGTTCCTTCAAGGTTGTGAACAGCCTCCTCGTATTCAGGGTCAGGCGAAAGAGAGGCCCGAGGAGAGTGGATTTTCGGTTGAGCCACATGTGGCGTCGAGTTTGATGACCCTATTACGATATCCTCCAGCCTTTTTAACCGAGCCAAAATGGACACATTGTCGGTATGAGACGAGGCCGGAGTCTGCCGGCTATATGGCTGAAATTGACCCTCGCAGGCGAGACCCCTCGTGGCACAGTTTGAACAAGGTTGCTGGCGATTGCACTTGAGCTTCTTGGAGCGACAAAACTGGCAGGATACCGGATCTTGACGGGGTCTTTTCAACGGGTTGGCGGGATGAGGCTGGCGTCCGCTTGAGAGCATTTCGAATGATGGTTTGGTGATGAGCTGAGAGACGAGATGCCCCGCGGTCAGTCCATTGTAAGGCTTGACACTTCGATTTCGCGCGCTTGTGAAGGTCAAGAAGAAGGCATCTGCCTGAGAAATTATTCCACTCTCTGAGGGAAGGGGTAAGAAAGAAGTCGAGACAAGTGGGTCGCCCGGGAATTCGTTTCAATGGTGCCCCCTTCCGCTCCATCCCATTTCGGGCTTAGCGTATGTGAGTCCTTTATCATTCCGAAGCTCCGTGGACTTTGCGAACCGTCACCATCCTTGAATGCGAAGATGAACCTGTCCATCCGGCGAGTCACTTTCATCATCCTTGTTGCCTTCTCGGGCGAGTGTCTCCCTTGTTGTTCTCTTCTAGTTAAGGTGGGCTGATAATATCGAAATGTCCGACTTACAAGATGCTCTGGAGCAGCTATATAAGTGCTTCCGGGCTCCGATCTTGCTCCTCGATGGAGAGTTTGAAGCAGAAAATTGCGCACAAAACCTTCAACACGTCCGAAAAAGTCTGAGTTAGACACAACTATGAAGACTGATCTGCAAGGAAACGCTGAGAAGCAAACTGACGCCGGTGAATTCAAGTCAGCCCGGACTCCTGAGTCCAGCATTTCAACGATCCACTGACAATGCCGCAGCACCAGATCTATCCTGACAATCATCGGATCCGCCCTCTCAGCTTTCTGTACTGTTGGCTTTCTCAACGCATTTGGTGTTCTTCTGGACTGGTACCACCGGCATGAGCTTAGTGATCACAGCGAATTTGACATATCTTGGATCGGGTCCTTTACTACATTTGCATTGTTCCTTACAGCCATTCCCGCAGGTCTGCTGGCAGATCGAGTACGTCCGACGGTAGGTCCGGACCGCCACATTATGAACCTTCATTACCTGACTTCTACCCAGATCCTTCTCATCGTCGGCGGCATCGTCACCCTCTTTTCCATGTTCATGATCTCCCTCTCCAAAGAATACTATCAATTCTTCCTTGCTCAGGGCTTTCTGCTGGGCGTGGGCCATGCTTTCTTCACCTTCCCCGTCATCACTGTGGTCAGTCTTCATTTCAACAAGAACCGCGGGTTGGCAACAGGTTTCACAATATCGGGTTCATCACTCGGAGGCGTCATATGGCCTATCGTGCTGGACCAGCTCCTCAACTCAGACGGTGTCGGCTTCTCCTGGACCATCCGAATTGTGACTTTCACCATGCTACCACTCGTCGTGATATCTTGTGCTACTGTCCTTCCACCTGCCAAAAATAAAGCAACAAATGAGGAAGGTGCATCGACGACTGCCGGAGAAAAGGACCAAACAAAGAAGAAAACGGACCTGTCCATAATCAAGAATCCGGTATTCATTACTTTCTGCACAGGCCTTGGAATCTACTATTTGGGTATGTTCACCCCTTTCTTCTTCGTCACCTCATACGCCGTCAGCATCGACATGTCAACCGGCTTCGCATTTTACCTGGTTTCCATTTTGAATGGAGCCTCACTTTTTGGAAGAATCTCTGCCGGCTTCTTCGCGGATCGGTATGGCTACTTCAACCTGTGTTCGCTAGCAGCTTTAGCTTCGGCCCTGATTACTTTTTGCTGGACTGGTGCAGACAGCTCCGCGGGTCTGGTGGTGTGGTCTTCGGCCTATGGATTCGCGTCCGGCGTAAGTAGTTTCTGATTCCAGGGGAATTCAATTTGATAACTGACCCTTTTGGCCATTCAAGTCGATCCTGAGTCTTCAGGTGGCGTGTGCAACTAAACTGGCAACTCCCCAAACATATGGCACTGCTGTCGGCATGACCATGGGTATCGTCTCCTTAACGTAAGTACCTCTCTTTTCTGGGGCCTCTAGTTTTTTATTCTTCTGCATCTGCTATTGAAATGACTCCCACACTAACGCCTGGTTTTCGGGGCAGAGGCCTTTTCGGCTCCCCTATCAGCGGCGAATTGATCAAGTACAGCTATCTCGCCTTATCCATGTACGCGGGCGCAGTGCTGGCGGTCGGTGGTATCCTGATTTGTTTCACCCGGCTCCAATTGTCTCGCAAACTCCTTCATATAGTGTGAGCAAAGTGGAACTCAATTACGGGCTGATATTCCACTTGGGCCCTGTCGGATGTATAACTATATAGACGGGTAATCTCTTCTCGACATACACGTTGTTAACATCATATCGATGCATTGGTTCTAACGGGGAGAGTGACGTTAGAAATATTTTTTTTCCCTTCCTGCAAGACGCATACCGAAGATACCAAAATTGTGAAAACTTCTAGACTGCTCCAACAATCTCTCTGTCTCGGTGTCGTGATATTTAACGATCCATATGCTCCCTCGGCTTGAACTGGGAGCGGATACGAAATTGAAATATATGAGATCTCTTGGCCATCTCCAGCGTGATATGGGTGCGAAATATGGTAGTTTCTCGAGCACTCGGCAGGGTCAAGGACAGCCTCTACGACAGCAATGGACACCATTGTCCAATTCCTGACATGGTGCTGGGACAGCACGTGGCTCCCGTTCGAGTAGGCATCGTATCATCCAAGACTGGACCGATAATGAGTTCTTCAGACAGCATCAAAGTCACCATCTTCGGTCATGGCAGCCACGGGAGCATGTCGCGCCGTTGCATAAATCCGTTGTCATCGTCAGTCACACGATGGTCCGTCTGCGGACGGTGGTGGGCTGCATGATGCCTCTGGACGAGGTTGCCGTTATCAAAGTGGGATCCGTCATGTTGGTGAGGTCCACGCGAGCCTCCCAGCCAAGGCCTACACGGCGACCGTGGATTTGAAGCCGTGCCATGCATTCCAAGACCATTTTGCGCAATAATTCATGGTCGCTCCCAAATCCAGTCTGGCGAGCGAAGACTTCAGCATCTTCGCATGGTCGATCGGGAAGCCGGATTGCTTTTGGCTGTTTGGCGGCATCATTCAGAAAACGTAGGGTTCTCTTGTCGAGCACAACAAGTTGGACACGATCCTAATCAACCAGAGCTCCAACTTTGCACTGGCCATTCACCCGAACGCTTCCGACTGGCGAAGGCGCGATGACAGTTGTAGCACTCTCGTTCTTGCTCGAATAGACCTGTTCGGGGCCATTTTCTGTATGTCATTGACCAGGTCCGGACCTCATTCTTTCACAGACATTGTGACGGTGGCTTCTGGGAGCTGAGAGTCTCGGTGACTGTGCTTGGAGTATGGAGGTGAAATGTTGTATTGACCTACAGCCCCTAGAGCAAGCCCTATGACGTAGCTGCTGGTATGATAGTCGTGAGCATAGCCGCCACGACCACAGCAGGGACGGTGGCTTGTGTACGCAGACCGAAGGCGGAGGTTGAACCAGGTGGCGAGCTGAGAGGTGGGAGACTGGATGACAATGCGAGCCCGCCGGAACAGGTCCGATTTTGATGAATTTTTCCATCATCGAACTCACTTCCTCACCCTCCGCGCATGCCTGACAAGATTCTCAATGACACCCTCAAATGCCTCCTTTTCCTTCCGCAGCCCATCCCGTCTTTTGAGCCAGTATTCCAACAATTCTGACGTCTTCTCCGTGACGACTTTCAACTCCTTGACGTGCTCCTGAAGCTCCTCGTCCGTGAAGCCATCTAGTTTCTCGTCTGTCGTCGCACAGAGTCGCTTCACAGCCGCCAAATCTAGTTCTGGAGGAGGCGGAGGACCTCTGGGTCGTTTGGACCGACTGACCCGTTCCTTTGCACCCGACTGGTTGCTGTCAACTGAGCCTGTTGAGTCGTTAGCCGCTTGTGCCTTTAACCGCGCAACCGATCCCAGCATCTTGTCGGATTCCGATTTCCGAGGCGACGGTTCCAAGTTGATGTCTGGAAGGACTAGTTTCTTCTGTTTTGATGGAGGGAGAATCTCGTCTAAATCGACGGGAACGCCGAGGCTGACCAGAAAGAGACGTCGAATCCGGGACTGAGTCCAATTAGGTGGTTGAAGGGGGGGTGGTGTAATGAGTTGTTTCCATAATGACCGTGACCGGTCGGATGGAAAGATGGGGGAAGAGTCTGGGATGGGTTCTTCCTGTGGAATCGAGGAAATCTTTTCAGCTGTAGACGATGGGAACATGGCGTCGAGATGGATTTGTGTGGCGGTGAGAAGATCGGGTAGAGATGTCAAGGCATCGAAGTTTATCAGGGGCTGGAATTGAAGCCAGAATTTATTAGCATCGAATATACTGAGAAACGAGAAGGGTACAGGAACTCACGAAGGGCTCGGCGGGAATGGAATTGTTTTGAGAGGTAGATACAGGCGGTGGGTCCACAGTTTCAGCTTCAGCTTCAGGTTTCTGGAATCCTTCATCGAAGTCCCCAAAGTCATCATCAGCTCCAGTCTGGGCGCCTTCCTCAAAGTTATCGAAATCGTCTCCAAATTCATTGCCGTCGTTATCATCATCATTCCCATCATTATCGTTCTGAAGGGTCGATCTGCGTCTCGAGCTTCTCATGGATCTGTCGAGTTTGGGTGACCCTGAATCAGGTCAATGGTCCTCCTGATCGTGCTTACAGGCGCTAGATTTTACCTGCTCCCTGACTTTTGCTTTCTGAAATTTCCGCCGCCGCATCTAACACCGGTTTCTTGCGTAATTCGGTAGCCCGTGCGTCACCCAGAGTTGGAACGGTATCAGCTCGTGTAATAACCGTCTCCGGAATGGAGATATTTGAGGTAGATCTTGGTCTACTTGTAGTATCGTCCTCCGAATAGCTCGATCTCTCCCCCGGTTTAGGGCTCTTGAGGATAACATCGGGAGCCGAATCCATCTGTCTCTGCAGATAGGCCGAAGTTCCGGGGACTTCGCCATAACTTGGAGACTCGGGGTCGACTTTTTCTACCACGGTACGGGGGATGACACTGCCGCCAGGAGTGGTTGGAGGTTCGAGGAGTTGGGAGGAACGTTTACTTAGGCGACCTTCGGGGATTATCTCCACCTCATCAGGCACCGCATCTTGTATCCGTTTTTCATATGCCGGTGTTCCAGGAACCTCGCCATAGCTGGGGTCATCGTCGACCTTCTCCAAGCGAGTCTTTGGAATGGGAGAGGCAGGAGTAACTGGTCTTGAGAACCTCTTTCGACCTTCTGATGCGTCCGAGAAGTATTCGTCTTCGCCATCTGATGATACTGCAAGAAAACTTAGCCCGACCATCATTGGTCCATGTCAAGTCAGCGTTGTCTTACGTTCGTGTGCACCAGGATCGAACAATTCGACACTCTTCGGTGGTGGCTCAAGATGTAAACTTGTTCTCGAAGTTGGTCTCGACATTGTAACCTGGGGAATATATTGGCGCTCCTCTCTCTCAGCAGATGAGATAAAGACTTGCTCGGAGGAGGACCAAAGCCGAGCAGAGGAAGCAGCGGGAAGATGCTGAAGAGTGGCAGGATGCTGGGTGTGCAAGGGCCGGCATTGGCGTTTTTCGGTGATTCGCCCTGCATTGTCTGCCTGCACCGCGATCACTTTTTTTTTTAATGCTCCGCGCCTTGAGCGCGTCTTGCTTCGGCGTCAATACCACAACTCATTGTGAAATTATTCAACACTCACCTCCCCACTATCATTTTACCAGAATCGCGCCTTCTCCTATCTTTTGGCGACTTGATATTTGCCGGCCAGTCTCTTATTTTCTCAATTATACCCACCCTGCGATGCTGTCCTCCTAATCCTATCCTCCTCCCGCTGTGAACACATATTTCACCGGCCAATCCTCAACATGTCTTTCAACTTCGGTACATCGTCGTCGACCAGTGGTGGAAGTGGCCAGTCTCTTTTCGGAACAACAAACAAGCCTGCCGGCTCAGGAGGCAATCTATTCGGAAATAGTGGGACATCAGGCACAAATACTACTGGATTCAGTTTTGGAAGCTTCGGTCAACCAACATCTAATCCTCCTAGCCAGCCGAGGGAAGACAATCAGGGCAGTGATGCCTCCAAACTGGTTTCTCAAGGATTTGGGACTCCCGGCAAAACATCCACTCCATCAACATCAGCCCCGTCATTGTTCGGTTCAACCACTCCCGCAACTAGTGGTCCGAGCAATGTCTTCAACTTCGGCAACCCTTCAACCACTCCCGCTGGTCCTCCCCCATCAACATCGGCCTTTGGAGCCAGTACAGGAGGTGGTGCTGGCCTATTTGTCTCCAAGCCCACTGAAGAAACATCCAAACCGGCGTTTAACTTTGGAACCCCGGCTGCAACACCAGCTCCATCTACAGGAATATCTACAGCATCCGGCGGCCTCTTTGGATCCAAACCAGCCTCTGGCGGCTTTAGTTTCGGAGCCCCTTCAAAGCCAGCGGAATCTTCCTCAACCACCTCTGCTCCAGGCGTAGCGGAAACTTCAGCCTCTGAACAGAAACAGACATTCTCCTTTGGAGCTCCTACGTCAACTCCATCTTCTACTACGGCAGCTTCTGCTCCGACCCAATCAACATCATCTGCAGCGCCATCATCGCTGTTTGGTGGAGCACCCAAACAGCCCTCCAGTGGATCAAGTCTCTTCTCCAAGCCTGCGACGACAGAAGCAACAGCGTCAGCCAGCAAGGCGACGTTTCCTTTTGGACCTCCCGCCACGCAAGCTCCCGCATCAGCGGCACAAACCAGTTCCGGGGCGACCCAGAAGCCACTTTTTGGAGGTTTCAACTTGGGTACACCCACCACCTCTTCTTCTACGACCGCTGGCGCTACAACGACGACGACAACAGCACCGGCAGCCCCTGGGGCAAGCCCATTCTCATTTGGTCCTGCTACGACCGCCGCACTGCCTTCCCAACCCGCGACGACTTCGGCGAGTCCATTCTCCTTCGGCGGTGCCACGACAACAGCGCCGACATCGCAGTCGCCCACAACCGCCAGTACGGCGGCTCCGACAACAGGGGCGACTGCTGCACCGTTGGGTGTTCCAGGGACTTTGGGAACGCAGACGTCGACAACCGGCCCGGCTCCTCCAGCGCAGTCTCGGCTTCGTAACAAGACCATGGATGAAATTCTCACCCGATGGGCGACGGACATGTCGCGATATTCCAAAGAGTTCAAGGAGCATGCAGAGACCATCGCCCGCTGGGATCAGTTGATCGTCGACAATTCTTCCAAGATTGACAAACTCTATGTGAGAACGCGAACATGCGAGAGACAAACAATGAGCGTGGACATGCAACTCGCGGCGGTCGAAAATCAACAGACGGAGCTGGAAAGCTGGTTGACGAAATATGAGAATGATGTGGACGAGATGTTGGCGAAGGACAGTGCCAGTCCCAGTGAACTGGGCGGGCCAGATCAGGAGAGGGAACGAACATATAAGCTTGCCGAAAAACTTGGGGACCGACTCGAAGAAATGGAACGTGACTTGAACAGTATGGTGGAGGAGGTCAACGCGGCCAACGCAAGCTTAAGCAAGGATGGCAAGGCTGATGAACCAGTACGAAATCCTTTGTGCTATCATTCTGATACCTCGAGACTGACGAATGATTAGATCACTCAAATTGTCAAGATTCTGAATTCTCACTTGATTCAGCTTCAGGCGATTGACCAAGGTACCATCGCTCTTCAAGAAAAAATGGCTGCAGCACAGAAATCAGCTAGTAATTTGGGTTATCTCACAAGCTCTATGAATGGGAACAGCGGTGCAGCTGTTCAGGACTTTTATCGTAGCTACATGGGGAGAAGATGATGGCAATAGGAGTTTGGGAGATGGATGACCACGCCATTAAGCCACATCAACGCTGGATACCTGTCCACAGCACCGAGGGCCGAGTCTGGAAAAGCTAATATGTTAATCATTGCCCACCATCGATTTCAAGCAGAAACAGATTGATCTTATGAGGGAGTTGAGGGATACGTAAAATTAGAGGCAAAGGACCCCGAAGATGGACATAACACCGTCTGAGGAGGGAGAAGAAATATGATTGTGTAGCAGCCAATCTCTGTACAATGCAGAGCACTGTGTGCTAGGGGGTGTTAAAACGCCCCATGAATGTCCAGCACAGTCTCGATCAAATCAATTTGCGTAGCCACTCAATTTTGCATTGCCTGCCATTTGTGATTGTCCTCTATGCTGGTTTACTGCTCTCCCGCACGGTCGCTCTCCAAGTCCTTGATGTGCTGATCCAATTCATCGAGGTGCTTTCGCTGCTGGGCGAGCTTCTCTTTCAACTTTCGCAGACTAGATGGAATCCAAAGTCAGTTGTGTCCACCGCGGCGTGGAAGGCCGAGTTCGGATAGTTATCTGAAGGAGGGCATGGACGGTGGGATTACCTCTCCATTTCCCGTTCCCGAATGAATTTGGTTTCGCTGGCCTGCTCTCGTTTGGTCCATGAGTCACTACAGGTCAATATGTCAGCTCTAATATCGAAGAAAATCCGAGCATGAAATAACTGATAGAGGAACATACCTTGCAGCAATTCCGCCAGATCTGGGGGCACCGGTATCTCCCTCCGACGCTCTCCGAGCAGAGATTGAGAAAGGTCTTTTGATGGAAGATGCTCTTGCGAGCTTGACAACTGGAGTTCGCAGCATGATTGACGATTTGGAGTTTGGCGGTTCTTGAATCCGAAGTCAAAGATACTGGTTGCAGTTTGAGGCAGATGAGGTCTGGCTGCGGGAAGCTCGCTGCAGTCCAGACGATTGGCCCTACTCGGCTTAACACGTGATCTTACTGTCCATCGCGGGATTGGGATTGCGTTTTGCAACAACAGAAGGCTCCCCCCCCCATTACTCACCAGTGGCTTGATGCTCTTGTGGAGAATTGGGTATATATTTGCGACGGATGAAGTCATACCTCTGGGTTTCTACAGGGCCAGGAAATGGCCGGATATCTGAATCTCAGTCTCAACCTTATCAAGGGCTGGAAGAATCCCTATACTTTGCCCACCAAATAGCTATCTGTAGGGTTCAGGAGTAGGCTGAGTGGAACTGATTGATTGACGGGCTTTGCCTCATTCCGTCATAGGGGCCAAGCCTGGACTTTTCCCGTGATTCAGTCACAGATTCGCAGCTCCGCCTCTCCCTCTTAGACTCGCACTAAAACCCGCGAGTCCACTTCCAGCGCCTGCACCCAACTGTTCTTCTCGCCTTGTCACCGGGATTCCTGCTTTCCTACCCCCAATTTTACGCACACATCTTCTGCGCAATCACGTCCATTACTCTCTCTATCCATTGCCATCCTCTTCGATTTTCCCGAATTCTCTCCTCTTCGAGTCTCAGTCGTCTCCCTTTCAACGGTAAGCTGCCCTCCAACATCTCTACCTCTTTGTCCAGGGGTTCCTGTACCTACACCCCACGTCTCCCGCCGCAACGACGCCGACCATAATTGCGCACTCGATCATTCAAGCTTCAATCAGATTGACTGTTCGATCCTCTCATCGCCTGTGACTGCTCATCGTTCGCCTTCCTTCTCTGCCTTCCTTTGCGGCTCGCGCTGCGAAACACGCGCCCTGATTGACGCCAATCCCGTCTCTGGGCGCTCACTATTTTCAACCTCGAGTTTGAGCAGCCACAATCATTGCGGAACCTCAAGGGGAGGCTGAATGGTGCAGCTTGCGCGGTTTTCTACATTGAAAATTGTCTCCTGTTCGATATTTTGTTGTTGTTTACCCGTTTGTGGTGGTGATTGTTGACGTGTGTGATGGATGACTTGGCTAATCAATCATCACAGCAGGTCTCTTTTCATCTGAAATAATACACAAAATCCAATCCCAAAATGGGTGTAGAGGAGTCAGTCTACCTGGCAAAACTTGCCGAGCAAGCTGAACGATATGAAGGTAAATGTTTCTTGATCCCCCTCTTATCTGCATTGCGACTAACGACCATCTAGAAATGGTGGAGAACATGAAGGTCGTTGCCTCTGCGGATCAAGAGCTCTCTGTTGAGGAGCGAAATCTTCTGTCCGTTGCCTACAAAAATGTCATCGGTGCCCGACGAGCTTCCTGGAGAATCGTCACGTCCATTGAGCAAAAGGAGGAGTCGAAGGGAAATGAGGCGCAGGTCAAACTCATCAAGGAATACCGTCAAACAATCGAGAATGAACTCGGCCGGATCTGCGAAGACATCCTCGATGTTCTCGACAAGCACTTGATCGCCCATGCACAAACCGGTGAATCCAAGGTCTTCTATCACAAGATGTAGGTTGATGTCTAGTCGTATCTATTCGAGAACCCGACATTGACTCTCCCCAACAGGAAGGGTGACTACCACCGCTACCTCGCTGAATTCGCCGTTGCCGAAAAGCGAAAGGAGTCGGCTGACAAGTCCCTTGAGGCATACAAGGCCGCCACCGAGGTTGCTCAGACTGATCTTCCACCAACCCACCCCATCCGACTTGGTCTCGCCCTCAACTTCTCCGTCTTCTACTACGAGATCCTCAACTCTCCCGATCAAGCATGCCACCTCGCCAAACAGGCTTTTGATGATGCCATTGCGGAGCTCGACACTCTTAGCGAAGAAAGCTACAAGGACTCAACATTGATTATGCAATTGCTGAGAGACAACTTGGTTCGTTCTTCTGCCTCCACATTGGCCCCGATCCACCACTAACCGTCTCCAGACTCTCTGGACCTCTTCTGAGGCTGAGCCACAGGAACCAGCCGGCCAATCAAGTGAGGCACCCAAGGAACCCGAGGCTGCACCTGCTCCCGAAGCCACCACCGAGAGGACCGAGTAAAGAGGTGGCTGTTGCTTCCACGGGCATAGGCGTCATTTCTGATACCCCAGGCTGTGCTAGAATGGATGGAGGAGGTGTCTTTTTTGGAACAGCTGGGACACATCAACACAAAACATTCAACGATCTTTCCTTCTCACCGAACCCCCCACCCCTGATATTCCCCCCTGCGATAGCTCTTGCGGATGATTCAGCAGACATCTGCGGCGGTACAAAACCGATTGAAGTAGCTACTCTTAGATAAAAGACAGAAATAGCAATATGAAATCGGATCATCGTTTCAGGCTTTCAACAGGTCTTGTACCCTGTGCTTACGAGGCATTTTTCATTTTCGGCCCCAAGGCATCTCTGGTTCAGCAGCTTGGCTGCCCAACATGGGGTTTTGGTTTCAGCCCTAAGGAAATCAAGATCTCAGGCGAGCTTGATGCACGCTACCCTCGTAGTGGCTGAGCTAAAATCGACCTCTTCCATGAGATTGCATAAGGTTGCTCCCTGGGAAAGAGACGGTTCGATGGTAATGATCATGGTATCTTCCATGCCTACAAATTTCAATACAAGCAGTCTTGCTTACCGAGATATTTCTACATCTATCCCACTTGTTGGACGGTATTTGACTCTTTGGAAATCGTTGGTCCCGTTATCAGTAAGACACCTTTGTTACCGCGGGGAGCAGTTTATGGCCACATTTGGGCGATGGTGATGACAGTCTCCTAATTCTCATTCCGCTGCTGTCTACCTATTCATCACTGAATCGCACTTGCCCAGCAATCGTCTCCTTTCCTATGAATGGCCTCTCAAACCTCATATCTGACACCCATGGTCCTTTTCTCTGCCGGGAGACACATCTGATGATAACTCCACGTTATATATGCCATCTCATCCCTTGAAGTACATGGCTTTAGCCAGCGTGGACGTCGCCAAGCACGCCTCCAACCGACTCTTCTCCTCCTTCATTTGCTTGAACTCCCCTGCTGCAGTCCATCGGTTACACACGAGGTTGAACTCGGCCTCCAGCTCGGGGTTCGGCTCAGAATCCCCCCGCCCAGGGAGAAAATGTGGGTGGTGCTCGCTGACATAGTCGAGAAATCGACGCAGCTCGGTTTCTGGGTTCTTGCCGGCGTCAAGTCGGTAATGGATATCGATCAGGGTATTGATGTTGTTCAGGCGCTTTCGTGCAAATTGGTCCATCTTCGCCACCTCTGCGAGCTTCTTGATCAATATGTCTGGCTTGTCCACGTAGACGCATCCCTTGTCGTGCACGTAGACGACAGTTGGGTATGGGCGACTCTTGTTCTTGACGGTATCTTGGGCGGTGGTGGGATCCGCGTCAAACGTGATCTTGACGTTTTCCTGCAGTTCCTTTGTTGGAATGTCGGTCTTGCCCATCTCAGAATACAGTGCATGGATTGTTCGGCGGATCTCGTTGAGCATGGGGCTGTCGAAGGTCAAGTCCTTGGATCTATTGAAACATTCAGCACCATGACTGCAGCCATCAGAGCCGATATTAGAGGACCCGGGTCAACCATATCCGGATATTGCTGGGTGTCCAGTGCCGAGGGATCCATAAAACAGTGAATGAGGGTACACAGGCAACACCTTGAGTGAAAGAGAATGAGAACATCGACAATACAGGTTGGGCTCACGCTTCAACGTGTTTCTCACACAGCTGGAACCTCACAATCGTCTCTCCTAGACAAGCGCGGACTTCATGAGCGCGGACACAATCTGCACACGCTTTATAGGTCTCGTGTCCCCAATGATAGGACATCGGCGTTGCAATCTCATTGGTGAAGTGGATAAGGAAGACCATTGTGGTGAGGTGATTCACCGATGGCGATAGAGAACCATGAATGAAAGAAAGAAAAGATGAAGAAGAGGAGGTCCGGGGTTGAAAGATTTGAAGAGTGAAAAGAAAAGATCGGCGCGGTCTTGATTGAAGTTCATTCTGATATACCGAAGAATGCTAGTAGCACCGGTTAACATTTCAATTGAGTGACAAGCGCCCAGTCCCGTGGTTATATAGTGCGTTCGCTGGCTCCATGAACAGTCCCATGCCTTCTCAGCGTCTCCGCAGATGTGATGCCTGCTAAACCCAGAATACTCTGAAGCATCCTCGGGGGGCCTCTAAAATACAACCATGCGTGATCGCACAATGGCTGGTATGCGATTGTTGTTGATATGCCATACACCGGGCATCAATAGCTCCGTAGTGTGCAGTCACAAATGATTCGAGAAGAGAACAGGTGCCCTTGTGGTGATCTCTTGTCTGAAATCGAAACCAGAGCAAAATAACTGGGAGAACTTTTCAGTTACCGGCAAGCAGCTATCTGACAACATTCATGCTTTCGCTGGTACAGGGCTCGAAGCACGTCATAGTAACGGTAATGTCCATATCACCCCTTAAGGGATGGTCGACAGTCAGAAGCCGTGAATAGAGACCAGTCTTAGCATCTAGGGAATATATGGGGTGGGAGATGGGTTTGGTCTCAGGATTTGACCAGTCGTCTGTGACGATGTACTAGCCAGTGCGATATATGCGACATGTGCGAATGAAGAGGGTCTCTGGATCGATAGTCGATAATCGTCGTGTCTGGTACACAGTGAGGGCAACCAGGCCTGCGGAATATCTCCATTGTTCCTTTACAGGTCGGCTCCCTTACTTTGACCGCGTTTTTGTGACAAGCCTGTGCACTCTTGGTGGTGGCCATTAGGGGTATAGACCTAAGGCGATGATTGTGTCCTTGATCTTAACACGGCTGATCGAAGTGGCTGACTTATTGCTAGTACCGCATCTGACCAGGTCGTTGATGAACGAGGGGACTGCTTGCATGGGAGCTCCTCCCCCAGCCAAAGATTGTACAGGATGGCCAGTTCATGTTCGATAGGTACGCTGGCCGTTTCGAGATGAATATCTCTTCAATCAACCAATGACTTGGTCTGTCTGCCCGGGGTATTGGTCTTCTTTGTCGAAGACCCATGTTTGCTTTCTGCAGGCTGGCTCGTGATAGCGATCAGGCTGGATCTGACAAGGCTGAAGAGGAGGAACCCAATGGCAACCAAGTCAACAACATGGACGGCCCACCAGACTTTGAGGTTCAATCCACACATGTGGACGTTATACTTCCACTCTCCGGTTTCAAATTCAAACCACGCGCTTAGCAGCCCAGCATTACCGCCATAATCTCCCATCATGCTCCGAAGAGTGAGTTCTCGAAGCCCAGTATGGGAGTCGCTCCCATTTGCTTCCTTCCACCGAACGGTATCCCATTTCGTTTTCCTGTCTTCTTCAATGTCTTGGCTGGACCCTGACCAGACCGAATCGGACGGAATAAAGTGCCAGACATCGCAGCCCTCATGGTCATGGCCGGTCAAGATCAGGCCATGTCTGCCTTGGCCATGAGCTGGTGCATCTAGATTGCCGCTCATGCCAAACAATGCCTCCAGGGTTCCTTGGTGGCTGACATATTCGCTCAGATGATTTTGCTCTTTCAACCCACGGGGTTTGTAGACACCACCTCCGTCATCGTTCCCCCAATAATCAAAGAATGGGGCATCCGTACAGATCCCTTTCTTTTTATGGAGCGGGAGATGTGTGAGAAGTAGGGTGAAAGATGAATGGTCTTCTACCGGCCGTAAACGATGAGAAATGAGTCCATTGAGATAATCATAGGTCTCCGCTTGTAAATCCTCAGACAAAGCCGGTGTATCCAGAATAAGGCTGTTCAGGACGATCAAATGCAATGATGGAGGGACACTTGTCTCCTGACCCGTCAGGGTACCGTTGGTCCGAGGATATTGGAATCTGACATCCCAATTGGCTCTCCCAAACACCCGTTCGAAGCGCTCCATTCTGTGTCTGGAGATGTCTCCAGCATAGCCAACATCATGATTGCCCGCGATGTTGATTATATTATTGGTCCAGCTAGTGTCGTTCATGTCAAAGATCTTCTCCTCCTCTTTATTTTCCATGGTCCAAATTTCGTTTTCCACCTTTTGGCCTTTACCAAACACCCTATTCCAGAATCTCCACCCTCTCCAGTCGAATTCCTCGTCCGTCACCCATTGGCTTCCGATCAAATCCCCCAGGACAGTGACATGAGTCGGCATTGTCCACCAATGCAAGACCCGATAAACATGGCCCAAGTAGTGGTCATTGCCAAACAAATCCAGGCGTTTCCTCAGCGCCTGCAGAGCCTCTGGAAAGTCGTGCAGCCAAATCTCTCGTGCGGTCAGTAGAATATTGAGGAATATCTCTTGTGACTCTGTAGCACGTAGCCGTGTCCAGTGCCGTCCTAACTTCGGTATGAATCCATCTTCGGGTTTGGGAAGAGAACTGTCTCCTTCGAGTTGAGGATCAGCGAGGACAAGTAATCGGAAAGGAATGCGTGAAGGGCCATGAGATGCATGTGAGCCGCGAAAAGAACCCCAGTGTTGGGCGACAGTCTCAATGAAAGCGGTCACGGTGGAGGCATCTTTGGCAGGAAATACGCAGCCATGAAATGCTGGATAGAGATATAGATATGCCGTCAAACAGAGGGCAATCGGAAAAAGAAGGCGCAGAAGCTTGTCTGCAAGTCCAGATATGTACATCGAACCACGAAAGAAACAACAAAGGAAACAGATGGAGACATCGGTTTGCTATTTGGGAGAACCAAAACGTATCAGCACTGACGGGGATCAATGCCTTGCTGTAGGGCGGATTAAGTGGACACTTTGGCAATAACTCGCCAAAACAGAATTTTTGATCTCCACTCCTTTGCAGATTCTTCTCCAAACTGCTCGGGTAGTGCCGAAAGGATATCTACTCCTTCTATGACATGCTGATTGTAACAAATAGCAATTTGGGGACCTGTGGGATATTGCCAGTGTGTCCAGTTAATCCGCCGTACGCTGCAACTTGCCGTACACCATTTTCCCCTGTTCAAGAATATACCGTATTAAGCCCACTTTCCCAGTAGCGCCATCAACCCAGCACCAAGCAAGACACAAACCACCATAAATACCAGCCTCATATTGTCCTTGGTCCGCATAGGATTGAACAAAAAGTCTCTAGCCAGCAGCTCGACGAGCCCAGTATAGATCAAGATACCGGCTGAGATGGCATCCAGGACTCCGCTAACTACATTTGCAGTAAAGGAGTTAGGATTGTACGTTGTGCGTACTCCAAGACCGATGGCAATGGCGATTGGAGTCGTCAAACCGTATGCCAGACAAAGTATCCACGGGAGCCAGCTACCGGGCCTAAACGGAATCGACGACATTCTCGCACCGATCCCCAGGCCTTCAAAAGATTGATGAAAGACTAAAACCGGGTAGAGGGTGTTGAACTCGTCTCCCACGACACCGAGGTTGAGACCGATGACGACCGAGTGAAAAATCACGCCAAACTCAAGGATCAGGAATGCAGCAATCTGTTGTCTAAAGGAGTTTTTCCGCGCACTTGAATCGGCTTCTTCATCCTCAAAATCCTCGATGAATCTTTTCTCGTATGCGGCAGATGCTCGGCGGCCTTCGTGCTTGCGTTGTGCTTCCGTAGTGCTCAATGTCTGGTCTTGCTGGATGGCCGATGGACTGCGGTCCACAACACCAGTGACAGCTTCTTGAAGATCGTCATCGCTGTCAATGCCATACTTGATTTCCACGTATCGTTCGGCCCCAAAGTCCATTAGGAAGACCGCCATGACTGAAGTGAGGACAATCGCCGCACACCAAGGGTAGTCAGCCCATCCTCCTGTCATGCCCACGCACGTTTGCGTTCCGATCTCACTGTATGCCGGTTCCAGCAAATGAATGAAGGCGGTGGCGACGATAACGCCGGAACCGAAATATCGAACGAAGAGATAGACATACAGAGGTATGTGCAGTCGAGGTACTCTTTTGGCGATGACGGGGAAGAATGTTGTACCAGTAGACACGACCAAGATAACGAAGATGGCCGAGATCCTTGCGCCGAGCTGACCATTGTAGTCATTTCCCGAGAAATTGATGGCGCAAATCACATCTCGCGGATCTGCCGTGTTGAGATCCACGTTGTTTGGATTGAAGGTTGGTGCTGCTTCGTCAGGGGAAGCCATGTTGATAAGCCAAGGTCACCAACAAGGCTTAACGAAAGACTGGTTGTATTCCAAGACGATACAAACATTTCTTGTCATGGTATTTATGCATACCTCCGGACGCGTCCAGTGAAGAACTCGGTCCAGAGAGTGTGTAAGATTGAGGACCTTGCACCAAAAGTGAGGACCTTAAGATCAGGGAGTCCCAAAGACGCCAATGCCAGGAGGCTTTCTGCAACCCAACCTTGCCATGTCGAGGCTTTCCATTCTGCAGCTGGCCAATCTCTCTCGAGAATGAGAACCGGGAGGGAGAGGTAATCTCTCATTCAACGTATTAAGTCGGAGAAAGTGGACGACAGATTGTCACTAACTGTCGCCACATCCCCAATTCCACTTCTATAGAAAGAGCTATTACCGCAGCGTCCCTCCAGAAACCACACTTGAACTTTGAACCGGCAAACCTATTTTCCTTCCTGGGCCCATGGCTCTCTCAGGCGAAAGCCTTGTCGTCCTCGACTTGGGGCTCTCGAGCAGAACAGTTCACTACGATTAGCATTTGTATTCTTCCTGCGAAGAGCAACCTGTTAAGAATGAACGTGTCATGGTATACCACTACCAAACCGTCCGCTACAGCCAGCAACCCTGAAAAGACATCGAGCCTATCGAACCTACGTTCCTCCAAAGTTGACCGCAGAAACAACCGATTGAATGAAACGACCCCTTTGTTACTTTCCACCCTCCAATATCCCTTACGTCGAACTATTGGTTCGCCCAAATTACCAGGGCCAGTCTCACCTTCTTTCAAAGATGCAAGATCAGCGCAGTTAAAATTCACCGAATGCAAATAAGACACCAACGAGCGCCGCCACAGGGGTACTGAAGGTCATCGAATGCCGCTATATTTGTCTCGCTATAGAGTGAGGGTATACCAAAAGTCAACCCGACTGATACACGTCCGAAAAGGCACCACGCAGCGGAAAGCTCAATTCTGAGAACTGATGCTAGCTGAAGACCAGATACAGGGTGCCTCCATGGCATACGCCACAGGGATCGGACAACGAGGTTCTGAACACCTGTGTTCCGGAGAAACTGCTCCAAAGATCCGAAATTGACCGAGCGAGATTTCAGACTGCGATTCGAGGACGCTCTCCACTCATCTTTGACATCAGATTGAAGAACAAGTTCAAGAGAATGATCAAAGGCGAAAAAGAAGGGACGTCACATATCTGCTTTGAAATCCTGAGTGTCATCGCTGGAGTACTACGACAGAGCAGGAAATACAGTCTTGATCTTCTGTCGACAATGGGCACAAGGCTCTTTGACATGGCTGAGCCGCAAGGAACCACATTCACCATATAAGACGTTGTCGTGAGGACGTCTGCGACAGAATTCAAACTTACTTTACGATGTGGGTGCTTTCAACTTTCTTATTGCATACCTAGGCCGTCAAGAAGAAGAGCTACTACTTTGAAGCCTTTTGGACCAGAGAACGAGGAGAACTCTGTTGAGTTTCATGTCGGTGGCATTGTTAGTGAAGCCATGTCAAGAATATAGGGACAGCATTCCACAAGCCGTGATAGGGAAGATGTTTGAAGACCACGAGACCAGGGCCTGGAGAATGACAACTACGCACTCATGATGAGTTGTGCTCAATGAAAATGTGACCGGGCGCTACTGTACAAAGAGAGGAGATATAATAGGTTCACTTAAAAGAAGGTGTGTATTTAAGTCATGCTAACAACTGCCTAGCTCTGTACTCCCCCCTTCCATGATTGCCATCATCGGATTTGGTCCAAGTGTCTACAGTGTGCGCTCAAGACACTGATGAGATGTTTCTGAAAACCAACTCGCTATCTGGTTTGATGGAGGACTGGGTTGTTTTTCGTCAATGCTTCATGGTGGACATCAGTCAGTCAGCAATCTCGTCAAAAAGGTCTGGATGAGGTGGAAGGGACGAACCGAGCAGCAAGAGCAACCATTGCATCCGGAGGCTTCGTGGCCGCAGGTGCTGCAGTGAGGCTCCATTGGTGGAAGATGGGTTGGTTGATTGATGTGTGTGGGTTGTGGTTGAGGATTGAAGGTAACTGGATTGGAATCTGATGTTTGGTTGAAGGAAGGTAGGAGCAAAAGCTATGTGGTATTCATTTATATACATGTCAGTAGTCCTGTCTTTTGGTAGCACCTGTTGAATTCCTCCCACGCATGACTACTTGTGTGCCATCTTTGCTAATGGCTTCACGTAAATGGGACATGGGGAAGGGAAAGTCTCGTGCGTGGATCGATCTTCTCCGTGCTGAAAGTTTGGAAGTAAGACGAGTCCTTCCGTCGGCTCCTCTGAGCAATGTGAGTGGGCCTCATCCAGCGAATTCAGGCTCAAAGTAGGCTCAAGACTCAAGCGAAGATGCGAGACCCCCCACCCTGATGGGCCTGTCCGAACGATTCGATTTGGCAACAATCAGTCTCCAGGGAGATAGAATTCAAGCGGAGATCATGCACACATCCCACATTTTCCTGTGCTTCCATGAATTCAAACAGCAGGTCTCGCCAATTGCAGGTGATTCCCGAGCCAGGCTTTGCTTGTCATTGTCTGACATTTGTGTGATCTTGCTGGCAGCAGGATGCAAGGAGCTCTGGGGCTGGATATTGCTTCTGCGAGTAGGGATTGCTGTCCTATGACTCGATAAAAACTCAATACTGGTGTGAGATTCGTGTTCAGGTGATCACGAGTCTAGAAGATCTTCCAGGCAGAAAGAGAGAGTACGCGAAGAGTGGATACCCAGAAGCTCTTGAAGGAGGAGGGTGAGGTATCAGCAAGATACACAGGGATCGATGCCCTTATCCACCTAGAGAGGTGAGATGATCACGGCCACTCAGGACGCAAAATCACTGAATGACATCTGTGTGCTGGATGAGTGAAGGTTGGCCCAAATTCATGGTCACTGGTCGTCCATACGACATTATTCAAATGTTTTTTCGTTGTGCTCTGAAGCCTGGGAATGCATTGTTACTGGTTACATGCCTTGGTGGTGAAGATGGGGCTGAAGCTATGCCATTGACCCAAGACATGGCAATAGGTATCGTTTCGCCAATTATCAGGCTCCTGGTGCTATCAGCGCTGAATTCGATGTTGTGGTCGTAGGCATGGGATATCATAACTCAGCAGCTTCCCTTGCGCCAGCATGAGGCCGGTGTCACTCGCCGTGCATCAGGCGAAAATATTACGCTGCTGGCCGGTGTGTAAAATCTATTGGCTCCATTGACCCAGAAGGTGTGTTCTCGCCTCGAGTCATAGGGGCTGAAGGACAGCCCCACACGGTATAGCTAAGCCGAGCTTGGGTGAGTACGCAACCAAAGCTGTATATTTATCGTAAAGCGTATCTCGAATCCAGGGTCTTGATTCTAATAAATTGCCCCAGTCTGTCAATAAACTGTCTCTGTATTGTGATAGATCATTGAAGGCCCTGTAGCTACGAGTAATTCAGAAAAGGGACGAAACCAAAAGCGCATATCTCGCTAGAAAGGCCTATTCTGGGCTACATCTTCCCTTGTCTAGCACTTGGGCTACGGATCATTCCGTACCGGGGTTCCCTATGCCACTAGCAAAGTTAAGGCGGGTGTCTGGGGTGGGCGACTACTAGACAAGTCTTCCCTTTGAAAGGGGCTGTCATAAGGGACCTGCTGCAAGTGAAAGAAACCCCGGTGAGCATTATGAGTATTTCCATTTCCAAGGGAAAAATTATATATGTGGTCTGAAAAACGGTCATGGTCATCCCCTCCTCGGTCATCACGTCTTGATAGTCTGGGTATCCTGTACTGCATTATCCTCTGGGCCTTTCTCAGTTGCACCTTGTTTGTCAGTTTCCAACTGCAGATTAAGGTCCGACTCATCGAAATCAAGCCCTTGTATGTTCAATCCGCTCTCTCGCGGATCCTTCTCTTCCTGAGAGTTCTGACTCTCGGCCGACTCGGCCGGCTCGGCCATATCCTCAGTTCCTTTCAGCGCAGGAGGTCTCTCCTTTCTTGCTCTTGCTTTAGCCAAGCTAACTGTCTTTTGACGATTCGTCGTTTCAAAGCTAGACAGGTCATGTTCAATGGTTGCTTTGAGAATCTCGCCCATCCACTTTCTCCCTTCGACGATGTTGTCAACTTGGAAAACGTGAGTGGTTGGTTTTGTAAACTGAACCGCCCTGGACATTCCTGCTCTGGGAGGAACGAGCTTGAAGAAGAAGGGCGTGGCTGGGCTTGAATTCCGAGATGTCTCCGGTGAGTTTTCAACCGAAGATCCACCGGATCCGATTGACGGTGTCGAAGAATTTCCCGCTATGGTTGCTTGAAGTGTCGATATCGGGTCGGAGGAGGCACGGAGCACCTTATGGCCGGAAATGTCAATGACGCCCTTTTCTTCCGTGTCGTTTTCTGAATAATAGTACGACAGTCGTCGCCCTCGAAGAATGAAAAGCCGCGGTTTATATTGCGCAATCAGGCCGGTAGATCTTTTCTTCATCCAACCATGGTAGTCACAATGTTGGCGCGCTTCGGCAGGGGAAATCTGGAGTAAGCCTCTCGTGTACGCACTTGTTTGTCTTTTGGTCTTGGGATGTGTGCGCGTAGTGATTTTGGTATGCAGGAGCGGTCCAAGCTGTTCGGTGGTGCCTTTGGAAGAGGTGTCGGTATTATCGATCTCGAAGCTTCGCGACGTCGCCGAAGGAGTTTGAGAGCCTGACAGGGACGCTACGGGGCTCTCTTTCAGCGGTTCTGTCGTGACGGTGGAGGAATTCGCAGATTCCTTCTCGTTTCCTGTGACGGTATCGGGAGCTGCTCTCAGGCCCAACAACTTTCTAGCCTTCGGCGAGGCAGCCCAAGGCACAAGAGCAGCGACAGCTGGTGACGTGGGGCCGCTTATGGCCCTTGGCGATGACAGCGTCGACATGTTTTCATCCTCTAAATTCGTGACGGTGGGAGATTGCGCAGTGGGCGATCGTTGTGTCGTCAAATTTCGCGCACTCGCCGAGCGGAATCGTCCTTTGTATGACCGGCTGTGGTACGCTTTTGCCGCTGGCGACATCGCTGCGATTCCGCGATCTCTGAATGAATCAACGCTGCTGAGACGCGAGCGTCGTTTCGCACCGGCGACGGTCTTGCGTTGCTCATCAAGCATGCTCGACTGACGAGAATGTCCTGCACTCTCGGATCCATCTCTCTTTCTCAACAGATTCCGGGCCTTGCGATTATCGACCTCGTTTCCACTGAAATAACCACGGTCAAGATCAACAGTGGAATTATTGCCGTCGAAGGGAGATTCGGCAACCTTACCCACGCTGTCCAGTTTTGTGTCCATGTGTAATTTCAGAGATGGCGTACTCGCGCCAGCGGCTGCCGTGGTTGCGTTACTCATCGACCAGTCTCGGTCCAAGGACGCGTTTTTCTTGTGCTGAGTCGAAGTATTTGTCACCGCCATCGAAGGCATCTCCTGAGGGCCGTGTTTTGCAAAGTCGATCGACGAATGCCGACGTGAATGGTTCATTTCTCGGATTGACGCAGCTGAAGGCCGACTCGGGCTCTCGGCGGCCATGGATGCTCTCCAGGGTGATGGAGGAGTGCTTCCTCCTAACTGTGGCCGACTGTGAGATGTCGGAGACAGTTGTGGCTCCAGAGGAGGTGAGGCAGCCGCAACCAGGATATATGGATGACTGTGCTGCGGTGGGCGAATGGAGAGTCCTGGTTCCTCCCTCAAACTAGGTATCCTGGGCAGGATGGTGGTACCGGACAAGCCTCGGGAATGTTGGCGTGCCACATCTTCACGCGAGCCGGTTTGCCTCAAGCTCCTCTGTCGAGAATCTTTGGCGTTTCGGATCTGGTTCTGAAAATCCCGAATCTTGTGCCATGTCTTGAGTCGGCGGCCCATCAGACCGAAATCAAATTCTTTCATATGGATGAAAGACTGATCCATCTCCAATAGAACGTCGCCCGTTATCTCTTGCTCTTCAAATATATCGCAATGTCGGGGATCAGCCCCGACACTTCTCAGGTAATCGGCAGTTTCTTTAGCATCCCATTGCTTTACCTCGGCCTCCGTTAATTGGGAGCTTTCTTCACTATCGGTTTCCGGTCCAGCGATGTAGGATGCTCGATCCAGGTGGCTACTATATTCACTCCCTGAGTCTTCCATCGCCGGCTGGGGCGGAGCCAGACTTTGACGCGGGGTGTTCAGATTTGTGATATGCTCATCGATCACACTCAATGTTTCATTCATTACCGGACTCTCCTCTCCAGTCGTAGCGCCCGAGAGAGCCTGACCAATGCTACGCTGCACAGGCGGAATATTGGATGTCGAAGAAGGGGAAACCGAGCTTCTGGAAAGCGAATTGGAGTGTTGATGCGAGGAGGTGGAATGCGGCGCGGTCGATTCGTTGGCAGACGTGGGAGAAGCAGGCGGGTCGATCTTTGCATCGGTGCGGGACTGTTCAGGAAATCGAGGGCTCCTCGGGGCAGGGGCGCCGACAGGAGTGAAGTTGGGGGGAAGCTTTGCGGTGTAGACTAGTGGCATGTCAGAGATCAAGTGATGGCTGCGATGCTGAAACCACTTACCCCCCGGAAACAGGCCTGTCGTTCCCTGTCCCAAGTGCCGTCCCAAGTACCATCCATCGCCGAAGCCCTCGTCTAATTCAACCAACTCAATTTGATCGCCTTTTCGCAGGGTCAACTCATCCGGACTCCGAGCATCAAAATCATCTGTTGATATTGCAGAGTTTAGTTTTGCACATTGAGACCAGATGTGACCTGACGTACGAATGACCACCAGTGCATCTCCCGCTTGGAGAGTGACACGCTGGCGCTGTTGAGTCGGGTATGACATGGTGAGATATGGAGGAAAGAAGATGTCTGGCACGCATCCAAGCGAGCGTCGTAACACGCCAATGGTGCCAATTCACTTCATGGATATCTTAGCCGGAGTTTACCGTGGATGGATGGTGAACTGGAAGGTCATTGACAACTGTCTGCATGATAGAGACGTCTGCTGGGGAATAGTTTGACAGCGTAGGAGAAGAGATCAAGTCGCTCAGGAGCGTTGCACGAGGTGGTGGCTGAATTGGCTGTGGTCTTGCGGCTGCCGTTGTACAAGGCGCAGGTGTCGTTCGAGAAGGATGACGCATGCGACACGGAGATGGGGATGGGTGACAGGAGCCTGTTGTTGTTATGTACAGATGAAAAAGGACGGGAGAGGAGCAAGAAGTTGTGTTGTGAAGGGACAAAGATACAAAAAGTTGTTGAGCTGGAGGACCGAAACGATGAAAAAGGCCATCCGCCAGAGCTCCAAAGCCCATGCGCCGGAATCTTCCATCCGAACTTGGTTAATTTCTTGAAAGCAACAGCACCAACAAGATCAGCAGCCCAACCAGGATGTGATGTCTTTCTCTCCGCAGATAAAAACCATAGAACCACAGCGCACAGACGCAGACCCATAAATCAAAACTCCACACTGAGCACACCCACTCCCGTTTATACCAGCTCAGACAGTTCTTTTGACCTTTCCACCTGTCCGTCAGCCTTGCCGATGTGATATGGTCTGAGATGACTCTCCTGAGTGTTAGTGTTGTAGTCCGTTGTGAATGGTGTTCGTGGCTATTCACCACTCGCACGCCTATCAACAAGTAGCAGCGCGAGCCATATCGCGCTCGTGTCTTGCACCACAAAGGCGCGATGCTGTTTCACCACTCCAGTTGTTGGTTGTCCTGATTTGGCACCAGAGGCCTTTCTCGAGGACTAACCTGGTTCACACGTCACTATATCTACCCTCTACTGCCGTTGATGAGCCTCCTCCTTTCATCCTTTGCGCGTCTCTTTCTTTTGCCGAGCAGGACCTTGTGAGAAAGATGTCAAGTATGCCAGTGGCCAGCGGTAGCCACTCGAATCATGCCACATCTGCTCTCTCTTCTACTTCCCTTCAAGTGTCGAATACAACAAGCAATCATTTTCTAGGTGTATCTCTACGCCCGTGGATGGGTCATACCCGGAGTATTGTAACTGCTCCCAACCCCTCCCGCCCGACCAAACCACACCGCACTCCGGCGTCGAGAAGATCACAACAAGATCCAGCCCTAGGACGTTCAGCCGTTGGCAGTACAACTGCGACAACCCATTCTTCCCCGATACCCTCCTCCCTGCTCATTCAATCGGAAGCGCCAATGCTTTCGTCGTCGGTAACTCAACCGGATGCAGAGGAGAGGAATGAACAGCCCACACACAGAAGAGACAGTTTGAACAATGCGGGCATCAGTGCTCGTACACACAACGGTGTTGAAGGGTCGTCAGGGAAGGATATGAGCAATCGCCCAGAGCTGGTGCAAGATGTGCATCAAGTTATCGGCCCTCGAGGGTTTACCTCCCAACAGTCCATATCCCTACAAACTAACGAGACACTCAGGTTTCAAGTCTCTGCTCCAGGGCAGTCTATTTCGGAAATGGCCTCCATGAACAATCCCGGTCGTTCACCGCAAACTCAGCCACCGCCGACCACGGCCAATATTCCTACGGCAGTTGAAAACGTCGAGGGAATGAGAAAGCGGCCACGCCCGAATGAGGCCAATTTGGCCCAAGAAACGAACAAACGACGAGGAGGACCGAGGATGAGCAACGATGTGGCTCAGGTTTCAGCGCAACTGCCCACACCTCAAGATTCACCTACATTTTCCTCCGCCGCTACTCTTCGTGAGCAATTGGATGCGACAATTAACGCGCAATTTGACCGTCGACAATACACCGTTGACATGAAACCTGTCATCGACGGCCTTAGAATTGAGATGCTGCGTGATGCTTGTCGACACAATGACATTTTCTACATCCTGACGCATTCGCTCTATTGCCTTTGGTACCGAGACTGCACCGGACACACTGATCTGACCCCGACCTCGGCCGAACTTGTTACGTTGGACAAGTTTAACAAGTTTGGACTTACCTTACAACACCTGCGAGCCATGCACGTCTTGCGCTCGATATTGGGCCAGAATGACCTTCTTTCACACGAGATGAATGAGGTATTTGCAAATTTTCCCATGCGCCCGGAGCTCTTTATGGCACAGGCTAGTGGCCCAGAGCCATCGCTCCTTGACTCTGTGAAATGCTTTTTCCTCTGCTTGCCAAGCAGTTTCAATGCTCTCAAATCCAATACACTGCAGAGGGGATATCCTCCGTGTCCCTTAGAGTTCAAGTACGCATTGCAACTACCATCTCCAGTCCTTCTCAAGGCCGTTCATCTCTCAATCCTGCGACATCTGTATACCGACCAAGACTGGTTGCGACAGGCGACGTTACTTTTCGAGCAAGAGCTGAATGCTCCTGTTGGTAATTCTCTTACCATTGCCGAGTTGAACGCGGCTCAAGGAGCTCAATTATCTGCAGCTTCCCAAGCATTTTGCCAAAAATACTTTCAGCTTCTAAGCCAATATTCCGCTCTCAGGAATCGAGCCCCGCAACCAGTTCCACGTGCGGCTGGGATATATCAGCTGACACGCCAACAACCATCCACTAACGGTCAGTTTCACGAGGCTGGTCAGTCACAGAATCAAGTTGCGCCAGTCACACAACCCTTTATGTTCTCCTCTTCTACGTCTGACGATCGTCGATCAGCTCCGTTGAACCCATCGAATGTAATTGGCCCACGGTCCGCATTACCTCAATCTGACACCGGCGCATCTGAATCGCCAGTCAACGGTAGGGCTACTCGAGGTATTCGTCAGGTCTCGGTCCAACGAAATAAGCATCCTAATCCTGTGAGTCCCCCCTCGCCGCCACGGTCTCAGCTCTCGACGACCGCCCGTATTTCTCTTGTTCATACCGGAACTGGTCCTGGGCCGCCACAGTCGGTGTCGTCTGCCGGAATTCAACAGAATCGAGTGCCACCGCAGGTCCAACCTTTTATACCACGCGACCACACACATGTCTTACCGTGGATTGCGGTACCTAATCCCGATCGCATTGCCCTCCATCAAGCTCATCTCCGCAGCCCAACGTTCCAGAAGGCCGACAACACCGATAATGACAAATCTGAAGTGAGATACTATCAGTTTGTGGAAGAATTGATCGAGTTGCCACAGTTCCTCGATGCAAATTCTGGTCTGGTGCGCTGGAATGTGCATGTGCCTCATGAACTCTGGGTTCGGAAAGCTAATAGCTTAGACCCAACTGGCGAATTCCTCTCAAAATCCCGAAAGGTCTGGGACGGATGTGTCCAGTTCCGATTGAAATGCATCGTTTCTGACGCAGTGACCGTATCACCAAACGCTTTGTTTTCAGGCTTTCCCGTCCAGTCGACAAAGTGGCCCAAGTGCTTATCCGTTTCCATCAATGGCGACATGGGGGTTGAATTTCGGCGCAAGGCACATCACGGGGTAGATTTGGCCACAGATGTGACTGATCTACTCAAGGAAGGCGATAATGAAGTGATCGTTTGCATCAATTTCACCGCCGGAGAGTCTCACGTAGCTTACCTTTTTGCTGTCGAAGTTATCTGCGTTGCAGATCATAAGAGAGTACTCTCAATGCCACGTCCAATTGGTGCGGAAGAGGCCCTGTCAGCCATCACTACCGCACTCAAAAGCAAACATGACGGCAAAGATGACGATGAGCTAATCATCTCCCAGCCGCTTATGAGCATTGACATTATTGATCCCATTACGTCTCTTATTTGGGTCGTACCTGTCCGAGGCAAACAATGTCGGCACCGTGAATGTTTTGACCTCGAAGCTTTCCTTCTGAGCCGCACGAGCTATGTTAAGAAAAGTGGCCTTACAAGTCCAGATCAGTGGAAGTGTCCGATTTGCAGGGAGGATGCTCGGCCCCAAATGCTGGTCATTGACGGGTTTCTACAGACCGTACGCAAGACACTCGAGGAGACCAATAAATTGGACACGAAGGCCATTCTCGTCAAAGAAGATGGCAGCTGGGAGACTAAAGCCGATCCACTAGTTTCCAGACCTCAGAGCGAAGCCAAGGCAGAATCAGGTGCTGCAAATTCCGAAGACGCATCTAGAGGGAATTATGACGAAACTCCGGGGTATGGTACTACCTCGAGTACAGCCATTGTTCTCGATGACGATGATTGAAGTACATCTCAACCTCTCTACGAAACGATACGGTGAAGGCTTTCATCTTCTCCTTTTCAACGGTTGCACGACTTACAACTTCTTCCCCGATAAAGCTGCACAGAGTTTCCTTCCCGAGACTTTTTTTTTCCCTTTCGGCCTAGTGACAGGAGACAAGAGGAGGGGCTGACACGATCTTACTGACCCAGCGTTTCATCTTTCTTCCGATTCTCGACCAATCCGATTGAACGAACGGTCTTCTTGTTTTTTGTGTCCGTGGCTAGCGATAGATACCCTTCATCGAACGGCATTGAGCATTGATTATTGTTTGCGTACTCATTAAAAGGACTCAGGGAGGGCAATTGTTTTGCGTCATGAGATTAAAGGTCTTTGTATTGAGTCTAGGGCGAATGCGACGAACCGAATAACTGTGTGATTTTGCTTGCGATTACGCAAGACTAGCGATGGAGCTTATGGCGCAACATGAGATCGGGAATGGAACGAAATTCGCGCACTGGAATTTTAATTGCAGTCATAATCTGCTGCGAGGACATCGATGTGGGACTGGCACCTGTGTTGAATTAGTCAAGCGTCCACTTCGCCCTTATCAACGAGATGGGAACAGTTGAGCGCGGCTTCCAGACTTGGGAAGGATGTGTAGAATTTTCGGGACCGGTTTGATAATACGAAACGACGAGAGAACATCCGGACAAGTCTGGGCGATGAAGGAAAAGGATCTCCCTATCCCGCTTGAGAAATAAATAGTAATCCCGAAGTAAGTTCCGCTGTTCTTGATGCCATCCGTAGCGCCATGCTAGAATGAAAAGTGGTAGTAAATCGCCATTTTATGAATACAAATGAGATTTCAGTCACCCGCCAAACTGGTGTATGTGACTTCTCCTTGGCCGGGCGGAGGTGCAACAGTGAAAGTTGTTTCTCCACCGCCACCAGCCCCTTCGATCTGTGCTTGCACGTTGCCAGTAGCGGTAATGGCTCCTTGGCTTCCACCACCACTTTTAACGGCGGCCGCTGTTTGCCGGCCCTCTCTCGCCCACTCGATTCTCTGTTCTCGATCGGTATTATCCAACGGCTTCGGTTTCCCCCATCTGAGCCGGAGCGGACAGCCTTGAATGATGGCCTTTCCCTGGCAGTGGGCAGCAGCGGCTTCGGCAGCTTCTCTCGTCGCGTAGTTGATAAATGCACAATGGGCTCGGTGGGAGCAAACTATCGAGCGAATTTGGCCGAAAGGCGTAAAGAACGTGCGAATCGCGTGTTCGGGTAAGTCGTCTTCAACGCCCGTGACGAATAGTGAGGTGATGTTGGGATCCGCTGGCGGCAGGTAATCTTCTGGTTGAGGAGGTCGTACCGTCGTGCCTGGAACGGCTCTAGCATTCCTGGGCCCAGCGCGAGAGCCTCGCGGTGTGTTTTCTCCTTTTCTGGCATCGGCAGTTCGCACCGGTCCCGGTCCTGGTCCATAGCTTGGTTGGTTTTCGGTGCCTGATCTCACCGACCCTTCTGCTTCTAGTCGGCGTTGTTTTTTGTAGTACGGTTCACTGTTTGCCAGTCTTCGCAAGAGATCTCTTGCTTTTTCGTCGGTCTTGTCATATGCCTCGACCGCCCCGCGGCCCTCTTCCAATTCTTTTTCGTGCTCCTGGGCGTAGTATTCTCGGTTGATGGTGGATTGGGGGCCTGGAGCGACCATTTTCAAAGCGGCGTCTCGGACGGTAATGGGTAAGCCGAAAGAGAGGTCGAGCATGCAGCACTGGCAGCAGTTCTTTAATCGTGCACATGTCAGACAGATATTGGTTCGCTTTGTTCGAGCAGTTCGATCGGCTTTCCAGCGGAAAACTGTGAAAGGCCTGGTACAGATCTTGCATTCAGCCCCATATTCCTCTTTCAACATTTGTACGTATGGATTGTCAGGGAGGCAGTTTTCACAGCTGGAGGGAAAGTCTGTGGTTTCCCAGCCGGAGCGGTTCAGGTCTTGTTTAATCTGAGGTGGCGCCATGGTGGGCGGGAAAGGTGGAGGGGAAGGAAGAAGACTGAGACGATCGGGGCAGACGTTGAGATATCGGCTTTGAAATAGGGGATCCAATGGAAGCTCAAAGTTGATTTCTGCAATTCCTTATGACAAAATGTGTGGCAGAGGGAGCGGAGGTGGTTGTATCTCGTCAAATTGAAATTTCAACGACGTCAAGCTCAAGACTCAGCCCTGTCACGTGCAAATTGCCTCTAGATCACGTGCGAAGATAGAAGGCGAAAGTCAGAGCCGAATGGTGGTCCCACAACCAGCCTGGCAACAAAAAATATGCATTTCTGATCATAGCTGCACTCTGAAAAGCCAGGGATCCATGATCCACATCTGTACATATTTTAGCTAGACTGTTTGCAAGAATCACGGAATTCCTGCTTGACTTGGCCACACACAAAACCTCGGCTGGAATTCTTCACCGAAAAGCAAAACTAGACCTCTGCGGGGAAGGAAAAGAAAAAAGAAGACAGTTTGCTCATTTCGATCCGGAGAGGATTCGAACCCCTTCGAAATATTAGCACTTCATTATGCATGTCTCTCGTAAAAGACAACTTACCTAATCTTTGGTGTTTGCCAGCAACCGAAAACCAACGCCTTGACCATTAGGCCACCGGACCCATGATTTTTAGTATGACAGAATTCTTGTCGAAAAATTATCATTTTTAAAATATAAAGTAAAATTATTGCACATAGCGGGTCCAATACTTAGCGTGTCGCTAAATGCGGAGCATTAGGATCCGTGAGTTGTACATCATCCCACATTGTTCAGTTGAGTATACAAGTACCTCCTGATTTGCCTTGAGATGTATTTGGGCCAGGCACCCAAGGCAACAAGAAGGAGGCACCAGGCGTCGGCCACTGATGAATACCTGACGCTATTGCCTGTGCTAGTGTTGAGCCATTGTGTCGGATATACAAACAAGTCCCCAAGCAAGCGCTGCTCTGACGCCGCCAATGTCTCGAGGAACATAAAACAAAGAAGACAACATCAGCGGGACTGGAGAAAAATCTCTATTGTTTCACTTGAGAAGAACACTATCAATGCGCTTGTATTGATTGAGGTTGAGAGGGAATTGATGCGGATTTTGAAACAGCTTCCCTCGCAGCGAATTTGGACGCTTCTTCAGCCTGGTCTGTATGAATCTTCTTCAACAATTCGGGATACTATTTGTACAGGGCATGATTAGATTCTTGTTGCCGCTTGATTGAGAAAACACACACTTACCCATCTCTCGCCAACATCGGGATGACTCTTGATTCTGTTCATCAATGTCGCCTCGCCCAATCTACTCCACATGCCCTTGATGAAAGTAAATTCGATATCGTCCAACCTCGCACCGCCTCTCTTCTCCAGAATGTCTGATCTCAACTTCTTGACCGAGTCCGGAACGTCCATGCTTTCAAACGTGGCATCGTAACTGACCCCCTGGAAGAAAGGAATGCTGAATCGCGCCCCAGAGCCCCGTGGGGGACTCTGCACCCGATGTGTCGTGGACTGACATACTCCCTGTGTCAAGGCCTCCATACCCTGACCGATAGCCACGACAAACGTACCGTCAAGAGGCGGGCAATCCACCCATTGACCCTCGGCATTCTGCACCTGCAGACCCTTATGATGACTCGCTTGTAAAAGATAGCTCGTCAGCATGCTGTCCTTGTGAGGTCCGACGCCTTGCGCCTCTCCTTCGACACCAAGCTCCTCCAGATCCGGATACTTGACGATCTTCAACTTGTGCTGCTGGGCTTCATCGAAGAACTGCGCAAAAGCATCGGCCGGCAGCCCAATCGCCTCCGCAATCAGACTGGTGAACTCCATGCTCATGTCCCCCATCCTGGCCATGTATTCCTCATACACCTCTCTGAACCTCGGCAAGGCCTCGGGGTCGGGCCACTGATTCGGTGCCAACAGATTCCTGTACAGTGGATCATTTGGGCCCGGGACAGGGTGGGGAGTCGACAGATCGATCTGTTCGCGCCAGTCGGTCTTGAATCGCGTAATTTCCATGCCGAGTTTGTTGTAGCCGAGGAAACTCGGGGCGTTTTTCATCTCGATTTCCAATTTCTTTTCCTCGGGCAGGTTGAAGAATGCTTTGCCTAGCTGTATCACCTCTTCGACTAGCGATGGCGGGATCCCGGTATTTTTAATGTACAGGAATCCGACTTCGAGCAGTGCGTGGCGGAGGTCAATGAGGAATTGTGGTTTGGTCTCCGGAAAGCGGGACTGTGACAGGTCGAGAATGGGAATGCTGGAGAAAGACATCTTGGAATCCACTAAAGAGGCACTCAGCTGTTGGCAATTATTCCCTTCTACAGGTACCTGGTTGAATGAAACGTGACGTGAATTAAGAGGTCGGTGTTCTCGGATGTAGGTGTGACATTCACCCAGTCGATCGATCCTTTGTCGGGGCGTTTTAAGTGTTCGGATCACGCCATAGTCCGAAGTTCCACGAATGCGGAGACCAAGTTGATGTGTAATATCATGCACAGCTCGTATAAATTGAGTTCTAAGTGGATCGAATCAATGACAAGCAATCCGCCCTTTAGCACAGGGGCGAGATAACAGGAAGTTTTACGACAACAGCATTCTCGATTGCTATTTGATGCTGCGTATATAAACCCGATGGCGTTCAGGCATCAGTCAATGGTTCACTCGATCTACTGGCCTCTACAAATTCAGATGTGAACCAGCAGTCGTCCGACAAATGGAAGTTCATTGGGGCGAGATTGGTTCTTCCTCTCACACCGCAAAAGGAAGTCCATTTGATGGCGTCGGGAACTGAAAAGTTGTTTTCACGTTGCCCATAACACTGCAGTAGGTAATTCTGGAATATTTCAGTATCATCCACGTTTCTTCCTTTCCATGTGATAGGGTACACGCTTATCTGGTCGGCTGTACTCTTTTCATGCCTACACTGTAACGCAGTGAAGTCGCATCCATACTCATCTCGACCAGCTTGAAAAAATATAGCAGGAATTCCTTTGACAATCCATCATTGTAGAGGAAGCCGGCCGGGGCCATAGAGCAAAGAAACAGCGTTCTTAGAGACGATTTTTCAGAATGTTTATGATGCAGGAAAATCACGGTCGGATTGTCCTGTAATTGAGTATCAAAAAGCCCATCAAGGACTTACGGATAGCTCTGAAGGAGGCAAATGCATCCTCCAGGTTTTTCATGATGTTGGGGTCATTAGTCCGTCTTCTTTCAAATTCAGCTGCATTTTCCATTGACCCGAGGTCGCGAGGGCAGTATGGATTCCTCGGCTAGTAATAGAACGCTGCCATGGCCTCGAGCCGTTCGTTTTTCCTGGTTGGATCCGGCATTCATGAAAGGAGCTGGCTTTTCTGGAGGTTCGACATGGTTCAACATAGAGTGCAATCAGGCCACTGGGAAACGAGGGGGTATTCAACGCCAATGAGATGGGAACGGACTGTTATGCGTAGACAACGGCCGAGAACCAAGAGCATACCAAAGAAGGTGGAATAGGAATGACAAAGGAAGGATAATGGAAGGTCGAATGAATGAAGGCTCCCGGACTTCTCAGCAGGTTTGAAGCTTCAGCAAACTTCCCGTTTTTCGACCGAGATTCCAGATGGCGCTAAGCCCATTGGGAAGAAACTTCTCCGCAGTTCGTACCGCGAGTCAGTTCAACGACTTTGCGGGAGACATCCTCGTCCTTTTTTATCGGCCTGTAATCCTCCTCCTCGAGGACGTGTTGAAAGGCAGAAATGTCGAGATGACAATCTGATTCCTTTCTCGAATTCAAATATGACGCAGCAGTTCCTGCGATCGGGCCGCCCGGCCACCTCCTTCCTCCGAAGCATTGAACACCCGAGACGATGGGAGCCGACACTATTACCGCAGCTATGTCGCGTGAGGACCCTTCACAGCTCGTCCGCGAAATCGGAAGAGAAGGGCAAAGAGAATGAAAAGCCGAACTTGTCATTCAGAGGGCAGCTCTACGAAAGTACTGCTGAGCGACTGAAGCGCGAAAGAGCCTCTGAAGCTCGATACATCAAAGCTTCCGCCGGTCCAAAAGGTCCTTCTGGGTCGGGAACTCTGTCTCTCAGTGCTGGTAAGGGCTCTATTTTCATATGCCGGTCGCCTGCTAATTGTACACCGAGTCATTCTGTCTGTTGCGGGAGTATTTTACTGGATGGGAACCCAAGGGGAAAAGGCACTAGATCCGTCTTCTACCACCCCTCTCACTCGCGCACAACCACCTCAACACGATATCCGGACCTCAACACTCCAATCTGCTTGGGTGGATTTTGCTCAGATCGTTGGGAAGGACAATGTGTCAACCGTCCAAGATGATCTCGATTCGCATTCGGGATCCGAATGGTCTTCCTACACGACCAAACCCAACGAAAGACCCTTTTGCATCGTATACCCGGCCACGACCGAAGAAGTCTCCCAAGTGATGCAAATTTGTCACAGACGAAAAATCCCCGTTACCGCTTTATCTGGTGGAACCAGCCTTGAAGGCCACTTCGCCCCGACAAGAGGAGGCATTTGTATCGACATGGCGCGAATGGACAAGATTGTGGAATTCCATCCTCAAGATTTAGATATTGTCGTTCAACCGGCATTGGGCTGGGAGGATCTCAACGAAAGCCTTCATGAGCACGGAATGTTTTTCCCTCCGGATCCCGGGCCGGGGGCCAAGATTGGAGGGATGGTTGGCACAGGATGTTCAGGCACGAATGCCTACCGTTACGGCACCATGCGTGAATGGGTGGTTTCGCTGACGGTCGTCCTCGCTGACGGCACCATCATCAAGACACGACGAAGACCTCGCAAATCCAGCGCCGGGTATAATCTGACACAAATGTTTATCGGCAGCGAGGGCACCCTCGGAATTGTGACCGAGGCCACTTTAAAAGTGACGGTGCTGCCGAAGAGTCAATCTGTAGCTGTCGCGACCTTCCCCACCATTCATGCGGCCGCTGAATGTGTGGCCAAAGTTGTTGGTGACGGGATTCAACTTGCTGGGATGGAGATTCTGGACGACGTGCAAATGAGGTGCATCAACAAAAGTGGGATGACCAGCCGACAATGGCAAGAGGCGCCGACACTCTTTTTCAAGTTCGCAGGCACTCCAGAGGCTGTCAAGGAACAAATTGGAATCGTACGGAAATTGGCAAAGTCCACCCAAAACAACAGTTTTGCATTTGCGAGAAACGCCAACGAAGCGTCAGAACTCTGGAGCGCCCGAAAGGAGGCGTTATGGAGTGTCATGGCGATGAGAAGAGATGGAAGTGATCATGTTTGGACAACGGATGTGGCTGTACCCATCAGCAGATTAGCTGATATCATTCAGGAAACGCGCGATGATGTCGCGAGTAGTGGGTTGGTTGGTGGAATTTGTGGACATGTGGGCGATGGAAATTTCCACACCATTCTTCTTTACAACGATGCTGAGAAGAAGACCGCCGAAGATGTGGTCCATCGCATGATTCGACGAGCAATCGATATGGATGGCACTGTCACCGGTGAACACGGTGTGGGACTAAAGAAACGCGAATATATTCGTGAAGAGCTGGGGGAAGATACCGTCGACGCCATGCGCAAGGTCAGTCCGTCCCTTTTCTGAATTCTGTTGATATTGACAAGTTCTGGTACAGCTCAAGCAAGCATTCGATCCTCTTGGGATCCTCAACTGTGATAAGATTGTCCAGCTTGAGGAAGGTCATTGATTTAAGGACACAGGAATTGGTATACCGACGAGGTAACCCGCCTGCCAAGGACTCGGAAGAACAAAACTCGAAAGTTTCAGCCCCGCACGGAGTCCCGCCACAAACTTCGCCCTTTTTATTAGGCTGATTTTACATCTCCGGTGGTCATCGTGAACAATTGGTCCAGGGCAGTTTGAGTATCATAATGATGAGTGCTCCTGGCGTTGCCTATGGCGGTAGAACTGGCTCGCTGGTTACCTACCAGCACCCCCATTCATAGCTGACATCAACTCGAAAAAAGCAAGCTTGCACATATATTTCCTGTACGTCTTTGTTTACCCCTCATTTGCCATCCATCCTCCTGCGCGGCCTTCTCGTCCGTTGAGTTGACTCGAACCATGGCTGCCCAAACATCGACCAGGGTCTGTCGAAGTACTTTGTTGCGCGATATGCTCTGTACAAATATTGACACACTGCGTAGGAGAACAACTCATTCGTCCTGCGCGGGGTCAAGGATGTGTTCTTCGAAGACCGCCCGATCCCTCAGCTCGCGAGCCCGCACGATGTCCTCCTACAAGTCAACTACACCGGTATCTGCGGTTCGGACGTTCATTATTGGCAACATGGCCAGATAGGACATTTCGTGGTAAAGGACCCAATGGTCCTGGGTCATGAGTCCGCAGGGACGGTCGTTGATGTCGGCGCGAACGTAACCACGTTGAAAAAGGGAGATCGTGTCGCCATGGAGCCTGGCATTCCTTGCCGACGCTGCGTGCGGTGTAAAGAAGGTAAATACAATCTGTGCTCCGACATGGCATTCGCGGCCACGCCACCTTACGACGGCACCCTAGCCAAGTACTACGTCCTCCCTGAAGACTGCTGCTACCATCTGCCCGACAGCATGACGTTGGAAGAGGGTGCCTTAATGGAGCCACTGTCGGTGGCCGTGCATATAACTAAGCAATCGGGACTGAAGCCAGGAGACACCGCGGTGATTTTTGGGGCCGGCCCGGTCGGACTTCTGTGCGGCGCTGTAGCGAAGGCGTTGGGCGCAAAGAAAGTTGTCGCCGTGGACATCAACACCGAACGACTCGAGTTTGCCACAGCGTTTGCTGCTACATCGTCCTTTGTCCCGGCCAAGGTGTCCGCGGCTGAAAACGCGCAGAGATTAAAAGACGAAAATGAACTTCCAATGGGAGCCGACGTGGCCATCGACGCCAGTGGCGCGGAACCGAGTGTGCAGACGGCAATTCACGTCCTGCGCATGGGCGGTACTTATGTGCAGGGTGGTATGGGCCGAGACGAGATCACTTTCCCTATCATGGCAGCATGTACCAAGGAATTGACGGTGAAAGGGAGCTTCCGCTACGGACCTGGCGATTACCAGATGGCGGTGGATTTGGTCTCCGGTGGCCGAGTCGATGTGAAGCAGTTGATCAGTAGGAAAGTCGGCTTCGATGAGGCCGAGCAGGCGTTTGAAGATGTCAAGGCTGGAAAGGCTATTAAAGTTCTGATTGAGGGCCCGAAATAGTCTTCTTGCTGGTCGAGTTCCCTCATGCAATGTGCTGGGCCATGAGGGCCCCAAAAGGAGCTGCGACTTTCCTTCCTGAGATCTGTCGATAGTCGTGCCTGGCTCTACCGGCCTGCGCTGTAGAGCCTAATCAAGAACCCCTTGGTCCACCTCAGTAGCCCCTACACGAGCTATGTGCGGCTGACCATACTGTACGTACACATGTTGTCCTCGAATGGCATGGAACAACTTAGACCCTCGAAGCTACGTGCTATACTCTATGATTGGGCCCTGGTAATATCTGCGAGCATGTGCAAACCAGTTCAACAGCCCAAGAACCAGCAAAATGCCAAGTATAGCGCAGGTGTAGTCTGAAATGAACTGGTCAGCAGGGGCCAATTGCAGGTCACTTCCCCATTCACTTACTCATGCTCGAGCCCGTTGCGGGCAGGAAGGCAGGAAAGTTGAAAAAGATAATCGTGACAACACCGAAGCAGCAGACGATGATGTTGGCGGTATAGCCGATCGGCTTTGGGACTGCGAATGGGCGATTCGAAGGTAGATACTCCTCACTACGCCTACGATAGAGTAGCGGGGCAGTAGGTATGATGAACGTCATCATCTGTAGCACAACCGAGGAACCGATTAAGGCATCGAATGCTGTTGTAGGGTTGTCAGTTGACCAGCTTAGGATCAGAGACCTAGACACTATATGCCTGCAAGACGAGCGTACCTGTAGTGGAAGCCACGTAAATGCACCCGCAAATCGCCAGAAGGACCCAGCTACTCAATAGAGACCTAACGGGGATCTGGAGGCGAGGGTGGATCTGGGACAGATAATCAGATGCGAATAAGCCATTGTCTCGAGCGAAAGACCACGTCATGCGTGAGGTGGTCTCAATGACAGCATGGATGACGAATATTCCTAGGAAGAGACCGGCAACAGTCAGACCAAACGCCAGTGAGGTAGAATGGAGGCCTTCCATCTGCACCTCCACGGGAATAAATCTAGAGTGACCATCATCAGAACAGCACTCGCGACGTTTGAGAGAGACAGAGCTAACTTACACGGTGCTGTTAATGATGGCGTCAATGTCGGTGAGGGAATAACAAGGTGGCAATGGAAAATGGAAAGGCTGTTGTAAACCCTATCATGACAGGGCTTATAATGGCCTTCGGGACAGTTCGGGCTGCAGTGGTACACTCCTCGGCCATGTGCATGGAGGCATCGAGTCCTGCATACATGTAGCAGGATGTTGAGAGACCTGTAATGAAACAGATCGCGTCCGGCCAACCGGTATAGTTGATAAAAGTCGTCCACACGAAGGAGCTAGGTGCTTTAGGGACTGAGCGCACGAGCGTCAAAATAAAGGTCACGATGAACAGCACTATCGTGACGGTGACTGTAGGCAGCTAGGTTAGCATCAGTCACAATTCTTCCTCCACCAGCAGTTTGGCTCCTTCATTGGCAGCCTCGAAAAGGAGAATCACCATGGAGTCCGATGGCCCCTGGTGGAACCTTACAGCCGATATCATGAGTCCACAAAGCTCGTTTCAGAATAAAAAGGTTGAACAGAAGGCCCCAGACGGCGATCGCCTAGTAGATGAGGAAGACGTGCCAATTCTGGAGAACGAATGTGCTGTCGTAGATAATGACCAGTGTCATGATTTGCTGGGCGATTATGATGCCAACCGATGCCCCGATAGCTATCCAAGCAAAGATAGACAACAGTCCGCATGCATAGGACATGCCTCTGCGAACTTTTTCCGGAGCGAGAACAGACACGAAATGATATTGACCGCCTGCTGTGGGGTACACGGACGCAAGCTCGGCCATGGTAAGAGCAATGCAACCAAATACAATGCTGCTGATCAGGATGCCATAGATGAGCGTCACAGGTCCACCTTGCAGCAAAGCAACTTGTATGCTGTCTGACACCCCCGCCCAGCTATTGCAGATGACGAACGAGAAAGCGATGATGCTAATGGTTGAGAAGTGTTTTTGGTAGACCAAACTCCTAGGTTACTGAGGTGGAGTGTTCCATTACCGACAGTGACCGAAGCCAAGTCAGACGTGTCTATAGGGCCTTACGATGCAGCGTTAGTCATTGTTCCATCTCGTTGGAGAAGTAATGCTTACCGTACGTCTCTGGACTGGCAGAGTCTTTGTTGTCCGTGACGATGGATTGAAATGCTTCATTTGTGCTCAGAGTCATGGCGGTGGTTTGAGCAAGAGACACTGTCGCGAACGGGGTCTGAATGAGACACCACCAGGATTATTATAAACTGCCGCTGTCTCACGACCCAGCATGCACCAGGAAAGTTGACCTCCTTGTGAGACAAGTGAACATTGGCAGACCATCTTTCAATCTTGGATTTCATGGCTGATGAGCATGGCGAAGTGCCGCCACGATCTGCATGGGACCATAGTGAAATGGTTGCATTGCGTCCGATTGGGAGCATATAGATCGAGGCGCTTAGATACTGGTTCCCTTGCGAGCACCAGCCCATTTTCAGTCGGGCAGAGCACTTTCAAGACCAGAAGTGGGAAAGTAGGCCAGATAGATAGGCATCGCAGATCTCTACGTTTTGGTACCATCCGAACATTGAATTGATGGCCTCGGTCAACTCGGCACTGATGTGATTTATCTGTGCACAGTACCGAACTGTCCTTCGCTTTTGCTCGCGCGTCATGTGACTAGGCTCAACGTTGATTCTGATTGGCTTCAGCCAATCTCAACATCCTCCTAAGCATTTGCGGTACGAAGGTCGCTACTTCGTCTTCAACAGCAACACTTTATCTCTGTAAGTCGTGCGTGCTAAGCGTTGTTTGGCGTGGCTCCGCGATACAAGGTACATCACATTTTTCCGAGGCCCGCCATAAATGAAGTTCTTGCATAAAGTCAAAGTCAGGTCGATTCCTTCGCTGGTTCGCTGGGCAGTCGGTACGTTTTGGGGGCAATATCAAGATGTCATGCTGCTCTGGCAGATACGTTAATCTTCCTTCCTGGCCTTATTACTTGGTCTGCACCTCCTCTCTGTCTCTAGGTGGTCATCCTATGTGTTCTGCTGACGAACCTTCGTGAAGTATCAATCAGCCTCATATGACAGCCTTGCCGCCTAGATCAAGAATAGCTTTTGACAAGAGTCACGACGGATGGATCTCATACAGACGGACCTCTATAGACCAGGAGATACTAATTGGTATTCAACTCCGATGCCCACATTCCCACTATAGTTGCCAACGTGACCTTCTCGGTCGTTTCCATAAGAATGCAATCAGGGCGAGGAGAACGAGAAATAAAATTCGAATGCCGGTACCGTTTCCTTCAGCGGACAGGCCGCTAAGTGAACACCATGTTAGTTTGATTCCATCCCGCCTCCAACTTATCAAAGGCGCCCCACCGGGCAAGGCAAGAAGCATGTAGATCGGGATGGGCAACAATGCTATAGAGAGGGACCAAGATCATCCGGACTAATAGGTCTTCATTATTGTACGTTCGTGTAGAACGACCAGCAGAGGTATGAACAGGGAAAAGAGAGGCTTACTTCTCGATCAGGATGGGCGGTGGACGAACACCTTCTGGAAACGTCGCCTGCCATGCCGCCATAACGTGCAGCATCTTCGCCTCTTCGTTCTCCGGCGCCAGCATATGGAGCGAGAAGCCTCGGCCGTTGAAGTCTGCAAATCCCAATGGCAGACTCGCCACCGGGAAGCCTGAAGCCGTCCCAACACTTCCTGTGCGAGAGTCGCAGGGCCCCAGAACGACATCGATGTCGTATTCCTTGAGCAGACTCTTCATGGTGCCCGAAGCGAAGTCTCGGAGGGCTTTGAAATTTCTGTCAAAGACTTCTTTGGTGGTAGAGTCATCTCTTGCGGTCTCTAAAAACCACTGATTATCATTGCCTGAAGATATCAGCGACCTTTCAAGATAGAATGGAGGCGGGGAGCTTACGGGCGGTAAATTCTTCACTTGCGTGGTCGTTGTTGAACTCAACTAGCTCTGCGATAGATTGCGGGGCACCTTCGAAACCTGCTAGAAAATGGTTGAAACAATTGCGGAACGCGTAGGCTAGCACAGATAGTCAGTTTCTGACGAGGGTCCAAGTCTTTGACCACTGCGTACGGTTCATATCCTCCATCTGCTCAAAGTCTGGCATGGCTTGGACAATGTCATCCCAGGATGGCACAGGGACAGACTGAACGACTCTGCCGCCCATGGAGCGAATCTTCTCAGCAGCCGCATACATGGCGTTGTCGGTTTGCTGCCAGAAGGTCTCAACGGTCTCCATTGCCGTGGGGTATGAGCGCCACTTGGTTGGGTCCGAGAAGCCAATCTTGAGGCCGCTCCAGGATGTATTCAGAGGGAGATACTTTTCCGGGTGATGGCCCTGCAGTATGGCGACCAGGTGGGCTTGGTCAATAGCATTCCTTGAGAACCCACCAAGGCAGTCCAACTGGGGGAATGCTGGCTGGACACCTGTGTTGTCGACTGTCCCTGGCGTGATCTTCAGGGTATAGAGTCCGGCGCGGGCAGCAGGCATGATGAGCGAACCATCTGATTCAGTTCCAAGTGACAACGGTGCAAAACCAGCTGCTACTCCAGCCGCACTACCGGATGATGAGCCGGCTGGTGTCTGTAAACTGATCAGGAGATGAAACAACAAAAGTATTGCGGCCTACCGTTTGGCCCAGCCATGGTGAGTCTGGAACAACTCCTCCTTTGACATATGGAGTCTGGGTCTGGAAGTCACTGTTGGCTAAGTTCGACGAAGAGTCTCAGTACGCCTTACCTGACCGCCAACAGCTGACCATCCGGCCATCAATGCGGCTCCCTTCTGACTACCAAGTTCCTAGCTAGGTATTTAGCGCTTGACGTGTTGGTTGGATCGACCCAGCATGCTTGCTTACCGATAAATTGGCTTTTCCAATGACAATCATACCGGTTGCGAGCAGTGCGTCCACGATCTTCGCATTTGACTTAGCTTTTGCCTTCGCCAGCGCAAAACTGCCACAAGTTGTCGGCATACCCAAGTCTGGGGTACAGTAAACATCCTGTTTCTGTCAATCGGGCAACCAAAATGGAGGTGGTAGAACGAGCTACTTTGAGAAGGATAGGAATTCCGTGAAGAGGACTCCGAATTAGTCCACGCGCCCGCTCTTCATCTAACTTTTGAGCGCGGGCCAGCACGTCGTCTCGCGGAGGTGTTGAGATGACAGCATTAAGCTTCAGTCCCGCATGGTTGTGCTTTTCAATCTGATCAAGATATCTGCTTATGATTTCGACGCTGGTGACCACACCTCGACTAAAGAGTCCTTGTAAATCGGCAGCGCTGAGAGTCAACAAGTCAACTGCAAATAAATTAGTCCCCTTTGTCATTAGCGGCGAATCGCCAACGAGGTACTCTTAGCCGCCATTTCTCGCTCTTATGTTTCGATGCCCGTTGTCTCCGCCGGCAGAGAAGAGGTAGAGAGTTGGGGAGCTTGACAAAGTCTACGACCAGCCGCGGGAATGTTGCACGCCAACGTCGTGATCGTGACTCGACTTGCGCTGCCACCTGCCAAGACAGCAGAGTCTGCCTAGGTTAGAGACTGCCAACGTGCGCATCACCACACCACATCTGCAGGTCACAACATTTTCTTCCAGTAGGACAAAAGTGATGGATGGGCGCGCACAACTGCAGTTTGACCGGTGAGCGCGAATTTGGGCATTATTGCGCGGGTCTTGCTGCCCCTCGTCCGCAGCCCCGTTGGTTCCTGTCATGGCTGGATCCATGTCAACCAATCAATCCGAAATGCTGTGCTCTAATCCCCCTGTCCTCCTAATTAATTATTGGCCAGAGGCGAATGTATCCCTTCCCTGGCTTTGCTTCTGAGCGGCATGTATGAGCGAAGGAGCATCGAGGACTTCTCCGTCCCAAGCAAGTTCTAACTTTCCGCGTCGATGAGGCTGAGGTCGGAAACTGCAAAGTACCAAAGTACAAAGAATAACCCGCTAGTCCACAATGACAACAGCTGAATGGTCACATGGCGTCTCCTCATGGCCTCTGCCGGTCCCGCACGCCTCGCTCAGAGTTTAGCCCAAAGGCTAGCATTATCGCCGAATCACGCGCTGAATCTGAAGCAGCCAAGGTGACCAAGTCTCACCCCTAGACGCTCAGGGTTTTCGCCTAGGTACTAGATCTCTACAACTCCTTTGACCCGTCATCCCTGCGCGGGAGTCCTCTCAACAGTCTTGCAGCCCTTTAGATACGAGCGATCGAGGCGCGGTGTCTGCTTTCCGCGGGTCTTCAGAACAGAACAATGATATTTCCCCACTGACTATTCTTGGAGATACTTCCCGCAGCCCGGCTTTCCCGCAGCAGACCCATACGCTGCAGCGCCACTTCCCATTTCTTGGAACCGAACTTGACAAGAGACCGGCATTCAGAGCAAGGTCGCAGCATGTCGCAACCGAGCTGGTCATCCTCCCTGGCTGAAGACTCAAATTTAGCCTGTTCGTGCTTTAGTCCTTCGGACTTTTCTAATCGTCTACGGTCTTTTGCCGTCGAGGCAAAATGGAACCCATCGAGACTCACATCGAGTATATTGTCGATGACCCTAGATTTCTCAAGGAACGGCCTTTTGCTGTCAATATATCTCCCGCCTCAAAGATTGACGGGACCCTGCACACGGTGAATTGGGTGCCGCAACGCACCGTCATCCACGATATTCGGCTGTTAAAGGGTGTGACCCTGGATCAGTACGGCTTTCAGAACTTCCAATATGTCTTTACTCCCCTTCCCAAGGAGCAACTTACGCACTCGGACGTTGTACGCTATCAAATAGAGACGGAGCAGTTTCTGAAGCAGGCTCTGAATGTCGAGAGAGTCATATGCTTCGATTGTCGGGTGATTGGCCTGACGCTTCTTTCGGAGTGCTGTACTGACTTGAACAGTTCAGGAAAAATGGCCCCCCTATCAACGTTGGAGAGGTTATTGATGTCAACAATCCACTGCACTTTGACCTTCCACCTCGTGGTGCTCATAGTAAGTCATGTCGCCTGGTACTACAATCTCATATTGAAAAGATCACAGATGGTATGCGCGCTGATCGACAACATGCCTCGACAGCCTAACGTGATTCAGATATAACATTTGAGGGCGGACCCTTTTTGATCAAGAAAATCATCAACACCATAGGCGAGCCGCAGTTGCTGCACCGCAAGTATCGATATCGTATTGTGAAGTGAGCAATCTCCTCTCTGTGAATGCTTTTTCTGATTTGGTAAGTACCTGGAGACCGCTCGTCGAGCGTCTAGATGACAATCCTCTCGCGTTCTGCGACTTCCGGACCGTCGATAAAGATGATTTACTTGCATCCGACCAAATTTATGCTCAGCTCCGCACGGAGTTGTACTACTTGAAGTACAACAAGAACCAGAAATGGTACTGGCTATCACACCAGACACCAGAAGAAGTAATGGTGATGGTCATGTATGACACGAAGGCAGGCTCCGGGGCAAGATGTAAGTTGAGCCAACGACATCAGTTCCTCCCCGCTCATTTTTGACAGTCTGCCCCCACGTGTCGTTTGAAAACCCCCAGGCAGATAGCCAGGCCCCGCCGAGAGAGAGTGTTGAGACCAGAAGCATTGTCTTATCTCTGAATTCCGCAGATGACTGTTGACCGAGGCCTTTTTTTTTTTCCCCGTAGTTTCCCATGCAAGTTTGAGCTATCTCCGATTCGCTGCCTCCATTTTCGCAATGCACAATCAGGCCAGCTGGACTCCTTGCATGGGCTGCTGCAACAAGAAGAGCTGTGAATGCATATCCATACACTATTGGTTCGAGTTGCGGGATTTGGCGTACTATTTAGTACATTTGTGGCGTGATTAAGGTTAGCGTCCGTCAAGTTCATGTCCCATCCTCATCGCTGCAGTCCGTCACCTCGAGTTGCGAATTGATCCCCCTCTTTTGCAGGGTACAGTGAAAAAAGGCAGAGCATCCCCCTCCGAAACTACTCAACACCGTCTTGGTCTCATCAACCCCCCTACCGTTTTTCTTTGAAAAAGGCGTCCTCGAGTTGGAGATTTGGTTGTCACAAAACAGTGCTCCCTTTTTGGATCCTCATTTATCAAATCCTACTATGTCTCCTCCTACTCAATCAGAAATTCAGCCTGATGATCAACATTTCGGAGAAAACTCTTCCGACTCCGAGGACCCCTTCGACTCCGTCGATAGAACGGGCTTTCCAGACGACAGAGACAAAATCAGACCATGGAAGGACCTGAATCTTGAACTAGGTGATGAGTGGGAGCCAGCGAGGTGGTAAGCGTTTAGCCATCTCTGTCCTTTACATGCCTATCTAACACATGGTTGCAGGAATGTTCCCGGAAGAATCTATAAGAAGATTTTAGTAGAAGTGGCAGGATACTTTTCGCTCATGTCTGGTGCCACCTAAGCTGTCTGACGTGCGGGACCCGTAGATCGATAGCGGAAACAAGAAAGCAATGATATCACATCTTTTCGTGGCCTCGTGGGAAGGGGATTTGAACATGCATGAGATGCAACTGCTGAGTTGTCTCTGCGGAAGTCTCTTAGCTGTAAGATGTGCTTGAATGCATTGGACTTGGGTCAAGAGGGCATTGTTATCCAATTTCCCAATGCAATACCTTCTAATCGTCTTCTTCTGATTCCCAATTTGATGTATCTCCAAACATAAGACCCGAATTGGGATTTTCTCTAAAGAAGAAATAAAGATTTGCAGTTTCCAAAAGTCGCAACTCGACGAAGTCCTCAGTTAGGCCGGCGAGCGAAATCTGCCTCGGGATAGCCACACTCATATGCCCTGTCGGATGCGTGCGCGATATTCACCCTGTAATTCGACACTCCCCGCAATCGTGTGGCAGGTACCCCCTGGGTACGCAGCTCAAACGCCACCTTGATGATCGTCACATGGCTGCCCAAAAGATATCACTAACATGCAAGCCATAACCGGTGAGAGATACCTGGCTCAGCAGGTTTGCTGCGTTCGCCTTTTTCTCGTCTTCCAGCTTGCCCTGTGTCGGTATCGGTCTGGGACGTCTCCATGAACTTCCTTTATAGTCGATGGTTTTTTTTTTTTTTTTTTGGCGATCAGTCAGGAGCTCATCAGTCTCAAGCGCTTAACAGTTGTTACTCGACTTAGCTTCGGAAGAGCCTTTGACATGGCCTCTCCACGGCCAGCAACACCAATTTCTGGGTCTGCCGAAGAGTAAGTGAGTTACTTTCCCACAAGCCTGGGAGATTCTAATAAGATACAAGCCCGGAAGCCGTCGCACTTGAAGAACAGTGGAATGAGGCCATCCACGAGTGCGAGAAAAAGTTGCAAGACCCTGAGCTCGAGGTCATTAGACAATTTCAAGGGCCTCAGCAGATAGACGAGGACTTGAGAAAGAGGCTGCAAGATTCTGCACAGGGGAGACTCCGAGGTATGCTGTCTCAGATCAGCCCTTTCTTTGATATCCTGCAGAAGGTGCTGCACCTCTTCACGGCTGCATTGCCCGCCCGATCCATTCCTCTCGCTCTGGTATCAGGAGGAGCCTATCTCGCAGTACAGGTCAGTAATTGCCAGTGCACCAGCGCTAAACGTAGATGCTCTCTTGAAAGGTCGACCTAACAATCGATGGGCATAGTATTGTGCAGAATTTGAATCTGCTGCCCGCAGAATAATCGATATCCTTGACAAGTACAAAGAGCAGCTGGAGCTGTTTCAGAAGTATACCGAACCCCTCAAGCAAGAGAATTACAGGCAGGGGCTTGTTCAGATGTTCAAAGCCATGATAGAATTTTGGGTTGCGACCGTGCGGTTCCTGTCCAAAAAGTCCAGAGGCATGTTTTTCAGGTATCCCTGAACGTACCTAAATAATAACTGTTTCCTCAGGCAAGGGAGGTGACGAAATTGTCAAAGAAAGTTGGTATCAGGTAAATCAAAACTTCTTGAAAGCATTAGGACAGATAGAAGAAGCGGTCAAGCGTGTGCAACGACTTCAAGAGATGGAGGTAGGGAGGAACACCCAGCGAGACCTCGGCAGACCTGCACAAGCCCAAATTGAGCTTCTCGAGCAGATGCCAGGGGTCGACCTCTCAGCCGCCGGCTTTCCTTGCCATGAGATTCCTGCATCGGATGAAAACTTCTTGGGGCGCTCAGAAGATCTGGAGCGAATCGATGCGGCTTTGAACAGGAAGCAGGCTTCCAAGCTTTGTATTGTTGTCATCTCAGGGTTTGGCGGCGCAGGGAAAAGCGCCTTAGCTCTGAAGGCCGCCCACAAATACAAAGAAGCAAGAAAATATGATGCGATATTCTGGCTCAATGCCGAGGATCCTGACGTGCTGCGAGAATCTTACAACAAGATGGCCTGTCGTCTTCTACTTCAGGGAGCCAACGGGAAATCGGACAAAGATGTCAATTACATGTTGGTGAAGAACTGGTTAGACAAAACCAGTAAGTGTGTCTTTCCCATCCAGCTACTAGCTTTGAAAGTCATCTAAAGGGACAAAAGGCAGGAAGTGGCTCCTGATCTATGACAATGTCGACGATGAGAAGATATTGCGCAACTATCTCCCTCCAGACGCGGGAACAATGATCATCACCACTCGCTATCAATCAGTGTCATTTGCAGTCAATGATCCAAACATTACTCGGCTCCAACTTGAGAAATTCAACCCGGAAGACAGCCTACGTTTATTTAATCATTTGAGAGTAATTCGAGACCCTACAGCGGATATCAACGGCGAGATCGCGGAGACAAAAGAGCTTTTGGAAGAAGTTGACGGCCTGGCACTAGGGATCAAACAGATGGCATGTTACATTGCGAAGAAGCGTCTTACGATTCCGCTGTTCCGAGAGAAATACACCAAAATGGCCAAGTCCATTATTAACAGCAAAGCAGAAGGGGTTCACCATGCACTAGGCACCCTTTGGAGGGTTCAGTTCCTCGACATTCAGGATACATCTGCCAGCAAATTACTAGGGCTTCTCTCCCTCTGTGCTCCGAATGATATACCGCGCGAGTTGTTCGAAGTTGGCGAAGCATTGGAGACAGCCAACCTTGCAGCATTTTGTGATGACGAGGAGGTGTAAGTAAATCCCATTCCGTGAGGCAAAATATTGTTCCTGACACAAACTGGCTAGAGTTGAGAATGCAATTGATGAGCTTGTGGACAAAGCCTTGATTGAGATGCAGATGCCGCAGCCGCCACAACAATTGGCAATACATCGTCTCACTCAGCAAGCTTTTCTATACGACGAACACGGATTGTCTGACCCTCCAAATCTTCAGGCCACCTTTGATGGACTGGTTAGCCTCCTCGACCGGAAGTTCCCTCGGTATGGTCGAGAAAAGTCATTGACGGACGTCTGGGATATATGCGCGTCATACCTGCCCCACGTCTCGGCTCTCGCTCGCACATTTGACACCTTTCAAAAGTCCAAGACCCCAATCAAATCTAGTGAACTCTTCGCCGAATTATTGAAAAATGCAACGTGGTACCTACAAGAGATCGGAGAGATCCAACGGTCACAGGACCTTCTCCGAATTGCTTTCGACGCCTGTGAAGACAAGCGTTCTCTTATATATGCATACCTGTGCAATACGAAGGTTGTACTTGCAATGGAACTCAACGACATGGCCGAGGGACAAAAGTATTCAGCGGAAGCAATTTCGATTAGGGAGGAGAAATTGGCGCCGGACGATCTCGACCTGGCCATCAGTTATGGCAATTCAGCCAACATACTCCTGAATGAGGGACGATATGATGAAGCCCTGGCCAATCACGCGCTCTCTGACAAGATATGGGCAGACAACAATCTGAAGGACGAAGAGTACCAGGGTCTCGCTCATCTGAACATTGGGCGGGTATACTCTATGAAGGGTAAAGTCGATGATGCAGTGAGGTATTTTGAAACCGCAGAGAGGGTCCTCAATCGATTCTCCAATGACATGTTCCTGATCGGGTAAGGCATGCCGAATCGACTGCGACGCAAGGATTCAAGTTAACAAGTGCAATAGGGTACATTACACCTGGGCAACCTTGCTGATGAATCAGGGTGATAAGCTGGGAGCACTGGGCAAATTCCAGATTGCCCGTACGTTGGCCGAAAAGTCGACACCCCATCATCTTAGTGTGTCTGCTATTCACTACAAAATTGCTGTTCTGGAGCTGCAGATGGGACTTCTCACTGAAGCAAAGTAAGTTCCTGGTGAGGATTGAAAGTCAAGATGGCTCCGCTAACCTGCGTGCGTTAGGGCAAATCTCAAGAGTGCAATGGCACTTGCTCAATACCACAAGAGAGAAGCGTTCATCGCCCGTATCGGAAGACAACAGGCCATTGCAATCGAAAAGGACCCCAATTCGACCGAAGATGAGATCGAGACTGCCAGAGAATTGAGGCGAGTGTCTGAGGAGACCAAGAGATGGCTTTGGAAAGACATTGGGAGGCACATCAGTGTCCGTCCAGAAACGGAGGACGAAGAGTACAGTTGGTTGGTAGCGGCATGGTACCGTTAACTACTACTTTTCACAATCAAAGTACGGAGGCGTGCACCAAATGTAGTGTTTTAGCGTGGGGCTTAAATGGCAGACAGTTTCAAAAGATCGCTTATTTACGATCCGTTACTGGGAGCGACCTCGCCCGGAAATGTTGGACTCAGTATTCGAGCGCCCATCACGCCAACATCTGAGGCCTAGGGAAGCAGTTCAGGGGGCGGCGCCTGGAGTCAGAAAATACGCTGAACGCCGTCATTTCATCGTCATTTGCTCGGCGCCAAGAACCCTCAAAAATCCCGTATTTTGCGTCGTAAAAGTTTCCTCGTAAATTACGCCAGCCCCACTTTTCGAGAACTATCTTCCACTAAAAGCCGCTAATTTCACTAGTGTTACAATATGTCACGTGCATTATAGTAAAGAATGGTACCAGTGCGCGCTAACTACGTGCTTAAAGTACTGCTTAATTTTCGAAATTCTTTCAATCAGGGGGCAGGAGCCAATTAGAGCGCAGTTATCCGGCGCGCCTCGCGTCAAGGTGCAAATTATCCTAGCGGAGCGTAAGTGTAGCCAGTGTCAAGAAAGCCGCGACGCTGATTGGCTGAAGCCAAATTCGGCGCTTTGATTGGTCAAAGACGATGAAAAATCATGTGATAAGGCTTGGCAAGGCCTCCTCCTAACCGTATATCTACCCAAATTATCGACACCGTCCGTCGCGTTTACCAATTTAGTCCTCGCCACACTTTCCTTTCTCGTGCGTCTCCTGTATGGTCAGGAGATGCCACGAAGTGTTAGGCGCTATCACGTGGCTGAATCTCCTGTACCGGTACAGTAGGGTTCGGAAAACTAAGAACTGGGTATTGAGACTATCTCATGCGCGGCCAGGATTGCGGACTTTGGTCTTGGCATTCCATACCATGTACCATTCCACAACTGTGGAGCCATTCCTATGCAAATTAGTTAGTATTACTATATAAATATACATACCAATGCCTGTAGCACTGTTGTTTAATACATAAATAGACATTGCACCTCGTGCAAAAGCTATTTAACTTGGCGTGGCCGCTTGAACGTCGCTCTTGCACCTCTCCCAATACAACTCTAGCGCCAGCGTCATTATTAATGCCCTGTTGACGCTGCCCTGGGTGCTTACGACCCCATGCGCAATAACTGGGAAAAGTGGTCAATAAGTATGGTAGTGCCAAGACCAAAAGTCCGCAACCCTAGCCACGCATGAGATAGAATAGACGATCACATGGTAGAGCTAGTTCCCAATGGGCCGAGCAGCCTGCACGGGCACGGGAATCAATCAACCAATCAACTACCAAGACACTAAAAGTGGATCCTTGAAATTCTGTCAATTTTACACTTGAAATCAGCGAGGCGTAAATTTTCGTTATTTAAACGGTAAGTAAAGAAAACAACCCCCGCTATCCGCTTGCTTGTTGGGCGGCTGCGGAGGGAACGCCAACAGTGATCGGGGGCCCACAAGACCCTAACTAACTCGTTACAAGGTACTCGTCTTGCCTTGTCCCTCGTGATTCCTCGCGGCAAAATCCCCGTGCCCGGTCAACACTATGCTTATTCATGCATGGCAACCCTGCGACTGCCATGAAGAGGGGGCTATGCTACCCTAAGAACTGTAGAATTTACCTAACCAGCCTCTCGAATATTAGGCCGGAGGCAGTGCCTTCGGCTATCAGTCAGCCATTGAAGACAATTCTGTTCGGAAAGCTGGCTGCTTGAGGCTGAAAGTGCGACACCTTGCTTGCATGCATACGTGCAACCTCGCATCTTTATATTACCTATCGTGAATCCCAGATTCGAGCATGTATCTAACCAAGGCAAAAAGCATCAGATGACTTCTATACTTCGTTTTCGACGCAGGAGCAAGATATTTGACGTGGAAAATGGCGTGGCACTCGGTAGGCAGTTTCTTTGACTCGTCCCAGCCTCGTCGCGATGAAACGAGTCGCTGACTGACATGATCCAGGGCCAGTCAACAACCAAAAGACGGACTTGCTGAGAAGAATGGTGTCTCTGGGACCGAATCAGCCGGTCCAGGATCTCCATGACATGTCCAAAGCTTTCTTCGCCACGGTGGACGCCGTTCTCAATAGCATACCCGCCGACTTGGTCCAGGTGATCCGCACACCGTCTTTCCGCGACTCGTCAGCCGCCGGGACAAAACGCCGCCTGTATGAACTATTGCTTGCAATTACCGATGTATTCCAGAACGAGAAGAAGCATGTCTTCGTCGGGAATTTGTGCACGGAATTGAGCAACCGTGGTCTTGTGGGGGCCGACATGGGCGACAGGATGAAAGTCGCACAGCTAGTTTTCATCTTGTTCGGGGCCTTGACAATGCTTTACACCCCGGTCACGAATCCCGACGAGGGTCAATTTCAGATGGCAGTCCACAGTGACCCCCGGTTGAGATGTCCCACTCACAAGATGGCTACCTGGCACATTCCGTCACAAGCCATCGACTTCACAGTATCATTTGATGACCTGTTGCATCGATTTTGCCGCATGAGTCCAATACCCAAGCCAAAGCTGTTGGAGAAGCAGACCCTTGAGAATTCTGTCGCAAAAAGAATCCTCAAGAGCCAGAATGTCGACTACTACTCCCTTTCCGAACTACTCAATGTACGAATCTGCTGGACGACTTCGATCTGCGAACATCTGGAGCTCGATATCCGATCCAAGACTCTGAAACTGTTCCGCATCCCATCATATTGCGCCATGCTATGCTTGCCGGGACGGAGTAAAACATTTCTAGACAGGTATGGCTGCATTGGCTTGTTGAAGGCCGTCTTCCCCCGGGGAAATCCGACGTTCTGACCGAATGTATCCAGCTTTTTCCAGAAATTTCTCGACGACGAGGTGGAAAGGTTGATCCCGACTGACATCTTCCGTGAAGTGCTGGCAACCTACCGCGTCATTTTCGGGCAACACGCTGACGCTCGGAACTTGATCAAAAGACATTGCTCTCAGGGCACGCTATTCAAGAGGTACCAATTCTTGCGCCGCAAACCACATCCGTCAGCGTTTGTGCGCGACCAAGCCGACCCTTTGCTCGAGCGCCTCTGCTTCCTCGACAGTAGGGACGAAGCCCTCTTCGTGGACCTCGACATGCTCGACCTTAAGAACAATTACATCCTCGACGCCGACTTCCCGTACTTCGCCGATCGCCTGTGGGCGCTGCAGGAATATGTCGAGAACCAGTGCCCCAACAACTGGAAGACGCTGTGGCGGGACCGTCGTGATGTTGCAAAATTTTGGACGGTCTGGGCCGTAGTCGTCTTGGGCGTCCCCAGCATTGTTCTTAGTCTCGCCCAAACCATCTTAACTGGGCTTCAGCTGCGCACGCTGAATCTTGGTTGACTATACTGTTGCAACATTGTTTTTCGGATCCAGAAGGGCTGAAACAGACTGTGGAGGCGTTAGAAGCCCGGACAAGAGTGCTCTGTTTCCTCCAGTCAATCTAAGAGCTATCGAAATGAACTTCGGAGATTGGCTGTAGGATGTGGGAGACGTAACAAAATGACATCCATCTGGCCATTTGCACCTTGTTCTTGGCATTATTTCCGTAGGAAGTACTGCAACGTCCACCTAAAGTTGGGCCCTGTTGCAGAGCCTATTACAGAGTTTCACCTCTTCCTGCGCCTGTTGCGCCTCTTGTAGAGTCTGACTCTTCTCTTACTGACGACGCAGAGCGCTGTCGCTGTTGCCTCAGATCTCTCCGACTCTGTCTCTGAGGAGGACGTTGCCATTGAGGCCCAGGTAAGCGGGGAAGAGATCTCGCGCGCGCAGGAAGGCGAGTACAGGAGTAGTTCAGCATCAACTCTGTCAGGGTGGGGTCGTACAATGGAACAAGGGTGAAGATCCGACAATGATATTTCTATCCAGTGTATTATGAAGTACAAAACGAGAGACAGAGGACGTGAAAGCGGTGCAAGACTATCCTAAATACTCGTAGACAGTGGCAGACTCATGCCACAAGGCTCCCACGCGGGCACACAAGGCTGTCGACAGCCACAGTGGGCCAATGGCAGGCAACCGGCGGGGCCCGCCGAGGCCCTTCAACGAATTCGGAAGGATTGTCTAAACCCGTTGAGGAGGCTGAATCACGTCGGTAACGTTGATTTGCACCACTTCACCCTCTTTATTCTTCCTCCTTTTATGAATTCTCATGGCGTAACCGTGCGGCAGCGTATCGGTCGAGCGCCTCAAAACAACGCGATTCTGATGGATACCGAAGAAGAGAAGGAGGGTCAACGGCGTGCGTAAACAGGTGTTGAACAATTGGTGACCTATCTGTCAAACTTCTTGTGCAACTTGAATGGAGGGAGTGCTCTGGCTCTCCCAACGAGTGCGGGATAGAGCCTACCTATATACCTATCTAAACAACGTACGTCAACGCTGCTACCTAACCATGATGATACAGCCTAGTGAGCGAGTGTCGCAGAACGAGTTGGTCTGTTGCGAACGATAGGTCCCCAATTGTTCAACAATATCACTGTGGATGGCACAAGCGCTGGGACCAATGGTGCCGCTCTCGTGAACTATGACCCTGTGAGCCTCCAATTGAGCAGAAGTGTGAAGAAAATCTAACTGATTCATTCCAGGAGATGAAGTCTGTTGATGTAAAGTTTGTTGCCGGGAAATGCGCCTCCAGTTTGGACGGCCCGGCCCTTTCGAGTATGGTGCTTTTGGCGTCTATAAGAACCCCTTCCTTCCTTTCAACCTGTTTTTCTTTCTCACCTCCGTCACCCTAATGTACCCTGTAGTACTTCACCTCAACGCCGCCTGAATCCTCCCCCCTTACCGCATTAGGCTCTCCTAATCCTCGATTCTCCACCGGCTCCTTCAAAATCTGCCTCGACTCTTCGAGTGCGCCTCGATCACTTTCTCAATCCCCGATCCTCACGGCCGGCACTTCGGCCCCCTTAAGTCCCCAATTTCTCCATAGCATATTTGACTTGCATCGGCTGCAAACATGCAGGCTCAGCTGACCCCGTCCATCACCTACGTCTCGACTAGAAGCCTAACTAGGGGCCGCGGATATTCACAGGGGGGTAAAAGCGTACCTTCTGTATGTTACAGAAGTTGTCTTTTGTGGGGGCTAGCCCCTATACCCTCAGGCCTCAATGCGTTCGAAGGTTCTCGTTTGAGTGGAACTGGTTGAGTTGCCTGGCGACTTGGGGGGTGGGGGGTTAAGTGACCTGCAGGACCAGCTACAACAGGGCCAAGCCATTTTCCCACGCCTTGGCGATTCTTGGGCAGATGTTTGATTTGATTTCATACACCCTGTTGCGGGGCTAAGCCCATAGGGGACTAGCTAACTAGGGGCCGCGGACAGGATATTCCGCGGGGGGTACGGAGTAAAAGCGTAGCTTTGGTATTTTGGGGGCAAGCCCCTAAACCCCCGGCCTCGCTGCGCTCGAGGCATCACGTGGTTGAGCCGGCCACATTGGTCTTGGCGGCGCACTACAACCATTCACGTGATTGGCCAATCCTCGGGATCTGGAAAATCTATAATCCGGCAACTACCAAATCCTTTTGCTCTAATTGGCTGGCCCCGTCGGATCCAATCCACGGCCCCATCCAGGAGGGGATGGAATGCGCCGTATCCCGGAAAAGCTCTAATCCGACACTTAATCACGTGCTCTAATTTGCTAACTCTATCGGATCCAGTCCATGGCCCATCCAGGAGTGGGTGGAACGCCGCCGCGGCCCGGAAAATCTATAATCCGATAATTACCTAATCCCGTGCTCTGGACTGGCTGACCATCGGATCCAATCCATGGCCCACTCAGGAATGGGTAGAGTGCCGCCGTGGCCTGGAAAATCTACTAGAGGCCGTGGACAGGATCCGCGGGGGGTAAAAGCTACGCTCCTGTATTTTGGAGGCTGGCCGCGAACCCCCCGGGCTCACAGCGTTGGAGATTGCCAAGCCTTCTGTATCACGTGATTGAAAGATCATGTGATTTACCTTTTCTAGTCACGTGAACAAATTGAACCCTCGATAATTCTCGCGGGCGCGGGGGGGTTTGGAGTCTAAAAAAAGCTTTGCTAACGCTACGCTTTAATCACGTGCTCTAATTGGCTGACCCCATCTGATCCAATCCACGGCCCACCCAGGAATGGGTAGACCCCCTTGATCGGATGCAGTCTATGGATCACGCGTGGACGATGTTGATCACGGTGTCCTGTGCCGTACGATATCCTCCATCGGATCCAGTCCATGGCCTGTGAAGTAGACGACGGTATACCCAAATAGAAAAGCCGACAATGATAACGGCGATATATCTAGCAAATACCGATACATTGTGCTTAGATATCGGCGATGACGCATAAGAAGGTTGAACACAAAAAACCGCCAGCGCGGGTGCCGGCCGAACCTGCCGTCGTGAAAGCACATCAGATGTCGCGCGTTATCGGTTAAACTCACCTTTCTCATCCGGGGGGGTGTTGAAATCGGCCTGGCCCGTCGGATACAATGTCGGGAAGGCCATGGCAAAGACCCGATCTTTGCCCAATGCTTCGTCGATGGGGGTCTGTCGAATCGAGGGTGCGGGAAGGCTGGGACGGGGGGAATTCCGGCTAGCAATCTCTCGTACGACGAGATCCACCTCGGTCGCGGTAACATTAAGATTAGGGACCATTGATTGAGAATTCGGCGGGGGCAGCTCGACGGGAGCCGGTTGTTCGAGCACGGGGGGTTCCTCCATACTCGTCTCGTCGATCAGAGCGAGAAATGATGAGGATATGTCGCCATCGATCGGTAGAGCGTCGATCCGGTCCGGGGAAATGGTGATATATCGGTAATCCGGGTGGTGCGCCTGGAGAAACCGCAGCCAGGTCATGACATGTCCCTTTCGAACCCGGAAATCCGACCGAAACTGGCGTCGATAGCAGAGATCATTCTCGACGACGCGATCCGAGGGCCGTAACACCACCACGTCTAGTTCCGCGGGCAGATTAGGCAGTATATCGACTGTCTTCATCGTGTTTTGCATGAAACTGACACAGTGTCCCGAGTAGTGGTACTGGTGGCCACGGTAGCGATAGACCATCATTTGCACATGCGACCGGGCGATAATCATCTCCTCGATTTGGGTCAGGGCGGGCAGATGGGCCGGCCGCTCTCCCGGGTCCATGCCGTTCTCGGCGGACATAAGAAAGGGAGTCTTGCCGGCCTGGCTTCATTGGTCCCAGATGGGTAAACGTAATGCTCCAGCCAGCGACTGTTGATGTCCACTTGTTGATACTGTTCGGGATTCGTTCTCCCCAAGTTGAACCTAACTAAAAACTTTCGCTAGTTGCGGCGCCTCATCTATAACCCTGTTATATACAGGAGGGGTGTTCGAACCTCTTGTGTTTCCTTTTTTTTTTTTTTTTTTTTTTGTTTTTTCCTCATCTACCCCCAAGCGTCGCGGTGACGTGGAGGTTGGTGAATGCGGGGAAAGTTAGCCCTTCTTCATACAAGGCATGGGCCTCTGCCCTTCATTGCCAAACCACCACCCTTCATTTTCTAGTGTCTCATTTTGGACCCTAGCCCTGCCATCTTATCAAGGTGATTCCCATTCACAAGCTGAAACTTGCTGACCCACTTGCCATGCCTATCCATCTCCCTCACGAGTATCTGGCGTGATCCAACAATCACCACCGCAAAGGCACGGAAATCTTTGTTTGCAATCTCCTTTTGGACGGTAGGACCCGTAATGTAAGACTGAAGCTGATTGCGGACACTTCCAGATACCGGACCATGGCCTCTTCCATCAATCCAGTTGTTGATGCTTCCTGTTCGGTATTTGTCGCCCTTGAATTTCAGTTTAAGAATGTCGTTTAGCTTCATAGCGTCGAGTCCTTTCACTTTTCCAATATTATCTTCTCCGCTAAGCTCCAGGTAGGGGATTTGGATGTTCTTGAACTCGATAAGGGTGTAGAGGTTTTTATTGTCTGTAATGAGGAGATCGACAAAACCTGGACTGTTACTCACCTGCGCAGATCAGCTTCATATTCGCTTTTATTGGATATAAACAGAGGTCTTACCTTCGTAACCTGATATTCAAGTGTAGACTGCATGGCGTCGTTTTGTAGAATACCCCACCGAATATTGTCTCGGTGGTGTTCCTCCTTCTTTAAAAATGCGTCTCCGAAGACATCACGCTCTCGCATCATGTGACAGTACCCAGCCAGTACGTCCTTTGGGTTCCCAGTTTCCGCAAGAGTATGTACGGCATTGATCATGAAATGGTATAAATCAAGTCGATCAAGGAGCGCGAATCCAAACCTCTTCGCTGCTATGAGGTTAGGTATCTTCAAGGAGTTCGATGGATCATTCATATCAAAAGTCAGACCGCCCATGTAGACCATCAAAGATCGCCATGCAGATATGTCGCCTTCACTAGCAGCCTGGAGGTTTTAAGGAGACAAGGATGTGAGATAACACACTATGCATACTCTCTCCGACTGATAAATGGAACTTAACTTACTAGTTCGGATAGTTTGAAGCTGCGGAGCACTGTGTCATATGGAATCTTTCGGTAAGCGCCGTGTTCGTCCTTTTGAAGTGCTAATTGTATCTCGTTCACCGCTCTAGGTGCTCCTGCACAAGCCTCTAAGAAGCTCTCAGAGACCTCCGAGTTTGGAGCTTCCACAGCTTTAGGTCTTCTTCCCCCGCCTAATTGCCTATATGTTCGGTAATTAGTATTAAAGTTAGCTGGCACGTCTCTTTACTCACTTCAAGATATGAAAGGGCAGTATGGGTGTTAAACACCGGCTCTACACTCTGTTCATCGCAGAAGTGGTAGCCATTAGCGTTGTGTTCCAACTCCCTCAGGTGCGCTTGCACCTCTTCCTCATTGTTGCAGATGACCTTAAGTGCTTCTAGCACGTCGGATCGAGTTAATCCGCAAATAGTTGAAATCAATGGACTGAAAGAGATGTTTTCTTGGTCGTTCGCACCGCTGAAAAGATCGCTTAAAAGCAGAGGCGTGACGCCAGTGATGTATACCTTTTGAATACCGTAACCCAACTTCCCGCCAGCTTTGACATTGGACCAGAATCCCTTCAAGAGACGAGAGGGTGCGGCATCGGACCATAACCTTGGATTGTGCGGATCCATATAATCGTTGGCGCAAGCATCGTATTCGTCCGCTAGCAGATAGATCTAGATGCATTAGAATGTATTCAGTAGTTAGCTGAGAACAAATATACCCCTTGTACATTCCAGAGCGGATGGTCCTTCTCGCCTCTCTCATGAATGTCTCGAAGCGTTCCATCAACAGCATGAATTAAGCGTGCGAGATTTTCGGCTGGGCTTTTCTCCGTAAAAGTAGACGTCTGCGATGCAAACGATTCACCCAGATATTTGGTGTAATCACGTATGAATATCGACAGCATCATGTTTATGTGTTGCCCAATGAACTGCGCAGACTGGTCAAGGTCGTGAGGACGGGTAGGTTGGGAGAAGTCAAATTCCAAAAGAAGATATCGTCCAGGTTGAATGGTGCCATTGCTGACAGCTTCATCCACGTTGAGACCCTATTAAGCATAAGTTACAAATCTAGCAGTAAGGACTCCACCACACACTTTGAAAAGCTTATCGTATTGGTCGCGAAACTGGAATCCATGGAAGTATCGCAGCGTAGTGACGGTGAGCGACTTTCCAAACCGTCTAGGACGGCAAACGAGCTGGACTCCAGCCCCCTCTTCAAGCTCAGAAATATATCCCGTCTTGTCGAAGTATGCCCTTCCGGGGAGCTTGCGAATTCTACTGAAGTCCGATACCCCCACGGGGAACTTTCTTAGCTTGCCGGATACCACGAGATTCGGTGGCGAAGTGGAACTCGGGCGGGTTACCACGAGAGGAATTCGACTGTAGGGCCGGGGTAGAGGAGGGCAAGCTTGAGGAAAATGAAGTGAGGGATTTGTTAGCCTGGTACAGCGCCTGAACAGGTCGACACGCCGGCTGCCGATCATCGCTATAGCAAAGACAGATCAGTGAGAGAAACGGCGGCGAGGGAAGGGGACGCGGCAACTAGATGAAGACGCAGGAGAGTAACGCGTGAGAAAGTTTACTGAAGCTGCAGATACGGCGAAGCGTTGGCTGGTGGTCCGCAAAAAGAAAAAAAAAGTAAAAAATCCGACCACCGGGTAGACCGCGTTGTGCAGAGGCAAGGCAAAGTCAATCTAGGAGACGACCGAGATAGGAGAGACCAGGGAAGCAACCTTGGTATCGAGGGAAGAAACCCTCCCAAAGCGGCGGCACTGACCGCCACATTCGGCGGGAAATTTCCCTGCAACCTGTGTTGAACTGTAAAGTTGGCAAATTAGATACTTTGCGGGGGATATTTAGAGGAAGACGTTCGATGAGCGTATGGAATGCGCTACCATGGACCGTCAGCAGCGTTATAGCCGAAGAGTAGCTTTAGGATCCTATCATACCTCTCAGCGAATATGTGGGGACACCATTTTTCTGTAGCGTATTGAAAAAGATAACTATCCCCAGAGAGGTTTTGCATTGGTCGCATGACAAGGATCCCTGGGCGGGATAAAGCATGACGGAGCAGAGATACAAGGGCTCCGCCCTATGTAAACTCATGTGTATAAGTTTTAAGTTCATCATCCTATCACAATGCGCTTGCTACATACCACTTCTCGTTCTCTCAAGTCAGGGCTTGCCCAGTAATGTTCCATTCAACCTTGCTAATGCCATAATTTCCCATGAGCCACAAAGTCTTAAGGTTCGCACCAGTCCATGCGAAATTCTGCACCGTGTAATTTGTCTGGATCCGGATAAGAAGCTGACCTAGATCATCGATCACATCTACGCCATATCCTGAAGCAGTAAGCACAAGGCCCTCCTGAGAAACTTTCACGCCATCAGGGACCCAGTCTTGTGCGAGATAAAATGGTCGTTTGTTGGAGATCCTGGTGCCATTGTTCTCGACGTCCCAGGCGTAAATCGCGCGCTTCCCGGTGGTATTAAATTGCGTACCTTGGCTACCGAGGCGAGGGTCAATGGTGCCATACACGGCGCCCGTATCGGAGATGTAGAGGGTCTTGCCATCCGGGGTGAAGGCGATACCATTAGGCTGCTCCAAGGTGTCGTCGATCAGGAACGTGGCTCCCGTTTCCGGATTGAAACGATAGCTGGCCACAGGTAACTGTGGGGCGGTGTCCGTCAAGGCGTTGAACCAGCTATAGTTTGGGTCTGTGAAAAAGATGTCTTTGGATACTGGGTGAACGGCTAGGTCATCAATGTTGTTGAAGTAGAAGCCGTAATAGTTGTTCAACAGCACAGTTGATCGGTTTGTGGCCGGGTCAACGGTGCGGATCGAGACTCTTTGCTCGCCTCCGCCAATGCTATCGTTACCGCCACTAGCTCCAAACACAATGAGACCGTTACGGAAGGTGCCGCCGTTGGGAGCGTAAATTGGAGGATCAGGCACATATTCACTCAGGGTCGGGGGATCATTATTCAAATTGACCACGAGCTGTGGGACGAAGCCGGTGGGAGGAGCCAATTGAGACATAAACAAAAGGTTCTGTTTCGGAGCATAGACTGGAGCTTCGTGGACGGCTTCCGAGACCGCGAACATAAACTCGTAGCTTGGATTGGAGCCCAAGTATTCCATGCCTCGTTCTCGGTCAAAGACAACAAAGTCTGCGTCCGCAAGGAGGTCAAAAGAGGATGCATTTCCCACGGTGGTGTCCCGGAAGTCGTAGTGCACATCATTGTTCGAGATGGACCTGTTGAAGTGATACGGGAGGACGGCGGCCTGCCCGGGATTAGTGAATATCTACAAGCCGCGTGGAGAATCATACATATTTGTTCACACAGACGATGGCTCCATTTGAACCACAGTCTTCCACGATGGGCCTGGTCACGCCGGAGGGCTGAACTTGTGCCACCACAGTCGCGGCCAATGACAGCGAGAGCAAACCGAGAAAGACTTTCATCCTGTCTTCTGGGTCCCAAATTGGGTAGACGAGAGGCGAACAGGAATCGGATGAGAGCTGGCGGTGAACCCAGGTTTTTGAATCCCAGGATTTCCTGCGGGGTCGTCCATTTCCCGGACCATCGGTTTAAAAAATGTTTGCTGAAGCGTCATAGTCTCGAGTTAATGTGTTTCTAGGGTGGTCGCTGAAGCCGTCCCCAAAGGTGTCGATCATTCCCTGGGTTCCTGGACCGGAGAAGGAAATATGTGACGGATCTGCCATGCATGGCTGGGCAAGTGGTTTGTTGCTGTGGGGTGCCGTAAAAATTCTGCGGAGAAGCCTGTCAACATGCCGCGGGGGGGTAGCCGCTTATGCCGCTCGGTGTAATGCCGTGCGAAAGCCGACGACAAGTCTGAGTCAGGGCAAAATCCGTTGCAAATCAAGTATAGATTGCGTAAATTGAGCCAGCATCAATGGTGTGCTTGGAGGCCTGTTGCGTCTTCTATACCGGCATTTGAATTCGCCGCGGGGGTAGGTGACTCCCCCACGATGTTGGCAATTAGCTTGGCCTTCGCCCTTGCTTTTGCAATGCGATCATCGAACTCGGTCACTGCTTCATCCGAGTTATCCCTGGCCATGGTCATGCTGTTGGATGTAGCGTACAGAGCTTCAACGTGTTTCCGAAGCCGCGAATTGCTAGGTAGCTGATCGAGGCTTTGAAGGGTTTCGCTCAGCTTTGAAAAGTCGCTTGAAATGGAAATTACCGAGGCTTCAGGGCTGGACGACTTCTGTATCTCCGCAGTCCTGACTGCTTTGTTTGACTGGGTGAATCTCGCTTGCCAGACAAGGGCTCGTCCATGGAGTTTGCCAAGTTCAACGGCTTTCTCGTATCCTTTCTCGATTCCGAAGACCAGACCTTCGATCATACCGGCGTATGTGCTGTCGGTGACACCCGCATCATAGCCTTCTTTGTAGTAATCATTTTCGAGTTCGAGCAGGTCGTCGAACGGATCTGTTGCCATGACGTCTAGCTCGTCTGGTCTCGAATAAGGGTCCCGAGGGGTTGATTGAAGGCCAATTCACGTACCGAAGAGATCAATTGCTCAAGGTAAAGGCAGCGAGGTGGGAAATTGAACACAGAACTTGAAAATTGAGATTGTGAGAAGGGCGAGGCTTAAAATAAGCTTCATTTTAGCGCCTGGGCAGCAATTGGACAGCGACGCGGGGGGGTTTTGTATGACTCCTTCGCCTGTGCAGTTTGAGATGTGCTCAGCAAGTAAATATTTTTGTGTCAACTTCAAAGCAGACAGCTCCTGCTCCTTCTTATCACATATTCCCGCGTTCACTCGAGCTGATCTTTTTCGTCTACCCTCTGTGTTCTCTTGTCTGATCCGGCGACCGAAACTCATCATCCTCCGGGCTATCGCAAAATCCTCTCGAAATGCCCGACATGGGCTCTGAGAAGATTCTCCCACAAGACGGGAAAAGAAATATCCTCATTACCTCTGCGCTACCCTACGTCAACAATGTTCGTAGTCCGAGTCTCTCTGTGCCATCAGTTGACTAATATGGTGCGATAGGTACCGCATTTGGGAAACATCGTGGGGAGCGTGCTCAGTGCCGATGTCTTCTCTCGATACAACAAAGCCCGCGGAAGGCCGACCCTCTTCGTCTGTGGAACCGACGAGTACGGCACAGCTACCGAAACAAAGGCACTGGAAGAGGGTGTCACTCCCGAAGAGTTGTGTGCCAAATACAACAAAATTCATGCCGAGATCTACGAATGGTTCGAGTTGGGCTTCGACATTTTTGGCCGTACGCCCACGAGACAGCATACGGAGATCTCCCAGGAGATTTTCCTTCAACTCCAAAAAAATGGGCATTTGACCGAACATACCAATAGCCAGCCATTCTGCGAAAAGCACGGAAAATTTTTGGCGGACCGGTTTGTGGAAGGCACCTGTCCGAAATGTGGCTATGATGATGCTCGCGGTGACCAATGCGACAAATGTGGTAGCCTCCTTGACCCTCTCGATCTCATCAACCCTCGATGCAAAGTCGACGGCGCGACTCCGGTTACCAAAGAGACAAAACACACTTATCTGCGACTGGATGAGCTCCAGCCCAGGATCGAGGAGTGGTCAAAACAATCCATTGAGAAGGGCGGATGGTCCAGAAGCGCCAAAATAATCACAGAATCATGGTTGAAGCAGGGATTGAAAGAAAGAGGAATCACCCGGGATTTGGCCTGGGGTGTTCCTGTTCCTCTGCCGGGCTACGAGCACAAAGTCCTGTATGTGTGGTTCGAGGCCTGCATCGGGTATCCCTCCATCACCGCCAACTACACCGAAGAGTGGCAACAATGGTGGAAGAATCCAGAACACGTCCAACTCTACCAGTTTATGGGCAAAGACAACGTCCCTTTCCATTCCGTCATCTTTCCCGGTTGCCAGATGGGTTCCGGAGAGAGCTGGACACAACTGCATCACTTGTCCTCCACTGAATATCTCAACTATGAAAACGGCAAATTCAGCAAGAGTCGTGGTATAGGAGTTTTCGGCAACAATGCAAAGGAGACCGGAATTCCTCCAGATGTCTGGAGATATTATCTTCTAAAGAACCGACCAGAATCAGGCGACACCCAATTCGAATGGCGATCATTCATCGACGGCAACAACTCCGAACTCCTCGCCAAATTGGGAAACTTCGTCAACCGAATCATCAAATTGGTCAACTCGCCCAAAGCTTACTCGGGGGTAATCCCCGACTTCGACCCCCAAAATCTCCCTTCATCTTTCAAGGAGCCTCTGGCCGAAATTACGGACCTCCTGAAGCAATATCTCGCCGAAATGGAAGCAGTGCGTCTTCGTAATGGAGTGCTGGTGGCCATGAAAATTGCCGAGGCTGGTAATGGCCTCATTCAAGCTCACCGCCTCGACAATTCTCTTGTTGCCAATGATCCGACCCTCGCCGCAGCTGTTGTTGGTACGGTGATCAACCTCATCTACCTCTGCTCTGCGATCTTTGAGCCTTATCTCCCTGCCACGTGTGCTTCGATCCGCAAGCAGCTTGACGTCGGCTTTTTGCTGATTCCTTCGGAAGAGGCCATCTTCAGTGGCTGGCTACCCACATACATTCACCCCGGGCATAAGATTGGCAAAGCAGAGTATCTGTTTACACGAATCGACGAGAAAAAGGCCGACGAGTGGAGAGAATATTTCGGCGGTAATCAGGCGGAACGGGAGAAAAAGAAGAAAGAAGAGGCAGAGCTTGCTGCGAAGAAAGCTGCTCAGAAAGAGAAAGTGAAGGCCAAGAAGGCTGCGCAAAAGGCTGCAGCTGCCGTAGGGGGTGAAGGTGTTGAAATGAGTGCCAAAGGGGGTAAGAAGGGGAAGCATCTGCCGAACGGTGTCACGGAAGGAGACGAGGATGCAGCAGTGGAGAAAGTCGTTGACGGGGTGGCACAGGTGACGATACCAACTTCCTGAATCGAAGAGATGCATACAGGTGACCTGAAGACCTGATGAAGGGTAGACTTGGGTGGTCACGGACACGGGACATTAAAAAGGCTCTGAATGAGGATAGAATCAAATCTTTGGTTGAGTGATGAGCCTCAACGATATATATGATGGGAAGAAGCATGATGTGCCACGAAATGGATCTTAGATAAACAAAAACCATGTTCTAAGTGAGAACATCTACGGTGACATTACATATTCACCCAAATATTCACGGCCTCTAATGGATCGTTTTGTCCCCGTCCGTCGTTTGCTCATTCAGCTCCTCGGACCCAAGTCCATCGGCCTATGTATGAATCACCAGCAACAAATTGGTCTCGCGAACATCTGGCGTGTATGGCGTCGGATTTGGTACGCAACCGTCTCTTCGGTCTCTTCTCTGAGAAACCCTCTTTTTCGAGCCCGCATCTGGCTTGGATTCCGGTCCCGGAGCTTCCTCAATCGCGTCGATGCACTAGCTTGTACTCAGCCACCAGACAGAATGACTATCGTGAGCTCTCAGACAGAATTTTCACAATTAGAAAGCATGTACTCGAAAACTGCGGCACCAACGTCCCTGGTTGAGTTTCACGGGGTGCTATCGCTTTCTTGTATTCATACTCTCAAGTCAACAGCATCTATCTTTCCTCGGTCGAAAGATGCTTGATCCAATGCCGATTGGTTTGATGCTGGTAGATCAGCGCTTTCGTCAACAGAAAGGATTGAGTTTCAAAAAGGTGAGCGGAAGCCTTGGAAGAGACTTTGCATAACAAGCGAGACCATAAGACATGTTGCCAAGCTGGTAGCCTGACAAGAGGGGGTGGATGTTCGATGATATTCTTTCCGATTGGCGGCACGGACGGTCGGAGCTTCTTATTCAAAGATACCTCCCGCAGCCCTCATTTTTCTTACTCTTCCCTGTCTCAGGTTCGGAACCGATCTATGGCCGGGAAAGTTCTCGACTTCGCAGCGTCAAAGAAAATCCTCCTGATGAAAAGGTGGCTGTGCCGACCATTTCTGCACTAGGTCTTGTGTGGGCCATTGAGACTGCTCGGATGTTGATAAAACCGAACCGAAGCAGGAGTTGCCCATAAGGCTAATCATTGACTTCGACGTCGCAGCTATCGATAGGTATCTCAGCAAGAGCTCGCTTAAGCAAGAGCAGGCCAGACATTGCTTACCTATTCGCTCCGAAAAACACTGCCTCAGTTTCATCCTACGGCTAAAATGTTTCTTCTACACAAGAACAGTAACCTGGGCACATATTGGTTGCGGCTCTCTATCTGGTCAAGTGGTGAAACAACCCCTGTTCTACCCCAGAAACGACCATCAGACGAAGAAACTTCAGCCTATGAACCCTGGCACGGATATGCTCGTTCTGTGAAGTCTCTTCTATTTTTGGTCGATTCGGTACTGGAACCAGTTCGACCACCAGTCGACTTGACATATGAGGACCAGTGAGATATACACAATTTTCGGCCCAACCTGAATTAGTGATGTTCTTTTCCACGAACTTGATAGATCACAGACATCCCGTGTTCTGGTCCGGTCATCGAAAGCGGGAGACGCGAATCGTTGGCTACAAAACACCAAGACTTCCAAGGCAGTATTTCTTTTAGTGGTCTCTGAGACATCGTCATCCTGATCACAGTCCATGCCTCTGCTACCGACAGAGCTTGGGCCACATGCTCTCCTGGGGAACGACCATCGCGCTGTATTCTATACCAACACAGGCTAGCATCTCGAAAGACAGCGTTTGAGACTCGACGCCGGGGAACATCCGTGACCGCTTCTGACGGTATACCACCACCAAACATACCACACAAGTTATCACACCCTTGTCTGTTACTTCTGACCCGAATAGTCGAGCTGCATGGAAGATGAGTTCGAGACTGGCTGAGTCGTGACACGAAACATTCGCTGATATCTATCGTCTTTCATCCACCAATGGGCATTCCACGGGGACCCAGCCTTCCTCGGTATTTTGTTTGGGACAGATGCTTTTTACCTTTTTTTTTTTTCCCCACGTCAATTGGTCTACCTCCATGTTTGTTATGACCTTCGGGTCGCGGCATCCTGTGACGAAAACAAAAAAGGGGCCTGGATTCCAAATTCAAAACGTTCTGAACAGCTGATTTGAAAGATGCCAACTCTTGTGGCCTGGATGAGGAGCTTGATCTGGTGAGGACTTCGAGACCGCCTCATTCCAAAGGTCAGAGCAAGATGTATAAATATCAGTTGCTTTCTCAAGATGACGATCATCATACATCTGCATTCATTTGAACATAAATCAACCCATTTCTTCCATTCACTCCTCGAGAAAAGGGCCTCATTCTCTTTCTGCAGGCTGGCCCTTCACATATCATTGTCATATTATCAATATGGTTGCTTGTTCATCTTTTTTTGCCTTTGGGCTTCTCGCTGTTGCTGACCTCGTTGCTGGTCACGGTGCCATTGTTGCCGCCACTGGTGATGCTGGTGGAAGTGGCACGGCTCTCGGAATCGATTCATCCACTCCTCGAGATGGAACGAGAAGACGCCCATTCCAGCAAGACACCACCCGCTTTCGTGGTGATTCCGCCGATACTTTCGGCGAGACACTTGAGGGTGGTGATAATGACCCAGAAACTGGCACCGCTGCAATCCTAGCTGAGAGCGGTGACCAACTTCCTCAAATCACTCCAGGTGGAGAAGTCCAGATGACATTACACCAAGTTAATGCGGACGGTGCCGGTCCCTACACATGCATGATCAATGATGACGGCACAGGAACAACGTGGACACAAGTTAGTGATGCCAACACAGCGTAGTTGCAGATACATCTAACGCTGCCTATAGATGACCGTTACTCAAAATGTTCCAGGTGAACGAGGAAGAGACCGTGATGGACAGGCGACGGATTTCGTATGTACACATCTTCATCTTTGAATTCCCTCTAGCAGGGCTGAACCTCCAGTTGCGCTGACAATGGTCTCTTTCAGCCGCTGACTGCACAAGTTCCAGCTGGTCAAACCTGTACTGGTACCGTTGCGGGTCAAGAAAATGTGTGCATGGTTCGCTGCCAGAATCCTGCCCGTGCTGGTCCATTCGGCGGAGTCGTTCCTGTCCAGATGCCCAATACAGCCGCAGCCACTGAAGCTGCCACCAACGGTACCGCAACGGCCACGACAGCCAATACCGGTTCTGCGGCGGAAATCGCCGACGCAAACACTCCCAGTGATACCGCCACTCCAGCACAGGCCGCTGCCGAAATCGCCGAAGATGAAGCCAAGAAGAGAAAAGCTCGACGTTCATCGCGAATCGAACGTCGCTCCGCTGCTGCCATCTCGTACAGAGCTGCCGTCAGAAACTAGACCACTCTGGTTCGCTGCCTGGCTGGAGCGCAAAGGCAGAGATATACAGTCCGCAGCGCATACAGATGAGCGATATCCCTACGCAACGCCATGGCCCGAAGCCGAGCCATCGATCAAGAAACCATTGATGACGAAATTCCTTGTTTTCCTATGTCTTTTTGTATTACACTAACCATCTCCATTCTTTGAGACGCATGTTGCTCGATATCTACAGATCCACACTCCTTTCAGATTTGGATGTCATGGCGACAAGACACTGCAGTTGATAGAAGAAGGGGGGTTGGAAGATATGGGTTTCGAGACCGAGTCATGCTGTTATGGACTCAAAGTGTACCAATCATGAAGTGGGATGGAGCACAGGAAACCGTAAAGAAAAAAGATTGTACCACTACGCCTACGACTGCACCAGGAATTAACTTGCCACGACTATCTTACGCTCCTTGACGACAATGGTTTGCCATGTATTATATCTGCATCTCTATGGATCTGAAATATGATGCTCTTTGGAATTGAAATTGAAACTCTTTGCACGCCATTCAAGTGAATTTGATATATACTGCATAGCCCGGCCTGAAGGTTTGTTTGGGTTTGCTGGTGTGATACCAAACAGGTGCAGGTGTAGACTCAGTACCAGCTGTTCGACATGTGATTATTCATTTCATCCGTTCTTGAGGTCTATGATGAGGTGGTAGCGGAGCAGTACGTGCCTAAGAGGACAGTCAGGTTAAATATCATGTCGTGATCGAAGCCAGGGAGGCTGACCGCTGGCAGGGCTCTCCTCCTATACGAAATATTTCCCCTTTGGGAATGTATCGGAGATATCGGAGCAATGTACGACAAAAACTTTCCGAACTCCCATTTATTCCTATTGATGGGCCTTTTTCATACCTACTAACATCGCTGCCTGCAACAAACTCGAAGAAGACACGATCTACCTCTTTCTTCTACATCACTCTGATGACCCCCGAAGTTGAAACAGGTAGGCGAAAATTCGCCCCCAAAACACGCAGAGGTTGCATGACCTGCAAAGCGCGTCATGTCTGCTGTGACCAGCGGCGACCCCGATGCGGTGCGTGCCAAAAGAGCTCGCGGCAGTGCAGCTACCCGACTTCGAGCCACGATGTCGGAGTGCACGAATCACAATCACTCGAGAAAACAAAGCTGAAGGTGGTAATATGGGAGCCGAACGAAACGAGGGTCATTCCCCGCAAATTGGCGCAAATCCCTGGTCTGTCTTCGGCGGAGTACCGGGCGCTGAGGAAAGACTGGCCGGGGCTTTTGACGCGAGTTTCTGGACAGGAATGGCTCTTCAAGTCGCGCGGATAGTGTCGTCTCTGCGCCACGCCATGATCGCTCTGGCATCGTACTGGGAGAATGTCGTCGTGCCAGGATCCGACAAACGAAGCACCTTCGATTGGGAGTGCGGCACTTTCACGCTGCAGCAGTACACGATTGCCATATCAGAAATGCGAAAAAGCTTGCAACCAGCAGGCAAGCCGTCGACCGTTGAGCTGTTGATGAGTAACTTACTGTTCGTCTGCATGGAGATGTTCCAGAACCACTATGAATCCGCGCTGTGTCAATTGTCTAACGGTCTCTATCTCTTTTGCACAACATCTAATCCGACCAATCAGCAAACTGAGATGGAGGACGAGCTGGAAAAGCAGCTGAATCATAATTTCAAGCGATTGATGACACAGTCGCTCTTGTTTCCTGTCAGGCATGTGGATAAGAGGCTATTAGCTCCCTCGTTCACACCCCGCATGCCTAATATACCAAGATCATTCGCTTCGATCGCGGAAGCGAGGAATTCACTCAATGACTGCATCAGCTCGATTGCTCATGAATCCCAAAGTCGAAATTCCTCAAGCCCAAAACTTTTTCTAAACTGGGCTGAAGCTGCTGATGTCTCGTTTCAGGACCAAGTCGGAAACGTACACAATTATCTCGAGCAATGGTCTCAAGTATTTGAGGAATTCAGAAAAAGAGAAGAAGCCAATCTCTCCGAGCGAGAACGACATAATTGCATCATTCTTGAAATTCAGCGAATAGCCCTACCCATTTTGGCACTGGCTCCCAACTCTCAATCAGAAGCGATCTTTGACTTATGGATGCCCGAATTTTCCAGGCTTGTCGACTTGGTCTCGTTCCTCATCCGCAACAAGCGCCGCTTCCCTAATTGCATGGTCCTTCACCTTCCCAAGTTCGACATCAACCTGATTCTCCCCATGTATCTCGTCGCCAGTCGCTGCCGACATCCTGAACTCAGACGTCAAGCTGTTGAACTGCTGTGGCTGGAGCCGAGGCAAGAAGGGATCTGGAACAGCGCCATTTTGGCCAGTGTGGCAGAGCGTATTATTTTAATCGAAGAAAGAGGATTAGGTCCAATGAAAAGTTGTGAAGACGTCCCAGCCCCGGTGCGGATCAAGCTGGTAGAGGGAACAATTTTGACAGCCAGTGCTCAGGTTGTTGCAACTTTTTCTCGTCCAGCCGCACATGGAAACGGTCAAGATGAATTACTCTATGAGACAATCTCATATATGCGTTGAGTATGTTTTGCATCTCAAGGGTGTCACCCAAGACAATGTGCAATGACCGCAATGTTAAAAGCGGACCCGATACTATCTGGCTGTCGACACATGTGTACTAATCACATAACAACATGTCGTTCAGGCCTTTTTTTTCTTTTGTCCTCGTCTGTTTCAAGGAGACAATGATTTCAGGCCCCAGCGAGCTTTCCAAGGAGGGCCATCTGCCCCATGGGGCATCTTGTTTTGGGTCCGCACTCCGGACTTTGATCGTCCGCATCTGCTTTCTTCCCCGGACGTCTTGAAGCGGTCCACATGAGGTTTGGTGTCTATATGCCTGGTAACCAAAATCATACCGGCATTTTCCTTGCAGAGATCTGGTTAATCACACGACCAATCTCCATCCAAATCCCATTTCCACACCACTACGGTCGAGATGGTGCCAAATGCAGGAGAGATTGAGTTCGAAGAACCCTCTAGCCCTATTTCGTGGGCTCCTGGGGCAGGCTGCAGTTCATCCAAGGATGTTTCCGCCGGCACTTTTATGCGGCAGGACATCTTCTCGAATAGCGCTGTTCTTTGAAAGAAATGGCCATCGGGAATACCGTGTGGAAATCGTGAGCTCATCTTTGCTTTGGCAGTTGTCCCGTTGACACCAAATATGTCTCGTGGGGATCACTCGGAAATTTGTCAGACGAAACCGGGACTTCACCCAGGAAGCATCCAATCTCTTACACAATATATGCAGACTCGTCTCAGAGATCTCCAACAGAAGTGGCTGAACTCCTTCATCCATTCAAATCTTGGTAACGAAATACAAAGGACAACAATGACGGGGAATATATCGAAGATCGATTCCACTCCAACAAAACTTGTCCTGGATGTCTTAAACTGTACCAGTGTCACTATTGCCATCGGAGATATTATATCACAGTTTGCCATAGCAAAAATGCCACCAGCTAGCCACTTTCAGTATATCCATTGGTATTTGGAGCCAGCTTTCCTACTGATAACTGCACGGCTAGGTGAGGAGCATTGCGAGGTACTGTAGAGGCGTGATATGCTGACTATAATGCACCTTCAGGAGATGTTTTTGTGCACAAAGATACCTTCATCGTCGGCCTGAGTTTCTTTGCATTTTTTCCTGGCACTTATCACCGGGGTTCAGAACGACATCGCTTGTTTCACGTTCCGAGCTCTCTGGGGAATATCTGCGGCCATGACTGTTCCAAACGACATATGCTCTTGTGTCATTCAATTACATACACGAGAATTCGTTCTTCCCGTTCTTGGGATGGGAATTGTATCAAAATCCACTTTGGGAATGATAAGTCAGTTCCCCGTCCTAAATCTCCAGTTGCATTTCTTACTGGATGATGATCTTTGACATATCATTGTCACAGTGGGCAGTGCCGTCACAAAATCGTCGCTTGGCTCCTCTTTTGTTTGGGATTTCATTCGACTTTGGCATTCTGCTTTCAATCCTGTCGCATAACCATCGTCCAATCCAACCTTCCTCCTGCTCGCAATCCTGACTGTGGAAGTGCATTCCTAGTCACTACAGCCATGCTTCTGAACGTCCTGGGTTTCATTGAAGCGCCGGGCTCCGGCGTCGGAGTACTTGACTTTGACCCATGGGATAAGTATCTGCTTCCAAAATTCGGTCCTACCAAAGATCTTCTGACACCCGAACGGTTATGGTCACTTCGGAATTTTGCAGATGCTTTGCCTATTACAGGCTTCTCGTATCGCGCATGTTATTTAATGCTCTTGAACGGACCGCAGTTCCTAGTCGAAATCCGACAGGTAGGCTTACACGGGCATCTCTTTCCATATCTATGGAACAAGTGCTTAACCCGAGGGGAAGAAATCAGCAATAATGTCAGTGATAGAAATTTTACCCTTCGCCATTGCTCCATTACTTGTGATGCCATCTCTGGACTGCTGCATAAAACGAAGTTGATCCAAAAATAGGGACAGAAGCCAGTTCTATTTATTGGTGTTTCACATTTCCTGCCGTCATTCTCGTCTCTGCCGGTACTTGTCGCCTCTGCAACCCTTCTTTTTGAAAGGGTCTAGATATTCGTTTTATTGCGTTTGCGGATCCACTGGAGCTGCTCCGCTGATCACCGCGTTGTTCTTGCACACGGATCTATCCAGGAGTAAACATGAATGAGTCCTCGCTGTCAACGCTCATGTTGTGTTGAGGCTGAGTCGTAATTGAGCAAGGTCACATGACAGTTCCATAAAGCGGCAAGCCATAGAGTCATAAGTCCTGGGTTATAATTCCAGGTCCGGTTCAGGATGAGCACAGGGCGGCATCAACCTGTACCGATTAGAGTTAGCTCAACTGAGCGCCTTGCTGCCGCAGCATTGTGGCAAACGCCTGCGTCTGCCTTTCTTCAATTTCCTACTATTAGCACTGCCTGTTCCCTGCGTGCAAGTCGTCTTCCTGTTTTCTTTTCTCCCCCTTTTCTAACCATCACATATTTCTCTAAGTTGAACACCCCAAACCCAACAGGACTGGCGTCGCGAGGGCCTTGCGAAAAATGTCAGGCCTCTTTGGCAGCACGACTTCGCCCGCGGCTGCTTCAAGCACCACGGGAGATGTGTCGAAGGATGTTGCTCTAACACAACCACCCGAAGACAGTGTGTCGGATCTGCAATTCTCTCCAGCAGGCGACTTCCTGGCAGTTTCCTCATGGGACAAGAAAGTTAGAATATATCAGGTCAACGAACAAGGTCAAAGTGAAGGCAAAGCCGCGATGGATTTTGAAGCCCCTGTTCTCAACTGCGCGTGGTCTGAGGTATGTGACATGTCAATGTGCGTTTATGTGTTGGTGTCGATGTACTGACTTTGATTTCAGGACGGACAGAAAGTGGCAGGCGCCGGCGCAGACAAGACCTTCCGTTTACTTGACCTTGGATCCGGGAACATGACCCCTCAATCTCTAGTGGCGCATGAACAGCCTGTACGATCGTGTTGTTTTGCCACTATTAACAACGCGCCTATCCTCATCACGGGCTCGTGGGACAAGACTGTCAAGTACTGGGATCTTCGATCACCCAACCCGGTAGCCACATTACAATGTCAAGAACGGGTCTACACGATGGATGTCAGGAACAAACTCCTAGTCATTGGAACTGCGGATCGATACATTAACATTGTCGACCTGAATTCACCCGAGAAATTCTACAAATCAATACAGTCACCCTTGAAATTCCAAACCAGGGTCGTCAGCTGCTTCACCGATGCGACAGGTTTTGCTGTGGGCAGTATCGAAGGACGATGTGCGATACAATACGTGGAAGAGAAGGATTCATCAAACAATTTCAGCTTCAAATGTCACCGAGACAACCCCACCACCGGACCAAACCGTGATGTCGCCAATGTCTACGCGGTAAACGCTATTTCTTTCCACCCGGTTCATGGAACCTTCTCCACAGCAGGTAGCGACGGGACGTTCCACTTCTGGGATGGTAATGCCAAACATCGATTGAAAGGATACCCGGCCGTCGGAGCACCCATCACCGCGACAGCATTCAATAGGCAGGGTACGGTATTTGCGTATGCAGTGTGCTACGACTGGAGTCAAGGTTATCAGAAGAATACGCCAACGACACCGAACAAGATTATGTTACACGGAGTGCAACCTGAAGAGGTCAAGCCCCGACCTGGAGGAAAGAAGAGATGATAGGCAGGACTGTCTGGAGAAATTGCAAAGGAATGATTGATATGAGAACCAGCATCAGATGCAGAGTTTACCACCCAACCCCTCTCCCCTTCCTCTGGGCCTGACTTGATTCCTATAAACGAGGCAAGTATGGACAAAGAGACGTGGAAAATTGGGACCCAGGAAATCAGAAGAAGCGAAACTCGACATAGTTCTCCAGCTCTTCAGGCGACTAGGAGTGAGTGGTTCATGCTACTCACTCGCTTTCGAAAGCAACATGCTTTTGACAGCAGCTTTCTGCACCGGACATAAATTGCGACCAAAAATGGACGAACGCGCCAGATCAGGAAAGCATCCTATCTGTCCACCCTCAGCTGGGTAGTCCGTTCTTCGTTCTGGTGCGCTCCACGACTACTTGCCACAAGGATACAATGGAAATGTCGATGTGGAGGGCTTTACTGTCCATTGGCCTTGATCGTTGCATGGATTGTAACTTTAGGTAGAAAAACAATGTGATACCCGGATCAGATCTTCTCCATTTCTCGGTATCCGTGTAAAACGATTTGCATTGTCTACAAATTCCTCAAACCTAACTCTGTCAATTCATTCATCCATTCTTTTAGTCATTGCATTCTATGAACGACGTACTCCCATTCCAATTTTCCTATTCCATTGCCCAATGCTCACTCCCACGCTAACTGAGTATCAAGCGCATCCTCTCAAATTCCGAAACCTCGCCGCAGAACTGACCTTCCTAACAAAGTGCTGAAATACCTGCAGCTGAAGAACTTCATTCGTGAATATTTTGTTGGGGGAGGGTTTTTGTATCCTGGCCGCGTATTGCCTATGCCGTGCCTGCCAGACAAACAGACGTCCTTCTTGCATTCAGAACAAAAAGGGCGCCTGCTTCGTTGAATGAGGACGAAGAGAAACCCGACAGAAAAACCGTCATCACACTCGAAGTATAAGCAATCTTAGTTCTCCCGTATGATTTTCCTTTCCAGGCTCCTTTCAAAGGAGTTGTTGAACGCGGTGGTGAGAGAAAGTAATAGACGGTCCCTTTCAGCGTCATTCAATTGATATCCATACCATCTTCGTCATCCCCTTCGGTTTCATCCGCCGCCTCGCTCGGTCGATGACTTCTTCTTCGATACCGATGGCCACCAAATGCAAATGCGTCAGCACCGGCGTCGTCAAGCTCCTCACCACCTACGACTCGGCCTTCCATATCCCCGGCCTCACACAATTCCATGAGACTCTGACGGCTGAGACTTCTAAAGCCTTCGGTCCTCACGATCCGGCCCCAATTCATCAGACAGAACCGTGCCGCGCGTGCTCTCAACCAGTCCTCTCCAGTTCGACCGGCACGCTCCCAGATGACAGCAGCATGTTCAATGTCGATCTCGCGGGAGAGGCGATTTACACACAGAAGGCGAAGCCTGGGCATGTCGTACAAGTTAGCCATAACCAGCATCCCTGCCACATCGTTAAGATCTCGACAGAAGTCGGGGTGTGGCGCGATGCTGTCGGTATATAAGTAGTACAGGAAAGCACGAACAACCGAATATGGCTCGGGAATGTGCATGCGTGAGGTCTGATATTCGATCATTTTGGCCGCGTAGAGACGTTTGAAGTGCGGCCACCGGGCTTGAAGGATCATTTTATGGACGTGGATCGGTTGAGATATGTTGGAAGTGTCTGACAGGAACATTGGACTGCTGGCCGAGTTGGGCGAAAAACGAAGTTGTGAGCTGACTTCTGATGCTTCGTCGTCATCCACCGTGTCAAGATTGGCGGTGATGATAAAATCGCTCATGCTGTTGGATTCAGGAGGCTGGTCGAAGATCAACGCAAAATCGGCACCAAGTCCTGAACCGACACCAAAAGCGGAGGCGTTGTGGACTGTTTGTCGTTCAGAAGCAAGGATACGGTTTTGCTCCGACGACAAAGTCGAATCCTGGGAGCCGAGCAAGCCATATCTCTTGAGGTCGACGGCCAGAACTTCGCTCAATTGCAACTCTTGGGTAGAGGTGGTGGCCTCATCAGCAGGGGAACCAAGGAGCCACACCTGGGTCCCATCTTCATTGATGGTGCAATAATGCCATTTGTACCCAGGCTTGAAGAGCTCGGGCCCTTCTACCAAGCGCTGCCATCTCAATGAGTCCAGCTCGAGAGACGACAGGTTGCATTCATTGTGACGAATGGTTGATGATGGCGTGACAAAATCGAGGAGAGATCCGGACGAGCAGACGTGGAAATGAGTGCCTGACGATTGAAGCGGTACATGTGGCCCAGACACAAATTTCAGAGACGATATTGCACCCGGCGCAGTGGGTTTTTCTCGTCGAGAAGAACGAATGTGGATGCTGCCCGAGTTCGCCGTGTACGTATCACTCCGGTCGGCCCGCATGGGGTGCAAGAACTGATCATGTCGAGCAGGGGCCATTCGACCCATTGTCGAATATTGTCTTCCCGATCCCGAAAGAGCAGGGTTTCCTTTGAGATCCAGCCACCATATTTCAGATGGGCGCTCCATATCAGCACCCAATCCACCCAGAACCCAGAGCCGACCGCCCCAAATCCATGCACTGTGGTCGAATCTTTGAACAAAGCTCCAAGTTTTGGACCATGTCCAGGTTTTGAGATCGAGATAGCAGATATCATCGAGGATGTAGTTAGCTTCCCCCGTCAGACCACCAATGACAAATAATTTGTCCTCATAGACGACTGCAGCGTGCCGCGCGCGGCCTTTAGGGATGGGTCCTTGAATGTCGGGCTGAGTCCAATGATGATCTTTGAGGTTGAGAATGACCACGTCCGACAAATATTCACGGTGCTCGTTTTCTCCACCATACACCAGCAGTTTGTCGCCTTGATAGAGCGAGGCGGAATGCCCCATACGCACGCCAGGGATGTCTCCATAGTTGTCCACTAGCGTCCAATTTAGCGTCTTCAGATTCAGCCTCAGCACGTGATTGTAGACTTCGTCCGTAAACTGGTCGAAGCCCCCAAACGCATAGATTTGATCGTTCCCGCAATATGTGACCGAGGCATTCACCAGGCAGGCAGGTTTGTGACCGGTGGTCTTTGAAATTTGTGGTTTGAGGGCATCCCCGAAAGAGACCGAGCTCTTGGCGGAAGGACTGGTGGGCATCAGATAGGTCGAGGCCTTTGGCGTGTTAGTACCGGATCCTGGGGACCGGGAGGAAGACATGCCGGGCCAAAGGGAAGGGTTGGCAGGAACAGAGGTGGGTTGAGGTAGATGGGGCTGTGTCGGTAAAGGCTGAGCCATCACAGACAAAGTCCAATTGGTGGTAGGCTACAAAGAAACCATCCAGAAGAAAGGGAAGAGGGGGTTTCTGAGACGGGAAAGCCACGTTGGTGGTGGTCCCATTCACAAGAGGCCCAGTGATGTCGATTCAAGGGAGCCCGAGGGCGGAAACCGAAAGAAATGCTGCCAAACTGGCAGCGAGACAGTCAGGAACCGACCAGTGCTGACATTTGATGAAGAAGAGAGTTGAAGAAAAGAATGGACCAGCACTGTTTTGGCAAAAGTTTAAAGTTGTCATCCGGGAAAATGATTTTCAGTTCCGGCTTGGCGCTGACATAATATTCATATCACGTGAGGGCTGCAGGGCCCGCGGTTGCCCTGTCAACCGGCGGGCCCACCAAATTTTTGCTACTTCAAACTGCTGCTGCAGCACTTCTTCTTTTCTCCTTCTCCATCCTCCTCAACCGTCTTCTTCCTCTACTCTCACACCTTTTTGCTCGTGCATAGCATACAGTCCATTAGATCATACGTGCAGCTGCTCGATTTGGTCGATCCCCCGACTGCCTTGCCTTGCCGTGCAAAGCTCGGTTATTCAATCATCCAACAATTGCAGCGATACGGAAAAGCTTACTAACCCACCTTACGACCACAGCATCTCAGGATCCATTCAGTTGAGCATCTTGAGATATCACTGAATTGCTGGACCCAGGCACAGACTTCGACGACAAGTTCTGATTGCTTAATCGACAACCGTACTAACCCCGAGATCTTGATTGATTCTCGGTTCACAGGGACTCCGATCGAAACATTCATTTGTCCATTCGATCGATAGCCAAACACACATACAATCATCATGGCAGCGACAGCCGTGTCAACCCCTCTCAAGAGCCATCATGGCCTCTTTTCCACCAAGACAGCCAGTGGCAGAATGCCTCTCACTCCTTCCCCGCGAGGGAGTGTGGCCACCAATGTCTCCACACATTCCTCTCCGTCTACTCCTCTTCGAAAAGACCAATCCATCCACAAATCAGATCCCTCCACCTTCTTCTCTCGATCGGTGTCACGGTCGGTCTCCAAATTTGCCTTTGCCCATTCCCCCAAATCCAATATTGCCAAAGGACGACAATCGCCTAAACAACTGGAGCTTGGTGTTTCGGAATGGACCTTGACAGGAACTGGGCCACACACGGCATCTACACCGTCGAGAGAAAAGTCAAGAAAGGACAGAGCCCTGAGGTCCAGAACAGCCAAGACCACGATCAGACTTCCTCACAACACAGCAGACCGTTTCATTCCCAATCGAAACGCAAGTGCTGGCCTTGCCACGGCAGGCTCTGGCAAGTGTGATGAGAATACTCGACCTCGAACAGCAGGAGCAGACGGATCCATTATTCTTGCCAATGCTGCCAGCGCCTTTGACATCTCCGCTAGAGGTGCTGACGCAGACATCAGCACAGCATTAGAAAGCCTCGGTCTCGAGGACGACAACACTACTTCGTCCTCCCATCGATCGCATCCAGATTCGACAGCCTATGAATCATCACTAGCTTCGGCGTGTGGCATTTCAACTAGTCAGCGAATCCTGGAATTCAAACCAGCCCCTCCGGAATCATCCAAACCGATTGATCTCCGATCACAATACAACCGCCCGTTGAAGCAGGCCAACGCTCAGTCTGCCCAGTTCCGTCGACGCATTCAATCGGCGCCGGAACGAGTGCTCGATGCCCCCGGTCTGGTCGATGACTACTATCTCAACTTACTCGACTGGAGTTCGGGTAACCAGGTCGCCATTGGGCTAGAGCGCAATGTCTATGTCTGGTCGGCCGACAGTGGCACGGTCAGTTGCCTTTTGGAGACATCGCCCGACACATACGTGAGCAGCGTAAGGTGGTCCGGTGATGGTGCGTACGTCGGCGTTGGCCTAGGCTCCGGGGAAGTCCAGATCTGGGACGTTGAAGAAGGGACCAAACTCCGAAGTATGTTCGGTCACGAAACCCGAGTGGGTGTGATGGGATGGAACAAGCACACTTTGTCCACCGGAGCACGAAGTGGCCTTGTGTTCAACCATGACGTTCGAATTGCTCAACATAAGGTTGCCGAGCTCGTCTCCCATACGTCGGAAGTGTGCGGGTTAGAGTGGCGCCCAGATGGTGCACAGCTCGCTACCGGAGGAAACGACAATTTGGTGTCGATTTGGGATGCTCGGTCCCTGACCACGCCCAAGTTTGCCAAGAAGAATCACCGCGCCGCGGTCAAAGCTCTGAGTTGGTGCCCCTGGCAGTTGAACCTCCTAGCCACAGGTGGCGGCTCTTATGACCGACACATTCACTTTTGGAACACGACTACAGGCGCTCGAGTCAACAGCATCGACACCGGATCACAAGTGACCAGTCTCAAGTGGAGCAATCACTACCGGGAACTTGTGAGCTCGAGCGGCTTCCCAGACAATTCATTGAGTCTCTGGAGCTATCCTACTTTGGTGCGCAATGTGGAGATTCCAGCACATGAAACTCGAGTTCTTCACAGCTGTCTAAGCCCCGACGGACAGATGTTGGCAACAGCGGGTAAGTGGAAAATGTGGCCCCCCCTTTTTTGTTTTTTATTTTCCCTGCTCAGTGAACCTTGCAACTAACGAGTAACATAGCGGCGGATGAAAGCTTGAAGTTTTGGAAAGTTTTTGAACGGAAAGCGGGCGTCAGCGCGTCAGCGTCAAGGGAGGGTGGGGTCGGCAAAAGCGGAGCGATGGCAAAGCAGATGACCATTCGGTGATAACGGAGGAATAATGCTTTGTGTGCACGGTATTTGGGTATGGGATCAATCCTCGGCGATGAGGCTCTTCATGATCAATGAAGAGAGGATGATGACTTGGACTGATGTGGGCCTGACTGATTGAATGAAATCTCCATCCTCTTTTCTTGTACTCGTATGAGGTTCTCATAGTTGAACAGTGACCGGGATCAAAACGGTCCCTTACTGCAAGCAAATGAGATATTGAAACTCTACTTTACCTGAGTCAGTAGTCGGTGAGCACGAGCTGCCTGGTTGAACTGTTCTCCGGTCGCAGCATGGTGGGTGGTGAATGGTGCTGCGTTGATGTTGGAGATGGCATAATGCAGACAGCATCCCAGCCAAGGCGTCACTCGGGTTTATTCATTGATCCTTTGCAGCCATTGAGCCAATACCGAAGCCATCTCTGACCGGGCGCTTACGTGCAGCTGAAGTCTCTTTCCTGTATCTCAATTGGCAGAATGCCGGCCTGGGTGTTGAAAAGCTATTGCCCCAGAAGCCTTACCCGCCCATCCCACTCGTTCTATTGTGCCCCTTGTGGCTCTAGGGGCCCTACTATCTTGTACTATCCCTGTTGCCCTTGTCTGCTCTCTCGTCCACCCGCACCCTCTCTTCCTCATTGTCGGCGCTTAAATGTCTGTTCATCAGTCTGGCTAACGGCATCCCGGTGCATCCCCCTCGTGCGAACCACTTGGTCTGTCGAATCATCGCACTGCGTTCTCTTCGCCTGGTGATCTTCTGCGCACTTCTGCACCCTCGACGCACCTCCATCCGTCCATCACAGTCAAAGCTCCCCTCTCCCCATCTCCAGCTCGTGGCGGGCCAGGGCTTCCTGTCCAAAGTCTCCAACCCGCTGGTTCCCAAATTCTCCGGCGCCCTGGATATGTCGTCCTCGCATGCCTAGCTCCTCATCCATCTCGACGAGAACTTCCCTTGAGGGTGTTGTGTCTGTCTGCCTTCCCACCATTCACAGTGCCTCCTCGACGCGCTGCTCCTCCTGAAACCGCCGGACCACATGCCATCAAGCTTAGCATCACACTCTCACCGTCCAGCATTCACGCTAGGCGCGGCGCGAGTCTGGGCCATGCTGCAGCAATGCAGTAGGAAAGACCTCGCTCTCTCGAGCGCACCCAGACCACACAGATGGCCACGGCCCACTGCTCTTTTCGTATACAACTAGCTCGGCAGTGGCATAGACAGTACCGCAGGTCGAGTAGTGCATCACTGATCAAATCAGAGGGTGGGCATGTCCATATCCATCCTTGCTGGGGTGTACGAGGACACCATATGGCTAAGTTGCGCTAACACCCAAATGTCAGGCCTCCACCAGGAATCAGGTATCGTTCTGCCTCTTTGACTCCCCTCCTTCTTTTCGAGAGCCTCTGTTGACACCCTCTTTGTCTGATATCTTCCAATTACTTTCTACCACGTCCTTTGCTGATTCTGCCCGTGCGCGCGAGTACTTTGCAAACTATGGCCTTTCCTGTGTCTTCCCATCCATGAACCGGGCGCGTGGGTGTGGTCTCCATCCATACATTCGATACTTTCGTCTCCCTGCCATCCTTCCATCCCTGTGGCCCAACCCGCATTACCGCACACGCGACCGTATTCCTGGCCGCAACAAATCCGTGCGACTCTGGACGGTGTCTACCAAACATCTCGCAGCAATCTACCTTGAGAGCTGCTGAGTAGAGTAGTCTGCCTTGTCCTCTTTTTTTCCCTTCCCGCGCCTTTCCCGCTCGTGCGAACGAAGCCCAACTTTCCCTATCGGTCTCTGATCGACCTCGTAGTTGGGGTCGATTGTGCCGCAACCGAGCCATACCTGCCGAGATGATGGCTGTGAGAGCTCCTTTAGGGTTCAGTCCTTCGACAAACCCTTTGATTTCTGCTTTCTCGCCTTTCTCAGACCATCCTGACTCACCTCGACCTCGACCTGCCGCCAATTCGGGTCTCCCTATGTAGGCTTCACCAGCATGGTATACACTGGGCCATAATTAACATGAACAGGTCCGCTACCGAGAAGAGCAATACGACAAGTGACAGTCATCTCAAGGCTCCGCCAGCAAATACTATTACCTCGCCGCAAGATCCCGCGGCTCCCTCCCCGGTTGCCTCAGACGTGACCAATTTTGAAGACGTAGACGAAGAAGTTGAAGAGGAGGGAACAGAAAGAGGTTCGGTGGCTGAAGCGCCATTGAATTTCAATGAAAATCAGAGGCCGGAAGTGACATCTCCTCTCAAGGAGAGTGTGCAAAATATCACCACTCCGCTGAGGGTATATGACATCAATTCCATCACCAGAAACCGTCTGTTGACAGGGAGCTTAGGTCGAGACTGGCCCGACACTCGAACAGCAATTTCGTGCGAAACTAGAGGAAGAGAGAGAGCCTCAGTCGGTCATACACATCCCAGCGGGCTTTGGCAAGTTTGTATGCTCATCCCGTCAATCCATTAGGCCCGCTCTTTCTTGACTGACCATCGTTCAAGCCCGTCCAGCAAGCTTCGGGCTCGACGGAGCGACAGGAAACGAAGCCAGCAACAGACGAAAAAGCTGAGGGAGATTCGTCGACCCAGCAAAAGGAAGCTGAGAGGGCCAGGGCCGGCTCTACTGATTCGAAAACTTCGGATTCTACAGTTACAGAACCCGGCGCTTCTGGGGCCAAGCCAACTTCCAAGGTCAGAACTCTGCCGTGTTTTCTAAGTACCAAATCTGACCAAAAACACGATGACAGACCCATGACGTTCCAATGCCTCCGACGCCATTACAAACCTCACTTCCTTCCCTTACAATTCATGATTGGTCTCGAACGCCTAGAGCCCAGACAAGACAAGATCTCAGCTCATTGAGCCGCCCTGGTTCAAGTCTTGCCAGTGAGCGGGGCCGTCTACCACGCTATTATCTTGACTGACCACGGGTAGGCATCCTTGAAGGTGACGACACAGACCATCCCAGTACAGATGAGACTGGAGACGAAAGCCAGATCGGCAAGCGCTTTTTGCGTGATGCCGAAGCCGAAATTAACGCTCTCCGTAACGCGTTGTCCGAATGCTGGACATTGTGTAACACTCTCGCCAGCCTGAGCCACATCCACCGGGAAAGGATATTCAACTTTTCGGGCCGTGGTGACATGCAAGAACAAGCATGGAAGTCTTGCTGGAAATTGTGCCAGAACCTTTACAACACCCGAGACGACAATACTCGCAACTCTTTTTCACACAACTCGTCAAGACCCACCCTGGATCTTTGTCGGGATTTCTGCCAGGCCCTATTTGAAGTAAGAGTTCGGGATAACGAGACCGCGGACTCAGTCTTGAGAGTCAGTTTCGAGTTGAACAATCATCTGTTCAACACTCATGATCGCAGTCTCCCAGAGGCTTTCCGGGAGAGGACGTTGGATTTCTATATCACCCTGTGTCACCGACTGATGAAACAAAAGTCCAAAATGGCAGACGAAACAGATTCATTATTACGGGCCTGTTGGTCCCTGGCAGAAATGCTGTTCAGTCTACGGCAGAATCGACGTGAAGGAAAGAGACCGGACGAAGAACTTCTCGGTTCTGCCATCCAGGCATGTTGGGAGTTGTGTGACTTGTTCAGAGAAGGTTGGACTCAAATTCGTCCTGAGAGAGGGACTCCTCGTCCTAGTCAAACCACCTTCACCCAGGCTTTCAATCAAGCGAAAAGGTCTGGGTTTGCGCCATTAGATGAGAATGGCAACCCCAAAGTCCTTCCAGAAACACCCACCACTATTTTCGAAGATACAGTCACTACCATATCACCAGATGAAGCACCGATTCCTAATATCCTTGTCCTTGGTGCCGACGAAGCATCTAGGATGTCTACTTCTTCCGCCTCGTCGACTCCTGCCCCTGTTCAACGCCAGCTCTCGCCCAATCCCGCTACTCAAGCTCGAAATCCTCATTCCGCTCATCCCATATCTTCCTCTACAAACAATCACAGATGGTCCTCCAATTCCTCCGTTCTTTCACTTCCCGCATCGGCCGCTTCAGAAGGAGGTCCGAACCCGATGTCTGCCACCACGGTCTCCACCGTCCGCACCCCAGCTGAAGACCCCACGCTAATCCTCCTCAAAACATTGTTCGTGAAGGCCGCCTTGTCAACTGGGCGAGGGTATACACGCACTTCCCCCGACCCCAATCTAAATTCCCTGCCGAATTTCGTCAAGAACTTACCAGATAATGCTTTTGGCAACCAAGCCTGGCAAGTTTCACTGTTGGACAACTACCGCAAAGCAGTCATGAATGACTCAGGCTTTCGTAACTTGGGCGTGGCTGGGACCGTCGGTGAAAGGGGGAGGGTGAATGCCGTGGAAGTTGCCAGAGCCGTCCGGGGAATGACCAGCTGTGTCTATGGATTTGGGTGGTTGCGAGATCTCTATCGGCATGTCTTTGGCTATTATGTCGAGGAAGCCCTCAAGGGGAGCGATTCTCATGCCACCGGTGCTCGAAGGTCCGCGAGACAAGGTGGACCGGCAGCGAGTTTAGTGGCTGCTGTCATGAGCAATGTGACGCCTGCGTCTGCAGGCGCAGGCTCAGGAGGAGGAGGTGCAAGCAGTACTGGAAGTGGAAGTGCGAAAGGAGGTGGTATTGGCAATGGGAGAAGAACTATAAGTCAATGATGAGAGCCAGGGAGAAGAGGAACAAGATGCCAGCGCAACAACCTTGCCTGTCCCTATCCTACCTTCTCTGTCATCCTGTCTCACCCTTTCCCATCCCAAGACCTGCCTACATACTTCCTTGGTCACAATGGAGGAGCATGACACTTGACTCGGATACCATCTTTCCCCTTTTTCTTCTTCGCACTTGAAAAGCCAGTATTCTTTTTGGACTCTCTATCCATATTCACGTTACGACTATCCTACACACCCACACCTTGCATAGCGAGCGAGCTAAGAGTTACATCAGGACTTTTTGTAGCTGGGAGATATATTGCACAATTCTGGTCTCATATACATAATCTGCAGAGTACCAACCGAAGAATTCATATTCATATTTATATTACATCTTGCCTGTCTATCTAGCTTGTTGTTTGTCTCACTTTGTTCTGAGGTCGGCTGGAAAGAGATTGTAAAGCGAGTATCCCAATATTTTCTTGCAAGCCCGAGTCTGGAGCGGAGACCCGGACCCCGAGGGTGTCGCTGATTGGGTCTAAGGTTCCTAACTCGTCGAATGGTTTCCTAGGCGAAATGACATGCATGCCTTAGGAACGGGAAGCCATACGCATTTTTCCCTGCTTGTAACGACTCCTAAGAACCGACATGCCTATGGCTGAAAACTCTGCTTCTACTCATGCATGGGACTGCACCATTGGCTTATCTCGTTCAGCTTTGTATGGGGCGGTGTAGGTATGCAGCTGCGATCCTTCGTCGTATTCTTGTTCTTAGCTCCCTCAGCTTCTCAGCCCTAAGGGTGCTGCTGTATTTGTACGTCGTAAGGCCACCTGCCAGCCTTTATTAACCCACGGCTCAAGCATGCGAGCCTTGAAGTAAGGATAGCATTGAAGAGGGAACGCAGCTCCAGAAGCACAGATGCGGACTATTTGTCTGTCTGTCTGCCTGCCTGGCTTGCAGGCCGGTATGGGCATGGGGAGGGAAGGGAGAAAGCATATGCGAGTGGACGCTGAATGTAGATACCGAAAGCACCAGCCAGTCAGACAGTCAAGATCAAGACCAGTCGATCAGGAGAAGTCTTGAGGGCGGACTGATTCGATGCCCGTCGACGTCGACAGGCGCGGCGTTGGCGTATCTTTGTTCTTTTGTGCTATCACAAGGGTGAGGGCTAGAACTAGTCACCCAACTTCGGGCCGGTGGTTTGTGCTTTGCCCAATAGGCTCTTGTCGTAGTTGTCGCCTGGCATTGTGTAGTTGGATTCAAGAGCTTGGGGGCGACTGGAAACACACAGCGAGCGGGATGAGATGATTATCGAATTGAAAACGAGGAATGGAAGGAGAGACTTGCGCAGACATCAAATCATCTGCATTCAAAATATGCACGTTCTGCCTGTTCGCTCGCTCTCATTAAAGGAAAACTCATAGGGCAATGGGGGTTCAGGTATGGATATGGTGGGAGATGGCCACAATTTCAGATGCCAACCTTGGATTCCTTTCTGTGCTTTCATGGTCTTCAAGCAACCACCGACATCTTCTGTCACTCTTTGCCTCCCAACCGATCTATCGCTTGCTCACTCATTCACTCACTCTCTGACTCCCTTTCCTCTTTTCTTTCAGTCCCAGAGAGTCCTGTGGGTCTTGTTTGTTGCTTTCCACTTCACCCCGCTTCTTGTCCACTACTTCTTCGTCGATGGCTTCATCTCTCTCCGCTCCCTTTGCTCCATTTATCCAATTGTCCGGTCGGTTGCGTCGAAATAAGCGCTCTCTTCTGTTGCTCTCTCTCCGTCAGATCCTCGTAAACAGTGGTTCTTCCGATAAGGCAAAATGCAGATAAAGTCGTTTGATGTTGGTGGTGTGTGGAAAAGCAAGTTCATTGATCTTCGTTCAATAAAACGCCAGGATTACAATAAAATGGGTCATTTTCGTCCGAAGCCTGAATCATAGTCGTTCGTTTGTCACAGCTCAACCATGTTTGTTTCCCAAGTAGTTGTTCGTTAATGATCCCATCCTTGCCTTGCCTTTTCTTTTTGTGAAAACTTTTTCAGTGGTGTTGTTGTGGGGTCGTGAATAAATGTTGGAGATGTCGATGTTTTGGTGCATGTTGCCAAAAAGAGCCAAGGCATAGCAGCCTCCGTTGGTTATCGTAATGTAATGGTGGAAGGGTTCGATTTGCCGTAATTGGAAGGAAAACCAAAAAGGAAAAAAAATAAAAAATAAATAAATAAAAAAATCACTGATTGAGAGTTTATCGGGAATGACTGTTGAGGGTTTCGTGATGCTTGTCGCGCAGACCGGGAAGAGAAATGCAAAAAATTTCAACTCGACCAAAAAAATAAAAATGATCCTGCTGTGCCGCAGCGCTGAAGAAATAGAGTGGAATTCTTTATGCTACTGCCGCAGCTGGGGCAGCAGAAGCAGGAATGTCCGTAGTATCTGCCGCAGGAGCAGCTGCAGCACCATCAGCAGGCGTCCCATTCGTCACAACGACTGCCGAACCATTGACTTCTGTGGTGGTGCAGTCTTTGCTAATATGACCTGGTTGTCCACACTTGTAGCAGGTCTTTCCGGCGGCGTTCAGAGGGCCGCCGTTGGGAGCAGTGCATTCGCGAGATATATGACCCTGAAAGAGAGTTCGTCAATGATGAGGCCTCGAAGAAAGATTAGGGTTGAATATACAAGCTTGCCGCATGCGTAACATTTCATAGCCTGAGCCTGACAGTCTCGAGCGTAGTGATTGGGTCCGCCACATTTGTAGCATGTTGCAGCCCTATTGTTTGTGACATTGTATCCCCCACGATACCCACCATAGCCACCACGGCCGCCTCGAGTCGGCGGTCCGCCGGATGGGGTAGGGCAGTTGCGTGCCAAATGACCAATTTGGCCGCATGAATAGCAGCGGCCGCCTGCTGGACCGCCGCTGATGCGCAGAGTAGGGCAATCAGCTTGAACATGGCCTAGGCCCTGGCAATGATAGCATTGTTTTGCTATGGAGCAAAATCAGCAAGACCGAGGTTGCGACTATTTTGAATCCCAACTCACTCTCTGTTGTGCGTGGCATAGGGCACTGGTTTGATTCGTGACCAGGTTGCTTGCAGTTGTAGCACAGTCTTTCGGAAGAAGTGCAGACTTCTGCGTAATGGCCAACATTGCCACACTTGTAGCATGCGCGACGTGAAAGAGACGACATTTTCAAAAATGGTATTGAAGCTCTCCCTCGGTCCCTACAGGAGTTGTATTAGACCCGTCTCTTGACCTCGTTGCGCGCAAATGACGGTAGAGCTAGTGTAAGAAAATATATGTGGACATGATCGCTCAAGCAAAGTTCGATAACCCGGAGAGTGAGCTGGCGTCGCGCAATCGCAGGGAGAAGGATGGAGAAACCAAAAAGGCATACCTGCTCAGGATGGACGTCGATGGAATATCCCAAAGCCCGCAGCCTGTGGCTTGATGTTAGCCGCCCAGCTTCACGGGCACGGTTAGGTGCAGGGGAGGAAGGGAACTCGGGGATAATGAAGAGGGGCCGCAGCGGAAAGTTGAAGTAAAAGGAATCTCTGAAGAGAGGCATACAAATGGCGCAACTTCCCACTCGACCTTTCCAACGTCTTCCAGCCTCCGTAAAACCTTTCGACCGGTCAACACCAGCTGATAAAAACCACGACAGGATGGGGCTAAACGTCGCAAAGCGAAAAGAAAAGGCAAATGGAGGGACGGAGAGAGCCAAGAGCGACTTTTGCCTAACGCAGCCCAGTGTTATCACGTGGGAGCCCTTTGGGCTAATGTGACAGATGGTGAGACAAACCAAGGGGGGGGAGAAGGGAGGGGTCGAACCCGGCAGGTCTCATACCGAGCCACCAGTCGGATAGTAATACAGAGAGCGACAGGAGTGATTCTGTCCCTTGGAGAGAGAAAAATGGTTCCTCTTACAGCCTAGTGTCTAAGATATTCTTTTGTCTGGTCATTCCCTGCTCATGTGTGCTCACCCTAGTTCCTTCTATCCATAAATACTCGATGTCGTCATGTCATGTCGTTGTCTATACGTAGTATAGACCTATTCCGACTTACTCTTTTCAATCACAGCCGGAGCTCGGATCTCTCGTCCATTCAAATAATCAAGTCCTTCACCCCCCTGTAGCACAGGTTAGCAGAATCCCTGGGCAAAGTCTCGAGGAAGCGAAAATCACATACGTAGCTGATAAGAGGAGACACCTCAACTCCCGTGCCAGAGCCTTCAGAGACCACGGTAGCACCTGCGGCACGGAGCCATCGAGCGCCCTGATCCATGATATCCTGTTTGCTGGTATCTGGGTTGTCTTCTGCCGAGCCCCGTGCATTCTTCAACGGTGAGAATTCTTCCTTGCGTTCCACTTCCAAGCATGCAAACTTGTCCATGCCGATGAGTGGGAAGACGTCGAACACAAACTGTTCCAATTTGATGCCATTTGGCTTGTCGGGCCTGACAGTCTCGCGGGATTCCGTGTTCATATAAGGAATTTTCTTCTTAGCGACGTGATGAGGCAACTTATGCGCCCACTCCTCGATGCTCTCCAGAAATCTGAAGGAGTAGTAGTGATTGACAATGTTAGCTGCTCGAAATTTGAGTCGTTCCGAGCTGTCTTTGGCCTCGGCCATCTCTTTGTCGATCTCCGAGTATTCGACCACGTCGGGCTTTCCATTTTTCTGGACAATAAGGCCAACAGGTTCGTTGGCAGCTCGTTTTCGAACGACTTTGGTGGCAATATCGACATCTTTCGAGGAGGAGAAGCCAATGAAGACAGGGTCTGCCACTTTGACCAGACAGTTATCGACACAATATGCGTGCACGTGTTCGATACCACGTTGACGCATATCAGTGCGAGCCTCGGACATCAACAAGGCCTGGTAAATGCCTCCATTGCCATCCGGTGCCACGGCGACCCGAGACTTGCTTTCCATGAGGATCTTGCCCTCATTGCTGATGCAAGGTAGCACCCCTTGTTCGAAGATAATCACGTTCTCTTTCGCCAGTCCAAAGTAGTTGTGCTCGTGGAAGAACATTTCCGTAGGTGCTCTGGTAGGCCCGCTAGTCATGACGTACCATGGGACAACGGGTTCCGTGGAAGAAGAAGCATGCTTCTGGGCTAGTTGTTGCACCTTCAAAATCCTCTCCGCTTGCATTTGAAACAACGATTTCTTGCTCGGAAGGCCAATATCGAAGCAACCCTTGGGATCTGAGCTTCCCAATCGTGTCCCTTGCCCTCCAGCCATTAATACCACGGCAACTTTGTTCTTTCCAATGTGATCAAGCCCAGTTTTGTACCAATCATCTATCTGCTCTTTGGAGGCATCAAGAAGAGACGCAGAGGCAGACTCGGGGAGTGGCTCGATGGAGGGTTCCTCGCCCGAGGACGGGGGGGGATGGAGGGCTTTATCTGCGAGAGCATTGACACGGTCTGGGTCGAAGGTGGACAGTTGGCTAAAAAGGGCTGCTTTTCCTGCAGTGTCGAGCTCGTCGTAGAAGGCAAAAACATGATCTTGGTTCGCCTTCTCATACTTTTGACGCAGAGTTTTCAGCTCGTCCTCGCCGGGCTCCTGGGCCGGGGCACCACGGTCCGCAGAAGTCAGATGAAGCTTCTCGAGCAGATTGGTTACCATGCTCGCCGCCATATTGGCTGTATGTTTACACTTGGTCAGGGAGTGCGACTTAACTTGAAACGCGTATTTTACGCACTGCCACTGGAAAAAGAGATGTGAGATGAGGAATGTACCATTCTTGAGGGCGAGAACAGTGCTCACTCCCCAAAGGGCAATCAGTGGCTCAGCTGGTTTCCAAAATAGAAAAAGGGGGGAAGGGGGGCTGGCTAGCGCGGTGAGACAGAAAAGCAGCCTCGTCGTGACATAGTACAAGGTACTCAGGCAGAAGGAGCCAGATTGGGCTCCCAGACTTGGCTCTGGGAGTTGCTCAGGCTGTCATCTAAACTAGGGGCCGCGGACAGGATATTTGGGGGGCTAGCCCGCAGAGCCCCAGGCCTCGCCGGGCTCGATATATCACGTGATTGAGCTGGGCACACTGGTCTTGGCAATTCTTGGCGGCGCACAAAATGCGGCCCTACGATTCACGTGATTGTCTGACCCTCGGGATCCGGAAAATCTATAATCCGGAAACTACCAAATCCTTTGCTCTGATTGGCCGACCCCATCGGATCCAATCCATGGCCCACCCAGGAATGGGTAGAATGCCGCCCTGAATCGGATCCAGTCTATGGATCATCTGTGGACGATGTTTGTGAGGGTTCGGGGTCAAGGATACAATCAATGTATTCTAGCTAGCATCGAGTTCTAGGTACAAGACGTAGCACGAAGAGAGTCAAGGTGGGATGCTGCGCAGGAAGTGCTGAAGAGCCCCTGATTACGTAATCCTTGGCATGTGGTCCCGTGACAATGTTGATCACGGTGTCCTCCATCGGATCCAGTCCATGGACCGTGTGTACTGTGGTGTTGGGGCATTTTTTCGTGACCCCCCTTGCAACTGCTAGAAGGCTCTAGAGGACGTACTAAGCCTGATTGGGAAATTATGATGACACATTACTCCATTGCGTTTAGTCCCCTAAGTCTATAAATACGTGATCACCGGTAATCCTCCGTAACCTTACTACTGGACCTAGAAAGGCCTACAACACCACCTTCCCGAGCGCCTTTCGAAGCAGTCCCGAGGGTGCAACCGCCCATAACACATCCCCAGAAGCGCTTAACCCGCGACCAAAGACGAGATATGGCTGTTCAACTATAAGCGAGTACCTAGGCCTCAGTAAACGGGCTGTCGAGTACGCATGGTAAAAACAGAAGGCCACGTCGCAGCATAAAAAGGCAGGAAAGCCACCTAAACTGAATAAGGATGGACGCTGCCAGGACGTTATAGACGTCCAGGGGGGGTTATACTAGGTGGTGAAAAATACTCTGTAGGGGCTTAAATATTTATGCTCTTCATCCTCCAGCCACCCTAACCAAGTATGAATTTCAGCATCTCGAAGTTCCTCATGTCTTAAGCCGTATTGGTACTCATAAAATGTTCCACCAAGCCTCCGAAGCCTAAGGGCAAACGCATCTTCTTCGGCGGTGTCGTTAGGTTTATTGCTCTCGTTGAAATGATCCTCAATTCCGAGTATATCCAGCTCAAGTGCACTAGGGTTTTGCAACTCGAGTCTGCCACCAGTGCTAGGCCAGGCATAGACTGTTGCGGCATCACTCAAGTGGAGTCGTCGGTCCTTGAATGATGCGCATAGCCACAGTGAGCAAGCAGTTTGTGAGAGAGAATATAATGATGGAGGAAGACGAGATTAAGCGCATTGTACAGTGGAGCTTGACGAGGATCAATATGGCGCTGCCTAAGGGGGAGGAGAATCTGAATGGGGCGGGGTCTGGAGTGGACGCAAGCGCCTTAAGTACAGCCCAGAGGTCGGCGCCTCAGCATAATGTGACGGACATGAATCGAATTTGAGAGCACAGCCGAACGATCATGGCGGAGTTAGCCAACTTGTACAATGTTGATTCGTCGCGATACTTCCAGTGCTGCCTAGTAGCTCGGAATGCTGCCGCTTGCTCGGGTTTTCCCTTTTACCTTTTCTCCGGATAAGCGTATCAGGAGTTATTAAAGAAGCACGGACCCGTTGACTTGGCTGGTCAGCCTCCCCACTTCCAGGCGGTTGTCTGAGACTGAGGCTACAGTAATTAGCCGCTTCCCAGGCTGGCGAGACAAGAGTAGGACGTTTGACTGAATCCGATACGAAGCTAAGTGAGTGGATATCAAGATCGGCCTCCAGCCTAATAATCACATAAGCGCGGAGCAGGAAATTTAAGCGTACCTTTTGGAAGACCTCTACCATATACCATATGATACAATCGACTTCTTCTTGAAAGTCACATGTACCGTGGAGGAATTGGGGGTTTGAGGGCGGCCGTGAGGATCGTGGATTGGGAGGCGATCGAGGTGTGCTGGGAAGGGTAAGGGAGATTTTTGAAGGAGCTGGGAAGGATAATCCAGGAGAAAGGAGGGGCCTGATGCAGCAGGGGAGGATTCAGGCGGTGTCGGGTGTAGGGCGACGGGAAGTGAAGAAAGAAAACTGGCAGGAAGAGGGAGAAAGGGATGGGATGGGAGACGTGGCTCTTATAGATGTCAAAAGCGATGGCGCGCCTAGCCTGCGATGATACCCGATCGACTCTACGATCCGAGCTTCAGCCACAGAGTCACGTGTGGCCGGCGCGTCAGTGTTTGTCATTCCTAAAATGTAAACATATGCCCAACTCCATTAACCATAGCAAATTCATACATTGAACTCTGCAGACTGCATCCGTGCTGTATATCAAGGGCCAGAGTGATACAGGACGCGATAATCTGACGTAAACGGTATTCCACAATCTACTGGATATTTAGCATCCACGAGGTGCAACCTACTCAATGGGAACTGCATTGCAAAATGGTATGCTCCTTCCATATGAATACGTTCGTGGCTCATTAAAAATAGGCAACCGTTCCTTCCGTTCCACGGTTCGCCCACCATTTTCACTTTCTAAATCTGAACCCAAAACAAATACGTCCGCCATCGCTACCCAGCCCAAGAATACGAATCTATCTCGAAGGTCAAAAAGAGCTCACTCGTCAGGTTGGCCTCCACAATTCTCTGCAGACAAAATTAAGGAGACCGACCCGTATAGAACAGAACTGCTTTGGCGAGAAGTCATGGCACCCAAGACCCCTTCATACGCACGCCAAACGAGATCCAGCAATTTGAAGAGTCGGAATCCCTCAAACACGCCTGGTCAGACAGAAGAGACTGTGACAAATAAAACTTCGGACATTTTTTCGACGCCTATCTCTAACAAAGATACTGTCAGAAAGCAGACAGCCAAAAATGCCACAGTCCGAGACGTTGACTTCGAAGAGACTCAGTTGATTCCGCGCGGAGTCGAGATACTCAATCCACATCAGAGCATCGTGACAGGAGCTCACGCCTATTTCGGCTCCGACACACCTCCGGATCCAGCCCAATCACGCGAATTCTACCTATCCGTCGTTCAAACAGCCCTTGCAGGAAGAGCCGAACGGGACATAGACAGTTCGATATTCCTGCCAACGGACGCCAACTTTATCAAGTCTGTGCGCAGAGCGTATCGCAGAATGGGAGATGAATACGTTTCGGAAGCTGAGTTCAAGGTATTTGCTTGGCAGAATCTGTTCATCGGGCAGCACGTCGTCTTAATGGATGATACTGAAAGACAGCTTTGCGCTGTACGGCTTGTGGAAATATCGCTTAAGCCTTGTGAAAGTTACAACGGACCTATGTGGTTTGCACCTCCACTCCTCTCCTCGAATCAGCCTCCTCCCGAACCCTTTGGCTTCGACATTTCCCCCGACAGTCAATTCTGGCTTTCCAGCAAGATTATAAATGCCGATTATCGAAGGTATATCAAGTCAGCCGTGCATTGCAAGCCCTGGAGTACATTTTGTCCCTATCTCTCGATCGAATTCAAAGCCACAACCGATGACCGGCGCGTCGTGAGGAACCAAATGGCTGCCGCTGGCCTGATTTCCTTGTTCAATCGATACCAGTTAAAGCTCGACGCCAATATTCAACTTACTCCGGAACAATTGAGACTGGTTCGTCATTACGGATTGACGATGGAGAAAGAAGTTTGGACAGTATGGCTCTTTGATCCAAAAATACATAATGGGGCTTGGGCCGGCTGCACAATACGGAGGCTTGAAGCTGGAACTTGTCTGGACGAAGGAGACATTGTGGGATTACTTCAATGGATCAACGAAATTCATCGGTGGGGCCTTTGTGAGTACGCTCTCGGATGTGAAGACGATATCAAACAGATTCTAAGCACAGGTACCACCAACCTCAGAATCTCCACGATAGGGTTCTGAGGAAGCGGGATCGATGCAGAATCTCCACGATAGGTCCTGAGGTAGCGGGATCGATGACAGATGTCAAAGAGCAGATTTCCGGCGCACTGTATCGGCAATGGTAGAACTTTACCAAAAAATTTCACGTGTGAGTATCCATATGACGTACCACGCATGCTTCAATATTTCCAGCAAAGACCACAGATTATTCCTGGGAGCACCCGGCCTATTCCTCAGGACACGGGATGGGGAGAGGCGGCTAAGCGACGACACCAAAGAACTCGCCGACAACACTCTAGTCATCTATCTGAATGGAAGTGGAACGCGGGGAAAATTCCAGTCTGTGGACCATGTGCCCCCTCGCCTCCCCGGGGCCCATCGGATCCAATCTATGGACCACCTAAAATAACTCTACTAATCACACTCGACATCCTTCGCAACCGAGCATGAACGAGGAGCCTCGACGTCGACATGGTCCATGGATTGGATCCGATGAAATCCCCCCGGTCGCCCATCGGATCAACCTTTTTCCGGGATCACGTGCTCCCCGGGGGCCGCCCTCCTAACTCGACGTGATCCGTGGATTGGATCCGATGAAATAAAGCCCCCGGAGGACAGCTCATCGGATCCAGTCTACGGTTAAAACTAGAATTCGACATATGAACCGACAAAGGGCAAAAGCACCTCGCGTTAGAGCGGCCACCGAGAACGAGCTCGACACCACTACAATTCAAAGCGCCATATAGGACAGCGCACCTCCAAATGAACATATCGCATGCAAAGAGGCGGAAAACACGGAGTACCCCGGACACATACATCACAATGATATCAAGTGTACTAGGCCCAGTAGCGAGGAAACTGGAAACACTAGGAGGACATATGGAAGGACTGAATAACAACATCGGGACGAATAACACCAAGACGCACGCACTCGAGAAACAAATCACCTCATTCCTCACGACGGTCAAAAACAATGAAGCCTTAACCAGAACGCTAGTAGAGGCCAGCAAACGAAGCGAGACTCCACCACCCCTTCGTGGACTGGGAAGATCTGTTGTCGGTCGACGGCCAGGTTTACCCGTCGTACGTGGATGCCTTTCAGGCCTGTTCCCGCTCACATGCTCATCCGCCAGACTTCTATGTCGACCCGGAGCCGGAAGAAGGCGCGGATGTGGATGACGACGAGAGTGATGAGGATCCTCCCGAACAGCCTGACGACCACCCCCTGGCCGATTTTGAGGCGTTTGCTCGCCGCCGCCCGCACGATGATTTCACCCGGATCATCGACCTCGATGGCCTCGGCACCCGGGACCTGGACCGTGGCTACGATTGGTCACCGCACGTCGGCCGATACGACCTCTCCCCGGACGTGTGAGACCAGCTGAAGGCCGAAACCCCACGGCACAAGTGGTGACCATGAACTCATCCCCCGTGCCCTTGAATCCCGAGCAGAGGAAGCTCTACGACACCGTGGTGGGTCAGTATGCGCAGGAGCTGGCGGGCGAGGCGCCTCTCCCCTCGCAGCTCCTCTTGAACGTCGACGGTGTCGCCGGCTCGGGAAAGACCTTTACACTTCTCAAGACGTGTGCCCGGATCCAAGAGCTGGCGAACCAGGCCGGGAAGCAGAACCCCGTCTTTCGAGCGGCGCCCACGGGGGTGGCCGCGTTCAATTTCGTGGGGAAGACCTTGCATAGCCTCTTGAAGCTCCCCGTGAAGGGGAAGAAGTCGGATCTGTCCGTCGCCACCCTCCAGTCCTTACAGTCTCTCTTCCGGGACTGTCGATTCCTCATCATCGACGAGAAGTCCATGATAGATATCAAGACGCTGTCTCTGACCGATGACCGCTTCGCGCCATCCTCCCGGCCAGTTCGCACCAGCCGTTCGGGGGCGTCAACGTCTTACTCTGCGGCGACTTCTTTCAGCTCCCGCCCGTCGGAGGGAAACCCCTCTACTCGTTGAAGCACGTATCCGTCGACGCCATTAAGGGCCACCACTTATATCGAGCATTCGACCGCACAATCCGACTGATTCAAGTGATGCGCCAGCAGGGGAGGACGAAGTCACGACCAGATTCCGGCGCGCTCTCCGTGGGCTACGGGTATCCCAGTTATCATGGGAGAGCTGGGAACTCCTATGCACTTCGTGTGGCTAACTAGCTCTCCCCGGAGGAGGTCATGGCTTTCGACGCCGCCTTACGACTCTACTTTACGACTGAGGAGCTCAGAGAGACCAACAGCGCCAAGTTGGCCGCCGCGAATATGCCCGTCAAGAAGATTCTCGCTCAGCGCAAGGGCCGAAATGCGGCCAAGGCCACGGAGGAGGAGGCGGATAACCTCTGCCCGGATATCCACGTGTGTATGGGAGCCCGGGTCATGCTGACGACCAATCTCTGGACCGAAATGGGACTGGTCAACGGCTCGATGGGTTCTATTGATGATATTGCATGGGACCAGGGCCATGATCCCTCTTCCATGCCGTCTCTCATACTCGTCAAGTTTGATAGCTATACCGGGTCGGTTTTTCCACAATGTAACCCGGGCATCGTACCGGGTTTCCCACAGACCGCCAGTTCGAGTTCAAGGGGGTGGCATGTTCCCGTACTCAGTTTCCTCTCCGGCTCGCATATGCGATCACCGTCCATAAGAGTCAAGGATTAACACTGTCCAAGGCGGTGATAAACCTGAATCAGAGAGAGCATTGCCTAGGCCTTTCGTACGTAGCCGTGTCACGCATGAAGACATTAGATGGGCTGCTATTTGAGGCGCCGTTCGATTTTGAGCACTTTGCCAGTGTAATACAGTGGGATCCCAAGAACGGGACTTGGACTATACTTTTAGAACAACGCAGTTATTATGACATGAGGTCGAAATCGCTAGCTATGTAGATGGGCCCCATTCTCATCGCCGATATCCGAGCATAATGTATCGGTATTTGCTAGATATATCGCCGTTATCGTTGTCGGCTTTCCTAATTGGGTATGTCGTCGTCTACTTCACAGGCCATGGACTGGATCCGATGGAGGATATCGTACGGCACAGGACACCGTGACCAACATCGTCTATATATGATCCATGGACTGGATCCGATCAGGGCGGTCCTGGCAGACAAAGGCGGCATTCTACCCATTCCTGGATGGGCCGTGGACTGGATCTGATGGAGTTAGCCAACTAGAGCACGTGATTAGGCGTCGGATTATAGATTTTCCGGGACACGACGGCATTCCACCCACTCCTCGGTGGGCCGTGGATTGGATCCGATAGGGTCAACCACAGGATTATGTAATACTCGGGTTATAGATTTTCCGGAGTGGGGAGGCTTGGCTAATCACGTGACACGAGGGCCCGGGGGTTGGCCCCGTAGACTGGATCCGATGGCGCCAGAGTCGTCGGATTATATATTTTCCGGATCCCGAGGGGTCGCAATCACGTGAATCGTCGTACGGCCGCATGTGTGCGCCGCCAAGAGTTGCCAAGACCAGGGTGGCCGGCTCAATCACGTGATGTCTCGAGCGCGGCGAGCCTGGGGTTTGGGGGCAAGCCCCCAAAAGACAAAGCTACGCTTTCGCCCCCCGCGGAATATCCTGTCCGCAACTCATGTTCCAAACGAGCTCCAGTCTGCTCCGCCCATAAATAACACCTAGACGTTTGTGCCAAAACACCGAAACATTTTGTTGCCATCCCCCCCAACCACTTTGTGTCGATGTACACAAGGACAATCAATTGGTATATTCTGTTGGATCCCAGAAATCGAAGACTGACTCTCTGCCCTTCTCTCGTGCGTCCTTATCAAAACGGGCTAACTAACACTGCCGGGCCAACCTCTGCGCCAACTGGCTTCTCGTCACCTGGTGGTGATACGTCGGCGCCGGGCCAAGAAAACCTCTCCTCTGAAACAATTTCCCCGGCTTCCAGGTAATTCGGCGGCCTAGAGCCTATCCATTTCTTATTCTCCAACCAGAAGGAAGTCGCTCCCAGTGCTCTCCCGAGCCAATTGGTTTTGGGATTGCTGGCAAGGACACCCAAGCTCTAGAAGGTCTCATATCAAGCGAAGCGGCGAAGAAGACTGCAACATGGGGTGTGAAGAGGGAGATGTTCCTCATCGTCTCCGCCGTTGCAGTAGTCATCATTCTGGGAGCCATTCTTGGTGATGCACCCTTGGGAAGCAACATGAATCCAAATCCGGTAATTCAATGGCGCAGACGTCGACGTCGTCGCCGGCACCCGGTCCTACTCCACAGGCATCTAACCTCCTGCCAGGCTCCAAGCTTTCCTCGATAAGCACTGGACCCACAAGCGGGCGTCATTTCGAATATGTCTTCCAGGATCCGTACGGCGCGGTCATGGTCACGACTTTCGACTCCGACTCGAATATCTAGACCGTCTCCAATATCACGGACAGTCTCGCCAGCACAAACGTCCCGCCGAAGCCAGGAACCAGTCTTGCCTCATCCTTTCAAAGTGATGAAATGCATCTATATTATTTCGGAGACAACGGCGCCATTATAGAGTTGATGAGAGATGACCGTACCGGTAGCTGGAAAGTGGGTGACCTCAATGCTAGTAACTATGTTGCCCGTCCCAACTCGCAAATGTCGGCCGGCGAACTTCAGTACAATAATTCGGCTTATTTGCTTTTGGCGTTCCATGAAAGCGACCACTGGTCCGAAAGGGAGGTCAGGTTTCCATCCGAACTTGTCAGTGGCTCGGGCGTTGCGTTGTTGCCTTTCGTGGGTAACCAGTTTCAAGGCATGGGTGTTATTGCAGAAACCCCAACCGGCCTGAATCTTCTCGGTATGAGCCTCATCGATGATGAATGGCAGCAAAGTGTGATCGGAAGGGCTCTGGATTACTCGACAGAGCATCATGGGCGTCGTCCTTCAAGCGAGAGCGCTCAACGGCGAGTGTCTCGTTCTCGGCTTGCAGATGATTGACTTTCGAAGTGAGAGTGATGAGTGACGCGGATGCCTTTGAAACCTAACGGTGCCGTCGACTTTACCTTACAGTCATAAGGCTGGATGTAGCTGCGGTATACCTTCTCTGACGCTTCGGCTGCGCCGCGGCTTCAAATGAGATACCGACTTCTCAACGTGGCTCCAGGTATGCTCTAGGGAATGTTCGCTTGTTTCGTGGATAAACACTCGCTTTCTTCGGCCGCGAATCATTTTAAAAGGTCAAAGCCCTTGAGACTGGAATGGCATAGTGCAGAATAGCGTCGTGAAACTAGTTTTCCCTGATATAAAACCGTCGTGTCCGTGTATGGAATTTCCGGGAACTGAAATTCCAATATCACGCACTCTAACCGTCTTCGACAAAACCCCGAGTTCATCCGTTTCTGTCCCTCATGAGCCAGACCGATATGAGTCTCCCCGTCTATCTGAGTCTCTCTCTCTGTCTCGGTATCCGCCTCGGCATCTGTCTCGCTCCACCCTGTCGGGTTCACGTCGCCTAGGCAGCCTTTCGCGGTCTCTGCTGTCATATCTATCATTGTATCTATCTCGATACACGTCATGGTGTCTCCTTCTTCCGTCTGATTCGTCATCCCTTGGATGTCTCCTCTCATATCGCGGGCTCCAGCTTCGACTTCGGGGTCTACGTGGTTCGTCTGCCCGGCGAGAATCTCTGGTTCGTTGAATATCTTCCTTGTCAAAGACCATTCTGTAGTCCCGATCACCTCGACTCTGACCGTCTTGTTCCCGATAGTGGCGTCGCTTTTCGAGACTGGCGATTCCACCAAATCCTCCAGATTGACGTGCTCTTTTGGAGTTGGTTGCATTTCGCCAGGTATCGGAGAGCTTCGAGACGCTCTGGGAGAAGTCCACATGAATGCGATGATCGTCAATCAGAACACCCTGCATCTTGAAATATGCCTGTTCACAGTCTTTTTGGTTTTCAAACTCAATAAATGCGTACTGAAGACTGTCGCCCGTGCGTTTGTCCCTAATTACCTCACACGACAGAATCTTACCAAATCGACTGAAGATCAACTCGAGATCATCGTCCTGTGTGACCGGGTTCAGCTTGCAAACAAATAGAACATTCTCGGGAGGCTTGACTTCTGCAAACGGAAGATCGCCAACCATTTCAAGAGTCAACGCCTGAGCACGCGCTTCTCGCTCCCTGCGTAACTTTTCCATCGCCATCTCATCCACTTCTTCATCCAATTCTTCATCATCCGCTATCATCACTGTAGCCAGCTGTGCTTTGGTCGGAGCAGGACTCTTGTCCGGAACAATCAGTCCGGGTGGGTCGTCATATGGATCTTCCAGTATGATTGTGTGCCGTATGCGGATATCCTTTAAGGGTCGGCCATTAGAGTCTGTGAAAGCATCGTTAATTTTTTCGAGGGTGTCAAACCCTTCCACAACCGTGCCGAAGGGAGCGGCTCTGCCATCAAGATAGTCGATGTTGTCGCCAAGGGTGATGATGAATTGGCTCCCTGCGAGCCGCTGATCTTCATCTTGGGTTGAAGGCACCGTAGCCATACTGACCGTCCCCCGCTCGGTATGTTTGACCTTGGGATCGATCTCGGCTATAAAGTTTTTCTTCGAAGGCCCGGACAGAAGTCCCCATATTGAGCTACCCCCGTCACTTTCGGGTGAGTCTGGACCCAGAGGATCTCCCGTCTGACATGAGAAACCTTTCTGAACAGTGTGCACCGGAGAAAAGTTGTAGTATTTGACTTTGCACAGCTTCAAAAAGCTGACCGTGGTTAGAATCTTTAGCCATTCTCGCGATTCAGAGTGCGACTCACTTTTCACAGCATTTTGGTGCACTGTCGACGAGGAGGTCTATGACGATCTCGCCTAAGGAGGTCTCTAGCAAAACGCTCATGGCGGCGTCTCAGGCTACCGTTGACGAACCCAGAGTCTTATCTGCTAATATAGATGTACATCCGAGCGGCTTGAGAAATATGTGCCTTGGGGGCTTCGAAATTAACTTTTTGTTCTACACTTTGATTGTTCGTGTTGATGGAGTGTCGGATACTCGAGTCGTGAGTGAACATTTCAAATGACAACAAATTCGTCATTTCGATATTTGATATGAGACTAGTTCATAATAGGTTAGACGTCAGGTGATAGAATGCTAGTCCTAATTCAGACACCGAACAACAGAATTGAAGAAACGACAGGAGTTTCGAGGCTAGCCTCTCGTTTGCCCCATTGTCATGATCTCTCTGACGACTACGCAGAGTATGAGGCAGTCAAATGACTTTACTCCGATCTTTCCATGAGTCTGGAAGACCTCCAGCGGCAATTCGACAATATGATGTTGATGACTCGACCTAACCACCCCCTTCTCACTAGTCACAACCTGCACTCAAACTACTGATAATGTCTGCACTAAAACTTCAAATAGCACGGCTCATCTATAAGAGCCGCTTCATTGCTAGAATCAAGAAGCATAACGCCATTCTCGGCCTACTCTTCTCACGACAAGTTTAATGCGAAACATTGTCCACAAGGGACCTTGCTCATTGGCGAGTATGCAACTATCCACGTCGTCTGTCTCCTTTACACCGTTATACAGAAATCCCCCGGTTCTGTCGCGAACCGTCTTCTTTATCGGCTTCCACCCGCTTCGATGATAGGTCCAGCCGCCCAGCCCTGGTCTGGCCATCAACCTCCTCGGGCAATAGGCATTTCCCTTGCACTACGCGGTCACTCGCCAGAGGAGGCTGCGATCGGGCATGGTCCTATTTTGAACTGGGGCTCATTATTTTTCCTTGCACGTGGGACTGCACGCAACCTCCTAAACCCCCAACCATGCTAGCACTGGATTCCTGATCTGCCTCTGCCGTTTTTCCTGACGGAGCGCCTTCCAATAGTGTTGCATTCGGGTGTCGATGACATCGGCGTTTCATCTGGATGGCTGGGGGGCAGTCTGGGGTTGCCTTCACCACTGCATCATGCATGACATGCAGCACAAATCCCCACCCAACGGATTTTCCTGGTGGCATTCTCGCCAAAGTGGCGACAGTTTTGACCTCTTTGGGGCTACACCCTGGGTTTGTTGCGCCTCTGTATCACGACCACACACTCGAATCTCTTCCTCCAATTTGTCAGAGCTTCTGTACACGAGGCCTGTGACGGAGGAGGTCAGTCTTTTGACATCTCCGTGTCACGAAAATCCCCTGCGACGTTCCGCAGGCATACTGCAGCTGCTTTTCCAGGGCTGACCTTGCACAGATGATTCAAGGCAATTGACACCTCCTCATTACCAGTGTCATGCTTTGGGCCTTCCCGTCTGCCATGTGCAGTAGTCCAGTTGCGAGCCGACTGCGTGAAAACATCCCCCCACCCTCGGATTGGTTCCACCATGAAACAGACAACAGGTGCCCTGCTGATTTACTAACATGTTATTCAACATAAAGCACGCAAAATCAAAATCAGCCCCTCTACAAAGGCATTTACAACGGCGGGCAAATAGAATCATCTAATTTTTCCTATTCAAAACCCCTTCCCAAAATACATCGAGAAAGCGCGGAATTTGGAAATTTTCGGCGGGAGAATCGCCCCTTAAATCACATCTTAAATCCCATTGAACAATTCTGACCAGCCTTCGGCTTGCTCGAACACGAATGGCGTGTCTGCCACGTTCGCGGCAAGGGTTGACGGCCAATCAATCTGATGGTACAGTGGTAGCAAACAGAACCTGCCTTTTCACTCTTGGCGGAGGCCCCAAACGCCAGCGATGGACAACTGGAGTGGCCCCTCTACAGAATTTGGCCGCTGAGATGTGCGTCATGCATCTACCTATGTATGTGGTTCACAGGCAATTGCAATACCTATCTTGTTTTCCCATACGGAACACGTCGAGACGACATCCAGAACCAGTGCAACCTGCACCATTTGCTCGAATACGATTTGCCGGCTGGCTTCTGGACCATATTAAGATGATTGTTGGTCGATGGGAGAGTCCGATTTGTTTCACAGCTGATATAATAGACACCCGATCATCCTTTGGACGACTGGTCACGCCTTCCTTCGCCCGTTGAGTCAGGTTGTTCTTGTGGACCGACCATCATCGTCACACCAACGGAAACCGGCAGCAAGGCCGTTACAAAGAAATCTTACGACCAGGTTTCAAGGAACCTTCGACAGATATGACTTGGTCTAGGCACGAATTTGAGGAAAGCAGAGCAGTTTAAGTCTAACATGGATTGTGATATGACACATTTCATGATTCTGTGTTGGGCGGCGTCCGCAGGCTGAATCATTGCTTGTCCTGGTGTGTATCCTTGAAAATGCTAATTTTCACCTGAATTCTAGGTTTCCTTCTACTTTCTCTGCCAAATCCTATTGCTTGTCCAATGCTTTTCACTCTTCTAGAGCTTGATGCATGGGCTCTACGTTGGCCTGGAAAGAGACTGTGAATGATAACCACGCACTGTTTTTGTGATTGGATATTCTCGCATGCTGGTCCTTATTGGGGTCTCGGACGTACACCATGGTCAAAAATATTCCCGGTCCTATGTGTCTCATGACTGACAGATGTGCTAGATCTCGACACGACAATACTACTCCTCGGATCTTGAGTTCTTCAGACGCAATGACCGAGGCATCCCTATACCGTTGAGCCAGAGTTCTCATATCCCTGACCAATATGAGACTTCCAGTCATCTCAGCAGTCGAACGACACCCTCTGAAACCGAAAATAGGGCGACCAGCGGATCAAGGAAGCGTGTGCCAGTTGCCGTGTGTTTATTTTCCGGTTTAACAAGATGGGTTCTACACTTACACATTGCAGTGCGAGAGATGCCGGAAACGAAAAATTAAATGTAGTGGTAACGAGGGAGATAATCAAAGTTGCGCCAACTGCAAACATGCCGGTCATGAAGACACCTGCCGATTTCTTCGAGTGAGTTTTTTCTCGTGAACCAGTCGGTGATAGAACTCATATTATCCCAGGTCTCGTCGATGGAAACAGGGCCTTTTGGCTTTCGAAGTTGGCAAGGACCTCCTCGATACTCCCCATATTCACTCCCTTCAAACCATCGACTAAACTACATATCATTGTCGTCAAGATGTAATCCACAAGCATCTCTGCAGTATCCTTCTGCTTCCCCAAACCTTGACTTCGGAGAATATGCCAATCCAAATCCGAATATCGACTGGGCAAGAACACCGTATGTTGGATCATACTCTCCCTACCCGGACGATGAGGTGACAAGGCCATATTCGGCCCAACCGCCACCATATATCCTGCCAAACACAGACCCTATGTCGGTAGGTAATGGGTACTATGTCCATACGCAGGGAGTTCGCCCACATCTTGAAATGCTTTGGGCCGACCCTCAGCATTGCATGCCTCAGCCCACCTCTCAGTTACCAAATTCAACCTTCACAGTTACCTCCGAAGCTCCACAGTCCTTCCACACGATTGGACTTTCCGGAAACCTCCCCTCAGACCGGATTCTCCCAACGCCGATTACGGGTCGAAGTTTCATTCCTCCCCCCATCATTTCGATGGACAGCATTCCCCTGTCCACGTCAAACCATCGGTATCACACTTACTGGACCAGTGAAACAGCGACATCTGACCAGCAAGTTTCTGCTCCGGTGGACCCAAGTGCATCTCCAGATCAGTCCAAGGAGACGAGAGATACATCGTATACACTTCAAGACATGCCTTATGGCCAAATGTCTTCGGGGGAAAGCCTTTCCACCACGGCCGTATCATCCGGGCTTCCACTGACTATCAACGAAACGCAACCTTCACCTAATAGGACTATCACATCGCCAGAGGAGGTCCAACCGCAAGCACAACAAACGGGCCCGGGATTGAGGCTAAGAACGGTGTCTCAGGAGAGCCTCAAGTCCACTCCTGAAAGCACCCCAATGACATATGGATACAAAGGCTCAGTCAGCGGGCGCATCTCACGTCTGAGAAATGCTACAGGTCGACTCTCGAGCGGATCACTCTATGGTCGTACGCAGATGGCTCCACGAAGAAATCCGACCTCAGATGACTACAGCCATGAGTGCTCTAGCTACCAAACTGATTCGAATCGCGCTTCAGTTGCCCCAATCAGCAATGTCTCATCGGGTTATTGACCTGGAGATATGACACTGTGACTATCGATTCCCGATGATCTCTGGCTCCATCCGAGCTTAATTTCCAGTCAACTTGGTTTTCTTTTCTTGCATGCAACGTTATTTCGGTCGGTTCATCTCGTCCAATATGTTCAATCATCTCGCCATCGACTGCCGCACGCCTATAATGAGTGCTTCAACACGAAATACCACACCTCAACGTTTAGAGATGCCAACAATTTCGCAACATTTCCACAAGGACCACAGAGCTTTCGACGATTACATCTATTGCATTTGGCGTTGCTATTTTCGGGGCTTCGTCAGGACGGCGAAAAAACTAATTTCATCATTTTCCGTCCAACGGGGAAATCGGGCAAGGGTAGACCTGACAGGAAAAGAAAACAGCGTTCTTGGTTTGGGAAGGCCAACTGTGCTCTCAGTGTGGGTGGCATATGTCCAAGCTTACTTTTTCGCAAAGGCGAGAGGCAAACATCATTCTCAAATGAGAGTACTTTCCGTTTCCTGTCTCGAGCATTATCTCTCTCCTAGTCCCACAGGACCCTACGTTTGTTTGGCTGTCTGTTGTATTTAAAGAGGGCAAAATCAACTGGCCGCGGGCTCCGCTCGAAGATGGCAAAAGGCTCCCTGTACCATAATCTATCCATCAAGCTCATCTTCGCCATCAAAGGGGAAGTGCCCGTTTGAGAGGAGCACTGACTTGAACTGGCATCTGATTGACCATGAACGGGTTTGTGGCATCGGCTTTCCAACCCCCCACCCCCTAAAAAGACCGTTTCCCTCCATCTGCTTATAACTCAGCTTGATTGACTTGGAACTTGGATGGGCGTGGGAGTCTTGTGTCCCACGCATTGGAACTCCGTGCAATGCTCCGAAAAATTTGGATCAGGCACTTCTTCGTGGGGGTTCCGATTCAGGAAATGCGCAACGTGATCAAATGTTCAATTCAATGTTCATTTGGGATTTTGACGCGCTTCTCTATTGTTCCATCCTGAAAGGCGGTTTCAGGACTAAAACATTGCATGCCCTGGTGCGCTTGATGGCTGAAGTTTCCAATCCTTTTTGGGTATCTGTTTGGCCATGCCCGAAGTCACCCTCCCTCCATCAAAGACCAGGGTTCAATGAAGACATGTGACAAGTCCGACGGGTTTTCTCTACCACATGAGCCATTGCTATCACCATCAACACCCCATCCATGCCCGTACTATCATTTGATCACTGGCCTCCAAAACCACCCACATCGCCTGGACCATCATCATCACAACCTCACGCTTATTTCTTCTTGTCCTTCGACGCACCCTTCGCCTTGGCCGTACCTCTGAACTCCTTGGATCGATTCTTTCTCTGCTTCCGCTGCTGTCTGCTGGCCTTTTCGATCTTGGTTGCATGGCCCACCCTGACCAGTCGGTAGTATGGCTCGTACTTCTTCATGGCCTCGACGCTGTCATAGATAAGGGCAAACCCAGTTGATTTGCCGCCTCCGTACTGCGTCCTCATGCCGAAGACGTTGATCTGGTCTTTGTTGGATTTGTAGACTTCGGCCAATTTCGCGCGCAGGTCGTCCTTGGAGACATTGGGACGGTTGGGGTGGAGGACATCGCTATAGGCCGAGGGTTAGTTTCTGAGACCAGAACACTAATTGATAGTCTTTTAGGCGGAGCTTACACGACCATCTGCTTACGCGACAGAAGTCGGTTGGTGATGAATTTGCGGGTTCGGATGGTGACCGGAGAGTCGGCCATGATTGCGAAAAGCTATTGTCTGTCAAAGAGTCGCAATCGAAGAGCAATTGAAGAGACCGCCAAGCTGGTCGAGGGAGATTGATTGCGCGTGAAGGTCAAAGAATGGAATTGGTAGTGGGAGTCTTCAATGAACTCACTCCAACTTCCCGCTGCTGCAAAATGTGGGCTTGGCACAGCGAAATCTTGGCGGTATTCACGCTAGTCCCAGTTTGTCTACCTTCCTTCTTCACCACCAACTCATTCTTTCAATTGTTTTGTTCGACCTCTTCTTCCCTAACAATATGGACATCTCCAGGGCCGGGATAGAACCCGTTGTGGTCAAATTCTATCGACAGTACATGCAACAGATCAATGATGTCACCTTTCCGCCGGGTGCCCTTCTGGTGAAGCCGGACGTGCAAGACTGTCTCTACAAATACTTTTTCGATGCCTCTCAAAATGAATTTCTCCCTCCAGCGAGGTATCAAGCCAAGATCCTCAGACGTCTCATTCAAGACATCGAAAAATCATGCAAAGACCCTGAAGAAGATGTAGGCGCACACCGGTCAGACTGCGAACCATGATGATTTCATCCTGATCAAAGCATCAGCCTGCGAATCAATGAACCACCCCCATTCGTATTGAAGCACTGACTGCTAATATTCCAAACAGCAAGTCTCAGATCTTTTGATGGAACATATGGGGTACTTGTCCACAATTCTTCCCCAAAATCCGTCTGATGAAGTTCAACAATTACACATTCATTCGTATTATCCCCCACTTCCGCTTGATGAGCCAGGAGTGCAACCGATCCTGATCAACGAAGCACGAAATCTACTCTCCCAAGGTAATAACGTCGGACTCCGCACATGGGAAGCTGCTCTCCACCTTGCATGGTATCTCGTCACCCGACGGCCTGACCTGGTCCAAGATAAGAACGTTCTCGAATTGGGTGCTGGAACGGGCTTCCTCTCATTATTGTGTGCTGGTCAACTCGAGGCCTCACACGTCCTCGCCACTGACGGCCTCGGACGTGTCTGCGAAAGTCTACAAGCCAACATCGACTTAAACAGGGAACATGACATTCTTCACAGACGCAAACCACCAGAAGTTCGTCAATTTGATTGGACAGACCTACCGGAGCTCGATCACATCCTCGCAACTGCGAAACGGTCTTCAATTCTGTACGACCTTGTCATCGGAGCGGATATAACCTATCATCCCGACGTTTTACGACCGTTAGCCAAGCTTTTGGGTATATTAAAGGATACATTCCCAGACGTCGTCATCTTGATTTCCGTCGCCATTCGCAGCGACACTTTCTCTCAGTTCATCGCAATATGTCGAAATGAAATCAGGTTCAACGTCAGAGAACTAGCATTCAAAATCCCTGACGGACTACGATATTCTGGATTTTTCCATTCCGTGGCCACAGAAATCAAAATCATCTCTCTAGAACGCTGACAGATATCCAGGCACACCAGGATACAATTGACAGGCTCGGGGTATTAAAATCAAAATCCACAACCGATCGGTCTTCGGACTCACGCAATCGTTGCCTTTGTAATGTTTCGGCCTCGTACACCGATGCTCGGATATAGGGTTTAAAGCTGATAAAGAGCGGCTTCGGGCGCTGCACGTACGAAATGTGCCATAATCGGTCCCACCTGTCAAGGGAATTAGCTACACATCAGCAAAAGTGTCAACCTCAAGATACACATCAGAATCAAATCGCATTTTTCCTACGGAGAAGAAACGCCATATGTCCATCTTGCGGCCTCTTGGCTCGGCTCCCAACTTTATAAAACCATTCACTTCGCCGACATCTTGGTCAAGATTTCGCCAGCAACCACCACACCTTTCTTGAATCACGATACCTCTGCACCTTCTTCCCCTCGAAGAAACATGTCGACAACGACCACTCCCACCAACAAGGCCGCGTGGCTCGTCGCTGAAAAAGTCAAACCCCTAGAAGTCAAATCGGCACCCTACACTGCTCCAGGGCCGCACGAGCTCGTCGTTAGAAATGCCGCCGTTGCCATCAACCCCTTAGATTGGAAGCTCCAGGACGCTGCACGCTACCCGTTGAAGTACCCTGCGATTCTTGGTCAGGACGTGGCAGGGGAAATCATAGAGGTCGGCGACGCCGTCACCAGATTCAAGGTTGGTGATCGCGTCCTCGGACACGGAACGGGTATCTTCACGGGACGCAACGAAGAAAGCGGGTTTCAACTTTACACCGTGCTCGGGGATAATCTCACCTCGCCCATCCCCGATAGCGTGTCCTTCGAAGCTGCCGCCTGGCTTATCGACCGCAGCATGCGGTCTTTTCCAAAAGAGTCATCTCGGCCTCAACCACCCGTCCATAAATCCGAAGCCGACGGGCGAGATTGTGCTGGTCTGGGGTGGCGCATCGAGTGTCGGCTGTAACGCCATCCAACTCGCTGTTGCCGGCGGGTATGAAGTCTTTCACGACCGCGTCGCCAAAGAACTTCGCATACCTTGAATCCTTGGGCGCCAGCAAAGTCAAGTGCTTCGACTACCGCTCTCCGACGGTCGCAGAGGACGTGGCCGCCGGACTGAAGAGCAGCAATGGCCCCCTCGCCGGCGTGATTGACTGCACCAGCGTTACGAACGCCGTGCAAACCTGTGCGTCCATCCTCTCGCTATCGAATAATGCAGACAAGATCATCGCTACAGTTCTCCCACCGCCGGAAACTATCACCAATGCGCGCCGTATCTTTGGCCTAAGTCTCAAGGAGAATGAAGTCGGCAAGGCCATCTACGAGGACTTCCTGCCAGAAGCGCTGAGCAAGGGCACGTTCATCCCTGCCCCTGAACCGATGGTGGTTGGCACGGGTCTCGAGGCTATGCAGGCCGCTTTCGATGCGCAGAAAGCCGGCGTCAGTGCGAAGAAAGTCATTGTCAAGCTATGACCCATCATCAGGTCTTTTCCTTTTTCTCGACTTCTTGACAGGTCGAATGGGAGATCGCCTTTTTCCAATGCTATCTCTATTATTATCATCATCTTTATTCCCTGCCTGCCCACCAACTAAAGGTTAGGTGTGGGGCCGAGAATGAGGGTTGAGACACGAATACTGTATGATGGAGAAGCAACAACTGAGTCCGGTGGCCATATCAGCGTGCTGCCCAGATAGATAGATCGATGTAGGCTGCTCCTACTAGCTCTAAGAAGCTTTCCAGCTCCCTTCAATCATCGAAGGCAAAGAAGAAAAGAATTTTTTGCCAAAGCTGAGCAAGATTCAAGAAATGGTGTCGCACCTATATGTGTAAATGTCTTAAATTCTCTGCATTATCTCAACAGCTGGGTGAGTGATTATGACTCTTTAATCTCGAGTATGTATGGTGTCATCGTATACCGGTGCTCGAAGCATTGTATTTCATTGCAATTCATGGCATATGCTTCAAGAGTTCAGACATCCACCCAATTTGAAATATGTCAACAAAAGAAACAATCTGCAGGTGGTATCTCTGGAACAACTTGGCTTGCGCCTGATAGCTATTAACGAAAACGAACGATCTCTCCCTATGCCTCATAGAAACGCCATGCTCATGATGAATTTTAGGCATTTCCCCATGCGAATCCGTGTGATGTGCAGAGTTCCGGACGAAATCCAGAACGCGATCACCAGCCAACGCCGCGGGAATGCTCAAGAGTGATAACAGCAGGATCAGCCAAGTTATTAGCTAATCGACTTTCACTCCGCCAAACTCTCTCTCAATCCCTCCTCATCGACCATTTTCACCTGCACGTCAGTGCTGGATAGTCTTCGAGGTGGCCTAAACCCGGGTATCGCTCCTTTTTGATTGATGCCGGGTAGCCTTCCACCAGGAAATTGAAAAGGTTGTTGCCATTGACTCTCTGTGGATGAGGATGTCGATACCGATGCCACAGATCTTAGGTCCCCGCTTGACTTCGTAGGTGCAATGCCCCATTTACTGCTGACCCAACCACCGATGAGTCGACCAATCCCGCTTGGAGATGATTGCGGTTCTTGTGATGTCGAAGGTGGCAAGCCAGCAAGTCCACTCAAAGCTTCCACACTCATGCTCGCGCTCCTTTCCGGCGTCTCTGGTCCTGCACCTGCATCGGCTGAGGCAGTATTATTTGCACTGAAAGATCTCGTAGAGCTAGAAGCCGTAAATTCCGTCACCGTGGTCAATGGCTGTGCAGCAGTGAACTTCCGTTTGGCGGAGGGAGAGAGCGCAAAATATGCTTTGTTGCCTTTCAATAGGCTTGATGACTGAGACGTTGATGAGCTTGGTCGTTTAGGGATATGTATGTCCATTCCAGATATGGACATTAGAGAGTCCTGAGAAGAAGAGCGTCGGAGACTTGGTTGAATAGTAATCTCGGGTATGCCGTTCAAGTCAAACGAATTTGATGAGACAGACATCTGATCGGAATTTGGTAGGTCGACGAGTGGAACACCGCCAGGCTCTATTTCTGCAATATTGATGCCTGTAGGCTCTCTCTCGGCCTCGGGTATAGAAGTCCGAGATGTATCCTCTGTCGAGCCACGATCTGGGGGTTTTGGGTCAATTTGGCGATTCGTCTGTTGATCAGTGAGAAGGATTTGTGACGCTTTCGGCGTTGGATCACGTGACCCGGGCTCGGTGACTCCCATATCAGTGTGATCGTCTTTCAGGCTTGAATTTTCCGGTGGCCCAGACTGTTCAAGAAGGTCGTCTCCTGCCTCGTGAACCTCCTCCTCTTCCTCATCCAGGACATCGGCTGGTCCCTCATCCGCTCGAACTTTTCGACTTCTCCCACCGAACAATGGCTCGACGAATCCCGCCGCCGACTCTGGACTAGTTGGTCTAGAAGATTCGTCGCCCGCATCCAATCGATCAAAGATGGAGCTGTTCCGCTCATAATACGATCTCGGAGAGCTAGGGAAACTCGAAATCATGGAAGACCCAGTCGCAGCCGACTGTACTGACCAACAATTACGTCTTGCCCGGGGTTGATGAAGTGTGATAGGTAGGATTGGACTGGAGACGTAACGATGTGGCCCGGCGACGGGCGTTGTCGGACCGGAAGACCCTGAAGTCGATGGGAGCGTACCAAGTCCCAGAACCGCTCTTTTGCGTGAAGACTTCCGCACCGTCGGTGTACGCTCTCGCTTCCCAGCAATCTTCGCGTGGTAGTGATGATGGACATGAACTTCTTGTTGTATTTGTTTCGATGAAGGTTCAGACCAGCCGAGTTGTTCACTCAATGGAAGAGATCTTGATACTCCTTCCGGAGGATTGTCATATTCCACCGGTTGGTGTTGAAGAATCTGCTCTCTAAGATTTTGTACCTCCTCGTTGGAAGCTTGCAACAATTCCCTCAACTCAGTGATACCAGCCTGAAGGTTCGCGTTGTCCTTGAGGATGTCTCGAACAAAATGGCTGACAACGTTCGTCCCCGATGATTTCCCACTGAGTGTTTGTAGTGCAGCGGCACTTTTCAGTCTGCCTTCGGCACCGCCCAATTCTCTTTCCAGTACGCGTTCGCGCTCCAGTCGAGCGACGATTTCTTCGTGTCGTTCTTTCTCCTGTTTTGCTTCCCATTCGATCTTTTGGACTTCGTACTCAAGTTGTCTAATTTTGATTTCGCTCTCCTTCCATCGTTTAATCGTGCTTCGGGTCTCGTCCTTGGAATCCTCAACCGTTTGCGACAATATGGATCGATCCTTCTCCATATCCAAGATCTTGAGCTCCAGCTCTTCCGTCCGTCGAGAGAGACCATTCAACCTCCGGACCTCCAGCTCGCAGTCTCGGAGCAGCGCCTCAAGACTCTTGACATGGTTATCACTATCCTTCAGTGAAGTATTAGCTGCTTCGAGCTGGTTCAGCAGTTCGCGATTTTCTCCGACAATCTTCTCATTCTTGGTTTGTAGATTTGCCCTTTCTTTTTCTAATTGATCGATATAGGCCGTGAGGCGCTCATGTTCGAGTTGCGATTCGCTCACATAAGACTCGTGGCGATTGAGAAGTGCCTGAAGAGCAAAGGTTAGTCCACCGGTCGTTTGCTTCTCGTCGGTTGCGGTTTCGCAGGGCGCGACCGGCAAAAGCACCTCCATCCTCATGCGCAGTCTCAGGGGACAGGAAAGGGACAGAGAATCGTGGAGGAGGAAGCGGCACAGAAGTAGAGCGGATATTCTTGAGTTGCAACTTTCTAGCAAAGCTTCGACCACAATCTCCAAATTACAGGGACCCGAGCGCGAGGGGCGATTAGCAAAGAGAAACGAGATGATTCAACCGATATCCGCTGATTTTCGTCTTTCTGGGGTGTGCACGTACCTGACCGAGTCTGGCAGCGGTCTCTAGATCTCGCTCTATTCCACCCAGAAGGGTGTTGTTGTTCTCCAAATAGGCGCATTCTGGTCTGCCACAGCAACATTGCAATTTCACCTCGCCGGCCGAACGATGGGTGCCATTGGCTCGAGCAGTCACGATGTTGTCGACCGTCTCCGGAATGTGGCCAGAGCGCGTGTCCATGCTCGGCGGGGTGGAGATATCATTGTTTGCCTGGCAGAAGGATTTGAAGCGGTGGGAGGTAGTGTTGAAGGGTGAGGACATAATGCGAACATCTCGGAGGATAATGGGCCAGGGAGTCGGGAGGCGGGCGACAGGCTCCTAGTGACCGATACCACGTCGGATTTCCTTGTTAGAGAAAAAACCAGGAAAGGTGAACCTTGCCAAGGGCGCAGTTTGGAGACGTGCATCGGCAAAAACGCGATCAGAGAGTGATTGGCCCAGCCTTGTCAAAGGGCCGCTCAAAATGGCCACTGACATCATATCAAAAACCGAGCATGTTCATGGTGACCGCACGCCATCGGCCATCCCGAAAAAGGTTAACGAAAGTCGTCTGCAAACAGAAAGGCAGCGAATGAAACATCTACCGCGTCTTGTGATTATGGAACTTGGATAGTCTCGTGCCCAAAAACAACAATCCGGGTCAAAACAATTGACGAGGAGCATTGATGCAGAGCGAAGATCTTACGGACTGTGTCCGGATCAATAGGTCTATCCGAAATTTTATATTGCTGTAAGAACGACGCTCTATTCAGTCTGGTTCTTGCAAAATCGGGCCACGTCTCCTCCGGTCCAGGGCCTTTTGTACCGCCTCCCGAACCTCAGGATTCTTCCTCAATGCTCCTGTGAGCAAAGACTCTTGCATGCCTGACCTCAGAATCTCTGATTTCTCTCGGCTGCCTTTGAATGGGCTCAGTCCCAGCTGCAGGAGACTACCAGACTCGGCACCCAATCTCTCGGCCGCTTGAGCGAGAAGCGTGACCTGCTGTTGACTCTGGAGATCTCTTGTGGTCGGATCTCTTGCCGAGGGAGGCGCGAGCTGGGAGATGAAAACATTGAGGGACATGGACACCCGCCTTGCTAAGCCAAGGATTTGATATGGTAAGAGATGAGGAGGCAGTAGTTGTGGTAACAGCTTCTGGGCCATGGAAGCCCAAAGCGTGGCCAGTCTCGGAGGCTCCCAGGTGTGGGTCAGAAAATAGAGTTCCAGAGAGGCCATACAAGCCACGGCGAAATAGCGCCAGAATTGTCCCCATTTTGGTAGCCAGATATAATTCAGCAGAACGAGCATGGCCGCATTCGACACGTATTCCGGGACCTTGGAACGGAGACCCGCATACACATAGTCCCTAATGGACTTCAACCCTGGCTGTTGAACCTGAACAATCACAGGTCCAAATCGGTCATACGCGAATCTTTTGGCCGGATCCAGAATGGTATCATGAGCTAGCCTGAACTGGACGAATATGGTATCGGCGTCCGATAAAGACTGGCCATTTTCGTGGAGTTTGTCTGGATGGTATTTCGAGGCTAGTTTCCTAAATCGACTCTTGACCTCCCTCTCCATCGACCAAGGCGTGACTCCAAGGAGGGTGTAGAAATCGCCCGCCAGTTTGACATCGTAAAGGGCCTGAATTAGGGTGTAGCAGAGGTAGAGGGACAATACAAAGACGCGGATTCGTCGATTGTGGTATGCAAACAGAGGCTCTCCAGGCTGCGGGTGCCGTGATCCCGCTCGAATTGTGAGCCGGTAGTAGATTGACTGGAGAAAGGCCGTGGCATACTGGAAGAACTATTAACATGAAGCAGACGGGGTTCTGAAGGGGATACCATACAGCAGGCAAGAATGCCCATCCGACAAGGGACAAGGCCTGTGTTACAACAGCCTCAGCCATATCAAGCTGCGAAAAGGGCAGAGAACAGCATCACATGAACATCTGGTCTTTAACAAAGGAGAGTATTCTGCGCCCCGCACAGAGGACCAAAACACAAGACCTTTCGACGGAAAATATTGTTGTGAGATTCTCAAGACCTTACGAAGCAGAATATCTGGCGTTTCAGGTGCGGGAAAATATAATTCCCGATCCGAAGATACGACGCTAACTGCTTTTCTGAGCCTTGAACCCCCTTTTGGTTTCCTCTTCTAACCCACTCCCTCTTCGCCCTGTCATCCAAACCCTCATCCAGATCTTCAAAAAGTTATTCTGCATCGAACAACATCAACCCAATCTCATTCATGCTATCTTGAATTTTGAGAGGCGGCTACAAAATCGAATTTTGTCCCAGCCCTATAGCACCACCAGCAATTCCCCGATTTCGCCTTCCGTGGTGGGGAATCAGATTATCCAATACGGCTTCAATCAAGTTTACCCTCTGCCTAAACGATGGTAGCTGGCTACTGGACACTCTTGGACCAAGGCCGACCTCACACTGGATTTTTCAGAAGAGCACGCTGTGTCCAAGCCAGACTCTTCAGCCTTGCTCCAGACATCGTGTTTACTTGTTGATCTTCCTCCGGCAACTTGGTACTCTCGAAATCTGATCTCTCCATCTTGTCCATGTATCCCCCCTCCTCCTCTTGGCGGATTTCATCATCTATAGGAATGTTGATCAAGTGAAAGGGGTCAGATTGGCGAGTATTGGCCAGCCATCGTGCGAATGGATGCTGCTGCTGTCGATACTTCCAACGACCTGATCGATGCAGCGAGACTGGGAAATGAAACTGTACCGAGGCCTCACTTATTCAGGCGGCTTGTTGGGACGTCAACATGATGTCCACCAGATGCACCTGTCGACGAGCCAGTCTCTTCTCTATATCCAGTTTCCAGATGAAATTAAAGTCCCCGTCCCGGCTTCACAAGGACCGAATGTAGATTGGCTCGGCTCTGTTCTTGAAGTATTCCGCCACGCTTAGCTTTCTACCTTCTCTTTTGTAACTTTGTCTCGTTCTTGTTCCCCTAAATTCTGTGGCTGTCCCCCGCTGGAAAAGTGTGGTTGCCTTGTCGCTTACCCACGTTATTTCGATACACGAGCAGTGGTGCGAGATTTCAGTGCAAAATCTTTAGTTCGAAGACTTTCAGTGTCAAAGGTACGAAGTATGGCTGGTTCCTTCGCATCTTATAGTTGGCAGTTTTCAGCGCCTTTGACCGTCGAAGTGACACCAGTTCTAATCACCGCCAGAAAATTAGGGACCAGGATCCCACTACATCTCTCTCATTATACTCCTATTCTCTAAATACATATCTAGTCATCTTGAGATCTGCTGTTCAATAACCTTTCCAGTATGATAGATACGACAAGCTACCGCTGTGAAGCCAACCGTAATTGCATATTATTCACGAACAATCTCTGATCCTTTCGCTCAGCCTTGCTGCTCTGCCTTCATTCATTCATGAAACACCTGCGTAACTAAATTCAAACTCATTAAATTTCAGCTTTCTTTCATATGGCTTGCCTCCAATAAACGCGCGAAGTAAGTCTCTGAGACTCGACTGGCGCTTCACAGGGAGATACTTGACGACGTTCGCGATGCCACAGGCGCGCCAGTGACAGTCACGAAGATCAAGACGCTGCAGCGCCTGCATCGACGCGACAGTCAAGCCTCGGGGCTTAATTTCCCAGTAATTTTGAAGCATTACCCAAAGCATGTCTGCCACGGCTTGGGTTTCGCCCAGATCATGCTCCACGAGCATATTCTCGATCCAGCTGACATATCCTATGATCGCACCCCTGAGTACCTGGGCTTGCGCGGCTGCTTGGATGTGACTTTTGCCTTCCAACTGGCTGTACAGTCCGGTGATAATAGAAACAACAATCAGCACACATCGCTGCTGGGCCACGTCTTCGTCGATGTCGCCGTAGACACTAACGAATCGTCCCGCTGTGTTCCGGTAAAGGAACTCGTGCAGTCTGGTATCTTCCGCGACGAAGGGACCCTTCTCTTCCAACGGCAGCAATTGCCGATCTCGCCAGATCCGATCAACTTCTCCCAGGAGCCTTCTCAGCCAGCTTAGCCGCTTCGTTGCGTCCTCCTTGCCCCAGATGAATGAGGCCTCTGGGTCTTTATAGATGCCCTCGAACCAGAGTGCCTGTTCCTCTCTTAGCCGGCCATTGAGTCCGTCTGCGAAACCCATCTGCTTGACAATGTCTCTGCCCGCCTTGAAATGCAGTACTGCATTTGCACGCTCGCCGTACCGTTGCTCAAATGTGGCGAGGCTGATGACCGAGGTTAAGATCGCCATCCGGTCAGCTTGATGGCCGCGAGAGACCTCTCGTCTCAAGACCGTCACTGCGCTACCTTGGTGTTTCAAGGCCGCATATTCCAGATGCTTCCGAGTAGTGAAAGTTGCATATTCGTTCATACGCAATTGATGCAAGGCCGAGCGGGCCATCAGAATATGAAAGTGAGTCACGCATACTCCTGCCTGATATTCCCAGGAACCTTTAATGCTAGGTCGAATCTTTGGAGACAACGAATATGCGGTCTGCCAATAGCTATCCTGTCCATAGAAGTGTAGCAGTTGGTTGGTAACCTCGTCGACTTCGATAGGTAGCGTGTCGAATGGATCCACCAGACAGGCTGAGATCGGCTTGGGCCAGGACATCTTGGGATTGTTTATCAGCTCAGAGGAACGAGTAGATGAAGCGGCACCAGGGTTCCGAGCATATGGACACTTGGGCCTGGCGGATGTAAGTTCAAGATGTTCGTTTTCAGTGGAGTCCCATCCGTCGGTTTCTGACTCGGTGCTGGGAGTCTCTGCGTATTCACACATGTTGGACGAGCACCGACCCTGGTCCTAGGCCGTTGAGTTTCTGATCCACCGAGGTGGACTGAAAGTGCTTAAGAAGTTGCGGAGAGAAAACGGGGCCTCACTGAATTGGCACAACCTTAAACCTGCGCAATAAAGGGATGCGAAAACGGGCGCTTAGGGGGCCTTGGGATCGGTAGAGACTTGCAGGCCAAGAGAATCGATATTGGACCAACTGATGGGTAAGCAGTGGGGGAATACAGCTGTGTTGCTGTGTTTGGTGGGCTCGATGGGCCTGGGGGCATTTGGGGCTCAGCCGCGTGCAGCGAGGCGCTTGACGAGAACCCCCGATGTTCAACGGCTTGTGGGGCGTGTCCGTTAGCCCCGGCGAATCTACCATGGTTCATTGGTGAGAGGCTTGCTAGGAGCCAATTTTTTTAGCGAAATTAAGCAGGGAGGATTTTCTATCAGGGTTAGGTTCGTTCAGAGTGAGGTGTCGATTTCGGGTTACTGCTACATATTGGAAGATCAATCATGCAATGTCTTCGCAAGGCCGAAAGAGAGCAATGTAATGAACATGATACATCCAGCATCTCTCCATACAAATCTTCGATCGGCTATCTCAACAACATTCTGGTCCAGTTTACCTATTCATTCGAGTGTAGGTCACCTACTAAGCCAATCAGGAACCTGTTGATCCCATCAGACCTACCAGTATCAGTGATATTTGCCATCCACCGCGTCATACCCTCTAGATCTAGGATATCAGATTGCCTTGAAGTGCCTGGCAATATCGACTGTTCACGATTCATCCCCACCATCATGGTCATTGTCCGACTCGCAAGCGCTTCAAAGATGTCTCGGTACGGCGCTGCACCCTCCCAGTGTTCTGCCATTACTACCAGCACCATAGTGTAGTCGGTACACGTACTACTAACGTCGTCCTAGCGAGCGACCTCACGGACTGCGAGCGATGTCCAGAGGCAATGAAGATATGTCAGTCCGGCGAGAAAAAGAAAGTGAAGTGCCCCCCAGGTATATCCCAGGGACTTTCCGATGAATAGACGACGATAGCCGTGGCAGACGTTTTCTGCGGTTTGAAGACATTCGAGAAATATGTCATCTGCGACTCCTCCTTGGATTTCTGTCAATTGACCACGGTACAGAAGGAGAACCGAGTAACTGTAGTTCACTTCGAACCAATCGGCCCTTGCAAATAACGAAAGTGCTTTGCCCCTGTGAGGTGATATAGGAGGAATTGATGCCCGCCAGTTCTCGAGCTCAGAGCGTAGATTCGCGACTCGGGTGTGGTAGGTCGGATGGGAAGGACTCCTGAGCGTTGTGTCGGAGTAGAGAGAGGTATGAATACAAGCCCAGAGACGCCGAAGACGGAAGACGTGAATCGCAACGGACATACTTGTCGGTGGGTCATCGGGAGAGCTTCGGGGCCTTCCACAGATTCCGGTGTCTGTGATGTAGGAATCATTGATATCCATAGGATACTAACATGTCGTACTGATTAGGCTGAGGGTCTTCATCAATCTACCTTCGTCGGGCTTTGCAACAAAAAGAAAGGATGAAGTCACGATTCCTCAGCATCCACCTCTTGGTGAGGCATACCCAATGGCCGTCCCAGAGTGATGGCACCTGCACAATCTATTATGTAGGCAGTCCAAAACGCTCTCTTTCGCAACTCTAGTCGAAGCAGGTTTGTGGTCGATCCGAACCGTTTGGCGTTGCGGTGGTATCCAAGCTCAATGCATTGGCGCAGTGCTAGTCCAGAAAGCTTCCTGGTGGATATGAGTGGATATTTCTCTGGATGGGGTATCGAGCTTTACCAAACAGATGGACCCATGGGAGATCGAAGAGAATATATCGCGTAGTATAGTGTTGCTTGTATGGATTCCAAGTTATCAAGTGGCAGCACATGATCAATGTATAGCTATGCTGAAACGTAGAGACGCTGAAGGCCAGTCAGAAATTGTAACTTGGACATGGCATTCTGACTTCCCTCCGGAGAATATCCACAACGGGGTAAGAGCAAAGCACCAACGGCATACACCAGGGGGCCGGTATCAATTCGTATTCCCACATGACATGAACCCATGACTTACCATATACAAAAAGAACAAGGGAAGAGGATCTAACGTGTTCGATGTTTCAGACGGCCTTGCCAGCTCCATCTCCCAAACTCTAAACGTTGCTTCATCCAAGAATGGGTATTGAGGTTGAATGTTCTGGAAGTACGCATTGCTCAGCAGAGCTGCAGTATCATAATCCGGTAGAAGACATGGAAACTGCGCCGAAGTATTGTCCTAATTCAGACCAAAGGTCCCGTTGAGTTTCGTAGGCAGTCCTCGGAGAAGCGACGAGCTGATTACTCGCGAGAACGCAAAAGCGGATGATGAGCCCAAATAATGGGGCTCCGCTCTAGCTGCATTCAAACCCAGCATCCCGACTTTTGAAGCCAAATCGCTGACTTCATCATGTTCCTCGGGGGGATTGGAATTGATACGATTGACGGACAGATTCATTGTTGATAAATTGCGTCGATATAGAAGGACTCGGTTGGAATTCCGTGCCAGAGACACTGCCATGAGAGAGATCACCGCTGGCCAAATCAGGACGAACCTGCTGTAGGATGCCTTCCAGACGAGCCACACGTTCTTCCAGTGTTTCAATGTAATTGCGCGGTTGGTGTCGCTTCGTCGCTGGATCTTCCACAAGGCAGGCTAGAGTTCCTTATCAGGCACATGAAGCTTTCGTAGTATAAGGAGGAGGTATGATTCCGGGTCTTAAACCAAATCGGTGACAGTGTGCTCACGCTGGAATCCCATCATCGCACTGTGCCGGTCCGTTAATCAATCGTACATCAGATCAAGAGCATTCTACCTTGAGCATTCTCTCTTTACAGTTGATACAAGCTACCAGCATTCGGGTCCCGTGCGGGTACGTTGGGGTCCCTTGGAAAGCCGATTCTTTGAACTTCTCGTATTTTGATTGATCTCGCTAATTCTCGGCTACTCATCGCGTACCCCTCCCGCTATTCGGTCAGCCCATCGACGTCATTGGTACCAGACGAACTCAAACACGACCGAGAGAGGGTTTTGCTAGGAGATGGAAAATCACGGGTGTTAACTTATATTCCCACCTGACAACTTATTGCCACTTGTACCGAACTTGATAGATATATCTATGTACAGGAATATGGTTACATGCGAGGCTTTGATTTTTGACCAACATACGCAGAGACCTGCAAGTCCTTGGTTAACCTTCTCGAGCCCACGTCCATCTTCAATACTGCTTGGTAGATATTTCAGTTTGAACTAGGTAGCCCTTTCTGTCCAGTGCTCCTTTGCCTTCCTCGCTGGGAGAAGCACAAGATTAGCTGATATCCTTCAACAAAAGGATAAGGGAAGACTCACGATAGCGTTTTGACCGCCACAGCCTCAAAGGTTGTTATGGTTGCCGGCTTCTTGGAGCGTTTGTAGGCATTGAACCATGGGCCTTTGAAAACATCGTCGATTTCTTCAACACTGAGACCAGCCGTCTCAGGGACCACCAGGTATACGTAGAGTAGGGAAACAAAGCACCAGCCAGCGAAGAAAATAAAGGCCCCCTAATTTGTTAGTCTCCTCAAGAAGCGACGGCACGCCGTAGGCCATGGCGTAGATGAACAGCCAGTGAAAACATGAGGATAGAGCACTACCGAAGACGTACGGGAGGATGAGCAAACCTTTGACAGAAAAAGTTAGAGAAGACCAAACATCTCGGATTCTTTTGTGACTTACCCACCGCACACCCAGAAGCGTGGAGGAAGATGAATGCGACCGCCGCCTGGGACGAAGCGTGGGACGAGGTGTCGTCTTGCTTGTGTTTGAGGTATATGCCGACGTATATATCCGACAACATTTTGCAGGCAAATGCCCACGAACAGTGATTTTCGCCGACCCAAACCGTCGACGAAGAAGAATGAACCAATCAAGGAGAAGAAGAGTTTGGACATGGCGTACATACCGGTCAGAAACAAATTCCGGAGGGTACCGCCACCCAGACCCAAAAGAGTCAAGATGGGTACGAAATAGGAGGTGATGGAGTTGGCGCCAGACAGTTGTGCGAGCGCATATGATACCAAACTCTGCTGAACATGTTGCAAGTTGGAAGGGACCGCGAATGTTTCTTTAACAATGCTGACAAGGCCAGACGAATGGCGGCCATCACCGAAGTTCTCCCTCTCCCTGCGTATAGAATCCTGGATCTCTTGAAGTTCCAACTGCACCCGGGGGTGTTCCGCGGGCAAACCGCGAACTCGGACAAGAGTCTTCACGGCCTCGTCATATCGGTCAACCAGAAAGAGCCACCTAGGTGATTCACAGAGGAAGAAACTAATGACGACGCAGAGAAACATAAAAATGCACGGCGAGAACCAGACAATCTGATATTAAAGTCTGCTCGCCGCAACATGGGCAAAAAAAGCCATAGACGCAAAAGGTTGACGTGGTCAGCGCGATACCCATGGCGACGTTGAACCACGCTGTGAGGAGACCCCGTATTTCGGCCGGGGCAATTTCGACGATCGACATAGGGCCTGTGACGGTGAGAGAGCCAATGCCCCACCCCGAGATGATGCGTGCCGCATATAAGCCTGCTAAACCTGGAGCCGAAGTGGCCACCATTTGTCCAATGATGTAGATAACTGTGTATAGACGAAAGGACCATAGACGGCCAATCCGGTCGTTGATGAAGAAGGGTAAGCCGGCACCCCAGGCATAGCCGATGTAGACGATGGAAACGAAATTCTTAATCTCGCCAGCGTTTGACCCGGAGCTGATGCCGAAGTGCTCTTTGAAAACCCGGTAGTGAAGGGATGACGGAAGACGAGCCTTGATCCCAGGCTTTGTCACATGATCAGTAAAAGTTTGACAGACATTCATTGGAATAGCCTACTTGCAGGGATAGCAGACATGGCGTAGAGAAGTACCGATAAGATCAAACTGCGATTGCAAACCACCTCGTGAGGAGCGGCTCTAATTGCTTTGCCATAGTTCGCAAGCACGGACTGTGAGAAGACTTCCTTCACGACCATCTTGCCCGAACGAACTCAGGTCCTTGACTGATTGCGACGATAGTGGAGTTTTCTCTAGGTACGCTGCGCATAGTCTTCAAGTCAAAGGGGATCTGTGAGTGGTATTTATGCTTGTCCTCGCCCATCTTCTTCCCAGCGACAACCCGCAATATCGGGAAACTCTGGCTACATGCCTCAAAGTGCACATCACTGATTATCCCCCACCAGGTTCAAGATAGCGATACCTCTTGGCCGCTCGAGACGCTACTCGGAGGAATACGAGTATCAAATCGAAGTGGGTCATCGCCCGGAAGAATACATGGAGCCAATAGGATGTTCACCGCGCTTCTCCAGTCCTCTTTTATCATTCCCATCATGATGATGCGGACACCACGCTTCGGCGCTGGCCGGGGTCACCATGAACAATATTCCGCGCTATTGCATTGATGAATCAGTCGTCCCAGGCGGCCTAGATTGATGAAGCCATTCGGAAGCTGATCTGATACAATTCCAAGTCCATGGCGCCACCGGGGCAAGCTCAACTCAGCTCAATCTCAGTCATACCAAGCCATTATCGGCAGTTTGTCATTGTGGAGCTCCAACATAGGCGCCCTCACTCATTGAGTGACATTTGGTACATAGTCTTTCCCCGCCATTGTGCTGTTGGCTCATGAACAAACTTCAACTCATCCAGCTCTGAGAAATGATTTCTTCCGAGTCGAAAATAATTATTGTTGGAGCTGGCGTGTTCGGCCTGAGCACCGCACTGTGGCTCGCTCGCTCTGGGTACGAAGACATCACTGTTTTCGATTGATGCGGTTTCGACAAGAACAATCACAATCCTTCAAACGGTTGCGATGGGGCTTCCGCTGACATCAACAAGATCTTTCGAGCAACATATGGATCAATGCAGGAGTATGTATTTGCAAAATGCATGGAGTCTTTTTCGTAGTAGCTGACGAAAGTTTGCTCTAGATATCAGGCACTTGCTCTTGAGGCAAGGAATATATGGCTAGAGTGGACCAAAACCGTTCAAGAAAGCTCTCCATTCGGCCTTCCACCAGGGATCACTCCAGAGGATAAGCTCCTTGACATTTGTGGTTGCTATTACCTTGCTGAAGGGCCAAATTTGTGGCCATTCTATGCAGAGAGTATGGACATGACGAAGAAGGAGGCACCGGATTTTTGAGAGTTGCAATTCACAAAGGTAACTATCGGACAATAGAAACCAACAGGTATCTAGACCAAGAGCTAACGGTCAAGAGGGCAACTTTGAAGACGAATAACGTCTACGCAAGGTCGACCCAAAGTGGGTCAGAAAGTACCATGTTCTCGACAAAATCAACCATGGGAACACAAACGGTTTCCTCGATCTTGGTGCCGGGATCAACCTCGCCGACAAGGTCAGTCGAGAGACTCAAATTCCCCCCTCATTGGAAGCTGATGAAAAATTCGCAGGCCTGTACTTTTGTGCGATTTCTATGTGAGCAAGCTGGCGTTGAATTTGTCTTAGGAGATCCTCAGAGTAAGGTTCAGAGCTTGGTCATCGAAGGAGCCGGCCCAAGCAAGAGAGTTACCGGTGTCAAGATGTGCGATGGCCGAAGCCACTCTGGGGATATTGTGATCATCGTCCTTCGTTTGGTTATGCCATGCTGACCGGTCACTGAAGGTGGCCCCTGGACCGCATCCATCATCCCTGAGGCGCACCGGACCGTGGAGGCCACTGCAGGAACTGTTATGTTCATGGACATTCCCAAGGCGAGGAAAGACATATGGGAAAAGTTCAGCCCTCAAAACTTCCCCGTCTGGTCCTACAGGAGGGGAGAGGGTGAGTAGTAAATTTCTCTTTCCATGAGGGCTTTCCCGATCTGATAACATGCACAGGTATTATCAAGGAGGCGGTTTCCCTATTACAAAAGAAGGCCGATTGAAATTTGGTTTTCTCGGACGCAAGGTACGTGAAGGTGTAGTTTTTATAGGGTTCGATTTGTTGATTGGCCGAAATTGGATTTACAGATAGCAGAGTACGTATGCTCCCTCTCGTGAAAGCCACGAGGCCGCTTGTGTACTGACATACCCCTTATAGTTATGCTGGTATACAGACACCGTCGGGGATGACGACGTAAGTGCACCTACACTCACCCTTGACCGATTGTGTGTCACTGAGTCTTGAGTCTCATAGTTCGTCATTGACTATGATCCTGGCTATTAAGACTCTCTTTTTGTCTGCTGGCGAGTTCTTCGGACTCTACTGGAGAAGGTTCCACATCTGATATGACTATACAGCGGCCACGGCTTCAAATTCTTGCTAAACCTTGGTAAGGTATGTTGTCGCTGATTACAATTACTCCAGCCTTTGGATCTGACATTGGGAAAACCACAGTACGTCAAAAACCAACTAGAACGCGTTCCCGACCAGTTCACGCAACTGTGGAAGTGGCGTGCTGTTGGAGAAGGTAAAGAAAGTAATGGGATCGGGCAAGGAGAGAACGGTCCGAGGGAGATGTCCAAATTTCAGATGGCAGATCGTACGTCTCCTGTGGATGCTAGACAACATGATACTGACCAGTATTGCCTTGCAGCTAAAGACTTCAAGTTCCAAAAGGCGAGATCTTCCATAATCTTTCTTAGCACGTACATGTTTGCGGCTAATACCTCTCAAAGAAGTCGCAGCACCGACTCTGAATAAATGGATGGCCAACCAGATGAAGCAATTGTTCACTGTGGTTATGTTCAGTGAGGATATCGAAGAAAAAGAGAAATACGGAAGAAAATCAATCGGGTAGGGAAAGATCATAGAAGTGAATATAGAGAGGATGCTGAGGCGTGCACCGAATTACCTGTTTCTCCTAAATCTGTGTTCTGTCAAGTTCTCAGCCGACTCTTTACCTTCCTCCGTTGGACAAACATCGTCGGAGATGCGTATTGTTGATTACTGGTTAGCCCTATTCTAAGTGATAGCGACGAGTTGTCGAAGTGGAGAAGGTGGTCAAGCTCGGGGAAGGACAAAGGCACTGAGCAAATGCTGGAGAAGATGGCTTATTACACGACTTGAAAGATAGGAATATCCGTTTGCAGCAATCTCCTTTGACTATGTGTCAGATTGACTGAGAATACTCACCCTCTATCGCCGAAATAGGGCCTCACCACATGTTACCCTTTTCCTGCTTCCCCTTCCTGCTCTCCATATTCTTCACATCGAGATTTTTCCATATCAAAAAGCAATCAACAACAGAGGCATAAAATGAGTCCCCGCAATTACCATCTTTCTCTGAACATCCGCATAGGCAACAGTAATCGCATCGCGAATTGGGAAGTCATCGGATAGGACTTTTGTGTTACGATGGATGCGTAGATACTGGTCCACAGATTTTTGCTGCCATCGGGCAGGTTGTCGTATAGTGCATCGGGTAAGATGTTTGTCCACAACGCTCTAGCAACGGCCTGTTCGATGGCCGCCCCAATGGAGCCAAAAAGACCGAACATTGCGAGTACCACGGCGATCTCCTGGTGAGTAACGGATGCCATCACTGCAAGTTGACCAGTCAATGCCCAAAATACTTGTACCTATGCCATTGAACATCTTGCACATGACGAGATAACCGAAGTGCGAGTCTGGTGTACGGAATTGGAATAGGAGAGTGGTTCCAAGCACGGCGAAAGGTAGTCCGGCGTAAGATAGGTGTTTAATACGACCGCAATAAAGAATGACGCTAGGAGATAAGGTAAATGGCGACATGGTAATGGAGGTGGAACTTACAGGCCAACGAATCTGAGTTATGCCGTGAGAGAATAATTTGTTCGCTGTGCTGAGTGGATGGTATCGGATGTGAGCGCGAGCATGTCGTATTGTTCCGGTCTAAGCGCGAATGGTCTCTCCTAGTATTCGCCAGTGTTTCTCGACAACTCGTGTTTCGCGAAATGTGTGTTGTCAAATTCTGTATCTGACCAAGTTGATCTCTTGGAGTTCTGGGCTTTCTCCCGAATAGATTGAGTCGACAACAGCTAGATCGGCAGGCGCTTCCTATTATATATTCCCAGAAGGCGCAAGCGTTATATACACCCCAAAGTTCATCGGCAGAGATTTGTCAACAGGTTCATCTTGGCAATGTGCTGTGACTCGATTGTCGTCGAACACATTTCATGTCGAACATGTCTCTTGTCGGCTTCAACTTTAATCTCGATGAGGAGCACGGTATATACCTCTGTCGAATCCATCCCTCGTCCATTGATAGAATCGAACCTGTACTGATTCAAGGATTATTGAACCTTAGCGATCAGACCACTTTTCAGCCTCAATGAACAAAGAGAAGGAAGTGTGGAGGCGATTGCTGCAGTCCTCCTGGTGACCATAACCAAGACCAGCATCATGGTAGATCCATCAATCCACAGACCGTTCAGCCTGAAGAAAAAGCAGCTGGTGGCAATACTGGTTGTTGCGCCATTGAAGGTGGCGAGCATTGCGATGGCGGCTCTCCTCGACGCGTTCATGTGATAATGGCCTAACTTAATTCAGTACAATGTATCAAGGCGACTGCTGCGGTGGAATGTCAAATTGCTTGCAAGGAAGAGGTCGAAAAAGGTGACTCACCCCCCGAATAAATACATGCATAGCGAAGAGAGAAGATGTATTGACCGTGGCTTCCATCGTAGTCCACCAAGACTGCAATTGTCATACGTGCAATGACGAGCACAACACCGAAACTGATACGTGCTGATCATGGCTCTGATGTTCCTCACGATGATGACCACAAGACTGAGCGACATGAGCACGAACATGGAGAGAACGGCTGTCATCTAGCTGAAGCTTGCGGTGCCCATCTTCACGCCGCCTTCGAAAGGTACGCTTCCTACTTGGAATCGGCTCGATGTATCTGCAGCAGTGTTCTTTCCCTACAAACCATCTCAATGTTGCAGCAAGCCGCCACTGTTTCCGCCGTCAGAACCAGCAGTCGGGACTTCGACTGGTCATTTTCACGGCAACGCTCGTCCCGGAATGGTGGCTTTTCATCACATCAAGAAACCGGCTAAACAAAGGGCGAAACCCATTCGCCTCATGGGCATCTTGAGCACGGCTCGTCGTCGAAGTTCCGCAGCAGCGACAAAGTTTGTTTTGAAAGCCCCATCGTCCATGGTAGAACTCTTGAAACGAAAGTCTTGCCAGCAGTCAAAGAGATCGAGACCGATTTGGAAAAGGCAGACTCAACGTCCCATGCGATGCTTAATGTCACTGGCATGAATTGCTCCGGTTGTGCCAACAATCTTACCATGGCTTTGAAAGGCACCATGGCGTTCACGATGTGCATGTTGTCTTCGTCAGGGGAACTGCCGGGTTCGATGTGGATTTGGATGTTACCAGCCGTGGAAAAGGCGATTCAACATGCTAAACGTGCCACGGGATACAAGCTCACCCCATTTTCTGCCGACACCCAAACTCTAGAAATTCTCATGGATCCGGATACTGCGAAAAGATTCATCCATGATCTCCCTCGCGGCGTGGAGAAATGTGAAAACGTCTCCAAGACTAGATATGAAGTCAACTATGATCCATGTCTATTGGAACAAGACAAAGTATTGTCGGCGACAGGGGGCGGATTGCTTTCAGCCGGAAGACGCAAATTGATCGACACTTCGATCAAGATGACTCTTGCTCTCATCGTGACCATCCCGGTGGTCGTTCTAGCATGGTCCGACGTCTCCGTCTCGGAGCGCACTAAGCAGTACGTCTCAATCGTTCTCGAAACTCTGGTCCAGGCCGTAGCGTATCCGGAATTTTACAAGCCAGCCATTTCGACACTTATCTACAATCATATTCTAGAAATGGACATGCTCATCGTCATCGCCATTACTGCCGCCTACGGATATTCTGTCGTGGCATTCCGTCTCATGATGGCCGGAATGGAACTTGTTGGTCATTGCAGGAAACCTTGACGTGGTCCACGAGGAAGTCCTGTCGCTTCCCCATTTGCCTTCCCTTCAGCCGTTCTCCTTGATTAAAGCTCTGGTCAGCAAAAACCAGCATCCGGTCTCGCAAGCTGTGGCGGCTACTCTTCAGAAGCGGGCGTGTGATCCATTGGAACTGACGGAGCTGCGGCGATGGAACGAATGATGCAGTCGCGGTGGCTCAAGCAAATGTCGGTGTTCCGATCGAATCCTCCAATGTCACACGGGCAACAGCAGATGTGGTCCTCCTTTCTGATCTAGAAGGTATCGTTCATCTTCTCGACGTCTCTGAGGCGGCTTTCCGGCGTGTCATCTTCAACTTTGTCTGGTCAGCGATCTACAATGTGTTCGCTATCCTGCTGGCTGCCGGCGCTTTCGTCAAGGTCCGCATTCCACCAGCGTATGCTGGTTTGGGTGAAATCGTCAGCGTCTTGCCTGTCGTTGTGGCTGCCTTGACAATGCCAAAAGTGAAAACTGCATCGACTGGTCGGCCCTAGATCTGACAAAGATCGACGATCATGACTCCATATGGGAGAGATCCACGACCTGACAAATGTGTACATCAAATCATCTCGCACCGGCCCACTTCGCTCGTTCGCTCTGTGTCAAAAGCCTACTGTTCTGCCGCTAGGATCGACTTCGTACCAAGCCGCTTTCTTTCGCTCTGCCTCTGTTGTCCTCAGGTTTGATTCTGATCACCCTAGATGCCTGGTCGAAACGGACATCCTCGCACGTATGGACCGATCTTCAGATAGAGTTCTCCTGCTACAATGACACTTGACGCGGGCAAACGGATTGCCGTGTCGCTCATGATAGTCGATAATAGCGTCGCTCGGTAGTTGTGCAAATCACATAGAGACCAAAGTACTCCACCTCCTCGTATCCGTACATCTTATTAGTATTCCCACTTCATTATTTCTCCTCATCAACCCAACCCAAATGTATCCACATATATACAACATCTACGTCTCAAATTTCAAGCTTCAACAAACACTCCAATTGTAGGATGGAAGGACGCTGCCAGTGCGGCCAAATCCGCTTCGTCACCCCCCTCCCCAAACCCCTTTCCATCTACATCTGCCACTGCACGGAATGCCGTCATCAATCCTCATCTACCTACGGCATGACTTTTATATTCCCGAGCTTCAACCTCAAGGCACCTCATGAGGGCGCCATCGCAATCTACAGCCGACCGAATCCCCACGGCCGCACTGACGGCTACTTCTGCACCAAGTGTGGGGCGAGGCTGCTTCATAGGCCTGTGTCGCATGATGGTACGCCGGCGAATGTGGTCAGCGTCAAGTCCGGATGTCTGGATGGGGTGACGAAGGAAATGTTGAGGGGTGCAGTGCATATTTGGACGAAGAGCGCGGTGGTGGATGTGCCGGAAGGGGCGGAGCAGTATGAAGAGGAGCCGCCCCGGGGAAGTTTTCAGGAATCTGAACCGCGGATGGAGCCATAGGAGTTGTAAAGTTGCGGCGGGGCATGAACATGAGCGAGATGGGTGAGCCTTAACTTGAAATCAAATTTGTGCCGAAAATACAAGTGGGAATAAAATGGAAGTGGATAGAGTCAAAGGGGAATGGTGAAAGCACCAGGAAAAGAAGGTGAAGATGAATTCTCTTAGGTTATGGTACTACGCTGCATCACCTCATGAGCGCAACGCCGGCACATGAATCGATTGAGGTTTTCCGCCTTGTTCCTTAGCCACTGCACCTGCGCCTGCACCTCACGAAGCCCGGCCTCCATAATTGTTCTTACGTTGTTGCGCGCGTTCATACTGGTTCTCAGCCTCGTCGTATTCCTTCTCTCACTGACCATAGCACCAATAGCACATTAACATCCACCAATTCAGCAGCTCCATTCTATCCGCGAGAGAACAGGCCACTTTCTCGCGTCTTGAGGCGAGACTTGTCAATCCCTGCAAGTTGCGGTAGATGTCGTAGGAGCGGGAGTATAATTCCCTTTACGCACGACTGAGGATGCCTCAACGGTGCGTGGATATGCTGATCTGGCCCCTTGATGCAGCCTTGAAGCTGAGATTTTCCTTGAATCGATTGAAAGTGTGCTGATTACAGGATATGCAGTGCAGTGCAGTGCTATGCTCTGCGAGCGAACCAGTTTGCTGAATGGTCACTGAGAAGCAGCAGGTGCTGAAGTTGTTGCATCGAAGTTTGACGAAGTACTGCGTCAGAGGAACGTAGAATCAAACCATTTTGGCTCCACGGCGAAATGATTCGTATGATTATCGGGATTCAGGAAGAGAATAACTCGATCCAATCTAGGACGTGGCTGGGGAGCAGGCTGTGCGGGTGGTTCTGAATCACGGTGTCCGACCGCAAGGCAGGATTGAATTCCATTTTGAATCTTAATTGGAAGATCAAATCACCTTTTGAGTTCGGCAAATGTCGCTTCGTCATCTAGGAGTAGTGATATTGGAAAAATGCCTTGGACGCGAGAAAATGAGTGAAAGTGCATAGGACGGCATCGAACAATGAGCAGTGCCCTTTACTTGGAAAAGGGTTATCATCCCTAGGAGTAGAAAAGGGTCAACCAAGCATGTATATATACTGGCAATCTGGCAGGACCAGATGCTAAAGAGGCAGAGCATTCAACACATCCCAATTTGGGCCCCTAGTTTGACAGAAGGGAACAGTTCAGCATATTATTGGCTGGCAGAATGGCAGCCTTGTCAGCCCGACCATACAAAACATGTGGGTACAGGCGAGAGGGCCTTGGCGACTGGCTTTCGCTGCGCGTCTAGGGATTTGGTTCCTGTCTTTTTCAACGGGATAAGCGACACACATTCTGGGAAATTAAGCAATAAACATTATGCTAACTCTAAAGTGATTGATTACTCCAAAGGAAAAGAAACGTCATATTATATTCTGCTGCGCACTCGGAAATGTAAAGTCATGTCGTATGTACAGAGAACCCACCCACTTTTCCTTTTTCTTGTTGTTTTTTTATACGTAAATGTAGCACAGCGGTCCCTCAGTCGTGCTCATAACGTCCTGATTCTGCACGGTCGTGGATAGGCTTCCCATAATGATGGGGTCTGTGAGTTGACCACGAGGGCTGTTGACGGGATCGAGCGTGGAGGTGCCGCCACCAAAGGCATTCTTGCGGTTTTCTAGGTCTTGGTTTTGCCAGATCCACCAGGTTCGGTCGATTTGCGCGTGGTGCAGGAAGAAGGACGGTTCGGCGGGGGAGGCAAACAAATCACCGCCGGGATCGCCACCGGTGGTGAAGTGACCGCCCGTGTGCACACCGTAGTAGCCATTGGGGAAGTCTCCTTGCATGCGGTCCTGGAAGGACTCAATGTCGTCGTAGTTAGAGATCAGGTCGTAGGAATCTGAATCCTTGGTCCAGTTGGAAGAGACCCAGGACGAAATGTCGCGACGAAGGCATCGAGGGTTGTAGGCCAGAGGATCAGGATTGGAGTAGTTGATAATTCCGGGGATGTCCAGAGTGGGAGAGACAGGGCCCAAGTTGACAACATAGTCTTTGAAAGGTCCAGTGTTGACACAGCCACCCCCTGATCCGGGAGGAATGCAGTTCAAGCCTGTAGGAAGAGCATTGGTGCAACCGTGCTCCTCAAAAGCTCCATTGCCTGACATACTGTAGTCACTACCGTCGAAAAGTGGAGAGTTAAGAGGGTCAAAGGCGTACTTTCCCCAATTCCAATATGGTTGATAGCCAGTATAACCGCACTCATTTCGGAGCGCTTGCTCGAATGACCAGGTGAAATATCGGTGCCAGGCCAAGAAGTTGGCTGTTCCGTGAATGGATAGCGTCTGGTTGATGTGAACGGCAACAAAGTCATCGTAACGAGTCTTTGCGCCGGCTGCGAAGGCGGGATCTTCGGATGGCTTGGACATCAAGCAAAGTTCGGCATCGATATATTCGCGTCGTTCTGCTTTGGACAAGGTTGACCATTCTCGCCGAATAGCAGCATTGAGCAAGTTGCAGCTTCCACCCGAAGGGTGTGTGATTTGGTAAAAAGCAAGATTGACGAGGCCTTTGGCAGCCAAGATATCCGTTTTCAGTGTCGATGCGGGTATATAAATTTTTGAAGAAGCCGCTGACAGGTCGTCTCGTTCTTCCAAGCTCTTCTCGAAGCTATCCACGGGCGCGGGAGCTGCCCAAGAACCGAAAACGGCCAAAAGGGCCGGGAGAATCCAGCGAAGTTGCATGATGAAAATGTCAAACGCAAAAAGATAAATTTTGGGAAGAATGTGCAAGAGAGTGGACGGTCAGAACCTGAAGGTCAGGATCCAACCAAAATAGTACGCTCGTAGCGGAGGCAGAAATCCCTAGAAAGAAGAAAACCGGGAAGCTCGAGTTCTTAAATAAGGAATATATTGGTTGATATCGGGAGCCCCGCTTGGAGTACCACGAGGCAATTAGTTTGCCACGTGAGATATCAAGATAGGAAGGAAGGTGGAATGATAGTGATTGAATGTCTTTGTACAGTGTAGACGCGCGCCCAGCCGCGGATATTGGGAGACCTAAAATGCGGTTTTGTAGTTGAGCCAGCAGAGGGAACTAATGATCATCTATTGAAAGATCCCAACCCTGTATGAGTTAGAAAATGGCCCGAAAAGGAACTTCAGATTGGTCGTGTCGGAGCCTCATGAGACTACAAGCCAACGAGATTGGATGTTTGAGCAGCATGTGGGCAATTCACTGTAGCTTGGATGGAGCCTGTACATGGCCAGCCACCTCGAACGCCTGCCGATCATTTCGGTTCTGGGGAAAGAGTGTCGACATGCATGCAATGGATTTCGGCAGTTGTCTGCGAACGCTTAAGCGAGGTTGGATATAGATCCGTCGAATCTATCCACAAAATGTCGGATGTCCGAAGAATGGTCGCAGCCATCGACAAGGGAAACTTCGGAGCATGAGAGAGATTCAAATATGCCCTGCTTGTTCCTGGTGTGCTCCACAGATCTCGAAAGTCATTCAGGTCACCCGTCACAACCGTGGAGGTGAAATCAAGGCGACAGAGGGAGCGGAAAGAGGGAACGGGGATGGAAGGAGAGATGAATTTTGAAGATGGGACGGGGTTGAAGCCCGGAAAAGAATAAGCAGGCCCGCAAGTGGATCGCTTCTAACACCGAGATGAATGCGCTAATGTAAACACATGACATCTCCTCCAAGGACCCCAGGGACAGGGCACAGGTCGCATGTCAGACGCACGAAAATTTGAAAAATGGTCCAGTACAAGTATGGATAAGCGATAAATTAGTGCCAACCTTAATCTCAGCTCCTGGTTGCGCGAGTTTTCGCCTCTCGCCGCTCCCTTGCTCACAGCATCTTCGGTCCTCGACCTTCATGTTCGGCCAGACGATGTTCATCTGCCGCTAGGTGCGCTTTTTGTATCTACAGAACCAGCCGGAAATCTCGGAGTGACCACTGACGCCTGGGCCATTCCAATGACACCAGCAATCCTGGGGGCCCTGGCCCTTTCGCTTGCTAGGTGCCCCGATAATCCCCTTGGCTTGGTAGCATTGCCTCGTTCTCCTATTCAAGGGGTGCTATTGTACCTGTGCAACTTGTGCCTCCTGGCCAACATAGTCAGGGTCTCTTTCGTGAAGAATGCCCCCTGTGCCGTCAAGCCATGTCCCTTCAAGGTGCGGAGCCCTTTCCACCTTTCTCCCTTGATTTGAGGAGAGCTAGGTCCGCCACGGGCCCCACACTGCGTCAATGTTGCCAAAATTCCTTTTGCACCACCGACCTAATTTCAAACAAACTCATTTTTTTCTGCCATCATGTAAGCGATTGGAGCGACGCCATTCTCATGGTTCATCTTTTTGCTGGTTCACCATCGAAGCATGATCCAGGAGAAACGCCACAAAATGCACCGAATGAGTCGTTTGCAACGGTGGGATTTCACAAGCCTATGCGGTTTGCTCTGAAAACTCCTAGACAGGTTAACCGTTAAGAAGGCCAAGACCCGAACGCAGGTCCGAAATAAACTATGGGCGGGCATGGCAAGGTAGTCCGTGCAAGTTCTCTGATTCTGGAAAAATGTACTTCGTTATATATCAGGAGGAAGGATTCCGAAACAACACAGATTCGCTTAGGACGGTCAAATATTCTTAACCTCTCCCCCGTCCGACACCGTGTGAAGAAAATCCCGTTGTTCACAACCCAAGAGTTTCACACCCGGTACTTCAAAGGACCATGTGAGTCGGTCGAGACTCAAACTCCATCATGGTTATTCCAGATCTTTCTCTCATTGAACGTCAGTCTCCGGATACTCCTCAGTACAAGGATGTATCCAACGCATCTAACCTCCTCGCCATCCATGGGACCTTCTGTGGCGTCGCCATTCTTTCGGTTATTTTGCGACTCTATGTGCGAATATTTATGATTAAAAATGTTGGGGCTGATGATTATATCATTGTGGCAGCTGCGGTCAGTAGGCCCTGATTTGCTCTGCCGCCATCTATTCGGTGTGATGACCGTGACGACTGACTTGAGCGTTTTCTCCAGGTTTGTTCTATCGCCGTAGTCGTCTGCTTTGTGGGAGAAAGCGAAGCGGGTGGGTTGGGTCGCCATCCCGCCTTGGTGTCCCCGGAAGACTGGTCCTTGTTCAACCACTGGCGATATTTCCATTCGCTCATCATCATGGTCGGAATCAGCCTGGTCAAAATTTCCATTGCCTGTTTCCTTCGCCGTTTCGTGCCGAATAAGAACTACCGGCGCTTCCTCCTCGGGTCGATCGTGTTCCTGGTTGCATTCACCATTTCGTGTGCGGGCACACTGATTTTCAATTGCGGCACGAAGGTCTCGGCCAACTGGGATTTTGAATTACGAGCCAGTGGTGAAGCCAAATGTTTCAGCAATGCCACATTCACGAATATTGGCATCTTCAACAGCAGTATCAATATCGCTACGGATGTTCTTTTTGCGCTGCTTCCCGTTCCCATTGTGTGGCAGCTGCAAACGAACCTGCGTACTAAAATCACCTTGGTGTTTATTCTCTCCTTGGGTCTCTTCGCCTGCGTCGCTAGTATTGTCAAGACGGTCATACAGGCTCATGTCCTCCAAAATCCGGATTGGACTTTTCATGACAGTTTCTTTATGTGGAACAACATTGAGTTCAATATTGGAATTCTAGCCGCCTCCTTGCCGGCCCTTCGCCCTCTGTTTTCGAAAATCCTGGGAGCTACTCAGAGATTCACCTCGAGCAACAGCCGGAATCGACAAAACTATGCCGCTTACGACGCCGATGGTCTGGCATATCGTCGAAGCAAACCGGACAAGCGAACGTCTCGAAATCCGGCCAGACAATATTATCAGTTCGATTCTCAACAATCGACTGAATTAGGAGAACTTCAAAAAGGGCCGGGTGCGCGTCGGTTCGCAGGTGACCGTAGCCAGACACCGGGGGTAACAAGCACCGAGACCGCGGGTGATGATGATAGTGATAAGATCATGCTGGACCAGGAGTTCCACGCCGTGGGGACGGACAAGGAATGGACGAAGCCACCGAAAAGCATTACGAAGACGACCACTGTACAGATTTCGAGATATTAGCAATGAAAAGATCTTCGATGATCTTGACACATCTTGTACACATATTCTATTCACGCAAGCAACACCCCCGAAGATATCATTGAACGATTTCGCGTGTTGAACGGCCTCTACATCCCGGGGGGGAGGTCCACTGCTTCCGGAATCCGGGAACAGCCATGGTTGTATACATGAATGTGTTGATGGGTGAATGACACCGGGTTGAATAACCATCACGACCAACCCAATATAGATGATCGGACGTTGAGGAGTTTGGAGGGTCTTGATGGTTCATACAAGCAACAGTTCTACAACGCTCTGCACGAAATTGGGTGTCTATATCGGGCAATATTGGCGGCTTGCGTTGGCTGGACACGTTGTGCCATATGCTTATTTCCAGTTCTGTCAATCCTGGATTGTACATACGGCCATTATCTGCTTCATTCACTTCCTGGGAACTCCCTAGCATGTTGACATGATTTCTGGCGACATGTGTCCCAACTTTGTCTATCTCCTGCCAACGAAAACTCTGATAGCTGACAGTCTCAACAAGAAGTCGGAGTCGGAGAGCTGGTTCCTATCTCGCATGTTGCATGGAAACCCGCAGTGGTAAGACACCTACGGCGATCACTTGCAATGACAAGCCAGCATAGACCGTTTCCGCGTCTTGTGTATCGCTCCATATATCAGAGTTTAACTACGGAGCAAAGCCACTTTGAAAAGACTATATTCCTCGTGTTTCTTCCTTCGAAGCGAATGTCAATCCGGCCCAATCCGATCCAGGAGCCCATGACCACTGGTCTCTAACAAGATATGCCGTATCCTCTGTCGCGGTTTCACTACAGCGACAGATCGTTCGTTGCCCTACGGGTTGTTCCCTTTCCTCACTGTGCAGACTAAGGGTCACGCACAGGATCTAATGATAAAGCATTTTCAATCCTGAACAATTCAAACTTCACACATTTTCTAGCACCCGTCTTTGCTGGTGTCAAATTCTATTCCAAGGTTCCGACCGGAGCAATTATACTTTCGTGGCGGGTCCAGAGGGAGGGTAACTTTTTCGCAAGAGATACGCCTGAAATATGGGGTCAAATTTTGTTGTCAACAATTCTAAGAGCCATTCACTTAGGATTCGTTCCTAGCAGTGCGTCTCCAGCTTCAATCACTGCTCTGTCCTAAATGGATTGTTGTCTGCCTGCATACGTTGCTGTGCAGTCAATTGACCTTTCTCCCACCACCAACCCGATCTTCCCCCGCCGACCACCTTTTCCACCGGCAGGTTTAAGCGGAAGCACGAGGTCGCTTAAGTCGCTTGCTCTGCAATCACGGCTCGAGGACTCTATTTTGCTATGGCCTGTTCCCTGCAAATCTGTGAGGGAGAAAGGCTTGACTAAAAAAATCGTAGGTGGGGAATCCAAGACTCAATCCCACGAGGCCCAGTTGGGTCGTCCGTAAAGTTTTCGACCCTCTTCTGCATCAAAGGATCAAAAAGTGGTCAATCTGCGACGGTGGAGGGACCGTCCCCCCAGCCAAGTGAGTGGACGATGGTGACACTTAGCGATATCTCTTTTATTTAGAGGTGCATATTACAGGCTAATGAGAAACAGGGGGAACGCATTCATGTGTATCAAGGTTGCCCAGCAAGCAAAATGAGACCCAGGTGTCGAAGGGATAGTCCCAGTTGCGAGCAAAACCCCACCGGAAGCTTTTGACTGCAATCTAGATTGTGGTTGGGGGGGGCTTCTCTCGATTAGCGGATACATGAATTGCTTGCCTATTTGAAGCTAGAACTCTAGGAACATAGGTATATTCCACCTATCTTTCTCTGGGGTCGATTATCAATGATGCAATTAGTACAGCACTATCTTCTATAGTATGAACGCCGCATGTAAACTAATATAGCGCTGATACCTTGATGTGGAATACCCACGGTCCGCGAGCAAATTCGGGACCAATTTCCACGTTCGCCACATGGTATCAAGACGCCTAACATACCGCAGTGTACTGACGAACGACCACCACCAGGTTTTCAGCACCGGCAGTCAAACAGATCATTCACAGAATCTCGATTTGGAGAATGAAATTTCCCCACCTCCTCGCTTCGGGAAACCCCTGAGCCTTCTCTTGCGAGACTTCGACTGAAACGAACGCGCGAACTACCGAGAGACAATAACCTAGGACTTTGTTCCAAAAGTGTCACCATATATCTCGGTTGACATCTTTGACAAGGTCAAAAGCTTTGGCTCAGGTTTCAGAACCCCTTAAGACTTCTCAGCTCCCGCGTATTCGGCTGATCACCGTTGAGTGTGGATCCTCCTTGATACAAGACCGTGGGGCCTTCCTTCATGACACCGCTGAGGGACAAGTACCTGGTATTTGCTATCTCACACTGTGAATGTTAGCAGATCTGGGCCGAGGCTTTTCAAGTCAACTACCGGTTATCAACGGTTTTTCTCCTGGTGGACCTGAGAGTCAATGTCCGGGAAAAGCCCATCGCCTGCATCTAGACTGTTCTGGGTCCAACGTGCAAAGGCTCGGGATGGACTTGCCTTTGCCCGGTGGATGCCAGCAAGACCCTGGGCGGAAGAATCTCAGTATCTTCAGATTGACCTGACCGGGTCAACATTCCCCTCACCATGGCGCTCGCATTGAGACGAGGGTTTCCCATCCTCACAACGCTTAGCTATCCCGAGCAGATCTCCATCACGCACCAGGACCGACCCAAATGCTCAAACACGTCCCTGCTCTGATTCCCGGTCACTTTTAACGCGTTGCAGTTCTTGTTTCAGGATGTGATCTGATGTTTCCATCCATTCCGTCATGCCGTGTGTTGAAGGCTTGCCAACCAGTTTATTGACCATGATCATTGATCATCTCGTATCTAAGTAACTTCTAGGATCCCCGGACTCACTGTCTCCTTCGACAACGGGCACCAGGTAATATGGCACTGCAGCACCAACTAAAGGTTGAAGGTCCTGGACAGATGGACAAAATATCCCGGCCGCGAATGCGCTAGACGTCGGTCAAATCGTGGTCATGTTGCCAGAAAAGAGATGGATCGGGACAAAAAAGACATTCCACGAGCTGTACTGTTACACATATGTATGAGTAGCACTTTACTCGTGCGAAGTCGACGTGATTCATTGCCAGGATTGGTAGTGGCAAGGCATCTAAGGTGAAATCAGAACCATGAATTATTCTTCCGGACCAGGTATCGGACATTCCCCAGAAGCCACCGGAACGTAAGGAGAAGAAACAAGCTTGAAAGGTCGAGGAATGCAGGCCGCGTTCTCTATATCTTCGGTTCCTGATCAGTTCAAGTTCGATATCTAGACCTACAATCATGCAGCTTGTTATCTTCGGAGACACATTAATGGGTATGCTACCATATTCCCGTTCATCTTGATATTGCTCTGAAGGCCGTGTCTGATTCAATGGCCACCTCACAAATTTGCCTGCAACACATCCATTCCACCTTGAATTTCCGACTTGGACGGCATCTTGCCCGAACGCATTAGCTCCGCACACTTGACCATGACGGGATCCATCATCATACTGGCGACAGCCACGATCTCGGCGCCCTTGGCGTAGTATGCTGCGAATTTGCCGTTCTCTGGCTCGCCCTGGACTACCAGATCGTCCCAGCCATTCATCGGCGAGCCGCAATATCGCAGCTGACTTCCCAGTGCTGACCAGAAGATTGGAATAAATGGGTTCGGCTTGCTCGAAGGCTGGGCGATAAGCCGGCCCACGCTGCGTCCCATGTTCTGTGCCACGTTCCAATGTTCGATGCGCACGGGTTTGCCTTCTCCACCAGGTCCGTTGTATGGGTACGTAGCGATGTCACCGACGGCGTAGACGTCGCTGAGGCCTCTGACGGCAAAGTTTTCATCGACCGACAGACTACCGTCTTTCAATAGGTGCACGCTCGAGTTGTCGCGGAGGTATTCGGTGGCAGGGGCGACGCCGATGCCCAGGATGACAAGGTCTGCCTCGAGTTCGGTGCCATCTTTGAGCTTGACCGCGCCCACCGAACTCAAGCCTGCGGTGTCGGCGAGTTTCGAAGCTGGAAGAGCTGAGTCGACGCTGGCGTTCATATAAAATTTCGCACCATTCTTCTCGAGTGAATTCTGGAAAATCTTGCCTATTTCCGTGCCCATAGCCCGTTCCAAAGGAGCAGATTCCATGCCCACAATGCTCACGGTGTTCTCCTTGGCCAGGGCGTTTCCGACTTCCATACCAATGAAGCTGGAGCCCACAATGACAATCTTCTTACCCTTGTCGCCGACAGCGTTCATGATCGCTTGCGTATCATTGACGGTGCGTAGGACGAAGATATTCGAGAGGTCCTTGAAGCCAGGCAGGGGTAGTCGTCGAGGTGTTCCACCCGAGGCAAGGATGAGTTTGGTGTATGGGAGTGATTTACCAGTCTTGGTCAGGACGGATTTTGAGTTGAAGTCGACGGATGTGACAGTGTCGGCTTGAAAATCTATGGAACCGTCTGCATACCATTCTTCGGGTTGAAGGTAGAGCTTCGAGGCGTCGGTAATCAAAGCTTTGGAGAGTTTCGGTCGGTCGATGGGTAACCCTTCGGGGGTGATGACAGTGACGTGACCGGGGAAACTGAACTCGCGAAGTTTGAGGATGGCACCAAATGCTCCTGAGCCGCTGGGCAATGGTCAGTCGAGCGCGGCCATGTTCAACCTAACGGGATGTTGCTTACCCTCCAACAATGACGACTCTGTCTTGAGTAGTCGGCTTCGTCTTGATATTGATTCGTCGTTTTCCACCCATGATATCCGAGTCCGTGCCTTTGATATAAACACCGCTATTTTTCTCGACCACATCGAACTTATTCAGAGCAAAGGGTGCAGGAGAATCCTCGACGTCGCCGGTCTTGACATTGAAGCACGCTGACAATTAATCAGTACCAGGCGGAAAAGAATTTGTGAGTTCCAAGACAAACCTCCATGCCATGGACACGTCAGGCGTCCCTCGGGTGTGAGCACTCCGTTCTTCAGAGGCGCACCGTAGTGTGTACAGTTGGCATTGACAGCGTGGATCTGATCGCCGACTTTGACCACGAGGACCTTCCCACCCTCAATGCCTTCAACTTCCGCCTCAACTTTATCTTGGTTTTTCAGATCGAGCTGGGACAAGCCCTTGAGCTTGAACTCTTGTGCCATTCGGGCTGGAGGTATGGAGAGGGATCTGCTTGCAACTGCGGTGGTCGTGCGTGGAATGGGAATGGATGACAAATGTAGTTTGTACGAAGAAGAAGCGGCATATAAGCGAAGAGTCGACCGGGCAAACATGAAACACCAATGCAGGCGGGTTGCTGAAGGCCGATGAGGGCAATCCGCATTCACGGTGTACACGTGGAAGAGAACAGGAGGTGCATGGCGACCGTGTCGAGACTGGGAAAATGGTGGTGCGCTGATGTTGAACACAGGTCGAAGTCCCAATGTGTGAGGGATGGTTTGCGTCATGCTGCGGGCTCTTGCATTTGTCCCGAGATGGGCACCCGGCCAATGAGAGTCTGCGTATTGTTAACCACCCAAAGGCTAAAGATCCTCAGGTACCCAGAGAGCCACCACAGGCACACATGCTTAACATCAGGTATTCCATTGCTAGCCGGCCACTGACACTTCATGGCTGCATGATGGCTTTCCTGTCAGACCATCCCGTCATCCTATCCCACGTCAATATCTCAACCAGTGTCGCCCGGGAGTCTGTCCGGATATCCTTGAGGCAACACTGCCTTCCCGGCTCAACCTCAACGCCCCACTCATCAGCACATCCTTTGTGTCTCTAGGCGGTGGGGACCGCCGGTGTTGCTGTGCTTGCTCGAATTTTGCGCGTTCTTCCTCTACAACCTGCCGCTCAGCCTCTTCATCTAACAGTGTCCCATCAATCTGTAAAGCCCACTTGTGGCGATCATGTGCAGGTACCATTTCTGTGTCCACCACTCGGAATTTGAGGGTCTCAGAGATCTTGGAGCCTGTTGAATCTGCGAAAAAGCCGACGTCGTCGCCGATTGGTACATGGAAACTGGAGAGATCGCCCGACTGTGGTTCCTCTTGTGTATCTTCCTCCCGCGCCTGGCTCACGCCGTCTCCGTCGCGTAATCTGCCCTTTTTGGCCTTCTTCTTATTTTTCCCAGCTTGCTCTTTTGTTGGCCCATGCCAATTCCAGTCGGCAGGAATTCTGGGCTTGCCTACAGCCGTCTGAAAATAATTGTAGCTCACCAGCCCAACGAAGCCTTCTGATGCCACGTTGGTCCATCCGTATAGCTCGTCTCCTCTTTGCGGTCGGAACACTAGGAAAGTGGCAGTGAGCCATATCCAGCATACTCCAAATTCATCAGCTGTTCGCGCCCACACTTCGCCCTGGGATGGGATCTCGCCGTTCCGCGGAGGTAGGAGAGGCAGATTGATGCCAGTATCGGGTTTTGCTGAAAGGACGGGATCGGAGAATCCAAGGACGACACCTTTCGCCGGGGGGAAGTATGTTAGCAGTAATGGCGCGAGGTGCATAGCGAGGATCGAAGAGCTGCTTGCTTCAAGCGCGATCGCAGGTATCGAGAGGTACAGGGACAATCGTGTCGAGTAGAAAGATGAAAGATCTTGCGAATCCAGCAGGTGAAGAACCTCTTCTGAGTCCACGACTATTTCATCCTCACCATTGACAGCAGTCGACGAGGTTTGCGGAACGACTTCATTTGGTTCTTCTGCTGTCTCGGGCAGCTCAATATCTTGCGACCCTAGTGCTTCTTCGTTTATTCGTGTGCTTCTTGAAGTCTCATCTTTGGGATTCTTCCTCTTCTTCTTTTTCTTTTTGCCTTCCTCTGTCGAAGTTGCCAGAGTGGCCGCAGAGGGATTAGCTACGATTTCTCTCCGCTGCTTCTTCTTCTTTTTGGAGGATTCTCTTTCTTCGGTATCGTGCTTTCGCTTTTTGGGTGTTGTCAGAGATTCGACTTTCTTCGAGGCCGAGACATGCTTCCCGTTGACCTGCACCGACATTTTCATGTGCCTGGGGCCGACTTGCTTAAATTCACAATTCTTCCAAACTTGAAATGTTTCACAATATTTTCTTGCGGATGTCGGAGAGCGCGGGGAATCATTTCACCGAGGCCAAGTCTCCGTGATCACGTGAAAGCCCCTTCCTCTGGCCCTAGCTTCAGCCTCGTGCCTTGGGTAACCTGTGTAGATCTCCCAACCAGTCTGATCTCCATGAAATCTTTGTTCGTGAATTGTTTAATCAGCAAATCGCAATTTGGCTCGCTAGGCAGACAACCTGTTCACTCAATTAGCAATGACCTTGGGTTTGAAGACTAGCCTCACCTTCAGGTCTCAACTACATTATGTGACCCCTTCGCTACACGAAGCCTCTGACATCGATATAGCCTCTACGATCATATCTCAGCTTTTTGCCCGGATATGGCGATGAAGAGTCCAGACCTTTTAAGATTTTCTGCCGAGCTAAAATGAATTTTGCCAATCAGGCTGAAACTTTCAACCGGCAATAACATGGGGATAAGGCTTTGAGTTTTCCGGAATCCGGGCTATTTGGTACCTCATACAGCTAAAGAAGAATGACAAAGACAAAGACAAAGTGCTGTTGATTAGGCTGAACAGTTTGAGGACGGAAATTCATCGATGGTCCCGCCTCTCTCTACGGCGAAGAGCAATTCCTTTGCATCTTCTCTAAGTATGCCTAGCTTGATAGATTCCATTTAACAGTATGTCAGGCCCATGTTTGAAGATCAAGGACGACTAATGAGCATCACATTACCAAACGCCCCGAGAAATGAAAAAAGAAAAAGAACCCCGGCGCATCCAATATTTGGTGGCATTTGACGTCGAAGAAAGCACCATGGGAAGCTTTCGTGGCACTCTAGACGTCAAATGAAGTCATTAGCTCTTCAAGCTGACAGGAATCTGCCTCAACGTGACTATGGTATCCGACTGTTGTCACTCTAGCCGCGTGGCTCGAGGATCGCATGTGTATCGCCATGAAACGTCCAGGGCGTTGAGACCCGAGTCCTACGGCCTCACAGTATCACCGATGCGACGGCTGCAAGCGCAAGGCACGCTCGACAAGGCCAATCCATATCTCAAAGGCAATGTCCACATGGTCACGTGTATCTGCTGCAGCTGCGACGGAATCAGTGATCGAATACTACGACAGGCGTGGGCACAGCATCTCTGTCCTCACTGGGCCACCAGTCGAGGTCATGGAAGATGTGTTGCAGAAAAATATGTCGTAGCAGAGTGCCTTGCTATGACAAGGAGACAAGATCACCACCACAAACCCAGGACAACATCCTGGGATCGCTGGGCCGGTGTGGCGCCTTCTCTTCTACCTTGAAGAAAGACATACGGCCGTTCGTCCGGTGTACCTCTCTTCGGCTAGTTCACCAAAGCCGCAAACAGGCAGGCTGCATGGTGTGGAGCAAGATGACGTCTATGCTCTCCCGCCGTGCGGCACCGAGAAACTGGATTCAATAAGAAGATCGCCGCCGCCACGGTGAAAGGCACCGCAGTTATCGAGTCCGAATTGTCACTCGACAGAGCTCTAGATGTGAAAGACCGCATGGTGGCCACCCTAGAAAACAAGGCTTTGCAAGACGGGCCGTCTCGTGCAATGGTCCAGCCGAATTTCGCCGGTTCATGAAGGGGTGCATGGTAAAATGATCCACTGGTCATCGAATCCCGGATCAAAACGAAGACAGCCTCACTCCCGTCAACTATGACGGCGCACACTTGCCGGTTCGTGACAAGGCCGATGTAGAAGTTGACCGATAGCCGTACGACTTGACCCCAAAAGCCAACGTGAGCACGTCTGAAATGCTCCAACAACTCAAAGTACTTGCCGGAATCCAAGATCTTGCCAACATGGACTCCAGCAAGGAGAAGGATGTGTTGAATATGGGTATCGATCTCGATTTTAGCGTCCATGAGCAAGGCGCGAAAAGGATCCTCGAGACCGATGTGTTAGTCATCTGCCAGGACGACCGGATTTTCCTGCGAATCAACAACAACGTTCCCAGATTCTGTATGCGCACATATTCGAGGTGTGTGCAGGCAACAGAGAACTCCGAGGCAGCGAGGATGATCACATCTGGGCCCCGAATGATGGTTGGAATGTGCCATGACCTTCTGACGCCGGATTCGGGACAACGGTGCTTGACGGTACCTTTATCATCATCGTAACAAGTACGCCGTTCGACCTGCCGTGTCTTGACAATGGCACATCTCAGCTCCAAAGATTATGAGCACGGGAAGGACAACTAGGAATTGCTAGACATCATGGAGCATTTTGGGTATGGCCATGATGGGGAGAGACTGTCAAAATCCAAGGAAGCACCACGGGTCGTTGTATCGACGTGCAACGTATTCATGTGTAATTTTAGAAGAATTGAATTGTCACAAAAAGAAAGGCAAACCCCCTTTCCCCCAATTTTAAAAAAAAAATCGGTTGGGCGGAGACGGGGTTGTTGAAAAGAGAATGAAAAAAAAGTATCCATATTGATGACCATTGAAGCACTGAATGAAATGACCAGATTGTTGTTGCGAGACAATTGCCCCCAACACGAGCACTTCAGCTCAGAGACTGGTCTTTGAGGAGTCATGTCCCCATCATCAATCACGAGTTGCAGCACTTTTTTTTCAGCAATTGAGCTGTCCATTGCGGCTGGCTGCCTTTCTGCTGATTGCATTAGGTCGATCGCGGTTCTCTGAGGGATATCTTAGTAGGATTGATTGCCGCAGTCGCGATGTCTCAAGTCACAGAGATCTTGGCAATGCACACACTCGTATGTGGATCTAGAAAGGATAAAATCTCACTCTCTCTGCAGGGCGAGCCATTCCGTTCTCCCGTTATCTGATATCAGTTTAGAAAGTCCTTTCAGCCTCGTCGCAAATACCGGTAGGGGCAAGTTCAAGCTTACTATCCGTTGCGCTGAGTACGGGAGTAGGCTCATCTGGAACTTATCCGTCCGGCTGAGACGAAGGCAGGGAAATAAAGGAGGCCCAAGTCTAGGAAAAGAAAGCCCTCCCGCCGAAGATCAAGCGTGCCAATGGACAAGAGAATGAGATAAGTTGGGGGGAAGTTAGGCGTAATTCTCTGCTTCCTCAGGGACGTCTTGTTTCGCACAAAAGGATGGTCCAAGTACAACTAAGAATGAGGGTGTGCATAGCAATTAGTCAGTAACTGCCAATATTGCACACTGCCTGTGGGTATCTTTACTGTTGGACTTGAGAAGGAAGACCAGGTTGCTATAGCTTGAGATTCAAATGAAAGGCGCATCTCTACAAAGTGAATACATGTGGAGCATATATTTCCAGCACCAGTGCCATTCAAGGTCATCCATCCCACATTAATCGCTTACAATACTGACGGATATCACAAGTTCGAACGCCTGTACAATGAATCCTCTGAAACTTCTCACCCATGCAGTGACTTGGTAAACGCCCGTTGAAAAGCTCCAGGTTGCGCTGTTATTGCACAGACATTCATGACAACACTCCTATTGAAACAGCGGAGATAGTTGAATGCACCTTGCTCGGGACCGCTACGGCTGCCTTCGGTGTTCTACCAGTGGTCAAGACGAAAATGACGCTTGGAGATTGACAAATGCGGCAGGACCACCGTCTTGACTGAGAATATCGATCAATGCTTCGGTTTGTTTCCATGTTTTCTCCAATGCGGCTGAGGGGGATCTTCCCAGAGAAACTGTTGCAGGTTAGCAGAATGATGGGCTCGTCTTGTCCACACATTACCTAGAATGGCCGAGTTTAGCTCCTCTGCGACAGCCACACGCCCAGCCGGATCCAGCAGGTGGCCGTGTACGCTCTCTTTAGGAAACTTGTAGGCGACCAGGCTGAACGTGTCCTCCAGAGTCTTCGCATATTTGCCATCTTCATCCCGGTATTCTCTTTTCAGTTCCTGACCGTAGTTCACCGCTTCGAGGATGGGTTGATCATATTGCGGCAGCCTGTCATCTGCTGACGACCTTCCCACACCATTAGCTTGGCGGGCGCTGTCTGGATGATCGTCAAGATCCATCTGTTGAGCAAAATGGTCTTCGGCACTAGAAGAATTATTAAACCCGTTGCTTGAATTCCGCTCATTCTCAACCGCGGATTTTCGAGTATTCAGCTCTGTCGTCTTGCTGAACAGCTCAACCCATTTTCGGCATTTGAGCCTGAAGAGGATTTCGGGATTCTGCACAAGCACGGTTGGGAATTGTGCATGGGTTACCTCAAGAGCCTGGTCAATATCTCCAGAGAGAATGGCTTGTCGTATCCCTGGATCTGTCAGCTGCGAGAATACCAGAGACATGAGAGCCACTCACTTTGGCGGTGAACAGCATCGGTATCGTCTCGTTCCGGTGATGCTGGTGTGGTTGTTGGTAATATATTGTTTAGAGACTGCTTTTCTCGTCGGATTTCCTCTGCAAATGCTTTCGCTGTCTCCACGTAACCATCGTGAGCCAGAAAATGAGCAACTAGGTCCTGGATGAGACTGCTTTCATCCTGTTGCTGTTGTAGTGATGAAATTTTCGCTTTTGTAATATCTCTCGTCACGTTTGCCTTCTCGGAGAGCATTTTATCGTCAATATCAAAGACGAAAGGTCGCTGACCGAAATTTCCTGTCACTAACGCCCCCGAATGCTTCTTCATCCCAATTGTGGGGAATGGCTTCATGTCTTTTTTTAATTCTCGAAAACAGATCCCAAGGTCCTGTCCATTTTTGGTGAAAAATGCATACCCAGCATTGAAGTTGAGACCACATCCAATGATATCTCCTACGCCGAAAGTAGGACCGTAGTTTCGACCAGAATGTTCCCCAAAGAACATCTTCCCGTCATCTCCGTGGTAACCCCATGAATGGGTTTCCCAGCCCGGCAATCGTTCTAATGATGCTTCGGCCGTAGAAAACCCTATGGCAATGGCTGTATCCTTACTCTTCTGTTTGATCTCCACTTCGAAATAGTAGATTCCACATGCAGGTGACATTGGATAGTCTGCGCGCACTGAAGCGGCCTCGATTTCGGCTTTACTTGCAGAGCCACTGTATTTGAGATCTTGGCCATCATTCGTCACGTCAAGTCCAGGGTATTTGTCCTGTTCACTCCACCGAGACGGTAGCGGCATCAACTGCTCTTCCTCTTTCGGCGGATTGCTCTCAATGATATCGTATGTCATGCCACGATGAGACGGCGCCATCCGATGGACGTTTGTATTCCCAGCGCTGGTGGAGAGCGAGTTCATTGCTGACAATCCTGCCGATGGCTGTTCTCGTTCTCTCTTCATCTTGGCTTTGTGTGCAGCTTCTAGCTTGGCAACATATCTCGAGTGTCGGAGGTAGGAGGGTATGAAAAAGGGATTCGGAGTCGTATTGTTCGTTCCTAGAGCTGGAATGTTTGCAAACTTTCTTGAATATGATGGTAGAGATGTTGGTTTCCGCCAATACGTGCTACCTGGAGAGTCGTGCTCTTGTCCCGAGTGCCGCCTCTGATATTGATGGTCTGATGGATATTGTGGGGGAAACGAGCTGCTTGAAGTTGAATTGGCAAGATGAGCAAGGGCTCCCGATCGAGTAGGAGGTGGAAGGTTCTGAGATGTCGCCCCAGACGCCACCGAAGCATAGGATAAACGTCGAGCGACATTGCCGCCGTATTGGCTTGGTCGGCCGCTGCTGCTCGAGCTAGAGCCGTCTGTCATATTGATCCAACGCGATGAATGCGATTCTAGGAGGAATGATCGGGGATTTCACGCAGATGGATGAGGGAATAGGTGGAATGGTCACGAGGAGGTAATCGGAATCGGAGGGAGGCGTGATGGCGTTGAGTTCGGAGGGCTGGGGTTCTCCCGGAGGTTCGCCCTAGGGCATGGTACTTTGTTGAATGCTCATGATGTGGTTTGTCAAGCAGTGTCTATTGTTGGCATTTTGGAATAACTGAGAGCAATGTCGATGTCGTTATCACGCTGATACGGATGGTCTCGACGCAAGTGATGCTAGTCTCATTGGGCGGCATTTGGGTGGTAGGTCGTCTCAGTTGCGGGGACCGGAGGAAAGACTAAAGACTACCCGACATTATCAACAGGTTACGTGAGGATGTTCTCTCTATGCCTGGCAAGAACCACACGATAACGAGGTTAAAAAAAAAAAAAAAACAATCTTCTGATTCTTGTCTATTCATACAAGGTCCCAGAGAAAGTCTCTGAATCGCAGATATGGACGCCCGGAAGCCTAACTCATTGGCACCTCAACAGAGGGCAAGCACCATACCGTTTTCGATCTGTTTCCCTCTGTGATGTAGTACAATTTCCCAATCCCAATTCACGATTCCTGTTTTCTATGTCTGTAGCAACCTGTTCCCGAAAACGCCATGCTCGATGATCATGTTTCACATACTTCCCATTCAGCTCTTTTTGAAATCCGTTGTGGGCGTCCCCCGGCCAATATGTCGATGTTCGAGATGAACATGAATCACACTTTTGTAATCTCGGAAGATAAAAGTCAATCCTGGTACAGAGACCGCTCACTAGCTAAGATTCTGTATGAAGGATAGTAGAAAAAAAAAAAAAAAAAAAGGAAGTTGCTTTGTTAACCTTGGGCAGCAATAGCTGAAGAAGGTGGTGGTATTGGTGCAGGAGAGCTCGCAGCTGGGGTGGACATAACCATGGGGTCGGGTTGATCACCGGCGGTACTATCCATGGCGGTGTCGCTTTCGTCGGGTTTGACGTCGCTGCTGCTTTGTGAAATCTCCTTGGTGTCGCTTGACTCTTCGCCGTTGGCTATTCTTGGTCTTTCTTGGCCCCTCCAGGAAGGAAGATCCCAAACTACACCGGTGAAGCTCTTCAGCGAGAAGGGCTTCCTGGTCCACTTGCGACAGGGTTTGCCTGATCTATCCAGGGCGCGCAAGCCGGCGTTGATAGCACCTTGGTTTGCTTTGGGGCCCAATTTGTGGCTGGGACCCACTCCGGTGGTGATTGAAGCCTTGACGGCGCTGTGATCGATGGTTCCATCTTCTCTGTGACCGGTCAGCATGGTGTTATGGCAAAACGTGGTCACAACAGGAATATACATACAATCTTGGCTTCTTCTTCGGGCCTGGTTTGCCTCGCGGTTTTGGTAGTCCGTTCGAATCAAGCATTTGTCCTAGGCTTCTCTTGGATCCCAGGAGAGGGCCTTTGCGCTTCTTTGGGACATCAGCATTGGATGAGTCCGCGGCCGTGGGTGCAGGTGTCGAGTTGGACTCTGAGGCGTTGTCATTGAGCTCGGGGACCTTCAAAGTAGAGGCGTCTTCAACTGCAGGAGCAGGCGACGAGGCGGCCGAGGGTGTAGATTGTACCTCTGATCTGGTGGAAGGGTCTTCGAATTGACGCAGGAGTTTCGGCAGCAGTTTGAGTGTGACTATTTTCCCTTGCTTTTTGCTTTTGTCTGTTCGAGCCGCTGAGGCAGAGGGCGAACGTGTTGTGCTTGAGGACGACATGGCCATCGATGAGAATGGTGATGTTGTGATAAAGGTTTGGTAAAGTTTTTGAAAAAGGAGGAAAGTAGGGTGAATTGATGCAGGCTACAGCCCAGTTGGTTTGCTGGTGGTTTGTGGGCGGGTGGTTCTTGCTTGGGCTGAGAATATTTTGCCGGTGGAGCTAAAGTCTGAAGGTCTGAGGTATTGTTGTAAAGCCCAAGTTAGGCATGTGGTGTTTGTGAGGTTCGGATGCCGTTGTAACAAGGTGTCATGGTGGATGGGTGCAAGGTGCAAAATAGTGAAGATAGTGATGAGGATGAGAAGGATGATGATGGAGATGATGAAGAGGATGAGGTGGGCAAAGAAGGGGATGAGACAGTGCTGGAGCTGGCGTGTGATTGTGTGGCCGGATCATTATTATGGCAATCGGATGGGAATGGCCTAGGTTTTTGGTTTTGGTTATGGTTTGGTTCGAGTTTGGGTTGGCTCAGATCACGGACGGAGGCAGAGGGCAGAAAAATGGTGGAGGGTGCAGCTGCTCGCGGGAGACGGCGAAGGCGGCGAGGTACGAGGGTTCTGTGCAAGCCGAGTTTGTGGTAAGTGGTGAAGCACTCCAGACTTGGTATGGAGGAACAAGACGCTGTTCGCGGCGGCCGCCAAACTAAGAAAAGGATGCGATAGACGGGTTGCATATTGTCATTTGAAATGATGGCCGTCCATTTCCGAGGAGCATTCTCTTAAATCCTCGGTTTATTATTCTGTCTGTCACCTCGCATTTTGCTCATTGCATACAGCCTAGCACCCTAGTCAGGAGCATTGGCTGCCCTTACTCCTAACCGCGTTTCCAATAAGCGTCCAGTTCTCCTCACTAGTCGAACATCAAAGGTGGTCTGCCACTCCTGCGCTTCAATTCTGTCAATCACTCGTCAAATCCTTGACGCTTTCATCGCTAACAGCTTGGAAGGCCTCATCCAATTCCATTTCGTTGCCCACAAGCCAGCCCGCTCCGTTCTCTCGCTATCCACCCCCGAAGGAAATGGCTCACCGACTGAGACACGCGTCACGAGGGTAGATCAATGAGAGCCCCTTTCCTACATGAAGATGATGCATCCAGTAAAGAGAAGAAGGCTGGGTCAATCTCCAAAATTCATCAACAAGCCATTCCGTTCACCGCTCCGGAGGCCCGATGTTCGATGCCCGGTCCAAGCACCTGAGGAACAAAGCCACAGACCAGATTCAGTGCCTGAACGTAATCCCGCGCTTTCGCCATCCGTAACCACTCTGGAAGTCCCGGTCCAAAGCTCTCCCACTTCTGCGTTGTCTCTCGACTACCAGTCTGCTCATCCTGAGTACAAAAATCTCCAGAAAAAATATTCTGCACTGTCCCACCGCCTCACACAACTGCGCCAGTCTCTTAACACGTCCCAACAAGCCCTGCAGATTGAAGCCTCGGGCCAAGATGCTGAATTACAAACCTTGATCACGAAATGGAGGACAATTGCCCGTGAGGCTGCAGAAGAGCTATATGCTGATGCTAAAGAACGAATTAACAGGATGGGCGGACTCATCGCATGGCGACGGCAGGCAGCAGAAGAGGCACTGCACTTGAACAGAAATACAGAGACAGATGAGATGCACCATGATAATGTAAGTGTACTTGAACATCAACAATTGGATGACCTGGAGGACTCTGAGAAAGAGGAGTCTGTAAGTCGGGAACGTTACCCTATTCGGGTCTTCCTGTATGCGCTAATTTGCAATCCTCAGTCTTTCTCCATGGCCACCATGCTTCAGCAGATGAATATTGATTTGTCAACCATTGGTTTTGATGGGCGATTGGAACGGTGGGTTGAGTGAGTCCTTTAGACGTGAGTTCAGTTGTGATCCAGCAGGAAGAGGCTGACAAAAGCACTCCTAAAAATTATTGCCTCGTTCAGCTGGGCCCAGCTACGGCCTTGGGTGCATACCTAGTCAGGATTCATTCATCGCCCTCCGAAACGACGAGATTTGCAATTCTGCACTGTTCTATCGCAGTTGAGGTCATTGGAGTTGCACTGAATCCTGCCGTCATAAGATGTTCCAGGCCGATAAATGGCGTGACGCGAACAGGGATGGAAGGCAATATGGGCACAGATGGTCAAAGGAATCCATATTGTATGAGTATCTGAATTGCAATCGAGCAACTGATTGCAAGATTCTTCAAGTGAACCTGTCTCCTCAGCCCGTCTTGTCCAATTCATTAAAGAGAATCGGCCATTAATTCCCGTCAAATCACACTTCTCTCCGTTCTCGCTTTTCAACACAAGCACGAAATGCCCACCACACTCGTCACCGGCGCCAACGGCTTCGTGGGCGCTACTGTCGTCGATGAACTTCTCACTCAGAACCACGATGTGGTCCTCGCCATCCGCAGCACTTCCTCCGCTGACACTCTGATATCCATACACCCGGAGTGGCCCGCAGAGAAGATCTCCGTAGCCCCTGTCCCCGACTTCACGCTCCTGGGCGCCTTCGACGCCGCCTTCAAGACGCACCCAGAAATCAACTATATCGTGCACGTGGCAGCGCCAGTACCCGACGATCCCCTCAACGCAGACTTTGTCGAGCATTTTGAGAAGCCCAGCGTGTTGGGCAATACGGGCCTGTTGGCGTCGGCGAAGGGATTCGGCAAGAACGTCAAGGCCGTCAGCGTCCCGGGCAGCATCAATGCGATTACGCTTGGAGATCAGGATGATTTCAAGAGGAGAATTTTGGGGAATAACGAATGGCTCCCCCTGGGTAGGGAGGATGCAATCGAGGCGCAGAATGCTTATGTGAGTATTCCGTACCTCTACTAAAAGGGGCAAAAACCCAGTAATGATCTTGTGGAATGCAACTTTGGAAAAGTGAATGGTAATTTTCTGGTTCCCGATTGACAGATCCCATACTCCGTGGCCAAGAAACTTTGCCGAACAGGCTCTGAGGAAATTCGTCGAGGAGCAAAAGCCCGTCCTTCAGCATCACAAATTTCATGCCCCCTTGGATCTTCGGTCCGATGATGCAAAAGGTACCCGGTGTCGACAAGATCAACGTCAGCAGTGTGCAGATCTATAGCATCATGAGCAGCGCGAAAGCTGAGGGTGGAAAGGTCCCAAATACTACGATTCCAGCATATGTAAGGTATTGCTGAATTTAGATGCTTCGGTGGGCAGATGGCTGATCTCTTGGATATAGATTGATGTTCGTGACCTTGCGAAATTGCAGATCCTCGCTCTTACCACCCCTGCTGCGGCGACCAAGCGATTTATCGTGGGCCATCCGATGACATTCAACCAATTCGCAGATGCCTGAAAGAAGGATGCGGAATTGGATCTGTCTTCACGCATTGGCGAGAATAATGATGAGACGTCGAGTTTGACATTGCCGAAACGCGATACCAGGGATGCTGAGGACGTTTTCCAGTTCAAGTGGACGCGTCTCGAAGACACGGCGAGAGATGCCGCGGTCGGACTTCTCAAGGTTGAAGCACTCAAGGCTTAATTAATTGGCTTGCTGGTAGTTGGCATTGCTCTGGACGATAGGTTGTTGATTTGCCCTGGTGAATAGAAATGATCCGCTGCTCATGATCTGTGGAGCTCCAGATTGTCCATCCAAACCAGTCTGGTCATCTCATAATCGGTGGCCGACTCTCTTTATTCCACACAACTCGACTCTTGACCCATTCGACAGCCTCCTTCACTCCAGTACCTCGAAGCGCACTCACAGGTAAGACACGGCTGTCTCGGACCATCCCTCCCTTTTCACCTTCAAAGACTTTCCTCACGAAACCCTCCTTGATCCTAACGACCTCAAGACAATCTTCTCGATCTTGTTTATTGGCCAGAACCAATATCGGGATTCCGGCTGTATCTTCATTCTCCAGTACGCTTTCAAGGACAGCCCGGCACTCGTCTAACCTACCTCGAGACTGTCCTGACAGCAGCATGCCCGGCGTCATTGGTGTCATGGGCGTCCACGGTGTCTGTGATTCCTCATCATCAACTTTGCCCACGTAGCTTTTTTTCCTCCCATGCCAGCCGGGTGTCTTTGGTTCATCATCGAGTTCTCCATTGCCTAGATCTGTACTGTCAACCACAAATACAATAGCATGTGCACTCTTGTAGTAGCTTGTCCATAGCCTGCGCAAGCTCATCTGTCCGCCAACGTCCCAGATCTTCAAGTACATATCGGGCAGAGCGATCGTTGCCACGTTTTGTCCGACGGTGGGGACTGTGTTTCCTGCAGTGTCTGAAGGAACAGCATCGCCTGTCTGGCCGGCAGGATCGGCGGCGGTATTGAAAAGGGCCTTTATTTGGGACAAGAGGGTAGTTTTGCCGGCGTTGTCAAGCCCGAGCAGGATGATGGAGTATTCTACCACCTCGTCAGGATTGCTAAGAGGGAGGACATTGCGCTTTCTTACCTGGTTTGCTCGTTGCATAGAGATAGAGCGATCGCACAAGGTGATACATGCTGTAGGAAGACGGTCTGGGTTGTCAATTCTCCCCAGGGAACGCAATCAAGGAACAAGGAAATAATAAGGACAAACAGACGCGACTAAAGCCACGTGTATCATTGTTGTATCGCAGTATTTCGAATTGGGTCTCTGTTTTAGGCCGGCGAGCAGACACAGCTGCTCAAATTATACAATTTGGAGGCTGAAATCGAGGGTTGTATATCACGAATTCCTAGATCGTCTGGGCTAAATGGAGTGGTTCATCTACTTGAGTTATTGTGACGAACAGTCCTACCCAGTGGTGGAAAAGTGGACTGGTCTGACAGTTCCTGAATTGCCCTTCTTAAACGGTAGAACAGTTGTCAGACGGCTCGAGTCCAGACATACAAAAATTCCTGTTGGTTGAGATGATGCTGTTCTCTTCCTCCAGCCTATCCTCGAGCTATATCCTCCATGTGGCGACGAGCAATACTAGGTAAGTGGTTTCAAGTCATCTGGCTTCCAGTCTGCACACCATGGGGCATAATGATCGACTCGCGCTGCGTCAATGGGCGTGGGTGGCAGGTTCGTGTGTTTTGCAACGAGGAAGTGAACGCGAACACCTGGACCTACATACCACACAAGACCTCCTAACTGCAAAGACTAACTTGATTCTCTCGTGTCCTTAAATTTTCTTCAGACCGGGAAGTCTGTTCTGAGGTTAGCCAGGCCTGGCCTGCTTCGATTTTTAGCCCTTCTACCGACTGAGCTCACACTACATGCTGATGACACTCCAGTCCAGCGACTTTCTAAGGACGAGAGGCTATACGGCCTCAATTTTACCGCAGTTCCTTTACGCTCCCTCCTTCGTGCTTGAGAATGGATCAGCCGAAGATTCACCCAGAATTACCCAGTGGCTGCAAACTGATACTGGTCCGTTACCTTCACAGTTTATCATGCAAGCACAATGTCCATCTTCAGGTCTTTCAGGACATCCTGCCACTGTATATCTACCTCTGTAGTGACGAGACTCCTTCTTCGCCACAACTCTTTGGCAATGTCCTTGGAGATCTCAAGATTCATGAACCCATGCCGTCGCTTCAGCATATACCAAGACAGCATGCGCTCTTGCAGATCTGTGCTCTGGCATTCACAGGCTACCACAAACGGAGGCCATACCAGCGTGCATCCAATCATATCGCCTCCAAGGTCTTCGATGTCCTCGAGATGTGCGACCGCCAGTTTCACCATCTCTTGCATCTCATCTGGTGGTCGCCGCCGGAGGGTGCGCTGGAAGTAGATCAGGCTTGCGTAGTAGAAGACATATGCATGGTGGCGGGTTAGCGCTTGGGCGAGCGGTTCTAGACCCTCGAGATCCAGGTCGTCTGGCGTTTGCATATACAGCTGCATTTCTAGCTCATCGAGGATTTCGGGGCTGACGCTGGGGTCTGTTGTCGAGATGCATTTGATCAGAGAGTTCATCATGACGATATGTTTCAAGATCGGACGTGTGAGTCCGAAGAACCGGTCTAGCACATAGTGTTTTTCGTTCAAGAAATCCTCCGACTCCACGTCGACGGTCGAGGGTAGATTGATGTTGCAGAGCGCCGCAATTGCCAGGTACCCCTGGTAGACCATCGAGGAGCTCTTGTCGCGGTCCCATACGTTGCCTTCGATGGTGGCGAGCCAGGATGCACCCCCTTGCAGGTGCGTTCGCCATTCTGAAGGGCGACCTGTAATCATATCCATTGCGGAGAACATCGTGATGGTCGCGAGAATGGATCCCCGTTGGACATCAACTTCAAGATTGTCTTTGAGGTTCGCGAGGCTGTGACGTAAGTGCATGATGGCCAGATGGTAGTGTTTCATCGCCAGGGTGAGTATTCTCGCGTCGCCATTGAGGAGTTGGCCGCGGCTAAATGCTGACGTGGCGCACAGGGCATGGAAGAGGGCAATTTTCCCATTCGACTGATTGGACGGGGAAGTTAGACCTGCAAGTGCCATGGGTGTGAAAACGCTGCGAAAGGGGTTATCAGGTCGGTCGACAGGGACGAGATGCCGACAGACAAAGGACGTCCAGTGGTTGATTAATTCGCGTTGTTCCGCGGGGCGAGGTAAGAGGTCGAGATGACGTAGAATGAGTGGTTGGAGGCCGTTTTGGGGTTGATCTAGGGTCGTGATGAACGGGACGAGCGTGGAACAACCTGAAAAGTGAGTGTCATTCTCAGAGGAGGGTGTTGAGGGGGGCGGCGTGATAGATGGAGAGATAACCGCCTCTACTTCCTCGTCTTCGTCTTCTGCGCGTAAATTTGTCGCTAGGTCCGAACAGGCTCCTTCTTGAATTGGTTGGCAGAAAGGTTGTAGTGTGTCGAGCGCATCGAGTCCATTTTCGGTAGAAATCTCCATCGCGAAAACAGAAAAAGGTCCCGAGGATAAACTCTCTCCCTCCTTGGACAGCCTCTCTATCGATTCCAATGCCTCATGGACATCGACCTGCATGAACCCGGAATCATCGTCGTACACAGCGGGCTGGCCAATCACCCGCCTGATATTCTGCTCTCGCTCCTGGGTATCAGGATCGACCCAGACGAGTTTGATGCCATAGCCTTGACATCCGAACCCACCCTTCAGACACCTTGTACACTCTGGCCGACCTTCATCGCATTTGACATGTCGCTCCCGGCAGGTCCAACAGCCAGAGAACGTCTTGGTGTGCTTGATAGGCTGGCGGGCTCTGGCGGATTTACGCGCTGTAGTGGACGGTTTCATCTAGGGAACAGAGACATTTCGTAGTTCGGGGCGAATGAATCTTAAACCATTCCACGTATGACAAGAGATTGTGTCAAAACCCGCGTAGAGACATTCCTTTACCGAGAACCAGCGCGTGCGACCGCGGTGATAAGAGCCAGATGTTATGACGGCCAGTGTTCTCGATAAAGAGATGAGGTTGGCCGGAAAATATATTTATCCGAGCAGCCCGCCACGTGTTTGCCTAACTGGTTTGGTTAATTGGTCGTATTACCAGTACGACGCATCCAAAATGCTGGACCGACATGAGCGACGTCAAAAGCCGGAGGGTCCCGTTCAAGGATTGTGGCTCAGCCTTGCAAGGCATACGGTCTTGAAATCCTTCGTTTATTCATAACACCTTGCCACCTCCACATCCTTTTTCTTACCCTCCATTAGGATCCGGTTGCTCTGATGCCTGGCCTGCGCTGGATCGATGTCAGTCCATATTCAGTTTGATCAGTCTGACTCCAGGTGCTACACGAACCTCGACTTTATTTCCGGCACCGTTGTCCTCATCCTCCCCAACGATGCCACCATTTCCGCAGTCACAGTCAAACTTGAGGGCGAGAGCCGGACTCGTCTTGCTGGACTCAAGTTCCCCGGTAACGAGCGCTCGGACAAAAAGAGAACCGAGTTAGAAGTACACAAGGTCGGTGAGAATGCATCAAGTCGCTCCACGGCCTGCGCTCACGGAAGGCAACAGCTGCTGTACAAAGTCGTTACCGTTTTCCCCACGCCGGAGATTCAAGAGCGGAGCAGCGGATCTGCGTATACTCTATTGGCTGGACAGTACCTCTACCCCTTCAGATTTAAGGTGCGAGCCCATCTTCCCAAGACAGGAACTCCCGGCTGACCTGCAGCCCAGTTTCCGATCAATAATGACTGCACAAAGGCTCCTAGCCCCCTTAAAGATATCAAAGTCGGTCAATTGAATGTTCAATTTGCGCTGGACACCACAAAACATGTGAAGAAGACTCTGCCGCCTTCGCTAGGCGGCTTTCCCGGCGAAGCAGAAATCAAATACTATGTGAAGGCAACAGTTGTGCGGCCGAAGTTCTTCCAAGAGAATATTCGATCGGTATCATACTAAACTCGGGTTGGCTTTCAAGAAAGAATATTAACCCAGAACAGGTGACCGATGTCAAATTCCTACCTATCGAACCCCCTCGGCCCGCCGATCGGAATGAAGAAACCTTTGCCCGCCGCAAGAGACAGTTTCAGCGATACCCAGCCGATCCGCAGAAAAAGGGACTGTTTCGAAAATCATCCACCCCTTCATCTGCAGGAGACGAGCCTCCGGCATTTCAAGTGGATGCACGTCTTCCCAGCCCCGCCATCATCACTTGTAACGAGCCACTCCCTCTGCGAATACTTGTTGAGAAACTCAACGACAGTTCCGCCAGTGTCTTCCTCAGTATGTTGCAGATAGAGCTCATCGGCTATACCCAAGTAAGAGCTCATGACTTGGAACGAACCGAAAGTATGACATGGATTTTGATGTCGCAGGCCAACATGAACATGCCTCTAGGCAATCCTGCTGACAAAGGCCGTCGAGAATGGAAACTGCCTTCTCGGTTATGGGATGATCTGCCAATACCCAACACTGTTGCTCCATCCTTCGACACTTGCAATATTTCACGACGATATGAGCTGGAAGTCCGTGTCGGATTGGCACATGGCGTCGCGGGTGGCGTGCGGCCCGAGCTGATCGTTCTCCCATTGCGTCTACCTGTGACGGTGTACTCCGGCATTGCTCCTCCGCCGGCACTGCTTCAAGCAATAGCCAACAGACCACGGCCTCAACACATACCCTCGCCGTTATTCTCACGACCAACAGACCACAACGGAGCCTTGCTGCCACCAGATACGCCCTCAGATGCTCCGACCACGCCAACCTCGGAGATATGTTCCTCCCCAGCTCAAGTCGGTTCATATCAACCCCAGGGTCAAGGAGATATTCCCGACGTGGCTCCGCCAAGCTATGAAGACGCCATGGCCGAGGAAATTGCACCTGTGGATGGCCCAAGGCGAGACTATCACGTACCAGCACCGACTAGAGCTCAGGAGCATGCTTTCAACGCTGACTCGAAAGGGAGTGGGCTTGGGCGTCGCGTCAGCGAACGACTATTTGGCAGCAATGGGGCTGCCACTCCACTCAGGACTGTTTCTAGTCCAAGTAGCCTCCAGGGAGTCACAATAGCAGAGAACGGTGACGAAGCCTTTCCAAGCTCACCTGCAACTGAAGATTCCTCACAACCTTCCCTTCGGAGGCGGGGTCTCACTGAAAAAAGGGAATAGGACGAAATGCGATTTTGTGTTCATCGGAAGAAAATTTCAGAATGGGTCACCGGTCCTCCATCAAAAGCAAGCAAGGCGTTGGATACGAATGATTGGTCGAAGGGCCATGGAGATAAATACTAAAGCTCCTGCACATAATTGATAGCGTGTAGACCAAGCCGCTACAATGTTCTGTTTTCTGTTACCTCGTGCTCAGGAGGACATTGTTCTTCCCTCCACAAGATAACTTCCCATATTAGGAACTCGTGTCTGGCGCATCGATTCCATCCAAATACCAATATCTCTGGGGCGGGGATCTGTGGTTGTACGAAAAGCTCCCATTACACGGCATGACGTCATGGCAGGAAACGAGTTTTGAGACGTTCAAGTTTCAGCTTGCCTTCAATTCCCTTTCCATCGTTCTGACCTGAACAGGGCCAGATACGCCCCTCTATGTTCTGAAACAATAACATCTGTTTGGCGGGCTAGATGCTCGGTGACCACATCCCCTCCCAAGAGGAATTCAATGACGAATGCCTTACCTCCGTAACGCCATGGATGCCATGAAGGACACGGTGAGAAAAATTCCAGCATAAGAATCGTGGACGCGCCTATTTGTTCGACTTCACGCCTTGAATATCTTTTATTGCAGAGATGTCATGCGAGGGCTCTTTGGTTCGCGACATGGTGACCCTCTTTGCACTACGCCGGTGACAGGGAACTGCCCTGAGCACGTGTGATATTACTAGTCGACTTCTCAATGTTCAACCGATATTTCAAACCCTGAGACATTACTAACTTTTGAAGACACCAGGCGCTGGTGGACATCGAAGCTCGGGGTCAACCTCCTTTGCTGCCATAGGAGCTGCTCTCATCCCGACAATCATAACAGCCGGCATATTTTTGTTTGCATTTCTCCTCCTTCGGTCAAAGTACAGAAATATATATGCGCCGCGTACCTACTTCCGGACACTCTCCCAGAAGTAAGTTCTCTTCATCACCGTTGATATACCTCATGCCAACAAACAATAGGGATCGGACCCCTTCGTCATCCAGCCACACATTCGTGTCTTGGTACCATGACTTTCGGGCCCTGGACGACAAATTTATCTTACGTCATTCTTCATTAGAGGCCTACCTCTTCTTGCGGTACCTTCGTATGATTGTTCTGATCTGTGGGATTGGCTGCTGCTTGACTTGGCCTATTCTTTTCCCCGTCAATGCTACCGGAGGTGGCGACGCTTCTCAACTTGACAAAATATCCTTCAGCAATGTCCTTGATCGCAAACGGCTCTATGCACACGCTGTTGTGGCATGGGTATTCTTTGGTACTCCTCACTAATTTTACCGGTAAGAGGTGCTAATGTGCTCAGGATTCATCATCTTGCTCATCACACGCGAGAGACTTTTCGTGATCGGTCTTCGTCGGGCCCATCAGACAATTCCTCTAAATGCCACCAGACTATCGTCCAGGATTGTCCTGTTTTTGTCTGTTCCGCCGGGAGGTCTTCGGGAGGATAACCTCCACCGATACTTCGGAGAGAATGCTGTGAGGTCCTGGGTGGTCTCGGATCTCGGCCATCTGGAAAGCGTCGTCAGGAAGAGAAACAGCAAAATTGACAGTCTAGAGGAGTTGGAGCTTCAGTTGTTGAAGAAAGTCAACCTAGCCAGAGACGGTGCCCGCCATGGCCATACTCCGGCGATGGAATCTTCTGACACACAGCCGAAAGCGGTCGACGAGCGGCATCGACCAAAGCACAGGTCAAAGTATGTCATCGGAAAGAAGATTGATAGTATTTCACAACTACGGGAGGAAATAAGTACGGTTGTTTCCAATGTTGACCGAGTTCGTGACGCAGACAGCAGCGAGCCAACCAAAAGGACTGGTGCCATTTTTGTCGAGTTCAGAGATCAAGCCAGTGCCCACCAGGCTTTCCAGCAAGTGCGGCATCCATCTCCACTAATGCTTCAACCGAAATACATCGGCGTTCAGCCCAAAGAAGTAATCTGGCAAAATCTCAATCTTGACACATCTCGGCGCATCACGTACTCGTACATTGCAATAGGAATTGCTATGGCCACTGTCATTCTTTGGTCTATTCCTATCGGAATCATTGGCACCATCTCCAACATCAACTATTTGACGGACAAATTCCCTTTCCTCCGATTCATCAACAAGCTCCCGGATTTAGTCCTAGGTCTTCTTACCGGTCTTGTTCCACCCCTGCTCCTCAGCACGGTGGTATCCTACGTCCCGCATTTTTTCAAACACGTAGCAATACTTTCGGGCAAGCCAACGACGACAGAAGCTGCCAGATGGGCCCAAATGTGGTATTTCGTGTTCCAAGTGGTTCAAGTTTTCCTTGTCACAACCTTTTCGTCCGGGGCGGCGGCGGTAGCCAACAAAATTGCGAATGAACCAATGACAGTTCCGACCCTCCTTGCAAAGAACCTCCCCAAGGCGTCAAATTTTTACTTGACATATTTCGTTATTCAGGGGCTTGGAACGGCGTCAAAGAACATTGTCAACTATTCAGATCTCTTCTTGTACTTGTTTTACTACAACATCCTGGACAAGACACCCAGACAGAAATTCAACACTCACTCGCAGATGAAAGGGATCAGCTGGTTCAATGTTTATCCCAAATTCACCAATCTGGCGGTGATTGCGATCGCGTATTCATGCATCGCTCCGTTGGTCCTGGGTTTCGCCGCAGTTGGCGTGTTTCTCTTCTACCTGAGCTATCGATACAACTTGTTTTACGTGATTCAGGTGAAGGTCGAGACACGTGGAGAGAGCTACACGAGAGCCTTGCAACATTTGATGACTGGTGTCTATCTTGCGGAGTTGTGTTTGATTGGTCTTTTTGGAATCAAGCAAGCCCCCGGCCCCTCGACTCTGATGACGGTGCTCCTTGTGGGTACGATCATTCATCACCTGACGGTAAATCAATACCTTGCGCCTCTGGAACACTACATGCCAGTTGATGTCTTGTCCGACGAGGAGAGACCGCTCCTTGGTGCCGATGAAGAAGTCACTAGGCCTCGGATGGATCAGGTGGAACAATCTCGTGTCTACAAACTTGGCGCCGGTAAAGTCCCGACAATTTTACTCGACCCCTTGGCGACTTTTCTAGAACCACGCATCTTTGCTTCACAAGAGGCCCTTCGCCGTTGGTTGAAAGATCCCGAAGGAGAGTTTGAGGAGTCTCATTCGTACAGCAATGAACAGATCAGGAATGCATATCTGAATCCGGCATTGACGTCGAAGACGCCTCAAGTGTGGCTTCCCAAGGATAGAAAGGGCATTTCAAAACTAGAGGTCGGTGAGAACGAAAGGGCTGGACTGCCTAGCACCGATGAAGGAGCAGAACTGAGCTCATCCAACGAAATTGTGTGGAATACGGATGATTTCACGACTGTCCCCATTTTCAAAGAGGCGACGAGGTACTGAAGCTTGTTCGACGTCCAATCCCTGTCTTGAGATGGGAGACACTTGCCTTTTCCACAGATCTGCCACATGTTATGGTGTCAATTCTGTCACGATCACCCGGGGCCCAACTTCTACGCTGAAGGGAATGTTGTCGACAATCACATCTCCAGTTTTGTTTGCGAATGCCACAATTATGTCAGTCACGAAGAACGTGAAGACCGAAGACAGCCCGAAAAATTCCCAGAGCCCATTGAGTACATTTTGTGCATGTTGTAAGTGACATACAGCCACAGGTTCCCCCAATGGAGGTTGCGGCGAGACACTCTCGATGCGCATTTGTCTAGCAACAACAGACAACTTGATCTCGAAGACGAGGCCCAACTAGGAATTCACACCGCCGTAAGAGGAAAAGTGGCTCAGCGGATATCCCCATTCATCCTCTGTGCAGCCTGCCTCAGAGGGCGTTTAGCCGCACGTTCAGTTCAAGACCACGCTTCGACTTTCGCTAACTTCCCGCTTGTTCAGTCTTCAACCTTCGCGTGCAACTTTAACAGGCCACCACACTTTCCTGTCCAACTCTGCTGGCTACAACTGCACTATTGATTTGTCCATCAACCCCAAATACGACACCATCAGTTCTCGTTTCTCATTTTGTCCGAGTGTTGGCTGCTGGCACAATTCGTAGTGGCTGGCTGATCGCGGGGATCCCTGAGGCGAGCTGAGATTGCTATGGACGCTTTCTACCCAAAGGCGAATGAGCAGGGCCTGTACTGTCTATACCATTTTGCATCGTCGTTACCAACTCATCATAGTCAGCTACGCGTGAATTTCGACCTGATATGAGTCGCCGATTGGATTAGACGATTTTTCCACTTCCGACTCGGCCTGATCCGGTGTGGACAAACCGAAATCTCATTACAGCACTCTATCGTTTGGTGGGTCCTATTGATGATCATTAGGAGAGCACGGTGCGCTTGAAATGGTGAGCCCGATGAAAGAAGCGTCTTATATCAGACTCAATGCTTCAAGGGGCTTGGACCTACCAAGGTATAAGTTTGTGTCACTCCCTCAGCCAGTATCGACAATCTCTTTATCACCTAGCAAAACGCAAGGCCAATTATCAATCCCTTTCATACAAACATCTCGACCCATATCTATCTTTGTCTGGCACAAGTTCAAAAGAAGGAAAACAAAAACACTCCTATAAACCGTGCCTTCCTCCGGTCGATCCTCGTTCTCTTTCCGCCTGTCCTCCAGCAGTTCTTCAATGAGATCCAATTCAGAGACCTCCTCAACATCCTCGTTAACACCAAAGGGCTGCCGGACCTTCCAACGCGCTCGATACGCCAAAGACGGCAAGGTCTTCGACTTCAATTTGACCTATCCCTACAGTAACGTCAACGACGACAGGTCTGAGCCCGGCTTCCCAGTTGGATGCCGCAACTTCAAGCTCCGTTATGCAAAGGATGGCAAGGGCCATGACTTCACCTCAACCTACCCTTCCTCTCCTGCCAGAGGTTGCCGAGATTTCAAGAGCATGCGATATGCCAAGGACGGCAAGGGACATGACTTCTCCAGTTCGTACTGCCATGATAAGAACTAAAAAGCGGACTACAGTTTTTGGACTGGATGACGGAAGCTTTACGCGCGAAGCGCCCTAAGAGACCCTGTGGGAGTTTATATCGTTTGTGGGCTTACTCAGGCTTATTTTTCTTGGCGTCTGAGACGAACTGACAAACTGTGCACTTAATGGTTATAATATGAGGTCGTTACTAGCGAGAGATGCTTTAAGTGCGAGCATGGGCTGCTGTGGATTAGATATGGCAATGCCAAAAGATATCATTTTCTATATCAAGGTCATCATTCCAGTTCATTTAAATGTCACTATCACAACAGTCGAAAAGAAGATTTTGAAGTATATATCAGGCCTTCGCATGTCAAAGTGTCGTGCATCGGACGTCGAGCCTGAATAATCACACCGAACGAGGTGAATCACCATTTCTCGACTTCGGATTCGGAATGATGTGGAAAAAAAAAAAAAAAAGGCCTCGAGACCGCCGAAGAAAGAAGATACGTCGAAATTGAGCTCGCTCATATTTTGCCACCACTTAAGAGAGGATCAGTCTCTGAGGTTGTTTTGCCATTGTTAGCCTTGAGCCACTCCTGCACGACGCCCTTGTAATCTACACTGAGATACGAGTCAAACAATTCGGCGACGATATTTGCTTTCCGCCAATATCTCAGTTTGAGATCCTGAAGCAGCAGGTCGAAGTAGGGCACTTGATCAAACACCAAATCAGGGAAGAACCGACCGTGGCCGTAGGGGGCCCGGTGTCGAACGTACCGCGTCATCAGAGCCGTCTCTTCAAACACGGTCGAAGTGTCTATGTCTAGTTTGTGGTTGAGATAGGCGTAGGCCCACAGACATTGTAATTCACATCGGTGAGTGTTGGCCTGGTTGGAGAACATGCTGATGAAGGCTACCGAGTGGTCGCCTTTCACGGTCAATCCCGGTGGTGCGATGGCTCGATAGAGTCGAAAAGGCGTGTAGTTCATCTCAGGATCCAAGCCCGGGTTGTACGGTTGCGCGATCTCGGAACTGGGCGATTTGAATGGTCCACGCAAAAGACGGGGAAAGCTTGCAGCGATGGTCAGATCAGCTTTCTGTTCTAGGTCTTCCCAGAATTGGTGTTGAACCGGCGTGAGCGATGTCGATGGAATGCCCAGATCGGAATGAACAGTGCTGGGAGTGAACTGGAGTGTCAGTTTTGCGGAGAATCCGGTCGCAGTAATCAACGCATCGGCTTGGACAGTCTTCCCGCTGGCAAAGCCGATGGCTCCCTGGGAGAGACGGGATATGTCTTCACGATGGACGCGAACTTGGCCATGTTTGATCATTTCATAAATGTCATTTTCGTAGCAGTAGATTCCGGTCGCCGTACCATACCAGAAGGGGCTATGAAGCGGCTTAGTATTCATCCACCTCGAGCTCAAGCTGGGGCGCTTCATACCTTTGTTCTGGCTCCAGGACCTTGGTCCGCTCATCCTTCAACATCCCACAATCATCCAGAGTCGCCTGATGGATATTGGCCCAAAACTTTTGCGAGATGAGTTTTCCGAGCGTGGTGAAGTGCAGGAAATATCGGATCCAGCTGAAACCATCTTTCCAGAGACACGGACTAAAAAAGGAGACAATTCTTCTTGAAGTCAGTCGTTCTCGGGGCGTTGAGATCGGTCCGATGTTCGTGTGGCTAGGGAATACCCATTCAGGGCCTTTGCCTGATTTTCTGATGATCCATTCGACTCGACGACCAGAGCTTCCAGCAAAGTGCACCGCATCGTATGCTGACTTTCCTCCTCCCAACACCGCTATCGTCTTCACCTCCGGATCCTTGATCAGAAGGTTTCCTTTTGTTCCAAGTTCTGCAGAATGAATGATCGGGCCCCTAAAACTCTCCGAGTCCTGGAGGACGGGTCGATGTGGATGATTGGTGACTCCGGTTGCGATAATCAGTTTCTTCGTCTGGACGTCGGTCGTTGAGCCAGAATTCAATTTCAAATTCCATCCTTCGGTCCCCTCGAGTCTTGAGATTTCCTGGACATACGTCTCAAAGTCGATCAATTTCAACAGATCAGATCGCTCCGCATATGCCTTGTAGTACGCATGCATCGATTCCCCTGAGGGGTGCTCCCCTTTACGAACACCGAAACCATCGTGCATGGGAAAGTCGGAAAAGTCGATTCCACCACGGAGATTGTTTGTTTTGAGCCCAGGGTAGATGTTCTCTTTGGCCCAAACACCGCCGACAGTCCTATTCTGGGAGGTATATATGTCGGCAAACGTGGTCGAGGAAAAACTGATATCGATGGGGCCGCTCACTTACTGAGTCGAGAATCTTCACATTGGCATCCGGCTCGCACTCGCGTATTGTTTTAGCCGCGCATAATCCTGATGGGCCTATTTAACTGTCAGGGATTGGCGCATGCGATTCTGCGGAGAAAACATTTACATACCGGCGCCGACGATGAGATAGTCAAACATGGCATATGTCGAATCCACGGATGTCCAGGTCTCAATACTCGCTCTTCGGCTGTACACCTTCACGAGGCTGAAACAACGAAGCACACCAGCATTTCACACACACACACACACGGAGGAGAAGCTGAAAACCATTTTTCCACTGATCGCGTGGCCGCCTGGCGCTTTTAAGAGATCCGCCATCAAAAAGAGTGAATTCCAATCAGCGCGGACCGTGTCATCAATCATCCGAAAGACGGGATCCCGGTCGATCTAACTAAGGCGGCATGAGTCAGCCCCAATCCGTACCCTAGTAAGCTGATCCCGTAACCGGCAGCCTGCAGTATGCAAACCGGTTCCCAGCCGCAACCAGAAGGAGGGTTGGGTTGTCCAACAAATCCCACTGTAGTTATCCTGTCAAAGCGTGCATCTAGGACGCCCGGCTCGCCTAATTTGTCGAAAACTGGTTGGGCGCGGAATGTCCATGCTATGCCCGGATTGAAGTTTCTGGGCTAGCGAGGAGAATGAATATCCTTACCACCGTACGTAATGAGAGGTACATTGAGTACCGTTATCAGTCCACCGGTATGTCCCTGGCCAGCTGTGGGCCGGTGATTGGAGATATGTATCTATATAGAATCATCGTGCTCTCCTTAATCCATCCAAGTAGATCCTTCGCTCTTTGAGTTTATTCCATGCGTATGCATTCCCGATGGAACGTGTCCTGGAGATGAGAATCGGAACTAGACGCTCCGATGGATTCAGCAACAAGATAGGCTGGTAGCTTACGTATATAACCCTTTTCAGCGTCACATCTACCTCCTGATGACATGTCCTCTTGTGTAGACTGAAACTTCACCGCCAGTCTGACACTTGGAAGCACGCTAAGTGAATCCCCTCCCATCACGGAATCCATGGTAGGTATTCCATCATTTTCAAACCGAGAGCCTCCCCGTAACACAGATCCTTCATTTCGTCTTGCACTCCAATCATATAGAGAGAACAATTACTGCTCCTAGTAGAGGCCAAGAAGTGCCTGAATCACGAAAGATCCAGAGGGATGGCAACTCGTATCGTGGGTCAGGCCACACCAGCATCAGCATCATTAATGTATCTTACACCATAATGCCGGTTCCAGACACGAGAAAAACCTTGCGGTTAGAATTAACAGGCAATGACGGTTCTGGTAGTACTTTTGGCACCTGAATCACCGGTTATCTGCTTTCTTATCGGATGTCTCGCGGCAAGCTCGCATGGAAGACGCCAACTAGATCTGGAATGATTAGAGCAAACGCATGCGACGAAAGGGTATCCAGATGTTGCGCATAGGGCTTAGATTGCAGATCGCGTTCAGCTCTCCAAGCCGGATCGCATCACGAGGTATCTCTTCGAGCAAGTCCATCATGATATAAAAGAGGTTGTTGTCTTCGCGGGACTGCGATTCGCTGGTAACATTGTCTCTCGGTCAATTGGTCGAAGAGTTGCAGTAATCACCCTTGGAATCGAACTGCAGGCATGAAGGACCGTATACCCGTGTGCCTTGCACAGTGTACAGCCGCAGCAAATCCTTGCAATCGCACTCCGTGCAATGCACCACGTGACACCGGGACTTTCCCTTACCTCCTGCATTTTCCTCCAACCTGAGCCAGAATCAGGTTGCGACAAGATGTAATGTTGCATTGCGCCCTGGTTACCAGTTCGAGCTGATATTGATACCAGGATCACGGCGACAAGCCCATGAAAGAAAACCGCAATCAAAATCAGGAACCTTGTTGGTCGTACCTTCGCAGTGGGCAGACTGTGAATGTCTGCTTCGGCCCCATCAGAAATGTCCTAGAATCATTCGTTAAAGATCGATGTCCGTTGCAGCTGCATCGGAACAGTCCCACAAGCCTACCGTGAGGACAGGGGCCGCAATAAGGCCGCCGTACACTCCACTCCCTCGGCATGCCCAATGGGGCCCAGTCACATACTCGCACCCCCCCAAGACAAATGCACCAGGCAAGCTCGTTTCCCAGGGAGCTTTAAGCCCATCTGGAGCTTACACTACCAATCTCGTCTGTCTCGGCACCATGGATGGACAAGATAGTGACAACCAAGCTGACTCGGTAGGGGACTGGTCAACCAACTTTCATTCCATCAATTTCCGAGCTCAAATACATATAGGTGAGAAGATTTCCTTTGTGTCCAAGGTGTCCTCTACTTACTTTTATGGACCTTGAGTCGACTTACAATCTGCTCACCAATCAAACAACAACCAAAAAGGAACCTCCCCAGAGAAAACCATCAAGTATTACGCTTGACGTCCCCTTGCTCTATCCGCAGTCCGAAGCGACACGTCAGGCAACAATCGGAAAGAACTTCTAGGCGGCTACTGCCTGCATATCTTCGGCGAATCCAACGGCCTCTTTCCCGCTATTGTCTCGCACAGGTCCAAACACGTCCTGCACACACCATATACCTTACTTTCCCAGCCAATTTCACAGGCTATGATCCGCCTGATGGCCTGCTGTCGACATTGCTCGTATTCTTCTGGCCGTTGGTTGATGGGCAGAATCCAGGCGGCAGTTTGATTTGTTTCTTGTTCGCCGGGCAGGCGCTGGCTGTGTGGACGGCTATGGTGTTGGAAGGATCTGGTATTATTAGTTTGTAAGTTCTCGCCCTTTCTCTATCTTTCTCTTAGTCTGCAAATTTGTGGCTCCCTCAACTATCGAAAAAAGGGACTCCGCCGAGTATGGAGATATCAAGGAGATAGATGCCTAGATCGATGATCTTCGATCATTCAGTGGCTCCAGCTAACCATATGGTACTGTACCAGCACCACAATCTTCGGCCTCATTTTTCAATCCCTTGGCTTGGGCCTCGCCGGACCTTTCTACTTGGTCATCTACCTCTTCCTGTCGCCCTTGATCACCTCGAGCTCGGCATTGACTCCATCCGCTTTATCCATCCCAGAGGGCTTCCTCAGCGGCCACCCCCTTCGGAATCATCATCGGTTTCATCATCCCCACGATCCTCATGTGTCTTCCTGAGCCGGCCATTCTATCCCTCAGCTCCAAATCACTGTTGTGCTGATCTGGCAGCTTTTCCCTCTCTGGACCACTGTGTACACCTACATGTGGAAAACAGCTCTCTGGCCCAAGATCGAGTATGCCAGCGAATCTGAGGCGCTCACAAATCAGCTCTTTCTGCTGAGAATCGTGTATAAATTCGCCCTTACTATCAGTGTCCCTTGCCACATTGCTGCCTGGACACTCAGTCTTACGACCGTTTTGTTTCCTGGACTCTTCATGCCAGAGGCTGCGCGATCTCTTCACCCCCTTGAATGTCTTTGTGCCCCCAAATCCGCTCAGCGATGTTAAATCTACCAGTGTTTCGCAGGGCGCACACTGGTTTATTCAGTATGACTATGCCATCTCATCACTTGCATGTCTCATTTGGGCTGTTGCATCGAGATACGCGACAAGCGTGAAGAACGCGAAGGCTGACGCCGGTGGATTCGGGGTTGGCAGCTTGCTAGATATCGTGGCCAGGTCTGTGGTTTTGGGACCTATGAGCACAGCATTGAGGTTGTTCTGGGATAGAGATGAGGCTGTTTTCGCCACCGCTGGTAAATCGATAACCGTCAAAAAGTCAGTGTGAGATTTTCTTTCCGACTGAGGTAATAATGTGAAAGAATTGGCTCATTTGGCAGTCCCTGGCGATGTTCTGGGCGATTATCAACTGGATGAAATCCAGTTGATAGGGATGGAATCCAGTTGATAGGGATGGAATCCAGTGCAGACGGAAAGAAGACTCCCGACTTATAAGAAAATCGATATGTTCGTTTTGATCCCGGTGACTCCACAGGTTATCGAGCACCACTACCTTCTGGTGGTTTATGCCCGGCAGCTTACGCCCGGAATGCTTCGATTGATCATATCAGAGAGCTCGGGTCTGGCTACAACTTTCTAGCTGTGATAGTATAGTTCTTGAGTATTAATATTGGATGTTGTCCTACTAGAAAGGACTAATATTCGCTTGCGATGCTGAACGCTGCTCAAACGCTTCGCCTTCGTCACTGACGGTGTCTAGATTCATCAAGCCATCGTTCATCAACGTCATCGGCCCACTATGTCTTTCTTGCCCGAGAGCGATATACTGTCTGTCCCTTACTTGTGCATTCACATCTTCTCTGTAGCTTAGCCGCTCACAGATCTTCTGGCCGCTAAAGTCTCCTACAATGCTGCATCATCATCGGCAATGGCCCTTTTCAGTCTCGATCTCGCCGGTCAGATCTCAACCGACAGCAACGGCCGTCTCAGCAACAGCCTTCTCATTCGACCAAATGATCTCCTCATGACTGACTCTGGCATGGTGGTGTTCTTTCTCACTTCCGCTTTCATCCTCTTTCGCCGCCGCCGCCACCGCCGCCACCGATCCGACACACTTGTATTTCCGGAAACTGCGGGCTGGGAGACGTGCCTCAAACTAAATCACCCGAGATGTTAGCAAAATGTTCACTATTGGAACATTCACCCGGCGTGGATTCTAGATTGACGTACCATCTCGTCGATTTCCTCAAACTTCCGATTCTTCACCTCAGGGAGGAAGAAGTACGTCCACAGAGCGCCGAGCAAGCAGCTTGGGGTCCAGATGTAGCCATACTTTGGTCCCCAGTTCAAAGAATCCGGGTTGATGAAATATGGTGCTGTGAATGTCGCGAGCCAGGCGCCCAGAAAACCAATCGAAGACGCCAGACCGAATGTGTAGCTGCGCAGACGCTGAGATGGGAACTCGCCACCACAGAGCCAGGCGTAGGTCGCAACCATGCCATTATAGCCGACGATGTAGACGACCGAGACGCCTACAATGACCTGGATAGTCCTGTTATTCGTGATGTTCTCTCAAAGAGAAAAAGGGAGCGAGGGTTTCTTCAGGAAGACCCTACCTTTCCGGTCGAAGTACTTGGTCCTTGCTTGTCGTAGACGATCGCGATGATAAGTTGTGTGATACCACAGAGAATCATACCAGTGGTAAGAAAAACTCGTCTCCGTCCGTATTTGGTGATAATAGCGCTGTTGATCAGTATTGCTGCCACCCCAACCGCAACAAGGATACACGAATTCTCGAATGCAGAGCCGACTTTTGCCATTTCGAAGAAATATGTGCCGTAGGCTGGGATGGCTCGGTGAGTATCCCATTCGGTAAAGAAGATTCGGGAGAAACTTACAGATCATGTACATGGCACCAGAAGCGGCTTGAAGCGACACGGCCCCCACGGAAAGCAACGTTCGACGTCGATCAACTGGATTGCGGAACATATCAAGCACATCAGCACTCTTGGCCAAGGCTCGCTCCGCTTCAATGGCAGACGAGATCTCCGTGATCTCGTCATCGACCGTCTCCGGATATGGCCGGAGCCATAGCAAAGACTTGCGAGCTTTTTCGGTCTTGTCGTTAAGGAGGAACCAACGCGGAGACTCGGGGATGAAGAGTAATCCAATGGACATGATCCCAGGGACAATGTAGATGATTCCCAGCGGGACGATGTATGATTGTTTACCTCCCAGCTTGACGGTGAAATTGTCAATGATTGTGCCCACCAGAGTTCCAATTGATGTCCAGGACTGGAACAAGCCGATGACGAGACCTCGATAAATGGCAGGAGCGCATTCTTGCAGGTAAAGTTGGGCAAATGTAAGGAACATGCCATTTGCCACGCCGATCAAGAAACGAGCAAAGTACAGCGCTCCGATGCTCTCGGATGCCATCATGATAACGTTTGAGACGACACAGAGAAGGGCTGCGACCCAAATGGACATCTTTCGGCCAATGAACTTTGCAATTGGCCCTCCGAATGCAGAACTGATGAAAGCCCCCAAGATCATTAAGGATGAAATGAGCTGCTGTCGGGTATGAGAAATGTTGTAACCGATTGGTGAATCCCGGTCCACATGTCCAAAGACCTGTTAGTCTGTGAGTGTCTTCAATCAGAAGTGACGGGTCGTACGAACGAACCTCCAAGAATCCAGGCATGGCCTGAAGACCGCCGATGATACCAAAATCCACTCCATATTGAAATGGGCACATGCTAACCAGGGTACACGCGGCCAGGCATTTCCAGTGGGCCTTCAACGTATCAGGCCGTGGGTTCGACATTTTGGCTGTGGTGTTCTGATTGTCATTCAAGGCCACCTCTAGGTATCAGGTGAGAATGAAGCAAATATACTCTTGGTCCAGATACACCGTGATATATTGAAGTTTCTTCTAGGGCGGCTGGGGCCAACTGCCGGACACCGTTGACAATACTGGGGATAGAGGGACAGAACCCAAAGAGCCCCACGTGGAGGCGAATGTTTTTGATCTACAGTGGTGACCTAATAGGTAAGAGATGACCCAAACTTTGCTCTAGATGGCAAGATGCTGGGCGGAATTGGGGATATCTGGGGTAATGGGGGAGGAAGCTATACCTAAAGCCGTCAATGACCCACATTCAAATAATACTTTGCGCAATGATTCCTCGCTTGGCTCAGCTTCAAGAGGTATCGTCTGGTTGAAGGTGGTCGGTGAAGGAGAGAAGGGCAGCCTCGCTTGGATGTGAAATAAACGAGATTGATGCATGCATTGCCTTGTCGGAGAGAACCTGCTATCAGAAAAGCTCAAGCTCCCTCTTGTAGTCATGGTACCCTGTCGAGAGCAGATGGCGACCAGACAAAGTCCAGTCATTGACCGGGTTGCTCTGATCATAACAAAGCCTGAGCAAGGTAATTGGGTTAGCAGGAGATACTTGAATACATGGCTCGCGGAAAGGCTGCAGTCTCGAAGCAATCTGAGAAGGGCGGCCCAAAGGTGTTTATGGACATGACAGGATAAAGTTGTGGACCAGCATTCGATGCGAAAATCCAGTTATTTGGCGTTACCGGACATCCATTACTGGTGAAGGTCTCCTCTCCACAGACAGAAGAGAAGCCCCAAAGTTCTGAGGTTTCGGCCATTTGTTTGAGGCCGACATGCGGGGGAATAGTCACTTGATGCTCGTTAGTCATAATGAACCGGCGCCCTGCTTGATAATTGAACAATGACCAGTGTTGGGCTGGGATGTTCTGGGCCTTCTGCATGATTCATTTGCCAAAAAAGGTTACGGCGATCTTTGAGCTTTCTTGGACAGCTCCAGTGGTCCCAGCTTAAACATTCCATGTTGCTACTGGGCTGCCCTCTTTATTCAGGGTCCCGTTTGTCACCCAAGGACTAGTGAGCCATAAGCCATCTCATCGAATTGGCTGAACCGGATGGGATGTTTTAACGACTATAGGTTACCGCTGTCTTGGGTTGACTCGTTTCGGAGGATGCTCTCAAAGAGAACATGTGGAGGTTAAAACCATAGAGATTGCCGATCGCAACCATCAGCGACACAGCCTGGAAGACGAAATGTCCAGAAAATTTTAGGGGAAGAGCTTCCAGCCACCATTAGGTGTGAACCGGGCTTACGCGCCAGGCTTTCACGCCAACGTGGGGCGGTGCTGCGGGTTCAGCCTGGTTTACCATATAATGCTACCGGGCCAGATCTTGCCACATTCAAAGCACAGCATCACCAACAGCAATCTCCCGACCATGAGGGAAAAGCATTCTTGAACTCAACCAGAGCATTTATTTCGACAGCACACCGGAGCCATCTGTCTGACCACAGCTTTGAAGCCTATGAGTCTCGCAGCATCTTGTCAGACTTATTCAAGAATGGAGATTGATATGGATGGCACCTTCGCACTTGAACATACCCGAGGAAGGGAAGGTGTTCCATTCCCCTGGTGATTCCATATTTGATGTCGACTCACTCGCATGCCCAGTACGATACAGGTGTCTCGGTACTTGTTGAATATCGATCCCCAGCTCAAGGTCGAAGAGATGAAAGTTCCACAAGCTACCAGACGAGTGCACCACATCCCTTTTTTTGTCGCTCATGTGCATTCACTTTGAAGTTCGCAAGCTGGACGGGGGCCTCTTGAGAAATGTTCCAGAGCTTTTTGCAAAGTCTTGCTTTGCTTCTTGCCATACCTCACATGGCGAGGTGGATTCGTGATGGTGGCTTTCCGACAGATCTAGCAACTTTGAGAGATATACGTGTTCGAAATCAGGACAGACATTTCTTGAGAGGTGATCACGCTAAACAGCTGCAGTCCGCTCGATTTCTAGCCCCAGTGTTGACAAAAACTGCTGCTCCCGAACTGCCAAGGTGTATTATCTCGGAAATACCCTGTAGTGATTCTGCCGATCGTCTCGATAGGCCATCCAAGTTTCTCCATTTTTATTCCTTCATTCCAATCACATATGTTTGTTGACATTACCGAAAGATTGGCACGGCTGGAGGTACGTATGTGGGTTAGGAATCGCCGGTTGGTGTTCATCGCCGGTAATCAGTACCAGGAAGACATACGAAAATAGGTAAATGCTCCGGTGCCGACCCAGTGGTCCTTGAAATTGTTCTGCGTTACAAGAATTCTGGGATTCGGTGCCGCCCTCTACCCGACGAGCTTGTTCTGTCCTTTGCTGCGGAACTCGATTGAAATCAGGAAGAATTGTGGAACCTCAGTATGGTATGGCTTCTCTCGCTTCTGAAGATGAATACTGCTTGGCGACAAGCAAACTTTGGAGATCATACACAGAAAGGGGAGCTCAGGCATGTCTCATGGCGCTCTTTTTCATAATCAGTTTTGTGTTAGTGATGTCGTCAAACTTCCCGCACAGCGCAGCAGGTCCCCTAACCCCCCCCCCCCCCCCCCCCCCCCCCCCCCCCCCCCCCCAAAAAAAAGGGTCGGATTCATTAGAGAGTTCTCATGAACCTCGAACAGCTTGAGATGTGAGCAAAAGCGGGCAAAATTCCGAGGATAGAGGGGAAAGCAACGCATGACCAAATCAGCCATGCAACCTGACTGAATCTTTCCGAGACGATCACTTAACGACAGTGATGGTTAATCGAATGAAGTGTTTGCCTTGCCAAGTCGTAAGGTGGAGGACGAGGATCTTGAGATCACGAAGCATGATTTAAGGAATTATTGGCTCGGAAGAAGACTGATGATATGCCACAACAGAAACTATCGGATGCGACCTTCGGCTCTGAACGCATCACTGATCAACTAGATATCCCAGATGCTTTACACTGAGCTCCAAGCCTTCCATCTGGAGTCACAGCTGTTCAAGACACGCGTCGATTGAAATAGACATAGAAGTCTTGAGGGTTGATGGCAAGCCGGAATATATGATATGGCGGCCATTGAGATTTTGTGATATTGCGGCATCGAGAGCTGTGCGACGCAACTTCACAGCCGCTCAATGATCTCACTGGAATGAAAGGCCCGACTTCCCATCAACCTCCCATCATTAAGCCCGCGGATTCGGGTGATTGAACAGGAAAGTGGCGCATACAGCATTGTCAAGAAAAGGGTGAAGTTCGAGGTAAGGGACAAGAATTTTGATGATGGAATCAATCTTATTGGGGGCCGAACGAGGGAGAAGCCAAGCAGTTAGAGTAGCGCCAAGAACGGGAGGCCTGACTTTAACTGACTTTAAATGGACGCCACTGTCTCCACCGCGCTACGGGTTACATAAGTCCTGACCGATCTTCCCAATCCGCTGCTCTGTCAACATCACGTCTTTTTGTTAAAGCCTCCGCGTCGAGCTCAGGGCTGAGCACATGGCTGCGACACGGCCTTGCACTATGAAGCTCGAGGATCCCAAATTACCAAACTCCTAGGGCTTCTACATCTCCACACAGAAGCCTTTGCACCACTCAATCAGCTCCGACCGGTTCTACCCTAGTGTATATACTAGGTCCATAACGACTTGCTTCCTGGGCATCTCGGACTCGTGCTTCCCTCTCTGACCCATGTTCAATATGGATTCATGGCGGCGATCAACGTTCAGAAGTCTCGTTCGACGCCATATACTGAAGTTCAGGATCCTTCTCCCCCACATGAATGGGCTGTTAAATGTTTCATTGTTGCGCTCCGCCAAACCGGCCCTGGTCGGTGGGTACCAGTCCGATATTGACTAAATCCTACTCAGCCCTTTTTCCGTTTCAAAGCCTCCATTGGATGTCATACTACAAGCGTCGTTAGGCATCATGTTGCAGACCAAGTATGTGTTATTTATCCTTGACGGCATAGGATTGGCAGATTATGGAATCTAGATATCTGGAGATATATAACAACTTTCTTCAATCTTGAAATCTTCATTGCCATCAACACACATTCAAGAGCATTTCCGATCACAACTCACTTAAAGCCCACTGCAAATCAAACAGGGAAATTTTTCTGCAAACATTCCAGCAAGCGTCGCACTTCTCTTTCGCAATGGACAGAGACAGTAACACACCTCTCACATTGGAGAACACAGAGTACACAGGTCCTCAGACGGATGCAATAGATCAAATACCGGACATGGATCATCATGATGCTCAGAGAGAAGAAGCTACAGGAGGCATCGGGCACCAGATGTCGGCCTCGGATCCGGACAACCCTCAGAATTGGCCTCTCCATCGAAAGCTCCACGCCAGTTTCGTGGCCTTTTCATTTGCATTTGCCGTGTATGCACTTCTCCTACCTTTCCCTATGTCGTCGACTAATGCACGTTCAGAGCGTTCGGTCTTACGTCCTACTCGATCGCCGTCGGCGACGTGATGGCCGACTTCAACGTTTCAATGACAGCTGCCATCGTCCCATTCTCCCTCTACCTTGTTGGCATCTCCTTCGCACCTATATACACTCCACATATGACTGAGAGATTTGGCCGGTCGCCAGTCTACTTCGTCAGTCTGCCTATCTGCGCCTTGTTCTTGCTGGGTGTCAGTCGAGCTCAAAGCTTCGGCGCATTGGCAGTATTACGGTTCTTCGCTGGCTTGGGTGGCGGACCGTGCCTTGTTCTTATCGAGGGTACCTTCGCCGATGTCTGGTCAGCAACAACGACTGTAACATACTACTCTGGCTTGACTTTGGCTTCTTATCTCGGAGCTGCATTCGGTAAGCTAGACCCTCTTTTGTCACCTCTCTCGGACTTGCTAACCACTTCCCGAGGCTCAATAATCCTCGGCAGCATCGTCCCCAGCACATCCTGGCGTTGGACCGCGTACGTCTCTTTGATGATCTGCCTGGCAGCCTTCCTGATCGGTATCGGATTCCCAGAGACCTACGGTCGTGAAATTATCCGCACCAGAGCTCGCCGCGCCGGAAGACCTCATAATCTCCCACCCGCCGAGTCTGGTACGACAATCTCTCGCATGGCCCAGTTGACCATCGTCGATCCTGTCATTATGCTCTTCACCGAACCGATTGTTATCATGACCACACTCTACGTGTCCTTTGTCTTCGGTACCACGTTCCAATGGTTCATCGCAGTTCCTGCTGCTTTGAACCTCACGTATGGCTTTGGAATTCAATCGTCAGGTCTGGCATTCATCTCGGCCGTCGTGGGTGCACTACTCGCCGCCGCTACGGCGACTTTGATCGAGAAGTTCTTGATCTTGTTGAGGCTGCGGCAATGCCAGGGCCAGGATATGGTTCAGATGGACATCGAGTACCGACTGGTGCCTGCCATGGTTGGGGGAGTGCTCATGACCGGGGCGTTCTTTTGGGTCGGTTGGACCGCCGTGCCTACGACACATTATATTGTCCCGATCATCGGCACCGGAGTATACGTCTGGGGAAGCATGATGATCCTGGTAAGGTCCCTGACTCAAACCAATCCTATTCATGCCTCCTAACCCGTTGACGGATAGATTTCGTACATCTCTTACCTCTTTGACGCCTATCCACCCGCCGGAACCCTTTCCGCCCTCACGATCGCTGCAAGCATGCGTCTCCTCGTCGCAGCGGCTATCCCACTTGTCATCATTCAAATGATCACCAACCTCGGCGGCGACTGGGCTTACGGAGTCTTTGGTATCATCTCCGGATGTTTGCTGTCTATCAATTGCATCGTCTACAAGTTTGGTGCCAAACTGAGGATGAAGAGCAAGTACAGTGCCCAGAGCATTATGATGATGACATTGCGTACTCATCAAGAACTCAAAGCTATGCCTTAAGACACTTGTTGAGTTTTCTTGAAAAGGGACGGTGTTATTGAACGAGAGTACGGTCCCTATTTGTAAATCGGTCTGATGCCTCTCGGTCTTTGGATGTATTTCTTAGGTAGGGCTATAAGATATAATGGGTGAAACCTGGGATAATCGTATTTTATTGAACTTTGGGACTTTTGCTGGACAATATGGGGGAAATCGATAGACATTGCTAGCACATCCGGGGGAGATATGCTCAGATAGCATTGCCACCGAAATATCGACGACGAATCTATTCTGTTGAGCACAAATCTGCGATCTGGGCCATTTTCTTCTTCCTTTCTTGTTGATTTCGCATATCCTGGATTTCGATTTAGTCAATGCATATCTCCCCATCTCACCAAAACTTAGTGATCGGAAATTCGACGTACCATCTCAACAGTGTCTTTGATCACATATCGGATCACCTGGACATGCTGTCTCTGGCCCAAGCGCTCAGCTCGGCCAATGGCTTGATTCTCGATGCTAGGATTCCATTGTGGTTCGACGATGAAGATACGGTTGGCGGCTGCGAGATTCAAGCTGTTCATCGCGTCAGTGACAGTTAGGCTAATGGTAGAGGGGGAGATGGAAGTCTCGTACCCAACCGCTCCTGTGCCTGTGGTCATAATGAGCACTCGCACGGAGTCCGACACAGAAAATAAGTGGAGGATATCTTGTCTGCAAGACACAGCGCTATCACCATCAATCCTCCCAAATTTAATGTTGTTGTCTTTCAGATGCTTTTCTATCAAATCTAGAGTGGTCGTCCAACAGGAGAAGATGATGCTGGCAATGGTTAGCGCCTCCCCCCCCGTTTCGTCGCTATTCTTGCGTACCTTTTGGTGGAGTCAAGTCCTTGTTGCAAGTCTGACATCAGAGCATTGATTTTGGTGGAATATCCATGTGTTACGAGATCTTGGTTCTTGCCTGTCTTTGGTTCCAGAGAATGATTGCTACGTCCGGTGATTCGACCGTTTTGAGCGCTGCATATAGGACATGACACTTTCCTTGTTGACTCGTTATGGCCAAAGTCTTGTGATGGCTCTTCCAAGCACTCATCGCAGAGAACGTGGGCACACGTTTCGGTGAAAGTTCGATATACCTGGTTGGTGCTCAGGGCTGGCATTGCTTGCTTGCATGAAGAACATTTTACTTGCTTGGTCCTCCCGAATAGGTAGTACGCATCTTCTCGCTCTACTTGCATGTTCCGACGTGTCCAAGAATAGGGATCCTGGAAAGTACCGTGGTTGCAGAGAATTCGTAGCTGCAGCTGGGCATGAAACAAACCGAACGTATTTTTTCTGTCAATTTCTCCGGCTCGCTGCTGTAGGGCGCGTGACATCCTTCTTTTCGTTTGCTCATATTGGTTCCTTTCTTCTGAAGAGAAGCTGAGTGGCCGTAGCTGTTCGGTGATAGATGGGAGGTGCAAGAGACCTCTGCTTCGTCGGAGACAGACAGAGTCGATAAGTCGAACAAGCCTTTCGGACGCCAGAGCGTGAGTTTGGCCTTGATCCCAAGGAAGTGCAATCCATCTTCGAAATTCGGCAACCTTTTCGAAAGGCTGTGCTCTAATAAAGGCAAATAAATTGCCAATATCGTCCAATTTGTTCTGGATCGGTGTGCCGGTCAGACACCAACGAAACCTTCCTTCAAGATCCGACACGGTTTGGTAGAATGTCGTTTCTTTTCGCCGAATGATATGCGCTAATGTAATTAGATTTTTGAACACACGCTCACCACCAGCCTGCCTTACCTTCATCAAGCACAATTCGATACCACGCAACCTGGTGTAGGAGGCTTTTCCTGTCGACCGGCCCGGCCGCAGATTCAGTTGCGAGTGTATGGTATGTGGTAAGTACAATGTCCGAGTCGGCAATTTCAGGAATCTTACGACACCGGTACTTGCCGTGGTACGTCGTGACCTTGAGACTCCCATCAACGTGTCTGCAGCAAGAGTTAGCAAATCTTCAGAGAATTCTTCCCTGTCAAGATACAGCAACCTACTTTTCGATCTCGGAGCGCCATTCATTCAATAACACTAAAGCAACCATTAGTTTGACCCCCTGATGAATGTACCGAACAATTCGTCATCGTACGTACGCGCAGACGGCACCAGAATGAGCGTTGCTCGTGATGTGGTCAGATACGAGAATTCGAATGTAGTTGGACTTTTGTCATCACCACTTTGCCAGGTGTATGCGTTCTCCAATGTCTTCGTCACGAGCGCAAGTAGCGAAAGGGATTTTCCCATTCCCATTTCATCGGCCAAAATGCCCCCTCCGGTCTCGTCGGGCTTGACAAGAGATTTGGATTTCGTGATGACATGTTGAAAGGCCCTGTAAAATGTTAGAAGAGAGCAGCTCCATTTCGCGGTTACCGGACTCAATTTCAGGATCACTCTTGTCGGGCACCCATAGCGAGAATTCGGACTCAACCGGGCCCTTCTCTCTTTGCATCATAAAGTCCAAAGCCTTTTTCTGGTGGCTAGATAACGTCAATCAGCTTGTGCAAGTCTCAAATGAAAGGAAAAGGCTCCAGTTAGCGCTGGCAGCCGGCGCCCTTTCAATTTATGTTGGGAATTCGCCGACTTACTCCATCAGGAGAGTCTTCAACCGAGAGTCGCCTTCAACCATCTTCAATCGGGAGTTCCTCTTCAAGGATGAGTATACATCTGAAACTGCCTGTCGAAACTTTTCGTTCTTGTCAGATTCTAAGTTATCTTCGGCCAACATGTCAGACAGTCCATTCGACCCGGCCGTGTTTAACCCGGGGAATGTGACAAGGTGGGGATTTTGGTATTTTGAGCCAGCCCTTGGGTTCTCCGGATGCTGTAGCCAGACTTTGTTATCAGTGAACAGGCTTTCCACAGTCTCTTTCGTGTCAACGGATCCATAGACGGTTATGTTTACCGGTACAGTCGCTTCGTTCGCCTTCGTTGCCCTTCGAATCGTGTCACGCACCGTCAGAATATCCGCAAAAGCTTCAAATTCTATGGAGGGCAAATCCAGAATTTTCTGCAAGACATTGGATATGTGGACGTTCAGAAGAGCAAATTGTGTCCCGTCTGGAAATTGGAGAGCCAAGAGCGATTCGGAACGGCCTACGGAGAAAACAAAGCTATTGGCGTTTCGAGAAACGATTGGTGAATGAAGTTTGGACTCAATTTGAGACATCACCCCATTGAGTCTGGCGGCCGTACGATAGATCTGGACAAGGCGTTAAATTTCCGTTTCGTCAAAAACAACAGAACAAAAAGTGTACAGACCATACCAAAGCAGAGCTGCGGAGACTGACCGGAAGAGACCGATTCGATTGGAGTGCTGATTCCAGCATCGACGGCACGCTTTGGGATGTCATTCTCGAAGGCCAGGTTCTCTGTCGCCCAGGTCTCGATGCTAGATCCAACCGTAGGTTCAGGGGAGAAGTCTTCCCATGCCGCATCTGAAATGAAAAGTCCGTCGTATACACCGTTCCATGACTGCTGATCTATGATCAGGTCATCGCTGTCCCAAAAAATTAGCGTGACGGTTGCTTTGCCGCAGGAAATAAGGCACCTCGAATCGTTTGTTTGTGGCGTATCAAATATCCAAGGCTGTGAAAAGGTCGTATCAATGGGATCATCGTAGAGCTGGTATTCCCTCACGTCCACAGTATCCCAATTTAAAAGATGATTGATTGCAGTCATGTTGGAGTAGAGAGATCTTTGTGTGAGCCTTGATCAGCCAGTCCTGTTCGATTCAAAGACGCCTGAATCAAGTTATAGATTTCTGCTAGAAATTTGTCTGTCTATCGATCTGAAGTGACAAAATTGAGAGCCTCAAGGCTCGAAGTTTTGTCAAATTCGAATTTTCCCGGCGTTTCGCAGTTTGCCCTGTAGCAATATAAGTAGTACGAGAGGTTGCCTTGAGAATGCCTAACACCGCCTCATCGGGCCCTCGGTCGCCAATCAGACACAGAAACCTGCAAGCCATTGCCGCAGCAAGGCAACTTGGCCAGGTTTGCCTGTCACCAACTACATCACCCAATAGGAGTGCAGATATGCAGAGGCCATGCACATTTCCCTTTTTCCAGCCTGATGTCGGCATCTGAGGAAGACTTTTTTCTTCCTCTTGGACTCACATATCTTGCGAGAAGAAACGAACTTTCTCTCCAGCCCGAAACAATACTTTGAAGTCAACAGCTGGGGTTATATCCCACGATCAGATGCCGGAAGAGCACCTGTCAAACCCGGTCTCTCCGGGACACACGAGTCTTGGCCTCACCAGAACTGTCGATGTCTCCTTTCAAGAGAGCCTAGATGAGTTCCTCAGCGAGTTCAAATCTCGCCTTACTAAAGAGGAGGAGGAACAATTTCGAAATACCACGCTGGAGCAAGTGAAGGTGGAAATCCTTCATATTCAGGAAAAGCAAGCAAGGGACAAGAAATTAATGGGCCTGAATCGCATTGCGAGATTTATTGAGGGAATGGAAGAATGGGGGAGAGTGGTCGCTATTTTTGCCAACAGCTCAATATTTGTTGCATTTGTTTGGGGTCCCGTGAAATTTCTTCTTCAGGTATGGGTTCTCTTCGTGATTCAATTGGGATGTCAGTTGCGCGGTGCGCCCTTCACGTGTCGTTATTGTGTGTTGAATTCGCATATCTCGTTCCCACTTGCAGCGACTACGGCCGGCCGAGGTGGATTTTCTCGTCAGAGACTTTCCGCCTCCAGTACCCTCCCCTGTAACGTGAGGCTTTCTTTGATGAGGATATACTAAGATCTCTCGCAGGCTGCGAAGAACTTTACCGACTCATTCGAGATTCTACTCGATGCTTATCGGCAAATCGGACAACAAATTCCCCTGCTAACCCAATACCAGACTCTGTTCAGTCAGAGCCCCGAGATGAGGAATGCTCTCAAATTGATGTACTATGATATTCTGACATTCCATCGAAAAGCTCACCGCTTTTTCTCAGGTCCAGGTATGTAAGAAAGGTCCAAGGGGTCACATTCTCACTGAAGGTAGCCTGGAAAAAGATATTCCATGCCTTTTGGAAAGATTTCAAAACAAGGTTCGACGGAATACTCAAATCACTCAGCTATCACAAAAATATCATCGAGAGTCAAGCCCAATTGCTACATTTTCAGAGATATGATCAAGACCGAATGCAGCTCCTAGCATGTCTGAAACAATACGAGGACCTGCGAGAGGATCTGTGGAAAAGGATTGATGAACAGGAAAGCGCCGAACTCCAGAAAAAATATGCCGATGCTATAGCTTGGTTGGCAGCATCAAGTCCAACTTACGAGCACGAAAGAGCCCTTGAGAAGAGGGAAAGATACCCAGACAGCGGGAAGTGGATATTCGAGAAACCGCAAATGGTTGACTGGAAAGATGGTAATACACCGTCTTCACCGTTATTCTGGCTGAATGGTATGCCGGGAGCAGGTACGTTATTCGTTACAGCAGACTCGTGAAACGGAGAACTCAAAACAACAGGTAAAACTGTTCTTGCATCAAGCATCATCGAGAAATGCAGGGAAGAGTATCAATCTTCAACGGTTTTCTTTTATTGTGTTCAAAAAGATCCCACGAAGAACAACTTCTTGTCAGTCGTCAAATCCCTATTAAGCCAATTGCTGCACCTATCTCGCGAACTTGTTCCGCAATACCACGACCGGCTGAAGAAAAACGGTGAAACAATATTACAATCCCAAAAGCAAGCCATTGAACTTCTGGAGTTGTTTTTCCAGGTCAGTCTGGGCCAACCCAATCACAGCGAACAGGCCGATGGCGAGAACCGATTTTATGTTGTGATTGATGGACTAGACGAGTGTGAAAACAACGAATGGTGCAAGATCATCGATCTTTTTCAGAAGATCACCATCAATGCAGAGAAGGAGAATTATGGAAAGCTTCGGGTTATGCTCGTGAGCCAACATCTCAACCAGATCCAGAAAGCACTGAGGAACGCCTCCTGCCTGTCTATCGAACCGAGCGATAACGCTGGTGATATCCAAGATTACACTCAGCAAAGGGCGAGGGCGATTCAGACGAAATTCGACCTGAGTGATGATGATACAGCAGATGTGGTGAGGCGAACATGCAATGGGGCTCAGGGTATGGCTCATATCTTCTCACAAGTATCGTCTCTTACTGAATTTGTTCAAGGAATGTTTCTGTATGCCCGACTGGTCATTGATAATCTTCTAGATTCGGATACGAAAGCCAGCTTTCGGAAAGAATTGACAAGAGACTTTCCGGACGGTCTTGAAGAAGCGTAAGCGGTCCCTAAATACATCCCGATGACTCTGGGCAGAGTTTTCCCTCCCTCCACATACGATTCGACCAGGAGGAGGCTGTTTTGCTAGGACATTGTAGAATTGTGCAGAGATATCTAACCAATCCTAGATACGGAAGAATATTGGAGCGTCTCGAAAGGTACTCTGGTCCTGGCGCGGATCCGCAGAAATGGGAAACCATCAAAACGATTCTGGGGTGGTTAGTGTGTGCTCGGAGACCTCTCAAATGGTCCGAAATTCAGTGTGCGCACTCGATCGACTTTGATCACAAAACTGTAGACTTGGAGAGCAACCAGCTGCGCTACCATATCCGGGACAAATGCGGTTCGCTTATTGAAGCGTCATCGGATGAATTTGTATATTTCGTGCACAGCACTACAAGCCCGTGAGTGCCTTCTCTTCTCTTCGGTCTGAATCATTTTGACTATCAAGGTGCAGATATGTCGTCAAGACAGGTTACGTCCACGAAATTTCCGCGGAATTGAGTTTGACTGCTAAATGTCTTCAGTACCTTACCCTCCCGTGCTTTAGTCCAGAGCTGGACCCTCAGGGGCTCACCAAATTCGCGATCGATGGATATTATATTCTCCAGGACTATGCCGTCTCCAAATGGTCGGAGCACTTCTCTGCTTTGATGGGGAAGTGCGAAAAGTGCGAAGAAGACGAACTCAATATGGTGTTTTGCAGCGATGCATTACCCGAGTTCGAGGACGCCTTGATCCATTTCAAAACAATCTATGAGGATGCATTTGATGGAGCCATGGAAAGTATATGTCTTCCTTGGTGCGAACCATTTCTGAAAGACAACGAGGATTTTTACATCGCACTTTGTGTGTTGAAGGCCCATGTCCAACAGCATTCCAAAAGCCGCTTCGAAGTCAGAAATACAGTCAGCATCAAAACACTAAAAGAATCGTTTGAACGAAGTAGGAGCTTCTTGGAAAGGCCGTCACAAAAGCCGATTAAACTCGAGCTCAGTAGGGGCGACTCAGAAAAGCTGGACCATCTCTATGGCGAGTGCAGATACAAGTGTCCCAAACTAGGTTGCCTACGCTTCTACAACGGTTTCAGAAATGCCGGGGAGCGCCAAAAACATGTTGATGCACATGATCGCCCGTATCGCTGTGATGTGCCAGAATGTCAAGGCCAGGCGTTTGGGCTTACCTCTTCGCAGGCCCTCGAGAAACACACGAAGACATTTCATCCAACAATTGCTGATCAAATGGAGTCGTTTGGCCCGATTGACAAAAAGGAGGAAAACAAAACCGCCAAGTGGCCTTGCACATATCCGGGTTGTCCAAAAAGATTCACGCGTGGTTTCCACATGAGAAATCATCTACGGACCCATAATTCTGAACGTCCTTACAGCTGCACGCAGTGTGGGAAGGCTTTCACCAGAGATTATGATCGTAAGAGGCATGAGAAGATTCATTTGGGGCGCTGAGATTCATATTGGCCTTGGCCGCAGCCCCGGTACAAGGTTTTCTAGGCTGGCCTCCTCTCCGGACTAAAATTGCAGGGCAAGACACAACGCTAGAACCAGCGACCTTACTAAACACCAATTGAGCCTAGTTGTGCGGGCGTTGTCCGCATGGTGGAAAGGTACCTGAAACACTTCCCATTTTCCTAGGAGTTTGAGGTACCTTTCCACCATGCGGACAACGCCCGCACAACTAGGCTCAATTGGTGTTTAGTAAGGTCGCTGTTGTACGCGATTCGCTGTGGGTGGTCGCTCTCTCGATACATTCCCAGTGTGCTGGTGGGAGCATGGACCGGTGGATGGCGAGGTACCTCAAATCCCTAGTAAAATGGGGGGTTTTCAGGTACCTTTCCATCGGCTTTGCCTCCCTCGCATAATTGGCCCTTTTGGTGCTTCTTTTCCAACGTCGTTGATCCTTTTTGACAGAGCCCTTTTGTACTCGCCTTTACAGACCCTTTTGCACTCGATTTGGGCGTTGTTACGTGACCAGAATGTTTCTGTTGTCTATGAGGCCTTTCTATTGCCCGTGCAGCCCTACCTTCTTCCTTCTGACCACGTTGTCACTTCTGTCGCCTCCGTTGGGGGCCTTCCCGCCTCCTGACTATCGTCAATCACGTGATAATTTGCTTGGAATGTCACGTGAGGAAGTTGGCTTGGACAATGTCGCGACTTGCACCCTTCCTCCCTATTCAGGTAGAACAACAACACATTCCTTCTTTAGACTCCACAGTCTATCATTGACCTCGCTGCCGAACCCCTTCAGGATCTCTCTGGCACTCTATGAGCCTCTTGTGCTCTTTTGCCTAGTTGTATCTGCACTCTCTTGCCTCTTACCCCGGCCAACGCTTGCACAGCTAGGCTCGATTGGTGCATAGACAGCTCCAGACCCACTCGCTGTTGTTCGAAACTCGCTCTCCCGACTCGCTCTCTCGAGGCAATTCCCCGTTCTAGTCAGCTTAGCCCACCACCCTTGTCGTCTTGGAACGACTATTGGCTGTACCATATCTACTTCCCTTCTTCTACGCTAAAATTGCAGGGCACACATTGCAGGGCGCACATAGCAGGGCATCATGTTTTTATGGGCGGTAAAATTCTGAATGACATAGTCATCTTCTCTTTTGCTCATTCCTCGTCGAACGTTAGCCAAAGAGTTTTCATTTGAGCCGGTTCCGGAGATGCAATCATTTCAAGGCTCTGTTGACGGTGAAAAAATCGGCCTGCATTGAATTTGGCTGGTGGTAGAATAGCCTGCTGAGGATACTCTCCGGATCTCGTTGATTCACGGGTCCAGTGGATTACTTTGAGTTACTGTCAATGGATCAAACTTTTGGACTGCTTCTACCAAGGCGGCGGATGCTCTTCTCGTGATATTTGACAATCTTCTCCGTATGCCATCGTGTAGATGTGGAGCGGTTGGAATTGGTGTTTGCGTGCCAGGTTCATGATAATTGTGGTAGTTGGATGGATGATACCAATTGATGTGTCTAGTATTATGGCTTTGCTCGAGTAACAAGAGCATGAAGGACAAGGCCGCTTCTCATACCCCACGCTTTTCCATGGTATGAACTTCGTCCTCGTTCCCAGGAGAAGCCTCAACATCTTTGACCAGAGATTATCTCCCTTTCATTTCAAAAGGAAGAATGCTAGACGACCTGAGCAATGATTGTCTTGAATGATGAGGATCCATGGCTATTACCGGTGGGATGTGGCTGTCAAACCGCTATCCCTAGGTAAACAATATGAAAAAGTCCCGGTAAATCAAGATGTATCATCGTTCCCCGGCCGAACCAGCCCCAATAACCCACCAGACCACCTGTCCGACGCCTTGGTTATCTCTTTTCAGATGATTCAATATCCTGTCCTCTGAAAACAGACCACATCCACAACTCGTACCCATTCACCAACATGCGACTAGGTCTATAGCCCATTGAGGAATGAGTTTGCAAAACCTGAAGCAGGCTGAATATCAAATCATGGAGCAAAGATTTGACTCATCAATTCTCATTGTATCAGCTGTAAGGATCGAAGGACAGAAAGACGCCACTGCAATGCTCCTGATCTAACTCCTCTCGCGGCTCATAGGGTTAGCTCTCCACAAAACAGTCAAAAGGGAACTTTGACTTTTGGTGCTGAGACTTGAAAATTCCATCTTTGGTCCCAGCACCCACGACGCTGGGGCGGTGAAGAGTTGGACTATGTGGTCTCGCAACTATTGAGACTATGGGACTGACTCAAGCGCGCATGCCCCTTCCCCAAAGACGGCGTTACAAGTCACGAGAAGGGATATAGCCTTTGGGACCGCCTTGGGACATCAACTAGCAGGAGAAATGGTCGAGAACATCTGGTCTCCTAGCTCAGTTCTCTTGTCCAGGATTCTGCACATGGGAGCTCAGGAAGGCCAATCGGCTGAAGATTCAGGTCGACTAGAGGAGGGATCAAAGAACAAAGACTTAGGGTAATCTTGAAACTTCGTCAAATAACAAGGTCCAAAGAGTTCAACACTTGCCCCAGACTGTTGAAGGTAGGGATTTTTGGACCCATTCAGTCAGATTTACGGGGTGCGAAGTCCAATCCGAGAACAACATTAAATCGACATAACCGATCATCAATAAAGGCATATCCATGGGATGCTCTGCAGCAGTATGCGCTCGACGTGCTATCATTTCCTGTGAGATCGGCTGAAACCGAGAAAATCTTCAGTTCGGCTAAAACTTTCATTACTACCCCCACCCCAACCGCTTGACGGACAAGACGATCGAGGAACTGGAGTTATTGAAGTAATGGAGGGTGGGTGGCCTCATCAAACAGAGCTGAGCGTCTGTACGATAGGAAGTACAATAACACGGCCACCAACACGACGGGCCGATATCAAGATCCATACAGAAATAGCAGGATATCAGGATCGTCCACATTGCCGCAGGCTGCTTACTTCATGCTCAAGTTACTCGCCCGCCAGCTCAGGCTATTCATCGTTGAGCCTAGGTAAAGCTTCAGTCTCTCTCTCCCTTGTCCTTTTCTACAGACCTTGTCACGTGGTTAAAATTGACTTTGAACAATGATAACTAGTTTAGACATCCCCTGTCACGGTCAGGTCTGGCTGTAAGCAGTAGGATAGGTACAATTGCACAGGTTAGATAGATCAGGATAGAAGAAATCAGGTACAGCCATATACGACCGGCTTATGTAACGCAGGACAGGTGTAGCAGGAAGACCAAAACGTATCTTGAGGAGCTACATATCAGTCATGCGCTTGTCTTAGCAAGCCTTGAGCCTGTCGTGACAAGCTCTTGCATAGGGCCAATGTGTTAGGGAAGGAGGACTGTTTCCACTCCACCACAAACGCTGTGAATCTCATCGCTATGTGACCGAGATTACAAGCCTTCCAACCCATAATTTCAACATGACATGCCCAAGGTGGACAAGAACTTGGCATTCATGACGATTTCTCCGCGTTTGATTGCATACACAGTAATTGAATTTCCTTTTTATTTTTTAGCGTAAGTGCTTATCAGGTTGGTGAGATGGGGTCTCTTATCTCACGACCATGGATGTGGTAGATCATCGAATGCCCGCCCGATACGCCGCAGCTTTTGGCTATATAGATGGGGCCGGAATGATGATTCAACCGGCTACATGCGGTGCGCCATCCGACAATATATTGCTTTTGAAGTTTTGGTCAAGATGGACTCAGTGCTGCACAAAAATCTCCCCCTCCCGAGGAAGGATGAAAAACCATCCGCTTCCGAAGATATAACAGATGATGGCCAGGGCATCGCTGAGGGGGAGATCATAACTGCTGGATCTCAACAGCTTCACCGAAAGCTACGTGGAAGAGAAGTCCAACTTATTGCGGTCGGAGGAGCGATCGGCACTTGTATGTGCATATACACGAGGCGTTTATACGGCCCTAGAGAATAACGACTGATGGAAGAAATAGCTCTCTTCGTACAAATGGGAGCAGTCCTTCCTCGGGGAGGACCAGCCGGCCTTTTCATTGGATTCGTGGTATATGGCACCATTATCCTGGCTGTGAATCAATGTTTCGGTTCGTCATTATTTCCATGCAACGAGGTCGGCTGCTAATAGAATGAATCCCAGCCGAAATGATTTGCTACATGCCGATTCCTTCGCCTTTTGTCCGGCTTGCGGGCCATTGGGTCGATGAAGCGCTGAGTTTCGCCATGGGCTATAACTTTTTCTTAGTAATGGGTGTGAAGCCATGGCATTCATACTTGGATATTCAGCTGACTTCAGCCAGCACTGGGAATACCATATGAGATTGTGGCGCTCAATGTTCTTCTGACGTACTGGACGGACAGAGTTCCTGTCGCTGTGGTCGTCGTTATCTGCATTGTCCTCTATGCGTAGGCAGCCATCTCTCATGTCGCGAACGCATCGTCGCTAAAACTAGCGCAGAGTTCTGAATGTTCTTACTGTTCGTTACTTCGGTGTCTCGGAGTTCTACTTGTCCATTTTCAAGATTTTCTTGATGGTGGGTCTAATCATGTACACCTTCGTAACCATGGTCGGAGGGAATCCGGATCATGATGCTTACGGTTTCCGGTACTGGAGCGATCCCGTAAGTGCTTCATACTGCAAGAATGATATCCAAGCAGCTGACTTCGTGAAAAGGGAGCATTTGTCTCGTACCTAGTACCGGGGGACACGGGCCGATTTCTCGGAGTGTTAGCCTGTATGGTCCAGGCATCCTTCACGTACGCAGCTCCTCTTGAAACCGGCCCGCCCATATTTCTGACAAGTTCTAGAATGGTCGGACCAGAATTCATCTCTATGACTGCTGGAGAAGCTGAACAACCCCGACGGATTATGTCCAAGGCTTACTCATCGTTTGTCTGGCGTCTCATGTTGTTTTTCTGCCTTGGAGCGCTCTGTATGGGCATTGTCATACCATACAATGACCCCGTTCTTGAGGCAACTTTGAGCGGTGAAAGGGAGGGGAGTGGTACTGGGGCAGCGTGAGTTAATTCATCCCTTTTTAGTGTTGTGTTTTCGATCTAATATTATCTCAAGGTCTCCGTACGTCATCTCAATGGACCGATTCAGGATTCCAGTCCTCCCAGACATTGTCAACGCTCTTATTATGACCTCGGTTTTCTCGGCTGGAAACAATCTGGTGTACTCCGCCACGCGAACACTTTATGGCATGTCCCTTGAGGGCAAAGCCTTCGCTATCTTCTCAAAGTGCAGCAAATCAGGTGTACCCTATTACGCCGTGGCTGCGACCATGAGTTTTTGTTTACTCGGTTTCTTGCAGATCAACAGCAGCTCCGCCACAGTCCTTGGTTGGTTGGTGAACTGTATCACAGCTTCGTATTTGCTCAACTACTTTGGAACATGCATAACTTACCTTTACTTTTTTAAATCGCTTCGTCAACAAGGTATTGACAGAAGAACCCTCCCGTACCGAGGCTACCTACAACCCTACACAGGATGGTATGCTGTTTGCGGGACTGGCATTATGACTCTGATTCTGGGTCATAGCCTGTTTATATCGGGACAGTGGGACGTCACGAGCTTTTGCTTGAACTATATCATGATTGCATTCTTCATACTCACTTTCGCATTCTGGAAGATATTCAAGCGAACCAGGGCGGTGCCTTTGGGCAAAGCAGACCTTCAACTAGGAACCACCAAGCAAGAAATCGATGAGTACGAAGCGGCTTACGTTCCACCAACTCGCGGGAAAGCAGCGCATTTCTTTAATCGGGTGTTCGAGTAGGATTTGATTGCATATGCGAAAAGACTCAGTACTTGGATAGAGAACGGCGTTCGGCTTGAGTGGCGTGGCATTTCAATCCTGTTCCATGAACGAATAGATGATCATCATCAAGATGTTGCAACGTATTTTATGCGGCAGGGTAGGTATTGGACAAACCACAAGATTTTCGGGGTCCTTGATGAGCTAATGCTTAAGAACTAAAGGGCTACTATTAGCTCATCTATTTTTCTAAATACGAGTTGTTCACCAGCTCCAAAAGTTTGTCAGACTTGCAATCGTTTTGATAGAATGGCAGAGGGGCCCTTACGCGTTGTGGGCCTAGCTCCTCGACTTTCTGCGCTCCCATTAAGAGCATGCCGGTTCTGCAGAGAGTCCTCTCAACTCCCTCAATCACCTCCCGCCACAAGCCTTCAGAGTGCAGGTCCGCCAATGCCTGCAGCTTTTAGCTCCCAAACAGAACCTTCGCCACATTTCGTGCCCCGTCGAATGCTACCATCAACTAGGATCTCAAGCTTGCCGAACCTGTCAGCAACCGGGGGGTCTAGCGTCAATACCACTAGCTTGATCTCTTTCAGCCGATTGATTCGATTCAACATAGCTACACTCTTGCTCCTGTCTATCCGGATGTAAATCTGCCACCCAGACACCTGATCAGAGCCGGCGTTGGCAACAATCTGTTCTGGTGACATAGGTGCGTTGCTCGATATGATTTGGAGCAAAGCTGCGGCAGTCCCTGCCTCCCCCAGATGAATGGCCGAATCGAGCCATGGCTGCTGGGGAAATGTAGATGGGCATTTCCAGCTTGTGCCCCAGGACTTCTGTGCCTAGATCGCAGGAGCTTGCAATTGTCAAACAACTTGAGATGTATTTGCTCTCTCTCTTCTATCAACTTGTTGCGCTCCTGAGAATCTCTATATAGATGTTGCGAAAGTCTCGTCGTAGTGCGGAATAATCGCCAGGAATGCTGTTATCTATGACAACATCCTAAAACAGTACTAGCCCCGTCTCTTGTAGAGCCAGTGTATGACAGTCAGGTTCTCACGTTAGTTTGGGGCATGTCTCTCAGTCAATCTGGCTAAGAGGAGCCTCGGAACTCAGATTATGCTACGTGCCAGGAGGTTGGATAGGCTCAAATTCGTTTGCGGTATCTCTACCTGCAAGCCGAAGGAGGATGGCTCTAGGTCCAACAAGATGGACAGAGAGGGTCTCAATCACTTATGTGCAGGATTCCAGTCATTTAGTTTCAAGATTTGATATCGGACTACCTCAAGAAAGACAGGAGGCGCAGACCACGAAACGAATGGAACGCCATGGGAATGCTCACCTCCTGGACTTTTCCAGAAAGCACCATCCAACAGATTTCTGGCGTCTTGTGTATTCTCACCGTGTTAGTATCATCCTGGACCGAGTCCGAAGCTTTGTCGCAAGCCCAAACCGTTCCATTTATCTTTGAGTGACCTTGGCGACCACATACCTTCTGGCTGCGCTGAATACTTCGCCCATGGCAAAGATGATCACCGGCCTAGTGTGTGAGAAGCAGTCAGTGGGCAAATTTGCAATTGAGCGAGAAGTTCTTTTGAAATGCTACCTGGCTACTGCGGACCCGCAAAATCCGATTCATTTTCTTTCCCAGATCATTTAAAGTTGGAGTTTCAGACCACCAAGCTACTCGTAGTCGTCCCTTTTACGTCTACTAATTCACACTGACCTTGTTGGTCAGTTCGAAGGGAGTTGTCTGAGTCACTGGTTGGCTGTTAAACACGGGATCTCTGGCGAGTTCTCCACTGACCCACTCCATGTCGCTGTGGAGACGGCCGGATATGACGTTTTTCAGCGCAAATCATGGCGATAAGCATCGTGAGAGTGCCTCCAAGAGGAAAGTCATTGTGTTCAATGTCCGCCCCTTTATAACCACGGAGCGGCAGAATTTATAGGAAACTTCCCGCTCTCCCCATATGGATGGCAGCGTCTTGACGTCTTGGTCCATCTTCATGCCGAGTCCTGCCTCCTCAACGAACGCTGACCGCCCCTTTCCCCAATGGCCGCCCGATACGCCGGCGTTTTGCCCACTGACGGTCGCATTCGCTCTTGGATGTCGGACATGTAAGGCTCGCAAGAAGTCCGATGAACAATACTCAAACACTGATAAGCCCTGTCGGTCTTGCGCGCGCCTCGACCTGGTCTGCCCAAGACTTCTTGCAGTCGAGCTGTGATAAGTGGCGACGCCAAGGCTTGTGGAGACCCTCGGAGGCGTTGTATGTCTGACCGTCCCTTGGACCCCTTTATCCCATATTCCACCTTGCCCTCTGCCGGAAGTTCCAATTACTTCAAGCAAACAGCTCGTACCGCTGAACCAAGTTTGCCCACCTCTCTCCGACGCATCCTTTCTTCACTTTTCAAGGCCCACCCAGGACTTTGTCAAATAGGGGATGAATCCGAATGAGCTGTGTCATTGCACTGGTCCCGAGTTATCAAGGCTGGGTGAATCGAATCATTCATGATGACCTTTGCTCAAATTTCCATTATTCAATCCCCGACCCAGCTCCAGACTCCTACTGCCCTGGACCAAAAAATGTTCAGACCGCTGTCGGTCTTTTCAAGTGCAGGTTATTCGACTCGTCGCGTCTCAATGGTTGAACCGCTTTCCCGTTAGCCCGGCCGCGCCAATCGGTGATTAAACCTATTGACTGGCCTTATTTCTCTTCGTCTTGATTCTCACGATCTAGATATGCATGAATCGGCCGTTCACAGCCACGGACCATGGGGCGACTTACCCAGACCTGTTACTCACTTAGCACAAGGATCCACTTTCAACCATATCAAGGAGGGATTGATTTCCGTGGATCTCCGGCTCGCCAGGGCCTTGCCCGAGACCTTTTTGCCGCCGATGCACAACATCTTTGTTTCGGGAGATATCCACGCCTCGTTTGGAAACCCGGGGACCAAACTCATCCTTGTGCTTGGTTGTACGATCTTTAAGCTGAGTCCCTTTCATCTCAGGGCTTTTCGTCATGGTAGGATGGGCTAGTTTGCTGGGAGCAGATATCAGCTCCTCTTTGGATTTATCCGACCGTGAGCCGGGATTGATGTGCCTTGACTCCTTTACGTGGCTGTTGAACATGTTTTGCGGATGTGAATGCCTGCTATATCAGTAAGGAGAACCAAAAGACTGATCCATTCCTGACTTTTCTGATCTCATATGAGCTGATCCGCGAAGGTCCTTATTGCTTTACCATTGCCTGGTTGATGCAAGCTATCATTACATTGGCTTAGCTAACGCTCAGGGCACCCACGATTACTATTCTCAACGGGCTCGAATGATGATATTTCAACCCGCAATTGCGTGCAATATCGGCAGATGAATTTCTCCCTTTGGGCACGCATCCCTACAACCACAAAGATCCAGACTCTTCTCATAGGCCAGGAAAATCAATCCCACCTCAGGGATATACCTGACTCTCCATCTACCGGCAGCTTACCAATCCGATCCCTTATATTCGCACAGGCGGTTTGGCATAATCCTCGACAGCAGTGCACGCATTGTCACGTGACGGTATGGCGTGCTTCTGCCCCTTTATTTGGTGCTCGACAGGCGGCGCCATCCAGAAGATGTGTTGGAGAGAATCGCTTCGCGACGCACGGTATCTTTGATCAACTGCGCGCGGAGTGTACAGGGAAAAGTACAAGTGTGAACCGTTGATCTGATGGACCAAAGAAAAGTGGATAATATCAACGCTGCGGCAGCCAACAGCCTTTTATCTCAGAATGAAGACTGATGGGGCTTCGGTTATTTGGAGCGAAAGCTCTGTGGCCATCCTATGTTGAGCATGCATTTCCGTCAGCAGGACTCCCTCAGGATACCAGTACCCTAGACCACCCTCAGGTTGGTTCACGCGTCTATCGTCTTAAGCTGCTGCGGAACGCACGTTATCATACATCTGACAAGGAGAGGAAGCTGACTAGAATAGAACCATACTGTGCTAAGATTACGAGATATCTTAGAACGCAAAGCTAATGGCCGAGAAAGAGAATGAAGTTCGACTGTGGTAGGCTCACATCAGACAACCTCCGACTGGTCCCCCCAGACAGAGACCGACGGATGCAGATTCGTCCTCGTGGCACAGTGAAGAGCAGATCAAATTCTTCTTAAAAGAAGTCATCATCCCAAGACCCGTGTTGACCAAACACCAGATAGGAATGGCATCGAACAATGTGAAAAGAGTGGCTGTCATTGGAGCAGGGATTAGTGGAGTATGCTCGGCGGCGCATCTCTTGAAGCAGGGTCCCGAAGTCATTCTGTTTGAGAGGTCTGGAATAGCTGGAGGTGTATGGCATTTTGACGAGAGATCTGCACTCGAACCCTCGTATCCGAATGAGAATCCATCTCTGGGAGATTACAAAACAACCTTGCCGCATGCCGACGATACGCCACCCCCAGAATCCGGGGAAGACCTAGGTCTAGAAATCATCCTTGCGCCTCCTGGACCTTGTTATGCTGGGCTCATGAACAATGTCTCGACGAGGCTTATGAAAACAAGCCTTCTGGATTGGCCGGAGGGAACTGAGGATTTTGTCAGTCAGAAGGTTTTAGAAGAATACGTCCAAACCATCGCAGATGTTCATGGTGTTTCTGCCGTCGCCCGGTATCACACTCGAGTAGAGGACGTCCAAAAGCGGGGCACGGAATGGGTCATACGAACGACGACTTTGCACAAGGCGTCTTTCGGATCGCAGCTGGTGCAGCGACAATGGATTTTCGACGCGATCATCGTCGCTTCTGGGCATTATAACATGCCTCGCGTGCCTGATTTTCCCGGTCTCCAGGAGTGGAAACATGCCAGGCCCGATCGGGTATGGCACTCAAAAGGGTACAGAAATCCTCAACTCTTCAAGGATCAAAATATTCTTCTGATCGGCGCGGGTGTCTCCTCTTGTGACATCGCGAAGGAATCCAGTGCATATGCACAACACATTTTCCAGAGCTCTCGAGGTGGAGCGCTCGATCTTCCCGCGAGTATATTGCCCAACAACGCCACACGAGTTGGTGGGATCAAGTCATTCGAACTCGATGAGCGTCGACTCGATGAGAAGAGTTCCGACTCGGACCCCATTCCAGGGAAGATTATTCTCGACGACGGTCAGGAGTTAACCAACATTCACTCGGTCGTCCTCTGCACCGGGTACATCATTTCGTACCCATTTCTTCCCAACTTGCATTCTGATACGACCCCGGCACACCAGGCGGATGAATCTGTGCTAGTGACGGCCGACGGGAACATGGTCCACAACCTGTACAAGGACATATTCTACATTGAAGATCCTTCTCTGATCTTTGTTGGTGTGCCATACCACATTTCAACCTTTTCCTTCTTCGACATGCAAGCCCAATCCGTAGCGAGAGTCCTGGGTGGGAAGGCGTCACTGCCAACACAACAAGAAATGCGAGATGACTACGCACAGCGAGTGAAGAGGAGTGCCCTAGGCAGAGACTTCCACAGTCTTCGAGGCTCCAATGAAGAACAAGCATACGTTGCTGACTTGGTAGAGTGGATGAATCGGGACGCAGTCAGGTTGGGAATAGAAGACAAAATGCAAGGTCATACCCCGGAATGGCATGAAGCGAAAAAAGATATGGAGGAAAAGCTCAAGTGGCTGAGGGATCGGCCACCAAAGCAGGGCATAAGTCAAATTTGAGAAAGCGTCAGCATGACGACGGCGAGGTGGAACTCGGGAGCAAGAAGTGAGAACATATACGCACCTCTACAGGGGAGAAAGGATTGTGCAAACCGGCGTAGAGATCCGCCGTAGACACCCTGCGTGCCTTGAATTTGTGGTTTTCCGTAATGTACCAGCTATTCCCAATTCGATCTTTTTCTGCTGCGCTCTGAAATTCCAGCTTCAACCGAATATTTACTGTAATACTTCTATCAATCAATCATCTCGTTGCACTTGATACAAAAATCTCGTTGATACATCTATTCTTCCAATCCGTCCTTTCTTCCTCGGTCTTGACGGCCAATAGCCGAAATCTTTAGCCGACTACCGAGATCCAAATCCTCTACGAACGTCCGCCGGAAGTTTCTTGAAAATGCCTCCCAAGCGCATCACAGTGCAGCCCTCCCGTCGCCCCGTACAGCCTAAGGGCTATTTCGGCACGATATACCATACGCTGACATCGGAGGAGAATGCCAGTGTCGTCATTAGCTTGGCTATGTTCGGGGTAGGTTCTTTCAACTCACGTGTCCTGTTACTGAGATTGTTTGAATACGTGGAGTGGCTCTTATGGCGATGCTTAAGATTGGGCGAGCGAAGCGCACGCCACAGGTGAAGCAGATGATGGAGATGCATGTATTCGTCAGAAGGATAGGACAATCATTGGGAAAGGAAGACCGTCGCGAGATTTCCACATTCTTTGTCGAACTCACCATTGACTCTTTATTGATGCTCCTTCCACATTTACCTCAGCTCTTTGGGTTGGAGGATATTCTTACTGACAACACATTCCTCATCGCAGGCCGCCGTCACATTCTTTAACTCTGAATGGAGTGAAATGCTCCTACCCGGCTTTTGAACCGAACCATTCATCGGCGGTCCTCCTTCCTCATTGATAACTCCGCTCTCCTTTGCTTTGACTCGATATGATACGATAGAACGCCAAAGTCCCCACGAGTTGGATTTGGGAAGATTTGCGCATGTGGAGGTGTTCATTGGCTGTGAAAGCTGCAACGCGGTTGGTTGCAGATGTCACAGGATTGACACGATTCGATTCGAAAAGCAATGCGTACGGGGGAGACTGCCCCTGCAATTGAGGGACGAATTTGCATGTTCTGCTCGATCAATCCCAGGTTGAGCGGATGATTCCGCCACGTCGGCAAAGATCACACCTCCGAAGTCACAATTGACCAAACAGTTATACGTATTGGTGTGGCTTTCCGACTTGTTACAGTTGGCGAGGTTTGCTGGTCACAGCCATAACAATGAGGAAGAATCAAATCTGTACATTACTTTCAATCAATAAACGCATCCGCCCACCAATAAACCGATTCACAACCTCAGACAAACGAAACGGAACTAGTCACGACTTCCATGCTTGAGACCCACAACTCCAATTTTGCATATTTGGAACAGCAAGTGATCTTGACACAAGTCTCATTTCTCCCCCCACCCCCCACATTGTTCTATTAACCTTTTTTTCATTTGGTGAGATATGATGATAACGATGCTCTCCTTTGCCGGTATAAACATTGGACTTCGACACAAGCCAACGTGGCGTTCTCGATCATAGCCAATCTGAATCAATTGTCCCCAACCCAATTAACACATATTCAATCCCTGAGCGGAACAGACGGCATGGTCAGACTGGACCAGCCCAGACCCAAATAAAGTATAGAATACCTCACGTCAGGTCTTCCTCATGGGTGGTACTAGTAGAAGAGGCCAATGGACCGCCAATGGTGCGATGTCAAGCGATTTGAGATGCATGTTGAATTCGATTTAGTGTGAAACTAGCCTCTCCGAGCTTTTGATAAAATGTACATCATCTCGCTTTCCTTCTCTTGTTCCCATGGGCGAATATGTACTAGAGCAGCAAAGTTTCGGTAGTATATTTGATAAACCAGCGACAGTACCCTACGTGCCGTAAGAAATCCCGTTCGCACCGGGCATCAAAGTCTCGGTGGCATCCTCGGCCTCGTCTTCCAGCAGATCACGTTTCATGCTCCGACTCTTGACGAGCGTGAAAGCGACCAGGGCGGAGCCGACGACGACAGCAATGCTCATGAGAATAACATTGACCGGGATGGGGTTGAGATTGAATACGACATGCGTGACAGCGTCGAGGGGAGATTGGAGAAAATTGAACAAGCCCGCGAGACAGATGATAAGACCATAGACTTTGCCGAACGTTTGGAAACCGAAGACCTTGGCCGCATAGTCGGAGACGGTTGTGTAGTAGAAGGGGCGGTACACAACGAAGAGGCACACGTTGGCAATCGCCGCCCACATGTACGGTAGACAGCCTAGGATACCGATGAGGGTGGCGGTAGCCACGAGGAATCCCAACGCAAATGGTGTCGATGTGTTGTCGAGGAGAAGGCCGATGAAGGGAATACTGAGTACGCCGCCAAGAGGCAGAGCGACGTCGAAGAAGTCGTTGACAATCTTCGCCTTGTGCGTCGAGCCCAGTAAGTATCTCTCCTGAGGTCTGATGGTGGCCACGAAGTAGTTGATGCGTGTCATTTGAACCACGGTGAAGAGGGTAATGAGCCAGAACCACGCGGACTTGATCTGCTCAAAGGCAGGGTAGCCATGCATGGCGCCCCAAACACCGGATTTGACGTTCTTCGCCTCTTCGCGCTTCTGGCGTTTCGTGTTGGTGCTCTTGTCCAGCAAGAGATTCACTTCGGCGATGGTGCTCTGGCGTCGTTCGCGATAGGCGCGACGTTCTTCTTCCGAGATTTGCGGAGGTGTTGGAGCATTGATTTCCTCTTCGGCGTCCTTAACCACCTCGCTGACAGTCTTGTATGATTCCTCGGGCATGATCCAGACTTGGACGATGAAGATGAAGATGGGGACGATTAGATAGATGAGGAAGAGACGGTGTGTGTTGAGTTCCCCCCCGGTAGCCTCGTAGAGAAGGCGGAAGACGAGAAAAAGAGCTGAAGAAGAGTCGAAAGCGCCGGTCAAGAGGGCAAGGATGAGTCCCGAGTTCTGCGGAAAGGTGTTGGAGAGCTGGAAGGAGGAGATGAAGACGAAGGGCCCGCCCAAAGCAAGGAAAAAATAGCCTGGGGTGAAGAGATCACCTTTGACCTTGGAAGCAAAAGAGAAGAGTAGAGCTCCGGTGGCCAGAAAAATGCTCCCAATGATCCCGCAGACTCGAGGGCCGTATCCGTCGAGGATGGTGCCAATGGGTAAGGCTGCCACATTGGTGGATACGGCAGCAACCGTAAACATCAAGTTCAGACGAATCTCTTGCTTGTAGCACGGAGACGCCTGTCTCTCCACCTCTTCTGGGGTACAGAACTCTTGGAAGACGCCTTCGTCGATGAGGACAGGCTTGATGGCCGCATAGCCAAACACAATGCCGGCGGCGAAGAGGCAGTATACAATGGCGACAACCACCTGAGCTAGATTGAGGCCGTCAGTGGGACGGCATCTTCTTGACGTGCACGCCATCATCTCACTTACCAATGCGCTTTTTCTTGGAGACTTCCTCGAATTGGAGAGCGGCCGTGACCACGCTGGCTTTCCGGTCGGCAGGAGGAACCCATTCACTCACCGGGTTGAAGCTCATTCTCCGTTGGGATGAGACGCTGGAGCCTCTTCTTTCCCGTTCGAATCCATCGACGGAAGAGAGCCGCGTAAGAGACATGGCGAATTTTGCTCAGGCGACTTGACTTCTCGTGCCCGTGCGGTTCTGAGTGGAGGAGAAAAAAAATTTTTGGGCTGGACCAGGAGTCGCAGCCCGCAGCGAGGGGAAATCTCGTAGCGAAATGCGGAGAGATGAGATGAGGGTGGGGAAGCAAGTGAAGAAGTCAAAACCAGTACCAGATGAATCGAGGGAGGGATGGAAAGAAAGGGAGGAAGAGCGAGCTCTGCAGCTATATGAAGAGCCCTCTCTATCTCGGTCTTCGATACTGAGTAAGTCGAAAGCAATAATTGTTTGTGTTGCGGCCTCTAACCGGAAGCTTTCAAGCCACCAGCTGATAACGATAAGGAAATTTTGCACTTGGGGGTGAAAAACGAGAGGGCAGCTGGCCAGTGACAATGCGACTTGGCGGGGGAGTGGCTGGAGGGAGCCGACCACCGATTCTCCATCAAATCATCTGTGTCCGCCGCTTGCGTCTGGTTGTCTGGGGATCAGTGGCCACCTCCGACTGCCTCTAGGGAAGGAAAATTTGAACCCAAAAATTTCTGAGATTGACACAAAACATTCATACCCACTCACCTGTCCACAGCGATGTCAGATGATGCGCTCCATAAGCGAATGAAACGGCCCAGACTGATGGCCTCGTCTGGCTGGCGGCTGCGGCGACTCCCTCCATTCATAGCCGCCCAGGTAGGCTCCACGAGGCTGCCAGAAATAGACTGCGAAACAGCCTCGTCTCTCAAACGGAGAAACCACCACCATCCATCCTCTCGTTCATTCACGCGTTTCGAGACTGACCGGAGACATGTAGTGGTCTCTCCGAGTGATACAGTCTCAGATACTTAAGCTGGCAGCAACTCCTTCTGTCGACTCGGACGGTCTCTCGCCTTCTCAACCCAGCTACAACACAACTCTTTAAGTCTAACTGCCTCGTTCCCTTTCCCAGAAAGTTTCTTCTCCTCAGAAACTGTACTTTCCTTGCCTTTCCTTTTCTCTGGACAACAGCAAAAGGCTCGACGCCAAAAAGCTATCAATCACGTTCCTTTCTCTGAACCCTTTGGCAGCAACATTCCTTGGTTCGCTCCATCGTCTCCACTTTCATTTCGCGGTCTCTCTTTCAACATGGGTCCTGATCATGGAGTTCTCGGGGCCACCTTCAAAGCTACCAGAGCCTTGCAGATGGCTTCCATGATCGCCATCATCGGCATCACAGCCAACTTCATCTCTGAGATGGTCAGCGCTGGAGCCACTCCGCCGTCAGTCTTGATTGCAGTCCTAAGCATCGTAAGTGTTGCGATCTAATCTGGGGCCCCCCAAAACCCGGCTGACCTTACCCCAGGTTTGTATTGCTGTGTTGTATTGTGCCATCACCGTCATTCTTTATTTCGACAATATTCTTCCTTTCTTGATCAGCACCGGCATTGACGCTCTTTTCTTGATTGCTCTGATTGTTGTATCGGTCGTGGTTGGAAAGCCCCTCTCCTACCTCGATTGTCAAGTCCTGGACGAGACTTCGAATGCCACGTCGAGCGCCTATGACTTTACATCGGCCTTGGGTAACAGTCTCAATCAAGATGGCAACGTTGACTATTCACAATGGATCGGCACCTCCAAAGCCACTTGCCTCGAAATGAAGTCGATCTGGGGATTGAGCATTGCTCTCTGGTGAGTGGAGTCGAGCACCCACACCTGTGCGTTGGCAAAACCGGAAGCTAATTTCTTTGGCTTACGATAGCATTTTATTCACCTTTTCGGCCGTGAGCACTATTTGCCTGTGGAAGAGAGCCAAGGCTTCTGTTGACAAAAGTGAGGCATGAGGAAAAAAGGGCAGGAAGAGCAGGCGAAATGACAAAATTGACTTGTTGAAGCCCAAAAATCAACCGCAGACGATATAGAAATCAAAATCAAAAAAAAAAATAAAAAGGGGCCTCCCAGGAGGAGGAACCTAGGCATTGGACGAGCTCTCCTCTTAAGAGAGAGGTCCATGGCAGACTGGCATCTGTACCCAAGGCCCGGGGTTCGCATCAAAAGTCTCGTCTGATGAATCTTTTGATGAGTAGTTCGATTAATGCATGATAGAAGTGGCATGGACGGGGCGCACCCGGGAGTGTCATCCCCAGTATAAATGTGTCAATTAATGATTGGCAGGAATGTCATAGGCTAAATTTCGCTCGACACTCCGCTTGCGAAGTTTGCAAAGTTCTTTCCGCCATTCTAGACGATCAACATCGCGCGACTTTTCCTTCCAGGGAATGGATTCTGCACATGTGTTATGCAGCAATAAGGGTGAAATGTCTAGATAGGAGCTGGGTGGTTGGGGGGGGGTAAGGAAGAATCCGTAGCGAATGTTGACAAGTTGCATCAAGCAGGAGAATGTTAGCATATTGCCATGTGGGGACTCGTGCTGGACCGTTTTCTTTTCGTGACCTTTTTGACGTGACCGATGAAACCTCTTATTCTGCAGGGCGTGGTCCTGCGTCGCTGAGGCTCTCCCAGGTGGAAATTGGACCTGATTGCCTTTCATGGTGGTTCGCGAAGCACGAATGCGCCATTGTCAGGCCGCTATCTGACCAGCGTGTCCGTTGTCCGCGGGGGTTGCACAGTCAATTGGGTGGGGGGGAAGGGATGGATCAAGGTGTTACAGCATTAGCAAGCATATAGAGATGAGGATCAACCATTGAGACCGCCAAAGAACTTGGGTCAGACGAACACAGGTAGAAGAGGAATCTAGGCGTATCGGTACAGTCTCTCCGGTTCCGAGGTACCCAATCCAGTAGTAAAATAGGACGCATTCTGCACGAGTACCTACGAAGGTACAAATCTACATGTAGCAAATCCCAGTGTCCCGTTGTCCTGTGACAGAAGGAAAGCTTTAACCAAACTGCCGGGCCGGTAGGGGGCTGTGTGAACCAGGAAGGCAAACGGTTCCCAAGCTAGCATGGACGCTAGCGGGCGCTTTGGGGATGGCCTCGGACACCGGGATAGGCACTCTAGCCGCACCAAGACTAGTCAGATTACAAGTACTAGCAAAAGCTGGATACAAAGATGCCCTGGCTGGTGTCCCGAGTCATGGATCCGAGTTGCTGGGAAACTTGTTTTCATGCTGCCCACCACCCCCAACCTATCTGCGCCATTGACCCGTATTCTCGGACTCCCAACACATTATTCGAGTAGGTATGAATTGCTCGTTTCTTTGTCCCCGCTAATTACGTATCCACTATCTGCTATCGTACACTCCCTGTAATGTTCCGGTTTTCGACAGCAGTTCCTCGTGCTCTTTTCTTTCCTCTGTATCATCCCATCCTCTGGCACGGGATTGATTCAATTGCGCTGAACTTCGGGCCTCGACTTTTACGCCGTCCAATCTCCTCCACCCCCCTTCCTCCTCCTGGGTCTTCTCTCTGCACGAGATGACGAGCTTCCCTTCCCGGCCCTTGGCCGAAGTATCGCTCACAGGTCCCAGCTTGCACTGACTCCGACCCTGGTCGCCACCTTTGCCTTGCACCAGGAGCCTGGTCACGAATACCGATTTGTCTTCCTTCCCCGGCGCGGCCAAGCGACTGTCGAACCTTGTATCTCCCGCCCATTCCTACCCTCCTGTGTCTGTCAGAGCCCCTCGTTACCAAACTCTGGCCCGCATTTGACTACTGCAGGTCATTGACCCATTGGAACTGGGTGCCATGATCCCCACCCTCTCACACTGAACTACTTGGCACTAAATAACTAAATACCTCGTCCTGATTCCTTGAATATGACCAACTGACAGCCCGTCGCCCATTCGACCCTCGCTTCCCGCTTCTCTTCTCGATTTCAGCATCGTTCTTCGTTGATTCTTCCGACATCACTTTTATCATTTCCGAATTCTACCTTCCCTTTCTCGAGGCCCTTCTTCCCCCGGCCTTTTATCAGACGTGCCTTCCAACGGAAGCTCAAACGTGCCTGTCCGGCGTCGGCAGGGACCATGTCTATTCGGGAATGACTTGCTTGGACAAGGACATGGATAACCTAAACTTGTCCAATGTAATTCCCGTGGATGAGGATTACGGTCGCTATCAATACGAAGAGAGAGAAGAAGAACAGGATGCAACCTCATCTTACACCATAGCCTCGTCTGTCTACAATTTCCGAGTCGAAAATGGCCGTCGATATCACGACTACAAAGATGGTCATATATTTCCTTCTGACGACGTCTCACAAGAGAACGAGATGATTGGCCATGAAATGATCCTCCTTCTGCTCGACAACAAATACTACTTGTCTCCTATCGACGAATCGTCCCTTGGCTGTGTGGCCGACGTGGGAACAGGAATGGGCCTGTGGGCCGAAGGAGTCGCGGAGAAGTATCCCGATGCCACCGTCGTGGGAATCGACACCACGCCTCATGAACGGACCACCCATCCGAATTGTTCGTTCATCATATCCGACGCCACCGAAGAATGGGTTCTGGATGACCCGTCCATGAAGTTTGATCTCGTCCACCTGCGATACATGTTCGGCGCCATCAAGGACTGGGCTGCTTTATACAAGCAAAGTTTCGACAACATGAACTCGGGCGGATGGATTGAACAGCTGGAGATAGAAATCAAGGCCTCCACCGATGACGATTCCGATCGGCCAGGCAGCCACATCAAGAGAATATGTGCCTTGCATACAGAACTGGGTGCGGCGTCGGGAAGGGAGTTTGACATTGCGGCGACGATGAAAGAACACATCGAGCAGGCCGGCTTTGTGGACGTACAGCAGCAGAGACTGAAGCTGCCTCTCGGCCCTTGGCCAAGTGATCCCAAAATGAAAGAAGTCGGCCGACTCTTCGAGCGATTCTACAAAACGGGCTTGCAAGGCTGGCTGCTCCACATCTGTACTCGGTCCTGGGGGGTGAGTGTCTTCGGTCGGCTTCACATCTTCATTGCCCACCCTGCAGAGGCTGACATTGCGTGACCAGTGGACTGTTGAAGAAGTCAACAATGAATGTGTCAAAGCTTTCCAGGAAATCAACGCTCGCCAGCAACATTACTATTTTTCCCTGTGAGTCCAGCCAACGCAGCCAGCCACACCATCTGCCGTCAACCGTCAGCGAAGGGTTGTGTCGTTGCCTTGCTAATCGGACCTGCCAGTGTCATCGTCATCGGACGAAAACCTTGAAGAAATTGTCTTGGCCGGTGCCTTTGGGATATCCTTCGATGGCTTCTCAGTCTGCCTTTGATCTCTTCCTTTCTTTGGAGCAGGGCTCTTCATCAACCTAGCTAGGATTACGATTTGTCGTGGTGAGCTATCCAAAAAGGAGCATGGGCATTGGGGACCACGTGGACAGATCATACTAAAAGAAAAGCCGTCCCTCGGGAAACAGCACGATCATCAATGCATAGAAAAGCAATGGGGGAGAGGGTCGTTGGTAGGGTGGACGCAGCCATGTGTTCGGTACACGGATACGTTGAACCTTTCGGGATCCCGGAAAGGAACTGCCAGATCATGTCACACATATTGGGGGGATCGTGGAGTCCTTGACATAACAATTGCATGAACGAACCTGGTCACCGGGTTGAAGGATAAAGATTGGGACCAACACCATGATTTCGGTGTGGTAACGCCGTCATGATTCTATGATTGAACGACTCCAACATGTGGGAGATATATAACGACTTGAAAAAATATAATGCTCAGCGACAGGCGTCCCGTAACGGGAGATACTCTTCTTCCTCGAGATATTAATGATGATATTCGTCTGGCATATCAAAATGAGGAACCTGTTCGCTCACTAGTGTCAATCATTCCACAGATATGACCGACTCAATTATAACCACTCTTGACCGAACTTGGTCCTTTTTCCACCTCATCGGTTGGCTTTGACGCTTTTGCCCCAAGAATGAATTTCAGATTTTTTAGAAGCCGAATGCATCTATTAATGCAGCACTTACGGAAGGCAATCGGGAACTGGTTCAGAGTGCCGATTTCTTAGGTGACTTTGACTGATTTGGGGGGCAGGCCGCACCTTAGCAGCCTTACATGGTGCGGGTGATCGGCTTGGTGGGCTCCAAGGATGCCCGAGAATTCGGCGTGCAAAGATGTCACATTTTAGGCAACCTTTTCGCCCAAATTGTTTTTTTATCAAGGACAAGCACCTTTAGCTCCTCCTACCTTTACCTGGTGCTCCGGGACGTCGCACGCCATGCGAAAAGCGCTTGAGATTCGAAGCTTGGATGCTGTGATGCAAATATCGGTCTCTATGAAAAAATATCGCAAGGCAGCCCAAAAGAGATGAAATATCTCGTCGCCATAATAAGACGAATCTACAGTAGGCCGCGCAACTCCGCGTACCCTCCAACGGTGCTTCTCTACCAGATAACCCAGAATTGGGGTGAGGAACTACGACCTGCCCAACTCAGTCGAGGGGCGTTTCAGCTGTTGGCGTTCACTTTTTGCAGTTGCTTGCATGAATTGTCCCGCCTTACCTGGCTCCAGGAGAAGAATTGCTTGGCTTCGATGGCAAAAAAACAAAAAGGCACGGAACGATGCTCTTCTCTCAGTGGCCGGTGACAGTAACTGAATCCTATGAAGATGATGACAGTTTTCCATCAGCCCTTGCCAATATCTATCCTACCGGGGGGAACCGCCTCGATCAAGTCACCATTCTCAGAATTATGCTCTAAGTGTACGGTGACGAAATAGGCATGACAACCAGAAGTCTAGTGGAGCCAATGAGCTCTTTCGCTTGACATGCATGCTTCCAAATACCTTTCGAGGCCGTATCTCGACATCGCCTTTGAGATTTCAAGTATTAAACACGTCGAACCCCCCATTCTTTATATCTCATTTCCACCATCCAGCAATTCGATAGCAACATTCCATCCTCAGCAAATTCACCATTCGAGACACATCCACTCCGAGAACCTTTTCAGCCTCACCAAACTCCATCAACTAAAATGGCCCAATACGAAGGCCAATGCCACTGCGGTGCCACCGCTTGGACCGCCGTGATCCCTGAAGAAAAACACATTCTGTGCCATTGCGAAGCCTGCAAGCTCATGGGAGGCAGCAAGCCTTTTGGAAGTGAATACTATATTTGAGATGTACTGTACAAGGATGAATTCGTCACACATTTTCTTCATGGCCCTCGAGGAACTATTGAACGTCACACAAGCCCTGGAAAAAGAAGTAATCCGAACCGCGTCCTCATTCCGTTCATGTCAAAGCTTCCTAACATGGCGTGAAATTTCTAAATAGCTCGATTGCCATCAAGCCCTATTATTCTTCCCCATCACCCACTACTAACAGGTGGAATAACCCCGACCTCATCGCCCGTTTGAATCAGCATGTCCCATCCATCCCCTTTTCCTTCCTCCCGATTTTCCTCTTCCTTTCCCTCCGTTTCGAAATCGAAGTCGAGATCCACATACTCCAAATTCACCGTAACGGCGGAACTTTTCAAGATCTTCTCCGTGAATCCCGGAAATCGGGCCTCAAGCATCTTGAACACAGAACGTAATGTGCTCGGCGCAGGCAGCATAAGGGTCTCTGTCGAAGTATATGTGGAGGCCGAGGCAAAGAGGAGAAGTGTAAATGTTCCCGCCTTAGATTCTGCATTCGAGGTTGAAGTGGTGGATGGCATTGTCTCCTGCCTTTTATCTTCTTCTTGGGAGGGCCCAAATCGGGAGGATATGGTCGTGGTCGCGGACATGGAGATGCCCAAGGCGGGAAATCTTTGGAGTTTTTCTCACCCTCCACTCTCTTAGCTATTTTCGGACGTTTTCTTCTCCTCCTGGTTTCAGAGTTTCATCAGCGTTAAGAAAAGGCAACGGTACTCCTCGCAAGTCCGACACAGGCCGGGGTCAAGCCGGACCATTCGTCTTGTTTGTTCACCTCTTTAGACCGATCGAATATTCTTTCCCTCTTTCTTGCCCCTTTTCACTTCCTTTTCGTCTTTGGGCCACGCCAAAGCTTTTCACCACCTTGCAGGTTTGATTCCTCTTTCACAGGGTCAAGTGCAAGAGTCGTGTGCCTATCAACGTGTTCCTAACAAAGTCATATCAGAGCGTTGGAACTTATTGGGAATGCGAAGACGGCGGAGAAATAATGATCCGGAATAGCAATCAATGCGGGGGGGTCTAAACATGCCAAGACGGAGATGGCCATCCCATCGAATTACTTGTGGATGAATGACGTCATCCTTGTTTACGCTTTTTTCTCTTTGTCGCGCTGGGGCATCGGTTCATGTTCAACCATGTCTATGAAAGAATCGAGCTTTATCTTTATGAACTCAATGCACAAACTAATACCATGTACATTCCCTTCTCACCCGAGAATTTCTCTTTTACCATGTGCGGAAACAAAGAGTCTGGTGTTGTCTTTTGCTCTAATAATCGACTTCCCCTCACTTGTCATTGTACACATAATCTAGTGCTCAAGGAGTCTCAAACTGCCTTGGACCACGACATTTTCCAGGATGGAGCCAGGTGGGATGTCAATGGTGCTGTTCTCAGTCGCGACGATGATAACAGTGCCTGCATGAAACATCAGTGCGGTGAACCCAAAAAAAGGTATAAACGGAGAACTCACCTTTCAGTACGATACCGCGACCAAAGTTGACATCTCCGGTAACGGTCAAGTGATCTAATTCGACAATATTGGGAATGCTGCTCACTCGCTTTTGGAACTGCGCGACTTTCTTGAAATCACTGCCCAGCTTGATCAATGGAGCAGGACCAAATCGGTTGGGATCAATGATCAATTGACCATGGCTCAAAGTGTAAAGGTTGGACTTGACAAGCATGAGATCTGAGCAAGTTTTGACGGGCAGGAATCGTCGTCGAGGGACGTTGACACCGTGAGCGTTCTTGAAGTGTTTGATGGCCGCACCCACAGCGGTTTCCAGTTGAACAATGCTGATGTCTGCTTCACCCTTCTTGTCCGCCGGGATGGATTTCTCATTGGGGATGATTTCCATTTCCAGTTCATTGGCCTCAACCACACGTTTGATGGCTCGGAGATTCATCCAGATGTTGTTGGTGTTGAAGTACTTGAATTTCTTGATCGACTTGAATTCGTTGACGTACTGCTTGGGAACTTGAGCAATTTCCAGCAGTCTGGCCCTGCCCTCGTAGTCGATGATGGTACCACCCTTGACGTCGGCTTTGGTCTTGTCGGTCAATTCCATGATGTACTCGGCTTTGGTCTCGACCATGTGTTGCAGAATGCGAAGATCGACAACGGCACCGAGGTTGTCAGCATTGGACAAGAAGATGATCTCAATGCCTCGTTCAAGGAGCTGATCAAGGATTCCACTGTTGTAGAGCGACTCGAAAATATCCCCGTGACCAGGAGGATACCAGTCAGACAGTTGAGAGATGTAGGACTTGGGTGCCGGGAGGAGAGAGTCTTTGAGGACGCGAGGATATCGAGATTGGTTGAAAGTGAGAATGTCGATGTTGTGGCCCTCGTACTTCTTGATGATGGCGGCGGTATCTTCGTCGGTGTTGAAGCTGTTCATCAACACAAATGGCACGTTGACATCGTAGGTGCGGTTGAGATATTCAATCTGTCGGACGGAAAGATCGAGGAAAGACATGCCATCTCTAACTTCGATGACTGATTTGGGACCAACGCAACCCATGGAAGTCCCAAGACCACCATTGAGCTTGACGACAGCAAGTTTGTTCAGGAACTCGACAGCATCGCTGTTGGGCAGGTTGTCATAGTTGACGACCTGGTCTGGGTTGGGAGGATTGATCTTGGCCCAGTCAATGGTGTTTCCCTTGGCTCGGTCATTGAGGTATCTTCTGAATAGGGAAAAGAAGTTGTCCATCTCTGCCTCAAATCTCTTCTTCTCTGCCGGATCTTGAACAGTGTCTGCGAGGTTATTGAGGGCATTGCGCATCTGGCTGGCGGCCACATTGGTGGATGTGTTCTCAAAAGCCTGCATGGTAGGAGATTTGGTCAGTGAACAGTGTTGATGTTGACGCGTGATCGACAAAGACGATGGTGATGTGGTAGAAGGTTTTAGGAAGTGGCATGTTATGATGCCGGTCGGTAGTGAATATCAACAGGAAGGCGGTGGCGCTGAAGACGACATAGTTTCGCCAAGGGGTAACGCTGAGCGAAGAAGTTGAGGAGGATGAAACCAGGTAAAGAAGGCTCATTTAGTGTTCAGCACAAGCCGGTCTCTCTTGAGATGGAGGCTTGGGAAATTGCGGCGGAAGACGGCCAGAATATTGGGGGAACCGCTTCCGTGGGGTGGGCAGAACGAGGAGTGGGATTTCCATCTTGAAGCGTATGGCGAAGTGGGTATGGGAAAATCTCGACTCTTAAGCTTACCACATGAGATTGGGTTTTGCCGTGATGTCTCTTCTCAGCAGGAACTGGACCATTGCTACCGTTGGCGGCTGCGCGGAGGTGGGAGGGAATAGCTTTGGAGGCCATGGTGATAGCTGCGGTGTAGATTTAGGACGGGTGCGCAGGAGGCGGAGAGAGGTAAATTAGCAGTATCAGACGGATCTGGAGAATCCGAAGGTAGATTAGCGACCTGAATGCGAGATTGCAAGCCGACAAGAGGTGGAATGACTGTGGGAAGTCGAAGGCTGGGGGAAGTAAAGAAAGTGTTAATTGAAAGGGAAAGAATGTAGAAAATGGGATGGCAAAAGTGAAGGTGAATGCGTAGGTGGGATGAGAAGATGACGAAGTAGCAAGCTTTGCCAGAGGCATGGGCAAATCAGGGTATTCAGTATTTTCTCCAGGACAGCCCAACATTCCATCAGGTGGTGCGTGGATCGTCAGTCCAGGGCCTGCGATAGTTGCGTCGCTACCAAGATGTCATGCACAACCACGGCTGCGGCATGAAAAAGGACATGGAACAAGGGGCGGTCAGTACTCACCAGAGATTAATGGGATACTATAGTGGTACTTCCGTTGCGGTAGCAAATAATGTCTGCGTCAATGTCGGCGTCGGGTGTAACGAGTTTGGTCTGCCAATTTGAAGTTCGATTGAATTTGATCCCAGTTTATATCTCCGGATGCTCCCAGCCATCCACACAAACGTTTGCCAATTTTTCTGCCACCGCCCAAACTGCGCACAGCGGCTCTCGTCCCTGCTCGCCGCCTCTTCCCCCCAACCCGTCAACGGTTCCCAAAAGCGCCTCTGCACGTCTTTTCCCGTCCAGGGACATCGATTTTCATCGCTCTAAGCTCATCACAGTTAGAAGGACCGCCAGATTCACACTATTGTTGCATCCGCCGTTTAACTTGGCTTGTCCCCCCCACACCATTCACATCCGAGTCTGCGCCTTCTATGTCCCTTCAAACTTTCTTCCGCACCTGGGGTTTCCGATTCAAAAAATTTCAAGATGGAAAATATCTTATTCTGGGCCTGGGAAAAATGAGCCACCGGGTGGCCCTCATTCGAGGTCGTGTTCATTCCCACCCTATTTATGCCTCAAGAATTGACAGACGGACGGATTCGTGCTTTTCTCTCGATAGCCCAATTAAAAAAAAAAAAAAAAAAAACCCTCAAACATTAACGTCACAATGCCCACCAGTCCAGCCAATCAACCAATCCTCCTCTATCCTGCACATTCCGACAGCCTTACTTCCTCCCGACTTGACTCTCTACTCCGTTCACACAAGCACGTTTACAATGAACCTTGGCTCACTGGCGGAATATTGTCCTCTACTTTCCTTTCCCCCGTAGATCGCCCTGAACTCCTATCACTTATCAGTCCGCTCCTCAGCTAGACGAACACCCACTGGTTGGGTCTTCCGAGCCTCACCGCCCCCGTCTCAGTACCAGGGTGTTGGATAGCTCTATCACACGCAATTGGAAAGTCGAACTCACTCCGTCGAAACGATCCCATTTGAGTGCTCTATCGATCCGTGTTTTGATTTGTTTTGACCGTCCACTTCACACCCTGTCTCTGTGCAAGCCACAAATTAAAACCTAAAATTTGTATCACTGCATTAAGTACATGTAAAAACCAACCCCGGGGGGAAAAGGGTGGCCGTGCGATGTAGCAAGAACGCTTCTCGCGCCGCCATATTCCCCCTCCAATCAATGCCCACACTGAACGAAAGAAGGCCCTCCTTTCACTGTCCCTCGTTTTTGCCGCTCACATCTCTCCGCCCAAAGAAGCTGCGTCGTCCATCCCGCTTCGAGTCCGGGCTATCCCGCCCGCTGCTGCCAGGCTTGAGGCTGTCTGAGAAAGGCCCAGCATTGGCTGTGAAGCTGCTTCGAATTGTCACAGTGCCCGGTCCAGCCTTGACGACTTGCTCGGAACCACCGCCCTGATCCGACACAAAGAACACTCCTTCTCCCAAATCTTCCGAACGGAAAGTACCTTTATCTTCAACCAACACCCCGAACTGGGTGTCGGCCGAACATGGAACCTTGAAATTCTCGTGAGTGGTATCAAATTCCACCGTACCGGACGAAGACTTGACTGCTTTGGTCTTGAATAAGTCCTTTGGCTTGGATCCCATCATCTTGACATGCACTCGAACATCTGCCCCAGGCGGGTACCCTCTAGCCGACACAATGATGAAGTAGGCTGTTCCCGTCTCTCCACCCTTGGTCGTAGTCATGGTGGAATGGTTGCTCTTGGTGCGGGTATGGAGCAATGTCGGTGTGACGGGAGGAGCCGATCCGTCCACCACAGGAGAGGCCTTTGATGGAGTGGTCGTGGGAGTCACAACCGCATCCTCGGTCGATACGCTTCCGTTGATGTTGGATGGCGCTTCGTCCTTGCTTCCTCGCCCCATCAAGCCGCGTTTGATGAACGAGGCTCCTTTCACTACGCCTCCCCCCACCTTACCAACTCCTTTCACAGGTGCACCGATCACCTTACCAGCGGGGGCGAATGTGCCGGAGAATGTGGAAGTTCCTTGTCGCGCACGGGTGATATAATCGGGCTTGAACAACATTCTCAGTCGAAGAACGCCCGATTTCCCGTCCAAGGCGAACGTCAATTCCTGGGGTTGGAAAGGTTCCAGCACCTGCAGATTCAGATCTGCAGAGCCCAGCATGTCGGCTTTGTCTCCAAAATCCCAGTCATATACATCCACCTTGAAATCGGCTCCCGTTCGAGAAGAAATTGGCACTTCGAAAAACTCGTTCCACGCCGGATGGAGTGTCTTCTTCTGGGTCTTGGTCTTGTACACCTCCTTTCCATTGAGTCGGAATTTGCAGTACGGATCACTGTAGCCATTGCGATCAGCAGAGGGAAGATCTGCGGCGTCCAAAACATCGACTCGGAGAGTCCCCATGTTGTTAATACTCTCGCTGGGGTCGAGCTGCATCTGGACCGGCAAGTATTTCAAATTGACCACCACCTTGTTGACAGCACCGCTGTTGCTCCTCAAAGTCAGTTCCGTAGGCTTATATAGGCATTGCTGCAGGGTAACAAGCGTGGGACCCGTCAACTTCGCAATGACATCTTCTTCGTCTGATTTACCGGCCTTGTCGGTTTTCTCCGTCAATCGCAACGTGATTCGAGACATATCGATTTCCCGAACCATCGCGTCACCTGTTTCACCAAAATGATGTTCGCGTTGTCGAACTTTCGATGAGACGTATGCAGGGAAAGCGTGGTCATCCATCAGAACTTCCAGCTGGACATCGGTCTGAGCAAAATGACCCTCGACGATATTAAACACGAGGAGACCAGATTCTGCCGAGGTCAGTTGATGAGAACCACTTCATTTCAGTTTCGACTTACCATATTTGCTAAGATCTTCCGCATTAATCCTGACCTTAGGTGCCTGTTTCTTCACAGAGGTCACAGAACCGTTGATGGACGGAGTACCATTTGGCAAAGACCCAAGCCGGCCAGCTGCTTCCAAGCTCTTTCGGTCTTCGACGCTTGGTCTCGTCTGTTCGACTGAGGATTTGACATCAACGGAAGATTTCTTGCTGTGTGCAGGTGTGGCCGGCGCAGATCCGGCGGCATCAACGTCGGCCTGGGCCTTGCGTTCTTCTTCTTCCTCTTCGGGATCAATGACATTCAAAGTCGGATAGAATGACACCGTATAGCTGACCGTGCCCTTCGTCCCACCGACGCCGCCTATCCGGAGGCCCTCCGAGAACTCCTTTTTCGTATCATGGACTTCATATCCGCCTTCATCGCTTTCTTTGATGAAATCTGAGGCAGCGATTTGGACCAATCCCAAAGAGCGATCTTTCCCGAGCTTCTCTTCATCCATGACCTCTAGAATCAGGCGCTCGGTGGGCGTGTGCATGGGGACATAGATAACCTCGTCCCACTCAGGATTGAGTTGGTTCTGGAAGGTGACTGTGCGGCCTTTGGGTATGCCTGAGAGCAATACCCTGGCGTACGGATCAGATTTGCCCACGGTTTCGAAGTTTCGTAGATCCTTGGCACTTTTGACATGTATCCGCATGACACCAATGGGGGTAACATAGCCGCCAGATCCGGTAACACCTTTCAGTTCAACTGGTTTCCAGTCCAACATCAACTTGGCCTTCCCGGTCTTGGTTCCATGCAAGCTGTACCACTCCTGGCCTTTGTCCACCAATTTCATCATATCATCCAATTTGATCTGGTAACTGCCCAAGACCGGGTCGGTGGAAAGATCACGATTATCCTTGATAACCAGACCAATTCTAGCCTTCTTACGGTCGGTAATGAGGACGGACTTGGTATTGTCAGAAAAGACCGGGTTGTTGGTGCGTTTGAGTTTATTGGTGACATGAATCTCTTTGCCATTGAGAAGTAGAACGGCATAAGGATCCAAAGCCCCAACCATGCTCTTACTACCGTCCAGATCTTTGGCTTGTTCGATCGTGATCCTGGCTATACCCGTGTTAGATTCCGGTGGTGGAAGAATCTCTCCGCTTTCCAGCTTTTCAGACTCCAGGACAGGAAAGAAGCGAATATCGGTCGAGATAACTCCACGTGGTTTCCCACTGGCAAGGACATCCAGGGATAAGTTCTCATGCTCGGCAGACCCTTCGAGCTGATCCAGGGCGAATGTGGCCGTGCCTAGATGCTTATCCTTGCGAACATCATTGTAGTCGTAGACTTGCAGAGTTAGAGCATCCGTGTAATTCGTGATGATGATATACAAAGTCTCGTTCCAACGTGGGTTGTGGTCTTCATGAATGGTCTTGGTCCGTGCAAGCTCTTTGGCGCTGTTCAATGAGACGACCACATAAGGATCTGGGGTGCCAGAGAATTTGTCAGGATTCTTCAAGCCGTGAGCGTTGTGGATCGTGACGGCAACAACGCCAATCGCCAAATCGATCGGATTGCCCGACAACATCTTGGCCACTTCGATGGGGAAAACATTTGGATCGTACATGATGGGGGCAAGATTTCCGTGGATCTGTTCTTTAATAAAGGATTCCAGTCCCGGAATGAAATTGATGTCGAAGCCAAAGGTCTCTCCACCAAGAGGTTTGCAGACATAGTCAATTGTGGGCCGGCCGAGGAACGATATGTCGACTCTGTCGATGTGCGGATACGGAATCTGCAATTTCATCTTGACACGCATCAAGCCGGAGAATTCGAAATCTTCCACGATGACCTTCATTGCCTTGCTGACCACACCTTTACCGACTCGGATTTCAAGCACAACCTTGGGGTTGATCTTGGTCTTGAGCTGGCGCGCCGTCATATCCATTGTGTCGGTGGGCGTAAAACTGAATTTCCAGTCCATCATCACAATGTCGTCTTCCGACTTTGGGTAAGTCTTGACATGGTCGACGCGGGGAGGTTTGGTGCCCAAAATAAAAGTCTCCAATCTCATGCTATCGAGGAACGCCGGAGTCGAGGTACTCAGAACTTGGTCGACCGATTGAACGATTGCTTTGGCAAGCTGTGGGGCATAGATGGGCCAGAATTTGACCAAAAAACTGTTCATCCATTCAAGACTTTCGGTGTCGGTTTCCAAGCGGGCTTTCGCCAGTTCACGAGTGATGTCGTCTCGAAAATTCCGCCTCACTCGTCGGATGGAGGTTCTGTAGTAGGTCCCACAGGTAGCCATGATGATGAGAACCCAGCCTAGGCCGCCGCCGAACAAAGCAACCAGCCATGATGATAGACACGCAAATATGATGACCGCAGTATTGTGATACCAATCTAGAATTTTCAGCGACGGGCCCATTTATGCTAGGAGATGGAAATACGCACCCCCGAAAAACTTCTCATCCAACCTTCCCTCCAAAAGTGTTTGATGGTCGAGGAGGTCTCCAGCCTCTTTATCCTCTTCCGTCTCACCACTGCCGAACCGAGGGGCCCATCCGACTTTGGACCATTGTTCTGCATCTTCTTCATCTTCTTCTTCAGGAGGTTTCCCATTTGCTGCTCCAATCTGAGCGGTGGGCACGTTGGCGGCCTCGGCTGCGGCAATGGATTGAGGCGGAGGAAGATCGTACTGGTCGGGTTTTTCGTCGTCCTGCGCGCGTCAATTGGAGTTTGTGGAGTGGGAGAACGATTACTCACAAGGTCGGTAACAACGCCAATGCCCTTGGGTGGACGTTTGGTATCGTTCATCCGCTAGCTGCAGGTCAATATTGGCTCCCGTAGCAGACACGGGTTCATCTTACCGTCCTGGCTTGCGCGGCCTTCTCATCAGGTGAGGCATTTGGATCGAAATGCAGCGCCGCCGAACCGGCTTTCTTGCTCTCGTCTAATATGACTCGGTTTGCATCTTCGCCCGTGGCAGAGTTGTCGGGATCCTGAGCCGCTTCGATGGCGCCCTCTGACTTGAGTTCGTTCTTCAATTTCGAGCTCATGGTGGTGCGCCAGTAACTATTAACCGACCCTGGTCTTGCTTGCGCTAGTTCGCGGTAGTCATGGAGAAAGAAGGGAGGGCCAAAGAAGAGGAACGGGGGAGAAAAGACACAAATCCCAATCTCCCGTGCAACCTTTTGTTTCTTGCGATTTCCGTACAAAGGAAAAGTGAGAAAGTAGAAATGGAAGCTTGGATCGAGAAAGGCAGACCGTGCAAGCGTCTTCGAACTTGACAGGCGGCTGGTAATATGGTTGATGGTTGCGGAGAGCTTCCCAGTTAGACTGGAACCTTGAGTTGGGGCAAGCGGTTAGTTAGTCGACTTAGGCGGCACCAAGCAAGCTGGACAAAGCGAGATGGCGTCGACAGCGACAAGCCTTCATTCGTCACGGCGACGATCGATCCTCGCTTCACGACGGCAGAGATAATGTACGACTTCTTGCTTGCTCAATTGGCCACTTTCAGGCCTAACATGCCTACCAGTGCCACCCCTCTTGTCTAGCTCGGTACGCGACTCGTTGATTCCACGTGAAATGTTTGTCCCTCTTCGCTTGACGGCGGATTCTTCAGCAGGACCAGGGTGACCGGAGATCACCTTCACCTGGTTAGAACCAAGCCGCCCTGCCTTGGATTTCTCCCGGCGATCACTTTATATGCTTCACCATTGTCGGCGATTGCGCAGCCCTGCGGTCGAGTGAGACTCTCAGACCTCAGCTGCCGATCTCCTGTTAACTCGACTTTTGTGCACCCAAGCGACCCGAATCCATTCACGCCCCTCCCCGAGCCACTGTACCCTAACTCTGTTGGCGAGAGGAGTCTCGCAAAGCCTGTGTGACCAATAAGGGGGGACATGCCTCAGCTGGATGTTCCAGATATCGTCCAACTGGCGAGCCCTGTGGCTTGGACGCCACCTGTCATCCCTATGATCGCATGCATAGCTTGATGGTGGCATAGTGGCGAATTACAGAGTATTGGGAACCAGATGAGCGGCAAGAGCAGGCCTACTCCGGAGAATAACATCTCAAGTACTCATACACGATACCAGCCATCACTCACTTCCTTCCGGACTTCTTCTTCAACCGAACCTTTTCAATGATCTCTGGCTTCTCCCTGCATGTCGGACAATACCAATCTTCATCCTCGTCGGGCACTTTCTTCATGTTCAGGCAGCCAGTATGGAACCACTGGTAAGGACAGTCATCGTTCTCACAAGCCACCATTTCACCGTAACTGCGTTGATTGCAGAAACAGTATCGCTTGTCATCCTCGCCTTCTTCATCTTCCGCATCCTCGTCTTCACCCATCTCTACGTCAGGCTCATCGACAGGGTGCTTCTTGTTGCTTCGCCTTCCTCTAGATTGCGAAGCATCTGTTTCCGACGCATCTGCAGATGACAAAACCGAGTCTGCATCTTCCGAGGCTGCCGTGCCTCCACGCCCTCCACGCACAGAGGGGGATTGCCCTTTCTTGCGTCCAGCCGATAGCCTTCCCTTGTTGGTCCCTTTTTGCTTGAGCTTATTGACTTGCTGATGTGAGATTACTTTCTTCGAAAGGCCTGACTTTTTCGAAGGGGCTGCAGCTTGTTGAGAACCTGTGGTTCGAGGGATACTGCCAGCCCTGCTGGCTGAGGTACCGGTGGGAGTGCCGGCTTTTGGTGTGCCGGGACCAAGGGAAGACTGCCTGAGATTCGAGGGTTGAGTCGGTAGGCTTGTTCCTGCCAAGGGATTGCCCAATTTACGTCTTTTGTTGTCTGCACCGAGGGAATGTTCGCGCTCTCGTTGCCGTTGTTGTTGCACCGCCGAAGCGGGTGTCGCAGGAGCGGAATTTCGTTGCACCGGCGCATTAGCTGTCGCTATTTGCGGGAGCGGCCTGGTTTGTGCCTGCTGCATGGTGGCAACCATGTGCGCATTAATTCTATGCGTATTTGCGTTCAGAGCACTGATGGACGCGTTCTGAAGTGGTAGATTGGCGGGCAAGTCAACGAACGTTTTCTGCACTTCGGCCTTGCGGTTGAAGACGCTGGGTAATGGGGGCCCATCGAGAAGCTGGCCGTCATTTTGCAGCTCCTTAATCTTCAAGTCCAGTTTCTTGACCTGTCGCTCTAAGAGATTGCATGCCTTTTCGCTCAAAGCCGTCTTTTGGTCCTGGAGTTCTACACATAGCTCGTAGTTCTTCTTCACTAACTCAGCGTACTCGTTCTCCTTTGGATGAGGGGTAAGAACGCCGTTCACTTTGAGATGCTTTTGAATAGTTGTGTCTTTCTGGTTGATAACAGAGAGGTACTTTTGCAGGTCTTTGTCTTTGGCCTGAATCTCTTCCATCATATGGTTGATCTCGGCGGGCAAATTAGCAGCATCATGAATGAACTGCTCCAGTACCGAAGCACAATCCTCATTTGATGCCATTTTGGGTCCTCGTGAATGATGAGGGGGTTAGACTGGAGTTGAACTAGGCTTCGACCGCCACAGCCTTGCTTCAACAGTTTTTTCTCTCAACGAAGTCAAGACGATCTGGATCGGTTGGCATCCGAAAAGAGAGATTTATGGGTCTACGATGACTATACGACTAAGATGACCCAGAGAAGATGCCGATTTAGATGAGGGAGGGGAAAAAAAAACACGTCGTTGTCATCGAAGAGTGCAAGAAAGGAGGGAGCGAAAACGATGGCGGAAGTCGATTCGAGGCAAAACTATGAGATGCTAGGCCTATTTAGGGCTAGTTGCCGGGTGGCGCAAATATGACCCATCAGCCACATCAAAATTCATCGGCCCAGCCACTTGTCGCTGTCTCGACAAAGCCCTTTGTCAAACTTCATCCCTCCCTTCCGTCATTCGACATCAGACTACCTTCGCAGTAACCCGTTATCCGATATGATGAACGTCGCTCTCTCGGTTACACTCAATTGCGCTTGAGCTCCCCTTTGACCTTATCACTGAGGACGCCTTCTGACACCGGTAATCGGCGTGACGAGGCTCATACACATTCTTCAAGGCACATCATGAATCTACGGTGGAACTGTACTTCTTCCATTCACCACTCGCGACATCAATCCTCCTACCCGCTCCTACAATAGCAAAAATGGCCAACGGTTCAATTGTAGAAGAATACTCGGCCAACCAGGACCCTGGGTCGTCTTCAACATTCACACTTTCATCCAAGATCCAACGAGAAATCGAATCAAACGGTATCGCCCGGCCCAAAGGCTATACCGTATCATGGCACTACAATCCAGACGTGGAAAACCACCACTTTGGACAAACCCACCCCATGAAACCCTGGCGATTGACGCTGACCAAATCCCTCGTCCTCTCCTACGGCATGCACACCGCCATGGACACATATATTTCACGTCCGGCGACCAAAGATGAAATCGCCGAGTTCCACAAGGACGAATATGTCGAGTTCCTCAGCGTGGCCACTCCGCAGAATATTTACGAGATGTACCCGGAGCTGGCGACAGGGCCTCAAGGCTACTCGTCCGCGATCTTCGGAGTCGGCGACGACTGTCCGATTTTCGACGGTCTATTCGCATTCTGCGCTACATATGCAGGTGCCTCCATCGACGCGGCGCGCAAACTCTGCAACAAACAAACGGACATCGCCATCAACTGGAGTGGCGGACTGCATCACGCCAAAAAAGCCGAGGCTTCCGGCTTCTGCTACGTGAACGATATCGTCCTCGCGATCCTGCAACTCCTGCGCTACCACCCACGTGTCCTCTATATTGATATCGACGTCCACCACGGCGACGGGGTGGAGCAGGCATTCTGGTCCACGGACCGAGTCATGTGCGTGTCCTTCCACAAATACGACAAAGAAGTTTTCTTCCCCGGCACGGGTCCCCTGGAGTCCACTGGACCTATCCACCCAGATAATCCAGGAAAGAATTATACAATCAACGTACCCTTGAACGACGGTATCGACGACGAAGGGTACGCATACCTCTTCCAAAGCGTCGTCGAACCCACCATTAAAACATACCGCCCTTCAGCCATCGTCCTCCAATGCGGCGCCGACAGTCTCGGTCACGATCGCCTCGGATGCTTCAACCTGAACATCCGCGGACACGGTAGTTGCGTGACTTTCGTGAAAAGCTTTCAAATCCCTCTGCTGGTAGTGGGTGGGGGAGGGTACACGCCGCGTAACGTCGCGCGGGCCTGGGCACACGAGACATCCATTTGCATCGGAGCGGACAAGACACTCAACCCGACTTTGCCAGAACACATGCCGCACCGCGAAGCATTCCGGCGCGAAGGTCTGACTCTCTTCCCGAACCTTGGTGGGTGGCGGAAAGAGAACATGAACTCCAAAGCGGACATCGAGCGCATCATCCGCCACGTGCGCGAACAGCTGAGTTACATCAAAAGCGCGCCGTCTGTGCAGATGCGCTACATCCCGCCGGACATCCAAGGGTGGCGTGAGGAGGTGGAGGAGGAGCTGAAAGCGAAGCGCGCGGAGAAGGAGGAAATCAAAGAGGAGCGAGATGGCGCCGGCGGCCTGTTGGCTAAGGCCAGCAGGAGGAGGGAATTGGAGCGCAATGGGCTCGGTGGAAGCGCTAGACTGGGTGATTTTTTGAGCTAATTTCTTGTTGTTCGATCTGAAGGTTTCTCCTTGGTTGCGTGTCAACTCTGACGGTATGGTTAAAGGGTGGTGAGGGAAAGGATCGGCTCTATCCTGTGTGGAGCCGGAAAAGGTGCGAAAAATTTCGACCTAGTGATAGAACCCAAACATGCATGACAAAAGAGAGGAACATATATACATAGCAAGCGCCGTCAACGGTGTGCAACTGTGCTAGCACTTCTTTGTCTCCCTCATTCATTTATCTGAATCTTCTCTCTCTCTCTCTCTGTGTGTGTGTGTGTGCGTAGTCGCCGGTGGGGGTATCTTCAACGTCATATCAATTTATCTCGGTAGCTCAAAAATTCCGTATCAGCCCCCCAAACCTGATTTGTTCAGAAGAGGCGAATCAGGCTCAATAAGACCAGGATTTGGTTGAGATTTGAACCTTGATCTTCATCTGAAGCTTGAATGCTAGTTTCAACGCCGTCGCCCATGCATGTCGATCGAAAAGTGTTCCATAACTCAACTTCATGAAACAAGACGTAAAAATGTAGTAGCGAATCCTCCCAAAAATTCCTAACCAAGAGCGACCTTTCGTCGGACAAGTATGTCGTAACCAACTTGCCTACGATGGTTCCCATTCGACTTCAACCGGAGGTTCAGAATCTCCGTTGGACGTGACAGCCTTGCCTTTACCTTTCTCCCGTTCTTTCTCCCGATCTTTATGTATGCCCTTCCCTTCCTTCCTCGAGCTGTATGGTCCAATACCGGCTTCTTTGTCGGCTTCGACAAGGTTGACGTACCACGGCTCGAAGTACCGACAGGTGACCACATTGACCGGGCCGCCATCACCACAGATATCAAACGCAGGACACCGCATGCAAGGCACCTCGCTGGATCCACCCTCGGCAATGTCTTCCAACTCTTGCTGCCGATATGCGGCCTTGCGAGTACTATCGTGACTGCTGACCTTGCGTTTCTCCAGTTGGTGAAGCTCAAACAATTCTGTTGGATTTTTGAAGCAACGATACATGGTGATGGTGTTGGCAGCAGGATCATCAGGAAATTCGTCGTCATTCGGAGGTCGGTACATCTTGAATAATCGATCATCGTAGACCATGACATCGAGCAGTTGGAGAATCGCATTTTGAGGCAAGATTGTCTGCGTCACTTTGATGTCCAAAATATGGCGAGTGATGTCCCTCAGTGTGGGATATGACCTGTGACCGGCAGGAAAAGGTTGATAGGTTCTCTGAGGAATGGGCTTCGGGCCTTTTCCCTTTCGCTGTGCTTCGTTGGATTTTGCGGCTTTGGCTCTTTGTTCTCCTCGATCCTCAAATCCCGCAGCAGGCGCCTTGCGCTTTCGACCTGGAGACTGCGGTTCATCTTCGAGCTCACCCTGCTCGACTTGTCGCCAACTGTTAGTAGACACAAAATGTTCAATGACTTGAGAGATGGTGTCCACCAAGCCCACATCAAGGTGGCCATCGGAGAACCATGCCCCACCAGTCGCTTCCTCGGAGGGCTCCAGTCCCGCAAGGATGAACATCTTCCGATTAGGGTGATTAACGTGTTTCATAGGCTTGATGAGACCTTTGGCTTCGAGATTCTTGTAAACTCGGTCGAGCACTCTGCTGTGCAGTTGAGAACGGAATTTGATAACTTTGGTCCATATTCCCGAGTTTCCAGCCGCGTCGATGAGAAACAGGACCATCCTCTCATCCCTGGTGAGATTCGTATAGCTGTAGACATCAAAGTCAGGACTGAAATTGATTTTCAAAGCAGTGTGGGATACTTTTTGGCTTTTTCTTGATCCACCAGTTCCCAGCCAATGGTGCCTCCACTTCGATCGTGAAGTCTGAAGAGCGAATTGTTGACGAGATGTTCAACAGATGAGAGGAGAATCTGAAGGTCACGATTGGGAATGATGCCAGCGGACAAGAGTTCTTCTTGGGAGAAAACATGGCCGATTTCACGATTTTTTTGACACCAAGCATAGAGAGCTTCGGCAGTACGATGTCGGCCCCCTTTCATGGAGGGCCCCGGAGTTGGGGAGTTTGCGATCGAGGAAGGATTTTGGGGCGGCGCCATTTTGATGTGTGGTTCACGAGTGGTGTGCTATCGATGAGGATAGATGTAGCAGATCATGTTGGTCCAGCAAAAGTTTGCTGAATAAACGAAGAAGAGGAGGAGGAGGATGGATGTCACCGCAGCATGCTGGTAGAGAACGTCAGTGAATTCAATGTGCAGGTGAGAGATCTGGAAATTTTACGGGAGAATTTTTAGTTGGATGAGGATAGTGGGGTTGGGTACAGCCTGGTAAGGCACAGAGGACGAGCATTCAGAACAGGCAAAACCGGTACGAATTCCAAGGGACAATTTGGGCTGCAGTGAAGTGTCTACGCAGCTCATGATAGACTTCGTATGCATGAATGAATGAATCAGTATAGCTTCCCAGTACTTTGCACCGGGCTTCTCTACCGCACTTTGACCTCAGCAAGTGACCTTGATGGTGGTCTGTGCGCCGAATTTTCTAGACATTTTGAGTTGCTCTTCTGTTGCCCGCAGTTGGAACCCGCTACAGGGCAGTACATATGCAGCCTTTCGTGTACAACCAGCTCACTAAACATTTTCCATCACTCCACCTCCGTTTATACTCTCAAAGTTCCAGCTTGAATTTAATCCTATTTTCTCACTGCTAGCGCTTCAAGTCTCCCTCACAGCCTCGTAGTGATCCACCATGGCCGACGATCTCAAGGCTGAGGGCAACAAGGCTTTCGCGGCCAAAGACTTCAAAACGGCCATGTGAGTCCACCATGCACCCCGTCTCGGAAGTTCATCTGACCGAGAGGACAGCGATAAATTTTCCCAGGCAATCGAACTCGATCCCACAAACCATGTTCTCTACTCCAATCGTTCCGGCGCGTATGCTTCGCTTAAGGAATACCAAAATGCTCTTGAAGATGCAGAGAAGACTACCGAAATCAAACCCGACTGGGCCAAAGGCTGGGGTCGTAAAGGTGCTGCTCAGCATGGTCTAGGAGATCTCGTTGGTGCAAAGGATTCTTTTGAAGCGGCTTTGAAGCTTGAACCATCAAACGCTCAAGCTAAATCTGGCCTGGAAGCGGTCAATAAAGCCATCGAAGCCGAAGCACGAGGGGATGGTGCCGGATTGGGAGGGCTGGGGAACATGTTCAATGACCCTCAACTCATCCAAAAATTGGCCAACAATCCCAAAACAGCCCGCTACCTAGCAGACCCACAGTTCATGTCGAAACTGCAGCAGATGGCCAAGAATCCTCAAAATATGGGAGAGGCTCTGAGTGACCCCAGACTCCTGGAGGTGATGGGTGTGCTGTTGGGCGTCGATATGCAAATGGGAATGCCACCGGAAGGAGCTCCGTCGGGAGCAGGCAGGGCAACGGAAGCAGAAGAAGATGTTCCAATGCCCGATGCTCGTCCGCAATCCAACCCTCCACCTCCCGAAAAGAAAGAGCCCGAACCCGAACCCGAACCCGAACCTGAACCGGAAGATGAAGAGGCCATTGCTGCAAAGAAGGCCAAAGAAGAAGCCGATGATGAGAAGAAACTGGGCACCGAGTTCTACAAGAAGCGACAATTCGACGAGGCGATCGCACACTACGGCAAAGCTTGGGAACTCCACAAAGACATTACATACTTGACGAATCTCGGAGCCGCCAAATTTGAACAGGGCGACTATCGAGGTTGCATAGAGGCGTGCGAGAAAGCGGTAGAAGAAGGCCGCCAGATGCTCGCCGACTTCAAGATCATCGCCAAGGCATTCGGACGAATTGGTTCGGCGTATGAGAAACTGGGCGACCTTCCCAAAGCCATCAACAACTACCAGAAATCTCTGACTGAACACCGCACCCCCGACATCCTGGCGAAATTCAAAGCGGCGGAGAAAGCCCAGATCAAAGCTGAGAAAGACGCTTACATCGACCCCGAAAAGGCAGAGGAGGCTCGTCTTCTCGGAGCCGAGAAATTCAAGAACGCAGATTGGCCTGGTGCCGTTGAGGCGTATACTGAGCTCACGAAACGTGCGCCAGACGACCCCCGAGGCTACAGCAATCGTGCCGCGGCACTGATTAAACTCCTCGCATTCCCTACCGCCATCCAAGACTGTGACGAAGCGATCAAGCGAGATCCCAAGTTCATCAAAGCATACCTCCGCAAAGCCCAAGCGCTGTTTGGCATGAAAGAGTACAACAAGTGCCTGGATGTTTGTACTGAGGCGATGGAGCATGACGAAGGAGGCAAAAATACCCGTGAAATTGAACAACAACAGCAGAAGGCTCTTGAAGCGATGTATGCGGCTCGGGCAGGCGAGACAGAAGAGGAGACAAGCGCCAGAATCCAGAAGGATCCAGAAATAAGTAAGTGACTTTGTTCCCTTCATCCTACTGGGCAGCCTTGGGGCCTCCTTGGGCCTTGCCAAGAAAGCGGGGGAGGAAGACGAGTTATTCGAAACTTCTTACTAACGTCTACGCCCTATAGTGCAAATCCTTTCCGACCCCGTCCTACAGTCGATCCTACAACAAGCAAAGAGCGACCCCGCCGCACTGAACGAACACATGAAGAACCCTGGAATCCGAAGCAAGATCCAAAAACTCATCGCCGCTGGCGTCATTCGCGTAGGACGATAATTCAATAATGCTAGCTGATGATTGTAACGCGACGCCCTTCAATTGATTGGGGTCAAACGCCAAATTCAGGGCTTCCTGTATTTGAACGACAGAGACCGCATGGCAATGATAACAATCTGTCATGACGAAAAAACCATCACTTCGAAGATAGCCAATTGCGAAAACTGAAGGAGTTGCCGGTTCGTCACAGAAGAAACAGCCAGAAGAAATCGCACTGCACAGATGCAATCGTTGGCAATTATCTACCTACCTCCATACATCAGAGGCGTCAAGCAAGGTGGAGTCACGTTGATGAAGCATTTAGCGAGGTTTGTCCTTTCTATCGAAATTCCAGTTCCACAAAACATGCTCCTATCACGTAGAGACTCTAGTATCTCCAGGGTTTCGAACAAGTCATGCGTATCAGCGCATAAACCAGACGGAGAGGGAGCATTTTCTGTCCCAAAAATTCACTATATTTGCGTACCGGGTCATTTTCTTGCACTAAGGAGTCTGGTACATGTTTTTGTTTCTCGTCCTATAATTTAATTATTTGCATTCCTTCTGTCCCCGAGCCGCATTCGTCAATCCAAGTGATCTCACATTCTGGAGCCGTTTCATGGTAGGACCCTCAACTACCTAGATCCGGTGCAGACAGTAACTGGTTGAGTAATCGTTCATTTCTCCACGTGTCCCAAAAAACTCAACAGCCAGGTTTCGATCGAGGTCATATAGCACCTCTTCATGACAAGACTTTAGACGATGCTGGCTGATAGGTTGGACTTTTGATCCGGATGTCGCCGTGTGAGAGTCACCGCTTTGTCAATAAGGGGTTATTTCCCCCCCCCCCCTAGCCAGCCTAGTCATCGCTCATCATGCTTATCTTCTTCTTTAACGGAGGCAACCCCTTGACACCGGCTGCAGGTGCAACTAGTCCTGCTTCATCGGCCTCCCGTCTAGCCTGCACGACCAATAGACCGGTATGTAGCTGCTTCTCGCGTACAGCCTTGACCACGCTGGTAGCTAGCGGGCCCAGGGTACGTGAGTCGTCGCGGCTCGAACTCCCACCGCCCAGGATCATGGAATTGGAGAGTGAATGGTCGGGAGTAGCGGCCGTACTGCGACCGAGGATCACGACAGTCTCAGCGGCACTGGGCTCCGCGATCGCTGTGGTCACGGCTTCAAGTCCTGAGATGTCGACGTCAACGACCGTCACACGTTCAGTCAAAATCTCGGGTATCGACACACGGAGGGTTTCGAACTCGAAGTCGGCGGCCATCTTGGGTGTGTGGACACCGGTCTCCTTATGCGACTCTTCGACCTCGTCGACGCGAGCGCTGAGAATCCTGAGGTCCACACATTCGTTCTTGGCAAGTTGCAGGGCAAAGCGCACGGCAAACAAGTCGTCCTCGCCGCCCTGGAAGAGCGCAAACAGCCGGTATCGGCCACTGTCCGAGAGTTTGAAGTGGATCGTGGAGTTCATCTGTTCGGCCAGGCTGATGCCCGTGAGTGTGCGGCTAAGCTGGCGCGTTGGGCGTTCTTGAATGGGTGATTCTGCGCTGCAGGCACTGGGACCGCACAACAAGCTCTTGTCGACGACCACGCCCACGTGGCATGTTTCGCGTGCCTTCTCGAACATCTCGCCGGCCAGTGCTGCAAATGCCCTATTTGCAAGCGGATCCCCAGGCTTGGCGTCAAACAAGCTAGGGTACTCGGACATGGTCCCTGTCTCGGACCATGGGATCAGGACTAGATCAGACCTCAGGTCGCGGGCACGCGACATCAGTGTACCAGAGAAGGAGTGTTCAGGGACGACGGCGATCTGCCCGCCAACCGCGATGTCGCGGGATTGGCCGAACGTGCCAAACGCTTGGATGATGGGATCTCGGCTGGCGAACTCTTCGATTTCGGACACGCGCATGACACTCGACTCTCGCTCCGTGAGCTCCATGAGGCGCAGTCCGTGGACTTGCAGAGGAGGACGTAACGTGAGGACCGAGGTCATGGCTTGAGCCTGTTTCATCACGCCTTGGTCTTGTTGAGGGGAGCCGGCGGGAGCATCAGATTTTGCGTGGTGGTCCTCCTCACGTTTGTGAGCGAAGAGAGACACCATGGTGAAGAGGCTGGGGAGGCCGTCGAGGCGAAGGTACACGAGGATGCGTTTGACCACATCTGCCTTGCGGAGAACGTTGGCCTCGCTGGCCTCGTCGGTTTCATCGTCGTGCTGAAGAGGGTTGCCGTCCCAGTCGATTTTACCTTGCTTCCAGAGTTCGAGTTTCCGTTGGTACCACGGCGGGTATAACCATGTGGTTAAAGGCGTCGTGGTGAAAGTGGTGACAAGCGCCATGACGACGAAGATCGTGAATGTGCGCTGGCTGAGGATCTTGGCCTGTAGTCCAATGTTGAGGACAATCAATTCGACCAGACCCTTGCATGACATGAGGCAGCCGATGGTGAAAGACTCCCGCCAGACAAGTCCATTCAAGCGCGAGGCCAATGTTCCGCCCGCAATCTTGCCGAAGAAAGCGATGGCACAAACTCCTACCACGTACCCCCAGGTTACCCCGTTATCAAGAAGACCCAGGTTCGTACTGAGTCCTGAGAGGGCGAAGTAGAGAGGCAGGAACAAGACACCAACAAGGTCTTCTAGCTTTTCGGTAAGTTTGATGGCGAATCCTCCTTCGTGAGGGGCCATGAGACCAATTATAAAGGCGCCAAAAATGGGGTGGATTCCAATAATGCCGGTGAAGAAAGAAGAGGCCAGGACGAGGAGGACGGTCAGAGCCACCACCGTCTGAGTGGGACCGTTCGCAAGACTTCCTGTTCTTCTGAGGAGATACATGAAACAGGGTCGGATGAGGAAGACGACGAACAAACAGTATCCGAGGGCGACGAAGAGGATCCACAAGGCCGTGAGCCCGGCTCCGGAATTGACCAGAGCCACACAAAGGGCGAGCAAGATCCATCCCACCACGTCGTTGCCCACTCCGGCAGAGAGCACGATGACGCCGACCGGGGTGCTGAGGAGCTTCAAGGAGGTCAATATACGGCAAAGGACGGGAAACGCCTGGTTATGGTCAGAAATGCTGGGAGCAGTTCAACCGCTCGCAATAACACACCGTGATTGCCATGGCCACCCCAATAAACAGCATATAAACTCCAAAGCTGATAGGTGACAACCCAGGGTCATCCCGAAACTCATAGTACAGACCCCAAGCAATGCCACAGCCGAGACCGAAAGGAATGACCATCCCCAGCGCGCCGACGCTCAAGGCTATCCGCCAGTTACTGGCCAGGAAACGCAAATCGACCTCTAGACCGACCAGGAACAAAAACAGAACCAATCCGAGGTTTGCAGCCAGTGTGAAGGCGGGCATCGATGCGGTGGGGAAGACGGAGTCCGTGAAGCCCGGAATTCTACCCATTATTGACGGGCCTAGGATAATGCCCGTAATGACTTCCGCTATGACGCGGGGTTGGCGGAGGTAGGCAAGCGGGAAATGGATGATGCGAGTGAAGATAATGACAATACTGGCCTGGATAATGAAGAGAATGATTGGGTTTTTAGGATCGTAAGTGGAAGGATTGACGCCCTCAAAGACACCGCCCTGGGGAGTTGCTCGGTTGGTACTGGAGCTGGCGGCTGTGCTGGCATTGACGGTGGTGGTGACAAAGTCTGTCACGGTAGCGGTCGCCATCTTGGACAGTGATGAAGAGATTGATGGCGAGATGAGTGTGGAGGAGCAGAAAGATATCAGGCTGGTTGAGCCTTATTTGGGGGGCGGGGGGTTTGTTCTGGGGATGGTTAGAGGCGGGCAGCGTGAAAGCGTTCCGCCTGACTGACGTCGGCTGAATGGTCACGTTTCAAGATCAGGCCATCTAAGGATGGATCATGCGGTGAACTCGACTGTCGCCATGTTGAAACTTCGACTTTGTCTGCAGCGGTATACAATAGATCCACCCCTCTAGCTTCCTCAATAACAACTTCTGATTCTATGCGACCCCGGTCAGGGAAGGAATTGGCGGAGTATTGACACCAGCATTAATGAATGATGCCTTGCCGGAGAAGGTCATATTGCCTAGCATGGTTCGGTCAGGTATTGGGAGTCGAGCGAGACTTGTTGACAGTTCAACCAATGAGTTTGCTAGAATCACTTCTTGTTTCCATGTAGTTTGTTCGGCAATCCAAGATGGGACCGTGGCATTAAGCGAGGCTCCTATCCGGCTTGCTGAGGAATGAATTGACAACGGCAGTGACTTCAGTATCACTCAAAGCATGCTGCGGTGTCTGTTGAGGAAGCCTCGCTGGCTCCGTTCAATGCTGTCGTACTCGATGAGAAGACGGGAGGGTAAAGGAGAGCTGCTTGGGGTCATGGTCACTGTGTGGTTATCAAATTGTTGCGAGGCATCATCCCGAAATACGAATGTCCGGTCCAAAATGACCTCCTAATGGAACTCCAATCTTTGCCTCGTTTTGACTGAACCAAGTTGATGAAAGTTCGTCGATGAACAATGGCAGTGGTCGATACTAATGAGGCGGTATATTCTTCGCTCATCCTTCGACGTTCTCCGCGCTCGCTGTCCACTTCTTCATGTGCAGATTGTACACGTATCAAGTGCCAAAAATTTTGTGTAATAATATTTAGCGGGATTTCTATTGGTATCTGTCTTCGCTGCGATGTTCCTTTTCGTGTTTGCAAGTGTAACAGCACGTCAAGGTCACCTCATGCCAGGGGATATATGTGTATTGCAGATGCGCACCACTTCTTCCTGGTCCGTCTGCATCGTCATTGAGACAGCGGCATACGCTACCTACCCCACCCATTCATAGGTGGCAGGACGTAGATGTCGATGATGTGCGGCTCATAAATCGTATCAAAACAAAGGGCGCATAATAATTTTACTCGTGCTTCTCAGTGATGTCGTTTTGATTTATGTGCCAGTGGGCTCGCCGAGGACGGTAAAGCTGACGGGCGTAGAGTACCTTGTCCAGAGGATAGAGGTGTCTGCGTGCAATACGCACAGACGTAAGCCTCTGGCCTACGCCGATTGTCCATGCCCACGCAAGATCTGTGCAACCACTTTGAGCATGAATCACTGCATGATATCAGATTAGCAGATGAAATAATATGAAGAGCGACAGTGGAGAGAATAGAATATCACAGGCGCTGAGATGCCCCAAAAATAAAACCCAAAAAATACTAACCATTGAACCATTGGCACGGAACTGTCGACGACAGAGGAGCCACACACACATCTCGTGCTCGTGTTGCTAGCAAGGCTCTCTCTATCGGTGCTCGGTGTCGCCAGGTCTGGGTCTGTGATTGTAGTCGGCGAGGCATTGTACACTGCATATTGACTTTGCTGTAGGGGCGGAGAAGAATGCCATTGTGCCGGGTTTGAATGGTCGCCTGGCGTTGAGGTGGACCGTGATCGGTCCTGGATGATGGCTCTTAGTGCATATTGAGCATTTCCGGCAGGTTCGTCTTCCATCAATGTGTCGTCTTCGATGGTGGAGCCCAAGATTGGTCGCTTTCGCCGTGCGTGGTGGCCGTCGGAGCCTCTGGTGTTGGTGAGGCTGGACGCCGAGCTCTGGTACGAGGATTGCTTGTTCGAGTTGACTGATGCCATCGTAGAATGAGAGCTGGTCTTCGAATGGCTGTAAGGTCTGTTCATACGGGCATGGCTTTGACGAGAAAGATCCTCATCATTCAAAAAGGCAAAGGAAATTTTTTGACTTCGAAGAATGTGAAAGTCTGTGTCGTCAAAGGATTCAGCGTCGCTCCCAGACGCGCCACCCAAATCCATATCATAATCGTTCTCGGCCATGATCGTTTTCGCTACGCCGTTCTCGTCAATGGCCAAGGAGAGTGAACCGCGTTTAGGATTTGCATTCCGACTGCTGGTCAGAGTTCGTGATACGGGATCGGCATTTGATTTGAGAGGGGAAGAACGTCCTGGTCGATTTGGCCTCTGAGGCTCAACGGGAGCTGGAGAATTGCGTCCTCCAACAGGACCATGTGTTTGGAGTTTGGGGCCTCGGTCACCTCGCACGCCCGTGTGTGTGAGACTCCTTTTGAGACCTGGCCTACTATCCTTTTTCGGAGAGACAGGTCGCCTCAAAGCCTCCATCACCGACCGTGTAATGGATGGCTGCTTCGTGTCTCCCCCCCGTAGGCGTTTCATTTCTTGCTCTCGCCGAGATTCCTCCATCTGATGTGCATATGCCGGCCGCTCGAGAACAGGATTGTGCTGGGACCGGCTTGTGCGTCGATCGGAGGGACCAAATCTGCGAGCAGGCGAGCTGAGAAACATACTCGGGTTCTCGACTTGTGGGAGAGGCATTCGAGGCGAGGTTGTAAAAGGTGCAGGAAAAGCAGCGCCGTCAATGTGAGAGAAACTTGACGAACGGGGCATTGCGGGCAAATCGTAAGGCCGGTCATCTAGGATAGCCCCTTGTGGGGTAAAACTTGGTCCTACCGTCGAAGATGCGAATGGGTTACTCAGGGCAGACGGATTGAATTGGAAAGGGTCTTGATATTGTTGAGACAGAGACGGCTCATGAAAATTGAGGTTTGAAGAGTCCCAGAGCAGCCCTTGATTGGGATATACCTGGGCCGTAGTTGGACCAGAGAACTGATGTGCGTACAAATCGGGGGAGAGCTGTAAGGTTGGGAAGAGACTCGAGGATGGTTGCATCGCTCTGCTTGGTGTTTCAGGGGGTCCCATAATGGGCCGTTGGTTCGACGAAGACATCGTGAGCTCTGTTGGCGTGGAATCTCCTTTGAATCCCTAGGTCTTGAAAGAAAGGCCAGCAAACCTCAAATTCAGACACTCAACGGATTGCTGCTGCTGGATCCGATGGGTAATACTCTCCCACTGCCACGGCCAAATTCGTTCGGGGTGTGTCTTGGGATCACTTTGAAGCCAATCGATGCTTGGAAGAATTGGATCAGGTTTAAGGGGCGTTATCTCTTTCGAGCATCGAACATCACAAAGAGCTTTTCGCACGTAAATGCTTCGAGCTCTTCTACCTCCTAATTGTATATATTCTTCCTCTTATGTTTGGTCAATAAACACTGCTGCAAAACCGGCACATGGATAGGAAATTCGTCTCGTCGTCGATATTGGATTGGGACGGGTCGTATACAAGGACCCGTCTGCCCTAGGAGTCTCTGGACATTTACAATCAGCATAGTTAATTTGTAGACGGAGCAACAATGAATGACCTTGGGTTTGGACTTTCTTGCGCTATGACCAGGATCCACTCCAAGGTTGATGTGACAGCATCCAGATTCCCCAAGTCAACGCTCCTACCACTTCTTAGTTGTTCAAAGACGACCTTGTCAAATTATAAGGTTGACTTCGACTCAGCCGTTCGGTTTCACATGTGACTCTTGCAATAAGACCCTTGGAAACCGAGTGGTGTCGAGGGAGGTTCGTTCTTTGGATGTGGAATGCCGTCAACGAAGAGCCAATGCTTCATTTGACCCGGAAAGGGAAAATGGACAAGCTGGACCTTTTCAGACGTCTAGTTTTCTCCCCATGATACATCTAGAGTCATTTCTAAGGCCCAGGACGTCAGGATCATGATTGGTCAGGCAGAATCAAGCACGAAGTCTGTAAAGAGCAGAACAAGTTAAGCGGTAGCATGGGTAGCCCGAGTTTCTGACAGGTACCAGGACCAGGCAAGGAGAGTTTGGTGGGCTCGACCGTCGACACAAGAACGAATGGACAGAAAGGGCGAACGGGTGACATTGTGGAGGTGGTTTTTACGAGGGGAAAAAAAAAAAGGTTCAAAGCCCTACCTACGGTGGCCTTGAATTGGCTGATGATGGTTAGCTTTTTCGGCAGTGGAAACACTTGCTACTGACTGGCACACGAGGTTCCAACCTGGCCGTCCTATCATTCAGCCGTGCAATTACGATAAGTTTCAGGAGGACAGTGAGAAGAGGCAATTCCCTACTAATAAAGAAGACCTTCTGCTTCAGATAGAACCCTCGCTACTTGGTGTGCACTCATTTCTTCTTCCTGGTCCTGGTCCTGGTCCTGGTCCTACTTCAAAGTTCTGATCTTCTTTCTCTCCCCGAGCTTGGCTGGCTTGGTGCCTGTCAATGCCGATGCCTGCTCCTGGGGATAGTGAGCACATCCTGAAGGCTCTAATCCACTTTTCGCTGCCCTAAACTTTCTTGAGCACATCTCTTCAAATTCTCCCCAACCTTTTTGTCTGTTTCCATCTGTGGGTTCATTCCAATTTCCACGCTGTGGGGGTTTCCGCTGCCGATCTCGAGGGCTATCGATACCATGGAGTCCCCTTACCGATGATGCTAATGTTCGGGGTGTCATCCATCAGAACATGACAGCATTACCCGCCAAAGACGTCCTTGATCCATGTACCAAGTCCCCTCCGCCGTGGACCGGCTCCTCGAGACTCAATTACTCGGAAGGTCTTCTGGACTCTCGACCACGATTCCAAACCGAAGGCGTGGATCTTGCCTTATATCCAATGGCAATTCGCCATTGGTTCGCCCAGTGGCTGTGTTCGAAAAGCGGGAGGATTATTGAGAAAGAGTTCGAACATCATCACTTCGCTAGGACTCCGCCACTGACATCTCCCCTGGCATGTGTCCTTGAACCCACCTCGTCATCTCCATAATATTATCTCTCCACACTTTTCATCATTCATCCTATCAGGTTTCTGCACCTTGACCGAGAGGCGGTTCTTCCCCATCGCGAGGGTCTGCGGAACACTAGACCAAGGTGGGCGAAAGAGATCATGAGTTTCAAGAAATAAAACTATACACACCGAGCTTCATCTCCCTCACTATCCTCCCCTTCTTCAATGGGTTCCACAATAAGATTTGCTCCCCTTCCTATTCTATCACCTATGGGACCTCCCTTTCCCAGGTCAAATATCGCCCGCGGCATGGGTGAAACTAGACGGAATCCGTATTCATGTTCGTAGTTCGTTGGTTCCTCGACGTCGGCGGTATCCAACGCCGAGCCTTCTCTGGACTTGACCACTTCATAGCACTCGACAAACGCATAGAGTTCGTCGAGGTCTGCCTCGGAACGGAATCTGCGGATAACTCTCTCACCGGAGGGCATACGAATACTGATTCGGATCGCGTCTTTCACCTCAGGACCCGGTTCACTCGGGAGTGACTGGGCCCGCCACTGCTTCCACTGTGCTACGATCTCTTTCCTCTTCTCGAGAGCCCGAGCTTGTTCTTGAGCTTCCCTCGCGGCTCGGGCAGCGGCCTCTTCTTCCTCTCGTCTTCGACGGGCCCGCTCGCGGTCCTGAGCTAAAGAGCGCTCGTATGCCGAATCCTGCTCCTGTCGCAGATTGCGAGAAGCCTGCTGCTCTGCTCGTTGGGCACGCGCAGCGCTCAACTGGGCCTGTTGCGCGGTCATGGCTGTGCCGAGCTTTGCAACGAGCTCGGATGCGGGCATCAGACCGACTGCACGCATAATCACCGTCATGGCAGAAGACCCAGACTCGTTGGTCTGGCATATCAAGGCTACAAAGGGAAACTTGGTGCATTGCAGGCTGCTAGACACCTGGTAGGCTTCTGAATCTCGAACGTTACCGCCCCAAAGTATCAATTCGTCTTTGTGGGAATCTAGGAAAGACTTCGTTTGACCCGACAGGAGTGTTTCGTGGACCCACGTGTTATTTTCGTCGTGACTTGGGGAGAGTAGAACCACGAGGAGGAATTTAAGATCTTTCTTCGCGTTGTCAAGAGTTAAGTTGAAGCCTGACTCTGAGAAGGGTATTGTATTCTCTCCATACTCTTCACTGAACTCTCGGGTGAACCTTCTTGCGTTTTCCCCTGGTGGCAGAGCTCTTCGTACAGGACGTGATTGTTGGTAAATTAGACGGTGAAAGAGGCGGATAAGAAACGAAGGGACCAGGAACCCGAATGGGGAGAGTATCGTCCTAGACACCCGGTATATCGAACTAATCATAGTGAAAAATATGGAAAATAAGAACGGAGGACGGTACTGGGTTTCGGTAGTGGCACTGGTATCAACTCTTTCCACGACATCTTCAGGGTGTCGACGCGGAGCAGGAGGTCGAGTCGATGCCAGGAAGGATTCATATTGGAGGTTGGCCGTCTGTCGAGCAGAAGTAACCGGAAGGGTAGAACGAGATTCTGCTACAGGATCTGTTGCTGATTCGCCATCGAAGAAACGAGCGATAGCGATCTGGACATTCCACTCGCATCTTTGTAGCAGGGGGATTGCGGCTATCGGATCTTGCGCAGTAACTGAAGTGTAAGTCTGCAACGCCTCCTGTTGCGAAGGGCTCAATTGAGAGATATCGGGAGTAGACATTTCCAACCAGGGCTGAGGAAGACTTGGTGGAAACTCAAGTGAAGCAACTTATTTTCTCGTTCGATTGCCTCCGCCTGTGGACAGCCTCATGGGAAAGATTGGTGGTTAAAAAAAAATAATAAAATGATGACTGGAAACTCTCACAAAATGTACATCTTTGGCAGTTCGAACCGCTCCGAGCAATGTCATAATGTGGGTAGAGGGTCAACAGGTGTTCAGTGCGGGCGCATAAGACGCGACACCCAAGGTATTTTTTTTCCCCCCTTCGTCACCAAGCTGGTTACGCACTGCCACAGGACCCGAAGTGCGGCGTCCGGCCTTGCCCTTCAACTTTGTCCCGCCCCAATCCCCAGGTCCTATCCATCACTTCACTTCGCCATCGACTTGACTTGACCTTTCAACTCCTCGTCGCAGGCGCCATAGCGCTTGAGTCCCATCCGCGATCCGTCCCAGCTGGTGACTTTGCCATATTCTTCCGTTTCTTCCTCGACATTTTGGATATTATTATATCGCCATGTACATTCCCTGCCTCATTGCCACAGTGATCGTCTAGCCTGGCCTTGATTCCGTCGCTTGCGAACCATTGTCTGAACCCCCTACGATGCGTTGAACCACACTGGACTCGCAGTGTCCCTCTGAACCTGATGGAGTCTTTGGCTATGTACAGTATCGCTCAGTAACCGATTATGGCCGCAACTCTCAAGAATAATGTCGAAGATACGAAGCAGACAGCTTTGTCCCCTCGACTCAAAGGTCGGGGTATGTTTGGACCTGTTGTGCGAACTTCTGTTCTGATGATTTTTCGACCTCTCGATCGAATGGTACCCCGGCTTGTTGAGAAGAGATACACAGTGCTGATACGTGGGTGATACTAGAAAATGCGAAAGAGACCTTGTGTCGGAATGTCACAATTTATGGGAAATGCCGATATGAAGACAAGGGTAGAAAGACCTCCATGAGACCTTTGGCTCGGGTCTAGTAGAACTGACATTTTCTAGGTTGTGCCTTTAGTCACAACATAGAGAAGGCGGCCTCTGATAATGGACAAAACGAGAGGTATATCTGCCGGCGGGGGGTTGATGTCGACATGAACACCGACTGATAAATCTCCTTTAGTCAATCCAAGAAGACATTGAATGTCGACTCGCCCAGCTTCACGCCTTCCTTTCTGTCTCCAAACGGTGCAAATGCGACGGTCAAGAAAACACCTGGCATTTCCCCCCAGGCGGCAAGCGCAGCCCCGTTCATGCCAAAGGCGATTATTTCCAGTGAGACTGTGTCCAGCATGGCCAATCCAGGTAATGCCGGTGACTTACCACTCATTCCAGGATCATCAAACGCGACACCTCTTCGTCAAGACGCTCGAACCCCGGATTGGGCGTTGGCTGATGTGCAGGAATTCGTTCCGCGGCGGGCTCAGGAGACCACGATGGTAGGTCAGAGGTCGATTCGTCCCATTTCTGTCGTCCCGTACATGGCCATGGTTTGGACTGTTTCTCACCTGCTGATGGCCCATTCTTTCAGACAAACGAGAACGAAATCCCCGTTGCGCATACCTTTGAGACATTCCAGCCCAGCCATGCAGCTAATCCATACCTCGACCAAGGCATGAATGGGGCTGCCTTTTACAATGCCGCCAATTTCCAGCAGCCAGTTGGTACTTCCCGGCCAGCCCGGTTCCGATAACTGATCGTCACAGGTGCTATATCACCAATACGCTCCAATTGGCCATTACAGCACCAACCTCGCCCCTTATCAGCGGACCGTGCATGATCTATTCATCCCCAATGATCTGAGAGAAGAAATCCAAAAGAAATCCGCTGCAGCTCTCCAGACTTTGCCCAGTATGTATTTGAAGTTGAACCCGAGTACAAGCAATCCTAATCTCCCCCCCAGATTCCCAACTGCCAAATCATATCGAAAGCTATCATTCCCTTGTGCCACTCGACACCAACCACAAAAGCTCCACCATCTTCGGAGGATATACGTCATGGATATATAAGGCACAATCAAGCGCCAATGGTCATTTCTTTGCTCTGCGAAGAATAGAAGGTGAAGCCTAGGGGACGATCGCGGTCGTTGTGGGTCAAAGCTAATACGTTACAGGCTTTCGTTTAACAAATGAACTGGCCATCAGATCCGGGCAAGCATGGAAGAATCTGATCAGTGCAAGTGTGGTTCGAATTGTGGATGTTTTTACGAACCGGGGGTTTGGTGACAGCTCTCTATTCATTGCAACAGATTACCACCCGCTCTCGAAAACTCTCCTCGAACATCATCACACGGGCCAGAATTGGACCCGTCCCGCCCGAAACAGCAAAGACCAGATCACAGAGCCAGTCTTATGGAGCTACGTAGTCCAGATTGCCTCGGCGCTGAAATCGATTCACGGCAGCGGTTTGGCGGCCCGAGTGCTCGATCCCAGCAAAATCTTGGTGACAGGAAAAAATCGCATCCGGCTCAACGGCTGCGCTGTGCTTGACGTTGTACAATTCGACAACAGCGTCGTGCCCCTCGCCCAGCTGCAAAGGCAGGATCTGGTCAATTTTGCTCTGGTGATCCTCTCCGTTGGGACGGGGACGGCAGATGCGGGCGCCAACTTCGCCCGCAGCATGGACTTGTTCAAACGGTTTTTCAAGCCTGAGCTGCAAAATGCGGTGGTGTGGCTCTATTCTGCCATGCAGAACCAGGACAAGACCATTGACCAGTTTGTGACACTAATTGCAAACCACATGATTACAGCCTTTAATGCCGCCCTACACAATGATGATAGTCTGTACTCAGAACTCAGCCGCGAAGTCGAGAACGCACGAATTGTGCGCCTCATGGCAAAGCTCAACTACATCAATGAACGACCAGAATTCGAACACGATCGCGCCTGGTCAGAAAATGGCGAACGGTACTACCTCAAACTATTCCGCGACTACGTCTTTCACCAGGTCGATGCGCAAAACCGGCCCGTCATCGATCTCGGACACGTTCTTACGTGCTTGAATAAATTGGATGTTGGGAGCGAGGAGAGGATTACTTTGATCAGCCGAGATGAGCAGAGTTGTTTTGTCGTGAGCTACAGAGAGTTGAAGAAGGGCGTTGAATCGGCCTTTCAAGATCTATTGAAGAGGAGTGGACCGCTACGTTAGGACTCGAGATGGAAGGATCACATGATGTGTGGAATTTGAAAGGCGAATTGCCGTCGCAAGCATATGACCATGACGCTGGTGAGTAGTTTGGTGGCGATGAGCGATGCGAAAAAACAGGTGTAGGAAGGCCAAGTTTTTCTACCAAAAAGACTGTACCCGCCAAGATTGCTTTTTGGGAATCTGTGTGTGGAAAGAGAAGGCCTGGATCTGAATGATTTGAAGATGAGAAAGACCGGAGGGAGAAAAGAAATGAGGCAACATAAAAAAAAAAAAATCCTAATCTCCATTGCAAATCGTCTGTGAAGGGTATCTCCATTTCCCATCTGCTGGTTGAATGCAATTTGGCATTCCGATCGTGGTGCACTTTTTCAGTGATGACTTGTGCGTGCCGTTTTAAGCTGAGTGAATCGAGGACATGGCCTTGGTGGGTTCTGGAAAAAAATATTTTCTGATGTCGTGGGTGACGCTGGATAGATCGTGAGGACGGACATCCAACTTTTACGCTCCGAAATTCTGTAGTTCGAGAGCGTGATTGGGATCTTGATCAGGGAACATTATTCTTCTGGAGGCTGTTGAAAAGGATTTTCGATTTCTTCGCTCCCGTCAACTGGTGAAATCAAGACCAGCAGAGTTCCACGAGCAACGACCAAGCCGAGCGGTCTTGTTGTCTCGTTTCCTTCATCATCTATGACCAACCAGTTAATGTCGAGATCCTGTGCCATAGGAGTTGTACCGCTAGCCTGATGGCTTACCTCTCATGGTCTCTTTGACATCGTCCAAAACCAGGTTCATTAATTGATCGTAGCCTTTGAGGGTTCCGGCAACTTTACATAGGTCAAGTCAGTAAATTTCTTCCCCCCCCCACTTATCCACGATGAAAATTGTAATGGCCGGAGACATACTTTCTCTTCCACCGTTGAATTTGACATTGATCTGTTTGTCCACGTATTTCGTCAAATCGAGTATATTTTCCTTCTTGGGCTTTTCGTGAGGTTGATTGGTCTGTGAAGAACCGCCGCCGGCACCTCGACCTCCGCCCCTGCCACCACGGTTTCCGCCATGGCCTCCTCGTCCACCTCCTCCACGAAAATGGCCTCGCTCGGACATGGCTTCACCAAACACTAAATGATGGGTGATTGGGTGTGGGAAAATTCGGTGTACTTTGGTTTTCGTGGGATGGGCTTGAGCCCGGAAATCCTCCGAGGCCAAAAAGAGACAAACGCGGTTTGCCTGGTGGTGGAAAAGAGATTTTCAGTGCGGACCAGTTAGAAATGAGGGGCCGCGGATGGGTTGTCCTGTCGTGGTGTTGGGCATGAAACGTGGCGGGGGTTGGGCTGCCGACACAAGTGAAGGGGCCGGGAAGAAATAAGGCCACAAGTCGTGACAATGGGTGACTTTGGTGGGAAAAAGAGGGAAACGAATTAACTAAGACCAGTTACACCGCGACTGAAATGACGAGGATCCAAGTCAGCGAGCCAACGGTGGGCGAGAATGAAGTGAGGGAAGATGGCGATACGGGTTCAAATGTGTGATTTCCGCCGGCGTCTTTTGGGATCGGGAGCTGATGATTGGGCGGAACGCCGCCCTGCATGGGTGCACGGATCTCCATCATCCCTCCATGGTATTTCCCCGAATCGGCGACGAAGAAGGTGGGCGAGAGAACAGGTTCGAATGAGGATCTGGTGTGAAGAAGAGGAGGAATAAGAAAGCAGGTCGAGGGGCAATACCGAGACCGAGAGCTAGGTGAACTTGAGAAGAAGCTGTGCTGTATATGACGGAGTGAGCTGCTTGCGTACGGAGAGCACTTCCGCTCACCAAAGACAGAAAATGAATGGCATGCCGACAATGGGCTGCTGGCTGCTAGATACTGTACCTGCGCACAAATCGGAGCATGTTATGACACCTGGGCCATGACAGTTAAAGCCAACTGAGGTACCAAAACTTCATCCCGCGCACACCACGAGACATATACCTCCCTTGTAACTCGGTAGGCCAATGTGTCCGAGTCCCCGCTGTCCCGCGCAGTGCTTCAGACTACAACAACTTGCAACTGCTTGATTAGTCCCCTACCTGCCGGACTAGTTCCAAGTAGCCTCCTCACCCGCCCGTCTCCGTACTCCCTGGCCATTTGTCCAAGCCCCGCGAATGCCCTATTCCTCCCCTTCTGGTCCTCCTCTCCTCACGTCGACCCTCCCCCCTGCCCACTGCGCTGCGCTCTGCCAGTAGTGTCTCTGGCTGTGCCAGTAAGAGCCCATCCCTCGCCCGCATCCCCCGTTCCTCTCGTCTTCGAGTCACTCTTTTCCCCGATCTCTGCCTCTTCTTAATTCCCCCCCCCTTTCGTTCGATTCCTACTTACCAATACCTGCTCAAACTCTTCTCTGAGCTGAGCGACAACCTTTGAAGATTTGTGGTCCATCGCCTGTCAGCGAAAGATTACCAGCGCAGGTTTTCTCGCGATCGACTCGTCCGCCGCCCGTTCGGCATCCTTCCCCTCTCTGATTCCAAACCGTTCGACACTTCTTGCCGCCGCCGCTGCCGCCGCCGCCGCCCTCCCAGAAAGCTAGCCGTCCTTCCCTCCTCTTCTTCCACCTTCCTCTCAATCTTTATTGTCCACATCTCTCATTCTTCCTTCGCGAAAGGCGCTGCAGTTTCGAGATATAGCTTTGTCCGCTTGGGACAAAACTGATCGAGGCTGGTTGAGCAATCCCTTTCTCGCTCTCCGGCCGACGCTACTCCGTCTCCCACAGAAGTTACCGCGACTTAGCTAAGCACGCGCAGCCCGAGCGCACCACAGCGCCTCGGGCACACCCTCATACTCACTACCACTTCCATGTCACCACGATGGAACAGTCGACAACAATGACTTCCGAACAATCCTCCTCGCTCAAGAGACCTCGCTCGCCTAGCGAGATCCCCCCCTTTCCCGCCGCCAAGGTCCCGAGGACCGCCACGAACCCGCTACAGATTAACTATCTGGCCCGACAACATAAAGAAACTATTCCGCTCGTTACTGTCAATGACAAGCTTCCAGAGATAGTTCGGCTTCTCAACGAATACGATGGGGTGATACAACGCCATGAGAGCATGGCCGGCAACTTGGGTGCATGTCCCCTCGGACCTATCTTGCTCAAGCGATTTGAAAGACTGTTCGAAGGCCCTCCCAGGGTCCTAAAGTCTCATGCTAGAGATTCCAATATCAGCTGGCTTGACGTGGTCGAGTTTGCCCAAAGCAACCCTAAACAATTCAACTTGGAAAGAACTCGCAATGGAGTGAGGGTTTGTCAGTTCTATACTAAGCAGTGTCGAGTTGAGATTTCAGAAGAAGACTACGTCCTCATCGCCAGCGGTATGCCGCAGAAGCTCATCCCCCCACAGCCAATCTTGGAGGACGAAGAGAAGGAACTCGGGGTCATGGATCTCTTGGATCGAAACCTCGGCCAGGTCATCCAGCTTGCTGATCAAGGTACATTGCTGACACTTCCTATCAGAACGTTATTTGGGACTAACAGGAGACAGTTTCTGGTCGAGCTCGACAACTGATCCACAAGATGAAGAATCGACGGACGGCCATCTTGAGCAGACGTGAGCAAGAAGCTGAGCTGAGAAGGAACAGTTTAAGATCCGACGGATCACCCATCTCGCCCGCAGATACCAATGGAGTCAACACGGGCAAGCCTGTTCGAAGCATCGAAGTCTCCCAGTCACCTCCTGTCGGATTTACGGCGGTCAATTTGAGGCAGACAGGAGAACAGGATCCGCGAACCTCGGGAGCTTCCGGTGAAATGACCAGAAATCACACCGATGATCTGTATGCCCCATCTAACACAGGCAATGTCACCATCCTCAACGGGAAGTCAATCAAGGACGCTTCACCCTCAGTGCGAGCCGAGATGATGAAGAAATTCCTGACACCAAGTGAACGCGAGGCTGGTTTGACCGAGGAAACTGTCCGACGATCCTCGTTAGAGACAGCCCGCAGTAATGCCACGCAGGGGTCGTCGGCCGAGAAGCCTCGTTCTCGGTCCATTGAACTGGCAAGTGGGAGCTCGGGGGGGAAAAATCCACCCACTGTGGCCATTCCCAATACTCCGGCATCTTTGATGCCTCACTTGAAGCCATCCACGTTCGAGAGGGATGATGGAGGGCCGTTCAAGTCGGAAATGGTGCGCAGAATGGACAACATGTGGAAAGGAGACCGGGTAATCCCGCCGTGTGACCGTTGTCGAAGACTACATATGGACTGCCTGAAGAATCTAACGGCATGTATGGGCTGCACCAAGAAGCACGCCAAATGTTCATGGAAAGAAGTCAAAGCGTCCGAATTGCAAATGACCGCCAAGTCAACCTCCCCGGAGAGGGAGGCGGCACCGGTATCTACAGTCCCAGAAAATGCGCCTCCATTGTCTGCCGGATCCACCATTGAAGTGACTCGGCCATCGAATGACTCGATGCGATCCTCTGACATTGCTAGCGCTTCTTTGGAATTGGCTGGTGATAATCCCGAGGCATCGAAAGAGGAGAGCCGGCATGACACAGACCTACCCCGAAAAAGTGAGCCTGTCCAATCTGGTACCAGCTCGGCACGATTCGATGTCCGACCACCACCATTGGTACAGCGCTCGCATGACGCCGCGGATAGACGATCCCCAACAGCTCCAAATTCAGTTGCTTCAACATTCTCCCATGACCAGGGGAAGGACCGCCATCACAATAATGATGATGACGACGACGACAACGGGGATCGATTACAAGCACTTGCGGCGCGTGTTTATCGAACGGCATCTCAAAGCGGACATCGATCCTAGGGGGAAAAGTGCCGCGCAAACGGGACCATATGTGGATATTATCCTAAGGTATCCGACTCGGGACATGCGATACAGAACAGAGCACTTCGGCACAAAGTAGTAGTGTTGCCGGTGTAGATGGGAACTCGGGTGTATTTCCCTCCAGGTATTCAGAAGGCAGAAGTATTCATGATGGACGCATGGACTGTTTTGATTGATTTAAGCATTGAAAAGTCTCGGGGACCGCAGGGAATCAGAGTATTATTAGCATTCCATAGTAGTGATCTGAGTACGAGTATCAGAAGCATCTTATGTTCAAGTGAATGGCCCGCATGTTCTGGCCAGATGGCTTGAAAAAGTGTCCTGTTATTCCTGCGACCACAGGTGAGTTTGCCCGTACACACCTGAGATGTCTGCGCGTTGCGGAATGGATTCCACCGCGGCGTCCAATGTACGATGAGAGTTTGTCATCTATGTCAAGTTCCCCACGCCGCGTCTCCGCCGTTTATAGGCGCGAGGATGGGGGAACCCGAGAGATGGAGGGAAGAGGGAATGTGAAACGAAAAAGGGAGCGTAGGCGACCCCCCTCCTCCTCAATTGTGGTGCATTTGCCGATATCCTGCGGGATTCGGATCGTGGCGCAAGACACAAACAGGCCACCGAGTTTGAACCATACGGAATTCCCGTCATCTCCTGACTGATTCTTCCGTAAGCGAATGTTTTCATTTTTCCTCATTTCGATCTTCCTATATTACCATCTGTCTATCCTTTTCGTACGACCAACTCTCGATCCCATTGCGCTTTACTACCCCCACCATCTCGGAAGAGGTACCGAGTACATATCCCCTCACTCACCGTCGTGTTCTTCAGCTCGACTCTCTTTCGTCAAGTCTAATTCTTTCCTTCTTCTGCTCTTGTGTATCGTTCCAAATCTCAAGATGGACCCATCACAAGTGAAAGTTCCACCGATGATGGATCTGACCATCGACAACATCACGGAGAACGTGGTCCGGATCAATGCCAACAACCCGGACCCGCGCTTCAAATACGTTCTCGAGCGCCTGGTTGTCCACCTGCATGACTTTGCCCGAGAAACCCGACTCAGCACCCAGGAATGGATGGCAGGGATTCAGTTCTTAACCCGGACAGGCCAGATCTGTACTGATGTGCGGCAAGTGAGTAGAATCAAGACTCCAAGGTACACTATATTCCTTCAGAGAGATTGGATATTCATATCAGATCGCCTGTAGGAATTCATCCTTCTCTCCGATATCTTTGGCCTTTCCCTCCTGGTCGATAGCATAGACCATCCCAAGCCTCCGAATAGTACCGAAGGAACCGTCCTGGGACCTTTCCATACCCACGAAGCCGAGAACATGGAACACGGTTCTTTAATGTCACAAGACAGTAATGGAGATCCTCTCCTGGTCCTCTGCACCATCAAAGATGTCAAAGGAAAGCCCATATCCGGAGTAAAGATCGATATCTGGGAGACCGACTCTTCGGGGAAATATGATGTTCAGCACCCGGACCGAACCGGACCAGACGGGCGATGTATCATGACCAGTGACGACGAAGGCATATTTTGGTTCAAGGCAATCGTCCCCGTGCCGTATCCCATTCCGCATGATGGACCGGTAGGCCAGCTTTTGAAGTTGCTACGGAGACATCCCATGAGACCTTCACATATGCATTTCATGTTCGAGAAGGAGGGATATGATCATTTGATTACGTGAGTTGCTCCCACAGCCAGTGGATTTGCGATACTGATACAAAGAGCTCTTTCTGACGGTTCAACAGAGCACTCTATCTCAAGAACGATCCTTATGAGACGTCGGACGCAGTCTTCGGCGTCAAGAAGACACTGGTTGTTGAACTCGGTAAAGTTGACAAAGCCACTGCGGACAAATACGGCGTGAAAGAGGGTACCGCTCTCTTAACATACGATTTTGTCTTGGTCTCAGATCAACAAAGCAGACAGCTCAGAGAGGAGAATTCTCGGAATGCTTTGGAGAAGTTGGGAAGACGAGTTCAGATTGTAGCGGGGTTGCCGGTACCAGAAGTCGACTAAGGACGCCGATTCAGGATTCCCGAAGCAAAGGATTTCAGAGAGCGCATTCTGTCGTCTGGTCTGATATTCTGCGCTGCATGTGCTGGCGCCTCCGATAGGCTGTCCATTCCAAACATGTAAAATAGTTCAATACATACCATTTCCGAATCTAAGGACACAAGAGCACACCCATTATAGCGTGCCTTTTTATCGCCGATTTATTCTACGAGAACCAAGAAGCATTCCCGAATTTCTTGTATTGCAGGAGAAGCGGAATGCAAATTCAAAATGATGCCAGAATCAATTGTCCGCCAAATGTTCACATTCCTTTCAGAGATGGGAACACTGTCATAATCTGAATCCAGAGTCAATGATTGGTAAACTCCTGCCGCTGTAGTTTTGCCCGTGACTCGGCAAATTTGGCGGTGGACAATTACGGCATCAGAACATCAAAGCCACCGGCACCGTCATATCTCATACAGTCCCTGAGAAGCATGAACATGTACTTTAGGCTGCCTCAGGCTGCCTCGTTCCTCATCGCAGGTAGATCAGGAGAAGCTTCGGAATCGAACACAAGCGCGCTCTTCATCGCAGCGGCAGCCCTTGTCGAATACTGATTTAGCAAGATGACAGAAGCCCAAGGAATCTCGTCGCCTTAGAGCATCAACCTCCCCCATTCCCCCTTCTCTCCTCACGACACCTTCCGTACCTCTGATTCGGACCAAGAGGACCCAGAATATTTTCTCCTCATCAAGTCACATACTGGGACGATCTCGGATGGACGGACACGTTTGGACTGGCCACTAATGACGCCCGCCAACGCGACTACGTGCACAGACGGAAGCTCGATGCGGTATTGACGCCTATGGTCGTTGTTAACAGAAGGAGCGTCGGGGTCGGGAATACATACGCTGACTTGTGCAGGGTATTGGCTGAAGAATGACAATGCAAGAACGCCCAGATTACAGTCCTCGCAGACGCGCAAGATCATATTGACAACCCTTCCAGCCTCCGTGTCCACATCGACGTCCCTGGAAGAATTCCAAATCACATACACGCCCTCAGCCCAAAACGTACGTATCACTCGCAAGAAAACCGTTGGGCTTACCCTTCCGCACCTCAACGTAGTCATGGACATGGGGAGACTTGGGTATCTTGAGCGTAGTTCGAAGGGGACATTTGATATCCAGAAACCGAGTGCGACAGAGAGTGGCATGGCGATAACGCTATTGTCATTGTCCAGGATGGACGGGGAGGTGAGGCTTTAGGTCCTGTTTGAGGCCACTATCTTTTCTCACAACGGGGCAGGAGGACATTCAAATTGGAGGAGGGTATATTGTTATTGGAAGTATCATCTAGGTCAAGAATGGAGTATCGAGGTCTTCTACTCTTTTCGGTGTCTCATGGATGATCTTTCTTTCCCAAGCTTTCAGCGGCGGATACACCCTGCGGAAATGCAAGCCGGTCTTCAACATCTCTAATCGGCCTGAGCCATTTGATTCTCTTGACCGTACGGGTCCATCTATTACTTCTACGTCCAGCCCTTACTGACGCTGTATACTCTCATTTCCAACAAATCACCTCACCCTGCCACCCAGCGAACCATGCATCTTCGCTGTTTCCCCATGCCCTCATCGCAGCCTTCAAGCTCTCCAGCTCCTCCTGATTCCTCAGAATACCCCATTTCAACCATTTCTCGCCAATCTCCCCCGAAAGCCGACCTACATGCACGTCTGCCCACCACTTCGCCTCGTCCGGGGCCGTATAGCACATGGCTCCCGCGCCTATGGACATCTTCGTCCGCTCAAATCCGGCTGCTTTTGCCCAGACATGAAGCCGACGCCCGGACTCGAAACCCTGCGCCCCTGTCGGTTTCACCGAGGCGGCCGTTAGAGCGTTGAATCGCTCCAACCCCTCGCTGGAAGGATACCACGACATCCCATCAAACTCGCGCATAGCTAGCATGCCGCCTGGCTTAAGCACGCGATGGGCCTCCTTGATCACGATCACCGGATCCGGAATATGGCAGAGCGTCTGATGCGTGTAGACGACATCGACAGAGTCATCAGCAAAAGACAAGCCATTTGTGATATCGCCGACTTGGAACGTTAGATTCTTGTACTCCGTTTCTGTGCCTGGCGTTAATGAGCGGGCCTGTTCGATGACCTTCTCCGCGGCGTCGATCCCAGTGACACGTCCTTGTGGAACCAGTGCACAGAACCCGCGTGTAATTGTCCCCGGACCACAACCAAGATCAAGGATGGTGAAATGCGGCTGAATGTGCGGAACCAGAAAGGCAGCCGAGTTCTGCACTGTTCGTGATAAATGTGATGCCACGACAGCAGCGCTATGGCCTTGTGTATAGGCCGTGCCAGACGAGCTCATGATGATCTAGCCACAATCACAGTCGTGGTTGAATTCTTTGATGAATTCAATTGCGGTGATCGACTTTGCTTTTTTTTTTGGTGTTTGGAGGAGGGGGGGGGGGGTTGGTTTTGGTTTTTGTTGTGGGGAGGAGGGGGGTTGGGTTTGCAAGAAATTGGAAACACAATGAACACGAGATATTTCCTCGAAGAAGGGCCTTGGCAAAAGAAGGTCCAATTCGGCCTTGTGATCCTGAATATATCCTTCAGACTCGTCTAGATGGCAATAAATCTATTGGTGTTCACCTCCAACCGTCTATTCGTTCAGTGGTAGCGAGAAAATGAAATTGGGAGGCCGTGGCGTGCTCTGGTTCTCGAGGCTCGCTCGTTGATCCAGCTTGAGGTATGAGGTGTGATCGAGGTGAGCATAAAGCTGAAGAGGATAGGCGCGCTGTGGCATGAATCATGACAATTGCCGGGCATGACGCAAGACAATACGAAGAAGGGTCAGTAGAAATATGCGTAGCGTACCTGTTTGGGCGTGTGAATAGAGTTGGGTTCCCACAAAGCTTGGGAAATGCTTTTTGCTTTTTCTCGGTTCGTGCTGTCAAGGGTCATTTCGGGGAACTCATTTGCACATCAATGGGGGCCCAAACATTAGTTTGACGGTGGCTTTTCACGTGCCAAAATGTTTCATGTAACAGATGGTAGACATGCGAGACCTGTCAACCAGTTCTTGAACGATTATCGGGTATCACAGAGCTTAGAGCATAGTTTGAGGGCAAAGAAAGGACAAGCATGTAAATTCATGTATCAATTCTCATTTCCTCTTGCTCAAGACGGGGGGATGAACAGCACGGCACGGGTGATTATATTGCAAGTGTCGATCAGAAACAGCGTTGTGTGTACATTCAAAGCAAGTGTACTCCAGCCAGGTCATGCCATGAGATTCATCAGTCCGTCACGTCAGAAAAGTCCAAGAATTTGGTTCTTTTTTTTTTTAAGTAAAAAGAAATACGAGATGGATACACGAAGTGAATATTTCTCCCCCCTTTTCGCGTGACATTTGCCGGTTACTATTTACCAGGGAAACCTCCGAGATGTGCATGCGAGTTAGAAAAACGTGTCTTCTGGACTTGGAACTCACTTCCCTCTTCTAATAGACAAACCCAGACACCATGTTCCCTGGAAAATATACCCCCATCATCCTCATGACTTAGTAGAGACGAGCAGATCGTTTGAGGGCGGGAGGATTGGGAGAGATAGTGATGTTGTTGGTGGCGCATTGTCGGCCGAAGGATTGGAGCCAGGCACCGTTGTCGAATTCGGCGTAGTTCTTCTGGATCTTGCCGTCCTCGTCGATGATCATTTGGTTGATACCAGTGACAGGGTAGGCATTAGGGTTGGAAAGGAGTCTCCACCTCCAGGTGATGGTGCTGCAGTCGTGCCAGATGTTCAAAGTCTGCACGCTGTAGGCTTCGGGCTGCATCACACCTTGGCCAATATCGAAGGCTTGCTTGGTGGGGAAGGTAACGGATCCCAGCTGCAAGAATGGTTAGCAAATGAAATGAAAACTCCCAAGCGAAGGGAAACTTACCGGGAAGCCAGCCATGAAGTTGATCGAGTCTGAGATATCAGAGAAGTCGGCAGCCAAAGTAGCATCAGAGACATTCTGGTGGTAGCCGTGACCCGCCGGGATGCCTGCAGCTGGGTTGCCGGCATAGGAAGTGAACAGCAGCAAATCAATGAAGTTGTTGACAATGGTTTCAGCCAGGTCATCATCCACGACGCAAGTTGAGGGAGTAGCAGAAGCCGAGGTGGTTGATGAACAAGCACCGGAGGTGGTCTTGGTAACAGTGAAGGTGGAAGCGGTAACAGTAACGGTGGTGGCAGTGGCCGAGCCAACGGTCACGGTGACAGTGGAAGCAGTTGCAGAGCCGACGGTCTTGGTGACGGTAGTAGCGGTGGCACCTCGTGAGACAGTCACGCTGACAGTCGATGCAGCAGCACAGGTACTAGAGCCGTGGAGAGTGACCGTGCTGGTCACGGTGCTGGCCGACCTAGATCCCGAAACAGTTACACTGACGGTGGAGGGAGCAGCGCAGGTGCTGGAACCGTGCAGAGTAACGGTTTCCGTGAGAGTAGTAGGAACGGCAGAACTGCCAACCGTCTTGGTGACCGTGGATCCTGCAGCGCAGGTGCTGGAACCTTTCAGAGTGATGGTGTCGGTGACGGTCGCAGTGCTACCAGGACCACCGACCGTCTTGATGACGGTGCTGGTTTCGGTTTCAGCAGCAGGGCACGTAGTTCCGGAGACAACAATGGCGGTCGAGCAAGCACTGCCAGTGGGAGCGACGTAGACGGTCTTGGTAGTGGTGGTTGGTGCGATGGTGGTGGTCTTGATCGCGGTGAAACCGAAGCATGAGCAGGCACTGGTATAGCCAGCCTCGTCGCAAGCGCTGGCATAATTGGGGACCTCGTTGGGGCAGACGGTCACGGAGGCTCGCTTCCACGCTTCATCCTTGGACACTCCGGTAAGGGTCTCGGTGACGGTAATGGCAGGAGGAGTAACGGTGGTAGCCAAAAAGCTGGCGCAGTGAGAAGCGCGGAGGGAGCCATCACCAAGGGCAGCCTTGCCTGTCACAGCGGCCAAGCATGCATTGGATGTGCAAGCACGTCGCCATTCAAAGGGATTCGCCAAAGCGCCGCTGACCAAAGCAGTCAACGGCAGGGCAATTGATAAATATTGCATAATTATTGTTGGAAAAAAAAGGATATTTTCAAAAAACGAGTGGCTAAGGTCAAAGACCTTGGAAATCAAAGAACGACCTCAAAAAAGAGTGGATGACTGAAATGTCAATCAAATGGCGATGAGGTTGGAACAAGCTGGGAATGGACAGAAGATCATCCACGAAAGAGGGAATGGTAGAGGTTCTTTATGTCGGCCCTGTTGTCGCGCCATGGTCGATCAAAACCACTATGGCATTCTGGTGGAAACAACCCCAGGCAGCCACGTGACGGTGTCAAAACAGTAAGCTAATTTACAAGCGATGCTTTAGTCTGGTGAGATTGCTGAAAAAGGAGCTGCACCATGGGGATTACTAGACTCGGACGAGAGAGCCGCTCGATTCCTCTTCCAGTTTTGTAGAGGATGGGTCGCATGGGAAACTTTACGAAGTGGCGTAGCTCGAAGGCCGCCGGCACTTGTCAACTGGCAGATTGATCAGTGATGCGTTGGAAGCTTGACAGTTGAAGTGATCGCCACATCCGAACTCCATGTCCGTTCTCCATCGGAAAAACGTGGAAAAGTAGGTTTTATCCAAGGTATAGAGGAATGGTCATGGGAAGCAATTGGTGCAGGATCAAACCCCTCTGGGCCTGTCGGATAGTAGCGCGCATATTTGAGAGCCCGATTCTAGAGGGGGGGAGAATGCCCAGCTAGTTGCTATCTGCCAGGAGAAACATCAAAGAATGGCGTGCTTTCAGGGGAGTTTTTTAAAAGAGGGGGAAGGGAAAAGGAGAACTAGGATAAAGGTGTGTGGATCTTGCGGCCGATGGGCCCAGACAGGCTATGCACCCCAGGCCCGAACAGGCAACAAGATCGCCAATCAGCGGTCGAGATGCCGGCTTGGGGCTGAAGCGCCCGAGGATTTTTGAGACCGTGGTTCAATTTTGCAAACCACAGCTGCCCGGACCTTTGCCATGTTGGGTGTTGTTCTCGTGCCGCGCCTCATAGTTGCAAATGTTTTAGACACGATAATCTGTAGGGCACATTGACGGTTTCATAATCCAAGGCTCGACTCATCTATGTCTTCCTGGGCGTCTCCCATCGCGGACTATCCACATCAATATCCTCTAGGCGAAGCTGACATCTCGATCTGTGGTGCTCGACATGACTTTGCCCGACACCTGTGTTGCGTAGCGGAAAATATATGTCGTCGTCGCTTCTACGGATCTAGACCCTCCGTCCGAACGCACGAGTTCGTGTTCTGAGGGATATCACAGTCCACATTTCTGTGCTAATGCAAGCGCGTGCTCTGAGCCCTACTGCACCTGGTCCGAGGAACAATCGTTCTGGACTGGTCTCCTCGTGGCTGGGCGGGGGAAATTGGATCCAGAGGCTTGAGCGGGCGCTAAACCAAAAGGTGTCAGGCACTAGAGCCGGGAGCCTCAACACCAATGCCCCCTCTGTTTCGGTGTCAGCACGGCCCAAAGCTTTTTTGGCACAAAATCCCCCTTTTTTGAAAACGGGCCTCGAAAATCGTGATTGCGAGGAATTAGAGGATGGATCGAGTTGAATTTGCTGCAGTCAGCCTGAGGTTGCAGGAAGTCTGCGGGAACCGCATCCAACACGCTGGGTTTGCTCTCTTTATCAGGATTAGCCTCAAACATCAAGCAACAGCCAAGGCGGGAAGCCAAGACCAAGCCAACCAACAAGACGCTGCCGATGCGCATTTCAGACTAAAACTCTGTCTTGTCTTAATTTCCACCGCAACCGAGAGTCAGAAAAACAGTTGAAGAACCACTTTCCCGTGTCTGGAACGGCCACGGCCTTGCTCGCTTCATCCATATTTAGCAGTGAGCTGTCCAGTTTCGGTTCTTCATAACGTCACACCGGATTCCTTTGATTAATCAATACCACCAGACCCCCGGTCCACGTGGTTGGTTCCATTTCTTCGCACTCTCCGAAATACCAAGCATCAATTATTGTTCTCGCCATGCGATAAGTATTGCACGCTCATGTCCAGGGGCATACCTCCTTTTACACAGCCGCCTGACATGGGTTCAGGTCCAGCGGATGCCATATTGCGCCATGGTAGGTTCCGGTTTCATATCCTCGTTACATTCCTTCAATTCCTTCGCGCCCGTGTCCAACCAGAGATGGTGCAGTGTACGATTTACCTCAGCTCTATCAAAAGCCGTCAGCATCTGCGCTCCTTCATGCTCTGGGCCTTCTCTCCTCCGATGCGCCCAATTTTTCCATCACCAACAATGTCAGCCGTCGTCCGGTAGAAGAACAAGGCGTGCCAAGATATCTCACCTCGATTGTCTCATCCAGCCTAAATTGGATTGAAGATGAGGCTGTCAAGGACTCCATATGGAACGCTGCAAGTACCCGGTTGAGCGAGCGATCGGGGAGAAATGCCATGCCTCCCATGACTCGATCATTCATCGTTCAAGGTGATCTCACCGTCAGCCTTCATGAACCTTCACTTACCGAAGACAATTTGGGACTGAAGACGTGGACGTCCTCATTGATGCTATCACGCCGACTAGCGGAGTTTCGTAGGTTTATTCCACATCGACGGCCTCGGGTCCTGGAATTGGGAGCCGGAACAGGGCTTGTTGGAATTTCAGCGGCCTGCATTTGGCACACACATGTCCAATTGACTGACTTGCCGGAAATTGTCCCAAACCTCCAACGGAATCTCGAACAGAACCGAGGTTTGGTTGAAAAGAATCATGGCAGCGTCGATGCTCGGGCATTGGATTGGGCTGACGAGATAGACCGTCCAAGTAACGACCCAGAAAGATTTCCTGTTATTCTTGCGGCTGATCCTATCTATTCTCCTGAACACCCGGAATTGCTCGTGAGCACAATCCGTCGATGGATTTGCCGGGATATTGAGGCTAGGTTCATTGTGGGGCTGCCGCTCCGTGATCGTTACGAGGGGGAAAGACAAGGACTACGGGAAAATTTGCAAAAGAAGGCATTTGATCTTATTGTAGAGGGCACAGATTCTGGTTTTGATGATTGGCACGATCAAGACGGTAATCCTGCTGAAGTCGTGTGCTGGTGGAGTGTATGGAAACCCTCGGATCTGGCTTAACCGGAGTGGCTTCGGAATACCAGAGCCAGTCTCACTTCGTAGACCAGAAATCGAGAACGATTCTGGTACGAATTATGATCCAGGCCGATCCTGGCGCCATCATGTTCCGCATCTCTTGCAACGTCCCCTTCCCTGTCGTCCGGATTACTCGAGGCTCTTCAATAACATTGTGCCATCCTTCGGACATTTCGGCCCTTCTTCCATGGAAGCTGCTGCCCCTGCCTGGTCTTCTTGCTCGGATGCTGCTGTCGATTGCAGGCCGCCCTCCAGCGTAAGTCTCATGTGTTCCATCCTATCTCAAATTTAACCCACGCCTGCATCCGCTCACAGGGACATCAATTTTCAAGTTTCACGGCTTTTGGGGGTTTGCGCCGGCTGACGTCTCATCTATTTGGTCAAGTTCAAACTGACTTTACCAGAAGTTCGCCGTTCGCTTGGGGGGGTTTCTTCACTGTGCTTTGAGCCTTCGTTCCGCAGGGTCGTATCTGTCGATCGTGATGCGGAGTCAGCAAGTGGAAAGTCTTCTAGAATGGAGCCTCCAACACTGTTCTCCTGACGGTGATTTGCTCTATACAACAGGAACCAACGTACTGTAGCAGTTTCTCAATCAAATCCACATGTGTCATCAACATGCGCCGGCAGCAGTATCGTTTGGCGCCAACCTGATCCATCGCTTCACTGTTGCCAGAATGCACCGTTAGAATGCGACGACGCTCAACTTCATGAATTTATAGGTGGTCAAGAACGAAAATTTGAGTTGAAGACTGACCCATCGGCCATGCCACTTTCAAGCAGCTTCATGTATTGCTCCCAAATGTCGGCGATGACCTGATAGGAAGCACCAGTCAGTTTTCCGTGAAGGAGAGCACCCCGTCAGAGGCATCTTACCTTTCCGCACGAGAAGCAGCGTATTGGGATAATCATTCTGCAGGACGCACACGAAAACACTTGGAAGCGAATTTATGAAGTTTCTGGCAAAAAGAGGATGGACACGCCTTGAAATTCCCGCGTCGATTTACCCTGCTTGGTACGGCTGCGGCAAACTTACCAAATATGATTTCTGCGGAAGGAGAAAAAAAAAAGTCCCACTTCTCTGCGGTCTGCGCCTCGAGACTGTCGCTTCTGCTGCGAACTCCAATGTCAGAATGCCCCAATCGATGAAACGCGATGTAGACACCGCTTTTGAAGGCGCCGTACATGGTAGTCCTCATACACCCAAACGCCAGAGGAAAAGAAGGCGACGTACGAGCGAAAATGGGCCTACAGAGGGTAAAGTCAACGCCGAGCCTGGTCCTACAACGGCGACGCCCGCAAACATCTGCCACCAAAAATCATCGGAGATTGCAGCATCACAATCTCCTCTCGAACGAACCAGGAAAAGGAAGAGGTTTAGGACAAAAGGATCCGTGAAGGAACTGTCTCCCAAGAGCGGCAAGCCGCATTCGCTGAAAGGTTCCAGAGAAGACAAAAAGAATGCTTTAGTCAGGACGAAGACGAGAACGAAGAGAAAGACAACGCAAATCGAGAAGGCAGGATTGAAACGAGCAGATGTCAGTACCCAGGGCTGGTCGCTTTCTCCAGGCAAAGGCGGCGTCTTCATTGAACAAGATCCTCTCCTTCCTGAAGATGGCCAGCATTTGATTCTCCCAACACACTCGGAAGTCCAAGTATATGCCACTCAAACATCACTTCTGGTTAGAAGTTTCCATACAGGCAGCAAGTCAGACATCACCAACTGCACCCTTTCACAAGCAGACCCCAAGAAGTTGTATGTTTCCAATGCAAAGGGTGCCCTGTCTGTTTGGGATTGGACGACAGGGGTGAGATTGGGCCGGTCAGAGATTGGTAGACCAGTGCAACAGGTCCTGACGTTACACTCGAATGGAGGGAACGAAACTATTCTTCTGCTTCGAGAGGAAGGGGAAAAGCGCAAGTCTGCCGCTGTCTATACCGTCAGCACGTCTACGCAAAAGATCTCAGAGGGCCGCACAATACTTCAGAGGACCGGTGTTCAGCTAAGTATCAAGTCGTATGCCCAAGGAAGTGTCTTGGTTGCTTGTGCGGATGACAAGCTCTTGGTGGGACAGTCTCAAATCCTCCAGGATGGCAGTTTAGATCCCTCTTATACATGGAGAGAGATCACGGTTCTAGGATCTGTGACGAGCTTTGACGCCCAGGTCCATTCCGGAAAATCTAAGAGCTCCAGGAAAGTCCCTTTCTTGGATGTCGTGATCGGTCTCAATACTGGAGTCATTCTTCAATATGAGGATATTCTGTTCAAACTTATCGGAAAGGAGAAAAAGAACTCAGCCGAGGATATACTGGCCCGCAAACTTCACTGGCATAGGACCGGAGTCAACACAGTGAGATGGTCTCGCGATCGCAATTACATTATCTCTGGTGGTAATGAGACCGTCCTCGTTATTTGGCAATTGGATACGAACCAGAGACAGTATTTACCTCATCTTTCCACTTCTATCCTTGGTTTGACGGTATCAGCTACGGGGTCGGCATACGCCTTAAGATTGGGTGATAACTCTATTATGGTCTTGTCTACGGCCGATTTGCTGCCGTCAACGAGCGTCAACGGCCTCGCATTGGGCGACGGAAAGCATACCTCGTCGTCATTGGTACTTCACCCTAAAGTGGCAAGTCGACTGTTCGCAGCGGTACCTGCTAATGCGGTTGCGCCGGGACTGCGACGAGGTAAAAGCTCGACGCTCCTACAGGTCTACGACTTGGAATCAAACCTTGAGCTCTGTCGACAAGCTTTGACCCGGAACATGACGACGGCCCTGAATGTCGGACCCGCTGGCCAATTTGTGAAAGAACCGAATGTGACGTACATTGCCATCAGTCATGACGGGAAGTGGTTGGCAACCGTCGATGAATGGCAGCCAAATAATCAAGACCTGGAAGCCATGTACATCGATAACGATAGCGGCGAGACGCGCGGCGCAGCAACTGAAACGCGACTTAGGTTGTGGATCTGGAACGACGACGACAATAACTGGGAACTGGTGACTCGAATTGACGAACCTCATGAACCGGGACCTTGCTCCATCCTTGGTCTCGCCGCCAATCCTGCCAAGGTTGAAGTTGCTACAATTGGATCAGACTCCATGATTCGTATCTGGTCGCCCAAGGCGCGTCACCGAAATGACATTGCAGTCAGAAACTCATCCGGTGGGCAGTTGTATACTTGGACGAGTTCAAGAACGATTCCATGCGACCACAATGCAGTGGGAGGCACCAAAGCAGCCACGTCGGCTGTTATAGCATATTCAAACGATGGATCAGTCATAGCGGCCTCATGGTCCTGGCCCGGCACTCCGTCTCGATTCGTCCATCTCGTCGACCCTGCAAACGGCAAGATCTGTGTTTCCCATCCTGATCTTCTATCAAACGGCGACGCCAAAATGGCATTTCAGGGCCGACATCTGTTGTGTCTTTCGGGGAATTTCACCATCGTTGACACCTTGACCTGTCAGACTACGGTGTCGATCAACCTGGATCCCGATTTTGTCGCACCAGAGAGCCATAGCCAAAGTCATCTCGCGACCAACAAATATGATGGCACAGTTGCGATAAGCATCTCGCGGTCTGAACGGCCCCGAAGTACCAAACTGCTCATCTTGAACCTTCTTGGGCCCGAGCTGAAGGTCATCTTTGAAATATCGTTCCCGGGCCTCGTTAAGGCCCTGCTCGCACTCACTACGGGTCCAGGATATTTGGTCATCGACGAAAAGAATAGATTCCGACAACTGCGGCCTGCGGGCGCGGGAAGGGCGTCTTTGAATGGATGGACTGCGAGGAAACAGGACTCGGATCAAGTGATGAGGAGTCTGGAGAATATTTTCGACCGAGCATCGGGCTATAACAATGACGATGATGATGGTGGTGGAGCCAAAGGCTCACTCGCAGCGGTTGAAGACGCTCTCCCATCCGCCAGCCCGGGTGGTTTAGATGCAGCGCTCAGGATTCTTTCGTCTGCCCAAGCCCCTACTCCAGTTGAGTTGTTCCGGCGAGTCGTTGGGGTTCTGGGAGGCAGCCGAGATGATATGAACTGACCGCTGTCGGAGTAGACGGCGGAAAGACAGGAGAGTGGGATGAATGTTCCATGGGGATGTGGATATTGATGGGTTATCGACACTAAGCTTGTGAGATGACACAAATGGCACTCTAAGTCAAGCTTCACTGTCGCATATATTAGAGGGACTCATTTGTCACATTCCCCGGTTGGGCTTATTCTAAGTTAACTTCGGACCATTTATCACAATCAATAAAAGCTATTCTTCCCCAGGCATCAATCAATTCTCACAACCAATAAGATTGCCTCAAACCCTTTCCAGAGACGCGATCGTATGAATCGCCTAGTTCGCCTTATCGTTTCTGAGTCCGAGTTGGGCATCAAAAGCCCCATGCCGGTATTATTCCGGAGGAATAGCCTTGGATTTCCATGAATATGATTGCTCATGAATAGGTCGGCAGAGCTGTGTTGGGCATTGCATATGCAGTGCTGGGTATGCAAATTGTAATAAGTAATTACTAAGTACAGAATGGTTGTTCTGATGCAAGGCCAAGCAGGCCCTCTCAGTGCATGAGTGCTCATTCTTCTCCCGTGAGACCGCGACCGAGGATGAATAGTACTCCCATCGTCCTCCTCGGTAGAAATATTCACCTCCTGCTCTTCTTCTCTTCTCCTTGCCCTTCCTCTATTTCTTCTCTCCCAACGATCTGAATCCTACTTTGTTGTGAATCCCTCCACCCCATAAACCAAAGGACAACCTCGTCACCTCTTTTGGGTCCACACCACCACTATCACCACCTATCAAGGCTGTACCGACTTTGCGCGAAAACGAAAGTCTCAAACATCACTGCAAATCACCACCATGCCCCGTCAGCGCAACAGTAATCTACCCCGCTGAGGTGGACGCGGCCTTTGACATGTCCCACTACCAGTCCAAGCATATGCTCTTGGTGAAAGAGAAATGGTCCTCCCACAGCCTCCAGGACTGGAAAGTCGTCGAGTTCACACCGATCCCAGACGGCAGCAAACCATATAGCGTCGCTTGCTATCTGACTTGGGACTCGTTCGATGGCCTCATGTCGGCGTTGGCTGGTGAGGATGGCAAGATCGTCATGGCTGACGTCCAGAATTTCAGCAACAAGACTCCGCTCTTCTTGATGGGTGATATTGTCTGGAGCTGTTAGTGAGCAACTTGAAGGATAAAACTCCAGGGCAACCCGGGGGGCCGGGTGCCGGGGGTGGGATTGCCTTTTGTCGCGCGATCTTTAGGTGGTACCTGTTCGACCGTAGTTTGAAGAGGAAGCGGAGTCTGCCGTGATTGCTGTGGCTATCAGGTAGTCATCAGTCCTGGGACTGGTGTGTTGGAAAGAGCAAGAGATACTCGAAGGCGATTGCAATCGCTGTTGACTAAAAAAAGAGGAGTTGCCGACCGAAAACAGGAACTGTAAACCCAACTCGATCTTTCAGTAACAAAAGTGTGGATATTTTGGCTGGCTAAACAGCTCCACCACTCGCTTTTTAAGTTGTGTGCTGGTATGACTGGCTCCCGAAAACTCTTCTTGTGGTACATTCTTGGAAGGGTCTTCTCAGAGGTGGAATTCCGTGCGAGGGGATTGACGAATGACCCTGATACCTCTTGCTTCTTCCACGTTTGAGATCCTAGTTATTCTTATTTTCCGCATTTTTCTCATCTTGCTCATCCTCCATCGTACCCTTCTCGCCGTCCATATCTGTCTCTTGTCCTTCAGCTCGGCCGTTGTTGCGCTTTGCCATTAACGCTGACTGCATCTCCTTTCGCTTTTCCTTGTGCTGGAGTACTCGGTTAATAAGTTGTTTTGATTCAAGCCCGCCATCCTTGAACATATTGGCGAAGGATTCGACCCCGGCATCAACGCCAGAAATGAGATCGGATTCTTCCCATAGCCGGACCAGACGCTTCTGCGCTTTCATGGCCTGTACGCCGCTGAGGCTAATTGCTATTTGGTCCTGACGAATCAGCTTGTCCCAGATTTCTCGATTGTGGGTAGCGAGGCCGTCAACTAGACCCCATGAATGAGCAGTGGTCGCGTTGATGTTGCGGCCCAAATAAACGAGCTGCTTGGTTTTCTGCCAGCCGATGATGTTTGCAAGCAGCCTTGCTTGAACAACGGAAGGGATCCCCAGCCTCACTTCCGGCATACCAAAGGTAGATCTCCGGGTAGCGTATCGGAAATCACACGATGCGGCAAGCTCTAAACCTGCGCCGAGAGCAAATCCATTGATGGCCGCGACTGTTACTGCATCCAAGTCACGAATTGCTTGACACGCGTCTTTGACATTTCTGATGTATCGTTCTGCCTCGTCGGGAGCGCGCAGGGCTTGCAGCACGGAAATATCCGCCCCAGTACTGAATGCCTTTGTAGATCCCACTGGGGTATTAGCACTCGACAGAACGACTGATTGAACATCTTCCCGCGAAGCCAGGTGTTGGAAAATCTCGGTCAACCCCACAAGCATCGGGGTTGTAAGAGAGTTGAGTTTGCGACTGTTTTGAATGTAGACGAAGGCCCTAGTACCTTTGTATGCAGATAACACATCGCATCGAACACGTCCTCCAGGATGATCGATGGTGGCTCCTGCCGGCCTTATCAACTGCTCTAGTATTTTGGATCCAATTTCGGGCTCTGTGGATTTGTCCCGGCGGAGTAGTAATGAAGGGGGCGAATTGCTGTGTTTATTGTCCTGAGGAGTTGGTCGTCGGCGGCGAATGATGCTGGTGAGACTGAATGGGCGATGACTAAACGAAGTTTGGATGCTTGATGATGTGCTGGGCAAAAGAGCAGCTCTCATAATGCGATGAGGCCTCATATTGATCGCCGAGTGAAATTGGGCTAACCGTTGTACGGCTTTATGTCAAGAGTGGAAAATTTGGTCGCGGACTGAGTGAGCCGCGTCTTCTTCCGTTCCAGCAAGCCCCAGAACGGAGTGAATGGTTCGTGTATTAATTTGAAGCCCAATGGAGATGGCGTTGATGGTTTCTTCGTGTGGTGAAAAAGGAGTTGTAGGGTACGATACTTTATCAAATAGTGGTGGGTTAGTAGTATTTTATTAGAGTATTTTGCGTCAAAGCCATGAAAATGACCCAAAACAGTAAATCTCGAAAAGGAGTTAATGATCTCGGGGGGTCATTTTTGTTCATCCAGAGTCGACCACAAGGCTCACGTTGGGTGGTTCTTAAAAGCCTCATCAACTCATGGTCTCTGATAGCTCCCTGCCGGGGCGAGACCTGTTCCTATTTCTACGCAGAGTCGTAATCTCATTCACGCTGCGGTATAGGATGACTGTCAAACCATGCAGACGCCCACAGCAACCTCTCAAGATTGTTGTTAGCGATCCGAAAAAACCGGGCAGACTGATGGTTGAGGTCACTCCGGCGCAGCTCATGCAGCAAAATTCCCCTCCGACGCAAACCCAAATACACTCCGGCCTTCTGCTCAAACAATTCGCCCTCTCTCCGGCTCCATTGTGGAACACAACTCAATTTTCCCGCGCTATCTAGCCGACCCTGACATATTTTTGACGCGCAAGATACGGGGGGAGGACAACGGAAAATATCGTGATTGCATGGTCAAGTTTTTGGGATGCACTGGACTCATCCAGCTCTTTCGTCAATCGCGACCCATGAACAAGGTTGTTCAGTGTCATGATTAACAACCTTAACGGCCCCGTTTGCGGATATGCTTAAGCGGTTATTAAGCCTGGCACTTTCGTCTAATTTGGTAGTGCGTCTCGAACGGGTTGTAATGGTGAGACGGGAGGGTTAAAAGAACTCGACGTAGATAAAAAGGGGAAGAAGACTATATGGCATTCCATGCGATGCGTGGCCGGAAGGGCCGTGTTTTTCTTCTACACCGCTGCCCAATAAAAATTGCCTCCTCTATGATTGCGCCGTCTCGACCAGACCGGCCATATTTTGTAATTTTCCCGCTTCCAAGTAACAATGGTCATATCCTCCTCGGACTCCTGTCCGAGCTCCGTCTCCAAAATCTGGGATCTGTCAATCGAGGCCTGCAAATGTTCTTCAACCACTGGTTCCTGCACGTCCAACCGTCTAAGCGGATGTTGTGAAAGTTTCAACATTTATAAATCCTTCGATAATCGCCTGCTGCGTGTGAGCCACCAGATCTATGACGAAGTTCGTCCATTGGTGCGCCGATCGCCGAAGCGCTTCATCCTTTGCAATGGACTCTGCTTGGAATACTTGTTCCTCAGTATTAAGGCTCGGGATCGGAGGTGGATTCAGCACGTGCGAGTGAGGCTGTATGTGGGCAATTTCCACTCGGATAGCTTGAGTGACGGCAATGGACGAGAACTATTGCAGCGTGGGGAATCCTTTGGTGGTCCATACGTACAGAGTGCGTTGAAATGCCGTGGTGTAGGGTCACTGATGACTGCAATGCCAGTGAGAGACATTGAACGAGACGGCGCAGGACGAAGGACGTTGTGGGTAGATCTTACCCTATGTCCATAACGGATTCGACGGACCTTGCCTCGACAGAGCCGTCCTTTACAGATATCTGCTGGGACCTGCAGGCATCCGGTCTATCTCACGTAGAGAGGCTAGCGGGGCGCCGAACACTGAAATATCTCTGCGTGTCATGTTAGAGAAGAGTTCCCAATGCAAAAGGCCTGCTAGAAGGAGACTGAAGCTGCTCTAACGCGTCGCGGAGCATTGAAGGCGGACTAGAGGGCACGAGGGTGGAAGGTTCTTGTTCGACAGAGTTCTCGGTCCTTCCATGAGGATCGATATATGCTCACCTTTCCGCGTGTGAGACTGTTAGACGAGGAATATTGGTCCCCTCGGGGAATCACAAGACATCTGCTGAATATGGACGCAAGACAGGACAATTCAAGCTGTGGGAAACCAGGATGAAGAGACCCCTTGACGCATCGGAAGTAGGAACAGCACTGCGAATGGGACCACAGAATGTTTTGCGGGAGATCATTTGCTTGGACGGTGCACGCATGGTACATGTTGAGCATGGTCGCTCGTAAGAACCTAAACTCCCTAGACTGTGAAACCTTGTTACAATCAATCAATACGTGTCCCCAGAAGACCGTAGCCTCCGCTGATGCATGCTCTGAACCTAATAAACTCAAGGATTATTGAGCAGGTACTCTATAGCCCCATTCACGCTGCCGCCGGTTCTCCGGAGTGCCTGAATGTTGCGATCGAAATCATAGAAGCCCATCTCATTGAGTTGCTGTAACTGATTGGCGTATCGCTCTTCAGGTGGGCGGTTGTCGGGCGGAGGGTCCGGAGCTCCAGCACCAAACAAATCATTTCCAAACAGATTGTCATAATATGGAGGTTGATTGCCTGCGCCCATTGCTTCCATTGCTTGAAAAAGTCGTTGCATCCCGTCTGGGTTTGCGGCGAATGGATTGTTTTGAGCATCAAAAGGATTGCGTTGGTCGGGCGCAGGAAACAAAGCAGGATTGAACAAGGCTTCGAACGGATTTCGTTGCTGTGCTTGTTGCGGTGGTTGTTGTTGATTTTGTATGTTGGTGTTGGTACCCTCGGTCTGAGAAGTGCCATTATTTGGTGATGTGGGGTTGGGCGTGGGCGCGGTTTGATTTTGGCCTGGAGGAGGTGCCCCGAACAAGACCGCAAATGGATTTGCTGGCACGTTGTTACCTCCAGCCCCTTGTCCGAAGGCACCTGGCTGCCGTGGCAATGATTGCGGACTCGTTGAAGCACTCTCCGAATTACCTCCTTCTGTCGTGTTGGTAACCCCGGGGGCTGGAAAGGCGCCGTCTCCACCGGCACCTCCAAACGGGTTCATGCCTAGGGCTTGTTGCATTTGCAACATGGACCGTAACGCCTGCGGATCCGTCATGACTCGCCGAAAGTAATCTGATTGTAGCATCCGTCGCACTTGTGGGCCCATGGCTCTCAAATGTGGGCTCTGGTTGATCATCATATCTATGACCTGGGGATTATTCATCGCTTCTCGCATGATTTGCTGGAAGTTGGGATCCTCCAGCTGTCGCAAGAAATCTTCGGGAGACTGTGGATTCTGAAACATGCTGGCATCGGGTAGCTGGGCAAATCCGGCGTATCTGGCACCAGTAAGACCGGCCAGCGGATCATTTCCCGTGCCGGAGGCCAAATTCTGCGGTACTCCTGTCGCTGGAGGCACAGCGGTGGACGCGGAATTTAATGGAGAGGAGGATTGCGCTGCGGGGTTCTGTCGCTGGTTGCTTGCCGCACTCTTGACGAGATGCATGGTGTTCCCATCTTTAACGTTGTGCGACGCCAGTGTCTCATGATCTTTCAATACTTTCCCGCTGTAGATCAAGCGTTGTGCCGAGGCTGGAACGTTGGCATATTCTTCCGTGGCGAGTTTGTTCTTCAAGTCGGCGGCGGTGGTCGAGAGAGGCAGGGTAAGAGTGTACTTCTGGCCACCGGACGATTTGATATGAAAGGTGACGGTCGCATCATCCGCACCAACGGCGTCGGTCATGATTGCGATTTCGCACAGGCAAGTCTGCGGGACTTGATCGATGACGGTTTGCGGCGAAAGGATGAGGTGTTGGTAGATAACGATCAACTCAGGCTGCGAGGCCGAGGTTTGACTGATGACTAGAAAGACTAGTGATGCGGGAAATGAAGATGCGAGAGAAGAATGATTCTATCTTTCAAAATAGAACAGGGAAGAAGATGGAGGAAAATTGGATGAGGTGATTATCGAATGGTGATAGTGGTGGTGGTGATGGTCAGTAACAGAAAAGACGAGGTGTCGCTGCCAGTTGCCAGTGTCCGTGTCAGTCGGGTCGGGCTTTCTAGTTTGGCAAGCCCTGCACAAAGAGGTCTAACCTTCGGGCTAGGAGCGATCTAGTGTTGAGATTTGGTGTTGAATCTCAGAACGTGCACACAGGGTGCCACCTGAACTCCGTCTGGTGCCGTTCGTCATCCACGCATGGCAATTTATGCCTCTCGCCGGCCCAAGTGGTCATTGCTACTACCTAATAGTCAAAAGGCGGCGAGGGGACATTGGCGGCGGCTTTGCCCCTCGGCGCAGTTGCCCTATCGGACTCCCAGGCTTGGCTTCATTGCCGCGTGGGAAAATACAAGTGTGTACGCTCGAGTGAATACCGGTTGCCCAAGGGCGTTGGACTCTCAGATCCTCTACTTCCCTCTTCTGTACACCATGTTACACATACGTCAACTGTGAAATGTAAGACCGGACTGCCAGCCCGATATCCCGCCTCTCTCCTCGCCTCGTTTTCGTCATGGCGACAACGAGCTCCATGTTTATGTACAGCTTGACTATACAGCCACCGTCAGCGATCACTCAAGCGGTGTTGGGTCAATTTGCCGGTACCAAAGAGCAACAGATCATCACAGCATCTGGCTCGAGGCTCACCATCCACAGACCCGACCCTACTCAGGGCAAAATCTCCCCGTTGTTCACCCAAGACTGTTTCGGTATCATTAGGACTTTGGCAGCATTTCGATTAGCTGGTAGTAGCAAAGGTTGGTGACCCTTATTCTTCCACGGAACGGGAAATTTTTGACTTCCACTAGACTATCTCATCGTTGGCTCCGATTCCGGACGCATCACCATCCTTGAATATGTCCGAGAACAAAACCGATTCAATCGTGTGCACCTCGAAACCTACGGCAAGTCTGGAATTCGAAGAGTGATTCCTGGTCAGTACCTGGCCGTCGACCCCAAAGGAAGAGCCTGCCTTATTGCATCGGTGGAAAAGAACAAATTGGTCTACGTCTTGAACCGAAATGCTCAAGCCGAGCTAACCATTTCTTCTCCACTGGAAGCTCACAAGCCCCAGACATTGGTCTTCGATTGTATAGCGCTTGACGTCGGATACGACAATCCCATATTTGCCGCACTGGAGGTCGACTACACCGAGGTGGATCAAGATCCCAGCGGTCAGGCGCTAGAAGAGGTCGAGAAGCTCCTCGTCTTCTATGAGCTTGACTTGGGTCTCAATCACGTGGTTCGAAAATGGGCCGAGCCTGTCGCTCGAACCGCGACAAAATTATTCCCGATTCCTGGAGGCTCTGACGGCCCCAGTGGTGTCCTGGTTTGCGGAGAGGACAACATCACTTACCGGCACGTAAATCAAGATGCCTTTCGTGTGCCCATTCCGCGAAGAAGAGGGGTCCTGGAAAACCCCGAACGCAAACGACATATTGTGGCGGGAGTGATGCACAAGATGAAGGGACAGTTTTTCCTGCTCCTGCAAACCGAAGATGGTGACCTTTTCAAAGTGACGATAGAGATGGTCGAGGATGACCATGGCCAATTAACCGGTGAGGTCAAAGCTCTCAAGCTGAAATACTTCGATACGGTCCCCGTGGCCAACAGTCTACATATTTTAAAGAGCGGTTTCTTGTTCGTGAGCGGCGAAAGCGGTAACCACCAATTTTATCAGTTTGAAAAGCTTGGTGATGATGACGACGAGACCGAGTTCTCTAGCGACGACTTTCCGGCCGACCCCACGGAAGGCTACTCACCTGCATTTTTCCACGTACGGCCCTTGTCTAACCTCAACCTGGTGCAGAGCATTGATTCGGCGAATCCACTCATGGATTGTAAGGTCGCCAACCTCCTCGACGAAGATGCCCCTCAGATCTATTCAATTTGTGGCTCCGGAGCCCGCAGCAGCTTCAAAACTCTCAAACATGGCTTGTCGGTTTCCGAGATTGTGGAGTCGGAGCTTCCAGATAAGCCTGAAGCCGTCTGGACCACCAAATTACGCCGAGATGACGAATATGACGCCTACATTGTTCTCTCTTTCCGAACCGGCACCCTTGTTCTCAGCATTGGCGAGACAGTGGAGGAAGTAACCGACACCGGATTTCTCTCGACCGCTCCGACTCTCGCGGTGCAGCAATTGGGGGAAGATGCCCTAATCCAAGTCCATCCCAAAGGAATCCGACACATTCGGGCAGACAAACGGGTCAACGAGTGGCCTGCCCCTCAGCATCGCTCGATTGTGGCGGCCACCACAAATGAACGACAGGTGGCGGTGGCATTGAGCTCCGGTGAAATTGTTTATTTCGAGATGGACACTGACGGATCGCTGGCCGAGTACGATGAGAGAAGAGAGATGACTGGTACCGTCACTTGTCTCAGTTTCGGCGATGTTCCAGAGGGCCGTGTTCGAAGTTCTTTCCTTGCCGTCGGTTGCGACGACTCCACTGTCAGAATCCTGAGTCTCGATCCAGACTCGACCCTGGAAAACAAGTCGGTCCAGGCATTGACGTCGGCGCCTTCGGCTCTGTCGATCATGGCTATGGCCGATTCCACTTCCGGTGGAAATACTCTCTACCTTCACATTGGGCTCTATTCTGGGGTTTACCTCCGGACAGTCTTGGATGAAATCACCGGAGAATTGTCTGATACGAGGACTCGTTTTCTCGGGTTGAAACCAGCCAAGCTTTTCCGAGTCTCAGTCAAGGGCCAGAACGCGGTCCTGGCGTTGAGTTCCCGTCCGTGGCTAGGATATACCGACACCCAAACCAACGGCTTCATGTTGACACCGCTCGATTACGTCAGCTTGCAATATGTCTGGAATTTCACTAGCGAACAGTGTCCTGAGGGGATGGTCGGTATACAAGGGCAAAATCTAAGGTAAGTTTTTTTTGGGAATTTCCCTTTCTTAATGCACGTTTCCATGATGTACTCAAATCTATGCTCTTTCCGACAATCGACGATTGATGCGGACCCAAAGCTCTTAACCAATTGTTCCTTCTGAAGATCAGTTATTTCGCATTCAATTTTCAAGGCGTTCATTCATACCCCTGACCGACACTTTTCTGAACTCTTATTAGGATATTCACAATCGATGACTTGTCCCGGAATCTCCTCCAAGAGAACATTCCTCTTCCCTATACCCCTCGAAAATTCATCAAGCACCCTGAACATCCATTGTTTTACGTCATCGAGGCAGACAACAACGTCCTTGCAACGGCCACTAGGAGAAGACTGCTGGCCGAATCTACCGCGGTCAACGGCGACGCGGTGGTTCTACCACCAGAAGAGTTTGGGTACCCACGAGGAACTGGTCATTGGGCGTCCTGTATCCAGATTGTCGACCCTGTTGTGACCAAGTCTGTTGTCTTCTCACTGGAACTGGAAGACAATGAATGTGCCACGAGTATTACCGCCGCTCCGTTTGCTGGGCAAGATGACGAGACGTTCTTGATCGTGGGTACCGCCAAAGACTTGGTCGTCAGCCCCCGGTCATTTTCGGCCGGATTCCTACATGTGTATCGATTTCACGAAGATGGGAAGGAGCTTGAATTCATCCACAAAACCAAAGTCGAACAGCCCCCCACTGCCCTACTCGCGTTTCAAGGACGTCTTCTGGCCGGCATTGGACCCGACTTGAGAATCTATGATCTCGGCATGAAGCAAATGTTACGAAAATGCCAGGTTCGGGCCACGCCTAATCTTATTGTCGGCCTCCAGACCCAAGGAAGCCGAATCGTCGTCAGCGACATTGAGGAGAGCGTCTCATACTGCGTGTATAAGTTTCAAGAGAATAAGCTGATACCCTTCGCGGACGACGTGATTGCTCGATGGACGACTTGTTCAGCTATGGTCGATTACGAGACGGTCGCAGGCGGTGACAAGTTTGGCAACCTGTGGCTCCTGCGATGCCCTCCCAAAGCCTCGGAAGAAGCAGACGAGGATGGCTCGGGGGCCCACCTTATTCACGAAAGACAATACCTCAATGGCGCGCCGAACCGACTCAGCCTTATGGCACACTTTTTCCCAGGTGACATACCAACCAGCATCCAAAAAACCAACCTTGTAGCGGGAGGCCGAGATGTTGTCTTCTGGACGGGTTTCCAAGGAACACTGGGCATGTTAGTTCCATTTGTCAGTCGAGAGGACGTTGATTTCTTCCAGGCTCTGGAGATGCAACTTGCATCGAGCAATGGAAATCCGCCTTTATTGGGCCGAGACCATCTCATCTATCGATCCTACTATGCGCCGTCCAAAGGTACAATTGATGGTGATCTCTGCGAAACATACTTTCTCCTGCCCAACGATAAGAAGTTTATGATTGCCGGAGAGCTAGACCGATCGATTCGTGAAATTGAACGCAAGATTTCGGATATGAGGACTCGAGTGGCGTACTGATTTGCCGGTTGCGGCGCTAAAATCACACGATGCGATTTTCAAGAATCGTTGGTGATTGATTATGTCTTCTTGTCTGGAAAAGAAAAAAATGGGTCTGAATGACTTGCTGCGATACCCCTAATGCGATGGGTGGCACAGTACGAATTGACTTTGATTCTTCAACCCCCGTTACCCTGAATGAAATCTGGTCTGAAGAAACTTTTTTCGTGGCTTGTTCTTCTCGATTGCTTTTTAATCTGGCCCCCCTCTCCCCTACCCGTCATATCTACTCGATCACGTCTCCTACCTCGCTCGATCGAACGCATTCAATCGATTGATCTTGAGCTGGATGCTATCCCCACTCTCTGCACGCAGAGAGATGGTCTGGCACGAGACGAGAGCAACCCCATCACTCTTGCTGATCTTTGAGTACGATTCCATCTCGCTCCATACGGTGATGTGTGTTGTAATTTATGCGGCAAGACATTCCTTGTTCTATGCTCCCCAGTTCATTCTCGAACGAATCAAGGCGGCGGATTGAGATCCAGACCCTCCACTGTCAGCTTGAACGCGTCCGGACGTGAGTAATGCCCGGCGGCATCGAAATCCAGGTGTCCTCGATCACAATCATCGAAGTCGACTACGGCGTACAGGAGCTCTCGCTCCTTTTCCCATACGGGGCCAGCGATAGTCTTGCCCATAGGACTGACGATACAAGAACCTCCGACCGACGCAAATGTGTCCCCTTCACCGCCGGACGAGGCGGCGTTGGTTTCGAGAACTACGGACTCATCAATCGGAGCGTCCTTGCATCTCCAAGCGATTTCATGATTTTCTTCCGTCCGTGTCGACATTGACAGTCGCCGGCCTCCAGCAGCAGCATGGCTCGTGGACCCATTTGTCAATGATTCCAGCATTCTCGTGGCGTCCTTGCCTTCTCCCTGCGACCGGGTGATCCAATTCGGCAAGTTCTTCGTCTTCATACACTGGTTGGCAGTAAGGACAAAACAGCGTCCTTCAAACGCCACCGTTCTCATCAACGGCTCCCAGGTATCCCGAGGATCTGCTGTAGGTGCCAGCCACAGATTTACACCCTGGCTATAGATACTGTGCCGCAACAACGGCATATAATTCTCCCAACAGATGGCACATCCCATGATAACCCTCACGCCTTTGATGGTTGCAGTGACCGCTTTCAGTGTAGAAGGTTGCCCCTGCGCCCAGACCAGCCTTTCGGACCCGGTAGGCATGACTTTTCTTCTCTTGCCAATGGTTCCGCGCCTCGGGTCGACGTACACCGCGGCGCAATAGAGACTTCCACCTGCTTTCTCGACAACGCCGGTAACAATGAATACACCTGTCTCCCGTGCCACATCTTCCAGGTATTCCCTTGTTCCGTCGCCTCGCCGACCCGTCTCCTTGTTGACAGGCAATTTGCCCTCGATCCAATCGTCCCCTGCTCCGATTGGCGTGTCTCCCAGGTCAACCGCGGATTTCGAGTACGCTAGGAATTGATCTCTGCCGGCATCGGTACGAGATCCGACGGTGGCACCAAAGGAACAATTCCGAGGATATCCGCCAAGGTAGGCTTCGGGGAATAAAATTATCGATATACCCTTTTGAGCGGCCAGCTGCGTGGTTTCACGAAGGGCGCCGAGGGTCAATTGAAGAGAGGAGAGCGTATGGGATTGCGAGATGCCTATCGTCAGGAGTTGAGGCATTTCGAGGGACGACGCGGGGATTGATAAGTTTTGTCAGAAGATCTGCAGATGTTTTGAACTTTGTCATTGTTGACCTGCACTAAATGAATTGTACTCGAATAAAATAATCATTGGCGATACAAGGCGAGTAAAAAGCGCTTCAAGCTCACGTGCCCGCTCACTCCTCCTCCGCCGCTTTAACGTCGTCGCACCCTCCTGACTTCCACTGACCTTGCCCGTATTCTGTCGTCGTCTTCCACGCCCGCCTCTCGCACGCATCTCTACGACAGTCTACAAATAGCAACAATAAGGGGTACCCGTTCGGGTCCACTCTACCTTTTGCATATGGAGGCGCGGCGAGTATATATTTAGCCTATTATGTCTTCGTTCCTTATCTACCCCATTCCTTCGCACTCGACTGTACATCGTACACTAATACGAGGTCAACCTCAATCGGGCACCCATTTTCACTGAGAACACCATCGCTTGAGGCGCAACTGTACCTGGATCATCTCAATCCGGGAAGTGTGGTCATTCCTCACAGTGCCAGTAGCATTTTTAGCCTTTTCATTGTACTCATCAACAAGCTCCTTCGAAATTCACACCGCTTCTTCTCACAGCCCATCCTGCTCGCTCTGACACGAAGCTCATTGAAACGGCCGATGCTGAGGGAGCGTAAGTTGGTGGTAAATCAAGATCAGGTCAGACAATCTTGACCTCCATGCGCCGTGCTGCCTGAAACCATGAAGCGAAACAGAACGAAACTCCAAGACGAGAGTATGTTGCTTCGCCCGGAACCGCTTGGAGCACGAGGCATGTTCCCTGTCCACTGTTTATTCGAGGGTGCCATCTTTCAACTGCAATGCACACTGCCCGCCGGCCGTCGACCGCTGCAGGCACGTCTAGTTGGAAAGGTTGTCTACTAGTACTGTGAGAGTTAGGTTCACCACTGTGGGCACGTTCAGGATTTTCGTCATCGCCGGCGGCCGTGTGGTTCTCGTGTTTGCTGGTGTCCAGAGCTTTCTTGTTGAAGAGTGACATGAACCGCGGGTCCTGCAAGGATCAGAAAAGCCGCATCTACAGCTCCAAAGCGATCCTCGAGGCTTGTCAGAATGGTTTGGACATCCAACACTTCTGCAACGACTTCGTTCGCATAGTGCCGGCTAATGTGAGCTTCAATTCGAGCACGTACAGCGATCCACGACCACGACGGACCACAGTATTTCTCGGGGCGGTGGGTCTGGGTCTCTCGGGGGGCCGCCCGAACTACTCGCCACAGCAGCCGTGATGGGAATTCATGCCTCCATAGCCCGGCGCAATACTCGCCCAGTTCGGTCGAAGCAACCAGTCCAGCAAAACCAGACAGGGCCGGTAGCCTATCCCTCTCGTCGCGTAGTGCGTATGCGGAGTATGGCTCCACCACAGATTACCACAGCTCAACCCGGGAAGTTGGAGTCACAACGCGGCTAAGAGATTTCAGCGTTTTGGCCTTGAACGTCCCTGAACGACCTTGAGCTTTGATATACTTGCACTCACAATCAAGATTTTCTCCACACTCAAAGACAATCTCCTCGGCTGAAAAGTGTACCACTCTTTTTCCAAGAAGTCGCTCCTGGAAGCACCAGGCTCGTTCGAACAATGGCGTTGTGTTGAAACAATAGGGATCATTTGTCAAGAAAGCATCGTGAGAAATGGCCTCATTTACATAAAGGTAAGACCTCTTGCGTGGATGAGTGTCGTGTATGGTTATTCTTTGCGCCCCTCGTCGATCGTGGAAGAGTCCCGCATCGCCGGTACTCCCTCTGGTCGCAGCAATGACAACTTGTGCCTGGCTATCCCAGTAAACCTCGTTTGGAACAAGGCGATACTCTGAACAATGAACCGACATCTTCCACAACCGGCCGTTGCAGTCTTCTGAAAGTCACAGAGTGTAGGCCAAAACGTGTGTACTTTACTCTGGGCGACCACGTCCGTACACGAGCAAATTCCACGAAACATGATGCGGTATCGGAATCCGTCCCAAATATCCCGGCCCCTGAAATAAGCGCTGAATGCCCTCTCTGCTGCCCATGCAGCAGATTCTTCAAATCGGGAGCTATCATTGAATTGTTTCCAGCCTCGGACGCGGTACAAGTAACCGACGAATGTCTCATTTTTTTCCTTGGTAACAGGCGTGTATCTCTTTTCCTGAAGCTGTTCCATTGGTCGGCAGTGATGTGCACCAACCTGGGAGCAAGACCATCGAGGCCGGGAGAGTGTGTGATATACGTATCAGAGCTACTGGTCGTCATTATGACCACAGCCTGAGTAACGGGCTAAATACTGCTTCCTGAATAGCGAGCCCGTTAGTTCGAGAGGCGTGCACGATCGGCTAGGTTTTGAAGTGGATAGCTTTTAGTATGAGAACGACTGCTCCAAGAACTCTTTCTTATTGACAATATTTCGATGTCATGATGAGTAGGCTGATATAAACAGGTTCGTAGACGTGTCTGATCGTCCTCGACAAAGGTGTGAAGGATTACATAAGGTCACGTGAGCACACATTGGCAGCAGTCCTGCAGTAGAGTTGGTGTCGGCCAGTTTGCCAAGGCGAGGCTATCTCACGCGACTCTTGGCATAAGGCTCTGTGATGCAGTATCACGTGCCAAAAAGTCCTCGCACTGTAATATGTGGCGACGCCAAGGCTTGTAAAGACCGTCGGAAGGGTTGTACGGTTCGTGCACGCTTCGAAGTATAGAGTCTGACGGTCCCATGGGCCCCTTCGAAATAGGACAAGTCCTCCGTAAAATCACAGCTCCATGAAATGGACGAACGCCCTGTTCTCCTTGTCATTAGTGATGTGGAGCGCGAAGGGTCGGTTATAGAAAGGTAGCGGATTCTTCCGCGGATAAACTATAATAGACATAGATTTGGTACCGGCACTTAGGTTGAGGATGCGAGCTGTGTGTACATATCCACATCTGACATACGAAGGAAGCGTACCTAGCATACTAAGACTGAGCATATGTATCACTCTGTACATGCGCTTGAGTCGGAAATCAGGCGAGAGTCTGGTAAATACGGTTGTAGAACATATCACGGCCCATGTAAGATAAGCTTAGTGATACACAGTTCAGAAGGAATACAAAACGTCTGACCTGGTAGCCCATTCTCTCAAGGTTCAGTATGACTCCGAATCACCGTCAGCGCACGGGTATATATAACCGTCGAGCTGTTGCACAACATTCTGAATTCTGCACATAGACAAAGAAGAAAATGGCGCAAACATGGGATAGTTCACGGTGGAAATCCTGCAAATACATTGCTTCTGGGTCCTTTGTTGAAGGCAATGAAGTAAGTATCCACTATATCCGCTGCGAACCACCTGAGGGCACGAAGACTAGGGGGACTCTCCTGCTGATACATGGTTTTCCGCAAACCCACTATCAATTTCGACATGTTATTACTCCGTTCGCCAACGCCGGATACCGTGTTATTGCGCCCGATTACAGAGGAGCCGGGGACTCTTCGCATCCTCATGACGGCTTTGACTTTGTTAATATGGCTGCCGACTTTCGTGCAATCATCCGTGATCATTTGAAGGTTGAGGAAAAGATTCACTTGGTTGGCCACGATACTGGTTGTGGGATTGCACACGCATACGCCAGCCGCTACCCCGATGCCACCGCCTCCTTGGTTTGGGGTGAAGGCCCCGTTCCCGGTACCAAGATATATGATCAGATCATCCCTGCAGGATTGGGTGGTGGTCTTTGGCACATTGCCTTCCATTGGCAAAGCGACCTGCCCGAGCGGCTGGTGCAAGGGAAAGAGCGAATCTATCTTCAGCACTTCTTCGACATGGGTTCGAATAATGCGAAGTTTCTAACTGACCAAGACCTTGACGTATATGTGGGAAAGTACTCCAAGCCAGGGGCTCTCCGGTGTGCATTTGGGGTGTATCGTGCTCTTCACAAGGATCGTGAAGACAATCTTCAGTGGTTCAAGGAGAAAGGCAAAGCAAAAGTCCCTAGCATGACGCTAAATGGCGCGCACAGTCCCATTACTCCGATAGCCGAGGCGGCAAATGAGGAAATGTACGAGGTCACCGCATCTGAGACTGTCTCTGATAGCGGTCATTGGTGCGCCGAAGAGAACCCAGAAGGGTTTATAGAGAAAGTACTGTTCTGGGTTGAGAAGCATCCACAATAGATCAGCAAATGGAGTGGCCAGTATTGCAAATCCTTAACGATTCCCTAGTCCTTTAGAACCATACGACATGTTACGATTCAGAGTTCCAAAGAACAAAAGAGAGTAACACGAGGCTGTTGGCAGTCCACATTGTGTCATATCCGGGGCAGGAGGAGGAAGAAAAGGAGAAAGGGAATACCGCAATGGCAAAGGCTGACTGAAGTAGTCGTTGTTATGGTCTATCTGTGTCTTGTTGTTCTAAGAGTTGTGTGGAGTAGCAGGTGTCAAACTTCTTGTGCAACTTGAGTGGAAAGAGTGCTCTGTTCTCTATCTAATTGTTGAGCTGTTGAGGGTTTCTTTGTAGACATGCGAATACCTCGTGTAACCCTCCCACCAGTGTTTCAATGGTGGAGCCTATACATTATGGGCCCCTGTTCAACACGTCCATACGTGTACCAGGAACGAGGCCCTGTCCTTGTCTCTATGATAAGCCAGGGTGCCCAGGCGGTATCGGCGGCGACATCAGCTCAGCATCGGCCTGCTACCACCTGACCTCAGGCTAGAATGTGATCGACAAGTCTGCCAAATCCTCGAGAAGACATGGTATGCGTGTCGAGACATAAACCAAAGACGGGGTGGTCTACGACTTGCACTTCGCAACTACTCTTCCTAGTCGGCCACGTGGGTATCCCAAGCAAGGTCCTCATATGCGAAAGATACTGTTGCTGTGGTCCCACATCGGACAACGCTCGTAGTTCACTGTCCGCTATTGCTGTCATTGGTTGGGATCAGTATGACATTTATGCCGAATTCATGGGCTTACTCCAGTCCCTTCAGAGAACTGCGTTCAGCCTTTGTATTCAGCGGCGTAGGCTGGCCTTTCGAAATTGTTGAGGGACCCAAGGTAGAGAATCGTGAAATTTGCATTGGAGCAGAGGGTCTTGATTTGTTTTGTTGCCCATGGCCGAGTGATCTGGTATCTTTCGGCACATTTGTTGAGATAATATATGGCGTGAAGAGTTCAATACCCCGGAAGCCAGCTCGCTGAGCGGCTATGATGCTGTTTTCTCAAGAGTGTGAAAGGGGCGCCGCCCCCCGTGGAGATGGCAGACATTACGACATTATCCGGCATCGCATCTCTGAGCAACCCCACCGTTCTTATCACTATCAAGAACCATAATCCAAATGGAACGGAGTGAATTGGTTTGACCGAGAGCTGTTTGAGGCGCAGGTTGTGAGAAGTTGACCGGACAGTACGTCATGGGAATCAGGCTGGGTTCGGATCTACCAGAGTACAGCATCTCCCACGTTTAGTCGACATAAACCATCAACTGGATTTGTATTTGTAGAATATAGCAAACTTGTATGAACAGGTTTGGAAGCAATGCCGATACCAGTACTGAATAAAGAACGAAAACGATCTAACGAGTGCAAAGAAACACAATCACAAAGCAGACCTCCTTAGTACGCCACGGCCCCCACTGGGTATTCGTAACCTGCCTCAGGATACTGCTGGCCATATCCCGTTTCCATTCCGTCCTCGCCCTCGTAGCCTTGTTCACCCCCATATGGTTCGCCATAACCTTCGCTTGGGTACATGCCCTGGCTTTGCATTTCACCTTCACTTGGGTACATGCCATAGCTTTGCATTTCTCCGTGTTCGTTGCCGTACATATTTTGTCCATACATGCTCTGAGGCATGCTGTATGGCATACCGCAGTTGATAACCGTCTGACTCGAATCGGAGTTGTCGTTGTTGTTGGTAATGGGACCGACCTCTGAATTGGAATGACCTCCCTCGCCACCTTGTCCTCCAGCACCACCATCTCCCCCAGAGATGTCACCAATAGTAGTATCGCCCCCTCTTCCGCCTTTTCCACCTTCGGCGTCACTCTTGGAATTACCACCTGCTCCACCTTTGGCGTCACTCGTGGAATTGCCACCTTCACTTTGAGATTGAGATTGGGATTGAGATTGAGAAGTTGCGGTGGTGGTGGTGTTGTTGGCGGTGACGGGTTGGCTGGTGTCCTCTCCTCCTCCTCCGAAGAGAAAGTTGGAACCAAATTCAAGGAGGCCTGCCATTTTTCAATGGAGAGATAGAAAAGATGACAAGTAGATATAAGGTATATTTTTCAGGGATCGGAGTCACTTTGATGGGATGGATTGCAGCAAGAGAAGTACAAGCAGCTGTACCCCGGGCTCTTATATGCTGAAATCTCGCTCTGGCTTCAGCATTCCGGAAGATGTAGAGAACACCCATTTTTATCGCTTTACCGACATTTTTTTCGGAGCCAACACCCAATGTTAGAGGAATTTCGGATCCACCTTGTCAGCATATGCACGATCCCAAAGCGCCAAAAATCCCTTCCCGATGCCCGGCCCCATTTCGTACCAACGGAAACTGCATAGACGATTCGGGCCAGTAGATCAATTGAATAATAAGTGGGTTTGTTTAATCATCTATTTTGGTGAGAGAGAATGAGTAGTAGCTACAAATCCTTGGCGTCTGAGAATGACCAGCGTCGGGCCATGAGAAAGCTACCAGATATAGAAGCTTCTCAATGATTGAGAGAAGCTCCGGTTCACTTTGTGGCCAGAATAGAATCATGGCTAGGAAAAAAGAACAAGAAGAAAAAGCCCCGTCCAGATATTCCGGCCGACTCTCTAAAAATATTTCAGACGATAAATCCTGCAATAGCTTTGTCACAGTGGCTCGAAGGTCGTCATCCGAGAGAGAAAAAGACAGAACTTTCAGCATCAACGTGCGAACCATTATGTACCTGTATTAACGCTCAGCAAGAATACAATCAGCAAAGCATGCCCAATGAAAACTGGAGGGATGAACTTCAAGATTATGCTCTTCTCCTAGAAGCAGTAGCCAGTGGTGACAGATCCAAAGTCGTGAAATTGTTTGGAGAGTACATTCTGAGAACGAAATACACGGAGACGACATCTGAGAGGCCACAAGAAGTGTTGGAATACGATGAAAATCAGGGCTATGATCATCACGATCAAGATTTCAACAACGATCACCAAACTGCCGAAGAACCTTATTACCCCGAAGTTCCCCCAAAAAGAGTCAGATTTGCAGATGAGGAAGACGCATACTATACGGAGCAACAAGGATTTGGCCAGGAGGATGAGGAATATGGATACGAGGAAGAATATCGTCACTCGGCAGAATATGACCTCGAAAGACCTCAATATGCAGAACATTATATGCATGGCGGTGCCGCCGACTATGCAGATCAGGATGCCATGTACTATGACGACGATGACGATGGATCTCACTACGACGATGAACCATATGTATCCCCAACTGGGAATGAACGATATGCAGCAAATACACCATCGTATGCAAATCAAGCATATGGTAACGACGAGAGAGGGCCGAACGAGGGCAGAGGGGGCGCAGGTCATGAAACACAAAGCTTCGGATATGGGTTCGACCCAACCTCAGATGAGTGGGAGTTTGGCACTGGAAGGAACGAGGACGAATACTATGGAACGACTGGCGACGAAAATGATTTTGGCAATGAGAGTTATTATGGAGGAGCCGCCAGCGGAGGTATTCATAGGCAACAGCAAGATTTTGGCTTTCATGAAGGAGGAAGTAAGTATTACAAATACAAATCCTTGAAAATGATTCTTTCTCTGACAGTAGACTGCAGATCCCTGGCTTCATGAAGATTGGAGAAGGCCCTGAATACACGGGCCTGGCGCAAAGGGAAAGCGGGGAGGCAGATGTCGCCGGAACCTTTGTACGCAACATTCGTGCATGAGGGATATAGATTCTTTGGAAAACGATCTTGGCAGAAAAATAGAATTGTAGATACATAGTTTCACACACACGCACACACAAGGGCGCAAGTTTTGGAATCACTCGACCACTGCTCGAACATGACAACACCTATCAAGCTCGATCGTGAGAAATTGAAAATGACTGTTTCATTTCCCCCAGAGCCATAAGCTGATGCGAATATACAGCGTCCAGGATTTCTTCTTAGGAATCACCGCCCCCATCCAATTATGCTTATCGGTCTTCAGTAACTTCCTTGGGTGATGTTTAAGGGGCTGAATTGATTTGATATCCCCATCAATTGCGGCATTCTTAGTAGGCCATCACGGAGGAATGCAATCTTCAAAAATAATGCCCTATTGTTTAGCTGATCGGGAATGGGAAACCAAAAGTTGGCCCCTGAATGGTTGTGCCTCGGAATATCTACGAGTATCTCAGGGGGCCTAGCCTTGTCGCCCCGCACCAGCCACTCCCCAATCTGAACACATCCCTACCACGCGCTGTAAATCTTGGAGAGGCCTTGCATTTAACCGCGGAAGAGAAAAGAACCACTCGTCCTCCAATGTGTGCCTCGGACCACGCAGATTGAATGGAGCTATATCCAAATCACACGGGCATTATCAGTCCAGAGCTAATCTTAGGGGTTGCAAAGACTTCAGGAACAGCGAGTCCCTTCTTGCCCATACCGTAAAATGTTCCGTCTGCTTCTGGATCCACTTTTTTTCTTCTGGGTATAGTTGGCCACGTGGAGTAAGCATCAAATATAGCTCCGAGTTCTAGATTCCAATGCGGAAACCTAGCTACTACCGAATTCTGTTGTGCCTCTGAACGGGCTAGGCAATGCCGACAAACTTCTGATACAAGATCGTAGTTGCTTCAACAGCCAAAGACCATATGCATGAACCATTTGTTGAATCCGGAACAATAATGACAATCTGCCAACCTTCCCACTCTTAATTTTCTCGTGTACTTGATCATCGTCCCGTTCTCAGGTACCATATCCCATGGACTACGATTACTACTACGATGAATATGGCTATTATGAGGACTGGGGCGACGGATATGACGACCAGTACGACTATCACTATGACAACTACGAAGGCCCCTGGAATGAAGGTGAAGAGTTTTGGTACAACGAAGCGGAGGAATATTTTGGCGAAGAATACTACGACAACAGCAGGTACCCAAACGAGAGGTACCCTACTGAATATACAGGTGCATATCCTCCTGTTGAGGCCTCAGGTGAGTACCCTGTTGAAGATACAGGTGCGTACCCTCCTGTTGACGACACAGGTCCGTATACAGATGTGCCATATAATTACGGCATGCAGCATCAGGAGGGACAGAGTGGTATACATGATAACTTCTTAGGCGTTGCGTATGGTTACCCCGTACCTCAGTATCTATAGATCCTGTGATCTGGTAGTCATACCTTTTGGGCAAAGAGGTGGAGGGTTTGGCGTGTGAGAACTGGTATGAACTTAAGTATCCTACAAATATTCAATAGATGGCGGTTTCTTTCTCTCCTTTTCTTTTTTTCTCCGGCACCACCGGTGACTCTCGACCGGATGAACGCGCTCAGGTTACATTGAAGAGTGCGTTTCCCCCCGCCCTCTCCCCCTCCCAGAAGGGTTTTCGGGTTGAGTGGGAAAGCTTTTGTTCTTCCTTTTTCTTTTGCCAACTTTCTGGTTGCGCAAATTGAGCGCGGCTGTTTTGTGCGGATGTGCAAAATGAAGCTGTGGTGTATGCTCGCTCACTGCTCTTAGGCGAAGAGTGGGATGCTCACATGCTTTCTTCATTTCTAAAGCGGCTATTGATCAACATGAATTGTTGGTCACCTACAATTCTGTCTTCTTCAGGTTCACGTATCACATATATAACTATCTCTCCATCGGGGATTAGGGCGGTATTCTTTCGTTGACAAGGCTGAGTGAGCGCGGAGATGTCCTGCCACATGCCTGATACGGCTTAGCTTATCGGATGCGGGCATCGGAGAACCTTTTCTCCAGATCCCGGTCCCGAACCCATCACCAACTGCCCAGCCTGTCGCGCCATTGATCAAAAAGACCATTCAGTCAACAATCGTCTCTCCATTTCTAGATACATTTCCCGTAGTAGCGTTCTCATTCGATACTGGTTGAAATTTATCACATGTTTGCACTGTCGATCCTGGGTCTCGAGAAACAGGGAGAAATAGAAGAGCTAGCACCACCTCGGTCCCGCAATAAGGCCCAACGGAGGCAAATCTGACCACCTCGAATTGCCGAAGGACAGGTCCGCACCGGATAAAAGACTGTTCCCACCTCCAAGCCAGGGAAACATTGTTGGTCCCTGAAACAAGAGGCATACATTCTACGATTTCCAAAGATCTCATTGTGTCCAACCTATTGACGGGTACTCAAATTAGACCACAAAATCCCCTCGAACCGTCTGAGCTTGTTGTTACGGCAGTCATTGAATTATCACCAATACAACAGCTTCGAATCGCATCCGAAGTTCATCCATATAGCACAGTTCCGTCTACCATGTCCGAAAGCTACGACTTCTTCGTTGGCACTTTCACAACCCCCCATCTATACACTCTTAGATTCACCCCTCCATCCACATCATCTTCCAAAGCAACGGGAGACCTCCAAATTCTGCATCGCTCATCGGCCATTGGATCCCACTCCTGGCTCCATTTGACCCCGCCCCAAAAGAAGGGCCCCCGGAATCTTTACGCCACAGCCTGGACCGAACCTCCCTCGGTGGTCGCCTATACAGTAAACTCGCCCACGGATATCCGTCTCCTCGGAAGAGCCCTGACCCGCTCCCGCAGCGGGTACGTCACCGCCAGTGATGTCGCCGTGTATTCCGCGGGCGGGGCGACCGGGGAGGTCTTCAGCCTCGACCCCGAGACTGGGAACTTCGTGTCCACGTCTCTCACTAATGGGACTACCAATGGAATCACCAACAACGCCAACGGATACGACGCGCCCACGTCGTCGATCGAACCCCTACAGAACATCTCGTTCCTCGACTCCACTACCCAGCGAGACGACGGCAGCGTCATGGACTTTGGCGGCCTGCGGCATGGCGCCCATTCCACAGACCTATCCCCGTCCGGCGAAGCCCTCTATGTCGCCGACATCGGAAGGAACTGTATCTGGACATTTGCCGTCTCTCCGACCGGGTCCGTGACGCTGGGAGAGAAACACATTGCGCCACGGCCCAACGATGGACCCCGCCACGTCTGGCCGCATCCGGCAGGAAAGTACGTGTATTGCTTGCAAGAGCATACCAGTATGGTGGATGTGTTTTCCACCGCCAACGGCGGCGTGAATCTGTCGCATGAGCAGGGCGTCCGCATCATCCCGGCTGACGAGCGAGAAGAGGAGTTCTGGGCCGACGAGGTCCGCACCAGCTTCTCGCACGGCGACAAGCCTCAGTACCTGTATGCAAGCACCCGCGGCCTGAAGCCTGAGAAGAAGGGCTATGTCGCCGTGTTCAAACTGACTGAGGACGGGAGGATTGATAGCTCTCTGCGCCTTGCGACAAACATGTCCGACAGCCACGCCAACGGGGCCACGCTGGACCCCGACCCCTATGCTGGCCTGTTGTGCATGTACAGGACGGCGACGAGCGGTGGGTGGGCCAATGCTATTCAGCCAGGTCCCACGGTCGATGGCGTCGAGTACCTCGCCTTGACGGATAGTGAGCAAGGCTATGTTTTCGTGCTGGGGTGGGATGGAAAGAAGATCAGAGAAGTCGCCCGCACCAGGTTGGACGAAGGTGCCGGCGCTGCCACTGCCGTTTGGCTGTGAGGCGGAGGTACGAAGAAAGGATGGGGGCTAAGTAGTTTGCATTGCGGATGCGCCGGATTGGGTTTCCATGGATGGGGCTAGGCCGGTTGTGGGAAACAAGAACAGACAGACTTTGAAGACATATATGCGCACGGTCCACGAATACGGGGAAACAAAGCTTGGAGGACCACCACTGGGAACCATCATCTTATCTACACTCGGCACTTGTGTCTTTCTCTAGCGAATTTGCATGGTCTCATAAGGAATAAAAAGAACGCGTATGCTAGACATGGAGACTATTGCAATTATGGATTTGACACTTTCAAGCTCTACTTCCTCCAACGACATAGCAATCCTGTTGCCCGGGATCTTGATATCCCAAGACAGATTCAAAGTTTGTTGGACTCTGCAATCATACTTCCTCTTCCATTCTCACTTAAGTGGCCGTGGTTTTTCATCTCCTCTTCTCCTGATCCTGGTTTGTAACGTCGCCGCCAGTAACCCCCAAAGAGCCATTAGTCTTGGATCGGGCTCGGGACCTTACCGACTCAAGATCATGATGAGTTCTGCTCCTCGTAGCATACAGCGCGGCCATCTGCATTTCATCATCTTCCCCGCTGTCTTCTTCGTCCACAGGTCTCTTGATCGCCATGGTGGGAGCGAATTTCGATTTCCGTCGTAGCTTCTTGCCGTATAGGTAAAAGACGACTGGAATCGGTACGAGACACAGGGCAACGCAACCTAGTAGAGTTCCGGCCCATTCAATGCCCATGCCGTCAAACATTTGACGCGCAAATAATGGAAAGCCGGCCGCGGCCACTGAACGGAGAAATGTGTTTGCTGCAATGGCCGAGGCAGCGCTGTGTGGTGTGTCAGTGTGAACAAGAGGCGAACGGGGGACATTTCCTCGTTTTAATTTTCCCACTTACAACATGAGATACGAATCGATGAGGTAATTGAAACATTGGATAAAAATGGCCAAAAGGCCGAAACCGGTGAACAATCCGGACAAAGTCGGTACAATCCAAGGAATGGATCTTTTGTAGCCGGTCCAGCCGAACCAAAAGAGACCGATAGCAAATAAAGTGCCTCCAATCATGACCGGTGGTAGACGCCACTCGGGGACGGGAATGCCATCATTGGCCGCCAGCTTCTTGTTGTAATTCTTCGCGTCGTAGATGATGTAGCCGGCGACAATGAATATCCCCACCACCATTCCGAAGAAAGGCAGTCCGGCCACACCGGGTTTCATTTGATGAACTCCCTCGAAGACAAGAGGGTAGGCTGTCAAGAAAAGGTACAAAAGGCCGTAGATGAAAGACATGTAGCAGGTAATGGCCAAAATAATGGGCTCGGAGACCAACAATCGGATGGGGCGAGAGAAGTTCTTAGCAATCAGCTCCTGGAAATCGACCTCCACTTCCTCTTGCTTGGCGTGAATGCCCCAATTCTTAGTTCGTCGTCGTAATTCAGAGGCCTTGCCGACCAAAACGACCGGCGCATAGGACTCTTGGAGGAAGAAGAGATTGAGGACCACTGCCAGGGAGCCCATGATCCCGGGAAGGTACACGTTCCAGCGCCATCCCAAGGACGAGGTATCAATAAATCCACCAATGAAGGGTCCGAGCATAGGCCCCATGAAGACCATGGAAGAGAAAATCACGACGGCAGGTCCTCTCTGGGTGTTGTCGAACATATCAGCGAATACGGCAGCCACAACCGCCAGCGGACAAGAACCAAAGAAGCCGGTAAAGAATCGACAGAGCATCACGGTTTGCAAGTCCTTTGCTGCGGCGCAACCGAAACAAAAGACTGAGAAGCCGAACAGGCCGACCAAAATTGGGAGTTTTCGACCCTGTAATTCGGAGAAAGGTCCCCAAATAAGCGGTCCAAAAGCATATCCCAGGACGTACAGAGACGTGCTCAGGGTGGAGACTTCCACACTGACGCCAAAGACCGAGGCAACCGTGCCAGTCGATGCCGAAAAGATGGAGGATGTGAATGTACTGCACAAGCAGGTATAGGCGAGCATGGCACCGATGTATAATCTAAGGGCGCCGTCAGCATCAGTATTTGATCCTCATCCGCCATTGTGGATCTCAACCCACTTTCTCGGAAAAGGCCAATTTTGTGGATGGAGCGGATCATCCATGCCATCAAATTCCACCACATACTCTTCCTGCGCAGGTAATTGCGGAGGATACGGCTTCCCTCCTCCAAACTCTGGAAGGGGCCTTGAATCAACCCGTGATTTGACGCTCGCTCCAACTGTCTGGCTCTGCTGCAGGCGATGTGTCTCGGTTCGGAGGTCTTCGATCGGATGAGTTCTTGTCCGGGCAGCCCCCAGTTCAGCATTAGAGGCTCTAGCCGTAGCGATTCTACGCATTGAAGGTGCACTAGAAGATGTTGACCTGCTGGACCCGGAAGATGTGGAGTCTCTGGATCTCTGGCTGCGAAGAGAACGGCGTTCTTTGCTCTCTTGTGACCAGGTCCGCGTCGCCTGGACTTCAGCCCGCTCCACATCACGATCGACGATATCCATGTTGGTGGTGGTGTAGGTTTTTTTTTTCCCTCTCCCTTGTCTCTTCTATCTCTTCGGGAAATTGTTTATATACAAAGTTTTTCGGACATTCGGATGTGACAGCAACGGATGATGGATTCAACGGGTCTCGTTTGTGTGGCGAAGGAAAGGTTGAGGCAAGATCTCACGGATTTGCGTGTGATGGGGAGGGGCGAATTGAGGATGGAAGATATGTGACGGGTAAAATGGTCGACCTGATGGATGCGCGAAAACGAGTCTGGAAGTCTCCCGGTGGTCGGTTTAATATACAAAAATGTGAAGTGATCGAGACAGATGAAGAGGGAGACGGGAAGCACGAGATATGATGTGGAATGTACAAATGGATGAGTTAGGATTGAGATGCGGGTCGCACCCTCTCTAAAGGCCGAGAGAACCGAGGCGTGGCCCCGGGGAAAGGATTTGGTGACAGCAACAGATGAGACACATCACGGTGGGGTTGGGTGAAAACCCAGACACGGTACAGCGCCCACCAAGCATTTAACCCTACTGACTAGTCCTGACTCTAAGAGGACACTTCAGAGCTTTTTAGGTAAGCGCAACTAACCTATCTCGGGCTAATTGGGAAAACTGTCGTCGGGGTCTGGCCGGGATGCTCCGTTCTGGGGGCGTCTGAATAAAGACCCGAATCCCTGCCCTTCCCGCCATGTTGTCGACCTAGCGAAGAACACACCAATCATAAAGTAGTCGCTGTGCTTACGAAGAGTATCGCTGTAACCATCGACCTTCCTTCTTTGCTATAGTTCGTGTCTCCATTGCTGACAAAGGCGCGGCATCACGGCACCAGATGACCAAGTTCCAAACTTTATCACCAAATCAGTGAGAGGGAGATCTATTCAGTCACGACTCAGTTTAAACCATCCATGGGTGTTCAAAGGGTTGTTGGAAAGCACGTGATGCGGTTGGCTTGGCATCGTAGCAACTCGCAACCTTCCTACTTATTCAGAAAAATAACGCATTCCTCCATATCTCTTCCCGAGACTCCACAGTGCTCTGACCGGATCCGATCAGAGGATAAAGCCCATAGCATTGTTGCCTGTGCTGTTGTCTGTTGTAGCCCGCTGAGGGAGCTATAGTCTAGTGAGCAACAGCCTCATGGAACCAAGAAGAACAGAGATTCTGAGGTAGATGGGACCCGTGGAGTAGATTTGTTCGCTGGATCCTCTACATCCTGAATAGGAATGATAGCCCCTTTTCCAATAATGGGCCACTGACACCGCAATTGGACGCTGACTTCCCAACATGGTTTCTACTATCCTTGACTGCCTTCCTTGGTCGGAAAATTCGCTTTCAAAGGAGGGCAGAGAGCTACAATACATGAAAAGGCTTTCTCCTCGACTTTTTTCAGCTACATGCAGATGACGGCTAGCACATCCCAGTTCTTCCTGCAGCCGTAATGGGTAATATCGTGTTGAACAGTTGGTTAGTAGCAAGAGCCTCTTTACCGGGAAAAGGGGTCGGTCAAACGTGTATAAATACCAGCAGCCTGGCAGGACCAGTTCCTGAACAGGGCGAGCATTCAATTCATATTCATTCTGGATGGATGGTTTCCGAGGACGGGCTATGGGTGAAGACATTCAGTCAGCTGCCATAACGTCATTGTGTCGTTAACACAATTTCAAATGGTTCCGCCGTCCAATTTCCGGTTATCGAGTTTGTTTTCCCGCCTCCAACATATTTGGTCTTCCGTGTTTACGTCGCTGGGTCGTTCAAGAATCACTGGTTCTCATCCCGCTTCTTTGTCCGCTCGCTTTGACCGTGGGTAAGGAGGAATCATATGAACACCCTTCCAGCGGAGTAACGCTGCCGTAGGCAGTATTGTTAGGGCGAGTCGAATGCCAGCAACGATGGCTGCTGCCTGCAATGCCCCGTATCGTCATTTCACTCGACCCTCAATACCGGTTGCTACCGCCCCGAACGCAAACTTTCAGCGGCCGAATGACAGCTATACCGGCCAAGACATGAGGATAACAGGAAAAATTCATTCTCTATCCACGGTATTGTTCCACCACTGATAGTCATGCTAGATGACCAGTCATTCCGGGTTGCAGGCCATCGGTGTCAAAATTTCCATTATCGAAGCATAACATTCAGCAATCACCAGATTGAAGATGTATGCGACAAGACCCGCAAAGACACATACCACTGCCACCGGAAACATGGTCCCCTTGAACTGACAGCATATCTAATGGCTACTCATGGAAGAAACGCCATGGCCGTAGTCCTGCGAGCGGTGTGAGGTGTCCAGACAATAGCCTATTGGAATGTCATGCTCTCCGTCCGAGGCGGATGATGGCGAGAACAACTTTGCCAGGACACTTTTAGGAATGGCAGTGCCAACGAAGATCCTAAAGCCAAGGGGAGAGAATGCAGAGCTCAACATCAGCCGGCCGATATCGGTAAAGGCTGATACCGAAATTCCAAGCAGCTGTCGATGGCAGGACGATTACCCTGTCCCAGTTTAGAGAGACATAACATCAAATTCAGCGTGAACAGAGAGGAGGCCCAAGCCGCATACATTGACAAGATCAGGAAACCTGGCTGCTTGATCATTTTCCTGCTCATTTGGATGGCAGCCTTCACTTCCTTCGCCGCACCAATACGGCCCCCTTGCCCGGTAGATGCATCTGGACCTCCCACGCGCAACTCAGCTGAAAATGCCCTTCTCACCAATGGTTTCTGCAAAGATTCGGCCAAAAGCTAAGCGACGGACTTCGAGGGCGATGACGTTGAATAGCAGAACAGTCACCAGCAAAAGCCCTAGTCTATAGAATTCCCACTGATGATAAATGCTTCAATCATGGATCCGATGCGGATGGAACCAATCGCGCATATAGATTCCCCAACCATACAGAGGATTCACTACTCTGAAGCGAGGCACCAAACACGTCCAGGAACGGTATGTGATTTCGAACCTGCGCAAGAAAGGGCCAGGGCCAAAAGATCAAGGTCGGGATTGCAAGACCGCAATGTAGGAAAACACTTCCTAGAATCATGAGACGATTGGAATCAACAATGACAAATGGAATCGCAGGGACTTCTCCGGAGTATGGTAATAAGTTTTGTGAACATCGATGTCATTAGGTTGGCCGGACAGGTCAACATGTCTTGCCCCATTGAGGTCAATTTTGTACCCGGGCCACGGGGCTGAGGTGCCCCAGATTCGAACAGGGTTGCCTGGAATTAACCCAAAAATTATGTAAATGGCTTACATATCCTGATTGAGCGGCTGAAGACGATCCCCGCTGGGCAACGGCTGATCTTTCTCTATAGTATTTCCATCTGCAGGATCCACATCATTCAACCTTAGAGTTGATAGAGAACGCGGAGCCGATGGCTCACGCTGTATTCTTTTTGAAGGCCTTGTTGATGCAACCTGTGGCCCAATTAAAAGCGACTTAAGAAGTTAAAATTGTCGGCTCTTTTCCATTTGAAGACATTTTCCCTTGAAGCTTCGCTCCTTTCCTTTTTCTTCCTCTACCGTGCTGCCCATTCGAACAGACCGTCCTCGGACTTTCTTGCCCAAGCAGCAATTTCCACTACGGTTTGTGGCACAAGAACTCCATCCTTCTATTTTCCTCGCTTTCTCCCCATCTTTCTGACGATGATCTACTACAATACTCAAGCTCAAGGCCAGAGCTACTACCCCTTAACCCTACAATCACACACCAAATTACAAAGCACCCCCCTCCCCCAACACACCCAGGGGAAGTTCCGCCACCCTGAATCGCAGAATGGGATACTCGTGATCACCGCTAGTTGTATGTCAATGGTGAAATGGAGGAACATACTGTCGAACATCCGCAACAATTCTATGGATGAGGTAATTATGAGCAAGAGCTACAAAAGGAATCTCACATTGGCCACGACATCGTGCTTTGCGCAGCCGCTGGCGTTGTAAGTGGCACCTTTTTGATGCATGTGGGAGAAAAGGTCGGTGTGTATATGATATTCACAACGACGTCCCTCAGCCTCAGTATCGTATCTTGTTTCTAACCCCCTAAACAGAGGAAAAATGGGACGAGGCAAAAATACCGTGTCGAGGGTGATGTTGCTGATAGGGTTCAAGACGTTGAAAGCTTCTCTGAGAACGTAGTGCGTTGGACTGGAGAAAAGATTCAGGACGTTGAAGACATACCACCAGATGTCGGAAACAAGGAGGACAACGCAGTTCACGATGTTGAAGATGTATCCGAGGATGTGGTTGGATGGGCCGATCGGAAGTTGGGAAACGTTGACGGATTGGGGACAACATCGATGATGCATACGACTAAGATCGAGTCGATGCGGGATACGACGATGATTATCAGGACAGATGTTGACTCACACCAAGGACGAACACGAATCAAGGTTGCCAGCCCGAAACGACTTCGCAGGCTCACGATCAGCAGGCTAGAGCCATGGACTAATAGCTATCGCCCATGTATTGAGAGTGGTACTGTTTCAGAGGTGCAGGGGCTATGAGTAAGTATCGGCTTTTGGCATACAATCGCCCTCAACAAGGGCGAGAGCATTCAAGAAGCTCTTACTACTCAAAGGGAGAGAACATTTCTCACCAGAAATTTCTGCATCCTCTCTCTGCATGCCAAGTTCTTTCTCCTCGAAGCCTTCGCAGCTGATTCCATTTGTTGTTTGGGTCAATTGGAACTGCCTTGGTCAACAAAGGGCAACAAAAATCTCCTCAATACCGGCTTATGAGGACAATCACCCTTTGTCCTGCACACCGATTATATGTTCACCCACGAAAAATATTCATTCGTCCTTTCTTTAGGCAGTGTATATAAGACATGCATTGACAATAACCCGGATGTCTTCAAGCCCGGAAGACGGGAAGTCGAGGCATAAGAATGGCCCCAGTTCCATCAAGAACGACTCTTGCTTCGTCATCCAAGAATTCCCCCAAAGCCTTCAGTGGAAGCAGTATTGGTTACAAGCGATCACAGCTACATTTACGACAGCTAACCGCGAGTATACGCCACAGTCTCAGGCAATACTGCGTCCTGATTCCTGCAATATGGCTCCCTCCGAAGACTCTAATGGCAAGCCGAGCTCCAAGACCGCGTACCATGCATGTCTCTACTGCAAGACCGACGATCGTGGTTCCAAGAAGAAAGGTACAGGCTCGAAACATAGCACCTTTTGCCCTGAACGCCAGAAGAGACCGGTGACCGCCGCAGGTGCTTACAATTGGCAGGATGGAGACATCAAGGATCGCATGGATAACTACTTGGTTCGACTCGAAAAGTACAAGTCTCGTTGGGAGCACGAGATAAGTTCTTCAATATCTGGGAAAGACTCATTCGGTAATGGGTATACTTGCTGTCCTAATTAAATGGCTTGAATATTTGCTACGGTAATATAAATGTAAATATAGACTTTGGGGGCAAATTGGATCGTCAGGTCGGAATTTCCGGTGGAAAGGAAATGTGACTCAGTACAGGAAATGCGGACCTCGTTCGAAACCGAATTCTCCATCTCTTCTCCCTTGTTCATATGTTGATTTCTACAATTGTTGATTGAGCCTGCAGGAGTCTGGGAACCAGGGTTTCTTTTAGCAAAGGGCTGGGAAACGCAAAGACAAACGGGCCCCGGGGACAAAGACGACACTGCCTGTACGGATATATCAATGTTCAAGACAACGCACAAAGGATCAAAGGATAAACCTTTAAAGGACTTACCGTTACGGACTGATATGTTTCAGCCTCGTGGGCCATCACACTTTGCTGGGTATGGAACAAAACCCAGTTGTCGGCAGGGCCAGGTGAGTTGGATGGCTATTTATTTCCTCCACAGGTTGCATAGTCAGACTATACTCTCTTACTCATCCACCAGACTAGAATCCCGCTCCATACAGAGACCAGATACTCCATTTATCAAACGTTGCTTTCAATATCGAAATGAATTCCTCTACCACTTCATTGCCTTGAAGACGTGCTAACGGCAAAATCCGTCTTCGTCCAAACCAAATCTCGATTTCGTGTTAGAAACTGGGAGAAAACAGTTCACACACGGCTGCCCCCAGGGGGGTTCTGCTGACTTGGATAGTTCCAGCGCTTCACATTCACATTCCAAGGACGAGAATTAAGATGAGGATATCGACCTCTTCGCAGATCCCGAAGAAGAATGCGACGAAGAACAATAGGAGGCTGAGTGGGCTGATCTCACGGATGAATGGTTCGAGCAGAGAAGATCGAGCCATTGAAATAAAAGGAGAATAAGGGACAGGCTCGCCAACGCCGTAAAGGTGAGTCATCGTCCCCACTCGAGCAGGGATCAAGTCTCGTATCCAAGCGAGGACTATGAACCGAAAAAGATTGCAATGGAAATTATGACGATCCTGAGGACTCCGGATATTTCTGCCAGGGGCGGCTAGTGTTGGGAGCACGATGGGGTGAGCGATGAATGGTAATGAGGAACCATAAGGTAAGTGGCATATCAGCCTGGAAAGCAGGTGCTTCTGGCCACAGTGGAAAAGGGATGACAAAGTAAGACAAGTCAGACATAGTCGGATGAGTTCATATCATTGTTCGATTCATTTCTGAGCCGCATATATAGGTGACAGAAGTGATATCTGGCAATGTCTCAAGGAGGGGCCTATGCTATTTGTATAAGACTAGAAGTCAGAGAATGAAGAAGGCATATCGAATCGGCAGGGGATGTTGAATATGTGGCCAGATGGTCACTAAGCTAGCAGGACAGGAGGTAGAGACAAGTCGCTTTTCCTGAACAAGAATTCTCTCGATGCCAAAACAGACCTGGCCGTGGCTTACTAGTGCTGAAAAACATGCGATTAACAGCAGGATGCAGGGACAAACCGAGTTTCTTACCTCCAAGAACACACTTTTCGGCAGCTGGTCTCAGGACTGCATCCTTCCAGAACAATGGCAGGACTCTGGTTGGTAATTTGTGACCACATCCCCTCCTCATATCTACGCCGCCCTTGGTGTGACGTTTTTAAAGCGGCACGGTCTGGATGAGCGCCGACGTGAGCGCAGAGCAGTTTTCCCATCGCCTTTAAGGCAAAGCACGCGACTTTGCAGCACTTCACAACCTCGCCCGCTCGATTGGTCTCGCCACAAACCCGATACGAGGGAAATGGATCCTCAATTCCCCCAGGCTAGTGTCCTGCCCATTGTCCCGTGGAGTTATAACAACTTCCTCCGGTGTCACGGCCACCAACGTCCCAACGGTTGGGCTGTCTCTGCCAGTATCATCAGGTGCCACCCCAACTTCCGCGCCCGGGACGAGGCCGTTGCGCATGTCTAGGGAGGTATGAGGTCTTGCGGGAGTTGGAAGCAAGGGAGTTTGCTCGAGAAGACGGGTTAGCTTCAAACGGTCAAGTAGATTCCGAATTCCTCCCTTGTCTTCTCTCTCCACGCGTGTCTCCATGCGGGGAAGACCATCGAAGAATGTCTTGACACGTTCAAACCAGGCTGTCAAACCAGGATATCTCTGGCCATTGAACACGGCCTCCATTCCCTCTCCCGGTCTATCAGATGTGCCACCACCGGTTAAGTCCTCGGTCCCTTCACCTCGACTAATTTTTTCACCCCAGTCTAGCTGGTACCAAAGCGCGATGTCCGCAGCGCTCGGTGTAGGGGCATCGAATATCCATTTCCGTTCCTCAGACCCCGGTGAGAAAAGAGGTTCGAGCAAGCTTAGATGCAGATCGAGCCCGCTTAGGTTCTGGGGAACTTTGCGCTCCAGCTTGTCGGGGTCGAGTTTGTGGCCAATGAGATTGGCTCGGTCGATGCCAAAACGTGTTCGCCAGACACTGCTGGGGATCAAGCCCGTGGTCACTCGGAACAAGGGGCGGTCTGTCCAGTATGAAGCAAATCCTCGGATCAAAGGACGACAGCGATTGGTCGTCGATGGTGTTGGAGACGGATAAATGGTGCCATAGCCCTTTGAAGGCGGGAATTGGTGTTCGAGGGTTTCAAGGATTAGAGAGGTGTCGATATAGATCTGCCATGGAGGTGATCTTCAGCGAATTCGCATGGAGAAATGGGAGGGACGATGTCGCAAGACTCTGCTGGCCTTACCTCTCTGCCAATGGCTAGGACTGGTATCTTCCGATATGTGACATTGAAATGATCTTTCAAGATAGGTCGTGGCATCATCGACGGGACAATGACGAACGCTATATTTTCCCCAAAGAAGACTTTGTTAGCCGAGCAGTTCCTCCGGCTTAAGACCATCCCTCATTATTGACATACAATATTTGGCCCAGGGTTTCACTTACTATAGGGTATTTGCTTCAGTTGAAGTGTCAATCGAACTTTGTTCGTAAACGGCGACGCTAGACGATGACCAAGGTGAGTTATCTGAAGCTTGTTGGAATTGAGGTCAGGCTTACAGTCATATCCAAACAGGACTACAGGAGCGGTATCGGAACGGCGACTCTCCATGTTGAAGGACTGGCGCTGCTAGTTGTGCTGTGGCAATCTCGCGTGGGCAGTGTGACTGGGTTGGTTCTCGGCGATCAAGTTTTTCAATCGACGGTCAAACAGGACGAGGATAAGACTCCTTCATATATCAAGAATTAAATCCCGAGATTCCTCCATCTCAGACAAAGACAAATCATCAATGCACGCCTGGTGCCGGCCCGAATGCAATCAAAGAAGAGGAGGTCTTTGCCAGAGAAGTTCTTCGGTAAGGTTCGGCCTAATGGCTGAACTCCGCATCCAAGCAAAAGAGACCTCGGATGTACTCAGCAAACTTCCTTGAATATGATATACGCGGTTGGGCGGCTAATGAATTTTTATCATTGTGACGGCCTTGGAGAGTATGAGTCACACGGATTCAGGATAATGTCGACAGACCGTCTCGTCAGAGAATCCTGAGGCCACAACATTCAATCACTCCAGCCCGTACAACTGCTTTTCGTCCCCACCACCTTTGGACCAACTCCTCCACAAACTGCTCGTCTGATACACTCCAGCTATCCAGTCCCATCGCTGCCATGTCTTCCTCGTTGATCTCGACTTTTGCCTTCTCCGGTTCGGCCAAAAGGCCCTGGCTCTCCTCCCCCTCAACAGGAGACCTTTGTGCCAGGGCGCTTGGTTCGACGGGTCTGGCATCATCTTCGTCATCGTCATCGTCGTGACACGGTTCAGCGTCGGCATTTCTGCCGTCCGTTCTCGCGATTGCTTTTGCAATGGTCTGAAAGATGATGCCAGTCATGCGATGAAAATAGGCAACAAGAGCCACTTCACGGGTTTGCTCATCGTCCCCTTCACGTCGCACCAATGCAAAATCGCGTTCCGTTTCGGCCTCCTCCGTCTCTGCAAATCCTCCTCGTCGATCGCCAGCAGAAGCCCACCAGACCAAAGAGGTGTATGCCACCCGTGACCAGGATGAGGGCTCCACTACGGCCTTGTTGTCCGAATACGACGAGGAAGTTGTCGAAATGGACGCGGCGTCGTTGTTATCACTGGTCTCGGTCCCCTTGCCCGTGACTTGGCTCCGGGGAAATTGGAGAAGTCCCTGCTGGAGGTGCACAAATCGACGGAAATCCCGCCGAGTAGATTTGACTCCCGTTTTCGGGAAAGCCTTGTTCAGCCCCGGGCTCGAAACAATCACCCGAGGAAACACTTTGACGGCCGCATTTTGCGATTCGGATGGAGGCATCAAAACGAGAATGTCGTAAAGATCTGGCTTCGTACTCAACACATCGTCTGTCGTACAGGCAATCCAGCTGGAGTCGGGAGATGTTTTGCTCCGCTTAAGTTGTGGAATGTCGAGCACTCCAACGGTGAAGAGAGGCCGAAGTCTCAGACTGGGCGTGCTGTCTGCAGGAAGAAGTGGTGACAGTGCTTGTGAAATAGAAGACAATATGGAGATATTATATACTATATCTCCAGTCAGCATATGGCAGACCCGGGCCACGGTTTTCTTCTCACCAAGGTTACAACTGAATTCCACGGGGGTGTCTGTGACGACGAGAATCCGTTTTCGAAGCAAAGCGGCGCGATACAGTGGGAAAATGAGAGGACCAAAGAGATTGATGGAATCCAGCAACGTCAAGGCCGGATGATGAGGTGTCAAGGCGTGAAGTGACGATATGAATGTCGTTGCCGTACTCATTGTCCTTGCTTTCCGGTATCCGTTGACTTGTTGAGAACTGAATTGTTCTGCCGAATCGTAAGGAGTCTGTACCGGTCGATCTCCTGGTCGAGGCTTATATTTCCCCCAGTATTCCTCCAATGCGGAGGTGTCCTCCATATTCTTAATTTGATTCCTACTTGAGTCAGCTCCGGCGCCGCATGCGACACTTTCTTACCAAGGCGTACCTTGCGAGTTCTTTTAGAGACTCCGCATGGCGCCAGCTTCGCCCTATGCGGCCATTTTCGAGGGGGACAAGAACACCAATTGCCAGCATTCGCGCAGACCGTTCCGATTGCTCGTCGGGCTGGTTGAGGAAAGCGCTGAGGCCACAGTAATCATCGTGGATAAAATAGCTTCCCCTGTTCTTAGTATGTACTTCTCTGAACTTCCAGATGCGATGCATCACTCACACCAAATCCTCTTCCACATTGTGTAACCCGGACGGAAGGGACTTGAACTCGACGACGCCCTCGACTTGGACTATCGATTCGAGTCAGTAAAGATGATCGGGGCATGGGAGCGAGAGCTGACCGTCTTCAAGTGATCTGTGCCATCCTAGGGTGTACCTGGCACATGTTAGCATGGACACAACTTCCTTCGAACGTGGGCAGAATTATGTATACCCTTTGCGATGGTCAAAGTTGACCAAGAAGGCTGCTGCGATAGGCGGGACGGGTCGCTCGTTACTAGTATCAATTCTGAGAGGACCCCGGTCTGCCATGTGTGAGGTTTCCTTCTCATACTATGGAGCATGTGGTATCACGTCCATCGCATGCAGACCATGGCAGCAATGGATGGCAGATTATGGTCAGATGCTAGAGAATTGTGATGTTGGTGGACTGGGGCCTTTGGCGCAGACGCTGTGGCGGCGGCTCGGGTTCCGGGTTCTTCAAAAGGTTGCTGCCGCTTGGGGGCCAAAACACCCTGAGACCTTAGTGGTACAAGGTACATTATTATTGGTACGTACAATTTACGACACGGTTTGTTTAAATTGACGTGTTATATCAGACTAAGTATTCTCGAAAACCACGCGGATTCTGAAGTATGCAGATACAGTATATGTATCTGGTAGCGACAGGAGGACCATTCATAACCCCCTACCCTCACAGTAGTCGTGCCTTGATTGATCCTTGAGGCGACCAATCCGAAATTCCAGCTGTTCTACGCTTCTCGTCCCGGATTCATATCAGCTGGCGACCAGCAAGATCGGATATCGTGCCATTGGCACATGTGATGTGGGCCTCTATTGCGTCTTTCAATGACAAGGCTAGGGCAAGCGATGAATGGCACGGTGGAACTCTGATCGTCAGAAATCTTGGTCAAGACATATGCTTCACAGCAGTTCGACTTCGGTTGACCTAAAGCTTGCAGAACTCAGAGAGATGTAGTTGAACTCTTTGGCCTATTTTCATCGCTTCGCACGCGTCGACTTATATGCTAATAATTGAATCGTACGTTCTACTAAAGAGCCTGGCTTCCGTTTGTCTTCTTGAAGACGTACGAAACACCGCCACCCCCAGTGACGTCGTCGCCCAGACTGAGAACATGCTCGAGACAAGCATCGTCAACCCCGGCCAGGATTCGACTTACCAGGTCCTCGTCTTTGTCTGACTGGGAGAGATTTGATGTGTCGAAGTGAGAATATTTCATAAGCTCTTGTCGCTCCGCTTCCAACTCGGTCCTAGTCGACGGCGATTTCGCGTTGTTTGGCTCATGCATGTTGACACTCTCCTCATTTCCCGGTGAAGGAGATTTTCTCTTCGTGGAGATTGATGCCTTGGGCAACTCTTCTTCGGAATCTTCGAGGAAAGATTCTGTTCCTTGGTCGAGAGCGGTTGCAGACTCACTCACAAAGCTCTCCTCAACCTCGCGTCCTGCACCTTTACAGCCGCATCCGATTAAATCGTGAGTCCGCAATCCATCACTCTCATCCAGGCGGAAGAGATCCTTCAGTTCGTCCTGGCTGAAAGGAGATGTCCTACCTTTACCCGTGCCACCAGCATCGAGAGAACCGGAAGAGGCGGCAGACCCCCCCTGCATGATACTGTCCGCGAGCGCTCTTTTCACTACTTGTCTCTGCCAAATTCTCTCTTCCAGCCCGCCTTTGATCAAGAATCTGTAGATTTTGCAATGTCTCTTCTGGCCTTGCCGGTGGATTCGGGCCACAGCCTGATCATCCGTTGCCGGATTCCAATCCACATCGAAAAGAACGAGTCGGCTGGCTCCGGTCAAATTGATACCAACGCCACCTGCCTTTGCGCTCAACAAGAATGCAAAACACTGCCCGGGTTTGGAGCGATTGAACTGATCTACTAGCCCTTGTCGCTTCTTTGCTGCGACTGTACCATCGAGACGGAGATATGCGAGATTCGAGTTGACGAGCAATTGCTCGATCAGATTCAGGGTGGACGTGTAGTTTGAAATCACCACGATTTTTTCATCGGTTTTATACCGTATTTGCTGGAGCAGTTGGTCGAGAAGTCGAATTTTGCAGGAAACTGAATTGTTGTACAGTTTCGAAAGTCCTTCGGGAAGCATTTCGCTCAATGTCGTGAGTGATGAGGACGGCATGAGATCGTCACCGCCCAATTTTGGGTCCATCAAAGCAGGACTATTGCATAACTTCTTCAAGATCGTGATGAGTTGGAAGGTGCTCTCATTGCTACAGAGAGCGTTGTGAAACATGGGCGACTTCAAAACAGTGCGGTAGATCTTGGCCTGTGCTTGTGTTGGCCTGCAGAAAAGTACATATTCTGTTCTCGGTGGCAAGAAATCGGCTAGTATGTCTGCTGTTCTTCGAAGGATGAACGGAGACGTCGTTCGAGCCAATTCTTCGCTTGCTTCCTGTCCCCGTTCCATGTCTTCCTCAGACGCGCCAGGTTGACGGCTTTTCAAGATAGGCATTTCAAAGTCTCTCACAAAGGCTTTTTGTGATCCTAGACAACCGTCATTCACAAAATTGACCATGGCGTAAAATTCGCTCAAGTCATTCTGGATCGGTGTCCCGGACAAAATGATTCTCCTTGGAGTATTCAATGATTCGATTGCCTGGACGTTCTTGTTCTTCATCGTCTTCAGGCGGTGGCCCTCATCGCATACAACAATGTCTATCGGATGACCTTTGGCCAGGTCATCGGCAATCATCCTCAGCCTTTCGTAGCCAATGATCATCACCTGATAGACCTTGCCATCAAAGTTGCTGAGACGAGTGTTTTGATCCTCGAATTCAAGAACTCCAAGCCTGTCCGAGCCAAGCCATTTTTGGAACTCTCTCTTCCAGTTTCGAATCAGAGACACCGGACACACAATGAGAGCTTTTCGTACGACTGGTGGGTCTTTGTACACTGAATTCTGCCTTAGCAGAGTCCATAATAGAGCGATTGTAGTCAAGGTTTTGCCCAAGCCCATATCATCGGCGAGGATACAACCCTGTCCATCAAAATTCCGAAGTCCCATAACACATTCATACAAAAACTTGACGCCGTCTTTTTGGTGTGGTCGTAATAACTTCTCAATGAGAGGATCCAGAACAACGTCGACAATTTGGCGACCTAGAGGTACAATCCTTGGTCTCTTGAAAACGAGAGCACCAGATGCGTTGGGGTCATGTCGGGGAGTTGGATTCTCGGAGGACCCTTGCGGAAGAATTGTCGTGTCCTTCAAAGGTTGCTTGAAAGCCTCGACACGAGTAGACCGTGACAAGTCCCGTTTCTTTATATGTGTCTTCTCTCTCTGTATCTGGGCCTCCATCTGAGCCTGTATGCTGAATCTCTTTTGTTGGGGGGGGAAGACCTGTGTAGTCTCAACTTTCGACTGAGGATTTTTTTCGACCTTCTTCGAGCCGGCACCTGATTTGACGATTTCAAGATATTCATCCTTTGTGATACAAGAATCTACCTCGACTTCTTTGCCTCCGATCGACAGGTTGGAGCCGGGTAGTAAGGGCGAAGAGAATGCAGTGCGGCCGATGGTCTTGCCAGAATTGTTATGGAGTGTTGCAAAACCACCGGAAATTACAAGGACTCCATCATCGGTCCATGTCTTGTTCTTCTTATTCGTAGGAAGACGCCTGAGTATTGATTAGCAGGCCATTGTCGTTCGGGGCATCGAGAACCAAACCATAAAATTGAATAATAAACACTTTCGATGCCATCTCCCTCTCTTAACTTTGGCTCTTTGACAGAGCTCGGAGGATTGGGAACATTCTTGAGCACTTCTCTCTTCTCGCTGTTGTACCCGTCATTACGAGGGCTGGTGAGTGCAGGTGTTGTTTGCCTCGCGGTTTTGAAGGTGACCTTGGAAGTGTCTTCTGGAGGACTGAGTCTTCTGCGTTTCGGAGGAGTAGCAAAGTCATTGTATTCTTCAGCTGGAACAGGCTTGCGGATTGTCAGAGGCTTAAAGGGCTTTGAAAACATGGTTCGAAGGAGCTGGAGGGACGCCGTTTCATCACGTCCCAGTGAGGATACAAACCTGATGCTTCGCAGATCGCGACCAGACACGGATCGCGTGCTGAGAAACGCACTGTCACGTGCCAATGCTGGTCACATGATGTCAAACGCTAGACTACATTCGTTTACGGAGCATAAAAAATAAAGCGGCCGCCCCCAGCAGATAGTTCTCATCCCGCCGCTACAACAACAGATATAGAATTGAGCACGGCCAGCGATTGCTCTATTGGTATCGTATCATCTTAACAAGAGTCTATGCCTTCCATTGGCCCATTTTGGACGACAATGCCTCCATCTTGTCGCGAGTCTTTGTCCTGCAGTCCTATGGGTCTATCGCCTAGGAGTTCTTGCCAAATTCCTCATATCTCGCAGAACTCGCTCCCGTCCTGCTTGACATTGATCAACTTCTCAGCTTCCCGAGCTTCGCAATGGTCTTTCGATATAGATATAACGCCGGCGTAGCCTCGCATGATAAACTGATGGGGGCAATCGCTCCCAATCAAAACCAACGAGTCAACCCCAAGAATCACGAGTAGCCAGTCCTTTCAGTGTTACTCCGGCCGGATGAGAGAACAAAGTCCCAAAGCGGACCAGGGACAAGGCATTTCAGCAGGTCCCAAAGGTTTACCCAAGAAATCCAGGCGTGAACGGTTACCGAGACCTCGTTCTCCCGCTCGCATATATGGACGACTTAGTCAAAGCCGCCGTTTCTGTCGGATCAGACTACCACCTCGTTCCTCAAAACCTAGGGTTGCAAGCTTATGTCGATTCAGGCTTTCAGGCTTCCAGGCTTTCATCCAGCGCATCCGTCACCGAGCATATTTCGACTGCATCTCTAACGCGACCATATTCTTTCCACAGTTCTCGCCTCAAATAGACCTGAATTAGTCCGCCATTCGTCACGCCTACAATATCTATCTCACTCGCGTAGCAGTAGGAGGTCATCATACGCTGATGTTGGCTTACTTCATCGCAGGCCGCAGGTCCTTTGCAGACCCCCGTTTTCATCATACCCTCACGGCACCTAGTACCCTCCCGTAGCTGCGGAAGGTGCGGGCAGAGAGGAGACGAAACGGAAATTCTGGCTTGGGTCATGCTTGTTTTCATCATCTAAGCCTGGAGAACATTAAGATTGGTCTCTTCCAGGCATTGGTTTTGGAAATCACCTATATCTCGGCGGCATTGATTGAAACTCTTGTTACGCGCTATGTAAGTAGAAGGGTATCTAAATCGCTCGAAGGGAAGAACGGTAATCACCCCCGATCCATATCGAGCTCCTCCGCTTCAGTTACAGGGTTCTATCTAGCAACAAACAAGTTGACCAGAATCGTAGCAAGACAGAACACACTTTCCCACATATTGTGGCCCATGATGACGCAGGAGGAGAGAAAGAGGAGGCAAATCATGGCCATGGTGGAAGCGCCTAAGCTTTGGCAAAAGAATACACGTGAGGACCAGACGATTGCACCAGACCCTTTCCTTTCAGAAGGCAGCTCCAGCTCCCGGTCCCAATCAACATGTTTTGTCGGAGTTGGAGTCCTGAGACTATCGTCTGGAAGTTCTTGCAAGACCTGCTCCTGTTTCTGTCGGCTTGAGTTTAGCTGGCTGTTCTTCAATTGGAGTTCGCTCTGTAGCGACTGAACGAGGGCCCTCAGCTCTTGGATCTCATCCATAGCCAAGTCCACTCTTTTCTGTAGAACGAGCATCGGGGATTTGGACGAGTAAGGTGCTTCCGGTGGTGGAGTGCAAGGTGAAAGGGTGGCACGCCGACATGGTGACTCCGGAAAATCCGCATGAAGTTTCAGCGGCGAGAGGGGGTGTCTTCGTGCAATGGGGGACTTGGTACCCCAGTCGGGTTTCATTCGCCACACCGAGAATGGGGTGGTCGGACCCGACACGGCACTTAGGGCGTCAATGGGTGATGTTGGTGATAGCGCCAATGTTCTAATCTTGCGAGCTCCCACTGGGGTGCCGCAGTGGGCAACGCTGCTGTTCATGGGTGTTTCGTATTCCCCGTCACACTTCCATTTGATCGAACCAAATGTTGTGCGAAGGATTTTCATCAATAACTCTTCACTTCCAGCAGCAGTGTCAATTGACAGTGAAAGCGATGGCATAGGTGATATTGGTGGGGTTCCGTTACTTTTAAGGAGCTGTCTAAGGGCGATTTTGATAACAGGGAGAAGGTATGCAGAACCCCATTCTTCAATGGCTTCGATCCAGCCTTGAAATTCAAAGAAGCTCTCAGAGTCATCCAGGTTGAATCTTGATATTTCCGACATACAGTAGCGTCCATCGGTATCCACGTAGTGATAGTGGATTAGAGCGGTCGGGTTATCTATCGCACAGGAAAATGATACCGGTCTCTCAAAGACTGGCCGTGGGCCGGTACACCGTCTGAACAGCAGCTGTAATGCTCGAATGCAATGGGCTCCAGCAATGGCACATTGATTTTTGGCAGATTGCACGGCATCCTCCGACGTAATGTTCATCCGTTCAAATACTAGAAAGGGGCAATATGTGGTGGTACCGGGTGACACACAGCCGGACTCGAAGTCCACAATTGTCCCTGTTCCAGATGCGCAGTTCGGAAGAATGGACAGTTCTCTTTCGTTGAACGCAGCAGTGGCGAAGCCAGTGAGAAGGCCTGGCCGAGGAGCAGGGAGTTCGAATAAGCTTTCTTGGGCTTTCACAGCTCGTGGTGGCAATGCTTCTCGATTCAGCTTCGGAGCCAAGCATCGGTGTAGAGAGCGATTGGAACTGATGGGAGGGAGAACATTCGGCGGGAAGACTATCGTAGATCCAAAACCTTGTCCAGATGCCAGCTGACTGCGCCATTCTCTTTCTTGCTTCGTAAACCGTGTCAAATTCTGCAGACATGGCTTCAACCGGTCAGAAAACGGCCGTGAGAGGTCGGACAACTGTATGGTTTCCGTGAGGACGATCCGAAATGCACCAAGGACTGTTGTTCGAAAGTCTGACCATCCAAGGTGACTGCCGTCAATAGCTCTCACAATGGAGACCGTCGTATCCAACAAGGGGCTTGAAGTTTCCATCGACGCCGTGATCGAGGTCTTGTTCCACAGATGTGACGGCTGAGACTTGGTGAGGGGGGCAGATTCACGACCGTAATCTGGAAAACCCTTCTCAGCGGGCTAGCAAGGTCAACCAAAGGGAATGGAACCCAGATTGGAGTGAATCAAGAGAGGTGAGGGAATTGCAGGAAAATCCATCATGTATTATGTGTGAGGCACGTGGTAGGCACTTTGTGGTGACAAACCACGTCGGCGGCTATGCAGGAGTACATTTGAGCGGATGTATCAGGCCTCAAACACGGCCAAAGTCCCAACTGGACCCAGAAACATTCTCCTAGGACATCAAAGAGCGTGTTAGCGAAGAATTAAACTCGGTCTTGCACGAACGGGCCGCGTCAAGATACGGGATTGTAGCCCCCATCGGTAAATTTTCATCGGTTAGCTCCCAGGTCAAATAGGGCTATATGGGCGCGTAGAGGAGTTTATCATTGAGAACGAAACAGGTTCGACATCTCGACAAAATGCTCGTCAAGCCTCAGGCCAATAAATTGGTGGCGCCAGATCCTGGAAGTCCGATTTGTTGGTGAAACTTGCATGTTGACTTCGGCGGTTATCAATAGGGGGGGTGGGCGGTTAAGAAGAGATCCCATGTAGGACGCGTAGAGGGGGATCTTCAAAGAAGAGATCACGAGGCAAAGAGGTGATGCATGTCTAGCAGCTTGATTGAGTCTGGTTTAGCTGGGATGTACACTTCTTTTCGCGGATTCCTCATGAAGCGAGCAAAGGTGGAACGAGGTGAGGGAAACTCGCAGCCCAATAGAAATGCACACAGAGTGTGGTCTGTAAATGGAAATTTTGCCGATGCCTTCGTACTCGATGGCGGAAAGGATGGACCTCCGATCACAAAGTCTCAATTGTCTCTCTTACACTCACAACTCGCGTAAGCTTTAAGGATTCGTGAGATGTGGTGCTGTGACTAGCATCAAAAAACTGCGACATTTAAAAAGACATCCCTTGCAAATGGTCATTATTGGAGAAGGGATTGACAGACTAACTGCTCTTATAGGCAAGTTGAATCGCCGCAACAGATGTATTATTTGAAGCGCACTTTTGCGAAGCCACCTCTGCTTCCTCTGAGATTGGCGCTGATGTTGGTCTCAGCCCCAATGCTGTGCAGGCTATGAAAGCGATGGACCCCCGGCTCCAGGATGCCTACTTCCAAATTGCTCCAAAAGCACCCGTATCCGAAACCGATGGTCGAAAGATGGTCATATTCCATAAAGTCCTTACAGGGATGGACGGAGAAGACACAGGCAATACACTAAAGGCGTTTGAAGAAGTCCATACACCACACACTAATAACCGCACGCACAACGTTCATCGGGCTACGTTTTGGGGTGAAATGACCAAACTGTTACCTTCTAGTTTTGGGAAAGAGCTAGTCAGCCTCAGCATGCAGTGCGCCGACATCCAAGACAATACCGACGGAGGAGTCATGGTCTGTTTTGCGAATAGGACCTCGATGCCATCATTGGTTGTGATGGGGCCAAGTCCCGAGTGCGAAAGATATTTCTTGCCGGTGAACACAACGTTGGCCCTCAGTTTACCGGCAAGTATGCTTATCGAGGTCTAAATGGCATGGAAGATGCTGTCACTGCTACCGCAGAGCAAGCTCGTATTCCCTTCATACTATGTGATTATGGCGGTCACCTTGGAGCCTTTCCGATTGACCAGGGAAATACGTTCAATCATGTCGCTTTTCATGGTCAAAAGGAGGTCAATGGAATCATGGTAGGGATTGGGTTGCCCCAAGCACGGTCGAAGATGCTCTTGAAGACTGCAAGGACTGAAGTGAGCCCGTGAAGAAGTTGCTCTCGTTGACCAAGAAACCAGACAAATAGGCCTTGTTTTGATCATCCACCGGCAAAATCCTACGTCAAAGATGGCAAGATATGCCTCCTTGGTGATTGAGCTCACGCTTCCACCCCTCATCAAGGTGCTGGGGTGGGCAGGGCCATTGAGGATTCTGCTTAGTCGACTACTTGGGAGATCGAAATCCCTGCACCAACAGGAACTGCCAAGTGCTTTTGTAGCCTACGACGCCTCGGACCCAGAAGCTAGTGACAATGAGTAAGATGATGGCCTTGTGTATGATTTTTGGAAAAAGGGTGGTGCTGAAGATAATGTAGTGAAACTCCGTGAGCTCATGATGTCGCGATGGCATTAGATATGGGATTCGGACTTCGAATCAAACCGCAAGGAAGTAATCGATTTGATGGTTCGACGCAAAAGATTGAACTGGATATGGGTAACGGGTGTAGTATTACAGTATCATCCATGGTATGGACATGACAGTCATTAGTGCAAATAGCTCAAACTGTACCAATTCACCCACCCCTCCTTTTTTCCTCTCCCAAATCCCAACCCAAAAAGGGGCGCAGACATAATCTCTCCTCTCTCGGCTTCCTGGATGCAATGAGTCCATTCATTGCCGGCAAATATGACTGCTGGGCTCGATATTAGTCACCTGATATCCCGCTGGCTCATTCGCGGGCATCGCCATTGCTTCCGACTTCCGATGACAAGCTGACGCTCGAATACATTCTCATTCTCAGAGATGGTCGGGGTGATGTCAAACCACTTACCGTCAGACGTGAAGGATACGACCTGACCAAGACCTCCTCTGCAGGAGGACTCATCAAATGTTATGAAGTGAATCCACGATGGCCAATATCAATATCACAGCAGGTTGGGCCGGACGACAAGACAACTACGACAAGCATTTACACATTCACCTGCGCGATCACTCATTCTACCCTTTTCTCTCCTAGCCCTTCTCCATGAACGTCTGGCACCGCCTCATTTCACCGGACGGGATGTGCTATCCGACCACGGCTCAAAGTCCTCCTTTCGTTGGATTGTGGATCTCGATTTGTTAAACCCAGGCTCCCTCATTATTAACCTGCCCGTTGAACCAGTGTATGGATTCGATATTGTCAACGCGTTATTCGAACTCCGCCGGCTTTCCATCCTGAGCTATATTCACCGATGATATGTCATGGGGGGGAACTTATCCCGTCTGACAGAACTCACTTTCCAGGCCATCAACCACTGGCACTAGCAATTCCATCCAAAACACCTCAACGTCATCCTCAACCAGCCCTATCAATGGAATGCCCTCAAAAAAACCTTTCCGGCCTCTCCTATTGGCGAAAATGCATCCGATGCCTTGTTCCGCATAAAAAGGGCCGGCTGTCTCTAGCTCCCAGGCGAATTATGAACCAGAAGCATGCGCAGCCGACTTCGCCTGAAATTACACCCTCCCACCAATTTGGAATTCTGACGAAGAGCATGGAGGCGCATACATCGGAACATGCAAGATTGGAGAATTCACGGCAGAAGTGGCATTTTACTAAGAAGAGTCAATACATAGCGAGGCTTTTGCTTATCGCGAGCCAAATAACAACGGCGAAAGATCTCATCACAAAGGAGTTGATGAACGTCGCCGAGATCAATTTGAACTATCGTGTAAGGAGAAGAAGAAATTGGTAACAGGAAAGGTGCTAACGATTTTGTCAGCTCAGACCCAGAAAAGAGTCCCTTTCCGACCTATCCTTCCGACCTTACGAAATTTACCAACGACCAGCGTCTTATATTATGGTCATGATTGCCACAGAATTAGCAATTTTTCTGGCAGAACGTTCCGACTCGGCATATTATCGTCTTGGGGTCACAGCCCTGCCCTCCGACATAGCCGTCCACCAAAAAATACGAAGGTCCCATCATATTCAAGACTTCATGCTAGACACCTTGCTAATTTCACCAAAGCGTGGAGGACTGCTAGGTGCTGTCGCAGAGGAGAATTGGGCAACTAATGGAATGACTGTGTTACAAGAGATCGAACAGCTTGAAATGCAATCGAGTGAAGAACATGGTCCCTGGACGGCGTTCAGTTCACAAAGGAGCAGGAGAAGCAAGAAACCAAATGCTACAGCTTTTCCTGAGAAAATACGAGTAGGTTTTCCGCCTCTGAGAGTGGGTACACCTTTACATTAGTTTTTCACGTGGTCGGCTGAGGTTAGTTGCCTAGGTAGGAATCGAATCAAGAGAAAGCAGAGCATTCTGGCTTTTTCAAGAAATGCGCAGAATGATCCATTATTTTTTGTTTTGTCCTCGTTTGAGAGAGTCTGTTTCGTCGTTTGAGCAGCTGTATAACTCCTAAGGGCGGGATTCTGGTATACTAACAAGAAAACATTGGCTATTACGCATAAAACGGGATTCGCATGGATCCACGTAAACTATAAAATGTTTCCGTTGGGATCTCCCTGCATCGTGCTTCGTGAAAATCTTTCGCCTTTGCCGTGCCAGCATCGTCGTCTTCACTTTCACTCCACCTGGGTCATTTCCATTGCCAGGCTCACAGATACCACGGAAGTCACCTTCAAACACTCGCAGTTTTATTTCACATTCCATTTCAGGTCAATCGTGACCCGGAATTGTTTCTAACGTACTGTTACTACTGATATTACTGACATCAGTTTACCCTTCAACCGCATGAACAAAATTCGCCAAAATTTTCTTCCGCCGCGACCGCGACCAACCGCAAACATGGCCACCATCGACTCCTCTGTGTTCTATAGCACCCTAGGCTTATCGGACAATGCATCTCTAACCGATGTTGACGCGAGATATCTCGAACTTACCTCATTCCTGAGTGGTCCCAAGAACCGAGGAAACCAAGAGGACGCAAAACTGGAACAGGAAAAGGTCGATAAGGAATATCATACTATTCTGTCAAAGCTCCTGATGAGCAAAGAGAAGATTCAAGAGCGCGTCACAGAGCATGTTACAGAACCTTTCACAATGAGACAAGTCATCAACGCTGAAGATCGAATTCTGATGCCGAACACTGACAACAAGTATTGGTCGATAGTTAGACGTCTTCTAGAGACATCTGATTCACAAGCCTCAGACGGCAGAAAAGTTGACTGGGTAAAGCCACCAGGCTTTGGTATTCTAGAAATCGAGGGGGATATTATTGATGCTCCAGATCGAGCAGTTATTGTTCGTATGGGAGCCTTTCATTCCAGGTTGTTCAAATCTAACACAGACCATGATAGATGCGGTCAATTGTCAAGGCGTCTGGGGATGTGGAATGGCAGCACAGCTCAGGAAACAAGTGTGTACATAGACATTTTCAGATGCGCAGCTGACTGACAATAGATGAAGTTCCCCTATGCCTTCGGTGTGTACAAAGATCATTGTCTGCGAGCTGAAAAGCCATACGATCTGATCGGTACTTGTCTCCTGATCGAACCCCAGCCTGGGGACTACTCGCACAAAATGCAAAGAGTCATGGACAAGTGGGAACCAGAAAACAGCCTTGTGTCCGGAGCCACAGTCGACGGCAAGCGTCACTGGATAGCATGTTTGTTCACAAGCGTTGGCTATGGAAGACCAAACATGGCGGCAAATAATCCAGGGAAAGACCCCCAAAAACTCATTCTGAAGCACACCAGATATGCTCTTGAGGAGCTGAGAACGAGACTCGAAGGTTTTGGGCCGTCCAATCTTAATGAGGAGACCAACTGGCAAGCCGATGACATGAAACCTGGAGAACTTTGGAGTGGGAAATTCAACAGCGGCGCTTTTGGAGTGGACTGGGAAATGACCCGCGATATCTTGGAAGACGAATTTGAAACCTTTGAACGGCCTTGGACTGTGATAAGGAAGTTCAACAAGAGTGATTGCGAGTCTCCAGATACTGGTGGGAATGGACACGCCCAGCAGAGTTCTCGTCAGCATTCTCGCTGGGGCCTTACACGTTAATCTGCATGGTTTCAGGCGGGTTTTGCAGTTGAGAATCATCCGGATCGAAGGTGGAACGGTAAAATTGATCCATTGGCATGGACTCATGTTCGTACTAAAGCTCCTTGAGCTCAGACTTGAGTCGAATACAGAATAGCCGTGCTTCTTGCAATCCGAGAAACTGGCGAGGCGCGGAAGAATAGGAGACGCTCTAAACCGTAACAAGATTAGCCTCTTTGTTTCTTGGCGCGGTTTTTGTTTTTGATTTTCGTTTCTCGAGTACCACTGAAAACGAGCGCACAGCATCTTGACGTTCAGGTGGATTTAGAATCCATCGCGGTTCAATATCGCTCGTATCAGCGTACGTATGAGGCTTGCGGCAGGAGCGGGTTCACTTCCACCACGCCCACCTCACGTCATTGCGAGCCATCGGCTTCGAATCCGGAATATTCTGATACCACCCCTACTTGTGCGCCTCTTTAGCAACAAACGAATAGACGCGGACAGATACAAGATTCGCAAACCACACATCCCGGATCCCCGATTTACGACAAAGCTCAAGTCATCTTTGATAGACGCCATTCGAGCCCAAATCAAGAGGGCATTCAGCCTGGATCAGCCCATAGCTATGAATGAACCGAATTGGGACCCTCGCCCCCCCAAACGACCTAAGCTTGAGGAGTCTCAGGCCAGTGGAGAGATTTCTGAGGATGGGCTCACTGTCCCTTTGAGTCAGGCGAGTCCGGGCTATCCCCGAGCAGCCAACAGTTCCTCCAACAAAGACAGTTCGAAGGAAATCGAGGTAGGTATCACCACCTTCGTTAATGGCTCCCGGGCCACCTTCCACGGCGTCCTCAAGAAGAGATACACCGATTTCTTGGTCAACGAAATCTTGCCAGACGGGACTGTCTTGCATCTGCAGAAAACAAGTGCGAAAACTGCGGCAGACTCACCTCCCAAAGCTGATATTTTCAACTCGTCAATCAAGGAGGATCAGGCCCTAAGCAACGAGGAAACCCCGAATGATGACACCTTAGGTTGCGCACAAGACCAGGGCGCCGACAGTAACGGACCCTCCTCAAGAGAAAACCATCAAGGCAAACAGGAGAAGGAGGCTTCAGAGGTGACTATGGTTACTATAATGATAGATACTGTAACTAACATGTATCAGGTTTCCGACAGCGATCGTGCAAAACTGGTTGAATATTTCAATGAAGAAGCTGTCGGCCAGCTGATGGCTTTGTACCAGTCCATTCTCAGGGATCCACGTAAAAAATCCCGTGAACATCCTACTGTCCGGACACCGTTTACTTCCGACCGCACTATTCGATCCCGGATACACCAGGACATTCGTCAGATTTTTCACCGCAAAATCGATTCGTCAACTGACAAAGATGGCATTTTAGTCCTCACGGCGGCGACATCAAATAGCCGTGGCCGAGGAAGGCCGGTGCCCGGTGAGAAAGAACGACCCGGAAGGCTTGGCTGGCTGGACCGTGGCGGCGAGTTCCTTCATTTCACCTTGTACAAAGAGAACAAAGACACGTTGGAGGTGATTTCCTTCCTCACCAAACAGCTGAAGACCACGAACAAGACGTTTCAGTTTGCCGGGACCAAGGATCGACGGGCCGTGGCCGTACAGAGAGTTAGTGCCTATCGTATCGAAGCCGAGCGACTGGCCGCTCAAAATAAGAACTTGCACTTTGCGGCGGTGGGAGACTTTCAATATCAGAAACAAGGCCTGGAGCTTGGAGCGCTTAGTGGGAATGAGTTCGTCGTCACTCTCAGAGACTGCCAGCTCGCCGGATCACCCGATGTGAACGCTTCTGAAAAACTGTCAGCAACTCAGTCCTATTTGTCGCAGTCACTGCAATCGCTACGCGAGAAGGGGTTTTTGAATTTCTTCGGCTTACAGCGCTTTGGAGCATTCACGACGCGGACTGATGCGGTCGGCGTGAAGATACTTCAGGGAGACTTCCAAGCCGCTTGCGACGCAATTCTAGACTTCTCTCCGGTTGCCCTGAAGTCCGATGAACCAGCCGTAGTTGTTGCCGAAGACGACCGGGCCAGAGCTGAAGGTATAAACATTTGGAGGACCACGGGGAAAATCAGCGACGCTCTTGACAAAATACCTCGAAAATTTTCCGCAGAAATCGCGGTGATCAGGCATTTAGGACGGAGACCTCAAGACTTTCTCGGAGCGTTGCTTTCTATACAGCGGAATCTGAGACTAATGTACGTCCATGCCTATCAATCATTAATATGGAATTTGGCCGTCGGCGAGCGGTGGAAACTCTTCGGGAGCTCTGTGGTTGAAGGGGATCTTGTCCTGGTCCAGGAACACAAGGACAAAGAATCAAAAGAAACAGGCGAGGAAGTGAACCCAAGCGTTGATGCCGACGGGGAAGTTGTGATACAACCCTCGGGTGAAGACCGAGCATATGACCCAGATGATATCTTTGAGCGAGCAAGACCGCTTTCTCCTGCCGAAGCCGCCAGCGGTCAGTACTCGATTTTCGATATCGTCCTCCCACTTCCGGGATTCGATGTGCTTTATCCCGCCAACGCAAGCGGCGAGTGGTACAAGATCTTCATGGCGACTGACGCCGGCGGCGGCCTTGACCCCTACAATATGCGCCGAAAGCAGAAGGACTTCAGTCTAAGCGGAGGATACAGGAAGATGCTGGCGCGGATCAGCGCGGACTATGATGTACAAGTTCACGAGTACGTTGATGACAACAAGCAGTTTGTCGAAACGGACATGGAGAGACTTAGGGGTGGTCGAACGACAAAGACCATCGAGGGAAATTTACAAGGAGAACCGGAGGGTGAACCTGAGGGCGAGGGAAAAAAGACGCGATCGCAGCCGAAACTGGCCGCCGTGCTCAAGTTTCAATTGGGTTCAAGTCAATATGCGACCATGGCATTAAGAGAGCTATCCTGTGGAGGTATCCAGGCTTACAAACCTGAATTCACAGGTGGAAAATAACTCGCGTCCTTTCCCGGGCGAGAGCGCAGTTTTATCGCGTGGGGTTTCAGCAAGTCCCCCCGGTTTAAATCCCCCTCTCGCTCTCTATCCGCAACCACTACTTCGCGATAACTCATTGTCAGATCACTGCTTGAAATACTCTCGGCGCTACCCACGGTCCCATTACAAGTCTCTCGAGCCTTCTTTATGCGAAATGCGCATATATGGTTATCCGTGCCTGCGTCGACCATGCCAAGCCTTTCCTCTTGAGATGGAGCTCATTGCCGACACCTACCCTCAAGGCAACATACTCCAGAACAGAAAAGAAGTTTTGTTTTTTAAACTCGCAAAGTATCCCAGAGATCGAATTCTTTTGGACGATATGTGGGAACTGTTCGTATTAATGCTATGTGGCGTAACACTGGCTCCTCTGGGAGTACTAAGAACTTAAATAGTATACGAGGAAGCAATCAAATTTGGTGCCCTTTTCTATTGCACTCAACTAGGGGCCATGGACAGGATATTTCCACGGGGGATAAAAGCGTAGCTTCTGTATTTTGGGGGCTAGCCCCCAAACCCCCGGGCCTCGCTGCGCTCGATATTGCCAAAGCCCTTTTCATCACGTGATTAAGCCGGCCACATTAGTCTTTGGCAATTCTTGGCGGCGCACACATATGGCCCCATAACGATTCACGTGATTGGCCAACCCCTCGGGATCCGGAAAATCTCTAATCCGGAAACCACCAAATCCTTTGCTCTGATTGGCTGGCCCCATCGGATCCAATCCACGGCCCGTCCAGGAGTGGGTAGAGCGCCGCCGTAGCCCGGAAAATCTATAATCCGAAACCTAATCATATGCTCTAATTGGCTAACTCTATCGGATCCAGTCCATGGCCCATCCAGGAGTGGGTGGAATGCCGTAGCCCGGAAAATCTATAATCCGATACATAATCACGTGCTCTAGTTGGCTGACCCGTCGGATCCAATCCACGGCCCACTCAGGAATGGGTAGAATGCCCGCCTTTGTCTGCCAGCCCCCCCCCCGGTCGGATCCAGTCTATAGATCACGTGTGGACGATGTTGATCACGGTGTCCTGTGCCCGTACGATATCGCCCCGTCGGATCCAGTCCATGGCCTGTGAAGTAGACGACGATATACTCAATTAGGAAAGCCGGCAACGATAACGGCGATATATCTGGCAAATACCGATACATTGTGCTCAGATATCGGCGATGAGAATGGAGCCCATCTACATAGCTAGCGATTTCGACCCCCACTCATAATAACTGTGTTGTTCTAAAAGTATAGTCCAAGTCCCGTCCTTGGGATCCCACTGTATGTACACTCACAAAGCGCTCAAAATCAAACTGCGCTTCAAATAACAGTCCATCTAATGTCTTCACGGTCGTAGAGTCGTAAGGCCGAGTCGAAAGCCATCACCTTCTCCGGGGAGAGCTGATTGGCCACACGAGTGCACAGGAGTTCCCAGCTCTTCCGTGACAACCGGGATACTCGTAGCTCACGGAGAGCGAGCCGGAACCTGGTCGTGACTTCGTCCTCCCCCTGCTGGCGCATTACTTGAATCGGTCAGATTGTCCGGTCGAACACCCGATATAAGTGGTGGCCCTTAATGGCGTCGACGGATACGTGCTTCAAGGAGTAGAGGGGTTTCCCTCCGACGGGCGGGAGCTGAAAGAAGTCGCTGCAGAGTAAGATGTTGACCCACCCCCCCGAACGGCTGGTGTGAACTGGCCGGGAGGGTGGCGCGGAAGCGGCCATCGATCAGAGACAGCGTCTTGATATCTATCATGGACTTCTCGTCGATGATGAGGAATCGACAGTCCCGGAAGAGCGACTGTAAGGACTGGAGGGTGGCGACGGACAGATCCGCCTTCTTCCCCTTCACGGGGAGCTTCAAGAGGCTATGCAAGGTCTTCCCCGCGAAATTGAACGCGGCCACCTCCGTGGGGGCCGCTCGAAAGACGGGGTTCTGCTTCCCGGCCTGGCTCGCCAACTCTTGGATCCGGGCACACGTCTTGAGAAGCGTAAAGGTCTTTCCCGAGCCGGCGACACCGTCCACGTTCAAGAGGAGCTGAGAGGGGAGGGGAATCTCGCCCGCCAGCTCCTGCGCATACTGACCCACCACGGTATCGTAGAACTTCCTCTGCTCGGGATTCAAGGCCACGGAGGATGAGTCCATGGTCACCACTTGTGCCGCGGGGTTTTCGGCCTTCAGCTGGTCCCACACTTCCGGGGAGATGTCGTATCGGCCGACGTGCGGTGACCAATCGTAGCCACGATCCACGTCCCGGGTGCCGAGGCCATCGAGGTCGATGATCCGGGTGAAATCATCGTGCGGGCGGCGGCGAGCAAAAGCCTCAAAATCGGCCAGGGGGTGCTCGTCGGGCTGTTCGGGAGGATCCTCATCACTCTCGTCGTCATCCGCATCCGCATCCGCGCCTTCTTCCGGCTCGGGGTCGATATAAAAGTCTTGCGGATGAGCATGTGAGCGGGAACAGGCCCGAAAGGCATCCACGTACGACGGGTAAACCTGGCCCTCGACCGACAACAGATCTTCCCAGTCACGAACGGGTGGTGGAGCATCAGTTTCACGCGGCAGAAGTCCGGATAACTGGGAGATTGCGGATGGTTCCCGTACCGGGGGAAGTAGTTGATCATCCGGGGGGTGGCCCGTGGCCGAATCTTCCACGTCATCCAGTCCCAGTGTCGTAAACAGTCAAACAGCGACAGGGCCGGCAGGGTGGTGTTGCGATCCTCGGTATCGATCAGTCGATCTCGATACCTCCGTAGTGGCGAACGCCGGGCGGTGACCTCCCCCGACTCGAGGACGATCAGGTCACGCTGAGCATCTTCCGGGCAACAATCGAGGCTCACGAGCATCCGCGATACGAACGACAACAGGGGGCCGCGGTCGTTCAGATGGGGAAGGACCTGAGCCTGCAGTTCTGTGTACGAAGCCGACAACTTCTCGGGCTTGGACACGTGCTTGTCGATGTAGGAGAGTACCGCGTGGAGACTCGTCGGGGGTTGAATGTCGGTATTGGCCATCCATCCCATGGTGATGACGGGTGCACATTGATTGATGGTCTCCTGGTTCCGAGTGGGCGAGAATAGCCAGGCCTTGTGATTAATCTCCTTCGCTACGACGGGCCTGGTCGATTTCAACACACCACGGATGCGAAAGGTGAGTTTAAACGATTACGTGCGACATCTGATGTGCTTTCGCGATGGCAGGTTCGGCCGGCACCCGCGCTGGCGGTTTTTCGTCTTCAACCTCCTCATGCGTCGAAAGGCCAACGGGGCGGCCCGTTTCTACGTGTCGAAGGCGTCCGGTCTCAAAGATCTCAGTCGAGAGGAGCTAGCGGAAGTCCTACCGGCCGACGATGCCCTCCTCCCTCATATTGTGCGCCAAGGTTCCGATCCGACGGGGACGCGCCCGTTTTGGAGGAATAAGAGAAACCACTTACAGGCCCAGGCCCGCTTTCTCTCGCCCGGCACGCCGCCTGTTTTTGTGACTTTGAGCGCGGCCGACATGCAGTGGCAGGACCTCCACCGACACCTCCCGGGCTTTGCGATTGTTGCTGGGGCCGATGATCGCAGTCGGCGTACATTTATTTGGGATGGTGTCTAAGACAATCCACATATCGTTGCCCACTACCTGCTCCTGCGATTCCAGGCGTTGACGAACCACGTTCTCCGTCCGTTTCTCGGCTTTACCGACTCCTGGAACCGGTTCGAGTGGCAGGCCCGCGGTTCCGGCCACCTCCATTGCCTCTTCTGGATCCCCACCGCCCCTCCCCTCGACTGTGAGACAGACGACGCGCGGGCGGCATTCGCCCAGTACTGGGGTGCCAGGATTACCGCGTGGAATCCGGACCCGCTACGATTGCCGGATGCCCGGAATCCCGCTTCCCTGGCCCCCGCCGATGTCGCCAATACCGCGCGGATCAGTTTGCGGCCCTTCTCAACCGCCTCCAGATGTATTCGGCCTGTCGAGCGCCGTACTGCTTATAGACGACGAGTGGCTCAGATCAACCCTCGGCCTGCCGCTTTTTCTTCCCCCCCTCCCGCTCTTTCCCCAACCCGTCGGGTACAATGTCGGGAAGGCCATAGCAAAGATCCGATCTTTTCCCGACACTTCGTCGATTAGGGTCTGTCGAATCGAGGCTGCGGGAAGGCTGGGAGGGGGAGGGATTCCGGCTGGCAATCTCCCTCACGATCAGATCCACCTCGGTCGTGGTGATATTGAGATTGGGGACCATCGATTGAAAATCCGGGGAGGGGGGAGCAGCTCAGCGGACACCGGTTGTTCGGGCGCGGGGGTTCCTCAATACCTGTATCGTCGATCAGAGCGAGAAACGATGAGGATATGTCGCCATCGATCGGTAGAGCGTCGATCCGGTCCGGGGAAATGGTGATATACCGGTAATCCGGGTGGTGCGCCTGAAGAAACCGCAGCCAGGTCATGACATGTCCCTTTCGAACCCGAAAATCCGACCGGAACTGGCGTCGATACCGGAGATCATTCTCGACCACGCGATTCGAGGGCCGTAACACCACCACATCTAGTTCCGCCGGCAGATTAGGCAGTATATCGACCGTCTTCGTCGTGTTTTGCATGAAACTTACACAGTGTCCCGAGTAGTGGTACTGGTGGCCGCGGTAGCGATAGACCATCATTTGCACATGCGACCGGGCGATAATCATCTCCTCGATTTGGGTCAGCACGAGCAGATGGCCGGCAGCTCTCCCGGGTCCATGCCGTTCTCGGCGGACATGAGAAAGGGAGTTTTGCCGCCCTGATCCCGCAAGAAACAGGCATGGTAGATCCCATTCTTCAAATCCATCGAGAACCGCCGTGCGTGACATCGGCTGGATGGACGCCCATTGTTCGGCAGGGAGAGAGCCCGAGGTTCTGTGAGCGGTGTCGCACGCCTCTTAGACGGGATCGTCGGCGGATGAGGTTGGAGGAGAGGAGGCAGTTCTGGCCTCTTGGACGGGATCGTCGGCTATGACGGGTGTTGAGCCCTCCTCTTTCTGGACTTGTCACGGCAGGATATACAGGTGGAAAAGATCTTGCTCCCCGTGGGGGGAGGGGGGCATCTTTGAGAAAGAAGGAAAGGAGTCGCTTTTGAAGACAGGCCGAGCAGTATTTGGCATCCTCGTCGGACATGACAGAAGGGAAGAGGGTGGCAACGTGTGTGTGTGTGTGTGTGTGTGTGTTTCATTTACGCCCATTTGGCCATGACAGGCTGGGGGTGGCAACGTGTTGAGGAAATCCGAAGGCGCGCACGGATCGCGCATGGATCGCGAGATCATGTGATTTAGCATTTCTCGGCCAGAGACCGGATTTCGGATTTTTCTCGACCAATCAGAAACGGCTTGAGTCACGTGAACAAAATCGATCCCTTGGTCCCGCGAGCGGAGTCTAACAAAAGCTTCGCTCACGCTACGCTTTAATCAGCACGGCTCAAGTCACGTGAACAAAATTGATCCCTAGGTCTCGCAGGCCGGGGGGGTCGGAGTCTAGAAAAAGCTTTACGCCACGCTCTAATCAGGAAAATAGAGGGAGGAGATGAGTCACAGGGACCCTTCATTCCTCCTTCATGCAGCAGGCCCGGAGGTATGTTGATTTGCCTGACCGGTGACAGCGCACCAACCACGCCTGCTTACCACCAAGCCCCTCCCTCGTTTCGCTGAGTTCCAAATCTGTGCTCCTCCATCGCACCGACGGGAATCGTGATTCGAAAAGCTCTCGATCGATGCGAAAGGGTTCTTAAGAGGCGAAGGAAGGCGCTCTACACGACAACATCTAATCAAAAAGTCGATGGATTTTGCGGCTGCTCTCTTGATGGTCTGTGTTTTGATCGGCCGATCATGCCTCCGTGTGAATACACCGCTAACAAGGGAGAAAGGGTCTGATAGGTTCCTATTCTTCAGGACAACTTAGGAATGGTATCTTTGGGCAGCGGCTCTGTGAACCGGGCAAGCAATAGTCTTTTCCCAACAACCAATACACAGAGCTTCCGAGGCCACTCGCACAAAGTACAGTCACAATCAAGTCACACTTGCAGCTCGGCGCTGGCCAGGATGGCCGTGGCCCCATGACCATTTCTCACGCACCATGCAACAGGCAAGAACAGCTGGTGCCCTTGTCACAGTGGGCTCACCGGCCCGGAGCAACTGGGAACCTACCAGGCTGCCGCCTTTCGAAGTTTGTGGGAACGAAAGTTAGCGCCAGCGACGCCCCTCAAACGCTGGAGACTATAGTTTTCTTCGGACTTGAGTTGTTCGGTCTCTGAAGAGCTCTTATAGGTAGGGACTTGTGACTCTTCGAGAATAGTCCGAGCCGGGGTTAGCCTTTTGTTTTGCACCCTTGACAAAGGGGCAGACTTGGCAGTATCAGTTTGATACGGTATTGGGGGCTCTCCAGGCTGTCATTTTGAAAAGAATTCCAGCTCGAAGGAGGCTAGCTGAGCATGTATTTTGGTCTTAGTGCAGATTGCAGCCCATATCGACGAAGAAAATGACTTGAATAACATCTTGAGGTACTCACGACCTATTCAATACTGACGGTGATTGCCACACGGCGCGCAGGTTGAGGAAGAGATTTCTCTATTCAGAAGATCTTATGCTAGAACTAGCTCGAATTATGTATCATGGTAGCGATTATCAGATCGAGGGTTAAGACATTCAATCAACATAATAGCTTCAAAACACAATCAAATCCTTCAAAGAGATCGGGGGTCCACCGAAAAGTAAATGCCTCAATACTACGCAAAGGGAAATGCTACAAACTCTTGATCAACCACCTATTTCCTTGGTAGAGTCCTCATGACTAGCAGACAGATCACAGCCTAAACAATTGGACTTGAAGCAAGAACCTTCTCAGATACATCCCTTGAACTGACCTCAGATGCCTCCAGCATGACCTGGGCTTTCACAACCACTACGGGCCCTTCACAGTCTAGCTCGCTCAGGACACTCCCACGTTCATAACTGCAAACCGCAGGACGCAGGCAAACAATTACGTGATAGCTGCCATTAGCAGCCTTGTGCCATGAACCAACCGCCTCCATCCACCTTCCATCAAATTTGTCCCCTTGTTTGTAAATCTTTGCTTCGTATTGACGGCTTGATTTCGCCATGTTCAATCTCAAAGTCAGTGTGTCACAGAATGCCTTCTCCAGGCAATCTTGCCATTTAAGGAGCCTCGCCTGACGGTACTCATGACGGTAATTGAAGTCATCGTTCTCACCAATTCTGAGAATCTCATTGGCACGAGACTTACGAAGCGTAAGAAAGATATCGAACAGCTGGCGTTGGTATTTCTCGGCCAGTTCTGGCAGCCTGGGCTGCACAGAATCCTCCAGGAACTTAATGTTCGAAGCAACTGAGAGGCGGTGGACTACCTCTGGATTGTCTGGAACTTATTGTGAGCGGTTCGTCTCACGATATGAAAGGGTAAACTCACATTGACGAAACAAATTCACGACATCAATGAGGTTCGGTGGGAACTGGTCCTGCGGAGTTTCCTCAAACTCATTAAACGCCCAGGTATAAATAGCATTGGATGCCACAACTAGGAGAAACCTCTTCAAAGGAACGGCCGGATGTCCATAAAGGGTTCTCAAATTCTGCATCAGTTCCCGGCCCTGGGCTGCGGGAACCATCATGCGACATAGCTCCAGAGCGTCCTCTGTCAGTTGGCTGGTAGAGAGGCCGACCACCGCATGCGCCTCTGTAAAACACTGAATACCACATTCGACCCGCTCCATAGTTTCATCCATCCTTGTTTGGACCGACGAATGCATAAGCGGTAGTTTGTACATCCTATTTCGTAAGATCATTCGAAAATTCTCTATCAACTTTTGCTCCCAGGGTTCAATTCGCATGTTCGTGTTTATCGTTTCGGAATTCGCAAACGATCGCCTACTGCCCGAACTGTCTGAAGCATTGACAGCAACGTTTGATGCAATCTCTCGATCGTATGTCTGACAGTGTTCCGAAACCGTAGATGTGGTTTCCTCTTCTAGGTCACCTGTTGCCTCACCAGTGGAGAGCTGTCCATTTTTCTTCGATCTCTTCGACGCTGGAAGAGGCAGGTCTGCGTTAATGAACTTTTTCGGTTCCACTTTGGGCGTAGGATTTCGATGTTTAAGTGACATTTTGGGCCGCTCTGAAGGCGATCTCTTTCTCGTTTCAGTTATCCTCTCCTTGGAACTCAGCCTCGTGTTCCGGCCGGGACCGTGGGAAGGATTCTTCTGGCGAAGTCGGATTAATTTGCATTGAATCTCACACTCGTTGCGTGGCGAGGTGCCCTCAGGTATGCAGTTGCGGAGGGCCTCTTGAAGGTTATCAAACGATGCACGGTCGGCCTTCCCGTTTTGCCCATTGTGACAATTGATAAAGTTTTTCAAGATGAGAACTTCGGCTTCAGTCCAGAGCCGGTAGCGGCGTCGACTTTGTGGAGGAGCACAAGGCATGGTGCTATGGTTCCGCCGTGCCACGGTGCAATCCTAATTGTGACCGAGAGTTGAGTTTGACGAGACAAACATTAAATATCAATGGTGATATCAGGGCTGCAAAAACTGTGGGTCAAACTCAGGTAGCTCTAAAAAGGTAGGCTGAGGGAGAATTAATGAGAGAAGGAGGAGGACGAGGAGGACGAAAGGGAAATAAAAAGGAGAGAAAGAGTCTCTGCGGGGTTTGTAATTGACGTATGGTCTTGTGTAATTACAGAATTGAGGAGGCTGAAGGCTTTCGCTCTTTTGTGTCAGCTAGCCTAGACTGGTAATGTCGGCAAGGGGGTGGGTCCTTCACAATACACCACAATTTCGGACCGGTCCCGGAGTCCGACCCCTGCACATAACCGGTGTAGATACGTAGACGCATTGAGCAGGCCAGGGGGTTGGGGAGCGTCTCGTTAGTTTTACTTATTTCCTTCCAGCCTTCTCCCACCCTATCCAATGCACTACTTCACCATATATATATATGGCGTCCACCCTACCAGCATATCATCTTTCACACCTTCCTCAGCGTCCCTCAAAAATAAGAGGCCACCTTTACCTGGGCAGTCGGAACGACCGGAAAGCATTTCCAGTCGATTCTTCTGTATACAGCCGCTGGCTTTTCTTTCTTCTCATTTCAAACCCCACCCCCGGGGGGTTTTTCCACCCTCTCTATTTGACAAAATGGTTCGCACGGTCTGCCAGTACTGTCGCGATGGACATGTGAGAGAATGTTCGACGGCTATCGCACCGGAAGCTGACTTGCCTAACCACACAGTATCGGTGCTCTCTTGGTACTGCCCGGTTCCCCACAAGCTGCAAGCGTTGCAGGGAACAAGGAATCCTGTGTGTACCTGCTTCTCTACGGGCTGATAGAAGGCGAGCCCGTCTCCCAGCGTCTGACGCCAATCTCAACCCAAGGCCACCTTCTATCGGTTTACCAATGACACGAGCCAAAATATTCATATGTCTAGACTGCGGGACAGCATACTGTAAAGCAGCATTCAGAGTCTTCTTGTACATCGATGGCCAGCAACCTATGATGTGCAGAGACCACCTGATTGCAAGCTTACAGCCAGTGGTATGGCCAAATAGCCAATGCCATGTCTTGACGCAGATTGCATATGCTCGCTCTCCGAATTCAGCCCGGCAGCAATACGAACAGCTATGGGGCCCCCAGGTTTCGGAAGCCCTCAAACGACAGGAAATTCGGAGAGAAGATGTATTCAAAGACCTAAAGCCTGTATTGTTTGGCCAAGGCGAACGGGAAATGATACACGTTCGTCACAAGATCACAGGCATGAGACTTGCAGGCAAGATCCCATCGCGCGGTACAAAATTCGACAAATTGGCCAATCACGTTTATATTGATTCCTTGGAATTATATTCGGACTTCATGGGCCATGCATACCGTTACATTCTCCATCGTATCTCCGAAGACTGTCGACAACTTGGGTGGCCAGACTACCACGCCAGCAATCAATACCGGGACTTTACCCCACCTCAAGATATTGAGGTAGCTCTTCCTCTGCCCGTCAATTGCACCCCGGAGCAAGTCCAACTCGTTTTGATGGCTGCCCGCTGGGCAGGAATTCCCAATGCATATCCTGTTGCAGAACCTGCTGCAGCCCTGGCACACCACCTCCAAACTGCATTTGAGACCGCGGGGTATGTTTCAACTTCCACTCGCACCCTAATCCTCGACATCGGAGCTGGTTCCGCAGATTTGCAAGGATGGTCTGTATTAAGCACGAAGCCGCTCATAGTCCGTGAGTTGATACCTGGCCTCACATTCTGGTGTGGCGGAAATCAGGTGAATCGCCAATGTGGGATTTTGATCTCCAATTCCATAAGGCCGTGGGATCAGGTGCTACACACACTCGCCTGTAAGGAACGAAGGATGAGCAAAGAGGACGTCATTCGAGCGCTGGAAGATAAATTTGAAATGGCTAAGAGTTCGTTTTCTGGGTCTGAGCAATGCAATTTGAAGCTGCGTGGCCTCCCAAACTTGCCAGCATTCAAATTGAAAGGTGGCGATCGCGTTGTTCTTGAGCCTGAGGATGTGAGAGAAATCTTCCGCCCGACTCTAGGAACAATTTTAAATAATATCAAAGATGCCATCAAAGTCGCTCAGGAAAACGGAAATGATCGCGTGGATGAAATTCTGATGGTGGGGGGTGGAAGCTCGAGTCGCTATCTGCGAGACCAGATCTCAAGCGCCTGCGAGAAGGATGCCCAGCCACTTGCGGGGTATCCTATTCCTGTGAGGTCTCCGAGTGACGCAACGGCTCCGTTTTCGACCACCGTTGCCTTTGGATCGCTCTTGCTATTAACCGACAAAACCTTTATCAAAGAAAGAGTGGTGTCGCGAGGCTATTGTGTGGCATGGGACAAAGAAGTTCGTGATCTTGACCGAGGACTCTACCCAGAAGAGCCGGTGGTGCGAGATCCCCATGACGGCGTTCAACGGGTGCTAAAAGTGTCCAAGTTTTTCATTAGGCCTCAAGAAGTCGTTCCTCAGAATTACAGTGTTTCCCACCGGGGTTGGAGGGCATTTTTGGAAGAGGATTGCGAGGATGGCGGCTGGATTTTGGACGAAGATCTCTATTTCTCTGAAACGGTTGCTACGGACGACGAGCCGGTTGAAAACCCTCTGGTCGACATACATCCCATGCCTTCTCCTCTCAAGTTTTTCATTCCCGTGGCCGGATGTCAACAATTCGAAACGCACCTGTCTCCAGAAGGCAAGAGATACTTGTATGCGGAGTACGAAGTCGGGCTAGTTCTTAGGGGGATTATCATGACTTTCGAATTGGTGATCCCTAGGACGGGGAAGTTCTCGAGGCAAGGCAATGGGTATGGAGAGAATCCCCTGAGGTGGGAGGGACCATATCTTGGATTTCCGCTTGTGCACTATTCAAAATGAGGACTGGTCGATTTCGGGGCGTCATTTGCTTGTGAAGAGCTCAGACCTATGAAGCTGGGGCCGGTTCTTCTCCAGGGCTTTGTTGCTGGTTGGTGTGTTGGATGTTGATCTGTCCGTAGAGACTCTGTTGCTTGTCATACAGAAGGCTATAATGTCATGATAGCCTTCGAATGCTGTGATGAGAGATGCCAAGTAATATCTCAAAGCGGTTCGCCCACACCCATACCTAGTGCCGACAGAAAAATATCTCGCCCAAACATTCAACAAGCTCTAGTAAATCTTTCTGCGTCAATGTCGGGGAGTTGGCGCTCGACTTTATCGTGGGGGGTTCAAATTTTAACATGGCCTGTGAAAATCTCGCCCGGGCCGGCTTGTTGGCCCGCTTTTCCCCATTGGCTAGAAGGGTGTTGGAGTACGGTGGACACTCTTCTTTCCATACAAAGGATTGACTAAAGAGAACGCTCAGGGAGCGGTCCAATTAATATCAAGATCTACGTTGAACATTCTAAATTTCACTATGAAGCCACAACTTCACGCCCCGGTGGCGCTGGAACATACGGGCTATCGGCCTCGTGGAGATCCCCCCGGCTTAGACTAGATGGGATGGCTTTGACCATACTCCTAAAGTCTAACCGGGGTATATTGTCTCACCAGCCTCCAAAGGCCCCGAATTCGTCGGTTTATGTCCGAAATCATCAGAAAGTACTTTCCTCTCTGTCATTTCTCGGAGTCATGAACCCATTATAAGTTCCGGTATCTCCACCCCATGTTCAGATAAGAGCAACGCCGGCCAAAAATCTGAGGCTCAGAATGAAAATTCCTTCTCAAGTTCTCCCCCTCATCTATATTTCAAACATATCTAAAAGCTACTGTGGCTCTTGGCCCTCTCCAGTGCTTGCATTATTTCTTTCATTTCTCTGTCCGAGGGCAGATTCACAACAGTCAAGTACAGGACATCCTTGTGGAGGACACGACGAATGACCCCACCCTTCTTGCGGCGAGGCAGACGGCCCATTTCGGCATTGCGAATGTCTATCTCACTAAGCTCGTATCCCCGCCTGCGGGCGCGCCGTTGGGCCCTGATCCCGCGCTTCTTGGCCTTAGGATCGAACTTGCCCCCCGTCAACAGGCCGACAATAGTTCCCGAGTTGGCCGGATGGTTCGGGTCTGCGAAGCGGGATGCAAACTTCTTCTCTGGTGGTGGCATCACGAGTTTGCTGTCCGGGTACATGCCGGCGTAGGACGCCTGGGCGCGACGGTCGAGGTAGCTGGCTAGGAAGCCCGCTGAGGCTTGTAGGGCGTTGGTTTTTTTCTCGGGGAGTTCACCAGAACCGTCAAGGACAGCTTGCGCCGCAGTGTCGAGAGCCGGGAAGATCAGGGGCGCGGACTCGGGGAGCGACATTTCGCCTTTGGTGACACCGGAGGTGAGGCGGAGTTTTTTCAAGTTCTGGCGCAGCTCCGAGTCTGGGATCGAGGTGGCTTGGACCAGTGCTTCGTCGGTGGATCGCAGGCCGGAGATGTCAATGTCGAGGACCGGGTCGTGCGGATTGGCCGGCTTGAAGGTCATGATCATGCAATATAGACCGCGAGGCTTGAAGAGAATCTCGTTGATTTGATCGAGGTAGGTGTTGCGGCGGTGGCGTGATTGCACTTCCTTTGCCGTCGTGGCGGCGACTTGTACGGCGATCGTGACCCCCATGACGATAGGGTTAGGGACGAATCCAACGGCAAAGCAGGCCAGGTTGATCACGTCGAAGACCGGGCTAGCTTTGGAGGCCCTGTCGAAGTCGCTGAGGAAGTCGATGAAGGTCTTCTGATCGATGCCTGAGCATTCTCCAAGCAGCGGCGCATAGGCACGCACAAAGCCTCGAGATTTATCTTTCGGTCGGCGCTGGGGAAGGATAACAGGGCAAGGGAGTGGTTGGTATGTCTGGGACGGCGCGGCTGTGACTTTGTGATTGTGTAGGAAAGCGTTGACGACTTCTTCAGGAGAGGCGAGAGGGGACTGGGCAGACGCTTCGCTGTAAGATGGAGGAGGTGAATCAAGTTCTGCAGCGGCTTCATCGAGGGCCCATTCAGCCTTGTCATTGTCCAAGTCCGAGGTGCTGACGCTGGACGAGTCTGAGTCGTCGTCATCTTCGGCGGCTTTTTTTCCGAGGTCGCTTTTTTCCTCAGCCGGTCCTTTCTCGTCGGCATTGGATCTTGAACTCTCGCCGATATCGACCTCGCTTCTTGGATGGGGGGAGACGCCCCGCTCTCGGGCGGCTTTCCTTTCTTTGTAGTCGGCAACGGCTTCGGAGGCCAGGCCTATACCTGAGCCAATACCCTTGACGAGCATTTTGATGATAGGCATGATTACGGGTGCGGGGGAAGGTGAAGAGGTGTTCGTATTTAGAAAATATTGAATTGACTTGGAGTTGGTAGGCAGAATAACTTGTTTTGGACTGGTGGGATGGAGGAATGGATTGTATGCAGATGGGAGAAAATGTTCAATTGCGAAAGCCGTCCGGTCTTATATACAAGTGGCTTACGCTGTCGTTGAAAGTGGAGACGAGGGGGTGGTGGACAGTATCATTGCGGCCGATTGAGGCTAGTCGCGCGAGATGAAGAGGATTTCGAGAAGAGACAGTGACTAAGCACTGCCTTAATAGGGACAGCCTCGTCTCGCGATATCTTCCAAAGTGAGCCAAGTGGAGCTGCTGATGTGGGGAAGAAAAGAGCTTGGGCGTTGAAGCTAAGGGTGCTAAGTGAGGATAAGCCTAATGCCAAGTATACTCAAAGAGTCTTCGGCAAACTCGCCCTTGTTGCCGACTCGTGCGTAGAGGAGTTCCCGCGGTGCGCTGGAGCCCCAAGGCTGAAGCTGCGGTGGGTTTTAGTCTCATCCAACCCATCGGTTAATCATTCACAAAACATAGTCGCAATCATCATCAAGTGAGTTTGTGGACTCTCAATGGACTTTTTAGTTCCCCTTTCGGCCGAAGAGATAGCATTGTGCAGCCTCACCTCGTAAAACCGGGTCGAAATGGAATGTGATTTGCTTGTTGAAGTGGTTAACACGGAGACTCCGGTCAGTCGACGTGTTGGGCAGCATTTGGACCAGTGCTTGGGCAATTCCCTCATCCAAGTCCTTTCACGAGAATATGTGCGAAGAGAGCGCCGACCACGTGGTTGGCATTGGCATCTTTACTGTCGGGATTGAACTGGGCTAGGTAAAATTATCGTCATCGACTTCATTAGATTTTGAGAACTATGCTCATCACCAAAACACCTGTCGCTTTCAATCCGAGCTCAAGCGATGCTGTACGATTTGCTGTGTGAGTCCCCACGTCTAACAAGCGGTCGATCAGGCTTCCACCGGTCCATTGTGTTTCCATCTCAGTGGAGTCGTGGAGCTCGAAGCGACCTCGAAGCGGCAAACATTTGACACATAATTCTCGATAAACGAGTGGTTGGCCTTTGCCGTCGTTGAGCTCGTGACATTGTTTCTGGAGAACCTCTGTCCAGTAGCACGACATCATGAGACGCCTAAATAACAGATCGTCGGACTTTCCAATCCAGACCAACCATCTCGATAAGAACCATCCTTTTGACTGCGCCGCTGGCACGGAATCATAGACAAATGTGCAACGAAAAGCTAGAAAGCTATCGGTGTTAGGGTGGTGACGGTATCACCAGCCATCGTTCCCTGGGAAGAACGCTTTCTTTTCATTGTCCTCGCGCTGTCAATGCTCACCAGAACCCGGGTAAGAGACGGATGCAGTCTGCATGAGGTCAGGATGACAGACGTCTTCAATATTCTTGTATCCCTGCCCTGGATGCCATCATATTTTTACAGCGAGCTGAGAAGTGAGAATATTTTTGCTTTGAATGGTGCAGGAAAAGGATCTGGAGCGGGGTGACAGACAAGATAGTGCATATAATTCCGATTGCTTGGCTGCAATCTCCCTCTTTTCTTTCCTGCCCATTTTCAGGAGATCCGGCCCCCAGTGACGGGCGGTCTTCAACGATTAGACTTTCGAAAGCGAGATCTCGGAGGAATTTGTCGATCACTTCCCGGTCAAGGAAGGGGCTCACTAAAGCTATCAAATCTTAAGTGGCTATGAATGGCAAAGGGGAAATTATGCCACCATCATGGCCGGCATCAGGCCAAGATGTGAGAGCGGCCTCACGACCTTGGGCGCATGATATTCAGGGATGACGCATTTCATCCCTCCCGTGTCATGAGCCGGCGAGATTACGGAGCTAGATCTAAAGCCGGGGATGGTCCCAGCAACAACCTCAGTGCTAATGGTCTTCCTCTTCATACCAATGATATCACAAGCAACAGTTATGGCAGAAGAGAAAGGTCAGGTTTCGGCCTTCAGGAATGTCCATGGTTTCTTGGCCATATATAGTGACCCGGAGCGTTCAACCAAAAGAAATGTGATGGCTTGATCTCAACCCCTTGTGGGTCCTGACCCCCGCACTTCTGTAGATGGGCGGCGATTTGCTTGACAGAGTATAGCATCTGTTCCGAACACAAATGCAGTATAGGGACGGAGTACGGGGTAGTCAAGGATGAAACCGTGGGGAGAACCATGGCAGAAGACAGCTCCACCGGTTTACCAGGGTTCTCAAAGTCGACCAGACATCGAGATCCTTTAAATTGTACGTTGCTTGCGTCAATCCGCTGACCGACGCCTACGGGAAAAGGTGGGCACGCTGACGAGGCCACCGAGATTCATGCTCTGATCACCCTACGATTGGCCGCAGGCATGCAATCGTGGACAGTCCAAGCTCGTTGGCTGAGAGCGCCCGGAAAGAGATACTGTACAATACCTCGCCTTAATGAACGGCAAGGCCGCAAAAGTCATGAAAACCTACAATTCTGCGTCAGTTTATCCCAACCCAAATTCTCCCCCGCAATTGAACGGCATGGTCGGACAGCTGCAGCAAACAATGCGGCTCCTTCCCAAAGATCGGAAAGGCGTCTTCTCTCGTTAGATTCAGGTCGATCGACCCCATACCTATTATTGAAGAAAACATAAGTCATCATGCCACCGGGAAATGGAGCTTGTCACGTCGAAACGTGTCTCCGGTCACATCGGTTTCTCCTTCCTGGTGGAGGGATTGTAGGTTGGAGAGCGCGGAACGGCTGGTCCTCCAAGTGAACGGTCCCCTGGACGATGCATGAAATATTCCTTTTTTCCCACCCGCCCATTGGAGTCCACTCCTCTTGAGCTTCTCTCTTTTTGCTCCTTTTCCCTACTCGTCGGCAGGCTGCTCGACTGGTAGTTGCGTTTCTTTGGCGGACTGGAAAATCATTAAAGAAAGGGTCGAAAAGTTGGAGTCAGGCGGGTGCCCGCTCAGGTCAAAAAGAATGTACGCTTGTATAGAGTTTTTCCTGTTCGCTTACGAGGGGACCCTCCATAAACCATTTTCAGAGAAAAGATCTGAAACATGTGTCCTGCAGGTTCTCGGTAATGAATATAACTTGCCCTACTTGCTCGTAGCTGCATGTGAAAATAAAAACTTCTGAGCATGTGACTTTGTGTGAACGATCTCGAATTGGCGATCTGAATGGACAGAGAAGCTATGCCCCTCTATGCCTGGTATCCCTACTTGGCCGGACTGGATGGTTGGTGGAGGAACCAATGGTCCGGTCTTCGGGTTGCGCAGGCGACACGAAAAGCCCTGGAATGTGCAGCATTTGGGCGGAGAAAGAATGGGTCGAGGGAGCACACAGAGACAACCAAGCACAAGTCAAAGACTTCCAAGCCGAGGGAGATTTTATTCTTGCTTTGCCTGGCGTGAACGCTTTCTTTTCCGTTGGTGCTCGGAAGGAAGAAGGGGGTGGGAAGACTGAGTAGTAACTAAGGTGACGACGTATCAAAATACGGTGGGAAATTTTGGAGGTTCGGATCGGGGGGTAGGACTCGAAGGATCTGTGCAGACGGGCGCTTGCAAGTTGAAGTTCGGCAGGTTTCCAAAGGGCGATTTTCATCTCTGTTTTCTCGATTGATCCTGAGAGCCATTTAGGAAAGTCAAATTTGAAGGGTGAAGCAGCGAAAGGCGGGAGCGATGACTCTGAGCGGAATAGCGCCTAGGATATATGCGGGCCCCCTGCTGAGGGCAGGGAGGCCCAGGTTTCAACCGATCAACAGCATTTGTTTCGGTGGTTCGGTTCCTCACCCAATGCCAAAAAAAAAAAAAGGATTGCATCAAATAACGCAACCCCCTTGTTCCCTACACGCAGTTCATTTTGAGTTCGTCGCTCAGCTTGTTCTGTTGTTCAAATCGAGTCGCCTGATCGGCTGTCTTGGGTTCGAAATGGAAAATTCGCGGACATGATCGGATAATGACCGACTACCCTGGTCGTTTTTATCGTCAGCAATTGTTGTGGACAGAAGACTCGCTTGTGCAACGAAAAGATCGTACCCAGGCGAAGGAATATCAAAATCCGTGGTCACTAGTGGTCAGCAGCATTTTGTTGCTTGCGTGTTGTGTCTCGGGCAATCGGCCGCTGGAGGAAACCCTGTCCGAGATAAAAGGTACATCGTACTGGTAAGTAAAAACTAGTCAATGAAGCAAGTATTGTCCCAATTGCCCGTGATAATACCGAACATTGGCTGCAGGTGTGTGGCACTAAGAGGCAAGCTTGTGCGGGACGAGAGAAAAGGGTGTGAGCCTCTACATTTCTTGGGCGCAGGCGAAGACTTCGTATTCAGGCGCCGTCAGGACGGGCATTGGAATTGACCGTGGCACATTTTGGTTAACCATTTGTTATGTACCGTGTGTGGCGGACGCCCACGGCCCATGCTCACCGTCCGCCAATTCTTGTACCATATCTGCCACCATTTCTCCTGACCCTGATTCTAATCCGGAGCCCTGCTCCACCATCATACGTGACCTAAACCAACAACCGTTAAGCTGCATTGCACCGCGCCCGCACTGACTGCTCTTTGGAGTCTGCTCACAAGGGGACTGCCTGCAAGCTTGCCGAACGGCAGGTCTACACTCACCAAACAGCGTTTTCGACTTCCTTCCCTCTTCTTCCTCTAACGACCACTTACCATCACCACCAACATCCCGTCATCACATTCCCCCAACTCTATTCCCATCAATTCGACTACTCCATCTCTTGCTTTATTCTTGTTGCTCTTTATTGTCGTCTTTTTCTTCGACCTCCACCGCCGCCGCCTCCCCTCCAGATCCTGCACAGCCGCTTTCTCCTTTCCACGCGCCGCCGCGGCTGTCACATTCGTTTCTTGAGCTCCTTGTCCTTCAGAGCTGTTCTGTTTCGTGAAGACTGTTCAAACAGACTCTTCCATCCTTCGCTTCTTGATCCTCGCCTTTATTCCATACTTAATCGACGTTCATTCCTCCTAGTCGAATTTAACCCGCGACTTCTCGACGTGATTTGTCCCCCATTCTCCTGGCCTAATCATTTTCACTGGTCACTCACGCTCTCACGCTCCATGTTGAGTCCGGAAGCCCTGTTTTAAAAATATCACCAGACGAAGGTACGTCTGCTCTGTCACAACTGATCATTGGTATCCGTTCTTATTCTCCTTCGGAGGATACTCTGGTTTGCTGGAGTCCACCCCCAGGCTAACTCCCCTGCACAGTTTGCCCTTGGTCGAACACACCTTTCCCCTCCTTTTCCATCCTTATTCAGGCCTAGACCTCGACCTCGAATCCAGATTGCTTCAACACGAACTGACGTCTGCTGGTTCGCTCGACTGAGACACCATTTGAGAGGAAAAAAGATGGCTGCTTTGGTACAGACTCTACCACCTCAAACTGCAACGGTCACAATGCTTGGTCGCCCATCGTCCTCTGGAGGCTATCCGTCACAAGGCTCACCGAGCCAGGCGAGGAACCACCAGCCGAATCGATACAGTAACATGTCAGCGGCGGGTTACAGAGGCATACCGGCCAGTGGACCGGTGGCTCCTTATGCTTTTACGTCCACGCCGCAGTTGACCAACACGAATGCCAATATCAACTCTCGCCAATTCGCCATCAACACTCCACGATCCATATCCTCCCCGAAAATACCTCAGACACATCCAGGCGGCTCCCCTTCCTCGTTGCCTACCTCTCCTACTAGCCTCTCACATGTCGATGCTGGAAATCGTCCTCTGTCATTAGGCCTGCCTGCAATACCTCCGACAAGTTCTTTGATGGGTCCTTCCCTCACAATACCTCCCGCCGCGGCTGTTACCACCGCTGCATCTAAGCCGTCACCCGATCGTTATCGAAGAAATATGAGGCGACCTGATGGAGAGAGTGCTCTAAACCGTGTTTCTACCGCTTCTGCTCTCCCGTCGGGATCCGGGATGGCGGCCGTCGGTTCTCTCTACAACCACCCCTCCCAATCAAGCAGTACACCCTCCTTTGGATCTCAACAGTCCTACCGGGGTTCTACATTTGGCAGCAGTGGGCTGAAAAACTCTAGTGCTGATGACATTCAATTGGGTCGAAGCCAGACCCCGGAGCTCGCCGCGAGATATCGCAGACGCAGTTTCGGTAGCATCGAAACCGCCGGTCTGAATCATTCATCTGACACCCAAGAAACCTCTTCACCTCATCCAAATGCATTTCTCCCTTCTCATGCCAATCCAGACGCCAATGTGCCACCTCAACGACCTATCCACCAACATACGGCCAGTTCTGACAGTGTTGCTTCTTCGAGGTCCACTCGGTCTTCACGGCCTGGATCGGTTAGTAACTCGTTATACGTAAGGGGTCCGCATCTGACATCTCTCCAGGTTCGTAACGAACCGGCCTCGGTCCAGGCCGCGACCTCCAACCCCGGTCCTATCTCATCACCCAAGCAGGAATCCAAACTTGCGGCTCATTCTCGACCGGGAGATTCAAGCATTCGTCAGCCCTCACCTTTATCTCGACCAATCGATATCCACGCAGAGGATGGAGAGGACGACTCACCCAGCCCCGCTACTTCGGCCGTGCCATCCCCACCGTCTCAGACTCATGCCGCTGTCAGTCCAGCTGTAGAACAACTCGCCGCTGTCAGTCAAAAGGATGCGAAGAAATCGAAATCCAAATTGCGGAGGGCATTCTCGTTCGGCAGTGCTGCTGAACTTAGAAAGGCGACAGCCCAGAACAATCACGAGAAGGGCGTGGCCAACAAAGCAACATCTTCATCGAAGCGAAACTCGAAATATGAAGATGAATTGGATCCTGAGCAAGCAAGAATTGCGGAGAAACAGGAGGCCGCGGGATTGGGCGAGAGTATCTATTCTGGCCAGGGCCACTTCTTCACCGGCTCGACTGATAACCTCTCAATCTCCTCCACAGCTTCATCTGCGTCTGTGATGCTCAGAAAAATGGGCAAGGGCGTCAAGAAAGGTACCCGATCTCTGGTCGGATTGTTTCGGCCGAAATCGGTAGTGGATGTTCCTGCTGGTGATGGCCCAATCAATCAAGCGAGCGTGGCACAAGTGTCCATGGTTACTGTAGAGGCTGATCGGGAGAAGGTCAATGTCAACGTCAATCCCCATGAACAGGCCGGCGGAGGAACCGGATTCCCCAAACTGGACCAGAATTCCATTGACACCAAACTTTCCTTTGACAGTGGCACCGTGTCCAGCGATACTCGATCACGACGAAGCATCGTCGGTGGAGAGAAAGAACGTGCCGAAGTTCTAGCTGCCGTGAAGAAGGGCATCCTGAAGCGAACAGATTTAAACCAGCCCTCACCAAAGCTCAAACCCTACGACTTTAAAGTTCCTGACTTCAACTTGCCACACATTCCCCATGTCAATGATTCACCGAAATCCAGTGCTCCCAGCACTCCTGCCGATGAACCACCTCGGTCTGGTCACCGTCGGACCGACTCAATCACGATCGAAAGCAACGACCATGACGACTATTTTACCATGGCTAGATTTGCCAGCTTAGACTCCAAAAATGCTCCGATGACTCCACAAGGTCTCATTCGCAACATCTCTTTTAGCCCCCGCATCCAATTTCACGACACTTGGCCGAGTGCTGAGTACGACCGCCGTGGAGAGATTGCAACGTGCAACCGTTTGACACCCATGCTTGCACAGCAAATCAAAGAGGAGCTCAATACCTTCAAAATGGTAAGGCTTGATTCTTACTGACTTAAATCGGTCAATGCTAAACAATATCAGGAAATGGAGGTCCACGAGTCGTCCAAGGTCTATACGCACTTTTTCTAGTGTCGCTTTTGTCAACTTTGGATACCAAGAAATCTCCCACCGGTAACTGATTTTCAAATTCGCCAAACTGTGATCAGAGACATCCCAGATTATCAGCGCACTCTCACGATTTCTACGACTCGGACAGTACATATGCAGCAAAGCCTTTTTTTTTTTTTTCTTATTTTTTTTTCGTCGCTAGACTTCAGCACGAAAGACTTTTCGGGCAGCATTCCGCGATCGGCCCCGTGTACACTTAAAAAAGCCCTCCCATGTTGCATTTTCACTCACGACTCGTTTCAAAGTAAGGCGTTTGGCGCCCCAGGATCAAGGCCTGAGGTTGGGCATTAGTTTTGCATTAGAGGAGATTATTCGTTGAATCTCTTTTACATCCATGGAATGGGTTTTCCTTCGGGCATCAGTCCATGTTCCTCCTTTTTATCGGTGTTGGCCCAAGGAGTTTGATCAAAACATTTTTCCCATTTCCTGGCGTGTCTGACGGGGAAGAGAAACACGATTCATTCAGAGAGGCAGGCTTGGGTTCATTTAGCTTCGTACGAGTAGGACCGGATGGTATTTTCTTGCCTTAGATATTTCGGGTCAAGGAAATCAAACAGGGCAGGGCTTCTTAGCGGAGGAACTAATTGATTTTGAGGAATGATAAATCCTTTTGCGGTCTATATTGTCCGCAGAGTTCTATCACGTGTCTGTTCTCAAGAGTTTTCTCTGCGGTCACTCAAAAAATTCACATGGCTGGATTGTGCGGTTAATTTGGAGACATGATTTTCTAGATATACCGTATGTCGTCTGTCTCTACCTACCCCAGGAGTGGCTCGAAAAACAGTTTGCGATGGATGCAATGCCGTCCTGGCCCGCTCCCCCTGCCCTCTCCCATCCCCTTTCTTTCTACGACGCTGAATGTACACTCACACATATCCAAATGAAATAATTAACCTCAACTCCCCTCATGAAATTGATCTAGCTTATAGATCCAAAGGATTCGGCTTCTCTCTCTACATTAGCTCCTGGTTTTAGCTATAACTTGGCTTCGTCCCCAACGGTACTGGAGGTGGCGAGACAGCGCCTGTGTGCGAGCTCAAATTCCCCTGCATGTTGGCTGGTTTCTTTGGGGGTGGGGGAGGAGGCTTGCGCGATATTGAGGCTGCGATCTCGGGACTTTGTGGTGTCGTTTGCACGGACATTGGCGCAGGGGCAGGGGTCGTGTTCACCGGAGGCGGATTTTCGGACGCAGGAGAGCTGTGTTTCTCAAGGAACGAGTTTAGACGACCGGTCACGTTGTATTTCTTGTTCCACTCATTGGCTTTTGCTCCTGCAGCATTAATGGAATCTTGATGCCGCTCACGGAAGGAGTTTGCTGTTGTGGCGGCAGAGCGAGCATCGGAAACGGATACCTTGGAAGGATCTCTATGGATGTCTTGCGCGGTACGCAAGGCAGCTTGCTTTTCCGCCCAGGTGGTTCCCTGAGTTTGAGGTTGATGTGGAGCCGACGTTGGTGTTGGTTGGACAGAAGGTGGCGCGACCGGAGGGGATTGAACGGGTGTGACGAACGGAGGGGTGGTGCTTTGCTGGCTGCCATTTCCATTTGCGTTCATGCGGGCGAAGCGGGATTGGAGTTCAGAAAGTTGATTTACTGCTGGCTCGGGGTTGGGGGAAGGGCTCTCTGCTGCGTTGGATCGGCTTTGCTCATTCTGCCAGGGTTTGGAGGATGTATCGGTACCAATTCCGAAAGCTGGAACGGAAACACCGGCGTTGCTCAGTCTGTTGACAGCGCCTTGGCTGATTCCGTAGTCCGTCTTTTGCTGTGTCCTGGGCTGGCTGGATGCAATTGACTCGTACGGCGGTGGTGCTGTTGCTTGCGAGGTTGGGGGATTCACAGCAGGTGGTGTGGCACTAGCACCGGTATTTTGACGGGACGGAAGACGTGGAGGTAAGCCAGGTTTTGGTTGGGGAGACTGCGTTTCCACCAGGCTGGGACTTCGATTTACGTCTCGGTGAGAAGGAGGCAGTGGGAGGTGATCTGTTTTCAGACCAGTCCTGTCTGCTCTGTATGGCAAGGGAGGGGCGGCCCGTCTTTTCTCTTCTTCCATTTCTTCTTGGGTCGGCCCATTGGCTGCCCTGTTTGCATTCTGTATTTGTTCTTGAGTTAAAGGTGCTCCCCAGCCGCCCGTGTGAGGTGTCACCTCGTTCGGTAGTGCGGCGCCGCCATGATAATTGATGTTCTTTGGAGGAGGACCAAACGAGGCTGGATCTTTTAAACTCGATAACGGGCGGGACATATGTTCAACAGTGTCATTCTTGTGAGGATCTCTCCCTTTGCCCATCCAGCCAGCCTATGGTAAATGATCCAGTGTTAGGTTCTCTTAGTAGCATCACGGCCCATATTACTGACCACCTGATTTATACCCTTAAAATCGCCTCTCCAGGATTCTTTCCCTCCATCCTTGCCTTTGGGGTGCCATCCCTCTTTCATCACACTTCGGAAGTTACTCATTGTCGGTAGGCTCGGAGGAGCGCAAGTCGTGTGCTTCTGGCTGCAGCGTCCACTGAAATATTTGGGCAATGACGGTAGTGAATGAGCTCGTGGATATCGGAGATGATCACACCAATCAAAATACGAGGCGATCCAAACAAGATATATCGAGAGCTCGAGACCGACTCTACCTGCGATTCAAGTAGTGAACTTGAGCCTCAAGTGGATTTGTTCACTGACGTCGCAGCCCACCAAATGCCAAGACTCAATGTCTTGGCTATTCCGCAATAATACTAGCGTGAAATCTCAGCCTCACACGATATGATTCGCTGAATGTCATGTACCAACGACGACGAGTAAGGGCTGTCAACACCTCTTGAAAATTAGTTGCAGTTCTATATGACTCGAACCTTTGTGTGGTTATCGACTGGACACGCACTGCTGAAAGGGAATAATCTTACCCGCGATTGAAGACAGCCACGGCTGGAACCTCAGCTTCGGCGCTTATTGAAGTCCACCCGTGACCCGTCCATCGGTTGCAAATTAAGGACTCTGAATTATGAATTTGCTCAATTTTAGAGTAACATTGTCCATTATACCCCCTGCGAATGACCTGATCAAGCTCACCGAGAGGACAATTGTTCCATTCGTCGCCTATGTTTGTCATGTTGTCAGCAGCTCCCCTTCTTTCTTTTTCTACAGCTGATGGACTTTGAAGATATTCACTGGAGGGAGAGCCAGAAGACATTGCATAGAAGTAGATCTAGAAGCAGTGGAATCTGGAATAGCTTCGGGAGTATGAAGACGAACTACCCGTCACGACTGTAACAAAGTACATAAATGGGCTGCAAGAGATTAGTAAGCCGTAGGCGAAGGTCCAAATTGACTTTGATAAACCTGAAATATACCTTGGGGTCCCTAAGGCAATCTTTCGGAACCCCCCAAGTGGGTTTTTCCTCCATATATTCTCTCGTATCGCGTGCTAATTTCTGGAGAAAAGTCCGTCACTCGCCCTCAGTGAAGTGTCTAGTCTGTTCAGGCCAGTCCGGCAGCACAGAGAAGGAGAAAATGGCAACCACGATGGTGAAAAAGCCCTCGATTATGAAGATCCATCTCCAAGCGCTGTACCCACCAACATTATCCATATGACCAATGGCGTAGGCTAGCAACTGGAAGGGTGGCTACGTTAGCCACGGACCTTTCACCCTCCCCGGTCCAGCTTCTTGAACTTTCACCACCGAAAGCAGTTGAGGGCAAGCCCGCCGAATAATATATATTCGTCCGTGTGTGAAGTTCATGACATGTGTAACACATTGCAAGCATGTAAATTGCACCTATTTGTTGATATCAGCAGTGTTGACGATTTATAAGGGGGCTCTCGGCAGCAACGACCGCCATGATTTTCGACGTGTGCGCTAACCTGGGAAGTACCCGGCTCCGAGAGCCCGAGAAGCACTCTGCGGACAACTAGTCCGGCAGAGCTTTGAGTGACGACCTCTCCAATCGTGACGACACCTAAGAGCGACGAGTTAACTGAGGAGCTTCTTGCCAGCGCTAGAAGAGGACAGAATTTGGACTTACCCATGCATACATGAGACTACTTAGACATCGAGAGGGGCGCAGTTTCTTCATGACTATGTTGCAAGGAACGTCGAGGAGGAGATAAGGGATGAAGAACATGAAAAGGGCAATGTTGTAGTCCGACCCTTTCATGTTCAAATCTTCCTCCATCCCCTGAATTCGAGAGTTGCCAATAAATGTACGGTCCAGAAAGGCCGCGGTGAGCAACAAACAGAACATGGGGACCAACACGTAGTCGGTCTTCCGTAGGACCTTGCGCTCCTTATCATGGTCGATCTCCCGTGTAGACAGGTCTTCGATTTCGACAAGAATATCATCGCCCGTGATCTTGATATCAGTGGTCAGTGCAGGGGCCGGCAGGGTTTCCATTTTGGATATGAAAGCCAAAGTTTCTCAGGTGCAGCTTCAAGAGACTAGACTGGAACACTCTTGCTGGCTAACCGAATCGATAATGGGGAAGAGGATCTGTGAAGCATCCCAGACGAGGTATGACAGTATTCAAGTACACACCATTCCATAGGCGTGTGTTCGGCGCATGTAAGGCTTCAGCACACCTGAAGGTCGTCGCATCAGAAGCTTTCTTGGGGCTGGCCCGGAATGACAGCGGGTTCCTGGACGTAGGTAATAGTCAAGATTGTTTTCCCCAGACCGAGGAGATCTGGAGTCTTTCCCCGCGACAAGGCCCCCGGAAAGGGCGTTATTTCCAGACCCCGTGTTGATACCTGCAGTTGCGTGTTCCTCACAGCCTTTTTTGGTAAACCCATTGGCTCAAATGAGGGAGTCTATGTGGAGGCGTACACATTAAGGGGATGTGTTCTTCGGTAAGAAATAAACTGAGACTCGATCCGCAGCCGCACGATAAGTGAGCCCAGATTGTATCTTGACTCTAACAAGGCCCAATTGCTTCCAAGTGCTAAAAGGTAACACTTTTTGATTTGCTTTCGATTCTGCTGGCGCCAAGGCTGTGCAGAGGCATATACCACGTGACTCCAAAATGACTGGCTCTGATTGGCTGAAAAAATTAAAGCCAATGCTTCGACGCGTCTATCCCTTTTTCCCGATGGCAACACCATACTTACTACCTCGACAACCCCACGACAACGAGGTTCTAGCGTCGGCAAGAGTTTCTATCGATTGGTCTGGACTGGGATTCAATGTGATTGAGGTAAAAAATGTCTCAGCCCCCTAAAAACCTAGAAAGATGGCGGCAAAGCAAGAGGGTGCCAAACATACTCACATATATTGAGCATAATGAGGTGACGGCTCCAGAGGCCCTCGGAGCACTCAATTTGAGTCATGTGACAAAGTCCCATATGCATGAGAGGTGTATCTCGGGAAGCAGGCCCATATCCAGACGCAAGACTCCTCATATCCCATGTCGGGTGAGGTGGGCAAGGCTTTCCCGTGGGATTCCGAGATACCCGGAGCGCAAGGCTGAATCCTCTCGAAACGACCCATGCTGGCAGCGACGGCGGGCCTGGCGTGTCCAAGCCTAATTTGATCGACAACCATAACATTCTCGCAGAGAATTCCTTGTCGAGAATTTCAAAGTTTTAGTTGAATTCGACCTCCAGTTTTAGTACACATGCTGCGGGACATCCTCTACTACCATGTTCAGGGCTACTCACCCACTCATCAAAGATGGCAACAGCTCTGAATCATAAAATCAGGCCCCGTAGCCTATGGCTTATTGGGTCTCACATGCTCGGGTCCGGCAAAAAATTCGCGGTCCCCCTTAGACGAGCGCAGGCATTCCCCAAATCCGAAATCTTCGTGTCCATCAGCGAATTGCAATGGGATGACTAGCAAGCGGAAACATTTTAGGCGTCGAATAAGCACAACAAGCCATACTAGTAGGCCAGTGGACAAGAAAGCAATTTGTGACAGGAGAGTCATGGGATCGGGACATGCGCCATGTAACTTGGATGGCTCAGCCGCATCAGGCGTTCGGACCGTGGCTCACTGGCGTACATTGCATGTTTGAAAGAGGAGTCCGAGAAGTCAGATTGGGGATGCCGTGATATTTCTTGAACACCGCCTATGGCCAATAGGCATAGTCAACACTAAAGCGTGCGATGGGTTAAGTAATTTTCTCCAATTGAACCAAAAGGGGAGATTTCTTTTGCATGCATACCTACGACTCGAAACATGCTTTTGACGGGCAGGGTTTGGCTTTTGCCCGTTACATAGTTTTGGATTGGGCCATCCAGACCAATGGCCGTCATTTCGGACCACGGAGTATGACACCTGTTTGTTCTGGGTACAGACCACATGGTATCGCTGATCAATAAACTGGTTGAATTGGAAGGAGACTGTTAGCCCACTTCTTTTGCGAGTCATGCCGCACAACGTGATACATTTTCGTCACTTGAATCTCGAATATGGAGTCTTTATCCGAGACGAGTAGAAACGCGGAGACATGTGAACGAAAAAATGCGGAAACGAGAGGGGACAGCCACGTAAGTTGACCTGTCTCAACTGGGGTCTGGTGTCGCTCCGGACAGCATTTGCAGTGGGAGGCAAGGATCATGCTCAATGCCAGGCCGCAGGGTGCTGGAAGGCGGTGAGTGGGCGAAAAGGGTTTTTCTTGAGCCAAGATGACTGAATTGGGCTTGAACGGAGGAGCTGGTGTTGGACTGGTGCTGGATAGGGACTGGAGGGTGTGCAAGTTTTGTCTCAGGAAGCGGGCAGCCGGAGGTCGGCAAGTCACAATCAGCGACTTCCGCGTCAGGTGACCTGTAGCGAATCACAGATATGCCACGTGGTCAGACAGAGCCATATAAGGTTTAGCGCTCTTCGGACATCCAGCAGTGGACTCCATTTATAGATCCCAGCAGACCAGCAGACTCCCGCTCTCGTCGCCCATATTGCAAAGCTGCACCCTTCGCTTGGTCCAGTCAACAGTCCACTATTTGCCAAAAGTAGTCACCGAGTAAGTCGCACCGTGCCTGACAACCGGGGGGAAGCGGTGCACGGAGTCCTGAAGCATCGATGCGTCACAATTTAACGATTTGGTTTCTGTCTCTTGGTGTCTCAAAGCACACAGATAGTAGATCCAGAACCAGTGTCAGATTTCTTCTCCTTTTGTTTGCTAGTAGCCTTTTTTTATTTCGGTGGAGGCTCAAGTGTTTGGCATATGGGCATCCAGACTCACCGAATGGCTGGTCGAGGGGTGGGTCATCGTTTCTTCGGCTGCACGATGGGGGCCGAAGTTACTGTGTCAACTTGGTACTTAGCAGGAGTTGGTGTTCGGAGGTCCGTTGTCCTCAATAAGTGTAGCGGTGGATCCGGGCACTTTTAGAGAGCCGCTAAATCCTTTGTGGCTATAGCACCCCGTCTACTCTGAAGACTAGCCAATACAGCCTCATAGGTTTCCCCTGCCAAGTCCCGCCAAAGTCCAACACTCTCTGCCAATCTAGACTTGTCTGCTGCCCTGATTCGCTGGATTTCTGAATCTGGGCGATTCGGTCATTCAGGAGGGCCAAACCACCAATAAGAACTCCGCGACTGCGGCACCAGTTCTAAGTACGTCTTTTTCAGCCAGACACCCTCCGCCTGGCCCCTGGCCCCCCCCCCCTGCCCCCCCTAGCCCCCTGCCCCCTTGCCCGGACTCCTTTCCAACCAGCTCGGTGCCCAGCTCCGGGGGGCCTCTTCGTCCAGTCGACCACACACAAAAACTCCCACTGCGGTTCCTACCTTAGCATCCCTCTTAGCCTAGGTCGCCCTGCCTGGGCCTGTCTTGTCCTCGTTCAAGCACACCAATCTTCGTCCAGCGACCCGTATTCTTTCTTACTGCGCCTCGCTGATCTTGTCCTCGTATCTCATCCTTCCGACTCCTTCGATCTTCTCTACAGTGTGGCCCGCAACTCGACTCCCCAAGATTGGCCTTTGTCCGCTTACCACGACTTCTTGGTGTTGCCCTGCCACCTTTTCGTTGAATCCTCTCTTCCTATTACATGTGGTACTCTTACCCTCTCGCGGGGTTGACACCACTCTGGATCTCGACAACGTCTTCCGCTTCTTCCTCTCGAGGCCTCGTGTAGCCCGAAGAAGTTTACAGAATACACACTCTTTTACACAAGAATTCACCCAGTCATTCACTGAGTCTTTCCCGCCGACTTTCACCACTCCTTCGACAATGCCTGAACCCCAGAATGGTGGGTTCACAGCTGTTTCTGGCCCGGGTGGGCCAGAAACCACAGGCCTCACCGACGCTGCCGCCTCTCTAGAAAGCGATTCCTCCCGAACCCGTACCGGTACTCTCGATCAGAGCGCTACCACTTCAGCGAGCTCGACTGGAGACGCAGCTGCCTCTGCCGCGGCCACATCCCCAACAACCTTCAGTACCTCTGTATCGTCGGCTGATGGAAACGATGTGGCATCGAGTACGACCAGCATTGCCTCTTCGACCGCCGCCAATGCGGCCAGCAACACGAGCAGCGGAGCGGTGACTGTCACCGAGAAATCCTGCAACAGTATTGGTTGCTCCACTGCTCTGAAAGCGGCCATCGCTGTCCCGATCGTCGTTGCGGCTATTGCAGGGATACTTTTGATTTTCTTTTGTGCCAGAAGGAGACGGAAGAGTGGTGGTGGTGCGGCGCTGTCCGAAAAGAAACCGAAGAAAGGAGGCAAAAAATGGTCACGACATCTACGGGCTTTCTCTTTCGATGCAGAGCTGCTCATGGGAGGTCGATTTTCAAGTTCCAACAGCATTCGCAGCCGAGACCCCAGCGTTCGGAGTGCCGCCACCAACCCTCGAAATGGAACACATAGCGCAGAACCGAGCTTGCACAGCATTGAAGAAGTGGCACCCCCTTACAGAGACGCAGTGTCGCATGTTCAACCCCCCAGCCCTACTCAGGCTCGTACAGTTCCTCCGGTCACCTCAATTGCAGCCGATCCCATTCCTCGACCGTCTTCCACGGCTACGGCACCGCCTCCATATCGATCAATTGTTGGCGAAACCATGACCGAACCGCCCACGCCTGCTTCAGCCCGAAATCCATTCGCGGACTCTGCCCCTGTTAGTCCAATTGAAGGCTCACCTTTCAACGATCCTCCCGAAGACGAGGAAGCCGCGGGGGGATTACAACCAACGTTGAGTCGAGGATCATCCCTGTACCAGAGTGTCAGCGCCGACGACGATGCCACTCCCACACAATCGGAAGCTGGGAGCATAAGACAAGCTGTGCTCGGCAGACGTGTGTCCGCCAGGGCGACCGATAGTACGGGTGGTGGCGGCAGCTAAATTTGGGTGTAATTTTCGTATGGTTTTAATCATGGCGTGGCGTTTGGACTTGGGAAATGAGAAATCTTCCTGAGAGAGCAGGAGAACTCGTAACATGTCGATGCAGAGACGGGTTTTGAGATGTCCAATATTGTATATGAGTGATCAAATGTGGAAGGAAGAAAGACCTAGAACGGCCAGGGAAATACCAATATCTATTCAGCGCTTCATCATCTGTGATGATTTTGGAAGTTTGGGATGTTCTTGTCTTGTCGTCTTCGATGTGTACTCAGATGGCAACATGATACAATGCGGGGTTTTCCCTGTTCACATCATGTCTGTAACTACATGCTTTCGGTACCGAATCAAATAGGATCCTCGAAATATCAATGTCGAGTACTCCGTACGGGTGGTATACGGCATACGGAGTACTCGGCTTGCATAGCGAGATCGGGGATTCACCCGTTATGCCCCGTGCAAACTCTCATTACGCCGGAAATTCCGGCTTTGATCGGGTGGAGCAAGTCTTTGAAAAACCTCGCTCTTCGTATCTCTCCACCGGCAAAAATGGCCGCTGGCTCCGTACCTTTCATTTTAGCCTCAAAGGGAGAATTCCGCGCGTATCACTTCTAGGTCGATAGGGTTGAGCCGATCGAATCCGCTCGTTATTCACTCTGGTTCCTTTTTATGTGCACAAGGCTACACACACAATCTTTGCACCGAAACTAAGGCTTTGTCGGCCCAAGAAACGGATTCCCAAGCTTGAGTCTTCCGTAACCCTAAGCTCATGGTCCCAAGTGCATACTACGACCGTCTTATTCTTCACCTTATGCGGACATATCTCCCTTTTTTTTTTTTTTTTTCAACAATCAAGACTAATATCTCTCGCCGGAGACTCCCATGGAGACGTGATGAAACTCTATGACGGCCTGGTAATCAGCCGATATCAACTTTGCCCTTTGCAGTTTTGAGCGGGTTGGTATGGGGTTGTCGAATATTTCACCGGAAAGCCAGTCTTGGGAAATATGGAGCAATGACCCGTGGGGTGGAGCTGGAGTCACACACATGTGGCAGTCGCAGTCTTTCTGCAAGACGGTAAGCGCGATAGACCGGGGACGTATTCTTTATATCTTCCCGCCCTCGCCTTTCCTGTTATCTCTTCCTCTTCTTCGAGTGAGAAAGCCACCTCATTGAAACCAAGAAACACTTTGAATATTCTTCTGCCATATTTTCCTGCCTTCAAGGAACCTAGTTCTGTTGAGAAGGTTTTTCACCATGCCATCTCACGAGGCCCCTCCCGATTATATACAACGTGACTCTGAACAGAGCTCTGTCAATGATATCAAAATCCCCGCGGCCGAGTTGCAAGAAGATATTGTAGCCGCGAGATCTTTGAAGCGAGAACCTCCCGAATATGTCAAGTCACTGAGTCCAGAAGAGCGGAGGATCGCAGAGTGTGCTCTCGTCCGCAAGATCGATCTCCGGTTGATCCCTACCATTGTCATCATGTATATGGTCCACCATCCTGGTCATAGACCAAGCTGACGAGGTCTTAGGTACATTATGAACTACCTTGACCGGAACAATATTGCTGCAGCGAGACTTGCTGGGCTCGAAGATGAATTGCAGCTCCACGGCACCCAATACCAGACAGCAGGTTAGTTTAAAACGGCCTCACGCCTCTCCCTGGGAAACCTACACCAGGATCACCTACTCTGCTCGAAGCTCTTGGTGCCGCCTTTGACCCAACAACTTTGGAAGCTTCCCATCCCGCTCCCTCTGAACCCCCTTCGGCGGAAGACCACAAGTGCTGACCACCAATGCTCACTTTTCCACTCTCTTCAGTCAGCATTCTCTTCGTCGGTTACCTTCTCATGCAAATTCCATCCAATCTCTTCCTCAACAAGATTGGGAGGCCTCGCATCTACCTTCCTACCGCCATGGTCTTATGGGGCATCATTTCAGCTGTCACCGCTGCTGTCAACTCCTTCGGCGGCCTTGTCGCTGTGCGATTTGTACTCGGTTTTGTCGAAGCTGCCTACTTTCCAGGCTGTCTCTATTTTCTGTCCGCATGGTATAAGAGGTGCGTCGGATGTCGAAAAGTGGATGTTGCCGTGCTGGAATTATGAGAACGCCTTTTTCACTGTCGGCCTTGCTACCGTGCAAAGAAATGAATCCCTTTCGTTCTGACATATTTTCCAACATCTAGATCCGAACTTGGCTTCAGAACCGCGATGTTGTACTCTGGTTCCCTGATTTCGGGAGCCTTCTCCGGTCTCATAGCCGCAGGTATCACGAAGAATATGGACTACTCTCTGGGCCTAAGGGCGTGGCGATGGCTCTTCATCATTGAAGGTTGTATCACCATCGCAATTGCATTCGGAGCTATTTTCGTCCTGCCCAATTTCCCTCGAACCACGCCATGGCTGAGTGAACAGGAGAAGCAGCTCGCCGTCTGGCGCTTGGAGGAGGATATCGGCGAAGATGACTGGATCGACAGCAAGCAGCAGACCTTCTGGCATGGCTTTAAGCTTGCGGTCAAAGATATCAAGATGTGGATTATGGTATGTCCCAGCTACTCCCCTTTCACACACTGGTTCTCTTCCCTTCAAGGACCCGACTCGATGTTTGATAATGTAGATCCTGATTGGGGTTTCTAGATGGTCATGCTCTTCTGCATCGTCGCGTCGGGCTCCGTGACAAACTTCTTTCCTACCGTCGTCCAGACCCTGGGCTACGGTGACATCGAGTCCCTCCTGCTCACTGCTCCCCCTTACGTTCTCTGCGTGATCACGGCTTTCTTCAACGCCTGGCACGCCGACAGGACGGGTGAACGTTACTTCCACGTCACGATTCCTCTCTATGTTGGCGTGGGCTCCTTCATCCTCGCGGCCGCCACCACCTCAATAGCCCCCCGCTACGTTGCGATGATGCTCATGGTCCCCGGCGTCTACACTGGCTATGTCGTCGCCCTTGGCTGGATCAGCAACACCATGCCCCGACCACCTGCGAAGCGCGCAGCCGCCCTCGCGGCCATCAACGCCGTCAGCAACACCAGCTCCATTTACGCCAGTTATATGTTCCCCAAGAGTGCAGGACCGCGGTATATTCTGGCCATGAGCGTCTGCTCGGCAACGGCGTTCATTGCCATTGTCTCCGCGACGATTCTGCGCATCATTCTCGTCCGCTTGAATCGTAAGCTTGATCGGGGCGAATGGGTTGAAGGTGCGGTCAATAAGGCCTCCGGTTCTGGAGCAGCCGCTATCGCGCCGGAGGGCGCCGTTCCCGGAGAGGCTGTTGCACGAGGATTCAGATTCCTCATATAAATATAGATCTAGACGTACATCTCGACATAGACATAGACCTGATGTGACTGGACAAAGATATGTAGGAGCACCGAACAGGAAACGGGAAAGAGGTAAGGGCTGTGACAGGACTCTATGTGAAAGTAGGTGGATGAAGATTATCCGGACTACATGATAGAAATAGATGCAAATACGAGATTATGACGAGATGGTGCGACTCGCTGCTTTCATAAGGTTTGTTGGTGCTCTGCTTCACAGGAGATGAAATCTCGTCGGATGGAACTCAAAAGCCCGTCATGTGAGCTTGATACCCACAAAACTAACCGTGGGAACAACAGAGCTCCTTCACATCACCTTCTGGCTTTGATGGAGCTTTTGTACGCTTGTCGGACGTCAACATTGATAGTACCTCGTCTTCATTGAATGATGGATTTAAATCCGTTGTATGCCTGTTCCATATCAAACGCCAAATCCCTTGCCTGTTCATCACTCAATTCCTCCGAAGTCTTCATCTGATTCAGTGTAATGAGCCATTGAATGATTTTCCCTCGATGTTCAAAATCCTGATCCGTCACTTTATTCACAGACTGAATGACATCCGAGAGTAATGGGTGTAACGCACTCTTCGAAACCATGTTCAACCGCAATGCGTCTAGGAATGTAATGAAGTTCTCCGTCGCAGCGAGAATCAGACTCCCGGACGCACCACCCGTCGGGGCCGTTGACCCTGGCGCTGCTTTTTGCACGGTAATCACTTCGTCTGCAGTCAATCCGACTCTTAAGCGCTCTTTGGCTCTGGGGCATTCGATGCCCCATTTCGCGGTGAAGGTGTCTAGATCCACAAACTCGTGTGCAACATTGTCGTCGTTCAAGATCGAGCGGTATTGTTTCAGGAGTTTAGAGCACATGTCCGAGTACTCCGATTCAGGCAAGGCATCTTTGATGTATGCCTTTTCGAGGCCGTCGAGGGTGCGGATGATACTGTATATTTCGGCGAGGGAGTCGATAAGGTCGCGTTCCGCGGTGGAGTCGGCGAGTTTCACTTCTTCGTCAAGATTGATGCGGGCAGAGAGTGTGCTGGTAGGAGCGTAGGTGTAGGGCGTTGGGGCGTAGGCGAGAGGCCGTGAGGTTGGAGTGCCATACATACTGTGCTGGACAATATGCACTCATCTTAGACGTAGACAATCATGTCGTTCGACATGCTAGGGCTGGACCTGGACAATGCCCATGTGAGGTACTATATTAGCACGAGGCTGTGATGGGAGGCTACCATGCAGAAAACTCCGGCTGAGAATCTAGGGCCTTGGCGCGCTAGCCTTAGACATAAAGCGGCTCTGTTCGTTCTAAGAGGAAGGCTAAAAATTCTGCTGCCGCTTTTAAAAATGTCTCTTTTCCAATAGGTATGCACTTCTAGCGCAGTAAGGTATCTTGAGCACGAGTCATATAGTATGCACAACCGCATTCCCGGATACAGGCCCGTCGGAGGGATCTGAAGAAGCGCCCGTGACCTCTGAAGTTATCTTCACCGGCGTTAAGTCGTGCCTCTTCAAAGCAAATTCTCACAGTCAGCCAGCCCCTAGTCTGCCCGAAATCCATTTGTCCCGCATTAACAAGGCCAATCACTTGACCATCACTGATGCACTGACTAATAGTAGGAGCTAGGTTGTCCACTACCTGGATTTGGCCATTCTGTGCGCCGGTAACAGCGCTGGCGGGAGTCGCCTCTCACAAGGAGCGGAGGCGGCTCCGGGAGGCGACTCCTACCACCTCCGTTAAATCTCGGTTGTGGAATGGCGCCAAGGCACAGGGAGAATCATGTCGTCGTCCTACCCTTTAGTACGAAGAGAGACACACTTTCTGGCGTAGATTGTATAGCAAAATGTCGTCAGGTATGAAGCATTGGGTTGACCATGAACGCTGAGGGATGAAAGTTAATCGGTTCCTGATTAACTAATTAGGAAGGTCTAGGCGCTAAGGGAGGTAGGAGTAACGGAGGCGACTCCCGACAACGCTGCCGGTAAGTTAAGCCGAGGATATTGTGCCAAAGGGTTCCGCCTCAATGTCCTCGGATGAGGCCCTGATATCAAAAGCGGAAGGGCTGTTGAGGCAAGACTCTAGCGTGGGAATTTGGGCGTGGTTGCGGCGGAATGGCAAAGAACGAGCGAGAGTCCCCGAGGAACATCGAGGCAGGAAATTGGGTGCTATTTGAGCGTATGGGCTGCATGGAATAATGGGTGTCTGGTTGGATTGGTGTAAATAAAAAGGATTGGATTGCACTGGTGAGTCAGTATTTCCCAGTTCTGCAATGTTTGTCGAGGCTCGCGGCGTGGATGCTGCACCAACAGCGACGGTAGAAGGAGGACGTGGAGTCGTGAAATCATCAGTCTCTGCTGCCGAGATGGGAGTGTCGCCATCATGTCCTGCTAGCGAAGGATGACGCACAATGGACTCTTCTGGTACATGATCTGTAATCTCGAGCTTGTAATTTCATGTCGTTTCTTCGACGCCTGAGATTCTTAGGGGAGCAAAACGATCAAGACCTGCGAGCAAAACCACAACAGACAGTGTGAAAATCGTCACCCATCCGCTTACCATTATGAACGTCATGGCCGGACGCCGTCATCATCAAGCAGTGCTGGCATCTCGCATGCGGCAGCTAGATGATTTCCGAGCAATCGAATCATCCAGAAAAGCCTCTTACCAGTTTCATGGGCAGCGAAATCTTCATTGGGAGGGATTGACTGGCGAAGCCCCATCTTCAAAGTAAGTGACAAGGTCTGCGTAAGATACAAGAAGTCCTTGCACGAGCAGTGCACAGAAGAGACCCGGGAAGACAATCGCCTGTAGTATAGTGAGATCTTCGTATTCGGAGATATCGATCATGTACCGATTAGCTGTGAAGTATCACAAACTGATCCATATGAGTTTGGGACGTCATAATCATGGGTCATAAGATGCTCGCCCTTCAAGGGAAAGATTGTCGTGAGATGGAATGGCGACACCTTGCCCGGTGTATAAGCTTCCCAATGCAAGCAGAGATTAGAGCAGAGGAAGGAAGCGCAGTTCCTCTGCAGTGGACTCAGTTCGGTCAAAGGAGTATAACAAGCTCATTGAATCATCGAAGCTAGGATGATGTATGAGATAGTGGCGCAAGTGCCTCGGAGCGTCTTTCTTTCGCACCGCTTCGAGTCCTTGCGAGTTTCGGCAACATGTCCAAAATGGCGAGGAAAGGTCGGTATCCGGGGGCTTCAGGCTTCTTTACCTGCTTACTGAATACGGCCGTCAGCGTTTGACCACATCGCCTCGATATTCGATAGGCTCTTCTCGAGTGGATGATTAGTCTCCTCTTTACGCCAATGAAGCCTCTGGCAAGTAAATCAAATCATCCACAATCATGTCTATACCATTTCGCCTGCTTATCAGTATGGGATTCTTCAAGATGTCCACCGGCTCCCCTACTGTAGGAGTAAAGTCGTTGCCGGGAAATCCGCCTTCGGTTTAGGCGGTCCTGCCGTTTCGGGCATGGTCGCGGGCTGAGCGCGCCGCCGCTTTTGACGGCTATAAGAATCTCGTCTCCCATCCCCATCCTCTCTCTGCCTCTCTTCCAACCTGCTATTCCCTCTCTCGCCTCCGTTCACCCTGGCGCACCCTGTCGTGCTTCACTTCGACACCGCCTAAGTTCTCCCCCCTGCCGCATCGGGCTCCCCTCGATTCTCCCCTCCGGCTCGTTCAAAGTCTGCCTCATCTCTTCGAGTGCGCCTCGATCAGCTTCCCAATCCTCGATCTTCGCGGCCCCCTCGTACGCCTAATCCCTCCATGGCGTCTTGGACTTCGCCGGCCGCGCATCGTGCAGGCTCAGCTGAACCCGCCCATTATTCACGCCTCGACTAGGGTCCTGGTAATATTGGTGTGAGCGTCGCCAATGTCGGCGAGCCCCCTTCTACCATCTTGCGAAGGTGAACCCGTGTGACGCGTTCCCTCTAGCGTTTGTTCCAGACCTACAACCCTCCCAGCAAGCTCGATATTACCGACAACAGCAAAATCGAACATCCTTCGGGACGCCATGGTCGGCACTCAACTCTCCGTGCTGCGGTATTAGGGGTGGGGATGCTGCGTCTCGACTTTGTGGAGTAAGACATGGAAAGTGGCAGGAGCGCGGCGGATCCTTTGGCACAAGCCGGTGCAGCAAGCTACATGCCGCATCTTGTGTATCCAATCACGAAGATGCCATACAAGGTGATCGGTAGTGTGCCTGTATTGCTGCCTACGCTCGGCCTTGGAAAATGCAACGTTGAAGGGGGCTGAGTCTTCCATTTCGGCCCTCGAGGCTTCCGAGGAAAAGAGTCGCTATCCAGCGAAAGGGACACGTCAGCATGTCGCAAATGGATCCTCGGTCTGGAACAAGAACAGCGGTTCCTTAAGGAGGGGCTGGCGAACGGCACTATGAAGGAGAAAGAGTGGGATTCGCGAGACACGATTATCGCTCGGACAGACACAGATGTTGATTCGCAGGTTGTACCTGATCCCGATAGCGGGCGGGCGTGTGCTTGTGAGGTTGGCCACCGATTTCGTCGAAGACTTGCAAGGTCGTCGAAGAACAACCGAAGGCGGCCGTCTCGGTCCAGAGCGCGCATTCTCATCATTCTTGAACCCTCAGGACCTGGGTAAACGGACCAACGCCCTATGACCCCTGCGTTCCCACGCGGCGAAAATCGCATCGATGCTCGATATTTTTACAGAGAGAGAGGCAGTACGTCTGGATGCGCTCAGACGACTGTTCAGCTGATGTGAGAAAGGTAGGGTCCCCTTTCCGCATGGCGGAAATCAGTCGCCGCTGCTCTCGTGGAATGCCTATGCGGGACTCCTAAAGCATCGATCTATCACAACCCCGAGAGAGCTTAAGGGCAATGTCGCTCCACCCTGTCCCTCATCATCCGGAGCGGGCCCCTGCCCTATCCGGATTCCCCGTCGTCCAGTGCAGCAAGGAACGGTGAGAATCGACCCTTGGTGCGACATCGACTCGTGTGCCCACGACTTGGGGTGCCGCGCGATCTTATTTCGGCGATAAGATCCTCTAGCAATGCTATCTGCAAGCGCCAACAACTTTTGCCCCTCTGGATGCAGCAAGTGTGGAGGGTTGCAGCCCCCTACCCCTGAAGCAGCCCCCACGATCACCATAACCCTCCCACACAGCGACATTACAATAGGTGGGGGGGAATTCCCCACCAAGTTGAAGTGGTCAGTTGTTGAACTTCAGGCACCACTGCCAAGATGCCAAGACAAGCCCTGTCTCGAGGGGTATATATAGAGAGATTCTTCTCCTCCATATCCTCAATCCTCATACCTTTCTCCCCATTCTCGCGGTGCCCCGACACGGCTATTCCGCCGCACCTCCTCGAGTTTGACATCAGTACACAGTGGGTGCGCACAACCCCTCAAAATTGGCACCGGTGCCGCCGCCCAACACCATCACAACAAAAAGATTTTTATATCGACATTTATTGGGCCACGCGACGAGGATTCATTGGAGAAGCTGAGTTCTAGGTAGAACGAAGTATTCTCTATCGGATGGTACTCGTCATGTTAGAGGCGAGCCCCTTCGGACGGCTTCGGGGCGCGGTGTTAGAGTTTACATCTCCCAGACTTTCATTGTTGGAAACACTGACGGCCAAGGCCGTAACTATTGAAAAGTCAAGCTACGACTCATCAACCCGTGGTCTCATGCCATCCTCGACGCGACGCGGAATCGATCCACGGGTGAAAAGGCAACCTTGTCTCACCCCGGATTGTCGTTTCCCTGCCCGGTGAGTCCCCCGCCCCCGCCCCGGGGCCCCTTCAAAACGGAACCAAATTCTGGTGGTTGAACCATGCCACCGAAAGTCGACGCTTGAATACTTGATCTGGAATTGGTCAAAGGATGGGAGTTTGGTGCCACGTCTCACAGACTGTCGATCCACCCATGCGCTTTCATCTGTCTCGATGTGGATCGGCCTCCTTTCTCGCCGACCACGTCGCCGTCGTGCCACATGATCTTCTGCTATGTTCGGCATGATGCACGGGAGACAATTGGCATTATAGAACCGTATGGGCTAACCAGTTTAGACAGCGTGTGGGCTCGATCATTGTATAGTCAGTTTCCCCGTGAGATATTCCACAATGTCATCGATCTCTTCCGGGATCTTATACCAGTGGCCAAGCTCCGGATAACAACGCCACGTAACATCCATCCCCAACATCTGGAGAGTATCGGCGGCTTCCTTCCCTAGGCTGCATTTTATCTTCGGATCTTCCGCCCCGTGCCCGAGAAACACCGGGGTCGCGAGGCCGAGGTTTTCGCGAGCGTGATTTAGGTTCTCGGTGTCGATGTCGTCTTTGGACAAGATGTCCCTCACGAGGTTGACGGCCTGAATCGGCGCCGGGCTTTCGCCCTTGCCACTATCGTCGCTGTCCTCGCTAAACACGGGATCCGCAGCTCCGGAGCCGATTAGCTCCATAATGTCGTAACGGAACGGAAGCCAACCGCTAAGGCCGACGAAGCCCCCGATGGGAAAATCTAAGCTTAGCAACACAAACACCGCCATGGCACAGCCTTGGCTCAATCCCCCTAGAACGACGTGGTGGGGAAGGATCGCGTCCGCTTCCCGTTTCAAGATTGACCAGACATGATTCGAGGACTCGGTCAGACCGTCAATCTGTAAATCTCGGCGCTTGGAGGGATCGTCCAGAGACGCCACGTCGAACCACTGGTTGATGGTCGCCCGCTTGAATGCCGACGATCGCCGTCTCCGGGCGGTGGGAAAGATGAACTTCATGCCGGGAAACGAGTCGGCGAGGCTCCGACCGTTGGACGTGGTTCCCGAGCGCAAGAGCTCCCTTCCGAATGTCTCGCCGTTGCTCCCAAGGCCGTGAAGGAGGATGGCGGTGTGCGTATGTTCAGAAGTTGGCGGGACAATAAAAGGGTCGGGAAACGTGTTCCCGGCCATGTTTGAATTTTCCACACGAGCCTTAACCGGGTCAATTTTGGAGATTCCCCTATCGTCGATAATAAGCGCTGTGATGAAAACTGATGAAGACGTACGGCAATGCGATGTGCAGTGCGTTGGAGACTGAAAGTAGCTAGCCCTACTGCTGTAGGGGCTGGACGGGGACCAAGGGGTAACTGGTAGATTGGAGCATGCTACGGCGTAGGCAGCCAGATAAGGGCTCTCAAGGTCACATAGAATCACGTAGTGCTACACTACTGTCTATAATTCTTCGAAAGTGTGGATTTCTGCCAAGGATTCTGGCTTACGCTAAACTACACTCGTTTACGGAACATGTATAAATAAAGCGGCCACCCCCAGCAGATAGTTTTAGCTAGTTCATACATTCTCTTCCCGCCGCTACAACCACACGAGCACGGATCCCTAGTCTACTCGCATGCTAGGAGCAGGGAGAAGAGTCTTCTCTCTTCTCCTAACAGTGCGAGTAGTCGATTGTCTATAGGACTGCCTCGATGCCATCCATTGATTTCGCGCCTGGTTAGCACTCTGTTCGCACCTACCGGTTCCACCCTGAGGCACCCTGACACCTAGCCGAGAGGCAAGTATAACCGATCGCCAGGGGCCAGATTAAGCCCCCTGCTCAGGGAGCGCTCAGTGATGCTCAACCAAAGGCTCAGTTAAAAGCTCAGGTTGAAGCGGCCTTCGCTCACCCACTAAGATCAAACCGTATGTGGCAGTTAGGTTTTTCGTTCTCGACTAATAGAGGTCCTTTCGGCGCAGCTTATTGCCCATTCCCTTGGTCATTCTCATCTTTCCGCACCCTAACTATTATGGTTGTAGGCTGCATCGTGTGGATCCTGGGTCAAACGCAGAGTGCTGACTAGGGCTCTCGTGATTTTGAAGTTCCGGACCCCAAAATTGGGCCTCTCCCTTCAGAGCCAAATTTTGGTCTCCTTATGTTCACCCTTCACGGCACAAGGGGCGCGGAATAGGCACCCTGAGCTGAAGTGGGGGCCTTCTTGGGCCCCTCGTGGTTCTTGAATTGTTTGAGATGGAGTTCGACATGATTCAGCCTCGACGAAAACACTCTTCTCTGCAATTCTTTGCCCCTGGTAATGGTCGACGACACGAAGTGATCGCTTATACGTAGGACAGTATAGTTTATAGGGTCATTCTGCACGGAGAGGAGAGAGACAAAGCTCGCGGTTGCCGAACTAAAGGTGGAAGTTGGGTATAGTCGATCAAATACACAGTAGAAAATGGGTGATGAGACACGGTTCGAGAGGACTTCGTGAGGGTTAGAGCAGGGCCTCTTTCTGGGAGGGAGTGTGAGAAGGCCCATTGTGATCTTTGCTGCGCGTCCTTGAGGCGCCATACTTGGAGCAGTGAAGGCACCCGTAAATTGACGGTTCCGTTGTTTCTGAAGGGGGACCGTTTCTGGTCCCGCTGAAACATGAGTGCGGAGTCAGGTCTGCGATGAGGGAAGACTGAGGTCGGCGTTCTTGGCACCGAGGAAAAACCACTCCAGAAGCGGCGGCCGCTACCGCCATATTCGGCGGGAAATTTCCCTGCAACTTGCGTTGACCTGTAAGAGGCATCACCTTTTTTCCCGAGACGAGGGCGCAGTGCGGGGAAACTGCGGCTAATTTTCTGCTTGGCGGAAATTTTTTGGGCTTTCCAGTTCGAGGAATCCAAAGTCGGAGTGGGCGACCCTGCACAGTTCCTGAAGACTGTTAAACGTCTCCTCTTGTCCTCTGTAGACCGTGACTGGACCTCCTCATCCCTTAGAGGGCTTCCTCAAGATGGGAAAACAGACGAAAGCAACGAAGAAATTCGAGAAGAACCGCCTAAAAGGTACGATCGATCGAAGGAAAGAATTCGCAAAAGTCAAACAACGACATCAACAGAAGGCCAAGAAGAATCAAAGAGCCGCACAGAGACAAGAGGCCCGGAAAGATGAAGGAGACTCTGAATCTGATATGGAGGGGGAAGATGGAGTTAAGATGAACGAGGACGAATATTTTCAAGAAGGATTCATGATACCGGAACATGAAACGATGGCTACATCAAAGGACAGGACTAGGAAACGCAGGAGGGCTGGGGCCATTGAGGACGTCCAAACATCCTCAGTGTCGGATAAAGATGGCTCGGATGACGAGGCGGGCGATCACAAAGGCCAATTGGCGGCACTGGCACAGAAAGATCCCGAGTTCTACAAGTACCTGCAGGAGAATGACGCCGAGTTGTTGGACTTTGATGAAGATGGCGATCTTGCGGAAGTTGATGATCTCAGCGAAGGAGAACCTCCCGCCAAAGACCGAAAGACCAAGGAATCGCAAGACACAACAGTTCCCGTCGAGGTTACACTGTCCATGGTCGAGAAATGGAAACCTTCATTGACCGAGCAATTTTCCATTAGAGCGCTGCGGCAAGTTGTGCTAGCATTTCGGGCTGCCGCTCACGCAGGCGACGAAGAGGATAAAGCATTCAAATACAGAATTCCAAATCCGGAGGTATATCATGAGGTTCTGATGACGGCACTGAAGCAGGTCCCCAAAGTCCTCGCACACCATCTTCCAGTCAAGGAGTCTGCAGGAGGCAAAGTGCGCGTCCCGACTGAGATACCGAAGTTCAAGACTCTGGCACCCCTGATCAAATCCCATGCTTCATCCTTACATTGTCTGCTTGGGCACCTCTCAGACACAAATACGTTACGATTAACCCTCCAATCATTTGAGCCGCTGTTACCGTATTTACTGCAATTTCGCAAATTCTTGAAGGTGATTACCAAGGCAGTGGCATCAGTCTGGTCAGATAACTCTTCTGATGAAGCAACGAGAATCGTGGCTTTCATCGTCATCCGCCGACTGATGGTCGTCGGGGATGCAGGAATTCGAGAATCTGTCCTGAAGGCAACATATGAAGGTGTTGTCAGAGGCAGCCGAAGCACGACTATTCACACTCTCGCTGGTATCAACCTGATGAAGAATTCAGCCGCCGAGATCTGGGGCATCGATCAAAAAGTCAGCTACACAACCGGCTTCACATTCATCCGGCAGCTCGCTATTCACCTGCGTGGACATATCACCAAGCCCACAAAAGATTCGTACAAAACCATCTACAATTGGCAATTTGTACATTCGCTTGACTTTTGGTCTCGCGTTTTGTCGACGCACTGCAATTCCCTCCTTGAGGCACAACACGGCAAACAATCACAATTAAGACCACTGATCTACCCTGTTGTGCAGGTCACGTTGGGGGTCATGCGACTCATCCCTACATCGACCTACTTTCCTCTTCGATTCCAGCTCATGCGGTCCCTGCTGCGCATCTCGCAAGCGACAGAAACATATATTCCCCTCTCCGCAGCCCTTCTGGAGGTGCTCAACTCGGCGGAGATGAAGACACCGGCAAAAGCATCGACTCTCCGGCCCCTCGATTTTTCGTCGAACATCAGAGCACCCACCTCTTATCTGAAGACAAAGGCGTACCAGGAAGGAATCGGGGAGCAGGTAGTCGAACTGTTCTCCGAGTTTCTCGTCTTGTGGACAAAGAGCATCGCATATCCGGAGCTACAACTGCCGGTGACAGTGATGCTTAAGCGATGGCTGAAAGCTGCGTCCAAAGGTGGCGGGAACAGGAACAGCAAACTGAACCAAGCGCTTCTGTTGCTGGTGCAGAAATCCGAAGCGAACGCAAAATGGATTGAAGAGAGGAGGAATAAAGTTAACTTCGCGCCCAAGGACCGCACGGAGGTCGAGGCCTTCCTCAAGGATATTCAGTGGCAGGACACGCCCCTGGGAGCGTTTGTGGTCGCGCAAAGAAAATTGAGAGAAGAGAGAAAGATAGTGCTCGAACAGGGCAGGAAAGAGCAGGATCGGAAGCAGAAGGTTGATGCTAATGAAGATGAGGATGAGGATGAGGATGACGAGATCGGGATAGCGGGATAGAGAAATCATTCTACCCCCTTCACTTCGCTAGTATCCGGAGAACGAGTGTCACGTGGAAGCCCATTGTTTGGGACTTATCCTGTCCTTTAAATATAACGTGATTCCTTGAAGAACATGTCGTCGCCCAGGGTCCTGCTCCTACTCAAACACAGTTATGGCCATCTCTCGATCATTTCTTCCCTCTAGGCGGACCAAATTCCGTGACTCCATGCCCACTCGTCCACACATACTCGTCCATGTAAATAAAACCTCCGTCTTCCCCGAAATTCAAAACATTCTGTTGATGACAGTTGCCGATTCTTAGGTAGATAGATGCCGCGGCAAACGCGGCTCTCCATCCTCGTATGGTTCCCCAGCTGCTTCCCGCGCCATGTCGTTGATCCATCTCTCATTCGGCTTCAATGTCTTACCTCCAGCTAGAGATGAGGCGAGGTACAGCCAACTGAGGGCATTTCCGACTGTTTGCACCTCATCGCTGACATGGGTCATGGCATACTCGCTCATTCTTTCATACAGGTCATAGTCATTGACGAGGTCGTAGAGATGTTGGGCCACGGCGTCGTGGTCGCCTCGTCGAACAAGAAAGCCGCTCTTTCCGTGCTCGACTTGAAGTGGAATGCCGCCGGCCAGAGTGGCGATGACGGGTTTGCCCTGTCCAAAATATCAGCGTCTAGTGAGGAGAGCGTGACGGGGACGATTTACCTTGTGCAGGGCTTCGGAGACTTTGACCTCAAATCCTTCCCGTGTGGAGAGCTGTAAGGCCACAGTGCACAGAGACATGATGGCGTTCAAGATCTGATCACTTGGTCCGAGTCGGACAACTACAATATCCTCAATCAAGTCCGGGTGATGCCTGAGGATCAAGTTCATTGTTTGATCGTAAATCAGACTTCCGTCGGGATCATCCACGGAGCTGTGGCCGCAGAGGACCAGTTGCTGGATATTTCTCTTCGGTTCGTCCTTCATGAGCTTGCAGAACTTGGCGTAACTTTCGATAACGTCGGGTATACCCTTTGAAGGGTCGAAGCGTGCGATCTGAGTGAAGAAGCCACGTTGAGGATATGCGAGCTGTGGAATACCTTGGGCTTGGCAGGTTTGTCGTAGGACGTGGAAGTAGTATTGCAGATCCCATTCATCCATGGTTTTGTTCAAGCCATCAAGCCTATCCGTGGTATTGGTCACACATTAAGACTGAATAGCAAAAGGGGGGCGGGGGAGAGGGAGGGACTTACCAATCTGTGGTAGCCGGAAGCCAACCAAGAGTCTCTTTCCGAACATCATTCGGGACGAACGACCGGACAGGGTGGCTGAGGAAAATGTCGGCTTGTTTGATGCTGGACCACATATTTCGCCAAACATGTTGAGCGGCACTTCCGTCCTCCCGGACCAAATCGTCGCGGACCTCAATATGACTCCGGAAAATAATAGGACGCTCAGGCGACATCTTCCTTGCAATTGGAATAAGCTCTGGCATTTGAGGGTCGTCGATAATGACAACATCCGCACCTCCCTCTTCCGGTGCTCTGAGCGGCCCTTCTTCACCAAGCCAGTAGCGTTCCGCATTGTCGATAATCCATTGTTTGATCTTTGCAAGATGTCCATCCGTGGCGCGTACATCAGGTGGGACAACACCTTGCAGAATATTGTGGTTTGTCTTGGTGATTCGAAAGACGTCTGGCCTCGGTTTGGGTACGAACCTGGAGGAGATAATTAGTACCGATTCGGCTCAACCAAGATTTACTAGGCAAAGAGGGGGCCCAACCATTCAACGTTAACGCCTTGGAGGTCCAAAAATCTGAGTAGGGCATGGCGCATCAAGGCGACTCCTCCTCCCTGCGGTGTAGCACTGAAGAAGACGATTCTGAGCTTGCGATCGACAACATCCTTGACGTATTTCTGGACTGCCCTCCAAGTCGGTGGTCTGACGGATTTCTCGTAATCGTCAAGAGTGGTCAACTGAATCATGCCTGCTAAGTCCACTTCGACTTGATTACGATAGCTGATTGCTAGGCGGGGTTGTTTCGTTGGTGCGTACAGTCTATTCGTCGTGCGGTCAGCTCAAGGAGTCGTGATGGGGGGAACTCAAAGCACATACGCTAAACATTTTCTTGCAGCAGAATCGGCAATTTCATCGACATTATTCAGCAGTTTCGGGACATTCTTCGAGATCCTCTGAACTTGCAGCACTGGATTCGATTCGACCACGATTGGCACCATGTCCAGCTCTAACCAGAGCCTGGAGCAGAGTGATGGGCTCTTCTTGTGAAGATCCAAGAGGATACCGGCCCCCAGGATTTTGCACACGTGTTCTTTTCTATACACGGAGAGCTGAGTGATCAAATGATCAGCGATCCAGTCTGAGTTTTCGTCTTTTTCCTGGTCATCATCCAGAGAGATACGGTGGACAGCGAAATCCACGCTGTACGTTCCATCGTGCACGGCGATGCCGACTTTGACGGCTCTGGGGGATTCTTCTTGAATTGCTATGCCCGCCCAGAATTCCTAAAGGTAGTCAAGCAAGTTAGGCCACGTTCCAAATCGTTTTGAAGGTCATAGAGATGCCACAGGCCCACCTCTGTGGCGGTCTTGATACATAGACAAGGTCGTGAAGAAGAGCATCTGAGGGGTGTGGACGTACACTCAAGCTGGTTCCAATGTCCACACTGTCAGACTGCTGCTGAATACTCAAGGATCGTCTTCGATGGTACTCGGGCACATGTGACACGAAGTCCCGTTGAACCACGATACTAGGTCTTCTCGTTGCTGGGTCACCCATTGCTTCAAATTGTTTTGCGATGGGAGATGTCAACTCAATGGCAATAGGCTGTATTTATACCGGTGACAGGAAAAGGCTGCGTGGGATAAGTGAGGCGGGCGTAAAAAGACGCAAGCTACAAAAGCAAAGCTCGTAGGTCCAGCAAAATTTCCAGATCTAGGGTATGAGTGATGGCCTGAAATGTAGAGACGAGCAGTAGGTAAGGTGAGTTCAAGGGCTCACATCACAAGGGGAGACCTTGTGCTGGCTGATATCAGCTGTTTCAAAAGTTGGGCACTTTCTTGTGTCGGGGCAGGGTCTGAGCGGGAAGCTGACCTTAGCGATGAGCTAGGATTTTCTTCTGACGTATGGCACAGGCACAGGTAACAGGGAATACAAGGCACTGGCCCGACGGAAGGGCGGCCACGTCTTCGGCAACGCAGGGGATGGTGGAAAATGCTTAGATGATGGCTGGGATCGAATGGAAAATGATCGAATCGTAGGAGGGAGGCGCAGGATAGGCGAGAGATCCTGGTGAGGAATCACCTGATATTCAATGTGTGGCCCCTAGAAAAATATTAACGGGGAGGCCCGTTGGTGCTTCCGGGGGGCGCTGTAGGTCACGTGAACCCTCGATTGGCCGTCGGTAGGCAGGGGAGCTAACGTCGTATCTGCTAGAGTAAGCCTATGTGCATCGTTTTTTCGGTGGACATTATCGGCTTCGCCTAGGATGAGATTCATGATTGAAGAGGAACGGAGGGAGTGGCACCTGTCTCTATCCCTTGAGGGATTTTGGGGAATCGGTGCTTGAAATTACGAAATCCGTTTCCCTTCATTCGTCCACTAGTATTCGCCAAACTTGGGTAGAAGTGCACGCTTGATGCGGGGAGATGGAGAAAGGGTATATACTGGATTGTGACACTGTACATGGCAAAGTCCGTCAACTTCAAGGCTGATCGAGGCTACTCTCATCTTGTATGAAATACTAGGAAGAGAATTATGGTATTGTCTGACAGAAGCATTTTGGTTATGTACGGGCCGGAAAATGTGTTTGTCCGAATGGCTTTGCCTCGTCCAGCAAAAGTATCTCATGTTTTTCATGCTCCCATGTTTTCACCGTCGTACCACCAGAATGAAAATTAGTCTATCATAAGAGTAACTATATGAAATCTTTGAGGCGGTGCAGCCAACACATCCCATGTGCATCCCGCGCGGGATGTAGATGGTAGACTAAGTTGCTATCTATATCCCACCGCGTCGCCCCCCGACCTCTCTCGCCGCATCGGCTTTATCATGCTCTCTCTGTTTTCTCCGATGATCTCATCGCAATTCAATGGAGGCTTCGACACGCTTCCGAGGTACAAAACTTTCAGACAACACATCATCAGGCCATGTCGTCGGCCGTCTGCTCCAAATATCATGCAGTGGTCGCGATCTCGGTTTCGAGAATCATCGACAAGGCTGCTCGGGGGACATGGGACTTTCAGAGCTTGAATCTCCACAGCGGCGGCGCGGCATCCAACAGAGCCATACGCGTGTACCTGCATCTTGATCCGTCGCTTACGCAGATGTGGCACCACCTATGCCGCCCCTATCAGACAGTCTCAGGCACCAGTCGTAACCTTACACCCCCATGCTGAACATGGACCGACAGTAGATAGGAGCTCCTGATGAGTCCTCAAGAGTTACCGCAAAACTTATTCGGCCCCATGTTTTGTTTCGACGCGAAACTGCCCACAAAGACCCGGAATCATGTGAGGTTGCGAAGTCGGCAAGGCCGAATTCACGTGATTTGGACTCAGCCTTGTCTGCCTCGGCTAATCACCTTTTGGCTTTGTCATTCGGAGGGCTAATCGTATCAGATCCTTTTGGCCTTCACGGCTTAATAGTGACCCCCACGATAAAAATGGCCAAAACCGGTATAATGTCGCCCACGCACTCAACTCTAATTCTAGGTTTAGTGCTCCTCTTTTTCCCCCCACCTTCGGCTTCCCTTCCCAAATGACGCCCTCTATTAACTACCTAGGTGCTTGTCAAGCCAAAATCAGGACATTACCTCAATCCTCGTCCAGACTACACAACATGTATCGCAAGCGAAATGGTTCTCTCGGCTTCTCTTTCACCCGCTTCGCCAATGCTGCCGTTCCCAATTTCTTTGCCGATGAGTCACCTACGCGGACGGCGGACTTGACCTCTTACCGTCGCGACATGTGCTACATGCATCAAATCGCGTCCCCAAATCCATATGCTCTGGACGAGCGTTCCTTCTACGTTGTTGGCGTCGTGGACTCGGAGAGCGTGAGCAAGAGGGTGCACAAAACACTCAAGAAGCATGAGATTCTCAATCCTCATGATGGCACTGTCGATACCTACAAGATCGGCCCCAAGTTTCCACACCAGCTCGCCCTTTTGAACATCAACAGACAGAAAGACCTAGTTGGTATGTTGTTCTGGTGGGAAGAGGAGTGTCAGAGGCTGCGGAAATTGGATGCCGAAGAGAAAGAGCTGAACACGTTGATAATGGAGTCGGAACGCAATCTCACTAAGATTGGGGAACAAGAAGATTCGCATGGGCCGAAAGAGACATTGGATCAACTCAAATTTGCAAGAGAGAGGGTCAGGATGAAGAGAAGGCAAAGACCCAGTCAAAGGCACCCCGACATCGAAGCTGACCGAGACGATATTTTGTTGGCATTCCACGGTCGAAGTAAAAGCGTATCCAATATTAGCACTCGTCTTCCCGGAAATCCCGGAAACAGTCAAGCAGGGCCGGTACAACGGGAACAACCACCACAGTATTTTGCGAGTACACGATAATGGAGCTGCTTTTGGCTTTTGAACGACCGAATCATCCTTGACCGATCTCACCAGGGCCCTCCTTCCTTCAGATAATTTTTCGGCGCCTCTTTGTCGAGGAAAGGAGGCACTCTGGCAGAGCTGCAATTTTCGAGACCCCCCCCACTAGCTGCACGTTCCGCTGGAGGCCACTTGATAGCACATGTCACTCCTTCTATGGTAGATTTTTGGATGAAGCCCTTGCTGTCTCCCTTCAGGACGGATCACCATTCGAGGATGTGAGTCTCTGCGACATGTTTCTAGCAGCCCATTGCCCCATTGACAGAGTATGAAGGAAATTAAATCAAAGTACCTTTTCTCCGCAGGATGAGGCCCACCCACGGCCCGAGATGCCCCATAGTTCCATAACATCTAGGGGAGGGAAGATGTTCTGGTCACACAAGCATATTCTCGCCGGGGTCCCCGTGGCTTCACCGTATCCGACCCGAAAATAAAGAGCAATGGGACACACAAAGAGAAGGGAGAACTGGGAACGCGAACCTGAGCAGGGGCGCCTTCATATTGTTCTATGAATCCCATTCCAAACTTTTGGGGGGGGGGGAATAGTCGAGGAATGATGGAGAGGGCGTTCCTAAATAAAGAGGAGAGAGTGACCTCATATTATGAGTGTAGTTGTGAAATTCTGGACGTATCCCCTTGGCCCGGGAACACATTATCCATGCCGATACATACATACATACAAACATGCCCAAATCATCCAAAAAATCCCCGCGTCCGGCAGCCGATTCAAACAATCTTATCATTAGTGATCTGCGGAAACAGCACCGACGACTTAGATGACTCCATCTCATCCAACCGGTCGCTATAACTCTTCGAATTCAGATACAACTGCTGCCATGAATACTCCCGGAATCGCACACAAAGATAGCCCAGAGCCGCCTCCACTGCGACGTCGGCGAGCGGGAAGTTGTCATCGATCAGGACCTCATTGTCTCCCGCTCCCTGTGCTAATTGATGCAGGCCGCCATCGGCTTTTCATCGTTGTCGCGTTGTTTCACTCTGGCCGAGGAGAAGCGTGCTGTCTCTCCAACATCAGAATGCAGTCATCGGCGATTACTACAGAAGAGGGGAGGCGTGAGAGCATGTCAGTGTACCACCAAGCATAACACATTCGACGAGAGGGACATCTACCTGCTCGTCTTCGTTGAAAGGGATGGACTGAGGATCCGAATTCACCCTGGACTTTCTTCACGAAGAGCTCCTTTTCATTCGTCGCGGACGTCAAGCCCAGCCACCGCGGCGGCAGGAACTCGTACTCGATCCACTCAAAGATGAAATGTGACTAGTACGCTGCGAAATCCTCCTCGGCAGGCTTCTGGCTCCTTTCCCTGTTGATCAGTACGGCCAGGTTTCTAGCGGATTATACTGCGGCGTCTGCGTCGTGTTGTTCCAAGGCACTTCGGTAACGAGCTCGAAGGAGATTGACTCTTCGGTTAGTGCGGCTCGCATTTTTCGGGCGTAGCGGGAGCTGTTATACTCGTAAGTAAAGATTATTGGTGAAGGGAATTTCAAGCAGGAGCGTGGGGTTTTCCGCCGGTCTTATAATGAGTTTGAGGACCACGGTTTTCTTCGCGTCCACGTTTCGTCGATTCAAATGAGCACAAAGGTGTCTCACGAGGTATCAAAGATAACGGATATGATACTGGTATACTGAACTTCTTGTTCTTTCGGAAATGGAAATTTCCTTGCGCTGATAAGGGGTTTTTTCTGGAAAGTCAGCGAGTGTCACAGAAGTGCTGCAAGGGCTGAAACGGTGTTCAAAAACGTCGTATCATTGTTATGGTTACTATTTCTCCAGTGGTCAAAGGCAAACAACTTTGGATTTCACGATGAAAAGAGACTTGTCCAAGTCCTGACCGTACCCATTTCCCCGTTTCAGCAGTGCTGGAGAGACACAGAATAAGATCCTACTCTCGACCGGGCGATTTGTCACCTCCTCTACCACTTCTGAGGGCCAGCCGTCAATATTCCTGTTGTTAGTGATTTTGGGTTCAGGTATCCAGAGCTCCAACCGGCACCGCTGTCGCGCAAATAACGTTGCCACTTCCCACCCCTTTTCCACTATCCTCTGCAGATAGTTGTCCAGAGTATTCGGGTCCTGGAACACGTGTTTGATGTCTTCTAAAGCGACACCAATCCTTTTTACCCCATCTCGTATCCGATGTTCCTTTTTCATCCCAAAATCGTCTTCCGCCATCTGAGTGCACAGCTGGTGGGTGGTAATACTTCTCCATTTTTCGGACATTTCCGTGGGACTTGGGATAACTGGAGCTGTATAAGGCTCGCATTTGATTAGAATATCTGCGAATGCCCAAAAAAAAAGGGAGATCGTTAATTTGTTAGTTTTTGTCCGGACGATATCATCACATACCTCTTCCGAAAATTATCCCCCATGTGTCGAGAATTTGCTGTCCATCCTTTCCAAGCGACTGAAATGGATGCAAGAATAGCTCTTTCCAGAGTTGTTTCCATACAATACTCTCGAGTACGTTTTTCATCCCTATTTTCCTAATTCCGGACCGTGATAACTGAGACAATGTAAGAGCAAGCTTCCCGTACTCGGATGTCTCTGTCTCGAAGTTGGACCCGACACAATCCCGCAAAAATCTTGAAAAGTCGGTGATTTGTGCTTGCAGTTTCATCAATTCTCCGCCAAGGTCGGCATCGCTTATGGGCTGGAAGTGATCTAGCCCTGCCAATCTCTCCTGCATGAGATCCTGAAGGAGGTTTTTCTGGCTTTGGTTTTCAGCCTCGAGTCTCTCCACCCGAGCTTGGAGTTCTGTTGTCGCTTGGCCTATATCATAGTTCTGTGCGTGTAGTCCTTGATCATCGTAGTCATCATGAATACGTAGTTGGTCGAAATTTGAAGTTTCAAAGTTGAGTCCCTCCTCCGGCTGAAAGAAAGTCAGCATGATAGTATCGAGTTATGTAACATTCCAAGTCTGAGGCATACTTGCTGAATATAGGATGTGTCACCATATTCATTCGATAGATATTGAGGTTCATACAGCTGGGTATACCCTATGTTTCCTTGGTGATACTCTTGCGCTGGATCATCATTTGTAAATCTGCTGGCGTGGCTGTTAAGGAACGAAGGTTGATGATGTATGTTTATGCGAGGAGGAGGCCATCTGTTGCCTGACATGGCAGGCCAGATCTACTAAAGTCTGGAAACATCAACACATCTCTATATCGATCAGATCAAGACGCTGAGAAGGAAAAATGGAGAACAATCTCCCCCCCCCCCCAAAAACTTACCCGGGTGCTCGTCTCAATGGGCCTCAAGGAATCCAAACAGGGTCACTAAAACTTGTCGGGCCTATGCAGTAGATGTGTCAAGACAGCGTGGTGCTGCCCAATGTGTTGTCATGAGTGGTGGTTGGGCACTGACAGCTGGTGGGGAGGATATTCGAGACAACTGAGAAGGTGGGCCGTAGTCAGATCAAGTTTTTGCAAATCACGCAAATCACAAGTCTGCAAGAACGGACAATGAAGAGTCGACACGAGCTTTCTCCTTCCCTCGCGGCCAAGTCGTCTGTGGGCTTCGAGACTCATGAAGTGTGGCTCTTCCCATGCTCCTGTGCGTGGGCCCCCACTTTCTGATGGTAATAGTGGCATTGTTACAACCTAAAGGTATGGTCTTGAAACATGAAAATCAATTACGTATCCCAATCCCGTCTCGACACTGTGCATTGTGCTGACTATGAAGAGGCAAGCTTGCATTGATTTCTCATGAAGTGATGTTGGAAGAGTTCACCAAGATCTGGTTCACATCGGATTTTTCCTTCCCTGTTGCTTTGCCCGTACCCGAGAGGCCGACCCAAAAGGGAACGCAACTCCGAGGCAAGAACTTGGTGTTTATGGCAGGTAAATACTCTGTATCAGACACTCACGTAGTTGCTTCACTGTCCTTGACTGCACTCCCAAGGTCCTACTGATATTCGGGGACTTCGTGTCATGGCCAAAGATCGCCTTGTGATTGCAATTGACTACGGCACCACTTTTACGGGTTTGTTGAAGAGCTCCACGCCCACTACAGCTTCATATTTATTGAAACTGACCATGTGGCTCAGGCGTCGCGTTTTGTCATAGGGATTTAGGAACTCTACCCGTCCTCCAGGCGATACATCTGATCACCGACTGGCCTGGACAACGGCTGAACGCAACCAACGAGAAAGTTCCAAGCCAAATCGCATACTTCGACGGTGGATTCGAATGGGGAAACAGAATAAGACCCCGAACAAGGAGAGAGGCTTGGACGAAGCTTTTACTCGATGAAAAGGAGACTCGAAAACTCGCGGTGGACCTCTTGACGGGGAATAATAACGACGACGGAAGCCCCCCGCCATATCCTGGTAAGCCCCCAGTGGAAATCGCAGGCGACTTTCTCTCTGGAGTCAAGAAACATCTCGAGGACAGCCTGAAAACACGATATGGGAAGATAGCGAGCCTGTTTGAGAGGGATATCGTCATTACTGTGCCTGCTGTATGGTCAGACAGAGCCAAAGACCTCACTTGCCAGGCTGTGTCCCGGGCAGGATTCCACGACGCCAATACAACGATTTCCATCATCACAGAACCCGAGGCTGCGGCAATTTATGCTTTGAAAGAGATGAGAGAAGGTCCTTTCTCACATATTTCGGTATGGCCACAGTTTTCCTGAATGTTTCCCGAGCAATGCTGAATCCTTATTCAGGTCGGAGACAATTTTATTGTCTGTGATGCTGGAGGAGGGACAGTGGTAAGTTTTGGCCTGGCCGAATAGACCTCTCGATGTGGCTGAAAAACCTTTTCGCTCTCCAGGATCTCATTTCGTACAAGGTGGATTCGATAGCCCCGGCTTTCAAGGTGACCGAGGCAGCTGTGGGCACTGGAAAGTCATATCCCCCTGATGGCTGCCTCTGGTGCTAATATGATAAACAGGTGAAAAATGCGGATCCGTTTTTGTTGATCGCGAGTTCAAGCTCTGGCTCAAACGAAAGCTGGGAGACAAAAATTTCAAGAAAATAAAAGAGGACAAACTTCTAGCAGGAAGCAAATTGATGACTGACTTTGAATTCATCAAAGCGGCTTTCTGTGGCGACAATTTACAGTTCTACATCAGCTTGCCCCATGAGGTTGGAATCGTTGACGACGAGGAACTAGGAATTGCTGATCAAGAAGTTAGACTAGGCCCGTGAGTTTCTACGGACACGCGACAGCAAGAATTGGGCGAAGCTAATTGGGAGACTATCGAGCATAGGGATGACGTGCAAAGCATATTTGATCCTTGCGTCCACCGAGTCTTGACGTTGATTGATGGCCAGATCAATGAGGTTACATCAAAGGGGGGCAAGGTCAAGGTGACAATTTCTCTGCCGTCATTGCTGATGAGCTACATTTTACCGACTAACACTGTTTACTCTGATGCAGTACGTCCTGCTTGTTGGGGGATTTGGCATGTCCGACTATCTGTATAGGAGAATCAAAGACCATTGTGGGAAGGCATCGATTGAGGCAATCAGACCAACTCATCCGTAAGAAAGCCTTGACACGGCCACCTCATGTCCTCCTTTGGCGAAAATTTCTAGCCCATTACTGACAAGCGGGACAGTTGGTCAGCGGTAGTTCGAGGTGCGCTTCTCCAACGGCTTGATACACCGAGCCAAAATCTGGTGCAAGTCCGTTTATGCCGTCGATATTATGGTACCAGTGTGCTCGAACTATTCGATAAAGACAGACATTCCGAAGCAGATATGTTCATGTATCCCAACACGAATGACATCTATGCCAAAGGTTCGTCCCCATTTTTCATTGTTTTTCATTGACTGGACACCGACGCACATCACTATTTTGGCGCCCAATCCTATTCGGACGTTCAAATAACAAAGGACCAGGCTGCATGAAGTGGCTGCTGTCAAAAGGGGACGCTCTACCTATTTCAAAGCGGAAGAAAGCGTTTATCAATGTCAGTGATATCTTTCGTAAGGATGAACCTCGAATCTCCCACGCAACGCTGTGGGCTTATGACGGCGACAATCCACCGCTCCGAGAAAAGGACGGTCCTTACAAAGTGTGCGTTTTGGCAGCCGACCTGAGCAACGTGCCAGAGGACAAATTCGAAAAGGCAGGGAAAGAAGGTGATGAAATGGCGATTGTGACTTTCAAGATCGAAATCACAATTGAAGACTCCATGTTTGAATTCAGAATCTTATTCGATGACCAAGAGTACGGGTCTGTCAGAGGGGAGTATGTCTAGGAAGAAGAAGTTCTATGTCTACAACGGATTGTCAAAAACCCGATTCACCTTGAAGGACTCGTTGTTGTCATGGACCACACATACCTGGAGAGCTTATCGGATCGACCAAGAGCACGCATGCTTCAACAAAAAGGTGCCAAAACGATCTGAACACAGGTCATCAGTTTTTTCATCAATTTTGATGCCCACGTTGTCTCTACGGCTGCTAGCCGTTTGAACGGTAAAGAGGTCCCTTTTTTTGGATTGCAGGGTTCTCGGTCCTCGATACCGTTTGATACCTGACAGAACCCAAATACGAGGTTTGGCATTCTGCAGCTGCATTCCTACGGGCCTTCTCCAAAATTGCTGCTGCATTAGCTTCTCTGCGTACCGGCTGGACCGATCGTATCCAGAGCCTAGTATTCCAATTTCGACACTAGCTACACCTTAACTATTTGAGCATCTATTTGCCTACTTGAGACACCATTCCTAGGTGGACGTGGTCTCCATGCAGTCGTCCCAATTCTGTCGGAAATGTGGAAATGCTTTCGAAGTTTTATTGTCCAATCGACAAGTTGTCTCCGAAACCGGTCAACGTTGCTACCACGCGTATCTCGATCCCTCGCATCTATCCTATCCTACAAAACCACGTATCGAGAGCATTGCAAGTTTTCGAGTTGAAAACACGAACTGCGACTCTGGAAAGTCCGAATCGACGGTCGAAGCCCCCCCCCCGGGGGAAGATCTCTGCTGTCAGGCTGACACACCTTAATTTTGTGTCTTTTCAATTGATAATGGAGTTTGCCTAGGAGCCTATCAGTCGAACCAATGTCACCGCTCCACAGCTGAAGAAGGAACTTTCTGTGCATCAAGCAAGGTAGAAGCGGGGTTCTGTGATTCACTAGTCGACTGAAGCCGGGACTCTCACTTCCCAGCTGAGTGGACGGACAACCAGAACTCCGAACTCCCACTCTATGGGCTCTTGTTGATCCAAAACTTTGACCTTCTATAGAGGCTCCAAGCATTTGATATACACTCGCATCTGAGATGGCAGAGGTCCTTGGAGTGGTGACGAGTATCGCCACACTCGTCCAGTTGACTGGAACATTATCACAATTATGTTACGGATATATTAAGAGTGCAGCAGGAGCCTCCAAGGCAGCGGAACGAATCGTGACCGAGGTTTCCGCTTTAGATGGCGTCCTACGTGCCCTGGAACTCTTATCCCAGAACACCCAGGCTCCCCAATTGCCAGCATTGGAATTGCTCGCCGGCCAGAACGGGCTTTTTGAGAGGTGTGGGAAAGTACTGAAAGAGCTGGAACGCCGGCTCAATTCAGCCCCTGGGAGACGACAGAAGATTGGAAAGGCCATCGCGTGGCCACTGGAAGAAAAAGAGATAAACAGCCTGCTGACGACTGTGGAGAGACACAAAGCAATATTTCTTCTTGCTTTAACTGGTGATCATACGTAAGTGATTCGTCCGAAGAACATCCACCCGTGCTTAATTATTTTCAGAAGTATATTGCTGGAGATTAAAAAGGAATTCGAGCAGTTCCATCAATCATTTCAGTCAATCCAGGCGGGTGAGACAGACAAATGGAGGCACAGAGTACTAGAGCATGCTAATGAAAACCCTACTTCCAGATGAAAAGAGGGAGAAGATTCTTCAATGGCTCTCCCCGAATGGACTGTACGGCAGCCATGATGCCGCACGTGAAAAGCACGAGGAAAACACCGGTGACTGGTTTCTACAGTCTCGGCAATTCAAAAAATGGAAATGTGGCCCTGGACAGTTTCTCTGGTTAAAGGGCATCAGTGCGTTCCACATCTTCTTGACGAAAGGATTGAGTCTATTGGCTGATACTTTAGAGCCAAGTGGGCTGTGGAAAGACCATACTGTGGTATGATATCTTGGACTAACCTCCATGCACCGGAAAACAACAAACGACTGACATTAATTCTCTAGCTCTACGGTCATTGAAGATTTGAAAAATTCTGGGATCGATCTGACCAAGAAAGGACTCTCCCACTTTTACTTTGACTTTCAAGACCAGCAGAAGCAAAAGGTAACACGGTTTTTAACTTCTGCAATTGCGCAGCTGGCTTGCCAGAGGGCTACCATTCCGGAGGAGATCGAAGAAATGTACGACAGCCAGACCAGAAAGTTGATAGAACCCAGTGTCGACAGCCTATCCTTATCACTAATGTCCCTTATGAATGATCTAAGCCAGACCTACCTCATCGTGGATGCTCTGGACGAATGCGCGGAATTGATGCGACTCCTGGAGGTCCTAAGGAACCTGGCCTGCGAAACTAGGGTCAGTATTCTGGTCACCAGTCGAGAGGACCAGCGTATCGAGTCGATGTTAGCACTTTTGCCGCCGGACATGGCCAGTGTTGTCTCAGTTCAAGGCCCGGCCGTCGATGCGGATGTTCGACTCCACATAGTCAATCGACTCAACACAGACCCCGAGTTGAACAAATGGCCTGCTGGCATCAAGAAGGAAATTGAAAGGTCTCTTGTCAAGGGTGCCAATGGAATGTATGTGTACATTAGAGCTCGTCATCCCCCTTACCACATCACCTCTTACCTCCATTGGGTTCCCGGGATGCTGACCAGGCTTGAAAAGGTTCCGCTGGGTATCCTGCCAACTTGACGCCCTGCACACCTGTATAAGGGCTGCCGATATCCGCAAAATGTTGAAGGAGCTACCGAAAGGGCTATATGAGACTTATAAGAGAATACTGCAGCAAATTCCCGAATCCAATCATGACGATGTTCACGCAATCCTCCAATGGTTGGCATTTTCTGTACGTCCGATGAAGCTAAATGAAGTGGCGGAAGCTATTGCAATCGAGCCATGGGATTTTACTCGAGATCCCGACAGAAAGCTGTGCCGACCAGAAGATATTTTGAAAATTTGCCCCGGTCTGGTGAGCATATCGGAAAACGGGCAAGGGCTTCGGTTGGCCCACTATTCTGTGAAGGAGTACATTACGTCCAAGAAAATTCAAGAGGACACCTTGTCGCATTTTTTTGTGTCGAAAATATCGGCCAACAGCTTGATGGGCCAAGTTTGTCTCACACATCTGCTGTCATTCACTGACGTTGACTCAATGACGGAACGAGTGCTGGAAAAGTACCCGCTTCTCAACTATGCGGCCCGACACTGGTTTAATCACGCTCGAACTGTGTCAGACGAGCACCTTGACGCTGATTTAGAGGACCTCTGCCTAATGCTATTGAACCCAAACGATACCTCAAAGCTCCGGCAATGGCTCTGGATTTTTGATCCTGAAGAATCTCACTCGCGACACAACTCTCAACATGGCTCCAAGGACCCGAGCATCTCCCTTCCCTTATACTATGCATGTTACCTGGGTCTTTCAAGAACCACGAAAGCGTTGCTAGGCAAAAACGTAAATGTAAACGCTCGATCCCGGCGCTATGGCGCAGCAATGCATGCAGCATCGTTCAAAGGGCATAAAAGGATTGTCGAAATGCTATTAAATAGCGGTGCGGATGTGGCCTTGGAGGCAGGGCGCTATTCCACCCCGCTGCAAGCTGCTGCGTATGGCGGACACATGGACATTGTACAACTACTCGTCAAACGGGGAGCGAATATTGATGCTGAAGGAGGAGAGCATGGAACTGCTCTACTAGCCGCAGCAGAGAAAGGCGACGAGACCATGGTTCGGCTCCTGCTGGACCTGAATGCAGATCTGAACTTGAACGTCAGAGGCGACTACCATGGCACAGCCATCCAGGCCGCTGCCTACGAAGGCCACCAATCTGTGGTGTCATTGCTTCTTGATCGTGGAGCAGATATCAACGCTCTAAGCGGACAATACGGCAATGCGCTAGGAGCAGCATCGTACGCAGGACACGAAGACATGGTGCGATTCCTGCTTGAGAGAGGGGCAGATCCGACGGCAAGTGGTGGATATTATGGTACTGCCCTAGTGGCTGCATCATACAAAGGCCACCTCAATATCGTGTGTTTACTCATCTCGAGAAATGCAGACGTTGACGCGGCAGGTGGGCAGCTTGGTTGGTGTCCTCTGCAAGCGGCAGCATATCGTAGACATCGGGAGGTTGTGAAATACCTTCTAGAATCTAATGCTCAGCTTGGAAAGGTTTTGCGGCATGCGGCCGAGAACGACCATGAGGAAATTGTCTTGTTTCTCCTGGACACATGTTCACTTATATCCGAGAAGACTGAGTCCGCTGATGACGAAAACAGTGGCAACCCAACCGATAAACCAACCTCCATCAGACAAGTGGAGAGGGCGATTCAATTGTTGCTGAAGTGCGCGGCCTTGGCTCAACCTAGCAAACCGTCCGGAAACGTGGACCTCTGGTTCGTAGGAGCTGCGCTTCAGGGCGACAATACCGACGCTAGCGTGACGCTTGTACCTAGACGTCGCGATACTGGGGCCCCGCGAAAACTCGACATGCTGCTGGAGAAGGTGAGCGACGTCGAACTCAAACGTGTGCCGGTCCCGGGAGGACCGCCAGTCAAGGAGCATGATGATCCAAGACCACCGCAGCCTCCATCAACTCCCACGGCACGAGGACGAAACCAGCAACCTGGAGCAGCACCATTACAGGACTATTCCCCTCCCCGAGGACCTGTTTCACCATCAATAGTGAACAGTCCACGACCAAATATTCCACTAACAGAACAGGCCAATCTAGTCCGAGCAGAGGCCGCTCAAGCGGAGCGGAAGAAGCCGACGAATTCTGAAACCGATACACGGAAACATGTCGCTGAGCAGGTGTTCCGATTGCCAAAATATGAGAATGCAATAGCAAAAGGTGGACAACCCCCACCTGTAACAAACGGTCGGAGCAACACGAAACAAGGTGAAGTTCCAGCTACGCAGAATGGCGAGCCTGCTCATCTTCCTGAGGCCTTGATGGCTGGACATGCGCCGACAACGATTCCATCAAAGCGTCCAAGCACTCCGAGTGTCCTCCTGGAGAAGATCAACCCGACCAGGGTCACAAAAGAGGCCAGGGCAGCCATACCAGAGTCATCGTCAGAAACTCGGAGACCCGACGCAAAGCACAGAGTGGAAAGTTTGGAGAGAATCTCAACAGAAGTGCCTCCGCAGGATGAGACTAGAGACAACCAAATGGCACCTGTTGCGGCTGCTTCCACGCCCTCTACGTCGTCATCTTCAAGCACCCCGGCCGAGACCCAAAAGGAGAGAGCCCAACTTGAGGGGAGAGAACCTGTAGTCCCCTTGTCTCCTGAACGGGATACGCAAACCGCACCTAGAGAGAAGGCTCGCAACGCGACGATGTCTCCGGCCAGATCAGTACAGATCGAGACTAAGACTGGTTCCGAACAAAAGAAAACAGATGACAAGGCTGCCATTGCCACTACCACCAAATCCAACAAATCTCGGGCCGTGCTAGCCAAAAATGAAACAGAGCTTCACTCAAGAGCCAACTCAACTTCAAAATCCGACTCGAAAGCCAAAGTCATGAATGTTGAAGTCAGAGATAAAGGCATTTTTAGTTTCCTCGGGAGGTAGGATGTGATGTTGAAGAGGACTTGAGGCTGAGGTACTTCCAATGAACTATATTATCTTCTTATTGTCTCCTAATTAACTGTTGACTCGATAGGGTAAACCGCTTGATTTGGTTGTTATATGTACCGGTAATCTTGGTGTTGCTGTCTGTTCGTTGTTGACAATGTCCCCATATTTCCTCCTTGGTCCGTTGGCGCTGCTGCACTCGTTGCTGGGCCTTGACCAAGCTGGGGACTTGTGTTTCTTTCCGGCCCACTATTGTAGTGAAGCGTCCACGTTTTGCCAGAATGCTGCGATAGATCACATCCTCCCAGCCTTGTTCTGACAGTGGGGACTCCCCTTTTACCCTCTAACTCCCTACTGCTAGCAGCTCGCTATCATTGCCATCTCCAGCTACTGCTCGGAGAGTCAGCGGCAACGGAACAATTCACCTCCGTTTCTTTCGTCCGTTGGAGTGGAGACGCCCATGCTGCCCATCGAAGGCCAAGCGAGTCCAGGCGAGCCCAAGCAAACAGATCAACGTCATCCCACCCAAAATATATCCCCCTGACCCAATCTCTTCCATTGCCAATGAAACTCAATCCAAAGTCCTAGGGAATTTTCCTTCTCTATCTTCTGCCACATGCATCTCCCACTCACGTTGCACTCTGTTAGGTAAGGCCGGATGGCTATGTCGTTTTACTCCAGTTTCAATATACTGACAAGTCTCTCCACTTAGCCTTGTTTCATTCGCCAATGCATCGATTTTTCCTTCCGTATCCGTAACTCGTATAGAGAAGTCTGCTAATATTTTCACTCCTATTCCTGTAATGGCCACGATATGGCGCTGGGCTGTTCAGCGCTGAACAACTGGACTACACTGCCAAATCGACGTTGGCCCAAGTATCGACGTTTCGGCCGTTGATTAATATTCAAACATGTGAACGGATTCTGTGAAATTGATGTATAAAGCCGGCCATGGAGTTCTCAACGAACAATTCCCCTTCTGCATCAAACAAATAACGACAGCCAGTAGACCCAGGAGCGACAAAACAGCAAGAATACCAGTACCCTCAGAGCCTAGAATAAACTCCCACCGGCGAACGTCACCCTTCTTCACAAGCCACCTTCATCTTCCTCCCCCCCTTTCTTTACCATCAATATGGCCGACAATGCTTCAACGTTCATCACGCCTGATGGCACTGTGTACATCGGAGACGGCGATCAAGCCAATTGCACCATCTCAGTCTGTCCAGTAGAAATGAGCGTCTACGGCTACCGCCCATCCCTGGGTGCCAGTGGCGCCCTCATTGGTCTCTACTCCGTTTGCATGATCATCCAGATATTTTTTGGATGGCGCTACAAGGCATGGGGTTTCATGACCGCTATGGTGCTGGGCTGTATCGACGAAATTCTCGGCTATGTCGGACGGATCTTGATGTGGCAGAATCCATGGGACAATGACAGCTTCATTATGCAGATTGGTAAGTGTGAAAATACACTCTGGTGGTTGGTAATCTCGAATATCTAACTTGGATAGTCCTCATCACCATTGGACCAGTTTTCTTCGCTGCCGCAATCTATGTCATGCTCTATCAAATGTGAGTACTCAATTTCTGATCCTCCTCCCTTCACCTCCTAGGGGACGGCAAGTTAACTTTTCTCTCTTCCCGATAGAGTTCACTATATCTCCGTCAAGCATTCTCGCTTCACGCCCAGTCTCTTCTACTACGTCTTCATCACCTGCGACATCATCAGCTTGATCTTGCAGGCTGTTGGCGGCGCCATGTCCTCAACCTCCAACGGTTCTTCACAAGCAGGCGTTGACATTGCTCTTGCCGGCTTGTCCTTCCAAGTCATCACTCTGGTCGCCTTCATTGTCGCGACTGTCGATTACTTCACCCGCAGCCGCCCTGTGTGGATGAGCATCCGTCTTCCAACACGGTTCCTCGTCTTCGTCAGCTTCCTTTCACTCGCTACCATTCTCATCCTCATCCGATGCAGCTATCGTGTCTACGAGCTCAATGAGGGCTACTCGCGAGACAGCGAGGCTTTGCGAGACGAGAATTTGTTCATCGGCCTTGAGTCAGTGTAAGTCGTTTTACCCGTGCGTGGCCTTGATCAGGTGGCCTGAACCAGAGGCTAATCTTGGTTTCCCACAGGATGATTATTGCCGCTGCATATGCTTTGGTCCTTGCACACCCCGGCTTCGTGTTCAAAAAAGGTGGAGAGCATTTGGTCGATAACGAGAGATTCGCACAACACTCTAACGAGCAAAAACATGTTGATTCTGATTCATCGTCGCCAGAATCGCAGTACAGAGTGTGAAATCTATTATGTTTGCTAATGCTAGGACGAGACAAATGATGTAATGATTCAGGAAGGGAAATTGAGTAGAATAAGGGCAAGGAGAGGAGGTCTTTTTATGGGGTTTTGATACATGTTAGGCGGGATTGATTATTACGAGCAGGGTCAGATCGTAGGAGGATAGAGAATATGTAACATTTAATGACATTGGGAGTATGTGATATATTACTTGTGCCTAGTCCAAGTTTCGGGAACCAGCCTCTCTGATAATCTCATACCTTGAATATATGAGTATTTAGGTGCTTGGATAGGTATTTTCAGTATCCTCTTTTGTCCAGGGCTTGTGTATTTCAGTCAATCGATCCTCCAAGCCGATTATCGAACCCTCTCAAACACGATGAAATCAATAAAGTCAACATAGCGACTATATACTTCCCGGCAAACTAAGGTAGATTCAAACGGTCGTTGCACGTTTGTTTGCAGTTTCCGTACTGACAAGACGATCGATCAGCATTCTGTACGGTCCTCGCTATGCGCAATTGATTCTAAGATACCGCAGCTTCGAACAACGCTTGGACCCGTTCGTTCTCCCCAGGACTATTGCGGAGTTCCCCTCTGATCACATTTGGTGGATAATTGGCCACCGCATTGATCCATCAATGCCGCAGCAGATGTTGAACGAGTCAAATCCAGTACGATTATTGCATGTGATGATATACGGAGAGGAGGATCTAAAGGACCTTCATTGAGCTCGCCATCCCTTGACTGTACGAACAGCCTTTGCGACTGAAGCAGCTCTTCATTCGAATTTGTTAAAGCAGAATTACCCTCTTTGGTTCGCTCCAAGACTCGGACCAGCAGCGCGTGGTCGGGTATATGGCCATTCCTTGGGTACATGGGATCTGGAAAACGAGAAACCGTAATCATATACTCTCCGCTCAAGACGATTGGAAGAGGCTCGCGATGATTTCCTGGGCCTCCCCCTACGTTTGTTGGCCCTTGATAATGCTTCTCTGGTCACTGCGCAAGGGAAAGCAGGGTTTGCTTTGTTGGTACCGTTGCGCAGTCTAATGATTCACCTGGAATACCGACCGTGTTCACGATCCCGAAAAGAAAGACAGGCATCATGTAGAAGGGTATCGAGGCAAATTTCGTTCGTTCATACTTCTAGGAACCGCATAGTGCATAAATACCTCATCGGGATTACCTAAAAGCTGAATGCACCGCACTCAAGCAAGGCTTAGCATAGCCTACCGCCTACATATACGATAGGAGACAACGGAACTGAAGGCCATAAGGGTGTTATTAACGTCGATCTTGATGACCTCTCGCTAACCAAAACCACATATTGGGCTCCTTCTGCGTGGTCGAAATCGCATCGATTGGCTGTCATCATTCCAGGAGATCTACGATACGATCACTGCTCGCGTGCTACAAGCTCGCTCTATTTACGATTTTTGACCATAATCGACAAAGCAGAGCCAAGCAGGGCCGATATCAACTTCTACGTGGACGTTCACTCCCACTCAAAGATCCTGAATAAGCACGCTTCCAACATTCAGACTCGTACTGGTTGAAGTTCAAGTCCTGGACTTTCTCCGCATAATGAGCGAACGACGCAGTCTTCCCATTTGTTAAAGACATCAGACTAACAAGCACCAAGTCAGGCAGCCAGAATTTTTCAACTACGGAATCGACTCGGATAACTGGCATTTTGCCGTTGACATTCGCACCCACGCGCGTTTTCAGGCCCGCCACGCAGCCAGCCTCACGATGAATGGCATTTGTCGGAATTTGAATACGTCATAGGTAATGATGGGCACACCTCCAAGTTTCGATTAAATCTGACACTGGATCTCGCTGCCCCTCGAAGATCCACCAACCTAGTAGCTTGTTTTGAGAGCTAAGGGAAATGCGGCTTCTTGAAACATTCTTTGTCTTTTGGCTCTCCATCATTATTGCTACTGTGGTGGGCCAGTCTCCGGTGATCGTCCACGATAATGTTCACAATTTGACCTACATAGGCTACAACTATAGCGGTGTGGAGAATTTCCAGGGCATTAGATATGGCAAGGACACATCGGGCTCAAATCGATTCAAGCATCCTCGAGCCTTTACTTATCCCGCAGGGACAACAGTGGCTGCGACAGCGGCGGGACCATCGTGCCCTCAAAACACAATCCAGTCATTTATTGGCTTTACTCAAAACCCAGGCGTCTACAATATGTCCGAAGATTGTTTGAATTTAAGAATTGCCAGGTCTGCAGGTACCAAGCAGAATGCCAATCTCCCAGTCATGGTGTGGATCTATGGCGGAGGGGACGAGACAGGATCCGCGAATTACTCGCTCTATGACCCCACTGCACTCGTGCTGGGGGCTGAAGCCAAAGGGACTCCATTGATGTTCGTGGCGATGAACTACCGTCTCAATATCTTCGGTTTCGCCAATAGTCCCGCTTTGAGGGCCGAGAAATCCCTCAACTCAGGGCTATTAGACCAACGCCTTGCTCTTGAGTGGATTCAGGAAAACATTGCGGCATTCGGAGGCAACCCGAAAGAAGTCACACTTTTTGGCCAAAGTGATGGAGCGACCGGCATAGGTTTGCAAATGACTGCCTATGGCGGGAAAGGTGAAGTCCCTGGAAACTGGTGTCAGGACGTATTTTTGACCTCAACTGCTAGGCTCTGTCCCTTTTCGACGCGGAATCATGGAATCTGGTTCACCAGCCGGTGATCCGGGGGTGTCGGGTAATTTCACAATCATCAGCACATCTACTGTTGCGGGGTTGGCAGATTGCACGGGAACAAATAGCTCCATGGTCCTGGCGTGCCTCCGCCAACTGCGGATGACCACTCTGCTGGGTGCGGTCCTGACATATGAGAACATGACCAAAAATGAGACGTCCCAGGATATATTCTTCCCCACTATCGACGGCGACTTCATACCCGCACCACCTTCGAGTCTCATACGGAAGGGACAGTTTCACAAGAACATCTCCATCATTGCCGGCTGGACCTACAACGATGGCAGCATATTCACGAGCCCTACACTCAACAGCTCAGAGCAGGTGCGGGGATTCGTCCAGGCATCCTATCCACACGTCAATTCGTCTACATTGCAGACGCTGCTCTCTTTGTATCCGGTTAACGACTTCGCAGCTGCCGCTCAGGCCGTTACTATCTCCCCATACTTCCTTCAAGGCGCCGAAATATATCGCGACATTAACTTTGCATGCCCGGCAATGGACGTTGCGCACCACGTCGCTCAGTATGGCAGTCCGAGCTATCTCTACGAGTTGAACGCTACGTCATTCGATTCTCTGCTCATGCTAGCCAACGCCTCGTTTGAAGGCGTCATCCACATCTCAGACGTTCCTTTCGTTTTCAATCGAGCAAACATAGGCCTTGGGATCACAGCTGCACAACATGCTATTCAAACAGCCATGTCGGGAAGCTGGGCACGATTTGTGGACGACGGAAATCCCAACGGGAATGGAACAACCGCATTTTCAGGCTGGACTCGGGCATATAATAAGACGGAGGCGGCTGTGAAAAGTCAGACTGTACAGCACGCAAGCGTCAGGGTGATTGGAGGACTGAATGCGGGACAGCATGAACTGAAGATGAATGCTGCAAGGGGTATAGAGCCACAACTGCTGAAGAGATGTGCTTTTCTCAATTCGGAGAGCTTCTATCAGCAGCTTCAGACTTGATGTCGATGATTATTAGGAGCGCTATTCTCGGGGAGTCGGTAATGAATAATGTAATCTGGTCGTTTCAATGGAAATCAAGATGTTACAAAAGCATCCCTGAGGCTGTTCAAAACCTTATCTCCTTGAAAGTGTGGCAAAAGTTTTGGAGAAACTGAACTACTCAAGACCATCGTCTCCAGAGGAGCACGTCTTCGACTGGAAAAACCTTAGTGAGTATTCTCACCATGAGCTCTATCGGCCAGGGGGATCCCATTTGAGATGAAATCGCCCTTTGATGTTGACGAGAAGAGCACGTCGTGGGGTTGGTTGACCAACTGTTCTAAACATGTACCGAGATCCCTAAGCAAGGACTCAGCGAAGCCGGACCAAGACTCGAATGTGATGATCTCCAGAGTGAGAGACTCGCCCTGGAAAAATGCCTGGATCTTCCACTCGCGGAGGGGTTCGACATGTGGGTAGATGGACTGCATTCTGCTGTTGGCTGCCAGGAACGCCAATGTTTCGACATGCTCGACGTCCTGGTGCACGACCGAGTCGAACCAGTCCACGGTCTCGGACCAGTCGGTACAGTTCCGGACGATTTCCTTGAGCCCGATCCCCTCGAAACGGGTGCTGTCAACGTGTTGCTGCTGGACAAAGCGGAGCAGGTCCTCCCCGGTCCACTTTTCTTCAAACTTCACTCTGACTGGGACGTATTGCCAGGTTGGTCCCATTACGGTGTCGCATTTGGGGAGATCGATATTGCGGCCGCTGACAACCTCACCGAAGGTCACGTCTCTTAGAGAAAGGCGACGAGCCAAACAGAGAGCCCACGCCGCCGTCGGTAAAGTGGCCGTGGTCATATCTGTGGATCGACCTGAGATGTCAAAGGTCCGGGAAATTGCCGCATGATTCCTCGACTCTAAGGGAATTTCCGGTCGCAACACCGTCATAGAAGAGCCCTGCAGGAGTTCACGCCAGTACTCGATACTTTTGGGAATATTTTCTCGAATGACGTGATATACAAATTTCGAGAATGGTTGCGACTCGGGGACTGTATTTCCCTCGTACAACGCTGCCAATTGATGCAGCAGGCGAGGCATGCATATTTCGTCATACTGGGCATGTGATATCTTCATGATCAAACAGTTCTGTCCCTTCTCACCTTGCACGAAGCAGAACTTCACGAAGGGCGACCCCGGGGTCATCTTGGTCTGAACGTCAACAGAACAAAACTTCTTTGCGAAGCTCTCTAAGTCACCTTCGACCTCATATTCGACGACCGGTATCGTCAATTCCTCGAGCACTACCATGTAGTAGCGATCTTCATATTGGGCGAAAACCGTTCGGAGAATCTCGGTGCGGGAAACGAGATCTTGACAACTCTTCAACAGGAGGGCGCGGTCGATGTGAGCATCAAAGTAGAATGCCTCATATCGCACCGAGTACCGGGGAAGATGAGTAGTCCCTCTGACAGCGATCTCTTGAAGCGGACGTGCTGGCAAGACGTCTTGAACCTTCCATGTTGGTTGAGCCAGAGCAGGCAAGATCGACGTTGAGACAAAAGCATCAACATCGGAAACGTTGAGGGTTGAAAAAGGTACCGGCGTCTCTGACGCATCCTGTGGAGGGTCAGTGTCTTTGATGATCTCGGCTATTGAGCGCAAGGATCTATGACTGAAGACTTGCGCAACGGTTAGCTCGAGTCCTTCCATTCTTGCCTCCGACACCAGTTTCATGACGCCAATAGAGTCGCCCCCTAAACCAAAGAAGCTACTGTCAAGGCCAATCTCTTCTTCAGAAATCCGGAGGACCCTGCTCCAAAGCCGACGCAGCTGCTCTTGTCTGGCGGTGATAGGGTGCAGCTGCTTTTCTAGGCCATTGTTCTGAGCCGACTTCGCCGGCTGTGACTCCGTTTTCTTGTCCACTCGACCCAGGAAGACAATCGACCCATCACTGCTATACTTCGACAAATGTTCAGTTTTGTATAGAAATACCTGGTCTTCTGCAACATTGCTATATCCTTTGAAGAACCACCCAGGCTTATCGCTCAACGGCAAATGCAACTCTTCCCGGGACTCGAACAAGAGTTCTCCGACGGCACCCACCGGGAGAAGACGTTCTGGATCGTGGGGATCAACGATCCACGTTGCCTCCACGCCCTCATAGCAATTAATAGCGTTCTCTCTACACCATTGAGGCATGCTGCGAATCCCAAGACGGCTGAAATACAGGAGTTCTGCTAGACTTGGCTCTCTCAGAAGCTCGAGGTCTGAGATTGATCCGGCCGTATTCTGGCAAAGCTCTTGTGTGGTGCGTCCAAACTCTGCCAGTACAGTCTGCATGTGTGCCGTGTCAACAATTTTTGAGTCAAAGCTCGCCATCGTCAAGAAACCATTCGAATCCAATGAGCATACCAACATCAGTGCATAAGAGTTGAATTTCAATGCCTCCTGCGCTGCCTCTATGTCGTCAACCGGCACAAAACCATCAGCAGGAGTATCTTTGACCAAGCCAAGATCTTTTTGCTCTGGGTCCGTGTTCGGGTGTAGTACGATACCAGTTCTTAGTTCGCAGGCTTCACGGGCAGCAGGACTCAGACGCCGAATATGCTGAAGACCCATGTGCTCGTGAGGGATTCGAACAATGGCTTGTCTATGGACGCTTTGGAGGTAGTCAGAGATACTGACATCCCAGTTCACACGAACACGTGTTGGCACCGTCGTGATAAGTGGTCCTTCGATTGTTTCAATACCCGGAATGGGGGCGTTGCGTCCGGTAAGTGTCTCTCCGAACACGACGTCGTCGGAACAAGTGTATCGTGCCGCGACCAGCGCCCAAGCCGCTCGTATGGCAGTTGCTACCGTGGTATTCGAGTTGACCGCTCTGGAAAACTGATCATAGTGCTCCAGCACGCAGTCGGCCTGTGGTTGGTATCCAGGGTAGGGTAAGACAGGGAATTGAGGCCCCGTTGCATCTGTCAATTGTTCTCTCCAGAAAGTTTCCGAGCTGGAGCGGTCTGTGTCATGGAGGTACTTGATGAAGCATTTGAAAGGAGTCGGTGACGCAGTCTTCAGGCCCTGATATGCCTTGTTGACCCGGCTGATGATCAAGGGCATCGACCATCCGTCGTACAGTGCGTGATGTATCGTCAAGACGATGCAGACTTTTCCTTCCTTCTCATCGGTAACTATGGCGAGCCGCGCAAGTGCATCCCCTAGGCCCATGGAATGGCCCCGATCCTGCCGCAGATACTCTTCCAGGCAATTACTCGAAGACCACAGAAGTTTGCCGCTCACGACAACCTGCCTCAAACCACGACCGGGGACTTGGACGATCCGAGTGCGCAAAATCGGGCAGGTTGGTGCCACCGCCTCAAAAGCTGCTTTGAGCAAATGAGCGGTGTGAAGATCGGGTAGGTCGACCACTCTTTGGGCAATGTAAGCGTGGCTAATCTTTGCAGAAAGTGCCATGAGACCTTCTTGTAGTGGAGTGCAGGGGTAGACATCTTCCACTGTTGATGGCAGCAGCTTGCAGAGGTTCGCTACCTCAGTCAGAGCCCGTTCCTGCTCCCAGGCCGAATCAAGCAGGGAAAATGGACGTATATCTGTTTCGAGGTCGGCACTGACACGCCTAGCGCTCGACGACAAGCAGGAGAGCGTGGGGTTGGCAAAGATTTGGGAGACGGTCAGAGAGAGTCCTTCCGCTCTGGCGGCAGCAACCAGCTTCATTGCCTTCAAAGAGTCGCCTCCAAGCGCAAAGAAGTTGTCATTAGCCCCTATTTCGAGGTCCGCGCCCAGAATTTGTCGCCAGATTCTTTGCAAAGCCCTCTCAGTGTCCGTTTTTGGCTCATGATTCTCTGTCACTTCTGCTCTGAACTTTGCCAGCTGCTGGGGTGACATTGCGAGCCCAATCTGATGGAGTCTTTTTCGGTCAACCTTGCAGGAAACTAGCAGCGGCAGCACCGATAGCGGAATATAAGCCGTGGGTACCATGTAGCTTGGGAGCTCTGCAGTAAGGTATTTGTCGATATCACAGAGAGATTGGCGAAGCTCTCTTGAAAAGGAGATGGTTTCACCGGTCTCGCTATCTACCGGAGGTTGTTTGTCTTTGGGCTCGGTTATGAAGGCCACTAGACTCGGCTCGCGATCTTTCCCCCCTGGAGTGATCACCTCCGTTGCGACGCTGGCGCCCTCCGGCAATTTTTGAAGAATGTGGTGTTCAATCTCTGCCAGCTCCACCCGCTGGCCTCGGAGTTTCACCTGCCGGTCTTTTCGTCCGACAAAGATTATGCATCCAGACCCATCGGGGTCGTATTTGACCAAGTCTCCTGTCTTATATAGACGGCCATGCCTTCCCGGGATATTCCTCGACCCGGCAAGTAGCCACGTCGGATTTTCAATAAAGACCTGTGATGTCTTCTCCGGTTCATTAAGGTAGCCAATACCTACAATCGAGCCTTCAATTAATAATTCCCCTATCCCGCCCACCGGGGATAGAATATTAGGATCGTCGGGGTCAACGATCCAGGTAACGCCTCCGACTCCTTTCCCAATACTTGTATATGACCTTCCTAAAGTAATGTTGTTGTTTATGGTACAACCAACAGTACATTCTGAGGGTCCATAAGCAATGATAAGCTTTGTTGTTTTGCTCCAAATAGCCGCGTCGCCAGCGGAAAGCGGCTCTCCGCCAAGCCCAAGAACCTCGAGAGAATTCAGAGCGTCTAGTGACAACAGCCTGGCCACTGATGGCGTCATGTGAGCCATATTGACCTTCATGGATATAATAGCACCGCTAAGGTCATTGACACGCTGATCGTCTGACGGGATGCAGATGCATCCACCTTGGGACAAGGTACAGAGCATACAGTCGATGCTGACATCAAAGGCGTATGACGGAAAGTCGAGGACTCTTGAGTGCGGTTTGTAGCCCACAGCTTCAGCCCTAGGTAGTGCTCCGGTGACAAAGTTTTCATGTGAGATTAGCACTCCTTTCGGCTTCCCCATGCTGCCAGAGGTGAAGATGACATACATAATAGCTGACGATGGAATCGGAGTCCAAAATGCGGAACGCGATTCTGTGGCTGACTTGAAGAGCTCTGGACCTACAACCACGACATTGGCTTTAGGTGCGATTTGAGTTCCCAACCCAACCTGTTTCTGAGATGTGAGGACAACTCGGGCATTTACTTCGCTGGCTATGGTGGCCAATCGTGCTTCTGGTTGTTGTGGATCTGTCAACACAAATGTTCCGCCTGCTCGCATGACCGCAAGCAAACCAACAGCCGTCCACATCGATTTTTCGAAACATAGGGGCACCATAGTGCCCAATCCAACCCCAAGGTCGGACAATTGTCGGGCCAGAATCCCCGAGAGTCGGTCCAGCTCTCCATAGGTGAGTTTGCCATCCCAGGATACCACGGCGGGCTTCTCTGGGTGTTCGACCATTTTTTCGGCGACGATGTCGTGCATGCAGCGGTCTATCGCGGGAGGCACCGTTTCATTCCATTTCCATAATTCTGCTAGCTCGTGGTCACCCAATTTGAGAACTTGTGCGACCGTCTGATCCTGGTCGGATAACACAGACTGTAAAATATCCACCAGTCCGAGTATTTGGAATTTTACCAGTTGGCAAGATGGGACTGCCGCTGGCCGGTATTGCCGCAAGTATAGACGCTCATCTGTAAGCCGAGATTCTAGCTGGACGATTGTAGCTTCCTGGACGTCCATATCTGTCAGACCGAATTCAAAGAGCATGATCAGAGCTACCTACATCAATACTCTGCGCGGATGAGGAATTTGCCGCCCTCAGGAATAAAATTCCATTATCCAAACAAGAAAAGTCATGCAAACGGCAACGCATGGTCTTGGTCTCTTCAAGAACCTTTGAGATTTGCGTTGTTTTCCCGGATATAATCTCTGTCAATTTAATCCATCCAAGAGGTGGCCACAAGGTAATTTCGTCTCTTTGACTAGAGAAGCCCCAAGAGAAAGAGTCCACGTTATTACTAATGCTTCCTCGGTAGACAAGGAGCACCCATGCAAGTAAAATGAATCCTGCTTGTTCTTCTCTGGATATGGGATTCAAAAGTGGCAGTTTGAAGGAAGGTGAGTCCGTCCAGTCATCCAGAGTCTCACCCCCACGTTCCTGGGTGTTCTCACCGTCGGCTGGATTTTTCAAGAGTCTGTCGTGGCTCGCCATATTGTCCAGTCATCGATTGAGCAATATACATACGGGTAAGGACAGTGTGTCTACAGGAGATTTTCCTTCAGAAGGGGACGTACTAGCCTTTAATACCTTCGCCTCCATCAGTACTGGCTCTTTCGAAAGACGGCATCTTCCTTGGCTGTGATCCGATCTCCGAGTTCGAACAGCGTGCTGAACTGAGAGGCTTAGGTAACACGATACTAGGATGGTTTACTTTTAACTCCCTGGCGAGCTGTATCGATGGCGCTGGACTCGTGGGACTCGATACGGCACAATTCGCGTGTTTCGTAATGAAGACAAAAAATACGGCCAGCCGCTCCGTTCTTCGTATGTATCGACTAGATTCGTAAACAAGCTTGGTTCAATGCTCCACACCATGAGGGAGTACTTGGTATCGAATACAAACTCTTGTAAATACGAATGCACCAACCCACCACGGGTCATTTTCAACAACAGCTTAGGTTCAAGAGCATCAAGAGTGTGCTTTTGGAAGCGACCCGCATGGTTCGAGCTCTTTTTCAATGTCTTGTGTGCGTTTCTCCGATCTTCGCACCGACCAGAAAGGCGATGCGTGTGTGCTGACTGTCGTCAACGACTTGGCCATTGCCGTCGAGATTGATACGATCGGTTTGACTGCCAGCATCCACGACTTTGCTCCATAGGGAAGGCAAAGTGGCTCCACAAGCACATGGCAGGGGCACAGGACTACACATTGACGTAAATTTTCCTGCCTGAATTTTGTAAGAGCTTTTCGTAGGCTTTCATCAAATTTTGTGAGCTGCAAATAGTCCGCGTGGCGAACGATGCGTCCATATCCTGAGATTCCAGTCGCCATGAAACATGGCGTCGGAAGTACATTCAATGTCCGCTTTGAGGCTGACATGGAATTCTCGGTGAGTCTGGGCTAGTACGGTGAAGATGCAAAGGCAGTTATTTGTGTGAGGAGGCCAGTTTACCAGCAAGACCACTTATCCTGTATCTCATGTGAATTGAACAACCAGTACCCCAAATGGGAACTTGTTACTTGATAGTGGGTGGACAATGAACAATTTATGTAAGCACTGGGATGGAGGGCAACGTGTCATGATCTATAATGTGTTGCCTGAAATCAGTACTATTTGCCTTATGCTGACTTTCCTGACAAGCACCGCTCAAAGTCGTGATGATACCTGCCGCTTGGAACTCGACGCCTTAGAATTGACAGTTTTCCGGCCACCGCCGTCTGCGATCTTAATGTTGCCTCCTTGCAGACCAAATCCTACGGCTTGGAAAAACCGGATGCGCTCGCACTTCACGATGGCTGATCGTTTATGAGGCAGATCGGCCAACTTGTGAATGTAAAATCCATTTTCGGCATCATACCGGAGGACGTTGGAATTCGTGTATTTTGGCTCCCCAACCACAGTCATGGTTCGAGGATCATCAAGGAAGAGATAGTGGATCAAACTTGACCACCAGGCTGAGGCACGGTGTGGCCCACGGTACCTGACATCGCCCACGAGTGAGTGTCTACCGCGATCCCAGTCCCCGGGCGCTGGGGACAAGTAAACACCCATGTGATCCTCCTAGAGAATTTATTAGGTTTTCGGCCAATCCAAGATGGTACCAAAGTCACTCACCTTTGCCCAGTAGATCTCAAAGTATGCGAAGTAAGTATCGTTGAACTTAGCCAGTATCGCCATTTGATGGGGGTCCTCATCCATCTTTCGTAGGTACTCGCGGTGCTGCTCCAAAGTACCGGTTTCATTCCAACCTTGAGAAACACGGGGATCGTTTTGCCACTCATGAAATAGTTTGAGGTGCTTTTCATCCCGCCAATCGAGATGGATCATGGAGAAGAACTCGTCGAGGTGCGATACGTAGCGACTGTAGATCACGGCACCACGCGTTGGTTTTGGCGGGCGGATTGGATGCTGCGCGTGGATCGGCCGACCTTCCACACTGAAGGTCACTGTATGCTCGCAAGGGAATGCTGGGTAAGACGTTATTGGCTGTGGAAGGTGCCTGTAGAGTCCTGGATGTGCGACCCAAACTGGTCGGGAACCAAACGGCGACGCTGCTCCTTGCCAGAAAGCCGAGCGGGATATAGAGACCTGAGAGCCCATTGTAGAAGGCATTGATGAGTGTTCTGGGCGTGATGGCCTGGGCCGTGGTGTTGCAATCCCTGTGGCTTGAAGTGCTTCTGACAGGTCCTCGTGATGATTTCCTGTAAATTCTAGACGAAAACGTTCCTGGTCTGGGTACAACGTGACGATGGCATAAATCAAATTCCATATTTGACCAACAGTGGGAACTCCAGCTTCATCCCAGGAAACGTGGGAGATTAAACTCTGATGGTATCTGGCCCAAGGCGAATTGTCTCCTGTAACCGGCGCAAAGGAATCAAGTCCAGACACGAGGTCGCTGAAAGTCAAGGATTCGTGATGAAGAGGATCTGGCGGTAATATAGATCCAGGAAGTTGATTCTGAGCAAGTCTGAGGCTGAGTGGAGGATGATTTTCCGTCTCTGATATCACATGAATCTCGTACGTCGTTTTCCATGGCTCAGGGAGCCTCACCGGGGGCAGATGCTGAGACGATAATGATGCGGACATCTTGGAGGATAAAACCCTGTCAAAGTAATGCTATACTACGCCTGGGGCCCATCAGGATGCCGCTAAGTGAAGGGCATACTTGTCTCGAAAGCTTTTCCAAAGCAAATATGCCGCCTTTGCACATTATATGAATCGCTTCCTGACCGAGGTCCTGTCAGCGGAGGATGCACAAAGAAGTATAGGCACTCGTCTTGTCATTCGCACTCGCTTCAAATCCACCGATTATCCAGTAACATCCGTCTTGTCTCTTACCAAGCAGTTGTAGGGAGGGTGCTATGGTTTGACCCTCCAGGAGGTTTCCGGGTGGTTCAAAATCTTATCGAACGAGGGGTTCCTTATCGAGGAATAGTGAGAGTATCGTTGCAACGTAACGTACGGTGCCAACAGCTCTGGAACACCAGTACGTATTACCGCAAACATAGCTGTCGAGCAAGGTCACTTTCACAGTATCTGACCGAGGCGTCGGTTCGGAAGCTTCGCATTTTACAAAGTGACTAACGTCGATGGTGTAATGTTAAGAAATATTCTTGGTTAGTGCCACGAGCTTCCTTTGGTGAAAATGTCCTTGTGTTGAAGGAAAGTGAGCCATTTCCTTCTCCCAAGTTGACCCCAGTCTATTCTGCACTAACGAAATGGTCGTGGAGTGTTACAAGGTAAAGAGAGGAGGTTCGTGATTTTACAATCAGATTAGATTAGATTACGCGATAGATTTTCTAATTCTTTGTGGAAAGCCTCCCTTAGCTTTGCTTGGTGGCGGTGGAGTTGGCTAGTTTAGAATTCAGCCCCCTTGGCGAGGCTCTTGGGTGACTTGAAGGCGAGAAATGTTCTGATCCTCCGCCGAGCATTCGTTCGAGCAGCAAATATGAGAGCGACCTGTCTGAGAATATCCCGTCGTGGTTGAGCAAGGCTGCGGATATAAAAAGCCAGTGAAGGAGATCAGTGGATATGTACGGCATCTTCCCTTTCCGTGCGGATGCTTTCATGGATGCGTGGCAAGTCCCTATGGTTTTGATCCGAAATACATCAAGGATCGGAATCGCTTGCATGTTCTGCCACGGCTGGATATTGAGCGAACTTGTGAACCCTGGCATTTGCGAGTGCTGAGCGAGCTCCGTGGATCACGGCACCAAAAGAAGAAAAGCAAAGTTCTTATCTCAGATCTCCGGACCTGGAATCCTAGTAATTGAGTCAGTTCAAGAAACCTTGGCTAGAAAAGTCTTTCTTGGTCACACCATCTCAGCCATACCATTGGACTTGTTGTCGAAGGCGGCCCCTCGTCGTGTCAATGAATTTCCTTGAGCTTGAACCATTTTACTTATCGTACTCCGCTCATGGTGGGAAGGAACTCCCACCCATACATTTCGTAGACGTACGTCTGAGAAAGAAGTCATTGTCATCTTTGGAGCTTAATTTTCCAGGTCCCATATCGTAATCCGTACTCAAAGCTTTGGTGTATGTTTCGTTCTATTATCTACTAGCATTCCTTTTCACTATAAACAATATTCATTCCGGTGTAGGTCCTCTGGGCCTCAAGTGAACCATTTCGCAAGCCTTCCAACAGATTTTCTAGATAACTGGATTGCGGCTATTTGTCCTGACCATTGCTGACTGTCGGTTCTGGTTTCGAGTAAACAGTAGAAAACTTGGGAATAGATGCGACCTGCTTTACTGCAACGACTGAGATGCTCGGCGCCAGCTGGGAAGCGACCTGAGAAGCGAGTGCCACAAACGGTCTGAGCGCTCTATGATGTACCATGGTTGGGCTGGCACTGAAACTGGTCACGGGGTCAGTAGATGGGTCGGTTGGTGTCTCTTTCAGATGTCGAGCTTCAAGCCCAAAGTGCTCGAGCTGATCGACAGGATAGGGATCTGGTTGTCCATCACCAGCTTCTTTCTCTGCGATCAGTCTGGCCTGCTCCTCCGGAGACATTGCCTCGAAGACAGCTTTACTGAAGTCCCAGAGCTTGACACACTCTGGCTCCCAATTGCACGCTTCCACTTCACCATAAACAGGATGCTTGTACCGCGGGTGTGTATTTGGCCATCCAGACGCATGATAATGATGCTTGACGAGTGCATTTCTGGAGTTGTGGGTTCCTGAGTCCGAATGGCCTTGTCCAGCCGCAAACGCTTCAACGGTAAGAACCAGTATCCCGCCAACAATCCGGGACTCGTCCATATTGTGAAAGTAGTCCCAACTTATATCTTTTTTCTCCCGTATCGACATCTCAGTCAGGATCGCCTGAGTAAAAGCTGAAGGTCCAGTGCCACTAATCACATCGTCAAAATTTAGATTGATATCTGAGATAGGCACATTTTGCTTGTCTGCAATCTCGTGGAGCCAGTCAATGATATTGTCTATGAGACGGAGCATCACAGGGAGCTTCGGTTTGCACAAGAATGTCCATTGACAAAATGACTGTGATTTCGGACCAAGGATTGGATGTCTCGCAAAATCGGGCTGGTCAATTTCGACTCCGATAATCATATCGATATCTTGTTCCTGGAATCGGTCCGTAACGGGGATAAATCTCTCGATCGGCTTTAGCGCTTCCACGTCGATATCGACGTAGACTCCTCCTTCTACGTACATGACCAGGTAGCGTAACAGATCCGCCTTGATGATCTTCGCAGTGAGAGATTGATAGACATTGACAATATCCGGTCGGTCGAGTCCGTCTGGACCGAAATGTGTTTCCACGTATTGAAGGTCGTTGCTATCGGTCAAGACCTCGTAGCGGTAACCTGGATTCTTGAGGGCCCATGACCTGGCACATATCTGGTGTTTCTCCTCGAAACCCAATGGGCCCACTTTCCATGACTGCCAGATCTTCCTGGGAAAGGCTCCAAGTGCCAGAGTCGGTTGGGAGGAGTAAGAGGTCCTTTTCACCAATTCGGCAGATTCTGAGGGTGTTTGAGGGGGACTAATTTGAGAGATGAACAAAATAAAGAGTCCACAGCAAAAGACATATATCGGAAGAGCTCTCTGAGCGTGTTTGGCCACGCGGCGCCTGAGGCGTAAGAATACACCACCTTTCATCTTCGCATGTGGTATCATTGCAACACGTATGAAGTGAGTGGGCACAACTCGAGTGACGAGGAAGGGATATGACGGTGGTAGATTCACCTTGGTCGTCGAGATGGAAGTTTGAAAGTATGATTGGAAGAGTTTTCAGAGTCCAGCACGCGACTTCCCTGCCTTTCTTTGTCAGATAAGGCCATGGCGGAGGGCAGTGTCAATGGTGCAGAGCACCGAAGTCATCATGAATGCCGAAGCCGGCAAAAAGCTCGAGTTAGCTAACTACTTCCATCTCCGAGAGAGTTTTCAATTGGGCACGTTTTACAACTGTCATGTGGATTCGACGTGAGAGCAGAAAAGTCTTCAGGAGAGCTTAGCATACTAATGTCTGGCCACGGACCGGGATACTATGGACGTGAAGATACTGATGGTATTACCTTGTGGTTCCCCGCCCAGGCGAGGAATGCATAGAATCGCAGATAAGAGATGACGCCACAGAAAGCATATGGCAATTTTCTTTGTTCTAAGTACACCTTAGGAATAAGAAAACTTAGTACATCGATATGGGAAGTTAGAGCGGTGGGTCCTAAAATACCGAACAGGGTCAGAAGGAGGAGGTGGGATGTGGTAGTGGTCGCGTGAAAGCATTAGCTCGGTCATGTCCCTCCCATTCGTGTGACGTTGGGAGGTTCTAGTTATTCCGTTGTCGTAGAAAAGGCTCTTCGAATATTGCGCCCACGAAATAAGCTAAGTAAACATGTGGCCTGGATTATTTGGGGTGGGGGGTTCTGATTAGATGTCACAGCTCTACAAAGACAGGTCGTCACCTTAATTTGGCCCATAGATATGAGAAGAACCTGAAAAGTCAAAGGTATTGCTTCTTTTTGCCAGCAAAAATGGCATCCGTGCATAACTTGGTCCACCTACCAAACAGAAAGCAAGCAGAAGAGCCGATACGTGACCGTCACAATCAAAGTAGGGTCATTTGAAAACCTATCTCAAATACACCATGTACAATATTCTATGGTTCATTGACCGGCTTCGCGATCGAGATCAAGGTTGATGTTTTACGTCCTGGCAAAGCCGAGTTGACTTTGCAGAGGACCTAAGCGAGCTCGCTATGGCGGCATAAGCAACCACATGAGGTCGTTCCAATTGTAGACTGAAGACCGTCGAGATCCATCGTCATGATTGCGGAGCTGTGGTCTTTGGGAATAGAGTGAAATCCCAAGCCTCTTGACACAATCGTTGAGTGCACTCAGTGAGAGTTACAGAGTAACTATGCCTTTTTGAGCTTTTCACATGGCCATGCGGGAACATTTGGCAATAGCTTCAAGCGAGACAGGACATAGATTGACACCACGACGTCCTTCTCCTCACATGCAGCTTTCTACCGGTGAAAACCGACATATCCATGAGAGCAATCCTTGTCCTTGTGGATGGTAGTGGAAGACTCCGATTCGGATCGTAGCCTCGCAGAACAACGACTTTGATTGTGCCTTTTCTCCGCCTAAGACTTGGCGACCTGTCGACCTATCGACCCAAAATGCCACTAAGGCAGCTACACATATTCGCTCGTTCCCGCAGCCGGCCATTTCTAGGGAAACGAGCCCGGAAAAGCTAAAATCTCGTCGACGATGGCATGTAATCGCGATTGTGCTCGTCCTTCGCCTCAAAGTCGTGGAGCCAGGTCAGTCCGACGGCGTGAGGAAGGTTGTGGATCTGGAAATTTTCAGTAGTAAAACCCATGAAAACACCGAACTGTAAATTACCATGTACGGTGACCAAACGCTGTATGTACGTATGTATCGTAACGACGATTGGATACCTGACCGGGCCACGCGCAAGTAGCATTTCTTGTCTCCACTACTCCCATACAGCGAAGCAGGTTGCGCTATTTTGCTTTCTGTCGAGCACTCTCGAAGTCCCTTCGGGGCTACACAAGCGATGTACATGTCTTCTCTGACATTGGAACGTCCAGCTCGAAATGAACGCAGAGATCCGAAGCTCCATGTCCGATATTCGGCGGGGGCAAAGGCCATGTCGAGCCGCAGAAAATTATCTTGCATGCCAAAGGGAGCCTATAACCAATCGCATGCCAGTCTACCCACAACTTCCTCTCTTTCTGTTCCCAGGTTCTTCACCATCGAAACTTCCAGAGATGAAATCCCTCGCGGTCGGTCTCATTGCTCTGGCTTTGGCCATTCCTGCTCTCACTCAAGATATCACGAGCCTGCCGCAATGCGCTGTAAGTTTTTCTCAGTATTTCCTCCCATCTCCGACACTTTTCTTCCTGTTGTCTGCTCCAAACGAAAGAATCAAATGCTTACTCTCTCGTCGCACGGTTGCAGCAACAACCAATTCTAGAAGCTATCAGCGCGTCTGGTTGCCCTCTTACCGATATCGCGTGCATCTGTGACAATGACAACTTCATCAATGGTTTGGTGCAGTTGATTCCAACACTTTGCAACCCTGACGAAGTAGCCGGTATGTGGATAAACCCCCGTTTCCTGATTAGCGTCGAACTACCTATCAACTTCTGTTGGCCTGGTAAGATGAGTGTATTGACCATGTCGAACAGTGACCAGCGAGTTCGCGGTCACGCTCTGCAGCGCCTACGGGGTGCAGCTGGATCTGCCTACATCGGCCACGGAGGGGCTCGCCTCGTCGACTGCTGTCTCAACTTCCCCAGCCCCATCGGCCACAACAACCACCACCACCAGCGCCACAGCTGCTACGAGTACAGAGTTTACAAGCTCTGAACCGATTACGACTGTAGAACCGACCATGACCAGCGAAACAGCCCCTCCTAGCATGGAAAGCACCGAGACGACTTCTTTCACTGAGACCACTGCTTCAACAGAGGTCCCAAGCTCTACCGACGCCACCGAGACCACCGAGGCGAGTGCAAGCGAATCCGGTGCTCCCGCTCAGCAGACAGACAACTCAGCCATGGCTAACACAGTCGGCGTGTCGAATTTGTTTGGCGTAGTAGCTGTTTGCATGTTTGCCGCAATGTAATGAATTCCACCTTCGAACGAGGCCCCAGATGGATCTATGAACGTATGGTAGCGGTGAGAGTGAGCACTGGACGAGTTAGGGGAAGGAGAAAACAATGAGTGTTCTAGTCAAACAGACCTTTCATAATAGAACTGGAATCTGGTAAATAAGAATCGTTTGTTTGTCAATTACGTACAATGAGGACTGTTGGCGTTACCAGTATGGTCCTGATGTACGACGATTCATTTTTACGTGTGTTAGGAAGATCATCTCCTTTGCCTCCTTAGGAGCCGAGTTTAAAGCCCAAGAGTCTTTGTTTCAATCTGTGTCATAAACGTGCTCCCCCCAAATCTGCGTTTATCACGCATCATTTTGTGTTTATAAGCATGACTTTTCTTCAACAGCCTAGTTCTTCAGAGAGTTCGCATAAGCTACTCGTGATCTATGCTACTTCGGAGCTTCCATATTTTCACCTTCTCTTTAATTGTTCTAGCCTGACTTATGTTTCTTCTCTTTTTCTTTTGGGGGGTAATTGTCTATCGGAGCATCTGCTGCTGCGCGTTGATCCTATAGCTCTCACACCTTTGCACCAATTCAGCATGGCTTCCCGAGTCGACTATTCTACCACCCTCGACGACGAAGATAACATCAGCCTTCGTCACCGTATGCAAGCGATGTGTGATGGCAATGACCGTGATACCTGACCCGCGAATTGATCGGTCCAGGCTGTCCTGGAGAGCGTGCTCTGTCTCGGCGTCCAGGGCGCTGGTGCTCTCGTCGAGAAGTAAAATTCTGGGCTTGCGGATAAGAGCCCGCGCAATTGTCAACCGTTGCCTTTGACCGCCGGACAGTTGGGAGCCACTGGGGCCACACTCTGTGTCGTATTGCTGCGGCAGCGCCATTATTGTATCATGAATCTTTGCCAGTTCGCATGCTTCTTTGATTTCGACCCCGGTTGCCTCATGGCCTCTCTTGGCTCCCAACCCGACATTGAATTTGATGGTTCCACTAAAGAGAGCATGATCTTGGGGGACAACCGCGATATCATCACGGAAATCTCTGTGCGAAACGTTTACGCCATCGATTTCCACGCTACCGGAGGAAGACTCATACATGTGCTGGATCAAGCTGATGATAGTGGATTTTCCAGCGCCCGAGGGACCAACGAGACCACAAAACTGACCTGGTTGGACTGAAAAGGAAACATCCTCCAGGACCAGTGTACTTGGGCTTGAAGGATACGAGAAGGAAACGGATCGGAAGGCCACGCCGGCCCCACGAAGAGGTCCCAAAGAGGTCATGACATCTACTGCAGCCACCTTTTCGACATCGCTGGCATGAATGGTGCTGGTTGACTGTTCTGGAACTGTGAATGATGGCAGCTCATCTTGGCGAGAACTAGCTCCAATCAGGCTGAGAATTCGCGACGCGGATGCACGAGCGCGGGATATTTCAGGCGCAAGGGTGAACATTTGGCCCCAAAGTTGCGCACTCACCAGCATGGCCACCAGAATGATGAAGAATTGTTGCTGCGAGTTTTCTCCCTTGATGATCAGATGAGAACCCCACCAATAAGCAAAAGCATAAACAAAAAACCCTGTGCAATTTGCGATTGCCAGCCAGAAGTTGGTATAAATACTGGCAGCAAGGATCTCTTTTCGTGGGTTGCTTAGAGCTCGACGGTACGTCCCCATGACTTCACGCTCGAGGGAGAACGTTGCCACAGTTTTGAAGGATGTAACGGCCTCCGTGCATATCCCGACAGCTTCTGTGAAAGCCTGAGAGTTGCGCTCCTCGAAACGTGAAATGCTGTACAGCTGCATAAATCCGGAACCCAAGAGGATCGGCACCATTGTGAGACACGCAATCGCAATCTTCCACGCAACAATGTGAGAGAGGATTATGGCAACAAGGAAGTTGACGAGGATTGAAAGAATTGTCCCAATCGTTGAGCCGCTAAATCCTCCAATGGCGGCACTGTCTTTTGTGATGACGGATAAGAGGGACGACGGGGGCCGAGAAACAGACTGATGCCATTCTATATTTTGCTCCAACAAGGAACGGAAAGTTAGAACTCTCATTGTGTATAGTAGTCTCTCCGCAACGATGCCGAAAGAAGACCAGCTAATCCAGTTGGCCAAAAACTCCACAGCCGCAAGCATAAACAACATGCCACCGAAGAATCGACCGAGAAATAAGATGCGGTCTATATTGACACTGCACGGGCTGAGAGCATCGACGGTGTGTCCAAAAATGAGACCTGATGCTGAGAATGTACAGCCAACTATGATGGCAGCGACCACAGCCATGGCCAACCAAATGAGATTGGGCCTTGTATACCGACCCATCCCTTTTATTACTATTCCGGGTGAAAGACTGGAGTCCAGATCAATGTCTCTTAACTTGGAGGCGTCATGTTCGTCTTCGGCAGTTTCTCTGTCTGGAGGCAATGTATCATGAAGGGAATGGATCGAACCGCTGTCAATACCATGACTCGTGTCTGCCATCTCGGACGAAAGGGCTAAGGAGGAGTTTCTGGAGCCTGAGTTTGATTGTGCATTGCTTGGAGGCCCGGGATGCGAGGCGTCGAGTGCCTGCAACTTGACCATGTCCGCGAACACGCCCACCCGAGCCATCAACTCATCGTAAGTACCTTGGTCAATAACCTCGCCACCTTTCATGACAATTATGTTGTCGGCAGTCTTAATGGTGGAGAGCCGATGTGTAATAGAGATCACGGTTCTGCTCCCGACAATTTGGTTGATTGCTGCTTGAATTCGCTGCTCGCTAGATGAATCCAATGACGCCGTGGCTTCGTCTAAAATCAATACTTTGGGATTCCGAATAAGCGCTCGTGCGAGTGCAATTCTTTGTCTTTGGCCGCCACTGATTGACTGGCCTCCAGAGCCAACTAACGTATTATAGCCACGGTCGAGGCGTTGGATGAATGTGTCGGCATCTGCGAGATTCGCTGCTTGTTGCACTAGATGAAGAATCTCGGAGGTGAGAAGACTGTGTGATAGAGTGCTATTCGTAGGATCTGTTTCCTCTTTTGCCATTTCCGCGAGCCTCGGTCCTAGAAGCTCGTTTTTGAATTTGCGATGTGACGGTGCCGAAGAACCGGCAAGTCCAAGAGCTATGTTTTGCAGAATTTCGCCATTAAGAAGAACGGGTTCTTGTTGTACTAGGCCGCAGAAGCCCCTTAAGCTTCTGATATTGATATCAGACAGTGAATGATCGTCAAAAGTGATGTCCCCTTCCATGGGGTCGTACAGACGAGTTATCAAGGCTGCAATTGTGGACTTACCGCTCCCGGAAGGCCCCACGATCGCTGTATGCTTTCCGCCTCGGAAGGTGATGTTAATGTTTCGGAGGACTGACTCTTCAGGGCGAGATGGATAAGCAAACGAGACATTATGAAACTTGATGGTGCCTGGGGAATCCGGGGAAACGACGTGGCCGACGTCCGAAGTACCCTCGATTTGGGATTTATGATCAATATCTTTCTTCAATTTCTCGAATGCGGTTGCGGCGGTGCCAAAAATGGGCAGCAAAGGGGCGGTTGAACCCAATACGACGCAGGCTAAGAGATGCATCAGTCAGCATCATTGATGGCGGCCAATTTCTTCTTTGAACAATCCTCTCTTACCGTCAACAAGAATGAAGACGACGGTGTATATCTCGCCAAGTGTCGACCCGTCACCCCGCCCCGCGAGCATTTCCGTAATCATGTGGCTGCCCTGCCAAAAGGCAAGAGCATTAGCAGAGTAAGCGATAAAATAAAGCATACCCGCTTGAATGCCCGCCACGATCCCCTTCTTGATGCCTTCTCTGCGACTCTGAGCCATATGCTGAGCGAACTTCTTCTCCAATCGTGGCCCTGCATCAAAAGCCTTGACAACGGTAAAATTGGACAACATCTCAGAGGCGATGCAGGAAGCAGAAATAACAGCATCAGACATTCGACTCGAAAACTTCTGGAAGAACCCACCGCCGACTATGGCGACGAGGAGAAATGCAGGCACAAGAGATATGAGCATGCCCGCAAGTCTTGCTTCTTTGATAAAGGCGACGACGTAAGCGGCAACAAAGAAGGAGAGGCCCGCAATGAATATACCGACTTTCTCACAGATTCCTGACTGGACGGCTTGAATATCTCCATTTAATCGAGACGATACTTCTCCGGCCTGGTGCCGATCAATGAACGCTTGATCCTGTCGTAGAAGGTTTTGAAAGTAATCTTCTCGCAGGCGATAGGCGACCCGTTGGCTCAGAAGACTCCAACACACGACATAGATAAAGATCAGCGCGAATGCTGCGGTGGCGATGTATACTAGCTGCAGCACTTTGTCGTTGATGGTTGCTTCATAGGACTGAGCAGTTCCCGTCTCGCCCACTTCGCATGACACTTCGTTGATGTCGTTTACCAGCTCGCCGAACAGGATGGCCATGAGTGGAAATGGGACACCGGAAGCTGCGGCACATATACCGCCAATGAGCATGAGTCCAACATCCTGCCATGTCGAACCCGCGTATAAAAGAAGCCGGAGATATCCAAAGAGTCCCTGTTCAGCATTGTAAGTTCTGATAGTGTTCAACAAAAGACTATTATTAAGATGCACTGACCGGTGTTTTGTTCAGCGCCATTTGGTCCGTAGCAACAGCGCCGGGAGACTCTCCTCCCTCAGAACGGTCGGCTACCATGATTCTGTCTCATTGTTCCCTTGGGAAGGAACGTAAACTTGTGCAGTTATTCCTTGAAGGCGTTTGATGTGGCCTTTGGTGGAAAAGAACATCAAACTCCATAAACGTGTCAAACCATCTCAGAATTACCACGGTGGGCTGTCAAAATCCCAACTTTCCACGCTCGGCAACGGAACTTGGACATTGATGCACGCAATGGCAACGTTCTAGCGCCGCCTCTTACGTGTAGCTTGTTCGTGGAAATATCCTTGCGTTCCCCGATCCCGGACTTGGCCCAGGGAAAAGGAATGCACAAAGCCTCTTAGCATGATTGAGTTCTCAGTCAGTACCAGAGATCACCCTACTCGGGTTAGGTTGTATGATGGGTATGCTCTTAGTATTGGCCGTCATTTGATTAACCTGACAGTATTGTATTTGGCACTTGTAATAAATGCCGAGCCTTTTTCGAGGGGCGAGAGCCTTGTCCGTCTCCAAGCCGGGTGGCATGCATACCCACAAATTCAGTTTAAGCGAGCACTCAACAACCCACTCTACCATCCATACTGTCAGCAAAAGTGAACAAAACCCAAACTGGTCTTGGCCGAGGGTCTAGCCGAGCCCTGATCCAGCAGTGAGCTTCAAACCCGCCGACCTTCGATGCCGAGGGGCACTAAAATTGAGTAGCGTTTCTGTACAACATACATCGGGCCAGCGCGCTGTTCTTGATCTCAAAAATGAGTTGTATAATTCATAAACTTGGGCTGAGATTGTTAAGTGCTCAAAATGTCACTGTTCCGAGTTCGCTTCTTGAGAAGGGCAATTGGAAGACACTCCGAAGGTCTAGAACGAAGATGGTGTAAACGCCACAGTTCTGTGTCTTCACAATCTCTGCCACTTAGGGGCGAAGCCTGACTGTGAAGCCGGCCAATGATTACCGAGTATGACTGACTTCGGCACTAACTGCTGTTTCGATAGCATCGATAGCACTTTTTGTCGTCCCACAGCGCCCACGGGATTGTGGTGTGCCCCGAAACCGGCCCTGGAACCACTTCGAGGAAATTTACTCCGATCGGGCGGCGAATATGGATTATCGAGCAGCATTTCTGCACACGATTCATCATATCAATCCGATTGTCTCGGTTTCACGTGGACGAACCATCCAGGCCGTGAGGCAGAGAGATTTTGGTGGCCTATCTCATTGACCAATCTGTTCCAAGGCTTATTTCTGACCGCATTCTAGGGATGAGCTCACTCCTAAAAGACAACTCTGAAAGAACCGATGACAGGGAAAAGGACGAGACACAAGTCGAGGCCCCTTCCAGCAATGTTGCCACGAATAATGGGAGAGACTCCGCCAGCAGGGAGAGAGGCTACGAGACAGATGAGGAGACAATTTCGAAAAACGCCCAGGCTGGTGTACAAAAGATGCAAGCAGCAACATCAGTTTGGAGCAAGTGGAATTTGATCACAGCATATGGGCTGTAGGACTTACCCCTCAAGCGAGCTTTGAGGTGTTCAACAGGGGACTGACGATGAATAGAATCTGGCTTATTTACTTCGTCATCTCGTTAGAAGAAGTTGTCGTTCGCTCTCTGAACCCTTATGTCACCAGTTCCTTTTCTCTACATTCTCTAACGGCTGCCACGAACATCATGTCGAGCATCATAGGAGGTCTGGCAAAGATCCCCACTGCCAAAATCCTCGACACATGGGGTCGGCCCCAAGGAATGGCGCTCATGGCCTTTATCTGGGTCGTTGGCTTCATCATGATGGCCGCCTGCAACAATGTTCAGACCTACGCAGCAGCTCAGGTATTTTCCTTGACTGGGTAAGTAGCCGCTCCTCGCACGGCACTTGACTTTCATCTTCCACTTACAGGTTGACAGGTCCCAAGGAGTGAGCTACTGCTTGACAGTCTTTATCTCGGATACGTCCTCACTGAAGAACCGAACACTCATGTTGTCCTTTGCCACTTCGCCATACATCATCACGACTTGGCTAGGAGGACCAATATCCCAGAGTATTGTGGGAGGTGTGGGCTGGAGGTGGGGATTTGGCATTTTCTCAATTGTCATCCCTGTAGCCGTCGCACCACTGACTCTCCTCTTCTTGTTCAATCAGCGCAAGGCTATGAAGGCCGGTTTGATCAAGCCGACACGTCTCAGTTTCAGTCCAGCCTCGTTGAAAAAGTACGCCATCGAGGTCGACCTCTTGGGCATTATCATCCTGGCTGGAGGCATGGCATTATTCCTGCTTCCTTTCAGCCTTTACTCCTACCAGGCTGACCAATGGAGGTCGCCCATGATTATCTGTATGATCACATTTGGCGGAGTGCTACTCATCCTGTTCGCCTTGCACGAGAAATACCTGGCACCCAAGACTTTTATCCCTTTCCAGCTGTTGATGGACCGAACTGTATTTTGTGCTGGGCTGATGTTCGTCTTTGTCTTCTTCAACTCTATGGTCTGGGGCAGCTACTTTTTCTCCATGTTACAGGTTGTCTGGAATCTCAGTATCACCAATGCTACATACGTGAGCGCAATATATCGAGTCGGCTCATGCCTCTGGGCGATTGCTGTGGGATTCTTGATCCGTTGGACGGGAAGATTTAAATGGCTCGCGCTCTATTTTGCCATTCCCCTTATGATGCTGGGAGTAGGGCTCATGATTGAGTTTCGACGGCCCGATAGCGACATCGGATATATCGTCATGACACAGATCTTTGTCGCTTTCTCTGGAGGCACAATCGTTCTCTGTGGAGAATTAGCGATGATGGCACCATCGGATCAGCAGAATCTTGCTGCCATGATTGCCATACTGAACCTTTTCGGAAGTATCGGCAGTGCTGCAGGGGGAACTGTGGCTACTGCGATCTGGACGGGAGTTTTCCCAGCTGCTTTGCGCAAATATTTGCCTCCGGAAATTGACGTCGACAAGATATATGGATCTATCGTCGCCCAAATGTACTATCACCAAGGAACTCCGGCTAGAGACGGTATCAACAGGGCATATGGCGACGCTCAACGATATATGCTCATCACCAGCCTTTGCCTACTCGCTGGGGCACTCATCTCAGTTGCCTTCTGGAGGGACATCAAGATCAAGGACACGAAGCAGGTCAAAGGCCGTGTAGTCTGACCATGAGACGTGCGACTCAGCCAGATCTATCAAATTCTTTCCTAACAAGTCTTTGCCTGATAGTGGTATTTGCAAGGCTTTGGGGGAACCATTGGCATGTCATTGTTTGGCCGTCGGAGCATAAGCTGTCTGCCTCTCTGCCAGCTGTGAAGTTGAGTTAGTGCTCCAAGGTGATAGGAACGAATGCCGAGAGCCAAAAATTTTTCCACAAACCCCTTCCTGAGCAAAGGGACACCAGTGATATCCGTAGTATTCAAAGTGCGCCGGCGGTGGAAGGAGTCCACGATGTACTGCAATTACGAGGCAATCAAATCTTATCAGATCATCTGCCCAGCAAAAATTTCCCGCCCAGAACAGGCCCCACTCTTGGCTTTAGAAGAACGGTTGCTGTCTCCGAGGCCGACGACCGTTCTTCGGCCAGGCAAGGAACAGGGTTGGCACGACAAGGGGCAGAAGGATCTTGCCTGCCCATCCGGTCGCTGCACAGGTTGTCCCCGCAATACGACGGAGGCGAGTTTTTCTTTACAGGTCACCAAATTGGCGATTCTTGTGAAACGGCGCGACAGGGCTCAAAGGGAAGAAAGATTTTCTCCCAAAAACAGCTTGTCGAAAGACAGGGGAATCGTCTTGGTATACAAGCATGGTCGTTTTAGACAAACCCGATGTACACTGTATATTGCTAGCATAAAAAGTGACTCTCAATGCTTTCCCTCAAGCTAAATTGCACCAGCCCAGATCTTGCATGAGATCTTCAGCAAGAATGTCAATACCTCCAGTCTGCTTATCTTCAATGCCGAATGCGAAGAACACTTGATCGTCACTATAGCCATGATACTTTTGGCCGTGCGCCTTCCAACTCATCGACGTCATGTACAGCATCTCCGTCTGGTTCCATGGATCTGTGGGTTTCAAAGGTAGGTAATCAGGTCTGTTTTCACCTGGCTTGCCACGGCCATTTATCCAGAAAGGCTTTCTGGAGATAGCTCGGATCTCGAACGGAGCTTGCTGACTAAACAGCATTAGGTAGGGCTCATACACGCTATGGTAGGAGTAAAATGTCTTGTGTTGGAAGATAGTCATAATATAAGTATTGGTGGTGTCGGGACGACAGGTAGAATCTGCGCGTTGGCAAAGAGTAATGAGCAAGGAGTTCGTAGCCTGGTGAATGGACTCGAGCGTGTCTCCAGCCTTAGGCATGTATCTGGCCGCGCAGAGCTGATCACTAGTACTCGCTAGTGGTGCCAGATCTGGTCCGATAGATCCATCCAGGTTGAGTCTAGCAAATACGCGTTGAGGATAGATGTCGTGGTGTATATAAATTTGGCCGTGATTATCCCAGAAGACGAACCAATTTTTCTCGATCGGGCGGTAGGGAAGCGGTCTCTGGAGGTCGGTGGGTACCGGGAATCCCCAATCTCCCAGTTGTTCCTCCCAATCTACTAGTATTGCAAAGTCCTGAATCCACTGGCCGAAGCACGTATACGCCGAGTTGGACCCGTACAATGCGTACGGTGTAGTCGGTCCGTAGAAGACTCGAGCATCATGAGGACCATAATTGAAAGCCAAATACGCTAGATCATCTCTGCAGTGAGGACCGAAGGTTGCTGGGATAGGCAGCGCAACAGGTTGCTCGATACACCTCAAAGCGCCCTCCGAGAAGACAGCATTGCACGATATCTCAGTTGGCCTGGAAGTCGAGTCTTCGAGCCGCTGCTGTGCCACGATCACCCAGGTATCGTGTAGTTGAGGATGAGGAATAATGTTGGGATTCATGGCCTCGTATGTTCCAAATGTGATGGGAAAATACCTCTGGTCATACGTAGAGGCCGACAAGAGAATATTGTGAGATGTCGACATGTCCATGGCCTCTGGCTGGGACGATCCTGTCGTCGTGGCGTCGGTCGGATTCCTCCATGTAGAATTGAAGTATTGGCCTCGATGTCTTTCCGAGGACGAAAATGCTCCTTCAGCCCACTTCTGGACATAAGGAGGGAAACCGTCCACATTATGGATTTTGTATATGCTGAAAACAATGCCGAACAGAAATACGCCCACAAGGATGAGTCCTGGACGTCTTTGGCCTCGGAGAAGCATGGCGGGCGAGCCTTCAAATGTTGTCAGCGCTGAGAAGGTTATGGAGAGACTTTCGGTGGCTGTGAACGGAATGAGAGCTCTACCAGCTAAAGGGCCAAGCCTGGGACTTGTCCTTTTCCATCCACTGCTCAAGTCATGGAATTACCGACAGGAGCAGATCAAAAGCAGCATCGGTTTCAACGTGCTCTCTACTTCTTAAGCTATACCATATCGAGAATTTTTGTTTCATTGGGTTAAATCTCAATCTGACAAACCCTCGCTATTTATCTCTTCAGGCCAACCCCGTTCACACTTTTCCATTCGTGTTTTTGGCCCCCTCTTCCTTTCGCGGTAGCCACGCTATAGAGCCACCGCGAGAGATTAATGCTGGGCTCATCGAAGGCTGCGGTCGCAATCTCTGCCACCCAAAAGGTCACCGGCAAGAGAATAAGATGGGGTACAAGAAAGTTCAGCTCCATCCCAAGCGGCCCAACTCGAGGTAATGGAAACCGGTCGATCCAGCCAGGTATCTCATTGATTTGCCAGTCCTTGCTCCACCCTGTAGCAGCGTATAGCCTTTCGCCTAATGTCCATAGTACAGGTCCATGAACCAGATAGAAAGCGAAAGATATACGGCCGAGATACTGACAAAACCTGGATTCAAAGACGCTCCTGAGCCATGGTATTTTCGGAATGGAGGCGACAGTAAACGTGGCGCTCCAGAAGAGAAAGAACCACTTATAGTCAAAGACTGCCTGTGGAACGAGGAACGCCAAGTGCCTCCAACCAGGAGAATCGTTCAAAACCTGAATGTCGAGGTGGTGGGAAGGGCAGCCTCCGAGGAGAATACCCAGCATGAACATGAAATAAAAGATTGGTTTTTGAAATTTCTTTAAGCCCCACGTCCATTTTGGAAGTCTTTGCTGCTCAGAAAGATGATCTAGGTCACAGAGGAGCATTCCCACCGTAAACATGGCGAAGTGCGCCCCATCGGCGATGTAGAGGAAATAAAAGATGAGGGTAACCTGGCACCAAAGTCTCGCGGATGTGGTGCATCTTGAGAATGCCAAAAGAGCAGTGTAGACACAGATTGAACCCCGGAACTCAAATGGTATCGACCAAACATGGAAGCTGTAGCTGAACCACGGCTCACCACCGAGGCGGAATGCAAAGCTGAAATTCTTAAATTCACAATACCACTTCCACATCTCATCTCGCCAGGTCCGTTCCGGTGCGAAGTTGGCCTTTATCCCGAAGATATGGGGCATCGAGGCCGTTATTGCCGTGGTGCAGATAACGGGAATATAGAGCCTCAGCCATCGGCGGAAAAGTGCTGATGCCAAACTATCAGCCAGTCTCTCGTGGTCACCCGAATAAATGAGATCTCTGGGCTTGATCGAAAGTACATAGCCTGAGATGACGAAGAATACCGACACGGCAAAATGCCCCCCAGAGAAGAATGTTCGTAGCACGGGCAGACACGCCATGTAGTACTGGTTGTCGTACCCGTACGCGTTCTCAAGGATCAGACTCGAATGAGCCCAAACCTCGTGATGCAAGAAGTAGACGAGGAGGGCTGCAAATCCTCTAAGTCCATCGAGCCATGCGGTCTTCCCAAGTTTGTTGATTCGACTATTCCGTTTCCTTGACAGCGATTGTTTTGCTGTGGAAGCAAGCCATTCCAGGGTTTGATATACTCGGGGCTGCTGTTGAATTGTAGTCTCTGAGTTGCAAATCCCTCCAATCTCGGTCCATTCAGACTTTCCGAGGAGGCCTTCGTATTGAGAAGACATTTCTCTGGTTGCAATGTCGTGGGTTGCTCGGAATAACCGATGAAAGAATGGTCCTCAAGCAGGTGCGAGAAGGGAGCTGGAACGGAAAGATCGCTTAAGTCGCTGGCCCTGGAAGACTCTCATTCCCATTGCAGATTGAAGTTGCATTCTTTGCGGTTGACAGGAGGTATCCGATAAACGCATTGTATCTACACCTTTTGCTCCACTCACAATGTCATCGTTTCTTGGTAGCTGCACAAGTCACCTGTAAGACAACCAAGGAGGTATGGCCTAAGCCATTCACGTTCGAAGGTGGCTTCCAGCGAAAAGACCCTAACCATAGTATTAGCACTGGCCAAAAGTCGGAAACCGGGGTTGTTCGTGTAGGGCATGTGAAGGCCCGTCTAGTCAGGTAATTTTACAATGATGCTGCACGCAAGACGGTACGCTGAATTCATGTGGTAAAGTAATACTTGTCTGACGAACGGTACCAGGCAAAAACAAGAGTCGCTTAGAATAATACTAGCGCGAATACCAAGATTGCCCGTGGGAGGAGGAAGAAACTATGTTCAGTACGAACCGTAGTTTTAAGTGGATCTAATCTAATCTTATCAGATCCGCTCTTTCTCACTAGTAGGAAAATGTTCGCTTAACTTCAAGTCTTGGCTCTCGGCGGGCAAAGTTGGTTGTCGAAGTCTCCGCTTCGGCCAGCTATTCTTTCAAGGTATTCCTTGGCATCGGACAAGTCTGTTTCTCCCTTCGCTAAACTTTGCGTCCCATTCTTGACTTTCTGAGCGGCCTTTCAAGTCGGTGCCATGTCGGTGGCGCCATTCTCGACTCCCAAACCCCAGTGGGGGTTTAAGGGGACGAAGAAGAGAGAACTTTGTTCTGTCATGATTTTGACAAACTCTTTGGCAGCAGACCCATCTGAATTCACCTCGACCGATGAGCTTCTCTCCCGAAGTCTAATTCCCGTGTCAAATCCGATACCGCAACAATTCTGGTCCCACGAGAGAGGATGGAGGGCCTTTTCCTCTGATCGCACTCGAACAGGCTAGAGTGCCAACTAACAACGCCATCCATGACATGAAAGACAGCTACGCAACGACAATCACGACCATCACGAGGTATCCATTCCTACAATAGAATCGACTGGCAACTTTGTGTGTTTGATCCTTGCTGGGCAAGTCAGGCCAAATCTTCGACATAAAATGAATATTCGAACATAAACTCTACCCAGAGAAACAACGGGCAAGCAAAACTTTTCGTTCGCGATCGCATATCACCAAGGTTACATCAAGTGGCCTTTGGGGTTCAAGAGCGCTCCTTGGAGCAGTCCTGCGGAGACGATAGAAGCATCCGTGTGTTTTCCTTAAGCCCCCATCAGGAAATTCATCCAAGGATGATCAAACCGCAAATCCCACCCGGCAAGACCTGGGTCGACACACATAAGCAAAGCTTCGCTGACATAGCCATCCTCGATGACCAAAGAGTCCCCACTACCGAATTTCTCAATGCCACTGAAGCTACCACCACGATCTTTGACCTCCTAGGTTCCCCAGTCTTCACGCCCATCAAGAACGATTTGTTGTTCAACATTGGCAGAATCCGAGACAGGCAGAAAGAAGCTCCGGAAGAGTCGACCACTCTCCAATCGCTAGTTGAGAGTGAGTCAGCATCAGGATCCCACTCAGCTGTCCAAGGGTTAACATGGCTGGTTCGAGGGCTGGATTTCATGGCTCAGGCATTCCGAGGCGACCTCAGGGAGAACAAGTCCGTCCCAATCGGCGAGCAGAAGCCTCCCAAAGAAGTAGCAGAGTTGTTCAGGGCGAGCTACAAAACCGCATTGTCTCCTTACCATAACTTCTTGATCAGACCCTTTTTCAGAGCTGCCATGAATGCGGCACCGTGTCGAAGAGACTTATATCACCGACTGAGTGGAGAGAGCACGGAGCCAGAGGCCACGAAAGAGGCACTGAAAAGATGGGTTGATGCTCTGGAAAGGATCGTGGAAATTTTGAAGATGTTTCTGGCCCAAAGAAGTGACCAAATGGTGGAAGAATATGGCCCCTGAACGACCTAGAGTCTCTTTCTTGTAGATAAATTCTGATTGTATCTTGCCTAGTGATGTTGTCATAAGCATTTTTCAGAAAATGGCCAAAGTTGGGGTAGAGCTCAATCGGTGGACATATCAATTGTTTTTCTCTCTTTCCGCAACGGTAATTTTCCCCATTCTATATAATCAGCATGACCCCAAAAGGAGGAAGAGTGCACTCCTTTGGCAGAAAGGTGAGTCATTTACGCACACACCACTTATTAGGGGGGCAGTAATGGCTATCCTGCTTCACTGCTCGAATGGAGGATATCCTTTAGCTCTCCATTCGTCGAACGTCATGCCCTTCGCTACCGTGGGCATTCTGACCATCAGAGGTACATCAATGTCTTCTTTCGCGTGAGTCAGCTCCTTTTTGTGCACGATCTTCTCCTCAATTCTTTCGAAACCCACTCTCTCGTACAACTTCCAAGTCGACGGAGAAGACTCAATGTAGATGGGCACCTCCCCTCGATCGGCCATATCAATACCCCACTGTATTAGAGCCATCCCGGCCTTGAGACCCTGCTTCTCCGGCTTAATGGCGATGGCGTGTACATCTGCTACTTTGTTAGACGAACGTCGACTCCTCTGATTAAGCCTTCCTCCAGGGGAAATGAAAGAACTGATTGTACTTACACACATACCGGCGCCCGCCAAACAGCTTCTCTCTCACCTCCCACAGTGGGCGAGTGATTGCCTCCGCTCGCTCTTTCTCGGCACCCTGCAGCCATGGAATACCGGTCCACTGACGCTCTTGCTCGCTCCGTTCCTTCCAATAGACATCTGCAAGGATCATGCCTATGATCTCACGAGTCTCGACTTCGACAACTTTGAACGTGTACTGAGTGGTGCTTTTGTGCCACCAGTCCAGGGTGGCGGCTGCATGGCTCTTGCGAAATTCCTCTGTGATGCCACCGGGGAACAGAATTCCAAGCATGATTTCGCCCATCGGCTCATTTTTGAATGCGGCAAAGTAAATGTCATAGACCTCTTCAATGTCCGGGATTAGCGCCGGTAAAACTACGACAGGCATTGTGAAAACTCCTTCGTTAGCTTGAGTGTTGGTATGATGCTCTTTGGCCGCTTAGTCTATTGATGATTTAGATTGGCGTGAAATCACGGAACAGACAAAGATCAAAGCTGCTAAAGAATATGAACTTGAATCACAGAATATGTGCGCGAGATTATGTTATCCAAACAGCCATACTCATAGGTTTCGAAAGAAAGAAAAAGAAAAACTAAATCTTCCCTCGTCGTGCAAACATGAGAGGTCAAATTCAATTCCGAGGTCGGACCTGGGGCTACCATGGAAGAGAATTATCAAAACGGTTCTCGCTTAAGATATCTCGACCCAACTCAGCCGAGATCTCAGCCCATAACGTAGGACAATTCTGTCAAGAATCTATTTTTTGAGACAAACACTTGGATCAATTCAATATGCAGGTGGCGTCCGAGATGACAAGGGCAAAAGGAGTTGGCAAGTTCCAGCCACGAGCATAGTGGGTCTAGAGAGGGGTTGAAAGTTCCCAAGTCAGACGAAAAAGACAAACAGTTTACATACTTACCTAGGGGCCTGGCGTCATTTTCGGTGACAAAATGTAAGAAATAGCTCCACTTTCTCAACCCAGCTTGAAAGAATCAACCACTGCACCTCGTATCGTACGATTTGCGATGGCTCCTCGTTTCCACCGACTCACACGATTCACACGGATTTCGGATTTGCGAGTCCATGGGATTCGAGGTGCTGCTGAGGTTTATGTCGAACTCATCATTTCTGTTCTCTGGCGGGATTTATTCTGCGCAGCCATTTTTACGCACACAGATAACCTGCCTCTCACCTTCTCCACCGGTAGGATTTATCAAATTCCTAACCCTTCATCGCAGTCTTCAGAAGACTTTCCTCGTTGGTCAGGTAGCTTCGCCGGTAGAGCAGCTATATCTTGATACTAATAGGTAGGAAATAGGTTATATTTCTGGTTTCGATTTCAGGCCATGCAAGATCTGACCTACTGAGACGCATGCTCTCGTAGGTGGACGTGCCACCAGCATTCCCCCTACGTCGTGGACTTATTAAACCGGTATGATCTCTGGCTTCTAATCATTGCAATCCTCATCTTCACAATTGGACATTTTTTCCGACATCAACTCCTCTTTCCGTGGCAAAGTTAACAAAGCCCGGATCTTCAAACAATGCCTTGGCTCCCCCTTCCACACTGTCGAACGTGAGGACGGCAACACTGTCCGATCTTGACGGCTCCAATCCAAACGCCTCATCGAGGTTCATCCTCTCGTCTTTATCACCGCGGGACCGGACACTCAAACGCCCTACCCCTTGGGATCGTGTCTCTGTTTCTAAGGCATGGTGTTATGGATAAAACCAATTTGAATGCTCCAGTGGTTCTCTGACGATCCAGGCATCGCAGGGTCGTCTTGGACGAACGCTAACATCTTAAGAAGAACCGTTCTTTGTGCAAACCCAAATCGGGACCCGTTTACTTACTCCAGTTCTCTTGTACTCATGTTCAAATTGGTTGACACGATCTGCGAAAGGCTAAGCTAGCCAATTTTTGCGCTATTGACGCAAAGAGTCTTTGACCGACAACGGAATGATGAAGCTCACTGTAGGGCAGGGAGAGGAACATCCCTGCGTCAAGGCTAGTCAAACGAACCTTCACGCACACAGTTTGAATAACTGCCTGGGGTGTAGAATAATTGCACAGTGGGTTCCTGATCGAGCAATCCTTCCCCATTGAGAGTAGGACCCGGATCTGGGTTTCGGTTGCTCGGCTATTGCTTGCTTACATTGCTTCTCGAGGGAATGCAGAACAGAAGAACGAATCTATAAATTCCTTTGGCTTCGCTGACACTCTACCACCTGGGAAATTAAGATTGGCCTTTGATCTTGAGAGCACTCAAAGCTTTCCATAGACAGTATTCATTTCACCTATAGAGTATCCATCCCGCTAGAGCTTCATTAATTTAGGCTCTTTCTCGCCAAACAAAGACCAATGGTTTAGAATTATGGGTTCAAGCCTTACCTAGGACATTGAGTGTTGCCCCAACATCCTCAATTCGGTCACTTCGCGTCATCCAAACAGGGTAGAAGCCATGACAACGGCAGCATCCCTTCCATTGACGTTCTTGCTATCTGGAGCCTCCATGATCGCTTCAGTAATGGCATTCGGCTGCCTTGTGCCGTTTACCACCTACCCTCTCCTAGGGATTTCCGCACATGCCCATATCATCATGAAAGCAATGACACTCTCAAAAGTTGATGGAGAAAAGTCATCTGGTGGGGATTTGCCTTGTCGTGCCACTCTTGATAGCGGAAGCTTTGAATAGATGGGGGGGAACACGCATGACCTTGCCGGCCGCCACGGACGCTGCAAGAATTGCCAGAGCAGCAGCGCCATGGCAAGAGTTCATTCTAGCAATCACACATTATCCTTCTGCGATGCCTCAGTTTGTTGCGGTAGGCAGCAACTCTCCGGTCCTTACCCATCAGGACTTGGCAGATAAAATTTCATCGCAGTGGCCAGTGGTCGTCCAGCTTCGTGACAACACCTAAAACGGGCCGTTTAGAGCACTTGTGCTATGTTTTAAAACTCCTCATGGGTTCATCCAAGAGATGAAAGACTTTTGATGACGTCAAAACGATCGATGTCGAGTACTGAAGGTGAACGGTGGTGCCTCTTGAGCAGAACCCTGAAGTAAAAGGGTTCTTCTATCAGTTTTACTATATTTGACTCGGATCAGCATCGATATTGGCTCATGTACCATCCTTACACATGGACGTGGGCCGGATAAGGATAAGGATTTGTGAGAAAGATGTCCTCGTCATAAGTACTTACTAGCAGCAGTTGCAGTATAATTTTTGTCCCGCTGGGCAGCAAGCTCCACTTGGCCTTCGGCCGCCTACTCGGCAGTTCGGCAGTCGAGGTGAATATTGAAAAGTGGCTTCTGCTGGGCATGATTTCCAGTTATTAGGGCGAAGTGGGCACATAGTCGTTGCCCATTCGTTGCCCTCTCCTCCCTCCTCAGGCCTGGGGGCCCAACCCCAATCGAAGGGGCAACGTCATATCGATATCTCACCAAGCTTTGGCTAAGCCTTCTGCAAGCCTAGGCATCGCGCTATGGGAGTGGATCCTCATACCATACAATTCAACATCTGATCCTCACGTTGACATCCCGTCTTCGCATTATCTCCATTTCGCGTGTTGGGGACCCTTCTCCACGTCGCCACTCCCGGGTCCTTTGGCCCAAGTACTGCGCACCGAAGCCGCACAGCCATGTCCGGTCCCCTTGCCTTGGGCCACTCTAAATCCCCAAAGAAATGGATATCCAAGATCTTCCGGACCAAGTCTATCTCGACCGTCGATACTGCCGACGCTGCATCCATGATCGAGCCGCTGGTTGGAGAGGCCCTCGAATCTGTCAAGGCCACTTCGGCCGATGAACGTCAGACGTTTGTCAGTTTGATGGAGAGGGCACAGACAATGGATCCGGAGGAGTTCCGAGCATATTTGAGAGAACATCAGAAGAAGGAGAATGAGAAATACCGTCATATGGGAGGTGGACCCAGACGCGGATATATTAAAAACATGGGACAAAGCGAAGCAGCGTGCCTGCGGCTCGATGAGCAACTACAGAATGTGCTCATAACCAAACAACTTTCGACTTTGATATATTCTCCCAGCTCAGGTGCAATCTCCATGCGGACGAAGACTAAGCTGCTGAAGCTGTCAACATGCACCAAATCATCCTCGATGTTAGGCATTTTCTTGATCGGCGATTTCAACTCGTTGATTCGGGTGGACGGACATTGGGCATCACCTCTCATGTCCATATGTCTTCAGCAGTATATATATGCGCTCTATGTGAATATCTCGGGAATCTCATTCTTGATGACACTGTCCTCCGCCCTAGCAGGGCGCATTTCATTCATGGACGGATTCATATATTTGATCTGAGCGTCCATCCATCTGCCAAGTTTGTGAACATCAACGGTATCTTCTTGCAAGCGCCTCGCCGACTTCCGTCCATCTCCTCAATGGCTTTACCGTATGCCTCATCAAGAACCTCGGCTTCAAGTCGAAATCTCTCACTGAGTAGATAGAGGCGGTAACTTGTCCATTGGCAATATTATTCTGGCAGGCGAGATTTAGTGCGAACGCTCATATTGGAAGAATCCTCCAGCAACCTAGGGGAGCATGGGCGAAATGAAGTCACAATTGTGAGTCTCTCAGGCATGTTTCCGGCTGGAATGGCGATATGAGATCCGTGCTGACCTACTGTTTCTCGACCAAGAAGACAAATTATGTCTCGTTACCACCGCAGGCCCTCATGATTCTATTCGGAAAACTCCCCGGCGAAACCTACGACTCGATCCGGCCTCATCTGAACTTCCTCCAGGAATACTTCAATGTGGAAGAATTTTCGGGGACAGGCATGAATGAGGCGCAAAGACAACTGCATATTTTTCTCCGCAGTATTTTCGCCTACAATCGTCTTCTCGCGTCCATTGCTCGCCGGGACGCGATCCCTGCAATTCAAGATCCAGGATAGATAGAGGGAGACGTCGTCGGAGCGGATAAGGGTTCGACTCCGGATTTCCTCGCTCTTCTTCCAACTACGAGATCGCCTCGGACTGCCTGACACATTGACAACTCGAGCCTTCCCACCATTCTTAGCTCAATCAGAGATCAAAAGACTCGCCTCCGCGGCCATTGACATCCTACAGCTCCTCCCGGCTATATCACCATTCAACAGCGCAGTATTGTTTCCCCATTGGTATCATCGCTCCAGAGTTAACAAGTAATCGAGCTCGAAAGCTTGTCTCGGAGAAATTGGCCCTCTTACGACAAACGCTTCATTTCCAAAAATTTTGGGACGATCCAGTGCTCGACTGGACTCATACAGACACGAGAGAAGCTATCGTCAAATTGGAAATGAGTCCTACAAGAGAACTGCCAGACTATTTGGCAAAATCTGGACCACCGTCGCAGCGGGAATTTGGGAAGCCATTACGCATTTTATTCACACACATGGTATCCCTTTTTGATCTGATCTACCTATTCACTTTACCAAAGAGCAATCTTCGACGCCCATCTCATAACACCTATTGCAAAACGAATTAAGTTTATATGCCAAAGGTGTAAAGCAAATTTTACCCGAACATCAACATCTTACAACTACAGTCCAACACTCCCAAATTAAGGTACGAGAACGTCTAGGGGTCTCCACCATCTGTCTTCTTTTGGTCCTTCTTCTGCTGTGGAAGCTTTTGCCAACCCATACCGAAACTGGTCAGAAAAGCAGCGCAAGATCCACCAACGGCGAGATACTATAAAGGCAAGAACGATTAGATCGACTTGAAAATTTTTCTTACAGGATTCTGAAACTTACAAATGTATCAACGATTGCATAGTCATATGCGCGCAACACGCCGGGGAGATCCACGGCTGACACATTTGATCTCACAGACGAAGCGCCAACATCGATTACATCCTGGGGATCCGCACCGGGCGCATATTTGTGTAATGAGGCACGAAGGACGGTGCTGAAGATGGTATCTCCGATGGCGATAAAGACGGCTCCTCCCAGGTATTGAAAGAAGAATACCTGAGACGTGGCAATGGAGATTTCTTTCGCTGGGAGAAGATTTTGGATCGCGGTAATTGGCTAAAGATGTGGTGTTCAGCATTTCATAACACGCTCATAGAGACTGAAAGCAGAGCTTACCATTTGAAGGACAGAACCCCGGCCTGTGCCGACGAGAATCTGATATCCAATCCATGGGCCAGCACCAGTGGAAGGGACAAAGGTCGTCATTAAGCCAGCACCCACGGAGGTCAACATGCATCCGATCAGCGCCCAAGATGTACAGTATCCAATCACTTGAACTGTACAAGAGTGAGCACAACATTGCACAGAAACCGACAAAAGAAGGAATACCCACCGAATTTGCCGGCAATTACAGCGCCGAAACCCTGGGAGATCGCCGTTGGAAGGATCATCACACCACTCATGGTCGGGCTTGCGTTCTTGACGACCTGGAACCAAAGGGGGAGATAATAGGATAAAAGTAACGAAGACCCCATTTGAAAGCAAGAGGTGAAACAGCCAAATATGACAAGTCGATTTCGCGCAATGGTTGGAGGGATCATGGCCTTTTCTCCTCGATAGACTTCCCAGACGGAAAACACGATGAACATGGCAAAAGAGCCGCAGAAAAGCCCTATAATCGTCGATGACCCCCAGCGATACTGTTGGCCACCCCAAGTCACCGCCAGTAGTAGCATGACACAGGCCGGGGCAAAGAAGGCAAAACCCGTGAAGTCGAGTTCCTCGAGGATTATGGATTTGAAGTTAAGCCGGACCGGTTTCTTCTCCATTTGTTCAGGGATGGCGAGAGAGAGGAGAACGCAAAGCACGAAGCCACTGGGAGGCAAATTGATATAGAAGCCTTCAGGAAATTTTAGCCACCTTTCTCTCTCCAAAATCAAGGTGAACACCCAAAAAGACAAACCTACACCAGCGCCACGAGACTTTCTGCGTGAGTGCGCCTCCTATCAAAGGCCCGATGACAGATCCAATTGTCGCACAGGCCATGCCGATGCCGATAAGCACTGCTTGGGGTCAGAAGACTGTCTCTGGGAATTCTCAGGGGAAAAGAGACACTGGGGATATTGCTCACATGGTTTATTTTCTTTAGGAGCAACTACAGAAATTGTTATGAATGTGCCATTGATGACTCCAGCACCCCCGATACCTTGAATCGCTCTTCCGACAATGACCATGTTCGAGGAAGTGGCGACTCCAGCGATCAGAGATCCGAGAGAAAAGAGAGAAACGAAGATTAGGTATGTTTGCTGGAGTCACGCATTAGACTTTCTGGCGCCGCTGTATTCCGATCGGGTATCACTCGATTTACCTTGATCGGGAAATGAGTATAGAACTTTCCAACCAGGGGTTGCAGAGAACAGCTGAGAGCATCATCGTCATTCAAACCAATCCGGCACAGAAATGTCGGGGGTTACGTACGTGGAAATTAGATAGGCACTTCCATACCAGCCGATATCATTAAGAGAATTGAAATGGGAGGTAATTTGTGGAATGGCCTATATTTGTTTCCGAGCATGTTACCTCTTTTCCTTTCTTGAGTTCGATTTGTTCCTGCGCGTGACATACCGTTGCGATAATTGATCCGTTGAGAGCCATAAGGAAGGCTGCGAAGAACACCGCAGAGACTAGAATGAATAATGCGAGACCGGTAGGCTTGGAAACTTCGCCTATTTCATCTTGCTTTTTCTCCGGGTGTACAATAGGCTGGCCGTTATTGTTGGTTGGTCGGCTTGGGTCGAGAGGTGTGGGATCTGTCTCATCATTGGTACCGCTCATGTCCTTTTTTGCCAGCATCTCGTGCTGTTCTGAAGACGATGTATTTTCCATAATGTTGTTAATTTCATGTGTTCAAGGAGATATTGAGGACTATATCAACCTTTTGAGACGTTTCACTGATTGCATTTCGTACCTGTACTCCGTACCAGTCCGTCCACCAATACGAGGCTGAGTATGCTTGTTGTACGGGGTCAACGACAGGGATCATTTGCGGAATCGGAATTCCGTGTCCGCTCTTTTCGTTAAGAACAGAGCACGCCACAAGCATCCCACATTCTGTGCTCCAAATCGCGCCCATCAAAGTGAGCAATATGCTTGCCAGGACACTAGAAAGGGCCCCGAGTTCCCACGAACCCGGCCACTTGAACTGTGATCAAACTTAACAATATGTTTCATATAACTCCGACTAGCGAACCCGAGGGCGGCAATCGTGTTCCGAAGGCCTGTTTTCCATGCGCCCGTGCAAAAGTGAGATGTGAAATCGAACATGGAGCAGGTATCTGCAAACGGTATTGGATTGACATACCCTACCTTGAATCTCAATCCCGGGACGTTTCAGGCTAAGTTGTCGCTAGGTGTCAGCGGCTAAAGAAACCATGCAGTGGACAGATACCAGGCGCACATAAGCGCAAGGAAGCTCAAAAATCGTAAGCTGCAACCTTGACGTCTTTTGACCGTGGTGATTCCTTATGGCCATGGAACCCTTCCTACCATCTTCAGTGGTGGCTTCCTTAGCAGACCGTACCATTTTCAATTCGCATGAAACCTGTGAACGCCCGCTCTCCTAACACTTCATTAGTGATGTGACAAGGCTCGAGCAAAAGTTGGACGGAGTCACCGCAATTCTTACAACGTCCGAGCGAATAGGAGGACCTAGTTTCGAGGGACCAGCTCTGCTCTCACCCACGGCTAGTGTTGAGCATTTCATCAAGACCGATGGCGAAGCGGAGTTGATACTGGAGACATATCGAAGTTATATGGCGCCGTACTTTCCGTTTGTGGTCATCCCGCCCAATGTTGACGTCAACCGGTTCAAAGAGCAGAAACCTGTTCTCTTTTTGACGATCGCGATGGTTGGATGCCGACATGATAGATGGCAGCAGTCAGCACTGGGGAAGAGAGTGAGAGAGATCATCAGCCATAAGGTTCTAATCAAGGGAGAACAAAGCCTTGATCTTCTTCAGGGACTACTCGTATACCTCGCATGGTTCGTCCCCCTCTCGTAATTCCCTGACCTGGCAGATTGTTCTGTTTACTACCGAATGTCGTTGTCTGATGAAAGGCCACCAATCAATATGGAGCATCCGCTTGGATGGCTGGCGAGGGTGGCAGTATCGAAGATATCAGACTTTGGCCGCTTCGGTTTTACTGACATTGAGAGAACAGGTATCATTTCCACCTTCATCTTGGAAACCAACTCACCAATCTCACTTACTTGACAATTTCCATGATGACCGACCTCGGATTGTACAAAGAGCCCAATTCCAAGAGTCGTCTACGCTATGCAAATGGCAGTCTCAAACATTTTCGCAAAGACCCAACACCAGCAGCAACGCGGACTCTGGAAGAGCGAAGAGCGTTTCTCGGTTGTTTCTACACCAGTGCCGTGTACGTCTCGTATTTCTCTAGTTCCACGGCTCTATCTCACTCGAAAACAGCGTCTCAATATGCGCCAGAGACATTGAAACTGTCAGATATTCCAAATATGCCGAAGAATGCTGTCACATCCTGGGTGAGACGGCAGAATATTCAAGCGACCAATATCTCGTCCAGCTAATTCGATTATATTGCCTCGGAGAGAAAATCAATCGTACTCTCAATCACGATGAAATCGATACCTCTTCGGGTCTCTCGACTCCCATAGGTGCCTGTGTCAAATTATTTGAAGTTGAACTACGACGGCTCAAGGCGTCACTGCCATTGGATATGCCGCAAAGCAGTAAGTTCCATAGTTCCCAAAACCACCCCACACTCACGGAGCAAGCAATTCTTTTGGTTAATTACCACGCCATTGAGATTGTATTATACGAGATCGCATTAAACGACAACATCGATCCCATCAGATACGGGAGTCTGCCCATGACTCGACTCAACATGCTCCACGCGTGTCTCAACGGCGCAAAAGCCTGCTTTGAATTATTCTATACGACCCCGGTGTCCATCTACTTCGACCTCCCTCACACGGTGTGGGCGCTGGTCGGCCACGCGATTGCTGTCACATCGATGCTGACTGTCTTCGTCAGCGATGGTTGGGATCAGAACTATGTCCATAACACACTAAATTTCTGCAGCGCGATCGATACCATGGCGCAGAAGGTTGAAGAAGCAAAGGAGCATGCACAAACATCGATTCGCCAAGTAAATGGCTCGTCAAACGGATCGACGCCGAGAATTGCCCCTGAGATCTTCATGACACTGGCACCGAAACTTCAGATGATAAAAGAAGCGCACGAGGCGAGACGGCTTGCTCAATTGAAAACATTGGACAATTCTCAAGTCGCCACTCCCTCCGAAGGAAGCATCCCAGCTGCTGCTGCTGCTGGTTTCGATGACGATCCAACCATGCCTGGTGCAGCGGCCTTGTTCGAATTCCTCGACGACAGTTTCTGGCAGCAGTTTACATGATGACGACACTGAGTGCAGACCGTCTTTGTCACAATCAAAGGATCTCCATTGGGAAGAATTAACACGGTAGCCAAACGGTGCCCAACTGACAGCTCATAACAGGGGACGTACACATTGAGGAACTTCCCGGCATTAACTCATCGTCTACCACCCAAGACCGATCCTGCTTGGACCTCTCATTTTCCGAATGCATTTTGCGTAAGACCTCTCCGTCTGACGGTCGTGTCTTCCGGAGGCCCTTCAATACCATTATTGCTGTCTATGCCACAGGGAAGGGGCGGTGATGGGAATTCAATGGCTGCGCTTTCGCCAGGTAATCGACTGGATGGCGGGGATTCCGGAGCCGCGACGCACAGATATTGTTTCCTCACCAGTATGGCGATTGTGTCATCGTCGTGTTGACGAGTGGTTGAAGAGGTAGGCTCGCCTCGGGAGTGGAAGGGATTGGTGTTAGAGAAGGTGATGGCTCGGATTTAGTGGCTAGGCTGGTTGGATATATTGTCATTGACGTTGCTCATGATGGACATTGCATAGATGGTATACCGTACGCTAGATATCTGTACGGATATATTGAGATGCAGACGTAAGAACAAAACTTTGCTGGACTCGGATCTAGAGAACAAAGTGGTCAAGCGTTCACTTGACTCTCGGTCGGGGTAGCTCGTACGGAGATCCTGATAAAAGTCAAGCCTTGCGAAGACCTCTCTAAAGGGCATGTTGAGGGGATCCTTAGGGTCAGGATCCTTGATCAGCAACCTGATCCGCTAATAGCGGGCAAGGATTGTCCATGACATCTACCATATGCCATATCCATATTACCACATTCGACACGTCCGTAGATCGGACCGGGAAAAAGTGCACGAGATTCGGTCCAGGATCGGATGTCAGTTCAGCACTAGAGTCAGTTGTAGGATCGGGATCTATTGGATGAGTGAGATGACGAATAGAAGGCAAGTTGTCGCGAGGACTGAGGTGCTAGAGAGGCTTCACATCGGAGGAAATTATAATGTATACGCTTCCTAATAAAATATATTCTCCTTTTAGCTTGCAATGAGCAGGGCTGTATCAACCAGCTACAGGTAATTTTAATGCCGTTCCTCAACAAAACCGACAATACCGTGCATCGTGACAAGAAAGGTAACAAATGCCATGAGACATTGAGTAAGGCCCGTTCCGCCCTGGACATCGTTCCCGTGAAGTTTTGCCCACAGGATTCCAAACACAGAACTCAACATCAGACCTATAATGCCCATGATTCCAACCCGTAATCCATCCAACCCGTCATCTAGCTGCATTCCCCATCCCATGAGGACGCCACTGGTGTCGGTGACGACAAGCTTCTCCTTCAACTTCCTGGGTATACGAGCAAGGATCTTGGGATGTTGCGGACATTCATGCCTGCGCTCGAAAAAATGGAGAAGAAGATTCGGGCCCCATGGACAGAATTCTTCCCGTTCAAAGTCGCCTTTGCTCGGTTGATAATGTTGATTGTCCTCAGGAAAGTCAGGAGTCTTCCGGATCTCTACATGTTTATTGTCGAAAAGGAGCTCGAATTTGACATATCTGATCGAAATAATCTTTCGGGGTCTCAATGTTCCCCGCAACGTCCACCTCTGGTCGTTTATTATCTTTCTAAGAAGATCAAAATACTCGAGATCCGAATGAATTGATGCGGCTGGTGACTGTACCAGGGTAGGTATACGTGCATCTTGAGTCGCACAGGTGAGATAAAAGGATGTCGTTGCAGACTCACTTGAAGTTGATGGGTTTTGTTGGGCTTCTGAATCAATAGATTGGCCAGAATGACCCTGAGCCCTACCAGGAGAGCTGCGATACAGACTCCTGAACCCACGGGCGCAGACTGAGAAAAACGATCGCAGAGTTTTGCCAACTCTGCCATCTACAGTTTTCCTAGAACTGTTGACAGCTTGTCTAAAATGTCGATCTAGATGATGCTCAAGGGATTTCGCTGCATTGGCTATGGTATCTGGGTAATCATCCCAAACGACGGCCTGACAAGCGCACCGAAACCTTATTCGAATCATACCCGGTTGTAGTGGCGGTTCTTTCTGGCTCCAGGTCCAATAATTCCTCCTGTCAAGACGGCTTCCATTCTCCACGTTGTTGTAGTGTTGGCCGGTGGTCATAGAAGATGTCTCCTCTTCCTCCGTTGTCTTGCACTTACCGGACTGTGAAAATTCTCCTTGCCGTCTTGATTGAGAATATTCTTTGGAATCTGGAGCATATTCTAACTTAAGATCTTCCTTAGAAACGAAATCCCCCGCCCGCGAAGTTGGGAGCGTCTTGGAAATTGTCGCTTCGCCGGGAGATATATTTTTCTGTTCAAGGCCATCTTGCTTGTCTCCAAAAGGATTCTCCAGCTTCGTTGCAAGGTTCGGGTTGAAGAGGCCCAAGGCGTCTTGATCGACATGTATCTGTTGTTCACCCGGGTCCTGCATTGGTCTTGGTTTGGCCTTTCTCCGGGTGGTTGTACCGGTACTTTTGGACGGGCCGGAGGGGTCCGGATCGGGTCTTGGGTGTGAGGCGCGGCCCTCAAGTCGTGCGGCCCATGGGTCCACTGGAGGCGGTCTTGTGTGTTCGATTCCATCTCTTGGGGGGGTTGTTCTATATGATATATTTTCGTTGAAATCCGAGTTGAAACTACGGCTGGAATTATTAGGCTCGACAGGACATCTCGAACACCGGGGACAGTAACAAGAAGAACAGTGCGTATTGTGAGAAACAAGCATCGGCCCACTTTTACATTCACAACAATACCACACCAGAATACGCATGGGTTTTGCTGGCATTATGTTAGAGTGCCTCAGGGTGGAATCGTAATGACACAGGGGAATGGGGACTGGGAAATGATCTAAATGACAAGCGAGGCAGTCAATATAACATCGACTAATCGCGCTTTGAGAAGGCATCAAGGCAACATGCTTCTCACGGCCCGTGACACATTTTTATTGCCATGGATTTCCGCCCTACGCTCTGGCTCATGCTAGACTACATTCGTTTATGTAAGTAAAGCGGCCACCCCCACCAGAGAGTTCTAGTTAGCTCATACATTCTCTTCCCGACACTACAACCAAATCGCCAACTCAATCGTTGGTTAATAGTGATATCGAGTCGTAATTCCGTCTTGTATTCGCATTAACCTCCCTAGACCTCTCAAAAGGAAAAGATAACAATCCACAATTTTCAAAGGAATGAGCGGAGGGGCATTTTGAAAACGTCGCGTGGCAAGGCTGTCATCTGACCTTTCCCGGGGCTGTAGAGTCTTGAGGCGGCGCACCGCTTCCACTTTTGTGATTGGTGGACTGAAGCCGACCAAATGTAGCTGCGTCAAATAAGGAGAAACTAGGGGTAACTTGCGGCGCAGCCTTGGTGTGGGCTATGGTATATTCCTTTGAGTGAGGGAAAGCCAACTTGGAAAAAAGGTGGAGAGATTGGACAGAAGAATGCTTCAACTCTTCTTGACGTGTTCTTCGGGGAACCCTTTAGTGGCGAGGGTGATGCGTTACCTTCCATGAATAAGTGGAACCATGTACAAAGAAGCACGCGAGAACTCAGGAAAAGGTAGAGTCTGATATCCAGGGCGGTCCAATTCTCAGGTGGTCATTCCGCCTATTTGATCATGGACATGTCCCACTGAATCTGGCACAATTCGATACCTCTCGGACGAAAATGTGGCGACCATTGTTCTCTCAGCCGTTTGAGATTTACGTTGACTTGAAGGGTGGGCTGGGACTGCCACTCCTGCCGCCAACGATACCTTGGCCCCTGGTCCCCTCTTCCTTCAGGCCTTCTTCCCTCAGTGCCGCTTCCTGTTCTTCCGTGAGCTGGCTAAGATCAATCGTGATTTGAGGACCACGGAACCACTTGCGCGCATCAATGAAGTAGTAGAGCAAAGCACCTCCCCATACCGCAGAGTTGATCACACAAGTGTAGTTCATGCTTTCAGCATCCGGGTTGGGTCCGCCGACAGGGAACATGGAGAGGAGAATGCCGAAAATGAGAAAAGAGATGGCGGCCCACGCGATGGGAACGGAGGCTCTACCAGTGTATATGGGTCCCGGGCTGAATTTCTTCTGCCCCCATAGAACACGGCAGAGAATCGGAGTACCCCAAGCAAGATTGTTGCCAGCCACCGCAAGTGAAAACAGGGCTGCGGCAGCCGCGGGAGCAATTAGACATAGCAAGCCCAGAACTGCCGCTAGGACCGCACATCCGATTGTAGTGCGGACAGGGATATAGCCAAATCGTTTAGAGATCGGCCGGAAGAATCTGGAGAAGGGTAAAGCTCCATCGCGAGAAAAGGCCCAGGACTGGCGGGAGGCGGCCACCAGGATAGAAATGCCCATCTGCAATCTACGTCAGTGAATGATCGATCACACACGGAAACCTCGGTTCGAATGCTCACCAAGAACTGAACAATCATCAACAATGACATAAATCCCAAGGCTCCGTTTTTTCCAAGGGCATCGTAGTAGATTTGCGCCATGGGCTGGCCAAAAGGAGAGCCGAGAATGTGTTCAAGATCTTGTGACATGCATGCGGCAATCACAATACAACAGACCCATCCAAACAGCCAGCATGCTCCGATGGAAAACAAAATGCCCATTGGCGCGGCTCTGGTGGCATTTTGGGCTTCTTCGGAAATGTGGACCTAGAGAAGTCAGATATGCCAGGTGTTTCAAGATTCCTGTCAGTTTGATCCATCTTCCTTACCGCGGAGTCAAAGCCGCCTATGGTCCAGATGGGACTTAGCCAGGAGAGCATAAAAGCCCAGCCTGATGGCCAAGTCGTGAGATTTTCGACCTTTGTGAAAATGGAGGAAGCGCCATTGCGTTTATCCGCCCCGATTGGTAATGCAACGATAGTGGCGAATATCAAGACAAAATTCATCACAACAAAGACGGTCTGCAGTTTCCCCATAATTCGTGCCATAGTAGAGGCGATCAGACCGTGACAGGCGACCGTGGCCACAAAAACTCCATAGATGGTGCCGTTGCTCGGAGTCCAATTGCCGTCACGCGAGATCACGATGACGGAGAGAAACATGAGTGAGAATCCATCTGCGACTGACTTAGCCTCGAAATAATCCACGGAAACACACGCACAATCAATGGAACAAAGTCCTCCCACAAGTCCAAGGGTGTTGCTATAGCCGACAAGGAAGCTGAGAGGATTTCTCCACTTGGGTGATGCATAATAGTGAGTCCAGTAATAAAGCCTATCGCCTTGTTAGCTTCGCGGATCGCCACCTGGTTTCGACCTCGTATTTCATTGATACAGAAAAGGCGACAAGCGAAGGGAGACCGAGCTGTAAACAGTACCAAAAGGGGGTCATTACCCGCCGCTTGTCGGCATCGACGAAGCTATGTCGCTCATGGCCAGGCCAACAACAAAGATACAGCCTGAAGCAAGAAACCAGCCCCAAACAAGACCCACAGGCCCGGCAGGGATTGAATAGGCCAATGTACTGGCAATGGAAGGTAGAAGGCCCATAATGGCAAAAGCAAGGCCGAAAACTTCAAGCATGCTGAAGTTGCGACGGAGCTCCTGTTTGTAGCTTTAAAAACAACGTTAGATCTCACAGTTCGACGGAAGGACGTTGACAGAGATGGACCCACCCCATCTTTGCCAGAGTAGCCGCATCTTCCTCGCTGGCGAGGTATTTGTCGACGATTAGAGATCCACGCCGCTCGTCTTGGGGTTGAGCATCTGAGCCGTCCTGGCTCTTGTCTTTCAAGTCTGAAGCTTCCGTCATGGTTTGGGAATCAAGGCTGAAAACAAAACCCCTGGAAGGAGGTTATCAACTATAGAGGGGTAGGCACCCTGGAAAGAAAGGCGGACACAGCAAGAAGATGTCGTCCGAGGAAATTGCATCGACAAAGTTAGTAATGACTTTCCAATCGACGGCAAATGGCACCATCTTGAAGCGCAGAGTTTGGCGAAGCGCGATAAGGTGCTCCAACGCGTTGCAGTGTTGATCACCAAGCATACTGGATTTGGTTGGCGGAAAAGCTGGGCCATATAGTATGCAGTGGCGTAAGAATGATAAGGAGAGGTTCGACGATAAGCATTTTGGACGCACAAAACACCGTTCAAGGGCTTGTTTTGGCTGGGAGCCCATCCTACATGGTGCTGACATGCTTGTGCCATGCAGGTTGCTATTGAACAGGCGAGCTCTCGGTGTAGCGCCAACATGGAAGGTGATTAAATATTTCGTTCAACACTGGGGTTTCTCCGGCTGCCAGACAATGGAGAGACAGCAATAACGGCCCAACAAGAGATGACTGGAATTGAAGGAGGCTCTCGGAGATTCAAAGATAAAAGCGTGTGGTCCAGACTGAAGACAGGCGAAGAGGCCGAGATTGGAGGCTTGACAAAACCAAGCACGCACCCTAAATCTTGCCCAAACTTTACTCCCGCGCCTAAAAGACTAGCGGGCCGTCAGCTTGGACCTATACTCCTTGCGGTTTAAGAATACGAGGAAACGGCTCTAGGCAATCCCTAAGGATATAAGAAGATTCCACCCCAGGTTCAACGAATGAAGAGTTATGCTGATAGCACTGTGTATCTGAAGTCCTAGTGACTGGGCCAATATGACCATTTCCATAAAACGAATGTGTCGAACTGGAAGTGATCCCGCCATTTTCAACGTCATTCTCTCCTCCAAACGTACTTCAATGTTGCTGTCTGAAAAAACCCAGGCCGAATCCTTGACTCCTAACGAGCGTTGAACAAGAAAAGGAATTCGGAGTAATTCCGGCTGCCTCCCCCCTACGTCTCCACTAATTGCCAACCATCCCCCAGTCTAACAAACTTTGTCCGTACCCTCAAGTGGTCCGCTGGCGGAGCTCAGGTCGCAAGTAGGGTAGAAGAACGCCGCAACCGCGATGATGACGTACGCTGCGATCAGTAAGGCTCCCTCCAGGTAATTGCTGCGGCCATCAATCATCAAAAAGCTGACGATAAAGGCACTGGCAAACAGACTAACAGTCTCGAAGAGGCTGAAATACAAACTCATGTCTGTCTTGAGGATCCATCCAAGGATGACCATTAGAGGGGTGACAAAAAGCGCGATCTGGATGCTACTCCCCAGGGCAATGTTGATGGCCAAATCCATCTTGTTCTTCGCGGCCACTGTGACGGCTGTGACGTGCTCGGCTGCGTTGCCCACAATGGGCAGAATGATCAGACCGATAAATGCCTGGCTGATACTGCTGTTGGCAACCAGGTAATTGATGCTTCCCACCAAGAACTCGGCACACAGCGCCACGAGTCCTGTAGTTGCCAGTAAAAGGATCACCGCAGAAGTGCGGGATAAATGCTCCTTGACTTCGACGACTTCTTCGGTTTCAACTTCCGTCCCCCCCTCTGAATTGGGAGAGCGAGGCTGCACCGGTGCAATCGTCACAGACGATAGTCGGGGGTGGGAGATTGTGGGATGAATCATGTCCGGCATGGAAGAAGTCCGGCGAAGACCTCGCGATCCAGATCGAGGTCGGGAGACGGATCGGATAGGCATGGCAAGAGGTCTTCCCGTAGCTTGATGGTGTGGGAAGGCAGGCTTGACTGCTTCAGACAAATGGCGAATGTTGAATGGTCGTTTGGGAGTGCCATCGGCAGGAATCTCTTGAGTCTCCGCTGCAAACTCGACTTGCGGTAGAACAGTATTCACCGGTGTCAGAGAGTTCACCTTGGTCTGTGTCTCAACAATAGGCGACTTTTCCGGGTCCTTTGCCTTTGCCTTTTCATTTTTCGAGCGTTTGGTCTTCTTGAAATTCTTGCGACGTTTCTTAGATTTCTCGGACGTCTGATCTTGTGGTACTTCACTCTCAAAATCACGAGACTGGATGACCTGAGTACGTGATCGGCGACGACCCGTCCTCCCTTCGCCATCAACGTCGGCCTCGTCGCCAGAGAAGACAGGGTCTAGATCGAGAGATGTCGGAGATGTCGCCTGGGTAATTGAGCCGCCATGTCTAGTGAGAACCGATGGGCTTCTCGTAAATCCCGGGATTGAGACGGTGTCTTTCGTACTAGAAGTTGATTTGCGCCTCCTTCTGCGGAGGGCTCGTCTGATTCGTTTGGCGGTGGTATGAGAGCCAGAGCTGGAGTCAGAATCGGTGGAGCCGGAGGCAGAGGTGTCACTGGAAGAACTGGATGAATTGAGGATGTCGGCAAGGACTCCAGGATGGGACTCCTCGTCAATGAGATGTTGGGGAGTACTCTGGTACATGAACGCGTGGGATTTGAGCTGGAACAGGAGGTACAACATGTAGACCAACAACAGGACTACACTGGTCCCCCGTGACACTTTCAAAACTACGTGGTCTGCTTTGCTTGTATCGGAGAAGGAGGCGTGGAATGCCGTCTGGAAACGGAATCAGCAGAATGCAACACGGTCTCAATTTGGGGAGACTTACGGGGAGGAGCAGACTGATGACACTCAAACACAAAAGACACGCGCTCATCTGCGAGACGGTTGAGTTGTACAACTGTTCTCGGAATCTCAGACCGCCGGCGACAAAGCACATGCCCAAGATCAACAAGAGATTGGCCAAGATGGAACCGAGGGCAGCGGCTTGGACGACGCGGACTTCTTTCGCCGCGAGGGCAATGATAAAGATGATCAATTCGACGGCATTGCCAAAGGTGACATTCAGAAGCGCACCAATGGTGTCGCCCAGTCTGATGGCAACGCTCTCTGTTGCAAATGACAGGAGTGAAGCCAGAGGAATGATGGCAATGGCGTTGAGGGCAAAGACGGCGCTGGGACTTACAACATCGGTATGAACCCAGTCCACCAAGATTCCCAGGATGAGGCCAACAGGCACAAAGACAAGGAGCCAGTTGACCCAACTGGAGAAGATGATGCGCTCGACATCGCGGAGGAAACGATGGACCAAGGGCGGTTTGTCCTTGGGTTCAGTAGTCCCTATGGGGGAAGATTGCGTTCCATCTCCTTTCTTGTCCACAGACGGTAGATCTTGTTGCTCTTTATCGGCCTCGGCGATACGGTGGTCTGAAGATGCAGGACCAGCTGCAGAGGGGTCGTGGCCAGCATGGTGTAAGCGGGTGTCTGTCTCGTTTGGTCGGGAATCAGGGGATTGGACAGGGTCTTCACGGAGGTTTCGGGGAAGGTTGAGGGACGGTGCTGCTGCTGGTGTTGGTGGTGACACCTTAGTCTTAGCCCATGAGTGTAGACGACGTGACAGCGGAGGCTCGTCGGCGGAGTCGACCATCGGCGGATGAGTGGGCGTGTAGAGAAATGATGAAGGAATGTGTAACAGACTTGCTTTCAAAGCAGGTCACAGACGGTGTTGAAGAGGATAAAGCGGAGGGAAATAAAAACGCAGCGTGGGAGGCAGCTCGGTCAAAGGAGGCGATGTGAGTGGGCAGGCGTAGGTTGGCTCAACGGATGACGCGCCCGGACGATGCTTGGAAGATCTAATTGGGAGAAGGGTGCGCTCCCACCGTAGGTCCGCGGTGGCTGCAGGGATCGCTGCGAGTGGGGTTCGCTCGTCGTTTTCTCACGGTTTCCCTTTTGCTTCCGCGTACGCCCAGATGACGATTCAGTGGGAAAAGAAGGAATGAAAACTGGTTTGGTCGTTTTATAGTTGGAGATCAGAAGAATGGCCGGGTTGATTGCTTCGAATTGCTTGTTTTAACCAGGGGGCAGTTGTTTGTCTGTACGAGCAAAGATGTAATGAAAGAAGAGGCTTTAATGTTACTGAAAGGACAGGCACTCGGGACTCATGTAAACGCAAGTAGTATTAGGCATGCAGCAGTCACTTCTAAATCGGCGCATTTCACACTCACCGTCACAATTTAGCGGCGAGGTGCCTATGATTGCGAAGAAATCCGCTAAACCTTCTAGGGAGTCTTATCTGGTGCTTGGCTTTGGCATTGCGAGGCAAGCATCCTGCTTCTCCATCCAATCACCGTGGAGGATTCACTCCTATGATCCCCAGTAAAATGCAAATGGCCACTCGATTTCAACTCAACATTTTCCTACCCTGCAGTCATCAACATCCAGCATAGTGATTCCAAGTCATTCACGTCCGAAACACCCTCATACTGTGATTTCAGAGCCATTCCCGGCAACAACATGTTTTCCAGTCATTTGCTAGTGAGATGCGGAACGTACACGCTAGGTACCCTGCTCATTCCTTGAGGGGTTCGAGTAAAGCGCTAAGAGTGCTTCCACACTCTGGTCACCACTCCCAAACAATGATACTGACTACATTGTGAATAATACAGAACTATTGGCCTACTTGAATGGACGCCCTTCTTGATGACGAGGTTGCCTCTCGGCTCCAAACCGATTTGCAGGCCTCTCTCCGCCGTGCCATAATGCAAAGCGACTTATCCTAACACCCCCCTCCCAATGCTGATACGACCTAGCTTCTATCTATTTCTGATCCTGTGATGGAGATGACGTCCTCTACCAAGGGGTGATCATGTATCTTCCCACTGTCAGCCTGGAATCGGCTTAGGCCAACCGATCACGAGCTTTGATGCCCTCTATTATCATTCCACAATTGTGATTTGTATAGTGGAAGCTGGATTGCCAGAGATGCCGCCATATATTCCCCCCATGACATGGAAGCAACCACCCTGTCAATTCCGGCCACCACGTCCCCTCCCTTACAAGTCCTAGCATTTCTCCACAGGCTCCACGATGTTTCGATTTCTCGGAGCGAGCAAAACGACTGAACTTGGGTGCGATCAGCGCCACCTAGGCGCAGAAATTCGTCTGCGAAAGGCACTGGATAGGTACACACGACGAAGAGAAATCCGGATCCGGGTTGGTTGTACCATTGCTACGGTGAAAGAATCGGACGGTGTCAGGCATTTGCGAGCCCTAAGGCGGCAGGAGCAGACAAGGCTGGGAAGACCCCAGATCGTGGGCAAATGATCTGACTTGCGTAGGGGCCGGGGAATAGCAAGAGTGTGCTGCTGGAATAAGCGACTAAAGTTCTCAGGCGGCGGGATAAGCAAGTTTGCAGGCATCGATGATCTGATGTCATCCCGCAAAAGCAGTCTAGCTGCTTGAGTATGGGTCAATTAGTGGTCACCGTGCCTTGTCTCAATCGGCCACATATCATGTTCTGTGCTCATCATCAAGCCGCGTCGCTAGCCAGTGATTTTGCAAAATATAGTCCTCCAGACACTGCTTAGAAACAGTGCTCGAGTACTAGTAGATGTAAACTACAAGTTGGGTTGTGAGGGCACCGAAAGCTGCCTAGGTACCTTCGTAATAGCCTGCGACGATACTTCCTTCTCCACGACCGGTACGTATCGCCCGTGGGCATGAACTTTCCCATCCCTCTATCATCAAACACATTTCAATCCAATTGACCTTGTTCCTGTTCTCCTGTTTGTTTTCCTTTTCCGCTCAACCAGGGACAATCGACTCGCCCATCGAACGGCCGCTGTGACTAAACGTCTTTTAGCTTCCTTTACCACGTTCTCTACTAGTATCATTGGCGATGAACAGTCTCCGGGAAGAATGCTAGGGTCTTTATGACCGTCACGAGCAACTCCGAATCTCGAAACCTTCCTACTACTACCGACACCATCACTCCTCCACCGAATCACTCTCACCTATCCGCTTTCCATTATCTTTCCCCTTCTCCTAGCCTCCCTACTGCCAAGTATCCTAAACGATCTTTCTCTGGCGCATCCCTAGGTTCTGATATGCTGACTTTAGCGACCGTCGACGTGATCGGGAGGATGGGTAGGAGGATGGCTGGAACATCAGAGTCGAACCATCTGCCAGCAATCGTCCCCGATGTCTAATCACATATCTCTCCTAGAAGTAGCTGTCCCTGTACTTAATCAAGGAGACGAGTTGACTACCTTGAGAATGTCCATGGCGAGGGTCTTCAAACCCAAGGAAGCCAACGGCGTACAGTTGTTGCGTTCTGTTGCTCTCATTGAATATTTGCACCTGGACGAGCGCCCTACGTTTTGTCGTGGACATCACAGACGAGACCAACCTCACATTCTCTGGCTTGGACTTTGCAAAATCCCCTCTCAGGCTGCGAACAGCTCCTTATGATAATGTCCAAGGCACATCCAAAGACCCATACCTGAGAACACCTTTTCTCGACCTCAAAGGCTGGGCTCTCAATCCATGGTAGATCCCGACCGTTTCGATCTTTATTTTTGGAGTTGTTGTGGCAAAGTTCATTGATTCGGAAACGACCGAAGGTCATGCATGGCCGACAACATCCGTTTTCTTCTCCGGCCACAGGGAGAGCATGTGTGACCAAGTATGCAACAATACAGAAGCTTTGGCTCTGTTTCCTCATCCACCGTCTTTGGTCGTGGAGAAATGGCATCGCTCAGCTATTTCGATATTCCCACGCGCAGTGGCGCAGACATTCCCCGGACGATCCAGAACCTTGTGACTGATTCGGTATCAGAAATATCTTCCCACACCCGGGAGCCCTCTTCACCAGTGCCGGGTTGGGACATGAAGCATTCTGATCTCCTCTTCTGTCAGGCTCGTTATCCCCATCTAACGAGCAGAAGACCGTTCCATCCAACATTCAGCTTGAGTTCGAGACGGACATGGTTGGTGAAATTGATGAAGAGGGCCATTTTGATTGGACCCGCTTACCCATGTCGCCCGCTCCCCCTGCACGCGTACAGTTCGCAAGAGGGATTGATTGGGGAGCATCGAGTCTTGACCCAATCGAAGACTGGACCTCAGATCTCCGGGGAATGTGCAACGTGATCACGGCAGGTCCCCACCACTCGGCAATGTAGGGGGGGAAAGACTCAATTACAATATACTAGGGGCCGCGGACAGGATATTCCGCGGGGGGTAAAAGCGTAGCTTTCATCATCTTGACCGGGAGCCGTAAGAGACTATGAATGCTAGAGAGGGTTGCCCTTTCCGGCGCCGAGGTGTGATTTCACGGAGGACTTGGTTGGCGTTCGAAGAGGTCCGAGGGACCGTCTGACTATATAGTATCTGAGGGTTACTAGTGTGCTTCGAAGACCCCTGGTCATTACAAACCTTGGCGGACCGTCAAAAGGGTCACGTGGGCCACCTATAGTCACAGAGGTTCGACCGGGAAAGCACGTGATACGGTCATTTTCAGGCACGTGATTTATTTTCGCCCATGGTCAGGTCACGTGCAGGGGTTTCGGGATTTAGAAGAAAGCTTACGCTTTCAATAATGAGGCCCACGTACTCCTCGGCAAAAAATACCCGACGTTAATTTTGGGGGGGCCGCTATCGAGACGCATGAGCAGAGATCTGGGATGTTCTGGAGGACGTCTCCGACGATGCGTTCTAAAATGCTCGGGCTACGATGAAGGATCGTGACTGTCTCTTTATTATGTGCAACGGATCTCTGGAAGAAACTCACTTTTCCTGATCTATTATCCTGTTGACCGGAGCCGATGGGAGTGACATCGGTCTCTACAATCCTGCTTTTGAGAAGATCCAGCGAAAAGTTGTTGCAGAAAGGCGCACGTTAACCCTGCCCGAGATGGGAGAACCGACAGCCACTGCTCGACAGGTGTCTCAATCCCCAAAACTCGTGGCCTTGCTCCGATTCATCCTACTACGGGTAATCCGCCCTGGGCTTTCTAGCTCTGGGGATAAATCCGCGAGGGATCATACGACGAGGATCGTGACTTGTTTATTCAACTTCTTGGTCGACAACTTGTAACTTTTATTACATCGGCCGTCTTGTTTGAGGAAGAGATTAGGAGGGGTAAAACAGCGGCCAGCTCGCAGCCCAAGACCGAATCGAACTCAACAAGCGGTCGAGGCAGAAAATTAATTCATCCGAATGGCGGAGCTAACATCGGTGGGGATCTTCATCAGTAATGTCGGTGGTATGATCAATTTCGTGAATGATGTATGGTACAAGTTATCATCCTATTCTCGGGTATCCCAGTCGAAAATCAGTGGATCCACTACATTCACAAGACCAAACAGAAGTATTGGCGACATAGGATGCCATTTTGGAACAAAGAAGCGCAGAGTCGTTGGAATTTTGCTTCAAAACTCCTTGACAGGATAAAATGGGTAACAAAGAGCACACTTCGGTTCTCATAAGTGCTTCCCGCGCGCAAAAGTTTGCAGAGAATCTCCAGCCCCGTAGATGGAGGAGGTTGTTGAACTCAAAACCCAGCAGGAACGATATTTTGACACTGCATTCCACGAGATGCAGAATCCTCTATTCACCTTATTATAATGTTCTGATCCGCTTACCGGATCTCTCACCGAAATGCACGACACAAATCAGTTGACGAAGTCCTCAGCAGGACATTCTTGAAAACAAAACGAGGCCGTTAATAGACACTGGGCATTCCACTGCAGAAGGGAAAAAAAAAAAAAAAAAGGATGGAATAGGGAGAAGAAAAACATGACATTCGTCGCATGTGCCGTGTAGAAAATCATCCACAATTTGTTCTTTACACCCTATTAGTGGTCACGGAATCTCTCACACCCAAATACTATCCCCACAATTCGTGACATTAAATTCAACTCCAAGGCCGGCCTCTTCGCTCAGAGCACGCAGTTGGGACACAATAACCTCTCCAGGAGGCGGCCCATCTAGCATCGTGTCCTTCACGTGGATGATGTGGACTGTCAAACCTTTGAGGGGCTCGGCAAGCTTGTCACGTAATGTTATATGTGAGGAGTTGGACTGTGAGTGGTGGTGTGTAGCTGTGGGCGTCACGGAGGCGAGAGGAGTGTTTGGGCCAGAAATGATTTGACCGGTAGATTGCACCGGACTTGCGCCAGGAGCAGATTGAAACTGCACGGCACGTCCGCGAACTGGAGTTGCGGAAGGAGCCATAGCGGTGGCATCTCGAGGCGAGTGTGAGTGTTTCCTGCGGGTCGTGGAGACGGATCCGGTTCGATTTCCGACATAGGGGCTCGAGATGGGTTGTGAGGAGGACGCGTTGTCGAATGTGGTTTGCGTAGGTTCCTGGCTCGTGCTGAGGTCGCCGTTGAGGGTACGCTTGCGTTTGCGTTTAAGTTCAGAGGGAGTGGGCGGTTGTCCCATGCTCATGTCAGGAACTATGGGTGAGGAGTCAACTGATTTTGATGTAGATTGTCCGTCGAATGTCTGGCTGGCAGAAGATGGAATCGTCCCAGAAGCTATTTGTTTACGTTTGACGACGACACAGTTGGCCAGGAAAACAAGTTCGGCAATTAAATGCCTAGGGCAGAGGTGGCCATACAGATCTTCATTGCGGACCCGGTCGTCGTAGGAACATTCGATAAATATCGCTTGCAGAGTTTCATGTATAATTTTACCTGCCGCATCCTCCCAGACCACGTGGTTTCGGGGGAACATGCTAACTGAATCAGGTTCAATATCGCCAAAGATGAGGAGCTCGTTGCCGGTGACATCGTTCCGGATGAAGAAAGCAGAGCTCGACACGGGCTCGAACATGTAGCTTCCATCCATGTGAGCTGAAGCGGTGGAGCCACCAGCTATGCCCGGAGTCACTGGACCGGTCGGCACGTTCACGGGCATTGGTGTTGACCCAGAGGGGTATGCGGCTACAGTTTGCAATTGCTGGGTCACTGCGGCAAAATAACCGTGGTCGTCTGAGATACGGGACAGTCTTCGAGACGGAAAGCTGTAATCAGACTGATTCCATCCAAACGAATCACCGTGTTGGTGGGATATGCTGTGAGTCCTTCGATGGCATTTGCCGTGACTGACGCTCCAACATTTCGCGGCCAGACCATCGCAGATATTCACATACCCTCGAGACTCTCCCAACCCTAAGCGTGGATTACCTCCTTCGACCAGTCGTCGATAGGTGACAAATCCCACGCCATTTCCCTCATCGGATAAGTTGGGCCAGAGCCAGTCATTGAAGATATGGTTTTTGATGGCCTCAATAGTAGAGGGTAGAGCCACGATTTCTTTTGCCTCTCGGCCATACTCCAAGGCTGGTGTGTTTATGGCCATGGCAGACAGATGGTCAAGATGTGGATGTGTGATGAGAAAGGCATGGAGGATCTCCCGAAAGAGATACAGGGCGTTCGCTTTGGCAGATATGTTCGGAAAGCGTACACCGGCGAATGGTCCTCCTTCCAGCACCTGACAATAGTCTTTGGGAGGCAGCTTTTCTGATATAAGAGGCATATCTCTTTCGAGAATGCGAATAATGCTCGCCAGGTGCGCCCCTGCGTCAATCGCGATCATGGAACTCTTGCGCCATTCTGTCTGAGGTGCTCTAACAAGAAGTCCTGTCACATTGTCTTCGCGAGGGCCGCCCATTGATCCCTGAGGTCGCGGTCAGCATTTTGATTGAGTGTTGTCAAGCGAAGTCAACAGAACTCGAGGTATCGTAGAACAACGCGCATGCAGGTCATGAACAGAGCCATGCTCAAGCACTGCCACGTGAGAATTTCTTTGTTCTTGACGCCAACTCGAGCTCGTGTGAAACACTTACCAGAACTATAACCTGGAAAGATGCCCCGTCCTTTGTGCCGTATTCGCGAAGCTCCGGGCCAGCATCGCGTCGAGCATGATGCTCTCGCATGGATATATGTGCGTGCTCCACCCTGCACTGCCGTTTCCTATGGTATGCCCCCCTCTTGACTTACCCCGGGTTTGTTGCACAATGTCTATTGTTTTCAATCAATAGCCCACTTAGATATTGTCCGGGCCTTGAATCGACTGGAGATCGGAAATTTAAGTTCTCGCGGGCGCTCTATGTTGGAGCAAAAAGCAATCAATGTGTCCGCTAGAGGTAAACGGGAGAGGCAAATCAAACGTGGCAGACAACTCGAAGAGCTTTTGGGTAGTGAATTGGAATGATCACAGGAGCAGTTGTGTGAAAGAGTTCACTGTTCGGTAAAATAAGCTGCCAACATTGGAATGTGGAGGATTGACGCTAAAGCAGACATCTTCAGAGTGGACAGCTGTCAGAAGAAAGGGATGGGAAAAGATACTCTTCAGCTGATGGATGGATGAGGTAGAGCGTGCAGAGGTTGCTGGCGTCGACTAGGCTCAAAACTTTGGACCCGGGTTTGGTGGCTTTCCAGAACTGCGTCACATCTTGAAATCTCCAAAGAGTGCTTTGGATGCTTTTCCCGGCCCGAGCTCCCAGCTTAGGTACTTTGTGGGTTACGGTGGACTTCTGATATAACTGAAAAAGGCTCGCAGCCGGGTTACGGTATAGAGGCAGCTAGTTGATGGAGTTGGCTGGCATAGGCTGTTCCTGGCGATGGTTCATTGAAACGGGGTTGCAATAAGGACGAAGTAGAAACTGACGATTGGCCAGGAGATTTTACGGGGCAACGGCCCAGGGGGGCAGGATGGGGCCTGGAATGTTTATTCTTTTGTAAATGCTTTCATAATCCCATTCTGTGACAGCTTCCCATCGCGTATATATATGCAGTTAGACGAAGAACAGGAGCCAGGATCAGAGTCGTCCTCTTACAAAATCACATTCCATAATAAAACAATGTTTTCATTCATTCTTGCGGGGGGTATCTCTCATGTATGACTGGGTCCAGCCGCTTCACCTACAGCAGCATCATAAGTAGGGATAGGTGGTTGACCTGCTCGATTCTGTATCAATTCTCTCCTTTCACCCTCGTCACCTCCATCACTGCTCCTTCGACTCTCTGGAGGGCTACTGTATTCCGGGGGGGGAATAATTTGCTGCCCACTTGGTGTGTTCTCCACCGGTTGGTGCTGGATATCACCGATGTCGAGCACATTGTTGCCTTGATGGGGGAGATCTTGGGTCGAAATATGTGCCAGTTGTGCCAGTGATATATCCGTGGGTGACCGAATTGGTCCTGGACTACCGGCTGGAAACCCAATCCTTGCAAGTCCGCTGCGGGTTCGCGAATGACCAGGTTCGTAAGTAGGTTGTCGATTTCCCTCTCTTCCTGTCTCAAGCAAGATGCTCCCTTGCTCGCTGCCATATGGTGGAGGCGGAGCAAGACTTCCGGTCATTGGTGCCAGACCCCATTTCTTGACATTGGCTTCAATGAAGACAAACCCCAATTGACCGAAGTTGACATGGACAGTGCAGGGTCCATTGGCGCCCACGGTGGGAAAGAAGTTTTGACTCTTCAGATTATGCACCACCTCATCCAGCTTTTTGCCGTTCCGTGTGAAGAATATACTTCCGGTCCGAGGGCGATATCCTACTCCAATTACGTCGCCTTGGACATAAGGAGGGCCATAGGAAGTTGCGGTAAACGGTTGGTTGTATCGTCGATGTCCCGTTGACACATACGCTACGGATGTTTTGTGGAACCCTAGTCAATCAGTACGACAAAGACATTTCTAGGGAGAATCATCACCTACCAGGCAGTCTGAACAAAGGGTATGGCTTGGTGGTCATTCCAATGCTGATCAAGCTGGTCTCGGGTTTGTCGTAAATCTTCGCCTCCCAATAGTATACTTCGTTTTGTTTCGGTACTGGTAAATTGCTCTGAACGCTGCATTCGGAATCAAAAAACTCGATCTCCGTCCTCGCCTCAACAAAACAATTGGCAATTTCTAGCTCAGGCTCAAATTCCCAAGCCGACACCCCCTTCTCTTGGATGGCCAGAAATTGGGACAGTGAAATATCTGTTTGCACGGATTCGGGGGGGTTCGCTTGGATGAACGCTATCAAAATTGTTAGATTCCTCGACAGAAAGAGGAGAGAGATTGGATTCGTCCCACCTTTGGCCCTCAGATATTCCGCCCTTTGCAGCTCGTCCATCGTCTCCAGGGCGTCGGCCTCTTCATGTACAAAGGCTTGTTCATCATCGAATTCGCCGGGCCGGCCTATCCGATCTAATAATATTCGACCTCGAGAGGTATATTTGAAGAAAAAGAAAATGGCCAGAACTAGAATAGCGACGCCAGCTGAACCAAACGCTGATAAAATTCCGATAAGAATACCGCGGCCTGTAGATCCGCCATCATTGATATTTATGACGATGGAAGCCGGGCCACCGTCGGTTGGAGGTCGAAATCGACCTTGCCGCCAGCCATGATGATCGGCAAGGGACGATATGGAGGTCGGATGGGATGAGGATGAGGCTGGAGAGGGTCGGAGGGAGGTGTCGAAGGTCATCGTGAATCGCTCATGTTGAATCTGCTCAGCGCCGGGCCGCATCGCTCACCAGATGAAGTCCTTGATGAGGAAAAGGAAGAAGAATTAAGGATGGACGGTGGCGAGGTGATGATGTGAAGAACAAATTGGCGCAGGCGGGGTCTGGGCCAATCCAGAGAGCTAAATCGGAGAGGAGTGTAGAGATGTCATGAATCCAATAGGGATTAGAATCAAATCAGGTGCATGGCCTCCCACTAAAGGACATGAGACACAATGCCACCATTTTGAGATACCCAAAGGGTTTTGTAGAAGGTAGTGAGTGAGTTACTAGAGTAATGGTGGTAGAGAGTTTAGGAGAGGAGTTGTGTTTGGTCATGGGGAGAGACGCAGGCGCAGGTGGAGGAGACAAGGACAGAAGCCCAAACCAAAAGGCTGAGAGTCAAGGGCCCTTGAGACGTTGATGGCTCGCTAAAACTAAGCTCACTTTGCAACGAGCAACGCTGCGGATGAAACCATGGCCACTCGGATACAGACTCTACCGCCGAAGCCACACGCTCAGCCTGGCACCAACCACACACCTTGCCCGTGGCTCTCACATTGATTCAGCCTTATCACTTCTCCCGCTGAGACGAAATTGTTCTCTCCTGCTGATCACTCCTGCTTGTTCGTGGTCCGAGTGTCAATCGTTGCCTCAGCTTGATGCCATGACCGTTTCTCAACAGTCTCGCTATGGACGCGACCGGACCCCACTTTCCACTATTATCTATCTACAATCGCTACGCGGGAACAGCTCAATCATATTTTGCTGCCTTTCTTGCTCGCTCTCCAGCCGGTGAGCGTGCTCCCACCGTCAATCTCAAGTACGTTGCCGGTCATATGCGCAGCTCCCTTGCTGCTCAGGAAGAGAATCAACCCTGCGAAATCAGATGGTTTACCCAGTCGACCTGTCGGTTGTCGTTCCAGCAGAGTGTCCAAATACTTTGCCAAGCCGAAGTTGGTCATTCGAGATGGGAAGACACCGCTGGATACGTTATCATCAGTATCTCTTGTCCTAGAAAAAAGAAATCGGCCTGAGTGATGTATGGTAGAATGACTCACGGGCAGACACAGTTAACCATAATATTCATGGGTGCCAATTTCGAAGCCTGAATCTTACTGAGGTGAATGCAAGCAGCCTTGGAAGGGCCATCTGCGAGAAGAGAGGTATCAGCTTAAAATAACCAATGACGAGGCGTCGGAAATCTTACAGCTGAAAGTGCCATGCCCTGGCGCAGACAGTCCCCCGTCTCCACTCGCGGTAACATCTACCGTCGAAATCCCGGCCATGGAAGCTATGTTGATCACTCGTGAAGGCATGTCGGCGTTGGTTCCCTTGAGCAACAGCGGTTCCAACCCTACAGTCATGTAGAAGATGGACTTGACGTTCAATGCCATCAATTTATCCCATCCACTTTCCGGAAAGTTATCATACGGAGCTCCCCAGGTTGCTCCTGTATTGTTGATTAACACGGTCAACCGATCCGTCCGGTTCTTGACCTCTTTCACCAGACCATCACACCCAGCCTTGTCCTTCAGGTCGGCCACAATATATTCGCACTTGCCAGGGCCCAGAGCATTCAATCGATCGGACGTCTTTTTCAACTCGGATTCCTTACGACTGGCGATGAAGACTCTGGCTCCGTTTTGGATGAACCCTTGAGCTGCCATTTCGCCCAAACCCGTAGCACCACCGGTGACCAGGACGACATGGTTGGAGAAATCAAACAACGAGGAAACTCGGAGATCGCTCGACGATGTCATGTTGGACTTTCTTCTGACGTCGTTTGTGAAGAGGAATTTTTTGGCTTGAGGATTTTCACAGGCTCTCGATAAGTAACAAAATTTGAGATTCAGCCGCGGATGAAAGACTATTTAGGATCTGGGGTAAGGAAATCATCAACCGAGCCGCCGATGTACCCGTACAAACTTGAACCTCGGTTGTAGCGCTGGTCCCCAGAGGGTCCCTTTGGCCTACCGTAGAGAGATTTTAACTATTGCGTCTGTTGCGTCTCGGCTCCGACGTATCTTTTGCCAAGCCTGTACGTTTAGGAACCCGAGTCTTTTTTGTGACTCCCCTCCGATTTGCCATTTAACCGCCTGGAGCTGCTCAAAGAAGAGTTGCAAACGCAGGAACCAGATCTAGACCCTCGCAGCGGAAAAGATTTTCACTCCGATTCCCTTGACTCTTCATCGCGCCACGCGAGTCACGCGATGGACGTGTTTTGGCTCGTACACGCGGCAAAGGAGTGTCATGACTCACTAGCACACATCGGCCTCAGCATCGGCCACTTCCATTACCCACTCCTTCTGACTCTCACACCACAAAGCCTTGTTGCGCCTGTTTGGATGTCCGAAAACGCAGGCATACCCAACACTCGTCATACAACCTCTGCCATGATACTAATGATCTGCTGCACCGTCCTCTGTCTTTGTCTCATGTGACTCACGCCGCCGATGCCGTTTTCGAAGGAATCATTTGTCGGCGAGGACAATCTATACCTCGCTCTCCTGTTCTGCTCCCATTTACCCCCCATTTCCTCTATCCCCCATAAAACCACCCCCAGCTGGCACTCACTTGATCTCCCGACAGCGCAAATTCATCGTCAGCCTCCCTCTTCTACTTACCTTTCCAATGGCACACAAACACAATCGCAGACGAGTCCGCCCACGTGGCCGCAATCGCAATGCTTTGAGCTTGAACTTCGACATATCAGATAACCTCATGACTTCATTCGATTCATCCACCCCCTTTCCTTCTTCTACCTCAGAGATCAGTCGCAAACAAACCCCCGGACCTCCGATACCCCATAGTCTAAACAACGGCCTTGCCTCCCGACACTGGCACAACCGATACATAGCCTGGCACAACCGCGAAATGGCCCAGAAGCGGGAAGCCGTCAAGATTGAAGCGGAGCAGATCAAATTATTTGGTGGTGAACCCGGTGATGATGTCGGACTATGCTACAAGATGATGGAAGTGTTTGAAGGGATGAATTGGATTGATACTCTGGACTAGGAGGGGAATTGAATCTGAGGGACCTTTGCAACATCCCGGCGTTTGGGGCGGCTTAAGAATACCAGATGAGTACATGAATACACGAGGAAGCTGGAGGGATGATACTGAATTTCGACTCACGGGAACGGACGCAGCTCAAGCTCGACTTGTAGCAATGAAGGCATTTCGACAATGGAATGACCGGATTGGTCTCTCTATGCTTGACCCGTCACTGCTGAGGAAGATGTGGTGGCTGGTGCTCGCGCATTTCTACTCCGCCGCATAATACGGTACGAAAGCGTGTCTTTGCACTTGGCGCTTGAGCTCGTTACCGCAGGACAAGAATCGGGACATTGATACGGAACAAAGATGAAACTATCCACTCGACATCGATGTGCATGTAGTTGAATATATCACTACTCATTTTACTTGAACATTCTTACTGAGTTACTGTGCAAGGCTCGCGGTTCTGACCCTGGTGGAACTTAATAGGTAGCTGCTTACAAGTCTGCGGCCTGCAGCCTAATTGAACTGTGGCGTTGCGCCACATCACGTGGATTGCCAGGTTGTCCTTGCTTTCCCGTGTGATGGTGGGTCCTGCAACGCGTCTAGCCACTCTTCCCTCTTGAGGGAGCCCAATTTCTCTCCAATCATCCCCGACATTCTGGAACCTGATGGCTCTTTATGCCCCCATCCTTGGTGCCTGTTTTATAACTAGTTTACTGACTATTGATGAATTTCACAGTTTTGGTACGATTGCGTGGCAGGAGCGGCCATCGGTTCAACCTTCGCCATCTCCAACTGCCGTATGGTCTATCCCCCTCTGTTTGGAACTTCCATCATATCCCTCCGACAAGACACCCTCCATTCTCATACGGGGCAGGAGCTGCTGATGCAGGATGCTTTTAAAACTGCAGTCCTCACTCGACGAGCCGGTTGGGGACATGGCGAAGCTTTGCAGAGAAGCTCTCTTCGATGCGGTCCATGGTTTGAGAGGACAAGGTGCTGGATTCGGCACCGGAACTGCAGGCTTGCGCTCGAATTCCCCTCATCTCGTTGGAAAGAGAGACGGTGATGTAGAACGCAACACCGGGCTGCAGGCACAAATACCTATACAAATAGAACATCCCCTTCGCATGGAGCGTATGCCGGTAACCCTCCTACAGTAGCCGTACCAGACGGCAGATATCTCCACTATCACAGCAGCACGGAGCGTAAACTGGTTCGTACTGACGGTATGAGTTCTACCTCGCCACGGGCTTCTAATGTAGCTGGCCTTCAGGGTGTAGGGTGCTCTTTGTGAAGCAATCAGGACATTGCTCAGGAACAAATCACCAATGCTCAATGCAGGTAAATACGACCATGGTCTCGAATGAATTTCTATGACTCTAACCCATCGTCTGAGATAATACGCTTGTATTGTAGCGGGGCGCCACGTGAAAACAGACATGGGTGGGCAGAAAGCTGGGGAGTGCATCGAGTCTTTCTGAGTTGGTTCGACACACAGATACACACAGCGGAGAGACAGAACATGGAGGAATCAAGCAATTAGAGCTTCACGTGTGGTTGCTCAATGATCCTGGCACCGACATCCTCCTGTATGACAGGCACTCAAGTGCTAAACCGTTCATCACCTTTACAGTATATCTATATTTCAGTCTACCTCGTAGATCTATTCTGTCCTACCGTGCTCACTTTGGCTTGCCGTCACAATCTAGTTCATCTCCCTTCGATCTTCACCTTGAACGCCTCAAAAATAACATCCTCCTGCTCCTTCGTTGTCAACTTCAACTCGACATCCCCTTTCCTACCCGTCCGGACCTCTTCCTCTGTCACCCACACATATGCTTGGTGTTCGTTGGGATCGAGGCGAACCTCTAAATGTCCGTCTGCAGAATTCTCAACCTCAACTATGAAGTGGAACTTGCAAACGGCCCTTCCGCTCCTTGTAAGAAACAGCTTTCCCTCGCCAACGGGAGGCCCGATGCTCGCTGCAAATAGTCCGGTTTCTTCCCACAACTCGCGCGCGACGCCGTGCAAGATACTGGGGTCTTCTTCGTCGCATGCCCCCCCGGGGACTTCCCACCGCAAGGGCATGGAGTCGTGCACGGCGCGTTGGATTAGTAAGATGTGGTCGGAAGAGTCGAAGACCAGCGCACCAGTAGCGACGTGTTGGTAGTAAATAGTGTTATAGGGGTGGTTAGATGTGTATGTTTTAGTCGGCACCGAGAATGGTGAGGCTAAAGGGTGGACTGTGAAGGAGATTGTCGGGCAGGATGGTTTCTCGTCGGACATCTTTATCTTTGATTGGATTGCTTTCTTTCTTGAAGAATGTTTCTTCTCACAAGGAGACCGACATATAGAAGGCTCGTCAGACAATTAAGCTGGCTTACTATAGAATTGCTGGCAGCTCAAGCAAAATAAAAACTGCTCGCACACGTTCCTTCTGCGGCTATGGGTAGGCGAAATGATGCTACGGACGAACTATAGGTTCGAGCTGCGGTTGATAGTTACGATCAAACTTGGGCTACAGAAGCAGTATCACGTGCCAAAAGTCCTGGCATGACCCAAGCCAAGCCGCTGTAACCACTTATATCGTTTGATTTTATCACAAACTGCGACGCTAAGTCAATGTGAAATGCGGGATTTCTGGCAGGCCTGTCGTCGCGCCAATTGGGTGCTTTGGTTGTGGTGACCACAAGGCTGTTGCTGCCTGGTCACGCCTCTCTCCGAACCCTTGATAGCAATAGTAGGTAACCTCCCTCCGTCACGATATCACTTAAGCATTAGGTTGGTTTAGTCTTATCTAGGTCAACCGTGGCATACTGTTGAGTACTGTTTCTATCCTACATGGACGAGAAACCTCGTTCACATGAAGAGGCCGAGGGTCACATCAAGCGAATTCGGAGAAATCGGGGCTTTGTCGATGATGGCGAGGCCAACTTCACGAACGTTAACCGTGAAGACCTCGAGGCATCCATTTCCATGTACTATACCCATTCCTTACATTGGTCCCCCCTGGATACTTGACATATGAAGACAAGTGGCTAACTCAATTAACTCCCAGCCTCGCTGAAGGGCTCTACGAAAAGTCAACGCACTTCTTACTGGAGCTCATACAAAATGCTGACGACTGTTCATACGATATACAGACGCCCAAATTGCTGATCAGGTATTGGAATGGTCGTCTTCGCATTGACTATAATGAGGTGGGATTCACTCGGCGGGACGTTGAGGCACTCTGTAGAGTGGGTCGAAGTACAAAGTCCAACTCTGGAAATCAAATTGGCGAAAAGGGAATTGGCTTCAAGTCCGTCTTCAAAATCGCCGACGTCGTCTCGATATCCTCTGGCTACTACTCGTTCAAGTTCGACAGGACGACAACCAACCTGGGGATGATCACACCCCAATGGGACACATTTCCTGCAGAGCCACTTCCCGGGTTCACTTCAGTAATGCTACAACTACGTGACGGCTATGACCAGACGGAACTACTTAACGAGATGAGATCAATGGACCCGAGATACTTGTTGTTTCTGAGAAAATTGAAGGAAATCTACATTGCAATATCACATCCGGATCGGCCCGAGTGGGAAACCACTCTACGCCGACGCGACGATCAAGCCAGCGATGAATCTCGGCGGACGACAACCTTGAGTCATGATGATCAGTCTATGACTTACTTGGTCCGTCAATATATCGCGAGTTCACTACCGTATGAGCCAAAACGCGGTGGGCGCAAGAAGTCCTCGATTTTGTTGGCATTCCCGTATACCAATACTCAAAGGGACAAACTTGAGTCACAGCAGGTCTATGCATTCCTTCCAATACGCGATTACGGTTTCAATGGAAGTATATGGCACTATGGTGTACTCTCTGTTCATGTACTGACTGAATGATAGTTTCTCATTCACGCCGACTTTCTGCTCACCGCGAATCGCGGGGATATCGACAGCTCATCCCAATGGAATACCGCACTTCGCGAAGCCATTCTGGATGCATTCATGGAAGATGCTCGGCACTTCCATGACACGCCATTTCGCTATACCTGGCCTAGGTACATACCTGAAAACACGTCTACATTTGACTTCTTCTGGAGTTTCCGTACTGCACTAGCCGAGAAGCTTCGTGAAAGTGCCACGGTCGAATCCGAGGATGGACAGCTAAGGACACCGACCACGGTCAGATATGTACCGAAACAATTCCGCGATGAAAGCAACATGCATCTAATTTTAAGCGAAACAACAAAATCGACATACTTGTCCCACAAGTATTCCGAGTCCGATCGTAAGCGTCTCAAGAACATTGGAGTCACCACGCTATCTGAGAAAGAGTTTCTTCATGATCTCAAAGAGTCTCTCGCGGCCCGTAACGTTTCCATGTCCGAAGAATGGCACTCCAATGTCGCGAAAGCCCTGCTTCCATTAATCTCCAATTTCGAACGGGAAATATTCGATCTCCCTCTCATTCTGTTGGGCGACGGGCGCCGGGTGACAGCCTCTTCAGGCACAGTATTCTTCCCAGGAGACAGAATAGATCATGCTGTTCCACCAGGCATTGAGGTATTTGAGGTTCAACGAGACATTCAAAACGATCCCAATTGTGAGCGGCTTTACACCAACCTCCGGGTCAAGCCGTTTTCCGTTCCGGCTGTTCAAGCACTGATTTTGAAGAAGCACTCAAATAAGTTATCAGAACCAGAGCCATCTCGATCCGAGTTGTTATTGCAAGCACTCTTTCTCTTTAGGTCGGAGTGGAGGAAGCAATCCAGCGAAGTTCAATTTTGGGTCACCACAAGGACTGGAACACTACGTCGTTCACGCGAGGTGTATGTTGATACGGATGAGAATTACTCGGCATCTCGATATCTGGAAAGAAATACCGAGAAGTTTTCGTTCTTGCACAGGAGCTATTACAAAGAAATTGCTTCAGACGAACTTCCGGCGTGGATAACTTGGCTGCACGAACAACTCGGCATGTGGAAGGTTCCCCGTCTTGTCAAGGATTCTCGCAATAACCTCGACCCAGAGCTGTCAGAGGACTTTCTCTATATACTCCAGAAGCACCCTTCCCGGCAGTTTTTGGTGCTCCTAAAGGAGAATTGGTCGATATACTCTCAGGATACTCCTCAGATTTCCCAAAACCAGCTCACAACTCTGCGAGCTCAATTAGCGTCAGTGCCTGTCACTTGTCGGGATGGCAAACAGCATGTGTTAGAAACCACATCCACGGGGTACTCCTTACCCGAGGATTTCCGTTCGGAATATTCATTCCTTCAACCGGTGCTTGACATACCGAACCCGCAAGACCACAAATGGACGTTTCTGAAAATGTTCGGAGTCACCGTCAACGACGATCTTAACACATATCTTGGGATCTTAAACAACATTCAAGGCCGTGAGGTCTCGGTCGAATTTGTTCATTGGCTATACGACGGGATTCAGGGTCGAATCGAAGATAATCCAACCCTTGTGCGGTATGTTACTGATCGATCCCACTATAAAGCAGGCAAAGATTCATTCAGGGCAGTGAACTATTCATGCAGAACGACTACGTTTACATACCGTGTTCCTCCACCAATGATCCTCCACGTTGGGTCGCAGTGAGCGACTGCGTGTGGACCGGCCCCAAATGTCTCACACAGTCTCTTGAGCTTAGCAACATTCATCCAGACCATAGAATACTCTTTGTGAAGTATCTCAATGTCCAGGATGCCGGACTCGAGACTCTGATATCGGAAGCGAGAGCCATCACATCTTCGGCTCTGCTATCCCGCATCACTGACATTTTCAAGGAACTCAACAAAATCTTACCAGACTCGATTTCTACCGAGGCTACGAATGCAATCCGGAGCCTTCTTGCACTAAAAATCTTTCCGCTTGACGAAGGAGGTGATTCTGATGCAGGCTTTGATGAGCTCTCCTCTGGCACGACCGAATCTGAATGGTACATCGCCGATCGACCACACCTTCGGCAGTGCTTCCAAGGTGTGGTGTCTTTACTCGCTCTCACTGTGGAAGACGTGCAGGCAACCAGACGGCTGATAGGTACACTGAATTTACAAAATAGACTACTCTCCGAGGCTGCGAAGGAAAGTCGCAAAATTCATGGAGGTCGGGCACGAGGCAAGGAGACCGACATGGTGTATCGTGGAAAAACCAAGTTTTTCGATCGGTAAGTCCCTTCAGCGGATTTCTTAAGCCCAAGGAGGGCGTTGTGTTTAGTTTCTGGGCGGAAATTATTACTAAACCTCTACTCTGAACCAGCTTGATGCCCGAATCTATACCACGAAGACAGGAAATTCTGTTCCAGTTGGAGAACATGGAAATTTGGCACGCGGACAAGATCCTCCTAGGGTGGAGCGTCGAGACAATCGGTCCTACATCAGGTGGAGCCCCTCAAGAAAGTTTGTTCGATGACGATGGTCTCCAAGCACTGGTGATGCTTCCAACAGAAGCACAAGCGCTGAGAATATACCTCAGAGACGAGCACAATTCATCCTGCCTACCTCTAGAACTAGCGGAGCAACTAGCAGCCTTCTGCCAAGTTCCGGAGCACGTGGTGCTGATATACTTCATTTTGAGCCAAGAGAATTCCTCCCGTATTGAGGATGCTCTTGATCGCCGAGGGTTCCCAAAGACAAGAGAAATGAAATCACGGGTGGCTAATGCTACGCCATGTTCGGCCACACCAGAGGGGAATAAAGAGGGCGAAGATGGCACGAGTGAACGGAGCTCAGCAAGTGCGGAAGGACCCCAAGTTTCCAAAGCTCCCGGCAGAAATTACGCAAAAATATGGATTGGTGGGGATGACGAACAGCGGGAAGATGAGGAGCCACAGTTGAACATTGTTAGTGACGATGAGGAGGCCAAAAGTGACATTGACCAGCATAAATCTCCAGGTGAAGGTCTTCTGGCTTTGAAATCTACGGACAATCAAGCCACTGAGAGCCGGCACACCGGACCGGCGGCTTCAACAAAGCTAACGGCGAATGGCGAACATACTGTCCCTCAGTCAAACACCGCCAATCCAACACCACCCAAGGAGAGCACGTCAAGGCGGCCAAATTATATCGCTCTCGATGATGCTCCACGAATGAGAGAATATGTTCAGACTCGAGGACAGCACTCAAGACGGAAACGTAAACCACTGATTGCCGCCGATTCTCGTGGTATTGAAAAATTTGAACGGCCAAGGATTGTTAGTTCTACCATCGTCTTTGTCCCAAACTCTCAGGAATTGCCGTCGGAAAATTTCTCCAATCGAGCACCGGAAGGGATGATACTTCCCGGGCGAGCACAAATCTCCCAATCAGGAGACTGTACAATCTTTCTCGCAGTTGAGCCCGCTAACAAGATCGACACTTATACCGAATTTCTCGGAGAGCTTTACGTGAGTATCTTTTGTATATATTCATTGAGGGAACAGTTCTCACTAGTGCGACCAGGTGTCCAAACTCCTCGAGAAGTATCTCGGAAGAAAATACGATCCATATGCTCAATGGACTAGTCAATATCGCCACCTGGCAGGGTATTCGCCTTTTGAAACGGAGAAGCGGTCCATGGCGACGTTCACACTTTACGACGGATCCGCAATGACGGAATTCCTCATTCAGTCGGGTTCCGGATGGAGGTGGAATGGCAATTATCCACTTTACCACATTTTGGTAAAGACTACAAATGGTGGGCAAGAATCTCCGTTTACGATGAGTACCGAAGAGATGGAAATGGTGAGCTTCGACATCATCATGTGCTATTAGTTTTCTAATTAATGTACTTGCATACCTAGATCCGTACACATCGAGTGCCCGAAGACAAGCGCCCATCACAAGTCCTCATCCTTGTCAGGGTGTTTGACATGCGGTCAACTGCCAGCGCATCGTTCTTTGTAGATCCATGGAGCATGTATGCCTCCGGTGGGATGCAGATTGATGCCCAGAACGACTCCTATACCGCTAAGATCCGCCTAGCTTCACCTCATCTTCTATTCAACAACTTCGAAATCGGTGAAGTTTCCGTTACCCGCTCATTCAGAGACACCTTCCATTTCTTCACATCTTACTTGCGAGATTCGGGCGAGTTATGGACTCGGATAATGCTCCAGAGCGACGAACGGAAGTACACCTATAAACCCCTCCAAAAAGGCTCCTTCATACGCTTGTTGAGGCTCTATCCCGGAAATGGCCAGGAAGAACTGAAAGGCGAACTGAAACGCGTGTCGCTTGAAAGCGCCAAGTCCAAAAATCCATTCGTGGCGTTATCTTACGCCTGGGGCAATGGCTTGAAGCCCTTTGTTCTCGATATCGGAGGGACGAGAACCATAAGGATTACCGCTTCTCTATATTTCGCCTTGAAACGGCTGCGAGAAGAGAAAAGGTCCATCCTCGTATGGGCAGATGCAATCTGTATCGATCAAAACAATGACCATGAGAAAGGCCACCAAGTGCGTTTGATGTCGACCATCTACAAGTCGGCCCTGCGTGTGTGCGCTTGGTTGGGGAATGAAGCAGACCAAAGCAATTCGGCTATAGATTGCCTTTGTGCCATCAAAAGGGCATCCCAATCCTCGAATCAGGCGGCCACAGTGCCGTTGCCTTCGGCGGAAAATCCAGTGTGGGATGCTATAAACAAGTTTTTCGAGCGCGATTGGTTTCGAAGGGTCTGGATCGTCCAAGAACTCGTTCTTGCACCGCACATTATCTTGTTATGCGGTAGCCGAAAGTTTCAGTGGGATGATATTTACATCCCGGCGACGTTGTGTTCAGTAGAAGCAGAGAAGTCAAACGCTGCTCTCATGAAGTCGGTTTCTCAGACCATGGCGCCCGTGCTGAGCCTGGGGAGGTTGAGGAGCGTATGCCACGGCAAGGATAACAACACGGCCCAGCGGGGACTGCTCACCCTGTTCAAAGATTTCGAACATACGAGATCGTCACGTCGTCGCGACAAACTGTTTGCCTTTCTCGGGTTGGCTTGCGATGCTGACGATTCAGGCTTCGACCCGGACTACGTGGCACCGCTCGAGGCCGTTGTGCGAAAATATGCAGGTGTCTTTGTCCAACGTGCGAAAGGAATGGAACTCTTATATCATGCAGGTATCACCGATTTGGAATCTGCCACTCGTTTTCCTTCGTGGGTGCCAAATTGGGTGACGACCACCTACCCGAGGACGATCACCACCTGGAAGAGCAAATCTGGGCGATTCACGGCGGGTTCTCATCTTGAGGATGATATCAAAGTGTCACCACAAAACGATGCTATATTGACCGCCACGGCTTACATTGTCGACCGAATCGCTCAGGTGGGGCAGACCTCCTTTGCCGCATCGGACCGAATCATATACCTGAAAGAGGTCTTCAGTGTCATCGAATCAATCCGTACCTACCCGACCAAAGACAACCTGAAAGATCTAGTCTGGAAAGTCCCCATCGGAGACGCTCTCCATCCACCTTCAGGGAGTTGGAACGAAGTCGATTTCTGCGTGTCATACCAGGCTCTCGCCGAGTACTTGCAGCTAGGCGACGAAACCACCGACTGGAACGCCGAATTCAGCAAGATTCGCGCTGTTGCCAAAATGAAACAGTTTCTGTTCCGACCCCAGGAATTGAGACGGTTCCTGTGGCCTTATCTTTTCACCGCACAGGAGTTTGCGGAAAGGTTCGTCGACGCGAAGGTGTGCATTACAAAGAAGGGATATGTTGGTATTGTACCCGGAGCAGCCCGTGTGGGCAGTCTGGTCGCCGTGTTCTACGGTAGTGCAGTCCCGTTTGTTATTGATGAGAATGAGTACTTTCGACGGTGTTATCGGCATATAGGGGAGTGCTACATTCACGGAATCATGCATGGAACTGAGAATCGGGATTCTGGATTGTTCCAAAGCCTTCCGGTGAAAGTTGTCCACCTATGCTAAGCACAGCGGCGATAATGTGGGATGTTCGAAATCGATGGCTGCAGTGCTTCCTTTTTGCACAACTACTATGAACCTGACCATTAACCTCAATGGTTCGCCTCAAGAACATCTGCATCGACCACAACAACGGTGTTGTCATTGACGAGAATCACCCCATTTTCTTCTTTTCCTCGACCAGTTCCTACTCCCTTTGTACCAACACAATCGACTCTCTGTTGTTGACAAAACATGTAACTTCACACTGATGTCACCACCCCGTTCCCAAAAGAAGGCAAGCCGCGAGCGGGTCTTCTACAACTTGACGCACACCCATTGAAGGACTGGCTGCCTAATTACGCTTCAGCTAAGAAACGCCATTGGGGGGCTAAAATTGCCTTTTTTTTTTTTTTTTTTTTTAAACTAGGAGGCCTTTCCCCTCCGCTTTTCCTGATGAGATGGGATTCCAATTCCTTCGTCCTAGGCCCTAGCAGGGCCCTTGAGACCATCTGTCCCTGCAACTATGCAAGTTAAACCAACCGCTGCAATGCGAAGCAGTGGATTTTGGTTCAGGAAATTCTCGGTCGTCGATCCGATCAGCACCTGTGCCTCATCCAGCGTGGCTAGGCCCGCACCAGTATGCGGTTCAAGGTGATGGCCAGTAAAAAACTTGAGTGCATCGCTGAAAGATGAAGATTATACGGAACGGATGTGATCACAACCACCATCCCCTGCCAAATACGGTGGCAGTTAACCTTGCGGTTTTCGGCCCCGTGATCATCCACAATCCACCCTTGCTGGGTTACAAAGGACAGTTATCTACAAATGCTTTGCGGTTTGCTAGAAAATCCTATCAATCCCGCTTTTCGACTGCTGCTTAGACTGTCTTTTCCAAAATACCCAGCGAGATATTCCCGGCCAACGTTCTAAGAATTTCTACTGCCGTGCATCTAGGATATCTAGTCACTCTCTTAGGAACGTCGCCGCCATGAGCAATTCTCAAATACGATGGTCCCACAGAACTTCAACTGGAAGATCAACCACTTTCCAGATATGTGTCGAGTACCTCAAGGTCTTCACACGGTCTTTGCGGTTACACATCATCTGGCAGTTGACTCCCAAAAGCTTCAAGGCGGAACAGCCGAAAGTGGCTGTCTACCACGACCATAAAGCATCGATCCTTCGATCTGCTGTCCATTTGATTCCGCTGGGCGGCGCCCTGGCCCTGGTGATATTGAACGCGACTGGGATTGTTTTCAGAGATTACTCTCCGACTTCAAGCACGGGCATCCAATTTGCCGCCAAGATCTTGGAGATTTGATGCAAGGCTCCCTCGCAACCACCTTTCTCGGGGTGATTCGACACGAGCTGCTGAGCTCCAGAAGCCTGCCCCTGGGAAGCTTCTTTCGCCCTTTGCAAGCAACCGGTATCTCGTTCCTTTGGTCAATTGATCTCTGGGGAACTCTGACCGGCAAATGGCTCGGAAAGCGTCGGAAAATTGTCCTCTTTCTGGTCACATATGTCATGGTCATCCTTGCCGCCGTCGTAGGACCTTCCGGAGCCGTCTTGATGATCCCTCGCTTGATCACCACGACGGACGCCAAATACCTGGTGTTCTTCGACAACGCAACCGCCTTGCTCCCTCAGCGAATAGGTCTCTCCAATACACTGCACGGAGCTTAGAACGTCGACGCCCTTCTCGTTTCTGCCCCGTATCAATAGAGCCCTAATTGATTCATCGACAGTGACGACTCCATCTTCGAACAGGCTCTGAATCAGCTAGAAGGAAGCCGAGTCATATCCGACGGCGAGCGCACGAGCTACACCTTCTTAGATGGGCGGGGAAAGCGAACCGCATATTCGGGCCCATCCAACGTCACGGCGTCTGTAGCTTCTATCCCCGGCGGTATGATTATCAGCACACTGGAGAACTGGATCGTGGAAAAAGGCAGAGCCCAGGCTCTGGTCACATCGTTCTATCAACCACTTGTCAGTATGAGCTGTGGGTCGAATTCCTATGACACGAAAACAAGAGTGCCATTCAGAGAACAAGTATTTGCCTTTCAATTCATCCAATCTTCCAACTCGACCAGCTCATCACCTAGGCGGACGTCTTCAGCCGGAGCCGCTCACTGAATTTTAACTGCGCAGCCTCCTATGGCGCCCTGTTTGGATGGCCCACTCCTCCCTCTTCAGACCACTAGCACTCGGCCCTATTCGTCATCGGCCAGGACCGGATCACGACATAATACGGCGCCACTGCTTACACCGCATGGGATATCCAGGCTTGCATCATCGACGCGGTATGGGCCGAAGCTCACTACAACTCGACGAAAACGACCGGCTTCGTGACGACCAACATCAGCGGTATCTTCAACGATCAGAAAAACTAGCAACCACCCAATGCTCACATGTTGATCGAACCGGCATCCGCTAAAAATATGACCTAGTCGTACCTCAATACCGTTCAACCTTTGAGTCTTAACTCTAGCTAGAGAACATGTTCACTCTCACTTTGGCCCTGGGTTTGTCGAATGTCTGGCCAATCGGGGCACACCAATACGAAGGTGTTAATGGGTTGCCGGCGAAACAAGCCGATGCGATGACGAAACATCTTCGAGAACATAATTTGCATGGCTATGACGAGATATACTTCTCATATCCGCCAACGCAACCACCCTCTTCAGCTTGCCAATCGGGTCCATTCACTGACACGGGATCACAGAAGGACATGGTGTTGCCGTTGAAATTTCCGGCCTGACATCTGCAGCATCCCTGGTAGTAACCCATTCGCAGACTCTTTTCAAAGAGTTGTCCAGATTAGGGGTAAGGTCCGGAACAAACCAGCCATCGTCATCAACATTTTCGTCATCCAAGTCCAGGATTGGCCATCCCGCAGCCCCTGACATCCCCACAAGACGTTGGAGGACCCATTGCATCTCGAAGAGTTCCACGCTCGGTAACGGCAAATTTTCGGGGTCTTTGGTAGTGAGAGTAACCAGCTCTCCGGAACGAATAGCGCGCAGGGAGCCATCATCTTCAAAGCGAGTCAACCAATGTCCGTTTGCGACGACTTCCAAGCCTTCCGATGATGTGGGTTCCGTAAGCAAATCGATCCGGCTTGCCATGTCATAGTTGCTAGGAACCTGCCAGAAGAATTGAACGGTAAGCTCTTTGCGATCGCTTGAAAGTCTCAACGGCTTCAGCGCGAACAATCCCTTGGTCCACTTCACATGAACGCTGGCATCAAGGGAGATGAGATTGAAGCATCGGTCGATACCAGTATTAGGATTCTGAGAATCTTGAAAGATCGTCTCTTTCCATTTCTTGATCCGATCCTTGTCCCAGAAGAGATGTAACAACTTCCAAAAATCAGGGATCATCTTGGAGGTTTGGCTTCGGCTGCCTTGTAGCGGTGAATTGAGCATACTGTAGGGGAATATATGGGCTTCCCGAGGTAATAGCTGATTCGTCAGGACGCATTTGTAATCATCTCGCTCTTTGCACTGTATTGTTAGACGGGAGTATGCTGGAAAATATTCACTTACCTTGTCCGCCTGAATCGCTGACCGCTGCACCCATGACTGTCCGTTAGCATTCAGTTTGCGCTTCTTTGCACCCCCCGAACGTTGCGAAACTGCCTCTGACCCTGAATCCTTAAATCTCTGGCTCCCTGTTCACAGTGAGCATATCTATAGTCACACTATAAAATTCTGGCAACTCACATTTTAACGGTAGGAGAACCAACGGTTCATCATACCCAAGAACCACCTCCGGATTCACCTTGGCGATAACCAGCAATTGGTTCAATTGGTTCATATCGGCGAGCTGAAAGCAAGCCCAGAAAGCAGAGGAGACAGGAGCGTCGCCGATCGCCTCCTTAACTTGGGTCAGGAGCTGGGTGCGCTCTGGTGAGCGTATGTTGTAATCCTCACTGTTGAAGTCGATTTCAGGGGCTGTTGCCTTGGTCATTCTCTTTCTTGTTTCCTTGGGGCTTTTGGGAGATCCCTTTTTGGATCTCTTCTTTGAAGAAGGGGCCATTGTAAACTGTTTTGTACCCTTACGGCCGAAGTGGACGAGCAGAAATAGATGAGTCACATCGGAGCAGGGTAACAATCGCGTCAGGGCGTGTGGTTACAGGTGGGGTCGAAGGTGCAAGGCAGAAAAAGTAATTGATACGGTCGATACTATGAGTCGTGATTGTGTTCAAGGGTCGCAGGGCTCGCACGCGGTGGCAGCGGAGGGCGGGTGCAGGCGTAGCCGACGGTGGATGGTTCCAGTTGTGTCATATGAAGTAGAGTAGGAGCGCCGGTAGTGCCAAAATGGATGAGGGAGACGTCGACGTCGACATCAGAGACGATGGAGGAGGTTTCTTACGGTAGAGCCAGACATTTGTGATTCCGGCTAAGACGCCAAGAACGGCGCTTGTAAAAACGGCCGCGATTGTTCACAAATTAGGCTAGTCTTCAACACACTTTTTCACGCCTGTACCGCGCACAGCTGCAAAAACCATTTTCCATTCTGGCAAAATGCGAATTTTGTTCGTCGAGCTTCGCTGGTAATTTCCTCCTGCGCAACCTCTTCCATTCGTGCCTGGCGAGTGTCGTTGTCTTCAGCCTACATACTGGCGAATTCATCTGCCGATCAAAGTAGTTGCGAAGAAAGCCAATGATGAACTAAATCGGGATCGACGCCCCTATTTGAAAATGCTCCAACGAAGGTGGTGAACAGATCTGCAAAGCAGCACCCAAGCATCTCATTGTTGGAGAACCCAAGCTGGGGATAGGGATAGCTCATGGGGATCTTACATACGTGTCTTTTCATAAGGGGATCAACGAACAGGGTTTTATCTCTGAATATGTCGGCGTTCCCCATATCAACTGGAGCAACTAGGCCGGGGACCCATCGCGAAAATATAGTACTATTCTTGGGCTTTTTGTGCTGCCCAATGCCCCTGACTCTTTGCATCCTTTTCACAGCAGTTTACTATTACAGGAGTCCGCGCTCACCTCATCTTAATTTCTATGCGCGAGTCTGGTATGGCGGACACAGCCGTTTGCAAGATTGCGATTCCATGAAAAGTAGTGGTTCGTTCGTGAAGACATGAACTCCCGGGATAGGTGAGACCTCATTCGATCGAAGAATTTTCCAATGGACATATTTCTTCCCTTTCCCTCAGATCGATTGTGTTCTCTGGAAACTTGCGGTATCTTCGGCTCTCCGTTCTTGTGGTAACTTCCAGGTCCCTACCAGAAGTTACGGATGCTATTTTGGGAGCCTGGGTACATTGTCTATTGGAGGACGAAACATGTAATGCTGACTCATTCGCTGAGAGAATTTCTTTGACTCTTTGAACCAACAAAGTCGAGCCAGACAGGTTCACAAGATTCCGACAACCAGATCTCCATTCAATGATGCCTGTACGCGCAGGTCGACCTCGAGATTCAACTTGACATGGATCTTGAGGCTGCCAGAGACTTCCTCCACTTCCTGTTTCGTCAGGCCACGGACTGGTCGTCCATTACCTCGATCGCTGGGATTACGAATCTGTTGAAGCAGCTGGGAATTTGTCGGCATTGTTCTTTGCGGCGCTCTGTCAACTGGTTTGTTGTGGACATCCTCGTTGTCGCTTTCGGCGGCTTGATTGTTTTGGCGACCACCAGGAGCGGTGTCAGAGAAGCCACTATCGGATTGCCTGGAACCAGTAAGCGATGATGCAAATACATCGTCATGCAGCGCAGAGTTGGCAAAGCAAAATAAGAGAAAGGGGACATGGTTTTAAATAGGCTCTGTCACAGAAAGGGACATACTTATCCTGATGATCTGCCATGATCATTGAAACTGCTCACGCAATATGTGCACGTAGGATAGAATTATTTTTAAAACAACCTATCCCTTTTATTCTCTTTCGCTTGTGTGAGGTTTCAATATCGGTCCCGGGAAGGAGAGAGGGGGGGAGGTATTTTGCTATTCTGGCATAGAACACGACCGGTTTCGCAAGTCGGCTAGTACCACCTGCATGACAAAGTTTGATGTCATTTGACCTCAACTATTGTCCCATGGGTCTCGGTCATGCAGGACCTCCCACTTTTTTGACGTTAAATTTACGTCAATCCATGGGGTACCTCTTGTTGAAGAGTAATGTTCCAGCCCCACTTACAAGAATTTCAGCTCCACTGCACTCGAATTCAATAGTGTTCCCGGTTCAAGGCTGCTCCCGGTGAAACATCTAGACGGGAGATCGCCACATCCAGATCTAGATTCGAGGTTCAAGCCTTCATATCCCCAGCACTTTCCCTCCCGTTCTCTTCAATCTGGCCTATGTGCGGCCGGCCTTCTCTTTGTGATCCAGGCGAATCAGCTCCACCTCAATGACAGGTTTGCCATGAGCTTTGTCTCCTAGACCGTTATCGTCCCTGTCAAAGTATAATGCCCATTGACCAGGTTCTTCTTCCACGACCACAAACCCTTCCCATCCTTCAAAGGACAGGCGTTTCTCGCCATCTCTGGAGAAAACTAGTCCCATAGGTCCGGTCAGTTGGGGTTCTGCTTCTGCGCGGATGCCGTGTTTGACACGATGTGTTGATGATTCGATATACACCCAGTTTAGGAAGTTTTCGTCATTGACGGTCGTAACAAGTCCATCGTATGACTTTTCAGGATACGGTAGGAAGTATGCAGTAAACGGATGGTAATCCCCGTATAGCTTATGGTCAAGAACAAGCCGGCCGTCTCTGAGGACTAGCACCCTGTCCGCGAGCTCTTGCCTTCTTTTCGGGCTCATCCTCCTCGACGCCCTAACAGAAAAGTTGCATTTTTGTGTCTTGATCTCTGTTTCGCCTCGGCTGGAAGTGTTGTTTGCTTGATCTGATAACTGCATTGTCGATGTTGCGAGCAATGGCACTGTGGCCGCCAGGGTGATGAGTGAGAGCACCATCTTGGGGACTGTGCTACTATCATCGATAGTAACTCAAGCAGAAAGGACTGGCTGATTGGGCACCCTTAAGCCAATTCTTCTTCCCCCACCCCTTGCATATTCGGCAAAGGTCATCCTTCCATGACCCCAACACACGGCAGTGGCCTGGTCCGTAATCTGCATGACAATGCCATACGTCATAGGTGTCTTGTGATCCTTGATGTCCCCTGTCGTCCACTTCCGTTGTCATTGACCAACGGCTTGGTGCCTAGAAGACCTCTCCTCCTAAGTCCATGTTTCCTCATGGTCCACCATACGCCCATTCAGAAACGGACCACTGTATTCGGGACTCCAGTCCCTCTTGTCTGATCTGACAAGTCCTTATATGTACAAATGGGCTCCTTTTGAGGAAACTGATCTTCATCTCGACAAGCCCAAAACAGAGTTACTTCGACTAAACATGGGCAAAATCTGTACTGGAAATACTCCAGGATCGATGTCCTTCTCGCATTTAACTACGTTACGGACCTAGCGGAACCACTGTTCAAGAAGCCTCAGCATCTCCTGTCATCTCATCGTGCCGCCGAGAATCCAAGAGGACCATTCCTACAGACGATATGACCTCAAAGAGAGTTCCAAAGAATGTGAAAGGACGTACCAACATCATCATGTGGAGAATTCTGAGTGCTTGTCAGTCCTAGTTATCTCCCAGTTCCCCAAAGAGCAGCAGCTGACACCTGTTTCCGCCTCCAAAACAGACAGCCAGAATCTCAAACCCCGGTAGCGCCATGCCTGTGGAAGCCGGGGATGAAGGAGATCTACGCCGATTAGATCGACATCTACTGTCTCTAGCCCGCTCGGCTGGGCTAACGATGCGAGTCCAAGGGGACATTGTGAACAAAATCCCATGACCCCAGTTTGAACTTCCACTGAATCAGTCAGCTACTCATCTACGATGAGTGATGTTGTCACAGTTCGGATCAATGATCCTATTTGTGGATAATGGGATGTCGTCTCGAAAACTATATAGTCTGACGGTCCCCTGGACCCCTTTGAAATAGGACCAGTTCTCCGTAAAATCACAGGGGACAGATTAAGTAACACATCTTCAAGGACGTGGATTCCCGGCATGTGAACCTGACCCGATGTACTCAGCCACGCTTCGCTTGTGCGACATCTTCTGTCAAAAATTCAGTGGTATACATTGATTGTTGTCGAGTGTGTTGAGTGCTCTGTCTGTTTGACACTGGTCCTACCAGCATATATACACGTTTGGCTGGCTCCTTTTCTACTCCTGTTCCTACCCCTATATCCCGAACAGGAATAATAGCCCCCTTCCAATAACGGGGCACTTAGCAACTTGTTCAACAGTATGTCCCTTCTATTTACGTCTCCAACAACAGACAACGAGCACGGCGACGGCATGGCTCTCTTGTAGATTGATTCTTCTCAAAGATCGTTGAGTGTGTGTGGTCTCTCCATGCATGTGATGGAACGCTGTTAGGGGCGTGCGGGGCTTTGGGTGCGTCGAGTGTTCAAGGCTGGATGGGACTAGGGGTAAGTTAGAGCGGCGACGTTCACCCGCTAGAACGGTAAAGTGGGCCGAAGTTCCAAGAAATCTGGAATGTCGTTTAAATGTAATGTTACGGCCAAAATAGACACTAGAACAGCGTCCATGTTGGTATCAAATGCCTCATGGTAATCCTTCCTTGAGTTTTCCATTCATCTCAAGGAGCATACATGAATGTGAGAGCACCGTAGTGCAGCTACGGAAGGAGCCTGAAAAGCCGGTTAAACCTGCCAGGTAGCCATTCAAATTCAGATTCTGGCAGGATCTTCCAAAGACAGATATCGTCTAGTTCTTCAATGCACGAGAAAGAGTTTTACTGGTGAAGGCTCTCATCAAGGCTGTCCGCATTGTCTTCAGGCGTGGACTCTCCCACAATGGCAGAGGATGCATCCCAAACTCACTCTTCGGACCCGTCGGTCGACCTAGAAACCCCAAGCGACAATCGACGAAAAAGAAGAAGGACTGCTCATGCGGTGGGTCGTCTCCTTGGTAAAGAGAGTCACTCTAACGTGATTTCAGTGTGATCGTTGCAGGACCAGAAAGACACGGTATGAGTCCAGTCTCTGTGCCGAGTGCTTGATTATAATCTCAGGCTGTCCAGATGTGACGGGCGAACCCCATCATGCTCCACCTGCAAATCGTCCAACCTGGAATGTACATACGCCATGGAAGCCATATCAAAAGGAAAGAGTGATCTCATCCTGGCCTCCGTCCTCCGTATGGAGAGATTTCTGAAACAGATGGACTCCAAAATAGTAAGCCATAGGCTTCAAAATGCCTTTTCCTTCTACGAAAACTGCCTAACAAGCGACAGAACGGACCTGGCCAATTTTCTACCTGCCGGCCCCCCAACGGGGGGATCGGAGAGATCGGAGAGGTTGCATCCCCGATGGGCCCTTACTCGATGACCTCCGGGGGCGGCGGCCTTCGCGGCAATCTCGAATTTCCTCTTCATAACTGGCTACACAATGTGCAAAACGCAAGCATCTCTCGCTTGCATACGTCAACGGCAGAATCCATCCTCGAATGGCCTCATTTCGACGCCTACGCCGCCCTCCGCCCCCGAACATCAGTTTCGATTTTCAACCTGGAGCAAGCCCGGACGCCGCTAGGGGCCAGTTGGCAGCTCCCCATGTTGCCCTTCGCCAGCGCCAGCGATATCGACAGCATCATTCAAACATTCCAACAGAACATCAACTTCTGGTACCCGACCATGGCCATCAGCGTTCTGGATCCGCTCCGCGAGAAAATTTCAACCGGCGATCTCGGCAACGATTGTGACTCATGTCTTGCTCTTCTCCTGATGGCTCTTGGATGTGCCTGTCAGTCAACCGCATCGGCCTTGGATCACGATGGAGAAGTGGCACGTCCAAATCTACCACCGGAGAGGAAGATGATGGGTGATATGTACTTCAACTGTGTCATGAACAGGATGCACGTCGCTTACCAAGAAGTCAGTCGATCCGCTCTGCAGTGCCTACTATTCACCGCGTGAGGTTCTCCACTTTTCCCATCGAGGGACCGTAGCTGATGCAAAATGCTTCTCAGATTTTACTACGCATTCTCGCAAAGGCCCTTACAAGCGTGGTCCTTTGTCAACATGGCTGCTACAAAATGCCGGGTTCTCTTATCCTACGAGCCGATAGGCGCGACGTCCGACGATCGAGAATGTATCCGCCGCGTGTTCTGGTCCTGCTTCATTTTGGAAAGGTGCGGAAGCCTCTTTGCATCCCCTTCTCATTCCGGTATGCTAACCACCGACTGTCCCATTTCAGCGACTACCTCGCCGAGCTGTCCGCCCTGCCCCTTTCTGGCATCTCCGACATGGAATCCTCAGTACCCCTCCCCGCACAGTGCCACACGCACGCCAACACCATCGATGAAGAGCGCTCTGCCCTCTATTTCCTCGCCTGCCTGTCCATCCGTCGGCTCCTGAACCGAGTACACCACTTACTGTACAGCAAAGACACCGGCGCCTCCCTCGACGACCACCGCTTCCCGAACATGGTGGCGGAGCTCGATCATCAGCTCGAAGAATGGCGGGAGCTCCTCCCGCCGGCGTTCCAATTCACGCTAGACACCTCCCCATCACCCAATCAGCAGGCGGGCTTCCTCCGTCAGAGATACTTAACGTGCCGGAGTGTAATCTACCGTCCGTATCTCATGTGGATGCTAGCCGCCCCCCGCTGGGTGGACCAGAGCGTCTGTGAGTTGTGCAAGAAATGTCTGGACGCGTGTATCGAGCACATTCTCAACTTGCGGAGCTTTTTGCACACGGTTTTCGTGGATACCTGGATTTGTTCCTTGTCGTGAGTTCAAATCTCCTTGCCTCGTCGCCATTTATTCTCTCAAGGCTTGGTTTCCCATCTTCTCTCAATCTCCAGGCCAGGCCCACTACTGACTGTCAGTTATCAGTATGGCCGCCGCTATGCTCATACTCCTCGCAGGCTATCGGGTGCCTGGTGTGAAAGCGCATATTCGCCCGGAGGCGACAATTTTAGGACAACACCTCAAAAGCCTCTTGACGAGATGGATCACCATCACCGGCGAGAGCCCGTCGCCGAGCGTACAGCAGGCAATTCAATGGATTGAGATTGCCGACGAGTTGATTAGAAATGAGGCTGGCAGGAGCGATATTGGGAGGCGAGAGTGCTGAAGCTACAAGCTGCACTTTCTTTGACGCAACTGACCCGATGCCTGTGGTCTGAGTCGTCGCGCTGAATTCGCATGACTAGTCTGAACTATGCAAGAGGACAAAAAGGATGGATGTTGGGCTGGGTGGACAAAAGGGAGAAGGACCTTCACATACGCAGGTCATCACACAACCAAACTCCCCTTGCCATATCACGAGCTCTTTGGGGGTAAAACACGGCGAGGCCGTCGGACTCCGATATCCCCCATCCCGCTGAGCTTTTTAGTGGTCGCGGCATAACTTTTCGATAGCACTACCGCATTCCGCCCTGGTCGCAGATTGGGAATTGTCCCGAGTGGGCGGCGAAAAAAGAAGAGGAGGAGGAGGATCAATTAAGTTTGAGCCAGGTGGCTTAGGGACGGGTTTGACAATCAGCGATTCTACGATATAGCAGTATCTAGAGATCATCAAAGTGTGTGTCAATTTTAGAATCAAGCCACATTAGACTTGGGTCAGGTTGGACATCGTACAAAACACTCACTGTAATCATTCAGACGAGGATGTCTGCGAAATCCGGTCAGTATTCTTCTAACTCTATCCTTCTACCAGTCCTAGCCCTATTACTTTCCACGTGGACTAGGTCCCACAAACTCCCTACGTAGAAACCGGCTCCAGCAAGAGCTCAAACTCGTAGTCCTCACATTTCACGAGATCCTCATCCTTGATGCCCGGCCCACACGCCGCGGTGCCCACACCAGACACATCGGCATCCAAACGCAAATAAACTGCATCCCCTTCGACTAATTCAGGCGCATGCCGTGCCCGCTCCAGCTCCGCCGCCGAGTACCTTGACACAGCGAAGTGGAAGAGGGAACCGGCCGAGCTTTTCCTGGCAGTAGCATCGACACCCGTCCTCATTGTAGCTCTGACGCCATGAGCTCGCTGGTCGAGAATCTTGACCCACCGCGTGTCCATGCGGTTTCCGTTCTCCTGGGGAACCTCGTAGGGCGTATGGAGGTCGTCGAGGGAGGCGCAGTAGATGCCGACTTTCTGCGCGGATTTCTTGTCGCGGTAGGATTCGCCAGGTCCAAGACCAAACCAGATGGCGTGGTCGAAGCCTGCCTTCTTTGAGAGTTGTATGTCCCACCCCACCCGGGGAAGATTCTTGGGAGAAGGCCCTTTAGGTTTGATGTGCGTCTTAATCGAGACGGCCCCGTCATGGCCCGAAACGCTGTATATCGTCTCAACGTGGAAACCCCAGGCCAGCATGGGTGGGCTGGTGTACGTCACCGCCTTCAGCTGCATGTCACCATTGCTCGCACGATGGATGTCGAGACTCCGCTTCTGCGTGGTCAGACGATGCAGGCCCCAGTGTTTCCACGTCCCGGTTTGCCAGGCAGCATCGTTGTCAGTCGGTGGGCGCCAAAAGCCAAGCTGGAAAGGCGACTCGAGGGAAGACCTCTGAGGGTGGTGTAAAAGCTCGACTCCCTTGGAAACCCATGACGAGATGTGCCCGTAGCTTTGGTCGAATGTGATGGAGAAGTCTTCGCCATGGACCGTAAGACTTTGACGACAAGTGCTCATGGTCAACCGGGACGTGCCGACCTGATTGAAGTCGAGGTTTCGGAGGAATGGGAGCGATGTTTTCTCATTCAATTGATGTTGGAACCAGGCCACCTCGTGGCCCACGTCTGCCCAAGCACAACTATTTTTTAGAGTAAAGGTCACTATAATCCAGCATTGGGACCTGGCATAAGATCGATATTGAAGCGCGGTCTGGGGCAGAGCAATGGTGCCTATGTGACCAGGCTTGATGTTACCCATTTCAAGCTCCCCTGCGGCGAGCAACTCGGGACTGTCGTAGTTTTCAGTATGCAAGAGACGAACATGGCAAACCAGAGAATGTTTTACCTACCTCTCCTGAAACGCCTCCACCTCAAAACGGGCTATATAGTCGTCCAGGCCCTTGAAGTGAAACCCGTTTTCGATGACAATTGCGTCGCCACTGTCATCGACCCACGCCCTGATTGGGGCAAATACCTTCTTGAGCTCGGCCAATCCCGGGGTCGGTGTATGATCGCTGTTGCAAAGACCATCCATGACGAACGTGCCGTCGTTGGGTTGATCACCAAAATCCCCTCCGTATGCATATATCGACTTTCCATTATCCTCAGCCGAGGGCTTCAAGAGGCCATGATTGGCCCATTCCCAGACGAATCCCCCTTGTAATCTTTCATGGTCACGGAAGGCCGCTTGATAATCTTCCAGAAGCCCTGGTCCGTTACCCATGGCGTGTCCGTACTCGCAAAGAATAATCGGCTTGTCGAATGAACCATCAGGTGCTACCCCTTCGTTCTCGGCTAGGGAAATCAACTTCCTGACAGATGGATACATGTAGGAGTACATGTCTGCGGAGAGAGCCGCCATGTCGCCTTCATAGTGCACAGGCCGTGACGGGTCGGCCATCTTGGAGTAGTCGTACATGGCTTTGTGATTACAGCCATAGAAAGCCTCGTTCCCCAGAGACCAGACGATGACCGACGTGAAATTCTTGTCTCGCTGCACCAATTGTACCATCCTATCGAGATATGCCGCTTCCCAGCTCCGGTTGTCCGATGTAAATGCAGCTGCTTTGGCAAAGGTAAGCACCTTTCGTTGTTCATAGTCCATTTCCTCAGGTATGTTTAATGGCCTGGCCACAGCATCATAGAAGCCGTGGCATTCAAGATCCGCTTCGTCCAGAACCCATAACCCTATTTGGTCGCAAATTTCGTACAGCGCGGGATTGGATGGGTAGTGTGAGCAACGAACAGCGTTGATGTTGTGGCGTTTCATGAGCAACAAATCATGTCGAAGATGTTCTACCGGGACCGCACGGCCGAAACGCGGATGGTGATCGTGACGGTTGACGCCGCGAAAGAGAAGGCGTATTCCATTGACAGTCAAGAGACCGTTCTTGATTTCCACCTTTCGAAATCCAATCTGATGCCGGATCCGTTGAGTGCAAACTCCCCTAGAAAAAAGACATAGTTCGACTTGGTAAAGAACTGGTGTTTCTGCCGTCCATGGGGAGGGTTCCTTGATAACAAATTCCTTCTTCAAGCTAGATTCGTGGACGGCAACCTGCGATCGATCGGCGATGAGGATGGAACTTCGATCGGGAGACCGAAGAGTGATTTCGACTGCACAGTCTTCCTGGAGAGCCAGGTCAAGGTGCACACGCAGGATTCCATCCGTATATGCGCTGTCCAGGTCGGCCTGGAGGGAAAAGTCATCGATGCGCGCCTTCTCTGGGAATGCCAAAAGGTGAACATCACGAAAGATCCCTAGGCGCATCCGTTAGTCTGCACCACGACACGTACAAACCGATGGGTTGATGAATACCGGACAGCCACCATTGATCCTGATCTTCGATGTACGAACCATCGCACCATTGATAAACGCGGACAAGAACTTGATTTTCTCCTGTGCGGTTCACGACAGGGGAAATGTCGAACTCTGATGGGTTCCGACTACCTTGAGAGTAACCCACTTCGACGCCATTAACCCAGAGATGAAAGGCGCTGTCCACTCCATCAAAGCGTAGGCGTATTTGGCTCTCGGAACTCCAGTTTTTCGGAACGGAGAATTTTCTGGCATAACTTCCAGTCGGATTGTCGGTCGGTACATGTGGAGGACAAACAGGAAAAGGATAAACGACATTGGTATACTGTGGTCTGCCATAGCCTTGCAATTGCCAATGGCCTGGAACTGTTATGGGCTGCCACGAGTCATGGCCGTCTTCGGGGTTGCCTCTTATCTCGTTCCAAGAAGGAGCGAGATCGGGAGTTGCGGCATAGTGGAAATCCCACAGTCCATTCAATGATATAGACGTCTCTGGAATATGATATGCTCTGGCCCGAAGTCTGTTTCTTTGAAAGATTTTTTCATTCGCGTAGTCGGGCTGACCTGACTTGCTGCTATCGTTTGCTGCCACTGGTTCGACTGGGTCAGAACTTGAGGTGGCTTCTAACCTCATGGTGTTCGTTATAGCGACACAGGACTTATCAAAACATAAAGAGATGAAAAAAGGGACGAAGAACTCTTTTGGCTGATGAGGACGTTCTTGAAGCGGGTACCTACTTAGGGATGACGGTCCTTCTTCGGAGGACGACACGAGACTCTCGTGACATTTCTCATTGGTGAGGAGCAACATGAATGGAGTTGGGAGGTCGGAAAATGGAACGTGATCTGGGGATAAAGATGGGGAAATCCTCCATCTCATTGCATTTCGTGTCGCGCGGGAAAAGTGGAGCCTCACCAGTCCGTCTCTCTTCCCACCACTCACCACCAGGATTTCCCCCTGCTCCAAGCTCTGTCGCGGCTACCGGAGTCCGAGAAAAAGCCAAGCTGGGCATGCGACCATGTCCTTGCCGAGCTCACACTGGACTTTTACCGACAAAGGGTTTGAGGATACCCCAGATGCCCGTGCTTCGAGAGGCATAGTCGCATCCGGGCACCAGTTAGGTAGTATATTCTACTTGTCCCCGCAGAATAACCCAATAGACTCTCATTGTTGCTCTTCTTGCCTTGCCTAATCTAGCTTGACGAGGATTTGATATCGTCGGCACTGACACAATGAGATCCAAAGGGGAAAAAGATAAAAGGCTGCTCTTCTTCCCCATCAAAAGCCACCCTTTCAATGCCTTCTGCAAAGACAACATTGATCTGAAGACTCGATCCAAGTTTTCCGTCTCTCTTCAGTCATCATCTCCATAACTTTGGACAGGATGGCATCCAAACTCGCTGAATCCAAGGTTGCCCGGCAAGTCCATGAATTGAAGAGCGCGACGGACCACCACGAATTCCCAGACGATCTGCAACAGGCTAGCCATGCCATCCAGCTCGCGGAAGATGCCGCCCAAGCAAAGTACAACCCCTTAAGCCCTTCTTTGCTGCGACTGTACGGCTGCCTCGCCATTGCCTATTTGTGTGGTTGTCTCAACGGGTATGATGGCTCCCTTATGGGTGGATTGAATGCCATGACCACGTACCAGCAGTACTTTCATATGTAAGCACACGCCAGAAAGTATCTCCACAACTGGATCGCCGAGGCTGATTTGCCATGTCTACAGGAAGACTGCTGGTTCTAGCACTGGCCTCGTGTTCGCCATGTACAATATCGGATCGATTCCTGCAGTCTTGTTCTCTGGGCCCGTCAATGATTACTTTGGCCGTCGCGTCGGCATGTTTACCGGTGCCGCCATCATCATCATCGGCACATGCGTCCAGGCTCCTTCAACGAGCCGGGCAATGTTCTTGGGGGGTAGATTTATTCTCGGTTTCGGGGTCAGCTTCTGCTGTGTCAGTGCTCCATGCTACGTCAGCGAGATGGCCCACCCCGTATGGCGTGGGACGTTGACGGGCATGTACAATTGCACCTGGTAAATTTTTCTATTGTGTGGGGTGGGATCATTTGACTGATTTGAATCGTACAGGTATATCGGCTCGATCGTCGCCAGTTGGGTGGTCTATGGATCGTCCAAAATACCCCACTTGTATGGCTTCCGGATTCCCATCTGGTGTCAACTTGTCTCCTCCGTCATTGTCGCCGTTGGAGTCTGGTTTCTCCCGGAGTCTCCGCGCTGGCTTATGGCGCAAGACAGGGAAGATGATGCGATCAAAGTTTTGGCACGATATCATGGCGAAGGCTCCGAAACCCATCCAATGGTGTCTCTACAGCTCCAGGAGATGCGACAACAGATCAAGACCGACGCCTCGGACAAGAAGTGGTGGGATTATCGTGGACTCGCCAATACGCATGCCGCTCGTCGCCGACTCATCTGCGTTCTCGGTATGGCCTGCTTTGGTCAGCTCTCAGGGAACTCGGTAACCTCGTATTATTTGCCGGTCATGTTAGAGAACGCCGGTATCGCATCGGAGAATACCCAACTTATACTGAACGGCATCTATCCGGTGATCTGCTTCTTCGCTGCAATATTGGGCGCTCGACTTCTCGACGTTTGGGGACGACGCCCGATGCTGCTGTACAGCACCGTCTTCTGCTCTGTGTGTTTCGCCATCATCACTGGTACATCCAAGCTGGCGACGCAGAATTCCGACAATAGCTCGGCTGCCAACGCCACCATCGCCTTCATCTACATCTTCGGGATCGTTTTCTCCTTTGCATGGACTCCGCAGCAATCGGCCTATATTGCCGAAACTTTGGACACCACCACTCGCGCCAAGGGCACGGCATTGGGCAATCTGGCCTCGTCCATCTCCAGCACGATCATCCAATACGCTTCTGGGCCCGCATTCTCAAACATCAAATACTATTTCTATCTCGTCTTTGTGTTCTGGGATCTTATCGAGTGGACCGTCATGTACTTTTTCTTTCCCGAAACCAAAGATAGAACCCTGGAAGAACTGGCCGAGGTGTTTGAGTCTCCAAACCCCGTTAAAAAGTCACTGGAGAAGAGGACTGCAGCAACGGTGTTGCACACCTTGGATGTCAAGGGGGAGACAGAAGTGCAGGAAAAAGAAAAGGTATAGGGATACAGCAGACCACGAACGCTGATTGGGAGATTCTCAGCCTTGGTCGTTTCATTATCCTTAACCCCCACCATGAATTGCTCAGATTTGCATTAGCCTATGCTCCTTAAGCGACTCAGTGGTTATTAGCGTAGCCTCGGCCGCGATCCATCTCAGTGGATGCGAGATCGAGATTATGGATGGCGACGAGGACGAGGTAGTCCCAGTGAGTCAGGTTGAGGGTATACGATGGTTTGAGATAGAAGAGAGCAATCTGATGCCGGCTCGCAGGTGGATACTGTTGGTCGTGGTCAACGGGTGTACCACTGAGAGGGCCGGGGTGCGAGCGTATCGCTGCGATCAGAACGCTCTGGTCCCCGTTGCGTGACGTGTTTACTTACTGCCTAATATCCTCTATTGATCCAGTGAATTGAAGTAAATGAACCCACTGATCCACGCGACGAACACAAGATCACTACCTAAGAAGCAGTTGGTTTCCTCCCTCTCCCTCACCTTCTATATGGTATAAGTACCATCCTTCTCTCCCGTTTTCTCTCATTCTACTCTTGCTTAAAAATTTGCTCCCTGTTCCTCACACCTTCTTGCCCAACTCTCTTGCTCGACTCCCGCCCCTCTTCTCTCTTTGCCCAAGTCTTCCGAGGTAAGCGCAAAATCTGAGACGTCTTCTTCCCGGGGTAGGCCGCTGGTTACTAATCTCCATTTTTCGTTGGCTCTGGCCACCAGTTAACCGGCTGGCGCGTGGAAGAAGGCAGATTTGGCTGGAGTGCTACGGAGCCGGGTCCCCCGACTTCGGCCTTGCCATTTGTCCTCTTACTGCCAGCTGTATGCAGACTCATCATCATCTTCGAGCTTTATGCTTGACTTTAGAGAAGAGAAGGATAGTAGGGTGGATGTTTTAGGGTCGGAATCTGTCAACTGTATTGTAGACTTTGTTGAATTTGAGAACCGTGGAGAGGCAACAAGGTCGACATCGCCGCAGAATCATCCTCCACTTGTCAATCAAACAACCGCAGTTTCGACCGACTCTAGCTCGCCGCGAGTTGTCAGTTCATTTTCTCTTCACGCATCCCGAAGCGTAAGAGTGTATTTCGACATAACCTTATCTGACACAAAAAGCGACCAGCTCATCAACTCGGAGGAGAGCAATGATCTCAACCCGCTTGAAGACCAGGCTCCTCTCCTTCTGACTCGGAAGCATATCATTGTCCAGCAGCAGATCGTCGGCGAAACACTCCTAGCCAGGAGCGGCACACTCTGTAGAGACCACGCATACTACCAGAGCCTCCTGTCCAGCGCTGGAAGAGATGGATTCAATCAAGTGATACAATACAACACATATGCAAAACTTGAGAGATTCAGATCATTCAGTACATAAGAGGAATCGAGAGGGAACTCGATTCCATCAATGCATCCTAATAAGCAGCGAATTAGTCTTCTTTAGGACCGCTGCGACTATCTCATTTCAGGGGAACGAAAAAGTCCGCGCCAGGCAAAGAATGAATCACATATTTCAACAAAGCAAACATCACAGCTCCAGCTTACAAATAAGAGGTCGAGAGATGTGTGCTCAAGCAGCATTCCTTGTTCCCTCGGCCTTGTTCCCTTCCCTTCCTCAATAGCCTGCCACGTAACAAAAGAATCGCACGGCCAGAGTCAGCGATCCGGCTGTAATGACAATGCCCAAACATCTCTAAGCAGTCCCTTTAGCAGGTAGCGAGATTTGACGCCCGGAGCAAATTACCAATAAGCCGCGAGACTTAGAATCAACAGGTCAAGGACAGAATGCAAATTCCATGGGAAAAGATGTATGTGGCATGCTTCGATTTGTCTTCGGATTTCGAAAGGACATCCCTTCTCTGTTCGACGTTGACTAGCTTTGTCAACACCTGGAGGGCAAGAATTTACACGGCCTGGAATGGATTCATAAGACTGTACTTGCCGATGATGAAGCCTCCGGATCTAATAAGGGCTCCAAGAGCAGAGAGCGCAGGTGGTAGTAGTCACGGAAGTGACATGATTGACTGAGGTTAGGGAGGACAAACTTGACAGTTGGGCGTGGTAGGAGTACAAGCTCGAAAAATATCCTCGTTACCCTTGGTAAGCTCAGTTACAGCGACATTGACGAAACAAGTGAACGTTGTTGTTCTCCTCTTGGATTCCCGGAGTACTAAAGACCGATAGTCGAGGATGTTAACAAGAAGCCGATCGATATCACATCCAACTCCCTGCATGAATACGAAGTACTGCGGTGCATTCACCCTGGATTTCCGTCTTCTCCAACATCGGACAATGGGGAATTCGGCTTTCGGGAAGAAACCTCATCGCAGAAATCGACCTACGTGCCCCTCTTTCTTCGCTGACCATCATCTAACAAGCAGGAAGCAACTTGCTAACAAAAGATATCGGACAGGCCTGATATCTGTAGTGTTTTACGATTCTCCTTGACAAGGTTTAGTTTTGAAACAAGATCCAGCTTGAAAAGAACAGCATACACGTTATAAACATGTCCGATTCCCACCATCATCCTCACGACCACAGCCATTCACATTCTCACCCACCTCACCTCTTCCAAGCAACATCTTCAACAGATCAACCACCAGACGCATGGAGAGAAAGTGGCGTCCGAGTCATCCCCGGCGACAGCCTCGATACCAATACTCCACAAACGCCTGGAATGAACCGAGCTGCCGCAATAACAACGGCCCGAGTAGGAGCACAGAAGTTGTGGGCGGGCACCGTTAAGATCCACCCGAACGCCAAAACAGGTGCACACCATCATGGACACCTGGAGAGCGTGATCTATGTGGTCAAAGGCAAGGCACGGATGCGATGGGGTGAGAAGTTGGAGTTCACGGCCGAGGCGGGGCCGGGCGACTTCATCTATGTGCCTCCGTACGTACCACATCAGGAGATCAATGCGAAGGAAGACGAGGAGTTGGAATGTGTGCTCATGAGGAGTGACGGAGAGGCTATTGCGGTGAATTTGCCTGATGTCGTGCCGGTTGAGAATCCCCAGGGCGTCAAATGGATTGATCCCACGCATCCGACCGGAGGCGTGTGATCTGCATAGTATATGTCAGTTGAAAAGAAGAGGAAATCCTCCATATGCACTGCGTAGCTGGGTTCAAATACACATATTTCAAGCCACCCACCCCAACCCCTTATGTGCAAACAGATCATGTCACGTTCCAGGTTCCTTCTCCTTATCCGGCTGATTCTCTTGGGGTTCCATTTCTTCCTTCTTCAGATTCTTCAAGCACGGCGCATAAAACAGTTGTCCGGACCAAGCACCTTTCGCCGTTCCCGCTGCCACCACACACCACAGCAGCACGACGGCGACACTGAGAATCGTGCCTAGGACCTTGAAGAACAAGCTAGGCATCTCGACCCCGAAGGTCATGGTGCTAATCGCATACACGCCTAGCGGAAACGTAAACCCCCACCAGCCCATGTTAAACGGGAAAGGACGCGTCGAGTAGATCGTCGCCAACGCGAAGACGAGCCAGCACAGGCCAAATCCCCACATGATTAGCGCGACGAAGACGCCGAGTACATACGCCACATCGCCGGCGACAGAGAGGTTGTGGAAGAAGTGCACCCGGGAGAATACTTCGCGCGACACCCGGCCGAGGTACATGATGGTGTAGCCGCCCATTCCGAGCGGGCCAAGGGGTAGAAATGAGCTAACGACTACTTCGCGTGAAGGTAGCTTGTGTAATGCTAGACGTTGATAGTAGATTACCAAGACGGTCATGGCGAACGGCGTCGCCATGCCCCACATCACATAGGATATGAGGAGGGTGCTGAGGGCGTGATTGGGTTCTGTGAGGATCTCGGCAACTTCGCTTCCTGCAAGGTCAATGTCCCCGTGTTAATTATTGCTCGAAATCCCAAGTTTCTGTCAGAGGGCAGGATGATGAAATGAGAGGAACACTCACCTGTACCGGCCGCGACGATCGTAGCGGCAATGGGAAGCAATTGAGCCGCTGTGATCCGTTCCAACGAATGTTGATGGGACTGGGACATGAGCAGAAAGGGAAGCGAAACAGTAACTGCGGCCGCGACCATGGCATCAATCATCCAACAGACCCACGCGACCGTGACGGACCAAAACCCCCAATACGGGCAGCAGAGGAAAATCCAGCTTTCGACCAGCGTCGCAAAACCCATCGGTATCGTTCCCAGAAACAACGAATTCGTCGAGTCTGCGATCATTACGGCCCAGATCTCCGGATAGAGCGTGTAGCGAAGGAAGGAAGTGATGAAGGCTAGCACGAAGAGCACCGTGTTCAGCACGAAGAAGAAGACGGAGAGCCAGTACAGCCAGTCGGCTTTGAAGGGGATGGTGATGAGAAGCAAGGACACAATGCCAGTGCCCATTGTTACGGAGAACCAGGAAGGGGAGAAGTTGCGGACCACGCGACGCCAGCCAACGTCATATTTCGATGGACGTTGTCGTCGTGATGCAGCCGAGGGAGACATTCCTTTGTAGTGGTTCATTGATCCTGCGTCGTCGGACGGGTCAGAGGCGGGCGTCACTGTGGCCTTGCTTCGTGTGCGGACGAGCTCGAATGGAGGTAGAGATATGTCCTGGTTGAGGGATTGACTCGCTGGGACTGTCATGGCTGGATTGTTGGAGGCTAGACGGAGCAGTTCGTGGTCATCTTCTTCGGCGTCTGGCATGTTGGACTGCGCGGGCTTGTTGTACGTATGAGGATCGGAGAACGAATCGCGCGAGTGGTGATTGAAGGGCGAGGGATCTTTCAGTATTTGAGGCTAGACATAGAAGGACAATGCTTCACCAGAGCCTACGGAAACGACAGCCTTGATATTACCTCGCGGAAACAACTCATAGACAACATCGAAGCGTAGAGTCATGGTGGTTGACTGGAGATTTATTTGATGACGTCTTTGGATGAAAGCAGCGAGGAAAACGGGCCGAGTGAATCGGCCATCCTGCCGGTCGCGGAAGATTTGGGTGGCGATTAGATGAACTAGCCCGTTAGAGAAAGTCTCCACAAGAGCGGCGTTGTAACCAGGGCTTTGTTTCGTGAATGGATATTGCTCAAGAAATATCCGAAATACATTGATGTTGACGAGATTATCATTGGGAGCGCTTAGTTCAACCTAGCAATCCACAAATATGCTATCTGAGGCCCTTTTGCAGGTCTTTTTGCATACTGGCTCTTGATCAACGCCGCAAGCAGAGCCCAATTCCCATCAGCAATCACACAGTTCAATCATACTGAAAGGACCGTTTCCAAGCCGGTCAGAGGTAACAACCTGTGCCACTGATTTCCTTTCGTCGCTTAAGCACGAGGTTTCGTCATCCAAAGTAGTCATCACGATTGTTGCTTCAGGATAAGGTGCCAGATTTTGTAGGAACCACTGTCCTTGAACGCGAGTGGAGAGTTTTGCCCTCCACTCTGTCTCTCGCTTGATTCTCCTTCTGCTAGATCGGGTCCAAACCACCTCATCCGTGTTTTCTGAGTCAGCTCCGAGGTCGGCACTGAGGTCGACAATGACAGACCGCGTCCTCCTTCGAGACGACCGCAAGTCCATGCCAGTTCGATTATCTGGCGACTCTGTCTCCCAGACCTGAGTAATTCTCCTATTCGGTGACCAAGAGGGCATTGTTGCATTCTTATTCCATTTTGATTAGGTTCAGGTCCTCGATTTCCTCTGCCTTGACTTTTGGTTCAGGTTTTCGGAGCTCTTCCAACTTGAATTGAGGTGCTGTTTGGAGGCCTCTGCCTGCTGTCTGCATGAGACACACATTTGGGTCCCGTTCCTTGACGGATATGATCCGATCTGGAGTAATAAGCTCCTCACGACAGGTCTGTTCAAGCTTTTCACTTCTCTCCTCCCGCCGCATCATCTCGTTGGTGTGTGATCCACCAACACCAACCATGTCTTCATAATCAAGGGGTTCAGCAGCGTCCGTATCCATTTCTTGAGCTCAACCTATGCTGACTATATCGCCTTTCTCAACTTCATTTCGATCTTCTTCATCTTGCTTCATTTCAGGCAGAGTAGCTTTCACGGAGAAAGCTCTCTCATAGACCTTTTGGCCCTTATGGTCCTCGGTCTTTTCCGTCGGAGCTGGTGGCGCTGGCGGTTCGTTTAGATCAGTGGCCGTGATTACAACCGAAACTTTTTGGGGAGCGTCCCTTGAGGGACGTGTTCAACCAATTCTACCCAGAAAGCAACTTTCTCGAGACTTCTTTCCATTTCTTGGAGAATAATTCGACGCTGTCTGGTGCATGGTGCTGCGATATCAAGTCTTCGCTCTTGGTCCTACGAGCTTTCCTCTGTCCACTCGGCGCCATTGTAAAGTTGAAGACCACAACTGAAGAACTTGGATGACAAAATGAATTGAAAAGGAAGGCATCAGGAAGTGAAGGTTCTGTTGGCGTATTGATAATCCAAGCCGGATCTGATCTTGGAGTCTTCTCTATCCAAGTTGCTTAGCCTGAGGCCGAAAAATGAGATCAAGATTCCCGTGATTACATCACGCGGTCTGATGAAATAGTAAAAAGCTGGAGAAAATCGGCGACTGAAGTCAGAGGTAGTTGAGAATGAAGATGATGTGTATGACAAGAAAAAAAAAAAAAAAAAATTATCGTTTCTCGCTGTTTAAGATGGAAGAAGGAAAAAGGGTTGGAGATGAAGAAATGAAGAAAAGCCACGTGACAGGACGGAGAGCGAAATGGGCGAATCTCGAACTGGTGATGGTCGACGTGTGAATTTTTTGAGATTCAAGTCCTCATTCAGCGATATGGGGTTCTTGGCTATCGATGTCTTCTTCAGAGTCGGTCTCGCTTTCGTATTCTTCCTTATCGCCAACTAGTGGAACAAAACGAAAATCAACAAAGGCAACGCTTCCGGGAGACGGTGGAGCCCCAACAGAACCATTGACCTCGTCTTGACGTGGACCAGCATTGGCACCGTCACCCAGGTCAATCATGAATTGGAGACTCAAAACTCCTTGCTGGTCTTGACGGATACTGACTTTGCTTGCCAGCGCCATGGCTCTCCCTGCTCTTTTGACCATGTCAAATTTGTACCTCTGTCTGATTCTGTTATGACTTCCGGACGGAGCAACCACCGAGAAAGTTTCGGTGACGAGGGGTTGTCTCTTCCCTCTAGGTCCACTCGGAGTAGGCTCGGTCTTTGAGTTTGGCATAAAGTCCACGGTACTGTCTCCAAATGGACCTCCTTCACCTTCTAGTGCAAAATATGGGGCGGAGCGGCTTGAAGCGCTGAGGACAAGGACTGACGGATTGGTGCCCGAAAGCTCTGAAATTGCATCATTCAGCCAAGTACTTTTCATGATCACTTTCATGCATAGAGCATTTCGATCGAGAGGTATGTCACCATCATCGTCATAGGTCTCGTTCGTTTCGTAGGTATTCATTTCGCAGGTTGTCGTGACTGAGCCATCTTCGATCGTGATAGTGAGAGGTGCGCCAGCTTCTTGATATGAAATTCGACATGTTCCACCAACTGCGAGAGCGGGAGCATTGAAAGCGTTTCCATAAGAGGAAGAAAACCCCCCATAGGGATGTCGTGAAGAAGAATTGGCTTCGGCTATGCCAAAGATTTGAAGTGTTTCGAGAAGGGCAACGATTGAAATCGAGAAAGGAGGCAATGAATGCTCTTCATCATCAAGATTCAAATTGTATGTCGAGAACAGCGCTTTATCGAGAAAGGTCAGACCTTGGACAACTCGAGCTTCCTCCACAGAGAATTTCATGCCTGACTGTGTAATCTGCACCTCCGCACGTTGAGAGAAAGCAATACATCTCAGGAGCAGGTAGAGTTGTCTGGCATTTGTGGAAGTCGCGGAGAAAATGGGAAGGCCTGCCATTAGACTGTTTGAATGGTGGTTTTGGCCGTAATTGGTCGTGCTGAGATATGGCAAACTTCATGTAGGCTGGTCAGGCAGAGGTTTAAACATAGACGCCAAATCCACAGATGGTATAGACTGCGCCGAAACTGGGAAGATATTAACTTTTTGGTACGGAACCTCGCCTCTTTCCAAACATACCCGAATGCTAGAGAAGCCGGAATCCCAAAGACAGGTATCGAGAGAGGAGATCGGCCTTGCAAGCATTAGCTAGTTGAACTCTGTAACCAGGAGGAGTAGGTACTCAGTCCAAAGAGGCCGGTAAATATGAAGCCTGTCCATGTGAGCACAAAATCCAAACAGTTCCCCACTGCGACGGTTCTTACCGATGAGCAACAAGATCAATCCTACAGACAGCTGGCTGTCCTTCCCAACCGCAGGCTGGTAAGGGCTGCTTGCAGCGGCTTGCCAGGCTTCGTAGAGAGACATTGACGAGAAAAGCTGAGATATGGTAGACCCGAGACGGAACAAGTGCCTGTTGTCGCGTTGAATAGAGTGCAGGTTGTCAGGATGATCGCAGTTACTATGATTGTTTTGACGCCCGTGTAGGCCGCTCAGCCTATTTGGAACTAGCGCTACCACGTGATGTCCATCCCACAGTCCTCCGTGACCAGTTCCTCGTAGTTAGTAGTCGTATACGGAGCTGCAACCTGTCAAAGTGGTCTGTCAGGAGAATGCGTCAAAGGATAAGTACTCTGAATCGGGCATCCCTTTAGGGAGAGATCCCTGCCGCTTTGATCCCTCCCTTCTTCTCGACGCGCCTATTTGGCTGGTCCAATGATCGATATTGGGCCCGTTTTACTCTGGTACATTCTCCCGTGTATAAGTCAGATTCGCCGTATTCCCTCGATATCCTTAAAACTACTGACAGGAAGGCCGAAATATCTGAGACATGATGCTCTGATGGACTTTATCAAAAGCACTTTAGACGGCGACCAAATTTGTCGGCCTTTCAACAACCTCAGAGCTGCTCTTCGGCTGTCGTTCATCCATCGAAGCCGCAGGGACCCTTGCAGCCGAGAAGGACTTGTCCATAGAAGCATAATCGTTCATGGATCCAACGTACGAAACATATTGATCAAGGCGAACGATAATGGCAACAACCTTCTTCGCGATTGATTCCGTAGTTCTCGTAGATTTGCCCGTAGGGTTCGTGATATGACTGGTCGTCCACAAAAATCTTCCAGTAGTCCCAGCCTTCCTGCTCGTTGTAGTGGCGGAATACTTCAGAGAAGTCGAAAATGGTAGTCTGCTGACAGCGCCCAGTGTGGACAGCAAGGAGTTCCATAAGGGAATCATATTCGGCATCACTGGGCGTGAATCTTCGAAAAAAAGAGTTATATGTGCCAAGTGTCTTTCCAACTTCAACGAGGGCTTGTGTGTGTCGAGGTATGCCCTAGTCATCAGTGCCAAGTTCGGATAATGTAAGCCTGTGTTATCTTGACTTTACCCCTACATTGGGGATTTTCCCGATTTTGAAATTGCGAAGCCCATTTCAATACCGAAGTTGAATGCTAGAAAGCATAAGAACCTGACATACGATCAATATCTTCGACTTCCCACTGTTGCACTAGAATTTCGCGCATTTGATGCCTGGGGATGCAAGCATAGCAACTGTGTTTGCAGGCAAAATCCCAGTGACTTTTAGGCAGAGGAGAAGTTATGTTGGAAGGTGTCCCCAAGGCTCTCTTGCAGCATTGCTGGTCCAGGAATCTCGTGAGGCATCCAACTATCCACTGGAGGGTTTCTCTGCCGTAACAAATGAACTGTGGTGTGTAAGTATGAAGATGTGCGCGGGATTCTCGGACATGGTCGGGATCTTGGACCTCGTTTGTCAAACTTACCAGAAAGTGTAGATATGCATTTTATTTTCCGCAATCTCATTCCTTACTTTCGCACAAAGAACTTGGAATTCGGGAAGTGACCATTTTCCAACTTCACAAAGCAGCTTGAGTGAGTAAGCCTCGAGAGCGCTGTCCAGAAATTGACTTCGAAAGATTTTGCCAATGATCTTTAGTGATTTTTCTCTCGGCCACGGCCCAACCGGAACATGTTTTTGAATCATGGATATATTTGTGAAACCGGCGTCCTGTAGCTCTTGTGGGACTTTCGGAATATGATCAATGTCGAGACCGATTGAATGAGCCGTGCGATGGAACTCGTCAAGCCATTGTCTAGTATAACTTCCAGGAGGAAAAGTATCGTCGTCGCAAAAGAAATTAGCTCTGCCCTCAGATACCTCAATTTTTCCGCCAGGTTTTAAGTGGGTGTGACATTTGGCCAGAAGTGCCGGAAAATCTCTGATGCCAGCACATACGGTGCGGGCATGGATAAAATCGAAATGATTCTCAGGGAATGTCCATTCATCGTTCGCATCATCAACCTCAAAGCGGACATTAGGAGGGATCCATAGCGGCTGAATAGGTGACAAATCGGTTCCAATCACAACTGCGGAAGGATGGAGATCTCCCATGTCGATGGCCCATATACCCGTGCCTGTTCCGATGTCAAGAATGGTTTGTGGATTATTCAGTTGAGTGACACAGTATTCTCCCTGCAGGACAAGGGTGAACAGATGGTGGGTGAGATCGAGACGGTCTTGCTCTTCTTCATCATTTGGAAGCACATATTGCGCAGGACGGTAGCTGTGATAACGTCGACCGTTTTCATAAACCCATTCAAAGACGGAGGAGCGGATGGATGTGGTGTCGCTTTGCTCCGTGTTCGACTCGTAACCAGGATCATCCTCCTCTTCTGGATGAGTATCTGGCACCATCGGCTGTGGCGACGCTTCCGGAGATGTCATCTTGCTTCAATGAAGGAATGCCGGGACGAAATCCAAAAGAGGTTCGAACAGGAGGAGGGGAATATTCCAAAATGACAACGTTCGCCACCGATCGACGAATTGGGCCCATTGGGCGAAGGAGTCTAGAAAACGGCCCAGCAAAACAATAGCGCGGTGGTAGTTTGACAAGACATGCGGGCATCAAGTCCCGAAGCTTTAACCTTTAGCCGCCAACATCCTCTCCAACCCCCAAATGCCAGCTATATCAGTTATCACTCCATCAATTCCTTCACATTCCCGTGTTGCATTTTCATTCTCCTATTGTTGAGACCTGCTTCCGATCTCGGAGGCGTCTAGATATTCAGCATGGGGCAAGTGGGCCTCGTGACGAGCTTGATCGTCATTACGACCGGATTCGGCATCATATATGCTGCTTGTCTGATCCTATATCGACTCTTTCTTCACCCTCTTGCCAGGTTCCCAGGGCCAAAATGGGCCGCTGCTACCCTGTGGTATGAGTTTTATTATGATGTTGTGAAAAGGGGTCAGTTTACATTCAAGATCAAGGAGCTGCACGAGAAGTATGGTAAGTCGGCGTTAGTGACCCTCATCTGCGGTTCTCAACAAAATCTAGGACCTATCATTCGGATCAATCCACACGAAATCCACGTTTACGACCCCGCCTTCTACGACGAGATCTACGTCAACCCTCCGAGGAAACGCAATAAGTATCAGTGGTGGGTGAACCTAGCTTCTGCTCAAGGCTCTGGATTTAGCACTGTACCACACGACCTCCACCGAATGCGTAGGAGTGTTCTGAATCCTTATTTCTCGAAGCGAAATATCGTCCACCTCGAGCCAGTGATTACGGAGAGAGTAGAGAAACTGTCGAAGCGTTTATCTGAAGCCGCATCACAGGATGAAGTCGTCCGGCTGGATGTTGCATTTATGGCTCTGACCACCGACACGATATCAGAATACGCTTTTGCTCAAGACACTCTCTTTCTGGATGAACCAGACTTCTGCCCCATGTGGAAAGACACCATCCGAGGTGGCTTCGAGACCGGGGCATTGTGTCGGCAATTTCCGTGGATAGTACCTACCATGAAAAGATTGCCGCCAAAGCTCGTTGCCGCCATGAACCCGCAAGTGGGCTTTTTGATGCAGTGGCAGAGTCGCGGAAGGGCAAATGTTGAACGGATTCTCAATGAGGGCACTCAAGAACAAAAGGATACGTCCATGATAGGACGGCAGACCATGTTCCATGCGCTACGGGATAGCGGCCTGCCAACTTCCGAAAAGTCCCTCCAACGTCTCTGCGACGAAGCAGAGATTATTCTGGGCGCTGGCAGCGAAACCACTGCTGCAGCACTCTCTCGCATCTGGTTTTATTTGCTCTATTCACCCTCAATTCTCCAGATTCTGCGCGAAGAACTCCGTACCATTATCCCGTTTCCGGACTCACATATCCCGAATCTTTCAAAGATAGAGAATTTGCCTTACCTCTCAGCTGTCATTAGCGAAGGAATTCGCATCAGTTATGGTGTTACGACCCGCACTCCACGTATCGCCCCCGACGAGGCCCTTCGTTACAAGGAGTGGACAATACCACCGGGGACACCGATCTCGATGACCAATTCACTTGTCTCGATGCACCCAGACATCTTTCCAGAACCGGAGACATTCAAGCCGGAGCGCTGGCTTGATGATGGTCGAAGCCTAGAGAGATACCAAGTCGCCTTCTCCAAAGGATCTCGCCAGTGCCTGGGTATCAATCTAGCTTATGCAGAAATGTTTCTAACTCTGGCCACCCTTTGGAGCCGATTTGATTTTGCACTCTTTGAAACCACGTTGGATGACGTCCTGATGAAGCACGACTTCTTCACTGCCTTTCCAGGCGACGAAAGCAAAGGGATTCGGGTTCGAGTCAGAAGAAGAGTGAGCCAGAGCACTTAGCCATCAGGTCACTAGATCTGGTGAGGCAGGAGGACGTAGCTAGTACTCTGTGTGTCACAATTTGGTCCAGGTAAACAAAATGAAGTTGAGTATAGCTTCCAGGCACTTGTAATTACGTGTTACGTCAGAGCTTTTTTTTTTTTTTTTTTTCCAAGCTCATGTCGCCGCCCTAAAGGATGCTCCAAAGTTCAACCATGGGGACATAAAAAAAGCGTGACGTACTTCTAATTCAGGTAGCGATCGCCACATCCTCCGCATATGTCCATCCTTCAGAGGTTCATTTGTCGTGATCCAAACCAACATCACGACTTCCGACAATCGTACAAATTTGGACCGCTTTGCGTACCTACAAGGGCCCATGCCGTCGAAATGGCGCCGGTAAATGGTGAACGTGAGTGGGGCAGCATACCCATGTACAGTTTTGCTAATTCTATCGCAGACACGAAGAGAAAGGCGTCTGAAGACGCATCCTCCTCGCGTTCAAAGAAAGCCCGCACTGAATCTCCTGCTCTTGATGATGCGGCCAAGCACGAAGAGGTTAGTTTATCTTCCCTTCATTCAATCCTTCAAAATGCCTGGACGACTCCTTCCTAGGGGAGGGGTTTCTTCCCGCTAGACGAAAACCTCTATCAAGTTCATTTGGATCTTCCTTCACATTCAGATACCGCTCTGTCTTTTTCTTCGACCGAAGCCTTCTACTTATGGCGAAATACATTACTTATTTCTCAAAGTTCTAACATTGTCTTGCTACAGTCTAATTCGACGACTGCGCAGTCTGAATCAGATCCCCTAATTACGCCTACCCCAGTCGATTTTCCAGAAAAGCCCGCAGTCTTGGAGGAGAAGCAAGGTCTAATCGAGTTTCGCGTGGTCAACAATGACAATTCAAGAGAAAGCAACATCATCTTGACTGGTCTGAAATGCATTTTCCAGAAGCAGCTTCCCAAAATGCCGAAAGATTACATTGCTCGTCTCGTGTATGACAAGACACACCTTTCGATTGCTATCGTCAAGCAGCCTCTTGAAGTGGTCGGTGGCATCACGTACAGACCTTTCAATGCACGTAAATTTGCCGAAATCGTCTTCTGCGCCATTTCGTCCGACCAACAGGTCAAAGGCTATGGGGCTCATCTCATGGCTCACTTGAAGGACTACGTCAAAGCAACTTCCCCGATCATGTACTTCCTCACTTACGCCGATAACTACGCGATCGGTTATTTCAAGAAACAAGGATTCACAAAGGAGATTACTCTGGAGAAGTCTATTTGGATGGGCTACATCAAGGATTACGAGGGTGGAACAATCATGCAGTGCAGCATGTTGCCAAAGATTCGTTATCTCGAAGTTCCGCGTATGCTCCAAAAGCAGAAGGAAGCTGTCATGGCAAAGATCCGAGCAGTTAGCAAGTCCCATATTGTCCACCCCCCCCCGGCCCAGTGGAAGAACGGCATTTGCGAAATCGACCCCATGTCGATTCCCGCGATTAAAGAATCAGGGTGGTCGCCATCTATGGATGAATTGTCTCGTCAACCTCGTCATGGTCCCAACTACAATCAACTTCTCCATTTGCTCAACGACATGCAAAACCACACCGCTGCGTGGCCGTTTGCGCAACCGGTCAACAAGGACGAGGTGCCTGATTACTATGAAGTCATCAAAGAACCAATGGATCTTTCTACAATGGAGGATCGCCTTCAGAATGACTTGTATCCGAGACCAGAGGACTTTATCAAAGATGCCAAGCTCATCTTTGACAATTGTCGCCGTTACAACAATGAGACCACACCCTATGCGAAGAGTGCCAATAAACTGGAGAAGTTCATGTGGCAACAGATCAAGAACATCCCAGAGTGGTCGGTAAGTACTTATTTCCTGAAATTCTAGATTGATCAAATGTTCTGACGCCGTCCTAGCACTTGGCAGATTGATCGGTTAAGATCCTGTGGTTGGTGGTACATAACGATAGACGTGAACAACTAGGAGTGAAGGTTGAAAATGAATGACTACTTTGGAGCATCTTGGACGGCGTTTTGAAGGCAGGCTTGCTTGCCGTGTTATCGGCAATTGTGTGATACTATGATACCCTCGGTGCGTCGGAGCCGTGAATTGGCTATAGGGAGATGAAAGTGTATCATGGGAACCTTGAACACCCTTGACAATGTGGTCTTTGTATGGACTTTGACCACATCGTTGTCACTGAACTCTTATGTTGAGTGGCCGGCCGCCTGCAGATTGCGAGACTAATGCGCGGACCAATGAGCACGTTTGCTGGCGTTGCCCAAGGCGCAGCCACTTCAATTGAATGTCAATCAAAGAATCAAGCTCCCTCCCTCTCCATCGCAATTACGACACATCGAATTGTATCCACCATTCATAATCTTCTTTCGCTGGCGGCTTCCTCTCAATCACACTTGCTATAGCGAACACTCGTGTGGTCGCAAAGTGAAGCAAGATTCACCGCTCGTCGTGTATCGTTTTCACCCACTTTTCACCCCATCCCTCGCCTCACCTCCTGCCTCGGGCTTGACAGATATCAGCTCGTCTGATAATTCTCAATTCGGTGCACACCTCGGTCACGGCCAGACAAGAGGGACAGACAGGATATAAGTGTGTCAAGAGAATACCTCAGATCCTTCCAGTTTTATGCCAGTGGTAGACCTTGTCCTTTAAGGCTCTCGTCAACATCGACTTCGTGGGAAACTGATCAAAAGAACAAAGAAAATGGCGAAGGCAAACCCGGATCAGGAGCCTGAACAGCGCAACCGATTGCCAACACTAATGGAAGTTTTGGGACGAAGGACATTGGCACCGGTTGACCTGTTTTCATTTTACATTTTCATGCGTGATCAACAGCGTTCGGTGGATTACTTGGATTTCTGGTATATTTGGATTTAAGAATGGCGTAAAATCGTGTGCTGACCTTTTTTTTTGGGGCAGGCTTGATGTGTCACAGCACATGTCACTATGTCGACACTATGTTCGAGAGCTGCGACGGTCCATGCTTGTTGACACCCCCGAGATGGAAAAGGCTGCAAGTAAAAGGTCTTCTGCTCTTCCTGAGTCATTCGATCTGGGCGAGGGACTTGACTCGAGAAAAAGTGGGCAAGAATCAAGAGTATCTGCCATCTTGAGATCGGACAATGGTCCAGCACGCAAACCTGGCAGTAGAGAAGGCGGTGTAGATCATTCTCCCTCTCACAGCATGGGATCAGCGCATTCAAGAAATCTCAGCCGACCATCAGGAGATCGACCCTCGCCTTCCGAACCACCCCAAACCAGCCTTTTGACCCCTGAAGTGCGAACGGATTCAAACTCTCCCGGTCATAGTGTCACTAGGGCCGATATCAAAGCAAGTGCGGAGAAGATCCTCTATACATTTGTTCTACCGGGCTCAGAGCGTGAAATTGTTTTGCCCGATTCAATGCTAAACAAAATTATCAGAGCGATTGAAGAAGAAGGACGTGATGACCCAGAAGTGTTTGACGACGCAAAGGATTATGTCTTTCAGGCCATGGAGAGAGACGCGTTTCCAGGGTTTCTTCAGGCCAAAGCTCTCGGCAATTTGGTTCCCCTGAGTGTTCTAATCCGACTGATAGTTGGACTTGCGAGTTTGATGGGTGGATTTTGGGGCGGATATTACATGATCTTGAGAGATGAGTCAAGACGAATTCGGTGTTGGGTATGAAAATCTGCCTCCTTATTACCCGAGTTTTTGGATGATTGCTGACTTATGATTTGTAGCTCATCCTCCCGTACACTATCGGAACGTACTTCCTCGTCTCATACCAGTACAAGCTCGACATCATTGCCGCATACATCGGTTTCAGCGAGTATACTTGGATGAATTGGTCGCGGGTGAGGGAACCGTTTGTCCGGCGGCTACTCTTGACAAGAGCTACCATGGCATTCCTCATGTTTGCAGCAGCAGCTGTCGCGCTGAGCGTGCTTTTTATCTTTGTGCCGGGAACGAGGTTCTAGTGTGCAAAGGCAGGTCGGCAATGATGTTATGAAATGGGATGGAATGGGTGAATGTCCGGCGTTACGGTTCACCCAAAGGTCCGATATACCTTTGATTTACCACATCTACATCCGATGAGCGAAGGAAACGGGAGTGGACTGCAAAAAGGGAGATCGGCAGGTGTTAATGATCTTTTATGAGTTGCTCCTCTGAACGACTCAAAGGTATTGGAGCTGGAGTTGGAGTTTGCGCCGGACCTGTCCCCAAAATTAATGAAGATGGGAATGAACGGGCTACAGCAATACGGAAAGGACATGGCAACCGTACAGCTTTGAGTGGGAGCTTGGATGATGCTTTTAGATTTTTTCCCCACCGTCTTCGGTTCAATATCTTGACTCGAAAGACCGGGGGAGGTTGAGTTGGTATGTACAACCACTACCTACCTTCCCCTATTAATCGCAAATATCAGCGAGTTGTGAGCTTCTTCACATATTTTTGCAACCTATTTCCATCTTCTCATTCTCTCCCATTGTAGCCCCATAAAAAGAGAAGTTACAATCTGAAAAGGGACTTCGTCACTCGTAATCATCGCAAACCATATTTTCATTACATGGCGTAGCCCGTGAGTTGTGGGCCTTGCCGATATCAAGAAACCCCATGACGCCTTTGTAAATGCACGCTGGGCCAGGAGTTTCAGCGATTTTGCAGCAATGGTGCTCTAGTTCATTTCAATTACTTTGATCCGCGTCCTCGATTCCTCTTTGCGCCTTTTGAACTCCCAGCACCGTGTCCACCGCGTCCACCACCACTGTGCGCGGTCTCACCAAGCCCTTCGTCCACGTCCATCCGTCCATCTTCATCGCTCAAGTCGTCTAGCTCGCCCTCCATTTGCTGGTCGAGATCTCGCTTGCTTGGTAATCGCTGTGCGCCACGCATCATTCTTCCCATGTTCTTGCGCTCCGCGTCTGTGTTCTCGTTCGACGGAATGTCTTTGTCATTCAGGACCGCTGCGTCTACAACCTCTTGTCGCTTTCGCTGTGTGGCGGTGCGCTGGGCCGCTGCGGCGCGGACGGCGGAGATTTGTGCTTCAAGGTCGTTGACCATGGATGAACATCTCGATTCCCATGTCTGGAGGATCTGGAGGAGGGCGGGGAGGGATTGGGGTCGCAAGTCGCGGAGAGGCGCTACGGAAGTAATGTTGACGATGGGCGGGTTGGACGTAGGGGAGAGACGGGCGGTGAGGAGGCCAGAGTAGATGGATTGGGTGACGAGGGATTCGAGGCTTGCTGCATCGGGTAGGTCAAGTGATTTCAATAGTGATGGATAGGTGAGGGCGTTCGTTGTGTTAGTGCGACTGCGGGCGAACGGCGAGGCCAGTGTGAGGAGGCTCAGTTGGCGCAGCTTGAAGGTTTGAGGTTCGTCGAGCTCTGGAAGGCCACGGATGTCTACATAACGAGAAACAAAACATTGTTAATCAGACCGTCGTTGCTTGGGCCAATTCGAGGATGATGGTCTTTGTACCTCTGTATTCTTCATATGTTGCCCAGCTAAAGATCTCCAACAACGTCAACCATGACTGTGAGTCCGTGCCCCGAAGACTCTGACAGGCGGGTGTCTGAAGGAGTTCGGTAAAGATATATGTGCCTGGTGCCGATATGGCGCCTTTGATGAGTTCGACAACGAAGCGGGGAGAGGTGGTTTTAGTGGTGGTTGCAAGGTGGACGAAGGGCTGAATGGCGGCCAAAGCCTTGATCTGAGATTGATCCATGATCGAGAGCTGTGGGGATTGTGACTGCACAGCTGTATCTGCAAGAGAGGGTGAGTTATGTTGTCTGTATAATTTCGTTTAGAAGCGGAATTATCCCAATTGGTCTTGGGCCTCGCGAGGCTGCCAGTGTTGCTTAAGGCTGCTCGGCTACACGCTTGGCAGAACCGGAGGCTACGTGTCACGTGTCACGGTAGTGCGATTCAGAGCACATTCAGTAGTAATTGATCATAAGAGTAAACATGTCGTAACACATCGTGGCCTGACAGCCAATTTCTGGGGTCGAATTTGGCATGTCAAAACTGGGTTCCTGAGCGACTAAGACTGTAGCGTGGCATTTGGCTGAGTGGCGCAATTTCTGGACTCTGTGGACCCCTTTTGTTCCGCCAGAATTGGAATATCGATATCTAAGCAATGACCTAGCGAACTTCTTCCCTCTGTCTCACCTGCCGCTACATCTCACGTCTCACACTTTGCTGTTCCGGCAAAGCCACTTCTGCCCTCTGGGGTTTCAGTTCGCTCATTTTTTCCCTTGATTTTCTTTCCTCTGTTTGTGGTCTTGTCTGCTTTTTTTTTTTTTTTTCCCAACCACGTTGCGACTCTTCCGAAAAGTGTATCCTCTACCATTCCGAAACGCGTCTTCCTCCGAACATGAAATCATAACCCCCCTCTCTGCTGCCACTGCATCGTCTCTCAAACACTCCGTCAGAAGCATGAGTGCCATCAATGGCGGCCCCGAGCCGCAACAGCAATCGCCTCCAGCGCATATGGCGACCACGACATTGAAAGTGGACGGAATGACCTGTGGCGCCTGCACTTCGGCCGTCGAGTCCGGATTCAAGGGTGTGGACGGCGCCGGTGCTGTGTCAGTCAGCTTGATGATGGGCAGAGCTGTGGTACATCATGATCCGGCCAAATTGTCTCCCGAAAAGATTGCGGAGATCATTGAAGACCGTGGGTTCGACGCCGAAGTCCTCTCAACCGACATGCCCCGACCTGCTCCTTTTTCCACAACACAGAATAATTCCAAGGAAGCGTCCGATTCGGGACCTCAGATCACCACTACAACCATATCCATACAAGGGATGACATGTGGGGCCTGTACATCCTCTGTGGAAGCTGGCTTCAAGGATGTGCCAGGTGTAAAGAGGATGAATGTGTCATTGCTCGCCGAACGAGCGGTCGTTCAACATGATGCAATTGTTATCACCGCCGATGCATTGGCTGAAATCATCGAAGACCGAGGTTTCGAGGCCACAGTTGTGGACTCGAAATTGCAAGAAACTGCGAAGTCTGCGCGCGCGGGCACTGACGATCCCGGGCACGCTACGTGGATGACCACCGTTGCAATTGAAGGGATGACTTGTGGAGCCTGCACCTCCTCCGTCGAAGGTGCTTTTAAGAGTGTTCCCGGATTGGCGCGGTTCAATATAAGTTTGCTCGCAGAACGGGCAGTCATTGCTCATGATCCTGTGGCTTTACCCTCCGAAAAGATCGTTGAAATCATTGAAGATTCCGGATTCGACGCCAAGATCGTGTCCTCTCAGGCTGAAACCACGATGCCAAATATTTCTGTTACTTCGCAACAACTAAAAATCTATGGCCTTCCGGATGGCCAAACTGCAATCGACCTGGAGAACCAACTGAGATCAAAGCCCGGAGTCAAAAATGCCGTCATCACTTTATCCACATCTCGAGCCACCGTCACGTATGACCCTACAATCGTGGGTCTTCGACTGATTGTCGATACTATCGAAGCAGCCGGCTTCAATGCTTTGGTGGCGGACTCCGAGGACAACAACGCGCAACTAGAGTCCTTGGCCAAGACCAAAGAAATCCAGGAATGGCGGCGAGCGTTCCTGACATCTCTGGCATTTGCCATTCCGGTGTTTTTAATCAGCATGATCATACCCATGTGTTTCCCCTCGATCGATTTCGGTGCCTTTGAAATCATACCAGGCTTGTTTTTGGCCGATGTGGTGTGCTGCGCTTTGACAGTTCCTGTTCAATTTGGCATCGGAAGGCGATTCTACGTCTCAGCATACAAGAGTCTGAAACATAAATCCCCGACAATGGACGTTTTGGTAGTGCTCGGTACTTCGGCGGCATTCTTCTTCAGCTGTTTCGCAGTCATTGTAGCGGTTTTAATTCCTCCTCATAACAAACCGGGAACAGTCTTCGACACCAGCACAATGTTGATCACATTCATCACCCTAGGCAGGTGGCTGGAGAATCGAGCAAAAGGCCAAACATCAAAGGCATTGTCCAACTTGATGTCTCTCGCACCCAGCATGGCCACCATCTATGAAGATCCATTATACGCAGAGAAGCTTGCCGATGCTTGGTCGGCCCCCTCGTCGCCCGTCCTCGAGAAAACTCCCACGGGTGATGCTAGGAAAGAAGGGCATTCGGGCCCTGCAGGCCCGTCCGCCATTGAAAAAGTCATCCCGACCGAACTGATCGAAGTTGGAGATGTCGTCATTCTTCGGCCTGGCGACAAAATTCCCGCCGATGGAGTCGTCACGCGTGGTGAGAGCTTTGTGGATGAAAGCATGGTCACGGGAGAAGCCATGCCTATCTTGAAAAAGAAAGGCAGCGCCCTCATGGCTGGAACAGTCAATGGCGCTGGCAAGGTCGACTTTAAGGTTACCCGTGCTGGAAAAGATACACAACTTAGTCAGATTGTGAATCTAGTCCAAGAGGCGCAAACTAGTCGAGCCCCGATTCAACGGATGGCCGATCTGGTCGCCGGCTATTTCGTACCCATCATCGTTTTGCTCGGCCTGGTCACCTTTGTCGGGTGGATGATCTTGAGCCATACCATGCCCAATCCTCCCAAGATTTTCACTGACAAACGAAGCGGTGGAAAATTCATGGTCTGTCTGAAACTTTGCATTTCTGTCATTGTTTTCGCCTGCCCTTGTGCTTTGGGCTTGGCCACTCCAACCGCGGTCATGGTGGGAACCGGTACTGCCTCTCAGCACGGAATCCTGGTCAAGGGAGGTGCGGCACTGGAGACGGCAACTCGAATCACCCATATCGTCCTCGACAAGACCGGAACTCTTACATTCGGCAAGCTTAAAGTGGCCGATACACGGATCGAGTCTCTTTGGGCCTCCAACGATTGGCGGGTGAAATTGTGGTGGACCCTTATCGGCCTTGCTGAATCAGGCTCTGAACATCCCATTGCTAAATCGATTCTCGCTGCGGCAAGGGACAAGCTCAATCTGGACCCTGAGGAAGCTCTCCCTGGCCAAGTCGGAACATTTGGAGTGACGGTTGGCCAAGGTGTGTCGGCCATTATTGAACTCGATACTCCCGGAGGCGAGAGCCGATACCAAGTTTATGTCGGAAATGCGACCTTCCTTCACAGGAAAAATATCGAGATTCCGTCTCATGTGGAGGATGAAGTCAACTCTGCCTTGTCACCCGTGACGAGAACGAAGTCAAAGACTGGGATTACCACTATCTATGTCGCCATCAATGGCCAATATGCTGGAACCCTCGGGCTCTCAGACACGTTGAAACCTACGGCTCCGGCCGCGATCACTGCATTACATAAGATGGGCATTAGGACATCTTTGGTTACTGGTGACACTTACAACACAGCTCTCAGCATTGCACAGCTTGTTGGCATCCCCAAGGAGTCAATCCGAGCGTCTGTATCTCCGGGTGACAAGCAATCAATTGTGGCCGACCTGCAATCTCAAGGCGAAATGGTCGCCATGGTCGGAGACGGTATCAATGACTCTCCAGCCCTCGCAACTGCAAATGTGGGTGTCGCTTTGGTCTCAGGAAGTGACATCGCCGTTGAAGCTGCCGATATCGTCATCATGCGATCAGACGACCTACTCAATATCCCGGCTGCCCTACATCTCTGTCGTGTCATTTTCCGTCGTATCAAGATGAACCTGATCTGGGCATGTGCATACAATGTCATCGGTCTCCCTTTCGCCATGGGTATCTTCTTGCCTTTTGGATACCACATGCCACCTCTGATGAGTGCAACCGCAATGATGTTCAGTAGTATTAGCGTCACGCTGTCCAGCCTTGCACTCAGATGGGCAGGGAGACCGAAATGGTTATCTGTCGAAGCGTTGGAGATGGAGAGTCCAAAGGTCAGCATACCTACTCGAGGGTACAGCAAGAAGCCGACCAGCTGGGTTAGCAAAGTCGGTGACACGGTGTCTGATATCTTTGATGGCGCCATGGGCAAGAGAAGGAGTTGGCTTTGGAGAGTGGCAGAGGGAAGGGAAAGGGGCAATTATGTTCCTCTTCGGCCTGTAGAGGTTGGAGAGGTTGTCTAGCCTTCCACATGATTGCTTCTCCTTTTCTTCCTAGCTCTGAATTATATACTATACTCCAGCGTGATGGTCTCTCCTCTAACACACCACATGCCCAAGAGTAAATATACAACGCATGCTTTCCACAACATTTCAATTTCTGAGAAGACGAGTGCAACGTCAAAGAAACCCCTCGAATCCTACCGTCCTACCGATGAAACTACTTCTTAACATTGAGTAGCAGGTGGCAGGAGGTTTCTCACCAGGTTGAGCCCCTGAAATACTGGCTTTAACTACCTTCCCTACCCTGACTCTATGCTGACAAGGCCCGTTGATGACACAGGGCGGTTCTCAATTGAGGTAGATGGTAAGGAGGTCCCTATAATGCCACAGTATTATTCTATCTTACCATTCCACCAACTGCAAGACTCAAATCAAACACAATGTTCCGTCCACATAGGTATGTCCCATGATTGAATTCCGTCGATCATCCTGGTTGACAAGCTAATCGCTTTCCGCCACTACGCTCTTTCCATTTATCAAACAATGTGATTCCTTGTCTCGCGGCAGATGTTCTTCTCATCCTCAACTCGGCTCTAAATTTTCCAAAGAGGCCATGTCCGCGATTCCAGCGACAACAAGTATGATTGGATTGAGTCGAGAATGGTGGCGCTGGAAGGCTTTGTTGACAATGGAATGGAAAAGTCTGGCTAAGGGTAGATCGTTCATGTAGTAGTCGAGGGCATCTTTGTGGGTGATTGAGACTGAATCGGAGTTCCAGGCGGACAGGATGAGTCTGAAAGAATCAGGCCGACTTTGGATGAGATGATCCAGGGGAGTACGTGTCCACACATGGGAGATGAACTCGTGTCCATGAAACTTCGTTTGAACTGCTAGCTCCGTTGACCAGGATCGAGCCAGAGATTCTGGCGCAATAGTAAAGACTTGAAGTCAACCTTACGCGTAGGCAGAACTCATTCACCACGCACAAGAAAACTTTGCTTTGAACGAGATGAGTAACGACGGTGTCCAAGAATCGAGGTAGAGAAATGAGAGCGTAGAATTCTCTGTAGCCATACAGGACAATATGTCTGACTGTAGAAGAACGGGAACAGACATGAAGATGATCCAAGAACAGGTCACATCCCTTTCCAACTACCGTACTATATTTTGAAACGTCAACATCGATTCTCCTTGGAGATATTCTCCACCTCTTCTTTTTTCACTATTTGTTCAAGCATATGGTGTGAAGGAGGAAGCCAGATACTATATAGCTGCACTGCCTGTCCTTGTTTCGTGTCCTCTTCGGAATACGCTCCCCAAGCACAATGCTCAGTCGATCCCGATGTCTCCAAACCCCCCCAACGAGCGTCGTGCTGGTGCTAGTCTCATATGTTAGCGAGATTTGTGGAGGAAGCGACGTAGGAAGTCTTGATACATCTCAGAGCGCTGGCTTTGATGCACTTCCTTTGATGTTGTTTCCGATCCTCCTATGCCGCTGTCCATATTCCACTGATAGGAATTGGCTTTCGGTTGGGCATGTGAAGCCTTATATTTCACAGCTGGTCTCTCCAATCGACCTTTGGTGTTCTCCATTCTGAGGAAATGAGTCAGGCTCCCGTAATCTTGAGGCATTCTTCTCGCGACCTTCATAGACTCCATAGCCACAGTTTTTCAGAATTTCAAGCATTGTCTTGGCGTTAAGATCACTCTTCTCTTGCTGCTTGGCCACCTCGAAGAGGGTTACCAATGTTTGGGTGTCGGGGTGGTATTTCTGTAGAAGAAATTCCAAGACTTTGAAATTCCTCGACAGCCCCGATCCGATCAAGCACGAGCTAACATGACAAGAGCGATGGTAGCTTGCGAAAAGCTCGAGCATCTCAATAAATCCATGGCATGCGGCTATCTCGAAAGGGGACTCACATCCTATGCGAGCTTCAATCTGAATATCGACATTCGCGCCCAGACGAATAAGGAGTTTCGCAACGTGAACTTGGTTGTAAGCCGCTGCCACGTAAAGTGGTGTGGCTCGCGGCGCTCTTGAGTTTGGGTTGGTGTCATTCACAGGAAACGTACCATCAATATCTGCTCCAGGGTAATCCATGAGCAGTCTCGCCAGGGTATCTTGACCTCCCCAAGCCGCAAAATAGAGTGCTTTGGAGAGGACCCCAGTGCTCCTCGCGTTGAACGATAAGATACGGGTAACGGTCCTGGTTTGGCCCTCCAAGGTGGCGAAATACAAACACATTTCATCCATAACAAAGCCATTTTGCCCAAGCAACATTGCCGTCTGTTCATGTCCAAGCATGTTGGCGAGCACCATAGGCACGTTCCGCCACGTCTGGCGATTGTGGTTCATAGGAAGAGAGTTCAAAGTCACTCCTTGTAAAAAGGAGAATAAGTGCCGAACCTTGTCGGGACTTTCGCCCGATTCTCTCCTCCGAGCAACGAGGATATCATCACAGGTCGGATGACTCCACTCCCAGTCATCTTCAGCGGCCCCCCACTCCAGTAGAACCCTTACCATCGTGGGCTGGTCAAAATTTGCAGAGACGGCAGCGACAAGTGCAGAGGCGGTGTGCGTCGATAACCAATATCCATGCGGAAGTTCAGAAGCTTCTTCAGTGCGGCAACGTGACCATGCCTCGCCGCAGTGGGCAAAAGTCTTTCGACATCCAGCGCACTAATGCCACGATGCAAAAGTTCGTGCACCACAGCAGGTCTCCCTCTGTTTTCAAGTTCCAGCCGGAGGGCTAAGCTCAGTCCTTGAAGGTCGGACAGAGATGTAAACGCGGCCCCAGCACCTTGATCGAGAAGGTGACGAAGCACTTGTAACTGTTATGTACTGGTACGCCGCCAACTTGGTAATGCATCGGTCCTACCTTCAAGTGAGGATTGCTCGACTTCGAGGAATGATTTCAACGTGATATGGAGCGTCCGCCGCCTCAACCGAGCTGCCTTATAACGGAGCTCGGCGAGTTTCTGCTTCTTTTCAACTATTGGGAGTTTTTGCTTCATGACATCGTTAGCGGCGACCTCGAGCATTTTGCCATTCTCAAGTGCGACCTGCAAGAAAAATCCATTGTCGTCAAAAGGAAGTGAGTCAGGCGTTGGGTCTGACGATGGCGTTTCATCAACGAAGGTCTTAGCCTGCGTGGTCAAACGGGAGGTAAATAGCGATTGCGGTCGTAGATTTTCAGAAGAATCGATAGCCAGTTGTGGCGAGGAGCCTTGATGATATTCCGTTAGTCAGCGGTAGAGAGAGGGTGGGTCGGTAAGGCTGCGGCCAAAGCCTAGAAGATGCTCATCGCCGTGATGAAGAGTTGGAATGTGAGATATTGAGACGAAGCTGGAAGCACCTGGCACCATTATGTCGCTGGCACTTAGCCGCCACCGTTTTGCGATTCAGCCCCGGCAGCGGTGATTTAGGGGGCAAGCGATCGCAAAAGTCGGTTGCGGTTCGGAAGTCACATGCTGAGACCCAGGTCACGTGACAAGTTGCGGGCCTAACCTACGTCCTTTTTGTGTCTTGCCCCTTTCACTCTTTTTGCAAGGCACGGGCGTAAGAAATAATCAATCAATCTTTTTGGCAAGAGCGCTGGAGTATGGCGTTGTTCTCGGATTCTGATGTCAAATATCTTGACACCTCTTTGATCGAGACGACTAAGGAGAACAGTCTCGAATTCAACGTAGAACTGACTTCCCCCGGCCGTGTGAAGATGCAACAAACACCCCAAGTTCACTCGAGGCCTTTGGACGTGGGGGACTGCAAAGCCGATCGCCAGGGCTGCCAGTATCGACGCAACTTACGTCATTTCTCAAGCAAAAACAGATGCTCCAGCACACGGTTTCCAAGCTTTTGTGATTGTAGATCGTATCCAATCGTTGAAAGCTAACATCGTTGGACGGCTGAGTGTACTTGAAGCAGTTGGGACATGGCGACAAACGATGTGCGACTAAGTGATACGTCGACACCATTCACATACACGTTATGAGAAGCAGGATCAATTCCGGTCCCTCCTTTATGCTGATCACAACCTGGCGTATATATTGTCAACAATTCTTTGGGTACGATAGGCGGTGACTAGAAGAGAAGCCAAGCTCCCAAACTCGAACTGGGATGGAAACGAACAAGCCAGATTGGGACAAGGGAATGCTTGACCTCATGGCTCGCAAATGGTGTTCATCTCCCAGGCTGCCTCGAATATTATCTGCTCGTTCCAATTCCAACTTCTGACCAATGAAGGCCCGTTACTTATTCGAAGCACCTTCGTGCAGTCTGCACCCGGGGGTGAGGAGGTTGAGGTCGGCCGCGACTATCCCAACTGGGAAGCCTACGGCAAGCCACTTCGGCCGAAGAGCTCCACAGTTGATCCACAATACCTGCACGATGTTCATATGAATACCAGTCTCCCAAGACATGGCGGGGAAAATGATCTCTGAAACAGTGAGTGTCTCCCGGCCGATGACAGGGGGATACGCGAGAAGGCTCGAGTCGGTAGGAGATTGTACCCCAGCTCCGTGACTGGCATAGCATATATTAAAGGTGAACATGTCGTGAATGCATGACTGTATAACAGGACCAGTCTTTGACTCAAGTTCTTCCCCCTCTAGAACTCACACAATCCACAGACTTCAGACCACCTCGATTCACAACTACCATGGCAGCAAAATCCGTCGTTTCCCCCCTCGCTCGTTATCGTCAGTTGGCACCATCGGCATCCGTCTTTGTGTCTCCACTAAGCTTGGGGAGCATGAATTTTGGACACCTTCACCAACCTATGCTTGGAGAATGCACCAAGGAAACTGCTTTCGAAATTCTCGACCATTATTTCGACCAAGGGGGCAACTTCATTGATACCGCCAACGCTTATCAAGGCGGAGAGACCGAGAAATGGCTGGGTGAATGGATGGCCGCTAGGAAAAACCGGGATCAAATTGTCCTGGCAACCAAGTACACTGGAATGTACAAAGGCTTGGAGCCGGATCTCAAGATAAAGTCCAACTATGGCGGAAACGGCGCCAAGTCCATGAAACTTTCCTTGAACGACTCGCTGCAGAAATTGCAAACTGACTACGTCGACATCTTGTATGTTCATTGGTGGAATTACACGACCACCATTCCTGACAGTCCAGCCTGGGTGGTTGCTAAGGCAAACCAGTACGCCCGAGACCACGGACTGCGTCAATTTGTCGTCTACCAAGGCCAATGGAGTGCCGCTCTGCGCGATATGGAACGTGAAATTGTCCCCATGTGTCGAGACGAAGGGATGGGCATGTGTATCTGGGGAGTGCTGAATCAAGGGAGATTCCAAACCGAAGCCGCCTTCCGTGAGCGAGAGGAGAACCATGAAGGGCGAAATCATGGCCCTGTGTCTGAAAGAGACCGGCAAGTGTCCAAGGTTTTGGAGAACCTTGCAGACGCCAAAGGTGTAACCGTCACCAATGTGGCGCTGGCATATATCATGCAGAAAGAGCCGTACGTTTTTCCCATTGTTGGCGGAAGAAAGTTGGAACATATCAAAGGAAATATTGATGGCCTATCGGTGGCATTGACGGGGGAGGAGGTGGTCCGTATCGATTCAGCATACATGTTCGACCCGGGCTTCCCACACATATTCTTGAGCGGATCGGTTTTGAAAGGAACAGACGCCCCTCAAAAGAACGCCTCTCGCCCCAGCGAAGTATGGTTGACAACCTTTCAGGGAACGTTGGACTGGGTGGAAGCTCCCCAAGCTATCAGGCCTGCTCCTTCTTGAGACTGCTTTGATTAGGTGAGGAGGTGATGGGATACGGATGGGGTCCTATATTTCATCTTGCCAACAGACTGGACGACAAGAATAGTGAAACACTGAGATTCACCTAGAAATCCAGCTTTCCCCATCATTCATTTCATCTTGCTTCAAAAAACTGCTATGAATCATCCCCAAACCGTCGATACTCTCCGAGATTGAGTGACCTTAGGGGCTCCTTTAGCAGAATCAATGTAGAAGTGTGCTAATTACAGAGAGTTTTCGGCCGAACGCTAGGCTAGCGTCGCAGCAGAATGCAGACTCATCTGCCGTCAACGACGTTCTTGATTATCTTCACTTACTCACTGACCGCGACATTGAGATTTCCCATCACAAGGGAGGAAAATTCGGCATCACTGGAGACTCGCGTCGTCAAGACGTCGCACACAATCTTACCGCGAGTCCGTAGCCCCTCCAGCTCATCGCCGGAAGAGACGGATCAGGGCGTCAAACCATGGCCTGACATTGCGCGCCATATTATCAAAAACATATTCCCGACATCGCCATGTCACGGAGACCCATCACTTCTTGCCTGGAATGCTATCGGAGAAAGCAGAAATGCAATCGAATCAAGCCTTGCAACCAGTGCTGTGCTCGAAAAGTCCCAGAGAGATGTTTCTTTACCCATGACACCACTAGGTCAAACGAGACATCCGCCTCGCAGCATTTGTTCTCCGCCACCCAGGGCACGGAGCCCACGAATGATTCGGACGTCGATACAGAGGCTACGCCAATACCGTCTAGTCTTGTCAATCGTGCGGGCTATTCGGCAACGCCTGACAGCAGCACATTTCTTCGTTTCAAAACCGAAAATTGTCCAAATGCTTCTCGAACCTTTTTTTCGGGACCTTTACTGGTCCTTCATGGCGATTGATGAACATCACTTCCAGAATTTATACCGCTAATCGATGACCATACCAATTGCCGAATATGTGAATGGCAGCACAGATAATGTTCAACGCGAAATGCTGTATTTTCCTGCACTCCTCTTCCAAGTACTTGCACAGATTCTACAAGCCCTCTCACCACAGCATGCCGCCGCCGAAACTTTGGGGATCAGCAATTATGCTGACTGCGATCGCCTATCTCAATCATTTTACCTGATCGGGAATAAATTAGTATCCATGCTGGGTCGACACCATCCAACATTGTGCTCGATAGAGCACGATCTTGTTTCTTCCTGCTGGTTGAAGAATTCTGGTCGAGGTTCAGAAGCCTGGTATCGACTTGGAAGCGCAGTCAGGTGAATTTTCCGAATCATTTACAAAGTATTGCTAACTGACATTCTTTCCTAGACAAGCTCAAGAACTAGGGTTGCACAGTCTACCTCAAAGTATTGAGCAGACACCAGAAGACAGTCTGGAGTCGAATCTACTGAAGATCTGGGCCCTCGAACACCGGAAACGTATTTGGGCTCGGTTGTTTGTTGTAGACAGGTCTGTGTATTTTGAACTATGCAGTCACTTGGCTGACGATGACCAGTATTCTGGCTCTAGCATTAGGAAGACCTCGACTTCTCCATCGAGAGGATTGCTCAACTCCCGCGCCTCTAAACTGTGAGTATCCCAAAGATCCAGCAAGGACAGTCCCGTTGTCCCTGGACGACTCACCATTTACTACCACCCTCCCGTTTCTCACATTGGCAAACAAAATACATGACATGTTATCTTTCGTAGCCAATGGAATTTTCACCCGAGACTATACCAAGGTGTTATCAGTTCATCAGGATGTATATTCACTTCGAAAAAAACTGCCTCTATCATTGCCGGGAAACTTCCCAGGCCCATGTCCGGATCCGCGGACCGCGCGGCTGACCGTGATACGTCTAAGCATACTGAACTCGATCAATGTCATTCTTGTCGCCTTACACAGACCATTCCTCCGTACTCAACCCTCCAGCCGAACAGCAGCCGTAAACGCTGCATTAGAAGGATTAGAACTGCAAAATTCCATCTGCGATCTCATTCCCTATCCTCAGTCTAAAGCATACGGAACCGTGTTCTACACCATCGACGCCTCCGTTTTTCTTTGCGGGATCATGATCGAAATGCCGCCCACGGATCCCGCCGAAGACCGTCGAATCAGACAGGCTCTCCTCGAAAGTATAGGTACGTCTTGCAGCAATCAAAGACAGGAGCCCTTTAGCAGAAGCGGGTGAGCAGATACTGCGACATTTTTGCCAGAAAATCCAGGTTGCTCGCCGGAGTTCTTGGGAGCCAGTAGACTGTTTTCAGCAGGCTGATCAGCAACCAGAGGGATTGGAAAGGGACAGCCTCGGGAATATTTCTATTCCACCGCCTCAGCAACACCCATACGAAACTTATCAGTCACTATTCGGCGAGGGTCAGAGCTCCTATGAGCATTTGGACCCAATTCAAGATCAATCTCTGGGCTTGGAGGACCCTTCTTCAGGTGATATTGGAAATTTCTCGCCGTCGCTTCAAGTTCTGAGCCAGAATGGCTATCTATGGTCTCCCGAGTACAATTTCTCCTGATCCAGGCCAGACAGCCAACTGGCCCTTGAATCGTATTTGCTTCAAGAGCATCATATCTTACCATACGGCACATCAACGCTTTCTCGAGTCAATCGATAGTAAGCCCTTCGACAAACGAGCAGTGTGCCCGGCCCACAGCATCGCCTAGGGATCCGTACCAAAGGATTCTCTAGCCGTTGGAATGGCCAGACGAAATGTGGAGGCAAGGGCAGGTTGTTTAGAGCAGGGTGATCTTCATGTTAGCCTGTACGTCTACGAACTGAAAGAAGCGTTTACGCTAGCTCTTCGCCTGAGACGCCAAGTGTGTAAGTTGAGAAGTGAGGCCCAATTGCTTCTTGGAAAAAAAAAAAAGGACTATTCATATGCGAAAGTCTCTGGCTTGTCACCGTATATGCAGAAAGTCATCGAATTGCAGATATCCCATCCGCCTCTCAATCAACCAGCGATCATATATTGAAAGATTGCAAATATAGCGGCGTCCGATTATCCATCTTTGCGATGATACCGAAAAAGGTAATCGAGGCCAATTTCGTCCAGGCTCGCTCGGAGTCCTTCAACGTATGGAATTCTCCCGCCAAAAAAGCGACACGATGCGGCTGCAACCATTCCAGTAGTAGCGTGTGTGAACGGAATCTGTGTAGTCCCCAGTTTCTCTCCCATTTTTAGGAATGGTTCAGGCGTACCATGAAGTCCTATAATGACAGGCTGCACAACTGGGAAATATGCTTCATTCGGCTCATCTTCTATCCTTTGCAGAAGCCATGGCTACAGAAGAAAAGTCGGTTTTGGGCACGGCAGAGGAATTTGTCTATTCTCCTTTTGACTTCACCGTCGCGGGAGGTGGTATCGCTGGACTGGCAGTTGCAGCGTGTCTGTCTGAGAATGAAATATTTCAAGTTGGCGTTCTGGAAGCCGGTGACAATAGGGTTACAGATCCTCTGATGAATATTCTGAATAAAATCGCGCGCGATATTGGCGCCGTCGACTTCGAAGCGTTTGTCGATTGAAAGGAGGGACATCATCGTCGTCCAGCCCACGTCCCGCAGCAGGGTGGAGAGGACGACGGTTTCGATGTCGACGGTGGCAGAGATTTAGATCGGAAGTTCTGAAAGCTGAGCGAGGTTCAGCCCGTAGTCCAAGTGAATCGCAGTCCGACTGGTCGTGGATGCCAAAATATCCTCGAGTCCACCTGGTCTTCACATATCAACTCGGTGGCCCCGGCCATGCACTGCACCTACACTGGGACAGGATCTCGACAGTCCAATTAATTTAGGTAAATCGATCTCGCACAACGCGACCAGTTCATGCAATCAGCCTTTTCCGGAAGCACCACGGTAGTACTTCCATCTGATTGCGCCTTCTGCTATGATATTGTTCGTCATCATCCTGAAGGCAGCCGAGTTATCCGTTCAATCACGAAGAATCGATATCAACTCGGTTTGTCGTCATATGAACAGTCATCGCTTGGATAAGGAATGCATATATTAGACGAAGCGTCACACAACAACGAGAAAAACACTCTGCTGCCCTTCTTGAATTGCACTTTTCGTTTATCTCCGTACCGCAAGGAGTTGAGTTGTGCATGGAAACAACATCATTCTTGAACGGCCTCAAGAGAAGGTTGGTTGACGTGTGTTTAGTGAGCTTTCGCGCCCAGGTGGAAGAGCATCGAAAAGACTCCTGGAAGAAGCATGGAATGAGTCAGCACCCTCATGCTCTCGTTTTGTCCTTGCGATACCCGTCCCTGCGATGCTCTTTTCTTTTCCAAGATCAAGTGGTCGGAATGACTGGTGCCTGGATTGTGTAACACCTGCCAAGGGATCGGGCCCATTTTATTTGCGGATATTTCTTCCATAATGCCAGGGGTGTCATAATTTCTCCGCATTGGTTTTTCCTGATATTGGACGATGAACGTAGAAACCCACCATGACTCCCCTCGTCGGATGGTGACAACATTCCGTGTTTCATCACCAGCAAGAGGCTTTTCGTAAACACTCCTGTGCCTTTTCGTCTTTTTCATATCAAAGTATATCAATATCCGTTCATCTATGATCCTCATACTCGGGGTATGCTTGAGGGAATTGCGTTCTGAATTCTTTTCAGCACCCACCTCCAAGTTTGACATCACCCAGACCCAAAATGGGACCATCTCAGTACCGTATCCTCACCACCCTCACTCTTCTTACCAATATCCTTCGGGGGATCTTAGCGGACCAAGTCCCTATTCAAGAACCGTCCAAGGAGGCTCTTGATATTCCACCCATCGGCCTTGGGTTGTGGAATTCGAAGGGCGAAAATGTAAGTCAATTCGAAGAGAGTCAACTCTCCCGTCGAACTACGAAGGCTAAGGACCATGGTCTTTACCAGGCTACCGACGCCGTGAAATATGCTTTCGACGCTGGATACAGACATCTCGACTCAGCAGCCGCATACGGTACGTTCCACACTCGGATCTCCCATCATGTCATTCCATTCCTGTCTAGCTGGCGTACTGACAGTTCCCAGGAAACGAAGAGTTCGTCGGCGACACTCTCGCATCTTCCAATGTTCCACCCCGACACAAATACTGGGTGACATCCAAGCTATGGAACGACATGCACCAGCCGAAACTCGTCGGGAAGGCCCTGAACAAAACTCTCAGCGACCTCGCCATCCCCTACCTGGATCTCTACCTCATGCACTGGCCGGTGGCATTCCTCCCCAACACGGCGCCGGGTCGGACGATCATTGATCAAGATACAAGCATCATGGACACGTGGCGGGCCATGGAAGACCTCGTCCGGGCCAACCTGACGAGATACATTGGAGTGTCCAACTTCAGCCCACGCCAGCTAGACGAGGTGCTGAAGGATTGCGAGATATGCCCGTTCGCACACGAGTTCGAGACGCACCCGTACCTGCAGCAGCAGCAGTTCGTCGACTGGCATGCCGAGCAGGGCATCAAGGTCATCGCCTATAGCCCGCTAGCCAACATGAACCCGACGTACAAGAATCGGTATCCCAAACTGGATCCTATTCTGCAGGATCCGTTCTGGACAGATATGGCCGGCAAGAAAAATGCTACACCGGCTCAGGCGATCCTGGCTTGGGCCATGCAGAGAGGCACCGTGGTGATCCCGAAGAGCATCCATGAGAAAAGGATCGTCGAGAATTGGGGGAGTCTGAAGATTTGTTTCTCCGAAGACGAGATGTTGAACATCACGGAGCAAGATAAAAGGTCGAGGTTCAATGATCCGAGTAAGAGCTGGGGAGTGGAATTGTTTGAGGGCTTGGATGATGGATCGAACAGGTTCCTCTGGGGTTGAGAAGGACTCGGAGGTGGAGGTTAGTTGGGTAATTTGGAAGAAGACGTGTTGGAGAATACCGACAGGAACTGAACGGAGAAAAAGGATGCCATGTATACATCTTACGTGATAGGTGATAGGCCGTCTAATTTGATACCCCTTAAAGATCGCTCTGCCTGCCATCACGCATGCCCAAGCCATGCTACGCTCACCCAGGCTGGTAACCATATTGCCCACTCGACGAGTGCATCACGACTCTGCACCAACACCCGAGTTCTCAGCCAATGCCAGGGTGCACGTGAACGTCATGTCCATCCATCTCCAACCCCAAAGATCAAAGACTGCTTTATCGATCGTTGCATAAATTACTCGTCAATATCCTGGTGACGAGCCAGCACCTTTCTCTGGTATTCCTCCGGATCCTTCTGGTGGAGTTGAGCGGCCTCATTGTTCAACGGACTAGCACTATAATCCACAATCAGTATGTCCCATTTATCTCCATGTGGACGGCTTCTAACTTGTTGGGTTCACCCAGCAAACTCTGCAGGCTCAGCAACACTGTTTGAACGTTGTAGACCGCACTCCACTTGTCCTTCAAGATATCGAGGCATATTCGGCCACTGAAGTCAATGTTTGGATGATAGATCGGTGTCTTGAATAAGACTGTCGGGGGAGCATACGGATAGTTGCCGGGGAATTCAAAGCTCAGTCTGAGGTTGAGGTCCGCATAAGGTGTTTCTTTTGGTCCGACGATGGTCGCAGTCCAGCGTAGAAGGTTACCATCCGCATCTGGGAAGGCCGAGATTCCTGGGGTCGGAGACATCATGAGGGTCATGAGTTCTGACTGAAGCCTACGGGAGCAGATGAGAAAATTTCCGACCCAAGAACAAATTGAATGGTCAAACCTCTTGGTCACACTTTGCGTGTCTGCTTTCCGTGGTGCCGTGTTCAATTTTTGTTGTTCAGCCATACTGGACAATCCTGGTGCAGCATTCTGTGTGTCCTCGAGTGAAAAGTCCATGCTCATACCGTGAATCGGGAATAAATGGGCTGTTGGGTGGAGGCCGTTTGCGATGCTGGAATGTGTGAAAACGGAAGAATGGTCTAGACAAAGCAACACCGGGGCTGGAGACCCGCAGTGATGGGAAAATGTGATTGTGAAAAGGATTTAGGAAACAGAGATTCGAGGGGGGAATTTATGAACCGGAGGCAACCGATGTGTGCTGTTCAGGGTGGTCGCGTGCTGCGAGACCAACCATGGGAGTAACTCGGTGGTAATAAAGTCGCCTTGTTGACGTCTCTTGTCACTCCAGTAACTGGACTACAAAACCCACCTGACGCCAACCCCCCGTTTCACCGGCCATGACACGACGCGTCTCTTTGGGACGCGTTTCCCAATCGTTAAAGTCGTGGTTGCTCCCAGGATGTCCACCACATCAACTTGGACGAAAAGGCAGCCTGCGAGTGACCAACAATGGAGGGTGTCCCTCACTCACAATTGGCACCTTTGCCAGCCAAAGTACCTTTTCGAATTGTGTCTCCCACAATCGGCTCGGGTGCATATGCATGGTAATTCAATCTTGTCCGCAACAATCAACAACTCGGTTGAACCTTTCTGACTGAATACAGCATCAAGAAAGCGGCACCCCTAGAAGCCGAAACCCCGGTCTTCGCGGTCAAGTTCATCAATAAACTCTATGCTCAAAAATATGGCCGAATCAAGCAAAAGCAACTGGAGATGGAGATCTCTCTACACAAACACATTGGGCTACACAAAAATATCATAGAGTACTTTGCTCATGGCGATGACCCCTCTTGGGTATGGATAGCCATGGAACTGGCTGAAGGTGGTGATTTATTCGACAAGATTGAAGCCGACGCGGGAGTGTCAGAGGATATTGCACATGTCTACTTCACGCAACTCGTCAGTGCCGTCAGCTTCATGCACTCCAAAGGAGTGGCACATCGCGATATCAAACCGGAAAATGTGCTCCTTTCTGCGGACGGAGATCTCAAGGTCGCAGATTTTGGTATGGCAACCCTGTTCGAGTACCACGGGAGGAGGAAAATGGCGACGACTCTCTGTGGGAGTCCGCCGTATGTCGCGCCCGAAGTCCTGTCGTGTAGCACACAGGCCGGATCGAAAGGACGTGGTTATGCGGCAGACATGGCCGACGTCTGGTCTTGCGGAGTCGTCTTGTTTGTCTTGCTGGCTGGAAACACCCCCTGGAGCAAACCTGTGGAGGGTCGGGATGAATATGGGAGATTGAATGAATTCAGTGAATATGTCGAGAGTCATGGGAGACCACGCGATGAGCTATGGGACGCTCTTCCCGCTGAGGTACTGTCGCTTCTTCGTGGCATGATGCGAGTGGATGTTCGATCCCGGTTCTCCATGGAGGATGTGCGACGACATCCTTGGTTTACCAAACCGAACAAATTCCTAGACCAGAAGGGTCGACTGAGTGACCCCATTACCTTGGCCACCAACATGTTCGAAGCTCTCCATGTCAGTTTTGATGCGGATCCATTTGCTGGCACGCGGAAAAACAAGACCCCAGATGAAATGGACATTGATGTCCCAATTACCTCCAAATTATCGTCGACTCAGCCAGACATGCCCATCGAAGACATGCTCTTTGACTGGGAGCGACCGAGACATCTCGTCGTGTCCCACACCCAACTCCCGAGTCTTGCAGGCATGTCGGCCACACAATCCATATCGACGTCCAATTTCCTCGCTGACGAGCCTTCCATGTCACAATTTTCAGCAATGCCGAGTGTTCCTCTGACCAGAACACAGGCGGCTCGGAGGTTTCAGGACATCTTACCATCTCAAAGCTTGACCAAGTTCTACTCTACCTGGACCCTGAACCTGCTGGTCCCTCATATCTTAGAGGCCCTCAGTCGATTGGGAGTGCCCACTCCAGCCATCCCTCTCCCGACGGCGCAAGCCTCGGAATTTGTGGTCAAAATGAGAACTCACGATAGTCGAGGATGCCCATTGAGCGGGAATATTGCCATGGAAATAGTCAGTGACGGAATGGCTGAGGTGTGTTTTGTCAAGGCCTCTGGAGATCCGCTTGAGTGGCGTAGGTTTTTCAAACGAACGGCTGTTCTGTGTAAGGATGCAGTGTGCAAGCCAGAGGAATGATGGGGATACTGCACAAGCATTGCCTGGTGTTTGGGGACGAATAAACAGCACAGATACCCACGGTTGCACAATTCAACAGTGACTAAATTGTTCAGACCTCCTTTGGTGTTTGGGCCTTGCCTTCGGAATGGGCTCGCAACATTGGCCGTGTAAGGTTTAAGTCCACAGAAAGCGAGCCCGGTAAAAGTGGATGGCTATACGAGATACGGAGGATGAGATCTGAACCTCGGTGAACTTGGACAGATTTCACATGTTCCGTTGCCCAGTCAGACTGGCCGATGACTTCATGTTCGGTAAAGCCATTTGCACCGCGCAGAGAAGGGGTTTATTATTTTTCTTTGACACCCATGTGATCACTGTCATCAACTCTTAATTCTCCCTTCTACCGCTTTATCCACTGACTCCCGACATCGACATACCAAATTCTCTCTCTCTCCCCCCTCAGCCACCCCCAACAACCGCCCTTCTTTTTTCTCAGTCTCTAATTCACCATGTCTCTCAAGAACGGTATTTCACCATCTCTGCCGAGGAAAGGTCCATACCATGACTGACACTCAATCGCAGACGCCTTTCCATCCTCGGTGGCCTTTGACGCCATCAGCGATGCCATGTCCGCCAACGAAGCCGATCGCAAAGACGCGATCGAGAAGACAGGTGCCATTTTCGCCTTCAAACTCACAAACAACAAGGGTCAAGAGGAAGCCTGGTATCTCGATTTCAAGAATACTGGTCTGGTAGGCAAGGGAGAGGCGCCCGAAGGCAAGAAAGCTGATGGTAGGTTCCAATCTACACCGAGGAGAGAAAGATTGAGGGCATTCTGACTGAGGCTGGTTTAGTTACCCTCTTGCTGTCTGACGAGAACTTTGGCAAATTGGTCGCCGGTACCTCGAAACCACAAACACTATTTATGAGCGGAAAGCTGAAGATCAGGGGCAATGTGATGAAAGGTACGGGCTCGACTGTTTCGCTGGCCAAGAGTGGGAACGCTGACGACAGGCCACAGCGACCAAAATGGAGCCTATCCTCGCAAAGGCCAAAGCACAGTCGAAATTGTAAACATGCAAAGGATATAGACAACATCGTCATACAAATACACCTACCTTGTATTGCTTTGAGAGCAGCTGAGCCGAGCGATTCGCGGCAAACTTCCACAGCAACTATCTATCGACAATATCTCCCACAATGTACGAAACCAGAATCCACGCAGGGAGGCTCAGTCCCGATACATGTTGTCCGCCTTGTGCACGCAGATCTTTCCACTACTGTTACTCTTGAGCCCGATCTGAGAATCCCTTTGACTAGCCTTGGCCTGCTGGCTATTGTTGTTTGAATTGAGGACTTCGACAACCTTTCCATCCACCCAACATGGCATCGCCTTCCCATGCGCAGTTTGTCCTTTCTTCGGCAGGCGGCCATTCGACGTCCGTTGGGCCAGCGCGTCTGCTTTGTGATGTTCTGATCTGACTGATTCATTGGCTTTACCTTTGGGTGATCCCGAGTTGTCCTTTTGTTTTCTTGCTCGAATCCACATTCTCCTCGTCTTTGCCGCGACTGTGTTTCTGGCCTGCTTTTCCAAACGGCGACTCTTGACCCCGCTTTTCGTCTGTTTTATTGGGATTCTTTTTTGTCTCCCTCTGGCTTGCTTCTTTCTTTTCTTCCATTTTCTTCCCATGAGCTTGATCATCAGCCTTGTTTGCGTTCTTTCTCGCCAGCTTTGCTTTAGAGGTTATTTCGAACGAATTGACTCCTTTTCTACTTCCCTGCTTCCTGTCTGTATCTTCCTTCGCTTTTTCGCTCATTTTTTGGCAAGTAGAGCTTCTACGTTCCATCTTCCTTTGCATTTTCCCTTCACCCCACTCGTACAAAACCTTTACTGGCCCGTCCCCCGTATTCCCTCGGCCATCGTTCTCGAGCCTATAACCATCCGCCAATCGGGACGAACCAGCCAAACACCCCCCAATCAACGCTCATTACCCGGCCCAAACCATTGGTCAGGTGCTTCCTTGTCGGACTGGCCTATGGCGGGCCCTCCCTTTTTCTTCCCCACCCAGGGGCCCATTGGATCCACTCCTTCTCGAATCCATCCAGCGATTATGTCAATTCTCACAATAGTCGAAATTCATCTTGCAAATGACTGACACTTTCGTCAGATATTGATCTCGTTTCGAGAAACGACATGCTCTTCACGGTTTCTAATGTGGCAAGCACATACGACCGCAGTTTTGTAACATTCCTCCTTGATCCGGTCTTTCCCACGTTGGTGCAGCGTCACTCTCGTTGCTGTAACCAGTGGTGCGATTCCAAGTCGAGAGAAGTGACTTCTCGCCGAATCAAAGCCCTCTCCATACCATAACAGAAAATTATCGCAATCGGGATCCTAAGCAGACACGATAGTGATCATGTTTGCATTCCTTTTGGCCTCCCCTTTCTGTCCAAACCTCTCGCTTTCCGCAACGTTTCCCAGCCATAGTGCCTCCGACGATGGTAACCTGATCTCCCTCCAGCCACGGCAACAGGGATCTCTAGCTCTACGACGCCGCGCATCGGACACAGGAATCACAGATGTATAAAAGGCATCCCCTGTCCAGGTAACCCCTACCTCACCCCTCTGTGCGGTCACAAACCGGGGTGTCGCATTAAACACACTCTCCGCATGGCTCTTGATCCACGCCCTGGCCTGTCGTAAGACCCTCTGCTCTGTTCTCAATAATCGTGCCGTTAGCTACCGAGCATATGTCCAACAAAAGGTTGCCGTTCTTGCTCACTATATCCACCAGGCTCATGACCAACGTGCTGGCATTCATGTACCCGCTGTTCGATGTCGTGTGATCATAGGCGTAGCCGAACGGGCCTATCTTAGATTGCTCTCCCACTTGCGCCGCTGCACGGCGCTGTATCACGCGTTCATGGTGACCTGTCGACCTTGGGCTATCTGCGTGTTGAACCAGATTGCTGCCCATCCGGCCCTGAGGTTGGACCCGCCGATATCGCTCCAGATAATCTCCGCACCCATATCGGCCAACATGCTCATGTCCAGCACGATCACGTTCCGTGACGTAGTTGTTCACGAGGACGTAGCCTGTGTACGGGAGGGTTCTGTTCGTGAATGGGTTCGTAGCATTCCCGTCGGGTCACTTGCCGAAGCTATACCGGCGGTAGTTTGGATGGAATCACTCCATGAGTGAGGAGTTCGTCGCTTGGTGTGGGTAAAGTTGATATTTGGCAGTGGAATTGAAGAGTTCTTGCTATAAGTTCTGGCACAGATTCTGCGCTACCAAGGCTTCATTCAGTGGCGTTTTCTAAAAGGCCAAAAATAAAGTCGTCATGATGCTAGGGTTCGTTAGCCATGGTGAGTATAGAGATATTAAAATAATAGGAGGAGGGTTTTGGATACTTGTACGAAGTGCCGAGCTCCAGAATCAGTAACAGATCCACCTAATCATGGGGACTGAGGACTGAGGCGTTGAAATTGGCGATAAAGCCGCCGTATTGGGGTGAAGTGGTGAGGTGGCCCTCATATGTTCTCTCATATTGGACTCTAGGCAAATCAGAGTCCAAGAGGTGCAATTGCACAAGCTTTCTTCGCCACCATCAAGGTCAATGCGGAGGTCTCCCAAAAAAGAAAAGAGAAAGAGAAATTCTGTTTCGGTGTCAAACAGTCCAGGGGTCTCGCGCGCTTCAGAAAACTTTGCGTCCCCATCTCTTCGGGTATTGGGCTTCAAACGAAAGTCAGATGCGACAAATGGGTTCAAGATGTAAGAATGTTCTCTTGCAACCCTCGAGTTCTGACCTCTGGCCCAACTAAGGAAGCTGCCTTATTGAATCAATCAGACAAAGGAAGTTTTCGCGATATTTCCAGACCAGCTCAATCTCAATACACCCTTCCGTCTCCGGGATGCTCCATCGACGCTCTCAATCAAGGTGCGCCACTGCGTCTCCGTCCTCTCCATGCTGGAAAACAAGGTCATCATGTTGATGTCGAGGAGGCTGGGATAGAGGGCCGCTCCCTGGTCTGGGAGGATCCAGTCGTTGATGAAGATCCGCGAGTGCCCCCTGGTCATGGCGGGACGAATCTGGGCCAGGATCTCCCTACACTTGGAATCCGGCCAGTTGTGGAAGATGGAGCGAAAATAGTACGCTCGCACGCCTCGGATGGGCAGGCTAGGCCTGTAGGAGAAAGAGGCAGAATGCCAATGTGCAATGGAAGAAGAAAGGGAGGAAGGTTCACCTTTGATGGGCTGCAGGGTGAAAAAGTCATGCGCCATCTTCACTATCCCTTCATCCAGGTCGTCTGCAGCATCAATCACGTCGGGCAGATCTTGGAGCACTAATGTCGTGGTACGAGTGTCGTCGGGGAACCGAGACCGGAATCTCTGCAGCCTATGGCCACGTCCTCCGCCCACGTCGACGAGGAGCACGTTAGCCCCGTCGAGGCCCTGCAACAGACGGTCCTTGACCGGAAAGAAGTCAAACCAGTCGATGCGGTTGAACCGCTGACCTGCCATGAGATTGTTGAAGTCGTTCAACGATGAAGGGTGGTCCAAGAGGTATTTAAAGGAGTTTGTATCCGCGCCGAAGGCGTGTTGAAACGCACCCCTCCGGTCCCGACGGGTTTTCGTATTTGACCTCCCCGAGGAACGAGGGAAGCTTTCATCACCACATTACCTGAGAGGTCGAACCTGCGCGGGAAGAAAACCATCGAGTCAGCTTGTGGAATACTTGGGAAGAGGTGAAGGCGGGTCATAGGTACAGACATAAACTTTAACCCTCCTTCCATGGCCGGGGCCTGCGTCAGGATTGCGGACACGCCTGCCAACCCGTACGTTTCGCGTGCCGTCTCCGTAAACATCCCATATCGACGAGAGGGCGCATGATGCGAACTTGGACAACGTCAGTGTGTCTTTGGCTCATCCCTCTTCCGCTTGTGGACACAAAGAACAAAACGGTCAATACCGATGACGAGCTCATCTGCCTTGACTGCATTAGCCAGCTGGCACGCAGTCATGGATGACCCTCCAAACTCCCTTGGCGTCTCCGCCGCATAGGGACCACGAGGGTGAGATGGCCAATCGGAGTATCCTTGCCATCCTTACTTGCCGGAATTTTTGCTCGCGAATCACCAAATCATCCACCGGCTTTGGTGACCTCGTATGCATTACGCTCATCAGGATGCAAGTGTTCAGCCTCATAGAAAGCATGATAGGGTGGATTGGAGAAATTTTGAATAAGTCTACCCGCCATCTCTGACTAGGAAATTCAAATCACAGAGGTGATAACTTGGCAACATTTCGCGCTTTTGATCTCCTTCAGCAGGACCAACTCTCGGTGGTCCTGCAGTCTCTTGCTATGGCCCTACTGCATTTGCATGAACAGTCGGGTCATTTTATTCTGCGATGGAGTGGGCTCAACCATTTCGGTACATGAAGCTAATCGACGAACATATTCTTCCAATCAAGGATGCCGTTCGAGACAGCGTGATCTGGGTCGCCGCGGTCTTTATGATGACTGAGGACGACAGCTCTTCACCATGGCAATTGGGGAGGAGAGTTCTAGAAACGTCGAAATAAGCCAGAGATATTTTTGGGACGGAGATCTCAACCAGAGATTAGCCGCGGTTCAACGCACGCAGAGAGTTGTTGGGCTCGGTATTCAAGTTTGATTCGGGCGGGCGGTTATACAAAACGACAGATTATAAATTTTGCACTAGTTTTGGCGAATCTTTCCTGTGCGATGCTTAGCGGTGATATTCTGTGTGGCTACAAAGACCAGCAAGGCGCCTCCAACACTTTGCCTTCTGTCTTCTTTGAATCTGGTGAGATGCAATAACCCTCCAGTATCCAATTGGTCATCACAAGCTTTTGGGAAGGCCTAAATATATATCTCGGCTAAAGGTCCCCCGGACGAATGCCGGTAGGGTCCGCCGACTCATACGACCCCTGGATCTTGGGAGATCGCCTGCCCCTGAATCAGGTGCTGCGATTTGTGATGAACAAACTCATTGTATTGTGGCATGCTCAATGTGATGTGTACCGAGTAAGTCTTCACCTGCAAGACTACTTTTGCATGAGGGATACGGAATAGAGGTCACCTGCACTGGCAAGGCTGTGGCTTAGGAACGCATGCTTTCGGCGGCTGGTCCCCAAAGAGTGCTAGGCCTACCCACCGACGTCCATAGCGTGATCCCCGTCAACCATTGTCCTCTTTCTAGCCAGGATTTCTTCCGAACCCTCATCGGGGGTTTTTTCTTTTTTCCTTATTTCCCTTTTCTTCTTCCCCGCGGGAGACATTAACTGATGGATCCAGCGTGAACAGGTTAGAAAGGGGGGTGGGCTGGCTAGTTTGTGGCTGGAAGGATTCAGGAGCGGGAGGGGCCTCGGGCTTGTCATGGGGCGAATAACTAAGGGGGTGTTTCTAAAGTGTTTCGTTTGTTGTTGTTCGCTGATCAAAGCGCCCATCCAAGCCTCTTGAGTCAACACATTCAGCGCCTCCCGGAAAAGCTACACGGGTATCCTTCTATCACAACTTTACCCGAGCCAACGTCAAACGTCACGAGTCTCACATTTCAAACAGGAGAAAGGCAGATCTGGGCACAGTTATCAATTTGCACTCTCAGTCCACGGCTCAGCGATCTAACTCGCCACATGCTCAAACGGTTTGTGTTTGGCTAAATTTGGCAAAGATCTTTGTAAATGGCCCATGGGTAGATGTGCTTTGCTGACCCCTTACTTTCACACCGAGCGGGAAAAAGATATATAAGTTGACTTCGAGGTCGTGCGAAAGGTCAGATCTCATCTCCTCACCCCCCAACTAATACGAACAGACCAAAACCCTATCTCTTCTCTTTTCTTACGACCTCCAGTATTCGCACCTCCTTCTCAGGAACAGAACTATTACAGTTTGACGATATATCACCATCAGAATGTATTCAGTACTCCCATCATCCGCCCTCATCCTCTCTGTGCTGGCCACATCCACCCTTGCCTCTCCTCAAAATGACTACGGCTCAGGGTCCTCTTCAGCTACAGCCACAGCCGCCACCGCCTCTGCCTCGGGCGTGCACTCTGTCCAAGTCGGTCCAGGCCTGAGCTTCACCCCTGACACCGTCACCGCCGCCGAAGGCGACTGGGTCGAATTCACCTTCGGTTCAGGCCACTCTGTGGCTCAAAGTTCCTTCGACGCACCCTGCGTGCCCCTTGAAGGCGGCGCGGGTGTCTATTCCGGTTTCCCCAATGACGGCGACGTCTGGCGTATCATGGTCAACAGCACCGATCCAATCTGGCTGTACTGCTCTGCTACAGGCCACTGCGAAGGTGGTATGGCTATGGTGGTGAACCCTCCGTAAGTTTTGTCAGCCTTGTCTAACTTAAGATTTGTGTAATACTAATTCTTTTCAGATCCTCCGGAAACACTCTCGACGCTTACATGTCCGCTGCCGCCAACGCGCAAGGCTCTTCCCCAGAGACCGTGCAAGGTGGCGTCTTCGGCGCCGCTACCGACGACGGCGGCTCATCCAACAGCAGCAGCAGCAGCAGCAGCGCCAGTGGCAGTTCTTCACCTACTGCCAGTTCTACCGGTTCGAGCGCCAGTGCTTCTGCTACAGGGGATTCTGGTGCCAGTGCTAATGCAGTCCGAAATGGACTGTTGCTTGCTGGTGCCGTGGCTGCTGGCGTTGCCGCTGTTTTGTAAGTTTGATTTGTCGAGTTTGGAACGAATAGCAAAGGCTATCAGTATAGGCACGCTCTCAGCACCATCATCAAGCCGTTTTTATGAGCACGCAGCAAAAATATTTAAAAGCCTCGGCGAGCATGGAGTAAGAATTAGTTATTGAATACCCTTTTTGATTCTTATGTAAAAAGCTGAATGAAAAACGGGTTTGAAACCATTCAACTCAAAATATCCACTCCGCGTTCCCGGAGCTTGTACAAATGACAAACCAGATATTTTTGCGCAGTACTAATGCATCCGTAAGTTCCATGGGGGATTTCCACCCGACAGGGTTACCCGGTACCTGACTTAGATAATCAAAAAAAATCCACCATCAGGGTCTCGATGGTTCGCCGATTACATACCTGTTTCACGCAACGCGCTTTTAGTAATTTGATCCAGACATTCTGAAAAGACCTCTCGAAGGAGCTAGCTCATCCAATCTCTCGGTTGGACCGCCACGTCATCAAACATTGCGGAATGGATAATAGCAACAAATACGAGGGTATTTGCCTCGGGTGTTTGAAACCTTTCGTCGAGTCAGCGCAGCTGACCAAACCGAAGAATTTTTTGAAGTTCATGCGTGCTTGAACAATTAGTTTTTATCCCTCGGGCCAGATTTCGGCATTGGCCTGTCCAGTGCGAGCCTCCTCGGTGGTTGCTCCTTGATGACCAATCCAAACTTGTGCAATACTAGTCTGATCATTGTCGATAAACACCAATATCTGGTCCGTCACAGCCTTATGAACTCCTCCCGTCCTGGCTGACTACCTCGGTTAGTCCAACCCCGCTGAATCGCAAGCTGGGGAACTACCCCTTGATCTACCCAATCGTGATGTCCTCCATCCTACTGTTTGTCGTCGTATCGAGTGGAAAATCAATGCTCGTCAGCCAAAATGGGGTAGGTAAACCGCGGTTCAATATAATGGTTGACAGAATATCTTGAGTCGGTGGAAGCATAGCCGGATAGATAAGGAAACGTCTTCCGTGCTTCCCTGCATTGTAAGTACTCGGCTACTCTATCATTTTCGCGTCCTTGAAGTAAGGAGTCAGACATGCCCCTCATCAACGAAGCCCCTTACGCCGCAGATGATGTGCCGGACTACCCTCAATGTACCCCCCGTCATTTGAAAATCATCCACGTTGGGGCCGGTGCCTCCGGCCTGCTATTTTCCCACAAAGCTCACAGAGGCCTGTCAAACTATGAACTCGTCTGTTATGAGAAGAATGACGTGATTGGCGGCACATGGTACGAGAACAGATATCCGGGATGTGCCTGTGACATCCCCGCGGCGACCTATACGTTTCCCTTCGAACCCAATCCCGACTGGAGCGGGTATTACAGCTACAGCGACGAAATTCAAGAGTACATGCTCAAATTCGCCAGGAAGTACGACGTGGAGAAATACGTTAAATTGAATACCGAAGTGACCGCGGCATCGTGGGACGAGAACGAAGGGAAATGGCATGTTGACCTCAGACGAAAGGATGGAACCTCTTTCACCGACACATGCGACGTCCTCGTCAATGGCTCTGGAATTATCAACAAGTGGAAATGGCCCACGATTGAAGGATTGCATCACTTTCAGGGGACCCTGGCTCATTCAGCAGCATGGGATACCAGCATCGACTGGGCCAACAAAACCGTCGCTGTCATCGGGACAGGATCGAGTTCTATTCAAATGGTGCCCAGATTGGCCGCGACGGCAAACCACCTCACCGTCTTCATGCGCAATCAAACCTACGTTGGTCCACAGTTCGGGGCGAATGTCTCGAATAAAGAAGCAGACCCGGAAGCGATGGAGCCTAACGCGGCTGGAAAACATCAATATACTGAGAAAGAGAAGCAACGATTTCGAGATGATCCCGAGTATCACTTGAAATACCGCCGTGCCGTGGAGCGGTCTGTGGTCAGCGGATTTCGAATGTTCTACCGAGGATCGGAAATGAATGTCCAAGCGAAGAAAATGATGCAAGAATCCATGGCACAAAGACTCGGCAGTCGCGAAGACCTCAAGCAACACTTCATCCCCGACTGGAGTCCCGGCTGCCGTCGCTTGACTCCTGGAGAAGGCTACCTAGAAGCACTCTGTCAAGAGAACGTATCCTGCGTCTTTGACGACATTGTCAAAATCACACCCTCTGGCGTCCTCACCCGCGACGGCTCAGAGTATCAAGTCGACATCCTTGTGTGTGCTACTGGCTTTAATGTCCAATATTTCCCACACTTCCCCATTACCGGAGTCGGCGGCCAGCTCATGCAAGACGCACCGGAACCCTGCGTGTATGCGTCAATCGCGGCACCGGGGTTCCCTAATTATTTCGTTGTCAATGGGCCGAGAGGTAATTGGGGCCAGGGCTGTGCACTACCCAGCCACGAGGTCCAGACAGACTACATCGTCCAGTGTTGTCGGAAGATGCAGGAAGATGGGATCCAGAGTATGGTGCCGCGACGAGAGCCTACGACACAATTGAATTTGTACATGGATGCGTGGCATAGAAAGCACAGCGTTTGGACTGAGGAGTGTCGGAGCTGGTATAAAGTGAGTGCCTATTTCGCCTCCACCCAATCCCCGTATCCCCCACAACAGATGATTAATATGATGTGTGTTTAGGATAATAAACCCGATGGCCGCGTCTACATCTGGCCGGGGAGCTTATTCCACCACCTGAAATTTTTGAAGCGCCCGAGGTTCGAACATTACGATATCAAGTATAAGGATCCAGGGAATATTTTTGCGTTCCTGGGGAACGGGCTGACAATCACGGAGACAAAGTACGGACCAGAGGATATGCCGGTGCCGTATATAAGGAATGATGAGGATGAGGTTTGGGATATTGAGTAAGGTTGGGGAAATGCGTCTAAGTTGATGGAGATGCGGGTGTAGATGACCTTGACGAAGCCTTCTATCGATAGAATTACTTCGAGCGGTAGCGTGGACGTGGGTTCCTCAGGCCAACTCGGTCCGAATGATGTGCACTTACCTAGACTAAAGATCAATTTTGCGGCAATTTCGGATCATATCCATGACGATTTGTGACCTTTTCCGAGTGATTCAGGGATGGGCGGACTAGAAGAATAGGGGAGTGGGTTGATGAGGCTGTCAACTCACAAGGCTGCGCCAAGCGAATGAATTTTTCCCCACTTTTTTTTTTGATGCGCATGTCTCTTAGGCATTTAGTGATTCTTTGTCGACGGCCCAAAACGGCCCAAGCAACTGAATAGTCTTGAAGCGAACCCTCCTATTCGCTCTTCTACAGATCCTCAAGTCTACGACGCATGACAAATTCGTCAAAATGTCACATGCACGAGTCGAAGAGCTCTCCGATTCAGATCCTGATATTGACGACCCCTCCAACTTCCTCCCACAATCCGACAACCAAATTATCCGCCCAGCAAACCAACCCTCTCCGTCCTCGGTGCCACAGTCCATCCCCCCCTCACGTCCAGAGCCTCCTCTCTTCCCCCGTGGCCCTCCTCCCCAATCCGCCCAAGTGACCCAGCAAACCCGTGAAGCTATAAAGAAATACCAGACCATCTATCCGATCTACTTCGACAGCACGCGGACACGAGCCCAAGGCCGCCGCGTAAGCGCCGAGCTAGCGATTCCCAATCCATTGGCCTTCGGCCTGCTTGAGGCCGCCCGACATGTCCTCCAAGAAGTCCCTGTACCCATGGCCTTCGAGCCAGACAAAACACACCCGAAAGACTGGGCGAACCCAGGCCGTCTGCGTGTCCAGCTGTTTCATCCAGAAACACATCAGCCATTACACCCAAAGATCAAGAACAAAGCACGCCTGTACACGTTGATAGGGCAATGGTTGAAGGACCACCCAACGGCGAAAGATGATCCGCTCAAGCTCAAGCTGCCGGGCCTCCCAATTCCGGAGAAGTTCCTGGAGGCGGAGATCCCCATTCCGCGAGGGTGGAAGATGGGGTCCATTTTGCCTGTACATTCTCCAGCGGTCAGTGGTGGCGGTGTAAGGGACGATTTCTTCAAAGAGGCAATGGAGGAGATCAGACAGGCGCAGAGTCAGGGCCAGTTACCCCCTGGGATGGGTATGCCTGGTGGCGCTGGCGATGGTGGGGGAATGCCTGATATGAGCGCGCTGCAGGGAATGATGAATAGTATGGGTGGGATGCCGGGCTTGGCAGGGATGGGTAGTGAACCGAGCGGTGGAGGAGGGAAGAAAAAGAAAGATAAAAAGAAAAGTTGATTGACGAAGTCATGACTTGTGCTCGAAGTATAACATACCGGATGTGTTTCAAGGTCAAAATTGATCGGGAACGAGCTATGAAGCAGCATAACTTGAACACCATCGTCGATTCTCGATCTTCAGCTCAAAGGCATGTCTGCTCCTGGCCATAAGATGCCGAAAGCCCGTCCTAGCATCCATGTGGAGCCCATATCACGATTTCAACTGTTCGAACACTTCCCCGAGCACTCTGTTGGTACTGTCTTGATCAACCTTGGTGACTTGTATCGGCCCTCTCCCAAATCAAGATTCTCCAGCTTGCCGAATCATTCCATCCCAATGTCCCCCGAATAAGACAATCTTCAACGCTGAAACCTCGAAACCTCGTTTGCTATTCCCAACACGGCATGAAGGGATTAAAACAGGAATCTGCGATTACTTCGAAATCCACGAAGTATTGTGAGACTCGTCGAGTGAATTTCCAGGCTGGATACTGCATCTTCCAATACCTCTTTCATATCAATACTTTCCCTTCCCTTCAACGATTTGGCTAAGGAACATCCGGGCCAGATCGAAGTAAATTTGGGTGAGTCAGCTATTTTTGCACATATGATATGCAAAGCGGACTCCCAACTATTGAACTCGACCCACAGTTGCAGGTGTTGACCATTGTTGTCAATTGCAATCCTGGCCGTGTCTGGGCTGACCATGACTTTGATTGTGTATCTGGACTGTATTGTTTGTCAGAGTTAGCAACATAATGGAGTATGCAGACGAGGACAATTCCCCTGGAGTTCTCAACGCGGATTTTTGCACTCCTCGCAATCCTTATCGGATAGATTGTCGACTCCTCGCCCTGGGCTCTTCGAGTGCGCCATTTTCTTTTCAACATTGTGTATTGTTGGTGAGCAGGAACTTTGATATGGAATAGAAGCGGAGAAGAGATTGCTACCACGCAGCGAGAACTTATTTTGTCCAGAAATTCTCAAACGTGGTAAAGTCACACGTCCAGTGTCGCCGGTGCTGCATAAATAGGTCTCACTGCCCGTGATGCGGCCAGCCATTTATTTTCATCTTTCTTTTGAGTTGAGAGAGATTAGAATTCTTCACATGCACTTCTCAGCCTGATCTCCTCTCTGTGCATCCAAATACAACCCTGTGCTTTCCCTCCTCAACCATCTACTGATGCCGAAGTATGATTGAGATTCATTACTCTGACTTTTAAGCAAATATGATGGCACATACACAGTCAAGAAGGGAACAATTTGGAGCGGGGACTCATTCTCTCAAAGTAGAGCCTGTATCTCTGGTAGAGAAGAGTATACATCCAGACGGCTTCGGACAAGGCTACGAGGCTGAATGCAGCACATGACATATACGAAGCCGAAGGTCACGTGAGCGGCGATTCGGCAGATCAAGTTCCCCTGCATTAAATGCTCAATTTGATCTTCTCCTACGCTTCCCCGGCGTGCAATGTGATACATCTCCTTGTTAGACTCCAATTGGACGTGACACCCTTTTCCTCTGTTATGTGTGAACCAGCCTTGTACACGAGCGCTCTACCGTACTCGCAGCATCGACCATGATGCCGGTGGACGGAAGCGATCCGACAGAAGGCTCAGCAGACGACAACGAGCCTGTCAGCTACCAAAGTTCAAGACGACCGAAGATATCGCGAGCTTGTCTTGCCTGTCGATCCTCAAAAACAAGGTGTATCCCTGTGGAAGGTATAGAGTCTTGTGAAGCCTGTGTCAGGAGAAATCGACCATGCCTTATACCTGGTCCCGCAAAACCACGAGTCAAAACCTCACAGAAATTCTCCGAGCTCGAGAAGAAGATTGAATCCCTCACAACTGCCCTTGCTGCGAGATCTCATTCAGGTCAACTAGAAAGTCATGATGCCCCAGACACCACAATTTCCTCAATGTCGTCCGAGCCCTTGACAAATGTTTCCAAATCTCCAGAACACTCCGGCAGGTTTCGATATCGGAATGATTCTTCGGAGCCGCTTCAGGATTCGTGCTTAAAAATTAGCGGCCCTCGAGAGTACGTCGATGTTATCGATCGAGGTCTGATCGATATACCAACGGCCGAGGTCTTATTCAATCACTGGGATCTCTCCATGCGCCCCATATTACCACTTTTGAATCTTGCAGATACTCCCCCAGCACGGATCAGGGAGACGAAACCAACCTTATTCCTTGCCATCCTTGCTGTCGCAAGTGCCTCCATCCTCCCGGCGTTCGAATCGCCTCTCGTCACGGAATTGAATGAGCAACTTGCTCGTCAAATCCTGATTCTCGGCAAGAAGTCCATAGATCTCATCCAAGCCATCCTTTTATACTCGCAATACTACATTCGGCCATCGGTCTCCAACAACTATGCGTGTACTCAATATATCTCGGCAGCCATTACCATGTCCTGTGACATGGCCATTGGCAGAAAGGTCCGAGGAGGGTCCAGGTCAGACATAGGACGGGTGGAACAATGGGCGCGAACATGGTTGGCTGGCTGGTTTGCGGCCTCCACGTGAGTCTATCTCTCTCTTCACCTCCCACTTGATTAGCAGATTGACTCTTGGTACAGCAATGCCACTTTGCTTCGACAACAATACCCAATGCCTCCAGTACATGATTTGGAGTCTTGCCTGAATGTTTTGTCCTCGGATACAAATACGGACCTTTCCGATCAATGGTTTTGCAGTCTCATACAACTTCAATTGATATTGGAGGATGTCTCGAATCTTCTGTCAAATCAGGCGAAATTGATGGAAACTTTTGACGAACCGAGCACTCAATATAAAATGCAGATGTTTCGACGACGTCTGGATAATTGGAAAGAGTCTGCCCCCCGAGCGGTAGATGAGTGTAAGTTTTATTAAACCTCTTTTCTTACCCGAAATGTTCTAACTTCAGAACAGGCCTTCGGAAATGTGCAGCACACTTTACAAATCTATGTATCCATCATGTCGCCATTAGAAGCTATCATCAAAAGGTATATCCACCGAGTCAAAAGCAGAATACATCCCGGCCCTCCGACAATGAAGTTACGTTATCTACGCCACACTTTGAATCACTCTGCATTAGTATGGAAGCTGCCCAAGGAGTACTGAATGCATATCTCTCAATCGAGGATACACGTGCTCGGTTATTGCCCAATATGTACCTCTTGTGGACTCTATATGCAGCAGTCAGTCTCATCAAGCTCAGTCACTTTGCAGGACACATCCTATCGCAGAACACTGCGGTGCCAGCCAATGAATCAGGTGAGACATCGGTTCTACAGTATCTCGATGCAATGATCAACAAGACCAGCAAAATTTCAACGAATGGATATCTCCCACAAGCAAAACCGTGTGGAATAGCATTTATAAAGCTAAAAACGTGGTATGTACACAAACTCGATGTCTGTATAAACTCCGATGGAGTTTGTGATGTGACTCGAGGACCGGTGTACAGCGTCTTTGGAAATGGTCCAGAACCAACATTACCAGATTCTGTGACCGTGTCTGAATCTGAACCAGCTCCGAGTGTTGGCCAGCAAGGATCAGGGCAACGGCGTGGAATATCCAGTGGACATCCGCCGCACGGGGAGTCCATTCAGCAACGAGAAAACCGCGGAGCATTTGTGCCCAACCCCGACTCTGCGCAGAACCCCATGTCAGATATGGAGAAAATCCAGGGATTTGACCCACGTAATATGGCAGATGCTGTATACCACCCATTGACGTACGCAAACACCGACTGGGACGATCTAGCTCATGCGGAGGCAATGAGAGAGTTTGACACTTTGATGATGATGGACGGTGATGACTCGTGGATGAAAACTTTGTTCTGAGTTTCCCGGACTCGACTGTCGGTTGTACATACAGACCCTCCCCTTTTTGGACAGTACCAAATCGTCAACGACTAGGTGCGAAGGTCATATGCCGGCATAAGGGAATGACTGCTTTTCGGCCCATGGCCGAGATTGCCAATCGTGAGCGTGTACAGTTGAACGAGGATAGGTTTCAGCAACAGCGTTGAGGAGAAGATTTCCAAGATTCCGCAGGCAGCAACGCAATGAATAACCGACTCGGGCAGACTGCAAAGAAGCATTGCAACTATAAAGACGCAGAAAGCTGGGAGAATTCGTGCCGAAGTCATCAATCTCGGAACGATTGGGACCGTTATGACTAAGCACCACATATGAGTGGCGCACGGCCTCGCAAGGCTCCGAAGCGACAATCCCAATGTGAATGCTTTGAAAATATGTTAGACATTCATCGACGTGCTTTGAGATCAAAGAAAAGGGAGTCGTGTGTGGCCCAATCCAGTCTCGATTTACTATAATATCACATTATGGCCGCAATGATTGCTCTACTGCAGTCTTCAATTCCTTAATTCCCTGAATACCAACGACGCTCCCTTCCACCCTAACTCGACTTGATTCTATGAGCACAGTCCTCCATCGATCCCTGAGCAACACTCTCAAGATGTCGAAAATCGTCCTCATCACCGGAGCTACAGGCAAACAAGGTGGTGCCGTGGTCAACGCCTTGCTAGCAGCCAATGCCGACTTCCAAATTCTCGCCGTCACGCGAGACCCGTCGTCTGCATCTGCGCAGAAACTGGCAAAGATGTCGCCCAAGATCAAACTTGTCAGCGGCAATCTCGACCATCCAGAAGATATTTTTCGTACTGCGAAAAGGATGGCGTCGGCGCCGATATGGGGCGTCTTTAGCGTACAGGTAAGAAAACGGCCTGCATCACCCTGCACTTAAATTAACGGATATCCCGAACGAAATCGCGTCAAATGGAGTGCGTGGCTAACCCTTGAGCAGATGACCATAGGCTCCAAGTCCGAGGTCACCGAAGAAGACCAAGGCAAAGCCCTTATCGACGCTTCCCTGTCGAACAACGTCTCCCACTTCATCTACAGCTCCGTCGACCGCGGCGGCGATATCTCCGCCACCAACCCTACCGAAATCCCGCACTTCCGGAACAAGCACAGCATCGAACAACACCTGTTCAAAACTACAAAGTCCTCAGGCATGACCTACACCGTGCTCCGCCCGGTTGCATTTTTCGACAACCTGGCGCTCGACTTCTTCGGCAAAGTCTTCACTACCTCCTACAAGATCGCACTCAAAGAAAAACCACTCCAACTCATCGCAACGCGCGACATTGGAAGTTTTGCTGCCCAAGCGTTCCTCCATCCTGATCAATGGGCGGGAAAGTCTCTGTCGCTAGCTGGTGATGAATTGACGTTTGACCAGTTCCGGGAGATCTTTGAAAAGACAACAGAGCAAGCGTTACCGATGACATATGGCGTGATCGCGAGGGTGATTATGTGGATGGTCAAGGATTTGGGGCTTATGTTTCGATGGTTCTATGATCAGGGCTATGGGGCGGATGTTAAGGAGCTGAGAAAATTGAATCCGACCTTGATGGATTTTAGAACTTGGCTGGAGAGGGATAGCCCATTTAAACTGTCTAGGAAGAAGATGGATAGAGAATTTAGCTTTTGGTTCGCTTAGAAAAGGAGAAAATGTGCTAGTAGATTTCGAAAGGGTAGGGACGTGCTGGCAACTGCGAGATCCTTGAGCATTTGGTTCACGGCGTGCAGTTAATTCCCTCTTCATAGCTGATAATTGCAGATACGCTTCTCCTACTCCACATAATCTCATGTAGACTTTGCTGCTTGAAACCCTTCAGTCATCTGATTGATGCCTTTACTTGGTGGACTCAGCTGGACTGATTCAAACAGGGAAAGGGGGCCTTTAGGCACTGACAAATGATAAGGTGTCTTCGTGCAACAATACCGGAGGGAAGAGCTCTCTGATAAGATAGAATTCACGGCACAGCCAGGAAGAGTATAGAGACAGCACCGAGAAATTCATCGAAAGAGCCGTAGCGAGTACTGGAAGATGGGATTGTCGGAGCAAATAATCAATAAAAAAGTAGCAAAACAAATCGTTCCGTACATTCAATACACATCTTGCGATTTTAAACGATCGTAGGGGCTCATGCTCTCAAAACGAGAACGACTTCGTTCGCATGTTCTGTGAATATCAAAGTGTAGTCCTGACGCCCTGGCTATCCGTCATTCCGCTTTTGCTCAGAGATTCCTACCGACAGCAGCGATCGATCCAGGTAGGTGCTCCAGGGGCGTATTGCGCATGAAATCCTCCCAATTCATTGGTTTGACGTCCGCGTACTTGTCGTTGTCGAGCTTAGGTCCAACCAGAGTGGATCCGTTCGCCATGTAATAGTAGTAGAACCTAGTGTTGGTCATTCACTAACCCGAGCGCGTGAAATAGGACCAGAAAGGAAAGGAGAGCGAGAGAAATTGTGGAGTGAGCATCTTCGATAGGAATGGGAGTGCCAACTCACAAGAACATATAACTATATAGGTTCTGCGGTTCCTTTTCTCTCTGCTGATGCATTTTCACATACAGCTCTTCCAAAGAGCCGAGACATTCGATTATTGGTTTGATACCGTAGACCTTTTCAAAACTTACTGCTATTTCTTTGGTAGACGCGCGACCACCGACCACTGTGCCAGTCAATCTTTGATGAAGAGAAGCCAAGGTAGTAATTCATTTTGAAAGGTGGATTTCGGGTAGAACACTTACGACGCTGAACTCCTGTAGCTTCCCTATCAACGCAAACTGCTGCCGTATATTGGGCAGAGTTCAAATATGTAGATCCCTCAAAGATCTCGTCCCCGGTGCCCCAGTACATGAATTTGTTTTCCATGGGATTGAAGATACCAAGCAGCGGGGAGAAAATGGCCTCCATGAACCCTCCAACCAGAATATGGACGCCTTTGGTTGTTTTCTTGTTCTCCAGGTACGCTTTGACATGTTTCATAGGGTCCTTGGGGAAAAGAGCCCCAAAGGGGATCTTGTCGTAGTCGAGGGACCAGTCGCTCGCGACGTAGCGGGAAACACCTTCCTCGTCGCACGCGTCGATGAGAGCCTTCTGTCCATCGGTCATGATCTTGTCGTCGCCGAGGTAGCAGCAGACAACGACGTCGCAGCCCTTGGCGAAGGCGTGGAGGCTCTTGATGTCGAACGCCTCACCTTGGGCGAGCGAGATGCGTGGGGATGAGGAGAAGGATGTAGGGACCTTGGAAGGCGTGCGGCAGTAGCCTTTGATCTTTACCTCAGGGTATTTGAGCAGAGAGGAGGTAAGAACGCGGCCGAATTTGCCCGTTATACCTGCGATACCGACTGTGAGGGTCATGATGGATGGTTGTTCGAAGTATGGAACTTGGACAGGATGGAATGTGCGAGGATGAAGCTTGTCAACGATTTTTAACGTTAGCCTCCCTGTCTCTCATGTCCTATTTTTGCTTTTATACTTATTCAATTCCTTCGGCCGATTGATAACGGGAGCGAGAAGGCTGCGACAAGGCTGCGCAAGTTTCGGCTTGAATTCGAGCCGAATAAAAACGGGGAACTAGACTTCGGAATCACATGGTTCCGCCGTCGGATGGTGAAATCGTCCGTTCCCATAGTCTGATACCTAGTACATTTCGTATGATTCCTCGGATCTGGAAGATACTGTATCCTTTTGTCGGCAATATGGAACTTGTGAAGGGAAAGAAGAGTGATCTGGCTTGCAGCCAACAAATCCGGCTCAAAAGCTGATTTTCATTCATGAATCCTGCTGGCTTTAAGCCCTCTGGTTTGGAAAAAGCCAGCCATGGAATTTCCCACTAGACGTTCAATCTTGGAGGAACACTTTGGTGTCAACGTCGATTCCATCCAACTATGAAACGGGCATTCGCCTGTGCCCTCTATCTCCCTGCATCGTTTTACCGCATGGGATTTATTGACCTTCTCTCATGATGCTTCCTCTTCAGAACGGTATCTTGCTTTGTCATCGTTGGTGGTATGATCGTGCCGCTTGCAATCCCTTCGGTCCTCTGGAGAAATGAGACTGCCTTGCCCCTTTTGAGCATTCGGCTTCTCCACTCCAATCAAGAGTTCCGTGAAGATATTAAGGTTTTTCAGGTTATCAACGATGCCATTCCACGGATCGCATTCGTTAGATTAAGTAGTTTCCATGAAACCTTTGCTCTCCTCTAGCCACGGTCTCGTATCCTATGCACCCCAAAGCATAGTCTTTGTAAAGTCTGGCGGAGTAGGACTCACTCTTTCCCAATTCCTGCAGCTTTGCAAAGAACGTTGAGTTTTCCCCAAGGAATGATCTGTTTACGTAGAACACATTCTGTGGTAGCTTCTCGCCTTTTGTATAAGTCTCGAATTCCTCTACAATCACCTAGATCAGAGGAGACCAGCATGACTGCCTCGGATTAGTATGGTCTTGTTGCCTGAAGAATAGCTCACCTACTTTACAGTTATTTCTGCCATGGTGACGTCGCGCTCAAATTTATTATTCTGCATATGATACGGTTGACAGACGTGGAACCGAGACGGAGAAAAGGGTAAGAGCCGGTGAGGAGGATGCGATACAGTTTCGGCTCAGAGCAGATGGAGCAGAAGAAGATTTGGTTGAGAGATGTAAGATCTGTGTATCTGCGATTAAGACTGCCCACTGCAAAAGATCGAGAAACGGGGCTGCGATGGCGGAAATTCATGCACCTGAGCGTGAGATAGAGAAGAGGGAGACCCACGAAAGGAGTGGAATAGAGAAGCAAGAATTCATTTGCTCCGGATATCAATTGACCCCGCGGGCCACTGTCTCATCTCACCGTCCTCTTCATGGCGTCTTCATCAACCAGGTGCATGGTTTCTTCATTGTCTTTGATCTATGGTTTCAAGCAAGCCGAGGGCGTCGTGGTGTAACACCGGAAATTTGGCGATCGTGACGTCGGCAGTAGAATTGAGAGACCACTCGTCCACGGATATGTCCACGTTGTTGTCCTCTGAGATCCGTTCAACTGGAAGCGTGGGCATCCCTTCCACTTGTCTTCGCTCATGTGCATGTGGTACATACGATCGCCTCTAGTTCTTGGGTCCAAGAGAACACCGGTCTCCTGATCTGACTGCACTGAGTCTGTAATCTCTTGCAGTAGATCAACGGTGAGATTCTTGTATCTTGCCTCCTCTGGTAGGGCCTGTTCCCATTCTCCGCCATTGGCAAAGTATTGGTCGGTATCGGCGTCACTGTTAACGCGTAGGTAGGCGAGGGTGTCGAACAGGAAACCCGTGACTCTTTCACAGGCGTAAGCTGCTGCAACCAGTGGCTTGATGAGGCTGCTCAGTGATCTGTAATCGAGGTTGAGCCTCTGAACAGCGTCCATGATCGCACGTTTGTATTTTGGCGACTCGATTTGTTCGGCGAAGAACCAGCCGCTTGGGTTAGCGAGACTCTCGGCGTCGACGCCCATGTTGCCAGTTTCCAGCCACGAAAGCCAGCCCTCGAAGAAGTTGAAATTTTTCATGAAACTTAGGTCACTGGCGTCCACAAACTGGTCCTCGCCGTCCACGTCGTTGTCAAATTCAAGGAATTCCCTCCATTTAGAGGAGAATCCTTTGAGGATGGAGGCGCGTATTTGGTAAAGCTTTTCACTAACTAGAATGTTGACGGGAGGACTTGTAAGGTCCCGGGGGTAGTGTCCACTGGGCTTTTTTGTCCTCTCTTCAAGGGAAGGGATTTGCTTACGCCCCCGAAGGAGCCGTACCGAGCACCGAGTTTGCTTACATTTTCCGCTCGGTCATCAACCTTTGTTGTCCGTAAAATGAGGAAGGGTTCAAAGAGGGGTCCTCGCTCCGTCAGCAAGGGCCCTTTTTTGGGTAGAAGGAAGTAAGTAAAGTACACAGGACAAAATAAGTTGGATGATGATCTCGGTGACACCGCCTAGGGCGTCGCTTAGTCAAGCAGCCATGTCTCACTATTGTTCATCGACATATTCATCCCATGTTACGTCTTCCATCAAATCAGTAAATCCGGAATACTGGCCGAAAACAGCATCCCATCGCTCCCAGTCAAACCCAAGTTCTTTGTTTGTGGAAGGAACGTCGTCATGGATTAATGTAACGTCTATACCACTTTGGCTCTGGTGTGGCTCTTCGTTTTGGTGGTTATGTATTTCGTTGTTAGAGCCATTCGCATGGCCGGTTCCAGATCCCCGCTCATTTGTTCCTTTTTCGAGCGCTTGATTGTTCAAGAGTGTTTGGTGAGAAGGAGGAGCTGAACCCGCAATTCCTGACTGTGCCCAGGTATCGGGCATGGCGTCGAACGGGCTCTCTGGATGATGTCCGCAAGAAAAGGACTGTGTTGCTGGTCGGGGGATATGCAAGTTCATCTGCTCCAACATATGACCCGTGGGCCCGTACTCATACGCAGCCTCCGGAGTGCACTTCTCCATGCAACCACTTAGGGGGAAGGGCATATTTTGCTGACCTTCTCGTCGCCGAAGTCCACGGTTAGGGTTGAGTCGCGCGTCATTTTCAATATCTTTTAAGAACTGGTTTCGCATAGCTCGAGAGCAGGGAAATCCATCTTCTTCTCCAGAGTTGGCTAATTCGCTTTGTGCTAGTTTGGCCATGTAGCGGACTCCATGGTCGGTCGATGTTGGCGCCGGTGATGGATTTTTCACGGTCGAATTGTCATTGGAAGACGTCCGATCATTTTCGTAGATGGTGTCCTCTCGTAAACTTTGCGCTATCCTCTGGGTATGGGTCAATGGAGCCGCAATGCCGATTTCAAGTTGATCAGCCTCAGTCCATAGTACCGTGGGATCTAACCCAGCTTTCTGCCAGGCTGCTGAACGAAGCCCTCGTAACATATCCCAAGCTTCGACACCACCTTCTCGCATCGGTCTCTGAACGGTAACACCATTCGGGCCACCCACAATGCCAGACTCCGGCGCCGACAACGAGAATACTTTGTCGACCAATTCCCTCGATCGAGGGGCTTCGACGCTGTCAGGTCTCTCGTACAGATCAACCAAAACAATCAGGGCTGCATGCATTGGTCCGTACATGGCAGGCCAACTCCATCGAAAAGGCTCCAAGTCCGGATCGGTGACCAGTGAGATGAATTTCCTCATGAAGCTGTGACAATTGTGCAAAGCGCATTGTCTCCCTACGCTCCACAGCTTGCTTTTGGTGTTTTTCAAGAAAGGGGCGTATGCCACGCAATGGATCTTGTCGCTCATCATCGAGAGACTGATTCGAGCCCACTTGTTGTAGGCTGCAAGCTTCTGACGATGGTAACGGGCCAGAGGTGACGGAACCTCGTTGTCACCCCCAGAGCACTTGTAGGAGGCAAGTTCTCGTGGATCAATGGCGCCGCCCAGAACCGCATCACAGTCTAGGGCACGTAGCTGTCCCTCTTTGGGGCCATCTGGAATAAATCCCAGTTCAGGCAGACCCCTGGCTGGGATCAATTTGATGATGGCACTAACTTGCTCGTGAGATTCGTGCATCGCTCTTTTCATTTCTTGCATGTCGGCATTTGTCATCATTTTCGTGCTGAGATGAATAGAGATCACACTCCGAAGGGCACAGGCGATAATCGATTTCGCCCTCGCAACGAGATACAAAATCCGGTAGGGTGGTAGGTTTCCATTCTCTCCATTTAGGTTCATACCATTCGGAGAGGAATTGCTCGAGTTTCTGTCTGAAGGAGCAGTCTGAAAGCCATCATCTTCGAAATGAGAGTCCCCGTCTTCACAATTTATTCTCGTGTCACAGAATGCTTCTGAGATCTGTGAAGGATAACCACTTGATACCACCAGTGAGATATCCAGTTGGATGATTTGCCACCAGAGCCGTCGCCGCATCCCCTCTTCAGCCACGGAAAGACCGAATAGGGACGGTTCTCGGTGCAGTCCCATGGTCAAGGCTAGTCTCGCCGCCAGCTGCATGTAAAGAGCGCCCTGAATGGGCTCCTCTTCTGCCACCGGTAACGAGTGCAAAAGAATAAACGCCGCAAGCTTTTGCAAACTTAGATTGCGCGTGAATGACCCGAGGTGGAGGCAGAAAACCACCTGGTCATGGAATCTAGAGGCGAGTGCAGCCCGGGACGTATTTGGAAACCAGCGCTGAAGGCCCTTGGAAGAGATGCTGAGAGACCCGGCGTACCAAATCGCATGTATTAAGGGAAAGAAGTCGAGATCAGGATATTGCGACTGATCGGGTCCGGTTGATTCCATCTGAGCCCAGAAGGCTTCATTTTTCTTCAAGGCCCAGCCTGGATCAAAGATAGGCATGATTGGATATACGCCTGTCAACCAGCATCTGAAAAGAACGTTGCTTTGGGCTCTTGATGGAATAGCTTTCATGAGGTGTCGTTTAACTGTTAGCGGGGAACATCTGATCGGGATATTCTGGAGTAGACTAGACTTGGTGAATGGCATCATTCGACAAAGCGAACAACTGTGATCGGGATTGTAAACATCCGGAACCTCCATACCAGCCGCCTTCTGAAAACTGGTTGGATCCCAGAAGTCGTCATTCTGCGGCACATGCTCTTCTTTGGCCGGTTTCGACTCATCTTGTGGCCGGTCACACTGTTTGTTCTGGATGTTTGTGGCGCTTACGTATGTGTTGTTTCGCCGTCGCAGTAAGTGGTTCAGCCCGTCAAGCTCATCCGAAATATGCGCCCAAAACGGGTTTTCAGGTCCATGATCACCATTGCTCAGCTTCAAGCTGGACAGAGGTTTGCTGAGCTCAGTTGGGTCTTTTGTTGCATTCTGGTTTTTTGATTGAAACATATCTAAGCTCGTGCTTGGCCGTGGCGCCATGTCACCAGAGTCTTGGTCTGAACCGGATGGCACGGGTGTGAGCAGATTACGTAGCTGTATATCATTGCCGCCAAGTTGACGGACGGCATCAACCATCGATGTGAGACGATGAAGCTGCTCTTCAATCGCTTTCAGCTGGCTAGAAGGAACAGAGCCGACAAGTCCTGAAGTCGTAGATACTGGAGTCGAGGACTCTTGTCTAATTGGTGCCGTTTTTCTTTTCTTGGAGGTCAATTCACTTGTGTCCTTCCACGCCTCAGAGGAAGCATTTGCTGAGGAGGAGATGGTGGTGGCGGAATTATCTTGGCCATACAGACAGTGTTCATTTGCCTTTTTGCATCCTCCGCAAACGGGGTGGACTTTGTCACATTTTACCTTTCGTCTCCTACATGTCAAGCAGCTATAGCTCGTTCGGTTTCGTGTGATCTGGCGTTTGTTGGTCTTGACTTCATTCGCTTTGGCCCCAACCGGGAACTGAATAGACGCCTCGTTGTCGGGGCGGGCTGCCGAGAACCGGAACATTGTGGCGATGAGTAGTTGCCGGGACGAGACAATATATGGTCAGTCCGCCCTCGCTTCACCACAAAAATTGTTAGAATGGCCTGGCCCCTCGAGAAAGTAGCCGCCTATCAATCGATGGGGCGGCCTGAGGGACGATATTGCTGGGTGTAAGCCCGTATAGGTGCTGACTAATCCTCTTCAGGCCACGATGAAGGGGTGTAGATAGTTCGGTCGTTCGCGAATGCGATATACGTCTTTCAATGCCTCGTGGAGCTTCGTAATTATATTGAAATGGAATATTCGTCCTGGAGCAGAGAGGTGGTAGATTGGACCTGAGATGGGCGAAAGTTTGAGTCGCTGGTGAAGATGGCAGCCTTGGCGGAAAATCGACGTTGATTAGTCAATAGGATTCGATCCATCGGAAGTGCAGTTTGTATGGAGTATCTCTAGGCACGTATTTTGCAGCAGCAAGCGGGAGAGCAATAGTTATTTAATCATGTGCTCTCGACTATGTGGCCACGTTGTCTAATCGCTAAAGCCTTCCCAGCCATCGTCAGACTCAGTGGTATCATCACTATATTGTATTTCGTGAGAAGCAGAACGGACGAAACCACAAAGAAAGAACCCCATGGTGCCCTCGTCATGTCCTGGGTGGCAGCGAATGCATGCTTCGAGATCTTGCCGGCTCAATGGAGGAGTTTCGAAGGCCATCCCACTTGCAGTCGTCTCTGGAGTAGACCCACCCCGATGCTTCCATTCGCGGAGACCCGCAGGCTGCTCCTCTCGGCGCAGCACACGCCAGCCTTGTGTCTTTGCATGGTTAGATGCCAGAATCCGGGACACAACGGCTTCATTTTCCTCCACGTGCACGGAGCAGGTCGAATAGGTGACTCGTCTGGCCGCGGGGAACGACAGGGCATGCTCGACAATTTTCGTTTGCAAGGCTGAAAGTTTCCGCAATCGTGTTTGATCGGATGCAATATCCTTTGTCTCTTCCACTAGGTCGACATCTTCTGCCGCATTTCCCGTCTGACCTTCGGCTTCGCCACGCTTTCTTTTCTTGGAATGCCTTTCAACATCACCAGTCGGTGATCTCTGTGCCCTCCTGTCAAGGGGCAGTGCCAAAGAAGGTACATCCTCTCGGCCAATGATACCACTACCAGAACAGCTCGGATCAAGTAGTAAGTGTGTGACTTTCTCGTATTGCGGGTCATGGGGGTTGACAGTCAAAAAGTCTTTTCCGGCGAGGACCGTCACGCTATCTGCTCCGCTCTTTGCCATCATGTTCATCAACGTTCTTGATCTTTGTGGGTCTCGTTCACAAGCAAATATGGTATGTTTGGCACGGTTAGCACGAGCAAGGAGTGCCGCGAGGTGTGATGTCTTGTTTCCGGGAGCCGCACAACTATCCAAGCAGTCCTTGATGAGAGCGCGGTCATCTTCTTCCCCCATTAACAAGTATGCTGGGAAACAGGAAGCCTTATCTTGTAAAATGATTTTCCCATCCTTGTAGGCTTGCGTCTTTGTCAAGTCTGCCTCAGGAGGCAATGCAAGAAGGCCGGGAATATTTTTGTCCATCGCTAACACTTTTGCGGAAGCCAGAGACTCTCCTACTTCGCGAACTGTTAAGTCCGTCTTGTATTCTCCGAATGTCTCGGCAATTTGTTCTTCAAGGGTCGTCTTAAGCGTATTGATCCGGACCCATCGCGGCTGTGATGAGTGCGAGGGTGGATATTCTCCCAAGAGGTTCTTCTTCAGATCCTCCACCGTGGCACATTTTCTTCTCAGCCGGGCCTTTGTAAATTCCGCTTGCACTCGTGCTTTGTGTCTCTCAATTGCTTGACGAAGAGGGTGGCTAGACGATGCTGCAATGCCATTTTTAGAGAACAGGTAATCGTGAACAAGAAGGAGGGAGAGGATCGGGGTCAACTGTCAGGCATGACGAGATGCTGGGTCAGTCAGCAGGGACACGGAAATCACAACATGATAGATATCCCAACCTTTGGTTCATGAGACAAGAAGGCTGCGTTGTCGATCACTTCTTTCAGGAAGTGGTCGTACTTTGCAGTTTCTGAGACTAAGGCATAGACATGGGGGGGTTTCGATTTGAGCTCCAGCTTGTTTCCATATATTCTCGACTTCAGCGACCCTTCTCGGACATCCGCCGTCAGCACAGTAGCAGCATCATAATAGAGAGACATCTCATACGGTCCGCTTATGAGACCGTGCTGTTTGACAATCTTGATCGTAAGGAACAGGGATGTGCAGTTCTCAAGCCTTAGGGCCAAAAAGGTTTGCCTTTCCACCAATCAGCAACTTTCTATTCGTCAAAGGGGCGCGGGCCTCGATAAATACATGGACATGAAAAGTTTCCCATTTCTCTCGCGACGAATATAATCCAGTCTGAGATCTAGATAGTGTTCTTTCTCCTGTACTCCTAGATCCCAGTACGACCTAAATCGGGCAGAATGGCCGTTCCATCATACAAAATTGCCATGCTACCACCTCCAGGCAAGCTGGTCGCACCCGACGGTTTCCCAGCCGATCCTCACCCTGTGGGGGCTCCGAAAATCTTCCTTGATGCCATGGACGTTCGTACCAAGGTCTTTTGTGACGAGCAGAAGTGTTCTTTGGAGGCAGAACTGGACGAGGATGACCCCCGATCCTGGCACTGGGTGGCATATCAAACGGCAGGACCAAACCTCGACCAGCCCGTCTCTGTTATCCGGATTGTGCCCCCACCTCATGGACCTCATCCCAACGGTCTTAGCGATCCTAACGAAGAGCCCTACGTGAAGTTGGGCCGAGTCGCGACATTGGCGAATGCCAGAGGAAAAGGTTTCAGCCGGCTACTAACCGAGGAGGCTTTCCGATGGCTTGGAGCACACAAGGACGAAGTTGCCCCTGGATGGAACGGGCTCACACTAGCTCACGCCCAAGTTGACGTTGAGAAATTGTACGCCAAGTTAGGCTTTGAGACTGACGACAAGCTGGGCCGGTGGGACGAAGAGGGTATCGAGCATCTCGGGATGTGGAAGCGGGTCGTTGGCATACATGGTCACCCATCATGATGACGGTGATGACCACTTGCAATCCATAAAAACGATCAACGAACAAATTACGTCCTTTGCCGACAACTCCATAACCCTGCCACGACGGAGAATTGAGCATGCAGCGTGCCTGCACATTCGAGGCTACGAGAGAAATCGCGAACTTTCAAAACTTCCTTTCCTCCCCAGCTTCCAAGCGCCTCAAAGCCAATTGCCAGCACAGATTCTATGCATGAGAAGTGCCACTCTAGCCCGCATCTTGGATGACTCATTCGCCTGCACGTGGGGGAATGGAAAATACGCTCGGCTGGCCAAAGGTCCAACCGGTCGGCATCAATCACGCATTTATACAGATTTCTGGACAGACTTTTGCTTCTCTCCCACTGTCAGGCTCGCCGGATGCACCGTCAAGGACCTCACGAGTCTTAGCATCAACACAACCGACATTCCCCTCTTACCAGTTCTCTGCGGGAATCCATACGTCTTGCAAGATGGTTCCGGATATAGCAGCTGCAAATTCAGCATTGTCGTTTTGCCAGCTTTCTGGAGTCAGAAGACGGCCTACGGCACTTCGAGCCTGGACAGATTGTCCGAGCCGGTGATCGCCAGCCAGTCGAAGCCATCACCGTACACGACAAAAGTCAGAAACCTTGTGTCGTCGGTGATGCACAGCTGTCGAAATGTTATGGGTGGCAAAGATCTCTCTCCGAATTTCATAATCTGCTAGTCTCGTCACGACGTTTCGTGATGATCACGTATTGCCATTTTCAGTTTTCAATTATGGTCTGAATCGGGCTTTTGTTCTAATGAGGAGCATCACACTGCCTACTAGTAGTACGATGCGTCCGGGTCGCACGTACGTACCCATTCGGTTTTTTACCATTCTAGTCCTATTTTGAGAACGTTATTCGGGGACTACCTAACCCATTTCGTAGAATTAGAAGAGCTTGGACATCGACGCTTGAGCCTTGAGCTTTCAAGTTGAGTGCACGATAGATGAATGCCTCGGCGGTGAGCAAGAAAGCTCCAGGTTGGCTCAGCCGGAGTGGTCACTGAGGATTAATTTGGAACACGTAAATGGATGTTCATATCTCTCCCAAAAATTCTGAGAGTCTTCAAAAGGTCCATGCAAATATGGCCCTGGTTAAGAGCCAGAGAAGACTGATGCTGAAAGTTGTTGGACATTCTCCTTATCATGAGGAAACCGACTTCAGAAACCGGATCCATCTTGCCACTCCTCCTTGACCTTCAAACCATCCATTTTTTGCTTTCAAAGGCCCATGATTCCTAACGGAAGTGACGTCGCTCTTGACGAATCGATGTTCTGCTCCTGGGACAGCCTTCAACTCGTAATTGAAAGGGAAGTCATGTAAGAGAGGTGAACGATTATCGCATCGTTTTCCTATTCAGCCTTGCCTTGAACTTAAAACAATGGAATAATGATCTAAATCATAGAGCAATGGACTCGCCACCCCAATGCCTATGTACAATTGGTTTTGGGTTTCTTAACGGACCCATGTCACATTTTTATCTCATTTAGAATTCAGCGATGGTATCTCCTCTCAGCTTGCCTCGCATGTCCCATTTGCCCTATCCATGAGATTCACCATGGTCAGTCACACGCACTCTCTGCATCTCTCCATGTCTAAAGCACCCCGCTCAGGGAGAATTCTTCATCACTTACATCCGTCTTTGCAAATGTATAGCCGACCACACTAGGAACGAAGATTGCGTACATGAACGAGATGAAGGCTGTTCGTGGCGTCCACCGGAAATATCGCCATCGCTCTTTGTTGAGTTCTGCAATTCCTGATCAGTCACGGCTTCATTTGTTGAATACTCCTCTAGCCTATCTATTCGGAGTTACAGAAAGGGAGGTTTCGGAGCGTATCACGGCATCGGGAGGGTGCGACGTACGATTATATTTCTCGAGAGCGGGATCAAGCTTGAGAGCTGCAACGGTCCAAAATCAGCTTGAAGTCCATCTTCTTTGTGGGGCCAGGGATGTTTCAATGCACATACGTGTAGGTCCAGCCATGGCTCAGAACGATCGAGGCATGAAACTGTGGTTTGGATAGCTTTATCGGAGCTCACTGGTCGTGTCTGAGGTCAATTTGAACAAGGTCCGCTATGCGCAGGGAGGTGGTGTCAGGCAGGCATCCATTTCTGGCAAGTATCGCGACATTCTCGGACGTACGCACCTTGGTTATAGAGCGCCAGGTCATTCTCAAACCTCAGCCGGCGCAATAATGCGTCCGGTCAAGTCAGTAAAATCTGCTGCTTCCGAGATTCCTCTACCACACCTCCTTTTATCTGTGTGTATAAAATCTTGAATGTTCCCAAGGGAGGATGAAACATCCTCCAGCACCTGAGTCGCCTTGTCAGAGTACTGAAAGTGGTTGAGAATTCGACCTATCCGCTACCTCCAGCCTAACCATAAGCTAAGCTACGGCCACGGTTTCTCAGGGCTTACGCCGAGTCGACCGAATCAGCGCCAGCGAAGTCTCACCTAGCGTCCCAGACAGATGGCTGCGCCTACGTTCAGTGCAGATGGGAAACCAAAGATCACCCTTCACTGGTGAGACAGAGTCCACAGATCGAGATTTGCCCCACTGATAAAAACATTGCTCTGACATAGGCTAGGCTGGAGGTTTCTCGCTCACATCGAATCCTCTGGTTGTTTGAAGAGCTTGGGGTCCCGTACGAACTCAGGACATACAAACGGACCAAAGAGGCACTCGCTCCACCAGAATTGAAGGAAATACATCCCCTTGGCAAAGCTCCCGTTGTCACGGTCGAGACCCCTGGATCCAACTCCCCAATCGTACTCGCCGAGTCCGCAGCGATCACGGAATACTTTTGCGATTACTATGGGAGTTGGCTCGTCCCAAAGCGGTATCGCGATGGCAAAGATGGACAGATCGGCGGCGAGACTGAATCATGGTTGCGATACAGGATGCTCATGCATTATGCCGAGGGCAGTGTGATGCCTTTGATGTTGATATCCCTGATGGTGGGAAGTAAGTCGCCCAATCTCAGCGCCTTTCAACCGGTTCTCACAAATGCCAGGGATCCGAAAGTCACCGGTTCCATTCTTCATCAAACCAATCACAAATGGCGTTGCGAGCAAGATTGAATCCTCGTTTCTGCAACGGAATTTCAAGACCCACTATGACTTTTTAGAGAATCAGCTAGCAACCTCCCCGGAAGGAGGAAACCTCTTATGCGGAAAGGACATTACCGCAGCAGATATCATGCTCTCTTTCCCGCTCGAAGCTGGTCAAACCCGTACAGGATTTACCAAGGATCAGTATCCGAAGGTCTGGGCATATCTCAACAATCTCCATGAGAGAGAAGCGTACAAGCGTGCAGTCCAGAAAATTGTGGACGTTGAAGGACACTTCAAACGTACCTTGTGAGCATCCCGGGTGCACGGCTAAGGAAAGGATCTGAGGGTCAATTATGAGGAACCCCAGCTTCTGATACTACCTCATAATGAGGCGGATCCCCTTTGTTACGACTCGATTCCTGTGGCCCGCGTCGGAACTATCTGGCCCCTTTTCAGGTTGACACTTCTTTGGTCGAATACTAGGCGAAACGGAAGGAGACTTCTCCAGATCTTGACACGAGGGTGTGTGTATAGTGAATCTGTATCGCTAATGGAGGATAATCCGACATTCAGCAGAATGTCGAAGCCAACGGATTTTGGCCCCCAGTGTCAGATGGAGTTTGGTAAGCCGGCCCACACCATGTCGACTCAAGTCACCGATCAAATTCAGGTACTTCGTCCTTTGGTAATATATAATATATCAAAGTTTCAGCGCTTTCAATCGGCACACTAATGATCTGACTGTGTTTTCTGTTGTTCTGGAGCTAATAAAAAGGGTCAACCGAGCAGTCACACTCTCTCAGCCGCAATGGCCGTGCGTCGCGGATGTCGAGGTGATCTGCTTTAGATTTCCTGGGGGCGGTTTATGAACCCTTCGCATGATTGGACCATTCGTCTTTCATCGTAGGGGAACAAGACGCCTCTTGTCAACATCGTCCTGGCGATGCTGACGAGCATGACATCGTCGCGGTACAGTGGGGAGGGGACTTTCGATTTCGGGATCTCGCAAATATAAGAGCAGCGGTCCCAGGATGGTCGTTGCTACATTGAGTCTGATGATGGTACTTCTCGAAGCAATCCCACAGCAACACGAGATTCATGCACCTATACACGGGAAGTATTTGGCCTGTTTCAAATCGCCACAGAGGAAGCCTTCTAGGGTGGGGAATCTCGACGCATTTCAACTTCGCAGAGATCTCCTAGAGCAGCCATTGAACGATTCCCAACATTTATCCTCCTCAAATTAATTCGCACATCATTGAGAACTGGTCCGCCAAGTCGCACACTTTTCTTACCCTTGTCTCCCATCCGATTTATTTTCCTTCAGCCTGACCCGATCCCGTATTTTCCCAACGGGCAGTGGGGATTGGAACATTCTCTGCAGCGACTGCTCCTGGATAGTTTGGCCCATCTTATCCACGATCTTCTGTCTACCCGAAACGCACGTCATTTCCTTTCACACCCTCGGCTAACCTGGCCTCGCGGCGCCATCGACGGATGTTAAGCACTGCTTCGCTAAAGCTGAAGGACATTAGCTTGGCTCGCAGAAAGAGCCTGCGGTGCGCTCAAGTTTTTCTCATTTTCACACGAAAAGAAGTTGGCGGTGGGAGTTCTCCACCTGTTCGTCTGCTAGGGCGCTTTCTTGTCGTCTCGTCCGCCGTACACTTTTAACACCAGCATCTTTGCGCCGACTGAATCTGCTGGAAAGGGAAACACAGTCGAAAAGAAAGGCAGTCTCGTGGACGCCCGCCCCGCAGCGGGTAAGCTACGCTCATCTTTATTTCTAGTACGTACTACGTATCCCATCATCACCATAATCATCATTTTTCATCATCTCCCATCCCTGATTTCCCCGTCCCTTCTCAATGGCGCCGGCTCTTGGTAATCGGCATGCGTCACAAGACTCGTCTCAGGGAAACCTGTCAGACCACCATGGCCAATCGAGTCGTCGGCGTTGTCATGACTCAGGGCTTACTCATCGTACAGGGCAGCCAAGATCTCGCGCTCCATCAGTTCCAAGGAGGCAAAACACCACCAGAGGCACGCCAAAACACAGACGAGCTGCTCGCCGCCGCCAAACCTACTCTAAGTGTCTCCAGTTAGTCTCACCATTTTCGAGCCTTTCTCGCTCAAGTTGCGGAGACCGTGTAAACAACTGGTCCCAGAGAAACAAGAGAAGGCGAGCGACCCAGAAAGGGAAAAAAAAAAAAAAAAAAAAAACCAAACACTCGGCCCACCATCCGCCCCGAGATACAGGAAAAACCCCTCTCTCCCTAACCCATGGTCCCCCTCGTGGGCGTTCCTACAGTTGTGGACCCCGTACTGCCGGTAGCGGGTATTGAGGTTGTGGATGCGGGTGTCCATCTCAAGCTGCTTGCCCGAAGCCGATGCCCGTGGGTGTGGCAGCGGCAGTACTGCACTAGGTGTCGTAGGCAGACTTTTGTGCTCCCGAAGGCTCCAGCAAGCCGGATCCCCGAGTCTGAGTGATGACGGACCCACATTCGACATTCGGTTTTGACAAACAATGTCACCTATTCGGACACGACTTAACACCCACCAGACTTCTCCAGCCATCTCGATTTCGCCCATGCCAGATGGGCGTCGTACGGGCGCAGGTGCCACCGCTGGCGGTGCTGTAAGTGCTGCAGGTGGTCCCGGCCCAGTCCAAGTCTCAGGGCAGGCTCCGGGCCCCGAAGCTACTAATCATCCCAGTGCTACAGCCAGTGTCGGTGCCTACACGACCATCTCTGAGCGTGACGCCGAGCCTGCTGACGCGGCTAATCCTTCCCCGGACACGCGACCTGTCTTTCCCCGTCGGGATTTAGAGTATCCTACCGTCGCTGTACATGATACAGATTCTCAACATCTCCTAGTTGCTTCCTCCACTGATGCAGCTGCCACTAGCTACGCCCTAGGCCCCCCAAGCTTTGGCTCTCAGCCCTGGGTTGCTCCTTCTGGGCCTTTTCTCGATTTCGCGCCTCAGCCAATATATGAGCCCACTGGTGAATTGCGCCGCGAAGACATTCACACCTTCGACGAGTTTGATGCCCCTTCCATTTCAAGATTTACCACTGCTCTCTCCGCATCTCCTCCGAACAATCCGCCACCACCGCCGACCAACGCGGTCGAAGTGGCCACCGCTCCCAATGGTGCTGGCTCGGTGACGGCCTTTGTCCAGCCCTCGCTTCCTCGATCTGCTTTGAAGCGAAAGGCAAGCTCTGTTGCGACGACACCCACCGACTCTTCCACCGACAAGAAAATCCGAGCACCAACTGGCACTGGAGCTGGGTCTGGGCCTGGACTGGGACCTGGAATCCGACTCGACTCTTCTATCGCAAACAGTCGTTCCGTCACCTTCGAGCGGATGTCAGGCATCGGTCCCACATCCCCTGATGAAGGATCTACCTCCTCAGACGCGCCCGCTGGTTCCAGGGCCATTCCAAGTGCTGTCCTTACCGGCAATCGGAGGACTCGCCAGTCATCCGGGTCGACACCACGACCGTCCCTAAATCCTCAATCGTCGTCCCAAAGCTCGAACCGCGGGAGGGGCACCCGTCCTCCGTCAGGTCATCCACCTTCAATTCTGCCTCCAGAAAAGGTTTTCCCCATTCAAATTGGATCGGATCTCTTTCGATTGTCGGGGGCGTCGATTTCTTCCGATGGTATGACTACATTCAGACAGGCGTTAAGGATTTTGAGAGGTGCTAATGTTGACCAGCCCCTTCCTACTTCACTCAATTCTTCGAAGAGCAGATCCGACAAAATGAGGAATCAGGAGGGGTCCGAACGCTCTACATTGATCGAGATCCTGCTACTTTTCGAGACGTAGCCCGGCATTTGCAAGGTTTCATCTCCCGCCGACGAATTTCATCTGATGCTGACCGCATTGGTAGGCTATTATGTAAAGCCTGTCGATGGAAGCCATTTTGTGAAGCTATTTGCCGACGCCCAATTCTACAGTTGTGGGTTGGTTGGCATTCGTTGAAGAGCTAACGCTGACGTCCTTTTAGTGCCGCGACTGATAGATCAGCTATTCGAATCCGAAATATTCATTCAGATTGGAGAACGACATTTCCAAATACCGAAGGATATATTCTCCGAACCAGGAAATTCCCCCAACTTTTTCTCGCTCGGCTTCGCGGTCTTCTTCTCTACCCCCGGAGAGGTTTTTCCTGGCCTGGACCGTCGAGGTCTACTCCGACCACCGTCCATTACTCCGCCATATGTTCCTGGTCGATCGGCAGAAATATTCGCAGAGCTCCTCCATCTTCTACGAGGCTACCCTCTACACATTAGAAATGAAGCCCATCGAGCCGAGCTCCTGCGAGATTGTCGCTACTTCCACCTCCGGGGATTGGAGCAGAAGATCATTGCCCACGAGATCAGCTACAACTTAGAGAGACAGAAACACGAAATCTGTTTGCGGCTTGAGGATGTCAAGCCATCGGGAGTGTCGTACACTAGTGACGACTCTCTCGGTGACAAGTCGACCGTTGGCGGATGGGTCTACTATGCCCGACCTTTTGTGGACGACACTTCCTACGAAATGGTCGTCGAGATTGGCGGTGAAAGCACCGTGCTTGACTTGGCCGACATGCGAGCCGATTTTCATGGGCTAGCCAAGGCACGCGTGTCCTCTCTTTTCCAGGTGGTCGCCAACAAAATGAATTTACCGACGAACGCACCTCTGGGGTTGATGATGCTCTCCGGCGGGCGATCTTCACAATCGGCCAGCCCCGGGCACACGCCACTAAGCGAAGATCGGGTCAAGGTGCGCTTCGAGACCGCAACGGATATTGTGCTGGACGGCGAAAGCTTTGAAATCGACGGGGAAAGCTCAATGGGCCAGATCATGCTCCACGGCCCCTCGACTGCGCCGAGCGAATCCGAATCTGAATCAGATGTGATGGGTGAAGGAACTTCATCCAAGCCCCTACCGCCAACTGGGAGTGGCCAACAGCGCCGTCCTCAAACTCGACAAGCACAAACAAGCTCCTTGTCCCAAACCGCTGGATCTCGAGGGTCCCTCCCGGTCCCACCGATCCAAACGAGCCGACTTTATGCACCATCAACGAAGAAGAGGAAGAGGCACAGCAGTCCAGGAGAATTCGGAGAATGGACAATCCGTACAGGACAGTGGCGCCTTCGAGTGCAGCCGAATATTCAAGACACGATACGGGGCGGATTCGAGATCGTTTTCATCGGAGTCAAGATCGATGCATATTCCAGCGAACGGGCACGCAATGCGAGGAGGGCGTTCCTTAACTGATGGGACGTGTAGTCTCAACACCTCACACGGCCAGACACCCTCTACCATTGCGGCTAACCGCGATCCCGTCTTACGTATGGAATATGCGTCCCCACACTTTCCGGATTCTCACCGCCTACGATAATCAATGGCGGCTGGCTCGCGCCACAGCAAGTTTGGTGGTATCTCATTTGCCTTTTTGCTCCTTCCGGTATACGTCCGACGTGCGATGGATATCTCGGTGGGATTGATCGATTCCTTGACACTAAAAAGCAGCATTAAAACGTATGGCCTGTTGTTCGTTGGGAAGCCACATGGTCTGAGTTTCTATATTGACTTTGTCGGCGGAACAGCATGACGATCAATACTAGGGAAATATCGTCCGATCGTCCTGTCACACCACATTACATCAACATTGGACGTGGCGGTTTCACCTATCATTGACCTCTGATTGGCGGCATATTTTTCTGAGTTACATTTGCATTCGAATTTTTTTGTGGTTATGCTCTGGACACCAATATCCCAGATATGAAAGAGCCAGGAAATTTGAAAAAGATGGGAAAGGGGCCCAAAGAAAAACATACCACTTTACTTTCACAATCTAGTATTTGCGTATTGTCTATTGATTCGATTGGAGACGGCTTGTTATGGATTGGTTCCCGGCATTGGTTTCGGTTGTTCTAAGCGTGACATTGCCACAAAGACGGGAAAGACGGCGTTGATCTGGTTAAATTTGTCCAGTCAACAGACCAATCAGCAAAAAGAAGGAGGAACAGATTGAATAGAGACGAACGACGAGGATCAAAGACTGGCAGGAGACAAATTTCAATTCCAGATCCCTTCGGTCAAAAGCCTCCGGATTGGCTTGTGGACGGCGGGCAAGCAAGAGAAGGACCGGAAATACACCCTAAAGACAAACAGAGAACAGCACAAACCATCAAGAGGCCGCATCCGACGCCAGGCGAAAAGCCGATGAAATGGAAGAGGAAAGGGGACAAAATCTTGAACCGCAGGCAATCAGCCAGTGGATGACTCTTGATATGCGGTCTGCGTGATGTGTATGGCTGGAAAAGACTCGAAAACAAACACCTATCTCTTGATGGTGCCAATTTATACTCGCATCGAGTGGTTGATGCAGGATCAGGATTTTGGATTTTACTTGTCAAGATCGGATACGGATCGTTTGTTTTCTTGATGATACGATCTTGGTGGGATTGGTCAGCGACTCCCTTTCGGCATGCAGGTTTTTCCAGGCGTGGGTGGGCGTGGCAATGGCTTGTCCAGTTACTGCCAGCGCCGGTGCCATTCAAATGCCCTGGCTGCTTCTATGTCTTCTATCCCGGCCTGCCAACTGCCAACTGCCAACCGTCAACCAGCCATTTCGTCCACCATCGGCCATCATTTCTCATCCAATCCTATCCCATCCTGTCGCGTCCTAGCATACCACAACTAGTTATATCACAATTTATTCGTCGACCATCTATTCTACATACATTCAACGATAAATACAATCAAATTCATGATGTCAATACATATACTTGTCATGTCAGCTTCGCATGACCTCATCATTTGAGTTTTTGTTCCTCCTCAACTAATTACCTTTTGCATACAGTCTCATTGTCGTTGCCAGCGCTTTTCACTGTCTTCTTCTTATGCAGCGGCATGGTTACGCCTATGAGAGCAGGGCTTCAGCTTTCTACTTCCGGTATGGCATGAGACAGGGGGTCTTGAACTGTGTTCGGCACCTCGTCGCCTGTCTGAGCCCGAATACCTTGGCAGCTTTTATTTTGTTTCACTCCACCATTTCATTCATGATCCCATGGCGGCTGTCGTTGAGAATGGTGGTTTCCTGCTGGCCATTGCCCTTTCGACTTGCCCTCGACATCGAAGATCTGACTAGAACTTTTGGCCGAAGGCCACTTAAGGAAGGAATAGACCATTTGCTCACGCACTGTGACTGTATATCACCCAGTAGGTACCCTGTGGAGTGGCACGAATGAGATCAATTTTGCCTTTTTGGGTCAATTTTTGGGCTCCTGGGGCCTGACTCTGAAATACCGGGAAAATGATGGTAGGATTGGAATGAAACGCTGACTGAGGTGGGCAACAATGCAATAAAGCTTCTCCACAAAGGAAGTGTCAAGTAGATACCCGGGATAGGAGAAGCAGGTCATATATCTGCTCAGTGACATGGATGAGGCTCCACGGAACGACACTCGCAATAAGTAGTACACCATTAGTGAACACAGCGCGGAAAGGTAATACCTATGACGGTTTCCCCGAGATCTCTCGCTTTGGCACTCAGCTGAGGTATGGTTGGTTGATGCTGTCGAGTGTTGCGCCGCAGAAGCGGGAGAGAGCAATGCCTGACAATACATTGTTGCAGAAATCGGTAAGTAGTCAGGTGGTGAAACTTTTAGCGGTCCATGGTTGGTGAATTGTGGTGGAAGAGGAACGAATATTACTCATCAACCGATGGGTGGCGGTTAAATGTTATTGGATTCGGGTCACATTCAGGCTATGTGGGTTTCGGAGCAACGATTACTCAGCCTCCGCTCAAGCAGAGTTTCAGACTGCGCCCGTGAGGGTTGACGTTGTGGTATTGCGGCTGGGAAGAGGGTTGATGATGATGATGGCGGTCTATGGCACAAAATCCTCACATGGGAACCGAAGCGTTTCATTCCAGCACGTAAGCAAAGTGGAAATGGCAATAGGCATTTGCCCCATACTCGTGTTCGGCGTCCAGCCTGCGAGATATAATATCCCTTTGTTTCTGGGAATATCAGCCATGTGACTCCATAGTGGGCATTCGGCCTGATGGTGTTTCCTCTCAGGGTGGGAAGTGCTTCATTTCCCAGTTCTTTCCGATAACATCTTAGGGCTTAGCAAGGCCGAAACTCAAAAGAAGCTTCGTGGAAGTCGACACGGAGCAAGATTGGGTGGGATCTGGAGAATAGGCTGTTCAGACAAAGTCTTGTTCGTTGGACATCAGAACCCCAGTGTTTGTTGCAAAACGAGCCGGCATCTCCTCGTTGACCCGCTAATGACTGGATAATGCCATCGAACAGTGGAAAAGCAGTGTCGAGATCGATCCCTATCTCCAAGGGACCGGAGAATCCTATGAGAAGATACCAATTGTTGCTCGACCTTTGTAGAGAGAAGGGAGCTGATGAAGCTTACTCCCCATTGATACGAGGATCGAAAGTCTGATCTCTTTCTTGAAAAGCGTCTGTCTAAAGGGTTCGAGACCACCGATTGCCCTTTACTCTCAGGTCGTCAATGGAATGGCAGTCACTCTCCCGATCTCCCTTAAGGAGACTGGATCAATTGCAGTTGAATGCTTCCCGCATTCTCTAAGGAACCATGCTGATAACATAACGAGCCCCTTGATTGCAATGTCTCCAGTTAGCACCCTCCTTCGATGTCGATGTTGACCTCCTAGAGCCAATGGAAAGCGCGGGTTGGGCTCCCTCTTGAGGAAATCTGTGGCGGGTTTGAGACAGGGTAGCATTTCACCATGCATCGTCGTGTATCCACAGCAGTGATCTGGGGATAAACCAAGCATTCAATGTGGGGATAGCTGTTTGCTAGCTCCGTTAGTGTGCAAAGAGCGCACGCCCCGGGCGCGTACACACGGAGCTAGGTCAGCCACATGGCGAAAGATGGCCCCAGGGAGCAAGTCATGCGAGGCGAAGTCTTCTAGATTGACAAGAGATTCAAGGGACAGAGATATAAAGTAGTGTGGAGAATTGACGAAGTGTTGCTATCACATGTGTGACATGAATCATCGGTGATGGATCTGCTGATTGAACAAGTCCATTGATTAGAAGATCAAGAGCGTCGCTTGACAGGATACCGGCTCTCTTTCGTGCTTGGTGGGCCCCGTATTTGCTCCGGCTACTGTGCTCGTTGGATTATTCATGATGCTCACTAGAAACGAAGTTGGCCGGTAGAGGCTGGAGAAGGTGAAATGGAAAGGGACGGAGAGAAGCTAGCCAAAGAAGGGTGCTCATCAAGCTGAAACCTCCGACCGCTGCTTAACGCTGGCAAGTATTGATGGGCTGTTGGCTATTATCTTTAGTTGACCATCTGAACAGTCTGCTTCAAGGAACACTCGGAACTTTCCTCGTATAATCTCGTTGAGGAAATGTCGAGGCTCAAGGTTGAATCCAGGAATCCCTCTCACATTCAGTCTCCACTTCCTTCCACCCTTATGGCTAATGAATGGCGTCGAATCGAAGCCTGCATTCCTGAAATTAGAACTCGTAGTCCTGAGAAAGATTACTTGGGCGTCCCTGTGACCTTCTGCTAAGCACCCAAATCGACATCATGACGACTATTGCGTCTATCCGTTGCCTCTTTGATTATTTACCCGCCACAGCCACCTCTTCCTCTTTTTCAACCTGGATCCACAGCTCAGGCTTGAAAAAGAGCGAGCAGGACGCACCATTCGGGTGAGAAAAAGGAGGCAGTGTAGATGCAGTGGTGGTTGAAAGTAGCGTGCAATATCAAGCATTAGGAGATACTAGCAAGCATACCCTGGTGATTGAGTGTAGCTGGATGCGACCCTTGGTTCCTAATATCGTATTTCCGTACACACCGTGGATGCATTTGGTGGGAATGTCGTGTTGTGGTTGACTGCCATTCCGGAGCAGTCGAGATCAAGCAGACTCATTCCACAAATTGATCCACACCGGCGCCGCCGCTCATGTCGTTCTGCATAGTAGCTCTTGGAGAATAAAAGACCAATTGGTTCTCCGAGATCAAAGCTACCTGGCGTATACACTCATTCTGTGCACCGGTTGGGAATTGGGCTTGGCCAAGGGCATCGAGAAATTTCTTGAATCGTTTTCAAGCTCTTCTGGCGTATGAAAGCTTCCAGGAGCAGCCAGGAAATAGACTACTTGAAGCTGATGTGATTGGTTCCAGTTTTCCTGCGTATCTTGTTTCGATGCGAATTGGTGTGCTGACATCAAGTGTGATCAATTGCTCGCGAGATGTGTGTAGTCTTGGGCGCGGCCGTAGCTAGAAAATGACATTGATCAACTGTTGGAAGGGAAAATAGATGGCAAGGCTGAGTCTTGATTGCAGAGATAGCACAGGTTTTGCTAGAGCAGTTGCCAACTTTTTGTCATCGGGGGAGTAATAATCGTCCTCCCGTAGGATGGTTGCGGCTGCCGACGACGACGCACGGCTAGCTCTCTGCTTCGTTTACAAGCATATAGATGTCCGCAATCAAAAGACTATGTCGAAGTGCACATGTCTCCAGTGATGAAACGAAGGTGGAGAAGTTATAAAATCCGACCCACTGCTGATCCTTGTGACCGAAACACTTCCCTTCCTAGAGCCTTTAATGTTTCCTCCTCGTTATTGGGCTGGCAGGTTCAGGACGTAGATATGGAAACTGTGAGCAGGTCCTCCAGAATCGAGGCTCCTCCAATTACAGAGCAAGATGTATTTCAAACTGTGCGCCGGACGGGCATAGAAGTTGGAACTTGGGTCAAGCTGAGTCTTTGATACTGAACGCAGGGATCAAGGCTCCGAACGACGATGACAAAGGCCCCAAATTCTAGCCAGCGGAATATGTTGATTACCTTAAACAACCTCTCTTTCAGGCTCAATTGCCAAATGGTGGATGCAGTTATCTTCTGAGGCCGGGCGTATGTATGACACCGTTTGGCGCACAAATCTGTCACAAAAAGGCCTATATGAGGTACACCAATTCCTTGAATATCCCTCGCTTGGTGCTCCGTAAACTTAGGATCGCCTTGGGATAAGTCTCTCCCCGAAATCTCATTGCTGTTGGCTTGCGTCCAGGCGACGATCGCTCATTTTATGGTTAGAGACGATTTCCAGATGTGGTTTGGATGGTGGTGACGAATATCTTGATAATCAACCCAGTTTTGACCGGTGATTTCAATGACGAACAAATTTACCAGCACCTTATGCAAATGGTTTCAGGGAGTGCCGGCCATGGCAAGCAGGGTGACTAAGTCGACAGCTAGATGCGTGTCTGGAGCATTCTGTCCATGCATGTCAACAGCACCTCGAGCGGAAGGTTCAGGATACCAAGGACATCGCTTCGGCAGGCAATCCATGAAGTTTGACTTAATACATATCAGCTTATTCGGAAATACAGCTAGACAAGAGCGAGGAGTAAAAGATAGGCTGGCGTCTGCTCCAGTCCAAAGCGTGTCGCTTGCAAGGTTTTTCAATCATCTCGTCAGATCCAAGGCAGTGTCTTCTTGTCCGCACCGGACTCGATGCCGAGAGTGTGGAGGTCTATTGGCTTCCTCGAATGAATAACTCCTTTTTGTCGTTACTGATGCCTCGCTGTTGAGTTCGATGCTGACGAGATTCCTGAAATGACTGGGACAAGGGAGACTCCATCCTTCGAGTGCTGAGGGCAGTCTAGTCAGTATGCTTCGAGGCTTTGACATTGAACAAGCCACATGTATTGATGAGCTTCATTGATGGTATGCTGTGTCCCTCGATCGCCCTTCACCGTCTTTTATTGTTGGATGTGAAAAGTGGGCGTCCACCTCCTGCTTCATCGGGCCCTCTCTAGGCGGCGGCTACCAAAGTCTTCGGGGGAAGGAGAATGGTCTCGGACTTGTACATTATTTGAAAACTGGATATTTTATGTTATTACGGCCCATTGCCTAAGAGGCGGTCAGAAAAGCAGAAAGCATTGTCCCAAGAAGATATTGAAATACTGCAACGACTTCAGCCTGGTGCCTAGGATGGAATGGTTCTCGCCAACACCTGTACTAGAGGTAAAGTAGGAATTGTTGATCTTGCCTGGGACGGACTTGAAGAGTGAAATTCGCAGCATTGGATAAATAGCTCATAAACTGGTTGCGACGTGCCGTCCGGCTTTCTTTTTTCCCCTCCTGCGCAGAAAATAGCATTCATGGCTAAATTCGTTTAGGTCGGACACAGGGTACCAATCATCATTGATGAATAGGCATATATTTTTAGATGCGGGAGTCATCACGCCTTTGTTGAATGTGGAAGCTTCAATGACGACTCAGGCTTCTGCAGCGACGCCCTGATTAGTGAACCCCATACGTGATTATTGTATAGGACGGGTTCTGTCGCTTGGGCCCGGGGGGAGGAGCACCAAGGAAGGCCAATGTCCAGCTTTTATATTCCCCCAGCCGTTACTCTGTGGTCTGATCCGCTATGGCAGCATCATAAATTGTTTGACACTTCCATGCTCTGACGAGTAAATAGTAGTTTGCCGGAGTCAGAATCGACATCTGAGCATGCATAACTGAGGGAAATCACCCGGGGAGTAGAGGAACCGGCCAACCCAAGCCCTGTTCCCTCCAGTCCACCGAGCCAGCTCAAACGGAAATTCAGGAAAGGGCACTTTGGCGTTTACGAACAAACATCTTGCCTGGAGACGCAGATCTTAATTCCACTCGTAATTGTCGTTCTTAACAACTTGTAACCCTGAGTATTCATCTAGTCCGGATAAAGGCAAATGTACCTCAGGCAGATCAATCCAATGGCACAATGTAGGTGCTCTCTGGGACTATTCCTCCGCACAGAGTATGGCGCAGTCGCCATTCGACGTCTGCTTACTTGCCTCGGGCTTCCTCTCCGAGTTGTTGCAGGGCCTTTCCGTATTTCGTCTTGAGGGCATCTCGCTCAATGCTTAGATTAAGCCGCTTTATTTTCGCTTGCCGTTGGACTGAGAAGTCATTGCCCCCAGTGCCAGGTGCATTCTTGCCTTTCCCACCAATTTCACGCCAGAACCATGCGGCTTCTCTATGCTCGATGATTGTCCATGCATGACCCGCTCTGCCGGCTCGCGCGGTCCGACCAACACGATGAACATATGTCAAGGCGCTGTTCGGAACGTCATACGAGATGACATGCTCAAGTCCAGGCACATCCAAGCCACGTGACGCCCGGTCCGTAGCAATCAAGATGGATATCTTCGAGTTGCGGAAGGCCGAGAGCGCACGACGAGACGAGGCTGATGACACGGTGCTGCGCGTTAGTGTCGATATTTGGGATGCGAATGCCGGAGACAAAAGAACCAACAATCTCGAGAGTCGGGTCGCCGCGGCGGTTGAGCGCACAAAAACCAGTGCGCGGCGTGCCCCGTTAGCTTGCCGGCTTCGCACGGACTGGTCGAGGAAGCCAGCTTGAACTTTCGGGATTTTACCGGATCTCGACGAGCCGTCTGAACTGGAGCTATCATCATCTTCCGGTGATGTTGACAGCTCCGAGTCGGAGCCGGAGTCACAAATCGACGATGAACCAAGAGTCTCTCCCGATTGTGACCCAGTAGCCAATCCGATATACTGTCGAAGTAATTCCACCAAATACAGTGGCTTTTCAGAACCATCCGGGATCGGAATCGCCGTTTCCTCCAATGACGGAGGTAAATGGAAGGCATCTCTGCCCTCCTGTTGGCGATGCTCCACCATCGTCCCGGGCGATGCTTTGACGCCGAGCTCGGTCGTGCTCTCGTTCACATCACTACTACCTAACAAGACCAATTTCGGATTATAGAGTCCCATCTCGTTGAGCTTGGACACGTCGCGAGTCATGGTTGCGGATAACAAAATTTTTATAAGTTTTCGTCGAGGGGGAGTCATTTTCATGAATCTGAGAAGTTCATCCATCTCCATGGTCGCAGCTCGCGACTCCAGGGCCGGTATGACAACTTCAATCCACTCCTGATAGCTCTCGTTGAGCAATCGGTCAGCCTCGTCCACAGCCAGCCATCTCACATCGTCCAAAGTGAAGCCAGATGTGGATTGGAGATGGTCCACTAGGCGGCCTGGGGTGGTGATGAGAATGTCTGCTTTAGACCTGTACCGAGTAACGTAGCCCACTGACTTTAGAGGATCTTCTGACTTCGCCCTTTGCACCAGGCTTCTCAAAGAAAACCGGGACCAGTCGACCTGGGCTCGCTGCTGTTTTTGATACCGTTCCAGGTCATAAACCTTGCCCTCTTCAACGAGCATCTCTTGCTCATCTTTGAGAGACTTGCTGCCGACGGCCGTAGCAATCTTCAGATGGGTTCCAGAGGCACAAATCTCGCATAATTCACGCACTTGTTTGACAAGCTCTCGAGTCGGAACGACAATAACAGCCCTCAACTTCGTGCCCGCAAGCTTCATCAAATCAGCGATCATGGGCAAGATGTACGTCAAAGTTTTACCCGAACCAGTCGCGGCAGACACACAGAGATCGCCGTCATGTTTGGCAGGCCCGTCGAAGAGTAAGGGTAGAACAGTCGCTTGTACAGGAAATGCGCGTTCCAGGCCGATTTTCTTCAAGTTAGCCAGCAAGGTCCCCGAGACTCCGATCGATTCAAAGGTTGACGTAGATCCTGGCTGAACATTTAAGGGAGTTTCCTGCCAGTACGGAAGGACAGAATATGTGGGCTTCTCTTGAAATGTTTCCGCCGGCTCAGGTTGCGGGATAGGTTCCAGACCATGCAGCTCAGGAGGCGGCGGTTGATCAGCCGTGGCGTCAGATTCTTGAATGGGATCCTGCTCTCTGACCCGAGCTTTCTCGAATCTCGACAGAACACTCGCGCGTCTCTTATCATATGTGCCATCGCTAGTTTCCCCGTCGATGTCATTTGGAACAGGTTCCGACTTGTTGCGTTTCCGGCTCTTTGATTCACCAGTATTCTTCTGGGCGGCCCCATCTTGATGCTCAAGAGCCTTAGAAGATTTTATATCGACCGAAGAATTTGCGTTCCTTGCAGCTTCTGTGACTCGGTATCCGTCGAGGACGCCCTTCCCGACATCATTGACGTTCGCTTTCGCAGGGGTGTCTGGACCCCCAGAAGGCAGCTTTGGGATGGTACTGGCACCCTGATCGGGCTTGTCTGACAGCTTCAATCTCTTTCTTCCCTTCTCATGACTTGCCGTACTTTCATCTCGTCTGCACTTTTCGGGGATTGAAGACGCGTTCGCCGCCAGTACACTCTTGGAGGGAGGCACATAACGAGCATAGAAGTGAGACATGGAGGAATTCGGAAGCCATTAAACAGCAACGGAGGGAGTGTTTAGGCACAGACTTGGTACGGCATTTGTTTTCTGCTCGTGGGAGAGCACGAAAGGAAGCAAAAAAAATAAAAACGAGTTGCTATGAGGTTAGAATTCGACCGGCAGAATTTCTTCACCGCCGGCGGCTCAACCTGGCCGCCTCTTTCTAAACGAGGCTTGCCCTGATTCTCTCTCCTTTACCCGGCCGTCACCCAACTTTTCGATCACGCTCATTCGCGATGTGGTTATTGACCGCGTCCAGAGGCAAGCCGGATTCCTCAGCCCCCCAACGTTCAACATGCCGTACAATATCGCCATGGCCTGCGACTTTTTCTTCCCCCAGCCCGGCGGGGTCGAAAGCCATATTTACCAGCTATCAACGAAACTAATCGACCGGGGCCATAAGGTTGTGGTCATTACTCACGCGTACAAAGGCCGGACTGGAGTACACTACTTGACAAATGGCTTGAAAGTCTACCATGTTCCCTTCTTCGTCATCTATCGAGAAACGACGATGCCCACCGTCTTCTCCTTTTTCCCCGTCTTCCGAAATATTGTCCTCCGGGAGCAAATCCAGATTGTCCACGGCCATGCCAGTCTCAGCAGTTTCTGTCATGAGGCCATCCTCCATGCTCGCACCATGGGTCTGCGCACTGTCTTCACGGACCATTCTCTGTTTGGATTTGCGGACGCGGTCTCCATATTGACCAACAAATTGCTCAAGTTTGCCCTGAGTGACGTCGACCATGTCATCTGTGTGAGCCATACCTGCAAGGAGAATACCGTCCTCCGGGCGTCACTCGACCCCTTGATGGTGTCCGTCATACCAAACGCGGTGGTTGCCGAGAATTTTCAGCCCCGATCATACGTGCCCAAGTCGCAAGACACGGGGTATATGAGACCCAGACCAATCCCTCAACGCCTCGGCCCGGGTGATACCATTGTTATTGTGGTGATTTCTCGTCTTTTCTACAACAAAGGGACCGATCTTTTGATTGCCGCGATTCCGCGGATTCTGGCCGCCCATCCAAATGTGCGCTTCATCATTGCTGGTTCCGGCCCCAAGGCCATTGATCTGGAGCAGATGCTCGAAAGACGAATGCTTCAGGACAAGGTGGAGCTCCTGGGGCCTGTCCGGCACGAAGAAGTTCGCGATGTGATGGTCAGGGGCCACATCTACCTCCACCCTAGCCTGACTGAAGCCTTTGGAACTGTCATTGTGGAGGCGGCCAGCTGTGGTCTGTATGTGGTCTGTACCAGAGTGGGGGGCATTCCAGAGGTTCTGCCCGCGCACATGACAACATTTGCAAAACCGGAAGAGGATGACTTGGTTCTCGCCACGGGCCGGGCGATAGCGGCACTCCGCTCCGGAAAGGTCAAGACGGAACGATTCCACGACCAGGTCAAAATGATGTATTCCTGGACCGACGTTGCGCAACGGACGGAAAGAGTCTACGACGGAATCACCGGCGCCATCAGCGAGCAAGAATTTTATGGCCAACATGCCAATCCGAGTTGGAACGCTTCTCGCCGACGAGGGTATGCTTTAATAGACAGATTGAAACGATACTATGGCTGCGGCATCTGGGCCGGCAAGCTCTTTTGCCTGTGTGTCATCATCGACTACCTCATATTCCTCTTTCTGGAAATTTGGGCGCCGAGGGCGAGTATTGACATGGCACGAAGCTGGCCTCGCAAACCCTTTATCAATGACAAGAACAAGCCAGTGGAGAATGGCATGTTTCGTCGAAGAGGCACAGATCTTATGGATCGTCGAAATGGCAGCTTGATGATGAGATGAGATTTGCTCATCCTTTTAGGCATGGACCTCGGATGTGCACATGTCCCGCTTGGGGCCCCACACCAAACTCAGCTTCCCAAAATCATATCGGCTACCATGTCTGCACCCAATTCGGCGGCGAATCGATTGAAGCAAGTACAGGGTTTCTTGTCGGAGAACAATGAAAGATCACCGGACATGATGTGGCCAGCACTGCCAGCTCGGGCCGGTTATCTGGCCCTCAAAAACGGCAGACGTCGAAATGCCTTGTCTTTGGCCGTGTTGAGAGACTTGCGCGACCAGCTGCACGCGTACAATAAATCACCAGTGGATGGTGGATTGAGAATATTGCCTCCGTTCAAGCCAGACCTTCTTGCCGATCTCGAGAAAGCTTCAAAGGACATCAATTCTGACGCGGGAAAGCAATATGGCTGGCTGCTTGACTCGGCGAAATGGCAAGAGCATCGGAAAGGCCTCCCGAACGTGATTGTGCTGCGAAGTGAAGGCCCCGTGTTTTCCTCGGGCCACGATCTGGGTGAGCTGCGAACACTCAGTCATGACGAGGTCAAAGAGACGTTTGCTCTGTGTGCTGAAGTCATGTCCTTGATCAGGCGGTCTCCGGCCCCCGTCATAGGAGCCATTCAAGGTCTGGCAACCGCGGCGGGAGCACAACTCGCCCTGACCACCGATCTCCCCATCGCTTGTGCCACGACTCAATTTCGGCTTCCCGGCGCATCCATGGGATTGCCATGCACGTCGCCCTCTACGGCGGTATCTCGCAAACTGGGACATGCATTGACTTACAGAATGCTCGCTTTGGCCGAACCGATTCGCGCCGACCGACTTCCTGGAGGAGCGGTCGACGTGGTGGCTGATCAAGAAGCATTTGAGAAAAGGTTGACAGCGATGGTGGATCAACTATCGGAGACAGCAGGACAGCCTCAGGCCCTTGGGAAATGGGCGTATTGGACACAACTCTCGTTCCGTGGCGGTGAGTCTGGCGGTGACGGATATGAAGATGCAGTCGCATGGGCCGGAAGGATCATGGCGCTTCATGCGAGAGCTGAAGATGCGAGGGAAGGCATCAAGGCCTTCTTTGAGAGGAGACCGCCAATTTGGAAAACATGAGGAATGCGAAATGGCCCGAAGTAGAAATCATAACAATCCCTATTTGGCCGTTGCCCGTTCCGCTGCAAAATGACTCAAGTCATGATTACTTTTTATCTGTCTCCCTCACCACGATGACCAAGAACAGCACCGACAGTACTCTGCTCGTTTTCGTATCAGTCCTCTCGTCCACAACACGCCAGCAGCGACAAGTGGCCGTGGTGGGGCACCACATTTCACCCGCCCGGCGAAGCGCCCCGATTGAGTTAAACCGCGGGTATTCAAAGTCGGCATCGTCGAGATCCATCATATATTCTCCCTTGTGCAGTTTCTCTACTCTGAAAGAATGCCAGAGTCCTCGAGAGGATTCCAATGGCTCATGGCGTGCCGCGAGAATTCGACACGGTCATTGTTGGTGAGCGACCTCACGGACTTCCCCCCCCCTCCTTTTCCTTCTCTGCGCAGTTGAAACATGGACCACACATATACATTGTCCCTACTGATCCTTTTCACTAGGGAACGGCCCCTCGGCTCTGATCTTGTCCTATATTCTTCATGGCAATCTGCCTTATTACGACGAGTCCCGTCCTCATCCCGATCCCATCTTACATGAAAAACTCCTCCGGTCGAACAAGGATTTGCTGAATCTTGACATTGACGGATTAACCGAGCATTTCGCGGCCTCGAGGTTCTCCTACTCGACACAAGCACTCCCCGTTAATGTCCTCTGGGACACCTTGGTGAGACCGCAGGGCGAGACCGACGATGCGCAGAAGACATGCATCAAATGGCACCATGATCCTTCACGAGCCGTGTCACATCTTGTCATGGGAAATACGATCAGAGCGGGAGGGCAATGGGTTGACAATCCGGCCCCTGCCAGTTGGGACATTGGCACCTTGAGCTATGCGGGCATGATATCGCTTCCTGGTTACGGGTTTGACGAACACTATCAAAGGCGCTATGGACAACCTATGCCCATTTACCTGCGGCCTTCGAGACAAGCCGTGGCCGAATATCTAGCCACGTACCCTGACCAGGCAGGAATCGCCGAATCGCTCCAAAACGGCCAACAGGTAACTGGGGTTTCTCGGTACCAGGACGGCTTTCATATCGCTTCACACAACATCTTCTGCCGGAACCTGGTATTGGCATCGGGCATCTTCAGCGACCTCATCCCACCACCGCCAGTACTCACCCCTCTCCTCGGCCTCGCCGCGGTCCCCGCCCACCCGTCTGGATATTTCCCGGAGCCGCTCCTCGTCATCGGCTCCGGCTTCAGTGCCGCGGACGTGATTATTTCGAGTCATCCCCGCCAAAGAATCATCCATGTCTACAGATGGGCACCGTCAACGTCCCCGTCTCCGTTGCGAGCGTGTCACCAACAAGCATACCCGGAATACGCCGGGGTATATCGACGCATGAAGCTCGCCGCTCTGTCATCTCCATCGTCTAAGGAAAGGCGGCCTAAAGTGCGGCAGACGCAGTCCGAATTTGACCTCAGCCGCGACTGGAAGACGACATACGAAGGCCTGCCGAATGCCGAGATCATCCACGTCGAATCTGCGCATGACAGAACCGCACTTGTCACATTCCGAACTGGCCATGGTCTACCTTTTCAATACCGAGTCGGCAGCTTCGCGTACGTCGTCGGACGACGAGGGTCCCTAAACTACCTGTCGTCGGAACTGGTCAAGGCGATCCTCCCCAGCGATGCCAAGGACGCCAGCACCATGGTGTCAGGACAGACGCTGCGCGAAAAGGCAAACGAGGACCTTGAACTCGCGCCGCATGTCTTCATCATCGGCAGTCTGACAGGCGACTCGTTGATCCGCTTCGCGTACGGTGGCTGTGCATATGCTGCCGGCAAGATCATGCGGCGCTCGATGGAGAGGATCGGTAAAGTCGAGTTCAGCGGAGGAACAGACAAAGATCCTTCTGGCAACAATAATGGCAACATCAATGGCAATAGTAACGACATCATCGTCCCTTTGCGAGAAGGTCAAAATCGGTGCCAGACACCGTCGCCACGGATCCCCGCCATGAACGGCCTCGATGGCCACGAGGCAAGTCCCGTCAGCTTGGTAGAGAGTGGTATGCCATTGGACAGACGACAGACGGAAGGAGGTACCCTAGTCTCAACTGAAATGGTCCCGGCTTAAAGGCCTTTTTTTTTTTTTGGGATACTGCTGCCGGAGTCACAGCTGCGTGCGTGGCACACGTATATACCTCGTTGCATTAGAGAGCCACATCACATCTGGCTGTCATGAGGCTTTGTCCCAGATGCCGATATTGGATAGATTTTATAATTCGCTGTGGATATTTTGAATCTAAGTGGGTATACATATATTATCACTCTCTTCATGTCCTAAGGGCCTTTTCATGCCAGGAGAGACAAGTGGGTTCGTATCTTTCACTTGGTCCATATGTTCACGCCTATCGCCGAGATGAGTAGAGAGATACGTACTCGGTCCGTGCCTCGTCCACAACAGACCAAGTTCTCCCTCCTAAAAACCGTCTTGGGCAAGGGCATCCGCAACACCGAGATAAAAAGCCACGGCATTAAATCGTTCCTGCACGAGGCCCACCCCCGCAGCGACGCGCAAAAGGCGATTCGACCAATTAATCAGATCCAGATGCGTGACTCCGACCAGTGTGCCACGGTACTCACCCCAGCGGGCGCTGGCGACGCTGACGAGGCCGTCGTTAGCCCCCTCGCGCGGCGTGATCAGGTCGTGACTCAGGCGAAAGACAGATAGGAAATGCGGCGTCGCCGAGGCGCCGTAGCTGAAATATCGTACGTTAGGGTCGTCCGGAGTCGACGGATTGAAGTGCTGCGTCATATAGGTGGTGGTGAGTTGGGAGAAGGCGCGGGCGTCGATGCGCAGGCGCTCGAGGGTGCGAGAGATGCGCGGGCCGAGTGCATAGGCACCGTCAGGACTGCCGCGGGTGTTGAACTTGAAGTCAAAGTTGTATATCATATCCGCGGCACTGGAGCCGCGGTGTGGTGTCGCGATGGTCGTGAGACTGCGGACGCGGAACGGCCTCCTAGGAGATGGTGACGCCTCCCGCGGCGGACATAGGCGCGAGATCACGTACCGAGCGTCTAGGCCGCCCATGCTGTGTGCGACGATGTTCACATCGCGGCCGGGGGCTTTCGTTGCGATCTGGCTGGCAAGCGCGCGGGCGCGGTCTTCGATGGATCCCATCGTGGGTACGGCGGTCGTGATGAATTCAATCCCATTCTGCGCGAAGGCATCGGTGATCCCGCGCCAGTATTGGATGCTAGGTAGATAGCGGCCCACGAGACGGAGCTCATCGAAGCCCATCAGCCCATGGGCGAGCACGATCAGGTGTCGAGGCACAGAGTAGTGAGAGCGGACGTGGGCAAAGTCGTCGGTGATCAGGCGGCCGAGGTCGGAGAGACCGGGATCTATGGGGTTTTCAACATTGCTCGAGGAGCCCGTGTCACGATTGGCCTTCGAACCGGGATTGAGGTGAGGTGGTGGTGAGCTTAAAGTCGACTGATATCGAATGCACTGAAGGGCGGGCGGCCGTAGCCCAGCATGAAGTCGTGGAAACTTCCATGGCATACTCCCCGATATGTCAGTTGTCCTTGTCAGCGAGGGAGTCGACCCATGGGTACAATTAAAAAGGTGAGGAGCTGAGGTCGGACTTGAAGATATTGATATGGATGGTACGTGTCCGACCCTGGAGCTGCGTCATACGCATTTCTTTGGAGCCGATAGTATATATCTCGTCGTCGACGCCCAAATTAATTCACCAACAAATTTGAAAGGCGCATTCTAACACCGGACTTTACGGCATAAGCTCTTGCATTAAAAAGAAGGACCACATTAAAGCATGGTCTTCTGCTTGAGCCTCAGTCTATGTCCACAAATGACCCAGCATGACGCCCGCCTGTAATCCGGCGTTCACCCAAAGACATGACGGCCAGCTCTTCTTCATCCTCGTAGAGGTAACAACCAGAGGAAACGTTCCGAACGCCTCATTCTTCCCTCGAGATCTTTTCCGGCACTTCAGGCGTGGGAGAGGTCACGGCTCTGATCAAATCATTCACCACCTTGTTTCCCGACTTCTTGCCCGCAGCCTCGATCTCCTTCACCTTTGCCTCTGCCTCCTTATTCGCGTCGTCCTCGGCTTTCTTGTTTCCGCTCGATTGCTGTCCTCACGGTGAGCTCCGAGTGGGTCTGTATGAATGGGATACCACCGGCATACCTCTGCTTCGAATTTCTTGAACTCCTCCTCTCGCTTCTTTCTGTACTCCTCGATTTCTTTCTGTGCTTCTGTTTTGGCATCCTTGACTCTCTTCGTTCGGTCTGGTGATGTTAGACGCCCGGTAATAGATTGTCACAGGTCGGTGGAGCGTACACTCTCTGGCTGTATGAACGTTAGCACATCGGTCACGGTGGTATCCTCGATGCCTTACCTTTTTGTACTATCTTCTGCGCCTCTTTTTCGGCCTTGCTCCTATTCAGCCTCTGTCTGACCAAAACCAAGTTGGCAGCGGACTCACATCAAGCAGGGTCTGAATGCCTGCCGAGTTTTGTGCAGACTATGCTCCTATCAGCGGGGAAGTGATGGTTCTGGCACTTACACACACCATCTTGGGATTTCTGACCGCTTCGACTGAGAGCTCAAGGTGAAACGAGTAAACAGAACAGAGGGAGAGGGGAGATTGAGAGATCAAAGTCCTCAATGCGCCCGCACCGTGCTTGAAGCTGCGGAGCTGAAAAGGGTTTAGCTCGCCCTGGTCTTTGGGGAAAGCCACAGTTGCGAGCGTCTCTCCGCTTAAACATTTTCTTCGACCTTGTTGATACGGTTCTTTTGAGGACCACCATCCTCACCCTCAGCGTTGTGATGTCTACAGCTTCGAAAGTAACTCTTTTGAGCACCGTCTTGGCCACAGCCGGCATCGTGGCCTTTGTCCATTGGGCGCAGAGTGCCGAAAAAGCCGTGAGTATTGATTCCTCGGGTCTCTGGAGAACGCTTGCTGAACACGGCTAGGCTATGCACGCCGGAGTCATTCGAGACATGGAGCAGCAACGCATTAAACGAGAGCGTCAAGCAGATTTCGATATGCAGAGGCAGCTTGAGGAAGAGTACAAGAAAGTCCAGACCGTACACGATGCTACAAACGGAGCGTGATCATACCTCCGAGCATATCCTCTGAGTGGAAGGAGCTTTGCAACTTTGAAAGAGCCTCCGGGGCATCGGGCCACCATGCTGCTTGACCTGATGGAATTTCCTGCTTCCATCAGGCTTGCAGGGCTTGGGATACAACCAGGGAAAAAGTCAGGCCACGACATCACCACAACCGGTACGCCCACCTGAAGGAATTGCTTCTACATTCTTCAGAGGAGTCTGGTCTGGATCCGGCGGCGGAATGGCAGACAATATTGAAGCTGCCGGCGAGTCGAAGCTCGGGAAATCCACACGCGATGAGATAGACCGCTAGGCTCGTGCTAGCCGCGTCCACCGACATGGGTTGTCGAGACGTATGGACTCAAAAGTATGATCAAGAAATTGGAAACGATCTCCAGGGCGCGAAAGACGACCAACAATCATTGACCAGTGGCTCAACCCAACGTGGACAGGGTGCCCAAAAAGAGTCTCTCAATTAGACAATCATGTCTTGGAGAAGAATATGGTTCAAACCTCATTTATAGCCATCTTTTTGAACTGAACCGAATCTCACATCACCCATTTTGTGTTCCCTACATACCCAACATCCCCGCCCCATGCTTTTCTCCATCCTCACCTCGCATACCGATCGTAGCACCATACTCATAGATGTTCAACCCTTCAATGTCCGATTCCGCCCGCCACCCAATTGTTGAACTCCAAGTCCCCAGGCCTCGGGAACATGCCTCCTTCATTCTGGGCCTGATTGGGGTTTGGATTTTGATTTTGATCCTGCTGCTGTCCTTGTGCGGGTGCCTGTCCTTGGCTTGGTGGTGTTGGCTGTGCTGGCGGATTTTGGTTTTGATTCTGACGCCTCTCCTCATCAAGGGCCCGCTGCCTCGCCTGGCGCGCGTAGACAAGCAACGCCAACGCACCCGCCAGCGCGATGATGATAAGACTCTCGACAAGGCCGTCGTCGAAATCGTCCCATTCGTCGGCACCGTAGACATCCTCGCCCTGCGCGCCGGCACCAACCTGCCTGTCTCGACGAGGCCCGTTGGCGTAATCGCCATCGCCGCCCGGCATGCCCGGGTCGCCGTAGGCGAGGAGGTCTTCATCATCCCTCTCTCGTGCTGCGGTGGCCGCTTCCTGTGCATCCATCTCCTCCGCCGCATCCAGGAACCTGTTGATCCACTCGGTCCATGTTTTGGGGCGCCGTCTCCCTTCCTCGTCTTCCTCGTCCCGTATCGAATTGATTTTGCCCCCGCTGACGCCGTTCCACCAGGAGCGGACACGTAACTTGGTCAGAGCCAGTGTGACGGGGAGATATGCCTCCTTGTTCATCTCCAGCGCGAGATCGTAATAGCGCTTCGCCATGTGAAAGTCCTGAGCGACGCTGCCGATGCCGTTCTCGTGCATCCAGCCTAGATTCCATAGCGCCTGGGCACTGTGGTGCGACTCCGCCGCCGTCGTGTAGCAAGTGGTGGCCTTTTCCAGGTTCGATTTGGCTTCTTCATCAGAGAAGACTGACCCTGACCGCGACGAGGAAAGTGAGAGATAGTAATCACCCATTTTGACGAGAGAGTCGACGTTGGCCTGTTTAGCGGATCGAGTGAAATATGCGAGAGCGAGATCTGGGTCGTCAAGAAGTTTGCTGCGCTTGGAGCTCGGTTTCGTGGAAGAGAGGAAAGACATGCCGGGGAGAGAGATGACAGAGGTTTTCCGGTCGAGAAGATATGCCACATTGGCCTGGGCGTTTTCGTAGCCTTGCTCGGCGGCGCTGAGGGCGGCGATGAATGCGCGTTCAAAATCCCCTCTCTCGTATGCGGAATTGGACTCGCCGAAAGCCGAATGCAAGGTCTCCGCTCGCTCGGCGACGACCTTATAATAGACGGTCGCGAGACCGCAGTTGCGTTCACGACCGACACCTTGGTTGGTTAGTTCGGCGAGGTAATAGAACGCCTCCATCACGCCTGCGCCAGCGGCGAGTTCGAAATATCGGCCGGCCGTGTCGATGTCGCCCTGGTCGAGGAAGAGAACTCCTAACGCGGATTGAGCTATTGGGAGACTTTGCTCAGCGGCGGCCTTGAGATAGGTTCCAGCACGGATTCCATCTTGAGGGACCCCCAGGCCGTCTCGGTACATCAGTCCCATATGGTACTGTGCGAAGGAGTCGCCATTGGCAATTCCACGCTTGAACCACGTCTGAGCCATGTCAAAGTTTGGTTCCGTGCCTTCGCCTCGAAGGAACATGCGCCCAATATACGCGGCAGCCTTGCCGGCGACTCTTTCAATTCCCTTGGGCGCTTTCGGGTTGACCTTTCCGTCCTTGCCCCAGTAAGCCCGAGCAATTTTCATGAATTGCCGTTGTGCCTTGCGGAAGTTTCGTTTGTAACCTCGGGGAGCTTCATAGTAGTGTTTCCCAAGAGTGAGAACCGCGGTGTAGTCACCTTGGCGTTCCTTCATGTCAAGGTATTCCAGGACATAGTCGACATGGGCGGCAGTGATCCCGTCGCGAGGAGCGTTGGGACCAGAGCTGCTGACACTAGCACCTTCGCCATAGATCCCTCCGTCGACCTCGACCCATCGGTAGGCGTTGCGAACAAACGAATGTCCGCCAGGAGGCCCCGAGTGCCAATACGCCATCGCCTTGTCCGCCACTCTTTTATAATAGTCTACTGCCTTGTTGCAGTCTCTCGGGCAGCCAATACCCGCATGATACCGAAATGCCAGAGTCATCTCGGATCGAATGTTATCTTGTTCCGCAGCAATATGATGGTAAAGCAACGCCTTGGCCTGGTCTCTTTCCACGCCGCCGATTCCGGTCGCATACATCAAGCCCAACATGTTCTGTGCCGTGCTATTGCCATCCAAGTCCGCCAGCTTCTTGTACCAATGCATCGCCTGATGGAAATTTCGTGGATGCGAAAAGTTGCCGTAGAAATTCATCTCCGCAAGAAGATAGATGGCATCGGGATCGTCAAATTGGGCTGCGGTTTTGAGGGCATCGACACCTTTTTTCAGATCTCCTGTGATCTTTTCGCCATTATCCCCATCATCAATCTCATTTCGTGTCGGAGTATTCATGAACAAGGCACGAAAGACGATTCGTGTGTAGTGCCATAGCATTTGAAGGACGCCCGAAGGCTGCGCCGGGGTCACGCTGTCCTTCCATTTCGGTTCAAAGTCCTTCAAGATGGACCATACTTCGTGCACAATATCATTGCCACCCTGAGCCCAGTAATTTTGTCTTTGCTGCTCATCCGGAACGAAATCGGCCGGGGAATCCTCAAAATCGGGAAGCTGACTTCGGGTTTCAACGGCGGAGGACTGCCGAGTTGATCCAAGTACGACAAAACCAAAGAGGAGCGCTGTAAACTATTGTCAGAACATATGCCATCTCCATTAAAAAAAAAAAAAAGGAAAAGAAATCCCTCGCAAGCTTACTGAGAAGAATGGCCGAGACATGATTGAATCGAGAAGCCATGATGGCAGGCCGCAGGCAACGCAGGTCACCGATATGGCATTGTTATTTCACATCAGCAAGGGAGGCAGGCTCCATCCACAGCCACCAAATATGATTCCTCAACTGTAGAGTTCTCACTCAGGCTCCAGGGTTACCAAGAGTGGTGCGAACAAAGAAGCCAGTCTGTCGCGTTTTGGATCGGGAAAATGGATTACCACTAAGCTTCCTGGTCGTAAGGCTGACGAATCATCGTCATCACAAATCTGCCTCGGACTGATGAAGTGGATTTGTATAGCAAATCATGTTGCAGTTTTGGATGCGTTATGATAATCACGCCGATTACTCTGTCTAAAGTATTCACTGGCCCCAATGTCTACGGTCTCCATAATATTTCCCACACGTCGCCAGTTCAATAATAACTTCTCGTCTTCTTGGTGGTAAGCAGTCTCCTGGTACCGACACCAGGAGCTGGCTTTGCCGTGTTGGGGTATGTTTTCCCCGTCCCATTGACCCGAGGCTCGGTTTTGAACCTGCCATAAGAGAATCCTCTGTCGCGCTTCGGAGGACTGGCTGCATCGCTGGACGTCGTCAAGTCAATGACTTGAGTCCCGGGAGGAATTTGTGCCATTCGTGGCTCGCTTTGACTCTGGGATAATTTGATCGCAGGTTGACTTGATGGTGGAAGTGGAGGGCTGATTGAGGGGCTTCGACTCTCAACCTTCCTCGAGTGACGAAGTGATCGGCGAGTGGGAGGAGGCGAGACCTTGATTGTAGGCGATCGAGTCGCTTTGCGCGGTTTTCGGCTTGAAATAAATTCCCCCAGAGACGGAAAATCGCTCTCATCACCACTGAGGCCATCACCATGGTGCAAAGAGTCGCGACCATCGGAGCCACGTCCGCCTAAAAAAGAATTCTTTCGATCTGAAGATTCATCGTTTTCAGCCTCCTGTGGCTGCGATGGCGATGCCTCAGACTCCGGGGGAGCCGGCGAGTTCTGTCGCTGACCAGGCTCATCATTCTCTTCGTGATTGTTGATGTCACCAGAGTTGCTCTCCTCCTCCCTCGCAGGGTTCTCGTGTTCTGAAATAGTGAAAGACAAATCGTCTACGGCCGGGGCAGGAGAAACCTTCTGGGCATCCTGGTAAGAACTGTCGTTGGTGGTCTGGATAGCTCCCGAGGAATTGATCTCCATTTGGGAGATATGAGGGTATTCGACAGTCTCCTGGGGGTGAACTATGGGTGATGATACCGGAGACCAATCAGAATCAAAAGTGATATTAGCATCGACTGCCCCTTTGTCCAAAGGTTGATTGCCTTCCCGAGGGGACCTCCTCCGGAACCGGTGAGGATACTCTTCTTGAGACTGGGATGGTGGCTCCCAAGGACTGTCAGATGGATCCGAGGGGTTTGGTATCGTTTTCAGCAAATGTTCGTCCAAGGCCGATTCAAAACCAGCTTCTTTCATCATATCCGTAATCTCCTTCCTCCGTGGAGTAGTTATTTCATCCACTGAGATCTGTAGCTTTTCTGGTGCTTGTGGTTTCAATTTTTGTTCGGCCGACTCTGGGATGACAGCATCTCCATCGTCAACGGATCGAGCAGGAGCATCGCTGCTCCCAAGTCCATTAACACGATTGCTGTCTGGGACCTCCACGGATGAGGCTTCCACAAGTCTCGGCAGTATCATGTTCGAGAATGTAATTTCGCGAGCGCCATCGTCTAATACATCATCCCCATCTTCCTGCTCGAGGTCGAACTTGCCGTAGACTCTCTTTCCCGTTTCTTTATCAAATTTTGCGCTCGAGGCCGATTTCACGCAACCTTTGGCCAATTGCAGATGAATCGTGCCATCAGCATCCATATGCGACACTCGTCCAACCCGGTACGACGATATTTCTGGTTGATAATCTGTCGTGGCGTCGACATGCAACTCTTTGTAGGCTATAATAGTCCCTGGTAGGACCTTGGCCCGGTCAAGCTCTGGAAGGATTTCGAAACTAGTGGGAATGACGATGCCGTCTGATTCTTCGTCTCCAGCGGGGGGAGTAGTCTTGGTCCCATTTGTACGAACTGCATCTTGTCCATTCGCGGCGACGAGTGATGAAATATCTGGGGCGAAGGCGGTTTGATCATCCTCCTGATCTAGATCGTTTTTGTCCTGGTAGGATTGGTGGCGATCCCGCTCGGCTCGCTTGTTTCTGTTGAAACCAGCATTCGAAGGCTTAGACCAACCTTGTCGGAATGGGAATGGGGGCGGAGTCAGAACACCTTCTTGCTGTTCACATTCGACGGCCGAAATAACCAATTTGTTCTTCCAGGATTCGTCGTCTTCGGCGGGAGTCTGGCTTGGTCGGAAATTCAGACCAGTCCCGTTGGATGGACTTCTATTATTTTTCACGGGTCGGGCAGACTTGGCCAATTTCTCCTTCAAAGCCTGCTCGTCCTCCGGCGTCTTGGGGGTGCGTAACCCAAGGGAAGAAAACAGCATTCTTCGAGAGCTGGCCAGATCAAGCCTGGCTCTCTTGGGAGTAGGTTCCGTAGCTGTTTGTGAATCTAGCTGAGTGGAAGACTCTGGGACGGGATCTTGAACTTGTTCCCCAGATTCACCAGGGCTGGCTTCGGCATCCGTATGACTGGGCCCGTTCGCTATCTTGTCAGCCATCCCTTCTGTGTCTTCACTCTTGGCTTCAGGAACTTGGTCCCCATTTCCGTCCTGCATTTGTTCTACAATACCATTAGCGCTCGCATTTGCTGATTGCGACTTTTGTTCATACGCCGCCAATGCCTGGAAATCTGCATCTTCAGATAGGAGGCCTTGCTTCTTAAGAAAGTTCAACTTCTTTCGCTTTTTTGCTCGATTGTTTTTGTTGTGAGTTCTTCTCGAGCCAGAGAAAGGCACGCCAGTCGATGCGCGGTTTGAGTCTGATAAGCCCGTCTCGGGCGGTTGGAGGTTGGAGGACGAGTCGGCCGTGGCTCCTGCAGGCTTTTTCAAGTTTCCATTTTGTTCCTTCTCCACTTCCGATCCGGATTCAGAAGAAGAAGATGATGATGATGACGATGACGAAGTATCAGAATCTGGTTCACGATCATGAAGGGCGTCGGAATCGGAGTCAGTGGCAGAGCTGGAAGTTGAGTCATCTTCAGCAGACTCTGAATCGTTAGATGAATCGTTCAAGGCGTCTTTGATAAGATTTAGGGCTCTCTTCTGTGCTTGTTTGATAGTGAGCTCTGCCATTATGCTCTCAGCATCAGAATCAGACGACGAACTTTCAGAGCTTGACGTAGCATCTGAACCGGATTCGTCATCATCGTCATCGTCCTCGACAATGTTCTGGGTTGCCACCTCCTCCAGCACACCATCTGTATCAGCATCAGAGTCCTCGTCTCCAACAGCTGCATTAGTCGAGGCTTGGACCGGAGTGGAAAATCCCTCGAAGGTGTCATCGTCGTAGTTTTCTTTGTCGTCCTGTAAATCACGCTTTCTTTTAAGCTTGTTTTCAAGAATCCTCCGGGACTCAATCCCACTCCCTGCTCTTGCGATGTCTGCAGCATCTTCGAGTAAAAACTTGAGTTCAGTGGACAATTCCTCTCCTCTGGCATGCATCTCTTGAGCAGAGAGCCCTGAATGATCCTCTGCATCTGCATCTGCATCATCGAATTCCCCTCTAATAGAAACTTGCGGGGCCGAATCATCGGCTTCAGTTTCATCCACATAGTCCTCGTCGTCCTCATCCTCGTCTCCCGTGTAGGGCACCAGAGCTCCGGTATGGTTGTTCTCGAGGGACAGAAATTGTCTAGTCTCTTCTTCATTCTCCGCGAAAGGCTCTTCCATGAGAACTTTCCTTCTCTTCCTTGGTGGAATCACAATGCCTGGCCGATTGGTCTTTTTGAGCCACTGCCTGCCGAATGCAACTCCGTCAATGAGGTGTCTGCCATCTCCTGAGATTTGATGTCTTCCTCCTAGTCTTCGGGCTCTCAAGTCCTCGGAGGTCAGAGCCCTTATGATGACTTCGTCATCTTCACGCAGCACCGCTTCACAGGTCTGGAAATGTAGGCACTCATACGTGGAGGTTTGGTCGGCGGTCGCGGCGACTTCCACGACATAGTCTTCGAGGCCCCATTCTCCGTCCGCCGACTCCAGTGGCACAAGGTCATTGACATCATTCAAGAGGTCGGCGATGGTGCAGTCTCGGGATTTCGTATGTGACGCGGGGCCGGTACCTGTTGTAAATAGGATTTGGACCGGAGGAAACGTGTGGCGCTGAATCAGAAGTTGCAAACGCATCTTTGTGACTGTAATGGCCCTCACTCGCTTGAAGATGTATAGAGGTAAAGCCTAGGTCTCGAACCAAAGTGACGAGTATTTCGTGTGACTATTTCTTGGTAATTTTGGAGCTGTCTCGCGAATCATATCCAGCTTAAGCTTTCCCGACATGTACAAGCGTCAAAATCAAATCAAGTTGGCACATGCGAAAACATTCGACTGGGTCTTCAGGACTCAGGGGACAACTCCATGGGACGACTTTGTCGAATGGACTCATCAAGGAACTTCCCCTTACTGGGTGCTTGGGAAACCGGACTGCGGGAAAAGTACATTCATGAAATTTCCCGCAAGTCATCCGAAAACCACATCCCACATGAAGGCCCGCTACGGTGGCCCAGGTGATCCTCGTATCCTTTCCTTCTATTTTTACCTACATCCTCCTGAGGTCGGAAACTGGCATAGACGGCGGTAGCGATCCATCTGTTTTCGAGCTCATGGTCGCAACGGACAAGGAAGTCCGTCACATCTACCTTGAAAAAGGGCTAGACGATCAGGAACAGATGGTGCATGTGCAATATGGACCACTGGGATTCCGAGTCGATGACTCAGCAGATGCGACCGACCTTCTCGATGCTGGCCGTGCACTGGCACCGTGGCTGTACACCGAGAACATGACTCCGTTCCCCGGCAACATCTACGCGGCCCACGTCGAGCTGGGGACGAAAGTGAAAGAAATCCAAGATCGGAGCATACAGCAAGACGCATTTAAGTTCTTGCTAGATCGAGGTTGGATAAAATACCTGGATGACGACGAGGTGCTTCATCAGGCACCGCTGATGCAGTACGCAAACGCACCAACAACTCCAGACCTATTTCGGGAACCAGAAGAGAACCCCATCACATCTGCCATGGCCGCCTTGACAACTGAAACCCGTCATCTCGGGGGACATTGAACAATTGGACTCGCGGCGTCAGTCTACCGCGGATACGCAATTCTTTGATGCAGCTGAGACGTGGGTTTGACATCCAGCCCGCCACTGACTTTCTGAAAGGACCATGCACTCTATCATGGACGACGGAGGGGTGTCAAACGAGAAAGCATCTCGCCGAGTCCCCTGCCAGCGGTTGAAGAGGTATGGACCATCGACTCGCGAGTCTGGAGCAACGGCGACAAAGTATTAGGACATGACGGGGCAGATCTCGTTGGCCAAGGGACTAGTATCCTAAGGGAGATAGGAATCCTGGGTTGCCTCTGAGTGGCCTCTGGGTAGCCTCTTAAGACAGTCCAGAGTACCCTTCGCCAGAAAGGGTGTTAGCAACCAGGGAAGATTTTCGTTCCATGTATCCTCCCCGGGGCTTTGGATCGCTCCTCGTATATCTTTCTAGCATCGCTCCTTGGAACGCGTATCAGAAGGTGTGCCGCACTCCTCTTGGATGCCCGTATACTTTAGGTGGCCAGCTGGGTCAAGACGAAAATCCATCCAACTGTCCCAGTGGATATGTGCGGTGTCATCCGTGAACGACGGCTCAGGACAGCTCATAGCTCGAGAGGGCCAGAAGGGGGTTTACATTTTATTGGGAAGGAGGAAACGGAAGTCGAGGGTCGGTCGAACGAAGAGGGAACCGGTTAGCTAGCCGCTTACTTTAAGGGATCCTTATGTCGGCGTTGCAGGCGGCGAAGCGGTCCAGGGTAAAAGGTAAGTGTGAGGGTGAGCGAGGTGAGTGCGAGGTAAGTGGTTAAACGCGGCACGTTCTGGGTGAGGGCAGACGCGAACTAAAAATGCGTCGCGCCGCGGTTTGATTGATTTCTGACGAGGCTGGCTTTGCTGCCACGCTCCAAGCCAACTTTCTAAAGAACTGATCTAGACTCTAAATCCGTCAATCCAGAAAGACGTGACGACATGGCCTGAGACGTTTTACATTCATCGTTTCACATCGAAGATACCATTTGGATAAAAGATGGGATAGCCGGATCAGACAAGAACGTATCTTTCGTTGTCAAAAGAAGATAATTTATTCTAGCTCTTAATTATAAGCCTTGATCCCATGAGACTTGCAGGCCTCTGCCAGTTCTTTGCTGACTATATTCATTCCCACCCGCGTTTATCCCAAATCTTCGAACCATTCATCAGTGCTCGCCAAGTCGACGGACAGCTCACCTCTATCTCTAGGACTTTTCTCTGCGGTCCGTGGCCGTATAGGAGAATAACGTTGGACCTCCGCCGGCGGAAACGTGTGCTCTCATGTGCTCATTTCGGCCAACTTCTTCTCCACGGCGGCAATCTTAGCAGTCACCCCATTCGGTTCTGTTCCATTAGTCTTTGACCCACTGGTCTTTACCCCATTGGCCTCATCGAGGAATTTCATGGCCTCCTTTCTCACGTCGTATGCGAAGAAGAATTCGCAAATGGGCGGGCTGTGAGGCATTGCGCCCGTGGGGGGCAAAGGACCGGAATAATATTTGCGAATCTCAGCCTCTTGTTTGGCATAGTTGGCTGCCGCTTGTGGGCCAGGAACCACCGGATCTGTCAAAATTTGCGTCGCCGATACCCTGGGTAAGCGGAACTTTTCAAATTGCTCCAAGCGCTGCAGCAATTTCTCAGAGGGTGCAGACGTAACTCCCTCAGAAGGAGGAACGTCGGCAAGGAAAATTTCCAGGGCAGCCGCGTCTTCGATCGAGGAAGAGACGCCCTGCGCGTGAGTCAGAAGCATGGGATGGCAGGCATCCCCAATGATGACAGCCTTGCCCTTGGTCATCTTGTTCAAGGGATCGCGCTTCATTTGCGTGTAGACCTTGACTTCGGGTGATTTCAAGAAGACCTTCTTCACACTTGGATGGAAACCGTCCAGAACCTTTTCCAGATCTTCGTGGGTCGCGGGGAAATTCCAGTCGTCGATAATCACGTCCTCTTCACTGGTCGCATGCTGGCCCAGTTTACGGTGAACGGCCAGCACGTTGAGGATGGTATTGTCTCTGCAGGGGTACGTCACGGCCATGACGCCCTTGGGCGGCAATGCAGGGGCCCAGAAGCCGGGTGGCTCATCCTCGAACAGGAATTTGGTTTCCTCATCGGCCAGGATATCCTTCATGGGGATGAGGCAACGATACGCTGTCTGGCCGCTCCTCTTCATGGGGACCTCCTTTCCCGTAATTTTGGCATTTAAACGATCCTGTGAAGAGTCAGACCGAAGTATGAACCAAACGGCTCGTTTATGCGAACATGTTGGCCATCAGCAATGATGACGAGATCTTTTTGCACTTGTGTGCCATCTTTCAAGTCAATGATTCCAGTTTCCGGGTCAACGTCCATAACTTGATTTCCCAGGCGGATGACAGCCCCATCGGCGCCAGCTTTCTCTCGGAGATGTCGATGCATGTCAACTCGATGATAAAAATACCATTTATGGCCGAATTGCTTTTCAACATGCGTGAAGTTCAAGGTCGGAGCCATCGGTTCGAGAGTGTCACCCTTTGGTCGACGGACCTTGTAGGATGTCAGCCGACGTTTACCGCCAGGGATAGTTTCTTGGGATGTGGTTTGGTAGATTGTCGCCATGAAAATATTGTGACTTGACGCTCACAACCGTCACTCACCTGAATATTTTCAATGCCGCCAGCCTTGACAGGGTCGAATCCCCAGTACTCGAGAATTCGACCGCCATTCGGCGTAATAGAAACGGCAGCGCCATTTTCGTTCTTGAATTGAGAACGCTCAAAGACCTACGACGCCGAGAACGTAAGCAAGCGTGTCCGTCATTTGTCTGCCTTGTTAGAAGTCGTTTATTTCCCCAATGGCCTCAAGGAAGAAACCCACTGACCTCCACGTCGAGACCAATCTTCCTCAGGGCGATAGCAGCACTGAGTCCAGCCACACCGGCGCCAACAATGCCAGCCTGGAGTACATTTCCACGGGTCGCTGTCTCGGAAGCCATAGCGGGCATGAGAAGAAGAGAGGTGCACAGAATTGGATTCCTTTGGTTCGTGAGCGTTAACAAGGGGCCCAGACCGGAGAAGAAAGTCAGGATGGCAGGGCAACCCGATTACACAGAGCAATAAGGAGGCCGAGATATCTGGTTTCTCTTTTAGCGGCTTGGACACTTGGCCATCAGCAATCGCAAGGTAGGTGCCGGATGGGTAGGTGAAGAAACTCTGGCCTTTGACAGGCCCGGTTCAGACGAAGTTACCTCGAGATCCATCGGCGTCAGCTGAGAAGGCTCTGGCCTCCCTCAGATAAGGCGTGGGTGCCTTGCTATCGTAGCAAGGTGACCATGGCGGAGAACTGGTCATTTGGTGGCTTGCAGCAGATGCGCTAGCCAGTCAACGCCTTGGGGAACCAAGGAACTAAGCCCAGGGCACAGAAACCCTAAGGATCCGAATCCTTCTATTCGGCTCGAATCTATTCTTGGGTCCTTCGAATGAGTGTTTCGATCCATGACAAACAACATGTCGATATAATCAGAGCAGCAATGCTCACAGGCACTCTAACCGAAGTCTAGACTTGCGAAATCTGCGCGCTAGAAAGTTCCCATTGCAGTTTAGGGAATTTGTTGCAAGACTTTTTGTCGGGGGCCGTGACCTGGTGGCGTAAGCTGGCCGAGGAAGAGATAACTTTTAGCCTGCGGACAAGACAATCTCCACGTGGACGGTGTCTCGTTCTGTCTCCACTGAAATGGCATGGTTCGGCGGTTCTCGCGCACTGCCGACTTCGAGTGGCACACTAAGGGTCGGTGGTAATTTGTCACAGCATTCACAACGCAATGACTGCTTGTAGACGCAGCAGCTAGCCTCTTCTGTGCCGTCACAATCAGGTCCAAGGCTCATTGGGATTCGCAGTCTGAATTTAAGTCCTCGAGATCAAAATGTGAAATTGATATTGGCTTAGTTGGGATTTGAGCCGCGGGCTCCGTCTTATGGGGAGTCGTCAATGCAGGGTTTGGACTACCGAGCCAAATTTTGAGAATCGCCGCTAGTCTCTCGCCTGTTAAGTTCTCTCGTTTTGTTGGAAAAGACCCAGTGGACTTCATATCATGGCTGTCTTTTGATGGAAGTGTCCCGGGTAGGCCCCTGAAAAATCATGGTGGTTCAGCTTCGTTCCTCTCTGAGAATAGCAAATCCTGGATGAAGATAAATGTTGAAAACAGATAAACAATATCCTCCTTTTTCGATCATCAACAAGGGTCCTCTACTTTGAACCGCCATTATATATCACGTGCCATCAGTGCCATTTATGCCCTTGCAAGCCGAGCCTTTAGTTTCGACAATCGCTGAATAGAATCCTTCCCCCCTCTTGAGAGCACGACTACTCCAACAACTTCTCCTAATATACCCGAGATGATGCCAAATGCTGTTGCCGTCGGCTCTCAAGGAACCTTGAGGCCTTTCCTCCAACTCCCCCGCATTTGCGAGATGTGGGGGTGTTGATGTCGTCGGTTTGTACTACATTCCAAAGCTGCGACCGCTAATGATATAAGGTGGCGTCACGATTTCTGAGGATGTTGTCAACCATTTGATTCCGGTCATTACGTCGATTGACGCAAATTTGAACCACAAGGATATCTGAACGCAAGAGGGCAAAAATGGCTCCGAAATCCTTAACCGATTTGAAGCGCAAAGACCTGTTCCAGACAAAGGGCTACATCAATGAGGAATGGGTGGACGCAGCATCAGGCAAGACCTTCGATGTCCATGACCCTGCAACCCTCGACAAGATCGCCACACTTCCCGAGATGGGTGCTGCGGACACCGACAAAGCCATTAACGCCGCACATGCAGCCTTTCAAAGTTATAAGAAGACAAGTGCTCGTCAGCGGGCCCGGTGGTTGCGAAAATGGAATGACCTCTGTCTTGAACATGCCGACGACCTCGCATTGATTTTGACATTGGAAAATGGCAAAACATTGGTGGAAGCGAAGGGCGAGGTCATCTACGCCGCCTCTTTCCTCGAGTGGTTTGCTGGGGAAGCCGAAAGAATTCATGGCGAAGTCGTCCCTACCGCGAATCTCAATCAGCGGGTCTTGACTTTCAAACAGCCCGTTGGTGTCGCCGCATGCCTGAGTCCCTGGAACTTCCCCATCGCCATGATCACCCGAAAAGTTGGAGCTGCTCTGGCGGCGGGCTGTACCACGGTATGGAAACCAGCCGGAGAAACTCCCTTGAGTTCTCTTGCTCAAGCGGTGCTGGCACGAGAAGCAGGATTTCCCAAAGGTTCGATCAATGTCATCACCACGCTCAACCTTGTTGCCGAAGTGGGCGAGGCTTTGTGCCAGAACAGGCTCGTCCGCAAGTTGAGCTTTACCGGGAGTACGCGGGTGGGAAAACTCCTCGCCAGTCAATGCAGCAACAGCCTGAAGAAATTGTCCCTGGAATTGGGCGGCAACAGTCCATTCATTGTCTTTGACGATGCGAAGCTCGAGACGGCAGTCGAGGCCTGCATTCTGGCCAAGTTCCGAAACTCGGGCCAAACGTGTGTGACGGCAAATCGCATTTTCGTTCAGAAGGGCATTTATGATAAGTTCACCGAGGCGTTGACAAAGAGAATAAAATCGTTGAAAGTGGGTCCCGGTACCGAAGACGGGGTGTTTGTGGGGCCATTGACACACGAACGAGCTGTTGAGAAGGCAATGAGCCATATCGACGGTAAGCGCCACTGACGTATAAATCCAGATGGTGGACTGAGGCTGACGGCCACAATAGACGCTAAGAAACATGGAGGTCAAGTTGTTCTCGGAGGAGCCCCGCTGACAGATTTCAAGGGCTACTTCATTCAGCCCACCATCATTAAGAACATGAACCGAGAAATGATCACGACACGGGAAGAGACGTTCGCTCCCGTTGTCGGTCTATACGAGTTCGACACAGAGGAAGAAGTCCTCGAAATGGCCAATGATTGTGACGTCGGTCTGGGCAGCTTCATCATCACGGAGAACATTCCGAGAGCGTGGCGCGTCACCGAAGCTTTGGAAGTGGGAATGGTTGGCGTCAACCTCGGCCTGCTCAGCGCCTGCGAGAGTCCTTTCGGTGGTGTCAAAGAAAGTGGCTACGGCAGAGAAGGTGGTCGTCAGGGTATTGAGGAGTATTTGAGTGTGAAGTCGATGTTGATCAACGTGGCAAACTGAGGCCCCTCTGTTGGAGGACCAATTTCCACATGAGCATTTGACAGAGTCTTGTTCAACAAACTTCACCCCTTTTTCTCGGGCTTGGTCGATTTCTGCTGACTCCCGGTCTTCAACTCGTCGTAGAACAGCATTGCGTATCTCGTCAACAGCAACACACTGATGGCACGGTTTCTCGATTCCGGGGCATCACGTCCGTTGATCGCCAGCCAGTACACATCGAATCCGATCCCAGCTATCAACTGTAACCAGCCGGTCACGGGCAAAATCGGTCTAAAGAACGACACTCCGCCAAAGTAAGCGTACATCCAGAAATGGTGGAAGCAGTTGAGAAAAGCGAACAACTGCCAATCGGAGGCATTCAGAACTCGGAAATAAGTCAGAAATGGAGTGGTGAGATGGTGAAATGCCATGTGCGGTCCGACGGTAATGCCGCTGGCAACCAGGTTGAAGACATCGATGTACTCGTAGAACTTGGAGAGGTGATAGATGTAGGCCAGATCCGAGCTCTTCACACCTCCATACTCTTGGAAATGCAAGACATCGTTGAGGATCAAGTAGGCGACCGCGAGAGAGTACAGGGAGTATATCTGGCTGTTCAAACGAGTCAATGGCCGGGCAATTCTGAACGCCCCGTGGCGCGAGACATAGCCGGTTAACGTGCTCCAGAGGAATACAAATGGACCCGTAGTCAAAATTACACTTTGAAGCGAGGTAAATGGTCTTCCTTCGCGACTCATGTTTGACGGAGCCGAGAGACTATGGACGGGAAGTCGCTGAGGTGAGTTCGAGTGGTTGCCTGATGGGAGATGTGCCAACCCTGAATAAGTTGGGCAATTTTAAAAGAGAAGTAAACGACTGGAGATTCAGATATCTCATACCTACAACAGGGCAAAGAGATCTGGAGACGTCGCCAGATGAGACGATAAGTCAATAAGATGTACGAAGAAATTGTAGGAAACGAGGCTGCAAGCGTGAAACCTGAATTGCCCTCGTGTATCCGAATACGCCATACTTCCCCAGCTCCACACGCCGTGGGCTTTGACATTCTCGGAGCCAATCACATCGCGCTGCTAGGACGAGGTCTATACATTTGTTTGCTAAAGGGTCTGCTTTAGGAGCATTCATTTGATCAACATTTGAGAGTTGTCAGGAATCTGACACGTAATCAAGATAATGGATTGCATGGATATTGATAGCAGGTATCGTTTCCGTACCGCACGCAGAATTGTATACCTTCGGATACCGCAGAACTCACGATATCGGTTCTTCCTGTGCTCAGACGAAGCGTGAGAATAGAAACTGACTTCAAAGTATAAAACAGAATTTCTCCCTGCTAAAGATGGGAATTACTCTCGTCGTTGTATCCTGTTCCGAAACTGATGTCTCATCTCCCCAAAAAGCGTCCTTTCCATTTCTACAACGGCTACCTCAAGAGAGCAATTAGATCAAGGAGTACGGCTGGACAGCCCCTCCGGCGATCCCAAAGAAAGGGGCGAGATGAAGAAATTTAACAAGCCTCCGGTGTCACAGCTCTGCTGCGATGCCCCCCTTCCTGATCAATAATGAAACTCCCTGAACATACCTCCAACCAGAGCTTGCGGGTTTTCTATTATGGTGAGAAACGAGGCACTGTTGCAGCAGCAACACATATTGATTCCCGATGGACAGGAATGGCAATTTCCTCCAAGCAATTCCCGGAGCGACGATTCTCTCCCGAGACGTGGTTGCTGACCTGTCGCTTCCACGACATCGGTACCATGGACAAGCACGACACGTTCATGTCGTTCGAGTTCTACGGTGGCATTCTGGCTCTGGATGACATCACACACGACGACGGTTCAGGAAGATTGAAATTGGTGTGCATGCAGATACCATGGATATCGATCCGACCATGTTCACCCGGATACCATCAAAGACGTGGTGAAGTCCAACTGCTTCTCGACCAAGATTGCGAGGAAAAATTCCACCATGACGTTGTACACGACGCCTTGATGGAACCATACGATCGGTTGATTGATATCGGCGTGACCCGGCTCTAGTTTGTACGCATCTTGGGCCGGGGAGAGTAAATGTCCAGAATAAATGAGTCCAGGTGTCCGTTGGTATATATATCTCTGCGACTGAGAGGCCAAAATCAGCCATTGAGCTCCACTCTTCGTTTTAATATGCTTCTTGCATCACTTTCACTGAGGTGGTACAGTCCCATTTCCCCCAAAGCCCTTCGTGCTGCTTCATTGCTCTCAAAAATAAGTTTTTCGGCATTCCAGAGGCCCAACTCCTTGTCATCGCTCTTGTTCTCAAGCGAAACCCGGGTGACATATTTTGTGGGTCCTCGGTCTTCTTCATCCTCAAAGCCCCATCCGTCCTCTTCACCGCTGCTAACAGGACCTCGTGATTCTCCGGCATCGAGGGACAGGAGAAAGATTGCTTCTTCAAGCCGTCTCATGCTTCCAGCAACGGACCCTCGCAATTTGCTCGTCTTCTCAATGCTCTCTTCAATTGCAAGTAAATCTCTCTTTAATTGAGATGCTCCAGCGGCCGAGAATGTATGACACATTAGAATATTGTCGTATATTTCCCGTTGCACTGACGAGCAGAAATGTTTGGTGATTCGACGCAATGAGCCGGGTGCGAATACACGGGCCAGGTAGCCCAGAAGGACGGATGTGGTCTCCAAAAAGCCATCAAGACTTGGGGACGGTGTCATTAACTCCACATCAGACGGCGTGCCAGCGAGTGTAGACCATTGTGCGTATTTTGCGTACGGTCTGAGTGCACCTCGTAGGTTCACATCAAACGCCCGAAGTATTTCTTCCGTGCTCCGCTCACGAAGTCGCCGATATGCGAGAGCGGTTTGGTCAAAGAGTCCGCTTCCATCCGTATCCGCATCAGCATCCGAGCCATTCGATTTGATAGTTGCTGACGTTCTTTCCGCGACATCGTCCACTTTCAAGTCGTTGCCAATAGAGGCACCGACGCCACTGTTCGCTTTCGCGCGATGTTGAAGTTCATCCCAGAGTTCCAGGAAGAAAACGTCATCACTCCAGTCAGACATTTTCCGCTCGAGGAACTCGGCACTTCCGCATATCTTTGCTAGTGATTCCAGGCCCTTGAGACCGAACGCATCGGCTTCAGACTGACCCTGAAGCAGCCGACCTGCCGTGCGTGAGGCAACGAGATATGCTTGAAGTGCACCGTGGAGGTAATTGTGGTAATCATCAAAGATAGATAGCTGAATTTCTAGGAGAAACTTCATCTTTTGGCTGAAAGACGATAACCCGCGGTATCGGTCTGTAATCGTCTCAAGCAGATCATTGACTCGGATGGCGCCCTTCGTAGGCTTCGTCTGCACGGCATCGGCATCAAAGTCGACATCCCCACTATCAGGGGCATCTCTGATGCTCTTATATCGAGACAGAGCGAAGTCCTTCTCCACCGTCAACCATGGAGTGAAGTAGCCATGCGTTGTCAAAATCTTCCACGTCACTCCTTTCCATTCTGACAGCATCCTAGGGATAGGGACATATCCCCAGGAGTCGCGAATGGCTGTGTCAAATGTCATGATTTCATGCATGAAATGAGACAGGAGTTGCGGTTGCTTTGATATCTGAGGCAAGAAGGATAGACATTTGGCAAAGACCATTGGCAGCAATCCCGTAATAAAAGTTGACACCGCATCCGGATAGATGGTTTCCAGCACCTCGGAGTGGAGGGCCCTCTCATCTAGGATCGGACCGAGCATTTCAGTCATGAAAACGCTATGCCTCTCAAGAAGGTCCAAAATATGGGTGAGGAAGTATTCGGGCTTGTCCAATCTGTTCGTAGGCTTTTCTCCATAGAAATGGTAGCGAAATCTTGCCGCGAGAGGCTGCACCATAACCTCGATTGGGAGAAGAACCACCGGTTCAATTGAGGATGCATTAAGAGTGTCGACGTCCCCAAATGCGGCAATCAAATCTGAGTCCTGAAGTTCGAGAAGGAGTTTGACCTTTTGCTCCCATCCCTCGCGGACGGATCCCCGCATGTTCAGCTCCTTTCCTGGCCATTTCATCTTGTCCAAAGTTTCCCTCAACTCGCTCTCAAGCTTCTCCTTGACTTCTGTATAAATTTGCTTGGACCGTCGTTCAAACACGTAGATTAATTGTGGTGCTGCTCCCTCCGTTGCAGGTTGTTCGTCCTGCATTCTTTTCAGGATAGCTCGCAACCGAGTATATGATCGGACTGAGACGTCCGGGTGGGACGATAGGTTTTCTCTGGACTTGCTGGTCAAGGAGTCCATTTGCTGAACCAATTCAAGATATCCATATGCAATCTCAAGATTGCGTACTTTGTTCATTCGTGCCTCGATCTTTTTCGCTGCATCATCGCTAACCTCGGACTGTACAAGCCGTCTGAGTCGTTGGTCGAGATCAGCTTGTTGGGTTTGAAAAGCTTCGACTCGTGTTCTGAGTTCGTTGGATCGCACTTCAACTCGACTTAGTGCCTCACGATGGCTTCTTCGAGCATCATCTAGCTACTCGATGTCAGATTAGTCGGAGACGGTTACAAGAGAGGGAGATGTACCTGTTTCTTCAATAAATTCTGCTGTCCCTGTACACGTCGTAGCAGGCCATCGACCTGGTCAAGATCCGTCGTCGTTTGGATTTTATCGTTGAGGTAGTCCTCTACTCTTGTCTGGATATCGCCAGCTCTGCTCAATTCCAATTCCGCCATGTTACCGGTTGGATTGAGTTAGCTTTAAGTCTAGGAAGCACAAGAGATGCTTTCCTTGGGAAATACTTGAGGACATTGATTTGTGAGGTGGCCTTTCCATCTCCAAAAAAAAGGGCGTTCCCGCAGTTGGAGATGCGACCAGTTTCAACCGATGACGACTTTTCACTCGACTCACGTAATTGTCAACTTTAGGCAACGACATGGTTGTCAAGTAGCCGCATTTCGTCGCGCTGGCGACATTGCCGGTGCCAAATACACATGGAAAGCCCAGCTAAGCGACGAAAGAAGAACAACTCCAAGCCGGCGGTCGTTCCACACCGCAGTCTCGACTTTTTTTTCCGGAAACACAACGATCGACAAGAAGAAGCGAGTGAAGGCTCCGCAAAAGATGGAGATGCAGAGGAGCAACCCTCGGTGAAGGCCGAGGATGACCAGGCGTCCTCTGAGCAACAACTTACGGATGAAGAGTTGGCCAGGAAATTGCAGGAAGAATGGACAAGAGAAGACGAGCAACACTCCAGCGGTCATGACATTTCCAACGGCCACGCATCGCCGAAGAATGTCACGGACCGGGAGCACAAGGCGGAAGACGACGTGAGGGATTTCGTCGCTGCTGCTCTCGATCACCCTGCGCCTGAATCGCAGCCTACACCGAACGGGAACAAGAAGGGAGTACTCGGTTTGCAGTCTACGACCACCGAGGAAGACACCATCACCTTGACATTACCGTTCGATCAGAGTCCGTTGTCATTTGACCCTTTGCAATATGTGTCAGAGCTGAAAAGACATTGGACAGCAGACGGAGGCGGTGCTTCATACGCTCTCCTTACCAGATGCTTCGTCCTCGTCAACTCGACTCAAAGTCGGATCCAGATTGTCAACACTCTCGTCAACTGTTTGAGAGTCATCATTGAAGCTGACCCTGAGAGCCTTCTACCGGCCGTGTGGCTGGCTACGAACTCCATCTCGCCACCGTACATTTCCCTAGAGCTTGGCCTGGGCGGCTCTGCCATCTCGAAAGCATTGAAGAAGATATGCGGCCTCGATGGCGCCGGACTGAAAAGCCTTTACGACAAGCATGGCGACGCGGGAGACGTGGCATTCGAAGCGAAAAAACGACAAAGCTTCACGCTGCGAAAGCCAAAGCCTCTCACTATCAAGGGCGTCTATCAAACGCTCGTCAAAATCGCGAATAGTAAAGGCCAGGGAAGCGTCGAACAAAAACAGAGGTTGGTTGAACGCTTATTGCAAGATGCTCGAGGCCCAGAGGAAAGCCGATACGTTGTACGGACTCTTGTTCAGCATCTGCGAATTGGCGCCGTCAAGACGACTATGTTAATCGCCCTTGCGAGGGCTTTCCAACTCTCACGTCCCTCTGGGGCAGGTTTTGAGGTGAGAGCTCCTGCAGAGCTTGCGAAGCTCAAGAAAGAGGAACTGGCCGTTGTATGGTCGAAAGCAGAGGAGATGGTCAAGACCTGTTTCGCAAGACGTCCCAATTACAACGACCTTGTTCCGGGTCTCCTCGAGGTTGGGGTCTCGGAGGAACTCCTGTTGCGTTGTGATCTAGCTTTGCATATCCCTCTACGACCGATGTTGGGCAGTATTACGCGAGACTTGAGCGAGATGCTCACCAAACTACAAGGCCGCGATTTCAGCTGCGAGTTCAAATATGACGGCCAACGGGCGCAAGTCCATTGTGACGAACGTGGAAAGGTCTCCATCTTCTCTCGTCACCTCGAGGTGATGACCGACAAGTACCCTGACTTGGTCGCCCTGGTTCCTGAGATTCGTGGTGATGGAGTATCTAGCTTCATTCTGGAGGGAGAAGTTGTCGCAGTGGACAGGGATACGGGCGGACTCAAGACGTTCCAAACCCTCACCAATCGCGCCAAGAAAGACGTGGACATTGGCTCCATTCAGATTGACGTGTGCTTATTTGCGTTCGACCTCATGTACCTGAATGGCGAGCCGCTGCTTGATCGTCCATTTCGTGAGCGGCGAGGCCTGTTACGCAGCATGTTTGTCGAGAAAGAACATCACTTTACATGGGTTCAAAGCATCGATGCGACTTCGGCAGACTCGGAAACCGTTCTCGAGTTCTTTAAATCTGCGACCGACTACAAATGCGAAGGCATCATGGTTAAAGTCCTGGATAATCTTCCCAATCCCGATCTCCAGGTTCCCGACAACGACCACCGTCCCCTTGACGAGGATGATGAAGCCACTAGCGCCTCGGTGACCCCTAGCAAGAAGGGGAAGAGATCAAGTAAGAAGGCACAAGCCGAGAAAGATCAAGAAAAGGAGAAGGGTACCCGCCGCAAAGCTCTGCTTTCAACCTATGAACCCGACAAGCGCCTGGACTCATGGCTCAAAGTGAAAAAGGACTATGCCACCTCGGCCGACACAATTGACCTAGTCCCAGTAGCTGGCTGGCACGGCCAAGGCCGAAAAGCGAAATGGTGGTCGCCGATACTCCTGGCATGTCGCAACCCCGAAACCGGTTCACTGGAAGTTGTCACAAAGTGCATATCAGGCTTCACCGACAAATTCTACCAAGCGAATAAAGAGAAATACGCCGAAGGGGGCAACAACGTTCTGGGTTCAAAGCCAAGTTATGTCGAGTACCGCGCGTACGAGCCGGACGTGTGGTTCGAGCCACAGGAGGTCTGGGAGATGGCATTCGCGGACATCACGCTTAGTCCGACGTACACAGCTGCCATAGGGCTTGTCAATGAAGATCGAGGCTTGAGCATGAGGTTCCCGAGGTTCCTTAAGGTCCGAGAAGACAAGAGCATTGAGGAAGCCAGCACGAATGAGTTTCTGGCAAGTTTGTATCGCAAGCAGGAAGCCAGGATCCAAGCGACTGGACAAGGCGCTGGTGATGGAGGAGGTGAGGATGAAGATTATCCTGAAGAGTAGCTGAGGATGAAGCTCTTACTTCCGTTCCTCTCTCCTGAATTCTGCTCTTGTTCGGTGTGCTCCATCGTATCATCCTCAAGTCTGTGAGCGTCCTGATTTCGGATCCAGGTGGGTCACATTGTCCAACGTTCTATGTTCGGAAATCGACCAAAAGTCGGATAAAAATTGAATAAACGGATAGAGGCTGTTGGCCTTCACTGCGTGCCTCAAAAGCTCGATCAGTCAACTCCTTATGAAGTCCTTGTGGGTTGTCATGATTTTGCCCCAGAGCAGTTTGTCGTGCGCTCATTAACTGTTATCAGTCTATTCTTTTTGCGTCTCAAGATAATGTTCGAGCTCTCCAGACGGTAAGGCCCATCGAGAGAGTGCAAATACCATGTGTATATCGACCATTGCTTTTGGATGTGCCTCTGTGAATGTGTGGAGGATAGTATCGAATGGATGATATGGACAAACTGCCGTAAACGATTGACCAGCAGGAATCCCCTGGACGCCCTCTACACACCTGCACAAGGCAGGGAATAAACCGAGGCCAAGTTCGAAGCATCCAGAGAATGGAGAGAGAAGGATAATCAGTAGACAACTGGAGGGAAAGGTGGTTATTTTTATCCGTCAGTCTCAAGCCAGATCAACTCGACGAGCAGATGAGGATAGATCAGATCCGAATAGTCAATGCGCGATCAGAGTGGCAGCTTAAGCATCCGCGTCCGACCAATGCGGCAAAGGCATTTTCAATGGGGAAAATACTCACATGAGTGTGGTGGTCCGGGTCGAGGTTGAATGAGAGAATCCACTAGTCACCTAGAAAGCGAAGTGATTAGAGGAAGACCAATCGAGAGACTAATTTGCGTGTGTTCGATTGTCAATCCGGCAACTCCACTCCAGGCAACCATGTCCAAGAAATAGAGGACAGCTTCACACGTCAAGTTAGATCGGGACATACCACAGACATTTGTTCATGGGTGAGTCCACGGAAGACCAATACGAGAGCACCATCGGCAGCCGTACTCAAGGAGGTGGAAATCGCGTCTGGGTCGAACAAAACTAATACCACCAATGCTCACATGTGCAACACTTATCTCACATGCTTGATCGGTGTCGGACCCTGAAATGTGCGGTATCATGCGGACGATATCGCGAGATCATGGCCTCTGTAGACAAAGTGGCCAAAAAGGAAAATCAGAGCAAGATCAAAATGCCAGTGATTGTCCAATGAGGATGTGTCAAGTGTGTAGCGTTGCGCATATGGCGGTCAGACAGCCAGCAAGACGCTGTTACAAAGAAAAGTGATGAGGCTGGGGAATGAGTTTGTGAGAGGGCTAATCCGACCATTTGAGATAGTAATCTTGTCATCATTTATAGATTAGCGCGGGCAGAAGGGTTGTCTTGAGAGAGCCTTTATCCTGTAGCGTTCGGGAGGACCGCGCTGCTCGAAAATCGGCGCATTCCCAGCAACGTCTATTGCAAAGCGTCGGCCGATTTTTGTCAGCGCCGAAGAGGCACTCTTCATTTATATGATAGTTGATCATTGACCGGCTTTCGTTTCAGCAAGCACATCAATCCACATTTTGTCGGCTTTTGGTCGTCGGACCCCACCTTTACCCGCCAGCAACGACTCGCCGTCCTTGCCAAACGCAATCAATTGCTCTTCACTGCCCCATTCACCCATCGCCTGTACAAAAGTCAGTCTTGGATCTGAAAAGAAGGAGTGGAACAATACCATGAGGCCGACTGGGACATTCTCCTCTGTGTAGCCCATTGGGCAGCTGATGGCTGGAGTGCCCACAAAGTTTGCCAAATAGACATACTCCATGGTCTTCAAGGTCATATCTCCATCACTCACACCATAACCGCTGGTTATATCGCTGGGCTTGCCGATCTTCCATCCAGCACAAGGTGTTGTGGGTGATATCACTAGAAGACCAGGGTATTCCTCCCATAGCCACGCAAGATGACACATTAGGAGATTCCGTAGTTTCTGAGAGAAGAGGAAATCCTGCGCGGTCGCATGGCCTCCAGCGACATTGAGCAGAAGCTGATTGTGCCATGACAGCTTAGAAATCTTAGCCTTCGTGACCTTGCTGCGCATTTCGGACAGAATAGTCAGCGCGTGGGCTTTTTGGGCCTCCGGAAGAAGAGGAATTTGGATGTCAACGACGTCATAACCCTGGGTTTTCACATAATGGTCGACGGCAGCGTTGAACATGTCAAGTACAACAGGGTCAGATCGGTTCATCCAGTCTCGGTCAATTCCCAGATACTTTTTGCCCTGAACCTTGGCCGATATCGAAGGCTCCTTGACCAAGGGATTGGGGAATTTGGAGCTCCGTCTGGAGAGAGAGTCGGGCTGAGCCATGATTCTGTATCCCAGGGCGAGATCATCAATACTGCTTGCCATAGGACCATTGACCACGACGCTGTCGGTCCATTCATGCCCGACCCGAGCAGAAACTCGGCCATGGGTGGTCTTGAGACCATAAATACCACAAAAAGCCGCCGGCAGTCGAATCGAACCGCCGCCATCCACTCCCAGAGCGATCGGACAGATGCCGGCGGCAACAACAAAGGCGGAACCCCCTGAGCTCCCACCAGTGTAATAGCCGTTGTTGTGAGGATTCAACGGAGTACCCCAAGTCACATTATTGTTGGAGGCGTCCAGACCGATCTCGTGCATGTTGGTCTTCCCGATTATCACGGCACCGGCCTCCTGCCATTTTTGTACGCACCAGGCTGTGCGGTCCTCTTCGTCTGTGAAATCGAGTTGACTCCCCAGGGTCCTTTTATATCCTGTGAGATCCACCTCATCTTTAACCGCCAGGGGGACTCCGTCCAGAACACTCAACGGCTTTCCCGCCTGATATCTTTCTGTGGACGCCTTTGCCGCCGCCCGTATAATGTGTACCTTGGAATCGATGAAAGCAACAGAGTATAGACCGGCAGGTTGAATGTCGCGGCGAATTAGAGGCAGGAGGTACTCAACGACGTCGGTTGGAGTAAGTTTGCCGGACTTGTATATTTCGTGGAAGTCTGCGCAAGTGTAGTAGTTGGTCGGGGAAGCTCGCGGAGGAGGAGGCCGTAGATCTGCCAGAGAAGCTGGAATCTCAGACTGCGCTGGTATGGGTACGACGGTGGGATCATGTCGAGGTTCATATTTGTCGAGCCCTTCGATTTCTTTGAGCTTGTCGAATCCGTTGAGTTTCCAGAAGACGCTCTGAATGTGGGTGGAAGACGCAATACTTGAAAGTCTCAGTCAAGGGTCAGACACATGGATGCACATCATCCCTACACGGTCGATACCGCCGCTAATGCCAATCCGCGAAGTACGGGATTGGAGCCAGCTTCATTTTTGTAAGGGATGGCGGGGCCTTGACGCGACTGTGGTTTATTCCAGGCATATGCATGATTGGACATGTCGATCGCTTCTGGCTAGATTCAATAATTGCATAACAAGACTGAAGCCGTGTTCTCTACGTAGGGGAGAAGAGTGATGGAGATATGAAACCCCCCCTGCAACGATCTTAGACCTGAACACCTTGGTCAGAGGCGGACGTCCCGAGAACACGAGGGTGAGATACAAGCAACCGTTTGGGCGGCCGCGATTGGATCATTTTTACCGAGGACGAGTCTCAGGTCCCTAATTTGAGCAGGGGAGAATTCAGGGTGCATGGCACCGAACCAAAAGATTGAATCCCAGATAGACAATATTCATTGAATAATATGTATTTGTAGATGAGATTGATCTTCATCAGAAGTCTGTCTGCATCCAAGGGATTGTCTGCTCGTCTTCTATTTTTTTTCCCGGCGAGACACGACTCGACTATCCCAGACTGGAATTAGCGGCATATTGCGGAGAAGCCACCCTGTAACTTTGGGAATTGGGAACTTTTATTTGACGCCTGGGCATGGTGGTACGAGTTACTTCGACGTCTCTCAGAGTGCGCTTGTCCTTCTCTCTTTATTTTTCTTTCCTGGCTTCAAGGGTTGCTTCGTTTGTGTGTTTCTTCCTTGGCGACTGGGCATTTTTCCTTTGACCCCAGCCTGACAGCCCAAGCGGCTTGCGACAATTCACCAACACCATGTCTTCGGAATACAACTACGATGACCAGGGGCAATTCTTCCCATTTTTCATGCTGACCATGGTCGGTCTGGTCACAATACCTTTGACCTATAATGTTCTCAAGCCCTCAACGGACCTCGAACAAACTGCAGCGAGAATACAGTCCGATTTTAAGCCCAAGAATGTTGATCTTATTGAAGCACAGAGAAGACGCGGGAAGAGGAAAAATCGCAAAACCAAACGCATCGTCACGGTGATAGTGGGCTATGCTTTCATGGCATACATGATCTATCTCATCGTCATCACTCAGGGAACGATGCCGAAAATCTGGGATCCATATGATATCCTGGGAATATCCAGAGTAGGTCCCGCCACAATGCAGATCGATCGAGAGACTAAATGTGCATAGAGTGCTTCGGAGTCGGAGATCAGCAAATTTTACAAAAGACTATCGATCAAATACCATCCCGATAAAGCGAAGCCGGATGCCTCCAAAAATGAAACAATGGATGATGTGAACAATCGGTGGGTTGAAATGACAAAAGCCTACAAGGCGTTGACCGATGAAGCAATCCGGAACAACTACCTTCTCTACGGAAATCCCGACGGGAAACAGTCCACAAGCATAGGCATTGCATTGCCGAAGTGGATGGTCGAGCAGGGAAATCGGTGGTTCGTCGTGGCGTTTTACGGGGTGCTTTTGGGCATCATCCTCCCCTATACACTGGGAAAATGGTGGTACGGAACACAGGCGCTCACCAAGGACAAAGTTTTGCATGCGAGTGCTGGCAACCTATTTCGGGAGTGGAAAGAAGACATGTCCGAAGGAAGTGTGGTTGCGGCCACGAGTGTCGGGGAAGAATTTAAAGAAACGTTGAAGGGGTCCAGAGTGGATGCCGGTGCTGCTAAAGTCGAAAGCAAAGTCCTCAACAGCTCGGTCCTCACCGAGGCCGACAAAGCCAGATTAAAAGCCATTGACGACCCTGTGCGACGAAAAGCTCTGGCTCTGCTGTGGGCGTATCTGGCCCGAATTGAACTCGCCGACCCCGAATTGGAAAAGGAGAAATACGCTGTTGCGCCCACGGCTCTTCTCTTGAACAACTCTTTCACGTCGATGACGCTCCCATTCGGCATGGTCAAGCCACTCCTGGCCTCCTATCACACATCTCAGAATATCATCCAAGCAGTACCTCCGAGCTCCTCGCCACTGCTCCAGCTCCCTCATTTCACCCCCCAAATCGCCGCCAAAATGTCCAGAGCCTCACCAAAGTCCACCACGTCATTACCAAAGTTCATGTCTCTCCCATCCTCCATTCGACGAAACCTCTGCTCCGACCTATCGGACACACAATACGCACAGGCGATGAAAGTCGCTTCTCAAATCCCCCACCTGCAAATTGCAAAGGCATTCTTCAAAGTGCTCGGCGAACGAGTCGTCACACCGGGTTCTTTGGTCCAGCTCGTCATTAAAGCCCGCGTCATCCCGCCCGGAACGAAAGACGTCCCGGCCGTCGACCCTCTCGACCTCGAAGACATTGATCCGGAGGAAGGCGATCTGGATGCCTTGCACGGACGAAAACCAGCCAAATCCAAGCGGCGCAAACTTCCCGATGGACGGATCATGGAAGATGAATCCAGAGAAGGATCCGTCCAACCACCCCTTGCCTACGCACCGTACTTTGCAGCAGATCATGCCCCGCGGTGGCATGTCTTCCTGTCCGATGCACGGACAGGACGCATCTCGGTGCCTCCATTCACCTTCACCGCGTTCGACAAGCCGGCTTTCCACGCAGACGGGACCCCTACATTCAACGTGTTGACGTTCAAGTGTCCGTTCGCCGCGCCCCCGCAAGTCCAAGCGTTCCCTTTCGTAATGCACCTCGTATGCGACAGCTACATAGGACTAGACTCGAAGGTCGACGTGGTTCTCGACGTCAAGGACGCTAGCGAAGCCAATGTGGTCGAGAGCGATGAGGAAATCAGCGAGCCTGAAGAAGGTATGTCATCCCATCCAAAATACGTCCATATTAAAACTCTCCCCGAGCCCCATTAGCCCAGTCGGGTCCAAGTGCGGAAACTAATTTCGTTATTCCGCAGACTCCCTTGCAGGTCAGTTCCAGGCAATGAAAACCGGCGGCCTCACCGGCTCCCCAACAACAACCAAGCAGAAAAAGAAAAAGACGGTGCCTTCGGAGAGGGGCGTGCCTGTCGCCCAAACGCAGACGCCGCAATCTCAGAACGTCAACATCGACAGCGACGACGAAGATGACGACAGCGACACGGACGGCTCGGCGTCGAGTGACGATACGTCGGAAACCGATACCGAAACTGAGGATGAGGATTCTTAGGTTTATTCTTACGGCTGCGTGACGCAGTTTGGATTCGGGGGTTCGGGGAGTTCTATAAAAAGGGACCACGATAGAGGGATCAGGATGTGAATGGGTGTCCAGGATAGGGCTGACTACCGCATGAAGTGACTGATACTTACTGGGAGCGGCACCAATGCCGAGCCTCGGTGTGGTGTTATCAGAAAGGAAACCAAAAATGCTCAGCACATGAAACAAGAGATCTCAATTTGCCTATGTGGTTCCGACCCTGGGACCTAGTACTCCAAAGTCTACCTCGTACCAAATGCTGGGTTGTGCGACGCTGCCAGGCCTACGCCAAAGTTTTGCTGCTCATACACACTGGCTCCTCCATTTTCATTTGGGCCGAAGAGAATGATCCGGCACCATTCCACCCGACTTCGCTTCGTTCACAGCCTCACGTCAACATGTGATGTCCCTCTCGTTGATTCCCACGACCGCCATCATCTATTTTTTGGTGTTGCTCATTGAGTTCATGCGTTCCTGGACCTTCTCTCGCGCATCGTGCATGTATTGGAGAGTCTTCTTGTACTGGCGGTCTTGAGACTGGATGGACAGTTGAGTGATGGCAAGGGCGGCGACACCGAGGATGCCACCTACGCCGAGGAGAGTGCGGGTTTGCATCGTGACGGTATGGCTTCAGGGAGTTCCGGTGCGAGGGTGCTGATGGCCGTAAAATTGGGCAATAAGGGAGTTGAAGTCACGGTGTTTGGTGCAGAGTGTACAGATCCAGTTGAGGCGGAGTTGTAGGATCGCGTTTCGGAAAGGGCTGGTTGAATTTGCGGTGGAAAAGATGAAATGAGCACGAAGTGAGCGTGTGGTAGGATCTCGAGTGTGAGACAGTTGTGGTGCGTGCAGGGGAGAGGGGAGAGCAATAATGGATAGTGGTGAGGAAGAGAGGAAGTTGAAGTCTAGGAGGCGCAGTACGGTTATATGATTGTTTTCTTACGTGTCTAGTATCCTTGGGTGCCCAGATGGTTTGTCCTTCCTCGGCCTCCTCCTCCCTTCTCCTCATTGACTGTTCAACTGTCAGGCACCGCAATGAAACGGCTACCGCCAGAGCTGTAAGTGCCTCATGCGCCAGTGGCAAGCGCTCACTGGCGCCATTCTCCGGAACCCCAGGGAAAGTGAAATCCGCGTGCGGGGGAAGTTTGATCCTGTATCCTCCGCACTTTTCGTTTTGGTCAGGGTCTTGTCAGGCCAAGAATCCCTGGCACGAGCCAATAATCCGTCATTTGATTTGATAACCATCCAAGGCGATCATCGGGCTCTTCCGGATACCACATTTCATGGTATGTATATCAAGCATACACCCTTTATGGAATGAATGACGGTTATCCGATTACTATCAAAAGTCGGTTCTTCAACCACACCTTAAGATCAGCTCCCGCCTCTCTACCGGGGTTATCATAGTTTTGTTAGCGTCCATCACTCAGAATCACAAGCCGCTAGCATTTTGACATGTCCAGGACCTGGCGAAGAGAAGGGGTATTTGGTATTGGAATTCATTGGTCACCCTCAGGAGTCACGGCCTCGTCCAGCCTTGCCATCCCTCAGCCTTCTGCATCTACAAACACGTCCATTTCACTTGTCTCCGTGTCCGCTCTCTTCAATGGTTTCTTTCCTTCTGGTACCATCGCCTCATGCATCTTCATCTTTGACATCTGGTTGTTCATGTACGAGATGTCATCGTCGTCATCCATTAAATTCGCCGTTTGAGAAGGATACTGGTGCGTGTTTGAGGCCGGGTCCACTGGATTCCCAACGCCTGGATCCTTCTTCGTTGGCTCGGGCGGTGCTGTACTCGGTGGCCGAGAATCAAAGTCAATCAAATCAGCCGTATGCTGAGCGTTCAAATGTACCTGGCCAGCACTATTCGTGGACTTCTCTCCTGGCATTTTGGACCCGGTTGTATGCTCCCACTGATGTAGAGGTGCTCGGTCCCAAATTCCTTCCTGTCCCGGGAGAATAGGTGCAATGGCAAGAATCCTGTCCACAAGTTCCTTGGGATCCTTCGTGTCCCTAGAAGAATTCAGTCAGTTATGACGAACGATGTGGCAGCACAACAACTCACAAATGCGCATTGATGATCCATTCCAGATCTTCTTCGCCCTCGTCCGATCCGCCATGGCCTGCATCAACCCGACGGAAAAGTTTAGGTTTCCATTCTACTCCCAATTCTTCCCTTCGTTTGGCTTCTTCTCGCTGCCGGTCTTCAATCTTGGCTTTCTCGACCGTGGCCTTTTCGTGATCCATGGCATGAACAGCCTTGACGGTGCTCAGCCACAGCCTTTGCGACTCACGTTCATCTTGTTCCTCGATGGGGCGAGTCAGAGGTGGTGCATGTTTGGCATGCGTGGCGTCAAACAGCGTCTTTTTCTGTCCGGTCTTGGTATCCTTGATAAACATTTCCCCGGACCATAACCCGGACAGCTCGTAAAGGACATCCCCGGTCTGATCGTTTTTGATTGTCCCTCCAATGGCATTGTACGTACCGCCCACCCAACCTTTGGTTTTGAATTCCAGATCGGCCATCAAATGATTTTCCGGGCATCGTACATAGGAGTGATCGCCTAACTCGTACTTCATCTTCCCGAAAAGAATCCCTCGAGCGTACATATTCGGCTGGGTCAGAATGCTATTCGGGGTTAGAAATCACCTCTGGACAGCCCAGCTATTCTCAACGTACTATTTTTCGCCGCCTTTTGACTTCCCTCTATTGGTGAACCGCAGATAGGCGATGCCTTCCATCATGCTTGCCGCTGAATTGCCTAGGAATTTGCTGCGAGGCTTCAACGTCCCGTCCACTCGAATATGGTGTTCCGGTGCCATAAAGAAATAGGACGACTTAGGAGGATGGTGTGAGGTTTGTTCAGCAACGTAAAACCCTCTCGTGTTGTCCGGATAGTTCCAGTAGCAAGTGAAGGTCTCCCCGAGGATAGGATTCAAGGGTTTCTTTACACCGCTGATGACGAGTTAGCATCTCCCGATGAACCGGGGGGGGAACCGTTCGTACGGAGGTCTGATATGCCAGCCGCTCAGATAGAACCTGATCACCGAGACAAATCGTTCTACAGGATCTTCGATATGCGGCATGGACAGGAGTGTGTCAGGGTGAGCCATGAAACTGCGAGCTCGAGGTCAGTGGCGACGACATTGACACCCTCTTCGTTGGTATAATCACGCACTTTGTTATTCTTTCTAACATTGATCTTTCCTCTAGGATGAAAGTGGGAAGCGTGACTCGAGACAGGTCGGCGCCAGGGCGCAATTGAGATATGATATGCAAGAGGACTTGATCTTGTCAGATTTGATTCTGGACTCGCGGAGAGGGGAATAAGACACCATTTCCTTGCTCTGGCTCGATGACGGTAGTATCCTCGCCCTCAGCTTGGTCCCTGGTCTCATCTGAGGAAGAACGACTGCCTGGGGGTTCGACGTTAGTTCTCAATTGTCCACTGGTCCCCCCAGGTGGGCACCCCCTCTCGAGAGACTCACTGCGATTGCGTAGAGCTTCCCCTATGGAGTGCTTCATGTTGTTGACCTTGCAGCCACCATCTAAATACCAGGACGGATTCCTTTGGAGGAGTGTCACCGTAGGATAGACAATAACGAGTGTTATATGACGTCGTCGGGATGGGAATAGCGGGGATAAAGGTGCAGCCTGTAGGATTTTGGTCCAGGCCTGACCAGCAAACCGAGGGAGAGGAGGAGGTTTATTGTACGGAGTCGCGACAATGAAGAGGTGGTGACGGCGAAAAGGCAATTCAGGAGAGGTAGGCTTCGCTCTTTGCTGGATTCTGGATGATAGATGGAAGAATCTACCTGCAGCATTAGTCGGAGGCTTGGAGCTGGTAGAACCAAAGTCAGGCTCTCACCAGGCTAACTACACCATGCACCGGGGGCTACCGCGAAGCTTGCACGCACTCAGCACTCACTGCAACACTCACTGGCAGAAACGTGATTGCAGTCTAAGCGGCCGAGTATGCGTGCTCGGTTTCTTTTACCGGTTGGCCAAAATCTGAGGTCTGAGGTGTATTGGGGAATATGACTTGCCCTGTCTGGCGGAGGTACAGGAAGCAAAAAAATTCTGCGTCATCACCCGAATGAATTAATTATGCGCACCGCCTGCTCTTCCCCCCTTTTTTCTCATTCTCCGTTCCGAGATGCAAGATGTTATCCTATGGCGTTCAATCCCCCGACCATCCCAACGTCTATGTTCTCAATTCAAGGATCCGCCCCTGTCCAGCTCTCCGATCTTGGTCGATCTCCTCCTGTTACCGACTCCAACAGCTCTTCCGGTGCTTTATAAAGCATGATGTGAAAATGCTCTGGTAATCATTAGCCAGCTCGACTCACCCGCCCGACTTTGCCTGCTCGCATCTCATCAGCAAAACTCACCTAACGCATGGACGCTCTTTAAACTCCTCCAATTCTTGAACCACATGATTTGATTTCTATCCACTTTCCCCCCCGGTCCTGTCTCACGGGAGCAGAATGTCTTGGTCACAAAGTCCTCAATCTCTGCCTTTGCTCCCTCGGCCACATCTCCAGTAGCTTCGTCCTCATCGATGAGAAACTTGGTCCACACGACAAGGTGCTTGATATCCTCATCCAGAAAGTATGGCCAATCGTTGTAGAGGATCTTGAAGTCTGCGGGATTGCTGAATGGTCGATCCCCAGATGGAGTAATATTTTCCCAGTGAAGTCGCTCATGCTGGATATAGGACGATACCGAGCCATACCGTGTCTTAAGCTGATAGGTGTATTCCAAATATGCTCGTAGGTGACTTGAGCACCGTTGGAAGTGGTGTATGCGATTTGTCCCTGATCCCTCGCGTCAGAATCCTTCGAGGCTGAAAATGCTTGCTGCCGTCCAGATTGATTTCGACTGCTCTTTTGGAAAGCCGGACAGCTGATAGAGATAGAGGCCCCCGTAAAGGCTGTACCTACTGACAAGATCTTGTACCTGCGCCCAGGTAAATCTCTCAAAGTCTTCATCTTTTCTCGATAGGATACCAATGTTCTTTTCGCTTTGTCCCCTGAGGAATTCAGGGCATTCTTCTGTCCACCGGTCTTTTGGCCGGTTGGCATTCCAATATCGAGTGGACAAATCTTTTGGGTCTGGAGTAGTCTCCCGCGGCGTGGGATGTACTGAGTGTGGCATGTCTGCTCGTGTATTTGACCTCACTGAGCCCCCATCTGGTATATGAGGAGGCGCTGGATATAAAGGCTTCCAATATGAGTTGCTCACGGCGTGTTTGACAATGCTACCATAAATTGCAACATTCGGCACGAGAAGAACGCCTCTCCATGATTGGCCGAACAGGCTCCATTGCGAAGACAAAACGCACCCTCCGGGGGATGGTTTCAAACGTGTCAGCCACCACATCCTCAGCCATAACCTCCCACTCTCGGCACAGGAGAGGAGTCACCGCCAAGCTATCCTAAGAAACTATTATTCAGACGAGAAACACATCGTGGGCAATGATGAGAGACCTTCTACATGCAAAGCAAGGAGAATATCGCTCTCATTGCATCGTGCGAATCCAATCCAGTAATATCACCTTTCCCCAGCCACTCCCCCCTATTCTCCCAGCCTTGCCCCCACCCCTTTTTGTTCCCAGGCCATTTACCCAAACTCGTCTAGATGGCATTCTCGCATGTGGCAAACCATTACTTCAAAGGCCCTGCCATCTTGTTGGCATCACTACTTGCCCGAGACCTGCCTGTGTGGCTTCTTGCCTGTGTCTCGCCTTCAAGAGTAAGCTTTGGTCCCCCGGCATACCATCTCAGTATGTCGATATCCATTTTCCGCCTCTGCAGCTCCAGCAAAGGGGGAAGGGAGGTTCCATGCCCTTGCTTCGATTGTCTTAAGTGAGAAGTCGATTCGTAAGCGGAACCAACACTTTGCGTTGCAAGGACTTCCGGCACTTCTGCTACTTTTTGCCTCTTCCAGCTTTCTTGTCGCGCCCTGCAGTCGTGCGTATATCTCTGGAAGCGACTGAATCGTCTGGCCAGTTTTCACTGGCGTTCCGTGGCAACAGCCAGGAGGCAGGCTCGGGATTGATCTTATGTGGAGGGAAAAGGAAGTCTCTTAGCCAATCAGTTGAGACGACATTATTCCGCCACCAAGTGATTCTTTGCTCATGGATGGCAGGATTGGCACTGCGACGCCATATGTCTTCGGCCGTCTCTATCATCTGGAAGCGCAATGTTCGACGAGCGGCGAAAATGTGGTGGGAAGAATGCCTTCATGGCCGCAACAAGCTGGTTGAAATAAAATGGTTTAGCCTGCAAGGCGGTGGAATCTAGACCATGCTGTCGACGAATGAAATGGTCCAACATCGGACGCCCGTGCAAACTCCCAGCTTCATCGGGTCGAGCGCGAGCTTGAGACCAGGGCCGCTATCTAGATGACTGCAAGATAGAAGGGTATTCAAGCCTGGGATACCGTGCAGCTCTTCACTGGAACGGTGAGCCAACTCCAGCTGAGACAGCCATATTAGCTTGATGTCTTTACAAATTTGCCTCAAGATTTCTAGAGGGAGCGGAGGAGCATGGGTAGGTACGATGTGTGGTGATTCCCGAACCCCGGAGACTGGTATTCGGTCGTGCCTTTGGTATCACAATGTCGTTGTATTCCTTCAAAATATATATATAGGGCCAGAAACAGGAAAATGAAAAGGCGGGAAGAGCATGGTATTCGCTGTCTATTAATCTAGAAATGATCAGCAAGAAGACAAGGCTGAGACTTAGGGGAACGTACGAGGCTGTCTGGAAAAGCCTTATTCAACTGCTCCCGGAAATTGGAATGGCGAAAGCACATGTTCTAGTCAAGAACGCGTCGAACCTCATCACTCTCTGCTTGGAGAACATTAACTGAACCTTGAGCAAGAGTTGCCTTGACGTCGTTCCATGTTTCTGGGTCCACGCATTTCTGCGCTTCATCGATCACATATGTTATGAAGCCGGCCTTTGCAGAGCCTAACGCGGTGTCCTTAACGCAATAATCACCAGCCAATCCGACGACATAGACGTGGGAGATGCCCTGAGCCTTAAGCTCGTTGGCAAGGTCTAGATTTACGCCTCCGGCACCGGCAGTCATGTTGCCAAAAGAATCTGAAAAGGCCGAATACATCTCCACTCGAGGATCCATCCCCTTCTGAACGATGATTTGCACGTTCGAGAGATGGAGCTCCTTGATGATATCAGCGCCCGCTGTTCCCTGGACGCAGTGGACCGGCCACAGGCGCTGCTTCATGATCTGCTCTGGCCTGTTGCCGACCCAGTTTTGCATGTCTATAAATGACTCAAACGGTTTGTTGTTGGGGGGTGGATGATTTGCGGCAAATGAAATATGATCGGGAGGATGATAGTCTTGCGTGGCCACCTTCATAGCGAAATGGGGAGAGTCCAGGAGCTGGTTGATGAGTGGAACAATCTCTCGGCCTCCTGAGACAGCCAGCGAGCCATTCTGATGCGGATCAGTTGACATGGGGACTCAAGGGGTGGGAAGATTTCATACAGGAGGACAAAAGTCATTTTGCATGTCCACCACGATCAGGGCGGGTTTGAAAGACATATCGGATAGGTCTGGAGAAAGGTAAAGGCCAGGATAAAGATCCGGGAGCAATCAACGATCAAACTTTGAGATCCGTTTGTGAAGAAGAGGCGAGGAATGTTATTCTACCATATGCTAGATCGAAGGCGCGGCCCAGGTGGGATAGACGCGTACATCCGTAGGGCGTACGACACCAATGTCTCTGTCGCCGGCAGGCAGACGCGAAGAGCCCAGCCCAGGGATGATTGCCAGTTGCCAGTGACCGCCAATGTGGATTGTATGCAGCGGTTCAAAGTTCAAAGTTGCGGGTTGGTTGCTGGGTGGCCAAGGCTCTTTCGGGCCAGGTGAGCGGCCAGTGCGGGTGCCCGATGGTGAATTGGGGTCATTTTCTATCTCGTTCTTCTGAACTTGCCATTCACTCACCAACAACCCGGCCAACAACCCGAGGCTCATGCACTGAGTCCTGGCTTACACTGGTATTTATTCAACTTGCGAATGCACCGCGACTGTCTCAGTTCACTTTAATGAGCAGCGAGAGACACTGTCGCCATTCAAAACCCGACCCTATCCTGTCGCACGCACTGCCGTTCTCCGTCCTCCCTCGCGGCACCTACGCCCACCATTGCTTCTATCGCACACTCGTCTAAGGATTACCGCTGCATTCCTTGCACCTTGATATTCGCTTCACATCCTGGCATGATAAGAGGTTTGAAGACAGCAGCGAGTCAAAACGGATCACAGTGACCGAAGAAACATCATGTCGAAGGCCTCAGTGGTAAGTATCTCGCGCCCTCGGTCATCCTTTCGCCGCGCCGTACCCTCACTTGCCCTTTTCTTCTCTCACAGCCAGGTATCTTTCAGCGGTGCTAACATGTCATTCACACAGGGTGACGTCTATGCCAAAGTCATCAACGATGTCTGCGAACACTCACGGCAAGATTTCGAAGAAGGCGGCGTGGAACTGGCGACGCTAGATTTGCTCAAGTCGGTGGGTTACCCTCCACAGAATACCTGGCCCTGTCAATAACCTCCTCTTGCTCATCTGGACCAAACTATCATGCCCAAACCCGGGGGGTTTGGGAGTGAGGGTGGTTGCAGATCGGCTCATGGGAATAAGAGCGGGTGCGAAGGAGGGCGAGCGAGTCCGGGGGCGAGGGCGGGGATCGGGAGGTTCTTGAATCTTGAATTGCGACCCCTCTGACTCATTGCCTCTTTATACGCCGAACTGTCTGCCTAGCCACCAATTCCCTCCCCCCGCTAGCCTGTTTGGGACCACCATCACACCTCGAATATAATTTTCTTATTCATACTGACTTTTGTTCGACAGGAATGGCAGAAGAAGCTCTCTGGCCTCAAGGTCGCTCAGCTGCCATGGGATCCACCTCCAGCCCCCATAAAAGAACAAACCCTTCCTAGCAACACCAAACCCATTCCTCAGACTCTTCCCAGCAATAGCAATGTCATCGCCACCCCTTCCTCCCAAAACGCAGTCCCGTCAGCTCCTACTATCAAGAACGAGAACAATGCTACGTATCCCTCTCAAGCCCCTGCGCCACAAACCTATCAAGCCCCTTCTTTCCAGCAGGGTCAGCCACTGACAGCCCGCGACCGCGCCGCTTTAAATCTGCACCAGAACTTTGGTGCGCGAGCTGGCCCTCAAATTGCACAGCTCCAAGCCAACCAGCCTCGAGTTCCTTTGCAACCGTCTGCCCCGCCGACTTCCAGCTACATCAAGCAGGAAGAAACCTCTTCAAGCTTTGCCGGAGTTCAGGAGTACGCTCCTGACATCCAATCCCAGGCCACTGCTCCTATCAACTCGAGCCAAACTGACGGATCTGGCGAGACTCATCTCGAGTGGGACGCTGAGTATGCTTCACGAAAAGCCTTGGCTGCCTCACATAGGACTCAGGCTGATCACCTCATACGAGCACATGTTATGGTGAAGCAGCAAGAACTCGAAGGCGGCGGTCTCTTGTTACCGTTGGAAGAACGATCCATCCTTGGCAAACCTAGCGGACGAGGAGTTGGCGGTCTTTCAGGCGAGGAATCTCCACGACCATCAACCAATCTCAGCATTGCACGTGCACAGGGTGATGCAGCAGGGGACGATGACAATGGCGGCGTTGACGATGAAGATGCAATCAATTCCGACCTGGACGACCCCGATGATCTAGCAGCTAACGATGAAGATGGCGAAAATACCGACCAGGTCATGCTTTGCACCTACGACAAAGTCCAGCGAGTCAAGAACAAGTGGAAATGCACTCTCAAGGATGGAATTTTGAGAGTCGATGGCAATGAGTAAGTTCTCTCCTTCCATCTGCACAGTCGGCTGAGACCATCTTTGCGCTGATAATTTATTATAGGTACGTGTTCCACAAGGGCCAAGGTGAATTTGAGTGGTGAGAAGCTGAAATCGAAGTATTCGCTTCAAAAGTATGGAATGTGAACACAGCACGCAGAAATGAAGCAGGAAAGCGAGACGATTCGAATACAAATCTACCAGTCCACACGAATTCGGCGGCCGGTTGGATTTCACACGGAGTTCCTTCGTCCTGGGATACTAGGATATTGAACTAAAAGGGACGGTCCAGAGTGATGGGATGATACCACTTTTTTTTTTTTTAAAAAAAACAGCGACGTTCCGCCATGGTGCTCTTGCGTCCAGATGCGAGAATCAGGAAATTGCGACGTCTGACTCGAATGGTTGAAAGTAAAGCATCCACACAGATGTGCTTGATTGCTCTTTATGAGATATGCCAGTGGACCATGCGATACGATGTGCTTGCTTTCTTTCTATTAAACCGATATGAACTGGAAAGAGAAGAGGGACCGTGCTGTTAATGACTCTGGAACAATGAACCTAGAGAAGCTTTTTCCTTTCGAATAAAATGTGTTCATGACAGGTCTCCTAGTGTAGAACTGTGCTTCGCATAATTACCGTGGAGTAAGTGGCAAAGTGACGCCTGCCCAGCAGTGCACCCAGCCAACCTGGGATCGTGTGACGCAATGCAGGTCAATTCTCAGTCTGCAGCCAAATCTCGTGCACCAGCTGTTTGCAAGGTAGCCTCTTCTTCAAACACCTCTCTTGGTCAATACTCTTTGCTCTCCTTCCACCACAACATTCAGGTATTTGACGGGGCTCCTCAAATCTGGTCCTGGAGTTTTCTCTACCATACAACCCTCCACTTCCCCTAACCATCAAGATCTTGCGGCTTAGTCCTCCAACAATCCCAAATCGCAACTATGACGCTCTACTACAGTCTGGTCCGTCTTCCCCCCGCTCGTCGTAGTCCTGCCTGACTTCACGCTCCATTTGATGGGACGTGTGGACTGATACTGATTCCACCGGACAGGTATTTGTTCTTCTGGTGGCCGAGATGCTACTCTTTATGGCTCTCATCGTCCCCTTGCCGTTCACCGTGAAACGCAAGATGTTCAATTTCATTTCAGAAAGCCCGTTGGTTGCAAAATTACAATATGGAATGAAGGTACGGTCGAACGCTCTCAAGATTGAAGGCTATTGACTAAAAACTCTTGCAGATCACCTTCATTTTCATTCTTATTCTCTTCCTCGACAGCGTCAATAGAGTTTATCGGGTCCAGGTCGAAATGGCCGCTTTGATGAAAGACACCACTGGAGCAGGGTAAGATAAAATAACTCCGACGCTTCCAATCCAAATGTCAACTCACTTTGGTAGACGAGCCGCGGCAATTGGTTCCGAACGCATGGAAGTTCAAGCTCGCAGATTCTACTCACAACGCAACATGTACCTGACTGGCTTTACCCTCTTCCTGTCTCTGATCCTCAATCGCACCTACGGCATGATCCTCGATGTCCTTCGTCTCGAAGAGAAAGTTAAGATGTACGAAGGAAATCACAAGGCCGGTGGTAAAGAAGGCGAAAAGCTCAGTCCAGAGTATCGTGCAGATCAGATCGGTGAACTCAAGAAGCAACTCCAGAAGAAAGACAAGGAACTGGAAGCGATGAAGAGTCAAGCTGAAGGACTTCAGAGAGAATATGACGAGTTGAGCGTCAAGTACAACCAGTTGAACCCGAGCGGTGGCGACAAGAAGAGCAACTGAATGTCAAACGTTACGATGCAGACTCATAGCTTGGTGGCATTTTGGTTCCGGCCGTGTCGAGATGGGTGAACTGGTGTTGACACTACTTTTGGTATTGATCCAAAATTTTGGAAGCATCATTGCAAGGCGAAATGAGGCAGACGATGACACAGTATGGCTCAGAATGTATGTCGACTATTCGGCAAATTCGATAGGTGAGATATTGGGTTAGTCATGTACCCGCTAAGAATGGCAATAGGAAATAGACTACCGTGTGTTGTGCTCAACTTGCCGTGCCATGCTCAGTGATGTCGGAAGCCATGTTCAAGTATTCTGACCTTGTTCCAAGCGCATCCTGCATTTTCAAGTTTTCTCCAAGCCCTAGCTGGTCTGGGAGGCTATTTGCTTGACCAATGCAGAGCATCCGTAGATCGCATCTTGAGAGGAAGATGAACTTTCGGCATATGGTCTGCCCTGTAGAGGATCAGCCTCATTACACATATTGACTCTGGTTCATCGCCGGCCATCGGCGTGACGAGGTTGAATGGCCAGGCTGGAATGAGGAAACCTGCTAGAAAGTTGTGGGTGAGTTCAACGACTGAAGACGACCTTGTAGCTTGGTTACGATTGACCTTTCCGCAGTTCACAAACAATGACATCGCAAAAAATTTCACTTTATTACCCGAGTTCAAATGATTCAACCGATCCAAATGCACCGCTGTATGCTTCATCTAGCACGACTGAGCCCAGCTTTACCAGTCAGACCTGTATTGCAACAGACCAACAGCACGAGCATTGGCAAGAAAGAAGTCTGTCGAGTTCCTGGAAATTGGCACTGATCTATGGACTAGGCTATCTATTCAGAGACACCATTTGTATGCCCCTCATACTGGATGGCGAAGCGTAGAATGATCACAGCCACAACTCATATAAATATCAATACTCGGTGCCCATTGCTGTTCATGGACCAGATGCCACTGGGTTCTTCGGTCGAGTTTGTCGTCAAAGAATGGTGTTTTCTCTCTTTCTGTCGGGTCGCGGACGTGCTCGCCACCAGCACGACGCGTCGATTCGCCTCTCTGCGTTGGCTCTCACGACGAGGGTAAGATTCGCAGGCAGAACCACGTACAGGTCGCAGAGTAGGTCTTTGCTGCCCATGCACACAAGTCGTTCCCGAAACCACCCTACCCTCGAGGACACATTGCAACCTTTTCCAATCCAAGGCCAAGGATAGTAATGGCCTGTCCCACCCAACTACGAATCACCAGCGAGCATGGTATTGCCAATATGGTGAGCTCCTTCGTAAAGACTCTGATAAGGTCCAAGCGAGCCGCACAGGCCCCCATCCCCCTCCCAAGGGGCGGAAACATTCATCCCCAGTGAAGTCAAGTTTACCTAACAAGCGACTCCTTGAAGCCACGTGGAACGTGAGTTGTGTGATGGTCGATGGTTAGACCCAGCTTGACGCCAACACCCATATTAGCCTGCTGATCTGGGTTCTAGTCAGGGGAAGCTTCGTCCGTACCCACATTGGGCGCAGGCGGGTGCTGATCTGGTCAGAACAACATACGACATAGTTATACTTTGTCTTCCCTTGTTCTCATTCATCGGCTGTAAGAAGTTCAAAGTATCGAGCGTCGGCCAAAGCATGCCAGCTGTGGCATCGACGGCTTCTCGTGCAATGATGCTCGGGCGGCAAAGATGGAAGCGAGCTTTGAACGGTGCCGTGGCCAGCATGAGCCTGCAGCTTTCATGAAAAACTGGAGATATCTCAGCCTGCCGTCTGGGCCGCGTTGTGGAAAAGGTTTGAACGATTCATTGGCGCACACTGTAGCGCAAGGACAGGTGAGCTCCCAGGGCTCGGTCGTGAGATTGTAGGACAGTCACGACTTCCGATTTGACCTGCGCTTTGCTGTATTGATGACCTTGGCAAATTCTCAGCACGCAATCTCCTGAAGGCATCTTGGAGAGAAGCAGTTTCCTCCCACGCGAAGCTCTTTCGCACAAGAACATCACTCTTCACATTGGGTGACCCCTTATTCGACTGGGTTGCCGCAGCATCTGATTGTTATATTGTTTCCCTTCTAAGAGTAGGTCCCCTTCCGGTTCCGGGCACTCGCCCAACTCTTTTTTTGGTAACAGATGTCTCCGTATCGTTTTCAGATAGAGGCATGACGAGGAATTGACGTCCCAAGGCTGAGCAAGAAATGTTTTGCTAAAAATTCTGCAGTCTAAATGCAAAGGTGACCATAGGGCACCGCGGGACGACAAGACGCGGTAACTGCCCGATTTTAATTCAATCCGTGCCCTTGTAGAGGGAGATCACCAGCCTGTAGTTCTTACGTTTTTGGCCCAGCCAACAGTGCAAACTAAGATGCCGTATAGTGACAGTCTTACGATAGGCGTACATCTTCACCCATCAGTCTGGAAGTCTCCACCCGGCAACTTGTAAGAGAACAGAGCAACCAAATAGTATAATGGGTATTTCGCGCGTGCCCCGCAAAAATTTAATACAGCCAATCAGATACCTCCATTTAACATACTCGACGATCCATATTCACTACTCAATCCTGGAAAATCATTATTCCGTAAAGCGAGAGGACTCGTCGGATCCAGTCCACGGCTCACCTAGCGTCGGCGGAGGGGCTCATCGGATCCAGTCCATGGCCCATCTAGGGAGCACTGTCTATGTCGGCGAGGGACTCATCGGATCCAGTCCACGGCCAGCCAGAGAGTACCATCCACCTCTGCTTACCGACCCTACATCTACGCATCATCCCCATCGGACTCGCCTCCCAACCGCACCTCCATTTTGTCTTGCATGTGCTCGTGGAAATCGAACCACGATGCCGGCAACGACAGCGAGGTCGGACGGAGACGCAACTTGATAAATGGCATAGAGCATTCTGTAGAGCACGTTGGGAACGAGTTTGATAAATTTTCTACGGGAATGGGCTCAAACAGATCGGCTTGCTCGAGCACTCCATCCTTGCACCATTTTGCGCACCTCTTTGCCAACTTGAAAAGTGCTCAAAGAGCACCTCAATTTAGGCGCATACCGACGTGCCGGGAATGCTATTTCGACCAACTAGCGTTGTCGGCGACCGAGAGCGTGTGCGCTTTGTGATTGGTTGTCTAGGACGTCGAGGTGGTATCCGAAGAAGCCTTTGAGGCTCCTGTTGATGCTGTTGCCGTCGTTGTTGATCTTCCTGGCGCACTTCCTGTCGCTGCTGGCTCTCCTGACAGCCTCCCTGTCGCCGTGAACGCTGTTAACGGTCTTCTTAACTCCCTAATTCGCTCAATTTCGGTGTTTACCCGCTCAAACTCGCTCGGCGTTCGTTGATTAACCGGAGAATCAAATCTGTGGCGAGTGAGAACCTATGGAGGCTGTGCACCGTCGGCATACCGATACTGAGGCTGTTTGAAGCGATCAACCCGCCAATGAACGTCGAAATCCTCAACCCTAAGGACATCCCGCTCTAGGACTGAGCGGCGGACTAGATGCAGGCAGAGAAGCCCCCAGGTTCCAGTAAAAGAGCCTGAACACCCTTCCCATCCTGTCGGTAGTGCTCGAAGAGCATCCACGCTCGCTTCAGGGTTGATTTTTGCTATTTGACAGGTTTTGTAGACTCGCGACAAAGCGTATAGAGGGATATGACTCACGACAAAAGAACACAGGTGCCCACTAAACTGAGGACGTCTTGAGACGGCGGAATTGGTTATGTTGGCATCGATTGCGACATTTTGATCTCTCCGAAGGCACTTGACGTCTTCTGGCGCGACAACGGAGACTGGTGTGCGCCGACGGATGCCAGGATGGTGTATGAGAGTGTTCTTGATCGTCGGCATAGTTGAGATGCCATAAATCCGTTTTGTGGATTACGCTTTATGGTCATTTCGAAGCCACAGTTGCGATGCTTGGCTGATTTATTCCTTTTCCGTATACCTTGATCAAATTCGTAGTGAGAACAGCTGTCTGCACAATCACAGACTAGAGAGATAGAGCTGACAGCGCCCTGAGAGTCAGGTTTACTTCGATTTTTAATCCTCATGGCATGTCCACGAGGTCCTGATCAATCATCAAGGTAAGCCTACAGGGCCTCAGGGTCCATAAATTCACGGAAAGGAGATGCAAAAGGCTGTCTATAAAGGTCCTCAACTTTGCCAACAATGTCTTCACCGTCGTTTAGCGGTAGAACCTAGTTTTCAGCCTCAAATTCGCCAAATTGCGCTTCGAATTCCTGTTGAAGCTGAGTTGCGACCTCGTCAACAGGGGTTTCAGGGCTTCCTGAGGTTTCAGAGACAGCAGAGTGAGACATAACGGAGAGAGGGTTCATTGGCGTTGAATTGGCGTCGATTTGAGTGCCGTTGAGGGTGCTGTTAACGGTGTTGGTTGCGAGAAGGGGGCCGTGGAAGTGAGAGACAGTTGATACTTACTAGCCGTCCCGATTTAGTTAGTTTGCCGAGAGGCCTTGGACGCATTATCATTGGCTGAAAGAGGGTTAAAAGTGGGGCACGCGCGAAATACAGGAAGGTTTTCCAAAAAGGGAAGGAGGGTGTTAGCGTCTTGGCGTAGGCGCGAGATAGCCATATAGCATGACATATTAACTATTTCCAGAAATTTCGCCAATTATACCTCAGCCTTATATATCACATGTGCGTCTGGTTAGCCGCTAAGCTATTCAGATTCATCTCGAACAGTCTAGAAATGGAGTCGCAAACGTCTATCTCGTATATATTGTGATGGGTCGAGGTAGGCATATACCAAGCAGTCACGTGACAGAGGGAGCAAACAGTGCAAATGTTGGACATATGGCTCTCTTTCGGAGGGAGACACAGGAAAAGAGGGAAAAGGAGACATAACGGAGAGGCAAGCAACAACAAGACAGCAATAGACATTTTTGGGCGCAACTATTATTATTCTACCTTCATGCACCTTAACGCTCTTACCTACCTGCCTTTGAAGCGATCCTTAAGCTTGCGCTCCCACTTCGGCCTGTTGTGTGGTGTGTTGGTTGTTGATTTGAGTCGAGACAGATGCTGGTTTGGCAGCCCCCATATCACCCCCCCAAAATATGTGTGCGATTCTCTGCACCTCTCGAATGAAAAAAAATATAACTACATCTAAATAGTGTGATTGTGCGGCGAACAAATTGCTAGATTAACTTCGAAGATGTGCAGCATATAATATGTGGTTGTAGCGGCGAAAACAGAATGTGTATGCTAACTAAAACTATCTGCTGGGGGTGGCCGCTTTACTTATATATATTCCGTAAACGAATAATTGGCAGAAATTGACAAAGATTCCCTCTTAAACCGCGACGTACCATCCTCACTGACCTGTCCTCCGAACCGGACGCGACGGTGGTGCCGTCGGGCGAGAATGCCACGCAATAGACCGAATCTTTGTGGCCGTTGAGCTCCCGCAGTTGCCTTCCCGTGGTGGCGTCCCATATCCTCACAGACCCCTCCGAAAAACCGGACGTGACGGTGGTGCCGTCGGGCGAGAATGCCACGCAATAGACCGAACCTTCGTGGCCGTAGAACTCCCGCAGCTGCTTTCCCGTGGCGGCGTCCCATA